TGCGCGTTACATGCCCACCTCAGATGTGTCGTCCATGCCGGCCGACAGCATGTTGGAAGGTGCCTCATCAGCAGGTCCCCGACGGAAACGCAGCCAAAGCCTTGAACGCGGTGCCAAACGGGAAAGCAAAAATTTACTGAAAACTCCATCCCGACAACGCAGTCGCAGCTTAAGTCACGAGCGGATTGTGAATCGAGTTGCTGAGAAGCTCAACGAGTCTTCCCATGATGTTTCGAGCAGCAAAAAGAGCAAAAGCAAAGGCAGAAGCAGGAATACGGGCAAGGATTATCTGGAGGCCGAACCGACTAAACATTCGTCGCGCCGGAGGCGACATGGGGCCGAAGATGAATATATCCCCAGTCCGGAATCCAGTCTGCTGAGTACTTCCAACGTCTCTTCGAATCGCAAGTCCGACGCATACTCTGTGCGATCCGGCGCCTCAAAGACTTCAATCAACAACCCAAAGCTCTTAGAGACAGTCGAAGACGCGATCCGACGATTGATTCTTCCGGAGCTTAAGGAGCTCAAGAAAGACCAAAAGGTCATGTCCAACACGTCCAAGTTCGAGCGCGAGCGCGACATGACGACTTCATATTCATCCACCAGCTCTCGCGACGAGCTGGGTCGCCGCCTTTCAAAACATGCAAGTGCACCTGATGTGATGAAGCCCAAAGTTGTTCTCAACAAGGATAGCAAAGATGAGGGCATAGTTCTTGCTGGCGAGTCCGCTCCCCGCAACAAAGAGCGTAAATCAAGCAAGAGCAGTGACACCTCTGATGCTGGATGGGTGAAGTACAACCGACCAGATCTGACGGAACAGGACAAGCTCCGCAGGCAAAAAAGTAAAGGTCTTCGCGATGCTCATGCGGCGGCACGTGTGGGCTCAGCTTTGACATCGGCATCTCTTAGACATCATGATTCCCAGTCCAGTCTCGGCAAGAAAGAACGGAGGGCCAGTGGTTCCCAGAGAAGTGTAGACTACAACGAGACAGAGCTTGTCTTCCAAAAACACAATGTGCCCGCCATGCCCATGCACAGTGCAATCGACTCCGAGATGACCCGCGCTTCACTGCTCTCGGAGCGAACAGAGAGTCCTGGCCCTCGCAAGAGAGTCTCCCTAGCGGAAATATCTCGTGGTTCCCCGCGACAAGTCATCTCCCCAACCGGACATACTCCTACCCGAACTCCCTTGGACTCGCGATATGAACTCGGCATGCGCCATGGCAACCAATCGCAACGTGATCTTTCTATGCACAGTGTTTCCGACCGCGATCTTCATGCTCAAAGCCAATCACCTGCAAGCGATGGTGGTAATTGGGCTATTGCTGCAGCTGCAGCTGCCAATTTGCTGGACGCTGCCCACCCAGAAACTCGTGATTCATACATCGAACCATATGAGACTGGCCGGCAACTCAGCCCCATTCAGAGCGTAGCCAGCGAGCGCACTGAGACTCATGGCGAGCAATATCCGAACAAGTACTATGCCGAAGCCCAAAAGGACATCGAGCCCCGCCTTTCGATCGAATCATTGTCATCTGCCCCTAGCACCAACCTTGCACGATCTACTCGCCAGGGAGTCAGCCCCAGAAGCCAAAGTGGCTTTTCCAAATATGAGGAAGATGGCCCTGAGCTTGGATATGAACAATCACGCCATGTCTACCCCGAGGATGACATCTTCGGTCATGAGGAAGAGTCCAAGCTTTCTTATGGCCAAGAAGATAGTGAAGTTGATTTCATGGACAAGATCAAGGAGGGCCAGCATGTGACACCTGCTATCGCTGCCAACCCGCAGTTTGTTCAAGCCATGGGTATCGAATCAAATGTTGCGTCTTTGATGGATCCCTCAGTACTGGAGACCTCGGTCCTGGAGACCCAGTCGTACCAGTCTGGCAGTCGCTCACAGACTGATCTCGCCCCGCGATCGAGAAGCCGGAGCCCCGAGAAACCCGTCACCGAGGTATACCGGGGAAGTCCTCTCAAGCAACGTCAAGATGCATCCAGTCCCGATGAAACTTCTTTCACGCGCCGAATGGGCGTCACGTCGCCTCCACAGAGCGTGACACAGTCGATTGAGGACCTGGAAGAGGCTGGTATGGTGGCTGCAGCTGCTCGTGGTATTGACCGTGGTCTTGAGAGCCCCCTTTTAGAAGCAGATCAACGCAGCCAGGAATCCGAGTCTGAAATCAACACCAACCCGTCTATCATCCAAGGCCCGATTGGTGGCTTGGCTCAAGGAAACGGTGATCAATGGGCATATGACTCGCGATCTCCGCCTGCTGGACAGGTCCCATACTACGAGTCCAACCCCGCAGGAGCCAAGGACCAAGGTGCTCAGCCTCGTGGTCTCGATGCAGAGTATTACGAGACTGCCCGCAATATTTTCGGTGGTGATGATTATTACCCTGATCAGCGTGCCCAACAGCTGTTTGACACGCCGCCTGGAGCTAAAGATGAAGGCTATGTCTCGGCTGCCAACCCTGTATCTCCAAGTGTTGGCACTCCTAAGCAAGGAAGCCGAGGTGTCGGAGCTGTGGATGCCTTTGGTGCCCCCGCTGAGATGGATGAACTTTCTACTGGTCACCAGCGTCACTTTAGTGGTTATTCCCATGGAGTTGGCTCGCCGCTTTACGACAGTGCTACTGGCCATGGCATCGAGAGAATCAAGTCCAAGGATATTGTTGCCCTCATGGACCATCTCACCGTTCGTGATGCCCAGCGCAATGCCCGGGATACTGAAATGTTGGTCACCCTGGTCCGCAGTGCTGCTGAGATGCGCACTTCGTTTGACGAAATGAAGAAATTCATTGCCCAGCAAGACGAGTTACTCCTTGATTCCACCGAGAAGCAGCATGACCGACTCAATCAGGTTCTTGGTGGTCCTCGACCACTGCCTCCAAGTGCATCTCGTACCCGCCAATTGAACATGGAGGATGATGAGGACTTGCAGTCTAAGCGAAAGAACATTTTCAAGCGTGCGCTCAAAGGATTGAGTCTGAAGTCAGGCAATGATTTGTCTAAGATTGAAGGTATGCTCGAACAACTGCTTGACGAAGTTGAAGCCCTTAGGGAAGGCCAAGGCATGGGCAGCCCCCGTGCGACGGCTCGGATGAGTGTCGACGCGAACGCCTTTGACAACAATGGCCAGAATGGTGCGGCTCAGGGCAGCCGATCTCCCTACACGTCGAGCCCAGCTCGGCAAGCAAATGCGGACCCGCGCGTCAGCACTGTCCCTGAAGAGGATGAGGATGAGGACGAGCTTGATGAGGACGATCCTTACATGACTGCACACCTTCCTGTGCAGGACTTTGCCCGCCACGAAAGAGCTGGATCTTTGCCTCTTGCTACGCCGCCTCGCAAGCCTCTGGCCTCGGGAACGCGCAGCAATGAAACCACTCCCAAGGCTTCCACCGACAAAGCCGAAAAGGCCCGCAAGCACAAGTCAAGCAGTTCGTCGATCTTCCCCAAGTTCTCCCGCTGGTCCAAGACTACCGCCTCTTCCATGGGTGACAACATCCGCAACAGCATCCAGCCTGGACGAAAGGAGCGTCCCTACTCTGAGAACCTGTCTCGCTCGGGATCCGACCTCGCACAAGATGCGTACCAGAAGGCTGATTATTATGATCCCGAGGGTGATGATCGCCTCCGCTCCCCATACGGAGACGAGCAAGAGAACCGGCCCCCATCGCCATTGGTGCCCTCTCAAGTTTCCGAAGCCCCCAAGTACCGAGCTCATCGTGGAAGTCTCGATCTCCAGCACCCCCAGCCTCGACAGGGACCGACTGGACGCTTCCAGTCTGCCTTGGAGAGCCAGGCCCAGACTTACGCCACCCCCGGCTCGCCCAGCTCGGAGCGATGGGGATCCCAACCCAGCCTGCCGGCCGCACAGCCCGCCCAGAACCGTTTCAGCGCCGGTAGCCGACTGTCCCCAATTTCCGATGCAGGCTATTCAGAGCACAGCTCCCGTGCGACGGGTCCACCACGTCCTCCAAAGGTCAAAGATGAGGGCCCTCTGATTCCCGAGCGACCACCCAAGGTCCTCGAAGATGAAGACGACCACGCTTCGACTACCTATGGCGATCGTGTTACTTCACGAGTATGTTCAAACCAGAACCTCACAAATTGCAGACCAAAAGCTAATATATCCACAGGGCTCCGCCATCCGCTCCCCTCCTACCCGCAAACCAACAGGTCCTCGCCCCTTGACCTCTGGCGGCCCATACAGCCCCAGTAACATCAAGCGCACCCGCTACCGAGGCAGTCCGATGCAGATCGACTATGAAGATGAATACTGAGACCGCATTGAGATACCCTAGGTTGTATTTGTGTCTAGCGAGTTTTGATTTTTGCTTTTTTGCGTTTCCCCCTTTCCTTTGTTCTTACTCCATGTGATTACGACAGTGAACGACCATGCCCTACCTGATATCTTACCATTGAGTGACTTTGAAAATCATCCTCTCCCATCTATGAACCATTTGCGTGCAAGATTTCATTCTGCTTTTATTCGGGGTTTCTTTTCAATGTCTATAACCTTCATGATGGGTGGGGCAGCCATGTATTGATTCTGTTCTGATGTATCTTCTCCTACGCCCCTCTCCTCGCGCATTTCTTGAGGATAATTCTTGTTTCTATCACCATTCTGGTGGGGAGTGTAGATACTTGGCGTGGTTGGTTTCAGTGCCAATTCATGATTCGGTGCTACATATTCATCTTGTTCTCCAAAAGTCAATAGTAGATTAGTCCATTTATAAGACACATATGATACAAGCTTTTCATCAAACAACGCATTGTGTAGAAACTTGATTCTGGAATAGAGTATGAACACTGTCACTGGCTAAGTATAAGTTCTCAACAACTGCCAAATCTCTAGACTGGGGTCAGGATTTCAAATTGACGAACACCAAACGAACCCGAGGGGAAGAATATGGATGAAACGTTGAATCGGAGCAAAAAAACCAAAGTCAAACCATAACCCGTCTTCCAATAAACTGTAGAGCTATGCATCAATAATCAGAAAAAGGCCTCACAGTCGTAGTCCCCTTCTCCCGAAAAGCATACTCTGCCGTCGCAAGCCCACTAAACTCAACTCCCTCACTAACAGGGAACTTGCCAGGATAACTCTCGGTAGAATGACACTTCGTCCCACGATCCATTCGAACCCCCGAACCCTCCTCGCTACTCCCAGACGACATGGACTGCAAAGCCGATATAGGATCAACCGGCCCAACAAGCGAATTCAACGACCCCAGCGACGCAACGGGAGACTTCCGTCCAACATGTAATTCCAAATTAGGAATATGAGTCATCGAACCCGAAGGCGTAGCAAGGTCCAGTATCTCAGTGTTATGGTGCACCTGATGCAGGGGCAATAAATGCTCACTCCCGTCCTCGCTGCGCTCTTCAACGCTAGCGCCGAATTTGTGTTCATGGACTGAGTGAATCGAGTGCTGCGCAAGTAAGAGTGCAGGTGTTGAGCTTGCTTGGACAGGATTGGTGCCCTTTCCTTTGTCTGTGATTCCCGGTACGGACACGCGCGTGCGATTTGGGGGTGAAATTCGCTTCACTGCTATCTCGTATATGGGAACGTCCGTTTTCGCATACCGGTCCGCTACTGCGCTGGGCTTGTTGATTGGGGCCCCGACTCCGAGCTTAGGGTCTATAGATTGGCGCGAGGGCATGCGCTCTATTGCTGTTTCGGGGTAGCATTGTGGCATGATTGGAGGAGTTGTGAAAGCTGTTGAGGGTGGTTGGGGCATGTTTGGGACGCCATCGATTGTGAGTCGTGAGGTGGATGGATATGCGCCGCCCGAGTTGGACCGTTGGCTCAGTGGCTGGTGTTGGAGGATTGTCGATGGGTTTGGTGAACGGTAGTTTGAGAAGGGGACTATGCTAAAGATGAGGTCGATCACTCGTTTCTCTGTTCGCTCGATTTGATATTTAAATGGAGGAAACTCTTGTGCGGAGGAGCAGAAAGGCCGGGCGATGTAGGAGACCAAGTAGAGGAATTGGAGGTAAATGAGGGTTATGATTAGGGAGTTGGTTGTTGTTAGGGCGACGGGGAGGACGGCGTGAGTTCGTTTCGATTGTTTGTAGACAACGAGAGGCATTTTCGCATTTTTGATCGGGCTAAGGAGTTAAGGATTGGGATATTTAAGAATGAGGTTTCTTTGAGTCGGGGATGTTTTGGTTCTGGACGTCGTGCTTATGGGAAGGTGCGAGTCTCCAACTATCCCCCGGTGAGCAATAGCCCTACAATCCCCTATTGCAGGCTTGGACTCATTATGTTAAATCTCAAGCCTGATATTCTGTGAAGACAATCAAATTATCTGTTTGTTTAAGGGCCTCCCGGTCGACAGTCGCAGCAAAAGAAAAGCACATCACTATCAGTATTGCAATAACAATGAGCCCTGGTAAAGTAACAACTGTCTCATCATCTCCCTTGCCCTGGCTCCAAGACCCTCAAGATCTGGGACAATATCGATAATTGGCAGAAAAGTTTCTAACTACCTTCTTATACAGCGAGCCTCTGTCCCGATCCTCAGGGATATTCCTGCTTGGGCAATCTATCGGAGCTCTATGCTTGTTAGGCCTTTGTTTGGTGTAAGCGCTTCTCCAACGTAAGCGCTCAAAGGAATCGTGACCCGCGTTTGAGCCGGTCATGTCTATCCTTGTGAATTCTATGTCTTATCCTTCAATTGTAAAGTTTTTTTTTTCATGCTTGTCATGGAGTCATGAAATTGACGCCAGTAATGAGCCAAAGGCAATATTACCCGACAAGGATACCAACGATAGGCCTCCACATATCTTGGCAGCAGCAATGTAGCGATGGATCCTTTACAGGTGAAAAGAAGCAAGAAGCCTCGATCGTGGGATATCAAGATGCCCCAATAGGTTTAGATCGTCAGCCAATCATATCGTACATACCGATTCACGTGACTGCGATTAAAGTTGGCATGCCATTGATTTTGTCAAGATAAGTCAATTGCAAAACGGACATATGAGCATGATTCATTCGGAGGTAATGTATCATGGGCTTCATCGGGAAATTCAAACGATTCGCAGTAGGTTCCACGTTAGCCTCCCTGTGCGGGCTATACAAGCTGTCCGATACATAGATGACGGTAGATCAACTAGATCCACTTAAAGCTAATCTCGGCCCAATCTCCGACGACACCTCCACACTTCCTTGACTCATGACAGCCCGTCTAGCAGCTCTTCGTTCCACCTTAACCACCATGGCCGGTACCGCAGTAAACTGTCAGCATGTGCGCCCGCGGAGATTCGCGCCACTCGATGCCACCAAAGCATCAGATGCGCCGCGGCTAAAGGGCATCGTGTTCGATGTGGATGGGACCTTGTGGTAAGGCGAATTCAGCTTTCCTTTCCTTTCTCAAGATCTCATGGAAGCTCCACCATGCTTTGCTCTTGATTATTTCATACGTAAAGTTCGAGTATTGCGTTGGAGCTTGGATGCACGATTGCGGACAATGAGGAACATAGCTCTTATCGCAAGAGAATATTATCTTGACTAGGTTACAAGCTGACACGGAGAACTAGCCTACCACAACACCATATGTTCACTGAAATGAGGTATGATTACACCGACGGATCTGCATTTTCTATACGATATGAAGAGATGCAATTATGCAGTACCCATCCAACAAAAATATATCCATGAATCTAACTTTGCGCCACCCTAAGAGATGCACTCGGGATAGATAAATCAATCGACATCCTACACCACATCCAAGGTCTTCCCACCGCAGAAGACCGCGCTGCAGCCGTCGCAAAGATCCAAGCCGTTGAGCGCCGCGCCATGATGGACCAAGTACCACAGCCGGGTCTAGTGGTGCTAATGGAGTATCTCCAGTCCCGCGGCTTGAGACGGGCACTCTGCACACGAAACTTTGAGTAAGCTCTTCTCCTTCATTTAACCCTATCCAGTAATAGAAGAAGTTAGGAGAACGCTAACTCATTGCCCAATGACAGATCGCCTGTCCGGTACCTTCTTAACAATCACCTGCCAGAGCATATTTTCCTGCCTATAATTACGCGAGACACACCCAATGTGATCCCCAAGCCTGATCCAGCTGGAATCCTGCATATTGCCCAGGAATGGGGATTGACAAACCGGGCTGAGAGTTTGATTATGGTGAGTCAATCTAATGATCTTCTGGGCCCTTTGTTCTGGTGGAAAGCTGATTTTCTTTAGGTTGGGGATAGTATTGATGATATGACGGCTGGACATAAAGCTGGTGCGGCGACGGTGCTGCTTCTGAATGAGCGGAATGTTCATTTGCAGGAACATGCTCATACTGATATTTGCATCAGTCAGTTGGATGATTTGATTGAGATTCTTGAGCAGGGGTTTGTTGGTCAGCGGTGTGATCCGGAGACTGTCTGATTGTTCTCTTTGGCTTTGAAATGTACGCTTTTGCTTTTGCTGCGATTGGTATAGAGGAGTGTCGCTAGGATGCTGGAGCCTCCAGAACAAAGGAGAGTTATATCTAGCTTGGAAACTTGCATCGTATTTCCCATTTTTGACATCAGACAATGACTTTGTAATTGTGTACACGCAGGGTTTTAAGTACAGGGGAATCATGGCATTTTCGTTACATGGACCTCGTTGGTCTATTTGCCTCTGCGACCTCTACCTCCACCACGTGACGGTGGCCCTCCACGGCCATTACCACCACGGCCACGACCTCTCGGGGGCGGGCCACGGGGAAAGGGACGCGGAAGCGGAGATAGTGTACGCTGGCGGGTGTTATTCCCAGGGAATTGTGGCCGGCCACGATTCGGCGGGGGCCTTCCGCGCGATTTATCAGGCCCAGGACCATTACGAGGCGGTGCGACTGAATTGCCAAATCGAATGTGCGATCCGCGGCCTCGTCCACGTGAGACGGGCTGAGGCTTGGAGCCCTTGCGAGGCAGCATATCATCACTTGAAGGGGATGAGGATCGAGCATTGATTCCTCCCCGGGCTCCTCCTCGAGCCTTACGACCCTGCTTGTAATTTATGGGTGGCTGGATCTGCTTGGGGGCTGTGTTGAGGTTGATGATATCGTCAGGGTCGATGCCCTTGAGTGTGAAGGATGAGGTGTTATAAGGCCGGCGAAGAGATGGACAGTCACCAATAAGATGACTTTTGCTAATGCAATTAGCACATGAGATCGAAACCCTGACCTCTGTTGATGTGGTTTCACGGAGTGGGAACTTCCACCGGTCGTCGCAGTAAGACTCAGTATGATCCGTTGAGTCGCAGAAATCACAAGGAACCTCAGAAGCGGAGCTCTTCAACGGTGACGGGCACTCCTTATCGGTGTGCCCTCTTTCCCGACATCGTTCGCATCTTTGCCATGAGGGGCAGAGTGCGCTTATATGTTTATTCCATGCTTGACAGTGCGAACACTGGGGGATATGCGTTAATACTTCCTAACTTTCTAGTGCTGTTTGGTAGACATACCTCTTTTGTAGGACACACTTCAGCCTGATGGCCATATTGAAGGCATTCAGTGCAGCCAACCGGGAGTTGGAGATCAATCTCGTTAATGTCTCGATCCCAATAGATGAACTGAGCCTGGATGTCCATATCCGCTTTGTCGAGATCCACCAGGGTAGCTGGCGGTGTGGGATATTTCTTTGCGTAGCGTTCAAATGCCTCCTCCTTAGACTCGAAAAATCCAGGCGGCGATGCTGCACTTTCCTTCGAAACCCCATTCACATGACCATTTGTTTGGCCATTGGTCACAGCCGGCTTCTCTGGGATGTATTCATCTGCAGTATCCTCGGCTTTGTCGCCAATGTTTAGCAAAATGGAATCATCGGCTTCGGAATCCAAAGACACTGCATCAGAGTCACTTCTAGAATCCACCTCGCCCTCTTCCAGTTCACTCGAACCATTTGAATCGCCCTCAGAATCCTCATCCCCAACCACACCGGTATCCTCTCCACTAGGCTCAGGCGAACCCGATCCATCACGAGATTTCCAAAACGCATTCACCGCCGAGAACTGTTCTGTCTTCGGCCCTGTAGCCTGGGGCTTTGGCTGAACCTCCCCCGACGCCTTGCGCTTCCCGAGTGTAGTTCGCACGGGTGCTTTCCTCCCCTGATTCCAGCTAATCGCTGGCGCAGTGCTGCCCGCATGAGGATTGACGGTTGCCGGCTTCTCAGGCGAGTCCGAATTGTCGGAATCGGCCCCGGAGCCCGCGCTCGACCCGGAACTGGATGTCTCGTCGGGATCGACCTCGAGTGGGTTCAAGCTGAAGGATGCGCCACGGGGAAGAATATCGCCCACATCGCTTGCGCGGGATCGGTTCCGTCGCTGTCGCTTCTTGGGTCGGGAGTCACTGTCGCCGGAGCCGCGGATGGAGGAATTTTTCGATCGGGGACGCTGAATGCCGACCGATGCTGTTCGGGAATCAGCTTCATCCCCGGAGTCTGACATGATTGTTGTTGGCAATTTGACCAACTTTCGGAGAGAGGATCTTGACGCGAGGATTGCAATCAAAATTTTAGGGTCGGCGCCGCATGCCAAAACCGCAGGATTATGTGCGCTAGTGGGGCTGCCTAATTGGGAAGTTAACATCAATTGTGCTGACCACTGAAAAGAACAAGGAACATGTCAAGTTCAAACGTTTGGTCTCATTATATACTCTTATCGAAATAACACGACTCAGAGGAGTTTCAACAGTAGCCTCATTTGTTGAGGCCAGGGCCCCTATGTCTGATGACATACTCTCACGTAGAAACGAGTAGACAATATCAACCGTTGGAAAACAGTAGGTCTACCGAACACATTGATACACCAACTCGCCGTAAGTTAGAACCCATGCACGACTACTCAAACCAAGTATAGAGAAGTATGGCTATCCCCATTCAGATTTATTATAGTATTCGATATTTGAACTTCTCTTAGATCGTCAAATTTAAGGACAGTTGATACCGGCTCTATTGGTTTAAAACATAAAGCTGATATTATACTAGATTGAAATTATTTAGAGACCACTTTTCCTCACTTAGCACTAAAACTTCCTTTTCCTTCCCAAATAGACTGCACAAGCTAAAATTACCGATATAGATAGTTTACGGCCTGCAAGTGGTTGAGCACGTTTCTGCCACACGACGGAGCAATGTTCTATCCATTAGAGTCAGGTAACAACCCTGGTTGCACTAAACAGAAACAGATCTCCCTTTCGCGGTATCTTCTCTTCTCCATAGCCCATATGATCTTGTTATGCTTCCCGACCATGTAGCTACATTTTATCCCTGCCTCTGGTTAGCAATTTGGTGCTGACGGCCCTATTTGAATTCCATATTTTCAAAAATTGAACGTTGTGTCAGTATCAAGCGTCCTCGTTGTCCTCAGGGCTACAGCCAGAAGAATGGTGGATGTCAACTAGACTCGGAAATACAATCTGAGAAAGGTTTTACTCGTGATGGCGACCAGTGCTGCAAAAAGGCTCAGTGCAAACACGGTTTCTATTACGATAACAAGTTGAAGAGGTGTGTGGGGACTATAAGATGCCCACATCCAGACGATTATCCCGAAGATGGTGTATGTGTTCGTGGACCACCCACTTGTCCAAAAGGATACGAGATTAGAGATTGGAGGTGTGTTTCGACTCGGATCGTGTGCCAAGAAGGCACTAAATACAACGAAAAGACCCGATCTTGCGAGGCTGACATCGAAGACGTTGAATGCCCTCCCGGTACCAAATTCAAGGACGGTTGTTGCTCCGCTCCTGCACCAGGAGATTACTGTGCTAGCGCTACGTGGTGCGGCCCCAAGTCTCACCCTATTGGTATAGGCGGTAGCGTGACTTATGCGTTGCGGGAATCAAACAACACCTCACATCACTCCTTCCTCGGAGTGGAGAACCACACTATCAAGAGATAGGTGGGGTTGAAAGTCACGAATATGAAACACATTATTCCATGAAAGAAGAGTCTGAGGCAGGTGAGTTTGAGGAGGTGAGAAGTGAGGAGATTGAAGAAGAGGAGATTGACGATCAATTTATTGATGAAGAAGCACAAGAAGAAGTGGCAGAGGAATGGGATGAATGGGAGGAAGACGAAGATGTAATTGACGAACTTGAGGATGACTCTGATGTTGATCTGGTATAAGGTCTAGTTAGCTGTGAATATGGGAGGGCAAGTCTTGAAGGAACATGCTTTGGGTTAGGTGTGAGTACTAGTTGCTCTTGTGCTTGATTTGAATCTACTGTGCGAATACGAAATGCCACTTAGTTTGATCTTTGAGGCTGGCCTTTGCACCAGTCTGATCCCCCTCCCCCATAAAAGCGGTGGCAGCTCAGATAGGAGAGCACCTGATGCCCTTCGAGGAAATCCACTAATAAACCACATTTAATACCTACTATAGATACCATGACTTGCGCTAGGATTGCGCCATCCATGACGTGAATGCATTATTATCATCCCGCCACTCCGAGGTATCATGCCATTGGTAGCCATATGTGAGATTGGAGTGATCTAAGTACAATGACTCAAGTAGGCAGACAGATTATCCTGTCGGCCTTGAAATCGAGGCACCAGCCCGATCTAGGGTTTGCCATAAGCTTTGTGGGGTGTAGCTCTAAAATTCGTGACTGGTTGAGCACTGCTCTGCTTCTTGTAGCTACAGATATTAGATGGTTGTATTGTATAGGGCTGATAATTGACCATAATTGCAGTCTAATACTAAGCGACATCGTATGATAGGTCAGCTGCCTTGGCTGACATCCCCGGTCGTGCACGATCAAACGGTTCTCACTGATCGTCGCGAGTCTAAGACGCGCTTAAATCTCAATTCCTATGGAATGGGGTTGGAAAGTTAGACAAAGAGGCCAAGCTGGTCCGTGGCGACTATGCCAATGTCCGGACTATGTATATGCCGAAGGAACTGTGGGAGGGAAAATCGCGGAAAACAAAACGGAATTGAAAAAAGTCGTGTTATCGCAGGGGACAATGGAACTTGTTCTAGATTAATGGAAGCTCGGGAAATAGGGGCTTTTCGATTTATAAATAGGAGATAGTGGCTTTGACTATTTCATTTAGCTCAACGCATTTAGTCCACATTTAGTTGAGCTGGTCCTCATTGCACGTGCCGTGTGGCCAACCCATTCCTGCTTTCCTATCGACATTTTTTTTCTTGTCTCACTCAAAATCCCTGGGAAAGTGAAATCCTCCCCCAGAAAACCCCCACCAAAAACATTGCGGTTCCGTTGATTCGAAAAAGAGAAACTGCCCCGTGACCCCGAAAGCCGATCCGCCTTTCTCCAGTTCTGGGCCGTGTGTGCCACTTCCATCCCCACGCTCCTTTTTCTCATCAACCACTTCTTCGCCGTCACGCTGGCTTCCGATTCTTCCAAATCGTCCCTGTTGGTTCCTCGTGCCATCTCTTTTGCACCCGAGATGGACGGGCCACAGCGGTTATCTCCCAACACTCAGAAGCAGGGCCGCCGCCGGCGGTCCAGCAGTCTGATTTACCAGGAACCCGCTGAATCGAACGAGCACATAAGCGACCAGGCTGCGCTACCCAATCTCAATGCTAACTGGGTGCATGCGAAGGGTGAGTTTTCGTGGTGCCGCCTTCTCAGTTTCCCCCGATTCATCCGCCGATCGGGACACGGTGGACAGGTTGATAGAATCCAAATACGAACATTGGCTAACAAGAACGGTCGCGTGAATAGGTGCCTGGACCATCCACTTCGTCCTCATTGCCGCGCTCAAAGTACTCTGCGACATCATCCCCGGCGTCTCGCAAGAAACCTCATGGACCCTTACCAACATCAGCTACATGTTTGGCTCCTTCCTCATGTTCCACTGGGTGCGGGGCATCCCGTTCGAATTCAATGCCGGTGCTTACGATAACCTCAACATGTGGGAGCAAATTGACAACGGCGACCAGTACACGCCCACCAAGAAGTTCCTCCTCTGCGTCCCTATCTTGCTCTTCCTCGTGAGCACCCACTATACCCACTACGACCTTACCTATTTCACGATCAACTTCCTGGCCACTCTAGCGGTGGTCATTCCGAAACTGCCTTTCGTACGTGTCTTCTATACCCCCGTGCTGCATCTCCACATCTCTGGGGAATTGCGAGGAACCACAGCTAACATCTCTTCAGTCGCATCGTTTGCGCATAGGTCTCTTCTCTGATTTAGAAGACGACTCATAGTGTATTCTTTCCTTTCTCTTTCTCTTTCTCTTTTCTTTGCTACATTGGCGTCCGGTCATCGAAGCTCACTCCCTGTCTTTGACACTCCGTTCCCCTCCCCTGTTTCCTCTTTCCTCAAAAGAGTTTCTTGCATTGCGTTGATTCACGGAGTATGATCCGTCGTTGGCTTGTCGAAAATCTTTCTCCTTTCTTTTTTGGAAAATATGAGACTCAGCCGTGGGCCCGGCCACCCCTTTTTATTTTAGTTCCAGCCTGTCCTTTGTCTAGATGCCCAGTTTTAGAGCCCTGCATATCTTATATTTTGCACAACTTCCCGTTCTTTCCTGTGAGCCTTTTGGGACCTTTAAGGCTCGCGTAGATCTAAACCTGGAATTTAAAAATGGGGTCCTGCAGAGCTACTAGCCATGCCGTAATGCAGGTCATTTTCTTGGCTGGGTCCATGCGGGGACATTGCATCATCGCTGGGGCTTGTTTACTATTCGCCTGCTTCCCGACTACGAATTCAAAGACTTGAGAGCCTTTATAGTATGGTCGCACTTGATGATTTCTAGATTTTTCCTTTCCTAGGAGATTCCAAACTCCTTTCACGTAAATTTGGCTGGTTACCCCACGTCTAGAAATTGACATTGTGGTTGCATGAGATCGGGCCATTTAGGTATGATTCCCAGGTTTAACAGAAGATACTATCAATCCAGGATGTGTGTCCAATACAAGACAATACCTCGTGCCCTTCTTGTCTTGTAGCTGGGGGCGGGGCTGCTTCAAGGTTCGAATATTGTCCATAGAATCATAGGTCTCAGAGGGACCGTGAACAAATTGACGGGAGCGTATCATGGTCGAATACATTGATTTAAGATGCTGCCTATAGCATTTATTACACTATATCGAATGAAATAAAGTCCGAGTCTCCATATTGGCAAGATCAATTACGATTTGTTAGCGGGACGACATGGTCTAGTCTCAAAATAAGTAAGTTATTGCACCCTAGCTAGGCTTTAGAACCCAGGAAGGCTTTGCCAATGTCCAGGTATTTTCGGTATTGATACGGGACAAAGAAGCTTTGACCTCCAACTATGTTTCGCTCTCGCTTATCTCTTGAACAAACGAGACATGGTTTGGACCAGGATTCAACAGCCGATCAGGGTTCAGGTCACGGGCCATAGTTTCTTCATATCTTGAACAAACACACGAATTGGTTTTCTCAAAATACTGCTTGCTATCTACAGTCTTCACAAGATTCGTATCGTATCTCGATCTCGGTAAAGTTAATGAAGAAACGTTTAGGGGATTATTAAATAAAGCAAGGAAAAGTTTGTAGATTGCTTGGACACCCATGTAATTTCAGGGCTTTTAAGCTGGTGGGAATTATTAGTCAAGAGGACAGTTGGTATTTGCTGGAGAATTCCATCAGGTTTGTATCAAACTTCTATGGCGTGCTGGCAAATTCTCGCTAACCTTGCAGGTGAGCAAATGCCTGGTCTATTCTTTGATCGAACTATCGAGGGCAAGATTGAGTCAATTGACTGGATTGTCGAGGCTTAGTCGAGTTTCTTCACGCATGTATTTCATTTTTAGACAATGTGGGACTTGAATCCTTGCAGGTTCATCCCCAAAAAGGGCAAATCCTTGACAGTATGAAAGAAGTCGAGTGGGGCATATGACATGCATTAATCACGCTAACCTTTTTCTGGGGGGCATGGTTTGGGGGCGTCATCTTTAAGACGCCCGAAGTCCACTATTACCTATTTAAGTAAGCCCTAGGATCTAGTTGATTTACCGCCTGCTTGTTAAAGGCTGTTTAGTAGTGGCGAGGTAGTGATCATCTCTCTTCTCACTCAGATAAGGCAACAGAATGCGATCTTGAAACGTCAAATCTACTATACCCGTATCGAGTCACTGAAGCTGGACGCTACGAAGCTCCTATGATGGCTTTGGTCGACGATAAATAGCTGGACATTTCCTGTGCAAATTCAATATCATCAACTCAATCACTCCAATCTACTCAATTCACTCAATCAATCAATCGATCTCCCGACCACCCAATCCACCATCAAAATGCAGTTCATCACCGTCATCATTGCTACCCTGGCCGCCGTTGCCACTGCTACGCCCTCCCCCGATGCCTTTGAGAAGCGCACCTGTGTTGGCCGTGAGTTTAAATTCACAACTTAGACTGAAAGTATAGTTTGCTAACTATCCAAATAGACTACAAGGTTGCTTGCCAGACGAGCGGCCCCTCTTGCTGCGATGGCTGGCAGTGTGTTGGAGCCACTGAGTGGAACGATGGTGTTTGCATTCCCAACTAATAGGGGATTTGAAGCTACTTTCGTTACGATTGTCAATGTTTTAGAATAGTTCTTGAATGCAATTGGGTCAATTGAACGGGCTGGCCCTGTTCTTTGACCATGTGAAATTTCGCATTATGAAAGACCTACAAACAAAGAACCCAGCGCATTTATAAGCACAACGTAGACTTATAAGTTTCAAGGACGCTCAACCTTCGTTTGCAATCATCTCCACAGTTCAAAGTAGCGAGATTAAATTGATGATCAACATTCAAGATTGGCGTTATCTTTCTCCACACCTGACTAAGCACTTATCGATAAGGCGCGCTCTTGACGCGAAATCCGCGACGATGACCGAATCTCTTCATCAACAGGTCATGGGCCCTCCAAGTGACATGGCGTACCGCACTCCTGCGGTACTGCCCTTTGAACTGATCCAGCACATTGGAATCTTCTTTGAAGAAAATCTCTGTCCGAGCCCTCCCTTTTTACTTTGGCATGTAGCCCCACTAACAAACGTCCACAGATACTCAAGGTTTAAACCTTCTATATAGTACCCTCACCTCGGGAACCTATGCCTCTCAGAAAGCGCTCGTTCCTTTACCACAGCATATAGCGCTCGCAGTCACGTTCCTCGTCCACCCAACAACTACAACCCGCGCCAAATCTGTCGAGGCAAAAGATGCAGCCTCCGTGGCCTTGCGACTTCTTCGACTTCTCTCCACCCTCGTCAGCCCTCAGGATTGTAGACTGAATCATGCATTTACATTCGCGCACCAGACACTGCGATCGGGTCGCAGACACCATACAGATGAAGCGGACAACGATCTACACTCACCCGGGAGTAAACCGTTGAATTTAGAAATGGGCAAATCCGATTCGCTGTGGTCGCGGGCAGAAGACTTCTGGCATGCTGTAGGTTGGGCATTTAATTGCTCTGTGCTTCATCCTGAGCGCTGGGAGCGGTGGCAGATCTGGCTACAGTACATGTGTGAGGTCATGGAGGATGATTGGGAACAGCGGCTGGAAACATACAGAAAAATTGAAGCTCGGAAAAAAGAGGATGCGCAGAAGATTGAGTCTGAACAAGCTGAAGAGGCCGAGAAAACCAAGGGAAAAAGCACAGGAGCTCGGAAGATAGGTCAAGAGACCAAACAAGCCAAGGAACCGAAAGGCAGAAGCAAGAGGATCTGGCAGAAAGCTGCCCCTGCTGAAAAAGTCGACCGGGGAGCTCGAAAGGCGGATGAGGATCTAAGCATCTTGCGAGAAAGCTTAATTTTCCAGTTTATTTCTGCCAGTAATGACAGCCGACGAAGTCGAAGGATCTTGAGAGCTATTTTCGCTGACGGGAGTACCACCTCGGTCAATGAGTTTCGAGAGGTGTTCAAGAAAGAGCTCAAGTCTCAACGAGGGCCCGAAAAGGCGAAGAAAAGAGAGCGCGAGGTCAATATTGAGAAGGAGCAGTATGGCGACTACCTGTCCCAAGATGAGTCAGATGATGAAGTAAATGGAGTCGTGGACCCGACAAATCCAAACACAGGGTCTGTCCGGCGGTCGAAGCGAACGAGACGAGGAACAAGGACTGGAGCGCCCCCTGCGGAGCCTGCAGGTGTCGGTCCAACTTCTCTTCCTCATCACAATGCTGGACTTTCGCCAATGGGCGGCATTGACTCTCTTCGATTGCGCAAACGGCTCCTCGGAATTCTTTCAGATGTCTCCTACCGCCTGCCTGGAGACTTCATTTCTGTGCTGGACCTCTATAATCTTTTCGCGGAGAATATTGCCGCCCAACCTCTGCCCATTTTTCAGGCTTTTGTTAGCCCATTTGTTCTCCCCGAGTTCACAGATGCGGAGCAAACCACCCTCTGTGAGATCTTGCTGTACAGCTTGCGGGAAGCCTCTGCTCCATCATCGGACGAGACTTATCTCTACCAGTCGAAGCTGGAGAAATGCTTCCTCCCTTTCGGGCCAGCTACCAATACCATTGCCAACAACGTCAAGATGTCTATCCTTCTTGAGTCGGCGATGATGCTTCTGGGAAAAAGTGACCTGTTGACCGCCACGCCGTCATTCAAGAAAATTGTTCAAGCTGGAATTGACCGTCGGGGCAGTAAAGCAAGGGAAGAGCTCCGGCGCAGTCAGAATAGCAAGAAGAAGGAGCCACTCGAATTGTCTTTGTTGCAGGAAAGTAGTGAGAGGCTTTTGTCTCTTGCTGAGCTTTTGACACCCCCGGGCCAATTTGTCAACGTGAGGGTATAGCGGCATGACATTTTACGACAGTGATGATAATGATGCGTATACTAACTTTACTCATATATTTGCAAATACTACAAAGAACATAATTAAAGACGAACATATGTACCGGTCTATAAACACCGCCTCTCAATCTTCATCCCATTGCATCCATTCACGCAACAACGAAACTTTGAAAGACTGCTTTGCTGCTCTGAGGAGCATGACTCCCTTCCTCTCCCTTAACCCTGTTCTCCTCATCTACGAACGAAAGTCAGGAAACCCCAGGATCCGGACCGTTTCCCGACATATATGAACATAAAACAAAAGTTCACACACCATCAAGCCTCTTCGCTGCATCCCTTAGCATCACATAAACCGTCCGGTAAAACGGCGGGCACGCCCTCGCCCAATATAGTGCATAACCTAGCGGCGACGGGGCACCCATGATACCCTCGAATCGAGGGTCCGCACCATGGTCTAGGAGAAGTTTAATAATGGGATATTGTGCTTCAAATCTTCCCAATTGCAGTCGTCTTCTTTGACAGCCATGTCGAGCGGGTGACCACAACCTCGGCGCGGATTTGGCGCGTGATCAAGCTCGTTAACATCTGCGCCGGATGCGATGGCAGCTTTCATATTTGCAAGCTTCTCCTCGACGGACTTCCGTTGGATAAGTCCCCAGAAGAGCGGAGGCTTGCAGCGCGAGATCCAGAGTTCTTGATAGGGGCGTTTGATATGACTGTGGGGGGCTATGGGTGACTTTTCAGACATTTTAGGCTGCAGGCAGGGAATAAAGAAGTGGAAGAAGTAGTGCTCGTTACTGGGGAATTCACCCTGTTTTTCATCACGGCCCCCCATATAACCAATCATCTTCACATGCCACTGCAGAACAAACGAGGTAGATTCTCGTACAGACTGACTCTAAGAGGCTCCCGAGTCTTGTAATATTCGATACGTGGCAGCCCTGTTGTTGACTAGCATATTCGACTCTTGAAGGAGTCTAAACGGTGATTTTCAAGGAATTTTAGAGTTGCCCATAGTTATCTACAATGTAGCTAACTTTCCACCAAACACAAAAAAATGAAACAGCATAAAGCGACTTTCGGGGAATATGAGCAAAACACAATTCTCCGAATCGCCGACGCAAATAGAACATGAAATAGGTGAAATAAAAAGAGATAAGAGGCAGAAAATACTATAGCCTGTCGGATATAGTCAACACGATCAGAAAGAAAAAAAAAATTGAAGAAAACAGTAAAATCCAGGATAGCTTGAATATGGCTTGAAATAAGCCTATCATGGAGGCGGACGAGGTCCAATGATCTGGCGCCTGGCACCTCCGATGCCAAGTCCCTGGCCTCCACGGTTCTGGTTATCTCCACCCATGTAGCCGTACTGGTGAACATCCCAAGACTGTCCTGGGCCTGAGCCGTGTGAGGTATCGCGCGCAGCAGCCTGGGTTTGCTTCTGATTCTCTTCCCACTCGCGTTGGCGCTCACGTTCACGTTCCATCTCACGCTCCAACAAGGACTTGGAGGCCCAGCCACCGGCCCGTGTCTTTTGTTGCGAAGCCTCGCGGCGACTATTTTCTGCGTCAACCTCGGCTGTTGTATTGTAGTCTCGGGGCCGGTGCGAAGTAGGGGTAGGCGCTGCGGGTGCTGGATTTGAGTTTAGGAAGCGGTCGGTGCGGTTTTGCTTGTTATTGGCAGTGTAAGCTACCGGATCTGGAAGGGGACGGGGTGCTTGAGGAAGGGCTCTGACGGGGAGTGCGGGCGCTTGCTCTTGGGCTGGCACGGGCTGTGGAAGAGGCCGAGGAGGAGGTGGTGGAGCTTCTTCCTCGAAACCATCATCATTCTCCTCTGTCACCGGTATGTCCTGGGTATTTTGCCATTCACCGCGGAGAAGTCGCCGTTCCTGCTCAAGAGAGGAAAGACTATAGCTTGGCTTAGGAGGCACAGGCACGGGGCGTCCACTGTTACGGCTGCGAGATTGCGAATCATCTTCTTTTTCCTCGGTTGGTGGCTGTCGCTCGCTCGTATACTGGCGTTCACGCTCCTTGGCCAATTGCAGCTCGCGCTCAAGCTCCTTGATGCGGCGACTGTCAGCGGTCTCGTCTGTAGGTGCAGCTCCACTCGGAGAAGCACTGGCCTGGCCTGCCTGGTACTGGCTCAAGAATTGGCCGTTGAGACGAGCATCGTTGGACTTTCGCCGGCGTTGGCGTTCTTCCTCGTGCTCTACTTCCAGGCGGTCCTCAGCAGCCTTCTCTTCTGCAAGTCGGCGCTGTTCCTCTATCTCCCATCGGCGCTTTTCCTCGTCCCATCGCCGTTTCTCGTTTTCCATCTCGCGGCGTTCCTCCTCTCTCTGTCGAGCTGTCTCTTCATTCCATCGTCGCTCTTCTTCCGCTTTAGCGCGGGCCTCCTGCTCTTCCATCTCTCGATGGGCGCGCTCAGCTTGCTCCCTCTCGGCAATCCGTTGATCCTCCTCCTCCTTTCTGCGCTTCTCCTTCTCTGCCAGACTAGGAACAGCCGGCCCGGGGGTTGTAATCTGTCGCCGAGCACCAAATGCAATGCCTTGATTGCCCTGGCTGGCTCCACCCATGTAGCCGTATTGGTGAATATTCCATGCCGGTGAAGTCTTTGACTGGTCATCCCTCTTACTCCAAGAGCTGAAAGATCCGGGTGGTTTGGCAGGGCTCCCTGGTCGACCGGAGTTTGTATCACTGACATTGCTCAAGGCACGGCTAGTGCGAGTATAGGATCCTGAATTCGACGAGCCCGTCGCATTAGGACTCACTATCCCCTTCTTACTTTGTGGGCCAACCGCGGATGGGAATACACTGGGCTTCACATTATTTGCCCTTCGACTGAATGCAGCCAGACACTGGAGAACCTGCGCGGGATCCTTCGCCTCATAGAGATCAACAGTAAGAAAGACGTCGTGCGGAGGAAGGCTGAGCGGCGCGGTTTGGCAGGCACGGAGGAAATGCGAAATATTCTCCATCTGTACGAATGGCATAGACGACTGTTTATACTTGACACCGGGGGATACGGCCAAATTGACCAGTCTAGTAGGAAGGGGTTAGTCTTAGTCCACGTTACAACCGCATGCATGCGTACCTGCGCAGCTGGGTAGGAGGCAAGTACATAGACAGATGTGTAGGTAGGCATGAAATCGCAATTGAGACTTACTTGCATAGAGCAACACCATCCTTCAGTCCTTCGAGTAGATCAGGCGATGGGAGTTTCTCGCGCAGCACATCTTCGATCCAGTCGCGTACCTCCGCGGCTGCCTGCGGGGTATAGCGGGATAGTCGCATGTTGCGCAGGTCTTTATCCAACGAGGTGACCGACGCCATGATGAATTTCCAATCGTGTATTCGCAATCCGAAGTGGTCAGAGTGGACGTTGTTGGTCTTGTAGTCTCACAAGAGTACGTATCCCCTTGCGGGCGTTTGCCTGATCGGCCCTAGAGTGGAGACTTGGGTACAATAGGGTAGACGCAACGAGCAAATCGATTTAGGGGCCAGAAAGGAAATAGTACCAGATGCGAAGTCCTGGCGACTCAATATCCTCAAAACCCTTCAATGAGTGAGGATGGGAAGAAAGGGAGTTAAGGGAAGGTGGACTGGAATGCCCGGGGCTGTGTTTATTGGGGCTAATGACGTTCTAAACGTTCTGGCTCTTTGTCCCGCAACTTTTTTTTCTCCACTGATCCTCCACTCTACAACGTACACAATGGTCAACAGCCTCTGGTTCAAGTGGAAAGGCCTCCGGCTACCCTGGCGGAAATCCTTCTTGGTCGGTTAGTTTCTGATTGCCTCCTCTCGGCGCTTTACCCTGTGATGCTAACACCCGCCACCTCAAGGCCAGGATCTCGCCGGAAACACATTCTGGGAATTCAAGGATCAATTAAATGCCGGTCGATACAGACGGATCGTTAAATTCGACCCTAAAACACACTACGGAGATGTTCAGGTTACTCGTGAGTCGATCGCATCCGGGGGGAAATTGCGCTTGTGGCCTAAAGTGGCAAGGCGTTTCGTGGAGGCGATACAAGTCCAGGTTGACTGACTTGATTTGTGATCTAGCGCAATGGCATCAATGGCTCCGATACGTCCGACCGACACCCCCGACCATCGAAGAACAGCGGCAAGACCTAGTTCGCCAGGCGCAAATGAAAGAACTCGCCCGACTCGCCGACGAGCGCTGGGCCAGCAAACCCTCCTTCCTCGATAAACCAAAGACTCAGCAACAGACCCCCGGAATTGGTGCGGAGCCCGCGACCAATGCAAACACCGGACCAGTCCCTGTTTCTGCCGATGCACCTTCATCTTCTACTCGAGCGCCACAACCCAACCCTACAAGCACGCCACCGAAGACCCGCAAGGAAGAGAACCCGTGGGCAAAGGCAGACAGACAGGTCCCTGGGGGTAATTACCAGCCTGAGGCATGGTCTCCTACTTCCAAACGGTGAAATATGCCACCAACATAAGATTTTGACCCCTGTGGTAATGGATGGGTGGCAGATCATGCAGACATCATGAACATATCTTATCCTCATGAGTTGATCTAGGGTCAACCACTATTCGGACATAAAGCAAGGGATCGCCCTGCATCGGTCTACAGTTCGGCTGCAGGCATTGCGCAGCTCTTGACCATCCATATCCAGACAGCCGCTCATAATAACTCACGTCCTATCTGAAAGGGACCTGGGTATGGCCTTCCAAATTATATCAAAAACGCCACTCACCTCACCCGCTTCAACTACTGTACATCAGCTTTTTCAAATTAAGGCTACAATCTATTTTTAATGAAATCCATTGATATGAGATCTCTTGGTCATTGTGTAGCATCGATATAGTTTGGTCTACATTTATACCTCGGCTTACGATTTCTGAATACACAGCTTCTGATTGGCCCAAACGGTCACAATCTATTTCATAAACTTTCGACTTCAATCTAGTATCAATTTTATTAAATCTCAGTCATGATCGGAAAAAAAATCACAAAAAATACCAATCCCCCCCTTTTTTTCTCTCCATATTTGCGTTTTTTGTTTTGACTTGTTTTTGTGATTTTCTCATCTTCTTGATGGGGTCCAGCGTTTTCGCTCTTTTTGGGGGTTTCTTTTTTCTCCTACCCGCGTAATTCCCGCTATGCAAGCATCGTACAGCAACAATACCAAGGACATAAAGGGTATCACTAAAAAATCAATGCGAAAAGGCGACCCAAAGTCCAATCGAGTTGAGAACGCCCGTGCAACATCTGCAGCCTCGCATTCGGCAACAAAGTAATGAAGTATGAAGCAATTCAGTAAAAACACAGATTTAAACCAGCAAAGCATACTCAATCAGGTATTGGAATATAATGGAAGCAAATGTGATGATGTGCCCTAAGCCTCAAAAAAGGGAGCTGAGAGAAGAGGAATGCAAAGACCAAAGGTGTAATTTAAACAAAGTTCCGCTCCAGGTTCACCTAGATGTAAACCATGTGCTCGGCGGTCCGTTCATGGAGCCTAAGGTCGCCCATTGTTGGAGGAGGTGCGGCTGGATCTTTATGGCCTTTGATCTCGTAGAACTTAGTGTAGTGTGCGAGAACATACTTCCGTGCACGATCACAGAATCGATCGGCCAAGAAAGCCGGAGTGCAGTAGGAGACAGATCGAGTGCAACGACCCATCATGTAGCAGATAGAGTGGGTGATCTCTTGGAGATCATTCATGGGTTGACCCGTCAAGCCCTTAGGCTTGTCGGCGCATGTGAAGATATCATCCTCCATCACGATGTAGTGTGCTGGGCGAGCAGACCCCATGATTGCAGCCTGGGCTTGGAGATAGAAATCCCACAGGGCTGGACGAGTGATTCCACGATCAACACATGTTCCAGGGTTCGGGTTATTGTTCCTGTCGAGATCCGCGCTTGAAGTAGGGAAGAAACGAACATGGTGACGCTTTCCAACAACAACGTATGAGATTTTTGGCCCCTTAGCACCCCGTTCAGTGTAGATGCGTTCACATTCCTTTCGGATGTTGCTAATCTCGTCCCTAATCATGATCGCGTACTGGCCCTCGCTGACACCGTCACGGTAGATCAGGATATTCTGGGGCAAGGACCCGTTTTCTTTCTTCCAACGCCTCAGACGACCCTCCATCATCAGGCCAACTTGCAGAATGACCTCTTCACGCCTGCCCTGAATACGAATCTCTCCCGGCCATTGACCCATTTTGCTGTCAGTGCTGGCAACAATGGCCGATACGCTGGGGCATGATTCGGGGTCATTCGATGATGGGTGAGTGACATCGAGACCGACGACCATCGTTTTTCCTTCGCCAATAAGTAGAGCATTCTTCTTCGAGTCAAGTACTTGGCAGACACCGCCGAGCTTCAAGTTGACCTTCATCGCATTGTTTGCCAGGTACTGCTTGTCCCCAGAGGTGAACTTATCAATCTTGCAGACATGGGTCAAGATTCCATGAGTGCAATCGCCGCCCCACTTGAGGTGATTGAAGGCTTTCTCCTCGCTGTCGGACATGAGGACAACTAAAAATTTGACCTTGCGTTCCTTGCACTTCTGCAAAATGCCTTCGACGACGTCAAGGCAGGTAGCTGGAGTGTATGTAAACGCCTTATAGGGTTGGTTTGGTGGTTGCCATACAATGCCCAATTCTCGCAAAGAATTCTGCAGCTCTTTGATGGACTTTTCAGGCTCGTTGCGTTTTGCCAAGTCATCCACCGTGTGCTTCGTCATCTTGGCAGCACTCATGAGGCTTATAACAGCCCAGGTCGGGTTAGGAGCAGGCGTGGTGAACTTCACGTCCCTCAAATTCCAGCTGGCAGCCCGAGGGGTGGTTGGTTTTTGCCCATACTTGAGAGTAGGAGGCGCAAGAACACGAGCAGGAACTGCCATCATTTGACTCCCAACTTTGACACCGGCATCTTTGAGTTTTTTCTGCTCCTTGACTCCCAGAATCTCTAGACCGTCGTTCATGATGGAGACATAGTTGTCCGGAGGACGACGGCAGCAGAATTTGATAATTGCCTGGCGCTGAGTGGTACAGAGTTCGCCGTTGAAAGTCTGTCCCGGAAGAATTTTGCATACTTCCTGAGGAAGGTAGACAGGTCGCTCTGCGTTGCCAACATTGAGAACTGGCACGGACTCTTTGATGTCCATTTTGTAGGCTGATTAAGATGTTAGCAATTGAACCTAGATTGAGCAAAAATGATAGGAGTACTTACCTTTCTTGAAGTAGTCCTTAACAGAGATATATTTGCCGGTCTTGCCGGTCTTGTCATCGTGGTCAGTCTCCCAGAATTCAACATTGGGAGGCGAGGAGCCGAGATTTTGAACACGAGGATTGAACTTGTCACCCTTCTTCCCATCCTTGGGTGACGCGAGTCCCCAGACTGATTTCTGTCGGCGCTTCTCGACACCGTTCTCATCCTTATCGGGAGGAAGGTGTGAGACCTCAACGCGCAAGCCCCGAATGTAACGATTGAACAATTGACGATCTTCTCCGTATTCTTTCATGAATCCGTGCGTCAAGTCAATCATAGGCCCTGGACGGAAGAAGGTACCGTGATTCACGTTCACGTTCAAAAGCAACCTGTCGGCACCGAGTCGTACACTCGTGAAGAATCCACGGAGAACCTCGAGGCCACCTCCCAGATAGGCAAACTGCTTCCTGCTATCAATCCAGAAGAACTTCTGGCGTCCTTTGCCTGTAATGACAACGCCTTTGTCTCCATATGGGACACGAGTCATCATAATGTTGATGGCCCGCATTGCGACAGTCTCTTGCTCCACAGGGTATACCTGCTGGGTGGATTTGAGAGAGCTCGACAAGCATTTTTGGCTGAACTGGTGCACAACACCGTCCTTTTCCTCTGCCTTGCTGATTTTAACCGTATAAGTCTTCGGCTCTTTCTTGTTGCCATCCGGAAGATTGATCTTGATAGGCGAAAGTGATTCCAATGGACCAGATGTAATGAGTTCCTGGGCCATATCAGAGGAGCCAAATACCGCTGTGATTCGGTCATGCTTCAAAAGCTTGTCGAAGACATCTTTCTTGAGTCGCTTTACCGTCGGCTCAGGTGAAATCGCGACCCGGTATGTGTGGAATTCCCGCGAGGGATCCAACGAAAGCTCAAAGAAGTTAGCCCGCACCGTAATCAACTTCCCCAAGCTTCCATATGCCGGACGCCGAGCCGGTTTCTCAAAACCAGCCACCTTGGGGCCCTCTTTGAGACATTGGTCTTCAAACTTATGAAGTTCCTTGCTCAGTTCAGGTGGATTAGCGGTGAGAACACTATGTTGAACCATGTTAGTAGGTTGGCCGTTTGGGGAATTAGGGCTTGTTGACTTACTCTGCAGTTGCTGGTGGCGGTCCCCGATAGCCACCTCCACCACGGCTATCGCCACGGCTTCCACCTCGGTCTCCACGGCCACGGGAGTCTCCTCGATAGCCACCACCGCCACGGCTGTCACCACGACTTCCACCTCGGTATTCACCACGGGAGCTGCCACGGTCTCCACGATAAGAAGACATTGTGTCTTAGTGAGAAAAAAAAAAAGGAAAAGAGTAGCGAATGAAGGTATTGATGACAGTCGGACAAGAAGCTCTGGTCTGAAATGGGCCGAGAGCAGGGCGGGTCTGCCCAAGTGAGTATTGGCGAAGACGAAAAGTCGCCCGGTGCGCTTGGTGTCTTCGAGACCCAATGCACGAGCAAAGGAGTGGTGGGACAAGGGGAGCACAAAGAGAAAAGGACCGGTGTGGATGTATATGTTGGTTTCAGCTGTGTAGTCTGTATAATTCATTAGCATCAAGTCATGAATATCTCATGTCCATCAAAACCAGATGTGTGAGATCAATGCATGAACATAGCACGCATGGTGACATGCAGATGCAGCAACGAACAAATCCAGATGAAGGGTGTAAGAATGCCATGGTTAAGAAGACAAAGCAAAGGCAAACACAAACCAGGTTGTTTGTATGGAGAGAATGAAGTAATGAGAACGCAGACTCGATGTTATGTGGAGAGATTGTGTAGTGGATATAACAGTAAGGGCAAATATGTAGTAAAACATGTGTATACTTGCCTGGTTGCTCGGGACGGAATGGGTTAGGATGGGAAGATGTGAGAAGGGACAGTGGAGTGCAGGATATAGACAGGAGCGAGAGAATTCAATAGAAAGCAGCAGAATTGAATGAGAATGATTGAAGCAGTAAAGGGACTACTTCAAAAGTGAAGTGAAGGGGTAGTGAAGCATACATACCTTGAAGCAAGACCAGTTGTAGAAGTATTGATTGTGTTAGGAAGGAAGAGGAAGAAAGAAGAAAAGATAATAGAAGAAGCCCTTTATATAGTATGAAAATTTTCAAAATTTCAAAGAAAAAACCAAGGATTCAGAAGGAGAGAGGCATATCTTCAGGATTGGTAGGCTTAGAGCATATTGAAAAGACACAAATAGCCCTAGTTAAGATGTTAAATGATAATATTCAAAAGTGAGAGATATTACTTCTACAAGTGAGAGATGTTTTCATTTTAAAGTAACAGCTTATCTACTCGAAAAGTGAAGAAAGTTCATCTGAAAAATGGTGACTTGATATTAGACATCCATTGTATGTGTCTAAGAATTAAAAATACATCTAACATTTTGGAGTATAACCCTGAACCCAAAAGAAAACAATCAAACACCTGAACGACCATGTCAAATAGACCAAATGATATCAAATCAAAAACACCGGCTTTAACGTAGATAAAAAAAAACATATTAGACAGAATATAAGATTATTCAGCAGAAAGCTGCTTCGAGAGCTTCGACATCACCACCGGCATTGCGGACGGCCAGAAGAGCAGCTTCACTCAATTTACGGCGCTTGTCACGAGCCTCTTGCTCCCGACGGGCCTTCGTCTTGGAGCTACCAGAGGGTGCAACGCCGCCGAGGATCCGTTGGCTGTCGTGTGCGGTAAAGTTGACAAATGATACATTTGCAGATTTGGTAGCGCCTCGGGGACTTGTGGTCTTGGCCGGCTTGGGGCCATTCATGCTCTGCCCTGAGAGTTTGCGGCTGTGTGTGCGGCGGTGATTGGCCTTCTTTGGTGAAGCGCCAGCCTTGGGAGATAATGAGGGAGAACGAGAGCTGGAAACCTGAGGAGCAGTGGCAGGTGCCATGAATTTGTGAGAGTTGGAGAGCATGTCGTTGGAGAAGGAAGAGTCGCCCGGCATAAAGGACCCGTCCAGTTGGATCATCAGTCCGCCTTGCATCATATCATTGTGTGATCCAACGCTCTGCATTGCGCGTTGGGGAATAGGGGAGGGGACCATTTTCTGGTAGGAGTTCTGCTGTTGTGCGACTCGAGTGGGCATAGGGGACCACCAGGCCTGATCGTGGGCTTGCAAATCAGGAGTGAAAGAGAGGGAGGAGGTGCCAATGTTATCGGATTGCCACGAGGAGATAGACTGAGGATCTGAGGAGTGGGAAGAGGAGAAGATGTCATCCGCTGAAGGAGGGCTGGAGTTGGTCAAGGCCGAGGAGGCTGGGTGGTTCATGTATTGTTGCTGGTGTCGTGCAAGTGCACCAGCCGAAGGTGATGGCATCGAAACTGCAGGAGACCGTTGGTAAAAGTGATGTTGCATGTCAGACGAGTCTCTTTGGTGGATCATGTCGGCGGAGAGGTGCTCATGCTGAATCAGAACATCTGAAGGTGGAGGAGACAAAGGAAGGCGATCATCTGAGCCAGCCAGAGTAAAGTTCTGGATCCGTTGGGCCCATGCCTCTGGGTATGCCATTCTTCCCTTGTGCATGTTGGAAGAACGCATCAAGCTGGGGGAGAAACTCTGCTTGCGCAAAAGTGCGCGACGCTCATTCGGGTCGCGATGGCGGATGGACTTGGGAGTAATGAGAGCGCTCTTGGTAACTTTGCGGCGGGGAGTTGCCGGTGGGGTAGATGGAGAAGTAGTAGAGACACCGTGGGGTTGTGTCGGGCGAGAAGAAGTTTCAAAAGTAGTCTTGAAATCAAGGTCGGAAATGGCAGACGGGTGGACAGTGTCTTGAAAAGCGAACTGAGCTCCGTCGTCCTGCAGGGACCATTCTTGGCTCCAAGGTTGCGGCGATTGATGGCGTTTCAAAGTGGAGCCAGTGGGGGAGTGATCGCCACAGTCACTCGACAGCGAGTCTAGCGGGAAGAGCTGGTCAAAGTCACCAGGGAATGAATCTTTGTTGCCATCGGGACCCGAAGACTCGACATTAACAAACTGGTCGAAGATGTCATTGAACGAATGATCAAATGGCTGAGCGAACATTTTGACGGCTTTGTTTCCGTTTGCGGCGAATAAAGTAATGCAAATCAATGAACGACCGGGGGGGGAACAAAGGACGTGATTGGTAACCAAGAACCGGAGGCTCGGGGGGTTACTTAGGGCTAATTGTGGGTCAAAGAGATCTTGGGGAGATCGAAATGCAAATGATGCAAAATGGGAATGCAAAAGGAACTGCAAAAAGAGAATGTTTGATAGTTTGTCAATCAAGCAAAACACTGCAGAGCATGCAAAGAAAGCAAAGCAAACAAACAGATCGAGGCGACTATTTGAATTGTCGTAAGAGATCCCAGCCTCGGGCTTTTCGCATACATTCTTCAGATCCTCCGATGGTTGAAGAATGTACTGCAAGAGATCCGGTTGGCCAATAAGTAGACCCACCCATGGCCCGAGGAATGTACCCAGAGTATCTCCAGGACCTCAAGGCCAATCGTAGAGCACCTATGGTGACTGGCTCACAGAGCCGGTCAACTTGATCCACTCCCGTCATAGAACTTGGGTCCGGATAGCCACCAGAGAGAATGTAACCCTCTCTCACTAGACCAGAAACAGCGACCACCATAAGTCAGCGTGGCGGGTGTGGGGGAAGCTCCCAAGCATGTCAAATCAACACGCTTGAATGGATATCACTATGGCTCTAGAGGGGGGATGGAGGAGCATTGGGGCATTTGGGGTGGATCGGATCGTCCCAGCTAAGATTCAAGGAACCAGGAGAAAGGCTTCGCTCTGATTCAAGAATCACCTGGCCCGGGTTGTTCCTTTCCTGTAGTGTCTAGACAATGTATGCGTCATGACAGCCACAATCTAATCATCCATCTTCCAAACAAGGTTCATTCGGGAGACGGTAGGATCCGTGCTGGTACTCCATTTAGGCAATTCCTATACTATCGTTAGCCATACTATTCCAATCATCGCGGGGGCCAATCTCATGACGCGGATAGACTGGAATGTGGATCGGAATGCCAACGGCTGGGTGGAATGTCACGCCCCCATCAATTATGCACGGAAAATTCTGTTGGTATTCGAACATTCCAATTAGTGCCTTAGGTGTTTAATCCGGAGAATTGTGCAGCCCCAGGCCTCGTCTGCAGGAGAACTCTTGGGCCAATGAGTGTTGTTCTGGTCTCTGCAGCAGACCCTCATGTTCTATATTTATCCAGTTTGACAGGGATGATAGTTGATCATTTTAGGATCAATGTCGCATGCAGTAAGAGACGAGCTTTGGTTCTTTGTCTGATGCTAACCCTAAGGGCATACATTGTAGCCCACGACTGTGGATCATCCATTCGGGTACTTCCAGGGGACGCCAGTCATTGCCCTTTGTTCTCTCTGTACGATGAGCCAAAGTAAGCACTATTGTCCAAATCCGGAAGGAATTTTTTCATTGGGGCGATATTTGTCACTTGTAGCTGATCTCCTTGTACCTGAAGTTGATTAGCTATTCATAGCCCATCAACCTTAAAGGGAATACCATGACCCAATTTTGTATTTACCCAAAACGTTACTGTGCAGACGACTTGATATAGAACTTGTTTAATGAGAATAATATCGGGTCAGGAGTGGCCAGGCGATGGTCACCCAGAGAGTCGTGGCCCCCGAATATTTACTTTTCTCCTCACTGATTCTTTGCTTTTCTCTCCTTTCTTTCAGCCCAACCACCCGGGCAGTACAGTACTTCCACCGCAGTACTGGGCAGTCTGGGACTCGGGGCTATTGTGATCCGGGCGAGGGAGGCCTTGCAGGTCGCCTTACACAAAGCTATCGGGCAGAGAGTTATAAGACGCCTGAAAGGCATGTGTAATTAGTTCAATACTGTAGATTGGCAACAGATGACCAATATATGGAGGAGTACAGGTCACAATGTGCCTAAAGGGCATAGAACCTTCCCGGTTTGGAAGCGGATACCCGGCTGACTCAGAATGACGATCACAAGAGGCGAAAGTGGAAGAAAATGAGTCTCTCGCAAGGAACTTCTGGGCTAAACCAGTTGCTTCGACCTGTATTTTGATTCATCACTCTTTCTTGAGTCGTGGATTGACATCGGTCTTGTTCCTTTTTTAAAAATTGCCCATCATTGTTTATTGTGGTCGACTTCACTTTCCCTCCGATTCCCGAAGTGACTCAACCGGATCTCCCACCCCGCGGAACGTGGGTTTCTTCTTCCTCGGACCTTTCTTCTCTTCTTCCCCTCCCCTCGTCTAGCCTCGCGACTTTCGGCGTCCGAAGCCCTTCCCACCCAGCGTAAAGGATTCTGCAATCTTTTTCTAGCATTCCTGCACCGTTTTCATCGTGTCGTTAGGATCGCCCGAACTGCGCCCGCGCCACCTGCACAATTACTCTCATCAACCGACGTCACGACGTCACCAATTCACCCTTCCTGAACCCGCTGTCTGTGGCATAGGTCACCGTCAAATCCATTCTGTCAACATCTCATCGAATCCACGATACCTTCACCTCGCCTGATCACAGAGAAAGGGCGTTCTATCTTACAAATCTTCAACTTTCAATACCACACAAACATGTACCCATCTTTGATTCTTGCTGGGGTCACCCCCGTCAAGTGTCCTTAAACGATCACACGATCCACGTGTGCCTCATCATGGACTTCTCTATGTTCAGAGGCCTTCGACGCCCATCGTCTGCTATCTTGATCTACAACTGAAAATCCCCCAATCTACCAACACGAACTTGAACCCGGACACTTCCTCGTTAGGATCAGTGTCAACAGGTTCGTGATACCAACAAGCAACAGTATCATTGCTCCTGAGAGCATAGCGCACTCCACTAGCGCCATGGAGACAGCCTCAAGCATGGCTCCCACCACCAACCACCGAGAGTCATGGGATTCTCTTTCCTCCACCTTTGCCCATCTCGAGGTTTCATTCTCGCACGACAGCTGCTACGGCTCGGATGAGGTGTCGGTCTCGTCGAAAACCACTGCCCCGCTCCAATCTAGCGCTTCTACTTTCACGGCTAAACGCGACGAACCATCTCTACATCCGTTCCTGAAATCCATCCTCAAGAACTCTACCACCAATGTACAGGATGAGGAATCCGATACCGATTCCGAGTCCGGTTATGAGTCGGATGATATTGAACTTGATGACTACGACGCTCTATCCGAAGACGAGGATGATGACGATGACATGTCTGACTTCTCCGTCTGGGATGATGAAACTGAGCATAACGTTCCCGAAACTCATCGAGACCACACTGATTCATTCGACGACTCTTTCATCGGATTTGAGAGTCTCTCCGTCCGGTTCGATCCCCAGGTTCAATACATTGACACTCCCACCACCGAGCTGTCGGAGGATGAGGGATCCCATTCCGAGATGACCGTGCATGAGATGATGCTTCTTGCCCAAAAGGCGGGCTGTTCTCAGGCTTCCTTGAATCAATCCGATGTAGACGATGTCCTCTATGACGACGGTGACTGTGATCGCAAGGAGTTCTTCCGTATGAAGACCACCCAGCTAGAGGACTTCACACGCGATGCGGTGGAGGTGGACCAGCGTCTCTTTATCGCGTACATGCACGGAATCCATGGCATCGCCGACACGAACTACAAAACTTATCTCCGCACTCAGGCGGACAATATCAGACATGGTCAGGAGACCGAGTCCATGCATCCCGATGATCCCCCTTGCATGTACCTGGACCTGATCCTCGATCATGTCATCGGAGTCTTTCGGAACCTTCTTGCTGAAGACGAGCTCAATGGACTGATTGAACTTCGCAAGGAGGATTTGGCTATTGAGCCTGCCTCGGTGGCTGCTTCAGCAGGCCCAAACCCCCACCAAGTTTTGCTAGAGAAAATTGAGAAGTTTCTCCTAAACCGACTGACTAATGGTCATGTGGACGTTCTCCCCGATGAGTTAAGTTTCTTTGCTGGCGGGATTGCACATGCACTCGGCACTGAGGATTTGCCGCCATTCGTCTGAGCCTTTATCGCTGCAGACTCACCAAAACCAACCTACGACGTTACGATTATGAGAAAAATTGGGTTCTCTTGAATTCGCCTGGATATCACCAGCGAGGGGAATTTACTGGATGTTCAACAACCAGAAAAGCACACATTCGGAATTTATCAGCTCTGCGGGACTAAGTTATCACAAAGGTAGCAATGTATTCTTCCTAGCTAGCTCTTCAATCAGGAAAAAATGATTTGAAACTTCACACTGCCTACCCCTGCCCTATCATTGTAGCACCATCAGCCTCGTATGCACAAAGGATGTAACACCCGAGTCTTCAGGATCCAATCCCTGTACCCGACCAGATCTAGAACCATCCCCTCCACCATTCAGCCCCGCCATCCACCCCTCGGATAAGAAGGATCCCTCTCGTCTATCCTAGCTAGAGATAATGATAATAACAATAATAACAAAATAAGAAGTCCTCGGCGCAGAGTCCAGCCCGTCAACTTGCGCGTCACAGAATAATGTACACTATTCCCATCCCGCTCGGCTTTCCCGTCTCGAATCTTTAGTCCCTACTCTATGCCCCACCTGTCATCCCCTGATAATGTACAGACCCGCACGTCTAGATCAACACGAGAGATGAAACGAAGCGAAACGGCTCGAAAATTGGTTTAGTGCTGCAAGATGGAATGATCTTCTTAGAGGCCCCCTTCCAGGTTAGTCCCTCCGCCCCTGACATGCGGAACAAAATGAAAACTCCCCGGGTGGAGGGTTGAATTATCCGAGGTGGTCCGTGAAGCGAGAGACCCGTCAATGCCTTCTAGACATGCAAGTAATTAGTGGGAATGGAGTGATACTTCTTGGGGAGGTTCCTGTTTTCTCTGAGTGGAGTGGGATATATACGGAGTACCCGGATGTTGTTACTGAGCTTTCGGCTCTTCTTTTCTCTGCTTGTTCTCCCGCTTTCTGAGGCGTTCGCCTGTTTAATGTGTGGATTTCGGTGGCTTCAACGTCGTGGTTATCTCCACTGTGGCTTCAGTATCTCCCGTCCGCTGTGAATAATATGAGCTGCATAGAGCGGATCCCGGGATTTGATGGAGTGTTAATTCGCTTGGCTGTGGATTTCATTGGTGCAGTGGGGTTACGGGTTGTTAACGGATATGTTGACATAGGGCATGAGCTTGGTGGCTTGGAACAAATAAGTCTCCATACCTGCCTAAAAGATAGGAACTTGGAATTGAATGGATCAACTCGGTCCCCTGAGGCAAGGAGAACCCAGCTGCAGTCGATAGTTCTATCGATATCCCTGAATTGATCCTAGTTCGTGCTGGGTACGTATACATATTTCATACATTTCTCACATGTACGATTCAAGCACGTCATGCATTAGGCAGTCCATCGTGTGACGAATATGCATCCATGATCGCCATCGCAGTGCAGTTACAGGTCATGTAGGACAATAGGACAACGGGTCAAGGGCCGTTATTCCGTGTCGATCGCAGCGGCGTTGAAAGCACAGACTGATGCCCACGGGCCTCCAGGACCGTTGGCGGAGACTTTCTGTGCAGGTTTTGTTCTTGGCTTTCTGCTGTATCGATGCGGTGAATGGGATCTGCTTGTTTACCTGCTGTAACCGTAGATTGGACGTGTCGTTTCTGTTTATTCGCCGCGCATGAATGCCCTTACTCACTTTTGTGATCGTGGGTGTCATAAGGGGGTGGATGTTATGCTTCCGCCACGATCAAATACGGAGTCAATTAATCTCAGGTATATGTGAAGGTTTTCTCAAATATATATTCATCTACAATATGGGCCCCTATCTATTAATATACTGTATAGAAGCCACACGGATCAAACCAGAACTTTAGAACCTTGGAAGAATAAACTCAAAAATCCTAAATTTTAAGGACATCCATACTCTGCATGTGGGCCCGAAGGAATGGCAAGAGTCTGACAGCGAATGGGGAATGTGGGTAACATCCACCACCGCGTGGGTTTTATCTCCGGGCTTAAGGTGCTGGGTTGGTGGAAACTTCAACAGAACTAGTGTTTTTTTTTTTCCGTTGCATGGCGATCTCTTTCCACTCCCAGGGGGATTGGCGGGCTGCACCGACGGAATGTTTATTCTGTACAGTATGCTACAAAGTTCTCCGAAACGAGTATACGTACACAAGGCCCTGTGCTTTCGAGTGGTCAGATTACACAGTAGGATTTGGAATAAGATTATGTGGATGTTCAGCTGAACTTGAGCTGAGCATGAGCTTTCCAAGGTTTTGTATACGTTGTACTCTTCGTGTGATATAGGTATAGCATGAGCAAGGCGGCCATTAGGCAAGAGTTCGTTTTTGCCTGACACCCTATAAGCATACGCTATTGATAAGACTAGGCCTGGGGTGCAGGGAAGGGGATTTGGAGTGAGCCAATGAGAGACCAGATGGATCAATAAGATATGTATGCACTGTGATGTGATCTGATATGTCATCTGGGGATATGTACCACTAATCCAAGCCAAGGTATTCGCGCATCAGGACCATCACCGTATAGTATATATTTCTTTTTTCAAACAAGGTCTATCTCAAGGTTCTTGAAGTTCAATTTTTAGACCTGGATATCGGAGTTCACTTTGCACTTACTTGTCATTCGACCCCCCTTTCACCCTAAAGCGCACTATTGACTATTGTCCCAAGCCCCCCACGCCTCGAAGGTTGCGGAGACAAACGGCAGGATTATTGTTGGCAGACCCGCCAACCAGAGCGCCGATCGTGGGTCAACCCACCATGAACAAGCATGGCATGAATCAGGATCGGCCCTGATCCTCAGGGGAACTGAGTTATTGCAGAGACTGACCGCTTCTTTGTGAACATTTTCGATTATCCGAGGGAGTATTCCCGAGTAGAGCTAATTATGTTAAACAGAAGTGCCGAGTTGCTGTATATACTACAAACGGAGTTCAGTAACTCCGATGAGGCCACCAAACAAGCGCAGATTTGGGTTACATGATTCGATCGGAGGCGAACCAGCAAGCCACATATCTGGGACCATCGGATCATGGGGCTAGTAATTTCCTCCCCGAATGGCACGAGCAAGACAAAAGTGGCGGTTTTTTTGTGGGCGGAGATCGTCGGTGAACTCTACCGGGTTAGAAGTCCACTTCTGTACCACGGCTATGATTTGTCACATCGGGTCATAGCGAGAATATCCGCCTCGGAGGAAACAAAACGAGAGCAGTTTCGGGTTTCGTGTACAAGGTTTCGTCTGCGGGAATGCCGTGTGTAAGATGGTCGCATTGGGGGCGAAGCACGGAGCACTGGACATGAGCTGATTCCATGGTAACGGGGAACGTGGTGAGTACCGGTATGGTATATTTCCGTGGATCCACTGCAGTACACAAAGGTGCCCCGGACTAAAGTGCCCAGGATCTGGGCGCGGAACCGCGATCGAAGACTCGGAAAAATAAGCAAAAAAATGAATATGCAAACGAAACTAAGCTAAAAAGGTGAAACTGAAATTCCAATTGTTTCGGTGGAAGGCGGGAACGAAAATTCAATAGAACGACTTAAAGTGGTTAAGTGGTGAAGACTAAACAGTCCCGTGGGGCCACGATCCTATTGATTGGTAGTTGGCCCATTTCATTGGTGATTTGAATGCTCTCCCTGTGGAGTCTTCTCGTGCTATGGGGCCGATCGTAAGTTCACTGCTTTCCACTACCCCTGGTTTCTTCATTGCGATAGGGCAAATGGTTCTGGGTCAGAACCATGGTTGCGTCGGGATTCAGGTACGTGTGATAAGAGGTGGCTTTTTTGGAATCACCACAAATTGTCATGAAAAAGAAGAAATTATAAAACGAATCAAAAGCAAGTAAATTAAAAGAAAGGAGCTCGTGGGAGTGGGTTAGGCTCCCGCTGCAGGGGCTTAAAGAAAAAGTCGGGCGTCATGGATTAACAATGGCTTATTTTGTATTCAGATCGGTGGTGAACCCCCGTCTCCACCATTGAAGAAATATTACTCCTTTCCCTCCTTTCGATCTTCCTTCCACTTTAACCTTCCACACGGAACAGCCATTCTTTTTCTATCTGGACTATATCTTCCTGGGAGCTTACTGCGGGTAAGTTGATAATCTATTAGCACGGGGGCCAAGTGACGTTGCCTTCATGCATGGCGGTCGTACAGTTCGAGACGAAGCCAACCACATGAAATGGCCCCCGAATAATCGCACCCCCAACGTCAGCTGCAAGCTGTCAGACTGACGGCGTACAGGATGATTTAGAGATTTGATTTACAACTCACTTCCCCCCAGTCCGAGAGATCGAGGGTGTACCCCGGTGGACAGGGCCATCAGAAATATTCTCCAGCCGCAGCCGTGATCCCGAACATTGATATACCCCCCCCTCACCTTTTCACCATGCAACACTACTCCAGATCCGACTTCCTGGAAACCGGGAGCTTGACTCGCTCGCGCAGTACCAGTCTTTCCAGTGACTCGCAACACCCCCGAGTCAATCTCATGTCGCCGCCGTCCGTCCGCCCCCCGCCTGCTTTTATTTCTTTCTCCGCGGCCTCGGAGATCATCACATCCGATCAAGAATACAATACCGCCGACTTTGCAGAAGATGAAAATACGGGGGCTGCGGCCAGTGCCCTGGTAACCCCAGCAGCATTGTCTCTCTTGAACGGTTTCCTCGATAATTTGTTATTTAATATTCTTGCGGCCTCGAAATCCACCCAGCTGGCTTGCATTCGACCGGTTTTGGCGGACGTTCTAAAGCCCCGCCTCGCACAAGAGGTGGTGACCACCGCAGATGAAGAATTGGGCGAATACATGGGCGGCGAGGAAAATGAGGAATCAGAATTTCGGGGAGGTCAAGAACCCGGTGGGGACTTTGATCTCGTTCGCTCGTGGAAGCTGACTCGTCTACGATGCATGGTTTACACCAGACTCGGCGACATGGAAGAGGAGGATGAGGACGAGTTTATCGCACAGGAGGGCCTCGGGGAGTCCGATGGTGCCCCCCGCCGATTCTCAAGTCATGTCGACAATATCACCCCCGCAGCAGCGATTTTCTTAACTTCCATTATTGAACACATCGGCGAGCAAGCGCTCATCATTGCGGGCGAGACCGCACGATCAAGGTTATCTACCAAGCTGAATGATACTGAAAGTCAATTCTCGGACGATATGGAAGACCACCGCAAGCGAATTGAGCAGTTGGTCGTGGAAGATCTCGACATGGAGAAGTTGGCGTTGAACGCGACACTGGGTCGCCTATGGCGTACCTGGAGAAAGCGCAGACGCAACACCACCCTTTCACGAACATTGTCTCGCGAGTCTTTCAGACGCCGCACCTTTTCACATACGTTGGCCAACAGCCGCAAGAGCAGCATTGTGACTATCGAGGAGCCGGTGACCCCGGAAGAGCCTGTTCCTGAGGATATTACCGCGGCAATCGATCCCATTACGGTCCCTTTGCCTATGAGCGATTATGATGTCGAGGAGATCGAGGTCCCTGGGTACAACCCAGACATGGAGATCGAAGTGGTGCAGACAATGCAGGCGGTTGTTGCTCATAAGGTGCGACCGCGCAGTTTGATGGTGGTCCCCTCGCCATCGCTGGTGGCAAGGTCGGGCAACTCTCCTCTGAGCGCATCAGCAGTTGAGAGCCCTCTACTTCGCCATGCTCGCTCTAGATCATTGCCAAACCATAAGTCCAATTGCCCTCCAGAGCGACAGGGTGACGAGGTCGAGGAGGCAGACGCAGTCTCCCCAGGTGAAGCATCACCCAAGTCTGCTAGGTCTTCTCGGTCATCTTCAAAGGAGAAGCTGGAGACCATGTACGAGGATGATGAATCGGCCGAGTTCGTGGATGCGTCAGAGTCTACTATGGGCATCGCAGTCACCACCGAAAATGAGGAGTCCAGAGCAGCAGCGGAATTGTCCGACAAGGAGTGCATGTCTGTCGTACAGGAGGAGGAAGAGGAGGATGCGCCGGCTGTTGGTGTAACGATCGCATCATTGCGATCACGTCTGCACGAGGACGAAGGGACGGAACAGTCTGACGATAACCGTGTTTCGGTCTCGTCGCTGAATGGTGGAGCCCCAGAGGATCCGGAGATTATCGAAGGACAGGGGATGCGCGAGAAGCCTACTCTGACGTCGACAATCCAAAGACCGAAGAGAAAGCAAAGTAGGGATGTTTCTCAGTCTTATGCAAAGCCGATCATTGCAGAAACTAGTGACCCTGATCTTCCATCTACCGAATCTACGCAAGGGGTGGCGCCCGCACTGGCTCTACCGGCCGACGCCACCATCGAGGCTATCAATTCTCCTAGTGATGTCGATGCTACCGAGGGCGATCACAATAAATCAGACATGAAATCCGTGTCTGAAAAGGCCCCTTCGAACGAAGCGGTTGTTTCTGAGAAATCTTCCGAGAGCCCGTTGGAGCTTGCTACTATTACCGAGACATTCCCTCTTCCTGGCTCTGACCCTAGTGCTGCTGAATTCGCTGTCGCTGAAGAATTTACTGGACCTGAGGCTGTTACCCCAGATCTTGCTGCATCATCGGAGATTTCTCGACCGCATTCAACTTCGGGAGATAGTGAACGTTCCTCACAATCACGCACCCGCCGCAGGCCTACCCCATTAGTGGTGACCTCTAGCAACCGTAGCTCTCCAACTCTGGAACAGCGAGCTGCTGTGCAGCGCATGTCTGGCCGTCCCACTACATCGATCTCCTCATCTGTCCTAAGCAAGCCTCGCCGCTCAGAGAGCTTTAACAGCACTCGCGAAAAGCGCCCGGTCACTGCTGGTTCCACGACCTCTCAAGTTTCAAACAAACTAAAGGGCCTTATGAACCGCCCACCAGGCGAGTCCCCGTCCCTCCGGCTCCGTAGCTCGTCTGATACGAGCCGGGCGTCTGTTAGCGGAGACTCCCTCGACAACGACACCACCGACCTGGACAAATTGATCAACAGCGATGAGACCATTCATTTCACGTTGACTCCTAAAAGTGTGAGAGAGATGACATTCCCCGATGCGCCTCGACCAATTCCTCGCTCGGACACCACTGACACGACCGACCTTGCCGAGTTCCTGAAGAACACTGGCCCACCGGGAGCCGACCCCCGGGCTTCCGTCTCTTCCAAGGCCACTGGAGAACTGCTCATTGCAAAGGCGGGTGACTCCCCCAAGCACATTCCAATCACTTCACGCATGAGCTTGTCTCCCACGGACGCTGCTGCTCCTGTACCACCCCGCGAGACCCGTACTGCTAGTACTACTGTCAGCAAGCCACCTGCTCCCACCAGTGCCCCGAGCCCGACTATCGACTCTCCCAAGTCAGTTCGAACCCAGCCAAGCATCTCGTCTACCCGGTCAAATCCCAACCGGCCCAAACTGCAGGCTCGCGCAGCAGAGACACGGGGATCAGAGACTTCTGATCTGATTGATTTCATCCGCCAAGGACCGCCGCAGTCTGCCCACCGCATTCCTCGTACAGTTGCGCCATTCCGAAACACGATCGACTCGGATGATGTGCAAATTAACTCCCAAAACAGCTCGCTTGCCAGTACCCGCGAAGGCTCCGGTGCTAACAAGTCCCTTACTTCGTTTGGCTCGCGCACTGGGCTGCTGGATTCATCCAACCGTCCCAGCGGTCAGGCCAAGGCGACTGCATCCACAGGCATGGCGGAGCCTGCTCAACCCGTACGCAAGCAACGACGTGTTCGGGACCCCTACGCTATTGATGACGATGACGATGACGATCTGCTCGAGGAACTGATACAAGCCAAGCCACCTGCACGCCAGGAGGAGAGTTTGATTGACTTCCTGCGCAGCGAACCACCACCCGACTTTCAGCAAGCCCAGCCTCAACCACTGAGCATGCGGCCACCTGCAACGTCCAGCTCGAACGGATCGGGGGGAATGAAGTCTCGTCTGATGTCAGGGAATGGCCCCTCATCTAAGATGTCGATGAGCTCTATGCGCTCACTGAACAATACCCCGCAGTCCAACTATTCCTTGAAGGTCGGTATGGAGCGGAACCCTGGGATCTTGCCATCCACATCCAACCGCCAGACCGAGACCAGTGCACTAGCGGACTTCCTCCGGAATACCGGCCCGCCAGAGCCTGCTCCCCAGAGCGTCATGACCCCCAAGATTAAAGAAAGCGGTTTCTCCCGCTTCTTCACACGTCGCAAGAAGGTCGAAGCCTAATGCAGTAATCTGCCATGTTCTCGACTACTTGATGTTAAGCTTTCAGCGTTTCATTGCCATGTAACGATCACATATCTCACGTCCATCATTTGCCTCATTTCCGTTTTCTTCTATCTCCCCAGCTCTTCAATTCCTTGATCACCCATCTGTTGCATCTGTTGCATAGAGCTACATCGCAGCATGTTCTGTCTTTGCTTTTTTGTTCTTCACGGCTACGGCCTGGTGGTTTTTTGTGTCCCACTATCTTTTGAAACTTTTCTATTTTCCTTCTATCCTTCTTTGGATGCCAAACTGACGATAAATACGGAGCTTCTTTTCATTCTGTCTTGTTTCGACTCGGCTCGATTCGATTCTTGGGGGCTGACAATGACGTCTTTGCTTTTCTTTTTGTGAAACTCCGCGAGATACCATGTTTGAAGTATTTATGTCTCTATCTATAAGCCTCGGCGCTTGGAACCCATTCATCTTATGACTTTGAAATTGTTCAGTCAGTAGTTGCTGTAAATTGTATGCCTGGATAACGCGTTGTATTTCAACATAGCCCCGTCGAGATGAGCCTTTTAAACAAATATGTCAATAAATACGGAATACTAACAAGATGAACATGCTAAATTTAATCTGATTGTTTTATCAAAAACACATTGATAGAGAACAACGTAAAGATAATTTGTACTGTTGAGCGGACTTGTCAGTATTGACGGAGGTCAGGTGCTCCGTGCTTAGGTGATCCTTCAGTCCCCTTAAGTGGCATCAACAACCGCCAGCTCCCCTGTTTACCACGCCAAAATTCCCCACCATGGGCTCCTCTCCATTCACAATGAGGTCAATTCTGGCTTTCTTCCTCCTCGTGGTTCAAATCGCCTCCGCCCTTAAATTCGATCTCCCCGCTACGTCAGGCCACGGCAAGAACGAGCGATGTATCCGCAACTTTATCGCGAAGGACCAGCTGGTCGTTGTCACCGCCATCGTGAGCGGTTCCAAGGGTGACGGCCAGCGCGTTAACATGCACGTACGTGATATATCTACCGGGCGCAATCATGTTCCAATTCCACATTCGATGATCATGCGCTACGGACGACAACACCGCAGCCACGAATCCGCTTCTGTATTCGATCACCGATGCTAACACAAACTACAGATCAAGGACTCGATGGGCAATGACCACGGTCGTCCCAAGGATATCGTCGGTGAGGTGCGCCAGGCATTCACCTCGACCGCCGATACCACTTTTGATGTGTGCATGGAGAACCAGCTTGTTGGCCGCAGTAAGTCAAGCTCCGCAACACTAAAGACCCCATCTAACATGAATCGTTTCAGACACTCAACAAAACCCCGTCCGCGAAATCGAGCTCGACGTCGAAATCGGTGCCGATGCCCGCGATTGGTCCAGCATCCAAGCCCAGGAGAAACTGAAGCCCATCGAGACCGACCTCCGCCGCATCGAGGAGATGGTCGCTGACATCGTCACCGAGATGGACTACCTCCGTGCCCGTGAGCAGCGTCTCCGTGATACCAACGAGAGCACCAACGAGCGTGTGAAGTGGTTTGCTTTCGGAACTATGGGTATGCTGGTTGGTCTTGGTGCTTGGCAGGTTGTTTACCTGCGCGCCTACTTCCGGTCTAAGCACCTTATCTAAGCATTTTGCGTTTCGTTTCGTTGAGTACAGTGGTCTATAGGACTCGGGACTTTCAAGGTCTTTTTTGCTGATTGCATGCGTTTGGGAATGCATGGTTGGATTTTCTTGTAAGATGAGATGAGATTGGGCAGCTGCCAGTTCTCTAGGGAGTTGTTTGAATCTTTCTTTTGTACTCGTGTCTTATGGCATTTGTTTCAATGGTCATGAATTCGATGATATAAAATATATGTCCTGCTTGCGGGGGTTAATTCCAAAGTTGTTCTGGATACGTATCCACCTGAACATAGTTCTATAGGCTACTCTAAGTGTACTGAATAGGCACCATATAGCATCCACATCCACGTTATCAGATAAAGAATCGATACCTGAGTCTAAGGTAGCGAATCCTCAAGGTCAACAAGGACACAATATGTATAAAGCATTGAGCATCTTATCAAATCCCACTGTTAGCTGTTTGTCCAGCATAATGATGAAGATCTTATAAATAGCCAAAAAATCTGCCCGCGAAACAATTGTACTGTAATTATCTGCAACCCCGTCTCTGTTGACTGGCCCGCGAAACGACCACGACTGCATCGCGCCTTCCATTTTATAGATTATTGTCAATGCAAACCAATATAACACTTCCATTTTCAATCCAGTAGTCGTCATGCAGTTACCTTGGGCATAATCGCCTTGTCTCGGGTTATGTAGATAGTAGCACCTTGGTTGTTGGGAATCCTTGAATCTTATATTTTAGGTTTATCATCGAACACCTGGATGTGTGGAAAGATATCAATATGCACTAGTATACGCCTGCTTCGGAAGTCGATACATTCCGATTTAGAGTGTTCATGTAGGTAGCGTCTTCAGTATGTCTGTCTACACTGTTCTACAAGGAAGTATAGGCGAGACAAGAAAAAAATAAGAACTTTTCCTGAAAAGACATCGCGGAAGGTTATGGCCCAGTGAAAGGAGCCAATCAACAGTCGTCTGTTTTATGATCTGGATATTATCATTCGAAAGGCAAAGACTTACTCTGCTGGTAAATGCATGTCAAAAGCTGTGTAATCACAAGCCATTCAGTGGTAGACGGACATGCAAACAATGCAAACACCGGGTGTTGCAGGTAGCTTTTTCGGCCCGGACAATGACACCAAGATGATGTCAAGCCGAGCATTGCATATCAACGCATCTTCTCCCATTCAATCCAGGTTCCAACAAACCTGAAGGGATAAGACACAGCTCAAAATGTCAGCACCTAGACTAATTCACCGCGCCTTGCGGCCATTGCCATCATCCTACAAACCCGCAATCAACCGTTCATTCGGCACGACTGCTCTACGCTTCAATGATGCTAAAAACCGCTCCCAAGCCAATGTCGAAGGCTACCGTGAAGACCAGACCAAAAAGCCTTCGAACCAATTTGTGCCGAACACTACCTCCACTATGACCAAGGACTTCCCCAATGTCGGGAGCAAGCCCCCACCCCCAGAAATGCTAAACTCCGTCAACCCGAACTTCCGTCCTAATGACCCCTACCCTGGACGGATCGAGCACTTTACCGGCGGTCGCCAGGAGAGTGGTGCACAGAAGCCTGAGCTTGGAGTTGGCGAGATGGAGGGTATTACCTTCAAGGTTGAGCCTCTGAAGCGTACTGGAGAAGATGCTACGACCATGCGCGCTCGGTTATTATGTTCGTTCCCATCTCTCTTATCAATGCACCTTGACAAAGAGCTGCAAGTATATGTACCTCGAACCGTACACTGACCGCATCCAAATAGACCAAAGCCGTAAGCGTGGTATCCTCGAGTCCGACCTGCTTCTTTCCACCTTCGCCGACGTCTACCTCCGGGACATGTCCGTGGAGCAGCTCCAGGAATACGACCGCTTCCTTGATGAGAACGACTGGGACATCTACTATTGGGCCACTCAGGACCCTCCTGATGTCACCGGAGAAAGCCCTCCTGCCGAGGACCAGCTGACGGAGACCTGGAAGGAGACTGGAGCCAAGAGCGGCGAGTGGGCGCAGACTATTGGTGCATTCAGGGCTGCGTATCGCCCTGTTCCGGAGCGGTGGAGTGAATCTGAGGTGTTGCGGTTGCTGAGACAGCATGTGAGTGACAAGAGTGCCACTGGATTCGAGTCTGCGAAGAATAGAAAGACTGGCGGCGGTGGTGGATTGGGACGTATGCCGAATGTGCAGGTTTTCAACTCCTAGGAGAGTTGCAGCTTTGTATAACTACGCCCAGGTGGATTACCGGTGAACCGGGTAGGATATCTACTGATAGTACTAGAAGCTGTGTATAATAGTTGCCGAAAGGCGAAAGGCAAAAGCCTTGTATAGTTAGGGAATTGAATTGAGTTTACACATATATGCGTAAATCATTTTAAAAGCAAAACAAAGTCAATCACGGTAAAGGCGTCTATTGACGAGTGCTTTTCTATGGCTAGGCCTTGCTTACTGATGACTCTATAGTTTGGTCCAAGCATGTTAGCTGACGTAGCACATAGAAGAAATTACTTAATTCCAGGGGGAAATGGTTGCTTCAATTTCAATTCCAATTGTTTAATACGAACATAAAAACATGTGTAAATTAAAGTAATAGAATGTCTATAGAATGCATACAATGAGTATAATTGAATACAATTGTATAGCCGATAAGATAAGCCACGTGACCTTCGCTTATTGTTAGGGCACAGCGGAACCACACAAGGCGCCAGCCAACCGGGTTAGGGCTTTGGCGGGCACGCAGCACCTCCCTCCTCTGATTTTATCTCCCCAGCGTCAACGACCTACTCCGCCCATCCTCACCCTTCATCGATTCACTCATCATGGCTGAGCAGCTGGTTCTTCGCGGCACCCTCGAGGGCCACAATGGCTGGGTTACCTCCCTTGCGACCTCCCTGGAGAAGTAGGTCTGGCCTCGTCAAATTTTCGCAATGGATCGTGTTCTGACTTCGCCCTTAGCCCCAACATGCTGCTGTCGGGCTCTCGCGACAAGACCCTGATCATCTGGAACCTTACCCGCGATGAGCAGGCTTACGGCTACCCCAAGCGCAGCCTGGAGGGTCACTCCCACATCGTCTCTGACTGTGTATGCATATCTGCCCCCTCTTCTCTCGAAATCGAATCATGGTGTGCGGATCCATTGGGAAACGACGAAATGGCAATCGGATACTGGGAAACAATTGGAATCGACTTTCGCTGACCGGTGGTCTTTTGATATATAGGTGATCTCCTCCGACGGTGCCTACGCTCTGTCCTCCTCCTGGGACAAGTCTCTCCGTCTGTGGGAGCTGTCCACCGGTAACACCACCCGCACTTTTGTCGGCCACACCAACGACGTTCTCTCCGTCTCTTTCTCCGCCGACAACCGTCAGATCGTCTCCGGATCCCGTGACCGCTCCATCAAGCTGTGGAACACCCTCGGTGACTGCAAGTACACCATCACCGACAAGGGCCACACCGAGTGGGTTTCCTGCGTCCGCTTCAGCCCCAACCCCCAGAACCCCGTCATTGTCTCCGCTGGTTGGGACAAGCTCGTCAAGGTACGCTTCCATTCGATATTCAATTTCAGCCCACCCCCATTCCAAAGGATGTTTGCATCTTTTACGTATTTGCTACTTCAGAGCCCTTCGCGGGCCATGAGACAATTATCACCAATGCCTGATTGAAACCAACTTAACACTTGATCTTGAAGTGTTGAGTTGGTGAGGAAATTTTCCCTGATTTGAATCACTCAAATATGTTGATGAATTATTGGGACGCTGACAATTCATCCACAATAGGTTTGGGAGCTTGCTTCTTGCCGCCTGCAGACCGACCACATCGGTCACACCGGTTACATCAACACCGTTACCATCTCCCCCGATGGATCCCTCTGCGCCTCCGGTGGCAAGGACGGTACCACCATGCTCTGGGACCTGAACGAGTCCAAGCACCTCTACTCTCTCCACGCCGGTGATGAGATCCACGCTCTCGTCTTCTCCCCCAACCGCTACTGGCTTTGCGCTGCCACCAGCAGCTCCATCACCATCTTCGACCTCGAGAAGAAGTCCAAGGTTGATGAGCTCAAGCCCGAGTACGTCGAGAAGGGCAAGAAGAGCCGTGACCCCGAGTGTATCTCCCTCGCCTGGTCCGCCGATGGTCAGACCCTGTTCGCCGGTTACACCGACAACAAGATCCGTGCCTGGGGTGTTATGTCGCGCGCTTAGATGAGTTGATGAGTGTGAAGGAGGAGGCCTCTTTTTGATCTATCGCCAAGGGAATCAAAAAAAAAGTTCAAAATCCAGAACAAGAAGGGCTTTGGTTTTGGGATGTATGAGCCACGAGCAATGAAGCACTTTGGGTCGGGACACGGTGTTACCCGGCCCTGAGGTTTTCTGACATGCCTAGCTTACTCGATTCGCCATTAAAATCGAATGTCTGGCTTGTGAAGGCATGTGATGTTCTAATACCACATAAGGCATCAAAACTGTTTTCCTATTTTTTCTTCACCCTTTTCCATCTCGTAGTGGGTGTGGCCAGACATAGAGACGTAGTGCATAGTATTTCAAGGTTGTAAAGAGTAGTAAAATGACTACCCACTTCAAGCTAGCTTAATGCTACGATAGATGTGGAGTTCAATGTGAATTCAGGCACTATCTCTCTAGCAAAAGCTTATTCTATCTTAAAACCTTGGAACCTTTGCAGCTACTAGATGCCTTGACTTTGAGTTCAACCCCTAGCAATACGGATCAATCAATCCTGGTCAAGAACACTCTGCACCCACCCAGCAGCAGTCGTATCCCAAATCTCAGGGTAAACCAAATGAGCCGTGATGTTGGTACCGCTAGCACAAACCGGGTCATTGGCATTACAATAGTCATGAATCACATTGCCATAATGCTCTGTCAAGTAGCGCACCTGCATTCCCGAACGGGGATATTTCTGTCTCATGGTTAGCGTGTCATCACTATATATATGTATGAGCCAGTGAAACATACTCCTGTGACATTAAATGTTTCATAGCCCTGGTTATAAGGCTGGTAGGGGGCATGGCGTGGGTCTCCATATAGGACAAGGGCGGTAACTGCACAGGTCATTACTGTTAGAATCTAAATGTATTCTCGCAGTATGAATGAAGATCGAGAGGGATCCTTACTATGTTTGCCAATGTCATAATCAATTGGAGCAGTCAGGTTACCCAGAGTCGAGTCACCGCCACCACCAGCGAGGGTATCAGCAATGACCATAGCTCCCTATTGTACAGCTGAGTTAATTGACTATTTCGTTTACGTCAATTGAATAAGGAGGTTAGCTGCATACCTGCGAGTAAGCAAGCACAACCAACTGAGAGTCAGTATGCCCACATCTCTCCACGAAACTAGTCAGCTGCTTGCGTGCAGCCTTCTTTCCAACATGGTAGCTATTTGTGGTTGTCTCGTCCGTAGCAGGGTATACAAGGTTCTCGTATGTAGTATCCGGGTTGTTGGCGGTGATCAGCTCAGCCAACGTCTCTAGAGAGCCGGGATAGGACTCGGTAGTTCCACGGGCGATCAGAATGTGAACATTCGAGCAGGCAGTACTGTTCACTAATTGAGTCGTTTCACGTTGGATTAACGTGGCCGCAGCAAGTTGGCTGCCGAGGAGTAGGGAAGTGGCGATTGCAGAAGAAATCATTTTGAAGAGCCTCCCAATGGTGAATCAATTGACGGAAAAACTAGGTCTATGAAATCAAGGATAGGCTACATATATAAGTGTGACTGTGTGTTGAAAAGAAGCTTATTTCTCTTCACCGAAGATTTCCCGAGTCGGGCCTGGTAGGAGAAGGGGTAACTTATGACACGCGTCCTCGGTTATGTGCCTAATCCGTTTAACCCGACCGAATGTGGGACTTTAACGGCCGAGTATACTGCATTTGGTGTGGGGATATAGACTGATAATGTAGCTGCCTATATGTAGGTAGCCTGTTGAATTTCACAACTACGGAGGACATATATGTGGGGATCTTGTTACTTTTAGTAGACAATATACTCCAAAGCTATGTTGACCTTGGAGTAGCATACGAAAAGCTTTCAGCTAGGCTACGTCATGTAATACTACCCAATGCCCAGGTTAAGAACTCTACTCGTGGGCCGCTCGTCACCATGATCTATTAGAAATATCTTCCGCTCTGTACTATCCGGGGGTTTTCTACGAAGGACTGGCGTGTGATGTACTCAAAGATTGTGGAAAAATGTGGGGACGGCATAACACTAGAGTAGTAGGAACCTTTGGTGAACAACAGGACACTAGCAAACTATGGAGTCGCGAGGAGACAAATCAAAAAGAGGCTGTGGTCTTACTCAGTTTATATAACGCAAATTTTAAGTTAATGTGGATCGGGAAGGATCCCATATCGGCATTGTAATCTGTGTGTACTAGAGTTAATTAAGGTTTCTACGATCTAGACCGAGATTCATTAATGTTTGTTTCGACTATCTCAACATCGATCCCGACTGAGGTGTGATCTATTACCTTGGAACCAACCCCGGTGTGGCTGGTCATAAATGCAGCAGATCATATAGGAGTAAAGTGAAACGAAACATCAGCTCCGTTATAAGCCGGATTTCCAAGGTTGGTGAATGCTCTAATAAATCGCTCTCTTAAACCCTCCTTTGCTATCCAAGTGATCGGCTGTATGCTCAATCCGGGAAATCCTGTTGTCCTTTGTCTGCTAATCCGATACATACGTTCGCCATCATCTACAGTACGAGGCTCGAGTTGATTCCCATGTTGTCTCTAACGCCGTCAGAATCCGAAGTAAAAATGACCTGAAACAATAAATCGTCTTCTAAAGGTGTGACTGGGGCCATAATCTCGCCATCAGTAAGCGTAGATAGCATCGGTATGGGGACTGGAATGTATAATATGCGGGGTATTCTTTAGCTTACCCCGCGTGAATAGATAAACATTTGAACTTGACAGGGATTTTTTTTTATTTCGCTTTTTCTTGGCAATAAAAGATTTGGCAAGAATCTGACTTTGTTCATGTTCGGAGTATGAAGGGGGAACAATATTCCATGGCTTACTGTTACATGCGGTTAAATAGTCATTCCCCCTTGCTATCACATCATGCCGAGGTCAACCCCGCGAGCTTATCAGCAAATCTTCACCATCCATTAGGAGCACGTCGTCATTACTGCCTAGCTGATATACTTTGTGCTTACAATCTGTCCCTTTATCGGTGGGACGTCCAATCTCGAAACGCCTGGAAACTTTCGCCCTGATTATCTTCGTGTTATGGTCCGGTGCTCGCTACTCGACTTGTGAAGGCCGCACTCTGAATTAACTGCCCGAAACAAGAACTTCTAAAGCTTCAATCAGTCACTTCTATTTCACTTACTCTACTTTGCTCTGAGAAGTGCGATGGTCCTGACAAAGCTTGCCATCTGGCTCTGGGGCCCAGATGCTAAAGATCGAGCCTTACTCTCCAAACTCGATGTGACGCTGCTCCCATACTTTTCATTGATCTGGTTTCTGTTTGGTATTACCCGAGCCAGTTATTCATCCGCGTATATCAGTGGCATGAAAGAGGCCTTAGGCTTCGAGGGCAAACAGTACAACTACATGAACACCGCGTACCTGGTTGTTTACGCGGTTTGCCAGATCCCGGGAACCAGTCTGCTAACCATATTGCGACCGAAGTATGTCTTCGTCACTGCCAATTTAACGTGGAGTGTTTTGACTTTGATCACCTATAAGATGACGCATGCCTGGCAAGTCATTGTGCTGAATGCCATCGAGGGCGGGTTTTCTGCTATTGCATAGTACGTTTGCGTGTTGATATTGCCCTTCATGGACGAATCTTGTTTTCTGACAACCTTTGCAGCGTTGGAGCACAGTTTATTCTCGGCTCATGGTACCGGAAGTCCGAACTGGGAGTGCGGGCGGCTGTATTTTGTGTATTCGGCCAACTGGGCACTATGTCTGGTGGCTGGATGCAAGCCGGTCTGCTTCAGACTCTGGCAGGCAAAGGTGGTCTACCAGCATGGAAATGGATCTTCATTATTGTGTCTGTCATGACAATTCCCGTTGCATTATTCGGTGAGTCTTACCCTGGACCATCAAAAACAAGTGCTGACAAGTGAACAGGCTGGATCTTTATTCCAGATCTCCCTGCTCACCGTGCCGCCTGGTATCTTAGCGACGAGCAAAAGGAACATGCGGCTACTCGGCTAGGTCCTCTTCGCCAGCAGTCATGGGATAAAACTGTATTCAAACGTGTCTTACTGAGCTGGCAGTTCTATCTCTTGCCAACCCTCTTCATGTGTATGTGCATCATACCAAGGCAACTGTGGGTTATACATCTAACATAAGCTTTCTAGTATACTCGCTCTGCGTACAGATGCTGCAGAACAATGTCATGGCTTACTGGATGGCGTCAAGAGGCTACACCACCGTCCAACAGAACAACTACCCTACAGGTATCTACGCGACAGCCATTGTCGGAACAGTGTTTTATGCCGTCATATCCGATAAGCTCCAATCCCGCTGGGAGGTGTCTGTCGCGATCGGGTTTACCTTCATCATCGGCTCAGCCATCTTAGTGTCCAGTCCGGCTACAGATGCTGGGTACTTTGTTGCCTTTTACCTACTCGGTACAACATTTGCCCCGCAGGCTGTGTGGTATTCGTGGATGGCTGATGTGACAAGTCATGACTTTCAACTTCGCGCCATAACGACAGGTTTCATGAATTCATTCGATTTTGCCTTTGTCTCTTGGTGGCCACTGATTTTCTACCCGGCGACAGATGCGCCTGATTTTAGAAAGGGTTATATTGCCAGTTTGGTTACAGGGACATTGACCCTGCCCTTTATCGCAATAATTGCCTATTTAGAAAAAAGGGATACAGCTCGCGGCATTATCGGCAGGGTCCATGCCGATTTCGAGGAATCCGGATCTCCACACGAGTCGGTCGATGAGAACACGCCCATCAATGTACAACCGAAGACTAGCGTGTAGTCAAGTTTAGATGATATGGGTTATTGTTATAGAAAATATTATGTACTCCCAACTGAGGTCGAATGTGAACATCCGGCTCGGTCTTAACAATCAATTTTCCCACGAATGTGTTCATTGGAGATGGATTTTAAAGTCATAATATAAATACATGTAAAAATGCACTCCTGTCACCGGTCGTGCAATTTTAGCCTTCAAGATTATTTCTTGGCAAGTCTCTTTAAGGCCTCGTCCGCCATGGCGATACCCTCTTCAAACCCAAGTCCCTTTGCTAGTGACTTGGCCTCCGAGTATCGCTTCAGAGCCACATCTGGTTTCTTCTGGAGTTCTGCCAGCTCACCCAGGTTGTATGTCGCAGCAACACAGCTTACATCGCACTCCTCGTCGCGAGCAGGTGGCTGGATTAGCGCAGCCATATCAAGAGCCTTCTGAGCCCACTGCCGGGCTGCCTCAACATTTTGCTCCGCCGTGCCTGATTTCAGTTGGCTTCGTGCGGGTTGCTGTACTTGGCCTACCATGGCACTAGCAACATTGTTCAGCAGGCCGACCTGCTTGCAGGATGGCGACCCACCCTCCGCCTCGCGGATCAGACCCAACGCACGTAGATACAGAGGCAGAGCCAGCTCGTGCCGCTCTTTAGCACTGTAAGTAGATGCGAGCTCGCCTAGCGCTGTGGCAATCTCAGTCATATTCAACCACGACTCTTCGGCTCCTTCGGCGCCACCACCAACAGGTAGACCAAGCTTCTGGCGGCGGTGCATCTCCTTCAAACACAGTTCCACAGCAGCGACCTGCGCAGCCTCGGCCTTCTTATCATCCTGAATGTGGTCACTAGCATACAGCTCACCCAGCTTCATCTGCATGCCAACAACCTTCTTGAGCGCACGATCACGCTGGCGCGCCTCAAATTGCTGCATCTCGCGCAACTGTTCCTCGGCATCCTGCACCGCGTCGGTATTGATCTGCACATTATCCGCTGCAGTCTGCGCCGACTTGGGTGTCTGAACAGCCTCAGGCTTGGCAGGGCCGACCGTAGCAGCCTCGGTGTTATGTCCCTGCTCCACCCAGTTCAATGCCTCATCCTTCGTCCGCTCCAGCACCTCAATGGCCGGCTTCACTAGACCAGCCTTCTCCAGCATCATCGCAACCTGGAGCTTAATACCAAGCACCTCATCTGAGAAAGGATGCATTCCCAGTTCCACACCAATCCGAAGCGCCTCCTTGTACCCTTGTAGTGCTTTAGGCGGGTTCAGATCGATCTCGGTGTAGTACACCGCGGTGCGGAGCGCATCGGCTACCGGCGGGGGGAATTTGTGGTACTGGGGTGCGACACGAGTGACTTCCACATAGGTGATGAAGACGAAGGCTCCGATTGCGCTAACAACTCCGACGATAGCGAGTGGGAGGAGGATGGGGTTCTTGCGGAAGATTCCCTTGGACGCTTCACGGTAGTGTAGGCGCACGCGCTGGGCGAAGGTGATATGTCGTGGTCGGGGAATTTGTGAGAGAGTGAGTCGACTGCCGCTTGTGGGCTTTAATTGGGGTGTTGGTCGGGCATTGTTGGTGTATATTGTCCGTGTCAGGGACTGGCGTTGTGCTTGGACGAGTTTGGAGGTGTAGGCGCTGGTGCGCCGCGATGCTATGCGGAACATCGACGGTGTAGCTTGTAGCTGATCCTCTGTGCTATCTAGATAGAAACAAGTCGTTGAATTGGACCTGTGGCTCGTGACAAGGAATTGTAGTGTTGAAGGAATTGTAGTCCGCGGCGGAGCGAACCCGCTTGATTTTCACTTGGCTCAAGCTTCTCTCCGCCATATGACGTCGCCTCCGCGTCTACCTACATCTTCAACTAGGGGCACCCACTCATGCATAATATGATACGATTTCCAATACAACTATTCCAGGGGTTCTAAGCAAGCATGTGTGGACGTTATGCTTTGGGCGTGGTAGGTCTCCATTCGTATCAATTCCAGCCTCATGCTGACTCCACAGCGCATGGCGTACATGCGACACCGGCTCGAGGACAGAGGAATGCCAGTAGACGAAGCGCCAGAAGATGATGAAGTCAGGGAAACCTATAACTTTGCGCCCGGAAACATTGGTGCCGTTTATCGAGCTGATGTCCCCGAAAAGGAACAACATGACGAAGCTAGCGAGGAGCAAAATGCCGATCATGAGCCAAAGGAAGATGCAGGCAAAAGCCACCCGAAATATAAGCTCCAAAGCATGAAATGGGGTCTTGTTCCTTTCTGGACCAAGCGAAGTCCCGATTATGGATCTCTCATGCGCACAATCAACTGTCGCGATGACTCGCTCATTGAAGATCGTGGCATGTGGACCACCATGAAGCGGCGCAAGAGATGTATAATCCCTTGCCAAGGATTCTACGAATGGTTGAAGAAAGGACCAGGAGGTAAAGACAGAATACCACATTTTGTTAAGCGTAAGGACGGGGAATTGATGTGCTTTGCGGGATTATGGGACTGTGTCTCATATGAAGGTGAGTTCCAAGGTTATACTCTTTTTTCGGTGTTTTGATATATATCTGACAACCAACAGGGTCTGACGAGAAGCTGTACACCTTCACCGTCATCACAACATCATCAAATCCCTACTTGAAGTTTTTACATGATCGCATGCCTGTCATATTGGATGCTGGGTCGGAAGCCATGAAGACTTGGCTTGATCCAGGTCGGAAAACTTGGTCGAAAGAGCTGCAATCACTTCTGAAACCGTATGAGGGTGAGCTGGAGTGCTACCAGGTTCCAAAAGAGGTTGGAAAAGTAGGAAATAACTCTCCTGACTTTATCGTTCCGGTCGACAGTAAAGAAAACAAGAGCAACATTGCCAACTTCTTTGCCAATGCCCCAAAAAGAGAAGAAAAGCCCCTGTCGACTGAAACTTCTTTGAAGAAGGAACTCGAGTCGCCGAAGACTGACGTCAAGCCCGAAAAGGGCCAAGAAAAGATACTCACAACAGCAGGAACCAAGCGAGAGCACACGCCAGATTCAGGTTCCAAAGAGAACAAAAAAGCCAAGCTGGAGACACTAGTCACTCCACAGAAAATGAAGACACGAAGTGCCACCTCGAACATCTCCAACAAAAAACCGGGGGCAAGGAAAGCGAACGATGGATCTCAACGAATCACGAACTTTTTCAAATAATCATAATTTAATGTAAATGCTATGAGAGGGGAATCGATAATCTTGTTGTGATACAATATTGTACAGTTTGCTTAAGCTGTTCTGATAAGGCTTATTGCTGGTCAAGCTCTTTCAACCTTTGAACCAATTTCGCTCTGAGGAAAGGACTCAACCCAAGTCTAGAGATGGGTTAGTAACATACCAATAGTTGATATTAGGAAGAGTGACTCACATTCCATCACGGGTCACAGTTCTGTAAGTACCTACTATAGATTAGTTGTCATTCAATTACCCTATAGGGAAAAAGCTTACCACTAGATTGATAATTTCCATCACCCCCGACAAAGTGACCCTCAGAATCCACTTCAAGGCTTCCGAAGATGTCCTCTGGCCTATAAAGTAGTCAGTTACGATTCAGGCCATACAAAAGCCCTGGTATATGTTGTCTTACCAGGCAATCCGCCCAAAGTCAGGAGGACGTCGGTTGTCCGAAATATGAATCCAGCCACCTCGGCCAGCAGAACCAGCACCACCCTGGCCACTGGCGCCGCCACTAGAGTCACCCATGTCGGCGCGGCGTTTGTTTTTGCGCCGATTGTGGCCCATGAGAACACCACCAGAGTACAGGTTTGCTCCAGCCGTGGACACCATGACTTGCGCCTGAGACTGTGCTTCCGGGTCTTCGTGTGCGTACTTGGAGAAGACCTCTTGGAGAATTTCCAAGAATTTGGGATTCTCCCGGAGCGAGTCTGTCGTTGGTGGTAGCTTTGATGTAACTCCAATCGCTAGATTTGCGTTGGCAGGCTCAGTTGGCAAAAGGGACAGAATATGGGACCCAGATGCTCCCTCACTGGGGAATACATACTACGTCAAGTCAATATCAAAATGAACGATCAATTAGACAAATACATACAATGTGAGAGTTTCCCTCTAAAGTAGAGACACCACGGAGCTGGATCCATCTACGAGGACCCCAGGCTAGTCGGCCAGCTGTTCTAACGGCGAACATTATCGTAAAGAGCAATGGAATTAGCTGGGTTGTAAAGAAATGAATTGGATCTGACCTCATGCAGTTATCTTGCAGATCGGGGAAGGCGGTGAACAAGGCGGTAAACGATAGCTTGCATTGGCAATGGCTTGTTATGGGGAACTTGGAACCGACAAAAGTTGCGAGGCCGAAGTTGCGCCGTTCAATTGCAGTGTCGGTGTTGATCTCAAGAGTGGGAGCTGTAGGCTATCAAACCTCCGCCCATTCATCCCGAAGCTCGCCATCGTACCCACCTTCGGAAACCGCTCTTGAGCGCATCAAGGATCACTGAGTTGAACTGCCCATCCCGCGCCGAAATTGCTGCTTTCACAGCATCTTTGGGACTTACAGACTCTAAGATTTCTTTACTGAAGTAAGAGAAGGTTGCGCCATGGCGACCCCATCAGCCAAACCTGGCGCTACGCCAACACATCTCACTTCCTCTCCGCACCCGTCCTCTGCGCCTCTCTCCCGGTCCATCGCCCATAAATCACCTTCTACAAGAACCCCGACAGCCTCAGGCCCTGGCCACACTCACCAAGTAAGCGTTTCTTCATCTCACCAGTACGCTACACCTCTCGCCGTATCGAACGCAGTCGATGACTCTGTCAATTTCACGTCTCCCTCCGCGCTACTTGCGCTTGGTGGTTACACTGGAATTAGCCCATCACCAGCGGTCCACGACGCACTTGGTGGCCACGGCTTGCATGATAACGATATCCAAAATTTAGGCATGCAAGGACTTAAGCTTGGAGTGGGTCGTGATAATGACGAAGAGCAAAGACACCGGATTGAGGAAGTGGTGTTATGTCTCCATGCGCGCGTTGCAGGACGGGGTGTGTCTCGGGAAGGGGTTGAACGATTGAGCCGGCTGGAGGGATTTGAATCGATCTGGCAAGACAATGATATCAATATTGCTGGCAATTTTGTCGACCTGGAGATCGAATTTCATGCTGGCCATGATGTCGTCAAGGATGTCAGCTTGCGATATGCTACGCCAGAGTTCACCGAGGGCGAGCGACGAGAAGAAGCGACTGCTGTTCTGAAGCGTAACCTTGCGCAATCGCCTCAAGACAGCGAGACAGGGAATTGGAAGTCACTCCAGGGTTTCTATGAGAACTTGCAGTGGCTCGCCAAACTGGATAAGCTCAGTCAAGAAGTGAACTGTTTTGAGGCGTTGGAAGGTCTTGAGGAGAACCTTAAGCGCATCTGGGTGGAAGAAGGGAAGAATAGCAAGTATGGCGGAGATTACGAACATCTCTGTTCTGGGATCATCGGTCGTCCAAGCATGCACAAAGGATCCCGAATCGGGCTTGGCCTGGAGTTTTGGGTCGACCAGGCCAAGGTCTTGGATGTCAAGGCAAAAAGATCGCCTGATGCAATGGTGATTGACGGAGAGGCCATTGATCTGGAAGACCAAGAACGCATATGGACTGTCATGATTGAGTGCGAAGAGGGATATCCGTCCCTTCGCATCTCCAAAGAGTGGATAGGGACCGAGGTCTTCACATCTGGCGATAAGTCCGAGTCCTCACCACCTGCTGAAACTGTGCGGTCTGTTGAATGGCTTGACCCTCCTCAGACTATGCGACTTTCGCATGGAAACCACCCTGATCCGATGGCTCTTGACTCCAGTATGCTGGAATCATCCCCGCCAAATCGCCGCTTCGTTGCCAAGCTAGAGCCACCCCTAGACATTCCTATTCTCGCTGCGTCCGACATCTATCGTCATCTTGGAATGCAATTACCGCATGAGTTTAAGATGTTTACATATGACTGGTTGCTGGTTTCAGACTCGACAGCAAGCGATGCGTCGCCTCAACCGAGTCGTAGAAAGCGCAGGATGTCTGTGTATTCCGTTGATTCAACCGGCACAACTCAGGTTAAACAACATAACTACACCTTCCAGGCATTCGAGTCCGTTGCAGGCCGCAAGATTCGTGAGCTTCCATTTTCCCATCCTCGACAAATTGCCGACATCCTTCCTGTATGTGAAACCCCGCGCCTTGACTGTTGTGAAAAAAAAAAGTCTAATAGAACTTAGGTATTACGTCAATACGCTTTGCTTGCAAGTTTGATTCGCAAAGTCTTCAAGACTCCTACTCAGGAAACACCCGACAAGACAGTATCTGCGAAGACGCCCTCGACGAAATCGACACCAACAAAATTATCTTCTGCCCTATCCTCTGGTCCAGACCCAAGTCTCTTTAACGGTTCAGAAAACACCATTACTCTCAGCAATGATGATCCGAACGAAGAGAAGCTCAATATGCTGCTCAGTGATGGGTTCCCAACTGCTGAAAATAGCGGCATTTTCTCGTGGTCCAACGACCAAGATGACCGACTTTTCATGAACGATGTCAAGGTAGACGTGACACTACGCTCACAACTTGGACAGTCTCCAGCCCTCATGTTGCTTATCACTAATCCCGGCAAAAATATCGGCAGCGTCGACAAATTTGTGCGCGAGTCAGTACAAGTCTCACTCTGTTTCGAGGTTGGCCTCAATGGTTGCATTTCCGTGGTCGACAGCTCGGGTCTCAATGCAACCAATGGCGATGCCGGGGACACCGAGATGCAAGGGACGGATGATAAGCCAAGCCTGCAGAATATCCACAAAAAGATCGCCAGGGTCTTGGAGACCTCGCAGGACCTGGGTATCCTGGTGGAATGGGTCCTGCGGGAACGGCTCGGCAGCGGTTAAAACCGAGTGCCGGAGATTCCGGTAACCAGTGTCTAGACCCAGACGACGTTAGGTTCAGTTTACCGTCCGCTGCGCTAGGCTGGCTTGGAATTTAATGACCTACCCGTATGAGTATTGCAAAAGGACAATTGCTCCCGGCCTCCAAGGGGTTGAGCTGCCATCCGCTCTGATGGAAGTTTGCGCCAGCGATATGTCCAAGGTGAAAAGCATGGCATATGGAGGCTCAAGTGCTTATCTTCCCGGTGACACAGTTCATAGATCTACTTTGCATATCATGCACTGGCGGGGCTTGTGCATGCGCCATGAGTGTCGCACAGTCCGACGGAGGACTGCCATCGACTTACATCTCCATACATGAAGTTTTCTGTATGGATTAACCTACATTATGATACCTACTAGCTAGTCCAATCTCCATTGGCTATGTATACTGAATGCAAGTTAGTACTTGGTCCAGCAAATAAACTTTTAAGTAGTTTGGTCTGAAGTGCCTCCTTGACGACTTAGATTCCTAGACTGATTTGAATTTCTCTAGACCACATTGAACAATCGTAATGGCCTTCAAGACCAGATCGCACCATATGATAATAACAGGGAGCCCTGATCATCTTGGAAGCGGCGTTACATCATTATGTCGTCGCACGCCGATCCGATAGACCCTTTGACAGACCCTTTGAGTTTTGCGGGGCGTACCTGTCTGCGCGGTTGCGTCGCGGTTGCAGATCCAGTGACTTTCCAAGACTTACTGGGCATCATCATCATCATCATCATCGACCATCATGAAAACTTTTGTATGAGGTATATTCTACAATTATAGCGACCCGCCAGACGCGAAAAAAAGAGAAAAGAAAAACTTAACCCCTCTTCGTACAGAGCTATGGAACTAATACCTCGTAACGGAGGTGAAACTAACTACGAGGCACTACTGTCAGCCACTCGCCGAGACTACCCCACCAGTTGAGGCTTTTGTTCTAGCTCGTCGTATGACATAGTTCGTTATCAGTGGATACAGTAGCAAGCCCTCACTAACTAGTAGTTTTATTCAAATTCCAGTGAGGCATTTACTGAAGGCGTCGAAATACCACGTATAGTGCAGACCTTGTCGTCTTGTATCATTACGACTCATGCTTTATATCATTAATATTGCCCAATAAATACCTTTTTTGCCCCTATCATTTCAAAAGTAATTCGTACGTTGGTGTTAGAAGATGTATCGAAATAGCTCGGCTCTTGTTTGCTTTTGACCTTCACCCGTGTACTCGGACCTTCGTTAAGAATTTACAACGCACAAAGCAGCCGAATTAATTTTTATTGAAATTTTCATTTATTTTGTTGAGTTTAGACTGGTGATCAAGTATGGCTCAAGTCCTCCGTTGACCTCCCAAACTGGGAGATATTACGTCTTAAGTATTGGAGCGATGACTATCACTAGTCAGCAGCGTGTGTCAAGCGGCCATTGAGCCAATGAACGCATCCCGATAAGCAATTCGGTTGTCGATCTATGATGGAACCCTTTCTAATTCCTGTTCTGCAGGTGGAGATATCATTTTGGGCGCCTGCATGGATAACAAGTGCGTTGTAATTAAATATCGACACTGTAGTGTGGTTGGTTGGAAGATCTTTCACGTTGCACGTAATCGTAGGGCGAAAAGAGTCTCGACTCTCGGCGTTCAGGCCGGATGACTAACGCCGAAGTTGTTTCAGGGGGTTACTATTCTTATCCTGAACGCGTACAGATGTACCTGATATTCCGTATTGGAAATAGAAAACAGAAACAGAGAGGCTGTGCAGGTGCAACATGGAGACTTTGAAGTACGGAGTGACCGTGAAGCACGGCCACATATATAGCCAAGAGAAGTATTCTTAGAATTGCCAGGGCTGACCAGAAAGTCGGGGAAATAAGGGTTCTGGCACTAATCCCTTCCTGAACTTCCCGACCTTAACTCGTCGACGAAAATACGGGGGAGGGAGATCTTGTCGCCACTTTTCTTGCTGCATAAACCTATCCCAAGCAAATCCTGCGATATCAACACCCTAGTACCTTTTTTCTATCATTCTTGGGTATTTTTTGCACTTTCCCTAACCTCGCCGATCAGTCACAAGATTTCTCGCTTGATCTTCACAGTCTTTGCTAAGCACACAATTACCTAAAGCGGATATCTTTACATAAATTAGCCGAGCCTTGATAAAAAATAAAGATAAAAAATTCAAAATTAAATAATCGAAATCATAATTATTATAAAAATTTCTTCTACGCGACGCGTGACTCAGTTTGCATTGGAAAAAACCCAGAAAGCACGACACCCATGGCCGGTGTCGGGGCGGTTCGAGAATCTTGGCCCCGTCTGATTGGCGAGTCGACGGCGGTTTCGAGAACGTTTTGCCACGCTCCACTTTAGCCAGGACTGTGACTTGATCGATCCCAGTCCCGGCGTGGCTGGGTTCTCCAGTTCGATGGGGTTTGCGGATCTTGTATTTTCCCAGAGTTGATACCATGTATGTACCGAAATACCGGTCAACCGGGGTGTAATTTTGCCTTGAGGTTGGAGATAGGTATCGCTTGCCATATCCGATGATGGATCAATTTCTACGTCTAGTTGACCTAGAATGGGACGGGTTAGCCGCTGCAGGTACGGCGTATCCAGGTGGGCTATTCTATAAAGAGATTGCTTATCGTGCCTAGTCTAGACACGCGGCGATACGGGGGTGATAACGAATAGCGCAATTGCGATTAGCACTAAGTGGTTAACGGAGAGCGGAGAACGGAGAATGGCATACTTCGAGTCGCTATAGTTTAGCTCTGAATTCGTATATGCTCACCGCAATTAATTCAATATGATAATCAAACGCGGAAAAAGCAAACTAAAAAACTCGATTCGAATCTTTGCTTTTTCCGTCAATCTAGAACTGTCTGCACGGATCAATATGCACCTTAGCTATCAACCCCTAGCAGCTGATATGCACCCTATTCAGAAAGGATCAGATTATTGCTAACCATCATTAGCAACAATATATCATTCTAGCTATCTTTTGAACTTTGCGATACGCAAGGATTTCTTATTTGCCGGTCAGATGAGCGCTTGAGACGGTGATCGAGCCGGGGAAAACGCTCCCCCGGACTCTTGCCCGCTCGGGATAAAGACATCCAGACGTGGGGATGTGCGGCGCGGGCAGGGACCACAGACCGCGGGGCGGACCAGATCTGGCAAACAGATGCGCATGTGCACATGGCATCTGTTCCTGTTCCCTCCAATTGATAGCGATTGATTTAAAAGGTTCCGAGCAGGCGTTCCTGTTGTTATCGGTCCAACGGGAGAGGAGGGATAGGATGCTGATTACTGGGGCTAATTACAAGGCCTGACCGCTGATTGGGCATAAATCGAGGTTATCACAAGTGTATCAAAGGACAATAACCCAAAAGAAGCAAGACGACAGGTTGACAAGGGTGGCGGTCTATGTATTGATACCAGACCATTTTTCAGTCTATAGTGCAAGGACAAGGATAGGAAGAAACCTCGGGAGAAGGGCCAAAGATTCCAGAAATGACGGGGAAACCGTCATTGTTGAAACCTAGTTTTCTCTGGAGAACCAGTCCGCGGCTTGTGGCAGATGCAATTGCGGAAGATCGTTTTCTTGTGATTCTCGTCGCCTGTAAAAAAACTCGGCGACGACCGGCACCGCAGCCTGTATGATGCGACGATGATGACACAGAAGAGGGGTGGCGTTGATTTTACTCGGTAAATAGACGGTGGGCTTCCCGTTTTGCGCTTGTCTCGCTTGCAATCCAAAAGTGCATATCAGAATATCAAATGATAGCCAAAAAGCAAAGATGCTAAAAAAAAAACAAAAGCCGGTCATGCGTGATTTTTTAGGAATTGGTTTCCCCAACGACCCCGGTTTCGGGTTAGAGAAAGGAATGTCTACAGTATGAGGCACTTTGGATCGGTAACGAAAAAGCAAATACCATACGTGGAGGACCAGGGATACGGTCCAGCCCCATACCGCTAAGCCCAGTTGGGGCTGATCCACGCCTTCCTGTAATTTATCCCGTTCTTTCCTCATTCTCTCCCCCACTTACAAAAAAAAAAGAACTCAAGGCGTGACTAAATTTAAATCTTTATCTTTCCTCCTTTTCCCCCCCCCCCACCATCTACAAAACTCCCCTCTTTCCTTGGATTTTACCATCCATCAGTTTTGTGTTCTATCTCTTCTTCTATCCTTCGGGATTCCTTTTAAGAAAAACCTCAAAACCCTCTCTGCTTGCTTGCAAGCCAAAACACTTGTTTTAATCTCCACACATACCCATAATCATTCATTATGGTACGTCACTCGCAATGACTCATGTCGGAAACTTGCTAACCAACGCCAGGCTGATTCAACTGTCGTCTCCAACACGGAGAATGTGCGTTTGATTCTTGTTGCTTTGAATTTCCACAATGGCGATTAAGCCAGAGAGGAAATGTTCAATACTGACTTCCCATGGGGTGTTTAGCTCATGAAGTACATGTCTCTTGACCAGCGTGGTTCCGTCCAAGCTGAGTACATCTGGATTGATGCCAATGGCGGTACTCGTTCCAAGACCAAGGTAAGCTATAATTTGTCTGTTGAGTCTTTCTTTTCGCGGGGTCGGATTGGTTGCTCTGGCATCGTTATCGCTCGATCGGCTTTGATAAGCCCTGTGCACGTACCCGATCGCGCCGCACGCGATGCCTGCAACTATCCGCATCACGTGAAATAGAGGGGCCTCCCATTCTTCCGAGCGTGTCACTAATGGTGCTTCTTCCTTAGACCCTGTCCAAGGCCGTGACCAGCGTTGACGAGCTTCCCGAATGGAACTTCGACGGTTCCTCCACCGGCCAGGCCCCCGGCGGTAACTCCGATGTCTACCTGCGCCCCGTTGCCATCTTCCCCGACCCCTTCCGCCAGGGTGACAACATCCTTGTCCTCTGCGAGACCTGGGACTCCGATGGATCCCCCAACAAGTTCAACTACCGTCACGAGGCCGCTCGCCTGTTCGAGACCCACGCCAAGGAGGAGTTCTGGTTCGGTCTGGAGCAGGAGTACACTCTTCTCGGTACCGATGGCTGGCCCTACGGCTGGCCCTCCGGTGGTTTCCCCGGTGCCCAGGGTCCTTACTACTGTGGTGTCGGTACCGGCAAGGTTTACTGCCGTGACATCGTCGAGGCTCACTACCGTGCCTGCTTGTACGCCAAGGTCGCCATCTCCGGTATCAACGCTGAGGTCATGCCCTCTCAGTGGGAGTACCAGGTTGGCCCCGTTCCCGGCATTGACAGTAAGATTTTTCCCCCCTTTCCATTATTGCTTTAGAGAGGCTGACCATCTTTACAGTGGGTGACCACCTCTGGATGTCTCGTTTCATCCTCCACCGTGTCGCTGAGGAGTTCGGTGTCCGCATCTCCTTCGAGCCCAAGCCCATCAAGGGTGAGTGGAACGGTGCCGGTCTGCACACCAACGTCTCTACCAACGCTACTCGTGCCGAGGGTGGTATGAAGGCCATTGAGGCCATGATGAAGAAGCTTGAGGCCCGTCACGTTGAGCACATCGCCGTCTACGGTGAGGGCAACGAGGAGCGTCTCACTGGTCGCCACGAGACCGGCAGCATCGAGAAGTTCTCATATGGTGTCGCCGACCGTGGTGGTTCCATTCGTATCCCCCGCCAGTGCGCCAAGGACGGCAAGGGTTACTTCGAGGACCGTCGCCCTGCTTCGAACGCTGATCCGTACCAGATTACCGGTATTATTGCCGAGACTCTGTGCGGTGGCCTTTAAGGATTGAAATCATTTTAGCGTTCCGATACCCTCCGGCATCACCTGGGAGTTCGGACCATGAGAGCGGCCTGACTGCATGAGGGAGCCATAGAATTCTTGCCTGTGTCTTTCTTTTTTCTCAACTATTTATCCGCGTTCCTGAACCCGAACAATTCTGCTCTCGGCGCCAGAGTTCGCCTCCTGTGTTCACATACCTCCCTTGTTGCACTCGCCGAGTCTCTTGTTTTTTTTGTCTTGAAATCGCCCTTTCCTGGGTTTATGTGTGACGTACAATAGCATAGAACCATTACATGGATGGAAAATCAACCATCGTTTTGAGAATCACTCAGGCTCTTCCGATCCACTCTTATCTCTTTCCACATATCTATACGTAGCTCTTCGCCAGGTGTCGATCAGGCTTCATGCATGCATGATCTACCGATCGCATCTTTCGTGAAGCTCCAAGATCCACATTCTTAATTCAACGTATGTTTCCATCTAATATCCGGCTAAATCCTAGCTCCGTTGTTTCTGGTGGCTTGAACGACCCCACACATGCATTATGGGGTTACGTTCCCGCCTCCGCAATCTGGTATACAAGGGTCCCAAGTCGAGCTATGTTTTCTGTTATATTGATAAGGAAATGTCCATTCTTGCAATCTATGCATTGCCAAATCCCTCCCACACACTCACTCAAGGTCTACTGTCGTTCACCGAGGCATCAATGTCATATGTGTGACTTTGGCTTGATTGAGTCATGAAGCTCTTGACCACGATCAAGTATGACTCGTGGTAAAGACTCATGGTCTACCTTGTCCAAATTTAGCATAAGCTTCAGGTGAAATTCTTGATCATCTGTTTTGTGACTACATTGGCACAAGGAATTCTATTTTCAGGATCTTGTGTTCACTGACGCAGCCGAGCACGGAAATCATCGTATATGATGCATTTCTTATCATCCAAGAATTAGCAATATAATTTGAAGGAGATTGCTTGTTACACCTGAATAGGTAATGTGCCCGCCTCATCTCCAATGAAAAAAAAAACAATGTTCCAGCCTCAGCAAGGTTTTTAGAATCTAATACACAAACTCGACCTTGCACTCGGAGCAGTAGCCCTCAGAAATGCCATAGGAATCACCACCTTTGGAAGACTCTTCGCCGTTGAAATATCCTACGCTTTGGTGGTATAATGATTTTCTGGCTTTATGTTTTAGAAGTGCCACGGTGCTCAATCCGACTCAATCCATATCATTTGCTACCAGGAGCTGCGAGATGCACTGCAGCCTCACGGCCCCACATCATGAGCTTCATTTCCTCAGGCCCATCTTACTTGAGTCATTGAACACGGGTTAAATGGAAATAGTGCCACTGTACCATGGCTCGTTGACCAGTTGACTGGGCATGTATAAACTGATATGGAGATAGGCGGTGCATTCTGAGAGATCAGAAAGAGGACTTATCACGAACAAATGTCTTTATAGGACCTCACCTTCACCTCCGCTTATGACATAGACTGCAAGCTTTTCTGGATAGTTGCACCCCTTGCCTCAAGGATGAAATCCCAAAATTGCTTATGGTGTCATAGGCAGCCCCAGTGCACTATCTATACGGATAACTGATGAGGCGAAGAGAGTATCCAATCAAACCTATCTCGTCGAGAACTTTAAGGTGCTCTTCAATCACAGAAGTAAAGAAAGGCATCTCCTATGAAATAAAGTTTTTAGATTCGAGGCACATGTCAAATTTTAGAAGTGAAGAAAGAAGCAAGAAATAATGATCTACATTACTTTACCCTGAATACTGCTACACGGGTCATGTTTACCTATCTCCGGAACCTAAGTGCGCCCTAGATCTTCGTGAAACGAAAGCCACTTGGCCAAGACAAAAAAGCAGACATAGTTATTTGACTCACGTGCTATCCCAAATTAAGTACATGCAGGGCCCAAGCCGCTCAGGTCCCATGTGTGCCATTTCCAGAGTCCTAGATAAAGTTTTGCTCGTATTCAGGCAATCCCGTGTTTAAGCCCCAACCCAACGCCCGTGTCCACCCAGATCCAAAATTATAGCCCTAAGTCCCATGGTTACGGTCCATATATCAACAACACTTTAATATTAAATGTATGAAAGCCGTTGGCCATATGTTGTACAGAAATCATACACGTTTACTGACTATATGAAAAATCATAAACGCTTTGGACAGTGTGAAAGCGTCTCGACATGCCAAGCATATTGCCTCGTATTTGACAACACTAACCCACCGCAAAAGCTGGGCAGATATGAGCAAGCGACGATGTATGAGATTTTCTAATTAGCCGAGAACAATATTTGATCCCCCTCTTTTAGTATAGAGCTAGCTGAGGAGTAAACCTATATAAACTATGACTTTGCGCCATTTCCGCGCATATCCTAGATTAGATCTCTCTCGTCCCAATACAAGCAGAGTATATACTCCACCTCAAGCGCACCAAAAACACAATGCTTCCCCTTTTCAAGGAAGCAGGTCTCACCCTGCTCTTCCTGTCATCCACATTCGCGGACACGCCCCAAAACCAGCCTCGCCTCCGTTCAAACGGCACCCTCAGCCTTGCCCAGTCCGGTAGCACCCTCAACGCCCGTGGCGACATTGATCTGGTAGAACGCTACTACTACTATGACTGTCCAACCGGCTATGCAGAGTGCAGCACTGATACATCCAAATGCTGCCCCACCGGCAACGGATGCTGCACAAGCGGCTACTGCGCCGATCCAGGCGATACATGCTGTACCATCGGAACGTGTCCCAGTGGCTGGAACTGCTGTGGGAACTACGGGTACTGCTCCCCCGTTGGGGGTGAGTGCTGTGAAGGAGGTTACTACTGTGATGTTGGGTACCAGTGCAAGATCTGGGATGGGGAAGAAGTATGTTGTCCTGATACAGGATGTATAGGCTCAGATGGGACGGGTAGCCTGGGCAATACGGTTGATGTTGGATCTGGTACTACGGAGACAGCGACTGAATTTGTGTCTGCTACTTCTTCTGCGTCGGATACTTATACTTATGAGTCTACGACGGCTGCTGGCTATACGTATACGTATGACAGCTATGAGTATGATTATTATTATACTACCTACTACTGGTGAGTGGTTTTTATGTGGAGTTTTGGGCGGGCAATGCTGATGTTCACTAGGTCTTACTGGTTCTATTTCTGGACTTCTTATTCGCCTTATACTGTGCAGACTGTGACCTCGACGGAGACTACTACCACGACTATCTGGTCTGTTTATGCGACTGACAGTGCTGACGCGCATGAATCTTTCTCGTACAGCGTTAGTGTCTACTCATACTATCCTCCTTATACTGCCACTTACTTGGAGAGCTCTACCGATCCAGTTCCCATTTCAACGGGTGCTGCAGGAACTCCGACTGCGACGGCTGGGAATGGGCTTGTTCTAGGCGATGGTGCAGCAAGTACAGTTACTGTTCGAGCGTGGGTCCCCTGGGCATATGCTACTTTTGGGGTCCTGGTGGGAGCTTTGGCTTTTGGACTGTGAGCTACAAGGTACATAGTCAATAAGATGAATGGTTTGGATATCTTTGGTTAAGAAATGCATATTGTTTGATCGAACATCCCAGTTCTGTTCATTTATCTACCAACTTCATACAGTCGTGTATATAATTGATCATAGTGGCCAGGCGAAGACCCAGTCCTCGAGCCCAGTCACGATCTTCTGTGAGAAGGGGGTTTTATGCACATGGGTATAAAACAAAAACAAAGCCAGAAAACCACCCAAATAGAAGATCTGTGTTCAGACATCCATACAGAAGGGAGCACGTACTTTCAGACTCCATCTGAATAGAGCGATATCACCAGATAATAGCGGTTCCCTGCCAGCAGAATTAAAAACACGCATCCAGAAAAAGAAAAGACAGTTCGTAAAGCCATTCAGTAAAGGATCAAGTTATTAGTACTTGTTTCTCATGCAGCAAGCTTAGCTGCTAGTGGAGATGCTGTCCTGATTGTTCTCGATATGAGCACCCTTACCACTCTCCAGCTGACCACTTGAAGCAAAGGTCTTTCCATGCTTCTCGGAGACATGACTGGCGCGGCGGAGGTGCTCTTCGGTGTCTTGGTAGTTGATGAGCAGCTCGCCGTTCTTGCCGTAGCGGTGGGGCTGGTTGCGAGCGACAGAGACGACGTTGAAGACACTGGTAGAATTCTGGAAGATAGTGTCCATCTCCTCCAAGGATCGGTAGGCGGTCTCTGGGTAGAAGAAGTAGACGACGGGAAAGATGAAAGCGTTGATGACCGCAAAGATGATGTAGGTTTGGTATCCGATGTTCTCGAAAGCGACGGGGGTAATCATGACAACCAAGAAGTTAAAGATCCTGGTCCTTCGTTAGCTCGGGTCCTAGAATGAGTGAAGTGTCCAAACTTACCAGTTTGCGGATGTAGAGAGGGCATTTGCAGGAGCACGGATACGCAGGGGGACAATCTCGGCCGGGTAGAGCCAGGTCATACCCAACCAACCCCAAGCGAAGAAGGTGTTGAAGACAAACAAGAACACCGCGGCGGCAATACCGGGCTTAGTCTCTCCCTCAAAGCTAGTGCAAATAGCTAGTACAGCCATAGAGAGGGACATGCCAGCAGCGCCGACCAACATCAGGCTGCGACGACCAACCTTCTCGATAATGAAAATAGGGATGAGAGAGGCGAGGAAGTACTCGGTACCATTGCAGGCAGCCATAATTCGTGATGTGAGACCATCCATGCCAATCGAGTTCTCGTAGATAGTGGCAGCATAGTAGGTGATCAAGTTAATGCCAGAAATTTGCTGGAACATCTGGTTGATGTACGCAAGAACGACGCGGTGCAAATGACGGTTCTCATCCATGGTGCACAGATCCCGGAAGCTAACGGTATCGGCGTCCAGAACGGCATCTTTGATTGCAGCGAACTCGGAGTGGATGTATTCGTCGCCCTCTGGAAGATCCAAGATTGCCGATAACACTTCCATTGCCTCCTCCTCACGACCTTTCATAATCAGCCAACGGGGTGACTCCGGCAGTGGAAGCACACAGGCGAGAATGACGAGCGTGAAGAAGTTCTGGAAGGCAATTGGGAATCGCCATGCCACTGAGCTGGGATCCAGGAAGGAGAATCCAAGGTCAATCCAGTAACTGATAGTGATACCACCCGCAATTAAGGAGCCTTCCAGCATAACCAGGGGGCCACGGTGGTGGGACTTGGAACACTCAGCTTGCCAAGTAGCTATATGTAATGTTAGCGGCCATGCAATTTGCACTGAGTCTCAGTATATGATATACTTACGGACGGTCGAAGTGTTCATGCCATTTCCAATACCAGTGAGCACGCGGCCAGCAATCAGATGTGGAAGGCTGTATGCACATGACTGCAGAGTTGCACCAATCACCATGATAATTGAGCCAGTGAAGATGGTCTTGCGACGACCCAGATAGTTACCAATCCAAATACAGAAGACGGCACCGAAAAAACAACCTAAGTTGTAGGAGGCAATTGTGATACCCTGTGTAGAGGAACGATTGCTTTTTTGAGACTGGCTGAGGCCCATCTCACCCGCCTTTGTGGTATCGACCTCAGGGAAAGTGGTGACAAATGAATTCAAAGTCAAGAGACCTCCCATAACACCCCTGTTCCGTTAGTAAGAAAACATGATGCCTGAAAACCTGAAGTAACAACATACTGGTCATATCCAAAAAGCCTGAGAGAAGCACGTTAGTCAAAGAATACAATGTCGAAGACTCATGATATAAACATACAAGAAATCCAGACCAGCAATAATACTGATCATGATATTTAGGGATGTACCCCGGAGTCCAAAGTATCGCTTCATGATGGCGGAAGTGAGTCGAAAGTCGTATACAATGTGCCAGCCAAGCCTTGTATAGGGAGAATTGAATAATAAAAATCCAACACAATGTCCAAACCAGTGGACAAAAGATTATGAGCAGAGACGATGTTAAAGAAAAAAAGAGAAAAGTTCAAGTAAGGTCCGGGGAAGCAGCTTGAGCTTATGAACCCACGTCAAAACGGCCATAGCGTGCACGAGACAAGGATCCACAACGATCGGGAACCTGTATTTGATTGAAAATGACGGGAACCACGAGAGATCGGAAGCAAGGTAGCATCCACGATGGCTACATATTCGCCGGATTGGGTGAGAAACACACTCCACTCCCCATACAGACATTGAACCGGGGAGAACCCCACTCTGAAGTGAACATCAAATCACCGGCTACACCTAGAACTTTTCATGTCTTCCACGATTCAGGTTCCACCGGGTCAGGCGGACATGACTTCGGGAACCAAAGGGCAACGACTTCGGTAACCATCCGGTATCATTTACTTGTACGGCCCAGTCATGGTACGGCTGCTGGTTGCAGAGAACATCGAATGAATGACCAGTGGGACTACACTCATGATGTCGGTGATTTTTTCCGTGACTCGCGTGGTTCCCTTTACTTGTTAAGGAAAGTGGAACAGTCCCTCTTTTATGGGGTCGCATATGGTCCCCCAGATTCCACCATTCCCCACGATAGAATGCATGGGGAGAGGGATTCATCAGAGAAAGGGTAAATGTGACAATGCACCTACACGAACAAGAAATGTGCTTGCATCATTTTGATGACTTTTTGTCGGCTCCTCGCGTCCTTCGGGCTCCCGGAGCGCGCCAAGTACGGCGTTGAACAGGGATCAGCACGCCCGACGGGATTTCTCGACATCACCGAGTCGGCTTTGGCCTCTAATTGCCCGTGCGAGCGTCCCGAAACTCTGCCGTCTCTGTATATACGGCACAATTTCGGGCCTTTGCTCGTCTACTTGCTAATAGAAAACCACAGCATTGGGACCCACATGTGCGGAGAAGGGTCCAAAAATGCAAATTTAGGCAGGACCTACCTCTCTTGGCGCGTCTATTCTGTCGGAAGGGTCTCGTCTCAATGCCTCGAACAGGGGACTCCCGCATTGGAAAACCTGGAAATTGATTGATCGCCATTACGGAAATAATCCAATGACGTCATCACCAGGAACGTGAGCATGGGGTCCAACGGTGTTCTGATATCATATTTTCTGAATATGGAGTATACAATTTCATTAGAATAACGATAGATTTGACATGTAACGCTAGCTGTAATCTACTGTACTCTATGGGGGAAAGAAAAGGAAATCATTATCGTCACTTTCCCCCGGCAGGGATACCCCAGCATTCGACCCCAGTCTTCTGGCCTGAATCTGGGGGTTCTCGGTGACCTTGGGTGGGCCACCCCAACAACACCTGACCGAATATTATCTGGACATACAAAGACTAGTAACGATGAATCTAGTCAATGGGATGAATAATGAGATCTGATGTAGCATTGGATCTATCGAAATCGACACGAATTTGTTCTTCCAGAATGTCGTACCACGCCAATGGTTGCCCGATTGGGGAACCCGTTTCGGTGGATCCCGGTCCAAATGTGTCGGTGTGGTGTGATCAGAAATCCACGATAGCTACAGTACTTGGGCCGCGAGATTCTCCATATGTCTATGCATGTGGCATGTAGGTTATATCCCCCCTGGCGTCAAAGGACCGCCTGAACTCAACGTGGCGGGATCGTGGCACAAGGTTCGAGGGAAAGCTTAATTGGAAGTACAATACTTCAAGATAATTAATTGTTAAGTATGAAGGCACTGGGATCTTTGGTCCTTAAAGTGCAAACTCTATCTGGTCTAGAACCTATAGCCTATAATTCCAGCAAAAAAAGTCTACCCCGCGGTATGCAAAATCAAGGCCGGATTTGGTCATCGTCGATAATCGATAATTACCGTCAAAACAGCGTATCACCATGATAACCCGTGCTATGAACACAATACATCTACCTTCAAACTTTATCCTGTAGCTAGTCACGACTATCCATCGAGCATCCCCTTTGTCTCCAGAAAAACCTCCCAATCCGAAACAAGAGCAAGCATCGCTCTCACGCAGGATGAGGTCATTTGGCTTGCCCCGACAAGTCATTGGTAGGACAGCCGTAAAACTTTGATATCCCGCGTGGTGATCGGCAATGCCGACAAGGATCAGCCCTGTACGCCGATAAGATGCCGGGTCGGAAACTTGGACTTCGGCGTTTTGCTGTTCCGACCTTTCGTCTACTCCCGGGCTGGTTGTGGCTCAGAGTGATGCCGTCATCATAGACTTTGGTGGGAACGCTCAAATGCAACCTCATCTCAAATTCATGGAGTCGATCGTGTGTCTAGAGCTGTCTGAGCAGAGGTGTAGTGCTGGGGAAGGGTTTCCATGTTTCGAGCTTGGTGATGGCCAGTCAGGAAGTCTGTGGAAGAGGATATGAAGCTTGGAATCCATCTTCAAATCTGATGAACAACACGTGCACCTACTTGGTCCGCGATTGGATAACAATATTGTTAGATTATTCAGGTAATGATATCTGATCCAGCCATATCTCCCTTCATAGCATAACATGTTATCTGCCGCAACCTTTAAACTTCCTTTCTTAACGATATAATAAAAACCTTGCAGATCACTTCGGTAACAATAAACGCCCAATGAGGGCGATTCTCACACAGTCAACATGAAACCCGGGAAGGGGACCTTGTCAATCAGGATAGCTAAACGGTACAAAAGAATCGGGTCCTCGATCACCCATGACACAGTCCACTGTCGTCACTCGTGAAGGTCTGAAGACAAGCAAAGAGCAAAAAAAACACAGCTCAGTGTTTGGTTGAGAGGGCCAACGTGAATATTCACTTCGGGGTTCTGAATCGGTTCAAAGCGTCTCCATAATCGAAATGGTTCGCCTTGCGGCGTGTCATTGACAGATCACCACGCCTGGTTCTTAAGATCGTCATCATCAGTCACTGGCACAGTGGTACCAGCGGCAGAAGCTGGTCGCGAGCCAGCAGTCGATCTCTGTCCCTCCGGGTTGTGATCATGGGCCGTCTCGTTGTAGCCAGCGTCGACTGAGTCCTCAGGCTGGGGGCAACGATGCACAGTGTGGCCAACTGGTATGTATTATTAGCAAATGTTTTCGGGGCACTGAAATATTGATCTGGTCGACTTACATTCGCCACAACGGTTGCACTGGACCTTGGACCAGTCCTTGGGCTGAGGACATTCACGGCTGGAGTGACCTACTATTTCCAGTTGTTAGCGCCGGAACACTCGTTGCCGTAAGTTATCAATGCGTTTCGAGGATGTTTATTGACACATAACCGCCAAAGAGAATGATATAAAACCGACAGGGAGGTAACTTACGCTGGTCACAGTTACGGCACATGATAGTGGCCGGGTCGCGAGGCTTGTCACACTCACGAGCGATGTGATCCTCGGATCTATTTTCGTTAGCCGAAGAATGACATTCACAGAAAGACACATTACATACCCGCAATTGCGGCAAGTGCGCGGGCCCCGGTCTTCACCACCCTTGGGGCAGTCCTGGGCAAAGTGACCGACTAAAAGGTCAGTATGATGCTTGAATGTTAGGCTGGAAGCAATTTGTCATACGTTCATGGCACCGGCGGCATTCAGTGTCAGGGGGGCAACCCGAGGCTCGGGGCACTCCTTAGCCTGGTGTTCATCGGAGCTGCAAGTGAGTCAGTATTTCATATTGCACTTTCAATTGGAAACAAATCTTACCCGCAATTGCGGCATCCATGCTTGCTGCGACGTGGCTCTGGGCAGTCACGCACACGGTGGCCGACTGCCTCGCAATTAGAGCATTTGATTTCAGTGCGCTCAGCCTCAGTGCGCTCCTGCTTGCAATTCTTTGCAATGTGGCCGATTTCTATCGCTCTGTTAGCAATTACTTAGCTCAAAAGTGGGTAAGGGGAATTGCAAATACCATCACAGTTGCGGCACTTGACGACATAGCGATTGCAAGAGACCCCTGAATTTGCCAATCGCTCAATGTTGTCCTCAGGGCTATCAGGCCATCTGTCATTGAGAATATTTCGCGGGGAGTTAGGGCCGCGGTAGAATGCCACAGTGTATTTCTTGTCCAGGTTGCCTTGGAGGTCAATCAGAGTGTGCATATCTCCAACTTCCTTATCCTTTATTTGAGATCGGCTGTTAGCGGTTCCATTGCCAAAGCCACTGTGAATGTAACGGTAATAAACTTACCACTGCAATCGTGTAGAGGAGAAAGTTATCCTCGCGCATTTTCTTTTCAATTTCAACGTAGGTAGCCTCGGGAGCTGCCTTGGAATACACCTGAAGGGCCTTGGGTGACTTATCAGCAATCGCCTTTGGTATCATTTCAATGAGGGACTTACCGAACGGAATGCCTCAGTATCCGTTCCTGCGGCCTTCATCATGTCCCACGCCTCCTCTGGCAATCTATCTGCAACTTTGTTCAAATCGAACTTGCGCGGCGCTGTGCAGACAAATGCTTGGTGGCCTACGAACGGCATTAGCTCAGTCACCTAGAGACGCCACGATATATTTGCTAACCTTCAGCTCCACAGTTGCGGCAAACATCAGGAGGTCTCTCGGGGCACTCCGAAGCCGGATGACCTTCCTTCTCGCAAAGGCGGCAGGTGCCTTTAAACACTCGCGGGTTGGTGCACTCGGTCTTAGAATGGCTATTATTTGTTAGAATGGGGCACTAAGCCATCAGAAAACAACATACCCTTCCTCGCCACAGTTGAAGCAAGCCCCGCTGAACTTGCGGGGCTGGGTGCAGTCCGCCTTGGAGTGGCTATCATAGACATGAGTCAGCGGTTTATATTCAAATCTTGTGCAGTGTAGGGATGGTCACCCTTCTTCACCACAGTTGAAGCAAGCGCCGAAAGACTTTGGAGGCTCGGTGCATTCGGCCTTGGAGTGGCTGTCATAGTTACACTCGTAAGTATCGGCACAATGACAACAATCTGGAGAATATTACTCACCCCTCCTGGCCACAGTTGAAGCAACCGCGTGACTGTTGCGGGTATGACGAGTACTCGGGGACCTCATTTGGACAGTTGCGGGCGAAGTGGTCTGAACCACCACAGCTTTTGCGAGTCAGTTAGCCATCTTCTCTTCCTCGAGCCCACAACAACTCACATGCGGCAAGCATTCTCATCGTAACCGCCGCCAGAGCCCTGATTTCCCTTCGGGCTGCTAGCATGATCATAGCCTACTGTTGACAGTTAGTTGCCCCACTATCAAGTACCCCATGGTAAGACCATTTCTCGACTTACCTTCGGGCTTTCGGCCCCAGCGGGTCCCATCTTCTTTCTTGTCGGGATCCCAGGAGGCGCCCTCGGCGGCATCATCATTCCAAGTGTCAGACATCTCGAAGAAACACTGTATGAAATGCATTAGTTCGCGAAATTAGCTAAGAGCCCGCCAAATAAAGTTCCTGTTTGTCTGTCTTCTATCTTCGAAAAGCAAAACAGAAAGGGAAAAAAATGTGTCAACAGGAAGGTAGACAAGGCGCGTAATGAGAAAAAGAGAGCAAGATGAAACTCAACAAATTTGTCTCAAGTTGCTCAAAGAAATATCATGGAGAAAGTGAAAGGTATTCTGGTGAAGTGCCATACAACATGATGAGGCGGAGGGAAACAAGATATCTTCATATTGCAGGGGCTCACAATCAAGCACATGGAAAAAAAAACCAGGGTTCCTTCAGAAAGATATGGAAAAAGTACTCACAGGATGTTTGTTCACTGAGATGTGAGGTGGGGGAACAGCGTTGAACAGCAAAGTGACGTGGTAAAATTAAGATGAGGAATAGGATCCAAGGAACGAAATGTCGTATGAATGGATCCTATCCTGGTTGCGGGGATTGCGAATTGGAACCAAGAAGGAGAAGGAGAATGGGAGTGTGGAGAGAGGGAGAGAGATGCAGAAAGAGAGAGAGAAGAAAAGGAAGATGGATTTCACGATGAGAAATAACAAAAACGAAGGTTTGACAAACAAACGCATCGCGTCTACCCCAGTTGACACTCCATTTTCCAAGTGCTCTTGACGACAGCACATCTAAGCATCCGTTTTTATTGATGGCTTTGGTATAACACATCCAAATTGATTGCTGTATGAAAACACTTTAAGCATACATGGAGTAGAAGTCTTGATAAAAGGGTCATCACTATTTTCTAGCAGATGAATATTGTGCAAATCTGATGATTGCATCAAATCACCGGAAGAACCTGCCCAGCAGGCCACTAGCCAAATTGTTCACAATGCCACCTCCAAGAGCGCTGTTCGCGAAAGTCGAAGCCTGGCTGAACTTATCACATCGAGAGAAGGCCACGGTGTTTGTAATAGTCAGAATGAGGGCAATGGCTGCGTCCGTCAAGTTAGTTCAATACATTTCCAACAAAGGATCATTATATGCCAGGATCATCTTACCAACTAGACTGAGCCAGATCACGCTAACTAGTCTCACAATCGCCAGAATAGCCAAACCCACCCACAGAGCCGGTGTCACATACAAACTCAACCAGAAGAACCGTTTGTCCGTAGCTGTGATTGTGCGAACATTGGGGTCGGAGGATTCGAAGACCCAGTGCGAGTCACCGGAGGTTGTGTTAACCTCGTTCCACCACCGTAGTCCAACTAGTCGCCGCCCAGCAATGTTTTTCAGGTAGTAGAAGTCGGCCGAGAGAAGGAGGAGTGTCAGGATGAAGACGAGTACGCTGTAATCAACTAGTTAGCTCGGGGATCGCTGCTAGCTAGCGGAAATAGCTCCAGGGCTCATTAGACACTAATGACGTACAAGTTTTCGATGAACAGAAGGCCGAAGAGATACATCATCAGGGCACCTGCCCAGATAGTCAGTTAAGCATTCTATCAGTGGTCAACAAAGTGAGCACTAACCAATGCGGATACCCAAGAAGACAAGTAGTGTGATCGGGTGGGAGCTTAGACGCCAGTTCAGCTCTCCTTGAGCTCCTTGATCCATGATGAGCGACCGAGAACCGTAGGTTCTGATGCCTCGAAAATATGGTGGTTTCACGAATCGCTGCTGTCGCAGTGGCAGTTGCAGTTCGGATCCCTGATGTGTTCACAACATAACAGGCGGCAGGCGGTAGGAGATGACAGAATAACACCGCCTTCAACGCTTATTGGTCAATGTCCACACTACAGTACGACATGCATGTATGCACGCGATGAAAGAGCGAGCACTTGTGAAGAGATAAGTGTGATGATTGAGGGATAAATCATGATGGAAGTTGCCAGTTTGTTGCCTTCTTTGTGTTGTACGCGACAAAGTCCATGGACTTTAGGTTTGTTACCCGGCTGGGATATTAAGACTAGGGATACTTCCATACTAGTAGCTCAAGGCGACCGATCTATTTATTGGCACATGAGGGTGTGCCTGAGCATGGTTCTGGGTGCTTCGGTCCTTCTGATAAAGCAACATATGTGGCGTCGATTAATATCCGAAGGCAGACTTTCAGGGTTCGTGGGCGTTAAAAGCCTTTAAGCACCTATAGTAAAAAATTCTGACTTTCTTTCGCTTACAATTGCGATCAAGATCAGATACCAATATTAGACTATGGTGCTTTGGCTTGCAATGAGAGATGTAGGCACACTGACACTTCCTACCTTGCTGCATCTGAGAAGCCCATGCACGGGCTACATATCTTGTTTTGTGGGGAAAATTGAGATCCCTTTTTCTTCTTGATGCGGACCCCAATATTGAAAATAATATTGGGGTGTGTCTCGAGAACGGTAAACAATTTGACAAGAACAAGTGTCATTGAGATGGATTGGATGTAATCTGGTTAGTCAGAAAAGTCAGCGGTCGCCATTTACCTTACCAGCAATGATACATGATGCTCAAGTGTTGATCAGTCATCTTCATTCAATACTCATACTATTATGTACAAAATTAAATGAACTGTGTATCCTCCCGGGCCAAGTGGCTATCATGTTCACCCCAACAATAACATGGTCGTTGCACCATATTTATGCACATGCAACATATAACTCTCCCTTGACTTTGATGAGACATGGGTATATTTGCACTTGAACAACATCATTGAATTTCCAATCCCTCTTTTGCTATTCAATTGCAAACATATTGCATCGTCCCGAGGTTTTCAGAACAGGTCAGACCTGAGCAACAAGGCGCAGCACCAGCACCGGTGCAAGCCGCGCCAACTATAAGAAATGGGTTAGCATGTACCCAAGGCATTGAAAATTTTAGACCATATACTTACGACCACTGCATTCAGCGCTAGCCAGAGCAGCCATGGTAGCAGCAACGACAATACTGAGGAGTTTCATTATGAGATCCAGTTTATGGTGGAGGGAAAGTAATGACTCGAGACGTGAAATTGAATTAAGGTTATCAAAAGCTTTTTTTTTTTTTTTTTTTGAAAGAAGTGTACATCCCTATTTATATTCTCCTTTGGATTCTGGCCGGTTTCGGAAGCTCTAGTGAATCCTGTGAATCCTGTTAGCTATTTGGCTCAGTAATGTAGCTTCGCGGGAGCGCGGATCTCCACATGCAACCCTACTTATCGAATCAGATAAGATCGAATTTGATCTACGTACTACAGTACCAGGCCAGGAACATAACCCCACTAGAAGGTTTTTTTCTCTCTGGAGCAATTTTCGCCCTGGATTTGTGTGACTGGTCATTAAAATAGCTGCTCTCGTCACCTACGTCTCTAATTGGCTCGGGTCGCGCTCACACAAAGGATCGATACAACCATCATTGAATGTTGAATCATTTTAGCTCTAGAAGGGCTCCAAATAAAATTCTATCGGGGTTACATCAAGCTCGGTCAATAAATAAGTTGTCATTCCATCAAAAGGCTAGATGCAGAAATTTCATGGCAACGTCTCTTCACAGGAAACAGAGAGCATTGTCAATGAAAAATCTAGTAATTGGTTCAGAACCCATTCAGAAAACAAATCCTGCGATGCATGCCAATCTCATCCTCTCCTTCGCTTCTCATAACAGCTATGGTGATTGGCGAACCACCCTGTGGGCCACTGCTTAGACATATGTGACGGTGACACTGTCCGAGGTAGAAGAGGTAGAAGTAAGAACCTCTCCATCCTGCTCAATGTCCATAATAGTGGCACCAGATGGTCCAACAGTGCTACCGTTATCAGTCGCCTCGGCATTGCTGAAAGTGACAGAGCCAAAGTCGGCAAAGGAAACAAGGGAGTCGCCCTCTTCAAAGTCCTCGACGATCCACTCAGCGTTAAGCTCACCAAGGTCGCCCTCAACATCCCTCGAGAAGGTGTGGGACACAGTCTGGCCAGTAGAAATATTCTCAATTGTCGCAGTGCCCGAAGCCAAAGAACTCGCTTCCACGGTCACCTTGATCTCATCTCCCGCGGAGATGTCAATGTCGCTGAAATCGTAGGCATAGTCGGGGTACCACTCGTACCAAGCATCGTAGCTCACCTGGCCATCCTCAACGATAAAATCGACACCGGTCTGCAGGATTGCCTCGCTCCAAGTGTCGCCATCGATGCCAACCCAGGCAGAGGCGGCGGAGTAGGAGGAAGAGGAATCCGCGAATCCTCCGCCGAATCCCCCGCCGAAACCTCCACCAGATCCTCCGCCATTGCCACTAGCTGACTTCGGGGTTGGGACAGTGAAGGTGCCCGTAACGGCAGTGTAGCCCGACCCAATGAGGACAGCACCGGCCCAGTTGGAGCTGTACTCCTCCTGGGTAGTCTCGTTGAAGTTGATAACTTCATGAGTACCAGGCTTGTAGGGAGGATTGCTGTGGCGCTGGACCGACTGGGTCTCTGCACGAGCAATGCGGCGAGCTTCGTTGCGTGCTTGACGTTTGGAAGTCAGAGGTGCAGCAAAAGCGGCAGTAGCAAGAAGCATACTGCTAACAGCGGCAGTGGAAAACTTCATGATGACGATTCGAATTGGGAACTTGGGAGGAAGGCTTGCTTTGGAATTGATTGAACTTGCTCGAGTGCTGATCGATTCGAACTTCAGGCCAAGAAGGCAAGCTTATATAGCCAGCTTCGGCTCTTTTGATCCGAGTACTTTGGCTCAAAGTCCGAAGCATTTCATTCTCTGGCCTGTTTAACATCTTGCGATCAAGTGTCGATGCAACATCAATATCGAGATAAAAATTCCATAGGCTGTTCATAGTCGAAGACGCACGCTATAATGGCAGATTTGTAGCGCCGTCGGAGACCGATGTAGGCGTGAAGCTTGGTCGCGCAATACTGTGTTTTGCAGGCGCCTAATGAAGGAAAAGGCTTAGCTTCCGCCAGGTGACATTTTAAGATCGCGATGTTAAAGCAACCTGTCGTTCAGTAACTAATAGTAATTGCTCCCTAATATGGCCATTGTGGAACTGCCCGACCAGTCATAGGCCGTCCAAACAAGACTGTCGGCTTGAAGAGTGTTCCGGGGCCGAATTCGTTAGCTAGAGACATTTCGCGGAGTGTCCCCACCTCATGCTACAGTAGTCTTATCGGTGTCCACAGCGTCAAACCGGCTGGGTAGCACCTAATATAGTGATATAGGGCTTTCTGCAGCTCATCATGTGAAATAATAATGTTTCCATTATCATAGAAAGTGCAAATTACTCCAGTGTCCTAAAAAATAATATACAGCTGTGAAGCAAACGAGTGTGGTGTTTACTTTGGACCTCCTCATTGGTTAATCGGGGCCCTGAATCAGCCACAAAGCCCCTTGAGCGTCCTCCGCTCCTCCGGTCGGTGCTAGCGGAGTTCAATCAGACCTGCAGAAGTTCGTCAGATAAGACTCCGGACTATCCGTGAGTTTGGTCCAGAACTTCTAGGCGGTTGAAGCCTTTTCCGATCGCAAGATGTGTGCATAAATGGCTCTTGACAAAACTGATCTATAATGAAAAAGTAATTCAACAGATGGTAATGTCAGGGTTTGTTCTAAACACACCCCAGGAGATCCAGATTTGTCGCCGATATGATCTTGTGACTTGAGTGAAGGTGGGTTCCTCACAACAATCGAGAACGGCGTTCGTTTCGCTGAGCCAGCAAGCCTAAAACCAGCTTCTGAGCTGCACTAAGCCATGTCATTATCGAGGAATTTCAGTCTCGTGTTTTTCTAGCCCTGTCGTATACTGCTCGACTGACAGCCTTGGTCCCTTAAGACGGGAACATGCGACAGTACATGCGAGGATACACGCGAGAATACGGGCGCAAACGGCGAAGGGATACAAGGCACCTGTAAATCAGCTATTGCTAAGCACGGTTTAGGTCAAATTTGAGTAGCGTCAAGAAGGTCTCCGCGCCTGACAATGCGAAATACTTAAGTCTTCGGCTCGGCGTAGCTCAGTGTGGGTCCATGGCATATAGGCTATTCCGAGCGCCACCCGAGCTCTCGGCTTGCAAGGAACTTCCCGGACGCGAACCACATATATCAACGCCGAGACCTTGGTTAGGATAACAGCAGTTCAAACTCCAAAGACTGTTTGAATCATGTCATCTCCCGCAATGGCTGCCCGCAATACTCTTCGCCGCTCCCTACTTTACGGTAAGAACGCCGCGCAGCGCGTCTTCCCCGCATTTCAATGCCGAAGCTTTACGATCACCACAGAGCTGACCAGTGACTTGATGTACTAGTCCCGGGCTCTTCGCAGCGCTTTCTTGACAAGTCTCGCTCTTTGGCAGCAGACTGTCTCACCTATGACCTCGAAGACAGCGTCACTCCGCACATGAAAGCGGAGGCACGCTCCCTCGTGCGGAGAGCGATCGACCAGCCCACACCGAGTAATATCCGGGAACGAGCAGTGCGAATCAACTCGGTCGACAGTGGATTAGCACTGGGCGACTTGACCGAAGTGGTGAGCGGACTTAAAAACACCATTTTCAAAAACCAAAATACTAATATCACCCTAGCTGCAATCCCCGAACTTGACTACCATCGTTATTCCCAAGGTCAACTCCGCTTCGGACCTCACTTTCGTCACAGACGTGATAAATCACACTCTTTCGCAACAGAAGAATCAATCCCCAGAGTCTCGTCCCCCAATTTCTCTTCTCGCCCTTGTCGAATCCGCTAAATCCCTCACAAATTTAACTCAAATCTGCTCCTCCACCCCACTCCTCCAAGGTCTCATCTTCGCTGCCGAAGACTTTGCCCTAGACCTCAGTATAACGCGCACCCCTTCGTTAACTGAATTCCTCTTCGCGCGCTCTGCAATCGCAACAGCCGCCCGCGCCGCAGAGCTCCCCTCGACAATCGATCTGGTCTGCACAGCCTACAAATCCGATAAAGCGGATGGCTCCCCACCCGCGACGCTGGAAGAGGAGTGCCGCGATGGAAGACGACTTGGATTCAATGGAAAGCAGTGTATTCATCCGACGCAGGTGAAGACGGCGAATGCTATTTTTGGACCGGATGAGGAGGAGACGCGGTGGGCTGTTCGGGTTGTTATTGCAGATGAGAAAGCTGCTGCTGCTGGACGAGGTGCTTGGACGATGGATGGCAAGATGATTGATGTGCCGGTGGCGGAGAAGGCGAAGGCTATTGTTAGGAAGGCGGCTGCTTGTGGGATTGATGTTGAGGGGTTGCAGAAAGAGTGGCAGCATCAGGAGCCTGAGTAGGGAATTCTTTATGAAGATGAATAATTCGAGAATATATGTACATACATACATAGCTCACTGTTGGGCAAACTCGACCAGTTACCGAGGTATTCATGTTCTTCTCCAGGGCTTTTAGCAGGACGTGATAAACCACAATCATACCTACCGACCTTCATATGAAAGCCAACATATTAGGGACATTACGCGGGTATTAAGGGTCCACATACTTATACGGATTTTCTTTGACAGATGGGGTTCCCTCTATATGCCACCGCTTTTATAAGGGCGCTCAGACTCAGGCTCATTGAGCGGTTCATCATCTCACATGATACGTTAGTGACGTTCAGTGAGTGAGCCTTCAGTGGTCTTTATTTGCTGCTCATTGACATATCGCGGTGCTTACAATGTGGGAAAACTTCATACCTAACTGGAAATCGCGCCAAATAAAGTTAAGGCTTAAAAGCTACGCTCATCATGTATTTAGACCAGTCCATGTCTTATGGGCATAGATAGGTCTGAATATATATGTTTAGACCATGCATGGAGGGCCGGCTGTGCTGATCATGCTATCGAAATGTCACTTCAGTTAAAGGCTCAACTCGTTTTTCGTGAAGTAAATTTTGGAGGCAAGGACATTTAAATTCAATGCAGGTGGCAATCAAAATAGTGAACTTCAGTAAAAGGACTTCTAGCTACCCATTCATGGCATTATCCCTCGTAGAGGTTTCATTATCACCTTCAATGTAAAGACCCCGGGGCCCTCGTCGCTTCTTTTCTCGCAAAAAGAATCAATTAGACAATTATTAATCCACGCTGCTTCATTATATTAATCAAATGCTAATAGCTCAATGATTGTCCTTGCCTCTTTCACAGGTAATAAGCAGACTGGTTTTCGGTCCGCATCATAGCCTACACAGAAGGTGGCTGGGAAGTCGGATCCAGGCGCGACAGTATGCCAAGCGGTTTGTCGTTGTTCTAAATTCTCAATTAAGACCCAAAACTACGGCACTGACCCCCTAGACGGCCCAAATAGTTCGGTTTTCAATTCTCAATATCCTAGCTTTAAGCTGAGAGATAGCGGTGCACATAATTGATCGAATTTCAGTATGTACTTAGATTCGCAGATTATAGCTTGTGGGGTCGAAGGATATTTTGTTGCGTCATACACGCTACTAGGTTACCATTCCGATCCCATAGTCGCGCCTCGCTATAGGTCCTTCCTTCTCCCCCACTGATGGTCTTCATTTCTTTCAAATGCCATTCATTTAGATCAACTTTGTTTGAGAACAGGCGCAGGGCAACATCCAGGCTAGCACAGGCCGACACATCCTCAAGAAACAAATGACTATGGGTAAGAGGTAAAAATGAAAGCGCTTCGTCCATGTGAAAAGCAAGGGCACTGAGCTGCTGCGATTCGGTTTCAATGTGGGATTTGCTCCGCATCCATTCCGCCGATGTCTTGGATGTGAGACTCAGATGGTCTTGAGTTGTTCTGAGATGCTTTCCAATTCCGTGGATTGTCTGCTTCGTCACGCCTTCAGGTACCGGCTTTTGTTCAAAGAAGCGGGACATGAGACCAAAGAGAGTATCATTTCTCTGGAACATCTCCGAGGATATATCACCGGTCCGCAGTAATGCTTCGCAATTGGTCTCTCTGGTAGGGCTTGATTCGACATCTGAGTACTTCGCTGCCGGAGGCGAAGAATAAGTCAACATAGACCCTCGCTCTTGTACTTGGAAGTCTGCAATTATGGTAAGGCATGATCGTTGGGTGCCATTATCGTGCTCTTGAGTGATGTCCACCTGTCGGGTTGCAAATGTCCTCGTGTCTCGAATACGTCGAACCGTGCAATGCAGTTTTTGGTTGGTCAATGCGGGGCCGAGGTAATTGCCCAGGACTGAGTAGAGATGGTAGCCGGAGGAAACGGTTTGATAGGCTGCGTTGACTGCGATAGAAATGGTGCAGCCACCGTAGGCGATATTGAGATCATTTCCCATTTTACCTGGGTTGAAAGCTGACACGAAGGTGGTATCAGAGATTTTTTCGAGCGCAATTTGCTCGACAATGGTTGATGCTAACGACATGGTGTTGGACTAGCAATCAAAATGCTTCAAAAGCTTTGTGGGAGCTGAAAAGGAGTAATTCCAAAGGGGAGGCAAATGGTATATGTGGGAACGATTACGGATTAACGGATCGGCTAGTTCCCCGTTGGCTCAGTCGACTATTCGGATAGATTTGAGCCTTTGCGCATACCCGATTCAATAACGGATTCTTCTTGCAAATCCACGGATACTTCTCCGTAGCTGTATTTTGAATTGACAACCAATTAGAAAAAAAAGCATTCATCGGATCGGATGCTTTATCTCGGAGAGTTCTATGCCTGTAGACTGTTGCAGTCGAAGTGGGTCCCGGAGAGCTCATTCATAATACACCCCATGCTGAACCAAGTCTGAAGACAACAGTATTCAAATTGACAAACGCTAGAACAGAACAAGCGTGAATATTGGAGAAGGTTGTGAGTCAACAATGACATTCGATATCGAAAAGCTACCAAAAGTCGAGTTCGTGAAAATTTGATACATCGGCGCGTTTTGATAATCCACTTCAGCTGACTAACGGGGATGCTGCGACGATTGTTGGTCAAAACTCTCTGGGACTAGACTTGCTTGGTTCGATTTACCCATAACGCATCTGATGGCAACATCGTCTCCCAGCTTGAAAATAATGCTTGTTAAAGTTATGCCTTTCCATGTGATCAGCCTTGTTTACCTAGCTGGATCTTCCAGCATGTATATGTAGGCCCTGTCTCTGCAGGTTTCCGGAATTCACCATATCTCATATATACCTAGCGAATGGTGGAAAAGATACCCCAAAAATGCTTCTCACGGCACCATTTACAGCCACTGCGCTGTTGGCTCTGTCTGGGTAGCAGTCCACAGTATATGCAAAAGACTGAATGAAGATAATGTACATCCCACAGCCAATCAACAATCTTGAGCAAACTTCACTGGGCCACGGGATTGTGGACATTGATGTCCACCCGTACCAGAGCAGTCCAACAGGGACAAGGCAGCCTTCAAAGATCATTACTGGAAGGCGAAGTTCAGGCTCAAGCTTGCCATACCCAGCAACTTTACGTTTAACATACAGCTCGGTATATAGGACAACCACTCCGGTTCCCAAGAATACCCCAACAAGAATGTTCCGACCGGCTGTGAGGGAAGAATCAGGTCTACCTGATATTTGAATTAGATCTTCAAAGTGAGATTCTTTTGCCTAGGTAGTACAAGCTTGACCACATCAGAAATTGTTTTTCGACAGCAGTTCAGATGACGTCGGCACCATCAGTTTGCGGTGGGTACGATGGGGGACTGGAAAAATATAATGGCGGAAGCTTCTCCAGTATAGAACAACTTCTAGTCTTCTCCCAAAGACAGTCGCCATAAGGCACCCAGGGCCACAGGTCTTGCCCTGTGTCTATTACCACTCGCCGGTTGCTGCCTATCACTTGCCGCCCTATCCGATCGGTGCTACTCTATACGATAGTGGAGACAGGCTGATGGACTTGGCCGTATACATAATGTTCTAATAGGCGTGTTGGAATCTCGACATATTGGTTGGAAGATAGAATCTTAGTTTTCTAATTTACTGTACATTGTGTCTACGAGTGGGTCCAAGGGGCCTGGAAAACGAGTACGCTCAAATTTCCTATTGAAGTATGATCTGCGACAAAATGCTCTACGTAGCTATGTATGGCCTTGGATGCGAACCCTATGCCACGTAAGACAATCCGATAGAGTTATAGATGATGCAAATCCTGCCAAAGTGGCATATCTAGTTCGTCGGCCCAGCTATTTTGAGAATGCAAGTACCGAAGATTTGCCATGGTATGCTCCACACTATGTGAAATGAATTCAGGGTCTTTCGAGTAAATCAAGGCAGCACTTTCTGGACGGAACTATATAAACGCTGGATGAGTAGAAAACATTTCAACTCAACCCGATATTGATTTCTCTTCCTTAGCCTCATATCCATTACTACAGGCGCCACATTATGGTGCTCCTTTCACCAATTTTACTCTTCTCCACTTTGCTTTCGACCGCGGCCCTTGCTAGCTCAAATTGTAAATCCACGCCCAATGATCCGACTTGGCCAGCTGTCGAGGAATGGAAAAGCCTGAACCAAACTATTCGAGGTGCCTTGATAAAAACTTCCCCCGCTCCCTCATCCTGCTATGAAGGTAATCCATTCAATTCCTCTACGAATTGTTCAGATGTGACCAAATATTGGACATATGCCGCCTATCATTCAGCTTGGCCTGAAAGTGTCGACTACTCTATTTTCACAAATAACTCTTGCTTGCCCCCTGGTGCCGAAGGTTACACTAGAGCCCGGGGCTGCAGCGTTGGGGCTTTACCGCAATACATTGTGAATGCTACAGATGAGCAACAAGTTGTTACTGCACTGCAATGGGCAACAGGGAGAAATATCAGGGTCGTTGTCAAAGGAACAGGACATGACCTAAGTGGCAGGTACTACACCCCATATTTCTGCACTGGCTGTGATTTTTACTGATTCTGGAAACAAGATCTACAGGCGCATATTCACTTTCGATCTGGACTCACAACTTCAAGCACATTGAGCATCAACCCGAATGGCCACTTCCCGATGGAAGTGGAACCGCCGATGTAGTAATTTGCGGGAGCGGTCACACATGGGGAACTGTTTACAACGCTGTGCATGCCATGAACAGGTCTGTTGTGGGCGGCGAAGACGCAACCGTTGGTCTTGGTGGACTTATCCAAAACGGAGGTCACGGTCTACTATCCAGCCACTATGGGCTTGCATCGGACCAGGTATACCAAGTCACCGTCATCACAGCAGACGGCCGACGACTGGTGGCCAATAACAAACAAAATGCGGATATCTTCTGGGCTGTCCGTGGTGCTGGTGGGGGCCAATTTGGTGTCGTCACTGGATTTGTCCTGAAAACTCACCCCGTGCCCAAAAATTTGGTTACTGGTGGATTCTCCTTCTATCAAGTACCTGCCTCGAAGGCCGGTAATATTTCCTGGGCGGCGCTTGCTAAAGTCGCAAGTTCGATCCCTGACATTATGGACAATGGCCTTACGGGGACCGTTACTGCTATGACCGGAAGCTCAGCGATGGCGCTGACAGGGCTGAATCACACTTCACCAGGAGTCGTGGCTTCGGTCGGCTTGGTGGGATTCAACATGACGACTGAGGCGATGGATCGGATAGTCCAGAAAATGACATCTCGCTTCGTAAATATCAGCTCTGCAGATACGTTGAAAGTTGTTCATAAGTCATCCGAAGCATACAGCTATTGGGCATACACTAAGCCGGACTTTCTTTCCAGTGCTTCTTGTGGTTCCTCAAGCCTCATGAGCAGCCGTCTGCTAGGACGTCACGAGCTTTCAGATATTCCAATGACAGATCTGGTCACCTATCTCCAACAAGCCTCAGTGTCGCAGTCTAATACAGGCTCCATCCTTCTCTTCGGCTTGCAGGGTGGCCCCGGGCCAGCCAGCACACCCGAGGATAGGCGCGGGAGCGTTCTACCTGCATGGCGCAGTGCGTACGTACATGCAATGTCTTACGGGGCATCTTTGAATGCAACTGCTGATCCAAGTGATGCGCTAGCATCTGGAGCTCAATGGTACGAAGCGAATCTGGAACCTGTTTGGAGGAATTGGGCACCCAGAACAGGCTCGTACATGAATGAGGGCAATGCATTCAGTAGTACGTGGAAACAAGACTTTTATGGGGAGAACTATAACCGGCTCTTGGAACTCAAAAGAGCCTATGATCCGTCCGGGAGTTTCTTTGTGTGGAGTGGTGTTGAAAGTGATATGTGGGAGTACGACCTTCACAGTGGTCTGCTTTGCCGGATTGATTGAAATGCGGACTTTTATTAGATAAAGAATGTTGCTACCGGGTATAGCTTCATCATAATCTCTGAGGTCATAAATGTAAGCACAGAGCTCCAGTGGCTATTGATCATTCTATATCCATGAAACACGCAAGATACAAATATAAAAAGACAAAAAATTCCGACAACTAGGGGCTTCACGGCGACAGACCGGAAGGGTCATGTCATTCAAGGGTGGCTATAACCTCAATCAGCTTCTTTGTACAGAAGTATATCCGCATTTACCTCTGTTTCTCACCACTAAATCTATTACAATTATACCCGATCGACAATAATAAGACAAGCTCATTTGATAGCAAGGAGATCATTTATGAATACGTTGTATAGCGATAATCAGTTTCGCTGTGATTAATGTGAGGGTGACTAGTGTTTCTACTAGAACAGCCGATACCAATATTAATTAAGGATCATTATCTGTAAGAGAAACAGGGCTGGGCTAAATCAGTCCAAATAAGGTGTTAGGGGCAACCCCGTGATGGACATACCCGACTTGTGGTATTATAGATAGACGATAATGCCACCGTTTTTTAATGTCATGACTTCAATTCTCTCCTTGACGGCCATCCGCCGAAAAGAAATTTCAGTGAGACATAATACAATACGTGAGGTTTGACCTGGTATGCTATACGCTGCTCCTGCGTACGGTAACAAGCTAAAAATGATTGGGCGCCTTCCATTAACACAAAATACCCAAAAATGTACATGTTGTCGCCAAGCACCAATACCAGGGCAAAGCTTACGCAAAGCTTTGATAATTCCCGGGCAGTGCAGCATCCAACCTTGGAGTTGATCCCGCCGCGTTTTTACTGTAGCCTACTCAATAGTGTGGCTGATTCTAGCTCGTCGGCCCACGCTTCCCAAAAAAGGAAATAATTTTTACGAGTACGATGATCGAACCTCATGTGCTCCACAGGCCACCACTAGAAAAGAAGGCTTTTACGAGTATTTCGTAAGGCGGCCCGAATGGTATATGTGCTCCACAGTCTATACAAAACTCAAATCTAAAAGAAAATTATCTTAAAGAACAAGTAGCTCCACAGCTTTCGTTAAATCTGCAACAGTTCTTTCATTCCATAACTTTGGGGTCACTGAAAATACAAAGGCAACATTGCTACACAATTCTCGAGAATGACGAAAACATCACACGACGAAGAAAACCCTATGCCACCCAAATACCAGCCGTCAGTGGCACAGTCCCAGCTTCAACCCCCAGAGCAACAGTCTCAATACCAGCCCCCAGTGGCACAGTCCCAATATCAGCCTTCAGTAGCACAGTCTGTGTCTGGACATAGGCCTGGCGGTCAAGTGTAAGTACATGACAAAACGTTGTCATGTTCATAACTGACATGTTGGTACTAGAAATTGCTGCCAGATCCTTCTTGCATTCTTTCTTCCTCCACTTGCGGTCTTGTTCAAAAGTGGCTGTGGTGCAAGTATCTTAATCAATATCTGCCTGCTTTGCCTAGGCTGGATTCCTGGCGTGATTCATGCGTAGTAAGAAGAGCTTCATCTTATGAACGTCACACCAATGATGGTCAACTAACTACTCTCAGTTATGTTTTACTCCGCGAGTGAAGACAGCAACACACGTCTTATACCAAACCCGCGACATTCGTTGGAGGATGTTTCTCGGGTGCATCTCTTGAGATAAGAAGCATCCATGTACATCTCACATATTTTCTTTTGTCTGTAATTCAATATCGAGTCTTCCTTCATGTATATCATCAACATTCAAAACAACATGCTCTTAATGGCCTTATTCGAGAACAAAAGACGTGACATAATTGAAGCAACAGGTACAGTACATTCACTTTCATGGCCTTGTGACTGGTGGCACTTGCAGCTATATGTATTCAACTTGACCACCAACCTTGGATTATGTCGAAAATTGGAAATGAAAATTTCACTACCTGTTCAGCGTATCGGACGGTTTCCATCCCACCTGTTCCATTTGCCATTGTATCCATTGACGTTGCTGCACGTTCAAAAAACGATAAATGCCACTCATTATATGTTCAGGCCATCCTTGTACAAATCAGTAAGATTCAAACGCCTTTAATAAGTGTTGATGTCCCGTTTGGGTCTAGTGCCTTTCATCCCACCACTTAGGCTTCATCTTCGTAGATCCTCTTCCTCTCCTTGTCGCTACCCAATATTACTCTACGTACCATATTGTATTGCTTCCATTCCCTCGCATGATAATATAGACAGTCTTCTATATCATTAAACGGAGGTCATTCCCGTTCAGACCCGCCAAGACCTTCCAGGACCGAATTTGGGCTAAGCTGTCGATTTTAACATAACATAAAACATGACAATACTATAAATCAGAGAGTTAGAGAATCAGACTAACAATAGATTCACCTCAACAGAGAATCAATGCTACACTAAGTAAGGAGCGGGGGACACAGAACCTCGGGTTAGCAATATTGGGACACACCGTCCAATGCATGCATGCTTCACGGTTACACGGCATCATCTAGGTAGTCGGTGTGATGAATCAATTCCCAGCTGCGATCGTTGGGCATCTCCAGCCATCATCCTGAAGACCTATAGTCATCGGGCATCAAAAATTCGGTTACTAAAGATATCGAACTCTTAACTTACATGAGACATGCGAATGACTAAACTACTAATTCCCACGAGATTACCGCACATATTGCAAGGGCAATATACGACAAGTTCCCTCTGCTCTTCTGTACTATATTTGCAAATACATTGATATCTTACTTTTCAATTTTTCCTCGCCTAGTGCCGATGTCTATTGAATTGAAGATTTTCTGCATAGTAAGACCAAGAAAAATGGGTGAAGGAAAATCAAGTCCCTTGAAACCGCATCACAGGAGAAGTTTAAACGCTTGATGCAAAGGGTATCGTGCGAAATGTTAGATTGACACGCTTTGTTTCATTGATTCGTCTCTAGATCCTCCCTTTTAAGAAGTTGAATCTTGCCCATCACAAGATTAGTCTGTCCAGTCTCTTCCGCAACTGCGTCATCCTCCACAAGACTCTTGGCAAGCGACTTGTCATAGCTTGTTGGGTCAATGCCGAGAATACCACCAACGTAGCCGCCCCGCTCGCCAGGCACGCTGAATTCTCGGAACAGGTAGCGCCATTCATTAAGCCAGGCTTTGACAGCCTTGCCGATTTTATCTTTGCCATTTTTCGAATGGTGACCGGTGCCGGTGATTGCGTAGACGACGCGGAGGCCCTCGCGCGCATGTTTCAAAAGAATCTTTTCAAGATATTCGATTGCCTCTTCTGGGTGCAGGCCGTGTAAATCAACGTAGAGTTCCTCGGAGGTTTCGTCCAGGCCAGCCTGGGCTAGGTGTTGATTACGCGCTTCATACAGCTGGCGTGCGGCTTCTCTGTGGCAGCGACGCATAGCATCGTTTTCCGCTTGGCCACGTAAAGATAGAGCTTTGGCAGCTCGTGCATCATTTCGGTTCCACGCTTGAGCGGCGCTGATTGGGTAATTTAAGTCAATTTTGGAATTCAAAGAGTTAAAGTAGGGATGGGTTTGGGAAAGCTTACCTTTGTAGAAATTTGTTCCGTACGGTCCCGTGGCGAATTGCTTCTGTACGGTACTTGATGTATTGCTGGTTTGCCCGCGAACCGGTCTCAAGCCAAGGAATATTTTGGGGTGCTTGTATAGATTGGGCTGCAGCACTGTTTTCGCGGCTCTTGATATCCTTGTTGTTCTTAGAGGGTTTACCCTTGCCAGGGACAGGAGATGGAGACATGCGGACCACGTCTGCTAGTGAGGAAGGGATGTTTTCTTTTCCCACGTTTGCGTCGCGGTTATTGCCCCGCTTACCATGGTGCTTCTTGCCCGCATTCTTTGCGTTGACCGCAGCAAGGGTTGGGAACGCATCTGGATCGTCTACGGACAGAGCAGTAGGGTTCAGCTCACGATTCTGGTGACGGCTGCTCGGACGGGAGTTTGGTCGTCCCAAGTGCGTCATGCTTCCATTTCTTCTTCCCATACCAGGGTGAAGACCAGGAGGGAGATGCTTGCTTCCTTGCAGACCAGAAAGATGAGAAGGATATCGACCGCCATATTGATAAGCCCATTGATCCTCCGTGCCCGACGATTGCAAGGGCGGGAACGCATCAGATCCACTGTCTACCTGGAAAGGTGACCCAGCAGGCGGCGAGGTTGGCCGGCTGCTTCCAGAGACACTCAAAGAGGACACGAGGGATGAGGGGTCATGCGAAAACGGGCATCCATCACCGGCTAGGCAGTTGCCCATTACCCAGTATCTAGTATTGGTTAGCATTCAAGTAATAGAGTGTTGCTTCCGAACAAGAAGACCTACTTGCATAGATGACTGGTCAAGTCATGGCTGAAGCGGCAGTCGGCACGGAGACACTGTCCCGTAGATAGAAAGTACTTGCAAACTACGGGACTTCGCTCGACCCCAGATGGTGTGATGGGACGACTTTTCTCCATTACCATCGACTTACCGACCAACACACGGCCATCGTCATGTTGCTTTGCAAATAATTCCGCGTCTGTATCTTGCGAAAGTGCCGCGATGGTCGCGCCAAGATCATAACTATTTGCTTCTAGCGCAGCTTCGATATCGTCGTTTGACCGCTTATCGCCCAAGACAGTGCGCAAAATATCATGGGGACTCATGTCCGGCACAAATTCTGCTGCAGTTGCGCTCAGCGCTCCCTGGATACTATATCCACCCGTAGAGGAGGTGACACTATTTGCATCATCTCCCACTAGCCAGTCGACATTACTATCGCTGCCGAAATCGCCATAAAAGTCGGATAGTTGACTTTGGTCTGAGAACTCATACGCATTTAAATTCGGGGAGTGTGGGATGGGCTGTGCTAGGGCCAGTCGTGGAGATGGTCGTGGGGAGGTAAATGGAGACACAGTTGACGAGAGTGGAGGGCGGGCGAATGCCCCGCGTGAGCTCTGCACCCACGAGGTACTCCCGGGGCTCGTTCCAAGATTTGACGGCGACAGAGGAGTCGACGACCGCATCTGCCATGGCGCTGGTGATGATCGGCGAATTATAGTGTGACGAGGAGGGGGAGGTGATGAGTCCGCGAGGGTGCGATTGCGATGCCGCCATAGAATATCCAGCACCGCATTCTCTAGCGATGATCCGGTAAGTGCAGTGTTGGCGCGCAAATAATCCTCCACTTTTTCCACTTGCTCTTCTTCATCTAGTTCTTGATCCTGGAGAATTTCTAGGCATTTCTCCAGCAAGTCCTCCGAAACCATGGTGTTTGGCTGTACTCGCAATGAAAGGGGGGGCGGGAGTAAGCTCGAAGTTGAAGGTGGGGAAGGACAAGGAAGGGATCAAGCCCGGGATGTCGATGTATAAAACTGGGATATAGTAGTAGAGTTTCCGACGGGTCTTTCGTATTCAAATTAGGTATAGAATTTGTCAGAGAGGTCATCCCATTTGGAATCGGATAATGGGTGGGTGAACGACAAGGGAGGTTTGGGAACAGATAAACCGGGAAGGACAAGTGGTCAGATGTGAATTACATCGCATCGGCCCTGACGCCAATGTAGAACGAGAGAGGCGAAGGTCGAGACAAGAAAAAGCAAAAGAGGGGGAAGGGGATCAACAAGTGTAGATTCGGGGGTTTCAGCTGTCCGGACTCCACACCGACCAGGTGAACCGTGAGCCCGCACCCTAAATCGGATTTACTGCAACGGACCGTTTTGTACATCGGTTGGTATAGTTCGTTCTATAGTTGGGTCACTTCATACATCAGACCATAATCAAGCATACTTCCTGCGATTTAATCTCATAACCCCTTTGACATATATTGTCATCATATGTCACATCATGTGGTACCTGAATGGACCATGTAGTGCCTAGCTGACCACCCAATAGTCAACAAGAAAACTGAACAGCAACATCCGGGCCCTAATCCAGACCATACGACTCGATTTAATATAAATTTTACCGCGGAAACTTTGCGATTAACGATCGACGTACACGTAGCGACGCTTATATAAACGATTGCGCTTCCCGCCTACCATTTAGCTATGTAAGCCAAACAGCCTTCAGACCCGGTTGGATCCGCCACAATGTGAGACATACTTTCCCCCGATTCCCCGACTCTGTGGCTCATGTTCGGCCCCCGATACTTTCAGGGCCTTGGAATGCCCATTTGCTCCTAAATTATACGTGTTTTCTCTTTAGATTTCATCACCAAGAACCGTCCGATCCCTTTCCCGTCTCCGCAATCGCCGATCACTCCTAGAGCTTGCTGCCCCAGATCCGGTCTCGCCAAATCTACTCCGCCCAATCCTTTTAGCACCATGCCCGCGGACTACGAGTCCACAGCACGGGCATTGGCTGTTTCTCCATCATCAGAGCTACATTCTGCCTCCGCCAGTGATGATGAACAACCGCTCTGGAGCCGGGCGGGCAGGCTGAACTCAACGCGGCCCGAATCAGGCAACCTCCGCGACAGGTTGATGGTCAAAGGCAAGGAACTGTATCGCCAGGCAGAAGAACGATGGAAGCGCATGACATTCTGGCAAAAGGTCGGCTTCTATGTCGCGTCCTTATTAGTGGGCGCATCCGGCATCGGTTTTCTGGTCTTGACGGGCAAAGTGTTCATCTGGCTAGGCCCGGTCGCGGAAAGATGGGAGAAGTCTCCTCTCGTGGCCTTTGTGCTCTGGCTATGCGTCTTTTTCGTCTCATTCCCGCCATTATTGGGCTGGTCAACGTTCGGGACTGTGGCGGGTTTCATCTTCGGCGTGTGGAAAGGGTAAGTTGTGAAACCTGTCGCCCCAAGATGTACAGCACATGGTTATACTACAGACAATGCTAACTGGAGATGATACTAGATGGTTGATCTACGCCACGGCCACTATTCTCGGCTCTACAGCATCATTCTATGTATCCCGCACGGTACTATCCAGATTCGTGACTCGCTTGATGGAACACGACAAGCGATTTGCGGCGCTGGCGTTGACTCTGAAATATGACGGGCTGAAACTGCTCTGCATGATTCGCCTGTGTCCCCTGCCCTACTCCATCTGCAACGGCGCCATCTCAACTTTCCCGACCGTCCAACCTTTGATGTATGGACTGGCCACAGCCATAATCTCGCCCAAACTGTTGGTCCCAGCCTTTGTTGGCAGTCGGGTCCGCCTTCTGACCGAGAAGGGTGGAGAAATGAGTGCCGGAACCAAGGCAGTCAACATTATTAGCATTATCGCTACTATTTCCATTGGAGGTGGTACTGCGTACTATATCTACCAGAGGTTGGTTGTGACGCTTGTGCATTTATCCCATCTTTGACTAACCGCTTATTTAATACATAGAACCCTAGCCCGCGCTAAAGAACTTGAAGCAAAAGAAAGGGAAGATATCCGGCATTCCCTGCAGGCTGATCATGCCGCCCACCGCCCTCATGGCCGATTCGCCGACGATGATGCTGCAAATGCCGCAGCGACCGAACTCGCCAGAGACGAGGAAGAACGGATTGGTTTCAACGATTTCGACGATGATAACGTTGACCTTGACCTTGCTCTAGACGATGATAGTGGTAGCGATGGAGGCAACCGCCGCTGGAAGAAATCGAACCGGAGATCATACCACGATGAGTTTACGGACAATGATTCAGATGATTACGCTGGCGAAGGAGACGAGGCTTTCGGTCTGCATTCCCATGTTCAACGAGATACCTAGTGTATCGGTTGACTCCAGAACAACTGAATGTAAATGATGCTGTGGTTATGATCATGATCATACCCGGTCCACTCGATACCCATGCGTAGATCGTGCTAAAGATTAAGCTATATGCACTATACCCGTTTTAGCACTGAATATCCAGCCAAATGTAGATCAATAGAACCAACGTCCTTTAGTCCAATCTGTAGGTGCATGTATGTGTTCATTTCCAGTAGTAGATGGGATTGAAGCCCATTACCGGAGGCGGACTGAGAAATACGCGCTGTTCCGAGGGATCAACCTCCCTCGGTCGGCTTCCCTTCTTCCCTCTCGTGCCTTGTATAGAACCTTCTTACAATTAAATCCCTTTAACTGGCCCGGATTTCAATCAGCCAAGTCATTCCTTTGCAGGAGATCCGGGCTTCTAAATGTATGTGTTCCTCCCGTTACTCCCGTTACTCCCGTCACTCGTCCCTTGACGTCCATCCGCTTTTATCTACATGCAAAGATTTTATTGGAACGCCACTATTCGTCCAACCATAACCCATCAACTCCAGGTCTAACTGATCATTTCTCAGCTTACCTTTATGATTGAAACCCAAGTCAACATGATTGAACATGGGGGGTCTTGACGTTTGAGATATTCCCCCTCGTTCCACCTGATACCCCACTATCTCTTTCATACAAGAAACCATATCAGACCGAGTCTTTCTGTAAGTTGAAAAGCCGAGATAGGTTTCGTTTCAATTACTCCTACAGATCCCATAGCTAATCTCAGCGAATCAGAGCCAAGCTACAGCTACGCGTCGTTGAACATGATGACCTCTACCACAGGGCCGACAGCCCAAACCGCCTTTATCAACCCAGTTGCTACAAATGAACGTTCCACTGAACTTACATCAGGGCAACAATTGGTGTTTGAGATGGAAAGATCTGAACGGCCTAAGAAGCGGCTGCGCAGTTCTGAATATCTTACATCCCCAAATTCACACTTCCCTGTCCCAAAGAGCCAAGGCCAGCCTGTGACGTCTAAGAACAGTCAACCCCCCGCTTCCAATGGCAATAAAGGCACTGGAGGCTCTATGGGATATCCATCTATCAGTGGGAGCAGTAACACACCTGCTGATACATCATCAACTCTTTCACCCTCAGTCGACCCTAGAAAATCCACTTCTCCTCTCACAACCCCCGAGCATAGCGTATTTACCCCAGCATGCGTGGCCGGGGTGAGTGTGCTGGAGAGTGGAAAGGTAGACTTGGCCAAGTGTCGGCCGCGTTCGTCAATTCCTGCTCATTTGACACCCGAAGTCTATGGCCAGCAGTGCGTAGCATCTGCCTATGCCTGTCGTCTGGATCCATACTCCCTTCACCCAAAAGAACAAGAAGCTCTACAAGATTATCTTTGCCACATGCACGTTACTCTGTATCTCAATATTCGGAATGGTATTCTGCGGCTCTGGACCCGGAACGCCATGGTCAGTGTGACCAGAGAAGAGGCCCTGGGTGTTGCAAAAGACTACCGCTGGATGAATCTTGCTTCTTTCGCATATGATTGGCTGGCACGAAATGGTTACATCAACTTTGGCTGCGTTGAGGTCCCCATGCCTATTGTACCTCCTAGACGGGGAAGACGGAGGGAAGGTCCAGTCATTGTGGTTGTAGGAGCCGGCGTTGGTGGGCTAGGCTGTGCACGTCAGCTGGAAGGTCTGTTTCGCCATTATCGGGATGCAGAAACCGCCCCTCGTGTAATTGTTCTGGAAGGACGTCGCAGAATCGGTGGAAGAGTCTACTCGCATCCCCTTCGCAGTATGGAGTCGGAGTCGTTACCTCCGGGGCTCGTTCCAAAGGCAGAGATGGGAGCCCAGATTATTGTGGGTTTTGAAAACGGCAATCCCCTCGACCAAATCGTTCGAAGTCAATTGGCGCTGCATTACCATCTCCTGCATGACTCCTCTACTATTTACGATATCGATGGCTCGCCGGTGGGCTTCGTGCAGGATTCAATGAATGATCAGCTTCACGTCAATTTGCTAGAGCGAACTGGGAAGTATCGCCACGAGGTGCTCATCCCTACTACAGCTCAAGGTGAGGCCGACATGATCAACGCTGGTCGTGAATCTACCAGTGATGACGGCCTTACTGTTCGAGAGTATGAAGACGCTCGTCGTGCTGGGACTACCCATCTTCTCCTTCCAACCAAGCGAACCCGACGTCACAGAGGCGCGGGGCACAGAACCGTAGAAATTGAACCCATTGACAATGTGGCAGCAGACTCTTTGGGAACAGAAGACCCAGCGGCTTCATTTTGCCTAGCTATAGGATGGAGGTTGAACGCTGGATATTCTGAAGACGATACAATTGAGCTTGACGACATTGCACGTGCGACTCGGACACAAACCCTGGGCGCAGTGATGGATGAAGGTGTCAAACAGTACCAGGACATGCTTCCTATGACACCCAAAGATATGCGACTTCAGAATTGGCATATTGCCAACATGGAGTATTCCAATGCCACAAATTTCAAAAATCTCAGTCTCTCCTCATGGGATCAAGATACGGGTAATGAGTTTGAAGGAGAGCATTCTCAGGTGATAGGTGGTTATCAACAATTGCCATTCGGCCTGTACTCTTTGCCTACGAAGCTCGATGTTCGGACCAACAAGATCGTCCAGAGTATCTCCTATGACCCGACTGGCTCCGACAGCCGTAAATCGGTCATCCAATGCGAAGACGGTGAGAAGTTCGTTGCAGATCATGTTGTCTTTACGGGCTCTCTCGGTGTTCTCAAGCATGAAACAATTCAGTTCTATCCTCCTCTCCCCGACTGGAAGTTAGGTGCTATCAAGAGGTTAGGGTTCGGGCTCATGAACAAGGTGATCCTCGTATTCCCTGAACCCTTCTGGGATGAGACCCGAGACATGTTTGGTCTCCTGCGCGAGCCAACAATTTGCAACAGCATGAATCCAGATGACTACGTAAAGAATCGCGGGCGATGCTACATTTTCTGGAACTGCATGCAAACCGCCGGACTGCCTGTTATTACTGGTATCATGGCCGGAGATGCTGCATATGAAACCGAGACCACATCAGACGCCGATATCATCTCGGAAGTCGTCTCTCAGCTGCGAAATGTGTTCAAACACACCAGCATACCAGACCCAGTCGAGACCATCATTACTCGCTGGGCTTCTGACAAATTCACCCGGGGCAGCTACTCCTACGTGGCAACCGAGGCTCGTGCCGAAGACTACGATCTCATGGCACGACCCGTCGGTTCCCTCCACTTTGCCGGTGAGGCTACCTCCCGCAATCACCCAGCGACCGTCCACGGCGCATACCTCTCTGGTATCCGAGCCGCCGCGGAAGTGATCGAGTCCGTTGTGGGACCGATCGAGATCCCCACTCCTTTGGTGCCCGAAAAGCCAGTCACCAGCACGGTGCCGGCAGCCACACCCAATGGTACCCAGCACTCTGAGCCCGTCGTGGCTCAGCAGCAATCTATCACTCCCTCCAACCACATGGCCGACGAAAAACTACGTCGCGAGACCTACCATGACACCATGCGGGCGGCAATCTCCGCCGAAATCGGGGAGGCTCCCATTCCGCCACCAAAAATGGCGTTGAACCCTTTCCTCCTGTACCAGAAAGACTTCTGGTCCAAATGTCGCGACCAGTGCGATGAAGCTCGTCGTGCCGGCTCTAGCAATCCAAATGCTAAAGCCCCGCGCGATGAGATCCGCCACGCACTGGGTCAAATGTGGCGTAATGCCCCGGTAGAGGAAAAGCAGCCCTACCTCGACCAGGTCGAGGTGAGTCGTGCCCTCAAAGAACGGGCTTGGAGTGAGTTCAAGGTTGCTGCAGAGAAGTGGGATCGGCAGTTCCTGCAGGCGAAAGCGGAGTGGTGTGCCCAGCACCCGTACGAGGGGTGGGTGACGCCTGGTTCGGCGGAGTAGGAGGGGTTGGGGTATGTTTTTGTCGGGCTCTTCTCCCTCCGGATCCTTATCACCCTTATTCCTAAGGTCCTGAGGGAGAAGGTCCCATGTATTATTAGTTGCAGTTCCTGAGAAGGAACAAAAAGATATCCAAGAAGTGCTTCCTCTTTCCTGTGGTTCTGAAATTCAAGTAGATTTTATTAGACACTCACATTCCAATCAGGGTAAGAAAAGGCGCCCACTCAATGGGTATTAGATTCGCTCCTCGATCACCTTCACATTTCAGGGTAATCATGTACTAATGTAAGCGAGTAGGTATCTGGGCATATACTCAATGATGTTACTCGGAGTTTCGAATACTGGACCTTCCTATCTTCAATGTGGTCTCTAGCTTGTCCACGTGTGCAGCGTTGATAATAGCCGTCTAAACTCTACCAGAAACAAGTACTGTTCTATGAGTAAAATTGTCTATTTTAATCTATCGGCCACCGATCACGCCAGATAAGAGCTAAATCAACCGATATATGGGTTGTATTCAGACATGCCCGCAATCAAACCAAAGCAACAGACATAAAAAAAAAAAAAGGAAATCCGTGAACCATGAGGCAAAGAAATATGCACGGGGAATTCGAGGTAAATTCAAATGACATAACAGACACAAAGAGGCTTGGTCTAGTCTAGATGTGCACACGCGGTCTAAACAATATACTCCAAAGGAGCCGGGATCAAGAGGTATTCGGGAGTAAAAAGGTTAAAGGAGGAAACGGGGGTATTTAGATCTTCTCCTTGGGCTGGGGGACATCACCGAGTTCAGAGAGGTACTTCTCGGTATCGAGAGCGGCAACACAGCCAGAGCCAGCACTGGTAATCGCCTGGCGGTAGCGCTTGTCCTGGACATCACCACAGGCGAAGACACCCTCCAGGCTGGTGTAGCTGGTACCGGGCTTGGTGACGATGTACTGCTCCTCGTCCAAGTCGATCTGACCCTTGACAAGGGCGCTAGCGGGGTCGTGACCAACAGCGTAGAACAGACCGTTGGCGTCAACGATCTCCTCGGCGCCGGTGACAGTGTCCTTAACACGAAGGTGAGACATCAAACCGTTAGGCTTGGCGTCACCAATGACCTCAGTGGCAACGGTGTTGAAGCGGACGGTACACTTGGGGTGAGCGAGCAGACGCTCAGCCATGATGTTACTGGCACGGAGTTTGTCACGGCGGACAAGGACGGTAACGTGAGAGCCGTACTTGGCAAGGAACATAGCCTCCTCGGCAGCGGAGTCACCACCACCAATAACGTAGAGGGGCTTGTTGCGGAAGATAGGAACAGCACCATCGCACACAGCGCAGGCACTGATACCGTTCTGCCAGTACTTCTCCTCACCGGGCAGGTTCAGACGACGGGCGTTAGCACCGGTGGCGATGATAACGGCGTCGGCGGTACGGGCAGGGGCGTCATTGGGACCATCGGACCACTCGGTCCACATCTTGAAGGGCTTCTCGGAGAGATCCAGGCGAGAGATAGTCTCAGTGATGATCTCAGTACCGAAGCGCGCAGACTGGGCGCGCATCTTGTCCATCAGCTCGGCACCACCGACACCATCGGGGAAACCGGGGAAGTTCTCGACATCAGTGGTGGTGGTCAACTGGCCACCGGCGGCAGTGCCGTTGGCGAGCATACCCTCGTACAGAACGGGCTTGAGCTCAGCACGGGCGAGGTAGACGGCGGCAGTGTGTGCGCCGGGGCCGGAGCCGATGACTGAAAAGGGTCCTGGTTAGTTCACTGTCTTGCGGTAAAAGGACTATGTGGAGGGTCAATTGGGTTAGGCCACACTTACTAACGACTTTAGAGTGCACCATTCTGGCGGTAGTTGTGGAGATGACGCGCGCGGGCGTCGAGAAAGACTGTGAGAGGGCTGACGGAGGGGGAGGGGACTGGTTGTGGAGCGTTGAAGCGGCGGCAGCGGTGAATCCGAATGATCGGAGAGCGGAAGGAAAACGACGGAGAGTGGAGGAAAACAGCTTGAAGGTGTTACCCGGGAAGAGGGAGAGATTATATTTTCGGGAAGAAAAAGGAAGTGGGCCGATGATGAGATCAGGGAGCAATTCTGTGTCTTTCCGCCGATACAAATTAATCATTTGCCCGCATCGAGGCCCCTCGCTTTCTAAGCATGCGCACGTGAGCCGGTCGAGACCGGCTTACGTAGTCATCTGGGCTGCATAATCCATTAACTAATGCAGCAATAATTACTAGACCCATAAGGGCCGACATGACTAAATCCATTTGATTTGATATTATGCATACATATCTTATAAAATTGCTTCACAATCGTGGAATTATGTGGAATCTAGCTGACTACATAACTATGGCTGGGCTCTTGCGGATATTTCGGCGGTGAATCTATAGATAAGCCCTCCGGCTAAAGACTGAATTTCCACACTCATTGATTGAACATTGGTGGATCATAAACGGAGCAATAACTTTTTAAGTGGTTCCACTTGACTTGCACGCTCTCATTACCGATGTAGACTGCGTCCAGGCGCAAGTCGACTCTCCCAAGGCCTATAAGCGATATCAATCTTATCAAGCGGCGATCCAGCCCTAGACCGCCCGGGAGATGGCGTGATAAAGGATCTGCCGAACCCGAGGCCACATGTAAGCCGATGCATACTTCAATCATAACTTGACGTCAATTCTTGGAAAATCTGAAAGCGTCATCAAGATAATGAAATTTCTCCATCCGATATATTAGATCAGCAAGAAAGGGATATTTGAGTCAGAACAAAATAGATCATCGCGAATCATTCACATCATAAGGGGGAAAGGAAAATATCCTTCAGAGAACGCCAGCATAAATCATCATAATATACATCTCAATCAAATCATTTCATCCCAAACCACTTCTTTTTCCTTCTCGGCGCAGGCTCATCGTCGTATTCCTCTTCGGGTGAGGAATCTGCTAGAGCCTCTGCCGGCAATCGCTGAGGCACTTCCGTCTCAGAATCATCGCTGCCAGGGTAGCCCTCGTAGTAATGCTGCTGCGCGGTTGCTGCATTCGCGCGAGTATTATTCAAAGTATCATCATCCTCGTAGTCATCGGGATCTTCTTCGTCGTCGTCGTACTCCTCCTCTTCATCGTAATCACCGGCTGTGGCAGTGTTCTTCTTTCGACGCGGCATGTTCAACCATTTTCGCCAGCCCTTGGCAATTGGTGTGGGCAGTGGTTCGTCTCCATCACCCTCGTAGCTTAAAGCAGGCACAAGAAGTTTGTATGGCACTGTGATTCCTGCTGGATCATGTGGGCTGACCTCCATGTTCAAGGTAATTGCTAGGCCTCCCTCGAGGTCTACGAATGCGCCCATGCCATCATCGCCTTGCTTGGATTTTCTGACGGTCTTTTCGCTCAGGTTGGTTGGTCGTCTGTGGAAACGACCAGGCTGCGGCTCTTGCGTTATCCCTGGGAAGTAACTGTCTCCACTCTCTGTAGGGCGAGAAATGGCGGTGGAATCGATACTAGCTCGTCGAGCAGGCATGCCAGCTTCGCGGCCAAAGCTCATTGCTCTCGTGGGTGGTGGTCCACGTCCGGAGAGCCGCCTAAACAGACCACCGGCTTTGCTGGGGCCGGTTTCAGTGGACCTGTCTCCTCGTCCCAATGACAGGGTTCGTTGAAGTTTATTGGGGCGAGGCTCTGGGGTGGGTGTCATGGAGCCGGAGTCGGGCGTTCCAATAGGTGTTGAACCGGGGTGGTATTCTCTGATGGAACACCAGTTTCGTCGGGGTAGCATTCGCTTGTTGTTTCGAGACTTGCCGTCGACATCTTGGGTGAATATGGGAATGATGTCTTCGTCTGTGTTTGAGTCGATATGATGCACTGTGTTGCGCCTGTTGAGCATATCTGAGATCAGCTCTGTCTCCGGGATGTCGGCGATGGCGGACGATATAACGTTGGGCATGTATCGATAGTCCTTGTCCTTCGCAATGTTCAATTTTGGATTCGAATAGAATTGCCCAATAGCAGCTAGATGAACATCACCACTGTAACCCCAGGGTTAGTACAATGTAAACAACTTTTGAGAGAGACAGGGATGATTTACCTCAGAATTGTGACCCGAATAGACTTCTCAGCGGCAAAATCTTGCAGATCTTCCACCAACCATGTTCGCTCAGACTTCAGTTGCTTGCCAGCCCAGTGGTCATCAAATACCTCCACATTTGCACCTGAGCGGTTGACAAGTCCACCAAGCTTGCCGGACTTTCCTAGTGACTTCCGACTATTCATAAAGTTCTTGAGCATAGGCTAGTATTTTGTCAGTGTAAATCCAGCCATAAGAAAGAAGGGTACATACCACGCGAGGGTAGGCGACAGGTACGCTGCAGAGCACAATCATATGTTTAGTTTCTCCTCGTGCTATCTCTTGGTGGCATCGATCCCAAATCAGCTCATTAGTCTCCTCACTGAGAACCCCGGTGCTTGTCCTTTCAGTTCGGCAATCCAGGCCCAAGAGAACCACATCACCACCCAAAGACATGAAAAGACTTCGACTCTTTTGCTCAATGTAAGGACCGGGGTGAGCACCAAGAATCCAACTAGGCTCATCTGCCTCGGTCTCTTCTGGAACACTGTGGTGCTGGAATAATAAGTAGTACTTATACGCAATTCTTCCCAAGCCTGAGATGACCATACTTTGCATAAACTCCTGATTGTAAGAGCCGTACCCTTCAAAAATCTCATGGTCGTTCCATATATTGACCATAGGGATTTGCGAATTGGCAAGGGAGAAAAGACCCTGCGAGAACCATGAAGCATAGCGATGCAAGTGAAATTGTTCGACCTCAGCACGGAATTCTGGGGTGAAGGGCATCCCATATCTCTCGGCGGGATTCTTGATCTTGGTCCATTCTTGGAAGAAATGGGACTCTGTGGTGACAGTATCATTGAAGATTTGGTCACCACCGCCAATCATCACATGGAATGGCTGAGTCTGGTGCTCGTTGAGAATATCGCGCCACAAAGGATCAGGTCCACAAAGGGGGTTGGAGTCGGCAGATGGACTGAAACCATTGCCACTGTGGTACATGATGTTCATGGGCTGTCCAGCGGCTGGCACCCAGAATCCTAGGGCAGGGCCCTGATTGACGCGGTAAGCAATACGCTGTTGAGTTGTACCGAGCTCTACCTCGAGACTGAATCGCCAGAATGTGACGTCCCTTGCAGCGTCAGCGTAAAGGCGGACACCAGCGATTTCTCGGTATAAGCTAGCACTTTCACCATCGGTGGCATGAATACGATTCGCAGGGATTGGTTGGCCAGATCCCTCGGGCTTGTAATCGACATTGCTCGGACTCATTTCGTAAAGACCATCGTCATTCTCCACCGCAGACAGGTCAACTTCTTCCTCGAGATGATCGACTGGTTTAACATAAAGCGGTCGACCATCTCGGCCGACTTTCATTAGTCCAGCAGTAGGATCAATATATTCAGGCGCGAGCTGTACACCATCCTCCCGGCTGATCTCTGCGGGTGGAGGGGGAAGAAGGTTCATTGGTTGAGAAAACATGCGCACTGTAGGCGGGTTTTCATAGGAAGAACGAGAGTCTCTTGTCACAATCAGAATGGAGCCTCGCCAGATATCCTTGCCAATGGTGCCCTGGGGTCCGGTAACGTTAACCTTTTTTATTCCCGTGTACCGCAACAATGGACCACATTGGAGAAACAATTTCGGTTCAAAACTCTTGTGTTGAGTAACTCCTAGTTTTGGTTAGCTAGCCCGTGTAATGATTTCAATGGGAGGTCATCTCACCTGTGAGCTTCTGGGCTGGTGTCTGGTAATTCTTAGGGAGAGCCCTGCTCTTTCTGCGATCTTTGGTACCGCCGCCTTCCCACCATGCCTTACTTCGATCCATGTCCAGGTTCTGGAAGTCAAAGTCTGTCGCTCCTAGACGTGCAATAGGTGCGTTTTTCCAATCAAAAATGGGGGGAGGGGTCGGCGGTGGTACATTAAATGATACTGTTTGTTTTTTTGGTTTGGGGAGCGACTGGGCACTTCCTTGAACCATTCGTGCGGCCGGTGGGGTCTCAACAGTATCTTCACTCAAGATGACAGGAGCGACGGCAGCGACGGCGACCGGAGCAGCAATTGGGGCAACAAAGTTTCGTTGCTTGGAAGCTCCTTGTGTAGAGACTGAGCGGGTATGTCTCATGTTCTCACCAGATGGCCCAGGCTTTGCGGCTGGGCCACTTACTGTTACCGATCTTCGAGGAACTTGACCCATTCTTGCGGTTTGTGGAATACCGACTTCTGCACGCGCATACTGGACTTCTTCGGGTCTCTGTATCCCCGAATATTGAGGATTTATCGGAATATTCCTGTCGTGACGCACTGGGGCTCCTCTCGGCTGTCGTTGATTTGGGGGTAAGTCTCGTGCGGTGTCTTCAAGCATAACACCCATACGCTCCCGGTCTCGGGTTGCGCTAGTGGATTGCCTGTTTTCTGGATATGAGCTCTGTTTTGAGCTAGGTCTGGGAGCGGCGGCCGCAGCAGCAGCAGCAGTCGCAGTCGCCAACATCTTCGATGCTGCCTCAGCTTGCTCTTTTTCCACCTTTTGACGGGCCAGACGCTCTCGAAGTCGCGCTTCCGCTTCCTGGACCCGTGCGCGTTTTTCTTCTTTACTGATTCCATTCAGAGTGACTTCGAGCTTCTGGAGAGGGGAGCGATCTGGTGCCCAATCTCGGCGTTGGGAAGATGATGTAGAGCGCATGGTATTCGAGCGACTCGGAAGCGATTGCGTACTTGGACGTGTAGGGGCTTCTGATTGTGTCGATTCTTCGTTTTCTTGGACGGTCACCTCTGCTTCCGAGGTGTTGGAAGTGGGTGGAAGACCTCGAGGCGTATTTGATTCGTCCGAAAAGCCCAGAGGTGAGTCAGGGGCCGACTTACGAGTAGTATAGTTCATATCTGTATCAAGAGCTCTGGCCGAAAAGGATCCTCCTGGTGGGCCTTGCTTTGCTTTTGATTTGGACCTTGAGGGCTTGGACTGCCCTGGCTCCGCAACAGACTCGTAATCCATATCTTTGACGTAGTCCCCAATGTCTGAGCCATCTGCGCTGTATGTATGACTATCTGGGACATATGTTGCGCCATTGGCATTGTGTGGGTGGGAGCCACCGTTGGCCATCTTGGGCGAATTGCGCATTACCGCTGCCTCCATCTTATGTTGTTGAAAATATCTGGGTCGAACAAAACTTCCGATCAACTGGTAGGAACGAAGCGGGTTCCTCTGATGCACGGATAGTCCCAACTAAAATAGCTCTCGTCAACCCTGATCACACAAAAGCATTGTTCGAGACTTTGTTGGAAACGGGGTGGAAAATCACAATGAGCTCAACATACGTATGAATTGTTTTTATCTCAGCGAAAACGTGGTATCAATTCAACTGTGCCCAATGTCTGACGAAAGCTCACCGCATCCTTGCCCGAAGATAAAATCAGGTTGCGCCAGGCTGAGTTGCGCAGGTACTTGGGCGGGGAACTCGACTATGACCGATGTGTCGCACGAAACCTCCTGATCGGAAGCAATAGACAAAAAGTCGAAGAATGGGAAGAAGATCAAAGTTTTGAAGAAGGAATGGAAGGGGAAGGGTAAAAAGGTTGAAATCGTGGCGAAGGGGAAAAATCAAGGAGTTGCGCAGCTCTATACTGCATTATCCTGGTGGCTGGCAAACCCAGCCTTCGCGCGGGGCCCAAAGGCACCACTGGTCGCGATTGGCTCTCGTGGATCGCGAGAGGAATACGCGGCCCGATATTAATTGATGATAATCAGTTATTTAATTAAAATCATCTCCACCAGTTTTTGACGTGGTATTCACTGAGCTATGGTATATTCATACTTCAAGTGCCGCGTACCAGTCCTTGAGCCATGGTCAACCCATTCCCCACAATGGGAAACGTCGGGAACGTTGGAACAGGCTTAATTACCCAGATACCCATACATTACTGACATCGTAGTTCAAGATCTCATATGAGTCAGATTTGTTATTATTTTTTCGTACATCATGCCGCCTACCAAGTATGTACTGCAACATATTCCCCGAATTTGGATATACCTTCACCTTTCGTCGTACTCTCGGGTCTCCTTTCAAGCCTTGCTGTTTTTCTCGTAAAGGAAGATATTTATTTTGAAGCCGGTGGAATTTACTTAGTTCGGCTATCGGGAATGGTTTAGGACTTTAACTTTGATTTAAGTGTGTCATAAAGACGCTGTCCATGCTAGGTATATATTTTCATACCCACCGGGCAAGATAGTCCTGAAGAATGCTCCAGGACTTCATTTCGTTATGATATCCAAGCAACTTTGGCATTTATACCTGTGTCTCCAATCTTGCAAGTCCATTACACTGGTACAACCAGCTTTATCTACTACCATATGGATAAAAACAGAGAAGTCCAATGACTTCGGAGATGCTCCTGGGATCCACAATGCAAAAAGTGTGGAGACAAAAAGAAACTGCTCACGTCCAGATTTGAACTGAAGACCTCGGCATTACTAGTGCCGCGCTCTACCAACTGAGCTACGCGAGCTGTTATTGAAATGGTGGACATTATTTGGCCATACAAACAAAATACATGTTTTTAGCCCATCCATAGGTTATCTCACACTCAATCACAGGACCCCCATGTAAGAGACGAAACAAAGGCCTAGGAAAATTCGAATACTTCAAGGGTGTGTGATGAGATGAATCAGTCCGGGCAGCTAATAACGTGCATACTGGATGAGAGAATTGCTTGACTCGGCCTAGGAGCGGCTTTGATTCAGGAAAGGTCAGCTATATTACCCGGGGTTTTTAATCACGGCTTACTATTCACCTTATTCAATCTGATAAACGGCTAGCATCATATAGCCATTAGATGACATCTGTTATCAATAGCCGCTCGCGTAGCTCAGTTGGTAGAGCGCGGCACTAGTAATGCCGAGGTCTTCAGTTCAAATCTGGACGTGAGCAGTTTCTTTTTGCTTTTTTTCCGTTGTTTTTTGGCTGGGAGAGGGAGAGATAGATATGTTCAGAACATTTTTGAGCAGGTATAAAGGATTCCAATAAAGTATCAATCAGACGTCATCGAAAGAGTGCCAGAAAATAAAACTCAGGCCATAATCTCGTGCGAAATTTCCTTGATACGAAGGGGATAAAGCCGACTTCAATTCTATCTAGACAAAGTGGCCAATCGTACTCGGATGACATTATCATGCTCAGTAACCAAGTACTCGATAGAAAGATGATGACTCATTCCAAAAAAAAAAGAATAAGGTACTCGATCATAGTATTAACTACACTGTTCAAAAATCCGTTCCCACTGAGGTGGGCGGAAGCGGAAACAGTGATGTAAGATGAGATTTTTGAATACTATGCAGCTAGGTCTCTGGATTTCCGCTTTGAATGCGTATCGAAGCAGAAAGTCTGGTACAGAACATTGACCGATAACTTGTTGTACGAGATCAGAAATCGATCATGGGAGATCCCAAGAGGGGAGCGATGATATTGCGGGTATGGAATCGCAAGTAAGAATAGACTAGCTAAAGAGATTGTGGTCATGAACAAGTATGTTAAAGCCATGGCGGGCTTCATAGAAAAAATGGTTAAAAGTATACCTGTGCAAAGATTACTGTGCTCACGGAGCCGATTCAGATTCAAGGCCCATTTCAGAATCCCCTTCCATCTCTGCAATGAAGCGTTCCCAGGTGGAGAGAACACCCTGGTAGAAGTCGATATGGGACTCAGCGAAGGCGCCAAGGGAATCCCGAAATTCGACAGCCTTGATGCGCTCGAAATCTGCCACTTCGCGGACTACCTCCTCGTCAAACATCTCAGAAGTAGTCTTTGCTGATTCGACTTCCCGCGTTAGCTCGTCAATGCGAAGTTCGAGCTTGCGGACACGCTCGCGGCGAGATTGTTCGTGATCAACTCCACGCATATCCTCCATCTTTGAGCGAATAAAGGATGCAGGGGAAGAGGTGAGTGGATTGGACGCATAGTAGGCAGCCGGGTTGGCAGCTAAAGAGTCTCGCTCAGCCACCGCCTTGTTACGGTAATCAACCAAGGCCTCGAAGTCAAGCTGCTTCTGTTCACGGGTCTTCAAGAGGGACTTGACCGACAGAATGTATGCCTCCATGTCCCGCAGGGAACCCAAATAGTTCTGGTCTGTGTGATCTTTCAAACCCCGTACCCCACGCGCAGTCTCCTCTACCGAAGCGGCGAACACCTGTAATGGCATCTCGACTGCCGGCTCCAGAGGGACCAATTTGCGGAACTGGGTTGCAAGTTCAGTATAGTCCGTCTCGAGATCGGATTCACGCCGTGCGACCCGCGCCACGGTCTTCTCCACATGCGACAGATCCTCGTCTAGCTTATCTGCCTTCTCCTTCACCTCGATAAAGCGGCGATCGGGCTTGTGAACCTTGGTGAAGGCGTTGACGAATGTATCGGTAAAGTTATCAAAAATCTTAGTCGGGGCGTTCTCTGATGAGGCAGTCGTTGACCCGCGGGTTGAATGTAGTCGCATATGTGCATTCCAGTCGGCAGACTCAAGGAAAATAGCAAGCAAAGGTGCACGACGGAGTACAGGGTGCAGTGTCAGCCGCTTCAGAAACCGATGCAAGGACCATGCCCGTCGTGTTGTGAACTCCGAGCCGAACCGGTCGCCTCGCACATACTCCATCTTGTGCTTGTCCGGCAAAGGAGGGACCGCGCATGCTGGATATTCACGATAGAGGGTTTTGTACAAGAAATAGAAATCGGTAAATCGCCTCCGAACATAGAACTCGGGCTTTTGGAATGCTTTGAAGTCGGTCTAGAGGTCACATTGTTAGCGAGGGTTCCTGGGTAGTCAACCAAATGCGGAGAATGCGGAGGCTGTGCAGGCAGCAATAGAAACCGCGTTCTCTCAGATCAAAGGATCGAGCACGCACATTTGTTGTGACCAGGTACGAGATGTAAGCGTCTTTTGTGCCATCGTTCTCTTTCAAGGGTGAATCGACCCGGCACTCGAGTACACCGTCACCGATACCCGCCAAGTCGACGGCATCGGCTAGTGGGCCAGCCTGTGGTTCCTCGTGAGCTGAGCTCATTCTCCGCTTGCCATTGGCATCATGATCGTATGATTCATATCTATGCGATTCCTCCACATCTGTACCTGAAGTTGTCGGTCGGGAGACATCACTGTCGGCATCGTGTTTCCAGGAAACATTATCGAAGTCGTCGTGTTGATCCATCGCGGGAGAGGGCGAGGTGATCACCCAACGAGTAGATTTACTATGTTGACCTCAGTAGTGGAATCCGGAAAGCTAGGTTCAAGACTCTGAGATATGCGAAATAGTGAAATAGTGGGGGTAGAAGCGGGAGAAGCTGAGGGAGCTGGGACTTGGATGATCGGCGATTGCCCCAAAGGCGGAGAGAGAAACGGGGAACGTCGTCATGGCTTTTTTTTAGGAACCTTCGAATTTGGTAGGAACTGTAATAAAATTATGGGTTTCTAGGCCTTCACATATTTCACTGCGTATCCATGAGTTTTATTCTGTAGACAGGAAATGCTTTCACATTCCTCATCGTAACGTAGTTAATAGATTTACACAACTCTTAGGCAGCCGATTTCCTTTAGGACGCTCAACGCTGCCTCTATAAATCCATATAGTGCAGATGTAAATTTGACAAACAAGCCCCGACCCAATGCAAAGGCAAGTGTAAAAAGGGGGATTGTAACAAGACAAAGGAGAAAACATCACAAGATATCATCTAATGCTTTTCAGTCAGAAGGTGGCTGCCTGGAGATGATTCTTCATCATCCCTTTCTGGGATGTTGGCCAGCCGATCCCGATATGGCTTTTCCTCGTCGTCCTCACTGAAGATTTCCTCATCGCTTTCTCCAGCGAAAGCATTATAGAGTTCACCGCCACGGCGCTGGGTTCGCCCACCTGGCCCAGTCATAGGGTGCATCTCATCCTCGTCTTCAATCATCTCAAATTCGTAATCATCCTGAGGGTTGGTGCGGCGGCGCTTCAGGCGCTGAAGTTGGAAGAAGACGCCCAGACCGATAAAGAATACAATAATCATGCCCAGCGATGCGTAGATCCAGACTTGAGTACGCTTTGAGGCTCCAAATGTTGGGAGGTAGGAGGAAAGGTAGTTGTCTGACACAGCAGTGCTGGTCGAAGAGGCCGCACTGCCGGCAGTGGTACCATTGTTCACTACCTCGAGCTCCTCGTCGGCAGGCTGGGTCACTGTAGGAGCCGAGGGTTGGTCTGTGGGCTTCTGGTTCACAGGCCGGTCGTGGTGCTCATCCGGATTGGTGACAGCAGGGTTGGTCTTAGATGGTGCAGGCTCCAAGGTTGTCGTAGCCACGTGAGCCTCCTCATACGGATGATCATCGTCGTGCTCATCTGGCAAAGGGTGGAGACCCTGCAGAGTTCCATCGACGGCTTCACCCCACAGGTTGAATCTCCAATCGATGAACTCTCCAGAGAAATCATTGACTTCGGAATCTTTAACGATCACAGTCCATTCACCAACAGCAGGTTCGCCCCTGTGATGCAATCAGTTAGCCAATTCAAAGAGAGAGAAAAATCGTGATGTGAAGATACATACCAGTGAGCAACAGACATGAAGGTCCAGTCTAGGTAACCAACGGGCTCCTTGTCACGATGGCGGGCAACGCTCAGGTAGCTAATGATTCCAGCCGGGCTACGCAGCTCCACACTGAGATCACCACGGCGAGAGTGATTGATATTCATGGTGACCGTAACATGCTCCAGCCGACCAAAATTAGCGTCCTTGAGCTGGTCGGCGGTTACCGTGAACTTGCTAAGCAAGCCCTGTGATCCTTGAGGAATATTGTGGTGCACTCGCAACCATGGTGAGGTATACCAAGCTTGGGGCTTCACCAATTCCCAGGTTTGAGCCTTGTGAACCAAGGAGTATGTGTCCACCTTGCCAAAGCCCCAATCATGACTGAACTTCCGGCCAGATGGAAGAGTTTGCCAACTCCCATCTGTCTCACTCACCGGAACTGCAGTCTCCACCATCAAGTATTGGATATCGCGCCATGTCAGCTCAGGCCGAGCACTCAGTGCGAGCGCCACGGTACCTGCGGCGAGAGGCCCAGCCGCGGAGGTACCACCATGGTTTGAGTAGCAAGAATTGGCGCCCACATCAGTGGTATGAATCGCATCACCAGATCCACTGCTGTATGCAACCACCAGCTGGGCGGAACATGACTCGGAGTAAGATGGATGGCTTCCTTGCCGATCAATGGCTCCGACTGTTATACTGTAGATACTGTTGGTATATCCATCAAAGTTGCAGTTGTCGCCGTACTGCGCACCATTGCCGGCGGCAAACACAAAGATGGAGCCCTTTCCGTCGCGTCCTTTTTGCACACCATTGACCATAGCTCGCTTGATCAGAACACCAGGCGCATCCATTGTGGCACCATCATCGATGGGTCCCCACGAGCAAGAGTAGATATCGTTCTTCTGGAACTCATAGTTGATAGCGGCGGCCTCATCCACGTCGTCAATCGGAGCGGACAGGATCCGAATACCCGCCACTTTGCTGTCATATGCAACACCCACACCACAATAATCGTTCTTTGCGGCACCGATTTCTCCTGAGCAACGGGTACCGTGTTTATCGTCTATAAGCAGAGGACGAGGCTCTGGACCGCCTTCATTAAAATCGTAGGAACCTTCCGCGAAGTAGTTGGGCTTCAGGTCATTGCTATCGAAGTCAAGGCCGTCATCCACGATTGCTGTGACCACGCCATGGCCTGTCACACCTTCCAGCCAGATTCCGGTGACGTTGAGATCATGACCGGGTTGTAAAGGGTTGAACAGATGCCACTGTTCTTTGAAAATGGGATCGCTGATTCCCAAGGTCGAAGCAATGTCGCTTTGTACATCAATCGCACTTTTTTCGGGCACATCGTTCAGTCGACGAGCGATAGCTTCAGATGGAGGTGGTGCACGTTTCTGCAGTCGTTGCCTGGGCGGCGCAATCTTCTGTGACCACAAGATGGAATCCAGTGGATCTGCACTCCGAGCTACATTTTCGCCCGATCGCCGGCGAATTTTCCTCTTCGTCTTTATATTGTCCAACAATGCAGCAAGATCAGAGCTTTGGTCGCGCGGGAAAGAGAAGGTGTGGTGATCCGTCAGTTGTCCAATTTGGCCCTCGTGTCGGGCACCTAGCATGCGGGCGACATGATCGGGAGAGGTGGCGGTGTCAAGATGGAGGGCAAAGAAGTCGCGAGAGTCCTGGGAGCGAGGGTGAATAGTAGCGGAGGCCGCGCCTGCGAGGCCGACGGCCAAGGCGATACCGCTGACGAAACGCATGGTTGGATGCGATTTGGGGTAGATGCTCGATCTTACGATCAAGCTGAGGTAGGATAGGAGGTAGCTGCCATGGATGGGGGTTCCAGACCCTTTGGCGGCAAAAAAAAGAAAAAGGAGAAGGCTGAATGTCTCTCCCGAGTAGGTAGGGAAGAAGATGAAGGTGGCAAGTCGCGGCGTCGAATAGGAGGATCGTCAGGGTACCAAGAACAACACGGGTCCCGATTGACAGTCCCCTTTGACCTGTTGGGGGCCTTTTGAGTTGATGAGTTAGGTAGCTGTGGGACCAGGGGTTTTATCCTTTACTTTTTATTCTGTAATTCTTTTTCTTACTATTTTTGAAGTGGACACTAATAAATCTGTGAAAGAAGTTACAATCAAAGACCACGGTTGCGATTTGCGGAGGCTTTGACCTTAAAATTGCTTACGTAGCGACTCTCCCCCTCGTCATGGAGATTAGGCCCCATCGATACTGCCTGGATACGTAAGTAGAATCCATTTGACGTCTAATTGTGTCTATCACTATATTACTGGAAGATAACAAATCCTGGTGCAGACTGAGTAAATCAGAGATAGGGAGATATTGTGCAGGCCGGGACATGCAAGAATTTGCTAGATCGTGTATTCCTTGCATGATGTAAGTATTATAATAACATAAGAATTTATGTCAAGAATTCTCAATTTTGTCACTCAAATGACATCAAAGCAGTGTTTGATTATAGGAAATTGGATTAATAGTATGATCACTTGTAACCCATGTCTAGTGACTCGGTAGGTTGGAATGTCGATGACCCTGTCAACAAGTTCACGCCTCAGCTTCTCTTAGGCGTATAGTGCTAAAATATTTAGATAACCTTCAATAACAGCTCGCGTAGCTCAGTTGGTAGAGCGCGGCACTAGTAATGCCGAGGTCTTCAGTTCAAATCTGGACGTGAGCAGTTTCTTTTTGTCCTTTTTGCTGGATCCTCCTCGTTTCAAGTTGATCCTTCCACTTATACGTTTTTTTTTTTTTTTTTAAGCATTACTGGAGACCGATATTATCATCAGTTCCAGAAGACGAGTCATTAAAGAGCAAAGTTCATGATCATACGATCATTTGTCCACAACAACATAATCAAGTCAGGTGCCAGCCTCGGAACATTTGGATCCGTGGGTTTGATTAAATATATATAAGATCATTCTTGCACAGCTGTCACTCGTACAACGACCTTGATAGTACGGCATTGACAATCGGGCTGCTCAACGGGCTAAGGCTGAGGTACTGGAATCGTCGCATAGTACGCCATGGCCTTTTGGTTAAGTTCTGGGGTCATCTGTCCTCCTTCAATCAATTCGCCCAGCAACTTGAAGTAATTAATGTAGAATGCCGGTGTACAAGTGCAGACCAACACAGCCTCTTCTTCAGTCGGATTCGAGAATGTGTGAGGACTCTTTGTTGGAACAACAACATAATCTCCGACTTTGGCATCAACGTCCGGCTTCCCAGGGATGTGGAATCGAACAAGGCCCTTAGTGGTGAGGAATGTTTCGTCGTGCATTTCATGCCAATGTGGAGGTGGTCCCCTTGTATCTGGGGGAAGTGTAAGTTCCACACAGCTGAGTCGATTGTCTAGTTAATGGTTAGGAGGTATGTATTTCTTTTGGTATAAGAGACCGGGACCATACCTGTATTCGAACCGTCTTCCATCACACGGAGCTTCATGGATCCGATAGCGATGATGTCGCCTGCTTTGGCTGGCACAAAACTGAGCGGACGGTCCGGGACTTCCATTGCCGGTTTAATTTTATCTGTCCCTGGGGAAAGCCGGAGCCTCGAAAGTGGTTCAAGGATGAGTAGTTGACCCACGGGGCGCCTTATGCTTTTTTATGCTCCAAGTAGATAGCCAAGGTAGATGATCCTCTACATGCATGTTTCACTCGGCATTTCACTTCGGCAATTCGTCATTTTATTGCCGCAACATCATGGGCCAGATGTTTCGTGATTACTGCACCAGTCGGTCGCTCGGAGTTTAGATTCCCGAAGGCCAGCTCGTCGGTTTTTGCGGGTGTCAACAACCGTAGAATTGCATGGGAAGTAGTATATTCACCGGATATTTAGGAGATTGTTCAAGCTGGAATATGGCTAGAAACATACTCATTCAAAAAGCGAATATTCGCTTCGCAATCTTATCTTAAAAACTCCGCGTCCGATTGGTCCAGATCATCTTGACCTTTAAGCCATATACAGCCAGGGTCCGCTGAGTGAGATGGGCAATCGATCTAATCTTAATTTAGAAAGGATTGTGATGTAGTCGTAGAGCCCATTCTATGTGAGAGTTATTCTCTGAAAAGGCTGGATTCTATAGAGTATTATGGTCGATTTACTTCATATCTAAAAAGGTTCGTGGATCTCCCAAGTATTTTTACCTCTAGGTGAACTGGAAATAAAGGCGCCCGAGCAGCAAAAATATGTACCCTTAAGTGGGTACTGTATCGATGCACCTATATCTGACATTCAGCCACCTTGAAAGCTATACTACTTCAGGAGATGGGAGCATGAAAAAAGCCACTCGGAACGCCTTTTAGGCTTACTATAGATTCTGGAACAGACTCCCGTACATGTGTCCGAACATTTGACACGCGATACGTCTTCCTAGAGTTACGGCCCGAGCATTTGATGCGGATCATTAATAAACAGTGAATCAAATTACATTAACAACCTTGGAAGGTAAAAGGTTAACCACCAAAACTTAACTCAATCTTGAGAGGCTTTCTTCTCAAACCTAACCAAAGCCCGCATAATCAAACATCTGTACCCCGCTAAAACCTCTCTCTCCACCCGCCCGTGATTAAAACCAAGTTTGCCATCGGGAATGATATTCCTCTCTTGGTCCATGATTTTGCACGAGCGTCCTTCGAATCCCATGATCATATCTTCTTCGATCTCGAAGCAGTTTACCACGATTTTTTCCCATTCTCCCCTCAGGGCTTTCAATCCGACTATATTGGACATGGCACGTTCAGTGGAGACTTTGATCTTCGTGTGGGGTGTGGAGAGGAAGATGGGCCAGTGCTGTCAGTAACAGATTAATCTTTTGACTTTATATAAAGCTAGGTAATAACAATATGAAATAAAGTAACGAACTTTGATGATGGTCAAGTGCACATCAAGTAGGCCCTTTCAATGTTTCCACGCCCTTTGCTTGTAGGCTGCGGGATACGTACGCGTCCCCAGATTTCTGATATCCGAGCGAGGCTCGCGAATGTCGGCTCTGAGGAACAGATAGTCAAAAGTTATCAACGACTGCTTCAAATATTCGATTCTCCTGCTGGAATAGTTGCAGGATCAGCTCCTAGATGAGATCAGCAGGCGAGGGAGATTTTCGCAAATCACTGTTCGCTACTCGCTGCATTGGCACTGTCACCCTGTCATGCATGCGACCCCGCTCCCCCCCCCACCGGGGTATGTAGCTGGAATAGATTATATAGGTTGTCAAGTGATTCAACGTACTTGATGCCCTCTTGAACATGATTGGATGGCAAACACAGCCGTTTGTTTGATAATGAACAAATAAGAAACCTAATATAGTACATTGTATGCATACAAATTTCAAAATCAAGCCACCAAGCCACTGGCCACTGGCTCGCTTAATAGCCTTCAGCATTCTTCATCAAAAAGGACTTCACGAATGGTAACCGATCAATGACCTCTAGTCCTAGACTGCGAGCCCAGGTAATGGGATTTTGTCCAGTGACGGAGTACATTTTGTGTAACAAATCACAGGCACCGCCAATCTTAGCATTGGGCAAATACCGCTCAGAGGAGTATCGTTCTAGCGTAAGAAGATCTCCAATGTCCATGCCATGGCTCACTGCATACTCGATGGTCCGCGACAAAGCGGCAACATCTGCCAACCCAAGATTCAGGCCCTGGCCAGCAAGCGGGTGAATGACGTGAGCTGCGTCGCCGACAAGGGCGATACGGGGAGAGATGTACTGAGCCGCATGACGGAAGCGGAGTGGGAATGAAGCAACAGTTCCTTCTTGCACTCCGATAGCCTTGGGTGGAATGTGAGATGGTTGCGGGGTATGCTGGAGCCGCCAATTGAGCTCGTCTTCATGCGATGTCTGTTCAGATGATGATTGGGAAATGCCCATCATGTACGAGAGATCTGTCATAGAGAGGCTGAACGCCGCGTTGACCATGGCGATGAAAGCCGGCATGGGGAGAGATTTAAGGTATGCGGCGTGCTCAGGTCGAGTGGACCAGACAAGAGTTGCATGATTGTTAGGGAGCGGGAGCAAGGCGATAGGTCCGCCAATTGAAGGCAAGAAGCGCTGGTAAGCTGTACGGGTGTTGCTGAGCGCGGATGGGTCAAGGTCTGCAAGTGCGAGTGTGGCCACAATACCGTGACGGTTGTAGTCCCAGCCCTGAGTGGGGATATCTGCGAACGAGCGCACGGGACTGTTAATCCCATCTGCGCCGACGAGAAGTCGAGCAGCAATCCGTGTCGGTGCGAGCGTCTCGGCGTTAGGCCCTGTCGGTTTCACAGAAAGAATGGGCCAAGCTGACAGATCGGGCCCTTCAGCCTGAAGATCGGATCCATTCTCGATGGAAGCAACAGTGTGATTAGAAAATAATGTCAAGTTTTCGTCTCCTGAGGCTTCAATGCGGCGTAGCAGTCCGCGAACAAGGTTGGCGTTCTCAGTCATGGAAGCAACGGTTTGTAAATCCTCAAATGCAGGTGTTTCCGAAGACCGATCAAAGGATATCCGGGACCCGGTCTCGCCATCCCACACCTGCATTTCCTGATAGTTCTGCACTCTATCGATATCAAGGTGCTCCCAAGCACCAATTTTCTGTAAGAAATCGACGGAGGATGGTGTCAAGCTGCTGACTCGGTTGGAGAACTGGCTGGAGTCGAGGTTCCATCCACGAGCCTTGCCGAGGTCCTGGCTTTCGACGAGGGCGACCTTAAGCTTGGAGGTGATCGGTGAAGCTCCTGCAAGATATCAATAAGAGATTCTTCTCCAGATCCCACGAATTGTATTGTTATGTATGACGTACGTAGTGCAGCCAGCAACCCCAGACCGGCCGGTCCACCCCCAACGCAGACTACATCGTAGATTTCGGCGGATTGGGCGGCTTGTGTGCGCAATTGCCGTCGGCCAGCGCCAATGCCATGCCGGCAGGATGGGCAAACGTACGGGCGAAAGGCCGCCCGTGTGATCGAGCGCATTTTGTTTGGAGATCGACACTGACGGAGATCAAACGCCATCCAGGGCGCCGGTGGACTGATGGATGACCTGTTTTCACCGCCCTGCTCCATTGTTTAGGACTCTGATGTAGTAAAAAGAAAATTGCATCATAAGCGGCTCGCGTAGCTCAGTTGGTAGAGCGCGGCACTAGTAATGCCGAGGTCTTCAGTTCAAATCTGGACGTGAGCAGTTTCTTTTTGCATTCTTTTTCAATTCCAATTACCTATACAAGTAAGTATAACTAGTATACGTTTCACAGCACCCACCCTAGAACCGGTGATTGCACCCATAATACCTCTGGCTATGATGAGGGCCTAATAACCTTAAGCGATACTACTTTTCACTGTACATGAAGACCAATCATTGGATCAAGTTCGAATCAGGGTGTATGTAAGTAAGTGTACTACATTTTCACCAATATGTCTAGGCGTGATTCGTGCAAAGATCAAAGGGATCATGGCGCGTTGGATATATTTGCTGTACCCGGCCGCCCAAGTATGTTTATTATTTTTTTTCCATAGGAGCATCCATGGATCCATGATATCTGGGTACAGTCGCCGCTTCTAGACACCAATATTGAATTTTGTTTGAGTTAAAAGGTAACTAACTAATCAGTAGAAACTCGCGTGTATTAGTTAGTACGATAGAAAAAAAAAGCAAAAAAGAAACTGCTCACGTCCAGATTTGAACTGAAGACCTCGGCATTACTAGTGCCGCGCTCTACCAACTGAGCTACGCGAGCCGCTTATATTATCGAGGGTTGCGGTGTGCTTTATAAACCAAAAATAAATATATAACAAGTCTTCATAAACATTGGGAGCCACAGCCCGAGCAACGACCGGGGATAGGAGTTGTGGTCAGATCCAACAAAACACCAATATATTCTAGCCCATTCTATCTCTGTAGTTAGCTCCGTTGACGAACTTTTATCTGGGGCTCCCCAGGTGACAATTGCCTTTGTACGCTCAAAGTACCAACGCAATGAACAAACGTCACGCCTCTCGAGCTGTAGCCCGGCTAGGTGCCTGAAATACTTTGCCAACAAAGGCTCATAAAGCTTTTGGGGTGAATATTCAGTTCCCGGCAATTTTAAACACAACTAGACTGCGAATATACATTCTGTGGCCAGGGAGTGTACTCCGTAGAAATTTTTCAGACTCAATCTAGAGCCTCGAGCTAATCCAGTCTGACGGTCCACGGAACTTATATCCGACAGATCGCGACGTGTCAGAAAGGCCATCAGCAAATAGTGCGATGACAACGCATGTTTTCGATGAAGTGCAAGCAGCAGAAATTAATTATAACCTTTTGAGTCACCAGCAGACATTGGAATCTACCAGGATATCTCAAAAGTTGCGAATTGTATTCTGGGATACAGGACCCTCAAAATCGCCCTGACCAAAACACATTCAATCAACTCTTTTCTGGCCCCACCGCCAAGCCCTTAGCGATCATGTAGAAGACCGCATTAAACTGAGGGATGCCGTAATATACACCGTCTAGGTATTGTAAAATTCTAGTAAATTCCGACATTCCTTCTGAACATGCACATAAAAGTGGATCTAAATAGGGAGGGGGTTTCAAACTCATGCAACGCCACTGTATGTAGCCTCCAGAGCCGAAAAAACCAGCTAATACGAGGGATCGGCCCTGACGAGGCTGAGTTCTCACAACTTTCCTTTTCGCTGTCACCGTCCTTCATCCGTGCCTGTCTTTTCAAACAGATCTGAGAAAGAGCTGTATGATCTTAGCCCATCATGACTTTCGCAATTCCCTTTACCGTAGTTTATTTATCTGGCCCTGGCCATCTTCGAGGCCATCTACCGGCCGTTCAACACTTTTAAACGTTGGAGAAAACATCGACCCTTTCGCCCACTATCTCGCACTCGAAAGCGTGCTCTAACGCTACCTTTGCCTGAAAGCCCATGTCACAGTCGCAAACCACAACGGACACATAACCAATCACAGTCGCTCTTTTTACATCGATTACCATATGATATTCGAAGACAGATATACAAATACGTATTGGCGCCACCGGAAGCTCTACATGTTGTGGATACCTACTCCGGCCGCCTCGGCAGTGTCCGGTGTTTTGCCTCGCGCCCAGAGGACCAAAGAAGGAGGCATTTATGCCCTTATAAGGGCTACGACCATGATCAAGACAATTTCTGGCAACCAGTCTATCTTAGCCTTTTGTACTTGTGCCGTCAGATGTCAGTTACGATTTACAGAAAAGAATGGTCTCATTACTAACAGTGATATATAGATACTCAGAGTCGGTACATGTTCTCTATACACAAAATATCCTGACTATAGAGGACGATGTCCTTCAAAAACTTCCAAGGGCAATGTTACCTCGTCGCCTGACATCTATCCGTATAATCAGTCTTGAAATATTATAACAAGTAAGATTGCTCGTAAGTCACATTTTGCACATACATTGTGGAAAGACTCCAATCGAAGCTGGATGGACGCGTGTCAAGTTCTCTGTGAGATGGGCACCTTTGACCTTCAGAAACATGAGATCAGAATTAACTATCATGCTTGGGGGCGGGAGCGAGAAGGGAATCTCGGACCCAATGATGACTTACTTCTTGGGATGCTGAATCCTTTGCTTCATGTGAAGGCCCAGAGTTCCGCGTCATCCTTCATAGCTGGCCACAGCACAGAGAAGTTGCGTTGCGTATTCTTGGGGCGGATCCTCCGTTTTCTATTGAGACGGAAGATTTTTGACCAATATTGAGGCCCCGAATCCATTTACACAGGAAGAAATATTGGCACAGGAAAGACATTTGATGCATACAAACTTCCCCCCCCCCCACCCGGCGAATAATGCAAGTGATTGATGATTCTGAAGATAGCAGTGATTAGTATGAGTCTGCATAGATTCCCTTCGCCAGCTACCGCAGCCCGCGGCATGTTTCTTCAGCTTGAAAAAAATCAATAGCTGGTGATGATATCGACAAGCTACTGCCTTTGCCAGGGTTCTGTTGTTTGTGGGCGAACGGCGGCGTTTTAGCATCCTAGGATATAGGCCTCAAATAATATCACTAACTATAAGTCCGTCTTATTGTGTTTGGTTTGTTTTGCAGGTGTCGGCTCCCCAGGTATTCAAGTGAATATGATGACTCGAATCCAAGGGCCAAACCATATCGACTTCAGATCTGGGACCAAGAAGCTGGGTAATATCAACATGATAGTCTGATCTATGTATCAACTCCTTTTCCTCCATATGATTTGAATCATCTCAGTTATGGGAAGGATTAGGACCACTGGCTTTCTTGTAGGCAATTTGTAATATTACGTTCGAAGATCCAATACCACAGAAGGGGCACAATACTGTGTCCCTCAATTTCATACCCTTCAGATAATCCACCTGCGCCAAGGCCTTGGCAATGGGACCAGAAAAGAGCTATTGACTGTTTATTGGTCAAGGCGATTTCGAGAATGACTGTATGTACGTGGCCTGGCCCGTCAGAGGCTCAAATTATCGCCAGCCTGCCCATTTTGGTGCCAAATGTGAGCTCAACTATGCCCTTGGGCAGGATATATGTCAGAACCGGCTCTGTATAGATGCAACTAGATGAAGTAAGGGGCATCTATAGACTATAGTAGTTTTATCATCCGGTGGGATTGCCACGCATTCGTGATTCGTGACCCCCGATATTTCCGATTCCACGAGCACGTTATGCGCCGTGTAACATTGGAAGCGGTTGAGCACGAGCGTTAATATGTGATCACAATAGATCATATGCGAATTGACTGTTTAAAACGTATAAAATGAGCCTCTTATTGCTATGCTTGAGATCTTCGCGTTTGTTCTGCCGCAGGCTAAAGGCTCCAGTGGCATGGGTGGCAGGCATCGGCACTCTGGCTATGATATAGCTCAGCAAAATTGCCAGGGCTACCATGGAGTTCGTCTAGGTCGATTTGACCTGACTAACCTCATGCTCAGCAGCCATACCTGATCCATACTTATGAGGTAAGGAACCCACCTCCAGCGATACCATGTACCACTTGAAAATTTCTACAAATATGCCGGCTTTCGATGGAACCTCAGATAATTGCCGATGAAAGGTTGGCGCTAAAAGTGGACATTTAAAATGATCCTTGTCGGTGCAGTACGCTAAAGTCGACGTGTCCAAGCCACCAGACTGTGCAACAAAGCATTGGTCCGTCACATTGTCCAAAAAGCAGACATCGGAACTTATCGCTATTTTATTCGTATTTCCTCAAACTTACTGATTTCTGTTGTTCGCGCACTTTGTAAGCTACCTAAGACTGCACCAAAGTTCCCCTATCTTCGCCCTATAAAGCTCCACGACAAACTTGACTCTACAATATGTTAATAACACGCTGCTTGCTAAAGAGTAGTAGTTATTTTTAAGCCACAGTTGGTGGCTTGAATATAAAGCTAAACGGTTTGCCTCTAGCCCTTGATACTTTTATCGGATGGAACCAAGACTACGTCTCATGCATTAACCGCGCATAACGGCCATAAAGACGGCGAGATCGAACGTAGTAATAACATGAACAGGGATCTTCACGGACACGTGGGGCATCACGGCATTGCGATCGATAAGCACCCGAGTTCGTGTATAGGTCACTTTCCCCTCCTTTTCCCACATAATCGATGGACGCACTTCAGATATAAAATGATCAAAGGTGCCCAGGCCCAGACAAGCACCTTTGTCTTTCCAATTCTATTTTAACAACTTATGATAGGCCAATAATCGTAGGCCAAGAATGAGTTACTTCTTTCTGCAGCCCAGAGTCGGACTTCGCCAAGCATGCATCAAGCTTCATGATTACACATTGACCACCACCGATCCCAGAATCTACTTATTCTTCGTAGAAGCAGGCAAACCGTGAGAATGTTTCTATTTTACCATAAATCGTGCTTTATAACTAAAAGGCTTAGTATCATCGAACGATGTTTGTCAATTCCCGACGCTACCATATTGCTTTCCCTCCAAGGTCTAGCCACCCTCAGTACTGGCTCTGTTTTGATACTCTCTAGCACAACAGGGTATAGTAATTATTCCCTACTCAGTTGTTTACGTTGTCTACCTTATTAACTAAGCTCATAGAAACGAGCCTACAAAAATGTAAGAGGCGCAAAACTTTGACCAGGACTCGTTCTCACGCATATAGAATTGTTATTAAAGGTCCAAAAGTGAGACCGGGGGACCGTCTTTCGGAAACTTGGACTTCTGTACTTACTTTTGCCCGAGGACCGCTCGCGAGAATGCTTTCGCATAATTTGGGAAACATGGTCTTTTCTTCAGATCCTAACTCGCGAATGCAATTTTGGAATTTGGTTCGAGGTCGCATTGCGGGTGATAGAAGGAATCTGAACTGGCTTATTTCTTATTGTCGGAGGAGGTACTTTGGTGGTGTTGCCCAGCCCAGTCCAATGGTTACAGATGAGGACTTGATTGAGCATCTTCTAACGGATACTGTGTTGTATTCGTAAATCAGGAGAACGACACACATAGCCTGAAGTACTTTGGCGGAATGCATGAAGTGAAGAGGAAGAACTTCGGACGGACGAGGAAAACTAAAGTTGATGCTAATTTGAAATTTCTCTAATTACGGCTAGGTATACTTGGGAGATAAAATAGTTGTGATAACCTTGGAATGCAATTGGGTATTGGTGAGCTGTTTCACTTGGTGTCACTGATACATAACATGTATCTTTAACCGTCCAGACAATCCAGACATATGCAAAAGGAAGAGGTAGATGTAATCTCTATTTTTGAGAAAAAAGGACAATGCTAGCCGTGACCAGGAAAGAGAGGGGAAATAAAACGCCTATATTTTCATCTTTTGAGTTCTTAGACCTGTGCAGATTGCAGTTGCTGAGCCAGACTGTCAACAACGCCGGCTTGCTTTTGAGCAAGGCGCGATTTCAATTCGGCGACCAACGAGGCCAGCTCGACTTCAACACCCTCCTTCTCCGGGTGATCGGCAGGGAGACCCATCTCCTTGATGCGGACCTTGCCAGCAGCCAGCTCCTCCTCACCGAGAATGACGGCGAAGGGAACGGAGCCTTGCTCGGCAGCCTTGAATTGCTGAGGAAGCTTGGGCTTCAGTTTGTAGGAGAACTCAGCCTAGGGGGCACGTTAGCAATTAGTTTTAGATGAAAAAGAGCCACGAATGACATACCTTAATGTTAGCGTTCCACAGCTTCTGGCAGACCTCCATACGCTCCTTGAGCATACCAGTGAAGCCCTTACCACCGAAGGCCATGACGTAGGCATCAACCTCACTGCTGCGGAGACCCTCGGTGTTCTGCTCACGCTCGAGGCGGGCTTTGGTGATAGAGAAAATACGGTCCACACCGAAGGAGACACCAACACAGGGAATCTGAGCCTTAGGCTGGAACATGCCCACCAAATTGTCGTAGCGACCACCGGCAGCGACACTACCCACACCGAGGGTGGGGTCGTTGGAACGGTCATCATCATCTGAGGTCTTTGACTTCTTGCTAGACTTCTTCGCCTTTTCTGCCTCTGGGGCGTCGGACTGAATAGCGGGGGCAGAGCCCTCGGTGACAACCTCGTAGATGACACCGGTGTAGTAATCGAGTCCACGAGCCAGAGACATATCGAAGGAGATCTTGTCCAATGATCCGAACGCCTCCAAGTAGTCCATCAACAAAGCCATTTCCTCAAGACCAGCCTTGGCGGAAGCATTGGCTGTAAGTGTCTCATCCTGCAGCAGCTTGTTCAACAGCTCGCGTCCACCCTTGTGCATGACATAGTTTTCGATGCGGTCCGCAACAGCGCCATCCAGACCCTTCTCATCGACCATTTCCTTGCGCACATCAGCCCAAGGCATCTTATCCAGCTTATCCACCGCGCTCGAGATGGGCCGGATCTTGTCCTCCGGCACACCACACACGGCAAAGAGACCATCCAGAATCTTGCGGTGGTTGATCTTGATAGTGTAACGGCCATTCCAGCCAAGCTCCTCGAAGACCTCGCTGACAATGCGCAGCACCTCGGCATCGGGCACCATGGGGTCGAACGCACCGGCGATATCGAAGTCGCACTGGTAGAACTCGCGCATGCGGCCCTTGCTGACAGCAGGCTGATCCCGACGGTAAACCTTAGCAATGTGGTAGCGCTTGATACTGCGCACGTCCGTGTTCATCGCGAGCCAGCGCGCGAAAGGGACTGTCAAGTCGTAACGCAGGGAGCAGATCTCGCCACCCTGGTCCTGCAGGTCGTAGATGAGCTTGGAGTCCTCGCCATACTTTCCAGCCAAGATCTCACGCAGCTCAAAAACGGGTGTATCGAGGGCGGTTCCGCCGTGGCGCTTGAAGACGTCGGCGATGGTGGTGAAGATGCGGTCTCGAAGGAGGGCGTCGGAGCCGGACCAGTCCTTAGTCCCCTTGGGGGTTTTGAGGGTAAATGAGACCTTGTCTTTAGGCATTTTGTCGATCGAACCGGAGTGAGGGATTGAAGAAAGGAAACGAGTGCGGCGGGGGAAGTTTCGATGGTGGGGGGTGGTGGGGGCACGGCGACAAATTTGATTCGAGACTAAACGCCGGCCTTGTATAGGCAAATGAGTCAGACAACACGGATATCTTGCGCCAATGAGTTTTGCAAATGATTGTCTTGCAGGATGCAGACGCAAAGAACTAGAGAGGGACGTCATAAAAGCGACGCTCACATTTGGCGAAAACTGCCCGTGGCTCAAATCGGTTCGACCGGGCCATCTTGCTACATCGGGGAGTTTTTCCGGAGTTAATCCGAGCCCACTCTGAAGTATGAACGAGATGCGGATCCTTTGAGTCGAAGTATTTTACACAATTAACGGCTCAGAGGGATAGATTGATGGTGGCACTCAATATATATAGTGACTGGATCTGAATTGGCAGCAACTCAATTTCCCACATACTTCGAGGCTATGTCACTCAAAAGTTTGAATGAGTCATCCAAGTCTTGACACATTGTGAACGATATGTACGTACCAGAATTCAATCACGAAATGTCTCTCATCCCAGCCAATACGGCGCCCTTTACACAAGCTAGAGTGATATCTGACTGGATGACTTTGAGTTCGAGTAGTGATAAGCATGAGTTGACTCTGCTGGAAAGATAAGGGTTCACAAGAGAACCTCCCACGAAAAGACAGCTCTATGAATTTGGGGAAATATCAACATGAGTCTCGTTTAGAATGGTACCTTAGCTTACCTTGAGTGTCTTTTGTTGTAATTCAATAGCGGAAACTTGCTCCTCAATCATACCCAAAATCTGGTTCACAGAGGGATCAAAGCAAGAAAGCATTTCTTCCTTGGTAAACCACATACGCCCCTCCTCAATATCTGCCTCGGGAAATTCCAACTCTATACCCACATCACACCAAAAGTCCCCAGCCCTTTCAAGATCCAAGCAAGCTGGGGGCGGGTAATCGGGGTTCCCAAACTGAGGGATGACCTCACTTCTAAAAAAGTCACGGCATTTTGCGTAAACACGAGGGGGTCTATTCACCAGCTTCATCTTCTTGATCTTTCCACGAACAATATTATGGAAGCAGCTGCTAATTTTGCTAGCTCCAGCGGCGCCCACAGAGAGATCGGTACATTTGGCCAGTCTCAAAGGGTCCTTGGATTTGACTTCATAAGTAACCATTTCCACAAGATGGCCGCCACAGTCTGCAACGAGGACATTATCTCCGACTCCAAAAGACGAGGAGTCATCAAAGTTAGCTTGCAAAAAGGCTGCTTCTGTGCCAGTAACCAAGGCAAAATCATGCTCGGATCTCACCCTGAAACCAGCTTCTTTAGCCATCGAGCGCAGCTTCGATCGGGCGTCTTCATTCCATGAGGCAGGTATAGTAATCAAGTAACGGTGACTAAATTGACTTGTACCTGATGACAAGTTTGAGGCGTCCGGAAGTTGTGAAAGTATGCTTTGTCGGACGTGACTAAGAAAGTCAACCATGACTCCTTCGATTGTTTTCCCAGGGGGAAGTGGTGGGCTCTCTAGGGTGGCGTCTTTGAGAGGAGCAAAATGATATCTGAATTCCTCAATCTTTTGAATTCCAGGTCTTGGATAGCCAGCATATGAAATGACTTCATCTTCGCTTTCGCTCCAGCCTACCATTTTCAAGAACTGATTGTAGTATCCGACTGTTTCAATTTTTGGTTGTTTCGTGAATCCTTTGATAGGCCTCGCAAAGCTTTTGGGCCATTGACCCAGGACCTTGACCTTCATCATGTCATCGCTTGCAACAGTGTAGGCAGCAGCAGTGAATGTTGCACCGAAATCAATCCCGATGATGATTTGACTTCTATTTCGTTCCGTGACTGGAGGCTGATCGTCGACTTTTTGGTCGGACATATTGGGTGTATTGTAAGGAAATGGTGTTATGGGCAATCTGAGCCCAGTAGAAATGAGCCTCTAGGGGAGGGTGAAAGAGGAAGAGATGTGCAACTGTTTACACACGTTGCCCGATACGTACAATGTCACATGATCAGAGATGTATCCAATACACTCTCCGTTGATTTGACATAAAACATCCAGTCGATTGAATTGGATGAAGCTGAACAGGAAATGAACATTGTTCAGGCGTGTAGGTCACCAGGTTTGAAGTATTTAGCAAACACACTAGAAGAATCTACTGTTACCGATGTGTTTGGGGCTTGGCGACATCATGATCCAGACAGCCAAGGACTACTAAAATAAACTTACGGGGCGGTGCTCAAAGGAACCGCTTCTGTCATAAGCATTCTCTCCAAAAATTTTTAAAAAGCGAAATGCATGCTCAGCTACGGCGGCGTTGACATGTGTGATATCATAGCATCGGCCACCTGATTGGCCTAGCGGCACATGCCACCCAATGCGGTTAGATCGATCCCGGACGATCCTTGGCATCTTTGGGGGCCGCATAATCTGGGATATCTCTGAGCGTTTTGATTGGAACATCCGTCTTTCCCCCAGTGAATAAAGCCAGTTTCCACACTTGTGACAAGGCTGAATCATTGGATTTTTGGACGGCAAGGGTCTCAGCCCCCACAAGACTGTGCTCTTGGCAGAAGACGGGCACCATGATTCCGCCGCTTCTGAAGCGCTTCGTGAGACCATTTTGGGTTAGATTCTTGGCTCAAGGGTAAAGTTTAATTTTGTGGCAATGACGATAGCAATGAATTTTTAGCTATATAATATCCTTCAGCCCTCGATTTTAGCTCATTCAATCTACAACAACTTATCAATATTGACAGCTTCTTAATTCGCCTGTTCATTCATAGCATATCTTTATTGACCATGAATTCATCATCCGAAAGCGTTCCTACTCATATGAATTCGGGCCAGTCTCGCGCATTAGCGCTCGATTTCAAATGGGGAAACTTCCACACCCTCATCACCGAGTTTGATACAACAAACCCCGACCCACTGCCACTCTACGATGTGTCCTGCGGGATGCTAGCACCCCACCTGAAGATCAAATCGATACAAGACGATCGACAGATTGGAACTGGCACCATCCATGCCATCAGCATCAGTCCTGACTATTCGATCCATGGATCCAAAGGTACCCTTCGAGCTAAGAGTCGCCTGCGGACAATATACACCCACATGTCCCACACCTTCTCGGACACAGACAAGCCGGCCAAGATGACATGGACAAGCCGAAGTGGTTTCACAAAGTGGGACTTTATCTGCTGCGACGAGAACCAAATACCTGTGGCGAAATTCACTGCCAATGTATGGGCACTCAAGAAAGTTGCCAAGATCGAGCTTATGGGCCCGAAGGCGTTTGATTCTGCGGCTCTGGATGAGATCGTGACCGTCGGAATGACGCTGAACTACTGCATGTATCTTCGTATTAACAATCCTTTGAACCTTGTTGGCTCTGCTTTCATGCGGACAGGAAAGGAAGCGCAAATTGAGGCACCACGGCTGCAACCTGTATAGGGGCAGTTCATTGATTGAAGAGAAGCATTTTTTTATATTTCGGCGATGATCAGGGGTTGTACTTTCCTTCCTTTTTCTTTTTCTTACTCTTTTCTCTTTCTGCGCGCAAGTCTGTATGAGAAGGTCGTTGAGGCTTTTGTTGATTTCCGTGATTTCTTAAGATACCATATGAGATTTCTTTTTTTAATATAGATTGCATTGATCAGGTTTTGAGGCAAATGAAATTTTTTTTTTCACCAAAAAAAGGCCATAATAAATAACACATTCTTTAGTGACCGGAAAAATCTCAAGTTAATGACAGAAAATTTGTACAAAAAGAAGAAAATGGAGCTCCGGTATAGCTACTTCTCTCAATGAGGACTTGGTGACAGGAGGGCGGACCCACTGGTAGAGTTTTTCCAATAGTATAGGCCTTGGCAGATCCATGGGCCTATCGTTCTGTCGCAATATGAAGTCTTGATTATCAAGCTCTCATTTTGACGTCAATTCATCACCATATCAGAGAGAGAAAATTTAGTGAAATCGCACTTTGGCCAGTGCTGTTCCATAATATTCATACAAGCCTGTCTGAACATCAATATGCCGGGGCAAAACCGCTCTGTTGTTTGCCCAAATGCCTCTACAACAGGTCTCAGCCCACTACCGACGTGCTTCTTATGCCAAATGGAGATACCATGGCTACTAGGCGATCGATTTTTCAACTCTAGTAAAGCCAAGATGCAGAAATGGTTCAAAAATCGATGGAAGAGTGATTGGGAATCCAGGTCAAAGCATGTGATGGTCCCGTCTATCACGGTAGAGGAGGCATGTTTTGATGATATGCCCCGGATATGGTCATGTTTCTGCCGAGCTAGTAAGTTTTAGAGAATATCTTCAATGAATAGGACTGACTTGCGCAGTAATCAAGGTATCGGATTACAAATATGATCTAACGGGTATTCATCTGATGCATCGCTCAGACAGCTCTCTTTACTTCCCAAAAGATCCAGATATCGCGAGAATTGGGGTTAAAGTCAAGCTCGGTGCTGACCACTCCCGAGATAAAAAGACAAGCTTAGACAGTGATATCTTCACTGAATTCTGGGCCGCGAGTATGGGAAGACAGCCACCGCATTACAAAGGAAACGTACATGGGTTTATTGTCCATGCTCATTGCTGGGCTCTTCTCAACCGAGTTCTAGGAGCAACGCCGAGACCGACTGAGATCAGACTCAAGAAACTCATTCTGTCTTCACGAAAGTATTGGCGGAATCAAAAATTACATGGATTGGAAGATTACAATTTTCATCAAAGCATCGCTAATCAGGCACGGGCGCCACAATATGAACACGGCTGTGATATTTATCAAAATCCACTTGTTATACCGGCACTGCAAGAAGTAATTACTCGCGAAAAGACCCGGGCAGCGAAGGATCGAATTCGTCCTGGCCTTAGCAAGTTTCCCATGGAGATCAACATCTTGATTTCTGAATGGGTTTGCCCAGTTGACTGCACTTTAGAGGATATTACAGACATGCGCAATATGCTTCTCGCATTTCAGTGGAGATTGCCTGACTGGTTCTGGCGAAGGCGGCTCAATATAAATGAAAATCTAATTTTCGAGCTAGACATTCTCAGAAAGTCCGGCTCTCCAGTGGACTGGCAGATATTGAAACTTGGTTTGATGGGTCTTCATTTAGATCCAAAATGGTATTCTAGGAGTGGTCTTCCGAATCGAGAACGTATAATCAGAAATATACTTGCTATCAAGGACTTGGGCGTTAGCTAGATGATCGAGAGATTTTGGGATTTGGCTTGCTACAATCCCTGTCTACATATGTGAATAAATAAACTTGCTGAAAGACTTGGATAGTGGCTGAAATAGTACTAGTATCTGTCTGGAAAAATGCGCACCGACAAGCACCCTTCTACGATTGGTAGAGCCTGAGTACAGGATGGGTCCACAATCTGGACGTCATAAGATTGGGAGCCCATGAAGTGGTTTCGCCAGGTAATATATAGGGGTACTACAGTACTTGCTACTTAAGAAGCGAGTCCCGCTAATCCGGAAAAAAAAAGAGGATGCCGAACGAAAAGTCGAAAGATAAGTCAATTTACGGCCAAAGCCTGTACCTAGGCCTCAAAAAATTCCATTTTCATCATTGACTTGCACATTCTGTACGGAGTACTAGAGTAAGACCTAGTCAAATTGGAAATGTTTTCTTGTAGGGGCCAACTTTATGGGATGCCAGTTGCCGTATTATCTAGCGCAGGGTCAAACAGGGTTCATGTGGAGCTAAGTGCCACTAGCTCGGTTCGCCTCTCCAGCGCTAAAGGTGGGCGCTCATTTCCCCTTTAAGAGGCGATCATCCACCACATGGAATCACAGCAATCTTCAGCTTTACCAACCTACAATTGCTTCTCAATTTGATCAGATAGGTCACACTTCCCCAAGAAAGCCATGAATACATTGCCAAGTTCTTCTGTCGATACTACCTTCTCCCTCATCCGCTGTCCCCCAAGCCCAACTTTCTTAGTCTTCCTAGTGCTGCAACTAACTAGCGATGGATCCTGAACTTCAACGCAATCTTCGATTCTCTGAACATGACAGACCGTGAGATATCACTTGAATGCTCATTGTCTTGCAATGCTGAGAATCATTAGTCCGAACGCACCTGCTTGGATCATGGAGATATCGCCAAGAAAGGTTGTATACTTGGCTATTCAAGCCGGGATCGTCATTACCATTCGGCGAGAAGAAGATGGCTACTCCGGTCCCTGCATCTTCTGCTGGCATGAGCGATCGGATCTGTGGGGTTCAGCTGGCTTCATGCTCTTCCAGCACACGCCATAGCCGAAGGACGCCATGTTCCTCCATCTTTTAGTGTCATTCGGCCTACGGAGAGGGCTAGATTCCACCAACTTTTGCCTGGTGAAAGTTTCCGCCTGAATGTGGGTCATTTTGAACCTTTCCAGGATCAATTCGTCCCTGGTGAGAAATATGAACTGTTTTGGCCCGGTGCTGAATACATCCTTTGGGACTGGGGATTTTTGCACGAGCTTGTAGATCACGAAATCGGCGGCGAAAGCCATTCCCGCGCTGTTATTCCAGTAAGGGGCAGTATTTCCTTCACTACTATCGACGAAGAGCAAGTCATCTGGTCGGCGCCTGGACCTGATATAAGCCCCGATAGAATGTAAGCAAGTTGGAAACATCAGTTTCCTTTACTTATGTGTTTGCTAACCGCTTTTATGAAAGCCCCAGAACCCCAGCCCTCACCTTGACTCTGCAATCTCCATCCGAGCGCTTTTCTTTCCATAGAAGCGTTTTGGTAACCATAGAGATCTCTCTGATGGTATAACGGATGAAGATGGCAAGCCAGTATTGACGGGTGCAAAGCCAATCAATTTCCATAATATTGAGACCGACGTTTTTCGACTCGATCGCCGGTGCCACGATTATGACCCGAACAATTTCGAAAGTGAGTTATTCTCAGAATGGGAGCCAGATTAGCACTGGGATGACTACTCCCCATGTATCTATGGGAGGGCTTGACTATGTGGTCAATGATTCTCAGAGTGAGCGGTTCGTTTGCCTCCAAGTGGGAGAGAGCTAGTCCCGTAAGGTAAGCCTTGGCCTCTCGAGTTTCCATCCCGAAACATCTGTTGGCGACATTTATCGATATAGGTGCTGTGGCACCATCATCGATTGGTGAACTTGGGGTGATCGGAAAGAAAATGCCAATACTATTGTGAATTCCCACCCTGGGGTGGCGATGTCATTGACCCCCCGGATAACGAAGGAAATCCGAAAGTCACATTACCTCCGTCCAACGGAGTCGAGTTCACAATCATTGAGTGATGTGTACGGGCAAGCCAGACTTGATAGAGGAGAAGTGGAGTGGAGGAGTTTTAAATGAGCCAATTTTTGTATAGCTTGCGTACGACTACATAAACATATGGGTAGTCACTCTTGCTACGTTTGATGTGATTAATAACCCCCTTGACTCGTGTTCGTGAGACTATGTTCTGTGGTGTAAATAGCGCCTTTCAACACTCTAGTTGGGAATTCGATGGCTAAAATCAAATCCTGATTTGTTTCCATTACTACATGATCATGAGAATGAAATCAGGCGTCGATCAACGCAAGTACATAGATTGCTTAAGATTTACCAATAGACCTCCGAACAAAATCAATCACGATCCTCTGGATGGAAAACCAAAGCTCTCAACTCAATACTTTCCCTGGGTGCCTCATGTGCCGTCGATGGATCAACAAAAGCAGCATGGGGTACCCGTCTCGCCCGGCCATCAAGTTTGGAATCGAAAAGCTTGATGAAAGTCACCATATCGGGAGTCTGTTTATAGCGAAAGTACCATTTCATATTCGGATGCGGCGTGACGTTCCATGCGCCACTCACTCGTTCTGGAAAAACGAACGTGATAGGGACAAGACAGCTCTCTGGAGTCGAGTGTGAATCCGCGACCGCCAGTGGGTCCTTCAAGATCGTACGGATTGGACGCCAGATACTGATCATCTGGTAGCGACTCTTGAGGAGCTCTGGTGCCTCGTCTGGGAAGTGAAAGAGGACTCGGTCCTCAGCACCCTTGTAAGATGCGTCAATGTGGACGGTTTGGATGGGACCGCGGGGCTGGTCTCCAGTAACCCAATCTGTTGCAGCTCGGCGGATAGTATGGTCGAAAATATAGAGCCGAGAACACCCGGTACTGTGCAAGTTAGTTTATTGTGTTTTTGGCAATTTCGGGATTTGAAGATTTCGGTTGCTTACACGTCCTTAAGCAATTGTTCTGTCTCTGGGTAGTAGACATTTTTGATCTCCTCTTCGTTGAGGAAGTCTCTGTCCTTCAGTTTGCTCTCATGGTAGTGGTACTGAAATCCATGGCTGTCCAAGCTGTAGTCCAGCTCATGGCCACTGACATCCTGAATGGTGGCGGGGACATCGATGGTTGGCCGAAAGTATGTTTCAGGCTTTCCAATGTGAATTGGGGCTTGGGGGGAACCGTCTTCGTTCTCCAAGTTGAAAGTAAGTGTGGTCTGGACATGGTGAGGGCCTTCGGTGACCGGGACCTTGTGCTTTTCTGCTGGCAAGGAGCCATGGGCATCAGGGAGACGAACAGCTGCCGCAGCCATATTATATGATTGATTTTTGTTTTCCAAAGGTATTGCGAGCCGGACTTTCTTTTTGAATGGGGGGAGGAGATTATTTACGTTGGCAAGTTGCGGTGTGCCTAAGAAAATTCAAGTTGTCAGACGGCACGTAAAATGCAGGATATAGATAAATGTGGTACATGCAGGATATTGCCAACCTGCATACTACACATCTGAGCCTGTGCGTCATGCAAGACCATTCTATGAGATAGAGCAGCTAGTCACATTCTGGTAACAGTTGCCGCGCAGGATTTTGATGAGTACTCAAATTTATTCTAAACACAAGAGTGTCTCCCAGTCACTGCGTGCTTGATACAACCTTTCAGTATCTTATGAAAGGTGAAAAATGACCTCTGGATAACGCCCGTGAAATGGCCCCAGGGTGTACTATTTCAAGATAACAATACCAGGAAAATGAAAAACTTGATCCATTCAAATTATGGGGCAAATCAAACATATCAAGAATGCAAGAACCTAGATGCCATTGATTTTGCCTGCAAATTAGATATCGAAGCTAAATAATTTCCATATCCTAACTTAGGGCTTATTTGCTCTAATAATAAATATCAAGCCTCTCAACTGGAAAGGCGGGAATGAATTTTGATGTCTATAAGTATCTCGAATTTCATGATAAAATATGGAAGATTAACATGGCCCTTTTCACTGTTTCATGGCATGCACAACGTCGTCTAGCTTTAATATAAATGCCTTCATCTCATCCACGGTGTTGTAATGAACCAAGCTTGTTCGAATGATGCCATAGTCTGGCACTCCAAGAACATCATGAACTGTACGCGGAGACCAACAATCACCGGTGATAAGTCGGAAGTTTGAGGTCTCGTGAATTACTTCTGCAATTTTGTCAGACGCGAGTCCATTGACTGTAAAGCTGATCAATGAAACCCTCGCTTGGGGGTCTGCTGTCTGTGACCCATAGACGGTGTAAAGATCCGGATGTGCGTTCAAATAGTTGAGAATCTGCGCGGTGATGATTTCCTCGTGCGCAATAAGAGAGTTCCAGCCAACGTAATCGACGAGATGACTAATGATGGGGGTAACAGCATGTTCAAACTCAATGCAGCTGTTGCCGAGACCCAATCTCACGTGTAAAGCGCTGGGGTCAAAGAAGTAGTGGTTGAGACTGGTTAAGTAGCGCTTCTGAACACTGCGACGAGCATAGATCTGTGCGATATGAGGGCCAAATACCTTATACCAGCTAAACACGTAGAAGTCGACACCCAATTCTTTCACATCGATGGGACGATGGGGGGCCCAAGCCACTCCATCCACGGATATCATAGCCTCGGGGACGGTATGGACCAATTCAGCGATCTCTTTGATGGGCTCGATAGTGCCAGTGATATTTGACACATGTCCACAGCATACAAGTCTAGTTTTGGAGGACAGGAGGGGTCGAAGTGTTTCAAGGCTGAGCTTGGGGTCTTTGTTGTTCCCCATTCCCCCTTCTGGCGCCCACCACTTGATGGAGATGCCCAGACTCTGCGCCAAGGCAACCCATGCAGTCATACCAGCCTCATGACAGAGTACAGATACAATCATCTCTGAGTCTGAGTTGAGGTTTGGACGAAGGGAGTTGGTCAGAGTTCGTAAAAGCCCTGTCGTAGAAGATCCAAAGGCTTCATTTGGAACACTCGTTAACAACAGATAATGCTATCAAGACATGTGTCTGCACCGAGTGGACAATTCTTACCAATCTCGTCAGGATCAGCATTCATGAAAGAAGCAAGCTTCGCATACTGGGCAGTGCGCTCTTTTACGTCAATCATGCTTTTTGAGTCTAGACCACGCAGATTCATATGAGGAGCCGACATTGTGCGAGTGATGCTATTAAATATATTGTTAATAAATGGATCTTTACCTCCTCATCGTATGAGGCGCCAGGAAGAATTCACCTCTCAATGACTCCCTTGTAGATGAGGGCACCGGATCCATTGTTTAAACAGATGGAGCCTTTGTCAATACCTGGAAATCTTTTCCGAACTTCCTCGACGTCAAAATTGGGGACATGTTTGTTGATAGTGATAGTCATGATTGAAACTGGTAAAATAAGCCAAGTTATGTGAGAGGAGACAGCAAGATACCCCGAGCGTATCTCTGCAGTTTAGATAAAGTCAATGAGGAAGAAGTAAGGGGGCTTATAAGTAAGATTAGGTATACCGCGGCAAACTTACGCACGGTTCGCACTCAAACGGCAGCGACCATCGTGATCAAAACTAAACTTGACATATAAGACTGCTCTCTCACGTTGCATCTTTCAACTTGCGTGCCATATTTAACCTACAACTGTCCTGTACTGACCGACTCTGTCTCCATTTGGAATTCATTTCCAATACCCTGCCAAATCCGAGCCTGCGCAAGCCTAGAAGCTAGGCAATTGTACAGAACGATCGAAGACGTGGAAATAAGCAGCTTGTCAATACGAACAGTGAACTAATAAAGCAAGAGAATGTCTTTCAAGCCAGCCTCGATCTCTACTTGTTGCATTGGATGGGTCACAGCTACGCCCATACGCCACGTACGTGAAGATCTCACTTTCAGGGGCTTGCGTTTCTGGATTTATTGGAGACCACAAGGTTTCTTCAGCTTACGCCCCACATATCGCTGAAAATCTCTCAGATTCATGCATAAGTGGGTTTTTAACGCAGTGGGCAGGTGTTCGTGCAGGAGGCACCTGCATAATGTCACGATGCTGATAGGCGGGGTCTACCCGCATACAACGTACGAAGTACGTATTGCATATGTACATGATACATGCACGAAGGCGATGGCTAAAACGCGCCCGCAGATGGCTTCGATATTTCGATGCGGGGATCACCGCGATCGATTTTAGATCAAGCTGGATGCTAATGAGCGCAGGTTCTCAGATCTAATTTCCCAATCCTTAAATTCCCTCTCTTACAGAATGAGCTTCCAGCATATGCCGGAACCAGAGCTACAAGACTTACTTGCCCAACTCGCTCGTTTTTACCGAGCAAATGAGACCAGAATCTCCGCCGATGAGGTTTCTAAATGCCTTGAGCATCTCCCAGCAATGGAAAGCTCAGCATTGAATCGCATGTTTTCTTTAATATATCAGAAAAAAGTCAGGACTCCTGTGAAGCGATCCTCATTTGATTACGCCGCTAATCTCTGTGATCTGATAGACCCGGGGATCGGAACCGGGCCGCAAGGGGCAGCCAAATCGCCCGCAGTGGACCCCGGATTCCTGTGCTGTCATGAAAAACGCTATGAGGCTAAGTGGAGTGGACCCAGTGGATAGATCGGTGCCTTGTCAAAATGGGCTCTATGAAGGGTCATACGGAGACAGACCTCCCGGTTATGTGGAATTGCTCCAACCTTCTCATGTCTCTAATTATGCATGCCACCAACAAAGGCCACCTGGTGGAAACCGGGGAAGCTCCAATCATGCTCATATCCAAGAGCGCCCTATCATTTTCCCTTCAAGTCTTGGGAATGCAGAACAGCCAGACAGGGATATCTGCTCGGGCCGCATAGCGGCCCCAACGCCAGAGGAGTTCGATAACCAGAGCTCCCCCTGCTCGGAGTTTAACACAAACACAAATACAATACAACCCTCCAGTCCAACCACTGATACAGCACTGCCTGCATCCAGTCTGGTCCTCTCACGCCAAGGCGAAGTGACGCCTATCCACCTTATGACCGATGATGAGGCGTTCAGCAAAAGTAGCCTGGCCACCTGCGACGACATAACATTCTCGCCAAATACTAAAAGACTTCTCGAGAGCTGCAAAACAAATCTTGGAGGATTCCTGCAAGCTATCAAAGAAGCAAAGGTGTCTCTCCCAACCGGCCAGGGTTGGGAAGCCGCGATTGCCACGAAGAAAGAAAACGTTGACATTCGCGATCTTTTGAAGATTTACCACAGATTTGAGTGTCATAATATCTACAGACATGTTGTGGAGGCAGAGTATCACACTGGCACACATTGGATTCGGGATATGCGTACATCATTGGCGAACAAACTTTGCCGGGACTTTCCTGAGCGTTTCCAGGACCAGAAAGCGGCTAATAAATGTTTGAACTGGGTTGATCAAGGCTGCAGATATCAAGAATGGGCCGAAATGTTTAAAGAAAAGACAGACCTTGGGTATCTTATTGCATTGCCTTCAGATGTGTCTCACTCAGCGTTCGTTCCCTTCCTTTCCCTCCCTGAGAACATGGTCTCACGAAGACTCCCAGGTACACATCAAGATGCACAAAAGATCAAATGACGGCCGCTGTCCTCAAATTTAAATGCTTGGGTATCGATAGGATCGTGAAAGACATGGGACTGGCCCAGTTGGGTAACCATATTGCGGCAACCTTGAGGGGAATGACAGGTAGGAAACGAAAGGATGTTGGTGAGTCCTTTCTAGACGCCTCGTTTCTGACAAATCGCAATGCTTATATACCCGGACCAGGAGAGATGATTCAGAGCACTTGGAAGTCACCACGATTGACGGCAGGAATTCTGTCAACTCGTGTTTCACAATATGGCCAAAATCCCACGCCCCCCGCGTCACTGGCAGCCGGTACCGACGACAAATCCACACTTACATACTCGGCCTTATTAACATATGCACAACAGATCACATATTTAGTCATTCTGAGACTTCGATGCCAGATTCGGCTCAAGATCAACCTGGTATCCATGGGCAACAAGATAGCAACACGAGCAATGCTATGGATGACTGTGCGGTGGCCTTTGAACCTTTCAACGGTATGATCCCACGCCCCCCCCCTCCTCCCGGTCAAAATTCGGGACATTAATACGAACTAGTTGAGTTGAACCTATCTGCGTATGATCATCTTATGAGTCCGTATCAAAGATTCGATGACTGGTATCAGCGTTCAAGTTATATGGAGGATGCTGCACAGATGAGATTGAGTCCTCAAGTTCATCAATACACGGGATCGTTTCAATAACGAAAAATGATACCATGACAATGCAATTTTGCGGGAGGAAGTTCTGTTTTGTCCTATGCCCCGGTACGCTTCCAATTGATAATTGCTCTCAATGCCAATCTTTCCTTGCTGTCAAAGTGGTAAGTAGATTTTTACTGCAAGGCTTTCTATGTCGATCCGGTGAATGTTCATTGGAGCACTGCCCGAACCAAGACTTCGAAGTTTATCTTTGACTACATAAAGTAGCATTGACTCGAAATCCAAAAGTATAAAGGACTTTATTTGGAAAGAAGCCAGTAACAACAATATTCAACCAAGAGGACATTAAGACAAGCTAAATATTACTGAGCAGCCTGAGCAGCCTGAGCAGTGGCACCAAGAAAGCCGTTCCGACCAGTCAGCATAGCACCATGCTGCTTAGCATCGAGGCTCGCTTCCCGGAACAGAGCATACTTCTGGTTATGCCACTCAACACTATTCATCTCTTTTCCATCGTGGGAAACAAACTTTGCATCAAACTCCGGCCGAAGGAAATAAATGCAGGAAAATTTATCCTGACCAGCTGAATCGGGCGGAGGCACCACGCGATGAAGAGAGGAGGTCAGGGCACCTTTCGACAGAAAGTTCAGTGAGTCTCCAACATTCACAACGGCGTGTCCAACCCGTGGTCGAATGAATGTCCATTCCTCAGTCCCGGGCTGCAAGACTTGCAAGCCTTCAGATTTGGAGAAAACAACAGTGAGAGTTCCCATGTCAGTGTGCGCCATGTTCCCAATCTTCTCATCGCTGCTGCCCCACGGTAGGTAATTGAGCATGGCCATATTGGCGGACGAAGGTTTGTCTTTCCGGTGACAGTCCTTCAAGTCATATGGAAGATCAAGGGCCTTTGACAGGATGGACAGGATACAATCGGTATATCCGTTGACCTCGCTAATGAATCTCTCCACAAGGCCTAGATTTTCCTCAAAAGCCTGGGGGAGTTGCAAGGTATCCTGACCAAAGAGGCCATTGTTGTGAATCTGGAGATAACGAATTAATTCAACTGCGCAGCATCTTTCATAAAAAGCGTCATACCGAAAAGCTCTCATAGCCATCTTTCTTCTCTGCAAATGGCCCAACGGAACATCCGGCCCGTTTGTAACTAGAGAGGTTGACTTTAGCACTCTCATCTTCACAAAACTGCAATTGGAGTAGACCCTACCCTTGGAGTCTAGATGGCAGATGTTTCTCGGTGCTATACTCCTCCTTTTCCTCCAGTGGTAATTTGAATACCGATTTTCCAACGAGGGAGAGGTCATCGACCACTTTCAAAATCTCGCATGTTGAGGGATCACGGAAATCGAGGTAGAAAAAACCATTTTCTTTACACGAAGACACAAGATCCTTCACAGTGTCGGCGTTGCCCTCAAGAAGGCCCGCCAGCGATATCGACTTTAGATCCGCCTGTTTAGTGATGTTTGCAGAAGCCATATTCAAGTGTTTGATCAATAAAGGTGTAGACTTTTGAATTAATATGTTTTTACCAAGGGATATATGTTTAAATCATTGCAGCTATCTCAAATTTCCTCTGCATTCCTTTGATAAGAAGCGGGGTCTCGTGTGAGATACTGAGTCAAACGTATCGTTTCTCAACACACCTCAATTGCCCAGGTGACGTAGGCCAGCAGCCTTGTATCACTGCAGTCGATATTTGTTTCAACTAATGCAGCTATTACTTGGTCACTAGCGCAATGTGAACTTCGGATTGTATCTATCAGTACATGACTTGTCAACAGCGGTGTGGATAGACGGGAGTAAATAAATAATTTCAATACAAGAGCTCGAGTCCCGGATGTTTGAAGGAATACATAAATGAGAGTATATACGCATAGTTCACTTACTCTGTCTGAAATCTTACTCTACTTTAAGATACTGTCACAATATTCACTGAACACGATGCGTGTAGAAGTCAAAATGCTCAATACAAAGGACTACAATGCCTTGAGCTTGGCTCAACCTACAAATTTCAAGGCTATGTTGGAATCCGGTGAGCTGCTCTGGGGTACTGGATGCCGGATTCCCCATCCAGAAGCGGCGCGAGTTATTTCTGCGACACCGTATCATTTCTGTTTCTTAGACGCAGTGAGAGCCCTGTGCCTTGAAATGACCCGAATGTGTTGTGAATAAGCATCGGTGGGTCTAATTTTACGCAGGAGCATGCGCCTTTCAATGCCACCCTACTTGTCGATATGATTCGAACGATTCAGCTTCACTCAAACGGCTCAATGGTACCATTCGTCCGCATCCCAAGTTGTTCACCAGAGCTATTCAATTATGCTCTGGGTGCTGGAGCAGGTGGAGTAGTCATGCCTCACATTCAAAATGCTAAACAGGCAGAAGAATTGGTACGTTTGTGCCGGTTTCCGCCAATGGGGGACCGGAGCTTCCCACCTGCTGCCCTGATTGGCGAGCGGCAGAATAGGACACCCGAAGGCCAGACCACCTACGACGTGTGGGACAACCATGCAGCGGTGATCTGTCAAATTGAGGATCTAGAGGGTTTGGAAAATGTCGAAGAGATTTGCAGAGTACCAGGTGGTGCGTGTTAATACCATCTGACCCTGTTATTTTCCCCGCACGCAAGCGCTAATACGTCCCATAGTTGACGGCCTTTTCGTTGGCACCGGGGATCTACGTATGAGCATGAATCTTGCACATGGGTCTCTGGATGGTGATGAGCCTGTTTACCTTGCTGCTCTTGAGAAGATCCGGGACGCTGCAAAGGCCAATAATCTTCCGATCATGGGATTTGGTATCTCCCCTTCTGGTGTTGAGCTTAGGCTAGAGATGGGCTGGAATGCGTTCATTATTCATGGTGACATTGATGCCATATGCACATCGGCCACTGAATATCTGCAGATATACAGCAAAGCTGCTTATGGAGCCAATGAGAATGTACCCATGCGGGAGAAAAACGGCGAGCCGGCTCTCAAGCCTCTGAAGGCAAATCTCCGGTCAGATCTCAATTAAAGAGTTGAAGCTAGCGCAGCGGAATCGGAATTCGAGCCTATGTATTAGATCTGTGGTTGTGACGTGGCTTAGCTGCAGGTGGTTGGGCCAATGAGGACGGAAAGAGCCTTTGGAGTTGCAGATTCTCAAACACATCATATGTAGCACAGCTGGATTGCAAATCGCGCTTGCCAGTTTTCTACTTCAGAATTATGCAGTCTCTGATTGGTTGAGTAAGTGTTGATAGCTTATAGTGGGTATCCCATACTATGCACCTTGGGGTCAACTCACTGCACTTTGAACCTGTTTTTCGTACGCCGTAGCCAACCTAGGCGCTGCCAGAACAAGATTCTCGATTTGCATCAAAATGCTAATATTCGGTAAATAAGATAGAAAATCTGCGCCAATACTGTCATACAGATCGTGTCACATCTTTGGAGCCCTTTTCAAATAGACCTGGCTTATACAGATCATATTGCTTCAACCCCGCATTATTCACCTAAGCATCGTTTTATATATCAATTATGATTCCAATATCGCGGCCTTATCACTTGAAGACTTCATAAATCAACCCTCAACATTCACAAAATGGCGAACCTCGTGAGTAATGTGAAGGCCATCATTGCTCAACAATTCGAAATGCCCCTCAATGAGGTATGTGTTTGTGTTTTCATGTGTAATAATAATAGTGAAATGCGGGAATGATCTAATTTCGGTTGCGTCTAGGATATTATGAACGCCAATCTCCAGAATTACTTCATCGCGGACGACTTGAGAAAGTCTCAGATGGTAGTTGCTCTTCGAGAGGTTAATCACCCCATGATCAGTTGATTGCCTGAATGTTATTGACCCATCATCTAGAGGTTTGACATATACATTACGGATGAAGATACAGACCAATTCAATACTGGTATGATACCCATGGATATGATGTCTGCTAGATTCTTACCTCTGACTAATCTGTCTTTCTCATTCGAAGCTCAAGATGTCATCGACTATGTGGAAACCAAGTTGTGGTGGTACAGCCTGTAAAAGGGTGTTGTAAGGCATGGGTGGATGTATTTGGTTATTGAAGCTGTGACTGAAGCTATCTGGAATCTTGGAATGGCTGGTACAAACTGTAGACTGAGCTGAAATTGCAACTCGAACCGAAACTTGCCATCATCTCACTGAAAGCACTGGAACCAATAATATCACACCCTTTTATAGACGGATCCACTCTGCACCTGCGCTGTTTCCACCTCACTGCGTGACCCACTTCAATCTATCCTGCATAACCTTAGTGCCAAAAGGGTATAATTGGAACCTTGGAATATGATGTATCAAGGATGTGCATGCTGACAGTTGCAGGTACGAAATGCAGGTAAGTGGAGAGACCAAATCGGAGACCAAGCGGGGTGTAGCATCGAATGAGAGGCAATTGTCATGTGTCTTTCGCCCCCAGGTTTACAGGCACGTATATTCTCTGAAATTATTGATCGCGGTCAGTACGTGCCTACACACCCAAGGTTTTCAAGAAGTGGCCGCCGATAGAAATTACCAGGTCCTGACTTGCTTTTGTAATAGAAGATTCCATAGCACACCAGCAAATGTCAATATATCCTCAACATTCTCCCAATACTTTGACCTCTCATGCGAACACTGCTGCAATCCCATAAATCTTGAGACCATGACGATCTCATATACCCCTACATTACCAAAAGACCCCCTTTTCTGCAGACTGCTGAAGCTTGCCACTCAGAGAGAAGATAAAGTTATCGTCAATGACTGTAGTCGCGACACGCAATTTGGCTATCGTCATATTCTCGATGGCACTGTGAAACTCCAGCAAAAGCTCGCAGAACTCCTGGAACGATCTACTTTTGATAAACCTGGCGGTTTCTATGTTGCTCTGTTGGCCCCAAATGGCTATGAATTCATCGTCGGGGTTCTTGCGGTCCTGGCCCTTGGTGGAGTAGTTGTGCCGATGCGTGAGTCTCACCACAAAGATTCATGTTCTGATGATTAACCACAACTTTTGGACAGCTACGGGTGCGCTTCCAGCCGAAGCATCATACATTCTTCGCCTATGCGATGCACGCTGTCTCATTGCTAGCACGGAGCTAGTCGACCTCGCCACCCAGATCCGAAAGGAAGTCGATATCCCTTCCCTTGTTATTGAGAGTAATCACGACGACGTCAACCGTCTACTTCCAGTGACCCGTTATACCCTTGATCCAGGCCTTGCGGTGTCCGAAGAAACGCCTAGTATATTGTTCTTTACCTCAGGAACGACTGGGCCACCAAAGGGTGTACTCCACGCCCGTCGGTCTCTCAATAAGTATGCTCGGTTGGAAGAAGAGACCGAGGAAAACGACGAGCTTTGCATAATACCAAGAGGAGCATTTTGGTCTATTTACTTCACAAAAGTATTTCAAATGCTTCTCGTGGGGGTTCGTGTCGAGGTTCACAACTTCGGCCGCAACTATAACCTGATTTGGGAGAAGCTTCGTGAGAAAACTGGAACCAAGATCACCTTGTCTCCTACCTTTTGGTACGGTATGATGAAACACTTTCAGACTCACATTGCAAAATTGCCGGATCCTAAAGTCAGGGAATACATCGAGGGAGTCCAGTACCTTCGCGATGCAGCTGCAACAGGAGCTATGCCTTCAGATCGAGTCAAGCAATTTTGGCAAGAAATGCGCGGTGGGCGGCTGCTTAGGATACAATATGGGTCTACGGAGTCGCAAGAGATAGCTAGTTGCGATGAGAGATCGGGAAGTGCGGAGGTGAGATGCTTCGCGCTCTTTCTTGTTAATATTAACTGACATAGTTGTGACCCAGGCTGACCTGGGAACACCTCTTCCAAATGTGGTTATGAAGCTATCCGAAGGAGAAGAAGGGGAAGTTCTTGTCAAGACCCCTTCCTTGTTTCTTGGGTATGAATCTCCTCTCACAGAAAGTGCAACCAAAGTACTAACAATCTCTACTTGACCTATCAGTTACCTGAACTTACCAGATGCTACTGCGGAACGTTTTGACTCAGAGGGGTTCTTCAAGACTGGAGACTTAGCCATCCTCCAGAATGGACGCTATATTTTCAAAGGAAGAGCAAACATGGATTGTGAGGACCACCTAAAATTCAAAGCTATTTTATCTAACATTTTTATTCAACAGTGTTCAAGTTCTACACTTATAAAGTCCCTCGAGCACAAGTCGAGTCCAGTCTGACTGCGCTTCCTTATGTCGCAGAGGGATATATTCTGCCGGTTGAAGATCCACAATGCGATACCAGAACAGCTGCCTTAGTGCGATTCCACGATGGTATGGAGAAGATCGACTTGAAATCTCTCAGAACCGACTTGTCCAAGGACATGCCTGCCTATCAACTACCGACTGTACTTCGGGTTTTGAGGGAACACGAAACGGTACCACGGACATGGTCAGACAAGACTGCCATGATGAAGGCGATTCAGATGTTTTTCCCGCAAGATTGTGAGGACAAAATCTGTGGGGAAGCGACGGAAGTATTGGATATCAGTGATTTCATGAAGATGAAAACTACAAAGCTGTGGGAATTGTCCGGAATGCGATAGAGACCGGCCCATATGATTGAAACCATAAAGGCCTTTTTTCTTGGCTAATATGAGCTAGATATAGACACTGAAGTATCTAGATAAGAGATTTCGGAACCGGGAATATAAAATACATTCACCAAGCCTTAAACGCGTCCTTCAGAGTGACGAGCCCGAGGCAAATCAAGTCTTTCAAGAATAATGACTTTGGAACAATCTAGCCATTACTCTGAGTTGAAGTGAGCCAAGTAAGAAAAAGGACCTTAGTAAGGCTAAGAGGTAAAAAGGCAGTTGGAATATATTCTTCGTCAAACTTGAAGCGGACTCTAATTACCCCAGTGTTCTCTCTTCGACACCACTATGTAGACTTGGGGAGACTAGGGAGCTCTTGTATGGATTGCTTAATAATGTCGAGACCTCGCTCGAGCTCTTCATCGGTGACGACGAGGGGAGGGGCAATGCGGATGACACCTGTTCGGCTGGATTTGAGCTGCACAACCGTTAACCAGACAAAATCTAATGCGGACTTGAAGAGCCTTCACTCACCAAAAGTCCCTTCTTTTTCATGAGCTCGCATAGCTCTATACCCGTATGTCCATTGGTTTTGGACTGATCGATGACAAAAGCATTTAGCAACCCCCTACCACGCACTGTTTCAATCATGGGGCTTTGGGCCTGGATAGCCCTCAGACCGTCACGTAGAACATTACCAAGGTGCTCAGCACGCTCAATCAAATGTTCTTCCTCGACAACTTGAAGCGCACGCATGGCGACTGCCGCACCGAGGGGATTACCTCCGTAGGTCGATCCATGGGTTCCAGGCTCAACGGTGAGCATCACTTCGTTGTTACCCAGAACACAGGAAACAGGGTACATGCCACCAGTCATAGTCTTTCCCAGAAGCACCATGTCAGGCTTGATTCCGCTCCAGTAGTGACCGAGCAACTTTCCAGTCCGAGCAATACCGGTCTGGATCTCATCGCAAACCAACAAAACGTTATGCTCGTCACAGAGGGCTCTGGCCTCCTGGAGGTAATCGTCATCGGCCACAATAACACCTGCATCGCCTTGTATAGGTTCAATTACAAAGGCAGCCAGGTTGAAGCCTGCTGCCTCAAAAGCCTCTCGTAATGCAGCTTTATCATTATACTTGATCAGCTTATCAGTTCCAGGAATGGAGCAGCTAACGTTAGGAATCAATGGGCCGTAATTCTCCCGTGACATATCATCAGAGGCCAAGGAAATCGAGGCCAACTATACATACTTGTCAGGATTTTGCGCGCAAGGCTGCATTTTCATAATTCATAATCACTTACTGTTCGTCCGTGATGGTTGCCCGCCGCACCGAGAACAATGGCTTGGTCCTGAGGAACCCCCTTGATCTTATACGCCCATTTTCGAGCAACCTTGATAGCAGTTTCGGAAGCTTCCGCACCAGTGCTGGAGGGCAGAACCCTATCGTATCCAAAGAGTTTGGTCATCATCTCGGCGAATTGAGGGTATACATCGTTGTGAAAGGCACGGGAGGTGAGGGTTAGTCGTGATGCCTGCTCGACAAGTGCAGCGACGAGCTTTGGGTGGCAATGGCCATGGTTGAGGGCAGTGGAAGCAGAGTGGAAGTCGAGATAATGTTTTCCCTCAGGATCCCAGACGGAGGCTCCCTGAGCACGGGAAAATACAATGGGAAGCGACTGATAATTCTTGGCGGAAAAGTTGTTTTCGGCCAGAAGGGCAGCTTCGGTGGTAGCAGCGCGATTTGTGCTCGAGAGTTTGCCATTGGCGTGCTGACCGTTGGGACCGTTGGAGCCCATAGTGATGGCAAAATCTAATTTTGAGGCAATGGAGCTTTGAAATTGTCTGGAGAATCAGAGGAAAGAAGTGGGCGGGTTTGGGAAAGAGATGATTGTAGCTGAATATTAGGAAAATGTCTACAACAGGAGAAATAAATAATAGCTCATTTCGAGCTGTGTATACACTGTTCATCGATTACACTATCCACTTACCCGCATATGGTAACAGCCATCCTTGTTAATCACGAAAGAGAAGAATCGGTACCTTTGCTCTAAGAATTATAGTTACAGGAGTCGGTGACCGAGGTGACTTGCTCGTAAGCGGCATATGCACATCCGTGCTGCATGGTCTACAGATGTAAACCTTGGAAGTGGAGATCAATTCATCACAGACTAAGGTTGCAGGAGGTAATTGCAGCAAGATCGAGTGGTCTAGGCGCAGCTGTAAATTACATATTGCCACGCCCCAATCCGAGCCGCAGACGCCATTTCTTGTCGCTGCCCACAAGATTGACATGTTCAGTCTTCCCCGCTGCACATGCGTACCGCTGGCGAAACAATATGTGGAGCAGGCATGCAGTTGCATAGGGAGTATGCGCCTTAGCGGGAGCTGGCCATGGAATAATAAGTGGAGCAAGCATGTCCTTGTTACGTCTTATTTTTCAGGCACACGTCCCGGCATAAATAAGGCTCTAGTACTGAAGTTGGTCGCGCCAATTTCCTTACTGAGGTTTGTACCTTTTTATCACGATGGCTATCACTCATGATGTGCCATTGGTGCCAAATGGCCACAGCAAAAGCTCGCTCATGAGGGAGCCTTTGAAGCTGAAGGGTGTCCTTCATAACTACAAATCCTTCAAATCCACTCCTATAGTCGGAACCGAATTCCCTGATGCCAACCTGGTGGAATGGATGAAGGCTCCAAACAGCGATGAGCTTCTCCGCGACTTGGCTATTACCAGTAGGCACACGCATCTGGTTTCCGGGCTTGCTGGTACCTCGCTAATGAGCATGAGCAGTCTCTCGGCGAGGCGTCGTATTCTTCCGCGCTCAAAACAACCTTACCGATGAGCTTCAAAAGGAGTTGGCCCAGCGTCTGGGTGTGCTCACTGGCAAACCAGACACCTCAAAACTGCACATTCACCCTCTGACCAACTACAACCTTGATAAAGACCCGGAACTCAACGTTATCACCACAGATAAAGCCGCTAATCCAGCAGAGGATCTTTGGAAGAATAGGCCCGCGGATATCAGAAATAGTTGGCATACAGATACCAGCTATGAGCCGAATCCCGCCGACTACTCGATCCTGAAGCTCGTCAAAATGCCCGAAACCGGCGGAGGTAATCCCTCATCCCGTGACAGCTCCAGTCCATATTTCACACGATTCTGATTGCTAGCATGTAGACACAATGTGGGCCTCTTCTTGTGAAATCTATGACAAGATCTCCCCTGCATACCGCAGTTTCCTCGAAGGTCTGACTGCCACTTTCGCCCAGACCAGATTACCAATCTCGGCCGCTGAGAAGGGATATGAGCTCTATGCCGAGCCTCGCGGGTCCCCCAATAACGTTGGAACCTCTCTCAGCGCTGTCCACCCGGTCGTTCGCACCAACCCAGTCACCGGATGGAAGAGTCTTTTTGCAGTTGGCAATCACGTTGTAAAGATAAACGACGTGACCTCTGATGAAAGCAGGCGGCTGCACGATTGGTTCCTGCAGATGATCGTCGAGGAACATGATACTCAGCTGAGACATCGATGGGAGAATCCTTATGATCTCGGTTAGTTCTTCACCCCGCATACTTTTTTTGGGTGATACAGGTGTCTAATTGGTACTCAGCAATTTGGGATAACCGCACGGTTTACCACACTGCCATATTCGATTTCGCTGGATTGGGCGCTCGTACAGGTCACCGTGCGGTTGGAATCGGCGAGACGCCCTACTTCGACCCGAACAGCAAGACCCGTCGTGAGGCACTTGCCGAGGAATGAACTTGACATGGCAATTCTCCTTGTTTCTCTGTCATGCAAGTCATCAGATAGGCATTATTTCAAATCTGAGCATACCAAAGAGAAAGCTTACATCAGACAATATGCGCCCGCTAACTATCATGGCCATACTATCGTAATCATGCTGCTGCAACATGTGCTAGACTTTACGGCTGAGTTTCGGCTACGTAATCGGCAAACTTTGTCGATCGACTATTCCTTGTGGCTGAAAAAAAGCAAAAAAGTGCAAATTTGAAGAATGGGCTGAAGCTGAAATCAATCAGGAGAACTCACTCGCCACTTCAACCGTTTCTGATTGTGCTTATCTCCAGAAGGCTTCTGCCAACTGTCTGACAACGCTGCAATGGCTGCAATGTGGCTGAGAATCTGTCTGACAGGATAAGCGATTTATCAAGATAAACCCATGCATCGGCTAATCGGTCCGCGATAAAGCAAGCTGTGGTGAGCTATTGGGTTTTGTGTTTCAACCCTATTAAACTCACAACAAACCTTCTCCATCGACATGGGGAGCTGAAGGACGTTGCACCGCTGATTATTTTCTGCATTGGGCAGTGAACTATTTGATTTTATGACGTCAAGGTATATGATATCCAAACAGTTCATCCTACCAGAATTGACCATGCAAATGGTTCGAATCTTTTACAAGTTTGGTGGCCAGACTTGGGTAAGACAGAATAAGCAATGTGAGCGCTATGGATGCGCAGATAGGCGATAGCTTATCGGATGTCATCACATGTGACAGTTCCAACTATTTGAATTGCGCCTGACTATTTATACCCTCCTTCCCTACACCTTCATACTTTGTGACTACTTTTATATGCAAATTGTTACAATGGGCGAAGCATCTATCTCTCCTGTGTATACAGAGGACCCTACCCTCAATCGGAAGCCAAGCTTCAAGCTGTCCTTTACCGATACTACACTTCAAACATGTCGCAGAACGCAGAACCTCTTGAATAAAGGCACACAAGTCTCTTTGGATGGTCAATTTCTAGACTTAGGCGCTGTTGTGGCCGTTGCTCGGTCTGATAACCCTTCCCGCACTAATCCGGTTCCCTAGATTTATACTAACATATGAACCGATGACTATAGCCATGATTGCAATGTGGCTATGACCACAAATCCACAGGTTCTTCAAGCCTTGGAAGAAAGTGTGGATCTTCTGAATCAGAAGCTCAACCGGGGTGAGATTGTTTACGGAGTCAACACTGGCTTCGGGGGTAGTGCAGATACTCGAACGAACAACTATATTGCTCTCCAGCAGGCATTAATTCAACACCAGAACTCAGCGGTATTACTACCATCTGACAGAGGACGAGAGGCTTCCCGCCACGTGAGCCTTCATTCCCTGAAAAGTCACAGCATGCCTATACCGGTAGTCAGAGCTGCAATGCTTGTGAGATGCAACTCCCTGCTACGTGGTCACTCAGCTGTCCGGCCACAGGTGATTGAGCACATGATCGCCTTCCTGTGCAACTCCATGACCCCCGTGGTTCCCCTCAGAGGGAGTATTTCAGCCTCGGGAGATCTAACGCCGCTTTCATACATCGCCGGCGCACTAGAAGGGAACCCGGACATATCAATTCACACGCCAAATGGAGAAATAATAGGGGCTGACCAAGCTCTCCGAGAGATGAAATTGGAGCCCCTGGATTTTGCTCCTAAAGAAGGGCTCGGACTATTGAACGGAACTGCATTTAGTTGTGGTGCGGCAAGCTTGGTCATGTTTGAAGCCAAGCAGCTAGTCCTCCTTTCCCAGCTTTTAACAGCTATGGGAACCGAAGCAATGAAAGGTATGACATCTAACTATCATCCTTTCATTGCAGCAGTACGCCCTCACGATGGTCAGATTGAGGCAGCAAAGAATATATATAATTTCCTGAGTGACTCAAAACTGGCCACCCCGGCTGGAGGACCCGCACACCATGGTCTGGCTCAGGATCGGTACGCTCTACGAACAGCTACGCAGTGGATTGGTCCGAATATTGAGAACATGGCTTTGGCATTCGACCAGATCCGGGCTGAACTAAACTCAACAACGGATAATCCACTCATCAACCCGGCGGACGGAGAAATCTACCACGGTGGTAATTTCCAGGCTACAGCGATCACCTCGTCTATGGAAAAAACATTGAGCGCGATGCAAATGATAGGGAAGATGATCTTCTCCCAGTGCTCTGAGTTGATCAATCCCGCCTTGAGTAACGGCTTGCCCCCGAACTTGAGCATGGACGACCCAAGCCTGTCGTTCGCGTTCAAGGGCATAGATATCAACATGGCGTCTTACACATCGGAGCTTGGATATTTGAATCATCCTATCAGCAATCACGTTCAATCAGCTGAGATGCATAACCAGGGGATCAATTCTCTGGCATTCATCAGCTGTCGTTATGCTGGTGATGCTGTCGAAGTGCTATCGCTGATGCTGGCAAGCTATTTATACGTCCTGTGCCAAGCCGTGGATCAACGTGTGCTCCAAGAAGAATTCATCAAGGATGTACGCCCCAAGATTGAAAGCATTACGGTGAACGTTTTCCCGTCGGCCGCTCCTGCGCACCTTGAGAAAATCCAAGCGACCGTTTGGGAGGAGCTCATGCATCACTGGGACCGAAGCAGCACAAAAGATCTTCGCGACCGCTCTGTGACGACGGCGAATCACTCAGTGGGCGCCTTCCTTAGCCTCCTTCCAGATGCTGGCATTTCGCAAGACATGGTAGCCGGGCAGTGGAAGAACAGCGTGGCCGATACTCTGCAGCAGAGCTATGATGCCACGCGGACTAAGTTCCTGGCCGACCCCCCAACAAAAGGATATCTCTGCAGTACATCTCAGAAGCTGTACACGTTTGTCCGTGATGAACTGAAGGTGCCAACGCACAGGGGAATTGAGGCTCACCCGACATACAACAGAGCAAAGTCTCAAGGAAAGGAGTCCATCGGCTCCCAAGTGAGCAAGGTCTACACAGCGTTGCGCGAGGGGAGATTTGGGGAGATACTGACAAGCTGCTGGTAGCAGGTTGCTTGACGTTCAAACCGCGTTATCATGTCTTCCGGATCTTTCAGTTATTTCTTATGTCGCTCCAGGCTTCTTACACTTCTAAATTGTCAAGATAACTAGATTAGATTCCGTGCTTCCAGTTTGCTCAAAGAAGTCCCATACATGTTTGTGCCTTAGAGGGGGTTCGCTCACCACTAGATGATATATCGCGCAATACACAAAGAGATATATAAATAATATATGAGGACATCACCTGCATGATTGCCTAGATCGAATGCACATCTAAGATAACGAAGCAACCTTGGAACGTTGATAGCTGAAATCCTTTATGGATGACCGTGTCGTTGCAGTGTAGTAGTACCTAGTGTACGACAATTCTGTATCGCTATTCTTGGGTCCGACCCGTTTGAAGTATTGCGGCACATGGCATTTTTCATGGAGCCTCTTGTGTGTATTCCGAGGCCCATGAGGCCCATGGGTTTTACCCATATGGGCGGCCCGCATCGGGCTCATGGGCGGGGCGGGCCGTTTGAGGCTAGCGGACTGGCGATCACCAGTTCAAATATTGACATGGTGACAACTAAAGCAGTCAGATCTGTTACCACCTCGAGTATCTCTCTATTGATAATGTACAGCACCCATGCAACCATATTACATGTCCGACATCCTATTACATAATCCCAGAAAGGGGCAGCTGAATCACCCCTTACTTTTGTCAGCCCAAGGCCCTGTATGTAGCTGTGTTGAACACGGCTTCTAGGGTCGCATTTGATTGGACCTGAATGTGCATTGTGGCGTTCCACGAAGAGATCAATCGAACCATGATCTGCAATTTTGTCCCACTGGAGTATTAGTTCCCTGCTCGGAACACCGATTGCCTCCGATGATGAAAAAGAAAATATCTTTGTAATTATATGATTCCCAGCTCTCCCGCACGAGAACTCGCCTCCTCATCCACGTCGCTCATTTTTCTGTTTTTACATTCTACGTGCTTCCCAGGTCTAATATCATGGCCTCTGAAGAGACGCCCCTGGTCTCTCCTCACCCGGAGGAACGCGCTCTGACGTGGAGGGTAATCGCGGCAATTCTGTCGGGTACAATTGCCTCGTTTGTTGCTGCTGCTGGTGAGTTCTAGCACAAGGGCTCTGTAACTCCTCACTAACGGAACCAGATGGCACCATAACCTCCACTCTATCGTCAACGATCGCAGGCGAGTTTCATTCCCTCGCCATCATCTCATGGCTTGGTGCCGGGTACCTCATAGGCCAGGCCGCGACACAGCCATTGACTGGAAAACTCAGTGACATCTTTGGCCGGAAGCCCAGTTTTATCTTTGCGACGCTGGTGTTCACTCTTGGTAACCTGACATGTGGATTTGCCCGTACGCGTACAATGCTTATTTTGGGACGGGTCATTGCCGGTATTGGGGGAGGTGGCTGTAGCTCGATTGCCACCTATATCTCATCTGATCGTATTCCACCCCGATATCGCGGTATCTGGCATAGTATGTCCATCATCGCATTCACTGGTGGTATGGGCTGTGGAGCGGTGGTTGGAGGTGCGGTCAATGATGCTCTAGGCTGGCGATGGGCGTTTATTATGCTTGCGCCAATCTCGGTCACTGCTGGGACTTGTATGGCTATTTTTCTGCCCCAGGAAGAAATGGGAAATACCAGTTTCCGCCTCCGATTGCGGCGAATTGACTACGGAGGCTCAATCACATTGGTCTCGTCCTTAGCATTGTTTCTTATCTATGTGAATAGTGAAGAACGACAGTCGGTTATTCCTCTGCTTCTGGCGGCGCTATTATTTGCCATCTTCCTCACGATCGAGTTACGCTTTGCTAAGGAACCCATCATTCCATTGACTGTCCTGGGCCAGCCTACGGTGTTAGCAGCCTGTCTGTGCACTGCATTTATGTCAATGACAATGTACACGTTGATGTATTATGTCCCTCTATATCTGCAGCTGCGGGGACACTCTACCAGTCAGACGGGAGTTCTGCTTCTCCCCGAGCCGATTGGTGGTGGGCTGGGGTCTTTTACAGTTGGGCTTGTCACCAGTCTTTCTGGAAAGTACGGAATTTGGAAGGTTAACCAGCCCATGTGCATCGTAATTGGCTCGGTAGGAATTGCAACGCTCTCCCTCCACTCACCACCTGTCTTGGCTATGATATACCAGTTTGTTTACGGGTTCGGATACGGTGGACTTCTAACTGTACTGCTCCTTGCTTTGCTCAGTGCAATTCCGCATGAAATGCAGGCCACTTCGACATCTGTACTACTTACATTCCGATCCATTGGCCCAACCATCGGACTGTCGGTTGCCGGCGTCTTGTTTCGCAACCGCCTCAACCAACCAACTGCAGACCCCAATGAGCAAGGTCAAGTTGCCTCACCGAATTCGACAGTCAGCTATCAGCACTTACATCAGTTCCATGCTGATGATAGTAGCAACCAATTCCAAGCTCGCCATATGTATGCGCTGCATGGCACTTTCCAGCTCGCCGCAGCCTTCGCGATCGTGGGTTTCACTTGCGCCATGTTTATAAAAAATCACAAGTTGAGATCATCCTTGCAGAAGAGGGAGAACACTGGGCCACAAATTGAAAATGATGAAGCCCAGGAGCCTGAGCCTGTATAGTATATACGGCGATCATGTAATAGATTCTTCTCCCATGCTCAGCATGTACTGCTGATAAAAAAACTTCTGCCAGAGTTGAGCAATTTACTTTCTTTCATTTGACAATGCTTTTAATCTTCAAAACTCTGTTTGTATCGTAGAGGCGTTCAAAGCTAGGCACAAACAAACTTTTCCATGCTCCAATCCCGAAACATATCCTAATATTTGGGTCAAAAGGCATCTGCTCCTTGCCGTAGAGAAAGTCCTGCAACTGCTTCTCCACCCAAACTGCTCTTTCATGCGGACATTTGTGCCATGAATCAACAATTCCTGAATCAACAATCGTAGTACTCAGACATGAGGTGGTATCTCGATCTAACCATAGAATGTTCTCCAGTATCTGCTTGCACATCTCCATGGCGAGACTGTACCAGCTCCCATTGCTCTCGACAAAGCTCAAATAGCTCAGCTGCACAGAACGAACAGTCACTGTCAATGTAGTTAGCATTGAGATGATATCGAAACTTTTCCATAGAGGTGTGAAGTGAATAAAGATGTAAAAACAATAGTGGTCTAAAAGCAGCCTATGGATAGAAGGGTCAGTCTAGCAACTAGGTACATATTATGAAGTGACTAAAGGGAAGTTGTGATTAGGATATAGACTCAAACTCCCTAGGCCTGAGATAATCGCATGTATCATACAGAGTTAGTTATCATGCTGATTAGATGTAGCCTAGCTCAAGACTCTAGCGTGCTATACCCGCTGCGTAATAAACATCATTATCTTGAAAGAGTAGCTAAAGTAGGTAAGCAGCCAATCCATAGTGAGGATTGTAGTAATGTTCCGAGACCAAGAACGATAAAAAGATTTAGAAGAAAGGCCATTCTGATGCACCTGTAGAATCGATAGGAATCAAATATTAAGCACTTTCAAATAAGTATTCGATTCTGAATCAATACGGGTTTGATCGATTACAGGGCCTATGTTGTATGTGAACACCAAGAGAGCAGGCAAACTGGTATTGGGTGGGTCCAAAGCCACGCTCATTGAGCTCTCAACCAATAAGAGGCCAGGATTCCTAGAAAAAGCAGTTCTTGGACTTCATACTCAACGTCGCGGCCCCTCCAAGCTGATCCTACGGCTCGGACGATACGATCATCGAGAACTTGATGCGAACTATGCCTATCGCTAGTCCACAGACCACCGTGGAACCCGTCCTCTGACCTTATTTGCCCCGAGACCTTCTGTCTTGCAAAGATCAGAACCTGCCATATTGAGTGCAAGCTTGAACATTACCGGTGAAGTATCAATCTGAAGGTCGTAAAATGTAAAGCGAGCTATTATGTTATGATTTGACATCCTGCAGGGAACACCCAAAGTTGTCACGAGTCGAAAATAATCACAGTCCGAAGCGAGGTCTCAACTTCACGACTACTTCCTGTCATGAAACCTACCGATTTATCCTTCAGACAAAACTTTTCCAAATTATTTAGATTCCCTATAATCCCTGAGTCCCACTACCAGCTTGGCCTTTCGTTATCGATAGCCATACTGAAGATTCCAACCGGGGAAGCAACGAGCCTGTAAACATTGGCGACAATTCCAGCTTCGTCGGTCGGGAGGTCTTACTTTTGGGGCAAAGCAGTTCACTCATGCCAATTGCATTTTCTGGATTACACTACATATAGTATCGAAGGTAGACATACCTGGAGATGACATATCTGTCTCAATGTTTCGGAGATAGTCATGAGCGCTTTTGCATAGCGATCATTGGCCATTAGGCTATAGATCAGAGGTATGTACACATCCATTTTATCTGATATCACTTCAAGTCACTATCAATTGAAAATCGTTGGGCAGATAACTGAACATAAAACCTCCTTCCTTTTCAAGCGGAGGTGAGATGCAAAGACGTCATATCAACGGAGACGCGAGCTCCGAGACCCACAGAAGGAGCGGGAGACGGAAAATGTCATTGAACAAAAGGCAATGATTCATGTCGATCCGATGAGAGCCATCTACAGATAAGCGATCTACTCATGTACGACGTAAGCCATGTAACCATGGTGTTCGCCTCTCTAGGGGCCAAAAAGCTACATTGGAAAACACGTCGATCCATGATTTATTCGGCCTTATTTGCCCCGTACAGTCACCAAGCTATCAATGTGGCTTGACCCCAATTGACCAAATGAACGAAATAAAGTTTGTCCATATTAACCAACCCAGTCGCCTTTCGAGCCCGAGCTTCGGCCATCATTCTGGGCCCGCCAAGCACCAAGCACCAAGCACGAAAGGCAAGCACTCTCATGGTCGCCGAATCAACCTGCTGGAGTGTTAACCCCACCAGGATGTACCGTACATAACATGTTGCACGGTTCGATGTAATTTCTGCAGCCCGCCTTCCCGGGCGCAGTCTTGATCATATTTCTGCATTGCGCGAGCCAATGAATACGAAAAAAGCATTTTCTTGGTACAGGGGGTGGTTCAGACCCCGAGTTGAATCGTATCGAGGGGTGATCGAGGGGTTTCTGCGGTGTGCACGTACCCGAGTCCTGATTAGCGCGCAAGGCCCCGTAAGGAGCCTATGTTATACTGACATCGACCGCCGGTGGGTGCGCTACTGCACGCTACAGATGTAACGAGCCGGGGCAGGCACGACGGTAAGTCGCGTCAGGCCGTTTCTGTTCTCAGCCATGGAGGGGAGACCATGAGGGACGCGCGGCCAATAAGCAATGTCCTAGAAACATAGGCTACACCAACCCCTTGAATGCTGGGGATGATCAGGGTGATCAGACGCCTGATCGTCTCTTGCTTTGTTTCCCCCCCGCATGATGCTCGGCGCGGATGGCCCAGGCAAGGACGCAAGTCGGAAAGGGCATTGACTCCACCGCCACCAAGTGTCGGCTCTTGGACCCCACGCTGAAAACGTTCATTGGTGGAAAAGCCACGCCATGCGAGGGGCGGACACATGGCCCGTTCAGAATGCAGCCAATGGCAGGACAGCGGCTAATGGAGAAAGACTCGATGAACTCCAGGCCCCCATCCTTCATAAGAGGAAAGAGGAGCCATTCCATGGGATACCGTGGGGGCTTCCGGGGTGAGGAGGAGGTTGAACCAATGGCCCATGACATAATGGGGCTTCTCCCCTCTTCTTGGATTTTCTTTTGTCTCTCTTCCCTCCGATATACCCGGTTCGCACAATATGAGATTCACTTTTTGTATGCAGTCTAGTGTAAGAAATCGGCGATTGGACAAGTACCTGCCTCTAATCCACGTGGCATCGCAAAGGACGTCGTTGACACCATCAGGCCATTACGCTTTTTCTGGATGTTTCTGCTGCATGCGCGAATTAATTATAAAACTATAATAAAAACTGGGGCAATTACCAGTAATGTACGAGATATACAATACATAGAAAGCACAAATGAATGATTACTGTACAGTCAGATAAAGCGTGTGAGCTCGAACGCCACATCCTTTTCGTTTTCTCTCCCTTCTTTCCCTATTAGCAATTACTAACGAAAGTTAACATTTCTTATCCCTTTCCCCTCTCTTTGGTGGATTCCCCCTCTTATCTTTGTCGGTAACGGAGGCCCCGTATGCGGTTCCTGCGTTTCAGGCCTGCTTTGGTGGCTTCCCCGGACACTCTCCGCGACTCAACGTGCTCGGCCTAAACTCTTTCCCCGAGTTACCCCAACCACACCACTCTTCCTCTTTGCGAATACCTCCACACGGTCGGCTTGACTCTTCGTGATCCTCCATGCCGCCTAGTGCGATCGGCTAGACGACAATACCATCATGATGGGGATCTTTAACAGAGGCAACCGCAACAATGGGGTGAGGCTTGAAACCACCTCCGAGCATCATCCCTTCCTGCTGGTGTCACAGCATCCTCCCGTGTGCTCGTGAGACGATTTCGATTGAGACGATACGCTGACATTCTATTCCCGCGCAGGCTCCGAATACCCCTTCGCCCGCTCCGCCAAACCCCAAGAAGGACCTTCAAACGCCGCAGATCAGCCCACTGGAGAAGAGATTACAGGACATGGGCTCTATCCGAGAAGATGGAAGCGATAAGTTCTTTGGTATGGAAAATGTGAGTACTGCAGTGGTTGGGTCCGTCCCGCTTGCCCTTCGCCCTACTAACAGGACGAGACTCAGTACGGAAACACTTGCTACTGCAATTCGATCCTCCAATGCCTTTACTACTCCGTTCCTTTCCGCGAAGCCGTGATCAACTATCCTCAACGAACCCCAGTCGAGAGCATCGAGGCGGCGCTCGCCAAAAACCTGCGATACCAAAACCCGAATGCGCACCTGGAGGCTGAAGCGCTAGCAGCTAAGCAGAAGGCCGCTGCGCCCTCATCGCGCCAGGCGGGCGTGTCACCAAACCAACCCCAGAAACCAGAAGATAAGGACTCCCCGGAATACAAGAAGAAAGTCGCCCTGCAGACTCTCCCGATCCTCGAGACGAAGAACAATGCTGCCAGTTACGGCATGTCGGAATCTCTCTTTACTTCATTAAAAGACATATTTGAGTCGCTAGTGGGTAGTCAGTCACGTATCGGAATCATCCGACCGCAGCAGTTTTTGGATGTGCTTCGCCGCGAGCACGAAATGTTCCGGACAGCCATGCACCAGGATGCGCATGAGTTTTTGAATCTGCTATTAAACGAGGTCGTATCAAATGTCGAAGCGGAGGCGACGAAACAGAGTTTCGCAGAGAAGACGCTACCCAGCGCCAGCGCAGATTCGCTGGGCATGACAGAAAGCCCTGGTTCGAAGTCTCCAAATACGACAAGATGGGTCCACGAATTATTTGAGGGTACTTTGACGTCGGAAACGAAGTGTTTGACCTGTGAGAAGGTCTCTCAGCGAGATGAGGTGTTTTTGGATCTTTCAGTTGATCTCGAGCAGCATTCGTCCGTGACATCTTGTCTGCGGAAGTTCTCAGCTGAGGAAATGCTTTGTGAAAGGAACAAGTTTCACTGCGATAACTGCGGTGGCCTTCAGGAAGCAGAGAAACGTATGAAGATCAAGCGTCTGCCCCGCGTATTGGCCTTGCATCTGAAACGTTTCAAATATACCGAGGACTTGCAGCGACTGCAGAAGCTCTTCCACCGAGTTGTTTATCCTTATCATCTGCGTCTGTTCAACACGACCGATGACGCCGAAGACCCGGATCGACTGTACGAATTGTACGCCGTTGTGGTTCACATTGGTGGAGGGCCATACCACGGCCACTATGTTGCGATCATCAAGACGGAAGATCGTGGTTGGTTGCTGTTCGATGATGAACTGGTTGAACCGGTGGACAAAAACTACGTGCGCAACTTCTTCGGTGATCGCCCGGGTCTAGCCTGTGCCTATGTCCTCTTTTACCAAGAGACAACATTGGAGGCTGTTCTTCGGGAACAGGCTAGGGAGGATCGGGCATCCTCCGCGGCAGCAGCTGAGGCGAACGCACAAGTCAATGGATCTCTAACTCATGTGCACAGCGTGCCTGTAGATGATTCACACCGACCGATCCCTCTTAGCAAAATAACAACAGCGCCCGGTCAAATGCCTGTACATCTGGAAGTCCCTGAGGCTGATCCGATGCCTCCATCACAAGCCGTTCAGCCACCAGAGGTCCCACCCCTACCACCGATCCCTGACGAGCAACCTCCTTCTCTGAGTCCGAAGAAGAGCGATGCCCAAATCCGGAAGGATAAAGTTCGGGAGGAGAAGGAGCAGCGCGCAGCACAAAAGGCAGCAGAAAAAGCGGCCGAGAAAGCAGCCAAAGATGAGCGGGAAAACAGAGAGAAGATGGAGAGAATTCAACGCAGGGAACTTGACCAGCAACGGCAAGCCCAGATGAAACAGGAGGCTGCGGATCTCGAAAGAGCCCTTAAAGCAAGCAAGGAATCGAGCAAGGCTGAAACTGCTGATATTGGGCCTGAAAATGGTTCACCTCGGGATTCTTCCAGGTTTAGCATTTTCAGACGTAGCAGTCGCAGTCTGAGCAGCAGTCTCAGCAATCGACTCAGCAAGGACAAAGAACCTCGAGTGTCGACTTCAACTGCGGAGACTACCCCAGCTCCTGTTCTCGAAGTACCGGCCCAAGAAGAAGAGCGTATTCCACCACCCGTTCCTGCAAAAGATGCCCCGGATCTTTCCAGTTCATACAAATCCACATTCACGCAGCCATTCCCACCTGCGGTGCCGGAAAAGCATGATCCTTACTTCAATCACAGCAATACCCACCTTCCTCCTCTCTCTACCTCTCCCACGACCAAGCATATCAGCCATGTCAATCATCTCAACAGCCCTAATGGTAATGGAAACGGTAATAGCAACGGCGGCAGCAATGGCAGCACCGACAAATCAGGTGTTGGCCACACTCATCGATGGAGATCGTTCAGCTTCAAAAAATCAGCAGCGTCATGAACAATGTATTTCGACGAGCGTCTTTATTTCTTGCATCTACCAATTTCCGGTCGAGTTAACTCGGAGATACCCCCCCATCATTCTGCACATATAAGCTATCTTACTTTCTTTTGCACATACCTTTCGTGAATGTATCACCATCTCGATCTCATGATACGCGACACGCACCTTCGTTTCCATCCTCTTCTCCTGTGGATGGTCCCAGCCTGGGATTTGTTCACAGACATGTCTTTCTAGGCCTTTTGGATCTTGATCATGGCTTTTTCTTTTTCAACTTTCTCTTCTGCGACTGCTTCTTTTCATTGCTGCTGGATTATGTACGATGTGCGGCGGCATGATACCGACGCTGATGGGGGGTATATCCCGTCTGGCGCAAAAAGAGGCGTTTGGGCTTTGCAATGCTGGCAAGCATTGAAGTGGGATCCATCTGGAGTTATTGCTTTCAAAACCTATCAGGTTGTTTTTTTATGCATATCTTGCTTGGTCTTCTTTTTTAGTGTTCATCCATCACGTTGATTGTGGACAAGTTTTCTCTGAAATTTCCGATTTTGCTGTTCTGTAACATGATGTATAGCTTTCTTCACGTTGATTATACCTGTGACAACAACCAACGGGTAATTACAGAGAACGGATTGCCTTCTGGCGATTCAATTGATATGATCTCTTTGATTCGTCGTGGGTATATACATCGGGAAATTATTGATCTAAGCCGACTGAACAGGACTCAGGATTCTGAGTTGCGGAATCCAGTCTCTACCACGCCACAGTAATACTCCGTCTGAACCTCGATAAAGCCTCCGGCCAATGGATCATCCACCAAGCCTTGTGTGGATGCTACCATCCAATCCGCGCTAGTGCTAGTAGCTCGTGTATTTCATGCCGCGTGTCTTGTGGTGATTTTTTGTAAAATAACTAGGCCATAAAGCCTCCATTCGCTCAAATACGTTGGATAAATTGCAGTTGGCTTTTAAGGACGAGGGAGCAAGCCACCAGGAACCGGGACCGCTCCCTGCGCAGCCGCTTTGGGTTTGTAGGAAATGAGATTCGTTAAATCAGCCGAGGATAAGCTCGTAGACGATGATAACAGTGTTGATGACGATGAGTGGTACTGTTGAAATGCATTGTTAGTCTTGTGTGTTTCAGTTATTGCGCCTGCTGCCTATCCAGCCCCGTCCGCGCAAAGTAGCTAGCTACAAGCTCAGGCTGAGGCTTGCTCGAGGCCACAAAAGACCACAAACCGGGGCGAATAAATTTCAGTTCAGAACGCAGGAATAGAGGGTGTACGTACTCCGCATCACTGTCCTCACACTAGCGATCAGGTTGATACTCTTAGCCTTCACGCTGGTGGTGTCATGACTCGCGCCGAAGCCGGGCTCAGCTTGTGTTCGGCCCCATCCAACTAGTTATTCCGGTAAGGTTAGCCATTTTCGGGACTGGAGGTTCCAGTGGGAGATCTGCGATCCGTTTGGAGGGAGGGAGGCGTACTGCGAGCGAGGAAGCGGTCCTCGGATAGGATGGCGATACCGTTGATGAGAAGGACGATGGCTATGATTTAAGATGTCAGTAATAGCGGTTAAGCTTCCTTAAATATATACACACCGTAAACAAGAGTCCCAAGACCGAAGAGCAACATTGTGGCGGGGAGGGGTTGTTGAACGGGGTTGCGGAGGGAGTTGGGAAAGTGTAAGGTGAGGTTCGGGAAGCGCCAGATCTCCGGATCAACAACTGTTCGCCGCAATCATGAGAAATGGTAAAGTTGCGCCGCACAAACCACAAGACAAAATAGCTAATATTTTATACAGGTCTCTTATTTACTGGGCTTGTGCTTTTGCTTACATCATTAATTGTTCTTCATGTCCTCGTTGCGCCTTATACTAAGGTCGAGGAGTCTTTCCATATCCAAGCTGTTCATGACATCTTGAGACATGGCTTCCCCATTACTACACTTGGCGCTGAGCGCGTCAACTACGACCACTTCGCTTTCCCTGGCGCTGTGCCCCGAACAGCTGTTGGCGCAGCGATACTCGCTAAGGTATCGCAGCTGGTGATTGCGGTAGATGGCCGAATCGACCGCCAAATTCTAGGTATGTTCTGATATGTCGCATAATCGCGATTCCATACTTATATTTTCTATAGCTCGAGCTATTCTGGGTCTATACAATGCTTTCGCATTGGCTACATTTGCGCATGGCCTCCGGCGCAGCTTCGGCCAGACAGTAGCTATATGGTACCTGCTCTTCCAGAGCAGCCAGTTCCATCTGATCTACTATGCTTCACGGCCGCTATCAAACATGTTTGCGTTTGGTCTGACAACTCTATCAAGGCGCTACATGCTCCCGGACAAAGTGGGCAGCGCTAGGCCTCAAGCACAAGGCGCATACCGTCTTTCATTATGCCTCCTCACTATTGCAGGCGTCATCTTCCGCTCCGAGCTGGCAGTCCTCGTCGCAACGCAGACGCTGTTTCTGCTGCTCTCCGGCCGTATCAACCTATTTGAGACTGCCCTACCTGCCGGCCTCCTCGGTCTTACCATCGGCCTCATCACTACAGTAACAGTCGACTCGCTCTTCTGGCAACGCACCCCGCTCTGGCCTGAGCTCGAGGCATTCATCTTCAATGTCGTTCATGGCCAGTCCTCGGCCTGGGGCACAGAGCCATGGTCATTCTATTTCTTCAATGCCCTTCCTCGTCTTCTACTCAACCCCCTGACCTATATCCTCGCCATCCCCGTTGCGCTTCGCCAGCCAGCAACACGCAACTCGGCGCTCTCACTACTCATACCGTCCTTGTCTTTCACAGCACTTTATAGCTTCCAACCACACAAAGAATGGCGCTTTATCCTCTATATCATTCCATCATTAACAGCAGCCGCTGCCCTCGGCGCCGCATACCTCTGGACACACAGATCGCGCTCATTTTTCGCTCGCAATGCCTCCCGTCTTCTGATCCTGTCTACGCTGGCATCGTTCCTGCTTTCCAATCTGGTTCTTCTCCCCGCTTCCGCGGCGAATTACCCCGGTGCGATGGCGCTGAATGCTTTACATAGCTACCAAGACAGGGGGATGAGTTCTGGCGAGGATGTCCATGTTTACCTTGGCAACCTCGTTTGTCAAACGGGTGTTACCCGTTTCCTGCAGCGGCCGAGTACTGCGGATGAACGTTGGACGTACGATAAGACTGAAGACGAGATGGTGAAATCTACGGCTTCTTTCTGGGAGAAGTTCGAGTACGTTCTAGTTGAGGCCTCTGCGGAGCCTGCGTACTTGGATATGGATGAGATACGTCTTCGTGATGCATTGCCTGGGTCGCAGTGGGAGACCGTTAAGGTTATTGAGGGCTTTGCGGGGCTTTCAATTCTTAGACCAGGGGAACCAGCCGCGGGAAGCGCTGAGCGGTGGGTGCTGTCTTTGGTTGGTGGGGATCATGCTGTTGAACTATTTGAAAATGTACGAGAGATGGCGAGGAAGGTTATGCTCAAGGGTTGGTGGATTGAGTTGAAGATGAGGCCGAGGGTAAAGGTTTTGAGGCGGTTGAAGGATTCTATAGATGTTTGACAAAAGCAGGTCACATGAAGAGGAAGACCCCGAGGATTAAGAATCAAACCTATTCCAAGATTTGTTCATTTATCTCAACTGGCGTGTGGAATACCTGTAAAATATTGACATATTTCTCTGGTTGAAAACCTAAAGATAAATGTGGGCGGAGCGAAGGGAAAGCATGGTAAGATCCTAGGTAAGTCACCCCAGATATGCATTTCAAATATTTTTCGATATGAGTATATGTATCAACAAGTCATGGCCGCAGCCATACATCAAAGGAGGTACACGCGAAACAGGGTATTATGTATCATGATAGATCTCCGCTGGGCCACTCAAAGCCCAGACTTAATAAACACGGCGATTGTGAATCACCTACAAGCCACCAGGGGGTCCCTCCAACCTCGCCATACGAGATTCCAGCTCGCGCACCCAAGGCTCAACTGTCTCGACGTTTGAGCGCAGCACCGACTCGCCTTGACTCATCTTCTCCTCGACAGCCGCAAGACCCTCGCGCCATTGCTCAATCTCTGAGGACATCTCTGCATGTCTCTTTTCCAGCTCGTTCAGCGAGTCTGCAGCCTGTGCGGCACCGGAATGACAGGCGCGGAGAGAGCGGAGACGCTCCAGGACACTGGGAAGGAGAGGGTGCAGGGACTGGATGGTCGGGAGGGTAGCGTACAAAGCGTGGATCTTAGCGGTATGTTCATCGTCAGCAGAAGGGCCGTCGGCACCTGGGGTAGCAGTATCTTCTGTAGAGGCGACGCGAGCTGTTTGTGAAGTTTTGGCAGCATCCGCAGCGCGCTTGCGGGCTGATGCCAGGGCCTCAGCGTCTGTCGTTAACTTGCGGACGCGGGAGGAAAGTGCTTCAAGATGGGGGGTTGTCATTCCGGCCACGGCTGTCGGTGTTCCAGCTGTTGGATTTGTTCCCACAAGGAGACCAGTTAGAGCACCGAGGTGTGAGGTCAGTTGGTCGAGAGCGGGAAGAACGGGCTGTAGAGCAGGCTCGCTGAGTCCATCTCCGACGAATGGGTTGGAAGCACTTGAGATACCCATTGATGCTTCGAGAAGCGCCAAACGGCTTTCAAATGCTGCCGCATGAGAAAGAATCCCAGCCGTGGGCATGCCTGCCTGTGCCTGTGCCATGGTGAAAGCCGCCGTAGGTCCATCGGGCTGAGATTTTGATTGTTTTTGACCGTCCTCTTTGTTAGGCGCTGATGACTCTGATCCAAGTTTCTGGGTAAGCAAAGCAGCGGCAGAGTAGGAGGCATTCGGAACACCTCTAGAGGAAGCGTGCAGGTTATCCAATGCCCTACTCAGCTCCGCTACCCCATCACCCAAGTCATTCCTCTCTTGAGATGTCCCAGCAGGTGTACTCTCCACAACTGTCTTCTCCAGAGCCGACTTGTTCGCCATCTCCATCTTCAAGTCTTCCACCTCTCTTCGCAGACGAGTAAGCCGCCGCTCAATTGACTCGTCCTCACTGTCGCTCAAATCTCCAACCTCTTCGGTGCCATCCTCGCGTCTCCGCCGTCGGCGCTGGCTCTTATCTTTGCTCCGATATGCTTGCCGTTTCATTGCAATACTGTCCGAGAAATTGGTGTCGCGAGCGTCGACTGCAGCTCCCATAAAATGTGCGCGCGCCTGGTCGGCGTTGACTGCTTCCCGATCGATGTCGGAGCTGGAACCGGCGTCATCGTGGTCTGAATCTGTGCGGATGGTGCCGGTCTAATTTCAGGATGTCATGGGTTAGCTGGTGGGTATGTTGTTATTTTTGATTCACATCAAACTCACGGGAACGGTGGACGCTTCATCGGTAAGGTCAGGGGTCTCATAAATATCTGGAGCAGGGTCCTTCAGGCAATTAGTATTTTGTGACACATGATTGACGATCATTTGACATACCAAGTCTGGAAGACCAGCGTATTTCTTGTTGAACGCCATGACTATGAATTGGGGGTGGAGGTCAACAACGCGATTAACTATAGCTGCCCGCGATGATGGATAGTAGCTCCGCCTTGATGCCTTACAGCCTTAGGCCTTACTGCACCCTGAAGGTTGAGGCATCAATGACATGGCCTTACTCAGCATGCACGTGTCAGCCTCGGGAATAGCACATGCACAAGGAAAGAGTAAGGTAGCATATAGAAGGAAAGATCAACGTAGCATTGTTCCTGCCGCTCTTATTCCTTCTCTTAAGTATCTCCTACCTTCTTCTTAAGTTTTCTTACTCTGTTCTTGTGGTGTCTTGTGACAACATCTCCAACTCGTTCTACAATATTACCCCCCACCACCCCGCATTCCTAGCTCTACTACAACAAAATGGCTGCTCCCGCCAATATCACAATCAAGAACCTCAATGGGCAGTGGGTAATGGTAAGTCTAAGCCATTGAATAAGTCCATAGCCCCTCAAGCCATGTAATGTAGGAATACGTTCCAAAGCTAACGAATTCGCCTTGTGTAACAGGACGCAGGCCTGTCCGACCCCACTGATCCCATCCTGACTCTGGTACGTACCATCTACCCTTGATCTGTACAAAGGCCCTGGCAGAGTTGCATGAGCTACGAAGAACAGAGAGCCGCACCGATCACCAGTCTATGCCATATGTACATGTATAGGTGTGGGTATTTGCTAACAATCCCATAGCAAGGCGTGAGCTGGTTCCTCCGCAAAGCCCTACCTTACGCTACTGTCACCTTGCACGTGAAAGAGTATGCTGACTCCGAAAACTCGCTGGTGTACCACATCGATATCGATCAGATTATTACCGGTGGCATCACGGGTACTAAGGAATCGCGTACTTTGGACTGGCAGGAGCGCAGCCACGTGGATACCATCTTTGGAACAGTTCACGGCCGCTCGCGTATGTTCCGCGGTGCTAAGGGGGGTGATGGAAAGACTCGCCCGGCTGTTGATGTGCAGAGCAAGGTTGGAGAGCCCGAGGCCGATGCTAAGGTCCAGAAGTTCCTGCGTGGTGAGATCCAGCTTGATGGGTCAGCCAGCGAAGGTTTCATCGTTGATGATGAGGGCGCAGAGTTCGGAGAGGGTGAGGGACTTTGGGTGCAGAGCTATGTTGTGAATCAGGAGGTCGGGTGGACTGCTGAGCAGGTATGCAGTTCTTTATCCATTTTACGATGAGTGACGTGCTAACTTGTTAGGTCTGGGGATTCGAGCTTGTCCAGGGCGAGCGCCGTTACACTCGTCGCGTCGCTGTTGTCAAGGATGGCAAGGTTGAGTTGGGACGTCTGGTTTACACTTTCCAAGAGCCACAGGCTGAGTAGAGAAACGATTGAGAGTTTATGAACATACCTTGATGGCAAGGGTTCCCGCAATATATCCTCTTTTGCCCGGTCGTCAGCAAGGAAAAGAAATCTAATTTTCGGGTTGGGTAGTCCGCTGCTAGAACTTTTTTCCTACAATAGCTTGAATCTATGGTTCAGAAATCTTCACAGATGGACAATGATGAATGAGACCGGAATTGTTCGGACATAGTACATTTTGAGCATGAAACGGCAGGGGGCATGATCATGAAAACGATGATAAAACATCGACACAATTTATAAACAGGTATCAGGAAAATTAAGAGTGGGTGGGCATAATAACTGAAGCCTTGGTGCTAATGGCATCCTCGCTCTTCCAGAAGCTGGTAACAGTCTTCTGTTGGGTGTAGAACTGCATTCCTGGCTTGCCATAGAAGGTGTTGGCACCTCCACCAGCGATACTCTTCTTGTTACCGGTGAAGGAGAACATGGGCAGTGGGACGGGGATGGGGACGTTGATTCCCAGCTGGCCGGCCTCGATGTCCTTCTGGAAGCGAGAAGCAGTGGAGCCAGACTTGGTGAAGATGGAGGCACCGTTACCGTACTCGTTGGCGTTGATAGTGTTGATAGCGTCATCAAGGGTCTCGACGTTCACGCAAACAAGGACGGGACCGAAAATCTCCTCCTTGTAGCACTTCATGTCGGTGGTGACGTTGGTGATGATAGTGGGGCCGACAAAGTTGCCGTTGGGGTACTTCTCAGGCTTGCAGTTTCGGCCATCCAAGAGAATTGTGGCACCCTCTGCCTCAGCGCTAGCAATGAGATCCTCGATGCGCTTCTTGCTTTCGGGGCTAATAACAGGGCCAAGGTCGGCACCCTCCTCGAAGCCGCCGTTCACGTTAAGAGCCTTAGCGCGCTCAGCGATCTCGGGCAACCACTCCTTGGTCTCACCAACCATCACGACGGTGCTCAAAGCCATACAGCGCTGACCAGCAGCACCAAAGGCAGCACCAGTGATGGCGTTCAGAGCATGGTTCTTGTTGCAGTCGGGGAGGACGGCAGCGTGGTTCTTAGCGCCGAGGTTGGCCTGGACGCGCTTGCCATTGGCAGAGCCACGAGTGTAGATGTACTCGCCAGCACGGTTGCTACCGACGAAGCTGATGGCCTTGATAGCAGGTTCATCAAGGATGAAGTCCACAGTGGGAGCGGTTCCGTGCACAATGTTGATAACACCAGGAGGGAAGCCGGCCTCCTTAGCCAGCTCGGCAAGAATCATTGCAGCACCGGGGTCACGCTCCGAGGGCTTCATAACCAAGCAGTTACCAGTAACGGTGGCAACGGGAATACACCACAGGGGAATCATAGCAGGGAAGTCTTATCAAGCGATCAGCATTTGAATCCAATCCATCCTTGCGGTTTTCCAAACTTACTGAAAGGGCAGATAGCGGCGACAACACCCAGAGGCTCACGGTAGCTGCGGGTCTCCATATCCTTAGCAACCTCCAACACCTCACCGGTCATCTGAGTAGTGATACCGCAGGCAGTCTCGGCAACCTGCAGACCACGGAGAACATCACCCTTGGCATCAGCAAAAGTCTTACCCTGCTCGAGGGTGATGGAAGCAGCCAGGCGGTCCCAGTGCTCACGGATCAAGCTAGTGAACTTGAACATGATCTGCTGTCTAGCCATGATGCTGGTCGCCCGCCAAGCGGGGAAGGCAGCCTCGGCCGACGCGACCGCAGCCTTCAGCTCCTCATTGGTGCTTTGCGGCACACGGGTGATGAGGTTGTTGGTGGCAGGGTCATGGAGGTCAATCCATGTGGTAGCCTTAGAAGTTGTGAACTCGTTATCAATGAAGTTTGTGGTATCAATGGGGTCGGCAATGGGGTTGTGGTCGCTTGGATACGAGGTTGCGGTTGAAGCAGCCGAGCTAGTGGAAGGGGCGAGCTGCTGTGCAGTAGTATGCAGCCTGCGTGCGGTAGAAATGCTCGAAGGGTATGAAGCTCCCCGGGAGGCAAGTCTAGCGGCGGGTGTGGCAGTGGTCAGGGCCCGGGTGCTGGAAGCAGCGCGGGCAACCGCGGGCGTGCGGGGAACTGACCGAAGGGCGGGGATGGAACGAGCCAGAGACCGACGGGCGGCCATGGTGAATTGAAGTGATGAAAAAGAGAGCTGAGGTATTGGTATGTCCAATGCAAAAAAATGAAATAGAATGGTGTGAAGGTATGTGGCAAGGGCGGTATATAAAAGGTCGGATATGCTATGTATTACTCCAAACCCGAGGTCAACCGCTTAACCGTCCGACCGCCTGGCATCGGATTTCCCCACACAATCACAGAGTACCTTAGTCAACTTGACGATAAGCTCCATTCTCGGCGATTTACACCAATCACAGTTGAGAGCCGCTGTATGCAAATCGCCGAATCCGATGACAATCATTATCCCCCAATGTTCGTCGTGCTTTAGGCAGGCGGTTCCGTAAATATTCGGCATACAGTAAGCCCCACAATTAATTCCGATTGTGGTTACTATTGCAGCCGCTTACCATAAATGGGTGTATGTAGACTTTCATATACTTATAGGACACTTGTTCAATGTGAAAATAAATGGAAAATTTGGCATTTAAACGACGAATTTGGGGAATCTGTGACTATAATAGTCAAACCAGGGATAAGAGATGGAAACTTCGGAAAAGTATACCGGTCTGGGAATCTCCAACTGGCTAAGGTACACTGCTACTCATGTCACAAGAATAAAAAAAAAACAAGGGAATAAAGAATCAACACCAAGGTAGACTCGATTGTTCGGATTTGCGGATTTGCTTTTTCCTCCACTTAACCCATTTACTCGGCGGAAGAGCGAGTGGTGCGCTTGGTGGCACCGCTCTTGCCAGTATCGGCAGAGGAGCTGGTGGCCTCGCTGGACTTCTCCTTGCCAGCGCTGACAGCCTGCTTACCCTTCTTCTCAGAGGGAGCGGGGCTGCTGGAGCCAATGGCACCCACAATGATGAGAATAGAAGTCAAGAGAAGAGCGACCAGGCCACCGGCAACCTCAGGAGCGGTCTTGACAGCGTGGATGGGGTCCTCCTTGGCCATGTGAACGAACTGGTTGACCTTCTGGCGGACGAAAGTGACAGGGTCCTCCTGGAAGGAAGTGGTGACACCGGGGGCAGGGGCCTCCGGCTCGGGCTGGGAAGCCTTCTCCTCAGCCTCCTCAATGGCAACCTTGACATCAAAGGTCTCCTGGCGGAGCTTCTCAGCGTCCTCGATGGAGTGGCCAATGTAGACGTTGTCGAACAGAATATCGTTTTGCATGGTCCAGATCTCGAAACCAATGGCGCCCATGGGCTCCAGGTTGGAGGGGGTCTTGTCCTCGAAATAGGCGGGGTTGGCAATCTTGCGGGGGGCCCAGACACCCTTGTAGGCAGGGTTGTCAATCAGAGGAGCGGACCACGGGCCCTTGTACTCGGGGTTCTTCTTCATGGGGCGAGTCCACTTGCCGCAGCCAGAGACGTCGGCACACTTGGGGTTGGGGATAGTAGGAGGGACCCAGTCACCATCCTCCTCGTCATCCCAGTCCTCGGGCTTCTCAGCCTCGGGGTCGCCAATGCTGGTGGGCTCATCCTCGAGCCAGTCCTCAGGCTTCTCAGCCTCCTCATCCACAATCTCGAAAGGTGCCTCCTCATCCCAGTCGGCAGGCTTGGTGGCCTCGGGATCAGCGATCTTGATCTCGTCGACCCAGTCGGCGGGCTTCTTGTCCTTGGGGTCGTCAATCTCCTTCTCAGGGTTAACGGCAGGAGCGAAGTCCTCCAGAAGGCTGCCCTCCTTGACAGACTCGCCATTGACGAGGATCTCGAAGGTCTGGTCGGGCTTGACGATCAGGGTGTAAAGGGAGGTGACCTTGGAGGTACGGGCGACGGGGGGAGTCTTCAGGTGCTTCTCCTCATACTCGCCGGTCTTGGGGTTCTTGTGGCGGAAGATGAAGTGAACCTATCAAGGTAAATCAATTAGTATTCGATAACAGTGAAGCTTCCTTGAGTTGTTCGAAGCATACCTTGTTGGTGGCACCGCACTTGTCGGGACCAAACATGATCACGTAGGGAGTTCCGTTGGAGAACTCCTCCTGGTGGAGCTTCTTGTTCTCCTGGAGGAGCTTCAGGTAGGCACCGCCACAGACAAGAGAATTCTGGGGCTTGACCTCATACTGGACAACCAGGGTCTTACCCTTGTTGTCAATCTTCTTGGGGAATTTGGCGGAGATGGCGTGGTGCGCGGCTGCGTTCTTGACGACCAGACCCTTGTCGCCCTCGATACCCTTGAAGACGGTAGGCTCCTCGACAGCCCACTCACCGACGTAGGCCCAATCCTCCTCGGACTTGGGGTCGTCCTTCTTGGCGCTGGAGCGCTTCCACCGGGTCTCCCAGTCGTCAGTGAACTGCTCTAAGAAAGGAGCCTTGAGATTGGTGGGCTAGAAAAAGATTAGATGAGTCTGAAAGTCAATTGAGTGGGGGTAAGGTGAAGTGGACATACAGTGAAAGTGGGCTTCTCAATGTTAGCGGCAGCGTTGGGGACAGCTTCAGCCTCCTCAGCATGGGCCACGCCCATGAGGGTGGCCGAAGAGACCAGAGCCGTGAATGCGGTGTCGAAACGCATGTTGAAAAGACAACACGGGGACAAAGAAACAAGGGCTGAGAGATGGTGAAAGAAAAAGACACCTGAAAAGAGGAGAAGAAAAAGCGGAGGTTATATAGAAGAATGGAGAAGGGTCGAAGGTCCAGGTGGCCTCTTCCATGCTCCCCGATCGGGACTAGCCACGGCTAATCCCAGGAACAATACATGATACTTCTTGTAGAATTGTATCGAATCGACGAGTTACGTAGCCCTATTAAGTCAATTATTACTGAATAATTTGTTGAACATATGTAATTGAACCTCAAAAAGCCACACTATTCCATTCCGCCTATTCCAACGCTCTAGGCTATCCTCGGACGCTGACCAGAAATGATGTGCTTGTGCTGAGACCTGCGGAGCTGCAGAATTCACCCCGCCTTATTGGATATGCCCGTTACACCTACTTCAACCATTCGGCTGACCACGTCTCACTTTCAATCCTAAGTAAGTTGCTTGCTGGAAGTTGATTGCCAACCCTAGCTCAGTTCCAATTTCCCCTTATCCCTTCCGCACCCTACCCAAAACCCTTGCCTGGGCTGACCCCTCAGCACACCATGTGCGCCGATGACAACAAGGCCGTCGAGGCCGTCAACAACGATTATCTGGTGCAGTCAGACGATCCTGAGCACCCGGCGAACCTTATTCCGGAGCTTTGCCGCCGTTTCTACAACTGGGGATGGGTTACTGGCACCGGCGGTGGCGTAGGTTTTTTTTTCTTTCTCTTTCCTCGCGCCGATTGCGCCAACACCCCCGCTGAATGCTGAATCCCAAATAGACGTCCATTCGCCATGGCGACCACATCTTTATCGCTCCCTCAGGTGTTCAGAAGGAGCTGATGAAGTCCGAGAACATTTTTGTGGTTCAATGGCCTACCAAGAAGTACCCCGCTGAAGAACGCAACTATATCCGCAAGCCCCTCAATTTGAACCCCTCTGCCTGCACTCCACTGTTCCTGACAGCCTTTGAGCACGGCGCAGGGTGCTGTATCCATACTCACTCTCAATGGGCCGTCCTGGTGACCTTGTTGGTGGAGCGCGAGAAGGGCCCTGATGCCTGTTTCGAGATTAACAACATCGAGCAAATCAAGGGCATTCCCCGTGGCAAGGGCAAGGGCATGCTCGGATTTTTTGATACCCTGAGCATCCCCATCATTGAGAACACTGCTTTCGAGGAGGATCTGACCAGTGGCCTCGAAGCTGCGATGAATAAGTACCCCGACACCTATGCCGTGCTCGTGCGCAGACATGGAATGTAAGCATTACATCCTTCAAGCTTTGTCGTTTTCATCAACACTTTGAATTGATAGCTGACCCCACCATAGCTATGTTTGGGGTGACAACGTCGCCAAGGCAAAGACCCAGTGCGAGTCTCTTGACTACCTGTTCCAACTGGCTGTCGAGATGCACAAACTGGGACTGCCCTGGGTCAAATAGATACAAAATTACCTAACAACACACGGTATACCGGTGCAGGACAGATAATGCGGGTAGTAGTTATAGATTGGCCAGTCCTGGGGAGTCCCAATCGAGATGATGAGACGTATTCATGGAAACATTGTCGCAAACTGTGCATAGTAAAGTGCGCCGAGGTCGCGAAGGTCGTCGCACCTCAAATAAGAAAATGCATTGTAAGAACAAGCATGTAGCTTCGAAGAGAAGAAAACCAAAACAGGAATCAGGCAATTGTCAGGAAGTTGTTGGAAACAGCGTGGGACAACACCTTGTGGGCTGAAGCGGGATCCCGTGAGTGACTAAGGACCGCGGATCACCTCCACTCTCCAACTGCCAGCTTCCCACTTACCAGAACGTCCAAACCCTATGAGCTTTGGAACACCTCTTGAGCCAACATTGATGCGGAATTGTGAATCGCTTTCCTGATACCCTTCTTTCACTTCCCCTCTGCAATAATATTGTCGAACAATGGACCTCGACAATGGCGACTCCCCGTGGGGCGGTAGGCAGTCATGATCCCGCTGTTTGGATTGCGATCTAATCTAATTTCCAGATGAACCCTCATCTTTCAAGGCCAGCAATGACCCTTCGAAGCCAGATGTCCAGGAAGTTGGTAAGTCTGATTCTGCAATCTTCTCCATCCGCCCCTCACTAATATCGGTCGACTCCTTACAGCTCCACCTACCGCTCCCACTCAACCCGCACTGTCCGAGAGCAGGGCCGAGGTTCGTACACCTGGAAGACGAGGCCCACGGGGCACTCGCAAGATAAGCGCACAAGCGACACGATTGGAGGCCGTTGATGACACTTTCGACCCGCTTGGTCCTCTGGGAGAAGCACCGACGGAGGCCAGCGCAACACCCACCGATGAAGCTCCGGCGCCGCCCCAGAAAGAATCGCTTGCTCCACGCAGCCCTCAGCCACCTTCAACCTTTTCGCAAATCTCAGTTGCAGGTAACCTGGCCGATCCGATTAACTTGGAAGAAGATGGTACTGGATTCCGAGGACCTCCGCCCGTGCAGCCTGCCGCCGATGCAATGGGACCAAAGCGACAGACACAGCCTAGCATGAGCGTGGAAGAGGCGGCAAAGCCGACATTCGATATTTCTGTTGGTGATCCGCACAAAGTGGGAGACCTGACTAGCAGTCATATTGTTTACCAGATTCGGACTAAGGTATGAGCTTCCTAATGAAGCATGACAATAGATCAGGAAACTAAATATCACATGTGTTCTAGACATCATCCAAAGCATACCGCCAGCCTGAGTTTGCTGTCAGCCGCAGATACCGTGATTTCCTTTGGCTTTACAACTCCATGCACAACAACAACCCCGGAGTGGTTGTTGCTCCTCCGCCAGAGAAGCAGGCTGTGGGCCGGTTTGATACCAACTTTGTCGAGTCTCGGAGGGCTGCTCTGGAACGCATGTTGAATAAAATTGCTAGCCACCCAATTCTCCAGCACGATGGCGATTTGAAGATCTTCCTTGAAAGTGAGGCTTTCAATGTTGATGTCAAGAATAAAGAGAATCGGGAACCCGACCTCGGCCAAAGCAAGGGCATGTTTGGCTCTTTTGGTCTCTCCGTAGGCGGAGGAAGCAAGTTTGTGGAACATGACGACGTAAGTACACCCATTGGGCAATCATGATCATTCTACTAACATCCTAATAGTGGTTCCACGACCGCAAAGTTTACTTGGATGCCCTGGAGAACCAACTGAAGGCACTCATGAAATCCATGGACACCGTCGTTGCGCAGCGGAAGGGCCTTGCCGAAGCCGCAGGCGATTTTTCCACTTCACTCCATGCACTCTCTGCGGTTGAACTCTCACCTGCGCTATCCTCGCCCTTGGATGGCCTGTCAGAGCTTCAGTATCGAATCCGCGAACTTTACGAACGCCAGGCCCAACAGGATGTTTTGACATTAGGGATTACTATTGATGAGTACATTCGCTTGATCGGCAGTGTCAAGACAGCCTTTGGACAGCGACAAAAGGCTTTCCACAGCTGGCATTCCGCCGAGTCTGACCTTCAAAAACGCAAGAATACCCAGGAGAAGATCCTTCGCCAAGGAAAAACACAACAAGATCGCTTGAACCAAGTCAACGCTGACGTTGCCGATGCCGAGCGCAAAGTGCACCAAACTCGATTGCTATTCGAAGATATGGGTCGCCTGATGCGGAATGAGCTACAAAGATTTGAAAAGGAGAAGGTAGAGGATTTCAAGTCTGGTGTGGAGACATTCCTGGAGAGCGCCGTAGAGGCTCAGAAGGAGGTAGGTTCCATTTGACATCCTTCAAATTGACCGTTACTAACCCGATTCCAATAGTTGATCGAACTTTGGGAAACGTTCCTCTTGCGACTCGACGCTGGAGAAGATGGTCTTCCATACTATGTACCGCCTTCGTCTGGCGAGGCCGGTGAGGAAATTGGACCGGAGTCTTCATCGCACGTTGAAGCCTCCCCAGTGGCCGACGATGAAGAGTAATGCGACTCGCCTGTATACTTCAAGGGCTTTGATGCCCAAACCAAAGCTGGTTCATGCATAGTCCATGCATAGTCCAGTTTCAACTTATACTCCCAATGGAATTTCTGTTCAGCCCTTTCCTTTTCCTCCCACGGCGCTCTCAACCTTTGTTCTTTACCTACCATTTTTCCCCTCCCCATTTCGTGCCTGCTTTACCATCAATACCACCCATCGCGTATTGTACTCGATACCATATTCAAAGGATTCATTTATCATTACGCGGAACCGCATCCCACGGCGGCCGGGAACTATAAATTGTACGAGGTAAATCAAGGCGACGGCCACAAAACCACGACTGACTACGGTTGTGTGTGTGGCTGTTTGAGAGAAAGTTTTGGTCTTTCCATCTAGCGCTTTAGTTCAAGCATCGAGAACAGCAGCCAAATTTAGACTTTACGGGCTAGAACTACATAGCAGCTGCACGTGACTTATCGCATCCATCACTAAATAAGTATATAAGCGACGGTGTCGCTCTTTGGGACGATTTTTCTTTTTACCCCATTGATAACCCAACATAATATTACTCGAGTTTTCGATATAGTGGATGTTCACGACGTGATAGTGGAAGCAATTCAACAGGACAGTGGAATTCGTTTCAAGCCTTTTCTTACACAGCTTCCCGATAATGCCTTCTTATACTCGAAAAGCAACAGTGTGCAAGGCGAAGAAGTCGATGCACAAGGATACGTATGTAGTATTGTGAAGTGCGGCAAGGAAGGGAGAAGAGGATCTAAGAGAGGTGAAGCCTAAGTAATGCAGGTCGGAAGGTACTAGTCTAATCAAGACATCAACAACGGTATGGGATTTGTATATACTGAAGGTTACAGCACACAATATTGAGGGCGCAACGTACGACCCACCAGTCGGAAAAAGCCTGAAGAAATAAATCAGATCAAATCTAATATTATGGGCCAGCGAGAGGCAGGCCAGCCAAAATCCATTTAGTAGACCGGGACCTTGAAAGCCGGGAACTCATAAGTCCAGCTCTCATAAGACTTGCGGTCAGTCACACAGTCAAAGGTGGTGTTGCTGCGCCACATAGGACGAGAAGGCCACTGGCACAAACGCTGAGTTTCGCCAGAGTACTCGCCGGAGGAAACAGTAGCGTTCAAGCGGGAGGGTCTGATGCCATTCTCAACCCAGTCAATCATAGTCTCCATGTTATCCTCAGGGTAGGGACCAGGCTGGAGGGAGTTGGTGGCGCAGTGGGCAGCGCCAGGAATGAGGTAGAGCTGGTACCACTCCCGGAGCTTGGCGAGGCTCTCCTTCTCAGACAGACCGGGGTACATGATCGAGCGAACGGACTGCCAGTAGTGGATCGACGAGGCGGTGGGAACACTTGGGTCGGATTCACCGTGGTAATGCAAGAGCTTGCCGCCGTGAGACTGGAAGGTTGTGAGGTCGGGGAGGGTGGTTTGCAGTGAATCCATGTAGCGGACCATTGCCTCGTTCATCCAGCCGACGAGTGTGTCGTAGGTCACACCGTCGAGATCAGAGAGGTTGGAGAGATCCTGGAGTTCGATGAACATAGCGACAAACTCGCCACCAGTGGAGGGAATATCGAGACCCCACTCCTGTGTGTTGTTGTTCCATTCGGTTTCCGCATCGGTGAAGGTTGCGCCGATCTGGTACGAGAGGTAGGCACGGTCTCCGTTAGAGTCGAAGAGACCATCATAGATAGCCTGGGCAACTGCGACACCCTCAGCAGACACGGATCCCTTCTGGGCCGGTTGGTAGCTGGTGCTGGTGCCATCAGAGCGCTTGACGATGGCTCGCTTGCCAAAGTTGAAACCGAGCGAGGTGCTAGTCTCAGCCGCGCAATAGTACTCCTCTCCAATGATATCGGTCAAGTTGAAGTTGAGCTTGCACAAATCGGATCGAGAGATGACACCATCAGTTCGGCCATCAAGGGGATCGCAAGCCTTGATAGTAGCATTCACAATCTTCTCCATTTCACAAGGCGGGGGGTAGTAACCCTTGGTCTGCTCCACAACGCCAGAGAAGAGGTGGTTAACCTGCTGTTGTCCGTAACGGAATGCCGGAGCACCAGTGATGACACCATCGTACTCATCACCCCAGCGCTGAACCTGGCTCATACCCTGGCGACCTCCATCAGAGCACCCCTCGTAGTAAGTGTAGATCTTGGAGTCGGTTCCGTAAAAGTCGCTGGTGATATACTTTCCGAGCTGCGTCATTTCACCAAGGGCCTGGTATGCAAACATGTAGGTCGCATCCCAGTTGATCGAACCATTGCCATAAAGGAAAACCTCATCAACAGTAACGCCATCCAGGGCGCCATAACCTGCAGAAGTGGCACCTCCAGCAGCGCCATAAGTTATTCCACCAGTCGAGCTAGTGGACAGGGAATAACCGAATCCACCTGCAACGTAGAAGCGGTTCTTGAAGTCGGAAGGTTCGGGGAATGCATACTCGACGACAACCGAGTCACCCTTGCCGGGGTGGGTGTATGTGACGGTGACGTTGCAGTAGCTGTAAGTATCGCTGCTGACGGTACCGGCAGTTGTGGCAGAGGGAATCACGTTGATACCAAGCAAAGTGCCATTCGAAGGAAGGGCGCTCTTAACGTTGGACACAGTGCAAACATCAGCAAGGCTTTTGGCACTAGCAAGCGTCGAGCTGGCCAAAAGGGCAGCCACTGAAGGACGCATGGTATAAGAATCGAAAAGGATACCAAAAACGAATGTGTTGATCAAGAGAAGGTGGATGAAGGAACGAAGACTGTTTAGCAGAATGCTTTTTATGTTTGGAGAAATGCAGCCATATATATATGATCAAGACGATATTTCTGCACGGATATATTTCCTAAGAGGGCGAAACCGCTAACTTTGGTCGGTTTCTAGTTGAGATATAAGGGTGTGGGGCTCGTGAGTGTGACGAAGCCCCCATGTCTACCTTATATTCACACCCCCAGCGTGGAACTAAGTGGGATAAGCTCCAATCGTGTGCGCCATGCAAGGCACCAGTATTTGCATCTCAAGTTAATTAGTCTTGCTCTGCTGAATGTGGATACAGGTACCTGCATTGCCCTGATACCCGGAGTATGATTCTGCCGACTTCTCCACTAGACTCCACTATATAGAGACTGAATATTTGCCTTGTGGTGCTCCTTTCCGTGGTTACATTGAGCTTTTCACGGTATCTTACATTGAAATACAAGATGAACTCGATGATATCTCTTAAGAAGTGATATTCAGTTATATTGGCCATTGCTCGAGCGACGGGCGCTCTCAATGCCGGCTCCTCTGTGAATTCTGCTCTGTAGTATTAGCCGTGCAGGCTTCCATGAACTCCCAACAATTCACCGAAGAGGAAAAAAACTTCTAGTAATCCACACCAGTGCGTTCTTCACTTTTAAACATGTCGGTATCTTGACTAAGAGTTGTAGATCAACTCGGTAAGCCGAAACTGTCATTTCAAGAACTTGGCAGAAATGGGCCGAAGTTGCTGAAGATAATATCCCGAGTCTAGAATAGGTCAATACTAAATTAAGCCTCAGATTCCACCTTGGGCGCTAAGTGGGTCGTACAAATATCTATCAAATATGGTTGGATAACGCCCTTCTGCGAACATACGTAACTGTTCGTTCAGCAAGACCTTTTGCTCTGTATGTGAAACATAAATAATTTCTAGGTTGATCCGTGAAAAGCTTGAATCCTTTACTGCACTGAAAAATCTGAAAAGACGAATGCCATGCGTATTGAGTTGGTTTTTACTACGAGAGCTTCAAGGCACGTTGAGAAAAATTGCGTAGGACACGCGTCAGCTAAGCTGGGGGATCAAAAGCCTGATTTATGCTTAATAAAAATCAGACCGTTTAGGGTTACTGTCGTGGCGTTGGTTCTACGGAAGCCGTGGGAAGGTTTCTAGAATGGTGTGACGATATTAGTGGGGCTATTGGCTGGCGAACCATTCTCTGTACGTGGAAGGGGGTATAGTTCACGTTCCCGGGCCGGTCTGGTTCTTTAAGAAACACATTGTGTTTCCAAGAAAATCTACCCTTATCGTCACATGTCGCGTACTTCGTATTACAAGACTTTAATTATCTTATGGAGGGATCTTCTTTACAATTATGATGAATAAATCAATCTGCTATTAATGCTCTTCAGACAAAGATCCGTTGTCTTCTAAAAATTTACCGTATTTGTATGCTTTACTTCGCCACCACGACCTTGATAGCATCGGTTAACCTCGGACCTCTATCCTTTCCGGGACAGGGTTATCAACGAAAGGTTTCGGGCCGATGAAAATCATACTCTAACCGAGATTAACGAAAGTTAGTTCGGCCTGATACAAACATTCGGCTTGTTTTCATTCGGCTTAATAGAATTCACATAATGGACATGATCAAAGTGAGGGAATTTTTTCGAGATTCCTACTACTAAAATTGCCATAAAACAGGATCTTGAAAAGTGTTGTCTCTGCCAACAACTTGATCGGTTCTGCACTGTTCAGGATTGCCTTACACTATAGCCTTTGTCTGTCCTCATGGATTTAGGGGATTTTGCTGGAGGTGGGGAGCAGGATTCTGGACTTCGTACGATTGGGCGTCTCCTTATTGCATTATCGCACAATTAAAGCCTCTAGGGTAGGAATCAATGTAAGTATTTCCACCCCTTGCGATTAAACGCCGCAGCAGGGGAAAAGGGAAGGGGTCAAGATATGGTCATTGGCTGGCATCTTATATGCATTTAACAGTTTCATAGTGGCTCTCAGTGCGCAATGACCAGAAAAGAAAAATCCATTGTTCTATGCTCCAGTTAAAAGCCCTTGGTCACCTTAGAGACAGCGTGGCTTTCAGTGTCCATGGATAGGGTTTCAAAATCAGGCGACAAAAGAATTCCGATACTCCCTTCTCATTCAATGTGTGATGCCCTGGTAAGATGTCAGAAAATCGGCATTTAAACATCGCAACGAAACGGATAGCTGGAATATTGTGCTGTAAGGGTTCAAAGAGTCCAGTGTTGGGAGGCTAGGCCGTCTTCTCAGTAGATCAATACTTTAGACACTTGCTTTACGGAAGCCCATGTTGGTCTTTCAAGATTACAAGGGGCACAAGGGAGGTGGTGAAATACTCATAAAAATGTTAGCTCTTTGAGGTGCTGATTTGGCTTTTGCCTGTCGCTCTGAGGGCCGATCACAACAATGGAATAATTAATGTTGGCATGGATTTTGATGACCTCGGGATTCAAGCGCTTGGCTCATGTATTCCAGGGCTTTCTTGAATTATAGATTCTTGTCTGATTGATAGAAACATGATAATAGGAAAAAAACAAAAGAAAACAAAAGAGGGACCAAATGTTGCGACAATCTCGTCAAATGCATCCAACTCAGTATAATCAGGCTATTCAAAAGCTTATACGCGGTTTCAAAATCCCATTTCAATGTTCGTGGCTACTTAGAAGACTTTAACCGTATCGAAATCGATGTGAATGGACAAAACCTGACCTATAAAGATGTCAACTCGGACCTTGCCCCAGTATCCTCCAATTCGACAGGGCTTGGGGTCAAATGACCTATGACAATGATTATACATCTAAGTTTCCTAGCATAAAATTTCAGGCTAAAAGGAAGTCCCGAATCTGTACCCCGCATACTTGGGATCCGGGGACGTGGGGAAGCGGGTTGTATAGTTCCACCAGTCATGTTTGGTTCAGAGCCTATGGAGTAACGCTTAATTATGGGTTCCCTTCGATAAATTCGAACAGAGCATCAACCTGCATGCAGTAACAAACATGCGCCTTTTTACGCCTCAGACCCTTATTTTTTTGTTACTAGATGTTGGAGCCGCAGCTGAGATTTCTACCACCCAGAGACGGAGTATAGTCCGCTCGTTCAATCCGCACCGCAATGCAAGCTCAGCAACAACACCCCTGCAGGTTGGCAATGGCAATTTTGCTTTTGGTGCAGATATCACCGGTCTTCAGACATTCTCTAATTTTGCCGTCGAGACCTCTTGGGCTTGGCACAATTTCAGTTTGCCAACTACTACTGGTCAAAGCTCTCCCTCTGGTAAGTACTCCTTTCTTGCGAAGCTATATGGTACTAACAAGAAAACTTTTGTTAGATTTCACAGGTTTAGATTGGTGGACGCATGATCGACTTGTTAATTATGATATGCCCAACCCAGCAGAAGAAGATATTTCTAACTGGCTCATCGAAAATCCTCAAAGACTAAGCATAGCCAATATCGGTCTTCATTTCCCTGGACAGAATATTACTGAGAAAGATCTGCTCTACAAGTCTCAGGACTTGGATATCTGGGAGGGAAATATCCAATCCTCCTTTTACTACAATGGATCCAAGGTGTCTGTCCAGGTTTGGTGTCACCCAGCCGACCCTATCGTGGGGATACAGATCAAGTCAGATCTGCTGATTTCTGGAGACATGGGTGTCTTCTTCGATTTTCCGAATTCCGACACTAACAAGTTTGACGCGCCATATGTTGGTGTGTGGAATGAAACCACCAACAGTACAGTGCGGATGCGATCTACACCGGAAATGGCCTCGTTCGAGCACATTCTCGATAGTAATATTAATCGATTGGGAGTTAAGTGGAATGCGAAAGGCTCTATTTCTGGGCCTTTGTCTGGGACAAATCGATTTATCCTGACCCCTTCGGGGTCGAACACGCTGCAACTTGTGGCAGACTTTCAGCCGGCTAGCAGCGCCCACTATAACTTCCCAGCATTTGAGAGCATTTCAGTCGCGTCCAGAGAGTGGTGGGAAAGTTACTGGGCCTCCGGTGGCTTCATAGACTTGTCAGCGACTGACAATGTAAATGCCACTGAGCTCCAACGCCGCATTGTTCTCTCGCAGTACCTTGTTGCGGTTAACGAAGCATCATATAACCCACCACAAGGTAAGTCATTGAACATTCTCTTTTTGATGGCTATTTGTACTAAACTTTCTCCCAGAATCTGGTATGAGACTCTTCGTCTTGGAAAGTTTACTCTGTCCGACTACTAAAGACACCTAGGACTCGTGAATAATGGGTGGTATGGAAAGTTTCATGTGAGTTAGTGTCTGGGAGGTTACTGCCGACAGGTCTTACAATACTGAACATTTTACAGCTTGAAATGTTCCTATGGCACAGTTTACAGTTTGCTCGATGGGGACACTATGATCTCCTTGCCCGTAGTGCTCCGGGCACATATCAACGATTTCTCCAGTCCAGCATTGACAGAGCCACAGCACAAGGATATGAGGGAGCCCGCTGGGGCAAAATGACAGATCCAACAGGCCGAAGTGCCCCAGGTGAAATCAACGCATTGCTGATCTGGCAACAGCCACACGTCATGCATTTCGCTGAATACGTCTATCGCGCCTTCCCAAATCAAGAAACACTACAAGAATGGGATGAAGTGGTCACAGCAACCGCCGACTTCATGGCCTCATACGCATGGTGGAACGAGACGACTAGACTCTATGATCTGGGTCCTCCAATGTACCCGGTCAGCGAGAATACAAGCCCCAACAGTACTATTAACCCGACTTTCGAGCTTGCATACTGGCGCTTTGGTCTCGATGTTGCTATCCAGTGGAAAGAACGTCAGCATGTCTCTGTACCGGAGAAATGGATGACTGTGAGGGATAATCTCGCTCCGCTTCCTATCATTGATGGTGCCTATGCTGTTTATGAAGGTATCCCTGATATGTGGAAGGCGAATAGTACGACGATACAGGATCATCCGGCTATGATTGGTGTTTATGGCTTGCTTCCACCTCCTTCAACTGGTGTACCACTTAACCTGACTACTATGCGTCATACTGCTGAGCTTATCAAGGAGCTTTGGGACTTAGGGGATTCTTATGGGTGGGACTTTAGTATGTTGGCGATGAATAGCCTGCGCCTTGGAGATTTGGACCAGGCAATCGCGTATCTTTTGGATCCGTACTATGTTTTTGACGATGCGGGTTATGCCGAAGGAGGAATTCGGGTCCCCACCCCGTATATGCCTGATGCAGGTGGTCTGTTGTTGGCAACGGCTATGATGGCTGGAGGCTGGGACGGCGATGAAGGTCCTCATTTCCCTGAAGATTGGAATGTTACAGTTGAAGGCTTCAGTCCCAGCCTCTGAGGCTAGATCGATGTTTTACAAAGCGGTTGTCCATTTCCATGAAGGACAAATCGGACAAATCGAGCTATCAGAACAATAAAGCAAATGAGTTTGATGCACAGAAAAACAGAAATATGTATAATGTACAATATAGATGACACATGATAAGAAACCCAACTCCCGACAATGGTCTTACACTCTTTCTTCCCTTGCAAAGTATCTCAAGAGTGATAATCCCCTCACCACTTCTTCTTCTTCTCTGGAGGCGGCGCCTCGCTCTGTCCAAACGAACTGATCAAGTCCAAAAGGTTATCCTCTTCCTCCTGGTCAGCCTTCTCCTGGGCCTTAGCAGCCTCCTCCTGAGCCTTAGCAGCAGCAGGATCCTCCTCCGCTGCAGGGGCACTGGCATCGAAGCTCCGGCCGAAACGCGATCTGAAAGCAGCCAGTCGACCGGCCTCGTCGTCCTCAACATTCATAAGCTTGCTGCTAGAAGGGTTCCACAGGAGCGAGTTGCGGGTATCACGCGCCGAGCGGTACACAGGCACGGGAGAGGTGGTGCGGTGGGTGAACGCGCTGCCGTCGGAGAGCGTGACGAGCTGAGTGAAGGTGTAGGGACGCTTAGGGCGGCGGAGAAGGGTAGCGTGTCGGCATTGCGAGCAGATGAAGGATGTAGACTTGGATTGGGTGGAGGTGATTTGGCTGGAGGGGAGGATGGTGCTTGTTGAGCTGGATATTGTGGCCGCGGTGCGGCGGAGGGTGGTGTGCATCGACATTGGGTCGGAGGCGCTGCGCTGCAGCTACTTGACTGGGCCGATTTGGTATAAAAGGATCGAATTGGCCCTCTGGGTGGTGTATGCAGTGGACTGGAATGCGATTGGGAGAGGGTGAAGTTGATGCTATACAACTTGCGTTGCGGAAGAGAAATTATCGCCGGTTATGTAAGCAGCCCGGAATTTTTGCGGACTTCCATGATTTGGAGGAACTTGCTCGTTTTGAGACTCGCAACGGAGTCTTTGGCATGGAGCGACAATAATTATAGATCTTCTCTTGTCTTTGGTCTTTCTGTGTGGTCTTCCTACGCGCCGAGCGGCGATATCACTAGGTTTAATCGGCGACATGAAGCTGTCGGTCCCGCGACTTGCGGCCCGCCGCGGAGGTAAGTTTCACTGTTTGTTTATCAAACCTTTGGTGCATGGTGTCTAAGTCTTTTTCAGCATCTTTAAACTCCGCAAGCCAATACATACCTTCGCGCGACCTGTTGTCACTTCAAACTCAATCTGCGCGGCCATATCACCAGCGTAATCTACCATGCTCTCGACGAAATATCACCAATGCTACGGCTTCCAAGGCCCACGAAGCTCAATCAACACCGACAAATGAAGCAGCACAATCATCAAAAAGAAATACATCACCTAAAACCTCCTCCGCCCCCTCTATATCGGAACACGTGCGCCTTCTCATGCGCCGAGTCCCCTACCCCGTCGCCATAATCACAGCGACAGATCCCAGCGGCGCCTCAGATACATCGTCGTTCCGTGGCATGACAGTGTCCTCTTTCAGCACAGTCACCCTTACACCGAACCCGGTCATCTCGTTCAATGTGCGCAGACCATCCGAGACATTAAACGCTCTTCTCACCTCACAACGATTCCTGGTTCATTTACTTGCTCCGGGATCCGCAACTGCTACACTCGCGCGGGATTTCTCAAAGGGCAATACTACACTTGCCAGTATTTTGAATGGGCACGGGGATTTCGAATTCAGCTCGTTGCCCGTTTGTCCAGGGGGGCAGGGCTTGGTATCTGAGAGACCTCTTCCTATTTTAAGGAGGAGGGGTGGCTCAAATGAATTAATGAAAGATGGAAGAAATGCTGATTTTCCTTTCGTACTTGAATGTACACTCCACCCGCAGAAGATTGATGTGCAGGACCACTCGATTGTGCTGGGGACTGTTGTTCGTGCGATTGAGGCCGAAGACATCGCACTTTCAGAGCGGAAATGCGCGCAAGAAAGTGGGGATGAGCATTCGGCCGATCATTTATGTCTGTCCTATGCTAACACTAAGTTTTGGAAGATGGGTACTGAGATTTGAGTTGGCGAGCGGTTGAATATACCATGTTAGGCTGAGTTATGCTGCACCTTGGCAGAGCGTGGCAATGTACATTATCAGACGAAATACCACCACTCGCCGGGTTTGACTAGTGCTGCTGTTCCAAGTTGTTGAGCTTGGTCTGTAGTCTAGTGTAGGAACTCTTTTTCATTAAATACTGTGGACCCATCCGGGCTCTTGGGTACCTATGGATAATGATGACAAGCTGGGGATTGGCTGGAGATGCAAATGCCCGCGGATGTACTAGGTATAAAGCCGATTCACAGCGATAGAATGGTCGGCAGGGCCATTCCAGATCAAATATCGTTTGATCAACGGTCGTTCTCAACTCAATGATTTCTACATCGGGATAAAGTCGTCAATTCCAAGATTGTCATCCAAAATAAGAGGATGCCCCTCGTGACTGACGTGATGGTGGATGATTCAGACTACCTGGCATGACTTCACTGGAAAAATATTCTGCAGTATGGGTCTATTATCTCGTACGCTGCGTCGGTATGTAATATAAAGGACTTCACTGGTACAGAAAATACATCTTCTGCGAGCATGAAGACTAATACAGGCTAGAAATGATTCCGGACTTTCAAATGTTCCATATACACTGAGAGACACTGTGAGCGTTAAACATAGCGCTCTGTCACACTACTTGCGTCGCAAGCCTTGGTGTCTAGCTTTGAAAGCCGATACAACACAATGGCCCTTTCGAGTCCCAGCCCCGCGGTTCCGCCACAATATTATTCCTTTGAGCCGCTAGAACTGATTTTGACCACTGATAGAACGAGTTACTAAAAATTCTAAAAAAAGGAAATATCAATCATACAGATAAACCAGGTTCCCATCCTCGTTTCCGATGCGGTCATTCAAGTCAATGCCCTGTCTTTCTCTATATCCTCCGTCTGCCTTGGGCAAGTCCGCGGTCAAGTAGGCTCCGTCGAGGTGAATGTTTTCGGCAGACTGGCTGAAGTTTATACCGTCCCATTCGGACCATCCTAGTGTCAGATTTTAGTGGGTAAATTTTAGAAAGGAACGGGTAGTGGAGAAAAACAATACCATCGCCATTGCCAATGAATTGATCCAGGTTTATCTCAGCAGCTTGCCAGTCCCCAACCTCATTTTGGGCTTGACAGAACAGGAAGAGACTGCCTTCTTTATTCTCAAGGCGAAGATCTTGGCTGCTTTGAGAGAATGCCATCGTTCAAGGTTGTTTGGTTTAGATTTAGGAGATGAGAAGACTAGAAATACAGTACAAGCAACTTTAGGGCTTACAGTATGGAAGGAACACCTCCGGTGAGCATTGAAAAAAGAAAAGGACCAATACAGCTTTCAGCTAGAATCGATTCAAGACTCTTTGAACGCCCTGATTACCATGTAAGAGAGAGACATTAAGAGAAAGTGAAAGTCAGTGCTCTATCACAGTAACTGCGTGGAAAACCATGGAGCCCACCATTCACGACACACTAGAACACAACAGGCAGCTATGAAGAGCTATAGGTAGTACCTCCGCCTCGACATTTCCAATAACACGCTGGTTCACGGAGATGGTGGAGCTTGGCGGTGGCGGGTGTTTATGGTAGGCCCCTCTTTTTTGGAAAGAAAACTCTCGCTAACCATTTGTAACCATTCGTTCAAAAAGTCCTACATCTCCACACGATTACGAAGAAAAAAAAAAGGCTTTCACAGGAATTCACTTCATAGTGTTGTGGGTGGGCTAATTGTTGATGGGTACGGAGTAGCTTGGACGAAGGACCCATGATTACAGCTTTGTATAAAGACTATGTAAAGGAGGTGTACAAGGCGGTCAAAGATCAGATTTACTTGCCATAAGCCCATGCCAAACATTTTCGACCATTAAGGTAAGTTTTCGTGGCGGCCACTAAGATCTGGCGTATTTCCCAGACCTAAGCTTTTTTCCTTCCTAGAATTGCTAGAGAATATAAGTAAATACAAATACCATCGTCGCAGCCAGGATCATCATTCAGTCGTATAATCCCACCATGACAGTCACCCTGCGAATTAAAGCCATCAGAGTATAAGGCGAGTCCATATGAATACTTCATCGACACTATGTATGTTTTTTTCGGGATACATTATCCTGCATGGCTGCTCCAAGCAAGGAAGGATAACGGTAGTTCAAGTGAAAGACATAGACTTATTATTTACACCCATGATGGGAGTCAAAGTGTCTTTCGAGCTTAATTTCATACAAATGATACAATATATAGATCTATTTAGGTAAGGATCAGAGCTAAAGTTATGTCTGATGTGTTGGCTAGCGTCGATAGATCTGCATCCTGCATGTGTCTTCACAAGTCCTAGGAGCCAATAAGTCCTCATAGCCAGCGAATTTCTACAAGAGGGAGAAGGCTTTTCTACTATCTTAGAATATGTTGCTCCAAAACAGCTTGAAGATTCTAGACTAGATGCTATCAACTTCATTGGGAAGATCTGGCGTTGAGGCTCTATTGTCATGTGCACTGTCTTGGTATAGCTTCACTGGGATGGATCGAATGAGCAGGACGACGATATAGGGTATGCAAAGCCCAACTTCGTGGTTTTTAATCACCATATGTACTATATTAAGAGGGAGTAAAAGCCAGTACTTTATCACAATAACTGCGTTGGGACCTTAGAGCCAAGCTAGTTTTGACCTCCGACTGTAGCAAAACTAGAGAGTGACAGCTCCATTGAGTCATACCTAAGCGCTGGAACGAACTCGTCAATAATATTCTTGCAAACAAAATACCGCCCTTACCTGACCAATTTCCCACCCTCGTTCGCGATGTAATCATTCAGGTCGATGCTCTGTCTATCTCCAAACTCTCCGTCTTTATCCGTCAAGATCGCCGTCAAGTTGCTCCCGTCGAGCTGAATATCCTTGGCAGACTGACTGAAATTTACACCGTCAAACATGAAACGCCCTAGTATTAGGTAGTATTAGTGGTTGCAATTCGCAATATAGACAGGTCAGGACGTGGAGACTGAAATCATACCATCGTCGTTACCAATATGTTCATCCAGTCTGAATTCGGCCTGAGGATAGCTACCATACACATCTCGGGCATAGCAGACTAGGTAGAGGCCATCTTCCCTAGTCTGGATATGAGCCCCTGTGCAGCTTTCGAAGAAAGACATGTTGTATGATTATAAGCGAGTAGGGAGAGGGTATATGAAAAGGGCATGAAGGACATAAACCTATTATTTATATCCAGGGGAGTCGAAGTGGATCTAGGTGCATGTGATAGATCGGTTAATGATTGGAGCTGAAGTTACGTTGAGTTGGCCAAACCATAGATATGCATCCTGCATGTCTTCATAGGTTGTACAGCGCCGGGACTAGCTGATTTGTACACTGTAGAAAACCAATCAAATGCCGTCATATGATTCCCCTCTTACAGTGGTGTCGCTTGGAGGCTGGCTGATCTCATGCACCTGGATCACAATAGGATACCTATCTTTCATCGACGTCACGGAGTTGGAGTTGCATCATATAAAGTTGATCCATGCAGGGGCAGATTGGTGCACGGGATAAGTCCATGGCATTTCCTCCAGCACAAGCCTGATCTATATCTACATGTTGAGGCACTTGATTAGCTTGCCAAGTCTGATCAGGTCCTCTAAACTAAAAGTTGGAACGATACTCCTTCACACAGTGCGCAAATGTTTAGAGCATCATGTTAATCAAGAACAGCCCTAGAGAGAGTGGGTCTGCTAAGGTGGGGGATCTGGGAGCAGCCAAGGTGTTCATTCTAAGCAGTCAGTGCGGGGAAGGGCGAGAGCCACACTGCCTTAACCCTGAAAACGCCAGCGAATGAGAACCTAAGAAACCTTGAAATGAATGTACAAGTTGCTTCACTCAGTTTTGACTTGAACGAGAGGTGATCTTAAAAGGCTACACAATGATATGAACTGGTGGTAATAAATGTAGAACAAGCTTTTGGTCTTAAGAACAGAACTGCGATTCATCTCACTTCAACCGGGCCTATCCAACCTGTATAATGGTACCGCGAGATACATGTCCGGTAATAACCATAAACCGAAAACTGTCGAGAGGTTCAGGGATCAGGAGATAAGTAGAAGCTGCAAGACAATGACCACAACCAGATGTAACAGAGGCACAGGAACAAACATGATGGACGGAGCATTCGAAAGGCAAGCGAAATCAAAGACCCAGTAAAGCCACATTGTATGACTGGGAACCAGTCATCATATGGGCCAGTTTTACGGATGAGACTTTGATGGAACCTTCTCAATCGCGCGCAGACTTGGGACTGCCACTTCCACTGCCGCTCCCGCTGCCACCGCTACCACTGCCACTGCCGGCTCCGCTACCGCGACTTGTTGCTCGTTGAAAGGGGCTCAACGAAGGACGGCCAGTCTGATACAGGAAACTGTTGTTATCCGAGCCAGAATGTTGCTTTTCAGACATCAACTCGGCCAGGTCGAATTGAAGAGACGGAAAGCGATTAGGCTCGAAAAACTCCGAGCCATACAAGCTGCTGCGGGTAGAACGGTTCGAGAACGAGCGGTCTCGATTATTGATTTCAGATCCGAAGTACGAATTTCCATTGCCGAACGGAGAAGTCGGGAACTGGGACATGAATGCGTCTTGTACAGGGCTGGTCGGGTGCGAAGATGTAGCATGAACTGGTGAGGAAGCCTGCAGAGGACTAGACCTGGCTGGAGGAAAGCTGAGTGCCAACAGCGAGCGGCCATTGGGACCATTTGCAGTAGACGTGTTTATCTCAGCCAGAGGATTTGTTCCTGGCAGATTACCCTCGGGAGTAAGGGGACCAGAGTCCATAAGCATCTGTTGCTGTTGCTGTTGGATAGACTGCTCGATCGCAGATGCCTGCTGCCAAAGCTGACCGGTACGCAGTTGAAAATCTTGCACAGATTGGCTAATGCTCGCGAATTGCTCATGGAAACTTATCTCCATCTTGGCTTGATCTTGCTCCCGAGCAAACTGCTCAGCAGCGCGACGTTCGCGCTCATTCAATCCTTGGGCATTGGCAGAGATTATGCGCTCGTACTGCTCATTGACGCGAGTCCGGCGACCCTGAAGACGCTCCCGCTTCTGGATAGTCATATTCAGTTCTTGCTCCAGCGACGAAACCTGCTGGGCTGCAGCAAGGCGGGCCTCCTGTAACTCCTCCTTTGCCTGGTTAAACCGCTCCAGTTCCCGATCAAAGTCGGCCTTTTGCGCATTCCACTGCTCCACTTCTTCCTCTGGAATGTTCTCCATGCTGTCTAATTGTACTTCGAGCGCCGTGGTGGCTTCCTCCGTTTGTCGAATGTTTCGCTCCAGTTGAAGTGAGCGCTGCTTTTGTTTGTTCTCATCGGTACCGCTTTGCAAGCGATTGTTGTAATTGTCTAGCTCCTTTCGAATTCTCGAAATGAGAAGCTTGTGATCATTCTTTGTCTTTTTCAATCGCGAACGCTTCTCGTTCAATTTGGCCTCGGCATTGTTGATGGAATTCTTCAGCGTCGTCGAAGGAGAGGAAGGTCTATAGAGTGGCTGTGGGGGTGTCGGTACTGCTGAAACAGCTAGTCGATTGGTAAGACATGTGTTTGACTCCAAGTATTCTTCTGCTTCCTGGGGAGACTTACCTTGTTCGGCATCAGCTGTCGCAGGTGTTTTGACGCTCATGACGCATATTTCCTCGTCAGTATCGCTGCGCACAAAGGAGCACGTATAAGCACAATTGGGGGCAAGACCGGAGACTTCGCCCCGCCATTGTACCATGCTTGGCCCCTTTGAGGAATCTGACACCCTAACAATGGTTGCAGTAGCCCAAAGAGCCCCGTTCACGCAAACGTAAAACGGCTCCACATCACCTTCTAAGCGTTCAACTTCACTAGAGCCATCATCGCTGAGATCGCCGGCGGCAAACTTGATCGAAGAACTATCCACATCCGTAATCCATACCAATCCATCATCCAGTGAAACACCTTGCAGATCCTCCTCGGTCATTGTCATACCACACGTCGTTTTTGAAGATGCTCGTGAGTGCTCGTATTCTCGCATGATGGTGACCTTTGTACTGGCGAGAGCGGCCCAAAACGGTTGGCGACTTCGAACTTGGTTGGCTTGCCTCCTGCGTTTCTTGGCTGAAGTTAAACGATCCTTGCCATCTTTGACAAATTGGCCATCTGGTCCCACAAGAGAAGTAGAAAGACTAGCAGCCGACTCGAGTGCAGAGTCCGGCTGACCCTGCGAGCCCGCAGAAGCCTCCGTATCCCCGCGTTTACCACTCCTCGAAGGTGCAGGAGCCCGATTCTTCGCCATCGAACGTCGTGCCATGGCCGTCCCCGCTTGTGCTAATATATGTACGGCGAGAAGACTCCTTAGCCAACTCGGAGACGTTGATGCTTCGGTACGTCGGAATTCGGCGGGAAGGAGACTCGAGAATTGAGAAAGCAGATCCGGACTGATGAATTTGGCGGAAACGAGGTGTCCCATCACAAAATCTTGAATGCCCTTGCTGCGAATGATATGAAGAAGCAGAACAATTCCAACGCAGAAACCATTGACCCCGCCGTTCTTTCCGGATCCTCCGCCGCCTAGCGTAATGGCGACCTGGACATGGGCGAGATCGATTGCGAAATTCTGAGCCCAAGTCCACATAAAGAGACCCCAGAAGAGAAGACAGAACGTATCCATGGCCATCATCGTCCCTAGAGATGGTGTACCAGCGGGACCCTGAAAAATGTCGAAGTTTGCAGACAGAGATCCGGCGGCAGCGCCACTGGGAGGCATGAAGGTCAAGGATGCGAACAAGAACTGAACGAGCGTAAGGACCATCGGCGGGAGTTGTAGCAGAAAAATCAAAATGGCGATAGTGTCGTACATGGGGCAGGATTTGAGGATGGTGGACGCGAGTTGAAGCGGGTTGATTGAAGCGTTTGACCCAGATCGTTTTCCGGAGCCAATGCGAGAAGCCGTGCCTGTCATGCCACCATTCTGCGGCACAACACCGTTAGCCTGGCCCGATGCCATATCCACACCCTTGCTATGCCCATTCGCCATCATACGGCCATTGCTATCCGTCTTCGACCCATCCGCACCCTTGACGCCGGCTACTGAAGAGGTTACCGCGGTATCGCTTGTGGAACGATTGGCGGCCAGGTCGAGAGGCGCGGAGGCAGCCGCGGAAGCGGCGCCGTTGGCAGGCGAGCCGTTGAGGTGGCTACTGGATTTCTGTTTGGTTACTTTCTTGCCGGGGCCGACGAGGCCATTCTCGTGTCGATTGCTCTGGTTCTTCCTACCCGCAGCAGATGAGCGTGGCATGGGCGAGCGGGCCCGAAACCCAGGTCCGAGTCAGCTTGGCGGGACAAGGCCAAGGACTGGGACCAGGCTGGAAGAGGAGGAATGGGCGAAATAGAAGGAAAAGGACACTTCTCCCAAGGTGTCCGGAACTAATGTCGAATGGAGAAAGTGAGAATGTGGGGGGGAAAGGAAAGGGAAAAACGAAGGAAAGTGGTACGGAGAAGAGAAAGGAAAAGTGTATGAGGTTTGGAGGCAGAGAAAGAAACCGGTAACGTATGGTAAGGAAAAAAGGGTGTCGATCATGGAGTATCGGGAAGGCGGTACCTGCCGCTTTTATCTCGAATTTTGTTTAAGTAACTCTTAGTCAATTGATCCCTACGTGACATTACTATTCTCGATCGGTTAATTATCTCCAGGGATCTATCCTTCATTACCTTTCTTCACGGCTATCTTGTATCGACCCTAAAATCTAATTTCGGTGGCGTCCCGTTCGACCGATTTCTGTTCTTCAATGTATAAATCCACCCCTTTTCACGTTGCAGCTCTAAGTAATGCACTCCGGATAGCTACGTAACGACTCATGGGTAAGAAAGCGTTTTTCCTTATCTCTTTTGCTTGTCATATGACTATTTATGACGGTCTCATCTAAGCTAGCAACATTTGGGTGTTTCAGTTTCTGCCAGGTATTCGTTTACAACGCAGTACAAGGTTGATCCGGCCCCGTATAATACCTGCAGTGTTGATAGGACAATATGCACGGGCAGACTCAAAAAGCGGTACCAAGATGTTGAACCCTATCCGACATTCGGGATCGCCATTTGCTATCAGACTGCCGACCAACCGTTCTCTAGGGCTTGTGTGCTGCGGGGTTGTCCTTGCGGTAAACCTGGGGACATGCATGGCGACACGAGTCCTCCAAGCCAGCGGATGATCATTGGGGGATTATTCTCTCGGATGAGCAAACCTGCAGAAAAGTACGCCAACAAGGCTAGACCGACGGGTGGCCTCATACTGTGTGTTTACAGAATTTTCCTCAGGGTCTTCACATGCTCGGCTCTTGGTTTTTGGAGGCTCCGCTCCCACGCAATGACCAAGACATCGCAGGGTGGAGTAGAGGCTGCGTGGTAAAGACACCGATCGCTTATCCGATTTTCCTACGCAGATCCTGTGTGACACGAGGACGGCCCCGACAAAATATATGAGAACCCCAAAACCTCTCCAGATCAACTTCAACCCCTCCCGAGGATGGATTTGCGTCTTGGCATCAAGGTTTCGCTGGTAGATCAGCCACCGATGCGGTATGGATCGGCGTCTCGGCCGGTCTTGGGTAGGCTTGTCTGTCCTTCTTTTCTATTTGCAGCGGTAGCATTTTCAGACTCTGCGCACTTAAGAGGTCGATCAACTTAACGCCATTCATGATCAATTTCTTCACGTAGGCTACCAGGCACATGAGCAAGAGCCATAGATTTACCGGCTCGAGCGGGATCCATCGCGCCACTTACCCGATTTGACTTTTCGTTCCCCTTGGACCCGATAAGTTAAAAAACGGTTCGACAGATTTATGCCGATCTTCTATTCGCACTGGACGTTCCGGTCCCTCTCCACCCGACTTAGTATCATCTCCGCCAAGTTTTATTTAATTGTGTACATTGTAGTACATTCTACCTACACACGTTTTAGTACTACTCTTCTTCCACAAATCAAATAGAAAAACAAAAATATTTCTCAATAATCTTTCAGCCACATTCCAATGCACAGACACTATTCAATCATTTATTTGCATGGCGGTGTGTCCGGGCATGATTGAGACTTCTCCTAGCGTCCCGCGGTCTCTACCAGGCAATCGTGTTCAAAGAATAGTATTGAGGTTAGTAATGTTGGGGAACTACCCAAGGATACCAGCTGATTATCACCCATATGTAATCTCGCTGCCTAGGTGGAACTATGATTTGTGCAGGGCGAGCTCAGTTGCTCTGGGACAAATTTTCCAGCTCAGACCGGGTCATGCATTTTACCTAGTCGGGTAAGTATCAATAGTCGCTGCCTTGGAGCTTCATAGAACAAATCAAGGGGCTTCCAAATATAAAAAAAAAACCCCCCAATATTCGAAGCTCTCAATGCTTTGTGAGACATCCCATATTGAACAAAGATGACAGGTGCCTCATTTTGCTAGGTAAATCCGTTCGGGGAGCCGAGCTTTGTTAGGCTCATCCCAAAGGTACAGGCAATAATACTTTGAGACATACATTCGAAAAAAAAAAAAAAGAAAAAAAAACATCTCAATGCACATACAATAGGTTATGAAGTTTCGTGGGCTTCATCCATCTAGCAGTCATTATCGCCGTTCACCTCATCTCCTAAAAATTCTTCCTCGTAACCCCTTCATCTTCATGGTCACCGAAACAAAGGTATCCCTGCCATTATTCTTCCTCATCACCATTCTTGCCTTCATCTCGGTGACTATCAGGAGCTTCTTCCTCTGTCGCATCTTCCTGTATGCTCATGTAAAGCCTAGCCTTCCCCACAGAGTATCTGTGCTTCCGGTACATTCTCACATATCGACAGCCGGGTATGCAGTATCGGTTGTATGCGACGGAAAAGAGTCAGCTTTGAAAAGATTTGAATCCACTTTTTTAGTGTATATGCTGCAAGTTTAATTTGGTGAACCCCGCCCAGCAATTATAATTAGCAGAGCTCATGGTGCTCAGGCTGGTTTGACACGTTCGAGCAGGCATGCATGGGTAAGTATCTTGGCTTACTTACTACGCATTCAAAGGTCACTAACTAAACCTCTATTTATTGCATTTTTTTTCACAGATGGGCATGTTCTACTTTAGTTGCGGCCGTTTTTGTTAGGCGCTTGGACTCGGGCTCACTTAGTAACATGACTCAATCTGGGATCAGCTCACTGAGCAGATCCTTACACTCACGTACGAGATAAGTGATAGTGATATCAGTGACACTCAGTCAGCACTCAAGATATGTACAGCATTTTCAACAGGCTCCAGCTTTGGGCTCTGATTTAAAAGACAAACCCCTTGAGATTCGTCTCCCGCTCCAAGTTCCATGCTCTTTCAATCAGCTGATTGACGTGTGCAACATCTGTGAATCCACCATAGGTAGCAAGAGCCTTCGTCTTTCTCTCAATTTCCTCCCTAAAATAGATGTTAGCCTTTATTCGCAAGCCAAAATACCATCAGGGACCATACTTTGTTAGAGGAAGCTCAGGATCTCCCTTCGCAAATTCAGCCGACTCAGTAAATTTCTCCCCAGATTTGCAGGTAACAATAACAATCCCCTGCCACTGTTTAGGAAACCTGCTCTCAATCTCCTCATCCAGCTCCATAGTGACCCGTTTCTGAAACTCCCGCAAAGAAGCATCCACCAAATCCTCTTCCGTGAAATCAGTAATCATAGCCTGTCCCTTCTTAGCCGCAACAGCCAAAACGAATCCCATTGAGAATTTACTCTGATGAACCGTTTCACCAGCTCCACTAAGGCCGAGCACATTAAGCGCAGCCTGATAAGTGCGCGCAACTACCGACTCAATATCATCGAACGCAACATTATTCTTCTCCATTAGACTCAGCAGCGCGTCAACACTGGGATGCGTATGTCTGCACGAGGCATGCCACTTGAAACTGGAGCTGAGAATTGCCCAGTCGGAACCTAGGTTTTGATCGATTGCCTCGGGGAATGTTTCGCCTGGAACCAAGGCAATGCCCATTGCCCGTGGTCCTTCGAGGATATCTCGAGGTCCAAGAAGGCCGTCGCGAGCGGAGTATGCTGCAAATATCCCGTCGAAGCAGGCTTTACCGGTGTGTACTTGCTTTGAGTGTGTCGCATCGAGGAGGAATTGCCAAAGGCCTGCTGCTTGTGTACCGGCTGTGCCAATTGCTGATAGGGTTGCTGCTGCATTGAGCTTTAATAGGTGAGCGGCTGCGGCTGCGACTCCGATGACGCCGCCTGTGGCTGTACTGTGAAAGCGCTGATGGAAATGAGCTCAAATCACCTAAAGAATAGAATGATGATGGTGTTTCAGGAAGTTACCTCGTAGTGACTTTTGCCCAAGTATTCTCCAACCCGGCAACCAACTTCATAACCGACGACACACGCCGTTATGAATTCTTCACCTGTAGCCCCAACTTCTTGTGCTACAGCTAGAGCAGCCGGGTAAATAACAGTAGCCTAGATCTCAGTTAACAAAATCCATCTAATACATGTAATTAATAAGCTAGAAACTTACAGGGTGCATGATGCTCCGATTATGAAGATCATCCTGCTCGACCACATGAGACGAAGCGCCATTGACCAGGCTAGCAAAGGCAGGACTGGTCGTAAAGGTTAATGAACCATCAACTAGTTCACTTTTGCCATTTGAAGGACCCATCTGGCGAGCGAATTGAGCTATGGCGGAAACGGCGGGGTGATGACGACCGGCAATAGTACAGCCTAGCCAATCTAAGAAGAAATCTTTGGTCTTCTGGACAACATCTTCGGGTATATCCTTGTACTGTAGACTAGATGCCCATTTTGCTAGACGCTCGGTACGTGTGTCACCCGATGGTGATGTTGATTTAATGGGTTGAGACATGAAGAGGTGATCGATACCTAAACGTGAAGTTTGAAACGGAGAATCCTGCTTTCAGTATCAATGTCAGTCACACTGAAAGATAAAGGAGGGTTGGCGCAAGAATGGCTGGTTTGTACCCCATCAGCCCTTCCGAGGTAAAAGCCGATCCAAGTAGGCGACTTAAGGCTGGTGGGGCAGTAGTGGATCTGCAGAGACGATTCGATTGGGTTTGGCGGGAGTAATCGCGGGGTGCAGCCGATGAATGCTTTTCTTTTACAAGAGCGATCCTAGTGATGTGGCTTTATGCTGGAAATAGTAGAGTATGCAAATCATTGACTTCGAGATACTTTATGCTGTTATCTCTTAAACAGAAGTCTAAATTCCATTACATCCCGAGGTCACTGGGGCCACGAATTCTACTTCGCAAGAGGCCCTGAACATATCACATACATGCAGGCCTCTCACAGCGGGTGACCGGAATCTATTGCTTTGCAGAGCCGGTGTCCTCTACTGCATCAGCTCGGTCCCAGCTCTCAACTTCAAGGGTCCGGACTCTGCTCTCGATGTCCAAAATCCGCTGCTGCCATTCCAACTTTGATTTCTCCTGCAGGTCCCAAATCCTCTTGAATTGTTTGAGAATAAATGGCGGAAATTGAGAGGCTTTTTGGTTCTTCTGGTAGTCATAAATGACGTTTTCCTCGTGACACCGAGCCGCGGGCCGTTGGCGAGCTTCGGACAAGATCATAACATGCAGCTGAAAGGCAGATTGCGGCGAAAGTGGTGAAGTAGGGTCGTGAACAAGTTTTTGGTACACAGTGATCTTATCAGGGGACTTCATGGGCTGCAACATTTTCAACGCGTTAGTCAAATGGCTTAGCCAGGCATGTTGCTTAACATACAAACTTGTAGTCAATTTTCATACTTCTCAGTATTAGCCCAATACCGGCTGAGCTGACCATATTTAGCCATTCCTTCTTGTGCTCGGGATCGATGTGAATGCCTATGTTGCGTGTCCAATTTACTCGAGCAGTCTCGGCGTATCTGACATATGTGACGTTGTTGACATGTCCTAATCAGGGAGCTATTAGTTGCGTTCGATTGAATATATAATCATATCTTGCGAGTCAAAATTTGAAGTTCGTACCCTAGAAGTATGTTAGTATGATCCAAAGCCGACGCCAGCCGAGACGCATTGAATGCGGTGTACAAAGAGCATAATCTTACCATGATGTCCTGTTCAACCAAGGATAGCAAACACGTCAGCTCCAGAAATATTCATTGAAATGTAGGATGCGGTAAGGATGAGACAATACCTGTTCACCCCACACCACATTATGCCGAAACAGGCCTCGACGCTTCTCGTCAGTCAAGAACCCCTCGCTCCCTGCAAGCAGTTCACGCCAGTCTCTCGCCAATTGCTGAAGAATCTGTCCACCTTCATCGACCTGGGCTGGCTTGAGGCCAAACATCATACATCTCCCAATTCGCCTTTTCATCATTGTGAGCCATCGGGGGTCGATTGTGTGCGGACGTGCGGCCGGGCTCTCGGGGATCGGGGCTTGGGCATTTCCTACGGTCGCTGAGAGAAAGCGACGTGCAGAAAGTGAACATGTCGACCGAGGCAGATGCCTCGAGAGGACAGATCGAGGTATCATTGTTGTAAGCTGGTGTGGAGTTGGAGAATCAATCGTTTTGAGTCCGGTTATCCTATAACCGCGGCCAAATCGCATGCCGGAGCTTGGGCCATGGCTCGGCTAGAACCCCGCCCCGAAGACAATAGTGATGGCCCGGGGTATGTCAATAGGTAATGCAGACGAAAATTTTACCCAAAGTATCGTAGTGGTTTCGGTAGTCATTTATGTACTTTGGATCTCTGAACATGTTGTTCTCCTCTACCTCAGTCAGTAGGCATGGGCGCCTAAGCAGTCGTGTTACATATACTACGTAGCTGAAGCAGCTGTACCAGGATGGAAGCAAAGAACAGCTGTATTCCCCGATTTAGTTGCACATGTGCATAGAAGTCATGAAGAAATTTTATCAAAGCAGATTAATGTTTTTCTTCTCTCATTCAAACCAGATAGGTCCACCAAATGGTTCCTGGGCTGTCTTCTAGATCCCGTGCCGTAATCTTACCGATAAACAGCTCTCCGCATTCCGACGTCACCGATAACCGCCGAACCTCCATTTCTCCTCAAACTCTCAACCAACCTGAAACGCGTTAGCCATAGTCCTGCGTCAATCGAAAAGCCTGAGAATTATCGAATAGGCTGACCATGGTCGCCCCGGAATTGCGCCGGCAGGTCATCAATGTATACAAAGGTATGATCGCGTGCTTTAGCCAGGTATTGCTTGTCGCAGAAAGCTCATTGAGATTGGCGAAGAACTTCTTTGGCTAGGACGCGAATATCCTCTGGGATACAAATATTTTCGAGATCGGCTCCATCGTGCGTTTGCAGGCCAAGCTCATCTCCAGGATGAGGAGCAGATCCGAAAGGGGATTGCTAGGGCGGAATTTGTAAAGAAAGGTTCGTACTGGTCTGCCGTATATGAGTCCAGTCCAATCATCGTGCAGTGACTGATCTATGTTTTCCTACAGAAGTCGAAGCATTGTAAGATTGAACTCTTCCCCGATTACCACCATTGAGTTTCACTCTAGCCTTTTTATCTTCTTTGATCGGTAATGGTTCGATGATGTCGTTGTCATTTATATTCTGCATGCCTATATACAGTGGCTGCTCTGGCTAGACACGGTGGTCTTGATTCGCACATTCTTTTTTGTCATACATCATATCATAACGCGAGCACAGCTTGCTCTCCCCTTGACACGAATTTCATCAACAGATGCTGACAAGAACCATCTCCAGGTACTATTTGAAGCGGTACCGAACACTGAAAAAACGGTATGAAACCGCATAATTCCCTTAGGCCGAGGGTGAAATATCCTCCAATGGCCATATATATAGCATGCATAGGAAGTGGAAAGACCAAAAAAAAAAAAAAAACAGTTTGAAGACAAGAAAAGAAAAAGTAGGAAAAACAAAATTGAAGAATTGAGGGGTATCACCAATACGAAGCGCACTCAATGCTTTACTCGTGCGCCCACCGAAACACCGGAATTTCACTCGTGGCTTGAGACGGGGTTCATTTCTTTCGACCCCACCATGCACTCACTTCGAGACACTCGCCACTGGCGAGTCCGCCCTTCTGAAAGAGGTCTGTGGTCATTGCGGCCCACCATCGGTCCCACTCATCGCGACCTTTTCCGCTGGCCTCGATAAGCATGGGCTCTAGTCCTTCTATCATTTGGACCACCGTGAGAAGGGCCGTTCGACGAATGGAGATCTGATCCGGAGTCAATGCCTTGCGTGGACGGCCCTTGGAATCCTTCCCTTGGCCTTCTCGCTCCCATCGAATATCTCCGAGTGGAATTGCAATGCGGCGACTGTCCACATTCTCTAATAGATCGACCTCGGAATTGAAAGACAGGCCAATGGTGGCGCAAGGCAGGGCTGTGAGTTTGCGCCGGTCGAAGGATTTCTCGACCCACGAGTTGTAGTCGACAAGATATTTGTTTTGGGCCCTTGTGAAGGGTGTGGCGGATGAGAATGTATAAGTAGCGGTCGAATCGGCAATCTCCTGGTCTTTCGACGAGGTTTTTCGGGCTGGTGCCGGGTTGGGTAGCAGTGAGCGAAACACCCAGTCCGAGTCCCACACTTCTAATATACCTCCCGATTTCAAAACCCGCAGTGGTTCACTTAGACCCGAGGCTTGTTGCGCCGGACTAGACGGACACATGCCTGCATCCTTGATAAAGACGAAATCGAAGTAGTCGTCCGGAAAAGGGAGGCGAGGTTTGCGAAGGTCATGTCGTTTGAACTGCCAGTTCATTCCCTGCTTGCGCAGATCTGGGGCCAAAGAGACAAAGTCAATGCCGACGAAGCCTACGGTCGGCTGGCTGCGACGAACAAAATACTCGTGGCATAGACCAGACCACAGGCCCGAGCCGCAGGCGATCTCCAGGATGCGCTTGGGCGGACGATTAGCAAGATAGGGATTGCAAAACGGGCCGCCAAAGACGCGCAGCAGCATCATCGTGCGCAAGGATTGACGATGGATCTCCGGCTGATCGCATGGCAAAGGATAGACGTTTTCCGGGTCTCGAAGGTATGTACGGTCGCCCAATCGTGCCAGAGGGTAGTTGGAGTAGTCTGTCAAAGAGCTCAAGGACGAGTTCGAGGTCGCGGCAAAAGTCGAGCTCAGGTTCGAGTGAACATCCGAGCCTGATGGCGTGGCTGCCGTGAATGATACTGTCCCTGTTGTCATCATGTCCATATCCAATTCACACTTCTCATCGATTATCCCCGGTGACTCTTAATGTGGATCGGCAGTCGGTCGCATTCTCGGCGTGCAATTGGAGGTTCATGAGCAGCGAGACATTCTTTGTCTTTCGTTTTCGTCACGGGCAGGAAGTAGATATGATATACAAAGAAAGGAAGAAAAGAGAGGAAAGTGGTAAAATTCCAAGTTCCTCGGTAGTAAGTAGGGCAAGGATGATGTAGCAATTTCGGAGGGATCCAAGTGGTTCGGAAAATATTCTTAGTGTAATGGTCGTGAAAAGGGAAAAAAAGACATCCACTCCCCGGACGTGATAACCAATTTTCGAGGAAACTCTTTCCAAGATTTGCAATAATTTAGAATCTCTATAGAGACTCCCAGGAAAGAAAAATCAAGAACGGAGGAGGGGGAAGGAAATGAACAAAGAAACAAGACCACGGCCTGGTCCCGACCCCTGGATCGAAAGTGGCATTGAACAGTATCCACTTGATTCCAGAAGAGGAGCTAGTCTGTCTTTTCACGTAATGGTGAATAACTGTAGTATTAAAATATAAAATAGTGTGTAGTGCAGACTAGAGAGTTGTGGAATTGGGGTAAAAAAAAAGGAGTGTATTTCCCCCCACCAATGATATGCATTGCTCGTGTTTCGGCTAAGCTCGAAGGAGCAAGGAAGGGTATGAAAATTTTTCTAGTCAAATTTAGGCACGCGAGGGCATTGGAATCCTGCAAGCTAGCTAGAAAAACGAGGCTTGTCTAACCCGCAGCGGCAGGTGCATGGAAAGGGTCGTTGACATCATGACTGGGCTTTTGCTAGGTGTCCACTATAGACTGTGCCACCCAAACTTTGGGCTCTTGCGCCGAAAATGGTAAAAGCTTTAGGATATACTTCGACACGACCCATTAGCCGAGCTATCCATGGTTTGAAAAAAGCGCTATAATCTAAGTACTATTTCCGTACAAACCATAGTTTCCGGCATATCCGTATAGGAGATTTGATAACCGATCTTTGCCCCTCTTGGAGGGGCAGAAGTACAGCACTACAGAACAGAATTCTCCAGCAAGGATCCTGGGTCGGTGCGTGCGTTGACACGTGCAGGAGGAACTTTGTTCATAGTTCGTTTCTACGTGGCGTTCTCCGTACTGTTTCATTATTTCCAATATTTGCCCCATGGAATCTTGCCACTATGCCCTACAAAACAAGTTTAGGCGAGATTATTGTTATGATATCCACTCCGTCTATCCGGAAGTGCGCCGGAATTGCGACGCATCAACGGTCAAAAGTACGTATATCTGTCTTTTTTTTCTTTTAAATAAACATTACAATAAACGTTCCCATGAACGTTACCGTTCCAACGGGGTACGTGAATACACGGGCGCCGGAGATCCCTGCCGTGTCCACCTACTCCATTAGTCTGGTACCGCCCGTGCTCTTATTAGGTTGTAGCCTACGGTCGGTAGTGCCTCCCAACTCCATGGCTTCTTGCCCGACTCTAATCATATCCTTGCATCTGTCTTGACCCGGATATGGGATCTGTTTATGTCCGAACCACTATATAAACTTTATATCTACCTTGAGGTATCCCCGTGATCCCCGTCGAGACTGTCCTGCACGTATCTGCAGCCTGTCACCTCCTCTGTCGATCTACAGAAGTAAGGCTTGCATTTCGTACTTTGTTAATCTAACGCAATGTTATGCTGGACTGATCAGATTTTTTCTTGCTCTACCCCCTGAGCTCTCAGACCCTTGATGTCGCAATACGAGGCATTCCAGTAGACCTGTAAATGTCTGTGCAGATGACCAACGCCTGCATAGGCATCGGTCGCAACGCCCCTCGAGGCAACTGTGCTGGTGTTACAGGGGTTATCCAGGTGGGGCTTTTGGTCACGTATGACCCAGGTAATGTTCACGCGCTCATCCCCGATCCTAATTTTGGGTTAGAATTGGAGTCATCAATAGTGCAAATGAATAACCTTTTTTGCTAGCCGGCTTATGTTGCATAATGTAGGATTAGGCTAATACGCTTACTGACGATCCACTCTAAGTGCTGATAGCCTTGCGATTATGCTTATACAATCTTCTTATAATGAGACGACCTTTTAGACGAATAATTAACCGCACCATGGAATACTAAGAACTATTGAAACCAGCCCTGGAGAGAGCTATGCGCACTATATTGTAAATAAAGCAGATCAAATTGATCGTTTTGTGTACGTATAATGTATAATTGTAGACTATGAATGCTGTGTCACACACTACTCGACTGTTAAGACAGGATTTGTTTAGACACACGCCGTGGTTTTAAGGACATCTGTCAAGTCAGAAATATTCACCTTTTGCGATGATTGCAATGCTGAGAGCGACTGTGTTCCGGACCACCAGTTCGCTTTGCATTACGTGCAGGAAACCGTTACCCGGAAGGTTCGGTCTTCGATGATATATATGCTCGATGACTTCCATGCTTTGCGATGGTCTCCACTGTCCATGATTACATTGTTTTGCGATGGTTCCCAAGCTTCAAGATCCTTCTACCTTGGTATACCTCTCACCATAATGATTCATTTGGATACAATCCTTCCAACATGGTCATAGCCAAAAGAAATGCGACTTGTGTCAATTGCCAGATGCGCCCGCCCAAGACTCAAGCGCCTGAAACACAAGGCATCAACCTCATGACCAGGTTCAATGCACTGGACCAGCACTTGCTCTGAATCAAGCGCTTGTACACCATGATGATATGTCTCAATTATCAGCTCACAACTTCTCTAAGTAAAGTCGTGAAGCGTGGACAATTGAAGCTGAGCGGAGCCAAGATGGGAAGGCGGTCTTGGCAATGGATCCGGACAGGTTATATCACGTGAGGCAACTCCCGCCTTCGATGCAAACCGCCCAAGACTGTCATCTCGACCCAAGACCGCTTAGCCTACAACCCAGCGAACTGAGAGACAATCGTACGAATGGCCCTAATATCCAGTCCCTGATCATTTTGAGCTCCACACTGACCTTTTGCCCCCGCTCGATCTTTCCAGATTGCGATCTCAAGCGACCTGTGACTCCGCCCGCCCTCCGCCCTTAGGTATCTCAACCTCAACTCAGACCACAAATCCGCGATCCATCCGGTTGTGCCAGGTCTGTGGCTACTGGCCTTCATTGTTTTCTTCCAAACAGGGTCACTTCACTGCGGGCTCTATGTGGAAGAAGAGAAGAGACCGTGCTCGATTCTTTACTCCTCTCATCACCTCCTCCAACCCGACTTTCGCGCTCCCCGCCCGCCCCCCGGTTATCCACCAGGGAAATCAGCCACGGTTTCGTCTGCCACGTTAAATGGCAGATGGTACCTACAGGTTCCAGCAGCCTGGGGCCGGGCCGTTTTCCTTCCAAACACAACCACAGCATCACACTCACCAACGACACGCCATTCCAAACGGGACCAATTCTCCGGTTCGACTAAAGCTCAATCACGACACCCCTTCCCCTTCTCGATCACCCCCCGTTAACCAATCAGCCGCACTGCCCTTCAACATGTACCAAGGTCAACACATGGTGATGAATGGCGCCCAGGCCCACCACCAGCATCAGCACCAACAACAGCGCTATGGTGGTGGAATTGGCATGCCAATTTCCAAGTTCCAATCGCACCATACTCAACAACAAATCCACGCATCCCATTCCCAAGCCACACACACATTTACTCAACAGAACTACTCGGCTGGGGTATTGCCGACATCGAACGCTCAATTCACCCAGAGTCACCTCCAGAATGGTGGCCCAACTATTGGCGATGACGACTTGGAAGGCTCTATGAGCGAGCATTGGCAAGAACAACTCCAGCTTCATGCGGAGTCGCGAAATTCCTCTTCTCCTCATTACTATGCTAGGATCATGGCGCAGCAAACCAAGGGCGTCACGATGCTCGCCGGCCAGACAGATGAGACTACGGTTGAGAAGCCCTCTTCACGACAAGGATGGAATGCGATCGACTTTGGCGGACAGGGCTTACGTGCCATCTCCACCTCATTGTTTGGGTACGACTTCCTTGAGAAGGTGTACCTCAATCATAACAAGCTAAAGGCGCTTCCTTCTGCAATCGGCCAACTGCGAAAGTTAACCCATCTCGATCTTTCTGGGAATGAATTAACAGAGCTTCCAGAGGAGATTGGCATGTTGACCAACCTCAAGAAACTTTATCTCTTCGATAACAACATTCGCACACTTCCATACGAGATGGGATACCTATACCGCTTGCAGACTCTAGGCATTGAGGGTAACCCCCTGAATGAGGTTCTCAAATCTCAGATGATGAAAGATGGGACAAAAGCTCTAATCAAATACCTCAGGGAAGAGATGCCTGGTATGTTGCCATTGTTCTATTTGCCTTTTAACCGCGCGCATTATTTTCTCTAACAGGTTTGTCCCCGCTCTAGTACACTTGCCTCCCCCGGATCGTGACTGGGTCATCCTTGACGAAACTGCGAGCTCAAACAACAGCCCCGCCGAGAAAATCACCGTTCTATCATACAACACCTTGTGTGACTCCTCTGCCACCGCCTCCCACTATGGCTACGTCCCTTCACGCGTTCTCTCTTGGGAGTTCCGTCGTGAACTCATCCTTAACGAATTACGATCTCACAGCTCGGACATTGTCTGTCTTCAGGAGGTGGACCAAGGAAGCTACAACAACTTCTACCGAGAACAACTTGCTTACAGTGATTACAAGGGTGTCTTCTGGCCCCGAGGGCGTGCCATGGGTATGCAGGAAGAAGATGCGAAGGCTATTGATGGTTGCGCAACTTTCTTTAAGGGAAGCAAGTACATTCTTTTGGATAAGCAACTTATCAACTTCGGTCAAACCGCCGTACGCCGACCCGATGCTAAGGGCCAGGACGACATCTACAATCGACTCTGGCAGAAGGACCACATCGCAGTAGTCGTTTTCCTCGAGAACCGACAGACTGGAGCTCGCTTCATGGTCGTGAATTCTCATCTCTACTGGGACCCGGCGTTCAAGGATGTGAAGCTCATCCAGACTGCTATTTTGATGGAGGAGATTACCAAGCTTTCCGATAAGTACGCGAAATGGCCAGCCTGCACAGACAAGACCGCATTCCGCTTCTCCGAGGCAGAAAGTGGTTCTGAGAACACCCCGATTGTGGAGCCTGCACCGTCGAAGGAGTACTCCAGCGGTGATCAGATCCCACTCCTAATGTGTGGTGATTTCAACTCATCGCCAGGGTCTGCCGCATACACTGTGATTGCGACTGGAAGGCTTGATGAAGATCACCCGGAGCTTAAGAACCGCCTTTACGGCAATTTGAGCACGGTCGGAATGACACATCCATTCCAACTTAGGTCTGCCTACGACGCTATCGGGGAATTGAGCTTCACCAACTACACACCCGACTTCAAGGATATCCTTGACTATGTGTGGTACTCATCCAACACGCTTCACGTTTCCGCCTTGCTTGGCGAGGTCGACAAGGAATACCTACGCCGAGTGCCAGGTTTCCCCAATTTCCATTTTCCTAGTGATCACGTTGCATTGTTTGCGGAGTTTACTCTTAAAGGAAAGAAGGGCAAGGTTGTGGAGGCAGATTTTGGGCCGCAACGACACTGATGGGATGACCGGAGCATATGAATCTTTGGAGATGGGTGTTTGTGTAGTCGGGTTTTCTCTGCTTTTTTCTTTTTCTTTTTTCTGTTTATCTCGGAATCTTTGCGGCAGTGGGGGAGATTTTATCCCTCTGTCTTGTTTGTTACATCGTCTTTTATCTTTCTTCAGTGTGTGTCTTTTTTTCACCGTGATTATGAATGTCCTCTCTATCTTCCTCCTCTTTCCTATCTCTGTCTTGCTCGTTTGCTCTCCCTCTCCTCCATCCTCCTTTCTCGACTCGCTGCCGAAACATCTCCAATCCGAAGTAGTCTACGGCACCAGTCTCGCTTTCCCACATCCTCCTTGTCTCTGTGTTTCTCCCACTGCTCTTCTCGTTAGGTTTTCCTGATATCTCTCGGTTTCACATCTCACCTAATCTGTAACGTCATATGACGGCTTCATGACCTAGGTGAGGGGGTTGGTGTTCAGGTGGAACAGGTGGCCGAAGGGCTTGAGGTTGCTCTTTGTTTTTGCCTGGCGATGGGCGTTCTTGATCATGTACTTTTTTGTTCCGCCGTGACTTTGATCAATCGTGAATAGAGCGTGGCTATGTTATTTCGTATTCCCTTGTAAATGTAATCTTTGCCTATGCTGATTAACTTACTATATTTTGGAACGGTAATGAACCTTCGAATACTATGTGGAAAATTGTATAGTGATGAGTAGAAAGAAGGGCAACAAGTTATAAAAATGTTGAGAACCGAGATTCTATGCCTTCGGTTTCCTGACCAGAACAACCGGATTCCCACTCTCAATAGTGTCTCCAGGCTTAACTAAGACCTTGATGACAGTCACCCCTGCAAATCGAGGCTCAGTGTGTACATTGATCTCCATCTTCATAGCCTCAAGAATGCATGTTACCGTATCTGACTCGAGTACATCGCCCTCTCGCACCGAAACCTTCCACACATTAGCATTAACAGGGGCCTCAATAGCCTCGACTGTAGGATCTGCGATATAATTAGTCCTAATGAACCCAAAAAGTAGACTCGAATCCATACCTTCAAGCAAAGATTTTATCTCATCCAAACTAGTTCCACCCGCTTGTTTTTCAGCCAACCACTCCTCAACCAACCGATCTTCCAACTCAGCCATCTTCTTCTGCGACACCGCCCGATCTTTATGAATAGCCTCAGCCTCCTCCGTAGTCCTCTTCAGAAGCTCATTATGTACGGCCATATCGAAGACTCCCTCCTCCATCTCAAACTTGTAATTTCCAGCCCTGAACAGCGCAAGTTTGCGATCGAAATCTTCTTCGCTGACTTCATAGAAACTTAGTGTATCCATATCTTCCAAAATCCATGGCTTCTCCGCACTAAATCCAGGTCTTGACCCAGAAATATCGAGTGTGGGGATAGTCATACCCAGAGGCATGTATCCTCCAGGACAATCAACAGGATAGATAGCAATAGACGTCCCACCCCATGAGACTGTTCCGGCGGGAGTATGCGTGCGACTTGGATTCATCTTTGGAGTCCGAATACGGTATCGTGGGTCTGTGGGTAGACTCTGTGGGAGAGCCATGAAGAAGCCGACGCCTATGATGACGGATTCCATTTTCAGGAACATGGATTTGAGTTGCGAGACTGTCATGCCATTGTTTTCTGCTGTGAATTTCAGAGGATCGGGAAGGTAGCTTGCGATTGATCTTTGATTCGCCATATAGCGCTCGATGGCTTCATCTAGCCTCTTGTTCTTGAATGTGAGGGGAAGCTTGAAGTGGCGGTTGGGAATCTTGACGGATCGCATATCTCCGAGGGATTGTTCTAGAGTGACCAGCTTGGCTATGAGCTCTGATCTTGGTATACGCAGACCATCGTAGAAGATGGCTAGGGAACTGCCGTGGCACATCATGTTGAGGATCGCCCCTCCGCTGGGCAGGTTTGCGGAGAGGGGACCGGTGTCTGACTTGAGGGCCCTGGCTAGCGCTGTTGATCGACATTTATAATTGAGGTCGGCGCGGCCGTCTCCGTATTCGACTAAGAGATAATCGTCTGCTCCACCTCGGTATGAGATTTGGGGTCGCGTTTGGATTTCTTCGAGGACTTGAAGTAAATCCTGTCCGGGTGCTGTGACCTCAGGCCCGACGGCGCTATCAAACTTCATGGCTTCATCCCAAGATCCGGTCTTGATGGCTAAAGCCACGCTATCGATGAAAGCAGCATTTTGTCGTCGGGATTGTAGGGCAGTTTCCAGAGACACACGATGGAACTTGACATGATCCCCAGACCGGAGCTGTCCAACTTTCCACATATCTGATTTCACAACCGTCAAACTGCATATGAACCCGCCAAAATCGGGACAGTCAACGGGGAAGATGACAGGTTCGTCACCGGTCCAGTTCAGCCCACCGAGCGGGTAACCATATTCGAGAATATTGCTCGGATGAGCACCTCCCTCACCTCCATCGGTGCGGCCGAAGCCTGGGCGAGGGCCGATCAGTCGGATTCCTCCGCGCGCGGCATTGTGGCTGATTTTCCAGGCTGTGGAAAATAGTGTTTCGATGCCTTCGGGAGATAAGAAGCCCGTTTCGTAGGGCCCAGACATGACTTGGATAGCCCATTGGCCAGTTCCGTACTGAGGACGTAGGTGTTGTGGAACACTTGTAGCAGGGGCGTTTACAATCTTGGTTGCTTCTACGATCTCCAAGAGATCGCCTGCACGTAGTGGTCTTCCCTGATACCCTCCGACATTTACCATGGGATTTGTAGACTTGCTTCCGAACCACTCAGCGATGTTGAGTAGTCCCCCAAAGATAGCGAGATAAACACGGCAGTGGGCTGCCATCTTTCCAACCTTAAGCCGCTGGCCTGCTTTGACATCAATGCGTGTCCAGAGCGGCATCTCTGTCCCATCAAGATCTGCTGGAATGAATGGACCGCATATTGAGATGACCGCATCGCTAAGAAACAGAAGCTCGGGCCCGGTGAGGGTAATTTCCAGACCCTCAGTGCCAACCTGGTTACCAACGAGAAGGTTCGCAGTCTGAAATGCGATAGGATCCATTGGCCCTGCATGGCCAAATCCATGCCCAACTGTTGGGCGTCCTGGAAAGTCCTGGACCAATGTATAAGAGCCACCGGAGATGACATCGATAGCGTTAGGAGTATAGCTGAAGTTTTCCAAGAACTTTGTGATAGTGTTGCCCTCTTTGAATGTTTCATTGTTGATGATGGCTAGAAGGAAGCCAAGGTTTATCGGAGGGCCACAAAGGGAGCTCTTGCGCAAAATTTCTTCCATCCCTGCAATTGCATCTGGTCGTGTCTGGCCATGATACATGACCTTTGCAAGCAAAGGATCATAAGATGCACTGACCACTGTTCCAGCTCTTACCCAAGTATCGATCCGTGTTCCACCGGGAGTATGCCATGATACTTCTTGTAGAAGGCCAGGACTTGGAGCATAGTTCCTCACTGGATTCTCTGCATAAACACGGGCTTCAATTGCATGCCCTTGAGGGTCAAGACATTCGGATTGCAGAGCCTCTAGGTCTTCAAATTTGAGTCCACCCTTTCCAGAGAGCTCCTGGTCCGCTTGGCGCAACATGAGTTCTACCAAGTCCACATTGTAACACATCTCCGTGATACCATGCTCGACTTGAAGACGTGTGTTCATTTCAAGAAAGAAGAAGTCACCAGTGTGATCATCAACAAGATACTCCACGGTTCCCGCTGATCCATATTTGATACTCTCAGCAAGGCGTACGGCACACTCGGTCAGTTTCTCTCGAAGCTCAGGATATCTTTGCTCCACAAATGGACTCGGACACTCCTCAATAACTTTCTGGTGTCGTCGCTGGATAGAACACTCTCTTTCGCCAATACTGATTGCTTTTCCTTGACCGTTTCCAAAGACCTGAACTTCAATATGATGGCTGTCCGGGTAGTATTTCTCTAGGAATACGCCCGCATTTTTGAATAACGATGAAGCTCGCGACTGTACCGTTCGGAAATTATCTTTGAGCTCCGCTTCATTGTGGCATGTCAAAAGCCCCATTCCTCCTCCGCCAGCGGTCGCTTTCAACATGACCGGATAACCAAGGCTTGCTGCCGCAGCTGTAGCTGCTTCCTCTGTGTCAACGAGACCCTTTGTCCCCGGGACCACTGGCACACCTGCGGCGAGAGCCAGCTCGCGAGCAGTATGCTTCAAACCAAAAGATTCGATTGCTTCCGGAGAGGGACCGACAAAGACCAGCTCGGCTAGAGCAGCCGACCGAGCAAAGGCTGTGTTCTCTGAAAGGAATCCATAACCAGGAATAATCGCCTGAGCATCGTGTTCCTTAGCTATCTCTATAATTTGGTCGCTGCAGATAAAAGAGATCAGCAACGGGCATATAACCTCCATTTAGATAAGTATTACCCGTCTAGATATGCTGCTCTTGCTTCACCATCTAGCAGAATAGCATGATCGGCCGCCCTCACATGCTCAGACTCCGAGTCCGGTTCTGTATAGACGGAAATAGTTCGAATGCCTAGTTTCTGTGCAGCTTTGATAAGTCGACAAGCGATCTCGCCTCTGTTAGCTACAAGGACTGTCTTCAAACATTCCATAGTATATTCCATAATGTATGAATGATTAAACCAGAGTTAATAATGAATCAATAATCACCAGGGGATAGCTGATTATACTAAATAGACTCAAATTTGGGGTCACCCCACTCTTGTACCAACCTTGTTCCCCCGAGGTTGGAGAAGAGCGGGGTCTCATAGATAATTGGAGTCGTGACGATCGTTCCTTCCCTGTATCATATATCTGCAGAACACTTTGTAGTTTCTCGTTCTCTTTACCGGCATTGACACAAGATAATCGTTGATCCGCTCGAATTACCTGCTTTATTAGCCCATAATCGGCAGTCATTCGTCAGTGCCGCAGCCCTAATAACGAACTGGAATGTATTGACAAGATGGCTAGGGCAGCTTCTCCAATATGGCTCCATCCCAGAGGAAAGCGCTTATCAATGTTGATATGGGCGAGGGATATGGCAATTTTGTCTGCGGTCCAGACAAAGAACTACTACCCATGATCGACCAAGCGAACGTGGCATGTGGTTTTCAGTAAGTCTAACTCAAGCGAGAACGTCGATGTTTCGCTAAAATAATTTCCAGCGCCGGTGATCCCTTGATAATGGCAGAGACGGTCGCTCTTTGCAAATCACATGGTGTCAAAATCGGCGCCCACCCTGGACTACCTGACGTCCAAGGTTTCGGTCGTCGAGAAATCAAGATGACTCCAGAAGAGCACACCGCCAATGTAGTATACCAAATCGGGGCTTTACAAGCATTCCTTGATCGGGAAGGAGTGGAAATGCACCACGTCAAGCCACATGGAATTTTATATGGCATGATGATCCGCGATATTGAGGTTGCAAGAGCTGTGTGGGCAGCCGTGCCGAAGGGGATGCGCGTCTTTGGTCTCCCGGGAACTAACATGGAGAAGGCTGCAAAGGAGGCGGGCCTGGAGTTCTGGGCTGAGTATTTCGGAGACGTCAAGTATCATGCTGATGGGACTTTGAGGATTGATCGGAAGAAGCAGCCGTGGAGGATTGAAGATGTCAAGGCACATGTCGATGGGCAATTGCGTCATAGTCAGGTTGTGGCGGTCACTGGAGAGACAGTAACGCTTGAAGTGGGTGACAGTCCTATTACTATTTGTTGTCATTCGGACTCGCCTGGTTGTGTTGAGATTGTGAAGGCTGCGAGGGAAGTGGCGGACCAATTCAACAGGGAGCGAGGGCTTTAAAACTGCTTTTGTACTGAGTTTGATGTGGCTTGGGAAGGGAATGCAGTCACGTAGTTTGATGTGTTATATGACGAAGCGAAAATGGGGTACAAGTTTTGCATGGACAGTACTTAGACATCCACTCGGTGAATCAAATTATGACATGCCTGACACACCCCATCCCCATCTCTCCGTTGCCTTCTTTTCCATCGAGGCTTGCGCTCAAGGATACGTGCAACAGCTCGCAAGTTTCGAGTCCGGTATCTCCTAACCTCGGGATGGTCTTGGAAGTACCTCAAGTACTCTCCATTGTAACGACAGACCTCGGTGCTGAATCCATCGTAGTAAAATTCGCTGAGAAACCTTGTGTTGCCAAATGATATGGTCCACAGCCGTGGTCCTGAATGTTCTGAAATTGAATAGTTCGGCTTGTGACGCTATAGACAAGTCAGAATTACCCTGTGTAGACTCATGATACGTACACTCATCAGGCCCATTGACGGAGTACACAACGGGATGCCAGGCTTTTCACTGGAGATTTTATGATGCCCACAACGCTTGTTACTAGCAAGTTGATTCTCTCTTTTGCCAGATATTGCTCCATGTAATGAATTTTGCCGCGTTTTGCTGTCTTCCTTGGGACGCGTCCTATTTGCAATAGGGTTTAGTATGGCTTGTAACCAATTGTGTGTATCACTTTTGTGATTGAGAGTAGTGGTGTTCATCTTAACAAAAACATGCTAGGATTGAAACCTTTGATAGGGAAAATTCGATACTATATACCACTTAAAGCGCGAAGAAACTCATGGTCACGCGTGTCGGCCCAGTTTTGAATTGGAATGCGAACAGCATATCCGCTTCATTAGTGAAACAAGGCAGCCGGGGATAAGCATTCGCGGTGCATATGTACCGGACAATGCCTGGCAACTCTTGGCTTTCCCTTTCCATTTTAATGCTCGCCCCTTGCCGCCTTTTAATCTCGACCTGGGCGTCCTGATACGCTCCCTGAATCTAGCCTGAGAGCCGGAGTGACACCACCTCAATAAAATGTAACATGCTAGCTCGCTCGGTTGCGACGGACTGGGCCCTGGAGGTGCTCTTCATGGCAGCTGCAGAAATTCACTTTCCAACTCCAATTTTAGGTATAATAATGCTGCGATCATTCAGCAACTCAGTGGACCAAGACAGCAAAACATGACAACTTCTTCAAATTTGGCATCGTTGTTCAATTAATGAGCAAGCCCTAAAGCGTATCGCACATAGCGTAGACCCCGAACCCTTAAACAATGAGTCTCCCCGCCATCTGACCCCACATTATCTCAAACTTCAGTTCTTCTGATTCCTAGCCCCTCAGGCAAATGGCATGGTCATTTCCACCAGAGATAACTGGCCATATTGTATCACTTCTTGCCAATCCGTTGACCCACATAAACAGCAAGCTCGAATTGGCTCAATATGCTTCAGTGAATCGCGACTGGCAGGCCAGTGTCGAAGAGCGAAGCTGGGCGACACTACGAGTCAAGACAGGAACTCCGTTGGATCTAGATCAATTTGAAAAATTGACAAACGATCCACGACGACAGTCATATATCAGGAACATCGAGTTGATCGTGGGGCTAGAACCTTATGATGAAGCTGCCCGAGCTCAATTCGAGACAGAATCTGAGCATGAGCGCAATGATCAGATTTTCTCCGAAGCAATCCGCTCATTCCTTCATATCATCGTGAAGTGGCAAGCCAATAAGCCGGGGACTTCACTGCCAGGGATCTCGCTTTCCATTCGAGCCCAGTCCCCTAGCGATCTGGTCGCTAGCTCAAATAGACTCAGGCGAAAAAAGGCCGCCCGTGCCGAGCGGATTAAAGATATTTTAAACCGCAGGTTTGAGAAAAACTATCTTCGGCTTGATGCATTTGAGACTCAGGTAGAGCCACTCGGGATTGTGCATACTCTCACAATAGAGGCGTTATCCGATAGACGGCAGATCGAGGCGGCTACTTGCGCTCGTCTTGCCTCTCAATTCCCTTGCCTACATACACTCAACTTGTCATTGAATGACACCTGCAAACGCGATAAGAGCCTAAGAAAACGCAACCGTGACGGTATGCTCCAACTACGGGCTTATATACTGTTTTTCTTTGCATACTAATGGACTTTTTAGAACTCGCTGCTCATATTCACCTTTTGCCGTCGAGCATAAAAACCTTCAACTTCACTTTTGACAATGAACCACCTCAGGATCACAACTTCTCCCCAGATAACATCACAGACCAAGGCATGGATGCTCTCAGCTCGCAACTACATGTATTCTCTCAACAATTAGAGAAACTCGGTCTTTACGGGATCACAATTGGAAATGGGCTTTTCTGGCAACCGGGATCAAGCGACAAGCGTCCATCATGGCCCAATCTGACAACCATCGATATTCAATACACACCCTCAACTCCGTCCGGGAAATGGCTCTTTGTTGATCGCTCTGACCGCGATGAGTATGATCACTATGGTTCTTCAGATTCCGATCCACATAATGAATTTCCGGAGTACGTGAGAACAGTACTCGAAGATCGCAGCGGCAAGCCTTTCAGAGAAGTCAGTGTACCGGGTCTCTTCAATGAATTGTATATGGCTGTGGGTCAGGCAGCGTTATGTATGCCAAAATTGGAATTCCTAAGCATGGAAACGGAGTCAGGAAGAGGCCATCATCGGTTCAGATATTCCTCGGAAGACGAGGCATACGCAAACTGGTCTGACCTTCTCGGATTCCAGCCTGAAGAAAGGGTTCTGAACTTGTGGAAGCAAGTGGCTTCCAGACATACCGGTGGAGATCTCACAGTCAATGTGTGCAATGATTAAGAAGGCAAGGACCTGGATACTCTAGCTCCTGACTTTCAGGAATCTACTCACTGAGCTTGAACCTGTGCGCCTTCACAAAAGTGGCGACCGCTAGAATAGGGAAAAACCACCTGGCTGGGAAAATCCGGTACGAATAGACATTTGTAAGTACTGAGGGATGTGATCTATCTCCCAAGGGAGAAAATAAAACTGTGCGGCACAACTCCTCGCGAAGACAAGATCATGAAAGGGCTCTTATGTGAATAAGAAATTGCACAAACAGGAGTGCATATCCAGGTACCTACTCGGTCACATTATACCATAATGAAGCAGACTGCCAAGTTTACTACTCCTTATACCGCGCGAAAAATTCCTTCGCCTTTTCCAAATCTCCTTGAATAACATTGATCCGCTGTTCGGAGCGAGGCACAAATCGCACGGGAAATTTATGAGGCGCAATAAGAACTCCATCAGTAAACGCCGTGCGTATACTCATGTCAACTGGCTCAGAGCTAACCGGCAAAATATCAAAAAGCCAAGCCATTTTGGCTATATTAAGAAGCTGGAAAATGTTAGCATACGTGAAAGAGCTGTATTTCTTTTGGCAGGGTACCTACCACTGAATTTTCGGCTAGCCGTTGACCAGGACAGACACGACGACCTGCTCCAAAATTGTATGTTATTCTGCGATGATCGTCTGAATCATCCTGGTCCTTGCAGCCAAATTTGTTGCCCATGAAGCGCTCCGGCATAAATTTTTCCGGCTCGTCATATTCGCTTTCATTCATATGAATGGCCCAAGCGTTTATGAAGACAATCGTTCCCTTGGGCAACACATAGCCCTCGTAGGTGTCGTCCTGGGTTAACATGTGAGGAACGGCAGCGGGTGCAACTGGACGCCATCGTAGAACCTTTGAAACCGCAAATCAGTTTAGCCCGTGTTAACACCAGTAGGTTGTCAGGACGAATGAGTGCTTACCTCGTTCATACATGCCCGTGTGTATTTCAACTGATCCAGGTCATCGAAGTTTGGCGATCTATCAGTGCCACACACACGGTCAAGTTCTGTTTGCAGGGTCTTCAAGGATTCTGGGTGTTGAGTCATAGCAAGAACGAAAGTAAGTAATGCGGCTGAAGTGGTATCCGATCCAGCTTCCATCTATTTGACCTGTTAGTAAGACAAGCAATAAAATTCTTGCAAAATCAGCAATATTTACCGAAGTGCCTCCCAGATAAGCAATTTGCGCATCATTGAGGCCATTTCTCTCTTGATCGTCGAGAAGCTTCTCAATGAAGCAAGGCTCTAAGTCATGCTTGCTGCGTCGTTCCTTTGTCTCCTTCACGAGGTTGAAATAAAGAGAGCTTTGTATCTGTCGAATCTCCTTTGCTTCTGTTTTCCAAGGACTGAGAAACTCAGGCAGTCTTCTCAAGAACGGGAAAGCATCCACAGGTGGCGTGGCACCAGGTTCCAAAATCCGACTAAAGCGATACTGTGAATTATATAGATTCTGCACTTTGGGTGACTGGAAGCTCTCGCCTCTCTGGCTGTAGACTGATGCTAGAATTACAGAGGTGGAATAGCGCCGAATGTGATCGTAGTAGCCCTCGGGGTCGTCGAGCAGGTGAGACATTGTTTGCGTAGCTTCGGCTAGTTGGATTGGATGCAATGCATCGATAGCGTTGATATTCAATAAGCCTTGCATGGCTTTTCTCATTAATCTCCATGTGGGACCGTACTGGGCTAGCAGCATATGGATATTATCGGGGCAGATGATCTGTTGGCCGGCATATTGTTCGGGGCGACCGGAGTATATTCCCCCGCGTTTGTCGAAGAGTCTGTCATCCATGGACGCTGTAAGGACTTGCGCAATTCTTTTCCCTCGTCCCATCTCAAATCCAGTGGAACTTACTCTTTAACGTGACGGTAGTCACTCAGAACCACGGCGTTCTGAGGGCCTATCTTGAACCCGACGATGCTGCCATATTTCTTGGACCATTCTGTCTGCCTATAGCTTGTTAGTACGGATATCAAATACGGTTAATAAAGCATACCTTAGATAAAACTTCTTTAGGGGCAGCTGGTGAAGATTGCCAATGATAGGAAGTCCTTTAGGACCAGGGGGGAAATTTCTTGGTCGGCGACTTTGAATCGCATACTGTATTAGGAAGATGGCAAAGGACAACGCAATAACCCCAAGGATAGAACCACTGTGACCAATCATGTAAAGCGGTATATCTACCAGAGCCATAGCTGGCGCCGCAACGTAAGGAAAATATTGTGCGAGTGAACTTTTGGTGGCAGTGGATCTCCATTGAAGGTCTTGATTTAGCAAGGCCTTAGCGTGAGCACTCGTGTCCTCGTGACGATGCCTCCGCCTATCTTCGTTTAATTTTGCACCAATACGTATCTCACTGCAGGGCCCACTGTTTCGGTCGAATAATGGTGTTCAAAGCTTCAGATGTCCTCAACGGATATGCAGCTAGAAGGTGGATAACCCGTTTCAACCTATCCCCGGCTTTGAAATGGGGTCAAATGTACCCTTAGCGACCGGGGGAAACAAGTCCTAGCGTCGTGGCTAGCAGACCATTCGCCGAGGGGCTAGATTGACGTATGGGCCGTAGCATGTATTTAGCGGGCTTCAGGTTGTACGGTCAACAATTAGCACATGGATTAGAAGGCGCCTGAAATGAGACAGATGATGAAGAAACTTTCGTTATCCTTAGCAACTGTTCATAGCTTTCAACCCTTATCACTTGTCTAGGTTTCCGCATCAAGTCATTGTCCAGGATTAGCGATTCAGTTGCGGAATTTGCGCCCTAAAGGTCCTCCACAGTTCAGACAAGCATTTCCGTCGGCTGTATCCTAAAATCTTTGCTCCACGCGATAATTGCCTATAGCGGTGATATGATGTTCTGATCAAGAGTCAAAAGCCGCATTGGTAATAGCGTCTTTTGAAAGCACGTGTCAAATGCACGCATTCACCATCTTCCTGTGAAAGAGCACCTTGGGCGTCACCATCAACCACAATTTATCAAACTGACTCGGTATACATTTTCGGTTCCAAGGCCGCGAAGGACAGTGTTATGATCGAGCACCACAAATATTATTTGACCCCATTCGGAGTCGACTTTAGCGTAGTGTGGCAATCATCGTCCAGGAATTGCTGCTGTGCATGTTTCCCGGATATTATATTCAAGTCGGCTGGTTAGGTCAACATGCAAGAAAATGGTTCGTTTCAGCCTGGATTCACTACACAGGCATTTCAATCTTAAGCGAGAGAAGGTATCGGCTTGGGTGCCATTTCTTGCTCACCTTCACATTCAAGAGTACCCTAGCGTTAACAAGTATTACCTGATATGTACTCGACAACCTGGGAACATTATTGCTCTGAATTGCGACCACTGCGCATTCCTTCATGCTGTCCGCGAGGGGCCCAAATAAGTCACCTCGAGCTGATTGCTTTTTGATCACTCGGTCCTTGGGAAGGCTTAGCATCTAGTTTTATTTTCTGGATCCGCTGTTCTTAATCTCGAACTGTTTCGGACTCCGGATCCAGGTCATAGATCTTGAAATGAGGAATGTTCGACAGGCTGATCGAGAAGGAGCCCTGATCCAACAGTAGTATAAGGACAGCAGACGTTGGCCATTCTTGGAGCATTCCGCTCTGCTTGTTCTCAAATCCAAGCTACGCTGCACCGAGACAATCTAGTTAATTTCACCTCGCTTACAATGTGAGGTCAAATGACTGGGTGGTAAGAATCGCATTTTGAACTGTGGAGCTTAAACTTTGTATCTTCTGAAACGTAACATAAATGAATATGATCACCTTGACTGGGTGTCAGACTCATGTAGCCTGTGGTCAATCAACAATCTATGCATGTGTATTTCAAGCCAAGAGACCAGAAAAACACACAAGCTCTTTAGAGAGGCCTTCGATACGAAGTACTTATGCAAACGTACTCTGCGTACATGCAGGCGCACCTATGCTTGCACGTATGTTACAATACCTCTGGGAAATGCGACGTGATAAGATTAACCTTGTAGCAGGCCCCTCACTAGCCTTTCTGGTGCCAATCTCGACTATTTCAAGGGACATTCCAAGATATATTCAATATGCTTTTTCTATAGTACATTTGTATTGAGGGTATGTAGTTTACAGGTGAGATCTATATAGTTACATGATGGGGATATCAGATACCTCTCAAGGGTGATCTTCAATGCGACGCCAGACTCCCACAAATCCGCCACCCATAGTGCGCAGTCCAACCTTTGGCCGACACACCATTACGGCGTTCGATTCATCAAATGCGGCGCTCGGGGCTGCAGGCTCCACACTGGCGATTGGTTCGGAGTCCGATGCCTCATCCTCAACAGGAACAGCTTCCTCGCCTTCAGTAGCTGATTCCCATGTTGAGGGATCAGATCCAGATTTTTTGACAGCGAGACGGACATCCCAGTTCCGGCCACTAGTCAGTCCAGATCCAAGCTCAACAACTCGGTCCAAAACAAAAGGCCGGTTCATCTTCTGGATCATCCGCACGCAATCGCCAATCTGCGTGATGCTAGGCGCAAAGACAATCAGCTTGCCATCGCGGTGAATAATATCCTTAACCAATGGGATACGCTCATGGGCAGATGGCATGTCCAAAATGGCATATGTCAGGAATGGCTTGACCGGCTCGGCCGGCTTGGTGCGTTGGGCGATTTGCGCTTTGATCCATTCTTCCACTGCGCCGACGTAGAAATCAACGGTGCCAGAGTAAATTCCGCGACGGAAACCTAGAACGTTCTTTTCGGCGAGTTTGGCGAATTTGGATGAAACATCCACCGTGTGAATGATGGCGCCACGCTCTGTCCGCCACGCATCCCATTCCTTTTTTGATGGATCGGTCTCTGTAGAGGTTTGCGGTTCCAGTTCTGGTGTACCTTTCTCCGTTGGGCTTCTATTTCGGCCCGCTACGTATTGTATTTGTGAACCGGCTGGACGAGGCGGCGGTGTCGTGTTTGCGGCGTGGAGGGCACGTGCCAGGTGCAATGTCAAGGATCCATGACCAGTTCCGGATTCGAGGATTTCGATCGGGGGTTGATTATCGTTTGTGGCGGTCGGATTCGTATGGATATCGAGGAGGGAGACGATCAGGTTGGCATCATGGGCGTAGATCTGCGATTATTAGCTACTGCCTATCTGCATTGAATTCTGGCTCCCCCTAGGGATGTGCATACCGGTGTCACCAAGCGAGGAGTCAAAGTGACATATTCCTCAAGAGTTGGAAGGCTCAGTCGAACGTCTGGACCTGCTGGGTGTTAATTGCATTATTTAAGATAATTCGCGATGCCTCTTACCCTTGTGTGCCTGGACTGCGTCCCATACTCGACTGCCAATAGCACGATCGTGTTCCAGATGTCCCCGCCGAAGACTGGTCTTGCCTCCTTTCTTCAATGGCTTTGTCAATGTGGGCTGTTTGGTGTGTAATAAGACCTGGTCACCCTCTGCGCGTTGTTAGCGGAGGTCCGCTTCTCTAAAGGGGAAATCCCGTACCTTTAATAATCGAAAAGTCCGTATCGATTGATCGAACTCGAGTCGCACTAGGACTCGGCGGAGGTATAGAAACTACCGGGCTGGGATTTCCCAGCAATCGCTGTACCGACCGCAGTAGACGAGCCATGTTGGAGCTAAAAATGCCATGAATCTCCAAATCCACTTTTCTTTGGCCCTTGGTGCCCCACTTGTCCCCGGGCTGGTTCACCCCTCGTTCACCGGGGAACTTTTGGTCTTTTCTCTTCGACTTACCAATTGCTGTACCTGTTTATCCACGATAGAAAAAAGACCGAAGATCATAGTGATCTCCTATATCTTTACCATTTCCAAACTTCCAGTCTATCACAATGGGCTCCGTCGCGCTTCCTTACATGGAGACCAAGCCTAAGGCCATCTTCTTCACCGATTTCGATGGCACAATCACCGTTGACGACAGTGAGTTACTGGGGATATCCCATGTTTCAAGGCTTTTACTAATGGACCTATAGGCAATGATTTCATGGTTCGTCAAGCGCACTCCTCTCTCAACCTCCAAGACTAAATATGGTAGATCGACAACCTGGGCTTCGGCGCCGACCGCAGACGTGTGTTGAACAAGCAGGTCCTCGAGGAGACTCTGAGTTTCCGGTGAGATCTATTGGCATCGACTGAGCGAACACATTCTGACTGAACTGGTTCAGTGACGCCTTCCGTGAGATGCTCGCAAGCATCAAGACCCCCTACGACGAGTGCATCGACATTTTGCTGAAGAACATGAAGCTGGACCCATACTTCGAGGAGTTCTACTATTGGGCTCAGGAGAACAATGTCCCCATTGTCATTCTGTCCTCTGGTATGCGCCCGATCATTGCTGCCCTGCTCGAGAAGTTCCTGGGCCACAAGCCCCGTAGCCATCTTACCATCATCTCCAACGAGGTGACTGGCCGTGATGGCAAGGATATCAACAGTGAGGGTGGCTGGGAGATCGTTTACCACGACGAGAGGTAGGGCCTGTGATCCTTGGTTTTGATATATCAGTATACTTACGTTTGCGCTTGTTTAGTCACTTTGGCCATGACAAGTCCCTTGAGATCAAGCCTTACGCCGCCTTGCCCGATGGAGAGCGCCCGGTTCTTCTATACGCTGGCGACGGTGTATCCGATCTGTCGGCTGCTGCAGAGACCAACCTCTTGTTCGCGAAGGAGGGTAAAGGTAGCCCAGCCACCCATGTCCCAGTCTGTTTCGAACGAGTCACTAACTTGGACCTAGATCTGGTTACTTTCTGTCAGCGCCGCGGAATGCCATACACCACCTTCCAGAATTGGTCCACAATCTTAGCGACCACGAAAGATATCCTGGCCGGCAAGGTGTCGCCCAGCGATGTGGCAAAGCAGAGCACTGCGTAAAGATTGAATATAGAATGGTCTAGATTGTTGGTTATTTCAGGCAGGTCCTATACGACCACCGAATTGTTATTTAGAACCCACAGCAACGATAGAAATGAAAGAACATGATCAAAGCGGAGAATAAACTACTAGTGGAATCGTCAGGAGTAAGTGACCGCCTTGCGGGTCCAAGCGTCGAGTCGCTTTCCCCCCAAAAACAATCGGGAAACTCACTTGATTTCCTCCCATCTTTTAATTTCTATGACTTGGCTTGAATGAGTTGACTCCAATCTGTTGGTCTTCTCTTGGCCTAATTCACATCTTTCCTGACCATTCTGGGGGGCATCATGCGACACTGCGCATCCCGACTCTTTTCCAAATCCTTGCCAGGGTGATATCAGCATCATGGCTCGCCGGATCGTATGAACATCTGTCTGAACCCCCTTAAGATCCATAAAAGCTGACTTGATTCATTACACAGGTGCGAGCGGGCTTACAGCTCGGTGTACTCACTGCATTTATCCTCCTTGTCGTTCTGTTTCTCGACAGTCAATTCAGCGTCCTTCCTACCTCCATCCATGGCCACCTTCCGATGCACTACCCCGGCTTCGTGATCACCGATGTAACAGTCACCACATGCTCCGCGCTCAATCCCTTCTCAAGTTGCAACCTTGATCCGGACGCCTGGCACCGTATCGACAAAGACCTGTACTTGCGCTCGGGCTGGACCTCGAAGGCCTATGTCCAATTCCAACGAAAGAAAGAGGAGGACCTGGGTCCAGATGACAAGGTTGTCATTGATTTGAAGATTGGTCGCGTTACACCCCCCGCCGAAGACACAGGGAAAGGCGAAGCGGAAGTTTGGGAAGCCCGTCCTGGTGGGATCTGGCTGAAACGAACAGCCTCCCGTCATGCCAGTGACTCCGGTCAGGCCGTTACCTATGTCGATGTCCTTTTCGGTGCCGACGCCGTGGATCCTCGTCCTAACTGGGAAATAAAGGACATGCCTTTGTTGCTGGATGGTTGGACTGAGAAGCTGGAGACTCGGCTGAGCATTCGACGTGGCAACCCGACCAAAAAGTCAAAGCCTGTCCCCAGAATCAATGAAAATGGGAAATTCAAGGTCATGCAGCTGGCGGATGTTCACCTGAGTACGGGAACGGGACACTGTCGAGACCCTATTCCGGCCGAGTCTGTGCCTGGACAAAAATGCGAGGCCGACCCACGAACCTTGGAGTTCATTGAGCGACTTCTAGATGAAGAGAAGCCGGACATGGTCATTCTCTCAGGTGATCAGGTCAATGGTGAGACCGCCCCTGATGCCCAAAGTGCTGTCTTCAAGTCTGTGAAACTTCTTGTCGACCGCAAAATTCCCTACGCAGCCATTTTTGGCAACCATGACGACGAAGGCGATCTCAACCGCGAACAGCTCATGGCTCTCTACGAAAATCTCCCATACTCTCTTTCAACCGCCGGCCCCGAAGACATTGATGGGGTCGGCAACTATATTGTCGAAGTCCTCGACCGCGGCACGGGCACACACTCTGCCCTTACATTCTACCTTCTCGACACTCATTCCTACTCCCCCGATGAACGCCAGTTCCGGGGCTACGATTGGATCAAGCCTAGTCAAATTCGCTGGTTCAAAAACACCGCTCAAAGCCTGAGGAGAAAACATAAGGAGTATACTCATATACATATGAACATGGCATTCGTTCACATCCCATTGCCCGAGTACAGGAGTTCCGGCAAGTATTTCCAAGGTTCCTGGGACGAAGCTCCAACAGCGCCAGGATTCAATTCCGGATTCAAGTCTGCCCTTGAAGAAGAGGGCGTTCTGTTCGTCAGCTGTGGACAGTAAGTACTCCGAGAAACTTCCTTTGGGCAATAACTAATCTATATCTAGCGACCATGTCAATGACTACTGTATGCTCGATCAAGACGAGAGCAACCAACCCTCTCTGTGGATGTGCTATGGAGGTGGTGCCGGTCTGGGAGGTTACGGTGGCTACAACGACTACGTCCGCCGTGTCCGTTTCTTCGACTTCGACATGGGTCCCGGTCGTGTAACGACCTACAAACGCCTCGAATGGGGTCAAACCGAGGCCAGAATCGATGAGATGATGATTGTCGACGGTGGTGCCGTTAAAGGCCCGAACGAAGCATCTTAACGAGGCTCTGATCTTCTGTTTACACATTACACTTTTTCTCCTACTCTTCTTGAATGCAAGAGCGAACTCCCTCTGCTCTTGTCACTTATTTGGGTCGTCTTTATTTTTCTTCTATCATTGTACATATAGCGTGTCCCTTTGCCTGCAAAAGGTTGGCGTCCATAGGGTGCCTACCTCTTATCGAATATCCCATCATCTCTTTTCTTTACTCAAAACTTATTACATGGTAACATTATGTGACCTTTTACATGCAGACATAACTATGTACTTACTTGGGCGGTCCGATTGGCTTACTGGGCAGTCGAATGAGTAGTAAAACGCACTACGCTACCCGTGCTGCCCTTCTCTTTCCAGGATATATGGGCCCAGTGTCTTGCACAGCATTCAATCTTACTAAATTGCCTTTGGAGCTAGTTCGTCAATTACCCTATCTTATGATCTCTCCGTACCAAAAGAGGATGTATATTGTTATATGTTTGCTTTTTTACGGATCAGAATTGCTTCCATGTGATGATATGTGTGATTCTTCTGCCTGTATCTCACATCTCATCTCCTTTCCACCATTCACCACCGTTTTCACCACCATTTCTCAAAAAACACTCTTTGAGTCCCATCCTCCTCCAAAATATTTTGGAGCTTCTTAACAAGTTCATCTGTCATGACTGGGGGCCCACAAACATAAGCCACGGTTTCTTTTGGAACCAGCTTATCACTCCCACTCACGAGCGCTGAATGCAAATCCTGATCGTTTATCCGTCTCAAGTGAATTGTCAAATCAGCAGGAGACTTGAATGAAATTTGGCTCGCTGACGCGGAAGTCAGAAATAGGTCCAGACTAATATTGAGTCGAGAAACTGGGCCGTGAGAAGAGATGATATGTCGCACTCGCGGAAGAAACAAAATCTGCTCAAGGATAGACTCGGATGTCTCCGTTTCTTGTCCTTGAGGAAGTCGACTGGAGTATAAAATATGGACATTGAGTTGGTTCGTAGGCTTGCTTTGGTTTATATGAGATAATATTGAGATCAAGGGACTGTTGTATATCCGTCAGTACCATTATTTCGCCTCGCCTAGACAAGACTTACTTGATCCCCACACCGCCAGCAATTAGAACCACATTTTTGACCTCATGGACATTTATCCCAGTCGGTGGCCAGACAAAGCTCCCTCCTACCCGAATGTTCACCTCTTTACCGATGATCTCATACTTGGGCCTCCATAGCCACGCAGCCGCTGGGTTGGACGGCGAGTCCTGGACCGCGAGCTCCACATATGGGGCCCTGCCTTGCGAGGCTAGTGATGCAGCTACATTTTCTCTGGCAAATGAGGCATCTGAATCATCTAGTGATGGCAATACCTGGGCATCTGCCGGGGTAGAAGTGATAGTGAACCCGCCGGCGTTGGATATAGATGGGATGTGCACATCTAGCCATTGGCCCGGCAGGAAAGAGAAGGGTTGTTGTTGATCGCCCTATATAAAATTGTAAGTTGTGCAATTCATGTGTTTTGATAAATGTAGTCGGTGGTTCGACAGTGTCAGAGATAATAATAGCCATATCGGGGAATAAGTCACATCGGAAATCCAATCATTGTTCTAATATTTCAGGTTCGGGCAGTACATTATCAAATCGGTGCTTACATTCTCTGGGCCCGGAATAGTAAATTGCAGCAACCGAATGGATCGGTTCACTTGCTCCACATGGGCGAGTTGCACCGGGTACAATCTGTTTTGCCGGGGTTCGGCTGCTGTGCGCAGCTCATGAGGGATAGAGTCTTCACGCTGGGAACTCATCGGGCGGGTTCTCGGGTATAGTGTTGGCCGGAGGTGAAGCGCGGGGAGGTGGATTGGTTGGCGCAACGGTCGGATACCCCTCATTAGATTGTGATTGGATGCACGAAGTGTGATTGATTTCGGGCACCTTGGTTCATGTGCACTATACTAGTGTGTGAAAGAAGTGCTAGTCTAGCGACAAGGATCAGTGGTGTTCCAAGGATGTCTTGTGGGAAGTCAAGTCACGGAGTCTTAGATAATGGTGATTCAGCTTATTCTACAGTTGTATCCCGAATCTTTCTTTAATTATTAGACTTCACACAGAACCTCAACTGCTTGTCAAATTAACCATGGGAATTGTACATGGAATTAGACCAAACGAGATGAATTATTATATGGCATTGTATATGCTCTGGATTATGTTTTGCCGGAAACGTTTCAGATGAGTCGTCCAGCGGCTACAATCACGATCTGACTCTCCGCATGTGTACATACTACTTTGCAATGTATGTACATCTTCCAAGCTCCGGAAAAATGAATAGTAACAAGGGCCAGACTAGTGATCATGGGTAACAGAATGCTTACACCTCCACTTTAGTTGAATTCTCCAACCGAGCTGATCTTCGGGACCAGACTCATGGTGGACGAGTTGCCTGCATGGACCATCACAAGGAGAACAAGCAAAATGATTCTACGATAGCAACCTGCCCCACCACAGCGTTTCGCCGTTCCTTCAGCAAGCCCAATGGCCGTGTGCTGTGATGCGGAGAGACTCGTGCAGATCCACTAACCCATCACACCGACTAGTGTGTGACGACCGGCAGCCTATCCCCGGTCTGTGGCCTCTCATTGGTGCGACACTTCTCACGACCTGCTTCTGCTGGCGCTTTGCCGCCGTCAAGCATTGGCCAGATGCAAGTCCTGGAAACACTCCCAGGATGCTCTGCCCAGCGCCTCCGCTGATTCGTCCCCCTCTCTGCATGCGAGCGATGGGCGACTCAAAGTGTCGACCAGCCCGGGGGGTCTCCAGCTCATATCTAACGCCCATCATCCGGATCGCCCAGAGTTTTGTGTGTTTCTGATTTTCTGATCTCCTGTAAAGCACTGTCTTTTTCTCCCTGTCTTGGCCTTGGCCTTTTACTTGCGAAAGACTGGATCTCACTTGCCAGCCGGTCTGGCCGAGTCGCATTGTCTTCCCATTAATCTTCCTGTCCCGCTCTCACCGAACTGTTTCGTCTTCGAATAAGGCGCTTAACACTTTCTGGTCGGTCTTCGAGTGATTCACTCACAACAACTCGTCGCCATGCACAAGCAACAGTTCCAGTTCAAGATCGAGGCGATCAAGGACTTCGAGTTCTTTCGAGGATGGTACTTCCCCAAGCAATGGCGAGACCGCAAGCTCCTCTTCTGGCTCTTCGCAATGGAGGCTCCCATCACCATCACCATCCTCACCCTGACCGGTGTTGCTTCTCACAACACATACCGCACGTTGTTATGGGAAGATGGCTACAAGAACGGCTTCAACAGTGCGCCTAATCAAAGTCTTTATGCCGCTGCCAACTATGAACCCTATACGGCTCCCCTCGTGTGGTCAAGTTTGTATGTCTCCTTACCACAAGCATTTATTCGAATCCTACTGACTGAGCCTCAGCTTGACGAACTTCAACTTGGTCATCGGTGTCCTGAGCGTCTTCCTTCTGATCGTGAAGATCCCCGTCCACTTCATGCACTTGTTTTTCCCTCCTTTTGCCACATTTGTCCACGCAGGCTGTATCGTCGTATATGCCTTTGCAGCTCGGTACCAGGCCGGTCCGGATATGTCAGACCCCAGCCAGCCCCAACCCGGAGCACCATGGTACATCACCAAGAGCTGCAGTGTCGCCTACTCGAAAACGGATATCGGATTTTGCAACCAGGCCAAGGCTCTCTTCGCCCTGTGTATTCTCATCATGTGAGAACTATCTCTCCCCATTGACCACACCAAGTACGAAAACTAACCCTATCCTCCAGCCTGATCTACTTCGTCGAACTCTGCTTTTCCGTCCGCTCCTGCTTCATCACCCGGGAAGAGCGCGACCAGATTATCGAGACCCGCGAGGACAAGCGCGTTGAGAAGGAGTTCGAAGAGGAGATCATGAAGTCTCCTTATTACCCAACAACCCCCGGTCTGGTCCCTCGTACCCCCGGCTTCCCACCCCAAGTTGCGCAACCGCCCGGCTTTGGTGGACAGGGAGGCGTGTACCCCTTCACACCTCGGCACTTGGCATTTAACCGACTCGGAAGTGAGGCTTCGGATCTACCGCTGCGTGAGAATGGCTCTTCTAGCGCTCCTTCTCCGCACACAACGCACCAACCTTCTCCGGATGGGTCGCAGTCGCAGATGTACTTCCCGCCTCCACCGAAGAAGGCTTCGAAGTAAGGCGTTTACGTGTGAGGAATTGAAACGTTTTTGCTTTTGAGATCATTTAAGATACCAGATACCGTCCTTTTTAGCTTTTGCTTGTTTATACATCCTACTCTCCTTTATTTACTCGGTTCCTTGTGGACTTGGGAGAAGCACCAAAATACACCCAAGTACATATCATATACGGCGTTTTGGATATGGTTTCTTTCCAGCACTTATGACTGGCAAATGTTACATAATTATTTCATAAATCAAGGTGATCAACAGAGATGAAAGGGTAAACAGTAATTTCAGATACCCAATCGATGGTATGCGCAGTAAAGTCAAGAACCAGAGAAACAAATCCAATATATACACGCGGAAGACGGAAACACCAGAACATATTTGGTCATTACTTCGTCAATCATTTTGCGCCGAGCATAGAAGGTATTTAATGAATACCATGCCACAAGTCCCAAATTGAAGTAATCACCACACTTTAACTCCGCATGGCAATGGATATCGTAACGCAAGCGAAGTCAATAAGGAAATGGAGGACAATAGGTTCAAGCAGAGGCCAACCCATGACGCGCTATGATGGAGTGGATTAATTATACTCCTGGCGCTTTTTCTCCTTCTTGGACCAGCGCACTAAACAGGGGGGTTAGCTTCAAAAGCAAGAAGACAAGACGGGAAACTTACAGCCACAGGCATTGCATAAAGTCTTGGGCCCACTGGGCCCTTTCCGCCATTCAGGCGAGTCAGCGGTTCCACAATCAGTGCAGACATGCTGCCCCTTAAGTCGCTTGCGTCTGTCCCCCTCTTGCACATTTCGGGCTTGATCTGCGGCCGTGGTGATATCGATATCACAGTGGACTAGTCGACCACGTCGCATACCAGTACTAAGACCCTGTGACCGCTCGCCGTCACCATAGAATAGACCTGTCATGACTTCAATGCCATCGATATGCGACAGACCCTCTGGCTTCGGTGCTTTCTCAAAGAACTCTGCCCCGTCGCTGGGGTCAGAATCTTCGGACTGCGCAGCAGCGGTCTCACTCGATTCCTGGTCGCTCAGGATGATCTGTCCGGTGGCGTTATCTATTAGTGGCTGGTCACCATCCGCCTTGCCGTATGCGACGCGGGCCATGTTTGCTTCCTCCTCTTCTTCTTGGTTAAGCTTGGCAATCTGTTGCACTAGTCGTGCGTTCTCAATCTTATGTTCGAGGAACGAATCGAGGAGCTGAGAGATCTTCGAGGGATAAGGCCGACACATGAGGAAAAATCCAGTACATAGATCCTGTGGAGTCTTATTCCGTTCCTGCAACGCATTCGCATTCGCAATATGCGGGTGCCCGTAGATTTCGACAAGGCAGAAGGCGCTGTTGAGTTTCTGGAATCGAACATGGGTACGAAAGGGACGGTTCGTAGCGACTGCGTCATCCATGTCACGGTTGAAGACAGGCTGGTCTTCATCGTGAATATATTGTGTGATCGGACTCCCTTCAAGTTGTTTGGGGGATCGGCCTGTGATCTGCTTCGCCGACGGCGACGCATAGGTGATGCGACCTTGGGCGTTGAGAAGCAAAAGCATGTCTTTCATTTCCTCCAGCACCCGCTGTATCCATCCTGGGTCCTGTTGCGCTTGCGCCGTTTGTAGCCCATAACTTCCATAGGGTCCATCGCCTGGATACCCTTGACTCGTTTCGTTGGAAATGGACTGCCGCTGCGACGCGGGTGGCTGCAGGCTGTCGAGCTGGGGTTGCTGGCTTAAGGCCATATCGAGGAGACCAGGGACCAAATCGAGGGAGAAAGTGGGGATGAAACCGGGCGGGAGAATAGAAATCGAAGTAAGTAGATTGGCGAGGGTAATAGGTATCCGAGCTCAGCGGTCCAGACGGTCGATTCCCCGCAAAGTAAGTTTCCAGTAAACCCAAATAAAGTATAGGGGATGATGTTCAACACTTGAAGGCCCAGACACGACAATGTTCAGTTCTGTCGCTAGGGGTATTTCAAGCTTCTGCATATAACACACAGAAAGTCCCCAGGAAGCAGGGAATTAACATCCGGCCGCTCAGAGTGATAGATGCTCGCTGATCCCTGTGGGGCGGATTATCTAACACGCCATTGGAGTCAGGTGACTTCGTGTCGCTCGGCGCGAGCAAAGTGGAGAAAGTTGATGCATCACAAAGCCCGTTGCGATCTGATCACCTTTCCAAACTTTCGGGAATTTAGGCTCTGAATGGTATCTGAATCCATTCTGCGCCATCAAGGAGTCTGCCGAAGCATCTCCACTCGCGTCGGCGCCTCAGAATGTGAGCCAACTTGTTCCCCACTATTTCATAACTATGTTAACGGTCCGAACAGGTGTAAGAACGCATCAAGGACTGCAGCAACTTATGCACAAATATCTGACGATTGAACTTCTTTTGGACAGCGAAGATCGACAAACTATCCATTTTGGGGTATGTTCTCCCATGAATTATACATACTGCGAATCGTTAACCTAGCACTGATGCTTACTGTTTCTCTTGATCCCAGAGTTCGCTCCTTCGATAATACGCGCAGCGAGACCATCCAATTTCACACACCTCTGACATTAATCGTCGGATATAATGGATCGGGCAAAACGGTACGATCGTCGACACTAAATATTGTCAGTCGGTGAGCGCGGACTAACGACCTTAGACTATCATCGAATGTCTCAAATATGCCACCACCGGCGATCTCCCTCCCAACAGCAAAGGCGGTGCTTTCATACACGATCCGAAATTATGCGGCGAGAAGGAGGTGCTTGCGCAGGTAAAGCTTTCTTTCAAAGGAACATCTGGTGCCAAGATGGTGGCTACGCGCAGTCTACAACTCACGGTCAAGAAGACGACAAGGCAGCAGAAGACACTGGAAGGACATCTTATGATGATGAAAAATGGCGAGCGAACGGCGATCTCGTCACGAGTGGCCGAGCTGGATCAGATCATGCCTCAATATCTCGGTGTTTCCAAAGCTGTCTTGGACTCGGTCATCTTTTGCCACCAAGATGAGAGTCTTTGGCCAATGAGCGAGCCCTCCGTTCTTAAAAAGCGATTCGACGAGATTTTTGAAGCCATGAAGTACACCAAAGCGATTGATAACATTAAGGCTCTTCGCAAAAAGCAGAATGAAGAGTTGGCGAAATACAAGATCATGGAGCAACATTCAAAAGAAGACAAGGATAAAGCAGATCGTGCAGAGAAGCGCTCAGTTAAGCTTCAGGATGAGATCGAAGAGTTGCGTGACGAGACTCAAAAGATGTCGAAGGAGATGCGCCGTGTCGCCGAGCTTGCTGACAAGGCATGGAAAGAATCCGAAGGATATGCGCAGGTGCTCGGTGCGTTGGAAGGCAAAAGAATCGAAGCAAAAAGTATTCAGACTACTATCGACAACCTCAAACGGCATTTGGTCGAGCTCGAGGACTCGGATGAGTGGCTTGAGTCGAATCTCGAACAATTCGAGACCAAGCAAATCGAATACCAGCAGCAGGAAGAAGCGCAAAAGGAGAATTACATGGAGCTTAAGGCTCGTATCGAGCAGACTCGGCAACGGCTGGGCCTGAAACAAGCCGAAAATGGAAAACACGAGAACGACAAGGCCAATTTCGAGCGACAGGTTCAAAGACGTCAGACTATGATCACTGAGGTTGCCCGTGGTAACAACATCTACAGCGTCGATGAAATTATGGACCAGGAAAACATCGACGCTTTCATGCAAAAGGTCAAGGGCTTTTTGCGAGAAAGAAACCAGGCTCTAGATCGGGTGAAACGTGAAGCCCAGAAAGAGCTCCGCGAGGTTCAGGACACTCTGAATGAAATCGGACAGCGCAAATCCGCTCTACAAGAGGCCAAGAACTCTTCCAAAAAGCAGATTTCGAACAATGACAGAGAGTCAGCTAGCTATCAAGGAAAGCTCAATGGAATTGATGTTGATGAAGGTGTGCAAGCAGCACTGGAGGCTAAGATTGAAGATATTAGCTCGGACCTCAAACGCGCCAAAGAACGCACTAAGGTTGCTTCATGGGACCAAGAGATCCAGGATGTTAATGCGCAGATCCAACATCTTGAGGATGGAAACTCGAACCTGAACGACGAGTTGATTGAGTCCACAAAGAAGGCTGGGGATTTGGCTCGATTGGATCATCTCAAGAAGGAAGCAAAGGAAAAAGAGCGGAGCCTTCAGACGATGAAGGGAGCTCATGGAGGACGACTTGTGAAGGTTGTCGGTGCGGGTTGGCAGCCCCATACCTTGGAGCGGGAATTTCAGTCCGCCGTAGACACCGAGTCCAAACAGGTGTCCGATGCAGAGCGCGATCGTGATGGTGTTAGCCGAGAGCTGGAGCAGGTCGAGTTCAGGCTGAAAAATGCAACCAAGGCCTTAAAACAGCGTCGAAAGGAACTTGACGAGTGCGTGAAGGAGATTTATGAGGCGGTTGGCGCAGAGCCCTCCGAGTACCCTACGATAGTCAAAGAACGGCAGGAACAGACAGAGCTTGCTCGCAAAGACGCCGACCAATACGCCGGTTTGGGTGCATACCTCAACCTGTGTGTTGATGCAGCGAAGCGAGCCAAGAGTTGTCGCACATGCCAGCGACCTTTCAAGAATGACGCCGAGCTCCAAATATTCAATAAAAGGCTCCAAGCATTGTTGGAAAAGGCCGCCAAAGATGCTGAAGATGGAGAGTTGAAGGAGATGGAACAAGATCTTGAGACTGCCCGCGAAGCTAGTGCAGCCTACGATACGTGGGTCCGTCTCTCAGAAACGGACATTCCAGAATTGGAGAAAGAAGAGGAGGAATGCGATTTTCAACGCGATCAGCTTCTAGAGAAGCTTGAGGCCCATGACCGAACTGTGAGCGACAAGCAGGAAAGCAAGAGAGATGTTGAATCTCTTACCAAAACAGTCAATACTATTGCGAGATACGATGCCGATATCAAGACTATCGCTACGCAAATTCAAGAACTCTCTGCGAACCAAGAGGATGTGTCTGCAAACCGCACCCTGCAAGATATCCAAGATGAGATCTCGGCGAACAATGAGAAGGCACGCGAACTGAAAAAGACTCTCGCCAAGCTCACAAATGAAAGGGACCAGACCCGAAGCGAGATCAACAAGCTAGAGTTACAGCTGAGAGATGTCCAGGGTAATCTTGACAGCACCAAATTCCAGCTGGAGAAGAAGGCCGACTTACTTGCCCGCTTGGAAGAGTACAAGAAACTCAATTTGCAACAGCGGGAGACAATCGAGAAAGCAGACCGAGACATCGAAGCGCTGACCCCCGAACTACTCCAAGCTCAAGCTCGCTACGACGACATCAGTCAACGAGCTGAAGGGCGAGAGCGAGACCTACAGCATGACATCACCCGTCTTTCGGAGAGTATCAACCAGCTTGACTTGGCGAACGAGGAGATCAACTCATACAATGAACGTGGAGGTCCTGATCAACTTGAGCGGAGCAAGCGAGAGCTGTCCGAAATTGAGGATGAGATCAGCCAGCTCGAGTCCGAGCAAGGTGAAATTACCCGAGAAATCAACAAGATCTCAGCACAGCTCAAGGACAGCGAGAATACCAAGCGGCAGTACTCTGACAATTTGACATATCGCCAAGCCACGCGATCTCTGGATAACGTGCTGGAAGAGGTCGAGCAATTGGAATCCCAAAATGCCGACGTTGATCGTAGCCGCTTCAAGCAGGAGTCAGAAAGATGGACACGGGAGCACAATGCTTTAGCTGCCAAACAAGCTAGCAAGATGGGAGAAATGAAATCCAAAGATGACCAGTTGATGCAACTCCTCAAAGACTGGGATACGGACTACAAGGATGCTGCATCCAAGTACAAGGAATCTCATATCAAGGTGGAGACTACCAAAGCTGCGGTTGAAGATCTTGCCCGCTACGGTGGTGCTCTCGACAAAGCCATCATGCGATACCACGGTCTGAAGATGGAAGAAATCAACGCCATTGTCGGCGAGCTCTGGCAGAAGACTTACCGCGGAACGGATGTCGATACAATCCTCATCCGATCGGACAATGAAAATGCCAAGGGTAACCGCTCATACAATTACCGTGTCTGCATGGTTAAACAGGGTGCAGAGATGGACATGCGAGGCCGCTGCAGTGCTGGACAAAAAGTGTTGGCTAGTATCATCATTCGTCTTGCGCTGGCAGAATGCTTCGGTGTCAACTGTGGATTGATCGCTCTTGATGAGCCAACTACCAATCTGGACCGTGATAATATTCGTTCCCTGGCTGAATCGCTACACGATATCATCAAGGCTCGACAGCAGCAGGCTAATTTCCAGCTGATTGTCATTACCCACGACGAGGAGTTCCTGCGGCACATGCAGTGCGGAGACTTCAGCGATTATTACTATCGTGTCTCGCGCAATGAGCGACAGAAGTCGATTATTGAAAGGCAGTCTATTGCTGAGGTATGTTCACTATGGAATCCATGGAAATCAAGGTTATATGCTAATTATATCCAGGTCCTGTGATTCCCTCTCCCGTTTTGTATCATATTTCTTTTTGCCATTCCATTGCATATCCATTGCTTTCCATGTCAGGGTCGCTATTCCTTGCTAGGCGCAGCATGAACGTTTCCAAGTTTCACAGCATTTACATGAGAGCATACCAATATCTAGGCGTCGAGGGATCGCTGTTTGAATACAATTAATTTGTACATTTCAATGTGTATGGAAGGACAACGTAGATGCTCCCCATTACTCGTCCTCTCGAACATCCATTTCAGCATCCTCCTCGTCCAACAAGGGCACAAATCGGAAGTCAACAAAACAAACCGGTCCAACTCCTTTAATACCAGCCCCAATAGAACGCCCAGCCGGGGGTTGACCCTCATCCAGCTCAATCATGAACTGCAGACTCAACACGCCCTGCTGGTCCCCCCTTATACTAACCTTATTGGCAACGGACATGGCCCTTGCCGCCTTGCGGACTAGCGCAAACCGGTAACTCTGCTTGATGCGCTCACCCATCGACGCAGGTGGCGAAACCATGAATGTCTCAGTAGCAGTCGGACCAAGTTTTGACTTCGCTGCGCGTGCTCGGGAAGTTTCATCATCTGCTAGCACTTTGTGTATACCCTGCGATGCCTGCGTTGTCTGTCCTGGGGCCGTCCCGTGCATCTCATTGTGTTGGCCCATGGAGAACTCGACAGTGGACTCACTAAATGGCCCGCCGGCCCCAGAGAGCGCGAAAAACGGTTTCTGCTTGGAGGACGCAGACAGTTTGAGGATGGTAGGTGCCGAAGAGTCGAGTTCTGCGATAGAATTGTACAGCCAGGCAGATCGCATGATAATTTTCATAATGATCGCATCACGTTGGAGGGGGATGTCAGATTCATCGGCGTCTGGTTCGTAAGTTACCAGTTCGCATGTTGTTTGAACGCCCGCCTCAGCGATGGCGATGCTAAATGGCGCCCCGTGGGATAAATATTGGAAGGTACAGGAGCGATCCATCAACAGCGCTGGCGCGGCGAATGCACTTGAGGCGGGATTGGTATGTGGGAGACTGGTGTCACGGGCGTTTGGTTCTTGAACCTCGTTTATACCGAAGATCTTGAGTGTTTCGAGGAGGGCGGAGAGAGAAACGACGAAGTGTGGGTATGTGACCTCGTCGGAATCTTGCGTGTCGGAAATTTCTGCTTGGTTGGGATCTTCTGGGGCCGCATTGAATGTGTAGCTGGTGAAGAGAGACTTGTCGAGGAAAGCGAGGCCTTGTATAACGCGGCCTTCTTCGACGGAGAAGCGGAGGCCTTCGGGTGTAATCTGGACGGTAGCTTTCGAGGCAAAGCCGATGCAGGAGAGGAGAGTGTAGAGGTGATTGGCGTTGTTGGAAACACCGGTGAATAGAGGCTCCATTGTAAGATTTTGCTAGTCCAGGTGGTGGTTTGGGGGAGGTGGAAGCAGGGACTAATGGTTTCGCAAATGTGTGATAGTTTGGGAGCTTCTAGCAGTACAGGCCCCGAGCAATAATTCCCCGCTTAGTGTACATGGAGGGAATAATGGGTATCGATTTAAACATAAACTCCGACGGCGCAGATCATAAGCACAGCTCCGAATCTACCCATAAACATGTGGTCAGTGGAGTGCCATTGAACCTAGTTGTAGCAGATAAGCGGCGGTACTTACCCGGTTGCTAGAGCGGCTGGAACGCCCAGGGTGAAGAGACTCAGGAACGAACGTTCTATAAGGGTTGTGAGCACAATTGATAGCATATATTTCTTGCACAGACTTACTCAGTCCAAACAGACCACTAGCAATCACGGCTAGAGTAAACAAAGTCAGTCGGAGTATGGGCACTGTCGCAGGAGCTATGCATACCAACGCAGAGCAAGTTGAAGCCAATGGCGAACTGGCTATCCTTGGAGACAATAGGGTGGAAAGGGGTTGCAGAGGCTGCCTCCCAGACTTCGTTCAGCGACATGAGTGTGGTGGAATTGATATGACAAGGTAAGAGTTTATGTCAAACACCAAGAGTTGAACATCGATAACGCGTGGAGGTATAGATGTGATCTGGCCGATCCGGGGAATGGTTGTTCCGGTGCCGACCCCAGTCACATCCAGCTGCTTGATGACCGAGCACGCGCACGAACACCTAAATCACAGCTTCACCACTTTTCATCATGACTGCTGTTTCGCCTAAGAGTAAGTCTTTTGCTGATTGGGGATATACTCCAGTTTCTATGACACAGCAGGTAATGACCGGTACCAGGTTCGAAGAGAAAGGCCTCGGAGGAGGTTGCTTCCCCGGACTCTCAGCAGCAGGCAAGCAAGAAAGCGCGCACTGATTCGCCAGAGAAAGAAGAGGTTCGTTGGCCATATCTGCCATTGCTCCTTGAACGCTATTTAACATGATGGTATAGGAAGATGGCCCCGCTCTGAAGCCGCCTCTGCGCATTGTACCCTTCCCCGAGAAGGTAAGCTCCAACCCTATCCCGCCGTCTCCGCATTCACCCCTTCAGTCACTAATTCTGTCATTCAGCCTGCTGTGTTAGAAGAGCGTCGAGGCGATATTGAGTTCCGGGTCGTCAATAATGATGGATCGCATGATAGCTTCATCGTCCTTACCGGGCTGAAGTGTATCTTCCAGAAGCAACTTCCCAAAATGCCCAAGGACTATATTGCTCGACTAGTGTATGACCGATCGCATTTGTCAATTGCGATTGTAAAGCATCCACTAGAAGTTGTTGGGTACGTGCAACAATCGCAAATCCTGGGTTGGGAAATGAAACTAATTGTTCGACAGAGGAATCACATACCGGCCATTCAATAGTCGCAAGTTTGCGGAAATTGTCTTCTGTGCCATTTCCTCGGACCAGCAGGTCAAGGGTTACGGCGCGCATTTGATGTCTCACTTAAAGGTATGATTGCAACCCGCTCACCTCTATGCTTTTGTTTCATTCTAACCCAGTATCCAATAGGATTATGTTAAGGCTACCTCTCCCATTATGCATTTCCTCACCTATGCGGATAACTACGCCATCGGATACTTTAAGAAACAAGGCTTCACCAAAGAAATCACTCTCGATCGATCAATCTGGATGGGTTATATTAAGGACTATGAGGGCGGTACCATCATGCAGTGTACTATGCTCCCCAAGATTCGATACCTTGAGATGGGGCGAATGCTGTTAAAGCAGAAGGAGGCTGTGCAGGCGAAGATTCGGGCCTTCAGCCGGTCACATATTATCCACCCTCCACCCAAAGAGTGGAAGAACGGGGTGAATAAAATTGATCCGCTATCCATCCCGGCCATCAAGGACTCCGGATGGTCTCCTGACATGGATGAAATGGCCCGTCAGCCTCGTCATGGACCAAATCACAACCAGCTGCTGCACTTATTGAACGATATGCAGAATCACAGCGCTGCCTGGCCCTTCACACAACCGGTGAACCGAGATGAGGTACCTGACTATTACGAGGTCATTCTCGAACCTATGGATCTTTCTACCATGGAGGAGAAGCATGAAAAAGACATGTACCCGACTCCACAAGACTTTATCAAGGATGCAACATTGATATTTACGAATTGTCGCCGATACAACAACGAGACTACACCATATGCAAAGAGTGCGAATAAACTTGAGCGATTCATGTATCAGCAGATCCGGGCTATTCCGGAGTGGTCGGTAAGTATATAAGACTATACTCTACACGATGAATATGGCTAACCAAATCTTAGCATCTGGCTGATAATAACTGAGCTTTTGCTAAGTGCTGGTGATGGAGTTTATTATGAAATGGCGTTTGGGGGGGTGCAACTCGATTTACCAATACCCTGAGGACAACTTACATGAAGAATATGAATCAAAATAAGAGGATAGTAGCAGTTCTAGTAGACTTGAAATTAAGATCGTAGATATGATGCAATGAGATGAGACGTGGGTGACAGGTGGGTCTGGATAAACTGTTGATCCGATGTTGTTTCAGGCACGAAAGACTGAAGAACGGAGATGGCTGGATCACATCCTATTGTCAACCCTTGCCTGGAGAGCCTGGCCTCGTTCGTTTCAATCCCATTTTATGGGCTCGTATTTTGATTTCTCCTGAAATTTAGGCTTGCTATCCCAGCAGCTTGCTTTCCTCCCCCTTTCGTCTTTTTACTCCCTGGGTCCTTATACCCGATACATTGCGTGTCCTACCACGAAATACACCATTAATTTCACCGCGCCCCTCTTTAACACCCTACACAGTGTTTTTCGTTCTTTACAAGTCCTAATTGGCTCGTGTTCTGTCGTTTGTTTTTCGCCGAAGTCTTTCTGAAGCAACATTGCTTGGGGCCCGCGCGACCTGACACGCTCCTTACCCCTTTCGGGTCAATCTTCAACCCCTCGGTGCTGGATTTTTCACCGTCCAATCTCCTCAACAACAACAACTTAAGATGACTTCATCATGGGATCACCACACCGACTCGGAGTCGCGCAATCGCCTGCCGACTCTCTTTGAAGTGCTCAGCCGCCGCACTCTGGCCCCTGTCGATCTCTTTTCCTTCTACATTTACATGCGCGACCAGCAACGCTCAGTGGACTACCTTGACTTCTGGTAGGTATAAAGCTTGGGAATAAAGTCATGGAATGGCCTGTGTTAACAAATTTCTCTCAGGCTCGATGTCTCTCAACACATGTCCCTTTGTCGCCATTATGTCCGTGAACTACGCCGCTCTGTGCTTGTCGCGACTCCCGACATGGAGAGAGCCGACAGCAAACGATCCTCTGCGATGCTTGAGAACTTGGAGAACCTAGGTGATATTCCACTTGTGGAGGCTGGGCCTTCACGTCTGGCAGGCAACGAAAAAGAACGGGATGCGGATCATCGCCTTTCTGCTTTCTTGCGGTCTGAAGGCCACACCTCGTCTCACTCGCCCCAGAACAGTATCGGATCAGAGTCTGTGTATCCGACGCGCACCGAATCCCCCGATCAACAGCCACGTCCCAGTTCCGGTACTCACAACGGCGGCGATTCCAACTCTCCCGGCCACACTGTTGCTCGTAACGATATCCGTGCCAGTGCCGAAAAGATCCTTTACACCTACTTGCTCCCCGGTTCGGAACGTGAGATTGTCTTGCCTGAAACAATGGTGTCGACTATTATCAACTTGATCGAGGATGACGGCCGTGACGACCCGCAGGTGTTCGACCCTGCCAAGGACTATGTTTTTCAAGCTATGGAGCGCGATGCTTTCCCAGGATTCTTGCAGGCCAAGGCCCTGGGCAACCTTGTACCTCTGAGCATCATCTTGCGCTTGGCCTTTGCTCTGATCAGCTTCGGTGGTGGATTCTGGGGAGCGTTCTACGTTGTTCTACGCAACAAGCCCCGGCACATTCGTTGCTGGGTTATTCTTCCTTTTGCTGTCGCGGCTTACTTCATCGTCTCCTACCAGTACAAGATTGATCCCGTCATGGCATTCATTGGTTACAGCGAATACACATTCATGAATTGGGCGCCGATTCGTGAACCATATGTTCGCCAGCTTCTGAACAAGCGCGCGATAGTCACCGCGGCTGTTGCCTTCCTCACAGCTGCCGCCTTGAGCATCTTATTCATTTTCGTTCCGGGTACTATGATGTGATTTTGCTCTATGCAATTCGCGGAGTCGTATCCTCCCTTCAACTTGTACAGCTTGGTGCTCTTTCTTGTGCCTCCACGTCACCGTCGCTCGCAATGATATGACCTGTCAGGGGCTTTCTAGCCTGGCGTCTGGATTCTGTTGTTCCGGTCTGCTTCTGTGAAGCATCTTTTGAAAATCTCTTGAAAATATCTTGCTTTCAGTCTTCTCTCTAATCTCCCAAGCTGCTGCTCTGATCGTTTGTTCCCCTCCCATCCGCCTTTGCAGCGGTCATCCTACTTCTCCTTGTCCTGTCCATATTTGCTACTTCGATCTCGCTGTCCTCTTTTCTCTTCTACCAATACCCCTTCTGACCTCAGACATTTGTATTTATGTTTTCAATGAGTCGTTGCCCTTGGGGGCTTTACGAATGCAATCAATTTACTTCGGTACTATCGAACAGAGAATTCGCAATCAATTTGCATCCAGATTGTAGAATCTATGTCATGAAACTTAGCTATCGTCATATGGAAACCGTCATGAGCGATCATGAGAATAGGGCATGCTAGATGCAAGAGCCATAGATACCACACTTAACCCTGCCGGCCACCCGCAAGTATCCTCTTGGTCCGGCTCCCAATCCCCCGTCCTGACGCCGCCCCAGCTGCCCCAGCGCCCTCATCAATATCCATTCCCTCCCCCGCATCAAAAAATCCATCATCATGATCAATATCATCCGCCTCCCGCTTATTTCCCATTCCCCAAAACCCCCTCCGCCCACGCCGTTTACCCCCCTCTCCCTTCCCACTTCCCCCCGCATTCCCTACCCCAGCTCCTCCACTCCCAGGTCCAGCCGCCTTGCGCTTCTCCAATGCCTCATCAAACAAACGCTGATGCGCCGCCTCCCTCGCAGCCCGTTTAGTCGCATTCAACTTCACAGCTTGGATCTCCGCTTCCAGATCACCGATTACCTCCCCGCACCGCAGCTGCCACTCCTCAAGGACACTGGTCATTCCCGGAAGGGACTGCGGCTGTACGTCCCGCAACGGCGCGACGGATGTCACATTGATAGTTGGCGGTGTAGCGGCTGGCGATAAGCGCGCTGTAAGTAGGGAACTGTAAATAGCAGTTGTGACGAGGGCTTCGAGGTCACCAGGTGTAGAGAGGGAGAGAGCGGACATGAGAGATTCGTAGGTGAGAGGTTTGATTGTTTTTGCGAGGGAAAGGAGTGAGAGGAGACGGAGTTTTTGGGCTTGTTCGAAGCTTAGCTTTGGGAGGTTGGGTGTTGCTGAATGTACATGGTGGATTAGCTTGGTACACTAGATGCGGTGTGGGGTTTGCGCTTCGTACCTTCGTAATCTTGCCATGTGCCCCAAGCGAAGATCTGTAGAAGCTTTAGATAGCTCTGGTATTCTGCTGGTGTGTCGGGGGAGCTTAGGGACTGAATGGTTGGCGTCTCGAGCAGCTCGCCGAAGACGTAAGTGTGTGGGCTGGAGGTGGCATTTGTGATTAGGCTGGCGACGAAGCGTGGGGATGTGGCGCTGTTGGCATTTGCGAGGTGAATGAATTGTTGTAGAGCCTCGACGGCTCGAGTGTGCGCGTTATCCATGGTGGTTGAATGAACGATGGTTGATGCGAGATATGTTTGGGGTTGGAGAGGGGAGCTTGGATAGATCCACTACTGCCCGAGTCTGGGCGGTGATAGGGTCCCGACATCACTTATCACTTTGCCTTATACTTTTCCCTAATGCTCCTATTATTTCAACCTTTGGCTCACATGGAGCCGATCTACTTACCTTGTTGATAAGAGGTATCTAGACTTCAAAAATCAGAAATCTCTAATACTGCGGCTTATAGTCAACTCCCTGCCACTGTTCCAATTTCCTCGACACTTGCACTGTATCAAGGTTGGCTTGTTCGATCGAGACTAAGAGAGATCTATCATGATGATGAAGTCTTGGCAGTGTCTAACAATACTAATCTTGTCCATTCATTCAAATTGAACCTTTATTCTCTGATCGCCCTTGAAATGAGACTTAGCTACGTGCCGGATGATCTCCCGTATAATCTCGACACGCGCTTTACTTCCTGAATGAGACGTCATTGTCCAGCACATTCAGTTGTAGCTTGGGACTACAAAATCCTATGGATGCCACATCATTGATGTAGGACAAATAGGAAATTTGAGATTAATAAGCCTAGCATGCTTGTATACAGGGTGATTGAAGGGGTTCGTTTTTAATTATTACGGCCCTTGCCAGAAATGGGGCCACCAGTCGACGCCAAACTAAGAGGGGTAGGCATCCTTTTTGTCGAGAAGTTTACGAAAGCAATTAGCTCAAAATACGATGTTGATCATGTCATAAACAATGGTCCTATTATTCAGCTTGCTATAGGCTAAGAGATTTGACAATAGAGATTGCAAGTGGAATTCAGATCTTAGCTAGTACATGGCGCACTGTGATTCGAATGGTCTGGGAAATGACAGCAATTCGTTTTTTTTTTAGTTTGAGATAATAGCAATAAGCACAATGTGCCTCGGCGTTAATGGGCAATGTAAGCCGATACATAGTTGTGGAATGCAACGTGATCCATGCATGATCCTTGGGCAAATACTCGTATCTAGATATCGTCCACATATGCATCACTTATCGAGATGAAATGGTCACACATAATTGCTTACCCCATCTCCATTCTCCTGAAACACCCTCAGCCCTGAGTCGTTTCACCATTCCTAGTCTAACTATTGACTATAGAGTGGAAACACACGTGCATTTATTAGCAAAGGAAATCCATCAGTCCCATTTAATTGCGGTGGCCTAAGGATGCATTCCACTCAGGTGGAACCCACCCGTCTGCCCCCCTCTCTCATGCGTAATCGCTTCCGTTTTTCCCGATTTAAATGCCTAGGCCGCGCCCTTGATTCCCATGCATCTACCAAGCCGACGTGGCCTTTACATAAGTGGACTGTTGACAGTTCTTTGGCCGTCTCTATGCGGGAATGATCTGATCTGATCAGTCCAGTCGATCCGCAAGCTTCCGTGTTAAATATCACGTTATCCCCCATCGCGAACCGCGCTTCCTACCAAAAATTCTCGAACGCACCCATGCGATAAACTACCGTTTTTTCCGATTCCCTGTACGATATTCCGGTTGTCGCCATGTATGCCGATCTTGATGGCGCGGGCGATGCAGCCTCCGCCAGTCGGCTGCCAACCATGTCTACCACAACAGTCAAAGTGGATGGCATGACCTGCGGAGCCTGCACCTCTGCCGTTGAGAGCGCTTTCACGGACGTTGAAGGAGCTGGCGAGGTCTCTGTAAGCTTGATCATGGGTCGCGCTGCGGTACAACATGATCCGTCAATACTTTCGCCGTCAAAAATTGCGGAGATGATCGAAGACCGCGGGTTCGATGCGGCGATTTTATCGACCGAAGAGCACATGAAGAGCGTTGTCACTGATACGCAGGAAACACCTCGGACACACTCATCGATGACTACCCTCGCGATCGAAGGCATGACCTGCGGCGCTTGCACCTCTGCAGTTGAAAGCGGACTTACCGACGTTGCTGGTATCGACTCGGTTAATGTGTCGCTGCTCTCGGAGCGCGCGGTGGTGGAACACAATGCGGACATTATTACCCCGGAGCAAATTGCGGATATCATTGAGGATCGAGGATTTGGAGCGCGGGTGCTGGAAACTAAGGCGTCTGCGGGCTCGGACGATGGATCTACACTCGCCGACATGATTGAAGACCACAGAGGGCACATGGTTACTACGGTTGCGATTGGAGGAATGACTTGTGGCGCCTGCACCTCGAGTGTACAGAATGCCTTTACCGATGTTGACGGCGTGGTTTCGTTCAACATCAGTCTTCTCGCTGAGCGCGCCGTGATCGTACATGATCGGTCAATACTTACTTCCAAGGCTATCTTGGCAATAGTGGATGATGCTGGCTTTGATGCGTCAATCGTATCATCCGAACCGCAAGAACCGCTTTCGAGGAAAACCCAGCAGCTCAACCTCAGTCTTCATGGCCTACGAGACGCCTCGTCTGCCTCTGCGCTAGAAAAAGATCTCTCTGCCCGACCCGGAATTAAGTCCGCCTCCATCACCTTAGCAAACGCTCAACTTAGCATTGCCTTCGACACGTCCGTGATTGGTATTCGATCCGTGTTCGATGTGATTGAGGCTGCTGGATATAACGCGCTGATTACAGACTTGGATGACACCAATGCACAGTTGGAGTCGTTGTCGAAAACTAAGGAGATTCAGGAGTGGCGACGAGCTTTCATTGTCTCCGTCTCCTTTGCTGTTCCTGTATTCTTCATTAACATGTTGATCCCCATGTATATGCGCCCAATCGATTTCGGTCGGTTTCAGCTCTTTCCAGGTCTTTATCTGGGAGACCTGGTATGTCTTGCTCTCACCATTCCAGTGCAATTCGGTATCGGCAAACGGTTTTATATCACCAGCTTCAAATCTTTAAAGCACAGATCTCCAACCATGGATGTTCTCGTCATGTTAGGCACATCGGCCGCCTTTTTTTACAGTTGTTTTACTATGGCGATGGCTATTCTCAGCGACTACCACAAGCGTCCGAGCACCGTTTTTGATACCAGCACTATGCTCATCACATTTATCACCTTGGGAAGATGGTTGGAGAATCGCGCCAAAGGACAGACGTCTGCAGCGCTCTCCCGCCTTATGTCATTGGCCCCGTCTATGACTACTATTTACGAGGATCCCATTGCAGCAGAAAAAGTGGCGGATGGTTGGGCCTCTCAGAATTCCCAGCCCGCATTGGCCGAGGACTCAACGGTGAACCAGAAACTCATCCCTACGGAACTGATTCAAGTCGGGGACATTGTCATTCTTCACCCAGGCGACAAAGTGTCTGCTGATGGTATCGTGATCCGAGGCGAGAGTTATGTCGATGAGAGCATGATCACAGGAGAGGCTTTGCCGATCCACAAAAAGAAAGGCAGTCATGTCATCGCCGGTACTGTAAACGGCACAAGCTCGGTCGATTTTAAAGTCACCCGGGCTGGCAAGGATACCCAACTAAGTCAAATTGTCAAATTAGTCCAGGATGCACAAACAAGTCGAGCTCCTATTCAACGCATGGCGGATATCGTGGCCGGGTACTTTGTCCCCACTATTATCTGCCTTGGCTTGATTACCTTTTTCGGGTGGATGTTCCTGAGCCACATCTTGCCCAATCCACCCAAGATCTTTAAGTCTGAGGAAGCGGGCGGCAAGGTTATGGTCTGTTTGAAGCTTTGTATCTCAGTGATTGTCTTCGCATGTCCCTGCGCTTTGGGTCTTAGCACACCTACCGCTGTGATGGTGGGAACTGGTGTTGGTGCCGAAAATGGAATCTTGGTCAAAGGTGGCGCTGTCCTCGAGGCTGCCACCCAGATCAATCATGTTGTCTTTGACAAAACAGGTACATTGACTACGGGCCGGATGAGTGTCGCTCATGCTCGGATTGAACCTCAGTGGACGGCTAATGAATGGCGACGTCAATTATGGTGGCTTCTCGTTGGCCTTTCCGAGATGGGTAGTGAGCATCCAATCGGACGAGCCATCTTTTCTGAAGCTAAGACGGGATCCGGTCATCCCGGAGGAGACGGCCTCCCAGGAAGCATTGGAGACTTCGATGCTTGTGTAGGCCAGGGAATCTCGGCAACTGTTGAACCCTCGACCTCCATCGAGCGTACCCGCTACCAGGTCTTTTTGGGCAATGCTGAGTTCTTGCGTTCGAAAAATATTCCCGTGCCCGCATCCGCCGACCCTGAATCATCCGAGGCTGAAGATGACTCGGAGACTCTGGGGCCTAAGCCAACTGGCGCTGCATCTGGCATCACCCGGATTCATGTCGCAATTGACAAGCAATACGCAGGAACTATTTCCCTACGGGATAGCGTCAAGGACAGCGCAGTCGCCGCAGTGGCTGCCTTGCACCGTATGGGTATTACAGTCTCCATGGTCACGGGTGACACACTATCAACGGCGATATCAATCGCAACTGCCGTTGGTATTCCCACGTCCTCAGTGCACGCCTCTGCTTCTCCGTCCGACAAACGCACCATCATCGACCGCCTCCAGATGAGTGGCGAGCGAGTGGCAATGGTCGGTGATGGCATCAACGACTCTCCCGCTTTAGCCACCGCCTCTGTTGGCATTGCCTTAGCCTCCGGCACCGACGTCGCCATGGAAGCAGCAGACATCGTGCTGATGCGCCCAGATGACCTTCTCACTGTACCTGCCAGTCTCTCCTTGTCCCGCACTGTCTTCAATCGTATCAAGATGAACCTTGTATGGGCTTGTCTCTACAACGTCATTGGCCTTCCCTTCGCTATGGGCATCTTCCTACCTTTCACAGGCTTCATGCTTCCGCCCATGGCCGCCGGTGCTGCCATGGCTATGTCCAGCGTCTCAGTTGTCGTCAGCAGTCTACTCTTGAAGCTCTGGCGTCGACCGTCCTGGATGGACATTGACCGCCTTGAGAAGGAAGCTATCTCCGCACCACAACGGAACCATGCTCGCAGAGCTAGCTGGTGGTCTCCTGCTACGATGTTATCCCCTAACGATCCACGATCTGTCCGGCGCTATGTTGTGCATGTGATTGCTGCGCTATGGTCTATAATGGCCGGCAAGCAGTCCGCTCGAGAAGATGAGGGCTATGTCCCACTACAAACCGTTGAACCTGTATGAGCAGGCTCTACTGTGATTTTTCTGTTATCCAATCATCTAGGGCTTGGGGATGCCTTTGTTGATACATTAGTGGCGCATTCAGCAATGTTTTTATGTTTTGATACCTCTCATGTACTGCATTCGAATTAGATTTCCATGAAGAATTGAAATACCATTTCACTCCGCTGGGTCCACTCATATGCAGCTTACACTCTATACCCGATACCCATTCCGAGGCCCGCTCTCTTCACACCCGACGCAGTAATATGAGGTGTCATACATTTTATGCAGCATTGATTGGTTCGATCTACCTAGGATAGATGCAGCAGTGCCCAAGGAACATAAGCTTTGCTAAGCTATCTATTTTCAAGCTGAAAGATAAGCCCATGTGCCGGCTAGAATTGCCCTAGGGCTGACTGTTCTTCTGGCATAGGTGGATGTCAGACGATCCACAGTCAGGGCTATTTTACCCGTAACAGATGCCAAGATCGCCTCAGCTATCATGTGCTGTTTATACTCACGGCATGCCCGACATTCCGATTTGATCCACATTTTATAGGCGTCAAAGCACTAGTCCAATCCATACATAGCCCATTTTATTCTAGATCGGTGTATTCAGCTGAGTAGAAGTCATGTCTATTGGTGTCTCTTTGATTTTTTGTTTTTTTTTTCGCTTTTTTTCCCGTAGGGCCGACACAGCACTAAGTACATACAATATCTGAGGTAAGTTGAGAATTTGTCGCAGCTATCGGTATTTGGGTTGATTTGGCGACGACTTCCGATCACCCTACTTGGTAGAGTACAAACTTGATAAATACCACGAAGCGTCTCATTAAAAAAAAATTTCAAGATTAAAGATCACGAATGAGGCTCTTATTCCCTATAACACCATGATAATGGATTCATTTACAGCTCCATCCTTGCCGGCCAAGGTCCTGATGCTCCACGGTCAGTGAATCAGGTTCAACATAAGAACTCATCTAACATTATTCAGGCCATGGGCAGTCGGGACAATTCTTCGAAGGCAAAACACGCTTCTTGCAGCCGCATTTAAGAGATATGATTCTCAAAGCCTCACAATCCGACAATACATGTGCCTCCGACTCGGTCGAGTTCTACTATCCCTCGGGCGTACTGCCTGGAAACCCAGATCAACGGGAAGGAGATAATACGCGGGTCTGGGGATATGGAGATCGCCAGGTAGATAGGATCAAAGGCCTGGATCAGTCTATAAGCTATGTGTTGAATATTCTCGAGACGGATGGGCCATTCATTGGGGTGGTCGGGTTTTCGACTGGAGCTGCTTTGGCTGCTATCATAACATCTCTTCTTGAGAAGCGAAAATCGGTTTGTGGGTTTAACTTCGATGTAAGTGGATATCAGCGCGTTATGTTTCCGTGGCTATACCCATATTCAGTGACTTGAATATGTATGCTAAAGAAGTATACTTATAGACCACCCACCCGCCACTCAAGTTTGCGGTGTGTTGCAGCGGGTTCAAGCTCGGTAATCCTTGGTATACAAAGCTGTATAAACCTAGAATCGAGACACCGATTCTTCATGTCATTGCGCTTATGGATAACGTTGTGGAACCGAAGGAGTCAATGCAGTTGGTGAAGTTTTGTAATAAAGGTACATTATACTCCTTTTTTGGGACGCATTATGTTCCTCGGTCACGTCAGTTTGTGGAGAAATTAGCGGAATTTATTAGAGGTGCCCTGGATATGACGGATAGTGATGAAGATTGGGAGGATTGTTAGGATGGTGGATTTTTTCCAAACAAAATTGATTTAGAATGTTCATATTGCAAAATCTTGTTTAAAGGATTTAAAAAGCAAAAAGAAATGTGTAATGGGGCGAGCCGGGATTGAACCGGCGACCTCACGATGACAATGTCAGACTGTAGTGAACTTCAGTCGTGCGCTCTCCCAACTGAGCTATCACCCCTTGATATGAATACTGCCGCTTACAAATGTTACATCATGGATATCTAAGCAAAAGTACATGACAAGCATCCGCAATCATCTCTACAATACCTCTATGGTTGAACTAATATAGTAGCTATTACTTTGCGTTTTTTTAGGGTGATGACTACCTAGGTAGGCCATCTAGAGCTTGAGACCGTTTAATCCATCCCAAAATGCTTCAAATACTTATTGTATTACCTCGAAAATTTGTGATTTAAGGAAATATTTACGAATATATATTTCAATCGTCCATGGACCAGACGTCCCGAAACTGGACGTTTGATCCCCGACGCTCATCGCATTGGACAAACTCCATCTGTTTCCTGCATCCATATGTATACGGTATCCATGTAGAACCAAGTACACATTATACACCTGAGCAATTTCGAACTATGAGAATGACATTAGTAAAGGTCGATTACAAGCCATAAAGAACAAACTTACCAGGTAGCAAAAAGCAATATTCTGCTGCGTCAACTCGGAATTGTAGAGGTGTATATCAAAAGGCCGCCTTCTCAACGCAAAGTGAGTTTGGTTACATTGTTTCGCCAGGTTAGTAGCCTCTATTTATGTATCAATTATCGAGGAGGATGCCTGTCGAACCGCGGGCTTGTCGCCGATACAGGTCATTAAAGCTCCTGGATTCCCGAAGATCATCTGAAGTCTTGTCAGGCTAGTAATCAGCGGTTGCACGACATTGGCATACTCCATGGGGATCTTAACAGATACAATTTCATTATGCAAGACGATACGGCGCGACTTATCGATTTTAAGAAAAGCGAGTTCTGTGATGGCGCTACCACACAGATGGAAGCTGAAATTCAAAGCCTACGTGACGAGTTAGTCGAAGAATCGGGACGTGGTGCAGGTTTTGCACGGGGAGATTGGTAGAGTACAGCAAGGTGGTAGGCAATTGAGGGACGCCTCCTGCGAGCGGAGAAGCAGGTGGAAAGGGGGCCGTTTCTAGCCTCCATAATGGCCGTATTCGACTTTAATTACATAAGTCTTCACAAATTGAATCTGTACACAAATAGTAGGATTACATCCTTTTTATCCTCGGGAACATGCTGTGCTCACAGGTATACGCTTCCAAGGTCTCTTACGTCGAACGAGTCTATGGTCAGTCAGTCCCTTTCTTCCATTTGTACTTTTGTGATATTCCGAGGTCGATGGGGTCAAATGTCGAAGTAGTCAGAGGACCACTCTTCACTTTCAAGCTGACACTATTTTTCTTCTCCACCTTCATGTGCCCAAGAAGGGCCATTAATATTCTTGATCTGTATTTCGAGGCTTCGAAAGTGAGGGGCAACCGAATTGATTCAGACTATAGTTGAATAGTGTACCAGCAATGAGATGCTCCTGAGTCTAAATGATTGGATAATAATGGCCCCGAATCGTTGAGAGCCACTCACTGAGTTGGCCTAGGCAGGCCATCCATATTAAGTTAGTCGGCCACCTCTACAAGAGATTCTGAAAATCACTGGGAGTCGTCATTTTCATCTAAGCAGCTCTATGCACCGATTGGCTTCCAAACTAGTGCCACAGGTAAACAATTACTTTCAAAGCGCTATATCGAAAGAAAAGGAGTATTGAGGGCGCGGATATGCTAAATGGCTGTCGTATGTGCTAAAAATAATCAACAATGCCCGTCAGTATCCTTTACTGTTTTATCACCGATCAAGTCAATTATTGCGGCCTCCAGATGATGGCCCATCGTGTAGTGGTCTTCTTTAAGCTCGTGGAAGACAGGCTGTGAAAGCCGCTTGACCATATAGCGCACCATCTCAATCGGTGCATTGACATCCTTCGTACCATGCCAAATCCGAATCCCGCTATAAGACACATCCTGAAACCGGAACCCCCAATCCTGAGACAGCAAACGTGCCTCCTGTACAGCTGCGCCAGATCCTTGAGCAAAGGCCTCGAAAGAAGTGCTTAGCATGCGTCTTCTAGCTTCTTCTGTCGACAAGCTCTCAGCTTTCGCATCCTGCTGTCCGTTCGCCCTTTTCTCACGCTTCATGCCATCGATCCAATTATCCAGCCACTTTGAAACTGGACCCGACTCTGCAATCCACCGAAGCGCAACGCAAAGTGGATTCAATACCATTTCTAACCTTTCTGGGCAATAGGTCGCTGCGCAGGACAGAAGTTTCCTGCTTACAGTCACATCTTTTGTCCCCGCTACCCATGGAGGTGCTCCTGCCACAACTCCCACCGCCGATAGCATATGTGCAGGTAACAAGTAAGCACATGCGATTGCATATGGACCACCTCCTGAACAGCCTAAGATCGCGAATCGCGACAGACCCAAATGTGATACGAGAGCTTCGACGTCGGCTGGCCAGTCCAGTATTTGACGGTTGTGGTGGTAGCTGGAAAGTCCGAATCCTGGCCGATCTGGGACAATGAGACGGAAGCCATGGATTTCGGGCAATTTATTGAAGCCCCAGCCCTCTAGGCGTGAAGATGGGTAGCCGTGAAAATAGAGGAGAGGGTAATCGGTAGGATTGCCGTATTCTGCATACCCAAGGGTACGACCATTATTTAGAACCAACTTTTGGTGGAATTGAGCTGTCTCTGAAGAAATCGGAGATGAAACGCTACTTGCGTTATTCGATGATGGGCGAAAATGTAGCCTCGCTGTAGCGGGGGCTCTCATCATGCAATTTGCAAAAAAGTAACAAAGAGAGGCTTCGAATGTTCTGAATGATGCTAGATTTACTGAATTTTCTGTCAACGAATAGTCAGATATTTATATTGTTTTCCTAATGGCATGGCGTATACCCGATGGGCCTAGCTCGTGTTCGTAAAATACGAACACGATCACGAGCTCAGCCAATAGCGATCAACCTTAACTAGAAAGCTTGCCGCACCGATGATAAGCCAAGTGCTTGTGATGTAGAAAGAAACAAAAACCTCACTATATGAAATTTCTTAATACTCTTCCTTCATTGCTGCTCACGATTATGGTTCATTCGCTAAACTAAATCCTGGATGCGTAGGATTATATTCCGAGTTGATGGATCTGTGGCAGTAGAGATATCTTCCTTCGAGAGCTCATACACCAACGAGACGCCAAAGTCTTGCGCCCACCATACATCGTGCCCCAGTCTCTGAACAAGAACACCCCAAACCATTAAAACTAGCAGCGAAATATGATCATTAGCTTTAAGAGCTTGAATATATCCTTCGCCAGCCATATTCAGCCACCCAAGTGCATATCCTCGATACACAGGGCCGACGCATCTCTGAAAGCACTCCTGTAGCAAACGTAAAGCCTTCTTGCAAGCCTCCCAGAAGGCGATCTGCTGGTCTTGCCGCTCTTGTATCTCCCGGACAGTCTCGACAATCCTTTTATCATTCATTTCACTAAGCTTTTCCATGATCTCTGCGATGGATGTATCAAGAGCTGTGAAGGGAAGGTCTTGAAACGGTGTCAGCTTTTGCACATATTCATTTTGGCTAATTTTGCCCCCATCACTCTCTGCAACCTGAACAGCACCGCGAACGAGCTCAAAGTGAGCGATTGCAGTATTCACTATGCTCTCCTCTTTAGCGCCTGAAGAATTTTGTCCAAATCGAACCGATGCAAACGCAAGAACCATCAGCATCAGCGAAAAACAGATTGCGGCTTTCTGGTCCTTGCATGGGGGAGAACCGAGTTGAGCACGGAAATTGGATAATGCAAGGACTTGGTACTCAATCGCTGAATTAGTATACTTTTCGTAGCTGGAATTTTGCTGCCCATTATTCTTCAGTACACTGGCGCTTTCAAACGCCGCCAAGGCCAGTAGCCCATTCAAAAGGAAGTCATATTGGAAAGCTAGAGCGGGTACTGTGATCTGCCAGAGTGTCTCGTCGCCAGTACCGGGAGTGCAACAGCTTTTATAGGTACTTGCGGTCCAACGATGCATGAGCTGAAGATCTAGTTGGCGATTATTGGCAGGAAAGGATAGGGAGACTGTGTGGGCATCAAGCATTGCTTCTTCTGTTCGACCTTCTTCCGATGTGTCATGGACTGGCAAGGATTGTGGACGGGTGGTGATGCTTGCATATTCGCAGGATTCAGCACGGGTCTCACAGCGCTTGCAAGGTGGGCCCGTCTCGTCACACTTGACATGGCGACGCTTGCAAGTAATGCAGCCGGTGTGGGACTTTTGATGGGAGCGACGAGGGGGCATAGTGGGTATAAGTGTCTAGGTTGGTACCAGTTCAGACTGGAATATCCGAGCCCACTGCTGTCAACACAACGTTGGTACTTTTTCAATGTGCATAAGGTATATTGACTATTCAAATTGTAGAACAGGAGGCTCGAGGTGTGGATTTCGACTTGCATATACGCCACGTGACCGTGCTGATTGGTCAGTTTCTAAGATCTCAGGAACCTGTATGGTAGCCGCTATTTTACGTCGAACATATTTCTGGATGAGCTGACTCCTTTCATAAAACAGAGAACATCGTAGGCCATATTTCATCTCAAACTAGAAAAAAACAAAGAAAAGTCAAGCTCATTATATCGTCGCACTGGAGCCTCAGGTCCCGATCAAGATCCATCACGTGAGTAGCTCAGTATCAAAGAAGACGATAACTAAGTCCGAGTGGCATGACGCTGAGTATTCTCAGGAGAGGGGCGATAATCTAAATAGAAAACTTCTGAATGTTTTCACGTGAATATAGTTGCATATGTCTAGTCCTGTCACCATTTACTCGGCCAACCTTAAATCCCTTATCGCCGTATCAGTTCTGACTCAATGGGTCCAACCCAGTCTTTGTGTACCGTGTCCAGCTTACTCAAACATCGTCTCTTCTCAAGAAAACGCAGATTGAAAAGTCACTTAATCATGAGTGGATATACCCATTCCGATGCATTTGACTCAGGCACTCTTGCCGTCGGAACCATCCATCGCCTCCATTATGAACAATATGGCAAACCAGATGGCAAACCCGGTACCCAACACCCAAAAACCCATGACCATGTGCCTGTGTGTAAAAGGTACTTCTAACACTCCAATTACAGTATTATTTCTCCACGGTGGACCAGGAGGGCAAACCTCCAAAGCAAACACAGCCTACTTCAACCCCTCAATCTACCGAGTCATTCTCCTCGATCAACGCGGCACAGGCAAATCAACCCCGCAAACAGAGCTCCGTGAGAATACGACACCCGATCTGGTAACTGACATTGAGTCCCTACGTACTCACCTCAATATCCCAAAATGGTACCTGCTCTTCGGGGGTTCCTGGGGCTCAACTCTCGCTCTTCTCTACTCTGAAGCTTATCCAGATAGAGTTGGCTCGCTTCTTCTGCGCGGGGTCTTCACAACCCGTGATGCGGAGGTGAGCTGGAGTCGGGGGGTGCTGGGTGCTGCTAATATCTTCCCCGAGGCGTGGGAGGCATTTGTAGGTTTCCTTCCGGCTGAAGAGCGAGGGGACCCAGTTGCGGCTTATTATAAGCGGCTTACTGGGACTGATGAGCGGGCTAAAGCTGCTGCGGCGAGGGAATGGAATCGGTGGGATTTGAGTATTGGGACTTTGAGGGTTGAAGAGGGTGCATTTCTGAATTTAGAGGATGAAGTGTGGAGTTTGAAGCATGCGCTTATGGAGGCTCATTATGCTGTGCATCATTTCTGGTTGGAGGATGGGCAGATTTTGAGGCGGGAGAATTTGGAGAAGATTGCTCATATTCCTAGTACGTATTATCTTGGTATTTTGGGATTTGGTGTGAGCTGACTTGGCTTTCAGCGACTATCATCCAGGGTCGTTATGATATGGTCTGTCCGCCGCAGACAGCTTGGGAATTGCATCGGGCTCTGCCCAAGTCGAAGTTGATTTGGGTTGCAGATGCGGGACACAGTCCAAAGGTATGGCATTTGATCTGCTGTGATATATGGTATACTGACTATATACAGGAACCCGGAACGAAGGCAGAGTTGTTGAAAGCCTGTGACGAATTTTCATTAGATCTGTAATAGATATGCATCAATGAGAGAAAAGTAGACTTGATAATCACGGCACGTAAGAACCCTAGAATGGGGTTAAATACTCCTAAACACCGAACAAACCCCACTTAGCACCTTAATGAACCCCAAACTTCCCCGCATCTACACCTGCACCTCCATCCATCCCAGTCTTCTATAAGCATCCCTCAACCCATCATGGACGCCCTCGACCGTTCCTACACATACGGGAAATCTCCACTACTTCAAAATGCTCTCTCAACGCCCTTCAAGACCTACCTCTTTGGCAAACCAATATCCCATTCCCTCTCCCCTCTCGTCCAAAACACAATGTACCAACAGATCCCATCCGAATGGACCTTCCATCTCGCCGAAACAACCGACCCAAAAATCTTCCAAGAAACGATATCGGACCAATCCTGCATCGGCACCTCGATCACAATGCCAAACAAATTATCCTTTCAACCCCTCCTGGATGACATTACCGAAGAAGCCCGCATAATGGGCTCCGTAAACACAACCTTCGTCCGCATTGATCAATCCGGAAAACGAAAAATAGTTGGAACAAACACCGACTGTCTCGGAATTCGAGACGCAATTCTACAGAACTGCCCTGACGCTGCCGAGAAAGCTAAAGACAAAGTTGCGTTGGTGACTGGAGCCGGCGGCGCAGCTAGAAGCGCTATATATGCATTATGGAAATGGTTCAGCCCGTCAAAGATTTACGTGGTCAATAGATTGGAATTTGAGACACGGGAAATGATTGATTGGTTTCGACGTTCTATCCCGGACTTGATGATTGAGATTGTGATGCCAGCAGCTGCGGTAATGCTTGAGCCGTTTATTGTTATTGGGACGATTCCCAATTTCGAGCCGCAGAGCCAGGAGGAGAAGTTTGTTCGTTCCACTATTGACCAGGCTCTTATGCATTCTCAGAAGGGTGTTGTGGTTGATATGTGTTATTCACCGTCTGTAAGGACGTATCTTTATGCGTCGGCGGAGCGTGAGGGTTGCAAGGTTGTTTCAGGGGTGGATGTTGTGGTTCGAGTCTGTCTTGCACAGCAAATACTGTGGCTGGAAAGGGCTCCGGATAAACGTGGGGTTGATGAGGTACTAGCTGCTGTTGGGAAGATTCATTAAGGATGGTTCTGCTAGAAGTTGAAGCGAGCATAAAAAGTAGTAGAACAAGGACTTAGGCTGAGCCTACTAGAATGCGGACATATTTATGCAATCCATCGTTTGCTATATAATGATTGAGATAAATTTACTTCATCTTGATTTGTGTGTGAAGAGAATATTGATGTGGTAAATTCAGATGATTCATTTCTGATCAACATAGTATCAAATGATTTGGGTCATTACTCATAAGGCCAAATGGGAGACAAGAAACTGAACAAATGCACAGCAGAAACATTTACTCCTTAGTCTCAGAAGACTGTGTGGCATCGCCAACTGGTTCTGGCTTCTCTGTCTGTGGGTTGTCTTCTGTCTTGGATTCCTCTTTAGGGTTGGTATCGTCAAGGACAATGTCGCCGTCTTTGTCAGCTGGGGCAGATTCACCAGCCGCTTGGGCTTCCTGGATGCCACTTTCTTCAGCGGTACCATCACCAACTGCCGCCTGTTGGGCTTCCAGGTTCATTTCGACGCCCTTTCCATCCTGCAGGCCCATATCCTCCACGCCGAGAAGCGACGGACCGCGAGCATGAGGAACCTCATCTGACTCCGCAGGCGGAGAGCCAGTTGTAGCTGACTCTTCACCCTCAATTGTGGGCGCAGCAACAGTAGCTGTCGCTATATCAGTATCTTGGGGCTGGGGTTGCCCATTCTCTGCTGCATCAAGATATCAGTAAGACGTCGACAAGAGTAATAAACCAAAAGGACACGATATCCATAAACATACCCGGTTCCATGGCGCTAGAGTCCCCGCCGTCAAATGACGCGTTAGTTAACCACGGAATCGGGGTCAAGAGGGCTCCACCCAGTGACTCGTCACTGCCCAAGCCATGGGCATAATCGGGAGTAAGATATGTCCCGGCGCTGTTTGTGGGATGTAGTAGCCCGTTTGAATGGTCGGTATTGGCAGGAGTATTGAATGGGAAAATATCAGCACCGCTAGTCACGGAAACAACTCGGTCGACGGCGCGAAGATAAGCCGGCAAGGTTTTGTAGTGGGCGGTCGGCCGAAGGATGAGCTCTGCGAGTCTCTGGATCGTATGCGGTGGTTTTTCCACGAAGAAAAGCTGGATCGCAGAGCGGATAGAGCCCAAGAGGAGTGCAAGGGGAGGCGGTAACGTGTCGTTTCCCTGTGGCGCAGAGGACTGGGGCTGTGAGTCCGGTACGCGCTCAGTCGACGGAGAGGAGCTAGCTGGTGCCTCGGTGCGGGGCGGGCTCTGGGGAGCTCCCGGAGCTGCGTTTTCCTTATTACTGCTCTCTGGCGGAGTAGAATTGACATCAGTGGTAGGTGGGATCGGTGGTCGGGCGAAAGCCTGTGAGTTAATGGAGCCCGGCAGCTTGGGCATTGGGAATACATTGTATACGATCTAAGGCGCAGGTTAGAGCTATCACCATGATCAAACGTATCGCGCGGTTGAGACGCACGTATTCTAGCCGCTCCAGCAGTGGCGCCACTATGCCAGCCCATTTTTCTCTAGATCAGAGCATCAGTATCGCGTGCTCCTGCGCAATCTCTCGAGTCCCAGCTTGAAACATACAAGTCAATCGAGCCACCATTGGCAACTGCCTCGAGGGCTCCTTCGTCTATAAAATATGTATTAGCCTGATATGTGCGACGCAGAGCTATATAGTGGGGGACTTACCCAAAGACATGGTCGACATGTGCAAGTAAGGAAGACAGCGTCGATCAAGTTGCAGGCTAGGGGCGGTGATGGCTGGGTGCTTCTGATTGGCGATTATCAGATCTTATCGATAGGGTCAGGTGACCCCTCCGCGAATTTTCGGTGGAGGGGCAATTTACTCATCTAATTACTCATAGTTGAGATATAATTCCTCAATTCATATTCTTTCACCACGACACAATGTGGAACTCTCCCAAGGTCGGAATTCTCGGCGGTGGTCAGCTTGGCCGCATGCTCGTCGAGGCCGCCAACCGATTGAACATTCAGGCCAACGTCCTGGACGCCGACAATTCTCCGGCCAAGCAGATCAGCTTCCACGACGGCCATGTTACCGGCTCGTTCAAGGAGCGCGAGGCTGTCCGTCAATTGGCCAAGTCCTGCGATGTCATCACCGCCGAGATCGAGCACGTCGACACCTATGCCCTTGAGGAGGTCGCCTCAGACGTCCGCGTGGAGCCCAGCTGGCAGGCTATTCGGACTATCCAGAACAAATTCAACCAGAAGGAGCACCTGCGCAAATATGGAATTCCCATGGCCGATCACCGGGAATTGGTCGAGAACACCCAGGAGGCATTGGCGAAGATTGGAGAGGAGCTTGGTTACCCGTTGATGTTGAAGTCGAAGACGATGGCATATGACGGACGGGGTAAGGATTGCTCTGCGAATGGTAATTGGAGCAGCAAGCTAATTTGTTGCCAGGTAACTTCCGTGTCAACTCCAAGGCCGACATCCCCGAGGCTCTCGAAGCCCTCAAGGACCGACCATTGTATGCGGAGAAGTGGGCGTACTTCAAGATGGTTAGTCATGCCCTACAAGTCACAACGTCGAAAAAGCCTCTAACCCTTTTTTACTTAGGAATTGGCTGTCATGGTCATCAAGACTAAGGACGATGTTTTGTCATACCCCACCGTCGAAACCTTGCAGGAGGACTCAATATGCAAGCTGGTCTACGCGCCAGCCCGGAACGTGTCCGACAAGATCAACGAGGAGGCACAGGCCATGGCCCGGAAGGCTGTCGCCGCATTCGAGGGCAAGGGAGCTTTCGGCGTGGAGATGTTCCTCCTGGAGGACAACAGCCTGATGCTGTGCGAGATCGCCAGCCGAATCCACAACTCCGGCCACTACACCATCGAAGGCTGTGGTATGTCCCAATTCGAAGCCCACATCCGCGCCATCATGGATCTTCCCATTCCCTCCAAGAGCCTCGAGATCCGCCAGCCCTCCATTATGCTCAACATTATCGGCGGCGCCGCCCCCGACACCCACCTCAAGGCCGCCGAGGCCGCTCTCTCCATCCCCAACGCAAGCATCCACCTGTACAGCAAGGGTGCTGCTAAGCCCGGCCGCAAGATGGGTCACGTCACCGTGACTGCTGCGTCGATGCACGAGGCTGAGACTATCATCCAGCCCCTCGTCAACGTCGTCGACGATATCCGCGCTCAGCGCACTGATATCAAGACCAAGGCTGTAGCTTCTGGTCCCGGCAAGCCCGCTGCCCAGGTCGCGGTTGTCATGGGTTCCGACAGTGATCTCAAGACTCTTGTTCCAGGTCTTAAGCTGCTCGAGAGCTACTTTGGCCTCGTGCCCGATGTCGAGATCACTTCTGCTCACCGTACCCCGAACTACATGGCCGAGTACTCTGCCGAAGCTGCCGCCCGCGGTATCAAGGTTATCATCGCTGCCGCTGGTGGTGCTGCTCATCTCCCCGGCATGGCAGCTGCTCACACTGCGCTCCCTGTCATCGGTGTGCCAGTGAAGGGCAGCGTCCTGGACGGTGTCGACAGCTTGTACAGCATTGTGCAGATGCCTCGTGGTATGCTTCCCGCATCATCTCTCTACTTATCTCGAACTTGACTAATTAATCCTAGGTGTCCCCGTCGCAACCGTCGGCATCAACAACAGCATTAACGCCGCTCTCCTCGCTGCCCGTATCATCGGTGCTTTCGACCCCGCCATCCAGCGCAAGGTTGAGGCTTACGCCGAAGAGGCTCGCGCCGAGAACATGGAGAAGAAGGGTACCAAGCTCCAGGAGCTGGGTTGGGAGAAGTACTTTGCGCAGATGTAAATCCACAATGTGTGAATTAGATCTGTTCTTGTACAGACAGGTGGGTAGAGTCTGTCAACAAAAGGTAAAGGAAAAGAAAAGAGAGGATTTTGAATTGGTTTAATTTTGCAGAAGATATACGTTGTCTTCTGCTTGTACAGCGGAAGGCGTTTTTATATCAGATTAGACTCTTTAAAACTCAAATTTTGAGATAAAATAATAATAAATTATTAAAAAATTTCTCTCTTTATTTTATATTTAATTATAATTTGTTTATGTAAATACGTGAAATAAAGATACGAACGAATTTTGGTAAAATATATTTAGTAAATGCCCTCCCTAAAAATAGTCAATAAAGATGATGAAATAGTCTGAACCGTTTTGAGAAAAATGGAAATAAAAGTATAATTGGCGCGTCTTAGTAGGCTAATTAAGTCGCCTTTGACGTTGTCCGTATACAAATTGAACAGGCTAATTTGCGCAAGAGAGTACAAATTGAGTGCGCGGTTTGGCACCTCGATGTCGGCTTAGCTCATCCTCATGCATGCAGAAATCATGAAGGGTTCGACTGTTCGTCGATTAAAGAGCTACATGAGCTGGGTTTAATACGTCGTGAGACAGTATGGTTTCTATCTTCTAGAGGAACTTAAAGTAGATTAAAGATAGCCTCAGATTAGACGACAATGAATGACTATTAACAATTACACATATGTTACGCATATGGAAAATATACCGGGGTAATACGAACATCTGTATTAAGTGATGCCATACTTTATCCTATAGAGCTGAAATGTCGTTTTACCAACCCACTTTCTGCATGCAGTGACCTGTCTCATTCCTATATAGAGTGTAGCCCTAATAATGGATCACTGTGGCTGGAGCGAGTGGATCGAACCCGCCGGCCCACAGGTCTCCACGCCGTCGGGTCTAACATCCATAGGGCTGTGACAGTGGACTGTGATAGTGGAATCCCGACAAGGCTACAAGTAAAGGTACAAATGAGATGGAAAAGACTAGGAGCGTAAAACCATAGTAAATATTGATTGCAAAACAGCGGCGCGTTATAGGTATTTATTAAGCCACCACCAAGACAAGCCCATACTCATACAAAAAACATAACGATAATGCATAAGGGGGAAATCATAACAAAGCACAAAGAAACAAAAAGCCACAATAGAGACATAAACATCACAACTGCCATGATATCCGTCCAGCCGTCCATGTATCCTTACAGAATGGAGCTGAGATGGAACCATTGCTTTTCATCGATGGCATGGCAAGTTTAGTAGTTGACAGCCGAGCCGTTGGTCACCTGAGTAGTAGGGATGGTGGTGTTCTTAACATCACTGACACCCTTTCCGTTGACAAAGGCCTGGTCAACTTCGTCGGAGAAGCCGCGAGAAGGGTATCCGTCGAGCTTAGTACCGTGAGCAGTAGTAGCGGAGCCAGAGGCACCAGCTGCGGCGGCGTTACCGGCAGCACCACCACCGGCGACGGCGCCAGCCACACCGCCAACACCACCAGCACTGCCAACACCGCCAACACCAGTAGTACCGGTAGCACTAGCACCGGTAGCGCCACTAGCACCGCCAAGAACGCTATCAGCGGTGGTGTGGGGCTTGCGAGTAACTTGGCCGGCGGAGGGAATGTTCTTGGACTCGGAGGCGCTGCCAATGCTGAAGATGGGGGACTCCCAGCGCTCGCCCTTGGCGGCCAGGTCGGCGTACTCGGTGGCTTTGGTGGAGACGCCACCGGGAAGGTGGACGTCGGGGAAGATGGAGTCATGGAGAGTCATGACGGTCTGGACCTTGGTGTTCTTGACGACGTCCTCGGCTTGCTTGGCCTTAGCCTGGCTGCGGGCGCGAATGGCGTCGGCATAGCGAGAGAACATGCTAGGAGCGTTCTCGGGATCCTCGCGCGCGGCCTCGGCGGCCTTCTTGGCTTCGATGGAAATCTCGTTGGCATATGCGTCGGCCTTGTTGAAGGCTTCGCGGATCTGGGCCTCAACGACCTTCTCCAAAGCGGGGCGGACAACTCGGAAGAGCATAGGCTTGAAGGTGGAGAACAGGACCTTGTGCTTGGATTTCTTAAGCTTGATGTCGAGGTTCTTGATGTTGACGGAGACCTTGTCCAGCTTGACGATGTGCTGCTTGTCGCCCTTGTTGACGGTAGAAGCGGCAATCTTGAAGCCAAAGCCTTCGCCGCTGAGGATGATGTCCATAATACCGGTGTCGGTGATGGAGGGGAAGCCCTGCTTCTTCTTGATGTAATAGCTGACGTCACGCAGGTCGGCCTGAATACCGGAGGCGGCAATCATGATCTTGTTGTCACGCTTGTTGGAGATCTTCTTGCGGCCCCAACGGAAGTAGTTGTCGCTGCCGAACTCGACCACGTTGGGCATGAGGTTGTCGCTCTCGATAACGAGGTTCTCAATCACAACGTCGACCGTAGGGTCAGACACCTCGATACGGGGAATGGGAACGTAGCGGACGTTCTCAAAGATGCCGGGCAAGATGATGTCACGGAGATCCGTGAGCAGGTGCTTCTTGAAGACAACCTTGCCGCCAGCATCGCGACCCAGGTCCTTGAAGAGGGTCTGAACAGACTCAGCCAGAGCCTTGTTGCGAGGGTCCTTATCGAACTGTTCGGCAAGGAACTTGATCTCATCGATGATGCGGTCACTGTGGGAGCGGTAGCGCTCACGGATCAGGTAGCGACCCTTGTCGTACAGCTCGTTCCACTGTCTGGTGGCCTCATCCTCCATGATGAAGCCCTGCTCACGCAGACACTTGCGGATGTAGGTGTCAACATTCGAGAACCAGCCACGCAGCTCGGGGTCCTTGTCAGCATCACGGTAGATGTTATCCAGGGAATCGAAGAAGTCAGACAGGGAAGTGTTGTTGGCGAAGCGCTCGATGAGAGTCTACTGAAGTTAGCATTGAACTGAATGCCAGTATGTATCAATACTCACGCGCAAATTGTACTCAGCAGCCTGCACGCTGTCAGTGGAGCGGGTGTCCTTAACAGCACCGCTGCCCTGAGCACCGACGTGCTTGGTGTGTCCAGCGTACTTCTCGGCCATATAAAGAAGGGTCTCAATGGCTTGCTGGTCTGGATTTTGTCAGCATTGACTTCCAAAAGAGCGATGAAATACGTACAGTCGGCGTGGCCTTGGACCTCAATAATCATCTTTTTCAAGCGCCAGATGGTCTGCTCACGACGCTCCTTGGGGATCTTCTCCGAGAGGTATTCCTTGGTCTTGTCGGCATACTTCTTGGAACGACTCCTCTCTGAGGGGGTGACAGAATCGGCATCGCCGCCTTGATACTCAACAACAGGAGCAGAGTCAAGATTTGCCTTGTCCTAGCACGGGATTAGCACAGCTTCGGAAAAATGCAGAGATGTATAAGAACTGACACCCTGGGATCTCTTGAGGCGGCTCTTCAGGTCATCCTTGGAGACGTTCGGCTTCTCGTGCCACACGTTCTCCTCAGCCGGGGTATCGATTTGGGCGAGCTGATCCTCCGATGGGCGCACTTGGTTGGCAGCCTTCTGGGAAGCATCGGCGGCGATATCGCGCAACAAGACAGTTGCGTCGCTCACTACGTAAAGTCAGTACAAAGCCCATAGCATCCCCATGATATTACTCACAAATCTTTCGGAACTCTCCATTGGTGATCAAGAGCGTTCCCAGAGTCTTAAGACCCTCCAGGGTCTTCTCGCCGTCCTGCCTGCCAGCCTCCTTGGAGATGGGCATACCGGGGGTCTTGACATCGCCGGAGGTGATCTGCTGGGCCTGCCAGATGAAGTCCTGCAGAAGCTCGCCCTCGTTCTTGGTGAGGAGCATCAGCTTGGCCTGCTCAATAACATTGCGCAAGTCCTTGACGAGGACTTTGCCATCGTCGGAAAGGTCCGCCGGTGGCGATGAGAGGGCCTTGGAGGCAAGGGCACTGTTCAGGGCGACATCACACTGCTTGTTCTGTGGTAGGGAATAGAGATCAGTATGCGCGTTTAAGCGGAGCCGGATGCGGTTCAACTAACGGAGGGCAGCTTGCTCTTCATGAAGGCTGTAGAAGCTTGGATTAGTACTTGTTGATATCCAATGATAGTGAAATTAGCTCACCATGGTAGATTCCAAACAGTTGGAGCTTGGCGTTAATGTCCTAAGGGAATGTGATTAGCATGTTGACTGATGACCTCATGATGCTTCATTCTTACCTGCTCCTTCTGCTTGGTATTAGTGGGACGGTTCACGGCAGGAGTCATGATGAAAACCCGTGATATCTAGAGGACTGGGGGGTTTGCAAGGAAGTAAATTCTAATGTTCATTAGCTAGCGTTTGCAATGGGAACAAACAAGACATACAAGGGAGATTAGCAATTAGACTTAAAACAAGGGGGTATCACTGGAATGTTGAGGGTATTGTTATGGAGGAAGGAAAAAAAAAGAAAATCAGTTGAAAGGGATGGGCACCTATATTAAATAAAATTTCAAATCCTAGAGAAAACGAGGAAAAAAGGAGATCGTCTGCTACGTAGGAACCCATTCTCTCAACTTCAATACGCAACCAAATTCTGACGTCATGGTTGTGTTGTGCCACAACGGGCTCACATTCCCTCCAATAGCTTTCTGTACAGCCAATTGCCCAGTCCGACTGGATTTTTCTTGTTTAGGTTGTCAATTAAGATTCTATATAGCTACAGCTAGTCTGATAGAAGCTCTAAGGTTGATTAAAGTAGTCTTGGAGGGCACAAGCCGATATGCAGGAAAGCAAAGCTCCAAGTTCAGAGAGTAGTTGGGCCCGTCCAGGCTACTAGATTCCTGTGGTTTCGCCCCTCAAAGTGGGCAGAAACGACGCTAGTGCGCCCTTAGCGCCTCCACATTAGACCTCATCGAGCCTTACGATCTGCACCTTTTTCAAGGCTCGATCACCCTTACTCAGTCCTCCTCTCAGGCTTGAGCTTGGCATGGGCTTTCGCTCAGGTTTTGGCCAAGGAGTGGTGTCATAACCCGGGCCTTGAACCCAAACTGCCTCCCACATCAGCTTGACGTCAACCCGACGAGATCTACCTTTGAGTGATCGGAAACGGCGACGCGTACTGCAGCATGCAGTATTAAGTCAGTGGTACCGATCAAGCACTACCCGCTTTTCGTTCCAAATTGCATGACGCTATTGATTCTCACATCTTGATCCGCGGTCATGTAGCGATATGTTCAAGCTTGCGTAACAGTCTGTAGCTTCGAAGGCTTTGAGTGGAGACTCCAAAAGGATCGACCTCCTCTTCTCGTGGCTGCATGTGGCTCACAGTGGCAGTGCTGATTTTCGGAGTTCAGATTGAAGAATCGTGATCCCCTTTCATGTGTACGGAATAGGACAAGAACGCCTACGCTCCACTATTGAAAAAGAGTTTTCGATCCCCAGTGATGTAACCTGGCGCTCGCCCATTGACTTCCCCTTGATGTACCCCTTTCCAACTCCCGTTCATCGGCCCATATGAATGATGACATACACGATCCACAATTATACTGATGGATACCTCATGTGGAGAAATTGTAGTCGATTATTGTCTCACAATCTCCATGCTATAATTTTCCGCAGCACTTGATTCGATCTCGGGTCTCCATTCTTTCATCCGCAGGCGTGGATACATTATCCTTATCCCCAGAGCATGTGAAACCCAAACCCAAACCCAAATCAATTTAATACGAGCCTGAACTCCTTCAAGGGCTTCAAGGTACTATCTGCATCCCAGTACCGCCGACTATCCTCCACAACCCTCTCCTCCCATCCCCCTTCAACAACTGGCCCAATGACCTCCACCCTAAATTGTCCCTTCTCGAACACTTCCCGACACGGTAAATCCATCGTAAGATTCTCCTCATTCCCAATTCCGATAACACCCTGCAATGCCTTCTCCGACGCAAGGTAGACCAGTCGCCCGATATGCGCCCAGTAGATTGTCCCACTACACATTGCGCATGGTTCCCAGGTTGAGACCAGTGTACAGCGGGACAGGTAGTCCCAGTCATAGTTATCGGCTGCGTTGCGCGCGAGTTCGCTTTCGGCGTGTCGCACATGGGAGAGGGAGTTGGAAGTCATTAGGATGGTTGTGTTATCTGGGGCGAGGAGGAGAGCTGCGAAAGGGCGCTTGGAGTGGAGGTCTTGGGCTTGACTTTGGAGGGATAGGCATTTTGATGCGCAGGCTTGGAGTTGCGATGGCTTTAAGGGGGCAATTGCTAGAGTCTTCATGTTTGCTTGATCATGGTAAGACAGTCTCTCCTGAGATAGATGGCCTTTGTCCCATGAGTCGAGATATATACAGTATGTTGTTGGTATGCCCGGCGGCCTCCGACGTGAGGGGAACGTGCAGGGCTACTTCCCCTCATTTGTCTATACGAGTGTTACGAGTCACGGAAGAAGAGCAATTGCGTGTAAGCATATGCTGGTATAGATTGGGAACAGATATATACAAGGTATCCCCAACAATTATTCTATATTATATACAAATCATTTATTCATCAAGCCAAACAATCGTCCCTTTCAATCCTAGCCCTGGATGTAGAATTAGGGGTCCCTGTAGAGCTGCGCGGATCGTGCGAAGATTGTTTCGACGGTGCTCGAATACGCTGTATCGCAGTATTCTGATCGGAGTCTTCTAAGATACGCGCCTGGCTGTCGCTATCCGCGGGCGGCTGATTCGGGCGGAAGGAAAGATCCACGAAATCCGATAGGTCGGTAGGATTCGAGTTGCTGCTCATCTTCTCTGCAAAGACGACCAATTTATTCAAGATGGCGTATTCCAGCTTGAGTTTGACGCTGTATACCATTGCCTTCAGTGTGAACTGGATATCGGACATGCCGGTGTATTGAACGGCGATGACGGATGCATCCATGAGGACCATGGCGAGGTTGACGACGAGGAGTTGGACAAGAATGCCACGATAGTGGCCACGAGGACGGAGTTTGAGGAGTCGGACGGCCTCGAGGGAGTAGATAGCCGAGAGGATGACCTCTTGGATGGAGAAGCCTATGAGCTGGATGCGCTCAAAGATATCGAAGCCATGTTTAAAGAGAGCAGCTTCGCTGGTGTGACTGCCGAGTTCGAGGACGGAGCCGGGGATGTGGAAGATGATCGCGTCGACGATAATCATGATGAGGGTTGCTCGGAGGATCTTGGGATTTTGGACGACAAGATGTAATCGCGACCAGAGGACCAGCGACTGGCCGGTCACCATGCCAACCCAGGCGATGAGTTCCATGGCAATAGAGAAACAGTTGTCGTAGATATCGTAGATGACGAGAAGGTATCCGAGACCGAAGGGAATGATGCTTATTGATGAAATGAGCAGACACCAGAAGTAGAGGCCTCCATATCGCTTGAAGGTTGTGAAGCAGAGGACGATGAGTTCTAAAGCGTTGTACCAGGCGATGCCGATCAGAACGGCTACGGCGATATGCTCAGCAGAACCGTCCGTAGCCGATCGACCGGCAAGGGCATGTTTGCTACCGGAATTGATACTCGTCATGAGGGCATACTCAAATTGGTATGGTCGTGTGCGTGGGGTTCGGAGTGCCCGGGGGAGCAGATTTACAAAAGAAACATAGCTGGAGCCGGAATGGCACCCAAAGAGAGGAAGGATGAGATGTATTGGAGAATTAGAAATCACCTGGGCATATACATATGTATATGAGGGGTTGGATGTGCCCCAAGGGTAATGGAGATCGAGAGAGAGAGAGATTCAAAAAACGAGAGATAAGAGGCGAAAGAAAAGGTACGAAGTGGAGACCGCCAGCCCCATGGTAGATTTAACTTAAGCATCATTGGTTCCTGGGCCTGATATTGTGGGGGCTTGAGATGGCGTTAACTCTGTAAACCACGCGCTGATAGGCGACTTGTGGTTCGGCTGAACGCTAATCAGAACGCCCCGATAACGGCGTTTCAACGAGAGAACCTTGAATTGTAAGCGTTTTATTTGGGGATTTTAATATGGTCTATTTCAGCCTCGATTCCTAAAGATTGATCCATGGCTACCTCGATCGGAGTCGCAATTTCGAGTTTGGACTGGTTCACGTGAAGATTCGGTGTTCACGGGCGGAGATAAGAGATCCTTATTACGAGTGGCTAACTCTGCTCCTTAGTCAACCTAGTAACTTGGACCTTGGCACGCTCCGGGGTAAAATTGCCTCCGGGCGCACTCAAACCTAGATAGTTCCAGGCTCGTGTGACTCTGGATATAACAATTTTACCTGGAAATGTCTCATAATCAAACACAGTAGAAAATCCGAACCGGTCAGTGCGCAGTGTATCGGAGTTGTGCGCTCACTGGAAATATGAGCGGACTCGACAGTTTCTTCGATAACAAACTTCAATTGAAGTCGATCTTCCACTGTTTGAGTATGATTTACATCCACAGGCCCGGGGTAGCATTGAAATTCGTATTCGTAAAGTATATCGGCTGCAGATTCCATTTATAGGTCTCGGCTAATTTCGCACGCGGACTTAGGCCAGAGCCGCGCGTCTTGCCACCTTATTACAACAGCTCACCCCAGACTTAAATCTGAGACAGCGTTCCAAGCTTGAAAATCCTTGAGGTCGCCGGTTTTCACCTTGATATTAAGTGGTCACATGTGCCACCCTGGATGCATACATATTTCAAGGCATAACGGCCCTGCAGCCTTAAAACGTGAAGCTGTTTCAGATATATATTTCGAACCTTAAACAGCCCCCGGAGTTGTGGAATGTTCCTTCTTAGTCTTTAATTCAAACATCGACCCGGTGTTTCATCTTTATACGCATTAGGAAGCTCGATTGCGATATCCATGGACTTCAAGTGGCTGACGCAGTTGCGCGCGTGCAGCCAGTGTTCATTTATCAGCCGTATTTATCTATGGCACTATAGACAGATCTCTGAAAATGTATACGTAAATTCTACGTTGTCTTCGAAGGTTTAGCTAGAACTTTCTACGACTATATCGAATACCTGAAAGTATTTAACGATGGCCCTTCATCAATACCCATGGACTCCAAGGCTTTCACTGGCCATCTATGCACACGAATGTGGAATGTCTCGCCGCCACACCTGGGCAGTCCACATAGCTGCAGTCTTTAAAGCTTCCACTTTCTGAATTCATTCAATTTTGGGGATTGTCAACAAAGTCATATGGAAAGAGAATGCAGTTGCAATAACCCACGTTGTTGTAGCCACATAGTGATATGCAACACTACATATCTGATAGCCGTGGTATAGCTAAAGATTGGCTAGTTTATGGTGGCCACAGAAATAGTAGTTGGAAAGTGTATCTTATATGATATGATGACTGGCTTTTTTCTGGCGGTAGGTTCCCCAAAGGCAAAGTTCATCGCTCTCAGAGAAGTAGTAGAAGAAGGGTTGCCCTGCGAAGTAGAGGCCAGCATTGCTTTGACTGAATAAAGTCCCTCATGTTCAGGTTTTGGCGCTGAGCATCACGAAATCTACTTGAACCTTCCAAGAAGTGTATAGACGTGTCAAGCTATGAACTCTATATATGCACGTGAGTACATACCCGAGCACAGACAGACATGTCAATCAGAACGAAAGGTGCTCCACTTCTTCCCCACTATCCGCGCAAAAGCCACAACCAAAATCACCAGACCAAAAAACAAAAACATAACAGGCCCGAGCCGTGGATCGAACACGGGACCTCGCGCAGGAGTGCTTAGAGTTGCTGCCCTAAGCGCGAATCATACCACTAGACCACCCGGGCTGTTCATGGAGATGACATCGAGCGGACAAACCAAAAGCACAGCAGTGTTGTCAATTCAGTCAGTATAGCATGGGGAGCACAAACCTTGATAATCACGCCACTCATCTGGACCGGGCTAGTCTCAAATTGTGGCAACGTGGGATCTGTATGTCACAGCTGATTTCTGAAGAGTAAATAAAGTTCCGGGTACGAAAAATGGATCGGGGTAAACATGAAGGGCACGCAGGGCAGAAGTGTGAAATGAGTTGAAAATTCCAAAATTCCGGCATCACCGTAATCGGAAAATTTGTCCATTTAGAGGCATTAGAGCATTATAAGGAAAAGGTGAGCGGCGAGGTTTGAGAATATCCAGATGTCTTGGGTGTTGTGGCCAAATAATGAAGCCGTTGAGGCTCTTAAAACCAGAAGAGCTACAGCGAACAAGGAGGGTAGGCTGTAAAACACGCATCATGTTCATATAATCCGTAAGGACAAGAATCCTGGAAGCAATTGCCACAAGTTAATGAATGAAATGCTGTATAAGGGAGTGGCGGAGAAGAGAAAGTCTACAGGCAGGAGAGAAGGCCCCGGGGGCAGTAAGCCCTTAGATGTCTGGTTTTTGTTTGACTCTACGCCCGTAAGTTAGCACACAATGATATAAGAACAAAGTCTTCCTACAGCTGGGTTAGCTATCGCAGAATTGCGCAAAGTGTGACTCGTGGCCAATTTTGCATCACAGAAAACAGGCTTCACGAAGCCATGTCTTGTAAGATCAACCCATGGCAATTCAAGAACCATGATTGAATATAACGCGATATGCAGGCCGGAGACAATGAACTTTTTTTGGTACATCGCCTCTGGATAAATGAGTATCGCCCTCAAATGCTTCCAAAGTCGCAAATTGTTTCTGATATCCCGGGGCTGAACATCTTGCATCCCATATCTCGACTATTCGAGTATAGGGATTTGGGGCTGTTATTGATATCCCTGTATATCATCTTTGTGGAACATTGTCGTATGACTCGGCAAAACCAAGGATAGGCACTACCAAAGCTTTGAGAAGTCAGTCTTCTTGTGAATGGACATTAGTTGAAGGGTGCATACCTCTTTAATAGGTGAAATAATCAAGCATCAATTTCCTTTGACACATATCTGCCAGGAACTGGAATGCCTGCAGTATCCTTTTTATGCAGCCAGAGAAACCAAGGATTGATGCTTGATTGTGAGTATATTCCCTGGCATACTGAAGGAAGACACTGAGTCTGTAAACTTTCAGAATTCGACAGGGCACTAGACAATATTGCAAGGTAAACAACCGGCAAATATCTGCCGAAGCCCTCAAGCCTCGTGTTCCTTCGACCCGCAGGATAAAATAGGCCAAAGAGGGTTCATTCTAACCGGAGTTATTGCAGACAGGACGTGATAGAACTGTCCCGCTCAACTCAATAGCCGAAGGAGACAAGGGACCATTCACCCCCTATTGCAGATGATACTTTACCCACAAAGATCGGGTAATAGTTTGCAAAACCCGGACATCCCGGACCACAATCCGGAGAAAAGAAATCGAACCTGACTTAGCCCGCCTTGTGCAAGCCTTTGGGGGCAGTAGCTTTTCGGGGCTGACCTGACAGGAAGCCACCGCAGTAAACACGAGCTTGAGTGGGTAGTATAGGCATATAGAGACTAGCGGTAAGCCTCTTTCGCCACTATATCAATCCTAATCTCAGCCGTCCGACCCGCCTTTGTTCCGGGGCCAGCTTCGAGTTTGATATCGGCGTGCCGTGATGCACTGGGCATGTCCCATGTGAAAGTGATAGATGGTTTTGTTATCATAATTGTAGTGCATTAGTTACAGAATTCCCCATGTGAAACTTGATAGTAACGGCAGATCTGATCTGCAGAGGGCGCACCGATCCGGATGATTCGGAAGGTGGCGTTTTTGGGTCATTGGGGCTCAGGCCCCTGTCCGGAAGGTTCTGGGATTTTATGGGGCGAAATGGAGTTTATGATTTCAATTATTGTTCGCCATCTTCAGCTACAATCTCCTTTCCTCCACAGTGGGGAGTAGAATTTTGTGTTCGTATTTCTTTACCTTAGTATTTTTGATATTCGGTAACTCTATTCATTCCAATGCATGCCAAATGAGTATTGTAATCTAGGAAGCTGGGTATTGTTTGCAATACTATTAGTTTGGGGGGGTGGTTTGTTTCATTTGAAATTTAGTCTTTGTTGACAATATTCATACTCCTTAGGTACTCATACTAAGCATCATATACAATGGCGTGAGCCAAGGCCATCCTTCATCCATGGAACAGCTACAAGCCCTTCGAGCTAGGATCGCCCGCGGGAGGATGAGTTCGTTCCTGACCCAAACATCAGCCATTGGAAATCTCAGACGTGGAAATGACCAGATAGGTGGGTCGATGGCGATGGCGATGGCGATCAGGCATCGTGAGCCTTTCAGACGCTCTTGTTGGGAGAGAAACATAATGTGAGCGGCAACTAGCCAAACTCAATCGTCATCCCGATCCACCTTTTTGTTCGGGCTCGCGGTAAATTAAATCACCTGATTAGTATTGCCATCAAACATTGGTTCATCATGGATCTCAGGGTTCGCAGAAATTAGGATTGTCGCTTTAGCTCAGGGTATTGAATAAGCGCTGACGGGAAATCTCCGGAGCTGCGGCGGAGTCATAAAATTATGCGGCTAATGTAGGGTCCACGATGGCGAATTCGGTTACACGCATGCCGTTGTGGTGGAACTGACTAGTAAAACGGTTGTGCATGGAACTTTTGGAGGTTCGATTGCGTTGGGCACAATTTGACGCTATTGATGGGCTATGCATGAAAGTACGTGGAATGAAAGACTTCTGGAATTGTATCGGTACCCCTGGCCCGATGATGCAGGTGGCACACTCTATCGATCGTCAAAAGTCTTCTGCCGACGGTGGCTTGTTTAGACTGCCAAGCTGGGAATAATATAGCGAATGGTTTGTCCATTTTTCAGGGCTTCCTGTCAACCCGCGCTGATCTGCCAATGAGATCGTGTTCCAGAAAGCCACATTAGAGGGTTACCCACGTTGAGGGAAGGCAAGATGCGATCCGGAGAAAGTCATGATTGGGGGGTCCGGAGTTTTCGAAACTCAAACCCGAATCCATCTAGCCACAATAAGTTAATGGGACTTCTGGCAGACCCACTACGGGGCTCTATTGGTCAATTGAAGATCTTTGATTGGGTACGGCTTCTTCTTATGGTCATTTGTCTTTACTGAGAAACCTTAGCAAGAGAAGTCCGGCAGTTGTTTTGCGGGCGCAAGGGCCCCTTTTACTTTTGTTTTGTATACTTTACAACTAGGCATAATCAGAAAAAGAACCTGTATTTCATGGATTGGCAGATATGCATCGGCAATTGCATTACAGTATGACGTTCTCAAATTTAACCCTGACTCAAAATTGTGAAGTTTAACAGTCAATTTTCCGGGTGAACGGCTCAGCAAGGGAATCCTTTCTACATCAGCTGGAGATCTGCAGTAATATTGAACATAGCGCGGAGTTATTCGGGGGCCACATGGCCCATATAAGCTTAGACTAGCCAGCCACAGTGCATAAGAGTGGAATAGGCTTTTAGACCCCTATCCATCCCAAAAGGGTGCCTGCAGATCTTAATTTGGGGAAATGCCCTCACTACACCGCGGAATTCCGGTGATCTCCGCTTTGATACTGTTGTTCCACACATCAATTTCCTGTTTGGGAGCAATTGTTTAGCTTTCAATCGTCCTTTGTTGATCTGAAGAGTGTTTGAGCGTACTTGATAGGGCTACTAGATTGCATCCAGCCTCTGAATGAACTATGATGCACTGAGCGCATCACCATCTGTCTTCGACTCTGCACAGAACTTGGAATGAATTCTGATGTCAACCCGCTGCTCTACGAGTATTGATCCCGGGAAATTGCTGTGAATCCACTAGAGGACCCTGTTCTGGATTGTGTTGGGGCCATACCCCATGTATTAGGTTTGACACCATGGAGATGCGTATCTATCTAGGTCCACATGGGTATACTTTTGTAATTCAGATTTTGAGGCGCTGACCCTAGTGCAAGATACTGACCCGCCTGGATAATTGGGGCACGAGAAGTTTTCATTTCGATCCCATAGATCCCTGATCGACTCTGTATAAATACAGCTACCTGCTCTTTAACTTTCCTTTCTTTCTTCACACTCCTACATCAGTCATTCCTTAGTCAATCCGACTCTAGTCATTCTTTTATACTATACCCTAATTTTCATCATGAAGACCTCTTTCATCACCATCCTCGCCACTCTGGCTGCCAGCGCTCTCGCTGCCCCTACCCCCTCTACCGGTCTTGCCGGTCTCACCAGCCTTGTTGGTGACCTGACCAAGCTCCAGGGCCTCGACGGCCTTGCCGATGTCCTCAAGGTCGGTGATGTCACCAAGGAGCTCAACCTGGACAACCTCCCCGTTGTCTCCAGCCTTGGTGACCTGACCAAGCTGCTCAACCTCCCCCCCACCGCCTCTGCCTCCAGCACCCCTGCTGTCCAGGATGGTCACATCGTCCAGAACCTCGGCCCCCAGCTGAACAACGTTCTGACCATCACCGGCACTGACCTCCAGCCCCTGCTCATCGAGCTGAGCCCCGAGGTTACCGCCCTGGTCTCCTCCCTCGGTCTCGGTGCCCTTGGTGTCCCTCTCGGCTCCATCGTCGCTTCCGCCAGCTCCCTCGGTGACCTTGTCACCGGTCTTGGCCCCCACGTTGACGGCCTCGTTACCGTTGTTGGTGCTGACGTTGGTGCTCTCCTCATCTCTCTCTCCCCCGAGGTCGCTGGCCTTGTCTCCGGTCTTGGTCTCCCTACCGTCGGTGTCCCCGTCGGTGCCGTCGTCGCTACCGTCGGTAGCTCCCTCAAGAAGCGCAACCAGATCGTCGGTGACCTCGCTCCCGAGGTTAAGGAGATCCTGACCGTCACCGGCCCCAACGCCAAGCAGCTGCTCATCAAGCTCTCTCCCGAGGTTGCCGCTCTCGTCTCTGGTCTCGGTCTCCCCTCCGTCGGTGTCCCCGTTGGCCAGGTTGTCAAGACCGCTGCTAACGTTGGTGACCTCCTCGTTGACATCTCCACCCCCGTTGAGAACCTCCTGAAGGTCGTCAACAAGGACGGCAGCGCTCTCCTCATTGAGCTCTCCCCCGAGGTTGCCTCCCTGGTTGCTGGCCTTGGTCTCTCCGCCACCGGTGCCGCTATTGGCTCCGTCATTGCCACCGTTGGTGCCAACCTGTAAATTAGATAAGTCGCTGCTTATCTAATTTAGCCTTTGTTTTTACGCAGCAATGGATAGCGTTCTTGGGAGCTTTCTGAATACCCTGCAACATCTTCTTGTGCATATATTGCATCTATTGTGACACCTGGAATGGTGATTTCTTTATGAGTTTTGGAAGATCTGTGTTAACATTCCAGTCTTCACTATATTTTTTTATTCTTAATTTTACTAGACAAGCTTTGCTCTAGAGCAGACCTTAGATCGAAATATTACCCTGAGCTGCTAGGAAAGTAAATAAAATATATCCTTTTCCATCGTAAAATACTTTTCAATATTCTCGGAACCAATAGATTGAATGCATGGGCTTTATGAAGGAAAAATCTTCAAGCGTAATATTGAAAAAACCCCCCTTTGATATGTTACGTGTGACCTAGAAAGCTAAAACTAAGATTAGATGTACAACAGAATAATATTATGAGAAATAAAAACTCGGGGTCAATCTTGACCATCTTTTGCTACACAGTGTTGCTTAAATCCCCCAACCACTCTCTGAAGACCTTGTCAGTTACGATTCAAGTTTCCTGACACGCTTGACATATGAACGACTGAAAAAGGATGCGAAAAGGTAAATCAAGGGAGCCAGGTACACCAGAGTCACAAATAATGCAAGTGTCTGCCCACTATTCTGTAGACATGGAGTTGCTTGGACCTCGAAAACCGGCTCAGCAACGGGCACAGAAGATATATTATCAGAATGGTTACTCATGACCGGCTGAACTTTGCTATAGTTTGATTGCGTCAGGCGGCCCCCTTCTATGTTTGTAACTTGGCTTGTCGAAATGTCGTATCCAATAAAAAGATAGCAGACGGCGATGGCTCCACCGAGAAGGAATTGGCCAATTTGCAAAGTCGTTAAAGATCTCTTGATTGAGACGGGCACCCGGAAGCCCAACGCGGTTATCGAGAAATAAGTGTACTGGATTTCTCTTATTAGCTATCATCCATTTGGACCAAGAAGGATTGCGTACCATCAACGTATGAATTGTGGAATTGAGAAGAATGCCGACAAGAGCAGGCGGAGATGCATATCGGACGCTTGCCCACATGCAGAGCATGACGCCGGCATGGTGGTATGTTTGGAGGAATGAGCTTTGTTTTCCTTTCGCAAGGATGATAAAAGTGTCAACCACTTCATAGAACTTGGATATATAGAAGAGCCATGAGAAATAGCCAACACCAGCACTCCATATATGATTCGGATGTTCCATGAAGGTCATTGGCATGCTACCCAGCATTTCAGGACTTTCAGAATAACCGAGTTTACCCGTTGGAGTGATTTGGCAGATTGTATTCGCAGCACGAGCGACAAAGTTCGGATCTGACATGGATGGCCAGCAATTCCAAAGCACAACGCAGAGACCAGCGAGCGTCCATGCTGAGAATACAGCAAGGAAGATGTTGTGAAGTATTACTAATAAGTTGAAAGGCGCTGTCGTAGCAAATGTCCAAGGTCGACTTCCTCGCGTCTTATTCAAGTTGTTGAGTAAAATGACAGTCATCATATAGACCGAGGCTATTGTGATAGGTGCCTTGACGTCTGCAAGATAGCGAAAGACAGAGGAGGGAATTTCAATCGGGTGAAGCCATGTTGCTTTGGCCTGTGTATAGGGAAAGTCTGCTTGGGAGGCATCACCGGGAGGCCAATCGAAGACCTGGCGAGGAGGGAGCTGGAAATGCACTAAGAGATTGGGAATAGACATTTCAAAAAGAAAACAAAAATCACGTCAAAGTCTCAAGAGAATTCCTCGCGGGGATTTTTGAATTCAAACGACGGGCAGTGAATGATTGTTGTCCTTCATTTTTGGATGGACGAGCCGGAGAATTTATGTTATCAGATTTGAGAGAAGGGTTCCAAAGGTTAAGACCGCATGAATAGGGGAATGAGCAACAATTTGACAGATCTCAGGCACGCGGTATCGTTTGACTTTGATATATTTGCATATCATTGATCTTGGTATTTGACAAGATTAATAAATGAACAGAAGCAAGGGACATGCATCATGCAAGCCGGGGATTAGACCTGGACGAAGACTGATACGAATACGTAGTCACCTCGTTTATACCCTGAATGGCCATTTTGTTTACCAAAATTCCACGTGTGATGCATCGTTTAGGATTAAAATTGTGAGTTTGAATCCTGATTTCGTCAACAAGTTGTAAATGAGATTATCCATAGAGGTCTGCAAGAAGTATTTCAACAATCTTGGCCTTTGTGATATTCCGACGGAAAATCCCAAACCCTTCTCAGATGTCTAGCCAGGGCTGGTACATTATTTCTAGGTTTCAATGAACATGGCGGTTAGTTCCTAAATTTTAAAGTAATTACACTCTCCGATACTAAAGTAACATTTCACTCATTCCTTGTCCAGATCAGGTTCTCATACGAAGGCCCATGGAATCCGATTAATCTGCCAATCTTTCATCCAGCAGCTGGACAGAATAATCTAGTTTAAATTTTCAAAGTCTGAGAGAGCCTCGCCAATCGCATGGTTGAGAGCAAATTTTCGGCCGCATTGGAGTGGGCATGGATTGCGCTCCCATGGAACAATCGTGTAGCATCCTTGCCAACATTCTGTAGCAAGAAGCTTTTTCCGCCGGGATGTTGGTCCACAAACTGTGCAACATCGTATACAACACCGTCGACAAGAAGTAGAGAACGACCCTTGTTGACCATCTGAGTATAATCTTCACAACTCCAGACCGGAAGTTCTTCTATTGGTGCCCCCCAAGATATCTCTTGGCGCCGGAGTTCAAGCTGGCGTTGAATTTGCTGGTATTTACCCTTCTGAATCTCGTTTTCGGGGAACCGCTTCAAGTCCGAGGCCAGATTGACTTGCGCGCAGAGCCAGATAAACCACTTCGTCGGATCCCAGTGAAACCATCTAATCCCATTGCGGTAGTCCACTGGAAACTCGTGATGGAAATTGTGATATCCCTCTCCCCATGTGATCAGAGCGACGAAAAATGAGTTTCTTGGCGAGAGGCGGTTGGCATAAGGTTGATCCCCAGCCCAATGAGCTAGAGAATTGACGCAGAAGGTTGCCTGTTGGATCATGAATAATCGGATGCAGCTGGCCCATATGAATCCTCCAGCAAAATCACCATACATAAGCCCACAGTATAATGTTGGGAGTATGATTGCGGTCAGAAAGAACAAGGGAATGTAGTGCTTGCGCTGCCAAAGGACGATTGGATCGTTCGAGAGATCCTGAACGTCCACCTGGCCTGTTTGTTCTCGCTTGCGTTTGATCACGACCCATCCGTAGTGAGAATAGAACAGCCCTTTGTGGGCAGATTATGGATCCCTATCAGTATCTGTATAGCGGTGGTGGGCTCTATGGTCTCTGCACCATGTTCTGATTGAGCTTTGTCCTGCGCTGGTGCTGACAATTGCGAGTATAACTTTTAAAAAAGTTCCTGCAGAATATGCCCGATGCGCCCAAAGGCGATGATATCCTATGTTCTCGTCAAAATAAGTCCAAGTAGAAGAATGAGTTGTGTTGTTCACCTGCGGTGACGCTAATCCCAGATGCTGTCGCATAAGTAAAGAGAAATATTCCGGTGCGAAATTGGAGTGGTACCCAGAGGGTGCCGATTATTATTGCAATGAGGGGTGCTCCGCCTGTTATCCATAAACGCAACCAGTCAATTCGAGAGCTCAGAGCTCTAAAGCTCCCTAGCATCTTGACCAGATTTGAATAAGGGTAGGAAGTGACCATCTTTGTGTGCAGGCAATGGTGATGTTATGGCACACAAGCTAGAGGAGGCTTATATAAAAATGCATGAAAGTATAGATAGTCAACAAGGTGACATGATTTATTTGGATACTTAAACTCTCCGAATCAGATAAACTTCGAGGAAATTCAAGAAAAAGATATTTACGAAGTTAAGTGCATGATTAGAAAACCCCGGCCTTGGCAGTGAATTTGGAGATGTGACGAGTTAAACCTTGGCAGAGACAGTCAGCCTTCCTGAGTTTGTGATTCCGCCCAAAGCAAGGTGGCCGAGCTATTACGACTACATGAGCAAAACAAAGTAAGATGATAGAATAACTGGGATAGATTATTATGTTTCCCACATCTTGTTGCGCCAAAACATTGACATGGCTTTTCAAATGGCCGAGATCCTTCAAACCCTCTGTCATGCATGTGCCCCTGAAGTCAGAGAACAGTTATTTTCCGAGGTCTGCAGGCTACATACTGTGCCAATGCCAGACCATACTAACGTTGCTTATTCTTGATAAAACTGTTTTGTGGAAATGAGAACACTGCAAGACACTCCTTACTTGTTGACTTAGATCATAAAAGCCTTTTGCTCCTACTATTAATTCCAAGCAAGGGCCCATTCAGGCCAGTCACAATTGACCCCTGGCCAGCGGAACACTTATGTGTCTGATTGACAGCCGAGAAGACTATGCAGCAGATTCCTCAGAAAGTCAACGAGAGAAGAAGAAACAGTCCGCGAAAGTTGTTGACGCGGCCACAGTTCTATTCTCCCTCGTGAAGTCAACAATATGGAATTCCCATGCTCTGAAGATTGTCAGAAGGATGAAAAGAAGAATGGAGTTTTCGTTTCACAGATTGTCGAAAATGAAGACAATTTTACTATCACAAAACAAGATACTTTGACGCTTTCGGCGATGGCTATTCTGAGCTTGATGGCAGCGCTGGATGGGACGTCTATCTCGGTTGCTTTGCCGGTATGTATCTCGCCCTTTCTGCCAGAAAGCTCTTTTAACCTTGGCATTGACATGAACAGATCATGTCCCATGAACTTGGAGGAACTGCAATCGAAGCATTCTGGACCGGAACCTCCTTCACACTTTGCTCTGCCGGTGAGCAAACCCATTCACTTAAAACAAGAACCTCTGTACTTACACGGATCTAGTCTTTCAGCCTGTATTCTCATCATTGTCGGACTTATTCGGTCGGAAGCCGTTGGTGCTTATTACGATTGCATGGTTTACAATTGGGGCGATTATCGCCGGTGTCGCCAATGATTTCACTCATATGCTTATTGGGCGGTCTTTGCAGGGAATTGGCGGAGGTGGTATCATTACCCTCACTGCTATCCTAATTGCAGATATTGTGCCTCTCAACGAAAGACCGAAATACTTTGGTATGCTTAGTGCGATTTGGAGTCTGGGAACCGTGGTCGGGCCTGTCATCGGAGGCTGCTTTGCAGAGAAAGTCACCTGGGTACGCATGAAGCAGAATAATCTCTTAACAAGGATCACATTGACAGTCATTCTTAGCGCTGGATCTTCTATATCAACTTTCCATTCATTGGAATCGGAGCAATCTTGCTTGCTTGTTCGGGCGGCTCCTTGACTACAAAGGGCGCTTTTACCGTCCAAGCGCGCAAGATCGACTTCGTAGGGATCGCTCTATTTATTCCAAGCTCTGCTGCATTCTTAATACCGCTGACCTGGGGAGGTGTCCTATATTCCTGGGACTCATGGCACACCTTGGCACCCTTAATCATCGGGTCTGTCGGAATCTGCGTCTTTGCGATCTATGAATGGCGAATTGCACGACTACCGATGATCCCACCGGCGGTTTTTCAGAACCGAACGGCGCTCATATCATTTGGAGGCTATGCCGTAGTCGGCCTGCTCGTTTGGTGTTGTCTATACTTCCTTCCCCTCTACTACGAAGCCGTGAAAGAATTTACCCCTATCAAGTCAGGAATTGCACTTTTCCCTGAAACCTTCACTGTCGCCCCGAGTGGAGTTATCATAGGCTTTATCATCAGTCGAACAGGCCGGTACTATTGGGCCGTCTGCATCGGATGGTGTCTTTCCTCTATTGGAATGGGCCTGCTTTGCCTATTGGACACAAACACCAGAGCGGTAACCTGGATCTTGCTGAATATTGTGCCTGGAATCGGTATCGGAATGGTTCTTCCCTCTGTCGCACTCGCAGTGCAGGCTTCCGCAGCTACTGAGGTCTTGGCGATTGCGGTGGCCACATCGACTTCTTTCCGAGGGTTTGGGCAGTCTATCGGTGTGGCTATCGGGGGCGTCATTTTTCAAAATCGAATGAAGAGCAATCTGTTGCAGTATCCAGCCCTCCAAGCGTTGGCGGATCAATACAGTGGCGATGCAGCGAGCGCGGTGGAAATTATTCGAGGAATGGATGACAATCACGTTAAAGGAGACCTCAAACAGGCTTATGCTGATAGCCTAAGAATGGTCTGGGCATTTTGCTGTGGCATTTCTGGATTGATGTTTTTCGTGAGTCTGTTCACTAAGTCATACAGTTTGAACCGTGGGGTCGTTACAAGGGTGTTCATGGAAAAAGAGAAAGTAGATGAAGACGGGGAATCGACTTCCTAAAATCTATCGCAGGGGTATTAGAACGATTTTCAACTTTATCATTGTCAAGTCAGTTAATAGTACTTAGGATCAATTGATCGTCAGTTTGGCTTGCCATAATTCCGACACCAATCAATTAAATCGGCTCTTGCCATCTAAACTCATCAAAGCCCATATATACCCCCCGTCTCCCCATTCATAGTGTCAGCAGCACCTCCACACGCCGCGATACTAGTACAGTTCCTATTCTTCGAAGCAACCATCATATCCATAAGCCAATTAATACCCTCAGCCCGAAAAGTATCCGGCTCCGTATACAGAGTCTCATTGATCGTGAAAACATAGTTCCTCGGCTCAGGTAGCGTATAAGGAGGCCAAACAGGAACATCCGGGCCAATCTTCTGAATAATATAATTTGGGTCTCCGCTATAAGCGAATCCAATCCACATGGCGCTCATTATTTGAGCCATTTTGACTAGCTTGTCACTATTCGGTCCACCGAGCGGGGGAACGGTACTGCCCAGACCGGGAAGGTTATAGAACGTCAACGGGACCTCCGACGCATGTGTGGAGCCCTGAAGATTGGTGTATCCATTCGGAACGATGTTGAAGTGGTATCGGTATACCGTTGAGTTGTATGCCGCCATAGATAATGTCGTGAGCCGGGTAGGTGCGTCCATGATGATGTCCGTCCCAACGGCACACGAGCGCTTCCACTGAAGTCCGTACGTATCGCTGTACGGAGGGCGGCCTTGGTAAGTGGTTGGGATGCCAATCTCTGGGATGTCAGGATAGAGATAGCCAATAGTAGCCAGGCTGGCGTTATCGATGGTCATCATCTCTTTGACGAGGTAGGCGTTGAGATCACTAGCGTTGTTAACAGGCTTTGGGCCGACGGTCGTGCCTTCGTCGAAATTAGTGCCGATGAGATATGGGACACGTGCAAATTTTCCTGATTGTAGTAGGACGCTGTTTGCTTCTGGGATGAAGTCGCCGTCGACGGCCATCATGAATTCACGTGGCGCATTCGAGCCGAAGGGGTCGAGGGTTGTGTTGCTGAAGATGTCGATGAGGGTCGTGTTGGATACTTCACGAAGACATTGTAGGCTATCCTTTGCGGTGCTGCAGCCTGCTGCTTTCACGAAGCTGTCGTATGTTGGTTGCCACAAGCTCACATCTGCGGTTGGCGCGTACCAGACGGGTGCACCGCTTTCTGAAATGGCGCCGTGGAAGAGGTTGGCATTGTCTCCGCCATATGCGAGGAGTTGAAGTCCCACTGACTGTGCTCCAGTGCTTTGTCCCTGAATTGTGACGCGTGAGGGGTCTCCTCCGAAGGCAGCGATGTTCTCCTGGATCCACTCAAGCGCCTTGCGCATGTCTCGTAGCCCTAGGTTGGTGTTAAGTGTGTCTTGTATCTCTTGGCTATACATGAAGCCCCATGGGCCTATTCGGGAGTTGACCGCGACTCCAAGGATGGGGAAACCGATATCAGAAGAGCGTTGAACAATCCATGTCTGGTTGAAAGCCGAATAGTAGCCAACACCACCATTGTTGAAGCCGCCTTGCTCAAGGAACACCTGGCCAAGATTTTAGAGAAGTTTCATGGGCTGTGTCTTGCCAGAATAAAGAATTGGAAGGCTCACCATGACCGGGAGATTTGCTTGTGTGATGTTCGCAGGGCGAATGATGCCCATGTATAAGCAATCTTCGGACATCTACGCATGTTAGCCAATCTAAACACACAAGAAGATACAAGGGAAATTGATGGAAAAGAAAGACATGGTTGAGCTGGGCAAGGAATGGTCACATTGGTATTGTAAGCTTTGAAGAGCCTCGAGTTAGTTTTTCAAATAAAAATGAGTGTACATGCATAGAAGTCTTACTTGATGCAACACATTCCTTGGGCCAGTCTACAGCAACGCGGTTGCCGGGCCAGGTGGTATTGAGAGATTGCGGCTGTCTGAACCGCAAGTCCCCTAGAGGTGGCTGTGCATAGGCAACTCCATAAAAGTTGTCTGTATTGAGGACGGGGTCATGGAAGCCAATATATGTGCCGTTCTCAACCTTCACTTTTGGAGCAGTAGAGTTCAAACTGCGAGGGTTTAGCGTGGCTATGATGCCAGGAGTCAAACAGGCCCAGAATAGTAGACAAAAAGTAGATTTCATGACTCCGATATGTTTTGCGTCTCAGAGTCGAGCGGTAAAGTACAAGCAATAAATTCCTTGAAATATGTGTACAGAAGCAAACATCTACCCAATGCAGGGTTGTTTGGAATATTTATCATTGAAGCGCACGTTTGCAATTTATACAAGGGGTAAATACTAACCCGCCGCAGGATCACTCCATCTACTTCTCTCCTATCAGTCTATTGACCCTGTGGGGAACATGCCGGGTTAGGAAATGTGACACCACTCGGCATAGTACACCCCGCATTTGCCCCGCAGAAAATGCACCAAGCAGGTATTCAACCCCGAAATGATGTCCTGATCTAGCTACTTGAGGTTAGAATCTAGGGAATATTAGAATTTAAACCCCCAATTTTATGCAAGGTCATGGTTAAAATGACCGAAAGCCACGGATGACGGAATTTACAAGATCCCGACATTCAATCATTCAGATCAACTCTAATTGCCGGACTACAAAAGCTCCATAACTACTTTCCAAAATCCGAAACTATCTCCGATATGGGTTTACAATTATAGTAGTTTTCTTCGCTCGGACTCCTCGGAAAATAACCATTACTCTCAACTATGAACAGCCCATAGCCTACCACTATCCCTCCTGTCACCTATGTATCCTGGCATACCCTCCAAAATGCGCCAGCGTATTGCTGAGATCAAATTAACCTTGATCTTCTAATGTCTTCGATAATCATAACGTACCAGACAGGATTCCCTCTCACATATACCTGCGCTTCCATCGGATTTACATGGAGATTCATTTACCAGCGAGAGAATGAACTAATATCATTAGACATGTAACCTCCACAGCTCTATACTAGCACTCCTTCACTGCCACCAGAATACCTGGCGAGTCACGCGCCGGTGCTCCGAGAATAAAGTCCCGACTCACATCGATATCGCGATCACGTTGCACGCCAGAAACATCAAAATCAAACTGCCGGAACACAGCTGCTAGGATCAGGACCAACTCAGCGCGAGCCAGATTCATACCCAAGCAAGAGCGTGTTCCCCGATTGAAAGGAACCAAGTATCGATCCAGCCGCTTGCTTTCGGGAACCAGCCACCGCTCGGGCTTGAAGACACGAGGCTCCGGGTAGATATTCTCATTGAGATGTGTCAGCATGGCCGTCATGCCGACAATGGTATTTGCGGGAATAAAAATCCCCCGGCATTGGAGTGGACAATCAGGAAACTGACGGCTTATTCGATGAGTGACGGGGTCGGATAGACGCAGGCCTTCTTGAATTACAGCTGTTAAGTAGGGGAGTTGTTCGAGAACGGCTAAAGAGGGGAACTTTTGTACGTCTGGAATGGCAGTAACAAGCTCTTCGTGTAGCTTTTGTTGTATAGCTGGGTTGGCGGAAATGTGATAGGCGGTTCCTCGCAGAACATATGCTCTGCGAATAGTCAGCTTTCTGGGGGTGTATTTGTGGCTGAAAGAATTACGTTGTCCCAGAACCGGCTGTCACTAAGCTCACGGCTTCATCTCGCAACCTGTCTCTTTGTCGTTCCTCTGGGGGGAGTTTGCTTTCCAGTAGTTCGTGAAAGACTGTGCGATGTAAGGCTTTCTCATGGGCTGTATCCTCACCACTTCGGATGGCCTCTACCTGTCGAGATAAAGCCTACATAGGATTTCAGTCAGCCCTCGGTCATCCCGTTTTTCATGCGACGTTCTTACCCGGCGAAAGTCTAAAATTTCCGCCAATGCAGGGGCTAATAGTTTATTGATGTTGTCCTATTCATGCTGGATTAGTTGTGGATCTATCCCATTCAGAGATCATAGTAACTCTACCGGCAGCGAATATGTAAAGCGCATCACCCATGGAATGTGGATATTCAGCAAGCTGACCTCAAGAAAGCTATCAAGGTCGTCAAACCCCTTGCGGCCGAAGTCGGGCTGGTGCACACTGGAGGGTTCATGGGCAAAGCAATAGGCATTGATAATATCCAGGGTCACCGCAGCGTAGAAATACTTCATGTTGACCATCTCGCCCGTCTGAGCAGCATGGTGCAAACGCTTTCGCAGAATATCAATGGGGCGCCACATAACGGGAACGAGGTCTGTAACGGACTTCTTGGAAAAGAAGGGGCTCAAGACGCTTCGTCGCAGACGGTGTAGGTCATGCGATTGGGTACCAATAGTCTAGGTCGATTAGTAACCTTCTCCGTATGAACTTTGCCTGTACTGGTCCAAAAAGGGAATTCATACAGCAGGATAGGGTCCAAATGCTTCTGCAACCCGCAGAGGTTTTTCTGCACGGCCATTGGTTTGATTAAAAACCTGGTCAAAGAAATCCGGGTCGTCGATATGAACTTCATCGGGGTTAATGCGAATGATGGGGCCTTTAAGGAATAAACAATACATTAGTACGGCCGGAAGAACGAGGGTATGTGGATTCAATACCATATTTATCATGTAAGGCACGAAGCTGAAATGTAAATTGGCCACCCCGATATAAGTCATAGTACCATTCATAGAGATAGGTGACCTTGGCTAGTGGAGGCCCAGGGATATGAGCGAGAGAGTGAAAGTAGGTTCGATAGGCGAGGAGGGAAATGAGTGCCACGAGGCCTAGGAAAAACCATAGCAGGAGACTCATCTTGGCGTAGTGGAGATCAAGATCGCTGGGGAAGAAATGAACAAGATGGTTAAGCTATCTGAGTTGCCTCGCTGCTCTAGAGATCTCAGGTGTTGCGCATTGACAAGACTGATATGAACATGCTTGCTTACATATAAGGAGTTACTGTACGTAGATGGCGATGCAATACGAGGGGGCAAGGCGGAGTTCATTAGGGTTTGGAAGGCGTTGATAGGCGCCTGCTATTCTATTGATGCGGCTGATTGGGCACGGATCCTCTCCTTTGACGTCGCTTATGGACCTAAACGACCTGGACTACAGTGACGGTGCGGGCGCTCGGGTAAATTATTGGGCACGCACCTTCTAGAATGCAGCCACCAAGTGCTAAGATTCGAAGGTCTTTGATGTTCTATACGAGTAAGATATGTCAAGGCAAGGCGACATGAGTGCGGGGAAGGGTTCATTCGAATAGATCCCCGGATTTTTGGCCCCAGAGTATGTGCTAAGCTGGAGAAGCCATCCTGTTCATGCTTTGCTCCAACCAAAGCAACTGACATGCCGGAAGCCGTCTTGCAAGCTAGAGATATAATGCCCTTATGAAGTATAGCCGTTGACCCCAAAGATAAATCTATGATACCTTCTGATTCCACAGGGGAGCCGCACTGACCAGCCAAGCCGGCTGAGCGAGAGTAGAACGAATGATTTTGGGCCATAAGCCGCCCTGGATGAAACGGTTGGATCCCCCTATCGTAGTACATGCTTTACTACGCGTAGTGGGATTCCATATTTGTATGTATCCCTGCTATTTTGCACACCATCGAATCAGCCTTGGTAAATTCAGAACTAGCGTGAATGATACGACCATACATCCTACTGTCTTCTAAATGGCTGAAGTCACTTGCGTAAGCCCCTCAGACTGGATAAGCCCCTCACAGTTGTGCCCGATCTTCTCGATTTACACCGCATTTTTGTTGCCCGATTTTGCAAACACTACTTTAAGGAACATTTCCCGCAGATGTGGACTTCATTTCTTGACTCAACATGAATGATGATTGCTTGAATATTCCTCCTTTCGTCCCTGACTTGGACGATAAATCCGCAAAAGTCTTCCATGATCTTTTCCAACGCCTACCCACAGCCGTGGATCGATTATTGGAGAAAGAGCGACACGGTCATTTGAGAGATCAGCATGGGCGAACTTTCCTACATTATGTCGCCCAATACAGGCAAAATGCGACGAAAAATATTTATCCTAAGTGGTTGGATAGATCTGACCGCAATTGGGAAAAGCTTCTGCGGCATTTCCACTATGGAATTATAATTGCTGATGCGTATGGTCAGACAGCGCTGTCTTTAGCGGTGTGTGATCCCAGTATATCGTTGGACTCTGAGGTCATAGATATGTTGTCTCGGCCACCTTGTTATGACTCCATTAATACATGCTGGCCTGGGGATCCCATATCTCTCAATTCTGACATCGACAATGGTCACGGAGATGAAAGGTTTACCTGGACCATCCGTTTTGGCGGTTCACGAACTCAGCATCTATACCTTACTGCAAAACTTGGAGGTCGATCACCGCCGCCTAAAACGATTCTATCTCAAGATATCCTTGATGCAAGTTCCTTGCACCAGAAAGGTTATCGGGGCCGTTCGTTCCTGTTTCATGCGGTTGGCTGGGGTAACGAATATTTTATTCGCACTCTGCTATTGATGGGTGGAGCCACTTGCGTAAATCATTTTGACGGGCAGGCTGAGCCACAAACGGAATCTCCGTTTCTACGAGCCATAGACTTATGCCACACCGGTATCGTCCGCCTCTTTATGACCAAAGACCCATCGGCTTTGCAGAATCTCTTGCTTTGGCTTCTTAAGCAGCATAATGATCCAACAGCGCGGTTAGAAAAGATCATCCAGATGAACATCATAAGCAACGAATTGAGGGATTTTAGCCTATACAGTATCATGAAACTGAGACTACCTTCTGTTGTTCAGCTTTGGTTGAATGATGGCGCTTCACCAAAACCTTTCAAGCTTAGAACAGATTGGTTTGATCTTTGGGGAAATGATCCTTGGGTAAATCAAGCACACATGCCGGTGTCGGTGGAGCTAGAAGAGACGAGAGTTGTGAAGAATGGCAACCCGACAAAAGCACACATTCTCCGGTTGCCCAAGTCAAATACTGAGGCTTTATCGCATAGCTGTCGTTTGATCAGGTGAGAGGACACTTGATCTTTATTCAATAAGTGGAATTGAAATAGTCACACAAAACAGGTTTTACCAAGACCCGCTACCTTTTTTTGATGAATTATCTACGCAGATGAAGCACGAATACGAAGTTCGAGTAGAGGAAGAGCTCGAAGTCAGGAGGATGATATGCCGAATCCGTCTCTTGTTTCCGAATCCAACCAGATTTTTCCTGGATCTCTTTCCGTTGCTTCCAAAAGACATGATCATCAATCTACAAAGCCGCAGTATGTTGTGCTTAAAATGGACTAGATGGGAGGATGGTGGAGCTCTATACGAAAGTGGGCTTTCAGCCGGTCAGATTCCGGAGAGCGACGATGGGTTCATATCGTACCTTTTGTCCGACTTTGCGGTCGAATGGGAACGTCTTCTTGAGAAAGTTGAGGAGCGCTTTGATTTTCATGTAAGCAAAAAAATATTCCAAGATGGCTATCTTCCAAGGGATGCACATACTAAGCAGAGTAGTCTACCCAATATGACGCTGATGGAAGAAAATTTATTCTATATCTATCGACAGAGAGGAGATTCCTCGCCCACCTTCGTCACTCTCTTCATCAACATCTGAAGTCTTTATCCGGCTTGATTGAGGCCAGTCGAGAATTCTATCGCAGATACTTTGAGTCGTCAGTCAACAAGACCTCAGAGGATCAGCTAAGCGAGACATTAGATGATCAGCTTTGCGTGAAGGCTGTTCTTCACGAATGCGAAAAAAAGCTCATGGAGAGACTTGAAAAGCAAATTCAAGACATTCGTGATTCTATTCAAATGGCAAGTCTCTAGAGTTGAGTATTTCGAGTATTTTGCACTGACAATCTAGAACCTCGCTGAAATATCCGTTGGGGAAACAACCTTCATGAAAAGAATTGGTCTTGTCACCGTGGGTACCCTTGAAAGCACTGTTACCCTGGTCCTGGTCCAATCCAACAATGTTACTAATTTCCCCCATTTTATATGCAGTTTATTTACCTGCCGTTGATGTTTGCCGCGGTTCGTGCTCGATGCCATCAGGTGTTATGAGCCTGTTTGCTGATCAACATAGAGCCTCTTCGGCATGAATGTCAATGTTTTACAAACCAATCCCGACTGGCGATGGTACATCCTATTCAGTGTCGCATTCCTTCTTTTCACGCTTGGGCTCTGGGTAGTTTCTGACCCGGTGGGTTCAGTTACTTGGACTGGCGTACACTTCACTGACTGTCGTTAGGACTTTAAACTTAAAAGTTTACCAGGAAAGGCACATATTTTTCTTCAAGGAAAATGGGGCGATTTCCTATGGCGCTATGAGGAAAATAATCGGGATGAGGCATCAGAGAAGGCAGTCCCGTCCGTCCGAAAAAAAGCTCGCCTAGATGAAATGGCTTCATCCAACTGTTGATCACGCCAAAGACGGTGTAGTGTCTTCATGGCTTCTAAACTTCATATAGCAGATTGAGCGGCGCAATCCGAAGCCTAAAGATCCAAGGCGAATTATCACTTTGCTCTGCTTAGGTCTGGTTGTATACTTTGCTTCGACCTCCACTAGTTTACCTCATTCGTAGGAAACATGATGCCTAAGAGGGGTGTCTTGACACCTGGTATATCAGGTGTCTACTTCGTCAACTCGTCTCTAATTGCCGTGTTTCTCAGGTGTCAGATTGATTAATTAATTGAGGGGTGCGAGCGAAGATCAAGACCCTATTTCAACCTCTTGATGACCTTGTTTAGCATTCCGTATACTGATACCTATTCTAATGCATCGAAGATGACATTTTTGCGCCGATTCCCATCTATAAACCTTGGGTAAGACTCGAGTCAATTCCTGAAATATTCAGGGTATTTAGTAGGGTTTGAGATTTGGGTCTAGGATTGCATGGTTCAATTCAATTAAGCTAGATGCACGTAACGGTTGGGGGAACAAGAGAAAATGAAATCATCGAAGCCAAGATAAAACCCAAAAAATGATCGTCGGACCACGGATATCTTGCTCCGCCGTGGATCCCGAGTTTGGGCTCACGAAGCCCAACTCTACCTAGATCCTACTATGTGTTACACACCGATACAGTACTTAAAAGATATGCAGCTTATGGGCCCAGTGTTATGCAGTATTGATTTTCTAAATGGAGAATATCGTCGGTTTGTGGATAGTAGGTGGACATAATGTGGACAATTGTGGACCATTTGACCCAATCTAAACGGCCTTGCAGTTGGACCTAGCGAGTTTTAGTGACTTTCAGCTGAGCCTCGTTTTTTCCAAGTGGATATGCATTTTGGTTGTCTCATCGCTCTGTGGTTTCCACAATGGGAGAATTTGAAATCGGGTTGACGACATAATCATTCCATAATCATAACTACTAATCTCCCCCCCACTCACGATATACACGGTTCTTTCCCGTCGCTTCCAAACTCCCTCTTCCCCTCCGTCGATCAAGATCTGGACCGAGGCCCCCGACCCATTTCGACCCCCTTTGGTACCCAGTTTTACCCAGTTTTTTCCCGTTAAACCGATTCTTTGGTCCATGTCGGCGTTTTGAACGGGGCCCGCCCCCCCCTTGCTAAACCCGAATTCGAACCCTCCCACCAGACCATGTCGACCTCGTCACGGGTATCTGCATTGGTGGAACTGATTTGAATCACCGGTGTTTCAATTTATCTGGTTCATCCTGTTCAACCTCCTCGCATGTGACCTCCCCTCTCTCTTTCGATCCTCGTTCCCCCGGGTCGTGGAGGTCAACCCACCCCCAAGCCATGACCCAGACCTCCCAGCTGTCCCCCGGCCAGCTTTCGCCGGAATCGCCCTTTGATCCACCAGACGGTCGCATCGCCCACACTCTCACCGCGTGCACCAGGTGTCGCCAGGTATGATGCAATGCTACCCCTCCTCCCAAACTCAATCTTCCCCGCGATGAAACGAACATGAGAACATGGGGAGATATAGAGACCGAAAATCATCTGAAACGGACAAACCCCAGTGCTGACACACGGCCCGTAGCGGAAATCTAGATGTGACCCTGGCATCCCTCGATGTGCGCCCTGCGAACGAAGCAACGCCAAGTGCGTTTATTACGACTCCACCCGAGACACCACTATCCCGCGGACCTATATCGTATCCCTCCGCGAAAAAGCCCGCGCACTCGAGAAAGAGCTCGCCGCCGCCGAGAAAGATATTCAGCATGCAGCTGATGCCGAGCTGATGGTACGGGGCGCTGGTCGCATCCGCTTTCAGGAAAATGACGAGCCTCGCTACCTGGGGCCCTCAAGTGGCATTGCCATGACTCGACTGGTCATGGAGATGGCGAAACAAAACACCGACTCGAAAAGCATCAAAGATGTCGTTCCCGAATTCACCGCCCAGGAAATCAAGGCCGCTTTTGCACAGGAAGACTCGAAGCCGACCTCGAAAGTGTATCCCATGATTAGCTCGATTCCGGCGGCTGATCTGCCTCGGGGGAGCCTTCCATACAAACTGATTGATCTTTTCGTCGCTAAAGGTACATGGGTGTCATTGCATGAAAACAAAGGCCTCCGTGGCAATTCGGTAGACTAACTTTTTATTTTGGTTTTTTCCAGCTCAAGCGTTGCTCCCGACTTTACATGAACCAACTTTTAGACGAGAAGCTGATGAGGTCCTAAATGGCTCTACCGAACCGTGCCAGAACTTCCAATTGCGCATGGCCTTTGCAATCAGTCTGCAAAAAATGAGCATCGATTTTGCTGGCCTGGCGGATAGCTACTATTTAGCTGCGTTACCATTTTTAGAACCAACACTCAAGAAAATGGACTTGAGGGCCTTGCAATGCTTGGTCTTGATTGCTCAGTATTCTATGCTGACACCGACACGAACGGCGGCATATTGGGTGGTAGGGACGGCTGGGAAGCTATGTCAGGACCTAGGATTGACCGAAGAAGCCACAATCACAACCTCCCCCGATGGCCGCGCCCTCAACTCGTTAGAAATTGATATGCGCCGAAGGCTTTTCTGGATCGTCTCATCGATGGAATTTGGACTTTCTCATTCTCTAGGACGGCCCAACTGCTACAGCGTCACTCATGACAATATTGATGTGAACTTCTTCGAATTAGTGGACGATCGGTACATTACAGCCGATGGCATTACCCCGGGAGCAAGGCCAGTCCTTGGCAAATGCCTTGCCATACATTTTTTCAAGATGCGACTACTCCAGTTGGAAGTTCGACGAGCTCTATATCTAACTCGACGGGAGACCCCAGTTGATGACCAGGATCCTTGGTTCTCCCACATGTCAAATAAAATCGATGAGTGGATGGCATCTTGCCCGAGGAATGACGATGGCAGCGGTTTGAATGTTAAATGGTATGTAACCCTATCTTTTTGATGTTTTCACGTCACGGCTGACATGTTTTTTGCAGGTTCCAAGGAAGGCGAAACACTATCGTCATTCTCATGTATCGGCCGTCGCCTCAGGTCCCGGAACCATCGATTAATGCGGCAAAAATATGCTACGAATCAGCAACCTTCAATGTTGCTATGCATAAAGAGCAGATGGTGACAGGCTCAGTAGACTTGACATGGATCTTCACTCAATCCCTCTTCATGGCTCTCAACACTATCCTCTGGACCCTTTCATACCCTGAAATTCGGAAAGACCACCCGATTGAGGAGGTCCAAAGCTATCTGGACATGGCACTGGAAGTTGTTGTCTACTCAGCAGAACGATGGCCCGGCGTGCAGTCTGCGCTCTTGCTCTACAAGCGTCTTGTCGCAGCTTGCTTAAAGGCGTACACCACCGAGGAATCATTCGTTGTGCATTCACCTTCGAATCACCCCACTCCAACCTCTTCGCAGGGGCTTACAACCCCTCCGGCCATGTCCAGTCCTTCCAGCAGTACCACTGCCTCCTATTACTCCCATGGTTATCGGTCGAGCAATCATGTGCTGAGCGATGATGCTTCAACTGGTACCTTGTCCAGAGGCCATTCAGCCGACCCTAGCCTACCCTTCTCCGAAGAGTCTACACCCCCGGCCTATGGAGATCCGCAGAAATTGATCGGAGTGCCCCCAATGCCAGCATTTGGGATGCCGTCATCGTCTACAGTCACCAACCCCCCATCCCAGTATCCACCAGAAGGCTTCTGTGCGCCCACCGCTCTCTATGCCGACGTTTCCATTGACCCTAATACCCCCTATAACTCGATGCCATCGGTGGTTCCCGGTGTTCAAGGCTGGGATCCTAATTTCTCTCTCGCCTCCACTACTGCCAGTCATCTGACATATGTCGATGCTACTGTTGATCCCATGCAGTGGACATACTCGATTGGGGACCAGTACTCCCAGTACTTTAATGAGCCATTCCCAATACCCAATTGGCGTGAGCGCACTCTCAGCCAGCAGGAACAGATTGAGCTGATGGCATCGCTGGAACAGAATATTCCCGATGTCTCAGCACAATTGGTCCAGGAATCTCATGCCTTTTACCAATCATAAGCATGACAGGGCTCCTTTGAGAATCGACCCGACTATTGGGCAACTATATTCATTTTGGTGTGACTGTAAGCCATCAGAGAATTTGGTGAGAGCTAAATGAGAATAGCTATTGGGAGAATATTTAGTTTGCTTACGTTGAAATCCTCTTACTCTCTCACCTTTTGGAATTGAAAGGTCTCTTTGATATATACCATAGCTGCTTAAATACTCGTGTGATACTAGATCAATCTAGCCCATATAAATCAATTTAATTCATAAAAAAAACATACAGTGAAATTCGGTTTCTAACCCACGGGAGTGGGTCTAGAACAGACGATAGGAGACCCCGGAAGGGTTTGAATCCGTGGTTCTTGACGTCTTACAGAAATGTCACGTTCACCTTCCTGTATTCAGTACTTCTTGATTGGTTTCAAATTCAATTGCAACGAATTAAGTAAAAGAAACCATGTTACTAAAATCAAGCAGTTGAAAGTCCTGTAATCTTTCATTCACTGCTATGGAAAAATCCGGAACTATGGGATACGTCCCGATCGGTTTTAGACCCGAGACCCGCGTCACGTGACTGGGCCCGTTTTGCCTCCATTCTCAGCGCCGTCTTCGTGAGCATCTGGAACCATCCGCCCTCCCCTCCATCCCCATCAACCCCAAAACCGGATCACCTGTGAGGTATTGAGGTCTCTGTTCATTCTGGAATGCATATGATCTAGGCTGTGGAACGACCTGCTCGCCCGCCTTGAGCGCCCGTCGATCGACCCCCCTCTCTTAACGGCCCAGCGCTCCTGTCGAACGCGATTCGGACTCCCGCCCGTGGAAATCTGAGTCCTCGACCCTCCTTGCCAGTGTCAGGCATTCACTTGCCAGCAGGACTCCCATGTCGGATCGCACCCATCCGTCCTTCCCAACCGGTCCTCCCTCGCCCTCTTCACCCGCTGCTGGGTCTCTGAAAGAGAGTCTCCAGCTTCCCATCTCCTCGGAACACATTCCTCAAACTCCGACATCCCCTCCGTTGATGTCGGTCAGCGATCAAAGCCATGTCTCCAACTTTGCATCCACCCAGGCATCACCCAACCAGGCGATTACCCACCCAAACACCTCTTCCCCTCCCTCATCTACCCCGATGTCTACACAGGTCTCCCAGCAGCCAACAATGAGCACAACAAACTCATTTCCCACCCCCGCAAGCAGTGTCAGTGGTCATCTCGTGAATGCGACGTCAGCGGAAGACGCCGATCACAAACATTTTAGCCCCGGAATGAAGGACTCAAGGACCGTGGAGGGACAGCAGGTTACAGAACACACACGAACTGATCACGACCGGCAACCACTTCAGATCGGCCCTGAAGCTGGTGTGCGCGATTTCGCCACCGGTCAGCAACCGACGGATACAGATGCCATGGATGTGGATAAAGAATCTGCGCCCCGGTTTGACCTCGGACTTGATTCACTTCAGAATGACTTCACTTCGGCTTTCCATCTCTGCAAAAGCTGTAAGAATCCCCTGAGTTTGATCACGGTTGCCGCCGTGGCAGTCGTGTGATTACACTGTCTTTTAGCGCATTCTTGAACCAAACTTGTTAACACAGTATTTCTTCGTGGCTTGACAGCTCCCATTGTGACTGGACCGGATCCTTCGCTGGATCTCATCTCCCTCTATGGGCTCAGCTCGGTTGCGCATTCAGTCGCAAGAATGGACCATGTGACCGGAGAGAAGATCAATCGGTTGAGAAAGTCTTACGAAGGCAAATTGAAGGGATTAGGACTGGCAGGTCGCAACAAGCCCGTGAAACAAGAGCCTGGCATGCCTGGCAGTTTACGGCATCTCACATTGTGGCCTGAGGAAGAATGGCAGAACCAGAAAGTGTTTGGCAAGCAGATCAAGGTGGCTGATCTGGACTCGGCGCTTCACAGTCTTCAGACCAAGGCTATGCATATGGAACCCGGCGCGGTACCCAACAATGACTTCTGGGAGGATGTGCTAGGCCATGAAAAGCCCGTCAAGAACCAGGGTTCCGGTGATACGGGCAAGAAGGCTGCACCCACTCCCGGAGGACGTCACACAGCTTATGGGACCGTCTCAGCTACGACGCCGCACGAAAATGAACGAGCTCGACCTAGTCGCGGCCGCAAGAGACACTATGATGACAATAGCTTTGTCGGTTATGGCGAAGGCTTTGCAGATGACGATGATGACCCCGGATTTTACTCCAATGGCGAGGGAACTGGGAAAAAGAAACGGAAGAAGGTACGAAGCGGAGGAACAGTCACTCATGACCAAGCTCTAGAACTAATATCAGCCATAGGATCATGTTTCCAAGGTTTCCACCCCCATGTCCGAACGCGGCGGCAGTTACGGGGTTGGCATGTTTGGAATCGGCGCCAGATAAGATTACGATGTCGGATTCCCTTCAAAAGCATGTTCTCCGTGTGTTTTCCCCATATTTCTTTCAAAAACGCTACGAGGCAATGGTGACTCTAGTACCATAAAAACCTCGGTGCCCTGTCTTGTTCTTCGATTTCTTTTATTACTTCTCAGTACATGTTGCATCACGGTGCTGGATATACCCGGCTTCATCTAACGGATGGCGTTCTGGCGGGGCGGGAATCAAGGTATTCCAACGCGAATATGACTTGAATATGCTTGCCCAGGTCTGTTTTAACTGATTTTATGCTTACTGCTTTCATGCGTGCGTCTGATTTCCACTTTCCACCGCTGTAATGGCCGGCTTTTCTTCTTGTTCTTTTTTTTTGCCCTGCAAATGGTCAGCTGCTGGACCATGTCTACTTTTCTCGTTCCAGATGTTTTGCGACGACCCCATCCGTATCGTGGAGGGTGGTTTTCGTATCCTTTTTCCCCATGGAGGAACTTGGTTATGGTTCTTCTTAATGTGTTTGATATTCCTTGATCACGACAGTGTCGGATAGTGAGCTGGTGCAAGGAGCCAGTGAATTGATTGAATAGATGAAATAACGTCAACTGGTAGTGAAGTATGGCCTGATTAAGGCTACGTAGTCTAAGTGGTGTTCAAGCGGTCGTGCCGTGTCTCATAGCTTGTCCTCTCCTCGTATGACTAGATCAATCTTTCACGTTTCAAATAAAAGGCGTATGATTGAGGATCTGAACTCAGCCCATGTCAGCGCTCTGCGGCACACAACAGTATCTAGCCCTGATACTCAAGTGATGCATACGCAGCCCAACTCCGCATCCGTGCCAGAATGGATTTCGATATTGTAATCGTGTGGAGGTCCAGAACAAACACCGAATCTAAAGAGTAACAAGCGGCTCACGGGCCGTTAACGCAGCTCGCAAGATATACGCCACGAACATGCATCTCACACGGACTTCGGTTAAGGGTACTCAGATGACGAAGTCGACGTGTGTTGTTCACTTTTTAGTCTTTAACCGATTAGTCTGCTCCCAGCTTCTTTTCAAAGGACTGCAGCTTCCATAGTTCCTGGTTGATACTTGAATGAAAGAAGCAGGAACCTGGGGAGTGTCTGGAATTACTTACACCCAGTTCGGTGTATGCCCTAAGAACGTATCCCTGCAAATTAGCACCGAGATCGTCACCTTGCATATGTATCATGTATAACCACGTCACAAGAGCCGCACGCCCTACACTGATTAAATCGGGCACGCACATACCTACAGATCCGGGGTCAAAACAGCAGTCTTATTAAAATTATCGCAAAACCCTAAGGCTCTTAGCCACGCGATAGTGGGTCATCCACCCCATCGAATCAGATACTGCGAGTACAGATCCTGAGACAAAGAAGAAGTCGGTAATTGTCGTGCCAGACATTACGTGGTCGTGCATGCGTCCAAGCCAAGTCCAGCCTCCACGGGATCACCGATAATTGCTTGTTCAAGCGACCGGGGCGCGCGAGGGCGTCAAGAGGCGCTTTTAGTGGATGTGTTGTCTGAACTTAGGGTTGTGGATTCAGGCCGAGTCTACACAACCTGACGTCGGCAAGATAAGACAAGTCGCCAACTAGTCGGTGGCTGCACCAGTTCCACTTTCAACATTGTCTAAATCAAGCGAGCCGATCAATGATCTGTTTCGCTTCGGCTCTTTTTTTGTTTTGTTTTCGTTTTTTGATTATGTTCTTTTATTTGCTGGTGTGCCCTGCTCCGATTCGCTCGCTCTTAAGCGCCTGTTTTGGCGTACCGCTATCGTCATTTTTAGGCCACGCAGCTAGCGTCTCCTACCTTTACGGTGTAGAGGTAGGGCTATGATTCGATTGACTGGGTTGAACTAGCCAACCGCTTCATTCCTATTTTCCGGCATGAACGCACCGACCGAAGTGCTTAGATCGGTACACCGAATGAGATATTGAGCCAGCACTGTACCGCTTCACGGTATAGCTTTACTCTTAACAAAGATGTTGGATTCACTTGGAGTATACTCCTTCTCAACTAGATTAAATTTCCCATAAACAGTCCACGGGTAGAGACTATTTGCATGTCAACAAACAGACATGATTGCGATCTATCGGCGGTTCTTCGAAAATGTTCCATTCCGACATTAGAATAAAATGAGGCTCATATTTGTTCCCCATGGATCCATTTGGTAGCTTCACCGATACCAATGGCGCTACTGCATGGCGCTCATGACTATCGTGCGCAAAGAACCGATCGGCATCTCTAGGTGTCCCCACGTTTGGTATGTTCGGGCCCACCGAATCCTGGAAGCCAGTTATTTCAGGGCGTAAGACGTGGGCCGGCTGTCCAGCTGGACTTGTACCTTGTGTGGTGTTTATTCAGATTTTTTTCTTTCTTTCTTTGTTTTTCTTTGGTAAATGTGGACCAACCGTTCAGCTTGATGATCCATCTGCCGAAAATGGAAGACATTGGCGATGGTCGGCATTTAGCATATGCATGCAATTATTTCACAACAATCTCGAGATGCTAGCTTACAGTTATAGATAAATACCTGAGCAGCATCCCCTCGATCCTGGAGGTTGAGTGCGGTTGTCTTTCGTTTTTGTTTACATTGGCTAGCAGCACCAGCCACTATGTTATCGGCAACATCTTCTCAAGTCACACTAGGGGAGCGCGAAAGAATTGCAGAAAAAGAAGAGCCAGAATGGAAAGCTGACTGGCGGTTAAAATGCATCTTTGGCGTCATTGCCTTGTTGAACTTCGTGACTGCCGTGGATGCTACATCTATATCCGTTTCATTACCAGTAAGTTATCATCTCTTAATCACTGTATGCACTATACTAACATCTCAGACCATCTCCACTGATCTTGGTGGAACAGCAACAGAAGCCTTCTGGGCAGGAACCTCTTTTCTTCTCGCATCCTGCGTATTTCAGCCCATCTTCTCTCTAGCATCAGACATCTTCGGCCGGAAATTCATTCTCCTCCTCGCCGTAACATCCTTCAGCATCGGATCAATTCTCGCCGCAATCTCCCACGGCTTCAATCTACTCATTGCAGCCCGATGCATCCAGGGTATCGGAGGCGGAGGTATTCTCGCCCTAACAGAAATTCTCATCGCAGACCTAGTCCCCCTCCGCCAGCGCGGGAAATGGTTCAGCATCAAGTTCGGAGCGTCAGCAGTTGGTACCGTGACCGGTCCTTTAATCGGTGGTGCATTCACTCAGTCCTCTGCATCATGGCGCTGGATCTTCTGGTTTAATCTACCCTTCTGCGGCCTGGGTTTAATCCTCATCCCGATCCTACTGAAACTCGAAAGGAACCCCGTCTCTATCCGTCAATCGCTAGCTAAAGTCGACTACTTCGGCTCTTTCCTTTTCGTCGCATCCGTCACTTCATTCCTTATTCCAATCACTTGGGGCGGCATAATGTACTCCTGGTCCTCATGGCACACTCTCGTTCCACTCATCCTGGGCCTAGCTGGCCTAATCGGATTTGGTCTCTACGAAGCATACATCCCAGCCCAGCCCCTCATTCCATCGGGCGTCTTCAGCAACGCCACAATGTGTCTATGCTACTTCGGCATCTTCCTCCACGGTCTCATCCTCTGGGCTATCGTCTACTATCTACCCCTATACTACGAAGGCTCACTTGGCTACAGCCCCATCATCGCTGGCGTAGCCGTCTTCCCCGAATGTCTCACCGTCGCGCCCATCTCCATCGTGACTAGCCTCATGGTCTCGAAGACGGGCGATTACCGGTGGGCCCTGTGGGCTGGCTGGCCCATCACAGCACTAGGTCTGGGCGTTCTCTGTCTCCTCGATGCATCAAGCAGTATCCCGCAATGGATCTTCCTCAATCTCGCTGCAGGTATAGGATGTGGAATGCTCTTTCCATCCGTCCAATTGGCCGTCCAAGCAGCCGCGAATAAGGAGATCATTTCCATCGCCGTGACGATGACGGCCTTTTTCCGGGTGCTTGGTCAATCTGTTGGTGTTGCGGTTGGGGGTGTGGTTTTCCAGAATAGAATCCTGGACAAGTTTGGGAATCATCCCGAGCTTGGGGCGGAGGTGCTGGAGTATGCTCAAGACGCGTCCAGCCTTGTTGAATATATTAAGGCGTTGCCTGTTGGGAGTGCTGCGCGCGTGCTTATTCAGTCGTTGTATGCGCAGTCGTTGACTACTGTTTGGGCTGTCATGTGTGGTGTTGCTGGAGTGGGGCTCTTGTCCAGCTTGTTTGTGAAGAAATATACGCTTAATCAATCTTTTAGTTCGAAGCAGGGGGTGAAGAAGGATGGTGCTCGGGAGTATGTGGGCATTGAGGGGATTGAGAATAAGATGAATGTGTGAGTGGAACTGACTGGTTATATAATTAATGTTAGGATTCTGGTTTTTGCTTCTGGAGGCGTATTGAAGGCTATTCCCAAGGACAATCGGGAGAATTCTGTATATTTGCCTCGGAGTGATTCGGGCCTGGTATCTGGTTTTTGTGCAAAATGTTGGAAAAGTATGCAATCTACAAAATACATTGGTTTCTACTTTTTAACTATCGATCCTTCATTTCTCTACTATGAAATAAAGTATGTGTCAAGGTAAACAGACACCGAAATTTCTTTCACTTCTTCCCTAGATGAAGAGTGCTCACGTTTCCAACCTTGAGGTCCACCATTTCCCCTTAGCGTCTTCATTCAAACATTTTAATTGCCGTAGTACGGTGTTAGTCATGCTAAAACCTTATATCTAGAGGTCATATTCACTTATATGCCGATATTGCATCCGATAAGTCAGCCACTGGCTTGGATGCTTAGTCAAGCCAGGTTTGGCCTTGGTCATGTGTGCCATTGATCGCCTTACGTCACCGATTTTACGTAGTCTATGTTCCTGATATAGGGCTCTTGAATCTGAAAGCTTGTTTTGTTGGGTTCTGTCTTGGTAATTCCAGTATTTAAAACACTACGAGTCCATGTCAGTGGCGGCTAACTTGGTTATCGGATCCACTCTAGCCACTATCGATCCGTCTAGCCGGTATGTCGTACTAGTAGACCCAAATTTACTTCTTGAATGCCACGTTCTTCAAAGGTGCTTGCCGATTTATCCATACGGATACAGTACATTGATACAGTAGTGCCACTTAGAGTATTGAGAAGTCTCTCAGGGTCTGAGGCGGCGCGATCCATCACCGAGGTGGCAGCCTCGGTTCCCCTACAGTAAAATATTACAGTAATTTATAAATTCGGTACGGATCAGTTCCTACTTCTACTCGGCATCATATATGATTATCACGGCCCGAATACTCGGTTCGGAAACTGATTCGTCTACGAGTCGGTCAGCAAAATATCTTAGTGATATCATATTCCGCAAGTGCCGGTCAAATTGCCATGTCTAGTTCACAAGTAACGAAGTTTCAATGGCAATGTGATACACTCAGAGCATATAAGTAGAGCCGTGCCCCAGAAATAAAGACACAGAATTCAGCCTCCTTTTCACACAACCTCCAACCACCTCTTCACTTCACCTCCAATATCTTCTTCACGCAATCAAGTCCTACCAATCACATCAAGATGCCAGTCCTCCCTGCTCTCGAAGGCTCAACCTTCAATGAAGATATCCGAGATCGCCACCTTCTTTACGACTACGCTGCCCAAGATGCACAGGGCAATCCCGAGAAATGGCGATACGAGATGTGGTTCTACAACGAAGACCGTATTGTCTACGCCATCCATGGTGGCCCTATGGCAGGCCGAAAGAACTTCCAGGCGGCAACTTACCAATGCATTCGCCCTGGGGAGCTATGGCAGTGCAACTGGCTGGAGGAGACCGGCACCATCTGTTCACTGGTGTTCGACATTCCCAATAAACGCATCACCACTCTTCTTGGGTTTTCGAAGGGACACTGGACCGAAAGCGAGGCAGCCCATGGCGATAAGCGCAACCCTGAGGATCTCGCAAGGTGGAGGGATTTAGCTAAGATTGGCGAGTCTCAGGCGGATCGGGTGCTTTTGAGCGAGCAAGCTGATATTTTGGAGGATTTCAGAGGCGCAGGGGATTTGTCACCGATTGAAATGCACTGGCCTTGTCTGTGAGGCTATGTCTCAATCATGAGTTGAGTCTTTTGTCACCAGATATCTTTCAATCCTAACCACCCAGAAGCATATATTTAGATCAGTGAGATTATAATAGCAATTATCCATCATCTCATAACTGACACCGTTTCACTCTAGGCCATGGCCAAGAATCTCGTCTATAGCCTTGCCCCCTTACTAATGTCCCGTTTGAGGATTCCCTCCATCCCATATGGTCCGTCCCACATACTGCTTAAAACACCATTACTTTCTTTGACAGCAGAGTTGAGGGGTATTTGTCTTGTCCAGCTCATCAATCGCTCATATACATTTCCATCTTTGCAACCCAAGGCACTGCAAAGACTTGCGTCAGTGAAGTCCCAGGCATCTGTCAAGGATATCACATCTGGCAGAAGGGCTGTCAGGAGCTCATCAATCTGCTCGCCCATGTCATGAATCTGAGACAAAGACAATGTCCCATCCTCTGTAAAAGAGGCCGGAGTAAATTGTGAGTTTGGATTCGTGACAGTAGTAAGTGCAAAGAGAGAGCAAAGGCGGGTAAGGACCGGTAAGAGACTCGGTTCAGCTGTTGAAATGGCATCCATATATTCTTTGTAGTATTGAAGAACAAGATATTCAATAAAAGCACGCCCAGCTGATATTATTGGCATCATAGCTCTGTTCCAAGCATGCGCTGGGTGCGATTGCTGAACATTCTTTTCAAATTGGCGATATGCAGTAACAAGGAGGCGTCGCGATCGATGAAGAAATATTAACAAGAGAACCGAGGCATCTTGTAGCTGATCCCTTCGAGCATCTTTGAAATCCGCATCAAACTTCTCGTCACGGAGGTACTTTCCAATCCCGCCCAAGAACCCTTCCATCTCTGGAGCTATCGATTTTCCAGTGCTGAATGCTCGAAGTTGCCCGAAGAGATATTTTCCTAACTGCTGCCATAGAACGTAATTTTCGCATTCGAACGTCATGGATGCAGACACAACACTTAGGATATCTGGCAAACCCGAAATAACAACATAACCATGGCCGCCGCACATTTGCCGTGCTTCCTCAACCCCAGCACAGGCCACGGTGGAGGACCATGCCTTCAGCCCGCTCACCAAGGCGTGAATGAACGGTAGTCGTGCGGAGGCACCATCTCCGGGGCTTTTCTCTTGTTGTAGAGCGTCATATTGATGGTCAAACTTTTTTGATGCAAAAAGAACTGCATATGCTTGTGAGATCAGGGTGAGAATGCGGTAATGTTGAGATTTGTAGTCCAATATAGCCCTTTCTTCTTGGTTTTCATCGGCATAAATGCCATGGCCTTGTAGACGCACAACCGAATAACGAGCTGTGATTGTGACAGACTGCGCAAGGGCAAAACTGACACATCTTGGGATAAGGCCCCGATGGTATAGCATAGTAGAATATGTTTTCTTCATCAACATTGTTTTATCAATGCTTCCTTGGGTGAATGATCCATTCCTGGTGACTTGAGCATGCGCACTCAAGAGGCTGTTTCGCGGAGTTCGTAAATTGTTGAACCTCGCATACCCATTGCAGGTCCCATTATAAGACATTTTCATGCCCTGGTCACCAAGCTCAATCCCATCGGCGGGTCTGAAATCTTCTATTGATCGAATCTGGACCAGAAACATATGAATTCCATGATCGGTAGGTGGCTTTCCAGTTATCAACCTTGCCACGACGATGGCATGGGAGCAACTAAGTCCTAGTCCCCCTGGCCAGTACTTTGTAGATGTAAGAGAAGGCGAACGGAGGATGAACTCATCCGTGTCGTGATCGAAGGTAGCTATTGTCTCTATACCACGGATAAAAGTACCGTGACCTAATTCTGTCTGCGCATATGCACCATTGACCTTGGCCCCGTCAATGAGTGGCAACCAATATTTCTGCTGCTCAGATGTGCCCTGAAGTTCGATAGCTTTGCGGAACATGAGCAAATTGAGTCCAAGAGGCGAAGCATTGGCCATCTGATATCTTTCCGTCATCATAGCGAAGTGTCGATGGTTATGATCAACCATGTCATTCATAGTAGCCCGGGCACGTCGGAGGCCCTCGAGATAGATTCCTTCACGATCGAGGCCTTCATAGACGCGAGGAAGGTTCATTGTATCTAGTAGATCGAGGAAGGATTCCACGCGCGAAAATGCTGCTCTTCTAGATGTAACTGCTTCTTTGCTGTGTAAATGTCAGATCATGCACATCAATCCGAGTTCTGTCGAATAAATACGTATCATAGATGACAGCAGCCATTTTTTCCACATCAAATGTTGCCTTCTGTCTAGCCTGATCCATCAAGACAGTCTGCCTATTAGGGGTCGCCATTATCAGGTTCTAGGGGTAATCGTAGGAAGCTTGGAAAAGAAAAAATATGCTTCAATCTCGACCTTGAAATTATGGGAGAGGTTATACGCATATATATCTTAATACATCGTCGCATGAATGCTGACCACTAACATCAAATCGCGTTTTCGACATGACCGTAGCTAACCCAATGATGAGCCTTCGCTTGATATTTCCTGCCACGACACGAGCTTACAAGTATTGGCGGAAACCTTGACCCTTTACAGCTCAAATGGCTTGATATAATGCCTGACGGAATGCAGTATTCCCCTTTTATTATCCAATCGCGATGTTCCAAGGTTATGTAGAGTCTTTAGCATATAAGAAGCGGCTTGGAGGTTCATATTTCCTAAAATAGCCCCTTGAGCCAAGAGACTTCGAAAGCGACACCTGGGCAAGAATGTACATCATGTGACGCTAGCTTATTGACATGATTAGATGTGAACAGTAGCCTGGTGACTTTAGCTAATACTCTAAGCTATAAGAATCGAAATTATTATCAGACTTTCAAGGTTGAGTGCGCACGCATAATCAGTGCATATTCAACCTAAAATAACCTATTTTTCCACAAATGCGCCCCCAGCAAATAGTCTACGAGCGAAAACAAAGACTCTTGCTGCATTTCAGATACTAGAATAGGGTAGAATGCCATTTACGAAAGCCCGACCATCCGATTGTGAACAAGTTTTCAAAAATATCCTACAACTACGTCTATATAAGTGAGCTAATCAGATTACGGAGATATGTAATCCCCGCTAAAATAAACTTTATGAACCCTCAATCCTCTCAACTCCGACGCAAGACCATATGCGCTCTTACACTCCAACGAATTGGAACCTCAATCACCAAAATACATAATCCGAAGACCATACATTCAATCAAAATCCACCACAATGTCCAAATACGACCGCGCCCTCGAGCGCATCGACCTAGCCCACAAAGACGACCCAAACACCATAGAAGTGAACAACGAAACCCTCCCCTACGAACTCCACTATGCCCAAAAGATGACCAAATACCTCGAGCGCCTAAATCCCACCGCCTCCGATCTCCTCCGCCTCGCAATCCGCGCCCAACACCTCCGCCGCTGGGAAACCCCGCGCGCGTCCTACCCCGCCACGAAAATTGGGTACCACTCCTGGCGCGGCGCGCTACAGCGCACACAGGCCGCATTAGTTGAGAAGATCTGTCTGGAAAGCGGGTATGAAGCTGAGGATGCGGCGCGCGTAGGCGCGATGGTGCGCAAGGCGGATTTGAGGAAGGGAGATCCCGACACGCAGACTTTGGAGGATGTGGCTTGTCTTGTGTTCTTGGATGATCAGTTCGATAAGTTTGAGAAGGATATTGGGGATGAGGAGAAGATTCTGGACATCTTGAGGAAGACTTGGGGCAAGATGTCTGAGGCTGGACGGGCTGAGGCTTTGAAGCTTGACTTGTCGGAGAGGGGGAGTGCTTTGGTTTCGAAGGCTTTGGCGGGATGATATGATCTAATGATATTGATAATAAAGTATATCCATGATACTACGCAGTGCTACAGGTTCAAGGGTCTAGGTATGAAAAGGTTTTATATGATTTTGTTGATGATTGATTCTTATTGATCGGTAATTATGATAGGTATCCAGAACGCCCGCTGATGAGATCTAGAATGAAACAGGTCGTAATGCCATTAGTGAGATGAGAGCGCTCTTATGCTTTTGTGCTTCCAGCAATGCAAATAAAGTTCCATGGTGTTCCTTACGGACTGCCGGTATCGATCAACCGCACAAGTCCAATGGCAGCACCAGCAGCCACACCTCCAACAAATATCATCTGGATTCCACCCCAGATCGCAGCACTGATATTATCGCGACCAGTCCAGCCACGCACAACACAGGTCTTGGTGTATCCGAATGCCGCCAGTGTCACCGCCATCACGGCGATACTCCAGTACAACGCATCGCTGACCTGTGCCGCAATGAAGTATGGAATGAGAGGAATGAATCCACCGACAAAGTATCCAAGCGCCAATGTGATAGCCGAAGTCCAGGCCTGGTTGCAGTCCGGAGCGGCCTCGCGGTGGTGGAACGCGAGCAGGAATTCCAATAGCCGGTCTTGTGAGGCGTGGAGATCGCGTGAAATATCTTCGATGGCTGTGTCGGAGAGGCCGTATGGAGCGAAGCACTCGCGCACCATAGCATGTGTTTCTTGGGGTTCACTTTCGATCAAGTTCTGTGTTTCGCGGACGGTGGCTTGGTAGGATTCACTAGAGATCTGTCAGTCGTTTATCTTTGCAATAGATGTCGATGGTGGTACTCACGCTTCGCTCTTCGCGCCAACATATCCGCCCAGTCCCATGGAGATGGCACCGGCTGCCAACTCGGCTAATCCACCGAGAACGACAACTTTGGTGTTGCCCAGTGCGGATAGACCTGCACTCAGTGCGAATGGAACGGTCAATCCATCTGAAAGACCCAGGATGGCATCTGACACGATACGAGGGTTGATACGAGACCGCTGGCTACCGGTGCTGGTGGTTGATTCGTCATAGCTGACGGTGCGGCCAAAGGTGTCATAGGAACGGCCACTTTGCGACTCGATGTCGCGTTCTGAATCGCCGCGGATGGTGTCTTCGTCGTCGCTGCGAGCTAGAAGGGGTTTGTCTAAGGGAAATTGATGTTAGCTTTTGCACGCGTTGATCATGCCTGTCATGTTACTTACTCGGAAGCTGAGATTCCTTCGTAGGGAAAAGCTTCTGCTTGATGAAAAGCAAAGCCATTTTGTTTGATAACGGTCGGTTGAGGTCTCAATGTTTTCTTTTAGGGATTCTGGACAACGATGTTCTTGGCCGGTTTGAAGCAAAGTATCCAAACTTATTGTACCGTAATAGAGCAAATCGTGGCAATGACTGACGTCAATGTAGATGGACAATCTACAAGACACAAGAAATGGAAAAGTCCAATTAAATAAAAGTGGACTGGTCTGGAGGATATGGTCAAAGGGGGCAATGTGGTAATATGAGAATATGTCCGTGAAACAACCCTTGGGTATGAAAGGGAATGGATTGATGGATGAGAAAAAGTAAAATGCCCTGAATCAAGCTAGGTCCTATCGATCCTTTTAATTCCTCCTGTAGCCCAAAACTTTTCACCGTCTCAGCAACCTCCACAGCCAACGATTTCCAATAGCACAACATCTAGCCCAAAAAAGTTCGGAGATACATAAAAAAACGGACATGCATTGGGCAAAGAGGGGCGATTCACCAATCAACAGCCAGGCAAAGGTCAGCGACAACGCCTTTTACCTGGATCGCAAGGTTCAAGGTCCGCCCAGTCCATTCTTTCGTCTGCAGGAGAATGAGGTGTTGCATCAAATGCGCGACTCGCGATTGGTGGTGGTGGTTGTGATTACCATTGTCTCGTCTGTGATTGGCTGAGAGCGGTCGATCGCAGATCCGCGGCTCCACTGTGATACATTTCATTGTGTCATTATTGGCCACGCTCGGCCTTAGGGCTTCACGGAGGTCGGACTTTCTAGATTTATCGGTGTTTTGCTGTGTAAGCCCGAGCTTGGCATATCTGTGTTTACGCGTGGGTTTCGGAATAGTCTCAACTAGCTCTGTTCAGGAGTACACGTATACCTATAGAGTTCTAAGGGAGATCTACTATGAAACCCTCGATAATATACTAGATCATGATACTCAGATACAATTTATGGAATAAATAACACTCTGAAGACTCTGTAGACTCAACCCATCTCCATCAAATTCTTAAATTCTCATTATGAATCTTATGAACGGATGAGACTTTTATACTTTCCGTGAAATGGAATTTTCTAGGCCAACGCTAGCTTGATAGAAGTGGGGAACCAGGCTAAGGCTGCCGCCCTTGGCGTGAGATTTGATATCCACTTCTCTCCACATTTTTCAAATTTTCCAAGGTTTGAAGATTGAAGAAAAGAGCTAGTTCTTCTGAACCGCTCAAATTCCTTTTACAGTGGGGGATAATGTCTAGATCGACAAATCAGCTACATCTCCTGGCCTGTTGTAGACAGCGGGAAGTAGTATGCTTGGCAGTATCCCGTTCCATGTACGCGATTTGTCAAGGAATTCAAATCCCCCTAGAGAAAAATGAGCTCTGTTCAGGCTACTCAAATGATACTCAATTATCAACTGCATGCTATCATAAGATAGGGCTAAATGGCCGAGAATAAACAAGCATTCCAATGGATGATATACTCAAACAGAGTTAATAAAAGGGCAATATAAACGCGCATTCCTCGAAAGTACAATGGGGATATCATTTGCAGTGCCTGAAATAAGGCAGTGGATAAAAAAAGGTTTGAGTTGAGTACATTGATCCGGTCCAAGGTTACCGTCCTTCGGCAAGCTCGACCAATCGATCCTCCAACAACATCGGCTCCCAGAGCTCTTTGGATTTCTTGTTCTGCACCCGCAGCACATCACCTTGCATATATGCCACAATGCCACCCTTGCCAGTCGCACTGGCAGTAATGCGGAACAACGGCAGTCCATTTTGGGGGTTTGCTTCGCGCAGCGGTAAGAGGATGAGGCCTTGCTCCACACACCAGTTCTCCACGATCTCTTTAAAGGATGGCTCCTCCATAGCCTGGGGCTTGGGTCGAGAAGCAGCAGTAGATGCTGCGGCTGCGGCTGCTGCCTTGGCCTCGGATTCTTCTTGTGAGGGAAGTTTGGGTTGAGCACCAGCTATTGGACGTGAAAGCTCGGCAGCTGCACGATCGCCAAGTTCCAAGGCCTGGTGCATGGTCTGCAAGCCTTTGTTCCATTCTTCTTCCACAATGGTGAGCTCGTTAACTTCGGACGGAATCTGCTCACGCCACCAAGAGAACCAGGTACCGACTTCCTCGTAATTTGGATCATTGGTAAGCCATATGTAGAGAATTTCGTGCCATTTGGGGAAGAAGTCGGAGATAAGTAGTAGACCCATAACGTTAGGTTTGAAGTAGTCCTTCCATCGAAGAACATCCTCGAGTGCAGTCAAATCCTGGTCTTGGGGGTTTACTGTGAAATCTTCACGCAGATGGCGCGCAAGACGTGGGAGCAAGTGATTGCGTAGACATATGTCAAACTCGGAGCGCAAGGCATCCCGCCAGAGGTCGAGTCCGTTGATAAGACCTCGGCGTAGGCTCCATGAATCCAGCACTACGCGGAATTTTCTCTTGGTGTCGGACATAAGACCAGTTGGTTGTTTGGGGTTCGTGTGTCGTTCATCCAGATATTGTAGCCACTGGAAAAGCCACCAGGGAAATTGGCCATCCTGTTGACTGGAGGGGTTTCGTCGACTGCTCCGTGGTTTCCATGCCTTCAAAGCTCCACTGAGTTTTGGTACGACTAGTTGGTCGAGAATATTCGAATATACAAAAGACGGGACAATGTTTTTCCATGCTTCAACCAATGCTGTCGCAGCGGATGGATCGTATACATCCCAATCATTCATGAGAGCCGAGCGCACTCGCGGAAGCCAAATGGTGTAGATCATGGTCTCATAAGGCGAAGTAGATGACCGCGGGCGAAATTCTTCATTCTCGTTCCGGCGAGAAAGAAGAGGCTGAAGGCGAATGAGGTGAGACACAAGGAAAGTAGGATCTTGAAGAGGCTCCCACTCCTCCATAGCCTGGCGGAAGAGCGGGTGGATGGCGGCAACGGCGGTCTCAGCCAGTTTGTATTCGTCCGCAATATCCCGGTATTTGGATTCCATTTCTTCAAGCTTGCCAGTCATTTCATCGAACTTGGAGATGATGCTTTCGTCGTGTTCGAAGATATCCAGCTCTTCCACAGCGGCGATCAGTCCGGTAAGATGGTTGACCTTCCCTTGGTACGCATCTAGTTCCTCCACAACCTGAGCCTCTTCGATTTCGATGAATTTCTTCCGTTCGGTCAAGCCCTTCCATTCGTCTGCGAAGGCTTCCAAGTCGTTCCGAGCACGTTGAGCAATCTTGTAGGCCTCTCCTTCTTCTTGGGTGACGAACTGCTGTGATGTCATCAAACCAGCTGTCGACGTCAAGACACGCTGTTCCTTGCCTGTAGCATCGACCAGAGATTTGAGCACATTTGGCACTTCCAGCCCCTCCATGTCGGCTTCGATCTCTCGCGCAGTCCGGAATTTGGGCTTGGCTCGTGGAACGGGGGTGCCCGTGCCACTGCGACTCCCTCCTTTGCGCTCCTCTTTCTTCTTCCGTCGTCTTTGTCTCTCTTCGTCGGAACTGTCTTCGATGGTTTCGCCTCGGCGCGCGGCCTCTCGTTTTTCTTCGTCGCGTGCCTGTTTCGTCTTCTCCTGGACCGCGCCCAAACCTGCACCCTGGGGTCGAGCCTGCGCTTCAATCGGCTTCACAATACCCTGGCCAGTGGATCCAAGACCTGATCCTTCCTTGTAGCCCATCTTCGCCATCATGCGCGCGGCAAAGGAGCTGCCTGCGGGGCCTTTTCCTCCTCCGCGGGCTGCACCGCCTCCTCCTTTGCCTGCTGTATTAATATTGGCCATGTTGTTCCGGGGATTGCGGGCTGCGCTACCTAGACCGCCCATCCTTGGAGGCGACTCGGATCGAGAGGCGGCTCTTTTGAAGCCACGAAAGCCGCCAGTCGGGCGCTCGTCTTCGTCGGAACTCATGTCGTTGACTTTGCGCTTCTGGCCAGCGTAGGATGAAGGCGAAGCCATGACTTCACGCTGACACCGTAAAGCAGGATCAAGTGACAGGCACCTGCAAATGAAAGAAAGATGGCTGCGAATCGTCAAAGCTTAAGCTCGAGATTCACGTGGAGATTGGGAGATTGTCCGGGGCGGAAAAACCCGCATCCGACGGACGAAAACAAGATGACGTTAAGCTCGGTTACTTCATAGCTCTTAAGGTGTAATCCCTCTCTTCTCTTTTTTCCCTTCTTTTTTACGTATAGTAATATCCCCCCTCCATCCAATTTATTTTATAAAATCTCATACATTCACAATGGCTGCTGTCCTCGCCAACTCGGCCCGCTTTGCCCTCCGCTCGGGAGCTTCGGCCTCCTCCAAGGCCGGCGCTGCTGGCTTGACCTTTGTCCGCGGCAAGGCTACTTTGCCCGATCTGTCCTGTAAGCCGACATTCTCAGCGCATTTGTGCTAGCATGGAGTACAACTCCTCCCTGGCAAGCCGAACTGACCGGAAAACCAGACGACTATGGCGCCCTGGAGCCCTCCATCAACGGCAAGATCATGGAGCTGCACCACAAGAACCACCACAACACATATGTCACCAGCTACAACACCGCTATTGAGCAGCTCCAGGAGGCTCAGCACAAGGGTGACATTGCCGCCCAGATTGCCCTGAAGCCCCTCATCAACTTCCACGGTGGTGGCCACCTGAACCACACCCTCTTCTGGGAGAACTTGGCTCCCAAGAGCGCTGGCGGTGGTGAGCCCCCATCCGGTGCTCTGTCCCAGGCTATCAACTCCACCTACGGTAGCTTCGAGGAGTTCCAGAAGAAGATGAACACCGCTCTGGCTGGCATCCAGGGTAGCGGTTGGGCTTGGCTCGTCAAGGACAAGCACACCGGCCAGATCGGCATCCGCACCTACGCTGTAAGTAGAATAGTGACCACTAAAGTCGGAAATGAAACATCATGACTGACTCCTATGTAGAACCAGGACCCCGTTGTCGGCCAGTTCGAGCCCCTCCTTGGTATTGACGCCTGGGAGCACGCCTACTAGTAAGTTTACTCGTCATATTATGTGGAACCTCATGAAACAGTCGCTAATAATTGAATAGCTTGCAATACCAGAACCGCAAGGCCGAGTACTTCGGCGCCATCTGGGACGTGATCAACTGGAAGACCGTTGAGAAGCGCTTCTCGTAAATCACAGTGATTTAGCGAAGTAGTTCCCAATATCCCTGTATTGTAGCACGTGTCTGCCAATTTAATCAGATTTATATCACGTCTAAAAATGATCCTTTTCTTCCAAGCATTCTAGTATAGATGCATCCTATGTCATGATGATTTTACGTTTTAGATTCTACAATGGTGAAATACCAGCCAGAACGTATGGCTTACGGCGTGATTGGCGACAATTGAAACAAATACTTAATGTGGCAGAAAATTAATTCTGTTTAGTGTTTAGTTCATGGCTTTTGAAGTCAGTGTGACACATACTCTGGACACGCTAAGAGCCCATCCGGTCTGGGCTCAGCGGACCGCCTCGGCCCGTATGCAGTCCGCGCGCGTCATTAAGGGTCTCGACTTTCGAATCTGCTAACCCGAACATAACCTCAACATGCAACAACCACAATGAAATTCTCCGACAAAAAAGATCCCTCCGTTGAGCTAACGCACAAAATGTCCGCTGAAAGCCCCGGCCCGAAGCAATCCGGCTTCAAGGCATTCTTCACAAATGCCCTCCGTCCAAAAAAATCCCGCCAAACCCTCCGCAAAGGCAGCTCTCGATCAATGACAGACCTACGCCTTTCCACATCCTCGCGACCCAGCACTGCTGATGCACCTCCAATGCCAGACCTGGCACCACTCCAGGCCCACCGCCTGAAATACAGACAAGCCCACGCGAACCTGGATACACAGCTAGGAGAGCGCAGCGATTACACCACCATCATCCACTCCATTGGCGTGCTGGATGCTGACGATACTTTCGTTGCAGCTGGGCTGGACAGCGAATACCGCGATCCCGGCGAGGGCGATATCGCAAAGCTCACGCCGGAGCTCTGGGCAAAGATTGCGGGATACCTGGATCCGGCTGATGCGGCCTCGTTGGCGCTTTCTACTATCACGCTTTACCGCCGACTGGGAAAGAAGTATTTCACTGCACTGAGTGTGCCGGAGAATTTCGATTATAAGATGCGGTTCCTTGCGGGTATTGATCAGTCGCTCCCGCATCATCTACTCTGCTTCCCATGTGGGAAATACCACCGACGTACAGCGGAGGGTACGGAACGACTTCGACCATCGCACGTTATTAATCCGCTTTTCAATTGCCCCGAAGCTATGAATTCGTCGAATCCACCGCCCCGACACCGTATAACGCATGGCCGTATGCTCCCCTTCGCATTCGTGCAGCTGATCATGCGCGCATACCGCTTCGGACCCAAATACGGCATTACAACCGATACTATGAATCGACGCTGGACAAGAGATGGATGGACACATGCCTCCCGATTCATTATCCACGAAGGCAGACTCCTCATGCGCGTAAAAAGCCAGGCATGCGCTGACCCCGATATGCCACCCTCTCTCGTCCGGATCCTGCTACACTCTCGTGAAGACTACTGGCCGTATTTCAGCGCTTGCGCGCACTGGCGCGACGGTGTACTCATGCCCGCTTGTCGATGCGCGCTGGAACATATACCCAAACCTAGAAGTACGGGCGGATTACAAGGGATGGAGCATAAAGTCAAGGATAAGTGGACGGGATATAAATTTGATCCGAACGCTTTGACGACGCTGTGTGGGTTCTGTAGACCCATGCGCCGGTGTCCGGAGTGTCCCACTGAGTATCTGATTGAGGTCAAACTTACGGAGGATCGGAGTGATCCGAAAGCAATGGTGTTTCGGCAGGCTATTGTTGTTACGCAGTGGACTGATCTTGGAGATGGGACTTTGCCTAGTGGGCCTCAGTGGGGCTCTATTAATGGCACTAGGGATGATTATGATTCGTTTCAACATCCTCATTATGCGAAGAGAGGTCTTGCGAGTATATTCGAGGCGGCGATCACAGCCGATACGTTACCCGGTCAGAGAGTTCTTTCGTTGAATCCGAAGCAAAAGAAGTTAGGCGAGAAGGGGCATGATTGGTATTAGGTGCACCTTGTCTTGCTATCTTTCTATCAATGTACTCGTTATAATTATCAGCCTGTGGGTTTGAGGACTTGGCGTTCGTTACAAAACTGGTTTGGAGTTTGGGATATAATGAGATTGGCCTCGAATAGGTTAAAGGATCTAGGTGTAATGTGAATCAATTTATCAGACATTGACTGGAAGATCATGAAGAACGTATGAATTCATTGCATCGGGAAAAGGCAAATGACGATATCAAATAAATCGCTTCTGAAAATCGAAAAACCGCCGCTGCATGTCTCATCCAGAAATAACGAAGATTGGACCTCCTGACCCGCAGGAGTGAAAATGAAAAAAATGCAGATACGAATCAAAACGTTTTTCGCATAAGGCATCAAAAGAAGTCAGAAGCATCATCAGGCATCTTATAGATGAGAAAGCGCTTGACTCACTGAGCCCGTCGGTATTGTTGGTGTACAGGATGGGTGGGGTATCATATAAATACAATTGAAAACAGAGCGAATGAGGTCGTGGAGATGAACCTAATTCACTCTGCGAGAATGGCGACCCACATATCGTGGGCGTCGAGAAGTATCATCAGAGCGCATCGTCATCTCAGAGCGCGGACGCACCACAGGAGCATCCATTGAATCGGGGGTATCAGGTCGCTCAGAAACAAACCCATTATCTTGTCCAAGACGCGAAGAGGCACGAGGGGGTGGTTCCCTGGATTCAATTTCGGAGAATTTCTCGGCCACAACGGGGGTGGACGGCTCAGACCGTTTTCCGCCAACGCCTTTCATCCAGCCAAAGATTCCAAGTGAGCTGCGGCGCTTGTGCTCCACGCTATTTGATGTCGTAGGGCGTGCGGAGATGGTGGCAGAGCCTGAGGGGTGGGTAGAATCTCTTGCCTCCATGAAAGATTGGTGGAGAGCTCGGCGGCCACCGAAGCTAGCACCGAAAGCTTCGTTGGTAACGGGGACGCTGGATGAGTATATGTCGTTCGAGTTTGTGATGATTTGGGACATGGGACGGCGGTTTGCGCCTCCAATGTTTCGTGTTTTGGGAATGATTGGGGAGGGGGCGCCATCGTCCTCTTCATCCATGAAATCCGGGGCGATTGGAGAGGATTGGAGGCGGCGGGTAGCATTGGCCGAACGGTTGAAGAAGGGGGGCCGGAAGCTCAGGCGGCGTCTTTGCTCAGGTTCGGGTGTATTGACTCTTGGGGCAGGAACATCGGCGACGGGTTGTTCCAGTACATCCAAGGTATCCAAGTCAAGGGTTGGTACGTCGGCGACTTCAGGTTCGATAACATAGGAGTCGACGCTGGCGTCATCATGGAAAGCTGCTTGGCTTATCACCAGGTGGTGAGGCTCCGTAGGTTTGGGCTCGATGCGAAGGCCACGCTCTCTCTCTTTCCGAGAACGAGGGCCCTGCTTTGCGGCCGCGATCCAATCCTGAGGGGTCAGCGGCGGTGAGTCACTGATTGAGTCGACGGTTTGTGTATCCGACATAATGGTCTTTGATGGACTTTGACCCGGAGTGACTGCTGGCGCTACTGCGGCCTTGTCGTTTTGATAGAAAGGATCGTTAAAACCGTCAATAATAGGGTTGTCAGGGCTACCCGGTCCAAGGAGTGCACTAGCTTTGGAAGCGACAGTGTTGAAAGGGTAGAAAACTGGCGAGCTCATGTCCGCTGTTGACATACGAGGGGTATCGCTGCAGTTCGTTTGCATGCTATCCGTAATATCACTGCCATTGAAGCTGCGTCGAGTGGTGAGTTCATCGGCAGAGCGACGGCGGGCAAGTGGCCGACCAGCAAACCACGTCTCACCCTCAGGCTTAGGACTCTTTCGGGCTGCAATGCTGCCTTCCGAACCGTTGTTGGCCGTAACATAAGCTGTGCTCATTGTATCAGGAGTGGGAGGAAGATGAGCACCTCCAAAGAGCGATGCATCGAGCCGCCCACGTCCACGCGGTTTGGTCGAGTACAACTCGCCCGTGAATGTCAATTGGCTTACTTTCGAAGCATCGGAAGCTGCTCGAGATTGGCGTCTCCTGACGATGGTCTGAGTGTCCGTTCGTGTTTGCATCCATCGGTCGATCCGGTCCTCCTTGCTCTCTTCTCGCTGAGATGCGGCAGCGTAACTATCCACGCTTTCCCTCGATGCCTTCCGGACTGGGATCTCGAGCTTATCAAAATCATTCCATTTTGTGGGGGTATCAAAGGGATGCAATTCGCTGCATTCGCTAAGAACACTAAGTCGTGGAGATCCGGACTCCAAAGTATCGGTCATAGTGTGCAGGCTTTCAGACTTGGTTAGTTGGCTCAAGGCGGAGCGTGACTTGTTGTTCTCAGGCACATAGAGACTGCGAAGAGTGGCAGTACTTTTATTGTCATCGCGCAAAAAGGAGGGAGCTTTGCTGAGCTGTCGTAATTCGGGAGACATGACCACAGATCGTGCTCTTTTGGACGAGGTTCGTTCCGGAATATCGATCACGATTTGGTTCCTTGGTGAAGCATTCGGCCCGTCGAGCACCAGTCTGTTCATTGACAATGAGGTCGATCGTCCGTTGTTTTTGAGTTGCTCGTTTTCGGCTTCCAGTTTGCAAATCCATTGGACTGCCTCCTCCACGGCTTTATCTTTAGTATCAAGGTCCTGGCGCAGTTGGCTGTTGGCTTCTCGCAAGCCTTGGTTGCGCCTGTTCATCTCACGCAGCTCCATCACTTCCTCTTCCAAGTTCTGCAGTCGACTAAGCTCCTCCTCCATTGCTTGCATTCGCTCCAGCTTCTTCTCCATCACGCCCATCTGCTGTGTGCGGTGAAAAATCTCCAGTTTTAAGTCGAAATTCAGTTTAGTCATTTTTGAGACGTACTACTGGCGTCAGCTGGGATCATGTCAGTGCTCGAGATCGATTCATACCTGATCCATTTCCCGCACTCCTATTTCCTTCGACTGTGGCGCATTCGCACTGGAGAACTGGCTAAATTTGCGTGCCTTTTCTGACGCGGTGTCTTCTTGTACTCGCGGCCTATCTGGGGTTCTCGGACTTTCTGCACCATCCTCAGACATGCCTCGTGAGCCACGATGGGCTCGCTCTTCCTTCAACAACCCCTGTAGCAAGCTTGATGTCGGATTGATTAATGTTGGAGTACCACATTCTGGTGTCCCTAGATCATTGTCAGATTCCTTCCAAAGTGCTCATGACATTGGGAATCATACTACTATACTGGTGCGGTGGTGTCTGAGCACCACATCGTACAGGTGATTGATCATTGAGCCAAGATCGCTCAGCGCCGTTACGGGGCGGAGTATACATATTGCTTCGGCCCTTGACACGAGAAAGCGACGGGTGCTGAGGTCGATCAGCCTGATCTGAGAAGTGGTGGTGTTAGTCCCGATTGAGGGGTATTTGAAATCGGACTGAGCTCGGACCGATTCAACTGAAGAACAAGGATGGACGCACTAGTGCTGGAGCGAGACTTAAAGGACTCACTGCGGACAGTGGGCGCGGTCTCAGTATGATATACCAGATCTTTTGAATGCGAAGGGGCCTTCTGCACGGAAGCGCTCCGCTTTTGAACTTTCTTTTGCTTTTCCATGGCTGGATCCATTATTTTTTAGTTTTTCAGTTCATGCGCATACTTGACGCACAGCGGATATGCCGTTTAGGAGGGACGCCTGCGCCCTGATCAATCAGCGTGGAGAATATCTGGTTGGTGCAGATCGAGGCGCCACTTGCATCGGGTATATTGTGCAAATATTGGTGTAATCGTAGATGCAATTGGGTGAGATTTAGAAATGTATCGGACGATCTGTAATAGACGTGGGAAAAGTGACTGCAGGAAGCGAGGGGTGGAGGAGACAGGGACGCAAATCACGACAGATCTTGGTAGAACGAGTGGAGACTGAACCAGAACCCTTGTTCCACTGGTTCTGGCGATTGGAAAATGGATCACAATTCGATTCAAGGGTCGAGTCCACCGAAGTGAGGTATCGTGAAGCGAGGGGATAAATAGAATTGTGATAAGTCGCGCGCGTCACATGGTAGGATAACGAAAAGAAAAGCGAAAGAGAGACAAGATAAGTGATCAGAGAAATCGAGATTCGATCTCGATCGCAAAGATGTTTATTGTTGGCCCTGGGCCTAGAAACTGGAATGAAGGGAAAGAATGGAAGAATGATAGAAAAGCATAAAATTTTTGTGATCGCAGCACAGTCCAGCACAGTCCAGCCCAGCCTCTCTACAGGTCGATCACTGTTCCTGACATCAGACCCAATCGGGTGGTGGTGGGGCGCGTCTCAGCTTCCCTTACTCTCGGGTTTTAAGGGGTCAATGGTCTCATTTTCAGGAAACAAATTGAACTCTATCACCTCGTCACATCCAGACTTCATTCTTATCACCGTTTTATGTATGATTATTTCCGAGAGTCCTATGTATCTCGGACCTTTACTTTATCTTCTTGATCCACTCTCGTATTCCCTTCTGCCGCTTTCCGCCAAACCAACCGGTAGTTTGTCGCGTGGCTGAACTAACCCCTTTTTACTCTAAGCACATGCGTCGTCATGACTGGACTGATCGCATGCTGATCGCCTCCAGACCTGTCCACTTGCCCCGCGCTCCACGTCACATTAGAATCTTCCTCTAAGACCTGTGCACTTTGACTTTTATTGTTCCTTTAATATACGTACATAAACCAGATAGACACCCAGCTTGATGGAAAACAGGAATTAGTAAAAAAAAAAAAAAAAAAAACTAAACATAGTATTGTTAAAGTTAAAGGCATGATAGATCTCATAACGGGCAGTCGATGACTCCCAAGGACGAGCACAGCTCAGCCCATGTCACCCCGCCACCTTCGCACGGTCTCACTTCCTCTTCGCCTCTCCAGCCCAAATCCGCATCGCTTTTGCTCGGTCATGTGCAGCCCGGAATACTATCATTGGTTAGTAAAATCCATCCAATCGTCTTGCATTCCGGAGTAAAACATACATTGACGCTCCGTCTCGTCCAATCCGCGCAGGAATTCAACACCATCACCTACCGCTCCCCGTGGATTGTGGGCCTGGTCAGCAATTTCTGCTGCTCGGCGCTTGAATGTCTAGTAAGATAATGTTAGATAGGAATGGCATCTATGGTCGGGGGCAGACATACATCGGTCAACACATCGACCATTTCTTCTTCTTCGAATAGTTCCAGAATCCGCTCGCTGAGATTATAGAAATGCGGTGCTAGAGCGCGCAAATCCACGGTGCGGGGATCAGCTTTCAATGCGTTCATCACTCGCTCCGAGAGCGCCTCGGGCATATCAAGTGTGACAAGACGTGATGTCCCGATTCGGGCTCTAGAAAATTACCCGTGTATCAGAAGCAAAGTTCCTAGCAGGTCTAGATTCGGGTATATTCATCTCACGCGATAGAAAGCATTTCACCAAGCCATAGTGGAAGATCGATGCGAGTCCCGGCTTTGATCTGGATAATTTTAATGAGCGAGTCGATCAAAGTACATCAAAGGAGACGTACATCTTCACCGGGGTTACCTTCCAAGACTCCTAGTCCAGGCACCTCAAGCTCGAAGGTACATGGCAGTTTCTGGATGCAAAAGCGTTAGCTGTGGTGCGAAGCTTTAGGCCTTTCGCTGAGACCTCTCGATTTGGGGCCCATTCTCACCTGAGCATCTGTCAATATTGAGTCAATGTCATAGTACGACATGGTGACCCATTAGAAGAATTGTTCCTAGGATCAAGAGTGCTGAGTGCTGTTATCAAGGCGCGTCCGCGTTCCGCTATTGACGGCGCGCGTGATCACGTGTGCTAATTTGTGGGTTTTCCAGATTTTCCGAATTGGGACTTGATAGGCTTGGCAGTGTCACGTATGATGCATTGACGAAGATTTTGCCTTGCACTCTTTTGGAATTCCTGGATTTTTGATCTTGTCTGGCTTTCAACAATGTACTGAATCGTGTCTCATTGATCAACTTGTTTTAAGATTCAGCTGCCTGCTCCAATACACTAAATAGTGGTCGGGTAATCCAATAATCCGGACATGGTGTAGTTGGCTATCGCATCTGACTGTAATAGAATTTCAGTTTATCAGAAAGTCCGCGGTTCGATTCCGCGTGTCCGGATAACTTTTTTTGCTTGTTCTTCCGAATCTACAGGCCGTTTTGGTGGCGTAGGAGATAGTGGGGTAGAAGTGGGGAGCCATGAATGTCAAAGTTGAGACTACTATGGCTGGTATCTCTAATCTAGTATATTATGGTGGGTAGTCATAGTAAACTCTCAATGATATGCAAAAACAAGTTGATTCTCAAGTCAAATGGGTTATATTCTTTGAAGTGAGTCGTCAGTCACTCTTGTTGGAAGAAGTAATGATATGTGTATGGAGTGCAAAAAGACAAAAAGTTATCCGGACACGCGGAATCGAACCGCGGACTTTCTGATAAACTGAAATTCTATTACAGTCAGATGCGATAGCCAACTACACCATGTCCGGATTTTATGAAGGGCAGACCCAGTTTTGACACTATGATAGCCACAATAACCCATAGAAATAAAAACCGTCCGGCCCAATGCAATCCCCCATGATAAAGATTCCATAACATATGCCATCATAATCTCCTTAGTTTCAGCGAACACTGGTATCCTCGGGCTTGTTTTACAAGGTTCCAAGCCTTTCAGGCGCCGTATAGATCCTTCTCGAATAAGCTGCTACCGCACTGTCGCTTGCGACCATGTTCAACTCTTAAGTTATTACTGCTCTCTGGTGTCTTCACGAGTAAGGGCATGCTTTCTTTTATCATTGACTAAGAATGAGTAGTAAGACTAAGTAGTGAAGCAAGAAGCCAAGAGATTTCGCAGAGTTCGGAAATAAGGTGCCCTTTCTTATCTCCCGACTTGATAGACTTCAATCCCTATAGGTTCTCGAGACGAGGTCTGTTGGTAATTGGATCGATGCCACCAGCACGATCTTCTCTCGTCCTCTTCCAATACGAAATCCTGCGCATCCAAAAGGTCCAGACGCAAGAATTTTGAAACTGCCCAGGTGTACTACCAATTGTCTCGCGCCACATTTGAACAAACTCCCCAGGTATGCAGTATCAGCTAATCAAGATTACTTAGTAGTGCTGCTTTATTCAAAGGCAAAGATTGCTTAGCTCACTCGCCTTCAAATAAATGTCAAGTATCACCAATAACTGGCCTCTAAACACCAATTTTGGGGAGATTTCCACCGCATATGATACGTTGACTACCCTTTCCCAGCTGTTTGAAATAATTAATTTCGAAGGTGCTTGCACCTCTATAAGCCCCGGGCCGAGACGAAGATGCTCATGAGCAAAGGATACTTAAATCGATAAGCCTCATGACTGATATATTTTTGGAGCTCTGCCATGACATTTAAACGGGGTTGTAGAAGTTTTGATCTGACAACACCATTTGTCATCCGGATAAAGCTGAATTTGGAGACGGATCCATCTATAACTCGTATCATCAATCCGCCCAACAATAGAGCTCCAAGGCTCTAGAGGTGGACATCTACTTTGGACGTCATCACAATTATTACTAGTATACTAGTATCAGTGAACAAGGTGGCGCCCATCGAGCGGGCTTCAAAGACCGAGCTTGTGTATAAAGAAGCAGCAGCAAGGTATTACCTAATTTCCAATTGCCAAATCTTCCTACTGCAGCAGATTTATCGTCCTGGGTCTCAACTGTACAATCAACAGGAGATTTGAAAGCACTGTTCATACTGAAAATTATTTGTATATGATAATATGATTTAGCGGAGACGTTGAAAAGCTTACCAACTTCAACAGCTGGTGCAATTCTGGAATCAAATTTTCGAGCCGAGAACAACAAGTGGGTTCCATAAATCAGTTGGTTAGAGAGTGGTGCTAATAACGCCAAAGTCGATGGTTAACCCGTCCGGAACCATCTCAATTGGATTCGAATTCGAATCTTGTTCTTTTTGCCCTTTTGCTTTCGTAAGTCTGCAAAACACACGTCGTCAAGTGGGCACAGAACTATCAGCGAAAATTTTCTTTTGGCTGATTGCTTTTTTTTTATCGAAGACAGCTATAAACCCACCGAAAAGTCACGGCAGTGCTGAAAGAAGAAATCTTATGATCGTACTCAATCTGTGACCTGTGTCGCCGTTCCAGTTTTTATGCGCACAAAATACATCTAGGCGGATTAACAACCTTATACAGATTAAGGTTGGCACTTGTTTGAATGGTTTTTCTCGCATGCCTTGTAATTTTTCAGTGGTATTTGAAATAGGAAAACTCATCATTATCTGACTAAACACGGCAAAACAAAAAGACAAAAAAAAGTTATCCGGACACGCGGAATCGAACCGCGGACTTTCTGATGAACTGAAATTCTATTACAGTCAGATGCGATAGCCAACTACACCATGTCCGGATTTTATGAAATATATTCCCTGTTTTGCCAACATAAACTAAAAGTAAAGTGGTTGCATGAAAGATCTCCGACAGTCACCCAATGATTGAAATGCGCGTGACTTTTCTTAAGATATCGGCTATTCCAATCAGTATGAAGCTCCATTTGTGTAGGCTTCTACCAGCAGCGGTGTTATCCCCAACATTGAATATTGGAAACTCTCTTTAATTTGAGGTGGGAATCTCCAATGCAACTGCTTTTTCACTCGTACTCACTAAATACTGTAACCCTTCCGAAGTCCTGCGCTTTGTTGTCCGACATGAATCTCGTAGTGAGCAATTGCTCATATGGGCAGGTGTCTGTTTATTTGTCTTTCCTGTGATAGGACTGTCGTGTTTCTGCGTAGTACTGTACTAACCAGTTCCAGGATTTATGACGGGTGCGAAAATGATTTAAAAATGGAATAAAACTGAAACAAGGTGTTCATTTATGGACTCCAGGGTTTCTGGGGTTCTTATTTGTCTATTAAAAAAACAGTACTGTAGTCGAATATCGGGACTTTGAGGGCATTATGGGGCAGAGTCATTCTGTAGTCAACTTTCTAATGTTGCTGATGGCTAGGCAAGACCTCCGGCTGTTCTTTTCCTTCATTTTGCTTGCCACGCCCAGCTCACACAGTTGCTTGTGGAAATTCCCAAATTCTCAGTCCTGGCCCGTGCGTATAAGCATATTTAAGGTTTTGATCGACTCTTCGTGGCGCGGATAAGCATCTGAGTCGATGTCAAACTGTCATCGGGTTCAGATGGAATGTGATGCCCATATGCCTCTGTATTCGTTGTAGTACGATTCGAACCATCCGAGGCTCACTCGCGGTCCGCTGTACAGCGGCAATACACTCAACTAGTATTGGCCTTCAGTACTTGGGAACCTTGGAAATTACTTCAACTTGGAGGGGGTGGATGACCTTTCCCGTGGACTAGTCAACTGGAGAGCCATTGGTTGTAAAGAGAAAATCCTTGATAGTCCTACATTTGTCCATTTCTCTAGTAGAGGCTGTAATCGATTTGTGATTGTGCCGCTCTGGAGGCAAGATGAAGAAATAGAATAGAGAAAGAACGGAGACGCTAGAGATATGTAAACATTGGAAGTACCAATCTTGGAAATGGATGTTTCCAGATAAGTGTCCTGAGTATGATATATATTTGGTTGCCCCACGCCGTGGTTACACTTGCAAATATTCAAATGTTAGCACTCCAGTGATAAAAAAACCTTTGGACACCTGGCATTCGTGAAACAATCAGCTTGGATCAGAAATGATTTTCGTTCAGCGACCGAGAACCCCAGACCCCCATCAAGAGATAAAAATAGAAAGGTGACTTAAAAGCAGAGATCGTTCTCAGCAAAAAGAATCCGCAAAAAGAAGGAGCAAAAAGTTATCCGGACACGCGGAATCGAACCGCGGACTTTCTGATAAACTATAACTCAATTACAGTCAGATGCGATAGCCAACTACACCATGTCCGGATTTGGATGTAATCTGCACTCAGTTTAACCTACTTATACATTACAGAAATTATCGCAAAAGCTTTTTATCTTGAACCACTCTATAGATCGTCCGAAGCTAGTACGTCTACCTACACTGTTTGGTTCACAGTTTGGTACCGAGACCAAGATACACTAACCCATTCATGGATGCCTTTCCAGGGTACAGCTATCAATGATACCTGTAGTATTCCAGAGCTGCACTGTGCTATCCCAGGAGGCAGACGCCAGCAGCCGGCCCTCTGGCGAGAAGGTCACACACGAGACCGGATTTGAATGGCCACTGAGAGCGCATAGCTGGATACACGTCGCAGTATCCCAGATGCGCACTGTGTTATCTTTGGAGCCAGACGCCAACATTCGACCATCGGGCGAAAAGGCCACAGAGAAAACCGAATTCGAATGGCCCTGGAGAGTCTGTCGCTGAGCGCCTGTCGTAACGTCCCAGAGCCGCACTGTATTATCTCTGGAACCAGACGCCAGTGTCCGACGGTCTGGCGAAAATGCCACTGAGTTAACCGGACTAGAATGGCCCTCAAAAGTGCGTCGCCAAGTGCCCGTCGTAGCGTCCCAGAGCCGCACTGTGCTATCCCACGAGGCAGACGCCAGTATCCGACCGTCGGGCGAGAAGGTCACCGAGTGAACTAGCCTTGTATGGCCCTGAAGAGTATGTTGCTGAGCGCCCGTAGTAGCATCCCAGAGCCGCACTGTGTTATCACCGGAGGCAGACGCTAGCATCTGACCGCTGGGCGAAAAGGCCACTGAGTAAACCAAATTTGAATGGCCCTGGAGAGTGCGTAGCCGAATTCCCGTCACAGCATCCCAGAGCCGCACTGTGTTATCCTTGGAACCAGACGCCAACATCCGACCGTCAGGCGAAAAGGCCACCGAATAAACCATATTTAAATGGCCCTGGAGAGTACGTCGCTGAGCGCCCGTCGCAGTATCCCAGAGCCGCACTGTGTTATCTTTGGAGCCAGACGCCACCATTCGACCATCAGGCGAAAAGGCAACTGATTTAATCGAATCTGAATGACCCTTGAGAATTTGTGATTCTATATCCCGTTTTGTTCTCAACCGTGATAAGTTTGGGACAATACGATTGATGGTTCCAGTGATATGGTTTATAGGTGGTGAGGCGTTTAAAATCCTCTCTTCGCTCCTTATCTGTTGAGGGACAATTCGATGTAGAAGATCCTTAGCATACGCTGCTGCGACCATAGCTGCATACCCTTGCCATTGCTTATTCTTATGAGTGTCAGAATAGTCGCAGATGCCACGGATAACAAGGCATGGAAACTGATTCATCAACCCAGCCGCTTCCATTTCGAAGCATAAAACACCATTTTCCGTGGCAAGCTCATCGCGAATCATAGCATCCTTCATAAGCTGATTGGCCGATGCAATCAAACCATAATGTATTGCCGGATTATCTTCATCCTCAGAGCGTGGATTTCGCATGACTAAGGTAGTGATATCATCGCCACACTCTATCGCGCATGTATATCCACTTTCTAGCGGATTCGGATGTACTATATGACTTCGGTATAGCCGGTCACTCTTGATTCGGCCGCATATATCTTTTCCGTAACCTTGGTTTTTTCTCGAGGATTTCATTGACTGCGTTATCAAGTCGAGGACCCTCACTTTCATATTAAGCTCGAAGTCCATTCACCGCTGCACAAAGGACGGTTGGAGGCTGATCAAGGAATCCCGTAGGTTGGAAGCGTCGGCCTTGAATCGATTTACCAAAGTCGTACTGAATCACACCACCTCGGCCATTGTCAGGAATGCTAACAACAATGTCGCCAAGGCGAATATCATGATCTGGACTTGGGGCTCCGCCACCAATGCCGACCATTAGACCGATGCGAATATTCGGGAAGCTGTGTAACATGTCCTCGGCGACTCGCCCTGCTGAGGAGGTGCCGTATGAGCCTAAAGGTAGAACAGACAGCACCACATTGTGTCGTCCTATCCTGCCCAAGATATAGTCATTTTTATTGTGAGGCGACAGATATTCCGGCCCCTCATGCTCTTCATCCAGGAAGGCTTGAGCGGCAACATATTCCGAGGTAATGGCACAAATCCAGCCAACGGTATACTTTTTCGGATCTGACATTTCAGGCCTAAGGCATGTATATACATACGAAGCCGGTACCTAAGGACAAGGCTCTGAAGGACTTGAACTTTCCCGTTGGCTGCTTTCTCCTCAGATGACAGGAACGCGGGGCAGACATCCCTCAGCCTCAGTCACGTGAATGATACTGACCGTCGAGGAAAAATGATAGTCTACTGAAATCCTGTTTTTCTGTGTAGCGCTTTGGTAGCCTTAGCTGAATCTTTGAGAGTGATTGAAGTTGATTTGCTCGCATCTGCACCATTGCCATAGGTAAGCTAGATAGACTCAGGTGCCATGGTTCACCTTGCCACTACAGAGTAGTGTTGGAGGTTGCACCGTCGTCGGGACCATCTGTAGCATGCCGGCTAGTCAAAATAGTATTATCGAAGAACTTCGTGGCCAGCTAAGAGGCTCATACCTCGGGAATAAGCATCGACTAGTTTGCCGAGCTGCAAAAATTTCACGGGCGCTTTGATTCATTGTTTTTGCCTTGAATGTTAATACTGACCAATTGCAGCTATAAGGGAAAAAAATTATACTCGCGAGTTTCGAGGTCTGCACGCGTGCCTGATGCAGCCCTGAAGTGTAAGCTCACCGAACATGCGACTGACAGAAACCCCAATAAATCAAAAACGCCCGCAGCTGAAGCCCGAAAGCCGGCTGCCTTAGTCGATTGCTTGATTAACCCCTGAACATCCCATGACCGGAACAAAAGTACGGCGTCCAGAACCTTGGAATACTATAATTGCCAAACAAGAAAAAGATCAGCATTTTTCCACCACTTCAAGGAGATAAGGCCTGGTAAGGATGAGACAGCCGATCAAAAAGGGATATACCCCCGGGTATGCTTGGCACGTTCCCAATTCCAATGTTCTTCAGGAAATAGATTGTCCTCTGGCGCTATGCTAATGCAGTGACCGGTGGGATGACCTGCGCCCCCCGGAGAATCTAAATGAAGCTAAGCACCGGCTAGATATTCACTGGCCAATCGGCTTCGAATTCAACCCTGATGCGTATTGCGCAGTGACGTGATGTGCTGCGACGAAATCCGCTTCGCTTATAGCCAGTCAATCACTGCCTCAATGAGAAGAACGTGCCTGGCGCCAGAAAATGATTTCCTTCGGAATCCGAGCCTAGTGCCAGGCATTGATGTGGGCAATTATCACCTCTACCTACACCATGAATGTTCAGATTTGAAGCATTGTTGGAGGGGGCACCACCGGAGTATATAACCACAAACATATAAAAAGGGCATTGGGCTGATCTATGAAGGTTAACGACCGATCATTCTCTTGACTTCACTTGAAAATTGAAATCCACAATGATTCTTTCTCGGTGGTTTGCTTTTGCAAGCCTCGTCGGTGCTGCATTTGCTGTACCAGGCAAATCACTTGCTAAGAGGACTACCGTTGCCGAAATCTTCACCGATATCGAGGATGCCGTTACCTGTGCTGGGTGTGAGGTAAGCGCTTGTTGCAAATGTGTTCATAGTGCTATATACTAATCATCAATGCATTATTAAGGCTTTGCTAGTGATTCTGCAGGCTCTCGCACATCTTGGTAACGATGATTTTGTCGATGTCATCACAGAAGTCTGCATTCTGGCCGGTGTTAGATGTCCCCAGCTCTGAGGTGTGAATATCCGCTTACATCCGTGATAGATTGATGATGACGATGTATGCGAGGGCGCAATTGCTCGTGAGGGGCCAATCTTGGCCCACGACCTTCGCAATATGGATGTTCCATCCCACACCGCAACCCTCTTCTGCACCACAATCTTTGGTCTTTGCGATTACCCCGCGATTACTGATTATACGGTCGACTTTCCCTCCTCCAAGCCAGCCAATGCTTCTCGACCGGCATCCAGCGGAGAAACTCCAATTCAAGTTGTTCACATTAGTGACATCCATGTTGATCTCTTCTACGAGGTTGGCGCGAGGTTAGTTCACCTTCATAATTCATATACTCGTGATACTGACAAGAAATGATAGTTACGACTGTACCAAGAACATCTGCTGCCGTCCGTATACCGCAGCTGATGCCCCTGGAAACACGAGTTACCCAGCCGGTGAATATGGAAATCACAATTGCGATTCTCCGTTGGACCTGGAGTTGAGCATGTATGAAGCTATCCAGACTCTTGTTCCCGATGCAGCATTCTCCATTTTCACTGGCGACGTTGTTGAGGGAGCGGTTTGGCTTGTCAACGAAACCGAGGTGACCAATGACCTGAACGACGCGTATAACACGCGCATGGCCGGCTACTTCAGCCAAATCTACGGTGTCATTGGAAACCACGACGTTGCTCCAGTCAACTCCTTCCCCCCATCTGACATTGATACTACTATCTCCAGCCAGTGGGCATACGATACTCTGTCATCCGACTGGGAGCAGTGGATTGGCTCCACAGCTGCAACCACCGCAGACGACTATGGTTCCTACTCTGTGAAGTATTCCGGTGGCAACCTTCGGATTATCTCTTTCAACACCAATTTCTACTACAAGGAGAACTTCTGGCTGTACGAGAAGACAATGCAGACCGACCCCAATAGTCAGCTAGCCTGGATCGTGGATGAGCTCGACGCTGCTGAAACTGCCGGCGAGCGAGTCTGGCTCATGGGCCACATGCCCATGGGTGCTAGCGATGCTTTCCACGACGGGTCCAACTACTTCAACCAAATCATCCAGCGATATGACGCCACAATCGCAGCTGTGTTCTACGGTCACACCCACAAGGACGAGTTCGAAATCGCCTACTCGGACTATTCCAACCCCACCGCCGACACGGCTACCATGATGTCCTACATTGCTCCAGCTCTGACTCCGACATCTGGAAACCCCACCTTCCGTGTCTACTCGGTCGACCCGGTTACTTTCGGCATCCTGGACTTCCAAGTCTACTTTGCCAACATGTCCAGCTCCACATATCAGACCAAGCCCACTTGGGAGAAGTACTACTCGGTTAAAGAGGCATACGGCTCCCTACTCAGCCCACCCGTCACTGATAGCGCTGCCGAGCTGACCCCGGCGTTCTGGCACAACGTCACTGCCCTCTTTGAGAGCGACGACTCCGTCTTCCAGGATTACATTGCTCGCAAGTCTCGCGGATGGGATTACTCATCCTGCACAGGTACCTGCAAGACCGACGAGATTTGCCAACTCCGTGCCGCTGAATCGCAGTACAACTGTGTCGAGATCACTCCTGGCATCAGCTTCAAGAAGGCCAAGCGTTCGACTTCGAGCAGCTCCAGCGAGGAGAGTGCATGCGGTGAGTCAGTTATTGGTAAGATGTTCTCGGACTTCGAGAGTACCGTGTCATCCCTGAAGACCGCCGCCGACGCTAAGCTGGGAACGAGCTTCTTGGCTACCACCGTGAATTCCACTGTGGTGTAGATTAAGCACCTATATCTTGATAGATAGAAGAGTAAGATTCCGTCGGCATACCGTCGGCAATTTTAGGGCTGATTTTCTGTCTGAATACTTCCACACACGTTCCATAGTTTAATCAGTAATTGGTCGGCGATCCCTGCCCGATCAGATTAAAGACGGACTTGATGCCTGGAGAAGAAAATGAATACGCAATGGAGCTTCCAAGACAGTACTTTAATCTAATTCATTTCGGTTAAATAATCGGCTTGACACGTGGGCCGGCAATAGGCTTGCATGTCCTGAGTGGTCCGTTGACGCTAACACCGGCTTAGCCGGCGACTAAAGCAGGTCCCAGTCGGCCTCGGCGCTCCGAACTACATATAGGCTTGAATCGCGTTGTTAAAATGGACCAAGAATCAATTCATCTCCAAGCGAACCGGATTCGACGTAATGGCTTACTCTTCTGTCAAGAGTGTTGTGTCTTCGTTGCTATTGGCGGCTACCAGCCACGCCGCGGTGCTGGCCCCGACCAACGACATTGTATTCCCGACTGGTGATAACGTTCAGAATCCGTTGATATACTCTGGCGGAAATACTCCGTACTTTGCTGGTTAGTTTTGATTGAATGATTGTATGCCATTTTACTGATTTGAAAGGTCCCAATGTCAATGGTGTTGACAACAGTGTGCCTGACAAGTGTACCGTTCAACAGGCTGCCTATATTGTGAGACATGGAAGCAGGTGAGTTATACTTTTTCTGGATGTATGAAATTGTCACTGATGTGGTTCATGTAGATTCCCTGATACGGGTTCGTACGAATCCTGGGTTGGAATTCAGGAGAGGGTCAGTAATTGGCGCTGTATTTTTATACTCGATATTAACTTTTTTGAAAGATTCAAGCTGCTGTCAATGGCGATGGCTTCAAAGCTCGTGGAGCACTTTCTTTCATTCCTGAATGGACTACGGCTTTGACCAACCCGACGCTGCAAATTGCCTCGGAATCTATGACTGGTTGGAAAGAGGTATGCTGCTAGTTCTCTTTACCGGGTTTTACGACAGCATTCTTATGAGTAATAGGCCACCGATCTTGGATACCAGCTCAGAGCTCGCTGTAAGTCATTCGAGCCTTGATTCTATTTTCAACACTGACCATATGCATAGATCCCGATTTCTACGAGGATGGAAATCCATTCTACGTGTGGGCTAACCAGTACAAGTATCCCATCAACGAGTCCCGAGTTGTTCAGACAGCTCGTGCCTTTGTCAATGGCTACCTGTACGAGTTCGCTGATACTTACGGCTCAGTGGTCAGTGTGAACTCTACTGGCTCTGTCAGTGCCATCGGTAACTCCCTAGGCCCATCTGACTCCTGCCCACTTTTTGCTTCCACTTCCAGCGGAGGCAGCAATGTTACAGACTGTAAGTTGAGAAACTTGGCCATAATCTTGCCCAGCTAACATGTATTAGTTGATGCCACCTGGACGCCCAAGGCCCTCAAGCGTCTCAACTCGTTGATCAGCGGCAACCTAACATTCACCGAGACCGACATTCTTTTCTTCCCGTACCTGTGTGGATATGAGAGTCAGATTAAGGGCAATCTCAGTCCCTGGTGCAACGTGTTCACCGCGGACGAGCTGCGCAACTACGCCTACTCGCAGGATCTGAGCTACTACTACGATGTGGGCCCCGGTGCTGATGGGCCCGCTCCCATCCTTTTCTTGCCTTTCCTCAACAGCCTGATGACTCTGCTCGCTGAGGGTCCCGGTCAGACTGGTACCGGTATTGATGGCGAGAGCTTCACCGTTCCCAACTTGATCATGGCTTTCTTGAACGATAACCAGATTGCCGAGATGACTGCTGCTATGGGCATGTTCGATAACGAGGCTGCTCTTCCCGATACCCACATCCCTGCCAATCACCTGTACAATGTGGCCCACTTTATCACCATGCGCGGTACTGTCGCCTTTGAGGCCCTGAACTGCGAGATTACTTCGGGACACAAGACTTCTAACGAGACGTATCTGCGGGTGTTGTTTAACGATGCTGTCTACCCGCTTCCCAACTGCAAGAATGGACCGGGTAAGAGCTGTCTCTTATCTGAGTACGCCACCTTTATCGAGAAGAAGAACAAGGCAGCGGGTAACTTCATTGACTACTGCAATGTGACCGAGTCTGGCCACCCTGAGACTGTTGCTGGAGCCAGTTTCTTCACTGATCTCTCCTTGGACTTCTTGACTTTTGTCAATCCTTGAGTGACATGAGTCCCCGTTCCTGTCCTCGCTCCCTGTGTCCTAAGGATGCTCGCTCCGTTTTTCCTTTGTATCAGTCTGCATGCTGCATCTCTTTGCTTTGTCCTCTTCCTATCTCATTTTAATTTAGCTTTTCTCTTCCCCGTTGTACTATGTACTAGATAGCCCAACCTGAAAACAGATTACCTTTTTGCCAAGCAATCCTTATCTCCGCCGCGCCATTGGATATAGAATACGTTCAACGAAGTACATGTATGCGGCTAATCCCGTAATTGCACTCCCGTGATCACATCATGACCGCAGCAACGCGTAATCTTCCACATATGCCCTGATCTAATATAACCGTCTCTTATAACCTTGAACCAAAATTACCGAATCACAGTCGACGCATCTCCATAACCCCCAGGTCCGATAGTTGTCCGGAGATGAAAATTCCAGAAAAAAGTGGGCAATCGGGCTAGACCGTGCATTTTCCCCACTTCCACCGGGCTGCAGATGTCTCGAACCAAGTCTTTTTTACGTGGAGAAGGTCCGAGACATGATGTCTTGTTGCTACTGGTTCTTGGCTAAGTTGCCTTGTTTTTGTTGGTTCCTTGATTTCCATTTTGTCTCAGGGTTTATATAGAAAGCCCCATTCCATGGAAAGGGGGGCGCTCAACCTGGGGTCTCTAGTGTGTGACACATTTCCAAAATTAGCCCAAGCCTCAAATACAACATCAGCCGTTTCGAGCTTCTCGCTTCTCGCGTTTTTCTGAGAGGTATCTTTAATTTTTGTGGAAGAGATAGAGAACCAGGAGGTAACACAGATGAAACACGCATTCAGTCCCTGCCCAGATTTGTTTCCTGGATTGTGACCCTTTCACCTTATGGTCCATTCCCTTTGTCCTTCCGAATCGGACCGGACCTGAATGTGTGACGGTTTGTGAATGATCATGGCCTATAACGCTCTTGCGCAGGTCGAGGTGGCCTCTGACTCTGAGTCGGATCGTTCACGCAATCCGTCACCCTCCGGTTTTCCACGGACTATCGACCGAGGAAGTCGCCTAGAACACGCTAGAACTGCCGAGCCCTCCCAGTTGGGCGCTATTTACCGATCCATGACTTCCTCCAACTACGAAGTTGTCGAGGCAGATGACTACGACGCCGATCCTTCCCCCAAACATCCCCCCATTCCTCCACTTAATACGGCGATCGCGCGACATTCCTCTCCCGATCCTCCCTTACGGAGTGCCTCCAGCGACATCCCTATTCCTCTCAGTCACCCGACCCCAGATCTGCAATCACTACAAGGCGCCTATGTGGGCAATGTAGAGCGACTAGAACAAAGTGCAGAGCGTTTGAGTTCCAGTACGGCCGACATTGCCAGCGAAATTCGCAAGTTGGACCTGGAGCAAAAGCGACGATCCTACAGCTCGGCTTCCAATTCCATAATCATGAGGAATGGTGCATTCTCCCCGGGCGCAAGCCTTACCAGATCCCCTCATGGCTCGACCCGATCGCGATCTACACGCCAGCGCTCCTTCTCCAATGGATCTTGCCTGGCGCAGGTGGCGGAGCCTGACCATGACGACGGTCACTTCCTAGATCAATTCACCACGACCCTACCGATCGCCCCACAATACCCCCTTCATACCCAGAGCACCGGGCGCTTCTACGGTCAATATGACGGCCCAGCGATGACTCCTGTGGCTGCGGAAGAGATTGAGCGACCCGACACGGCCGCATCGGGAGATACCTTCCAACAAGCGCGGACACTGTTTAACGATTTTGATGGCGTTCACTTCGCACCCCTGGATCTCGCCGATCCCGGACGTCAGATGTCAATAAGCCAACCGCCCCTGGCCAGCAAGCCGGAACCGTACAAGGAGGCCCAGGCTGGTCAGAATATGGTTTACTATCCCGCACCGGTCCCGCGCATGCTGAATCTGCCTCCCAAATTGTCGCGCAGACCACCGGTCGCTGAGCGTGAGAAACGTCGTATGCAGATCTTGACTGCTATCGCGGCTGAGGACAGGAAAGCGGAATTCGGCGAGGAGGGAGCGGCCGAGGGCCAGAAAGACAAACGGCAAACAAAATTGCCCCAACAACTTCGAGCAAGCGTCTTCTTCAATCCGCCCAGTACCACGCTCGAGCTGGACGTTAAACAGGATTCGGCGGTTGCGACACTCGATAGCATCCTCGACGCTTCGGCGCATGCGCCTGTGTCGGCTTTCACAGATCATCCGTACGCGGGTCACGTTGGATCGCACGTCTATGGACAGGAGCGGAAGACTCTACGAAAGCAAAAGTCAGATCGAAACTCCCAGTTTCCAATGGGGCAACAGCAGAGCACCAACCGAGAGAGTGCGTTGGATGGCTCAGCCCACTCCGATAGCGGATTGCAGCAGGACGAATCGGAGGGAGTTAATCATCAGAATGACTCCGAGGGCTCAGATGAATCAGAGGATGAAAATGAAGATGATGAGCATTCAACGGAGAGTGACGATGATGAGGAGTCAGACTACGTGGGACCCCCCAACACCTTACTAGCGGAACTGGAGCTGCGGAAGCAAGAGCTTGCACTGCGGAGACGTACAGTAGTCCCTCAGTATACGCCTGGTATGCAGAACACCCTGTTGGAGTTGGATGCGATGGCCCAGAAACAGAGCGAGAAAAGAAGACGCCGCCCAATAACTTTAGCCTGGGATAATCGCCATGCTACTGATGATGATGATGTTCCTCTCGCAATGTTATATCCCGACCAGGTAAAAGAGGATGACCCGAATCAACCACGTGGTCTGATGGAGAAACACCAAGTCGAGGAACATGAGCCCTTAAGTACACGTCGTGCTCGACTGAGGGGGGAACCGATTCCCGAGAAACGACCTGTCACAGTTTATGCCGTTGAGAAGCCGCAATCTGCACAGGCGCCCGCCACAGAGGACGATGCAGGAGAAGACGGTGAGACCCTAGCTGAACGTCTGAGACGATTAAAAGGAAAGAATCCAACGGAAACCGAGTTCTCAAATAATCTCCTGGCCGAATTTGACAATCGCCTCGGATCATCCCACGCCTCAGAGGCTACACCAGCCCCTCAACAGCCACCCCAAGAGGAGACCCTCGCACAGCGGCGTATACGTCTACAGAAAGAAAGTGGCGCCCAGCCTGGCCTCGCCAAAAACCCACGGATGCGAAGAAGCATGGCTACCCTTCCCCAAGTTCGGCCATCACATATAGTTCGCAAGTCCTCTCACGACGTATTCCAGCAACCGAATGCGATGCAGCAGTACGGTAGCCGCATGTCCATGCAGCAGTTCCCAACCAATATGGGACACCCTAATCATGCATACCCAGTGAACCAGCCACCACCGCCACCATATAGCTATGGGCCGGCCTACCCACCTCCCTATGGCTACAATAACACCATGATCGCCATGCACAATATGGGTTATCCCATGCCTAATGCGTGCGGGCCGACCATGACCCGCCAGCCCGTCGATCCTAATCAGCGCGATGTCATTGACCGCTGGCGGGCAAGCATTCGCTAAGCCTTGTCATTTCCTTTCTACCTTGTTTCTGTTTCTCATTGCATCATCATAGCGTTGTCGGTCTGGGTGTACTCTTGAGCCTTTTCAATCTCTCTCTCTCTCTCTTTCTCTCCTCCTTGTTTTCTTCTTGCTTTGGAGGGATATCCATGTAAACTAGTGCATTTGTATGATTCATAGAGGCGATTTGGTCTCATTCACAATCTTATCTGGCAGCAATTTAGAACTTTGTTTTGCATACTGATGTGTTCCTATTGTATCTAATCATATATCCAGATTCTAAGATACCCGAATTCCTAATTCAAGGGTCAAATCGTCTTGTCAATTTCCTACATTCCTTGGATATTAAGCCATGGAGTCCCCAACTTTCAAGCTAGATCACAACCAGTTAGCGTCGGGATTACCTTATGTCGGAAGGTTACATCTGCTGGTTAGCGCAGATAATTAACTGCGCTTGTGCCTTGAATTTGACCAAAATTGTGCCCAGTGCCCAATTACATATTCTTTCTGTCACTAGGATAAAACATTATCCTCGCAGAGCCTCATAGGGCTGTGCTTCGTTCTTGCGGGCCACGTCACTAGTCTATTGATAAGGATACTTAGCCTCTGATCTATCATGCTCTGGTGTTTACTAATATCTTGATTATTGAACACATTATTTAGCATGTGAAGTGTCATAAAAGATTATCAGTCAAGCCGTTAGTTGAACATTCACTGCCTATGGAGAGAATCCGCTAGTCGGGTTATGTTGGGTTTTCTAGCTCGCCGGGGCACAACCTCTGATATTAAATATGAGACATTTAACACTAGTGGACTGAGATGTCCGTAGATGGTAGGGAACAAGATGTTAGATGACGCGGCTGTGCTCCACATGTTCTTGAACGCTTGACCTTACTACGCCCTGGCTCCAGATAGCACTGAGAAATCCATATAAACATGGTGTTTTATCTTTTCCTGAATACCACTTTTCATTGATCACTTTATGTACCTTTCTCAGGCCAGTTGCACCATCTCGAAGAATACAATCGTGTATCCATCATCTGGTCGCTACAATGTCTTCAGAAATATCACTAGATGTTCTGCTGCCGATGTCTTCGGATTTATCACCAGATATTTTGGATGATGCTTTTCCATATCTCAATGAACGGCCACCACTAGATGTTAAATTTATATTGTCCCTCCTCTACACGATTATTCTTTGTACTTTCGTGAGTCCAAGCCAGAATCATGACTCCCTTATTTACTAATTTATTGATATAAGTTCACAAATGTGGCTGGTAATACCCTTGCAACCATCACAGCCCTATCGCGAGAAGAAGTGGGCACGCCTCGACTTACCTTCCGGCAAAATTTTTACGGTCTCCCAATATTCATCTTTCATCGCTTAGCAAAAATTGCCATTCTTTCCCGATTCCCAGTGAAAGGCTCAAGTCTGCTAAACTGCTTCCTTTTGAACATCATGGCCGAATTGTTACTTTCAACGCTGAAAGTAGCCAATGTGCACATTATCATTTCCAAGCTTGATCACTCAAGAACTCAAACTCTATCGCCATTCCGGTGCATTTTCAGTTTATCGATATGGCTTACGACCTTCCCGGCTACATTGCTATATAGCATATGTTCAAGCACTTGCTTTTACCTTCCCCTCTACGTTGGCCGTTCGATGTTCAATCAAATCGGCCAAGACGGCCGAGATAGCCATGACTGGCAACTTCTAATGATTGCCGTGTTGATTGTGGTTCTCTATTTTGGGTTGGTGGTACCCTCTTATGCTGTTTTTATTCGAGTGGCTGGCTCCACGCTGCCGTTGCAAAGAAATTCGAAGTTTACGGTGGATAAAGATATCGGTCTCTACGGAGCATGGCAGAGCCTCTCGTGGCCAAGCCTAGTTGCTTTCTTTAAATTGCATGTCAATGTCCTCGTTTTCGAAACAGGTCTGGGGTTCACGATGTCTATCTCTGTATTTACGCTCTGTCATCCTGCGTTATACATTGATGTTGCGGAATTTTTTGCGAAGTATGCTGGTTAGCCTGAGCAAAGGTAGATGATGCTCGCAAAATCTGGTCGTCTTCATCGATAATGCCTCCTCCACCATGATCTTGTTAGGACAGTTGGACCGTGGTAAAGGATATTGTTGACATTGTCACGTGAAATGTAAATACCAATAACAAAGAAACTCTGTTTTCGTTTAGTGATTATGCTATTGGTTTATCCGGGAAAATAATGAAATAATTCAGAGAGTTCCTGGATAAATTTGACAATTGGTACCATAGGGTTCCGTTGAAGCCCACGTTCTTGATTATTATCAGATCTCGCAAGGGATAAGTAAATATAGATCTGACCAGCTGAAGCTTCGATTGGTGTAACCTTCCCTACGAACCTTGGAACCGATCTTACGTCTTGATTGATCTTTCATTTACTCCTCACCAAATTATGATTCTGCTTATTTCGAATTATCAATAAAGAGGGGTTTTTGTTTTCAATTTACTTCATTCTACTACGTACCGTGAAGCTCAACGCCGAGTGGGCCGTTTCAAGCCCCACTAGTGCCTGTGCCTGGTATGTGAGACCAGAAGTCCAGCCCTCCTTTCCACTAACACCAGCCCTCTACAGGTACACATGACCGCGATGGAGTCTCAAGTCCCCTAAAATATATCACGGCTTATAAGAACGCCGCCACAGGCCCTGGTCCATCGACCAGAATGCCCTCGTCCACAGTTTTCTCATACTGGCGGCGCGACCATCGCCGCTCAACCGCGCCGCCAACTCCTCTACCAGCTCCGTCACCAACCCCTCTTAGCGCAGGAGAAAGCCCACTCAGTCCTCCCCAGCTCCCCGAAATCCCTGATACTCCTACCTTCACGAGCGCATTCGGCAGCAACCCTTCATACGATGCCCCGCCCTGGAGTGATTCGCCATTGGAGAATGATGCTGCAAAGCTAAACTTTACCTCCACCACCGCGCCACTTTCTTCCTCCATTAGTCTCGCTGTTCCGTCACCGTCAGTCGAGAGAGAAAATCGCCCCCACTCGAGTCCTGAAGAGCTTGACCCCGAATCAATTTTTACGTCACAGGCCAACGATTCACAATCTGAGGTGTCAGGATCGCGGGTGGACCAGGGTGATGCAGATGCGAATTTCAAGCCTACCTCTCCATTCCGCCTTTCCATCGGGAAAGGACTGCGAAACTTTCAGGCACCTGCCGCTGATAATCAGAAGCGGTCCTCCACGGTGGGACTGGGGGCGAGCCAGTTTCGATTGAAAACTTCGCCCGAGGATGTGCTGGTGGAAAGGCCAAATACATTACAGAGGGAAGTCAGGCAGGATGGTGCTCTGTTGAGGCGAACTGCGGACCGCGAAGTTGCGGTCGAGCATGCACACCACAAATCGGGCAAGGCAATGCTCCATCTTTTGAACCCGATGTCGCTTCTTGCGCGTCGTCGTTCTTCACAGATTGGCAGCTCTCGCATTGAGGATGCCAAGCTTAACGCACCCAATATGATACCTGCTATCCCGGATGACTATGATCCCCGAATTCGTGGAAAGATTATACATGATTTCTCTGCTCCTCGGGCTCGACGAAATGTCTCAGGCAACTCGACTACGGCCGATGGAAAGAGCCCCAATCAACAGGATCCATCGCTACAAAGTCCTGCTAGTCCCTGGAATGACAGGTCGAGGCGACACAGCGATCACTCCCCTGTGTTCAAGGAGCATTTTGAAGAAGATCAGAATGTGCTCCATATTGAGAACAAGGGTTATCTCCAGTCATCGCTATTGACGAGTCCAGCTCAACCGGGATACGAGAGATCAATCCCGGTTTTTGCGCGAAAGTTTCCTTCTACGGCTCCGGAACAAAGCCCAGAAATCGGGGATAATTATGAAAATCTCCCAGCAGAACTCCCAGGAGATGGCCCTGTGGAGCTTCCTGCAGAGGTCCCGCCAGAATATACGACACATCCACCAAAAGCAAGCCCACCTGCAAGTCAAAAGGATCAAGATATAATTCCTAAGGTTCACCCTGCAGGTTTGCCCAAGCATCTCAAAAGCAATGCTTCTTCAAGGTTCAGCTTCGACATGGGAGGTGTTGAATCTTCCGTACAGGAGAAGCTCCTCGAAGAAAAGCACAAGGCGAAAGAGGCTGCACGCAAACTGGATGATGGATACTTTGACGACTTTGATGATGAATTCGATCATGACATGATGGATGACATGGATGGCCTTGAAGAAGAGATCCCGGAAATCAGCGCTGACTATGACGAAGACTACATGCCTCCTGTTCCTCAGTATATAAATGGTGATCTCAAATCTTGGGCCGCGCCTGGGCTTTCGCCTGTAGTTGCGAGCCCGATTACACCTGCGCCGCCCTCTGAAATTCCCACCAACCCATATTTTGATGAAGATCAAATGTTGCAAGAAGAGAACCATGAATCTCAAGGCCGACCCATGATGGAGAATACTCGGCAATTCTCAGATGACCAAATGCAAACAATCGCTGATGATGACGACCTGTACTTCGATGATGGTGAATTTGGGGATCTTGACGCTGACGACCAGGATGGCGGTTTCGATGAGTCTATCTTCGATGACGAAAGTAGTCATTTATATGAAAGGAAAATGGTCAATAAGGAGGCCACTCAGGAATCTCAAGATGCCATCTCCGAAGAAGATGAGCGCCCGGAGAATGACTTGTTACTTGAAGAAGATGCCATTCAAGGCCTTAAGCACATGCCCAGCGTGGCAAGTGAATACCAGATGGGCCCCATTAAGCGTGGGCCGCTTGGTGAACCAATACCTAACATGGGACCTGCTCGGGCTCATGGTGGTGTTCTCACGGAGCAAAACCTGGAGGTATTACACAATGCTCTGGAATTTGCAGCAAATGAAGCAGTGACCCAAGGTCAATTCGGGCGCACATTCAGCACAAGTGAGAGGTCTGCAGGACAAGACAGTATACCGCAAACATCGCATACTGGTGATTCGCAGCCAGGCCTAGTTTCGGACGACAGCCGACTCAGCCAAGCAGCGGAAATGATGGGCTTCGATGATGTCTTCGATGATAATATTTATAATGACGATGCGTACTACGATGATCCGATCGTTGCTGCAGCCAATGCCGAAGCGCTAGAAAACGATGATGAGGGCTTCTACGGCCAAGAATTTGGCTTTTATGCTCAGGCGCATGGCACTTCTGAACTTACGAACGGGGGTTATTTTGGCCCTCGAGGAGTTGAGGGCATCAGCCGCAGCTTTAGCAGCCGTGGAAAATTTCAGGAACCCAGCTTGACCCCGATCACTGAACGCAGTGAATGGAGCACTCGCAACTCTCTCATCTCGTTGAAGGCACACGGGGCCGCCCATTCAAACCCATCGCTTGCCAGCCCGGGCTTGGCCCAGCTAGTCGACATGGGTAACTTGGACGACGAGATGACACTGAGCGCTCTTCTGAAGCTGCGACGTGGTGCCTGGGGTGGAAGCAATGGTAGTCTTCGCAGCAGTGCTGGAAGTCCACCCCCTCATACTCTCACGTCTTCACACCGCGGCAGCTTTGCCGGAGCCTCCGAAGCTGCCAGTCCTTCAGAGGCTAGACCTTTTACTGAGGAGGGTTTAGCGGGCCTGATCGATCACCATGACGACCAGCTCTCATATATGACTTCACCGCTCAAAGTCACTGGACGGCAAGATGCCGATCTCCCGCATAGCGGACTTGACGGCCCGATCTACGCTGATGTCGAGGAAGAATTGCCGAATTCCGGCACTCAGCGCCTCAACGTCTTGTAAACTTGCTCCTTCTTTCTTTTCTTCCCCTTTCCCATTGGACATAATCGCCAATTAATTGGCTTGCTCATTGCATATGGATTGGAAATTTTTTTTTTTTTTTTTTTTTTTTTGCTCTCTTACGATGTAATGACTTACCCCAGTATGTTTTCTGGTTGGCGTTACCCTTCTATACACCGATTGTTTCTATATCGTTCCCGGTGATCTAGGCATGTTAATATACGAAATTTGGAAGCCTTCAGCATGACTATAAACTACCGAGGTGTCTACTTGTGTGACCATTGACTGCCGTCATCGCAAACCATAGGCCTACTATTGGGCCGAAATCACCCGCAAAACACCGAAATGCTTAGCCGGGCAGTGGATCGTTGTGGCTCACAAACCGGAGTCGCCGCGTCTCAGTAACGTAAACCGGCAATGAGCCGGGCTGACTCAGCGCACCAGCCTCATTCCAAGCAGGTTCCTCCGAGTTTAGCTGGCTCCCCTTCTTCTCCAATCTAAACCCTTTTACCCCAGTTCTTCTATTCAGCAGAGTTTCTGCTATCTAATGAGTTCAGACTCTATATAGGTGCTACGGCAATAATAGTCGACACCTAATTTGCGCAAGTTAATCCTACCTGTACGTGTTTCCGTCGCTTCCTTTGCTCCGTCGGTACTCTCGGCAGAGAACAACAACCTGTCAACTTCGGTGGCTAACATGCGCGTGACGAGTAGATCGGTTTGAGATTGCCCTTACATCAGCTCAGTTTGAGACTTTAGCTGTTCCGCTTTCCTCCTTTCCCCCCTTTTTCTCTGAACAGTCCCGGCTTCGTCGGAAACAAATCCCGCAATGTTCAGGAATACTGCCTTGAAGGCCTCCCGGAGGTCCTTCAACCTCACCTCGAGCGCTCGTTACGCCTCGAAAAACCCTGGCTTCAGCCTCGCTGCTCGTCGTCCTCTCGCCGTTGTTAACGGTGCTCGTCAATATGCTTCTGAGGCGTCAAAACCTGGTGTGGTAAGCTTGAATCGACCCTTGAAAAAATTCCAATGCAAAAACCAAGATTTTGAAAATGCGCGATTGGAGCGCAAACCCGGAACTTTTGACTAATGCGACAGCGCGACTTTTTAAAGGACTCCAACGACTCTTTCCTCTCGGGCAGCACTGCCAACTACGTTGATGAGATGTACCTGGCATGGAAGCGTGACCCGTCCAGCGTCCACATCTCATGGCAGACCTACTTCAAGAACATGGAGGAGGGCTCCATGCCTATGTCCCAGGCCTTCACTCCTCCCCCCTACTCTCGTCCCTACCCCTACCGGTGGTGTTCCCCAGGATATGCCCGCCGGTGGCCTCGCCAGCGGCACTGATGTCACCAACCACTTGAAGGTTCAGCTTCTTGTGCGCGCCTACCAGGCCCGTGGCCACCACAAGGCCAAGATCGACCCTCTTGGTATCCGTGGAGAGGCCGAGGCTTTTGGCTACGACAAGCCCAAGGAGCTTGAGCTCGACCACTATGGTTTCACTGAGCGCGACTTGGACCAGGAGTTCGCTCTTGGACCCGGTATCTTGCCCCGTTTCGTCACTGGAGAGCGTAAGAAGATGACTCTCCGTGAGATCATTGACTCTTGCGAGAAGATCTACTGCGGCTCCTACGGTGTCGAGTACATTCACATTCCCGACCGCAAGCCTTGCGAGTGGATTCGTGACCGTTTCGAGATCCCCGAGCCCTTCCGCTACTCGGTGGATGACAAGCGCCGCATTCTGGACCGTCTTATCTGGAGTTCCAGCTTCGAGTCTTTCTTGGCTACCAAGTTCCCCAACGACAAGCGTTTCGGTTTGGAGGGCTGTGAGACCCTTGTGCCCGGTATGAAGGCCCTGATTGACCGCAGTGTTGACTACGGCATCAAGGACATTGTCATTGGTATGCCTCACCGTGGTCGCCTGAACGTTCTATCCAACGTCGTTCGCAAGCCCAACGAGTCCATCTTCAGTGAGTTCGCTGGTTCTACCGAGCCTTCTGATGAGGGTTCCGGTGATGTCAAGTACCACTTGGGTATGAACTTCGAGCGCCCTACTCCCTCCGGAAAGCGCGTGCAGCTGTCCCTGGTTGCCAACCCCTCTCACTTGGAGGCTGAGGACCCCGTTGTCCTGGGTAAGGCCCGTGCCATCCAGCACTACAACAACGACGAGACCGAGTTCAACACCGCTATGGGTGTTCTGCTCCACGGTGACGCTGCCTTCGCCGCCCAGGGTGTCGTCTACGAGACCATGGGATTCCAGTCTCTTCCCGCCTACTCCACCGGTGGTACCATCCACATCGTCGTGAACAACCAGATTGGTTTCACCACCGACCCCCGCTTTGCCCGTTCCACCCCTTACTGCTCGGACATTGCCAAGGCTATTGATGCTCCCGTGTTCCACGTGAACGCCGACGACGTCGAGGCCGTCAACTACGTTTGCCAGGTCGCTGCCGACTGGCGTGCTGAGTTCAAGCGTGACGTTGTCATTGACATTGTCTGCTACCGTAAGCAGGGTCACAACGAGACTGACCAGCCCTCGTTCACCCAGCCTCGCATGTACAAGCGCATTGCTGAGCAGAAGGCCCAGCTCGACAAGTACGTCGAGAAGCTGATTGCTGAGGGTACCTTCACCAAGGAGGACATTGATGAGCACAAGAAGTGGGTCTGGGGCATGCTGAACGACAGCTTCGACCGCTCCAAGGACTACCAGCCCACCGGTAAGGAGTGGCTCACCTCCGCCTGGAACAACTTCAAGACCCCCAAGGAGTTGGCCACTGAGGTTCTTCCCCACCTCCCCACCGCTGTTGGCGCCAATACTTTGTCCACCATTGCCGACAAGATCAGTGGTAGCGGCGCTCCTGAGGGCTTCACCCTCCACAAGAACCTGAAGCGTATCTTGGCCAACCGCAAGAAGACTGTTGACGAGGGTAAGGGTATTGACTGGGCTACTGCTGAGGCTCTTGCCTTCGGTTCCCTTGTTAACGAGGGATACCACGTCCGTGTCTCCGGACAGGATGTTGAGCGTGGTACCTTCTCCCAGCGTCACGCCGTCCTGCACGACCAGGAGAACGAGGCTGTCCACACTCCCCTGCAGAGCATCAGCGACAAGCAGGGTAGCTTCGTCATCTCTAACTCCTCCCTCAGCGAGTTCGGCTGTCTCGGTTTCGAGTACGGTTACTCTCTGACCTCCCCCGAGGCTCTCGTCATGTGGGAGGCTCAGTTCGGTGATTTCGCCAACAACGCTCAGTGTATCATTGATCAGTTCATCGCCTCCGGTGAATCTAAGTGGTTGCAGCGCTCCGGTCTCGTTGTCTCTCTGCCCCACGGTTACGATGGACAGGGTCCCGAGCACTCTTCCGGTCGTATGGAGCGTTGGTTGCAGCTTTGTAACGAGGAGCCTCGCGTGTTCCCCTCTGCTGACAAGCTCGACCGCCAGCACCAGGACTGCAACATGCAGATCGTTTACATGACCGAGCCCTCTAACCTGTTCCACGTTCTCCGTCGCCAGATGCAGCGCCAGTTCCGCAAGCCTTTGGTCATCTTCTTCTCCAAGGCTCTCCTGCGTCACCCCATTGCCCGCTCTGACATCGAGGCCTTCACCGGCGAGTCCCACTTCCAGTGGATCATCCGTGACCCCGCCCACGAGACCGCCGCCATTGAGGCCCCCGAGAAGATTGAGCGTGTCATCATGTGCTCTGGACAGGTCTACGCCGCCCTCGTCAAGCACCGTGAAGCCAACGGTCTCCGCAACACTGCCATCACCCGTGTTGAGCAGCTGCACCCCTTCCCCTGGGCTCAGCTCAAGGAGAACCTTGACAGCTACCCCAACGCCAAGGACATCGTCTGGTGTCAGGAGGAGCCTCTCAACGCCGGTCCCTGGTCTTACGCCCAGCCCCGTCTTGAGACCATGCTGAACTCCACCGAGCACCACAACCGCCGCCACGTCCTGTACGCTGGTCGTGCTCCTAGTGCCTCCGTCGCCTCCGGTCTCAAGGCCGTCCACTTGAAGGAGGAGCAGGACTTCCTCAACGATGCTTTCTCCATCCACCAGGAGCGCCTCAAGGGCGAGTAAATGCCTCTCATGACTTGATGACTCCGGTCAAAGCTGGAGCAGACTTGTTGAATGGCTTGCTTTTCCTATGTCCATTGGTTCGCCGAAGCTAGCGTCCGATTTCCTTTGTACCACCTTTTTCTTATTTGCATGAGTATTCTTTGTTCTCGACCATGGTTTATACGACCTGTCTTGCTATTGCGAGACTCTTGGCCCGTCTATACCTAGAATCATGTCTGTAAAATACAAATTTCATTCAGTTGTTGCATTTAAAACATTCCGTCCCTAGGAAACAGTATTATGTATATCTTTCAGTAGTAAAGAGCCTGAATGTGTGTAAATTAGCCAGACAATTGGAATACTCGTCATCTTGCTAAATCTACCTATATATTGGATAGGTTTGTACCGCCTTGGTGTGTATAGAGTGTGTAGTTCGCTCGTGTATGGCTAGAATGACATCATAACAGACTACAATTATCGTGACTAAGCTATATTGATGCCTGAATATAATGGCAGTAATTCACCTGATCCAATGCGCTCTTCTCCGCACGCAAAGTTCCGACTGCTGATCCTCCCTCGTCGTCTCTACTCTTGCTGCATGAGGTATCGCAAGCCTATATGGTGATAGACCTTTCATCCGAACAATTGATCGTTCATACACTACTCTGATTCCATCGGATTGGACCAGGAGCACTAAAAAAGCTCCTGCAACGGTGCAAACCTCAGCTTAACCATAGCCTTTCCACCATGTCCACCGTCTCGTCTTCAGCCATGAACCCCCAGGGCCAGGGGATCCGCCAATCAGCCCGCCAAACCCGTACAAATCCCTCTCGCACTTCCAAGACAGTCGGTCGTTCTTCCTTTGGCTATGGCCGTGGTTCGACTGCTGAGATCCCCTCTACTCCCCCTGTGCCTCATGGCTTTTACCCTGCCCTCACACACTTTACCGACGCGATAACCGCCCTTCCACGCGAGTTTCGTCGACACAATTCATTGTTAAAAGAAGTGGACGCCAAAGCGTGGGCACTGGAGGAAAATTTGTTGCAGCTGCTTGAGCTTTCATCAGTGTCGCAACCCGTTCCTCATCCACCCCACATAGCGCCTATTGTTGCTGGTGTGATGCGAGACGATGTGTTACCACAGGTAAGTTGTTATCACTGATTCTATGAAGTTTTGATTATGAATTTTACTGATGTTGCTTCCCCTCTTAGGAGCTTTCCCAGTCCGAATCGCCCGATAGTAAAAACCGTCGCCTTCTCTTCGATCGCGTGCGCCAAAGCCTTTCCGATCTCATGATGACTGCCGATGAAAAGAATCATGTCATTTCCAATGCGAATGAGGAATTGGACCGCCAGGTCATACGCCTGGATACCGTGTTCCCGTACATTGCTGGTGAGATCAGCGAGGAGGCCCGCCTGGGTAGCTTGACGCACTGGGCATACTCGAACAAGAATGCCGTCAAGACGGCGGCCAACGAGCGTCCGCGCCGTGAAGCAGTGTCGCATAGGCAGGACCTATCGCATGCGCTACACGAGGCTGAACCGTCTAGCCGCAGCGAATTACGGCGCGAGGCTCTTGCACGGAAACCACGCCGGGCAAATGCCGATGCGGACTATGAAGATTCTCGCGGGGCCCGAAAGACTGCTACGACGAAGTCTCGCGGGGATAACGCGGGGGCTGAGCAGAATGCCACGGCTAAGCGCCGGAGGGTGGAAAAAGAGCGGCCTCCGGCTATCGATATGGGTACACCGATGGAGCGCACGGCCAGTGGCGCGACCAGCCAGAGAGCCTCAGCCAAGGATGGAGTGGAGAAGAAGCGGTCTCGCGCTCCCAATTCTGGTACCACTGGAGCTCGCAAGAAGTATGCTTCACCTATTGATTCGCCTGTTCCGTCTGTATCAAGTCTAATCCTTTCATCACAGGACCAATGTTACTTCCAATGCCGGATCGCCTGTCATGGCTCCCTCACCTCTTATCGGAACCTTCAATGCCCCACGTGGAGCTGCAAGCCCCGGACCAAACCCAGCGCGCCCGCAATCCTCTCGAACTCAGCAGACTGCAGGACAAACCAGCAATGCCCGACAAAGGCCGTCATCATCTGCGTCCAATCGCATTGGTCAGCCAACCCGTACGTTAATCAGCCTGATCTCTACATGGACCTTGTCTAATCGCTTTTTCCTTATCTAGCCAAATCCACCGACCCCAGATCTACACCCCGCGATGGGCCCCTCAAAATCGAAGCAATCAACAACGACCCAAGCCGCAACTACGAAGGCGAAGCTGGTATGCGAACATCGGCACCAACAGGTGGTAAACAGGATGACCTGGATGGACGACCCGTCGATGCCCTCGAGACCGAACAATCCAAAGGCCGAACCTCCAAGACTTCCACACCACTGCTACCAGCCTTGGGAGAACCTGCTCAGTCTCGCTCCAGACCAACACGGAGTACAGATCCTGTGCCCAACAAGCGCAACGCCAAAAAGCCTGTGGTGCCGGCACCGGCGATACCATCCGACGAGGAATCCATCCACGAAGGCGACGACGAAGATGAAGAAGGCGAGCCTCGATACTGCTATTGTAATGAGATCAGTTTCGGCGAGATGGTCGCCTGTGACAATGATGCCTGTCCACGCGAATGGTTCCATTTGTCTTGTGTGGGGTTGACGAAACCCCCAGGGAAGAATGGTAAGTTATACACAGTCTCCTCTCTATGGCGTAGGCTAATATCTGTATAGTCAAATGGTATTGCAACGAATGCAAGGAGAATATGCGAAGAGGCCGCAATGGACGGTAGATGTTGAGAATGATATGACCTTCGATCTGATTATCATTTCCGTTGGTTACTGCATCTTCATTCATGGGAGGTTGATGCTAGACATGACTAAGGACTGCAATGATCTCCTACAACTAATGAAGAACTTCTTTTCCTTTCCCAAATGCTGTATGTAGTGTTCCCTATTCAAATTCACGTAGCGATAGTCTTTACCATCTTAAAAGATGCCATGTCATCGAGCATGCGGCTTGGAAGGATGAGAGAGAAGGGAAGACTTAAGAATAAACAGTCGAGAAACAGAGGGGGGCTATACTCGAAACTCGCCCCTTCCTTAGATGACTTAATGCCAGACAAACGAAACATTCTATGCAAACCAAGACAAACCAAGCCAGAATAATTCACCCCACATCCCCCGATCCGTAATCTCTTCTTTCGGTGACGTTGTGTAAGTTCGGGCATGATGTATCTACTGATCAGAAGCAAACACAACCAATCTCGGGTTTACTCTTTGCCGTGTAATTATACGCTTGCATGTCGTATTGAATCAAGAGTAGTTTTCCTAGTGGAGAATAGTGAGGTCACTTATTGGTATGATCTTTATGAGTCATAGTTCTCCAGTGCTTAATCGCACACGTGTGGATGTCTAGCGGGGCCACGAGTTTACCGTGATCGGGCTTAAATCGATTTCCCAGCCCAAACTAATGTTTTTCTGTGACTTTGGACACTTGCCCTGTATCATAAAACAGAAGCCTTAAATTTGAAGATTAAATTTGAAGATTACAACCTAGAGGAAATACTTCTGAAGTTGGTTTGAACAGTGCAAACGTTTCAAGATTTGTGGCAAGAACGGGTTGCAAATAATCAGATTGAAAATCCATTCGGTCTATGTAGAAAGCGCAAAGAAACAAAACAAACACATCTACACTAGAGTTCCCAAGGAGCGGCCATCTTCCTTCTCTTCCCACTAGGCTGGCTTTCATCGGATTCATCTCTAGGACGCTTCTCAGCACTAGTCGTCTGACTAGAACTAATATACTTCCAAAGGCGCGTAACAAGATAATCACTTTCAATATCACTCTTAGAGAGAGTTTGAACATCACTTTTAGCAAAGAGTGTTTCGGTATCACTCTTTTCCTTATCAAACATCCCCTCAAGCTCAGGAACATTGCCCAAAGGAACTCCAAAATCTGCATACACATCAGTAATCATCCAAGAAAGACATTGGGCAGTACTAACCTGGCCCACTCTCTCGGACAATCAACGTAAAAAGAGGAAGATCATGATCCCTAGGAAGCGAATCAATCTCCCCCGCGGGTCTAGGACCCCTAAAATCCTCGAAATGCCCCTCAAAACTCCTCCAGATAGCCCTTCCCAAATCCCAACCATTATTCAAGCGAACCTGGCCCTTTGTTGAGTTTGTTGTATCCCAATCTAGATTGTCGCGCTCCTGCCAGCTCCACCAGATGCTGCTACCGGGATTATCAAGCAACTTCATTTTCTGAAGCGCTTTCTCGATGTATTGAAATCGGACATATTCAATATTAATCCATTTCTGGTCTGGAGTTTGCTGGCACTCGAGCTCGGGGCGCTCGAGGAAATGTGATAGATTCACTGTCCAGCTTGGACTACCACAGCGATCGCCGGCTTTGATGATATCTACTTGGGCGTTGTATACGACGTATTGTGATTGGTAGTCGAATGGTTCTAGGTCTTCGTCGCTTTCTAGGAATTTATCTTGTTCTGGCTGTTCTTCGGATGAGGATGAGGATGCGGATTTCGGTGTAGAATGATGTTCTTGCACTCCAGAATCTGCTTCTTGAAGATACGGTTTCCTCACTGGCTCATCATTTTCGTCCTCTGAATCGTCATCAGGGTCTGCTTCGGCTCCCGGTGCCTCCTCATCATCCTCCTCTTGTCCCTCCGCTTCCTCGCCAGAGTCCTCATCCTCACCATCCAGGAGCAAGTCTTCCCTGTTAGCCACCGGCCACGTAGTACGCTGATCTCTGAAAATGTCATATAGGTTTTTGACAGCAGTAGGCCGATGTAGACGTGGAATGCCATGTGGCATCTGATCTATCTCTTCGTGAATGGCATTGTTGACATCTTCACGAGCCTCTCTTAGTCGAAGATTTAGACCGTCGACGCTGAGATCGTTGTTAATTCCCATCAGAATCATAGTCACGGCATCTCGGTAATTTTGGTCTTTGTCATCTCCGATTTTGAGACGATGCCATTGGGCATCATTCTTTCTTTTGGGGACTTGAGCTTTTCTGGACATGGTGGCAGTTTACTTTATGAGAATGAGTGAGGTAATTTCGACTTCAAACTTGAAGGTGTTTGTGATTGCGGTTTGGAGGGATGGTTTCATGCTTTTTGAATCATTCAAGGTGTGTAGGAATTGTGAAAGTCAGGGATGGGTGGGAGAGATTTTTCTTTGTGCTATTATTATTCTAAGGTTCAAGATTTCTTTTTCTTTATTTTTGCGTCTCTTTCAAACCTGAGATGTCTCTATACATAGTAAAAGTCTGTTTCATCAGATATCCTTTGTGAGCTCTTTCATGCTGTCTGAGGGGTCCACAGCTATTCAAAGTTGGCATTCGAAACCTTAGTTGGAATACTATATTTCTCTATGTTCTTTCCAAGGTTCAAGGCTCATGTAGGCTCTATGCATTTTCTACTACTTTAATACAACAGTAACAAGCTGCCACTTGGCATTTCTATAGATAGGGCCAAGTCAAGTCATAGGAGTGTAGTTACATGTGACATTTCGGAATGCGGTAGCCCTACCGGCTTTAGAGCCGATCCTTACATAAGCAGTGATCTCCCGAGCCAAGCAACGCTGATCGGGTATCCATGGATCACTTGGCTCTTTGAAGGTTTAGAGTGTGTGAACCTTGGAACCAGGTTTCCATGTGGCAGAGAATGTTTAATTAGAGCCCACAATGATGGTCAAACCTAGGAATGTCAAAGGCCTCGGGATCGGAGAAGACGGGATACCCCTGAGGCTGCAACGGCGTCTCGCGGGAGAAAACTGCCGGTACCGATCAGGTAATCAGGTACCAGGCACAAAAAAAGTTTAACTTGCCAAGATGTAGAAATATAATCGGTGAAGAATACGTACAACGAGCATGTAGTGGATCTACGCGAGTATGTTCGTATCAGGCACCCATCTAGGGAATTTGAAATCGATGTTCTTTTTTTTGATTTCTTTTTCCATGTAATTATCTGAACTCCGGTCGTTCTGTATTAATAGCTTCCGCCCGATCTTCCTTTCAGGGTTCCTTTCTCTACTAACAAGGCAAACTATCATGAGACATCAACTCTATTTATTGCCCATAGATTACATTATATTAAACGAACTATTTATGTACGTCAAGGGGAGAACCGATCGCGCCATGAAATTCGTTTCAGCAGAGATCCGACAAACCGGTGGATCTCCGTCCTAGGCTTGTATTGACGGCGCCAATTGTCGCAGGTTATCTACTGTAGAGGGATCCACTGGCCCCAGTACACACGTCAACCCCGGCACTTTCACGCACCTTTAGGCCTTCTGAACCTGGCTAGATCCTATTCTCTATGCTATCGCCCCCCGGCTGACCCATATCCAAGCCCTAGGCGTACGTGTTAGCGTGTTAGCCCCGGGGCAAAAATTCTAGGCTCATGCAGCCCATATAATAAAATTGATGCCCCCCCTCACACTTTCATTCTGATATCACCACACTCTCTGTTTCTTCCAAATTCCGGGGAAGTTTTCATACTTCCGTCCTTCCTTTTGTAAACAACACTATTCATTCATTCATAGTGTTGTGAACAATTCGCTTCAGACCAGACTCGCCTTTCTTTAGAATCTGGGTATATATTGCATCTTGAAAAAAATGCTCTTCTCCAAGTCTTTGCTGCTGGCAGCTCTTACCAGCAGCGCTTTCGCTGCTCGGCTGCATGGCCATGCTCGTCGCCAGGCCGTTCCCACTACGACCGTGACTGAGCTCATCACTATCACTGCCTGTCCTTTTAAGGAAACTTCCACCCCCGTGTGGACTACTTCTGCCGTGGTGACTCCCACCCCAACTCCCGAGTACACTCCTACTCCTACTCCCACTCCCTCGCCTGAGGAGTCTACTTCCACTCCCACTCCGACCCCCGAGCAGACCTCCACTCCTGAGCCGACGACTTCGGCTGTGCCGACTACGTCCGCCGTGGAGACTACTTCCACTGTCGTGACTACTTCCTCTGTTGAGACTACTTCCGTTGAGGCTACTTCCTCTGTTGTTTCCACCTCCGCTGAGGCTACCACTGCCGCCGCCACTACCACCTCCTCCAGCTCCAGCTCCAGCTGGACCGAGATCCCCTCCGATGGTGTCTACTCCACCTCTGGATTCGGAACTGTCACTAACTCCTCCGGCTCGGGCGATACCTACATTGGTAACGTCGGCAGCCCTTACGGTAGCAACATTATCACTGTTTCCGAGTCCGACGCCAGCTCGTACAAGTACGTCGTCCAGTTCAAGGGTTCCAACACCGATGACTGGAAGGTCGTGATCTGGAACAAGTACAGTTCCGACGGTACCATGGACGGTTGGTACGGAAACGCTTGCCACTCTTTCACCCTCGCCGCCGGTGAGACCAAGTACTGGGCCTTCGACACCGATTCCCAGGGTGGTTGGGCCGCCGCCAAGGGCTCCAGCATCCCTACTAACGACTACGGTTCTTACGCCTCCACCTGGGGAGAGTTCGACTTCGGCTCCACCACCAACTCTGGCTGGTCTGGATTCGACGTTTCGGCCATCACCGCCCAGGAAGCCGATATGTCTGTCCAGGGTATGAAGATCTGTGATGTTTACAACAGTGATGGCACTTGCTCGTCCATCACTACTGGTGCTGGTACCGTCACCAACGCCTACACTGCTGCTCTCAGCGCTGAGGGTGGTATCGGTGGCAACCTTTCCGCTGGACCTGTCCGTCTGTCCGTTGTCATCGATTACGATGCTTAAGCGCTGGTGTACGCGCCGTGTGGGGTTTCATTTTGGTTTTTATTTTTACCTTGTTTCAGCTTCAACTTCTTTAACTTAACGCCTGCAACTACGACTGTTTTTTGCATATGTGGGGTCGGTTTGGTGTATACCTCGGTATTTATATTCGATTCTTTTATCTTCCTAGAGGATTTTTTTTTATTTCCAATACCACACAGCCTTTTCAAAAGTTACCCCCCCCTTACTGTATTGGCCCCTTAAAATTCCAATTTTGGTGGTTCGGGCGAGGCGCCGTTAGTGTGATGGGGCGCCGATGGCCGCATCAGCGCATACGTATGCTGCCGGTCGTAGCCCGTTCTCGATTTTCATTTGACGTAAATCGCCCCCACTTTCACTCTGGCTCTTGGTATAACTGCGGTGCATGTGTACTACAGTAAAATTAAAATGTGCCAATTGACGGGACTTTTTCTATGTTTATTTGGGTCTTCACGCGGGTGTAGAGTGAGATCCGCGGTACAGTTTATGAAATGATCCACTCGGGTTGATTCATTGCCTGTTCAATCTCCACTATCGTACTCGACTCCCATGGTTCGTGCGGGTTTTTGTTGATTCGGATGCCTTTGATAGATCTGTTGATTAAATAGGACTTTTGTTTGGTGGAGACTTGTCTTTAACAGGTTAATTCTTATTTATGTTAGTATATGGGGATGTACTGATCAAGTGGAAGACCGCTATCCTAGATAGGTTATAGCCTCGTACAGCGTATTCTATGGTCTATAACCTACGATGCCCTTTGTAACATTTGTCGTCACTTGTCTCTAGCAACCTTCCACTTAGGAATACTCCGTACATGTTACTATATAGACCAACACCGAAAACGTACCGAGTTCCGAAACCTTCAAGCCGACCTATCGCCGCCGCAAACACCAATCGGCCGAAAGTGCATGACCCAAGAGTGCAGATCATTAACAAATATACTTAATCCACACGCCATATGTGAGAGGTTGGCCAGGTCTTGGAAGCAACGTACTCTATCCTGTCGACATCGCAACGCGCGTTTCCAGCCCCCTTCCAGCATCTCCTCGGCACATGTCCTACACACTAGACTGTACTGACAACGTACTGAGATCCATAATAATACGCCAAGACGCTAGATATTACACCATAGACGTTTTGTGTCCCGTTCAGCCATGAATTTGGGTATAGGACCTCCTATCCATGGGTGTTGAAAGGTGCCAAGGATCCGGGTTGTTTGCGTCGTCGGATTTTGGGGTAGGAAAGGGGGTTCTAGGCACTGGGAGTACCTTTGTCATTGGATTTGGGTAATGTGTTAGTCATAAGAGCGAGATTGAATCATGTTGGTTGAGTGATGCTTGAATGCGGAGTAGGCTTGCTCGGCTGGGTCAGTCTAGAGCTTTGTATTGCTGGGCTTGGCTTATTGATGGCTCGTTTGACCAAGTGCTCTTGCTATTTGCACATTCCCATTTGAGTTATAGATTATTAATGCATTGCCACTTGAGCTGATGAGGAGCTCAACAGCCTGGAAGGATTGAAGTACTTGAAGTACGCTGCATTTTTCAACATTGACACTATATATTTCGCAATATACTATTTCCAAAGATTACTACCTTTCAATAATACTTCATCCTATCCTACTCTCGTTTTTGAGTATAATTCCATAATTCACCTACCTTTCCTTTCTGCCTATCTACCTACCTGGCACTTGCACCAATCCTCTTCATCCTCTTCATCCTCTTCATCCTCTTCATCCTCTTCATCCTCTTCATCCTCTTCATCCTCTTCATCCTCTTCATCCTCTTCATTTCTCTATATCCCAACCTCGATCCTGATCTATCATGATCTCAGAACACTCTCGGTTATCGCTCACGGCGCAATTACGGGGTTTGAACGAGATATCATCTCCAGATTTTCTCACTCTCTGATTACTGAACCATCAGGAACGTTCTCAGCGACAAATTGCTGACGATATTCGCGAAGAATTTCGCAGCACTTCGTACTACATGCGCTCTGCTTCTTCTTTTTAGAGACAGCTAGACGATAAAGCAAAAGCTAGGACAGGGGGCTCGTCCTGATCTTAAGTGATCACAAAAGAGCTACGTCTTCAAAGTTCACGCGTGTCTTTTACAAATTCAACTTACGTGTGTTCCTCTCCTGGCTCACCAACATGCCCTCCCCCTCCCCCTGACGGGCTTGCAGGGTTTCAATACGCTGGGAAGACGCAGAATACATGGAGATATCACCATGGAAATCCCACTAGGCGATGGGATTACACAGTGTGGTATGATGGTCGGGAGATGAACACAAGCCTCGTTATGAGGGAAAACATGAAAGGCCAATTCAGGTTCTGCCGGTGAAGCACAAAAGTCTGCTTCGACAGGTAAATCCATCTTAGCATTTTACATGAATTGAAGCTAACAATGAATATACAAGGGCTTGATGAACAAATCAGCACATGAGAAGAACTGTGTACCGTGTTCAGAACTGTCATGGGAAGTGATTCTACGTTGATAATATCTGCAACCGGAAGAATGTCAGGCCCTTTTCGTCCTTCAGTGAGATTCATGCTAGGACTTGAAGCTCGAAAGGATCTATGAAGCTGCTGAATAGATTCGAAAACAGCAGTGATGTTTTTTTCTGCGATGATCTCATCTTACAAGCCCCCACGGGGTCCTGACCGCTATATACAATTTACGACTGTGATGACTCCGGAAAATGCCTCATTGAGCCACCAGAGGAGCACCGGTGATCATAAAAGCAGACGGCCTTCTATGATTCGCCTGCTCCAAACTCGTATCTCCTCTGGCCTATGCGTCCCAGCAAAGGGGAAATCAATTTGTTTATGAAACGCGACACTCGGACGTCAGGCCCACTGAGGTGAGCGGAGAACAAGCCTAGTCAAGGGGGTTTCAAACCTGAAGGCCATACCCAAGACAACTTCCAATGATTCTACGGGATAACTGTTTGATTCACTATGGTGATAACTGAACACAAAATTGATCAAGAGTGACAGAAACGCATTTCTCCATCAGCTGAATCTGCTCAAGGGGTTTGCCCCCAACATGGACATTATCAGGTGCCCTCGATGGACCTCTTGAAGTCCCGGGCTTCACCTTTGGTCGTGGTGCGGGTGTCGCGCATGCCATGGTATTACACTACTGGAATATTACCTCGTGCTGGGAATTCCTCGCACCTTGGTTCAAGGTTATGATTTGAAGAATATTTGGGTCGACATCTGGCTTGTTGTCTGGTCTCGAAAAGCGGCAGACTAGGTGCCGCTCAATTCAACATTGTGAGGGTTGATGCCAACCAAGCTGTTGATCTCGATTCACAAAAAAATCCGATTTTCGGCACTCTGGCCTTAACAGGAGTTTTTAGGTGCAATACCTCGACAAGCCTGAAAAGGAAGCTCTGATATTGCATTCGCTCAGATTCGCATCAAGTTATATATTTGTCCAATCCCTTGATCATTCATGCCGTCAACATGTTTGTCCCGATGCGGATGGTCAATAATGAGATACTGTTGCACATGACGCAGCGAAATGGGCGGTCATGACACAGCAAGTTTTGACATAAGGCGGAGGTCGATAGGAAGAACGCCCTCAAAATCATCGGGACAATGGAACTTTAGTCCTAAAAATGATGCTGCAATGACTGCTAAAAACAGTTGAAGGGATATCGAATCCACTGAGATCGATGATACGCAGGACACCAGGATGGATGGCTACTCTGGAACTGAGGATGACGACAACCTTGAGAAGCTGACCTACAAGGTGCTCATGGATGGCCTCGGCGTCGTTAATGAGGCTCCATCGCGGCTCACGATGCATGACTACTGTGATCTAGGTCTTGAGGGTATCGCTAAGTCTTGCAAGTCAGCGGCACTTCACCCCAGGATCCGGCGCTCACCCTGAATTGAGGGGTAAGTGAGAAGGAAGGAGTCTACACCAGACCCTTTTAACGCCCTGATGAATCTGGTCTGCTGCGAAACACTACAAACGCAGTCAGACAATTCCCGCTCCATGAGACTCCACCAACACAATCTCACGACGAAACCGCCTGACCGACCAAAGTAATATGATCGTGTGAATCATAAGTCAGCTCCAAAAACACGTTACTCCAATGACGACTAAGTTTATTGATGTTGCCGGAATATGTGGATATGAGCGAGACAAACTGCAAGGTATATATTCCATAGCCCGCAGACATTGATCAGGCGTGGCTCTTCATCCTAGGAAGGTATTTGAGGTATTCTATAGGGAGACTGGACAATGACGATCGCAAGACGAGCCATTTCGCGGCTGAGCAGATGCCGGAATACCTCAAGAATACACTATTATACTTGAAGCCGATAAACTACCCATTGTCGTATCAAAGGGGTTAAAACTACAATGGATGGCTGTACGAACTATTTATTACGTCTATAACTTGCGTTTCCACGGGTCATCGTTTATCCTTCTCCATTAAGAAGTCCAGGTTAGAAGCTTCTTTGCTCTAAAAATGACTTTATGAGTTATGTGTGAAGCGGAGCTGGTCTGTTCTATCTAGACCATGTCTCCCAAGGTTACAGGTGAATGCGCCAAGTCGTTTTCAGCCATTAATATGATATAGGTAATACTACAATAAAGTTATTGGCGTTTTCCCTGTTTAGCTTATAGCTATAAGCCCTGAGCCTACCTAAATGCCCGATAGATAAGATATTCCAAGCGATAATGCTGGACATACTGTCTGTACCTGTTTATACTTCTATGGATAGGTCGATCAGAATATCGTTGGATATAGTCCACAAACATAGACAGTGAATTGTATATCAGGGTACCAGTATCCAATCCAGCACGACCTATAATCAGTATCGTACAGCTTTACCAAAAATTCCATATCATAAGAACCTGATATACCCTATTTCAGAACCAAGAAAACCAGCAAGATTACCAAGCCCCCCTCAACCTCTCCATAAATCCTCCATTGCCCTGCCGACTTCCCTCTTCTCCATCTCCAACATTCCTCCTCCGCCCAGAACCACCCTCAAGCCCCGAACTAGAAGCAGCTGCTTCACCCTCCAACCTCCTCCTCAGATCCTCATACCGTTCCCGCTCCGCCGCACTGCCAGTCCCAGCCCCACTCCTCCGTTCCCGTTCTCCGACAATCCACGCTGGGACACGGAAACCTGTAGCGGATGGAGATAAACCCGGCAGTAGCTCTGCGCGCCAGGCCACTCCGACGATCCAGCCGACGGCAGACGGGAGAAGCATAGCTGGGAACTGGGATAGGGCGAGTTGTGCCGCGACAAGGTAGGTAGTTGATTTATCGGAGAGGAGAAGAGTTAGCCCCTTTGGTGTTGGTTTAGGTGTTGGGGCTGTGTCGTTTGGACTGGGATTGGTGGTAGTACTTGATGCAGCTGTTGTACCAATGCGGTAACGGTATACGCATGGAATTGTCGCATGGTACTGAGCTAGCATAGCAAAGATAGTGGCTGTTGGCCCGGAGGGAAGATAGTTGAAATAGTTGAGAGAGAGTGGGCGGGCGACTAGTGTTAAGAGGAGGGGTGGGAGGAGAGTAGTGTAGGGAAGTGTTGTGATGAGGAATGTCTGGATATCAATCACAATCAGTATTCAGGGTCTTTGGGTCACGATTTATATTCATGTTCGTGGATACTCACGGCCATCTTTCGCTTTCCCCATGCCCGCTCTACGACGCGTAGATGGTATACCAGCATTGCGGCGAATAAGGCTTCAGTGGAGTTTGTGAATCCGGCTATTTGCCAGAAGAGCGCGCGCCAGAATTGCGCATATGGCCAGAAATGTGGTGAGACATGAATTGAAGCGAGGTGTTTGATGTCGAGGATTGAGAGGGCGATTGAGGAGGCGATGGTGTAGATTAGGAGGGACTTGGTGAGCGGGGTGTTGGTGAAACCGGAGGTGAGCATTTTGAATGAGGGTCGCTTTTGCCGGTCTTTTTTTATGGAAGGGGGATCATTCGGGGCGAATATTGTACAGTAGCCACGGGCGTCTCGTGGTGGCTCAAGATGACGGGAGTTTGAAGGGAAGGAAGTGGGAAGGGAGGGGAAGAGACCAACCAGAGGCCACATAGCACTCTTAAGTCCGGGGAAGCTCGGCATGCCGATCTACATGTTGTACGCCGACGCGACATACTTTGTAAATATTTACATCCGTAGAAAAATATTATTTGATATGGTATTATTTATTGTACAGTCCTTTTAAAACGCCATCTTTTTGAACTGCATCTACACAGACAATGTCGCCGCTTCTTTCGTTTCCTCCGCCAAAGCCGTTTGGTATTGCTTCGATGCTAACTCTAAGGCATGCAATGTGGGACCAAGCAGCTGATTAACTGCTTTTGCGCCGCCCTCAATGCTATCCAGGTTCGGTCGCAGCTTACGTCCAGTGCGCTCGAACACATCGCGCGCATGTTGTTTGACGCGGTCAACTTCAACTTGACGTTCTGCCTCTGCAGACTCTGCGACGGCTTCAATCCGTGCCTTCGCACGGAGCAATGATTCCGATAATGACTGGACCTCACCTGCACGATCGGAGTCGCCCGAAAGGAAGGCTTGCCAGAATTGGTGCAGAAATTCGGTCGAGGTCGCGTGCGTCAATGTTAGTCGATCATAAAGTGCAGGAGAAAGCCCGTAGGTGTCGGATACTGATGTCTCGGTCATCTGGTTACGTTGGTCACGTACTGCGTCGAGAATTTGGGCAAATGCGGCATGCAAGGCCGCGGATGAGCCAACGGGGCGTCGGCTAGCAGGGGCATCTTCCATCTCCTCATCTTCATCGTCACCAGGATCGACTAACTTTTGGAGAGCTGTAGCTCCGCCGGGCGGGAGGTTTTGTGCGACCTCTGTGCGAAGGAGCTGTAAAACTTGATCAGGGTCCTGTTTCGCGAGGGCTCGATTTTGGTCATCATCCTTTGCCGCCGAGAAGAAACGGTTCTGGTCACGGATGTTGAGAGTAATACGAGCTTGCTCCTCATCTCCACGGAGGTCCTGCAGTTGCAATTTTGCCCATGCTTCCTCGTTCATCCCAATGGGGGCACTGATGTCGCCATCTGCAGGTGCCACGTTGGCCATAATTTTTTCACTGAGGCTGTTCAAAGTTCGGATGATAGGAACCTTATCCACGGCAGAGGGGCGCATGTCCAGGTCCGGCCGGTTTCCACGGCGTTGACTGTTATGCCCTTCATTGCCCGCAAGATCCAGGAAGTGTGGCATATTGGCCTCACGTTCTTTGACGGCGGCTTCTTCACGAAGATATTTATCCAGCACAGCGTCGGTGGCGTCCGCTTCTCCAATCCGCTCTCCACGCAGCTTTTTGAACAATCGACTCTGGAAGAATCGCGACCAGAATTGCTGCTCGCTCAGCTTGGGAACATTCTCGTCGTAAACATGCTTAACAAGCGGGTGCTGCGAGAAAATAAGCTGGATTTGTTCCTTGCTAATATTCAATCGAGTCACATTTTCCTCAACACGCGGCTTCAACGATGAGAGCACGTTGTAGGATCCACGAGTCTGGGCGCGTTCGATCGCATGAGCTCGTAAAAGGTGCAGCCGGGTAGACCAGAATTGTGACATGAACTGGCCAGAAGATAAAGTGTCCGGTTTTGTGTGTAAGGACTCCATGAACATCCGTTGTAACATAGCGTCAGCCTTCAATAGAGACTGTTGTAGCTCCACGTCACCCTTCAAGCGGTTATCATCGTCCCACGGGTTCTGGACTGATCCACCTGACGAAACAGCATTTGCTATCGCCATAGCTGCTGAAACCCCCGCCCCACCACTGGGAACTGGCGTGGACGTCTGTGAAGGTGTCCCTGCTTTCCCCGCATTAACCCGAACGCTGAGGGCATCTTTGAAGGCGTCGGCCTGCGAGCGTGCATTCGTCGGCGCGGTAAATAAAAATGTATAGGCAATGGCATCGCTATTAGGAGGGGCATTTGGAGCGGTGGCAAAGACCTTAAGCATCACTTTTGGATTTGAGATCGGCGTCTGCTGTAAATCTGTCTCGAAAGTCAGCAAAGGTGACGGGCCTGGGCAGCAGGGTTGAGCGGCTGCATACTGGTGATCGTAGACACAGCGATGTTTTGTCCCGGAACACTCGCTTCAGCGGGGGTCCAGACCAGCGTCGCCTCATCTTCGGTCAGACTCAGACTGCCATCTTTCTTTTTGAAAGAGACAGCTGCGCTCGGAGGTGCCATCGTCACGTGTCTCGACAGCTTCCACTGTCCTGAGCAGCAACAACGAAACCGCCCATCGGGATAGGCAGAACCTCGGAGTTTGAGGCTGAGTGGAGAAGGAGAAGGTCGAGACCTTCAAGATGCGCAGAAGCAGCGGATAAGGTCAAAGTGAAAGCAAAGAGCCGCAGCTCTTCTGCGCGTAGTCACGTGATATATCACCTGGATCCCAATACCCTAATTTAAGAATCAAAGACAAAATTCTCGCGCAGTGTTTGAAGAAGACTAAGATCTTTCCCTTAAAAGAGAGAGTCTGCAGCCAAAGAGCTTTAGCGAATTATTCGATCATAAGTTAATTTGAAATAAGAAGTAAATGTATGAGCTGAGTGATGCGATAAGACCGATTTACACAAACGCCAGTAAAGCAATGAGCAATGTAAACCAGAGAAACTTGAAAACAACATCGCGGAGGAGATCCAGAATGCTATGCAAATAAAAAAGACGCGGACCGAGAGAACGAACCCGAAGCGAGGAGCCAGAATGCCGAAATTCGTAAACCATGTTGCGCGCCGCCATGCATAGACCGGATATCATCATTCGTAATCGTCAAAAACAACCCGCCCAGAACCAGATTGCAGCAAAAGAAAAAGAGAAGAAATAAAACGTGGCAAATAGTCAAGGGTATCCATCAGCAATGACGAAAAAATAGATAAAGCATGCTTTTCCAGCAACACCAAAAGCACAGGCTGCAAGGAAAATCATTTCTTAAACATGTAGTGTCCGTAGATACCGCCCACGTCACCAACTGCCATGGGGATCTTGCGCATACCCCACCAGCGTGCGCCCATCTTCCAGGAGCGAGATCCATCGTCGGTAGGACAGTTGGGCATAGAAGCAGGGTCCCGAACGTACCAGCCGCGGCGACCAAGTTCCCGAACGGTCCAACCCACGGAGACGCGCTGGGTCTTGCTACGTTCGCGTAGTGGTGTGATGATCTTGTCGCTAAACTCAACCACCTGCAGTGGGTAGCTCTGCTCCGACAGAAGAAGGCACGAGCTCATGTTGAAGATAGAACCAATGGTCATCTGTGTGACCTTGGCAAGATCGAGGTAGCACAAAGTGCTGGGGATCACGTTCTCCTTGGTTCGGGTGAAGAAAGTGTTCACATCCTGTACCGAAAGTTCTGCAGAGCTCAAGCCCAGTTCCTCGAGGTGCTTGGTCAGAGGGAGCAAGAGTGGCACATGGGCCGAAGTGATCCGCGCGCCACCCAGATTCAAAGAGCGAAGGGTGTTAGGCAGCTTGGGCAGCAGCGCCGTGACATCATCTTCCTCCAAAAGACGGAATCGTGTGGCGTCTGTCAACAGGTTTAGGTACACCAAAGAATCACAGACCGCCGGATGAGTGGTCAAAAACTTGATCAAGGCTGGAGGGTGAAGACGGGTGCACCGAGATAGACTCAGATGAGTGATACGGGCGGTTTCAGGGATGGCAAAGAGAGCAGAATCGTTGATTTGGGTGTTGGTCAAATCAAGGTGGGTCAGATTGATCAGTCGCGGGAGCAAGAAATCGAACATAGGCGCCGGAATGGTGCTGCATTCGTGAAGAGCAAGTCGCTTCAGGTTGGGCAGGCTCATAGGCAAAGCAGGTCCACCCATCAGAGCCTCTTGGAAAACCGAGGAAAAGGACTGGGTGGAGCAGCCGCAAAGATCCACTGCCTGCAGGATCGGCAGACCCATGAACAGCTTCCGAATCACCTCCACGCTCAAATCGCCTTCGAGATGTTCCTGCAAAAGACACTCCCTCAAGTTAGGCAATAGATCCAAGCACTGCAGCAGGGTCCGCGAAGTCAGGTTTTGAATCTCGGCGTTCATCTGCTTAGTCCGTCCCAGGCCCACCGAGGTAAAGTGGGAGAAATCCAAACGGCGCACCAGCGTACCAAGAGCCGGGTAGGCCGAGATGTGGTTAAGGGCCTTGGAGAAGATGATCGAGTGAGGGAAGGTCATGTTCCTGTACAGCACACTCAAAGTCGCCGCATGCAAGGTGCGCGAGCTCAAAAGGCACGAAACCAGATCAACATTGCGCGGGGTGTATCCATTCGGCGGGATATCCAGAGCCAGATGCGAGATGATTTGATCTATATCGAATGATTAATATCAAAAGGTCACAGGCGCACACAGAGGCACTCTTACCCAGAACTTCAGATGGGAGCTTCTCCAGTGCCGATGTGCCCGGAGGAATCCCAGCAGGAACCAGCGGCTGCTCCACTACCTCCGGGGCCTTGGGAGGAACCAGCTCTCGTCCGGATTCCGTCGTCTCCCATGCCCAACCTTTGGCTTGCAGGTTTCCCAATCCTCGGAGATCCCCATAACTGCGGCTCAGACTTTTACCGCTGAGACGAATCTGCTTCCATCCCAAAAAACCACCGCATGGGCAACAAAAGTCCGGAGTCTGTTGCATTTCCTGAAGTTCCAGTTTGGGAGGCTCTTTTTGCTCCTTCGGAGAGGGCACGTGGTGGGTGTCTACAAATGATTGCGCAATGCCTGTACCTCACGTTAGATGTCTCCTCGCCTCACTTGGGGCATTGTCTAAACGTACCGTCGACGTCCTCTTTAATCGAGCCGAACGATGGGCGTCGGCGGCTGCTAGATCTAGATCCGTCGGGAGTGCCGCAGGATGAGGGAGAGGACTCGCGCGAGTGAACGTGATCACCACAGGGGATAGTGAATCTTGGGAGGGTCGGCTTCGGGTGAGAGGGTGCGGTAGTGGTAGAGGCCATGGTGAGAGCGAGCGGGCCCTCTATAAAGGGCCCCAGTACAGACAATAGACTAGTTTCGGGAGGTACCTTTCACTAGGGTGGAACACAAAAAAAAATCCAAAATTATTAGACGAGCTTCCCCGGATTCTTTGAGAAAAAAACGTGTCGGTCAATCAAAGAGGTAGCGCCGAAGAAAAGGTTAGGGCTTTGAGGGAAAAGGAAAGAGATGGCGTAGAGGGGCGGCGGGGAAAAGAGAAAAAAGTAAAGCTGTTAGTCACGGAAAAGAGCGAACCGGCGTTGCGCGCGAAGTAGAAAGTGGGAACAGAAGAAAAAAAAAAAAATTTAAAGTGGAACGTTGGTACCGGTAGAACTCGGGTCCGTAAAGGAAGTATTGTCTAGGTGCCACTTGGAATAAATCTTTTACTCTCTGAAAGATGAATAGGAATTATCAGAATTATCAATACGAAGGAGGCAAATCCATGCAGTAACGGTGGCGGATACTTTTTTGAGTTTTGTAGTCATCGCGGCCAGACACGGTTAGGGCGATAAGAAGCTACCCCTGCAGACTTTGTTTGCTTTTTGCCTAGTTTCTGTTCGATCTAATGTTCTTATGCGCTTCGAATGTATGCAAGCGGAAAGCATGGCGTCATTGTCACCATGCATAGCTCCCGTATACGGCAGTTGAGATAAGATGCTCATTCAAATATGAAATTTTCGATTTGCTTCTAAATTCAATTCATTCCAATTCTTATAGTTCCCTCCACTAATTGGTAGTCTAGTTATGTTAAAGTCTAATATTATACGTTTATGGGGAACTTATAGGTACTTTTGCGACGCTAGAAGCATTCTATGACATACTAACATGCACCTCCTCTTCCCTACCTCACATTACTGAGCCGCCGATAGGACCATGCGCAGGTCAGCCGGGTCATGTCTCTGTACCCCGGACCACGTTTGGGTTCTCGTTAGGTAACCGCTACTACGATCTCAATGCTTGTCATTCGTCAATGCAGCCGATCATGCGGGGACTGGCGCGCCCATTACCTAATAGGCTATCACCTGACCTTCTTTCTCCAATTTCTTGTTTATTTCGATGGAGTCGTTAATATCCTCTAGACTACTTCGAGTTTAACCTCACAGACCTTATGATTAAGGTGGAAATGACCAGCACACCACCTTTTGATCCGTGCGGTACATAGTACACATCCCCAGCCCCCCTAGAGCCAACTCATCCACCTGGTTTCTCGGCATCTGACCCGGTCCCAACACTGCATCCTGTGTTGTCCTTTCTCCTCGGACTGAGAGCCCGATGACACCGGAAACACCTCCCCAAATTAGTTTTCCAACACGTTGTACAGGTGTTCGATTCTATCCCCAACTAATCCAACAGGGTTGGCAAGGCTTGATTCTGGATTCGTGCATCACGAGTAACACCAATTGCAGTCTGCTTCAAGAGGCCAGATGACGTTAGTGTGGTGCATTATTTCCATCCCGTAAGCTGAAAGCTCTCGGGCCCCAGTCCGTCCGAAGGTCGGAGTAATCTCCCCAAAACAGGCCACCTCAACGCCGAGAGTAGGAGCTAGATGCGGACCCGCCAAATATCTGCCAAGGTCCTTCAATAACGGGCGATCTCTTCAATGAGGCGGTGTATATGTTGATCGAGTTGATCGTTTATTATACCCTTAGACTAGTTGATTGGTGGTAGATCAAGACAATAGTCTGTGAATTGGTATTTGCCGAGCCTTGGCTACTGCATCGCTACGTAATGAGCCTGCTTGTTCGCAAGGAGCTGCTTGGCTGTGATCTACGACGGAGGCTATTTCCAGAGAATGCTTTTCCAGGGAATGGTCACCTGAGCAGTCTCCACTTCTGTTTATCAATCTTATCACAATTTTGTGAATACCCTTCGCTGATCTGCCCAAATCACCTCGCGTTTGTCGCCCCAAATATTTTTGGCCAGCCTCAAATTATGGCTTGCCTTAATTAGGTCTGGATCAAATTTGGGTACTTCTACCTCAGATATTGATTTTTGGCACTACATGGGTATGTAAACGGACTTTGTCACTCTCAAGATACAAATGCATTCAATCCGAGTTGTTCCCGAGTATCTAGCGTGCAAATCGATGAATAGCATATTCAAATTCCCTTAAAGCATTAAGGAATCATGGTTCATTGAAGCACTACTCTGTGTCTGGTGTATTCTATAGTCAGTGGTGCAAACCTAGGTTAGCATCTACCATGCATATACACCTGTGCTATCAGCCCCCAAATCTGGTGCTGTCTCCGAAATTCTGCGCCCAATCCTGCACTACAACTCGTCTTTTGGGTACTGCAACAAGTCATCTGCTGAACGGAAATATGCAGGAACCCGTCACCATGACCATGTCCTTGGGCTTGGAAATTTTCCGAGGTAAATATTCATTGGCAGAAAATCTCAAACGGCGCGTGATCTACACCATCTGATGCGTTTCTATGTTTGTTCAAAATCTAAAATAAACCTTAAATATTATACAGAGTTCACTTAGTATATTCGTCGATAATAATTGGTGAAGCTTTCCGGGGCCTGTGTGTCACTTGACTTCACGGCCACGAACCATGGAAGAATTCATCTTTAGATCCGGAGATTTCGTGATAAGATGTGGGGGTGATGTCAGTGACTTTAACGATCGGAAACTCTATTTTCGATATCTGATTAGAGCACAACTTGCAGCAGAGCATCGTACATACAGTTGATTATATAAATCAGGGTAGAACTTGACTGCAATTTATGCTGTATTGGTATATCCAAGGAAACGAGTCTTGAAACAAGTGAAGAAGTAAAGAAATACATAACGAACCTGAGATAAATGAACACGAAGGTATAGATATATGGAGAAAATATGAAAGGATCAAGGCTTTCTTGAAAGGAAACATAACTGTATATATCAGCCACAAACCCGACGGTTCTATCGGTAGGGCAAGGAAAAGAAGCCAAGTCTAACAACGACATGGTTGGAAGGAAATATGAAATGAAAACACCCAAGGAAACTCCAAGTCTGTCAAAATCACGCCCAAACACTAAGGTTTGGGCATGATTGACCCGAGGCTATGGCATAAGTCGTAAACATTCGTTCGTGCTGATATGCACAATCTACTCAATAGCAACGCTGGACTCATCACCGTGAAGAACGGGATTGACCTTAGGGTTCCACTTGAGCTTGAAGTCTTGTCCAAGTTCCTTGCGGATAGCAGCCTGAACAGCCTCCAGAACATTTTCGAAGACACCAAAGCTGGCGGGGTTGTTGGGATCATTCTCGCCCTCCTTACCTTGAAAGACACCAGTGCGGACGAGGCAAGTGTTCCAGCCGTACATATTACCGCCAATGATGTCGGACTGCGGGTTGTCGCCAACCATGTAGACATTCTTGGGGAGTCGGTGCTCGGTGTGGAGCTCTTCCATCCAGTGCTTGAGAACCTCATCGGCGTAAGTGTAAGTGGCGCGCTCAGGTTTGCCGTAGACCACACGCTCGAGCTCACAGCCAGTTAGAGCCTTGTATTGGGCCTCAATGGCGATACGGAAGGCTCCCTGGGTCAGACGGGGAGGGCCCTTGTGATTGGTTGGGAAGACCAAATCACCCTGGGAAAAGTAGATGGGAATACGGCTAGCGACGGGATCCTTCGCGCGAGTGAGAAGCTTGCCATCTTCGGACAGCAACAGATCCATGATGATCTGAAAGTCTGTGGCATAGTCGTAGGAATCGGCAAAGACGAGGATAGCGTCAAACTTCATCTTGGAGAAATCGCGAGGCTTGGCATTTACTCGATCCGCCTCCGTAAATGTGCGCCATGGCGACACAGTCGGGTCCCAAGCGAGAATGTCCTTGGGGTGGACGACATTCTTGAAGCCGTAGGTCTCGGCCACCTCACGAACTTTATAGCCCTCGCCACCGCACACGAGCACAGTCTCGTAGTACTCGGACAGGGCCTGCATTGGAGTGTGAGACTGAATGAACTGCTCGGTAGAGATGGGTGCCTCGAGCATCTGCGAGAGCTGCTCACAGCGAGCCACCTCGGTTTTACCACCACCGTTGGTCAACAGGATGTAGGGGATCTTGATGCCTAGCTCGTTTTCACCGTTCAAGATCTTCAATGCGGCCTTGGCCTCTTCAATAGGTTCAGGTCCGTGTGCCAGCACACCGTCAATGTCGAAAGCAAAAGCCATGTTTTTAGCACACTCGACTTTTTCCTTGAACATGTCCTGGACCTGCGAGGTCAGGATGTCACGCGAAACTGCGGGACGATCTGTCTTCCAGGAAGACAGACGAGAGTGACGCGGTGAGCGAGGAATAGGCAAAGAAGTACCAAAAGAGTTGCGTGAGCTCCGTCGCTCCTTCATGGAGGGCGACAGGCTGAGGTTGTGCATAAGCGCGGCAGCATCACTGATAGCGCTGCGAGAGGAGGGGATCTCAATGGTGTTACCACCATCACTAGGGATGGGTAGGCCATTGCGAGGATTGCTGGTGATCTCGTTAGGACGAGAGTCGGCCACGAAGTCAGAGTCATCAAATCGAGGCATGATGGTGGGTAATCGGTGGAGTAAAAAAGTGGGTAAGGGGTCTAAGAAAAGACAAACAGGAGACGATCTAATCGAATAAGAGATGTGACTGGTTCAGGTAGACCAGCACGCGATAAGAGAAGATCTATATGAGGATAGAAAGCACGGAAAGAAAAATAAATAAAGCGAGGGTAATGCGCGTATATATACAATCACTATCAGGTACCGGAACAGGCATGGGCACCTGGGCACGGGTTGGCACGGTTGCTAGACGAAAAAACATGGTATCTGACGACTATTGCAACCAGTTTGAGAGATACAATGAGGGGGGTGTGGGGATCAGCCCGTCCGATACCATGAATCCCATGAATTAGCGTCATCACTTGGCTAGAACAGGATAGCTGTTGCAGGCCTAGAATGCGCGTAGTCTGGAGTATATGCGGGAACAAGGGGGTACAAGGTACACTACGACATTGTAGCGGCACCAGGTTTCTCCGGGTACCGGATACATGTGCTGCTACAAGACTAGGAGAGCACTACTCCGATTAACAGAGACATGATTGGCTGCGCTGAAAAGACTCGACCGGGTTGAAGCAGCGTAGGATACTGGGTGGATAAGAAAATGGCTCTACTTGGGATATTTAGGTCTTTGATTGGCTCAGAGCACAGTTCACCCATGGAAGCGGCATGAGATGACGATCGGAGCGGGTCAAACGCTCAGCACCGTTTTGGATTTACAGTGATGTCATGGCGAGGTTTTGAAAATTACACGCCCGCATTTCAAGGCCATTCTTACATTGCATGTTGTACAAGGAATAGCCAATGGTCCTAAAAGCAGAACGATCGTCAGGGAATGCTGGGGTATTATTGTTGGACCTTTAAATGTCCTCGGCATTGTCTTCGGCCTCAATTCTGGTAGATTAGCGCGGAAAGAGGATATCGTAGAAAGTTATTGATTCCAAAAAAACAGTTCTGGTGGATTGCTGAGGAAGGAAATAGGTTACAGTACCCCTCTATCCCCACCCTCTGCGGTGAACATCGTCATCGCTCGCCGCTTAGCTCCCCCACCTTCATAATAATTCTCTTCCCCCTCTTCCTCTTCTTTCCTTCTATACACATCAAATTGATTCAACATGTCTAACGGAAAGACCTACACATTGAGCAACGGAGTCACCATCCCCGCGGTTGGCTTCGGTACCTTCGCTAGCGAGGGCTCTAAGGGCGAGACTTACAACGCTGTCACCGTTGCCCTCAACACCGGATACCGTCACTTGGACTGCGCTTGGTACTACCTCAACGAGGATGAGGTTGGTGATGCTATCCACGACTTCCTCAAGGCCAACCCCTCCGTTAAGCGGTCCGACATCTTCGTCTGCACCAAGGTGTGGAACCACCTCCACCGCTACGACGATGTTCTCTGGTCCGTCAAGGACTCTCTGAAGCGCCTGAAGTTGGACTACGTCGACCTCTACCTGGTCCACTGGCCCATTGCTGCTGAGAAGGACGGTCAGGACAAGCCTAAGATCGGTCCCGATGGCAAGGTAAACTTTTACTCAAATCCCCAATTGCGGGACGAAAAAAGCTAACATAGCTATAGTACGTCATCCTCAAGGACCTCACAGAGAACCACCAGGAGACATGGAGCGCCATGGAGAAGCTGTACGAGGAGGGCCTCGCCAAGTCCATTGGTGTCTCCAACTGGACCATCCCCCAGCTTGAGCAGATGGCCAAGTTCGCCAAGGTCCAGCCTCAAGTCAACCAGATCGAGATTCACCCCTTCCTGCCCAACACCGAGCTGGTCAACTACTGCTTCTCCAAGAACATCATGCCCCAGGCCTACTCTCCTCTGGGTTCGCAGAACCAGGTCCCCACCACCGGCGAGCGTGTCGCTGACAACAAGACTCTGAACGAGATTGCTGAGAAGGGCGGTAACACCCTGGCCCAGGTCCTGATTGCCTGGGGTCTGCGTCGTGGTTACGTCGTGCTCCCCAAGAGCTCCAACCCCAAGCGTATCGAGTCCAACTTCAAGAGCATCGAGCTCTCCGATGCGGACTTTGAGGCTGTGAACAAGGTTGCAGAGGGCCGCCACTTCCGCTTTGTTAACATGAAGGATACCTTCGGTTACGATGTTTGGCCCGAAGAGACCGCCGCCAACATTTCTGCTTAATTTACCCAAAAATACTAGCCCAGAGATGATGTGATACCCGGTGGGGCTGAGGGGTTGGAAAATGTGTAATGAACAGACGCGATAGATGAAATGAATACCTTTCGTACCTCAAAAGCATCCAGTAACCAGTATTCCAGTATCTCGGTAACTTCTAGGAGCAATTGACCTGTAATATTCCCGTTTTGTTGACCGAATATTAGTACTTGGAATTTGCCAACCCCTCCATAATCCCCGCCGGGATCCGCGGCTAACTTCCCATTTATGTCTCATTTACATTTATAAGAAACTTTCTTCACCTGCACGCCGAACTGATCATCAGTGATCCAAACCTAAGAATGATCCAAGTCATCTCAATCTAAGCCACCGTACCGTACCGAGTAAATTTGCACAATCAATCCGACCCCTGTATATTACCTATGCACATTCCTCAATACCCAAAACCAAATGCAGGAGCCCAGTCCCCCACCAATAAACAACACTCCACCGAGACAAGGCCCACAGTGAATTACTTTACAGCCTGAGCGTGCCTGACTACAAACTTAACAAGCATCATATCGAACCTTCATTCGACCGCACCATTACCCAATAGCTAATCCTAGGGTATATGTAGGGTAGTATATCACAGGAGCAGAGTACTCCGATATGCATTTAGATGTCATTCCGCGTGTGGCTTTCAGCCCCCCTGCGCCACCAACTCCTTTCGCCCTGGAGCTAGGATTAGCGCGGCTGTTCTAACCTTGTCTAGCGTAGTGCGTGAATTGAAGGATGGACGGGTGATTTCGGAAGTGATGACTGTTGGTGGACGGATTCGGGTGCTCTGTGCAACACCGGAGTCCGGATGGGGGATGAGTGGGGACTGTTTACATTATAGAGGCGGTGTTACTATAGGGTTGTTTGAGAATTGTGGTTCAAATAATTTGGTGAAATTATTATTGGTCGGGTTGGAGGTTGGGTTGGATGGAGTTGGAATGGGACTGCGCTTTGGTAGGGTTGTATGTAAGCCCTATCTAGGATGGCTAGAATTGGTGATGTTCTTTTCTCACTGCCGGTTCTGGGAAGAGGCGTGTAGTGTAGATATGGCCTGGAGCGAGCTTTTTTTGAGTCTTTCCTCGTGAATTGAAGAGACAGAACTGAACTTACGGTTCGGAGATTTACATGTGTATGTACAGGTCGGGGTCTGTGTGTTGGCAGAGTTCGGCTCAGCTATGATGTCGTTTCTGTCAGCGGATTGCGCTGAGTGAAACGCATCACTGTGATAGCTTGATTGGGTGGAAAGATGCCTGAGCCAGTATCTAGCATATGCCATATGTGTATTTCAAATTTGCGCATGCGCTTTCCGTGACATGGAAGGTTCGAGCGCAACGAATTAAGTATTGTACTTCTTGCGCAATATGATGTCGGGATTTGGCTCTCACTCTCTGCCGAGAGAATCTTATCCAAAATTACATTACCCAATTTCAGGGCTCTCAATCTCAAGTGTCTACTCTGATGCTCTAACGGGAAAGTCTGGCGCGGGGATCAGATCCCCCGCAAAATTGAGACTAGTGTCTTGGTGTCAAGGCTGCAATGCCGGCTCACGCCATGCATCAGCCATTGACGGATCATCTGAGAACCGAGACACATATTGAGATCGGGGTGCATTGACCAACGCAACGCCTTCCCGTTAGAGTGTATGGTTATATGTTGTGTACTGTTGATAAGGAATAATGATAGCAACTTGAACTTATTTGGAACAAAAGCAAAGTAGCAAGTAGAAGAAAAACAAAACAACATTGGTATCTTGAAAGCAAACCAAACTCCGTATGGAACAGGACAAGCTACAAGTTTAGCAAATCCCGTATATGAACAGTCAACACAAACAACCTTACACCATCAATTTCTCACTCGAATACGACGAGGTGTGCACCCCGCACTAGACTGGAGTATACTCCGCTTGGACTCGGAGCTTCCGTCACTAGTGCTCGCGCTGCGAGTGGGGATACCGCTCACAAAAGACTGCTCAGCGGCTCCCACAGTCTTAGAGGCCGGAGCAGCAAGACTTGACAAACTTGGTGACTTGGGAGTCAGCTTTCGGCGAGGCTTAGTGGGAGTCGAGGGTCCTGCGGATACAACTGCCTCAGTGGGGGCCGAAGGAGCGGGTCGCTTGCTGATACGACCACTGCCTGTTTTCACGGGTGTGCCCGAGACCATCGCCGACTCCCCCAGACGGCGCACGCGTCGCGATCGCTGGGGTGCAGTCGTAGGTGCAGTAGCCGGGGCCGGGGCACTCTCAGACTCCTCATTGGTCGATGACTCGCGCATCTGGCTACGACTGCTGCGCTGACTAGATGCTTTCTTTTCAGAGCGTGTTGATGCAGATCGTGATCGGGTACCTTCTTCAACGTCATCGCTGCTGCTGTTGTCCTTTTCCCCTAGATTTTCTGAGCTTTGCCTTTCATCCTCGTATTGCACAAGCTGATCGTCATTCCAGGTAACGCTCTTCCGTGTAGATGAACGGTGAGTAGCACCTTCACAATCATCATATGGGGATATGCCTTGCCTCTGTAATAAGGCAAAGGCCTCAAGTACAATTTGGGGAGGCACAGCGCCACCCCTGTTCAACCGAGTATTCTTCTTCGTAGCCAATGCCACCTCCTGGGCCTCGGTCCGCTGCAGGAAAATGAATTCGTTGCCCTTGGCCCGGCGCAAGGCGATAGTGCTGCGCACATTGGCAGGATTGACTGTGGGGACTTTGACCCGTGTGCTTCGTCTGCAGGACGGGCTTCCAGGTGCTGGCTCTTCCTCCATGATGACCTTGGTCACTTCATTCTCGGGCGCTTCATCCCCGAGGGGAACATCACATTTTGTTACAGAAACATCAGGCTTGACTGGCGAGGGCGAGTTTGTATCTAAAACTTCTAAGGCACGACGGGAACGTGGTGTAGTAATTTCTGCCTCTGGTGACTCCTCGGCGCTAGATGACTTTTCAGTCACATCGCCTTCTTGGTCCATCAAAGCTGCCTTTGCCGCACGCTTGGCCTGGGCCTTCGACAAAAAGTCGTTGAGTAGTGCTGTATCCGCTCCATCAAGCGAGCTGCGTAAAGCCGATCGCACTAATGTGCCTTCTTGTTGTTGTGTCAAATCGCGCACAACCTTCGTAGGGGTTGGTGCCGTGTCGCGGTTTTCATCCTTGGCTGCAGTGTTGATCATTGCACACTGCTCCTGGGCCATGGACGCTGGGCTTTTCACTCCATCTGCGTCAGAGGCACCATCGAGGTCTTGATTCATGTGATTGTTGAAAAGAGTCGCCTTCAACGGGCTGCGCATAGAAATAAGGGGCACGTCCGATTCCGTCATAACATCATCGCTTTGGTTGTTTTGCGAACTCTCATCGTAAATGTTAATCGGGGCATCCGGTAATTTACCTGCGATTTCCGGTTAACACAAAACCCAAGACAAACAAATAATCAGACCAAAACTCACGACGCTTCTGGCCTCTCTCGGGCTCCCATTTGGTCTCAAGAAACGAGCGCGCAGGCTCCTGCATTTGAAAGACCGGGCGCTTTTCAGGCTCGTCAGCCCCAACACACAGGCGCTTCACACCTCGCGCGTAGCCGGCGTCTCGGGACGCATTAATGGCGGTTTGAAACGCGCTCTGCTCCATCATTGTTGACGTTTCAAGCGACTTCATACCGGAGAACGATGTACGGAAGCGCTTCCACAGTTTGCGCGACTTGGCACCCGCCTGGTAGGGAGTAGATGGTTTGCGTTCCCAAAGATGAGGAATCGCGCGTATGGCTTTGATGGGGGTGAAGCTAAATGAGCTGTCGGCAGCAGGCTCGGAGGGGCCACTATAATCACACGCGCAAAAACGCTTCGTATTAGTTATGCGCTCAAATAATCTGGCCAAACTCGTGCGTCCATCCGAGTGTGTTGTTACACAGCAAAAACAATAAATTAGAGATGAGCAACCCCTGGCCAAAAGGGGGATTTGCGGCGAGAGCGATGGAGTTCACAGAACACAATGGTTGACGCGAGAAAAAGGAATCAGAGAGGAAGAGCCGACCCACCATGCTTGAGCCTGCGGCGAGGCAGGACCTGTGCCCATTGTTGTTGGCGCGCGGAATGTGTCAAAAAGCGTCACTGGAATCCGAGTTGGGGAATCTGCGACAAGTCGCACAAATGCAGGGACCAATAGAGGTATAAAATGTGAAGAAAAACAAGGCTGGCGAGAGTAACGAAAACCGGATATACGATGGGAGTGCCACTAAGGATGTTGGAGATTAAGAAGGGACCTCGGGATGAGGCCGTTTAGGTTTTGACACAAACGAGGTGTGCCGTTGCCCTGCCAACACACCGCATGGTTTGCCCCCGCGGCCAATTTGGGTAGCGATCCCACCTCAAAGGACTAGTCTTTCCCCAGGTGGACTAGTATATATCCCTATGCAGGTCATCTACGCCATTGGGTATTCGGGTTGTTCCCAAGATCGTACGTTGCGACTCACGTTAATAATATAAACAAAGATCACCAAAATCCAGACCAATTGGAAAGAACCTGCTGTTACATGGTAATCTGCTAACCATGTTTATTTTCTATCAGGGAGCCGAATTATAAGACTATCGGTTTTTTTACTTGAGCACGAGACCTAAAGCATTGAAAATTTTTGCTCAGGACTATTGGAGAAATAGTATATAGAACATATTCCTACCACTAAGACGGCAGCTGGGAGTACCGTTACGCAAACTATAAGCTGGAATCACGCATCGTGAAGTCGACTTTTCATAAGTAGTAGGTGGGCCCAGCGGACCCTGCAAGTCATGACAAAAACTCCGTATGCCTAGTTACTTACATATTTGATAATATTGCGAACAGCTCTGGTGTTCAAACCCCTACTCCATCCCTGGGGGCCAAGACATCATACAAAAGATAAAAATGCGCCCTGAGATCCAGTGGATAATAATGGAGTTTTGAAGAAGGTCTTTTCAATAAGAGTTCTTGCACAACCGATTTGTTACTTACAGAACAAGGAATATAGTGCAAAAAGTAGACATCCTCAAGTTGCAAATTGCAAAGCTACTTGTGTTGCGAGTCTTTTTGCGGTGGTCAAGATATCATCCAATTCTTGGGCTTGAAATTGAGGTCAATGTAGTATCTTAAAATGTGATTATTTTAACCATGCTATCGCTAAAGAAGCTATTCCAAGCCAGTGATACTATAAGCTACTAGGGCTGTACCTCGTGAAAATCACCTCATACCCAGAGCTAGCAGGAGCTGCGACTTATAGACAGCCACAACCCTGAAAAGCACATACTTGGAGTACAAACCGTAGCATAGAAAGTGTTTATATCATATCTCATCAATCATATCGTATACGGACACCAAAAAGCTAGCAACATGCAACCACGTAGTTGTTCATCCATGTCCCATACTCTATCACAGCAGTGGCTCGTTCAAATCGCGCTCATCGAATGGATCGCCAAATTCATCTGTAGAACGAGGATCTATCAGCATCATCACTATTGTAAATGTATCAGGGTCGTCACGTACTGGTGTTAAAGTCCTTGTCAACTACATGGTCCATTGCCCGCTGAAAGTCTTCCTTCGCACGCTTGCCCTTCCACGCCGCGACGACGTGATCGGTCGCCTTAGCGAGTCCATTACCTGTCACAAGCTCAGGTCCCTTCGGCTTGTTCGTTGACGTGATACTGGGGGCTTGTTGAGGTTGTGAACCAGGCGGGGAGAGCTCCGATGCGGCGGCCGCAGTAGCTTGCGGGTTGTGAGTTGGGGTGCGCGCGCCATTGCCGGGGACGTCAGAAACCGAGTCAACCGAGGAGGCCATCTCCGAATCACCATCTGGGTCTTTAGAATCTTTGTATATGGGTCGTCAGCGAATACGGTACTTTCCACATGGAACGTTCAAAGGGCGGGGGATAGCTCGGCGTAGGGCTGAACAGAATAGATGTGATTCCCGCGAACAAGCAAAATATTTAGTTGGAGAAGAAACAAATTGGGCTTACCGATGGCCATGACTATTGGGTAAGCAAAAGCTGGTTAGCTGGTTATGAAGGTTCGGGGACGGAATGACGATCAACTGAGATCGAATGGGGGTAGAGCGGAGATAGTAATACGGGGCGGTGGCCGCTCTTCTTTGCAGCCCGAATTTTCTTTTTCTTCCTGCTATCCTTTATATACTTCATGCACATAGGGCCGAGTGCTTTGTTAATTCTTGCTTGCGGCTTTTACATATTCTTGCACTCCGTCACCTCTTTATTTCCCGTTTAAACTACGTCTTTGTCTGCAATGAGCGCAAAACCACAGATTCCCGATGCATGGGATGATGACTGGGAACCCCGAGCGGATGTAAGTCGAAACCCCAAAACCCTTTATCATATGAGAATTTGAGGCGCAGGATCTTTGTAATATATTGCATTGATGCTATTCATACGCGAATGACGTATTAATATGTTGTGATCTTCTATAGGCACTAGCAAACGAGCCTACCCCGCCGACCGAGAAGAAAGTTTCATCTAAAGTCACCAAAGCTCAGAGAAGGGCACAACAAGCTGAATTCAATCGACAACTATGGGCGGAAGCGTACGTACTGGACTTGCAAGATCCCGAAATGGCGGATCTCAACTCTGACTGTGCACCCTATAGTGAAACCCCGCAAACATTCCATTTTGTCGAAGCTCGGTCCGACGTACCCCTCAAACAGGATATAAAGCCTGCTGTTACACTTCTCAGCCGGAGACCACAAATTGCGACGCGACAGTCAGGAAGTTCTGGCGTTAATTCTGCAACCGCTGGGCTTGGTCAACTAGGACTGGACGATGATGGCGATTCAGACGAAGAGGCTAATAAAGCCCCCGAACCGACTTTCGAGGAACGACAGGCAATCGCGCTGAAGAACCGAGAGGATAGGCAGCGCAAGTACGAAGAGGCCCGGGAACGGCTCTTTGGAAGCCCGTCTGCGAACACTTCGGGGAATTCGTCGCCAGGGACTACAACCCCGCCCCGTCAGCAGTTCGGCGAGGGCAGGGGTAAAGGCAAGGGTCGAGGAGGCAGAGATCAGCAGAAACGCGATTCGTCTACGGGCTCGAGCAAGTCGAAACATCTATACGATCCAACCACATCGGCCAGGTCCAATGGACCGCCTTTACAAAGGCGAGATCGTCCCGGCGATCGCAGTGACTCTGAGAAGCAAAGCTCCCCTGCCTCTCCGGCCTCACCCGCTCCGCTGCAGCCTACTCGTCATCCTCGAGGCCCTGATGCAAGTGGAAGAGGTGGATTCAAATTCAACAGAGGTGCCAGAGGGAGCTAAGGTAAAATGCCGAATTATCCTCATCACTTCGTCCTTCTGTCATCCCGGTGTTGCGTCACGGTGTGATTATAAAGGACAGACGGGGAAATCAAGGAAGAGAACGTCCCGAATTGATCGCATTTGCAAGCAGAGATGTGTTTGGACGGTTCTCTGTCATTGAGCGAGTTCATTGTCAGCACCTTACCAAGTTAATGGACAAGATATCAAAACTCACCGGCATATCGCGCATAGCTCTCAAGGTAGAGTTCATCGGTGCTGGTTGTTGCTTGAACGTGGTCATTTGTTTCTATGGCATTCACCCAAGAAGCCCACCGGCTTCCCTCGTCGGCATTGGGCCAGCCTCGATAGGGCTTCAGTACTCGGTTGAGTCGAATAACCCACGGCGCAGCTTGGATGTCTACAAAGGAGATCTGTCCGCCCATGAAAAATGGACCTCGAGGATGCGCGGCCTCGATCAATGTATCGAAAGCATTCCGAAGCTCTTGCGCATTCTCGATCTGCTTCTGCTGGTCCTGCTCTTGCAGTACCCGATAGAATGCTGGGATAATATTTCGGTTGATCTGGGAAATGTCAGTAATGATTACTGGATCCAAATGGATCAGACTTGGCTTCTCACATGATCTGCCCATAAACGACAATGGGCTCGCAGCTTCGGGTCAGCTGGAAGAAGGGACGGCCCAACTTTCAAATCCTCAAGCTATGGTTATTTGGTCAGCGCGAGATATGAAAGGTCATTGCGGGATCATACATATTCCATGAGCACTGTGCTCTCATGGCATGCCCAGTTGTCATGTCGCAATGCTGGGACAAGCCCGCGCGGATTTAATTCCAGCAAAGATTGAGGTTTTTCATAAGGATCTACTTCGATATACTGGTATGGTATGCTTTTTAGTTCTAGTGCAATCCAAACTCTTTGCACAAATGGACTTTATTCCAGTCAGTCAGCGTTGAAACGAAAGTACTAGCGGGAAGGAGTCTCACTCACCAGAAGCAACTTCCATATAACTGGAGGTTTGTCTCCGCTGCATGGTTCGCAGCTGTAACGGCGGCCAAACCCGTCGCCTTTGTGTGGTACGCCTTTTTATCACCAGACATGCCTCGGTGCTGCGGGATTGATGTCAGATAATTTCCAAGCGAATATAAGCTCAAAAAAGCCAGTCAGAGGAGATATTTGATCAGGATTCAATGAATGAAAAGAGACCCGCGAGGCAATGGAACCAAGCATCAAGAGTGACGTAAACATAACCAAGTTTCCTTGCGGGGAATGCCAAGTCCCAAACCTTATGCATATGAAATGAAGATACGTACTCCGGATTTTCTCCTATTCTTATCTTCCTTCAAAAAGTGTCGCTGCACACTATTCTTCTTGACGCGATCACTCTCCTCGAGGGTATGCCGATGACCTCCGCTCACACCGTCATTCTTTCCGTTGGCACCGTTCCCATTCACCCGCTGAATGGTAAAATACCTTTGCCCATTCGCGCCCGGATGTCCTTCTGGAAGAGCGGTGTTCGGTGTAAGAACACCGAAGGGCTGGGTATTCTGTACTGGAAACAATGTGTGAACTCCAGGTTGTAACTCAGCTGGTAAAGATTCAAAGCCTCCAGTTGTATCATTTTCTCCACTGCCGGGTAGGTACTCCGTAATTTTAATCTTCACATCGCAGAGGTCCCGTTCCCTAGCGGTGCGTTTACGCTTCTTCTTGTTCGGATCGTCAGACTTGGGTGTACCCGGCGGCCGACCTTTCAGACGACAGTCCCAGTAATGAGAGACCATTGATCGGCGCTTATATCTCTGAGTCGACCGATGAGAATAGACATTATCAACATGAGGAAAGTAGGTTTGGAATCTATCAACAAGCAGGTTAGTCCCCCGGGCGCTTTCCAATGCACTCGAAACAAGAAATCGCAATCAATAATTTCAATAAAACATCTTGACTTTGTATACTACATACTGTTCTTCTGTCAAAGTAATGACATCGTCGGCATGGAATAATCGATTTCTCCAATACTCAAGATCAGGTGGATCAGGGATTAACCTCATCCCCGTTAGCTGTCCCGCGAAGTTCGCGGACTCTGTCTCATCGGCCTCCAGTCCATTGTAGCTCGCTTGGAAAGATTGCTCGGCGGGCTGGAGGACCATTCCATGTGGATTGGATGATACGTGTCCATCGGCCTGCAGAGCTATGACATTCTGGAGAGGCTGCTGCGGGACATTATCGATAGACCGGAAGGTCGTGAAGGGCTGTGAATCAGGGAACGGGCCGAGCGGTGGGGCCAGACCAGATTCGACGATCGGGATCGTTGATCCCAGACGAGGTGATGCATTCATGGGTGGAGTGGCGTGCTGCTTTTGGCAGTGCGGAGAAAGTGGACGTTGTGGTTGAAGCGGCGTGGTGTGCGGAGACGATAAGCCCGGGCTTATCACGCTTATCACTTAATCATTGAAAATGGGTTTTTTGTATTGCATCATAGCATGTCATCAGTAAGCTATTTGGCTAAGATCCTTGATCATAGTTACATTTAGCTAAAACAGTTCACTCTAATCCACTGGAATCATTATTCCCTCTCCTCCCCACAAATCATTTTGTGAACCCCGTAAAAGCCTCATCAGTACAGAGACTAAGTTAAATGCGCTTCTTCCCAGCACGCTTCTTATCGGCCTCCTTGTTGGAGAACGGAAACCCAGCTGTCCTCTTATCCGCACCAGTTCGCCGACTTATCTTGCCATTGCTGCTTGCGAACAGCACACACCATAGTCCAACAAAAGCAAGGGCCGAGTTTCCAGCCACTGCAACCGCAAAAACACTCTGGCCCCCAGTGACATACGACGTGTATGTGTAAAAGGCTGAGAGAGCGTGAAACATGAAAGTTACCATGAGAGTTGGATAGGCATAAGGCGCCTTGGGGTCCGAGTCATCGGTGGTAACAGACTGAGAAATGCCGGTTGTCAGAGGGATCGAGCCCGTGAGCATCATGGTCAACATTGCCACGGCGAGGAGACTGAAACCAAGGCTTCGTGCAAAGTATAGCTCTATGGCTAAGAGACAATTCATAATGTTAATATAGATCTTGGCTTGTCAAATTCAGGGCTGGACGACGTTCACATACAGCTGGCTGGCCGAGTCTCATCCAAAAGCATGGCTACGATCATACTTGGTCCCGCAATCAAGGGCACGCTCTGCAGCGCGAGCCACCCTGCTGTAGAGTACGTGTAGGCGTGAAAAACCTTGAGTGAATAAAAGTTAGTACTGAAGCGAATGCCGTGTCGTTTCTTGATGTAGGTGAATATTAAGGCAGGCAGGGTGCTTACATCCATGATGGCGTGGTTTTGTTCGGGCGGTATATGTTGGATTTGAGAAGTGGAAATTGAGATCTTAAGAATCTTCTGTTGCTGTATCCTATGAAGGTGAAAGGAAAGGAGAAATGATCAGAAGTTGCGATTGAAGCTCAGCTTGGAAGTCAATACCAAGTGACGTCACTTTATTTGTACCGTTTGCACTAAGCTGTCACAGTTGGATACTGGAACATGAACAGAGTAGGCAAAAGGTGTACGTACATCTGGGCATAGAGTAATACTAGGTCTCTTGCTGGGTATAAGCCACTGGGATCAATAAACAATGTGCTGCCATACCACCGTAACGGGGGGATACCTAGCTTGGCCTTTACTAGTGCTAAAGTCTTGGAACCTTCCAACGTTTCATGCAAATCCATTACCCCAGGTTGGGGACGCAAGTTTCGATATACAGACAAAGGTCGTAGTAGTTATGCAATTGAATGAATATTTATTTATTTCTCGTTTGAAACATCCAAAAAAGCGCCTTGGTACCACCAACTCCAGAACCACAATCAACTCCAGCTGGAGGCCTAATATCTTCACTGATTGATTTGGCTAGCCCGCAAGTATCTTGTGAAGCTGTTATCTTGGTCCGATGGAGTAGCCTGAGAACCCGAAAGAGCTTCTTGGTAACGACTCGAGAGGCCCTCATCGTTGCCGGCACTAGGCCCTGCATATTCCTCCTCGCTGTCATCCTCTCCATCTGCCAGTCCACGCTTAATGATCTCATCCTCTTCGTCTTCTGCCTCGCTGACAGTCTCTGGCTCTTGATTCGGTCGGCGGCTAGACCCACTGACGTTCATATCCTGCATCAGCTTACCCAGTTCCATCTCCCGCCGAGAATCTTTGTCCTCTTCGCGCTCCTTTTTCTTGCGCTCAAGCTCGGGCTTGTAGTCACGCTCAAATTCTTGTCGCTTGATCTCAACAGCATCGAAAAACTCGTCGACTCCATCACCAGTCATGGAGCTTACACCGACAACGCTCAGGTGTCGGTAGAACTCTTCCAACATTAAACTCATGCTGTTTAGAAGTGAACCCATGTATCCACTTCCGGCTCCAAATCCACCAATGCCGCCCTCACCTCCAAAGGCGCCGGCTTCCTCTTCTTCCCGCAGAGCCGCTTGGAATTTGTCAAAGTCCGTCATCCATTCTTTCGCAAACTCGGCATCCTTCACATCGGTCTTATTGAAGACCAAGATCATTGGCAGCTTAGTTTTGTAGAGAATACTGCAGGCATAGAGCATGTTGCTCATGAAAGTGCTGGTCGAGCTGGCGCGCGGGGTATCAATGACATATGCGATGACAGTCGGGAAGGACGAAGCGAGTGTCTCCAAAAGAATGCTACCAGAAGCACTCCACACGAAAACCTCGATCTGACCGGGAGTATCGACTAAAATATGCTCAATTTGCTTTGCGGTGGGATTCTCCGGATTAGGAGTAGTACGCTTCTCCAGTAGGGAAATAATCTGGTCGACTTTGGTGGCGAACAAGTTCAGGGACGTCAGGATTCCACCATTTGGTCCGAGGTTATATTGCTTCATGACTTCCTTGTAGTTGATCGAATCCCGGATATCGATATTGCTCTCAAAGGGTACCGAGTGCACCGCGGGGTCGAGATTGAGCACATACGGCACTTGTTGTTTGGAGTGAAGGTGTGAGTTGATTCGCTGCATGAAGGTAGTCTTTCCAGAACCTAAAAACCAAGTCAGTGTTTAAGGTCCACTCGCCGTATTCAAGTGAGAGCTGATCGCCTTACCTGCCATGCCCACGCAGACGACCGAGACCGGAGGCGCCATGATGAGGGGTAGTATTCGGCAGTACAATTGTATCAGTGTGATGGCGAGAGTAAACCGATAAAATAGTGGGAGTCACTTCAAACCCGAGTTAACCAGAAGTGTTGAAAGCGCAAGAAGTGGAAGCTCTTTTTTTTTTCTGAAATTCTTTTTAGTCGCGGGGAAGATCTGCCCGCGCGCGTGGACCGCCCGGCATTAACGTCATTCCGCCTCAGCTTTCTGCTTCCCTCCTTTCACAGTACAGTAACACCATGACGCTGGAAGACTTTGAGAAATCATTGGCGCAGGATCAGGAGAAGAGGAGGGAAACCAGTGACCGGGATCGAAGTCACCGAGACCGTGATCGTGACCGCAGCAAAGACCGATCATCGCGACACCATCGCCATCACCGGTCCAGCCACCACCACCGACGCCATTCGTCCCGATCTCGCGAACGAGGAAGCGAAAAAGATCGCGAGTCCCGACACCAAGATGATGATGGTCACAGACATAAGCGCTCGCGCCGTGATAACCAAGGGGACGATGAAGACCACGCGCAGAAGCGTCGACACCGCTCCAGCCGCGATGAAGAAGAGTCCTCTGCGCCTAAAACGGTTACTCAGGAGGAACCCAGTCAGCTGAAGCGTGACTCCTGGATGCAGGCGCCCTCTGCGCTCGATATCGAATACGTTCATCGACGAGACACTACTCGGGTGGAAGAGGTACCGAAGCCTACAATGCTTCAAGCCGACTTTGAGCTCAAAATCCACGAAAAAGAGCTCAATAGTCATCTTCGTGACCTCAAGGAAGGAAAGCAGCTGGATGATATTCAAGAAGAGCCGTCACAGCATGAAGTGGATTACACGTTTGGAGATTCAGGGTCTCAGTGGAGAATGGCCAAGCTCCAAGGTATCTACAGAGAAGCCAAGGAAACCGGCAAACATGTCGATGATGTTGCCCTCGAACGCCTTGGGGACCTCCGAACCTTCGATGATGCACGCGAAGAAGAAAATGAATTGGATCGACGCAAGATGTACGGCAAATCCTATGTGGGCAAAGACAAACCGAGTGGAGAGCTGTTCCAAGAGAGAAAGCTCAAAAACGACATCCGCAGAGACCGACAAGACCATGTTCGTGATCCAGCAGACGAACTTAAAGCCGAGGGGCAGGGACAAAAGATGGATGTCGAGCCCCCGGCAAAGTTAACGCAGAATTTGGATCCCACAGCATTGAATCGTCTCAGGGCACAGATGATGAAGGCAAAACTGAAGAACGCCTCAAATGCGGCTGAGCTCGAAGAGCAGTACAATGCTGCAGCTGCGAACATGTCCAACCGCAAGGAATCTGGTGTTGTTGTGCTAGGTGTTCAGCAGAACCGGATGCTCGCTGGCGCACGCAATGAAGTCGTGCCCGTAGACAATAAGAGGGGCCGCGAGAGGGGTCTGGTGCAAGCGAATGAAGACATGACTATCGAGGATATGGTGCGTGAGGAACGCAAGACTCGGGGCCAAGCTGGGGGAGAAGGCAAGCGGTTGGCGGAGCGCATCGCGGGTGATGGTAAATTCGAGGTAAGCTTATTACACCTATCAAATCTATTTGTGGTCACTTTCTAACGGGCATATAGAACGAACTTGAATATATGGATGACAATGCTTCCAAACTGGCAAAGAGAGTTCATCGCTCTGAGATTGACATTAAGAACGCGACAGTCAATGACTTCCGTAAGATGAACAAGATCTTGGACAACTGCCCGCTTTGCCATCATGAAGACACCAACACACCCCCAATTGCACCAGTTGTTTCCCTCGCAACCAGAGTTTATCTTACCCTTCCCACCGAACCCGAAATCAGTTCCGGCGGGGCCACAATTGTACCCATTCAGCACCGGAACAATCTAATAGAATGTGACGACGACGAATGGGAGGAAATACGAAACTTCATGAAGAGCCTCACGCGCATGTATCATGATCAGGGCCGTGATGTGATTTTCTACGAGAACGCAGCTCAACCACAACGCAAGCGTCATGCTTCTATGGAGGTGGTTCCCCTCCCGTACAGTCTTGGAGAAACGTCTCCTGCGTTCTTCAAAGAGGCAATTCTCAGTGCTGAATCTGAATGGTCCCAACATCGCAAGCTAATCGATACACTTGCAAAGTCCAAACAGGGATTGGGGCGATCTGCATTCCGGAAAACTTTGGTGAAGGAAATGCCCTACTTCCACGTCTGGTTCGAACTGGATGGTGGTCTAGGACACATCGTTGAAGATGAGAATCGCTGGCCTCGTGGCGATCTATTTGCCCGTGAGGTCATTGGAGGTATGCTCGACGTAGCACCTGACGTTATCAAACGCCAGGGTCGCTGGCAACGGGGTACCGACCGACGAGTGGAACCGTTCAGAAAACGCTGGAGAAAGTTCGATTGGACTCGCATCTTGGTTGAAGAATAGGAGGAAAAGCTTGGCTATACTCTATGTAAATTAATGCTTGTACTCCAAGAGTGTCCCGCGCCCAAGCAGAAGCAGAGCGCTTTGGGTCTTCATCAAATGAGTTCAAGGTATCATACCTGGTCATATCACCAGATGAAAACCATTGTCATGTTCGCTTTTCCAACTTTCAATACCCTTTTTAGTATGTGAAACCAACCTCAAGGGAAGCCAACAATCGATCAAACAACTTCATCCAATCCGAATAAAAGGCCTCGGACCCCAAATCGCCATACTTCAATCTCACCATCTGGTGAAGTGCTCATGCGCTTGGGGCACAGATATTGTTTCCAGCTCCATTTTTTAATTATCCTAAGTAGCTCATTCGTTTTCACCGGCACTACGTTTGTGTCATAAATGCCGAATCAATCATATCTCAATGCGCTGAGGTAGAATTAGCAAAACATGTCAAATTTCCGCATTTTGGTTTCCTAAGCCTATCTAACACAATCGCATGCATGAAAGGAATAGAAGGGCGATTTGGTCAATATATGACGCCCAATCCTCTCCATTTCTAGTGCTGTCCCCATAGACTATGGCCTAGGTTCTTAGAGAAGATTCTAGCAATGTTTGACGCCCTTGTAGCGAGACACCGATGTTCTGAGTTGCCACGGAGATAGAGGCGGGCCGTTTACTGTTCCTCGGAACGTCGTGACATGTATCTCGAACTCGTCAGTTTCTCATCCTTGGCAGTCCTTCTGAAAAATCTCCAGGACATGCGGAACAGATCTTCACATTCCTGCTTTCCATGGCAATGCCAGAATAGCGGGAATGAACTTAGCTAAATATCCAATCCTTCGCAATTGTAAAGGGTCAAGACGTCAAATATGACTCCGGAAAGTCTCCATTGAGCAAGAATAGTTAAAGTACAGGAAAGGCATAGGAATTCTTCACGAGCGGCATCCTGGCATCATCCTGCTCAGCAATATCCAAGCGTCAATCGGAAAAGACATATCGGGTGCCGCCTCCTGGAAGCCCTGTTCCATGCCAACCTTGGAGTCATCTGAATTTATCCGCTGAGACCGACTAGTATATATTAGACAGCTGGCGCCATCCGGTAGGTGCGCCTTGGGTGAAATATGTAAGAGCATCTTATGCCCAGTAAAAGAGTTTGGACGTCGGTCACAGGTGAAGGAGTCGTATCGGTGTTCACTAGACTGAGACCCCCAAATATCGCAGCGGCAATGGCTGAGCCAGGCAGTCAAAACGGCAGTCTGTTTGGTCATGTCGAACCCGGCGGCAATGGACATGCCTCGAGATCGTATTCTGCAATGAGTAGCTGTTATCTCGCCCCAGACAGTTTTACATCCGCATAGCCGCCGCATAAGACATATGACGATCTAACGATGAAGAATTACGGTAGTCCGCAAGCCCAGATAATGACCGGCTGATACTTTGGGTAGACCTCACGCAGAACAATAAGTGGTGTGAACGGTCCATGTTTTCGTTGAGAGATCCAATGCGACGACGAGGTCATCTGCATGACTTGAAGCTGAATTAGATGTAATAAAGGAAAAGGAAAAGGAATACCAAGGAGTATTTATAATCTTGTGTCAAGTGAGAAGTGATAGACCTCAACATCAAGTCAGGAATTTAGATAAGTGAGAAATTAGTGAGAGGTCAATGAGTGGCTGATCAGCATCACCAAGCACTTAGTCTGGGCCCAAAGTTGGATATGTAATATAAATATAGTACATAGTGTTTTCCCCATAATATGGAGGCTTTTAATATCTTCGTGGCCAGCACCTCAATAAGCTCTCGAGTCATGCTCACCTAGTGATTTCCAGTCCACTTAGTGAGCTACTCAGGGTATCAAAGGGGTTTGTTTCATGAATAAATTTTGATCGATAGAAATCATTCACTGGTATGGCTATCCCCATCGCGGCTTTCCTGTCGAATGTTGTCTTTGAGAGGAAACTCCGATACCGAAGCAGGGCGATTGGACCAATCGTGGAGTGGATTGACTGGAACCTTGAATCCAGACCGACTTCGGGAGGTATTGTCACCGGAAGAACCTTTGGTAGACTGGAATACCTTACGGAAGAAAGGACGTAGGGTTGGGATGCAAGCGGCAACAATGACAACATTTTGCTCAACTCTAACACATAAATTAGCATATACAATCAAGAAGAGTATTATAGCATGACTCACAAGCCCCAGAGGACCAATGGTACCACAGCCCAGACTATGAGGTCTTAGTCAATTGATCAACCAAAGATGAAAGGAGAATACTGACGAGGGTCGGTGCGATTCGTAAATAGGTGGATATATGTGGCTTTCACGATCGTGACAATCGCGGAAAGCATCGTCAGTCCCATCATAATGCAGACTCCAAGCTTGGTCGCGAAAGGCATCTGCAATTTCCAGAATGCACTGATTGGAACAATAGCCAAAATGATGTCTGTCATGGTTGTATAGGCGCTGACCCAGTAGGTGAAATCATCAAAGACTTCGGAGCTCCAGCATGTGCCGTCCAAAGTGGGATTCCACAGCATTGCAATCGGTTTGCATTGAAAGAATACAACAAAGACGGATATCATGGCAAAAATGACCTGGAAGGTCACCATGGTATAAAGGAGCCATTTTCGAAGCGGGTTGGGATCAAGTAAATGAACAATCAGGATGGCAATAGAGATATTGGGAAAGCTAAATGCGCCTTCACCATATACCGATTTAGCTCGTAAACATCAATTGGTTGCCTGCTTTGAGGGAAAAGACTCACCAATATTGAACGGAAACGCAATGATCTGCCAAAATGCTACTTTTTCATATCTTGCAAATCCATGCTCCGCCACCACTGCCGCTGTATGTCGGCCCAGGCCCAATGTGACGGAGTAAGAGACAAATGCTGTTGCGATAATGCTAAGTGCCTAGAAACATTGAAATGACTATTAGATCTCAGATCCATAGCTTCTCAGAGCTCGAATTGCCTCACCAAAGAGAAGAAAATAAAAAAGTCGTCCCATCCAAGCCGCTGGCTTCCCACCCTATTGATTAGTTTCATGAATACCGCCGCCATGGCGATACCCGTGAAAACCCATCCGATGACATTGATCTCTCTCGCCCGGCTTTCGCTAAAATCAACATCTGTATCGAAAGAGGCCATGGCCAAAGACGGTAGGACCCCGAATCAAGATCTCATGAGGACTGATTAAAGTGAAACAAATGGCACGAGGAGTCAAGTGAAAAATGGAAGGTGATTCAATTCGTGCAGGACCAATGGCGGGTCATTGAGCCAATTAAAGAGTGCCATGCAGAGTGATATAATACAAAAGCCCTATTCATCAAGCTAGATCTTGGTTCGGAAATAAGAGCATTGCCGATGACAAACAAGTAGCAGCACCAGGGTTGAGCGTGCGGTACTTTTGTAGCGACTGACGCGTCGGAATAATAAAATATGAATTCCAAATTTCGAGTCCTGGAGCCTTGTGCAAAGCCTGCAGAAGTGGGCCTGCAGAAGGAACGCTAGTGCTACTGATATTGTGAAGGGACTCGCAGGCACTTCGATATGAGTAATATAACAGGGGTTACATAGCCAATTTGAGATACATTGTATCAAGTCATCCGGATAACTGCCAATTGATTGAGTCCATGAGTTGTACGATGTATAGCCTTCATTGACCCCTTTCGGACACTGTGGGGGCAGCCGGAGCACAGGCGCTATCTGTTCCGGGGGCGTCGATTGAGAGTTCGCGCCGTCTCCATAGGCGAGTCAGAACCAAGGAAATGACCCATAGCGGGCCGACACGGGATGTTGAAACCCAGACTTTCAAAATCTGGGCCAGATCTGTTTAATTATATCTCTCTATCTGTGACACGAGATCTTGGGTACATCTTGGAAACATCCTTGCTGAACTCTAGATTCTTTTATCTTACACGACGAATTCTTGGCGCTGGAAAGAAATCGAGATCAAGATCGGAAACCTGCATCTCCTCGATGACGCTAAGTGTTTAGCCTGTTCCAACTACCGAGACCATGCTCCTTGTGGTGTCACTAGCTTTTCTAGTGCCAGTAGCTGATTCAGGTCCGGGCGTACGCGGCTTGAAACTGGCTTTCATGAACTCCTCCGAGGTAGCGAGGCAATGTCGGAAGCCCAGAAGACTTTTTTTTTTGGACATAATCACCTAGTGTTACCTATCCATTGCCACTTTAAATCAAATCGAGCTCCTTTTTCATCACCAATTTAGGCGCAAACACAATGGCTTCCCAAACACCGTCAGAGATACTGGAAAGGATCGGGGTTGCACGCATCGCGTTCGACAAAGGCGAGGCAGGCTCAAGAGAGGCTCTGATCGACTACAGTCGCGCGCTCATTGCGTCCCTGGAGATCCCGAGCGAGTTCATGCAACGTACCTTCTGGGCAGAGGCGAGTATCCTTCTAGTTTCGCTCTACATGGTGGTTTTTACCCATTATACTGATATATTGCACCATAGCCTGCCCAATCAGCCATTATCCGTATTGCCGTCGATACCAAGCTATTCCAACACCTACAAGAGGCAGGATCCGCAGGATTGAGTCCCTCAGCCTTGTCTGAGAAGACCGGGATCGATGTTGTTCTCCTTCAACGCTTTACAAGCCACCTGGTCGCCATGAACCTTATTGCTTTCCATGATGGAGTCTTGCTCGCAACAAAGCTAAGCAACGGCCTGGCAGCAAATAACTATCAGCAGAGTATCGGGTTTTGCTATGATGCGTCTCGTCCCTCGTTCAATGGATTCCCGGAATATTTCAAGAAGAACGGATACAAGCCCCCTACTACTAGTGGAATAGATGGCCCCTTCCAATCGGCGCATCAGACGGAGAAACCATTCTTTGACTGGCTCGTTGCGTCTCCACCCTACCTCGATTACTTTAGCTCATTCATGAGCGCATACCGCGCCGGCAAGCCGGACTGGTTCGACTTTTACCCTGTTGAGAGCCACATGGTTGAGGGTTTCGACCCCTCCATCAGTGACACTCTCCTAGTTGATGTTGGGGGTGGCCGAGGCCATGATCTGGCTACTTTTGCAACGCGATATCCCTCTCACCCCGGCAAGATCATTCTCCAGGATCGAGAGCTCGTCATTGCTAGCGTCGTCGAAAGTGGTACAGAGAGGTCTTTCGAGGCGCAGGCTCATGATTTCTTTACCCCTCAGCCCATAAGATATGCTCGCGCGTACTCTCTTCACTCTATTCTTCATGACTGGAGTGACGATGAGAGTGTGAGAATCATTGAGAACCTTATCCCGGCGCTCAAGAGGGGCTACTCGCGGGTTCTGTTCAACGAGATTGTTGTCAGCGAAGAGAACCCCACGCTGGCAGCATCAAACATGGATATGATGATGCTGGCTCATCTGAATGTCTCCGAGAGAACAGAGGATCAATGGAGAGTTTTGCTTGCTAAAGGTGGCTTGAAGATTGTGAAGGTTCACACATGCCCTGGCGTTGCAGAGAGCTTGATTGAGGCAGAATTGGTTTAATCAACGATCTCACCGGCCTCCTAATACGAGGTATGCGTATATTTCACTTATGGTCCGATCTAGGCGTGCTCAGTGAGCAAATGACGATCCCGAAGATATGACTGAATATAAAAATGGCCTATTTCATCCTGTACATATGAATCAATCTATCAATTACAGAAAGTTTATTATCAAATCATCACCGGTGAATGGGGAAGATCGTATGCGGGGAAAAGTCCGAGATAAGGATCTCATATTTTATTCTTCGCCGATCCCTCGTGTCATCTCTGACTCTTATTCTTTCCAATTGCTCAGAAATTCTCCATTGAGTCACCAATTACTGCATTGATACCCCTGAGCTCCCTCTTACCTCTCCTAGCCCCCTGCGACTTGCATATTCTGGTTTTGCGACATCGGCTATCATCGGGCAACCCCTCGTTTTCCCTATCGGTAAGTTGCGCACTGGTCAAGGGACCACCTTGCGCGATTAGCAAATTAGTAACCACTCATCCGTAGTTCCACCGAAAAAAAAAAATTCATTATGGGTTCCAATGGGACTGGTACCAAGATCCTGCTTCTTGGAGATATCGATCAGTATGTTCGCCAGAATAAACTCGAACGCCATAGTCCTTGCTGATAAGTTTGAGACAGCGCGCATAAGACTTGGGATGCCCTGAGCGACGTCGGCGAACTGGTGAAGACAAGAGCAAGCAATCGCACCGAATTCCTACAGGAATGTCGCGAGGGCAGATACGACGGCGTTGTCGCCATCTACCGCACCTTCCACTCCATTTCCATCACTGGCTTAATTGACGAAGAGCTAGTGAATGCGCTACCAAGCTCATTGAAATACATGGCACACTGTGGTTTGTCATTCTTCTGGCGATCGTCATATCATTCTTTGAAATACTTGCTGATGTTGTTAAACAGGAGCCGGCTATGACATGATCGATGTCCACGCCTGCACCGCTCGCAACCCTCCCATCCGAGTTTCCAACGTCCCCACCGCAGTGGACGATGCCACTGCCGATGTAAACATTTTCCTTATTCTTGGCGCTCTTCGTAACTTCAATGGTGGCATGCATTCCCTGCGCGAGGGCAAATTCATTGGCCAGACCCCCGTTGGTCATGATCCCCGAGGCAAGGTTCTGGGAATTTTGGGAATGGGTGGTATTGGACGTAATCTGAAGAAGAAGGCCGAGGCTTTCGGTATGAAGGTTATTTACCATAACAGACGCCAGTTGAGTGAGGAGCTTTCGGGTGGAGCTCAATATGTGACTTTTGATGAGTTGCTCGCGACCAGTGACGTGCTCAGCTTGAATCTGCCGTTGAATGTGAGCCATCGCTTGAGCTGCTATGAGATTGATGTACTGATTTCTGGGTAGAAAAACACACGTCACATTATTAGCAAGGCGGAGTTTGCTAAGATGAAGGATGGCGTGGTTGTTGTTAACACTGCCCGTGGGGCGGTTATGGATGAGGCCGCCCTTGTTGAGGCTCTTGACAGCGGCAAGGTATTCTCTGCTGGTCTTGACGTTTTCGAGGAGGAACCGAAGATTCACCCCGGACTGATGAACAACCATAATGTGATTTTGGTGCCTCATATGGGTACTTGGACAGTCGAGGTGAGTGAGCGTGTCTTCTTTTTCAGATACAATGTGCTAATCGAATCTAGACTATGACTTCAATGGAAGTATGGGCTATTGAGAATATTCGTCAGGCTCTTGAGACTGGAAAGCTCAAGAGCCCTGTCCCCGAGCAAGCTGATATGTAAAATTTGGCGCTATCTGAAGTTTGGTTCTAGCCCGCGCTACATAGATGTATCGGTTGGCGTATTGAGAGAGACATTCATGGGTCTTAGTCAGACCAGTCAAGCTGAACATAAAATGAAAATGAAAATGAAAATGAAATCACGAGCCAAAATATTGCCTCGAACAAAGTAGTGATATTGATAAGCGAGGAAAGTATACAAGGTCGTGACGGGGCTTTCTGCATCGGGACTAGACCGATCGCGGGAGCTTTCATCTTCAGCGTTCATTCTACGACAACCTCGTCCTGTCAAGCAACACAACAAATCGCCATGGCCGAATACTGGAAATCAGCTGTAAGTTCTCCTGAATACTTACTTACTCTTTACCTCCTAACAACCTCCTCTTCAACTCAGCCCCGCCACTGGTGCAAACAATGCAAGATCTTCATCCGCGACACACCCTTCGAAAAGACACAACATGAAGCGAGCCCCAAACACCAAGGCAGCTTAAAGCGCTTTCTGCGCGATATCCATAAGAATAATGAAATGCAACAGAGAGAAACACAACGAGCCAAGAGCGAGGTAGAACGTTTGCGACAAGCCGTCTCGGGCGAATCCTCCGCGTCCAAGTCCGAAGGCAAAGCCTCCGCCCCACCGCCAGCCAAACGTACCGCTGGCCCGGCCAACCGACCCGTTAGCGCGGAGGAAAGAAAGAAACAGATGGCACAACTGGCGGAAATGGGTGTCGCTATTCCTGAGGAGTACCGAGGGGACATGGCCTTGACTGGAGAGTGGCAGACGGTCTCCGAGACAAGGCTTGACGTACCGGAGGGAGCCAGATCTATTGGTATTCGCAAGCGCAAGCTTGAGGGAGATGAAGATGAGGAGGGTGGGCAGATCCCGGAGCAATACGTGAGCAAAGGGTGGGGGTCGAGGATGAAGACATACCCTGGAGCAGAGGATGATGATGACGACGGTGACCTTGATGCTCTACTTGCGTCTACAAAGGACTTGAAAAAGCCTAAGATGGAGAAAGAGGCGGTTGAATCAAAGGAGCAAGAGTCATCATTCACCCTGGCCCCCAAGAAAGAAGAAGACGAAACTGCCGACTCGAAGGCTCCAGTTGCAATGGTCCCCGATGTGGAGGAACCAAACCCGGTCAAGAAAGAGGAGGCCGATGATTCTGCTATAAACATTCCTAGCGCAGCCCCTGAAAGTGAGGAGGTGCCTGGGGTTGTTTTCAAAAAACGTAAAGCGAAGGTGATGCGGAAATGATGTTCAACGCAACATTGTCTTTACGAGATATGATTATGACAATCTGCGCTTTCTCAAGATTTTCCGTCAGCTACAAAAGCTTCTGCCATCACGGATGATAATCGAGGTGCGTAAACGGCCTCGGGGAATTCCTTTCCACTTTGCCTGAGCCCGTGATGATATACATGATATCATCGAATGGTCAACCCGAGGTCATCTGCGGCCTTTTCGCGAGAGATTGTCGAGGCTTGACCCGCAGTCAATAGATGGAGGACGAAGATTTGTGCTCAATTAGCCATCAATATGGACCGAAACCTTTAATATTGAGGTTATCAAAGTCAGCTACCAAATGCTTGAAGGTCATTGATTGGCGTTTACAAATAGCTGAACTAACTTTCTTCCAATTGAGACTGCGGGGAAGGAATGTAAAGGGCATTTGGGGTCCTGTCAATACACCGCGTTCACAGAGTTCAGGCCGAAGAAGTATAGATATGGGCCTAGCACCACTTTTTTTGCGGCCAACAGAGCCAGGAGAACACAAGTTTGACAGATGAATCTAAACGAATGACTCTTGAGTCGAAATAATTATTTATCTGTACTTATGTCCGTAGTGTAGCGTGGTTGTCTGGTATAGCGTTGCCACCCCAATGATTTTTTTTTTCTGGAGCGGAGACTTTGATCGCCGGAAAAGAAAGCTCCTTTGGTTCTCTCCAACTTCGCGCATCTCTTCCACGACCGCAACCCTCCAGACTCGCACGGTCTCCCCGCCACTTGTGCATTGCCTTATATCCCCATTTTGAGCGTTCTTACCCGGTAAGTTCAGTCTATTTGCAGCAATCCCGCTTTCTCTCCACCTTCAATCGGTCTTGGTTCTCGCGAGTCGCATCGTCCTCCCACCCGCGCAGGAGTCCGCAGAATCTCCTCTTCAAAATCCTCAGAACCAAATCTGTCTATCTCTGTGGGCTGCTACTCCGTTTCAAATTTGGTCCGCGATCACGAAATCGGACTGTGGCCGTCGTTCTGAGCGGGGAAGATTGGGGCTGGGGCTCCAGCGAGAAGAATGCGACAATCCAACCCCGATCGGCGGGCAAGACATTTGGTGGAAAAGATCTTGGAATCTACATGCTCTTCTACAATTCACTGTTCCACTGAGAGTTGGCTATCCCTGGGAGTCATACTATTGGACTTGTCGATTGGATTGGATCTGCGTTTGCTACATGTTGGACTGGACTGAGAACCACCGATTTGTGCACGGATTACAGCTTGTCCTCCTGTTCTCTGATGCGTTGATTGGAGCGTGCTTTACGGCCTACCTTGCATTCAATTTGGACAAGACTTGCACTATTGGGGCCAAACGAAGAAAAAATGACCGCGGCTAATATTTGACGATCTTAGACCACAGGGAATAAATGATTTATCAGTCTCAGCCCGATCGATCTGGTGTGTTGCCTCTGCTCGACAAGCTGCACGACCTTTGACCGCAGAATTCGATTTCCCGCCCCCAGTGCAATCCTCAAATACATAAGCAGATATTGGACATACGCCACGGTGATTGAACGTATAGCATCGCTCGGAAGGCCATAGCAAATATGGCAGAACCGACAGAACCCAAACCTGGCGAAATCGCCGATATGGCGAATTCGAATGCGCCGGTCCCCCAACCTTCACCGCAGACGGAGCAACCGCCAGAACAAAGAGACCCGTCAGTGCCAGAGTCGAATCACAACCTAGTCCAGACCAATGAGCCTCAATCTGCGCCTCAACCGGAGCTTCATTCGCAGCCCCAAATTGAGCCGCAATCACAGCCTTCACATGAGCCCCAACCGGAGCCCCAGCATGAAACCCCGCAAGAGCTTCAAACCCAACCACCACAACCGACTACAGAAACAAATGAGCAATCAAGCGTCCCAAACCCACCGGAGCAAATGAATGAATCTACGCCCATGCCACATACCGCCCCGCCCTCCATCGAATCTACACTTCCACCCATAGACCATTCCCTTCCTGCAATGGATACTTCCCAGTCATTAATGGATGCCGGTTTGACCTCGTTCGATTCAGCATTTCAATCAGTGGGCTCTGGCGCGGAGCACGACTTGACGCTTCCGGCAATTGACACCAACCTGCCCACATTTGACTCTGCGTTGCCAGCGATCGGGACCGATATTCCTACCATGGACGATGATCATACGTTCCCAGACGACCATTTTAACACACATGACTCTCACTCTGGGTCTGTTGAACCTGGGGCCAGCGGGCCAGGGTCTATGAATGGATCGACACCATACGATGCGCCCAACGGTTACCAGTATGGGCATAATCCAGGTACCCCCCAGCAGTCGGACGGACATCATCCACCACCTCAAGCGCACTCTCAGCATCAATTCCAAGCGCAGCCCCAGCCGCAACAGAATTACCAGCACCAAGGCTCGGATATGTACTCCGGCTTCTCGTCAGTGAATTCAAACCCCGGGAACAACGGACAAGGTCAACCGGGACAGATGCCACAAGCACCAATTGGATCGCCTATGCCTCCCATGTCATCCATGGGCCAGTATATGACTGGGTATCCATCTAATGTCTCACAGCAGGGTATGAATTCGAACATGCAGATGCGCTACCCACTTGCAGGGGATTCTAATAATTCACTCTCAGGAGGACGACACAAAAAAGAAGTCAAACGACGCACAAAAACCGGTTGCTTGACTTGTCGTAAACGAAGAATCAAGGTACGTTGTTGTTGAGTTTTGATGCTTCCGCGGGGCGGCCTCGCTTGTGCCCGCAGACCCCGCCATCGTTTATTTTGCGCTCCTCCCGCTTCACCCACGACATTGCTCTTTTTGCGCATCTTCCTGGTTCAGGATCTAATTTTTTTTCTACAGTGTGACGAGGGACATCCGGTCTGCCGAAACTGCGTGAAAAGTAAACGCGAGTGTTTAGGTTACGACCCGGTCTTTCGGCCTACAGCGTCAGCCCCCTCGGCCATTCAACCTGCTCCAAACCCTCCTCCGTCTTTGGTTGTGAATCCTCAAGGGCCCCCTGTCGCAGCTGCGCCTTTGTATCCATCTGCACCTCCTGGGTACATGCCCGCTTCTTCACAACCATTTGCGCCATCCCTTCACTCCGAATCACCTAGCACCTCAACCGATCACCAAACCGATCACAGAGCTTCTGTTGATACATCAATTGCACCACCCCACACACAACAAGCTCCTACCACAATGCAGGCCTCACATGAACCCCGTCCCCAGAGTTCAGAGCCCGTCTACAAAGGTACGCGCACAACCCTTGTTGACTTTCCTTTTTTTTAGCTTGCGATTTTGGCGTGAATGACAGAAAGCTAACAAGCGCTACCAACAGCGAAAAACCTTCATGTCAGTGACTTGATCGCTTTGAGAGGCATTGCCCCTCCCCCACCTCATCCCATTGGCAACCTACCTCCTGGCCGGCTTGAAGAAATCCAGGCCGTCTTCCTGGCGACGTACGCACCTGCTATCGATAAGCTGCTGGAGGTTCGATGGTATACCGAGAAGGCCCTCCAGGTTCTTATGGCAGACAACCAACTCATGGCCGACTACTCTGCATTGATAAATGCATTCAACGACTGGAATCTCAGCGATCCCAACACTCTTGCTCGCTTGGAAAGCTTCGAAGCTTCGATCATCTGGAGAAGTATGGTGCTCTGCCGTCAAGTACCCGCAGCTGAAAATGGGCAATATGGGCAAGACTGGAATTTGTGTGCCACTTCTGCACGTCTGGACGCCATGGAAGCTCTTCTGAGCTGGAACTACCTGGATTCAAACCATTTATCTCGGACACTTGGAATGGATGCCGCCAGCCCACCCAACCAGCCTGACCAATTCATGCAGCGTCAATTGGACTTCTGGAGCGAGCTCGGGGAATTTCTCACACTACACGACAATGAAGCTAGCTCGGCGAAGCAGATTGATGATACCCTTGGACGTTGCCGTCATCTACTCGATACCTACGAAAACCGAGACATCATTTACTCCATTGCCATTGCGCGACACCTGGGTCAGCGCTGGGCCGATTTCCCTAACAGCCTGCCCAAGGTTGGGTACACCAATGAGAAAGAATCCGGTACCAAGCTCTTCGTCGCGCAGAAGTTCATCGAGGAAGAAGCCGAGGGCAAGGGTACCACCCAGATCTACAAGCGCATTTGCTGCATGGCAGTTCGCTCATGGTGGGTTGCTCGGGAGTGATTGACTTTCCTGACGTTACCAATGCCGAAACTCGTCAGTGAATTTCAAATGCCCCTCCTTTCCTCCCAGGCCTATTGTACATCCTTACCCTGGGAGGACTTGTACACCTGCGCTCAGATCCACAAATCCGCGGATCATTACAACTTTGCTCAAAATTTCAGAAAAGCATCATGGTTCCGGCGTTACGATGATTTACAAATGGTTGCTGCTTTTTTCGTTTCGTCTTTTTTTTTTTTTTTGTTTCCACTGGGGTTCGGGGGACCGGGTAGTGAGCGAGTGAAGCAATACGGCGTTTATGACCTTTCTTTTTCCCCCGAAGTTTTTTTTACCTTGTTCCTGTGCATATGTCGCTTCTTATTCGTGCGGGAGTTTCCATACCCTGTGACGCCCAACTGTATCCAGTTGGATGATTTACGTTTACCAGTCGATAGTCAAAATTTTTACAAATAGACCCAATATCTCTGTTCATTGCTATGTAGTCGTGCTCTGTACTCGGGGTATTCTGGGCCCAAAAATTATATCCATGTCAATGTGAGATTATGCCACCAAGACTTTGGCTTAAAGCACCTCCACTCTAATTTTCATCTCACCCGTCTCACCCTGGAACAAAAATCCGACATCCCTCGTCGAATCAACGAGTTCAACTTCTCTCCGCACGAACCGACTGGACTCTTCCGATGTAGACTCAACTTGAGATGGCTGCGGCATTTCATCTTCACTATCTTCCGCCCAGTCCTCTTCGTCAAATGTTGCCTTTGCAATAGGATCCCACTCATCCGTTTCCCAGACTAGTTTGAATCCATATGGAGGCAGGTCAAATAGTCGAGACACAATCGACTTTAATTGGTATGTATTAAATGAATGCGGAATCTCCTTGACGGGTATGTGCGTCGAAGAAGGTAGATGGAAAGCCATCTTAACGAGTCTCGCAGCAACAGAGCGCGGATGAATAATTCGTTTACCCGATCCGTCGGATTCAAGTGCTCGTGTGATCCTCGGCTCGCCGTAAAGTTCGCACAGCTCAGCATACCGCGGATGCGTAGCAAGAACATGCTCTTCATCCGCCTCAGAGGTCGCGGAGAGCTCTTTGCCGATTAGCGAGAGGTAGTACATATCCGCATTCAATCGGTCTTGTGGTGAGATTATGCTGTAGTTGAGCATGTGGAGGGTAGGAGGGAAGCGGGATAGTGTTAGCATGAAGGCTTCGTCAACTGTCATTGGTTTTGAGGAGCCTATGGTGGATGTAGCGGCTGCGATGGATGGCGGGAGAGGTGGCTCGTCGTAAAGAGGATTTGTTGAGACTCTTAGAGTGGTTAGGCCTGGAAAGAGGGTTGAGAGGTGATTCAGGAATTTCCAAGATGTGATATTGTTGCGTGAGAGGTCGAGGGAGAAGACGGATTTGGGGAAGTGGAAATCTGGGGCAGCGTCGTTCGAGTCTTCCAGTATTGTGCTGATGTTGTTCCAACGCACGGAGAGGTGCCCGAGATTTGGAAGCGCTGCTAGATGTTTGAGTGCTGTCATTGATGTCATACTGTTGCCCTCAAGATTTAGACTTGTGATTGAGTTTCCGAGTGGGCAGGATATAGTCGTGAGTTGGTTGGCCGAAGCTCTCAGGTCGGTGAGTGCCGGGAATCTTAATGCTACCGCAGAAATCTATGGCCTGCATTAGTATGTATCAGACAATGAGATATAGTTAGGAGGCCACATACCTCATCCCAGGTAAGGAGGGTCTGCTCCACACGTAATTCAGTGATTCCCTCGAATGTTACGTCTTCCTCCAAAGGACGGAATCGATTGCCACTATGATAGAAGTTAGTACCGTCTAATTTAGTCAATTCTGAGGCCGCAGACAATAGCCCGAGCATGATACTTACTTCAACCTCAATCGCTTCAGCTGTTTCAGCTGGTTGCAAATCTCCCAAACATCCCGCCATCGAGTAAACAGACTACGGCTGATATCCAATTCGATAATCTTCGGGCAAGTAGCCGCAATCTTGGGAGCGGCCTCGGCAACAGAACTTTCGGGTTGCTCATAGGAGGGTAGCACACCTGATATCCGTAGTCCATCAAGGAGGACAATTTGTAGCTCCTGCAGCTCTGCCTGCTGCTTTCGAATCTTGTCGAAGCCGACTTCCTCGACAACCTTGCCACTGATCTCAATTGCCTTCGGGACTAGGCTAGCATTCAAGGCACTTTGTGCATCCTGCTGGTCATATTCGGAGGCATATTTCTCATTTAGCGCCTCTAAAAAGCTCCTTGGCGGCTCTGACGGCCTGGAGGGGCGGACAAAAGACCCCGCCGTGGGGTGTTTACTTTTGCCTGTGAAGCGTCAGTGACAGCAACAAAAAAGAATGATTCGGGATATAACTTCATACATGTAAAATACCGCACTCCTTTATGTTCGCCCGCATGCTTGCCTCGAGTTGGATCGTCCCATTCAACACCCAGCCAGTCACCTGTGGTGCCCTGAACACCACCCACATAGCGGATAGTGCACAGCTGGCCATCGAAAGACCGACGCTGGCCAATATCAGCAGCACTCATCACAAAGAATAAAGCAGCTCCTGTCCTGTTTCAAGAATTCTATGAACATTGGCCAAGTTGTGTTGAAAGTGACTTTTGTCCCTGGACCTGCATCCGCTTACATAACCCGTTTTTGGATGTCAGGCATTGCATACTAGCTTCCATGACAGCCACATAGGCCTTGTAGATAGAATGAGTAGCTTCAAATGAATCTGGGCTACCAATTAACATAAAAATTTGAAGAAAATAATAAGACTTTCACTTTTGCATTTACTAGGCAGATTCACCAGCACCTTCAATGCGGTCATGTGACCACATAGAAAATAAGGTTCCATGATACTGTCTCCCGTTATCTCCAGGCGCGCGCAGATTTACTGTTTCCAACCTCCAGACAACGCCATGGATTACCAGGTACGCTCAATCTTGCACCCACAACCCCAGGCATTTAAAGGCGATTAATTGTGCTAATGAATCTCCCAGAACCGAGCAGGATCGAAATTCGGTGGCGGTGGTGTCGCCGACCGCTCTGCGACCAACGCTGACCGTCGCGAGCGTCTGCGCAAGCTTGCCCTCGAACACATCGACCTAGACAAGGATCCTTACTTCTTCAAGAACCACGTCGGAAGTTTCGAGTGCCGTCTCTGTCTCACAGTCCACCAAAATGACGGCTCCTACCTCGCCCACACCCAGGGCAAAAAGCATCAGACCAACCTCGCCCGTCGTGCTGCGCGTGAGCAACGCGAAGGAAAGAATCAAGATCCATCAACCCTACCTGGTGCGATGGGTGTACAGGTGAAGAAACAGACCATCAAGATCGGGCGACCTGGTTATAAGATTACCAAGGTCCGGGATCCCTTGACCCGTCAAACGGGCCTGCTGTTCCAGCTGCAATATCAGGAGATCACACCCGGTGTCATTCCACGAGTGCGCTTTATGTCTGCGTTCGAGCAGAAGGTTGAGGATCCCGATAAGAACTTCCAGTACCTTGTTGTTGCGGCCGAGCCTTACCAGACCTGTGGATTCAAGCTCCAGTCCAAGGAGGTCGATCGTCGGGAGGGCCGGTATTGGACTTGGTTTGATGAGGACAGCAAGGAGTTCTGGATCCAAATTATGTTCAAGACAGAGCGTGAAGAGAGATTCACTGGAGTTCCTGGGTTGGCGCCAATGCGGACTTGAATCACGTTTTGCTTAATCTAAGAGGATGCCATGCTACAAAAGAGAAGAGCGGGTTTTATCACAAGGACTGGAGCTGGGCGTTTTGGGGAGTTTTAATTCTGTGTACATTTTAGCTTAAGCGATGGCATATTCAATTTGATATCCTGGTGACCTAAAAATCTGGGTGATGGGCAGATGCATCTGATGAGATTAATCTACATTCTACAGAGTCAAATCTCTAGTCTCCATTCCCCTATAATCTGTAGTATTTTTCCTATGTTCCTAATTTCTAGGTTCCAGATTTCCAAGTTCTAAGACCTGTTGTATAGTTGAAACGGTGTGAAGACATTGGCATCAGGGACATGGGGTGCAAACTTCACAAACATCGGCCGAGGTTCTTCCAGAATCTTGTTTCTCCCTTATCGTGACTCACCGCTTTTGCCACTACTATGCCCGATCTGGCACATTGCTGCTGCCCTACGCCATAACCTATCTCATTCACTTCACCCTCTAATGTGACGATACATCCTCGCGATATGATTTTTCTTCTTACTCTTCTTCTGGATCCATTTCCATCACTATAAGCTTCTCTTGCACTTTGCTTTTTTTGCACCATTCTCTTCTATCCGCCCCACTGACAGCTCCGGCTTTGTCCTGTAATCATCAATGGTCTCCGACTCCCAAGAAACGGATTCGGAATGGGACTTTGTTCAGGCGCTGGACCTGCTGCTATCACCAAGTGGTGGGCGCTCTTACCTCAAACCCCTCCGACACCCAGTTTCTGCGCCGTCTAATGAACGACGGACTGGAGATCGTGTCAGCAGCTCGACCACGACCGAGCCTCACCCGGGTCATGATAGCTACGATGATGGATCTGTTTTCAAACTACTCCATTCTGATCTCGGCAACTGGGCCTCAACCTCTGAAAAGAATAAAGGAGTCGGTTTGTCAGTGTCATCAAAGCGTCTCCCAGATGTCCCCAATTCCCAACAGTCCCCTAAGGGTGGCTTCTCGTCGCAAGCCCCTCAGACAGGGCCACCTCAATCCTGTTACAAGTCCCCTCCTATCACAGTGCCGCCAATAGCTGAAGTTACCAAGGCCACTGTCATGGGTATCTCTACACACCCGCCTTCGTCTCATATCACTATTCTCAGACGGCCATCAAAGGGTACGGATGACCATATCTCTGTCAATCCACAGCCCCAACCTCCTGTGCGCACAATTCCAGATACCAGTCATTCGAAAGCTATGCCCAGGGCCAAGCCCAAGCCGAACAAGAAACATAAACAAGCCCCCAAGAACAATACTTCTGAAAGCAGTGCCGAAGCCGAGTCAGATTTAAGTCCCGTGTTATTCGACCGCCCCCTCCCCAAGAAGTCGGGGGTGCTGTTTGTTCCGTCGCAAGTCGGCTCGCATGATGTACGGAATAGCATTGAAGATACCCCGCCCTCTTCATACGATGATGCCGTCGAATATTTGAGTTCGGACAAGACCAAGAGCATCGGCTCTTTCACTGGTCCCGTGCGTCTTTACCCGAAGTACACGGATGAGTTGGAGCGACGTGTGTCTCTTATGTCAAAGCTTTTAAATACGTTTGACGATTATGTCCAACTTGTCTCTCAATTGGGACGCCCTCAAGTCTCCAGCAACAATCTGGAGTCACGCCCTGTTCATGTCTTTGTTGATATGTCCAACATTTTGGTGGGATTTCATGATGCAGTTAAAATTGCACGAAATATCCCCACCACCAGTCGGGTCCGCCGCCTGGACATCTCTTTCATCAACTTGTCTCTAATCATGCAACGTGGCCGCACTACCGCCAAGACAGTCTTGGTTGGTTCGGACCGTCTACCATCCATCGATGAAGCCGAGAAACTTGGCTATGAAGCAAATATTTTAGACCGTGTTCACAAGATGAAGCACACCCCCTCTCGTCTTTCGAAATTTCGCAAGCCACCCGGCAAAGGATCTCAGTTTGGTAAGCCCGAAATGGCCGGTACCTCTGCAGAACGCTGGGTCGAGCAAGGTGTGGACGAAATTCTACACATGAAGATTCTCGAAAGCCTGGTTGATACGGATGAACCCGCAACTATTGTGCTGGCGACTGGAGATGCAGCGGAAGCTGAGTATTCTGCTGGGTTCATGCGCATGGTGGAGCGGGCGCTGCAGCGCGGCTGGAACGTCGAACTGGTCAGCTTCTCGCACATCATGAGCCATGCATACAGTAGGAAGGAGTTCCGTGAGAGGTGGGGTAAGCAATTCAAGATCATCGAATTGGATCAATATGCAGAAGAACTTTTTGGGTAAAGAGCTCTAACTTGCTGATGCAAGATCTGACTGATTTCCATGGAATTACGATTCACTTGGATCTGTATCAGCATTACACATTTACCTAGAAGCTACTTGCTATGCCAATACATGACTACTGTCTTAACAAGTATACACAAGTATATTCATCAATTTATTCTCTTGGTTGGCGTCAATTGAGTACAAGACCAACCGCCAAGCATAGACCGCTTGTGTAGATCCTTAGCTACTATCCTCTGGCTCCGCACTGGTGTGGCACGTATTGGCCAGGTCGCAAGATCCTATAGCTCCCGCCGTGCTTGGGCCCGAACGGAATGGCTGCCCAGTCTGATCATTAGTTCTCAGTATCCGGCATATAAAGCCGAGTAACAGACCGTTTGATTTCCTCTTCTTTTCATTTTCTTTCTACTAATAATCAATCATTTTGTAAGAATATACAGTGGTTAAAAAAGGAAGGGAGCGGAGGTGCGCCGTGGAGGAGGTATTTTGCAGCCATTCAGAGATATTTCCCAATTATCCAAAAGTTTTGTCAGCCCCACAGGTGATTGGGGATTCCAGTCTTGTTTGTGTCATTTCTTGTTTGACCTGAATTTGTTTTTGATGCTCCTTGCAATAATATTTCCTATTATTACTTGAATCTACTTAGTGAGTCTGATATATCTATGTCGATCTCAAGTAACTTGTGGCTTGGCTTGTTACGCAGTACAGAATCTCGGCTAGGTCACTCCAAGGCAGCCTTAATGCTCCAAGGTTTGTTTAGCTTAAGGGGACAAAAGGCTAGTCCAATCAAGCAACCTGTTTTAGTGTTGGTTCAGACATACGTCGTTCTTTGATTGGGGCCCTCGTAGAGCGGGCCGAGCATCCACTTTGCACGGTAATAACGGCCCCCACGTATAGTTGTGCATCAAAGGCTGGACCCTTTGAGAAATGTCTAGGATATTACGGTGCTTCCTATTTAGACCACTTGCTTTGAGCGAAGATTCCACATCGTGGAGGTGGTACTACTGTAGGTGGAGGCTCCGTGAGATCCCCACACAGAATGCTGTGTTGAGAGGCTCCTCTCTAAAAGGTGATCGGCGCATCGGCTAATTTAGCGCCTAAGGTATTACGAATAGTTCTCTCCGCGGTTGGTCAATTGCAAAAAGACGTACATATAGATCCCTGTAGCCACTACTGCATGGTAGATTTCCTTCCTATCATGGGTTATCTGTTACCGACTAATTCCGATAGCTAGCAGGGGCGGCGTTTCAGTCGAATAAATAGAGAATCTTTCCTCGGGGCTTTTTTCACTTACCAAAAAGACTTCTTCTGTCTTGTGAAATCACCTTTCACGATTCCGTTGTTCTTTACATTCGCTTTGAAATACGCTCTAAATAAAAATGCTTTTGCTGTTTATGGGCCTATTAGCCCTCCTTTACTTCGCATGGAGTATGGTGATGATGGAGATCAACTATCGCCGGGCGTCCGCGATGGGCATACCAGTCGTGCGATTGTGCATTGACTCCCAGAATCTGCCTTGGATGATTCTCGAGCCCCATCTATGGCCATTGCTCGACAAGTTGCCGTTCAGCTTCGGCAGCTTCGGGCGTTATTCGCGTCGAGGTTGGTTTTTTCTTGATAAGGGAGCTTCCCATCGCCGCTACGGTCCGATCTGGGCCCTTGCAACTCCACGTGAAATTACCATTATTGTTGCTGAGTCTGAGGCTATCCATAATATATTTCAAAGACGAACGGATTTTGTTCGTCCAAGCATTATGTATAGTAAGTTGAACTGATACATGTTCCGATATGCATCGAGGACTAATTGCTATTGTTCAACAGAAGTTTTAGAGGTTTACGGTCCTTGTATTTCTACAGCTAATGGACAGGACTGGGCACGCCATAGGAAAATCGTCGCGACTCCTTTCAACGAAGGCATCATGTCTTACACGTGGGACGAAAGTGTGGAGCAAGCTTCACAAATGCTCGATGTATGGGCCGGCGAAGGGTCAAGCGAGATTAGCAGCGTCTCAGGGGATACACGTACAGTCTCATTGAATGTCCTGGCTGCAACTGGTTTTCGCAAATCGTATCCTTTCCTCAGTGCCCAGGATCAAAGTGGCCCGGCCAATTACCGTGACTCCTTGCAGACTATACTCGACAATGCAATTCTATTAATGGTTGCCCCAAGAAATCTCCTACACCTGCCGTTTGCGCCAGAGTCGTGGAAGCGACTTGGCAAAGCTGCCAAGGATTTCAAAAACCATATGCTTACGATGCTCAATGATGAGACCAAGGCACTGAATGAAGGAAATCCTGGATCTGGAAGTATAATGACGACTTTAGTACGAGCCATGGATATCCAGCATGAGAGCACCAAAAGCGAGAAGTCCACCACCTCAGCGAAAGGGCTCTCTGTTGATGAGATATTCGGTAATATCTTCGTGATCAACTTTGCTGGTCACGACACCACGGCAAATACCCTGAGTTTTACGATGTTACTTTTGTCTGCGTACCCAGAGGTGCAAGACTGGGTAGCAGAGGAGCTCCAATCGCTCCCAGAAGATACCAAGGGACTGTATTCCGATCTATTCCCCAAGCTAAATCGCTGCAGAGCGATAATGGTTAGTCAAGTCCCTATCGCATTATATCGGGGTCCCCATTCTGAGATGAATAGCTTGAAACTCTCCGACTCTTCCCGCCAGTCCCCTCTCTCCCGAAGTTGACCTACGGCTCTTCCCAACGTCTGAAAGTGGGAGACAATACCATAGTAATTCCTCAAAACTCCGGAGTGCTGATAAACCTTATCAATACCCACACAAGCCCAGAGTACTGGGCTGATCCATTCTCCTGGAAGCCAGCACGATGGGTCACGACCTCATCTGTATCCGAGTCTGATAGTGCCCTCTTGCTGGAGACTGAGCGAATGTTAACTCCTAAGTTGGGATCAACTACACCAGCCGATGAGCGGGTTGTTACCCCGGCGCGATGCACCTATTTTCCCTGGGCCGATGGCGGGCACAGCTGCCCTGGTAACAAGTTTTCCCAGGTAGAGTTTGTGGCAGTAATGGCCAAGTTGTTACATCACCATCGTGTGCGCGCAATTCCTAAACCAGGAGAAACATGTGGACAGACTCGGAATAGAATTCTGGCTACGACTCAAGATGTTGATCTCCAGCTGCTCCTGCGGATGAAAGATGCCGATCAAGTGCGGTTATCGTGTGTACGTGTCTAAGGGAAGATCTATGAGATACCTGTAAGTAAGCTTGGAATGTTGGAAGTTACAGAATAGAAGCTCTGGAGAGCTTAGTATTTCTTTTTGGATGTTCGTGTTGCATCTTTGCCTCTTTTTTGGTAAGCTGCTTCTGGCAAGAGAGATCCCGCACTTATATGAATGGAGTTGTCATCTGAACTATCCGTTATGTTTACAATTTATGACTGAGAAGATAGATATGAAGCCACCAGGCCGTTAAAACAACAAGTCGTAGGCATTTATCCAGATATTTGAGAGTAATGTGTACATCTACGTGATCAAATCCTCTCAGTATAATAATCGTGCAAGTGGACGGAAGAATGTACAGGAAGCACGATCGACATAACAAGTTTGTACTGGAGTCTACTGAAACCATCAATACTAAGTCTCAGGATGGCTATGCAATAGTAAAAGCAGGAAGCTTGTAATTTAGTAATATTAGCAGATAAACACGAACATCTCAAGGTTCTCTGCTTGGCCATGCTCAATAAATCGGCGAGAGGGGCGAGTACTTGAACAGAAGTTGCAAGTCAAGAATCGGTTAAAGGTACATAGACAGGTACCTATAGTACTTCCTTGCTTATTGCCTTACTGTTGCACATGTCAAATCAGGGCCTGGGCCACACTGAATCATGTGAAAGCTGCGCTAATCCGAATCGGGAGATATAATATCCAAACATGACAGACTTGGTTGTCATACAACGCCACTTTGGGGAACTTGGCAACGTCAATCTCGCAAGTGACTGAGTGTCACTTCAGGTCTGATTGGTATGATAAACAATAAGTTCAGGTTGTCTGTACAGTGAACTTGCTTATTCCAGCGTCGAAACTTGTAAGATAATTGCACAGAGCAAACAATGAACGACGTCATTTGATCTTTTGTTTGGCGTCATGGAAACCTCTATAATACAGGAAAGCTATATAAATATCATCCATCTCTTACAACTTTCTAATTGTTTTCCATATTCAACCACTTCTATACCAAATACTTTCTATCAACCAATACTCAAACCTCAATCGAACATCATGTCTGACACCGGTCGCAAGGACTTCAGCACTAGTACGTTACCCTACAGATCCACCTTGACAACAAATCCGTGACTAACCCATATCTCTTCTCAGAGGCCAAGGAGGAGATGACTCCTGACTCCACCAAGTCCACTACGGACAAGGTTAAGGAGACCGTCACCGACACTGGTGACCGCGCCACTCGAGGTCTCCAGTCCGACGACAGCAAGAGCGGTACCCAGGAGGCCTTCGACAAGACCCAGCGTGCCCATGATGACAACAATGGCGGCGCCACCAGCTCCATGTAAGACACCTTGCCAGAAAACCTCACACATAAGACCTGCATACTAACTGTCATCTTTCCATACAGTGGTGACAAGGTCAAGGATACCCTGGGCATGAACAAATAAGCTCTTCATTCCTTGATGAAATTCCTCAATGACGATATTTCGGGACTTACCCTACTATCATGAACCAATGATTAGTCGACGATACCATTTGTTTCTTTAGTTTACAATCCAAATGATGCAGTGATCTGCCAATTTATTCAAACTTTGTGCAAATGTATTCAATCGTAGATTCTTTCGCAAGACAAGCCTATCGTCCTACCAGAGTGCCAAATAACATATCACGCTGTCGATTAAGTTGACTTAACTCCCGTTCCAGTTCCTTGTATCTGGCCCGTGCCCCTGGAATATCCGTAGGCAGATCATGGAATGCTCTAACACGCGCTTCCAACGACTTCACAATATCTTGGAGCCGAACAACATTTTCTTCATCCAACATCAATTGTTCAATTGTAGGACCTGCAGGCTGATTTCGTTCCAATGAAGCAATGCGATCATGATATTCCCCAACTTTCGTTGTCAGCATTTTGGTACCACGGATCCACTCCGAGGTCTGGGCCTGGACATCCTGGGGCATGGCATATGCCTCGTCTGACTTCAGCTCCTCCAAATCGGCTTGAAGACGCGAAAGCTCCTTCTGCAAGTATAGCCGCAGCATTTCAACTTTAGCTATTTGGTCTTGCGCTTCAAAATCCTCTGCCGTCAGCTCAACAATCGATTGGCTCAGATCCTCTGGTTCAGGATTCAATGTGTTGCCCATTACAACTGCTGATTCGGCTAGATCATCAAGATCGCGACGTCCCTTATCGTCCAGGCACATTTCCACTTCATCTAGAATCTCGTTCTTTTGTCGCTCGTGTGGGTCTTTGCGCTCAGCCTCTTCCTGGACCTTGAAGGCCTGGATTGCTTCTTCCTGTGCACGGTCGCGGATATTTGTTTCCTCATCTGCAGCATCATTGGCGGCCGCCAATGTTAGGAGAACGCGGAGAGTGTCTTCATTTCGTTCAAATTGGGGTACTGGTTTGGGCGTGTATTTCCGGGTGAGCCATGAATTAATGTACGCCCAGTCCTTGGCTTGAATAGCAGCCTGGCGTGCCTTTGTGGGTGAGGCAAGTGGACTGTCAAATGACTCCATTGTGCATTTAAAAGGTAATTGTAAATTGTGGGTGAATTGGAGAAATGTTTATCTGTTGTTGGTGCACGATAAGAGCTGGGGCGAAGGCGGTCTACAGATTCAGGGCGAGACTGTCCTTTTCCCCACTCAACCTCGACTTGACCAGGAGTGAAACTGGAGGTACTTCTCTAACAATGACAAGCTATTTTCCTGGGCCTGGTCCCAACAATGGCGGCTCCCCCGCCTCGTCGCCCCTGTCACCTCCAACTCAGCGTTCGAGCGCCCTCTCCAATCGCCTAACATCCGTCTTATCGGCTTCCTACGCCGACTCCGACATCCGTGACGCGCTGGAAACTTTGAGCATTCGGGGAATTCACAATACCGCGGAAACACGGCGCCAGCTTCGACTCGATGTACAGAAAGAAGTGGTGGATAGCAACGCGGAAATCGTCCGAGACTTCGGAAAGGTTGCGGAGGTAAGTTCATACAGAGCTATATTGAACCACGCATGGAAAACTAATATTTTCCCCGCTGTTACAGCAATTGAAACGAATTGGAAGCGTCATCACCACTCTTAATCAGACATGCGATGAAATGCGCAAACACATCAGTCTCGCCAAGCAGGATACTACACCCGTGCTGGAGGAAGCTGCTGCGTTGATGGCTCAGAAGAAGGATACTGAAACGAAGCAACGACTGCTTGTTGCGTTTGAGAAGCATTTCTTGGTTCCTGAGGAAGACCTCATGGTCTTAAACTCAGCTGAAGAACCAGTCGACGACCGGTTCTTCGACATTCTGGCACGTGTCAAACAAGTCCATCACGACTGTGAACACCTACTTGGCGGGGAAAACCAGCGACTGGGCCTGGAGCTGATGGAGCTGAGTACCCGGCATCTCAACTCTGCCTACCAGAAGCTATATAAATGGATCCAGAAGGAGTTCCAGTCTTTGAACCTTGAGGACCCCCGAATCAGTAGCTCAATTCGCCGTGCTCTGCGGGTCCTGGCGGAGCGGCCAAGTCTATTCCATAGCTGTCTGGATTTCTTCGCTGAGGCGCGTGACTATGTTCTTGCCGATGCGTTCCATTATGCGCTAACAGACGCCATTTCTGGTGCTAATGGGCCTAGTGCCGGCGACCGAAGTGTCAAACCCATCGAGTTTTCGGCCCATGATCCACTCAGATATATTGGAGATATGCTCGCGTGGGTACACTCCACAACTGTCTCCGAGAGAGAAGCCTTGGAAGCGCTGTTCGTTGCCGATGGAGAGGAACTCGCACGAGGCATTCAGGCTGGTTTAAATAGCGAGCCTTGGTCTCGCATTGACGAAGACCAGGAGGTCACCTTCGATGGCCATAAAGCGCTGAGCGATCTGGTAAATCGGGATCTCATTGGAGTTTCTCGTTCCCTACGGCAAAGAGTGGAGCTGGTGATTCAAGGTCACGATGACCCTGTCACTTGCTACAAGGTCGTCAATTTGCTATCCTTCTACCGAACCACCTTCATAAAATTGGTTGGCCCCAAGGCCCAGCTGGTGGACTTGATGCAGAGTTTGGAGAAATTTACACTTGGACACTTTGAGAATTTGATGCGAGAGGAAGTCAGCACACTGTCAAACGACCAACTGGCTTTGGCTCCCCCGCAAGACCTTTCGCCTCCAGAATTCTTACTAGATGCATTGGAGGGCTTAGTTTCACTCATGAAAACGCACGAGGCATCGGTCCGACCGGACGAAGAATCCGATACGGATAGCGAGAACAAGTTCACTCCTGTTCTCCGAGCTGCCTTCGATCCATATTTGACTCTAGCTCGATCCTCGTCCGAAGAGATTGACGACTCGACAGCGCAGACCATCTACCGCACCAACATCCTTCTCGCAGCCCGCGCAACTGTCTCCTCATTCGGGTTTGCTAGTATCACCCACATGAACCCACTGTCCAACGCTATATCTACTCTCCGTACGAATCTGCTCGATATTCAGCATCAATTTTTCCTTGATAATTCTGGTCTGCAGACTCTGCTAGATGCTCTAGAGCCTTTCTCCAAATCGGGTAGAGACTCAGAACAAGACAGTGAAAATGAAGAGAAGCCGGAGCAAAAGCTTCACCTTGCAGACCTGGCCACCCTCCCTGCTTTCCAACCAGAGGCCCTAGTTGCGTCCAGCCAGCAGCTGGACGACTTCCTCCCATCTGCCCTCATGGATGCAGCTGATCATCTCAAACGTGTCCAGAGCGCCTCACTCATTCAGAGTGTCACTGAAGATGCCGTCGAAGCATTCTGTCGTGATTTCGAGTTTGTCGAGGGCATGATTATTGCCGCTGATGAGGCCAGAGGAATGAGCCAGTTTAGCTTAGGTACGGGTGGCAGTGTGATTAGCGGTCGTAGCGGGAGATCCACTCGTAAGACCACGGGTGAAGATGACGAGGAAGAGAAGGAGGACCAATGGAGTCTACGCTCATTGTTCCCTCGCACGACTGGAGAGATCCGTGTCTTGTTGAGTTAAGCAGCGTTGCGAGAAGATCAAGTATTGTACATACATTTTCACGTTACATATTCATGAATGCAAAGACCTGTTAATTGCACCTGATTTATTCATCACATAAGATCAAGGCCTACGTAGATAAATCACCCCACCGACCAAGCGTTTAATTACTTGTAAAGTTTTGATCGCTTTGACATCTCTTTTGTTTACATTTATGAGCTCTCGAACTATGCGTAAAATAGCTCACAGAGACTTCATTCGGCATCTAGCAAATCATCCTCATCAGATCCCTCACTATATTGTCTTTGAAATTGTGTCATCGCGTGGTGAGTTCTGTCGCCTCCCATAATATTGGTTTGGTCAATCGCGTCATCTTCATGGAAAGCACAACATTCCATTAGCATCTTATTTCAGTATATTGCGCTGCCTATGTGAAAGACATACCACGTTGCGCATTGGAACTATCATTGTCGTCCTGGTTCAAGAAGGTACCATATTCCTCGTCGCGGTCATAAATGATGCTAGGCTTGGGAATGAGTTGCTTTTGGGAATCAGACATGGGAATAAGTTGCTTTTGGGAAGACATGATAAGCGTAGGACAACAAAATGCGTGTATATAGACAAATGTATTACTTGTTCGATAGAGTGACAGATTCCCCGGTGCTATTTATGCTTGAGAAAATTAGTTGACATGTTATCATCGTCATAGTTACGATTTTCAGGAGGCAACTGTAGGTTCTAGAACCCTTTGATCCAGACCTAAATACCCACTGGTTCACTAGTATATCCATGTTTGTAAGGGGCTTGATGGTAAGGCTAGGTACGGCCTCGGCTACGTGGTGACAGGGTTTAGTCACACTACTCCCGCCGCCTGCACGCGCTTATCTAGAGCTTCGGCTCCACCCGTCGTGGGGGCACAACGTGGCTAATATAAATCGCGCGGTGTTTACAGTTTACCACCCTTAGATGGACATCTGCCTCGTTAGGCTCCATAACCAAATCCTTTCATCCAATAGGCGGTTTGGCCGAGTGGTCTAAGGCGATTGACTAGAAATCAATTCTCTTCGGAGGCGGCGGTTCAAATCCGCCAGCCGTCGGTTTCTTTTTGTTTTAATTTTTTTTTCCATGTTTGTGCCTGGCAAGTATTCTCAGATGGCTTCTTTTAGACTTTCATTTGATATTTCTCGATGCCAGAGACTGTAGTGCGTTCATGCAACAACCTTAAGCTACATATCCTGGATACTTGCAGTTCTAGGTGTGACACGAATGGCCATGCATCAATGGTCCTAGGCATGTGCTACAACTAGGTCCGCCCGGGCCCTAATCATTCGACTGCCTAAGTATCAAGGGAAAGGTACCCATGGTCAGTCCATGGGGGCACCTAGCTCAAACCCAGCAAAGCTATCTCATTAAATTTGCTTGAGAAATTTCGGAGTGGAAAGAAGTGGACTATAGACCACAAGTTTTATTACATATAGACTTTCAACTTGACATCAAAGATTAGAGTACTAAATTTTTAATACTATAACCATACAAGGTAGCTCCAGCTGGCCTTGACTTGAAGCAATTTATCAGTCTAAAGTTTTATCTTTTGCAACCCTTGATCCACTCTGTTATCCTTTGGCGTCAATTTCTAGTAAGCGCCAGTAGTGGTCGTTGGACAGTCAGCAAAGCTGCTCTGAAATGAGATACAAGTTTCACCTTTCTCTAGTTTCAATGTCTGGAATTCAACTTGCTCCTCGAAATCTTCTTCAAGCTCCTCCTTAGTAGCCTCAACGACCACAAGTGGCTGTTCTACATCTGTTTCATCACCAGTCAAGAAAGCGGCCTTGTCATCAAAAAGCTCGGTCTCGACCCCTGCTCTCTTCGTCCGAATGACAGACAAGCGATATGCAAAAACGATGCCCGGGGCTGTATCATAGGACCCCGTGGTTTTTCGCTCGCTAGACCCACTGGAGCCCGCACCGGCAGTAATGGGAACTATCCCACCAGGGATCGTCCCTGATCCCGATATCTCGCCCCCGAGGGTTTTCGAAACATCTTTGCTCACCGTGAAGCTTGTCCTCGCTATGCGAAGGCCTGTGACAATATATACTGGTCGTCTTCCGAAGACCCCCGAGTTGATATGTTTTTTGACATCCGGGAGCGCAGTTATCGCAGACGCTATTGATGGTGTCAACGGATCGGCGAAGAAGCGGATCTCATGGTCAACGGTGCCGTAGCTTTCGATATATTGCCGGCCAGTGTCGATTTTGACAGTTGCTGAGGTCACCTCGAGAAAATTTGCCCAGATATTTAACGAGCGTGATCTTGAGCTGGACTTCTCGTGTGAATGATTCGGCTCCACGAGAGTAGTCTCTTTCGGGAGGATAATGCCGGTATCACCAGGAAGCGATGCGAGCACTAATGTTGGCCTTGCTGGGTGCGTGATGATAGTTCCCAATCTAAGCGGACCCTCAGGCGTGAAAGTGAAATCGGGAGGAAGGAACCAAGTTGGCATTCTGGGGATCGGAAGGCTCACGACTTCGGGATCTTGTATCTGATTTTCAAGATGCTTACGAGGTTGGACGGCCTTTCTCTTATCCAGCTCTGTGATATCTGAATTATATCTCTGATGGAGCTGATATTTGTGACGAACGATTTTTGGCTTGGGATTCCTTGTGGACGTTGGAGGCGAAGCTTACATGGAGAAGCATCAGCATGCTACTATATGACACATCATCCGATGCAAGTACCCCGCACTTGCTACTTAGTGAAAGCAGCATTCAAAATAGCTTGGTTCTTAATCAATGCTTGGCATCAATTGACCGGCAATTCTCAATATCGGATCTCAGCGTCATGTTCGTCCCGGAGAGTAGGGCCCCACAAAAGTAAATTGAACATTTCGATGCGGCAACCTATGATACAACGACTTAAGCATTACAATACAGGAGCTTCAGCCAGGATCCTTTCCTAGCATGACACCGAATAGTACTACTATTCCGCTAGAGCCCTGCAGATTGCGAGAAAAACCTCCTTATCCTTGGACTTATCGCTCCAAAATCGAATAGGATTCACTGAGTCTCCCCGATAGTCTGTATTCTGCGACATTACTCGCAGCAAATTCGTCATTCCTTTCGGCGTCTTGAGATTTTCTAAGGTTTCTTCGAAAAGCTTCGCTTGGACCAAAACTGGGAGAGCAGCGGAATATGAAAGCATCATGGCAACAATTCCAGCGGCAATGGCAGTTGCGACTGAGGTACCAGGACTAAAATCACCTCTCGGAAAAGATGTTTCCATTTCCTCAAGAATAAACTCAGGAATATTGTCGCCATAGGTCCCCAAAACTCTAGGTCCATCTCCCGATCTCGTGGGATTTGACCTGAGAAATGTGCCCTGATAATCAGTAGCATATATTGGAATGACATAAGGCTGGCGAGCAGGGAATCCTTCACCACGATCACTCGAAGAGTTTCCGGCGCTGGCGAGAAATATGACTTTATTCTCTCGCTTTTTCACGACCTTGTCGATGATATCTGATATAGACGTGCTTGATCTTGAAAAACTAAAGGACATTGATATGATATCGGCCTTCCAGTCCAAGCCAGCATATTCAATGGCCTATATCTAAGTTAGAGGAAGGTTTGGCAATTTTGTGGAGAAACACACCTGGACGACGCTTTCTTCGTTGGAACTTAATTGATCCTGGGTAACCGCAACACGAACAACAGAAAGATCTACAATAGGAGCAATCTGAAGTAGGAGGCGGGCCATAAATGTTCCATGCCCGAAGGTATCCACAGGGACTTGTGAGGCATCGGCAAAGTCTTTCCAGTCCGTGAAGCAACCTGAAACAGTGTTCCTTTGGAAGAAAGGGAGATCTCTATGGCAGCCAGTGTCCAGTATTGCAACTCGAATCCGCGGGATAATCTTTGCTTGCCTCCGACATCGAAGCACATGGCCAGAAATAACACCAAGGTGATTCATCCAAGCTCCGGATCGAGCAGAAGGGCCATTTGTGTCGAAAGTTGGTGCCCTAACCTTATTCCAAAATGTTCGGATTTCCTCATCTTCCACGACTGTCGGTTTCTGTCGCTGGGACTTCTTGACGGTAATAAGTGGGACTTCACCTGAGCTCTCAAAGCCAACTTCGGCAAGCCAATACAACGGAGCAACAGTTTTGCGGTACAAGGCAGTCCGCCTTTGCTGTAGGGCGGACATATCTTCCATCTGCCTTCTTTTGGATGCCTCTCCTTTTGCCCGCTTTCTTTGTGGCTTGTAAGTATTCTTGAAATTTTGCGAGTCCAAGCAATTTTCGATTGCTTCAACAAACACGGATTTGTAGGAGAAACCATCCCAGGATATCTTTTTGAACTCATTCAACCGCATGCGTGCCTTTGCATGCGCTCTATTTATATATGCAACTGAACTTAGTTTCGACGTCCCCAACGACCCTAGCCCCAGGGACTCGCCAAGACCGATCTCAAGAAGCATGATTCCCAAGAAGAGAATTCGAGGGTATCGATGAGTATAGGCGCCTGTTTCTAGGAACTCATCTGGAGACCGACTAACTTGATCGAAGGGAATAGATAGAAAAGCCCGAAGGGGAATTTGATTCCCATCTTGATTGTCGGTCGGCATGAAGAAAACATTTTCACTAGTCCATTTTTCGTGCACGATGTCGAAGTTATAGAATTGCCAGCATGCTCGTGCGAGTGTATAAGCTAGAAGTATCCTGTGCTCGATACTTAAAATGCCGTAACATAGAACATAAGCAAGTGAGTGACCACAGCCGGGCAATGTAAAATGTTGAAGACATTCGGGATCAGAACGCTTGTGAAGTCGATAACTTCCATCCAATAGAAAGTGAATTCTATTGTAATTGTTTTCGTCGAGCAATTGGCAAACGTCGCCTCGTTTCATTTGGACAAGCTCCTTGCAATCGCCAGCCTCATCATCAGAATCAGACTCCGAAATTTCATCGATTGAATAGTCGATACCGCTGTAATTGTCCTGTATTTTTCTATTAAGTGAGCGTTAGGCATTTATGAGCTTCCCGAATGGATTTGAAGGCCCTGAATCCACAAAGATTAGACTCACAAAGAGATAGAAAGAGAAATCTCCTGCCAAAGCGTCATTCCTTGAGATGCGATCATGATGTCTGCTTGAGCAAAAGTATTGCTTGCAAGGACTCCATTGCTGAGGCAGATTCGGGTATGGTGCCATTTAACCATGTCGCAAGGTGGAAGGGCATGAGATGGGGGATAGCAAGTAGTATATTTTCTGAGTGCATTGAACAGATACCAATTGACACTGTCCGGGTAAATATCCTTCTCATTGGGATTTAAGTGTTGCTCAGACATCATATTTTGGTCGGAATCAGTCTGATTGATCTCATCTAGTTTGGTGGACAAGCTCTCGATTCGACGTTGGTATGATTGAATGACTTTTGCTTTTTGGAGGAGGAAATTCCGAATTGATTCATCCATGTTTAGTTGACCAGGTTGTGTTTGGGATCTTGTGGCTAATGTGTTGTAAATGTGTTGGAGGCTGGTTGGTTTTGGCGTGCCAGGGGAGGAAGATGACCACTAAATTGAACGGTCAATTTCTCCATTTGAATTGAGAATGTGAACATATGGTTTCTGCCGAGATCAATGGATAGACCAAATTCAAGCACACACAACAGACTGGTGAAATATTGGGATTTCCGATGTGACATCTTCGGGGATGGACCCTTGAGGGTAAGAAACGAATATGGTAGGCTTACAGTGCAGATAGCAAACAGATCCTGCAGCACTACGCTACACAATTCATGAATCTCGGAATTAAGCTGATAAGGTGGAAGGCAGCTCAGCCCCTCATGTATGAGATGAAGCCGCACTGCGATATTGGAGCCTTCAGTGGAAGGTCGTGGTAGTGTTTTCGCGTTTTGAAATATGGGCAGCCAAGCCTCCCCTGCGATCGGCTTGAGGAGCTCGGCAGCGAGCATCCGCCTTTGCTCATTCATCTTCATCACAAGGTTTCAGCGATAGGGTCGGAGTTGGGAAGTTTCCATTCCATTGATCTGACATGAGAAGCCGAGGCGGGGTAATTCTGGAGCTGAAGTCCCTCAGAATCGAGCTTTCTTATTTAAACCCCCAGACTTTGGGAATTTGAGATATGACTTGGACCACAATCCAAGATCTCGGTGCTCCTTTATCCTTGGTGACTCCTGAAATATTAGAAGACCAGGCGATAAGTGGAACCCAACGAACCTAATCATGGTGAGAACATGTATAAGTCTTACGTGAAGTACATCCCCAATGGCTAAAAAGTAACTCCGTCCCGTGCGGGGCTCTGCTGAGTGTACGTCCCAGGTATACTGTGAGATTCTAACACACACTTTCCATCTATCGGCCGCGTTCTTGCTGGTCAAGCTTTGCCCCAATGGCTTCCGATATTGTTGTGGAACTATCCATTGCAGAAACTACGAGACAGTGCTTCAGGCAGTTTGCAATCTGTGTTTCGAAACTCACCGGCTCCCAACATGTCTATATGAAATATTGTCATGCCGATTTCAAGCTTTGGGTTGACAGCGTTGGAGCCGTTGCTCAAGGACGAGGGTCTCTTGACTCAAGATTCAGCCATCGACCCGATGACATATACTTAATCAAAGAACTAATCAAAATGCTACAAGTTGTTTTGACAGAGTGTATCACTGCATCATCAAAGGAAATCACCGACGAGGTCCTTGGGAAGATTGGCTCTATTTTACGTGACTTGATCGCCATAGGTGTGGTAATTCGCAGAAGTGGCCGAAAGTTCCGCTTACAGAAGGCAGATGCCTCCTTCGATCAGAATCGAGACAAATATCGTGATCTACAAGCACATCTTGCGATCCTCGTTATGTCGAGTCCCAGCGAAGGGCCTCGAACATTGATTTATCAGGACAAAATTGACCCATCACAGCTTTCACCAATACAGCACCGACTGGTGGAAGCTAATCTGAGACGCCGTCACCGATTCATGGAAATGCAAAGACATTCACACCTCCTGAAAGACCCCATAGAAAGCCCAGTATGGAATAAGATTGGCCATATTCTTGCAAATATGGGTCCCAGCTCTGCACAGAAAGTATCAGACAAATCTTCGGTGAAGCCAGAGCATACGAAGTCCACGACCACTAGCATTGCTCAAAGCAATAATATGACAGTGGTTGAAACTATTGCATCAATCCCGGAAACTGGGTTTCGGGGCCTTCAGCGCGGAGGACGCATTGGCTCTACGGTGACGCGTATTACAGCAATCACAGCAGCTGCACGATATCCAAGGGCAAAACTCTCAAGCCCAGAGCATCTTTCATTCAAGTGTCCTTGCTGTTGCCATGCTATTCCAATCCAGGAAGCGGAGGATAATCGATACAAAACTCACTTGGCCAACGATATTTGCCCCTACACCTGCATACTTGAGCATTGTCCCACACCTCACAAGCTTTTTGTCACTGAAAAGGAGTGGAAGGAACATTTTTTGAATGACCATCCACCCGGGTTTCAATGTTCATACTGTGACAGTGCCCCCTTCAGCTCTCTAGTGGAGATCATGGGCCATTTGCAGCTCGAACATCCTGATATTTCAAATGATGAGCTTGCGGATGCCCTAGCTGAGTCTCCAGTTCACATCATGGGTATTAGTAACTGTCCACTTTGTGACTCAGAAGATTCACCAGACTCCCCTGAGTTGATTGAGCACATTTTACAGCATATACATGACTTTTCGCTGCGTTCGCTTCCCTGGCCCCAAGACCGCATACCGCATCTCAGCAAGGCTGTCGGTAACTTCAATCCAGCCATCGATGATGCCGATCACATCATTAAATGGGTGCTCAAGACCTCACCCGACAGTAAATGCGAGTTACAGCTTTGCGAATTGGATAAAAATCCACCAATGGAGGCAGAGACGGCTTCCGATAGCTTTAAAGACGACTACTTCTCTCAAAATGATTACTTTGTAGATGATTCAAGCGACGGCAATCTTCATTCACAGCGTACACAGAATGCTTCACAAATGACACGGACCATGGAGACAAGTGAGCTTGGAGATGAGGATTCACTGATATCCACCGATAATGGAGATCGAATTGTTACCGTTGAGGAAATGTCAAACGCGATGTCCGACAACGGGGATGATAGTAACGATAAGGCACATCAACTCGGGGAAGAAGTTGGTAATGTTGACACTCGGAGCTTTCGCGAAGATAGCTCGCAGCTGAATGAGGATGATTCATCGGATGATGAAGGGAGACCCTTCAGCAAAGAATATCTGGAAGAGCGCAAGCAGGTCTTTGAAAGAGACATGCAGTTTCTTCGAAAACAAATCCCACCACCTCCTTTGGAAGATTCCCATATTGTCTCTCTTCTCATGAGGATTCAGTTGCTTGGCAAGATTGCTCAAGAACAGACAATCGGCTCTCTCCCTGATGCCATTGGCATTATCCCAGAAGACCATCCCAATGTTCCATCCGATTTGAACAGTCTCAGCAACACGAGCGACTTTTCACACCTTCAATGCCTAGATGTCCCGCTTCGAGTAGATCGAATGCGATCGTCGTCAAAACTAAATCGCGGACGTGATGCCCATAGATACTTTAAATCTCCCGAGCCTTACGGATCGTTTGAGGATCGCGATCGTGCCGAGAGCAAACTTACTAGCCAGCAGCATGACGAAACCCCCTTTCCGCGAAAGGGAAAGACAGTTATTCGTCGCAAGCTTGTGCATATCCGAGCAATTTTGGATCTTGGGTATCCATTCAAGGAAGAGGTATGTCCTGGGGAAGGTCATAGACTGGTCAAAATCATGGCGCTTATGAGGTACTAGGAGGACCAATTTCTTATTCTGAAGGCACTATCTAAAGAGCAGATTGAGGAAGTGATTGATCTGAGTCGAAAATTCCAAAAACCCATGGACATGAGGAGTAAGTGAATTCATTGTCCTTTCTTATCATAATGGGCAAAAAGTATTGTGAATTAACAATAGGTTAGCCGGTCGTGACCACGACGGTAATCCAGTAGATCAGAACTTCGCCAGAAAACGCACCAGATCATCCGACAATCATAGGTATCGCATGGACAGTCCCCATGGAGCAATGGACCCCAGCCACGAGACTTCTATTATGCCACCGTCACGGCTACCGCTGCCGTCTGGGTATCGCGATGATAAGTATCGAGAGGAAATTGAACAAATTGGGAGGCCAAACACGAAGACTACCTCCCGGCCACGATCTGCGTCTTTGGATACACACGATCGTTCTTCGTCTCCCATTCGATACATTCAGCCACAAGGTACCCCCTTAGAAGAAGCTCATAATTCTGAGTCGCGAGTTGTTGTAAGATCTCGTGATAGCGACCAGGATATGTCAGATTATATTCGTGAGCTGGAGGAGGAGAGGATATTGTTAGGGAAAACGGAGGAAGAGGAGGAGGAGACGATACTGTTTATGAAGAAAAGGGTGGAGGAAGCGGAAGATAGGATACTGTTGATTAAGAAAAAGATAGAGGAGGAGGAGGAGGAGGATAGAATACTGTCGATGAAGAATTACATAGTAGAGGAGGAGAAGTGGATACTGGTGATGAAGAAGAAGATAGAGGAGGAGGATGAGAGGATACTGAACTTGAAGAAAAAGGAGAAGGACAAGCGTAAAGGTGAATATTCCAGTACCTTTTCCATTTCTCACTCTGATCAGCTTTGCACTATTATACTGACTATGCTAGAACCCTCGTCGAGGGTGATGCGGGCGATGATGGCCACCTTGACTTGACTTTTTTTTTGTATTTTTCAAAGAAGCTATCCTATAAAATATCTGATATAGTGCATATTCATTCTATGATCATATACTAGACACGGAATCATTATTTATAAATATTACGGAACAATCCAAGTTTACACTACCTAGGAGCTTTAAACTTTCTAGCTAACATACAGGACTAGATCGATGATATAGTAAGTCTAGTGATGATAAAGAGATAAGATTGAAGGTCCTATTCATAGAGGATATCTAGAGCCTTATAAAGAGAAAGGAGAAGAGAAAAGGAGGACATTTGAAGAATAAGCAGAATATACATTAACTAGGTACTCCTTCTGTAGATGATGTACTTAAAGTTTCGTTATGGGGGTGGCGGGATCTGTGGCCACTGAGCTCCAGACTTTACGTTGATAGCTAGTCAAGGGCTAGTCAAGATCACTATATACATCCATTAGGTCAGTGCAGCCCTTTTTTATTAGGTCACCACCTGGGCAACTCCCTGAACATAAGATCTGCATAGCGCCAGTGTTAAGGATTAACTCTATCCGGTTAAAATATTAGCAAAGAACGCTATTATACAGAATGTAGCTCCCAGTCTATATAATACGGGACATCGGCGGATCACCGCAACAAGAGATGGAGAAAGGCAAAGTAAACGAGAAAGAGAAAACAGTAGAAAAAAAACATTGAAAAGATGGGTTTGGATAAGTAATCAAGCTTGGAAGCTACTAGGCAAGTGTAGTCAGGAAACCATGAAAGGGTGTCAAGACAAGAATAACATCGGGTTGCTTTGGCTCTTCAAGGTTTGACTGGAAACTTCTGACGCAGCCACTCTCCCTTCCAGTAGAACAAGAATGGTATTGGGATGAAAGCAATCGTAATGAATGCGAGCACGCTGTTTCCCCAACCCATATCTAGATGAGCATAGAGTGATGGAGCGGCAAGAGGCAGAAATGCTCCTGTCATGTTACGAATGATCGTGAGAGCACCGATGGCCGATGCGGCCGTCTCGGGTCCAAATATATCAATGATATATGTTTGCGCGGATGAATTGATGATCACGGCACCAGGTCCGCAGATAGCTGTTCCAATGATGGGAACAACCCAGTGCACTCGATACTGGACTGTCCACCCGTAGAGAAACAAACCGATGGGGAAAAGAGGAGAGACCCACATCATCAAGATCAGACGTCGCTCAGCGTGGAACTTTCCACCTTCAGCATGCAGCAAGCGGTCACTAAAATTGGCAAAGATCGATACACCAACGGCACAGCCAATGCCGACACCGACATATGCCAGACCGGAGACACCAACACTCCAACCATAGTAGGTTTCAAAGACGGTTGGAAATGTCGCAAATAACAGCATGACCAGACCAAAATTGAACGCAATGTAAAGAGAGGTCAGGAAGAGAACAGGTGAGCGGACGAGGAAAGTGGCTGGACGAGTCACGGCATGAGAAATAAGATGGCTGATCGGGGTCTGCTTTTCGCCCTTTGCATGCAAGTTCGGATTTCCTGTCTCTTTGCGCAACTGGGTAGCTTTTTTCTGCAGAATGGTGACGGCGCTTGTCTCACGCATGAATACGAAAGAGGCAACCGAGATGGTGCCGGCCTAGTGAACCATGGTTAATGTTTGTGCAGAAATTCTGGAGGCATGACATGACTTACAAGCATCAGAATGAGATAAAATGTCCATCTCCAGCTCAAATTCTCAGTCACAAATCCTCCAACAATAGGGCCAAGGACCTAGTAGTCACGTTAGTCTCTTCATTTCAAGACATCTTATTAACAGTATTGCACGAACTCCATACCGGTCCAAGAAGCGGTCCCGCAGTAAAAAGAGCCATTGCTGCTCCTCTCTCCTCCTTTGGCAACAAGTCTGCGACAGTACCACCTCCTGTTGACATGTATGACGCAGCAGAAAGGCCTGTGCACAGGCGAAAGACAAGAAACTCTGCAACATGGGTACTCCGTGCACAACCAGCAGTAAATCCAAGATAGAATATTGAGCTCACGCGATAAACAGGCACACGTCCAAAAACCTCGGACAGGGGTGGCACAAAGAACTGACCCATCGCAAAGCCAAGTGAGGCAATGGTAATTGTAAGAATCTCAACAGTGTCGCTCTTGAAGCCGAACTCGCTCTGCATAAGTTTGGCTCCCGGAGAGAACATCGTGGTCGCAAGATTGCAATATAGCACGGACAAACTGACAAGCATTACATTGGCCATTTTGAATGTCTTGGGCCAGTTACGTGGATTAGCAGGGTCATCTGGTCCATCCCAGTCGACGAGGTTTGGATCCGCAATACAAGTATCATCTCCTGCTAGAGTTCCTTTCTCCATATCCTTCGCAGGATGCGACGTGTGATGTTTTTCAGCGCTACTGCTAGCAGTAGTCAGGGCCTGTTGCCCCAGGTACCCTTCGAAAGCACCAGATTCGGTGGCCACCATATTCCTAGTTTTGTGGTCGTTTATAGTTTGATCAGTCCCGGTCGAGCTTGAGGCCATTCTTGGTTATGGAGTGCCAAGGTCCTGGCCTGGTGTACTCTGGCGATCTCAATGTGGTCTGGTCGTTGCGATAGAGAAGACAGGATCAGCTGTAGGTAGTGTACTTGACTTCTTGGTTGCTGTCATTCTTAGTGCAATAATTTAATAAAAATGGAATAACATGGTCGTAGCAATCTCCGATCCTTAAGGTCAACAAACCCGTATAATGCCCCGGGTTAGCTCCGTTCCGGCCTCTGATTTGCGGTCTCCACTCTGCAACATACTGTACTAGAATCTCACCTAACGCCCCACCCTGAAGCTTAGCTCAGAGTGGGTAAGCCGACTCTGAGAATCGCCCTATGTTGCTCCGTCGATTGCTCCGTGGATTACTCCGCAACCTCCGTTGGAGTTTCGTCTACTTTTACATGTGGAGCCCAACACAACGAGAGCACCTTAACAATTGAAATGCAAAATCAAGTTTGAGTGTATTGTATTATTAAGCTGTGAAGCCCTTCTCAGTACGGTGGAATTGTGGCCAGACGCTGCCATTCTCAATGTCATTTTCACGGGGCCTTATCTTTGTGCACATAAATCTTCCTCTAGCTTGTCATCAGTTAACTGATATTTTATGCAAAATGGGAGCTCTTTGGTCTGCGACCATGAACTGAACACTCGTTCATTGCTCGTTAGTAGACAAGGACTGATCTAGATTTGCACTACCCAGCAAGTACCCTTGAAATTTTCAGCTGAAGTATAGAATGAGATCAAATAACTACCGTGTCTCCGGGTCTAGCGAGTTTGTAAAGGTCACTGGTGTCTGTCTCGACCGGTCAACCTTCACCTGAAACACATCAAAGCGCTGATATCCTCCAACCACATCCTGGAACTGTTTCCCTTCAATAGTCGTGGTCATATCAAGATCTGCATATAGTATCCCCTCTTCATGCTGTAAGTTCTCTTTCTCTTCTCTTTCGCCCGTCTCAGCATTGATCACAAACCCCATCAACGGACTTCCAGAGGGATCAAGAAACCTGGTCTCCGCCTGCATAGATCCTGCCATGGTGGTTCGGATGACCTCCTTGGCCTGATCGGGGGCGATCTCTAGCATGGTCGCTAGAGTATGTTCATCTGCAATGGCAGCATTAATGATGCCAAAACATTTCCCTTCGAAACAGTGGCCAGCGGCTCGTATGCGGTTAGCAGCCACGTTGCCGTATTTTGCCTTCGGCTTTTCTCCCTCAGCATCACTACTGACACTGGCTGCCTCTTCGCGGATACTATGCATCGGCGCTTTTGCAGGCCAGGTGGAAATATGCACCTGTTCACCCTGTGCCATCATGCTGTAGCGTGCCAGAGGATTGGTGTTCTCTCCACAAAGTAGCATGCCCACTTTTGCGATCGCCGAGCCATTCTCCACAGGCAGGTCAATCACCTTAAGGCCATGCCCATCACCGGGTGCCCAGGTGAGTTTTTCGTAGAAAGTCGGGACTAGCTTGCGGTGGTGGACCAGAATTTCACCTGCGGAACTAATCATAAGATTGCTGTTATATAGATTCGCGCTGCTGTGCCGAGTCTTTTCCGAAATCCCGACGCAGACAGTAATTTTAAATTCCTTCGCGGCTTTGCGGATCATGTTGATCTCTTCGCCGTCCGCGTAGACGGATTCTGACACCATGCGCTTAAAGAACTCGTGGGCCTCGCCGGGTGCGACCATGCAGCTCCAGAAGGGATAGCCAGGAATGAAAACTTCGGGGAAGATGACAATGTCAGCCTGGTTTTTAGCTGCTTCTTCGATCATCGTGACGCATTTTTGCGTAGTTTCTTTTGCTGAGAGAAAGATTGGTGCGGCATGGCATGCGGCAGCGCGGAGGATTGGAGCCATGTCGATGGCGGATGTTACGGGATCAGAGAAAAGGGCTCAAGATGGGTGATGAAAAAGGTGTCTGAGCTAATGAGAGATAATTCAAGAAGCACAGCAATTGATCATTGCCTAATCTATATAGCTCTTAGGTTGTAGGACCAAAGAGTGGGCGCATAACCCGAGGTATTGGGAATCGGGATCTGAAGCTTTTCGGGCTTTGGAATCTCACTGACGCTCCACCTGTCGGCCGTACTATGCGCCTAATCATTTCACCTTTGGCTGCATGCTCACTGGCAGGGATTAAAGTCTAGATTAATCTTGGGTCTGGAGTGGAATAAGCTCGGGTCCGTCCAGTCTATCACAATGATATATTCAAATCCTAAAGAGCAGCAGATTTCTAAAGTCATCATTCTCCTACCTATAACAGAGAATCTATAGCTATATACAAATCCGTACGAAGCCTGTTACTCCTTCAACTGATACCCACTAAAGAAATCAAAAATAATTTCTGTGGCATTGAAAACATACTTCCCCAAGGAGCACTGCTTCCAAAATGCCTCGGTATCACCATTCGGCACGGTACTAGCCCAACAATGCCCCCAATCTCCCTCACGATAATGCTGCACAATCCCCTTCTTTCCACCGCAATCCCAACTAGCATGTTTGACTAGCGGATGTTCAAAAACAGTCACATTGCTGCTCCACTCCGCATCCTTTGGACAGCCATTCCGCCCCGCCCACTCCTCCAGAACATCGATAACGGGCCGCTTGTCATCACGACCCCCTCCATCATAAGGAGAGGTCGTATCCTTTGTACCGTGGAACTCCAGAAACGGGTATCCCTCATCCCTAGGTGCGGGCGAACAAGGTCCTAAACCGGGAATATCGGATATATTGTAATATCCACCGCTGACAGAGGCGAAAGCGGCGATTTTGGAGCCGACGGTAGCGTTGCAGGCCATGACACCTGCAAATCCAGCCCCGTTTGATTTTCCGGCTGCGTAGATTCTGTTCGTGTCTATGCAGAGTTTATCCTCCAGGTGTGTGATGAGGTCGTACATATAATCTAGATCGTTTGGTCGGGATGTATGTGCTTTGGGGTTTGAGAGCCAGTAGCCGTTTCTGCTGTTCGGGTAGACGGCTATACCATCTGGGTTGAATAGTGGATTGGAGAATTGGGAAAGACGTTCTTGTTCATCCATGTTTCTGTTTGCTCCATGGAGGGATATGTAAAGGGGTGTTGGATTATTGTGGTCGTAGTTGCGGGGAATGTAAAGACGGTAGTCGCGGTCTGTGCCTGGGAGGTTGAGAGGTGTGCTTTTTCCTGGATTGGGGAAGGCGGGTGGGAGTTCTTTCTTGCATCCTGTAGAGGATTTGGCAAATGTTGTGTTCGCTATAGCGAGGAAGAGGAGTGATGCAAAATGCATAGGTATCAGTTTTGGTGGTTATGCTTCGACTACAAGGGATTTGATGGCCTCGGGATGGTGTGAAATGGTTAATCTAGTGACAAGGAAATCGTCAAGGCTTTATAGTGCACTAGGTCACCTGAGATGCTCGGACTTCTGGAATATCCATGGATGTAGGTATGACCTTGGGAGCTGGTTATGGCGAATCCAGGGTTCTCAATCGACCTAAGTTGATCAATGATCTGCGTATTTCTCCAATGGTACTAATGTTACGCGCCTTTGCATTAAGTCTTTATAACATCGCTTTCCACTTCATAGTGATATAACAAAGAAATTGATTTAAATTATCACATCTATTACAGAGTTTATCTGCATCTAATAATATAGACTTTTGGCATACAGTTAGACATATCGACGTGGACGGGCATAATTGAACTTGACTCGAAGAGTGGATCCGACTGGAAGTTGAGTCGTTCCACACTTCAGGGGAGTCGAACCCTCGGAACTCGACACTCAATTAATTGATGTGAAATGGCGTCATTTTGAGGGTACGTGTCTTCTGCTTTTCTCCACGCAGACTAGCGAATAGGTCATGTTCATCATGGAGGATCTTCCCCTGATAGACCTGCTTATCGTGGATCTTTGGTGCCTTCAACTCGTTTCGATTTGGTGCATTTGTTAAAAATTTGGCTATGATGAGAGTGGAATCCAAAATTCAATTGTTATACGAACTCAATAAGCAGTAAATAATGCTAAAAATTTTGGAAAATGCCAGTATTTTGTTAGATGTGCAGAGTGGAGTGTCACACGTAGATCATAAAGACTAAAACGAACTAAGGGTATTCCCGACGTCATGATCTACATTTCCTGCGAAGTGAAACCAGTAACCGTTTAACGTAAAATTTGTTGATTGTTGGTATTTCGTTGCACTGAAAATTGTTACAGATATCTCGAGAAGGCAGAAGAAAAAAGATCCATCACGTATGTAGCGAGGACAATATAGAAGCATCAAACTCCACCAGCACCAGGAATTTTCCAAATCCTAGAAGAAAAGCCTCTAACAAGTACCTCCAATCTGTACATGCACATCCATGCTCCAACCACAAGAATCATATGAGGGCCGTATCGTGTATGTCGGTTCCGGGAAAAATAATCATGATAACTTCATTCCATTTCACATCAATCCTACCTAAGACAACGCCAAACCTAACCGCCTCTTTCGCCAAATTCTCTGGCCCAGTCTTCGTACTTGCGTAGTCCATCTGGAGAGACACTGGGTCGAATCGAGTACAGGCTTGATTCGAAATCTTGGAATTTAATAGGCCGGATCTGATCCATAGGAGTGTGGAGGAGAGCTTCACCGAGGTTGCGGAGAGGGCCCATGGCGGCATCTTTAGCTAGGGCTGTTATATCTGAGCCAGAGAAGCCTATTGAACATCGTTAGATATGGTCATACTTTTTATACGATCAAGCGAATGCTTACCATCTGTCACATGAACTAATACCTGGATATCCGCATCGTTCAGCTCGTGATGCTGATGACTGAGAAGCGTGCGCAACTGTTGCTCACGAACATGTTGCTCCGGTAAAGGAATATACTGTCGACGAACGAAACGGCGGCGTGCTGCCTCGTCAATATCCCACGGCATATTTGTTGCAGCCAATACGAGAACACGGCTGGCATCACCCTCTTTCTTGTCCCGGGCAGACTGTTCGCGGCCAGCAGCGGCACGCTGGAGGTCTGACCATTGAATCAAAAACTCGGTTTTGGATCGACGAGATGCTTCATTCTCGGAGCCGGAAGACCGCGCAGATAGCAAAGAGTCGATCTCATCGACGAAAATGATCGAGGGGGCAAGGACCTTGGCTAAGCCAAATAGGGCGCGCACAAGCTTTTCGCTCTCTCCGTGCCATTTCGACGTTAGGCTGGAAGATGATACAGAAAAGAAGGTTGACTTTGACTCGGTGGCAACTGATCGTGCAAGCATTGTTTTACCCGTGCCTGGAGGTCCGAATAGTAACATGCCACGCGCTGGCTCACGTAAACCAGAGAATAGATCAGGCCGAAGGAATGGGTACACCACTGCTTCTTTAAGCGCTTTCTTCGCTGGTTCTAGTCCAGCAATGTCTTCCCAGTGAACTTCATCGCCGCGTACAACAATGTCATTGAGGATCTGTTTTGCTGATTGCAGGTCCACGCCCTTAGGCAGCTTATTCAGGATCTTGACAAGGTCATCGTTGTCTCCTTCATCCTCGTCTCCTGCTTCGTCTTCCGTAGAGTGATGCCCCAAAGAATCCAGGTCACTCGAAGGTGGAGTCTCTCGTCGTCTGACTGGAGGCGGTTTGCGTCGTGTTGCACTGCTACCGTTTGCTAAATTCGACATCGATCTGGCTTCACGCTGGACATTCTCGCTACTTGACGATGGTTGTATAGGGGGAGGTCGCTCAATTTTCGGAATCCGTGGCGCAGACTTCGTGCGTGGGGTGCTTCTCGAGGTATTTGTATCTTGATCCTCCCGAGGTGTAGACGGCCGTGAACTACCTTCCGATCTAGAAGTAGCCATGGTCGCGCGAGGCGGCGGCTGGAGTGAAGATCGCAAACCCGCTGGTTTAGGTTTGATGGATGGTTTTGGAACGGGAGAAGGTGGAGATGTAAAATCTCTCGGCTCTGGCATGGTCGCTGTTACCGACGGAAGTGGCCTACGAGTCTCTGAAGCCACAGGCTGTCGGACAGGCAGGTGTGCAACGGGTCTTGGGGATGACCGACTTGGCGATGGCTGCTGAGGCTCACGCCAGTGTGCAGCAGGAATTCGATCTGTACCAGAATCTCTCCGTAAGACTTGATGTCTAGCTACTAACGGCTCGTCTCCAGAACTGTTTCTTGGCTCTGCATTGGCGGCGCTCCGTGAAGACGCTATGGCTGCCGCATCGCTAACAGCCTTCTCGCCCGACCCTGACCGTAAGGTACTGCCCCATGCCAGACCCGCTGCCGTGGAGGCGGCCGGCCGCGACTCCTTCTTCTTAGGATTCACTTTGGATTTCTTGCCAGATTTTTTGCCGTCGGTATTGCGCAGAGTCGTCAGCATCGGCTTTCGTCGCTCAGGACTGGAGGCACGCGACCTGTCTTTCTCCGATACATTCGAATTCATCCGCACGGCAGGCGAGCCGCCCGGAGACAGGCCCATTGGCGCAGAGTCGTCGAAGTAAGAAACCGATTCGAAGTGGTGCTTCGGCGTTGGTTGAGGTCGGCCAGGTATGGCGGCCGGTTTGGACAGGTCGGTGTAGCCCACAGCCGGGATTGTACCGCCTCCGATGTACCCTGGTGTGCTGTTGCTAGGGGAGGGGATGGGAATACTAAAAGCGTGCTTGCCTTTAGTTAAAGTCGAGGCCTTGTCACCGCCGTTTGCCTCGGCCGACTCTTTCCGGCTTTCGCGCAGTGCGGACAGTAGGTCGACTCGCTCGCGGCATTGAGCCTCTAAGGCTCGGATAGAATCTTGCAATGCCTTTTCAGTTTCGGATTTAGGGGTGTAGGTCGCTGATACTCGGCGGGCATTGTGATGATAGATGGTCTCGAGGGCGGATCTCCAGGACCTCAATGCTTCCTCTTCGTTGTTCTGATGTCATGAGCGAATGAGAACCCGACCGGGAGTCTAGAAAGCTTACCTGGCCCTCGAAATAGACGGCAGTCGAGCATAGGAGATAGCACTCATCGTATGTCTTCTGCATGGAAGACGCGGGCCGTGGGCGCATCATTTGTAAAACACAGGCCCGCACCCATTTCACGCTGGTTGTGGTGGGGAGAAGTAGAAGCGATGATCTCCCGTTTGTGAGGGGAGGATTTTTCGCGTGACGTCGTCGGTTCGGCAGTGTCTGCATGCGGATCCTTATACTACAAGATAATCTACAAGATAATCTAGTATTTGAGAACATGTAAATCAGATATCACATCTAGATTCCTGGTGGCACGTCTATCGGTACATGCAAAATAAAATAGAATAAAACAGTTATAGATGCAAGATTCCCCAAATCAAAATCACCAACGCCAGATTTGAGGTCAAGAAGAGAAAAAGATCCAATCTCCAGACCGGATGAGTACTTCAAATAAATCCCCTCCTACCTTATCTGTACATTGCCTTCGCTTTTGGTATGTGAATAGAAGCTTGCATGTCCCAGGCTCTTTTTTGTTTTTTTGTGTGCCTAAGATACACCATTATAAGGTCGGGCTCTGCCCGTAACCATCAAAGACCCAGATTGGAGAAAATAAATCGTAGAAGCATTGTGTCGGGGTCACACAATACAGGATATGGAACAAATGGAAGGAGGGCTATCGAGTCAAGTCGTGGACTTGTTTACTCAAGGTTCTTGAAATAGGCCTTGGCCATCTCATAAGAAGTCCAGCAAATAGCCGTGCTGGGCATGGTGGAAATAATCCGGGGACGCATACCACGGAGGAAACCAGCCCAGCCAAATTGCCGCTTGATAATGGAGGCGGCATTGAAGAGACCCTTGGCAGAGCGGATCTCCTCGTTCTCAGCGAGACCACGGGTCTGGAGAAGTGTCTTCACGACATCGAGAGGAGTAGTGATACCCGCAGCAAAGGCACCAGCAAGACCACCGGCCATGCAGTGGGTGAGCGGGTCATATTCCTGCTTGGGGTTCATGAACTTGGAGAGGGACTCGTAGGCGACAAATTGTGTGGCAGTGAAGGGAACAGTCATGCAGAGGGTGGTAGGGTAAGAGAGGTAGAAGGCCTGGAGACCCTCAGTGCGGTAGAGGGTTTTGGCGCATTGCAGCAGGCTCTTGTGAACGGATCCGTGGACTTGCATTCGTTGCTTGATCACTACTTTGGTCTTAGCGCTTGTGTCCGGACTAGTGTGAAAAGGGGTTCTTTTTGAGCACTTACCATCGAATGGGTTCATCAGCGCATCGCTGGCAATAGTGGCGGACGCACCACTCAGAGCTAAGTTCAAAAATCAGTCAGTTATGTGAAACCCCAAATTTACTTTCGTCCAAGAAAAGAAACGACATACCAGCAGCGAGAGGGTGATGTCCGTCGTCCACATTACCACCAGCCATCTCCTTCACAATCTCATATGTTCCAAAGTACACCGCGTGTGCCGGACCTGAATATCTTGAAGTCAGCCACCGATATCCCAGTTCTCGTCCAGTGGATGAAAGACCTACCCGCGCCCACAATCACACTGGAAACACCCTTCCATAGTGTCCGCCAGCCCTCAATCCGATAAATGGTTGAAACCGCGTTGGTCAATCCCGTGTACAGACCACCAGTCGAAGGGTGCAGGATTTGCATGCGGGTCTAGCAATGGAGACCGTCAGCAACCCCAACATCAAAACATAATCAAGATCTCAGAATTGTACGCACCTTGAGCAAGTCTACCGGATACATCACAGAGTGCTCCTGAATAATCCGATCAGCCAAAATGCTCTTTCTCTCCACTATCGCGATCCGCATCCCTCCCGCCTTGTTGAACCTACCGCAATTCCTGCAAAAGCACCCGCGAGCATGTTGCGGCCGAGGCCGTAGTTTGAAGGGAGCGCTTCATAACTAAAGTTGCAATTCCAGTCAGCTTACATCGTTATCTGCAGATACGGAGCTGGGGAGAACTGGGATGTTGTGATTCCGAGTCTCCGGTACATAAAATGACGCCGGAGTCAGGCGGGCAGCGGCAGGAATGACACGCAAAGCACAAATGCCGATGCATCAATCGTCTCTAGGCAAAAAAACCGGTACTATCTTCGTGTATCGCATGCCATCCCGTGCCAGCGCGCCCGGCTGGAGAATCAAATCCGAGCCCCGAGCCCGAGTCCGCGGAGGAGTCACGGAGTTACCTACTCGAATTCTAACTCCTCAACATTCTCTGTAGCCGCCATGGAGCTCCGCTAGCCCAAGGCGCAGCTGGCGCAAGTAAAGAAAGAGTGGAGAAGAAAGGACCGCGGTGGTGGTTGGAGGTGAAGGTCGTGACCGAGATGTTGGAGAAAAAAGGTTGTGAGGATCGAGATAAAATGGGGTTCTCCGGGGAGCCAAAACAGGAACCAGGGGGGGCCGCTTTTTTGGTTTGTCCGATTGAAGAGACAAGTAGTCTATGTTCTCGCCCTGTATATGGGGAAACAGATGTAGGGAGTAGAAGAAAAGTTCGGACAAATAATTTCTTGGATAATGAATGGCGCTAAGGAAATTATTGTTCATGATCGGGAACCGACCTTCGCCGGATTCCACACCGACCCATTCCTTGTGAAGAGTCCGATATGCCCATATACACACTTGACATAATTTGTTATTTTGTTTGCTTTCTAATATGTAAGGTCTAGCTTATTGCCTAGTTATTTGGACTACTGTGTTTCACCTTATTTGACTCCTTTCTTTTCCTATCTCTACAGCGGGATTACTCAGAAACCACGCCTAGACTGAGATCCATCCATCCGATGACGGAGCTTTGTTCACGGACAGGTATTGTATGTACCAAACATCTCAAATACACGAGGTACTTCAATAGCACGGCAAGATTAGCTGCTGAACTCATGTATCCCCCTGTCTCATCTCGCGTAATATTTATCAATCTGATAAGCCCTTGAAATTTATTTCGCCCCTTCGATCGGGAACTAGTGTCCTGGGCAAAGTAGCGGACAAGTGGACCGGGGAACACGGGAACAGTTGCTATTGACATTCGAGAAGGGATTTCGTCTTCTATGGGGTATCGATGATCTCCGTCGATCTATCCCGAAAGGAGGTCTGAACATGACCACGGTTTCCTCAACGTAGCACAATGTTACGGGTTGTAGATGCTGAATTTAGGTCAAATCTCACTATTGATATATCAATCTACCACGTACAAGAACCTTGGAATCAGCACTGGTGTTTGGGGAACGAGGCTCTAGGGGGTGAACCACGCGACTTGTCCGGCCGCCCTGCCGAGGTCCGGGTGGGCTTCAGCCCGTCCAGACTAACCTCTTCATGTCCCGTACGCAAAATATGCCATATATTCGTTGCTAAGGCCCACCATATCCCCTGCAGCGTGCAGTCCCAAAAAGGAATGGTCGAGCGTAGGACTAGGGAGGAAGAATGTTACAGGTATTGGACACTGTACGGTACACAGTTTAATCAGATCGGGTGAAACTACTAGAAAAGGGAATCTTGCAGGGACCTAGGCAAAAAAAAAAAAAAAAAAAAAAAAAAGTTCGGCTTTGTATAAGATGCCGAATGTCGGCTATTTTTCTCATAAGTGTAAAGTGCACGGCTCTACCAGGCTTTTGAAGTGTTGAGGCGAATTTTTTGCACTTACGTATGCCTGTCTGAGTCTTATCCGGGGTCTCCGTGAAAGAGCCGCGGAAAGTGATTCAGATCTACGATTTAGGCTGTTCGCCCTCGTACAACATACGGCGTACCACTTGGATATTTGGGGATTGATGAGGTGACCTAACGTTCTTGTCAGACTGGCAATAGTCCGAATCAGGTCTTCATGACTTTTAGAGCCAATAGATGTTTTAGAGAAAGCTTCATGACAAAATCCCAATGGTCACGTGCTGGCTAATATACCAGAATACTAGACCCGCCTATTTTGGTCAGCAACTGTGGAGGTTAAAGACGTAGCCAAATCAAAGCATAAAAGGAACGATTATGAAAGGGGTAACGGGCAGGAAAAAGGGTGTCATAGGGCGGCAGTGAAAATCCATAATCATATATCAACATCTCTGGAGCTTGATATATGTAGAGATCCTGCATCATAGAATGGGCACATAATAAAGAAGAATCAGAAGCAAAAGAATAACAGAGGGGATAGGGAAAAAACACTTGCAAAAGAATATCAATGAAACATTATCAATGCAAGAGTACAAAAATCTCACCGACAGAGGGATTTGAACCTCCGGCTGTCAAGTTCCCCGAGAGGAAACTCTCGTGGTGTTTAGCAATGGCAAGAATCCCCGAGAAAATCCCTTAGGCACTCGGTCCTTCCCAGTTCGGTTTGCGTTGGCCGTGTTACCCCCGGCTTTTTTGGTTGGATATTCCCCCACAAGTGTTATTCCCGAACATTTGCCAGCAATATGAGAAAATACTTTTCGCCAGACGCCCGTTGTGCCCCATATCTCAATGAATCTACACTTATTTCGGTCTATCTCCAACTGCCTAATGCTATGTAATACCTTTCGAGGTAGGTAGACTGAAAATAAGACAATAAGACAATAAGACAATAGAACAATATGCGGATTCTTGGATACAAAGTGGAGGAGATTCACTTCAGAAAAACTCGACTGGGTTTTTGGGTAGACATGGAGCCATGTTCTCTGGCACGTACTCTATGTTATGAGACTTGGTAAATTGATAGAGAATGTAATACTCGAATCCTTGGAAATGGAAACCATTGTCTTTGTCTTTGTAGCAAGATAGGACTAGGCCTGGATGTTATGATCCGTGAATTCGTTTACCATGGAGCTCGTAGTACGGGGATAGAAGCGAAATTTACTACCACGATATTTCGTGTCAAGTATCAACTTACTGGGTATAACCAAAGCTTGTACTGAAGGAATAAAGACCTAATGCAAGAAATAGATTCGCTATCTGGCTATGAAAGTAAAAAGGCTGATATCTGGCCAAGGTAAACCCAACATAAGATTTCAACAACACCACATGCGCCGCAGCCTCAGGGGAATGGGGAGAATGGAAAAGGAGTAGATAATCTAACCAAGGGGCGTGAGAGAAACCCATGCCTGGCAGACCGAAAAAAGGCAGGAAGGTCATTCACGTCGTCAAAAACTCGCAGTTTTAATGGGAGCGGGTCACCACTCAATATTGAACGACCATTCGCCTATGTCATGTTAGTTTTTGTTATTCCAATGTTCCGATGGAAAAGAAACAAGGTTTGAATTGGGACTCACCATTCTTCAGATTCTCGGCGGTGTCACTTAACAAGATGACCCGACGCTTGTTGCAGTAGGCGGTTTTGTCCAGAATATCAACCTTCAGCTCGGCCAGCTCTGAGACGGGCTTCTCAAACATCTCACTAAGACTCTCTACTGCCATTTCCAAATCCTTTTGATTGTCCTCGAAGATCTCGGTAAGATTGTTCCGGGCAAGGTAGAAGGCAAATGCATAAGTCCACTTCAGGGTCTGGCGACACTGTTGTAATGCTTGTGAAGCTGTGTCGAGGAACTGGACTTCGATCCAGGAAAGGCCAGACTGTGACTGGAGGCTGGTCATCTTCTTTTCGGTCTTGAGATACAAGTCCTTGTCCAATTTTGCAGACTGCTCGTGATTGGCGTATCGGTTGTAGTAATGCAAGTATCGTTCTAATGACTGTCGTGATTTGGCTTGAGCACCCCGGGCATCCGACCCGGACTTTTCCTCGTACCGACTGCAGTTGTACCAGCTGGTGCCATGTTCGGACCAGAGACCCATACACATCCAGCAGAACTCGTGCTTGCATTTGCGACATGTCATGTGGTTGCAGCCGCCGTTCTTCTCGATCGTTGACTGGCACTTTGGACACTCCTTGGTGTTGGCAGAGATCCAGTTGGCTGTTTCAGAGTCATCCTCGCACTTCTGTAGCCACATCTTGACTAGTGCGCAGGGTGTAGGTTGATGGTCGGTGATAGCGCAACCGAAACAGAATTCGTGTTTGCAGAAACAGCGAACCGTCGGCACGATGCGGCGGAGCTCTCGAGATTTGACAGGGCAGTCGACGGCGTACTCGCAGTTGGGAGCAGGACACCATCGTAGGTTATCCTTATTGTCCACGTAAGTCCTTGTAAGTAATGTTCGATACCTAGCAGGCTATATGTCAGCGAGGCCCGTTATCCTCAGTTATATGATTCATGACTCACCGGCCCTTGAGATCGTCCGTCACAAGCAAGTTGAGAGATTTCGAGTCCACGATGCGATGACAGTTATCGCCGGGACACTCGATGCGAGCGGCCTCGCCTTCGTCCTTAATCTTGCCAGCCAGGTAGTGCCGGTAGCAGTCGACGCAAAACCTGTGTCCGCACCGCATCGCATACGTCTGAAGGTCAGACCCATCCTCACAGCAGATGTCACACATGAAGTCAGGCATAACCTCCGTCTTCGCAGTGCCCTCGAAATTTGTCCCCAGTCCAGCTTCCTCTAGTGTCTCTTCTGGGTGTTCCATGTACCCCTCGATTAACTTCTCCTGCTTCCATCGTCCAAACCGCAACAGAATAGCAGCCGACTCCGGTGGCAAGCCGAGAATAGCGGAAACCTCGTTAATCTGCACCAACTGTTCGCGCTCGATATCCGATGTATCCAAAACTTTAAACTCGACTTCATATGGTTTTCGTTTCTGCTTGATGAGATCTTTATCGTCCGAGAAGCCGGTGTCGAGATCGCCAAAGTCGACTACATGCGAGAACAAAGGGTCAGTCATCAAACAAGGGAGAGAACATTCAAACGTAGGACTGGAAAATCAGTTACATACCCTCTCCTAGACTTTCATCGTCACTGCCTTGTGTGTCGGCAAAATCATCACCGGATGAGACATCGCTCATGAAATCATCATCAGAATCCATGCTGCCCGTTGTCGTCGCGGGCGTCGCGATATCCCTCTTCAGACCAACCGGGCTCTTCCCCGAGTTACCAGACTCGGGAGACTGTGTCAGGATAGGAAGGGTGGAGCGATTCTTGTCGGTGTTAGATTTGGCCCTGGTGCTGGGCCGATCGGAAGCAGTGGCGTTCCGGGTGTGGGCAGCCTTGGTGGCGGATTTGGGAAGAGGCTGGTTGTCGTCCGCAATCGCCGCCTCGGCCGCCTTTCTCTTTCGCGTGGAGGGAGGCGTGATGAAAAAGGGGGCGGCAGAATGCCGGCGGGGGTTAGGAGGGGAAGGGTGGGTTTTAATAAAGACTCGTCTGGAGCCACAACGTCACTAGAAAAATGACTCGAGGGTTCGGAGGGGGACGGAGTGGGGAAAGGGTGCGATCGAGCGGAACCGTCGATTACATGTTTTGCTCCGGGACTGCTTGCAGTGTTTAGGTTTGGTTGTTGTGTTTGTTCTACTTCTGACTGATCACCAAATTAGGTGACAGTACTAGGTATATGGCTCTTCAGAGAGTGATATAACTAGATATAACTTGAAAATATGGCTTGGGCTGAATTACTGCCTAGTGACCCGCCTAACTTGCGATAATCAACAATGACATGCAGATCGGACCTAAGGTTATGATTGGCTCAAGAAGCCACTATTGCCTAGACTGACGGAACTAGATGCGATAGATTGTTTCAGAACCTTGGAGATCAAACTATCTGCCTATTTTGAATTAACATTCAAATTGTAGAATGACTAGGCATCACACTAGGTACCTACGATGCTAACATGATCATACTATACCATTGCTAAGGTTCAAGATTATACTTGAGTACGCAAATCTAGAGAGAGCAACCTCCAATTTTAAATTCTCATCAATCCATAATTCAATCATTGCATGGAATGCGTGGTATATAACCTCTACTCATCATCACTTTCTTCTTCCTCAGAGTCCTCCTCTTCACTACTTTCTGACTCCGCTTCCGCCAACCAGTTCACAAACTGCTGTGCCTGACTGCGGACATTTCGCATCTCCTCGGTCTCACTAGACCGTGCATCATTCCACCACTGGTCATATGCCTCCTCATCTACAAGCTCAAGATCATAAAGAGCCTTGGCGGCGAAAAGCAAGATATTAGCACCCTTATTCCGGTGCATCAGATCCTGCTGTAACTGGAGCAGCAGGTCAACCTGGTCCTTCTTATCGTTCTTGTTCCGGTCAAATAGTGTCCGGTCCACAACCTCGCGGTATGTGGAAAAGAGATTGTGGACCACCTCGCTGGCATTCTTGCCGTTCTCCATGAGCTGTTGGACGTGCTTCATGAATGAGGAGACGATGGCGCGTCGGACTTGGTTGTCTGAGGCGTTGGCCGTCATACGGAGACTGACAAGTTCGAGCTGAACGACGTCGGCGGTAACGCCTTCGCGAATACTCTCGAAGATACTGGCCGAGGCGTCATGGTGGAAGTTGTCTTGTTCTTCACCGTCGGAGAAACTGCTTCGCCCGGAACGGGGCCAGGAGTCGTTGGAGATTTCAGAGGACAGGGTGGAGATAGAAGCGGAGGAGAGGGAGAGACCGGGCATGCGGTATACGAGGCCCGAAGAGGCGACACTGACGACACTGACATCATCGTCTTCTTCATCGTCTTCGCCTTGGATGAACTCGCGGCCTTCACCGTCAGCTCCAACCACCTTGGCGTCAGTGATCGCTACGCTGCCATCGCGTCGGGCTGTGGTGATCCGCTTTCCGCTTTCGACCGTTACGCCGTCGGCAATCTTGACACCAAAGGACAAGAGAGCACCGGCCTCAACCTTGCAGTTCTTGCCAATGACGACGCCATCGGCGATGATAGCCCCCCGAACATCTGAGTTATCGCCAATAGAAACGTTATCCCAGATGTAAGCGCCTTCCAACTTGACGTTGCGGCCGATTTTGCAGTTCCGACCAAGCACAGTATTGCGAACTGTTGTCTTATCGCCAATACTAGTGCTCTTGCCGATGACTGTGCGGCGACCGATCACGCATGACCGTGCCAATGTGACACCCTTCTCTTGATACAAGCTGCCCTTGCGGAGATCGTAGGAGTGGCCCGGGAGCAGGTTGGTGTCAGGACACAACGGGTATGTCCAACGGGAGATGATATCTTTGCTAACGGCGTCGTACGCCTTCAGGTTCCTTACCCGTGCGGCGTAGTGATCTTTGATGATGTATGTGTGGATAGTCTTGCCGTTCAGCTCGTAGTCCTTGAGAACACCGAACAGGTAGTGCTTGCGAGGAGACTGGTAGTCGAAGCTATCAGACCACAAGCTCAGCACGTCGGGGGTGCAAATATCAATGCTACAGTCGATCAGGTCTTGACGAATGTCTAGCTCTGGGTGGGTCATGAGGAGTTCGGTGTCAATGGTGAGCCGAGCAGGATTCTCGTTCGAGTGGTGATCGATCTCCTCGTAGTGGAGACAGCGGTCTTTGGTAGGATCGACAACAAAGACTGGGGAGACGGATGACGCTTTGGTGCGGTGGTCCCGTCCAGCTTCCCGGAGGACCATGGTCATGATGGCGTTCTTGTCGATAGCACGGCGAGCTCGGTGCTTGTTCAGGGCACCCTCGATGGGCATGTTGCTGATCACATCGCCGCTGACGACAATAAAGTCACCAGTGATAAGGTGCTTTCCATCGAGATCACGCATAACATCACCAACGGATGCGGAGGTTGATTTGAGGAATGTAAACTGCTTGAATGGAGAGGAAGCTGCTCTCCATTTTGAGGCACTAGACATAGCTCCGTTAGCCACCTAGATATAAGGCCAACTTGCGGGACTTGCGTACTCGATGTATTTCTCTAGAATGTCTGAGTGTGCGCCTCCGTAGAGAAAAACCTCCTCCACGCCTGCATTTGCCAAAAACTCGAGGGTATATTCAATAATAGGAGTGTTGGCCAGCGGTAGGAGACACTATGCGATCCAGTCAGCTCTGCTATTCCGACTTGTTTTATATATTATCCTCGTCAATCGCGGATCGGGTGAAGAACATACGCGAGGCTTCTCGAGAGTGAATGGCTCAAATCGTGGCTCAAAGGTATCCGCAAAAACCTACTCGTAAATAAAAGTTAGCCGCAAAGAAACAAGCATAATGCGGAGCATGTTCTAGACCATGTGTTTCACGTACCACAGCCTGTAGCGTCTCCTCTACTTCATCCGCAGTATTTCCTTTAGGCTTTGAGCCTCCACCCTTTTGCTTAGCACCCATTGCAAGCAGATCCTGAGAAGTGTCAATCGGTTGTATCAAGAAAGCCGAGTTCCGCGGAGATCGTGTATGGTGGACCTGTTAGGATAGAGAAATGTCGTACCTGGTATCGGAATGAACCACAGAGACAGTTAGATACCGAGAAAAATGCGCAATGTCCGTTATATGCTGCCGTGGGTCCTATGCAGGGTCGTCGCGGTGCCTTTGATCAAAGGCACAAAAAACCCCGCCAAGCCTCGGTGACTCCCACTTTGTGTTTGGGCTGTTTGCATTGGTTCGTGGGCTGGATAACGTGACTGAGCTGTGGCTGTGGCTGATATGTGGCACAGTAAGGATCTCACCAGCCACATCGAGATTCTAGCCACAGATCTCCATCTTTAAAAAGGCTGGTGGATTTTTGTCAATACGTGCTATGTCATTGAGCTTGTCATTCCAAAATCTGTATGATACTCATTGAAACCAATTACCACAAAATTACCACTGACCCCTTGTCACAGACCATACAGATATTTAATACTCCAAACTGACCTAAAAAAAGAACAATGAAGCAATACCAGCGTCAGCCAAGATAATGTTAAATCTTAATCACACCTCCCTGTGCACCCCTGCATCCCAACCAGCTAAAACAAGGGAAAAAGCAAACAAGAATATGTCACTGGGCAGCCCTGTATAGGACGAATGCTCTTTCCGAGGGTGGACCCACTTACGAGCCAAGGCGTTGGATCCTGGGAGATCCCCGCGGGCCCAGGCCCTCCTGGACCTGCAATAAACGTGTCGACTATTAAAGATGCCGGTCTAGACTCTCAGCCCTTACGATCGCGGGTTCGTCCGTCGAGCGGGAGGCGCGTATGTGGGTACCTCATCCTCCTTTCCAGGTTAATGTTGAAATAGAGGGATTGTTCTATGGATTGCATGATTCGTTGGGGATGGATTGGATGCGCGACCTCCCTCATTGGGCAACGAAGGCTTCAAGCCATGGATCAACTGTTAAACCTCAGATGGTTGATGATGTGTACACATGAGAAGTTCCCCTACATGCTCGTTCTATCCAGGGAACAATGGTGGATCCCCCATTCTCTTCCCCTATCCTACCAATTTAGGAGTTCGTAACATAGGTAATTTCGGAGGAAATTGAAGAACGGAAGTAAGGCCGTGAAAAATAGAGGATATGTCATGTAAATATGTACCTGTCGAAACAAGGGTGGGTAAAGAAAACCTTGTCATTTTCTTTTCCAATAACGGTCACCGCGTTGGTGTGTATCAAAAGCACAGTGTCAAAGTAGAAAACGTAGATAAGCACAGATTCGCCTCCCAGATAAATTGAGCCTGCAAATAAAACGCCATGACCTGTAAAAAAAGGCAGAAGACCACGATCGACGCATACCTCCGGGGAAGCGCAAGCAATGTACGATTTGAAGACCTCATTATAAACAGTGGGAATCGTAAAGTAAATAGACAGGCGGAGCAGATGTTGAGGATGGATGGTAGAGCGAAGGAGAGAGAGATGTTAGGATGTTTTAGACAGGCCGCCCGGCTTGTACTGCCATCATCGGTTGGGGCTGGGCGTACATGCGCTGTCGCTTGGCCATATTTTGCTGGTTCTCTGCCGCGTTGGACATATCGGACATCTGTCGGCGGTGCGGTGGGCGAACCGGAGCCCCGGTAGAAGGTACGGCCACTGGTGGAGCAGGGAACTGAACACCATTCGGATCAACGCCATACGCTGCCGGGGGTGCAGGCGCAGTGGCAACATATTGTCCTTGAATGGCAGGCATGTTTGGTGGAACCGCTTGCATCCCTTGGAACTGGCCCGGTGATTGCCAGTTATTCATGGATCCTGCGGGTGATTGGCCGGGTGAACTATCTTCTTTGATGGACTGGGTAGCTGATGTCTGAGAAGGCATTGTGACGGCCACCGGGGCCGGGGGTCCCTCTATGCCTTGGGGCATTGTCTTGAGATGAGTCAAATGAGTCTCAAGCATGTCGAGGAGACTCTTGCGAGTAAACGGTTTGGGCAAAACATCGTTCATTCCTATCGCGCATTAGTCAAATTCACCTGTAAAAAACGAGCCACTCTATTCTCACCATGTTGGTAGTATAATTGAATGTCGTCACTGCGAATATTCGAGGTCATAGCAATGATCGGGGTTTGATCGAACTGGCGGATCAAATGACAGGCCGATACACCGTCCAGATTAGGCATGATAATATCCATCAAAATCAAATCGTACTTCGAACCACCCTGCATTTTGTTCACTGCTTCCAAACCATCGAACTGTGGGAATAATTAGCCGCTGTGCAGTATACGTAACATCGTAACGCAACATACTGCAGTGTCAATCACACAAGAGAAAGAGTATAAGAATTTGCCGCCAATCTGTCGGCAAGTCGCATCATCCTCAACCAACAGGATCCGTGGGCTGCGCATCCAGCCAGGGTCCACGTTGGTACTCTTCTTCCGGTTTTCTGGCTGTTGTCGGCGAGCCTCGGCAGTGTCAACCTCAGTCTTGGTGGGCATCGGGTACGGAACATTATTGATGTGTTCGCTATACATGGGATCGATGCCATTGGTGGCACCCACAGGGTAAACCACTTGTTCCAAGTCATTGCCCATTTTCGGGTAGACCATCGCTGGGTTGGGTGGTACAGTAGTTGCCGGTCGAACCATCCCATTCCGGGATCCATCCATTGTGGGCGTGGCGAGAGGTCCCGCACCAGCCGCCTTCTGAGGATCGTTTGCGGCATCCATGTTCGGCAAGTTGAACTGGATTTCAGCGTTCATGTCATTCAGCAACTTCGAGGCTTGTTGTAGTGGTGAGGATGGCTCGTCATCCACCGCTCCCACCTGGCCCATGGGACTCATGGTCGAGCCTTGTCCTTGGAACCCAACGGCCTTGCTGTCTCTACGTTGGCGCGCATCCACCGAGAGCAAGTAGGTCATGACCTGGTGAATGACATTCTCATGATTTAACACGGTCTTTTGTACTCGCATGACTTCCTGCAGCATGAGTTGATGGTCCACGGTGAGCTGGGCATATCGGTCGGAAAGGTGCTGGATCTGCTGTTGCTGCGCGAGGATCTGCTGGTTAAGCAGATCAATCTGTTGAGTGGGAGCTGAGTCGTCATTACTCTGGGTCTGCTTGCGAGGGGCAGGAGCTTTGCGGCGAATATTGTCAAGGGAGTCCTTGCTGTTGGCACGAAACTCGGGGTGTTTGAATTCCCAGGCCTAGAGGGGACATCAGTATCGAGGACTTGGGATGTCAACTGGATCGGTGAAGACCTACATTCTGGCCATACGGTGACTGGCCATTTTCCTCGTTATTCTGTCGGACTTTGTGGAAATCGTATTTGTTGAGTTGGCGCACAAAACTGGCAAAGTTGCTGTGCTTGAAGTGCTTCGGGAGGATAGTCTTGGTAAATTTCTCGCACTAGGGGGAGTACCGGTTAGCTACACGGTGCGACCACACTACACGACGGGCGCATTTACCTCTAGGACCACGAAGCTATCCCCTTCATCACCCCAGCGTACAATGGACGCGTAAGAGGGGTCCTCCAGCATTCTAGTCGCATAGTTGATTAGATACGTCGATCGCGAAATTGTGTTCTTCGTGGCGTCGGGATGAAAAGTGGAAAAGGGTGGGTGGAAGGAGGATAGAAGGGTTCCAAGAAGGACTCACTTATACAGCTTGCGCACCTGAGCATTTTTGTTAGCATTAAAATCTCTCAATATGACCTGTGTATCGCGAGACTCACAAAATCGCTGGAGTTGCCCGCGGGGGCGGCATTCGAGGTCTGGCCTGGGCCATCCATGGCTAACCGGGTCGCGACCGGTCGAACGAACGGGCTTGACCTGACAGATGGTATCTAACCGATATACTAAGGAAAAGAGGGTTTAGGGCGGCTGTTCACGAAATGCACCCTACTCGAAGAATGAAGAAAAGAAAAACCACAGTCTCGGCCTAACAAGATCAGAGGGAAAAAAAAGAACTGGGGATTTGAAGAACGCAGAATGGGTACCGCCCAGTTACCAGTTTTGGCGGTAGAGCCATGTACCAAAGTTACTGCGCAGGTACGGACATGGTACAAGGCCCGTATTTGCGTAATTAAGTTATTTTTTGTATACTTGCTGGTCTACTAATACTTCTTTGATCTTCATGAATGATCATGTAAGGAGTTCGATTAACCCTAAAACACCCTCGTTCTGCCCTGAACGAGGGGGCGAGCTCGTACATTCCGCAGTTTCTGCTTTTTCCCCCCAAGTCCATAACTTATTATCCAAAAATCCCTGCACCATATATTATACGGAAAGCATGAACGTCAGTGCGCGATGGAGGGGCATGCGTCGGGGGTTTAATCATAGGTGAGGTACTTGCATTGTTTCGGTCCATAGAGACCCATGAAAGCCGTAGTAATAAACACGAAAAATGGAAAAGGTAAAAAAAAAGAGCGAAAAGGTGCCAAGAAACTCCCCATTGAGAGACACTGGGAGAGGGGAAGAGCAACTGTGCTCCACCAGCAGACTTTGGGACCCTAGGGAACGGTGGTCCACTTGTCCATGGTGGTTCCCACACGCGTACAACACACCATTGTTCCCACTATGCGTTGGCTTCGAAGAAAATCAGACAAAGAGGGGGCAAAAAGGATACAAAAACCCCCCCCAAAAAAACCGATCGTCCGAGATCGAGCATTGATTCGTGAATCGATTCGTAACAAATCTACGCCAACTTAACCACGAATTAGGGGACAAGAAGATGAACCTTCGGTCATTCTCGCCGAACCGGTTCGTTCCTAGTCTCGGGAAGGATTCGGAGTTATTGATATCTGTATCTCGGACCCATATCGATATTATATCGATGGGATTTAATTAATTAGAGTTATCCCAACACGATGCACAGGAATTCTGTTATGCGACATAGTGGAAAAAGTGGCTCCAACGCTCATGCAGCTCGGCGCCGACGCCGTAGACGCCCCAAGCTAGCTTTGTCATCGTGCTGTACCACGCGAGGATTGGCCCTTCCTTTTGGGGTTAATCTATGCTGAACACAGACCTATCAGATCCCGGAAGGTATTTGAACGGAGTAAGTACCCCGGAGTATAAGTACGATCCCCGGATTTGATCGAGGTGAGCATCCCACAAACCATAACATTGTCATTACTTCGAGATACATATCAACCAGAGGGACATCTTTACGGAGTATGTAGACGGCCCCGGTGGCAACATTCACGAGTTCATCTCATAGCAGCGGGCATGTTATGGACTTACACCTGAAATAAGGGACTGTAACTCTCTCTCCCTGATCTCGGTTTTCTACAGCCCTGGAAGGTCAGGGTCCGTGGACCTGTGCGGCATCAAGTGGCTGAATCTGGCCCAGTGGAAAGGCCCTATACCCGACCCTACTATGCTGCAGTTAATATGGATATATGTTATTGACCTTGCTTCCTAAAGTACCTACCTACCCTTCCTGAAGCTCTTGAGTGGCTTATCTTTTAATTTTTCTTGATTTCTAAATCGAGTGATCCATGAGTGTCCTGCAAAGCCAATAAGTACGATATATACCAATCAACATCAGCCTGTTGTAATTAGATATTGCAGAGCCTAATTTATACAGGGAGTTTTTCAATATTAAGCAGTACCTTTTGTTTATGTAGATTCAGAACTGAAGCCCTGGACAGATTTAAGTTACATCTAGGCGCTGAATTTGGGGAACGAGTGTATAGAGGTGTATATAATGACTACATTTGAGGCCCACATGCAACACATGCAGATACAGGGAGCTGGAACTTTGGCGCCGTAACACAAAGCAAAAGATGAGGGACGCCACAGAAGTTCATAACAGATTTAACAGAAATAATCAGCAAGGTTAGTGTATCAAAATTTCCAATTTGCCCAAGATTTTCCCTCTATACATTGACATCAATTCGTGTGTCATAGCGCGAATGAAGATCGGCGTAACGGTTGCCGCAGCCGGCCATGACGAAATCCCCGAAGCTCCCATAACATCGCCCTTCTTTTTCTACCCACCTCACTAATCTTGAACCACGTCCTGTCTCTACCAGAACCTCAATTCCACCCACAATGTTCGCCGCTCGCCGCTTCGCTACCAACGTTCCCCGCGTCCGGGTCCAGGCCGCTTTCTTCCACAAGACCGCGCCCGCTTTCGTTCAGAAGGGCGATGCTATCCCCGACCTGAACGTCCTCGTTGAGAACTCCCCGGCAACCAGGTCAACCTCGCCAAGGAGCTCAAGGGCAAGGGTGTTATTGTCGGCGTTCCCGCTGCTTTCAGTACGTGATCGAAATGAAAACAAACAACAAAAACAGACCGAACAGAGCTTGGACTGACGATTCTCTAGGCCCCGCCTGTTCCAGCACCCACGTCCCCGGCTTCATCAACCACCCTAAGCTCAAGGAGGCAGGCCAGGTCTTCGTCGTCGCCGTCAACGACCCATTTGTGTAAGCAGCAGCAATCGCATACCATCTGCGCACACGCTAACGCGTCGAATTCTACAGCACCAAGGCTTGGGCCGACTCCCTTGACCCCAACGGCAAGAGCGGCGTACGTGATAATTGATATGTCTTTGATGGAACGGTTGACTGACATACCTATTAGATCCGCTTCCTGGGTGACCCGACCGCCAAGTTCAGCGAGGCTCTGGACCTGACCTTCGACAGCACCGCCATCTTTGGCAACATCCGCAGCAAGCGCTATGCTCTCCTTGTTGAAGACGGCAAGGTGAAGGAGGCTTTTGTGGAGCCCGACAATGCCGGTCTCAATGGTAAGTTGGCAACTTTAAATCGCTGTAGGCTATATACTGACCTGGGTTATCAATTAGTCTCCGCCGCCGAGAAGGTTCTCGATCTCATCTAGACTCGATTACAGCATATAACGTATTCATGGATGTGTTTATCGTCCCTTTGCATATATAGCAAGATACCAAAGGACTTCAATTTACAAAACATGACTGAATACGTCAACGCGCTAGTAATTCGCGGCTAGCAGTAGATGCAGAGCCCAGACCTCAATCTGGCCCTCGCTTAGATTTTATTTGATTGTCATGTTTTAGACCGTATGATGTGATTGGGCCATTCCAAGGTTCCCATTTAGAAGAGGATATTACTGTTCCATGGAAGTCGTATGATTACGCTTCAACAGGGCTTTCTATGATAGATTGACCCATCTTGAACCTGGCTGCATATAAATATGCAGCCTAATGGGGCAATGTGTGCTTGTCATAAGTACCACGTGAGGTAAACGGCTGCCTAAGTTGGACTGACGCGGCCCCTTGCCACAGATGTGGCGGTGATCTAACAGAGGAATGAATCGACAAGATGAAACAGGTGCAAGAAAGCGAACCCTGCAGATCTGGGATTGGACCATCGTACCGGTGAGAGGGAACTAGTTAGTTTTCCTTTTTCTAACGGCGGTTTTGTGGCTGTGAGTGGATCTTGGTATTTGACTGTAAACTACCAGTATGTCCACAAGGTTAGCTCGGATAAAAAGATCAAGCAACAATTCAATGTAGTGAATCAAATGTCCATGAGAAAGAAGTAGAATTGAGATTGATATGCAAGTCAGTCTGTCAAGAGGGTCCAGGTTGATCCACCAAGACTAACAATAACTAACGCTTCGTCATTGCCAAGACTGTCTCTTCCCCCCGATCCAGCCACGGTCCCCTCTCCCGCGAACATCTCTCCTCCTTCACTGCTATCTGCCAAAATCTTTGCTCTCCTTCAATTCTTTGCACTTCCTCCGTGGCTGGTCCGCTCCCACATCATCCCTTTAGAACCGCCAGCGAATCCTCGACCCCTTGAGCATCGCCTAACTCCCGCCTTAGGCCGCTATCCGGAGCCCTGACACTGAGTGGGCTGTGAGAGCTTGGCAAGACACTTTGCTCCAAAATCCCACCCATCTGATCAGGTTTCATACCGCGACTTACTTTACCCCCTAAAATTCGCTTATCTGCGATCCTCGCGGCTATACCGGCACCATGTCCAAGGTCGTGCGCAGTGTCAAGAACGTCACAAAGGGATACTCTTCTGTGCAAGTGAAGGTTCGAAATGGTACGTCTGACTTCCTTGGGGCTTTCTGAAGGTCTTAGATACCTCCGATAGGTATCGCGATCATGGTGCAGCCACGCTGCGTTGATTTGTCATTATCTCCTTTTTTCTATGCCTGCGCCGATAACCGGATGGACATCACCATATCGCGCGCTCTCGACTTGATGGACAGTATGCTAACCGTGGTCTTTTTTCTTCTTAGCCACAAGTAACGACCCATGGGGCCCGACGGGTACCGACATGTCCGAGATTGCGGCCATGACTTTCGGGAGGTAGGTTGGCTGATGGCCCGATTGATACACGGGAGGCTGACATCAGCGCATAGCCCGAACGAGTTCTACGAGATCATGGATATGCTCGACAAGCGTCTCAACGACAAGGGAAAGAATTGGCGCCATGTTTTGAAGTCGCTGAAGGTCCTAGACTACTGTCTGCACGAGGGCTCGGAGTTGGTAGTTACGTGGGCTCGGAAGAACGTCTATATCATCAAGACCTTGCGCGAGTTCCAATACGTCGATGAAGAAAGTCGGGACGTGGGACAGAATGGTGAGTTATTTTCCTCTTCTTTTTTTGACGGTGGTGTTGACAATGGCGCAGTTCGTGTGGCCGCAAAGGAACTCACCGCGCTCGTTCTGGACGAGGATCGCCTGCGCAGTGAACGATCTGACCGGAAGCTTTGGAAGACTCGAGTCAGCGGACTTGACGAGGGACAGGGCTTTGGCAATGAGCCTCCGCGCCGGGAGCGACGAAGACGCCAGGGTTCCGACGAAGATGATACCGAATACCGCCTAGCCATTGAAGCTAGCAAGGCTGAGGCCGAAGAGGAGCGCCGACGACGAGCCAAGGAATCGTCGAACCAGGGAGAAGACGCAGACTTAGCAAAGGCCATCAAACTTAGCCAGGAAGAGGAAGAGCTGCGGAGGCGGGAGTTGGAGCAAAGCAATGCGCACGCGCTCTTTGACGACACCACCCCGGCCCAGGTTCAGCCCACTGGCTACAACCAGGGTTACCAGCAACAGAGTGCTGTGGACTGGTTCGGTAACCCGATCAATGCTCAGCAGCAACAGCCCTTGACAACCGGTTATCTGAACAACCAATATGCGCAACCCACTGGATTCCAGAACCAGCCTACTGGCATGAACCCTTATAACACCAATGGCTACCAGCAACCCTCGGCATTCGATCAAAACCCCTACGGACAGCCCCAGGCTCTTCAGCCTCAGCAAACTGCATTCCACACCAACAACCCGTACGGAGCCAACCAGGACCCGATGGCGCAGATGCAACAGATGCAACAGATGAACTTCCAGCAACAGCAACAACAGCCACAGCATCAGCCACAGGAGAACTACCTGTCCGCTGGAAGCAACAACCCATGGGGTGGAAATCAACCTGCTGACGCACTAAAGCCTACCCCAACCGGCTCGAATAACCCATTCGCCGCACGTACTCAACCTCAGTACAACAGCCAACCGCAATCCACCGGACCGCCATCTCTCAACACTCTTGCTGAGGATCGCGCCACGAACCAGTTTAATAACCCCATCACCCAATTCTCTCGGGCCAACCAGCCTAGCCAGCCTAACCCGATCGCCAACTTCCAAGTTCCCCAGCCACCCAAGAGCACTCCGCCGTCCTCAGACCCTCACCACGCTCGCCTCAACGCACTCCTTGCAAGCGGCGAAGGCCAGGATACCTTCGGTAACGTTGGAGATCTACGTATCCCCGCGCAGCACACTGCACCTGGCACATTCGTCAATTCCGCGGGCCAGGGCTTAGACCGTCTGCACGCTACCCAGACGGGCAACAATCCTTTCTTCGGCCAGCAGTACACCGGTGTGCCCCAACAGACAGGCTTTGTGCAGCAACAGCAACAGCAGCCTAACAGCAACCCCTGGGGAGCCCCACAGCAGCCTCAGCATGGCGGCGGCAGCCTGATCGACCTGTAACCGCCTTTTCTTTATTCTCAGTGGACTCACTGAATTTACTCGTCTACTTCGCTGACCCTTATGAACTGAGATTGCCGATACCTCTTTGTTTTTCTTGCCTTCTTCTTCTGAAATTTGGCCGTCCCTTGCTCTTTCTGTTGACTTCGTATCACATGTCCTCTCTTCACTAACACGAGCAATTGCATTGTGAAGCCAAATACTCAGAACCTGGGATTTTCATCACTATACTCACCCCCTCTTTTCCTCGGTCCCTTTTTTTTTTTTTGGTCTTCTCCTCATACACTCCGTTTCTCATATGTCTCCGTTTGTCGTTTAGGATATCCTTCTCACTTCCACAGTTTTGAACTTCATTTTCTTTGATACACCTGTAAATCTCAAAATTGCAGCCCAGCCGATTTGTTGGATTTCATCCGGCAGTACTTATATATTATCGTAACTAAGCTGGGTAATTGGTGTACGTAGATCCGGTGCTTTACTTGTCTATCTTTAGTTGATGCCCGGCGATTTCACTGCCAGATTCTAGGGTGCCAGTTTTATGTCTAGTGCCTGTAGAGAGTACACATGACCATATGGGCATTTCAAATGAACCCTCCGCATTTTATGCACATACCAGTCCCAAGCTGAACCATCTATCCAGCCAACTTCCGAATGAAATAACAACACAATTATAACTAATCCACGCAATACCCCGCATAAGACCCGCCCCGATGACCCTGCAAGAATGATGTGTTTAAGTATCACATCGGGGTTCTCACGCAATCGGGGTTTGACCACCAGCACTGTGGATACACATGCGGGGTTTGGACTTTGGTCAAAGCATCAGGTCACTCAAATAGGACACTTCCCTGGATCTATCTCTCGAATTATCACGCCTGATTGATACCTAATATCTTCAACATTCTTTGGCTCACGAAATGACCTCTGCTAATCCCGCTGCCCTGCTCGCTTCGGCGGCTATTCCGTCTTTCAAATGTCCGCCAGGTACGAAGATGTATATCTTGAATCTGGGGATGCTGGAAGCGGATGAATCTTGGTTTGTTCTACCTTCGTTTTTGTTTCTAAGTCTGGGCATGACGGTCCTAATACTTACCTCAGGATCCTTCGGGGCGCCAACACAAGCTTGTTGAGTGATCCGAATCCAGTGAATAAACGACGTCAACTTGTGCTTCTTTCGGCTTTAATCGAGTATCCGGGTGTGGGGCTTATCCTTTATGAAACCGGTTGTGCCGAGGATATCGAGGTGGTATGTCCACGTTCACGTATAAGGTCAGGTTTATTATTGGATGCATGTTATTAACCAACGGGATTGATAGAAATGGCCCGCCCCAGTCACTGACGTGTTCCCTCGAGTCGAATACTCCGATGACCATAAATTGCCGGCGGCGATTAAAGCCACCGGGCATGACATCAAAGATGTGAAAGCCGTTATAATTGGTCATCTCCATTTAGATCATGCAGGTGGACTGGAACATTTTATGGGCACTGACGTCCCGATCTGGGTTCATGAAGAAGAATTCAAACATGCCTGTTGGGCTATTGGCACTGGAGCAGATCTGGGCGTTTATCTTGGACATTATATGTCGCTGGAAAAGCTTAACTGGCAGACTTTTACGGAGTCTTCGCTGGATCTTTATCAGGGAATTATTCTGCATCATTCGCCGGGTCATACGCCGGGGTTGTGTATCATGCAGGTTAATTTGGAGAAGGATGGGACCTTTATTTGGACGACGGATCAGTTTCATGTTGTGGAGAATTATGCGCTTGGACATCCGCATGGGGGGTTGGCTAGGGACCATAATGCTTGGTATCGTAGTCTTAACATGATTCGGAGGCTTCAGCGCTTGTTTAATGCGAGGTTGATTTTTGGGCATGACAAGGATGTTGCTCAGCAGTTGATGAGTGAGAAAAGCTTCTTTGAGTGAGGCTTCAAGCCATTTTGAAATGGAGCATTCAAACTTCAAGGGTTTTAGTTGAATAGGCTACTTTGTGAAAGGTGTTCAATGCTGAATGTGTAGCACATCGACTAGATCCATTTCAGTTTTCTCCGAGCGGCTTGTTCATATCTTTTATTCCCTGCCAACATAGTCGGTACAGAGCGACTAAGAGCGCCAGACCATGATCCCGTATGGATCACGATCAGCCTCGCTAACAGAAACCTCAACACTGGCATCTTGGTATACCTCCTGGGAGCCAGTAGCGGCTCCACCCTGCTTGGAAATTTCTTGGACGGCCTGGAGAGCAGCCTTTCTGTCACTTTGCCAATTCTGTGACACTTCACGAAGAAGCTGGTTCCGCATCACGGCACACAGGTAACCACGCTCAGAATTGGAGTGAGCCAATGAGATAACGACTGAACCCTTCTCTGTAGCCGCAAGAGCCTCGTGGTGGCTCATTTCTCCAGTGAAAAGGAGATCGGGAATGTCGTTTCCACGAAGAAGAACTCCAGAACCGGACCCAGGGCACATACCAACGGTGCGAATACGAATGTCGTTGATCGACCGGCCCTGGGGGGTCGCGATGGGAATTCCACCCGGAAGACCAACACCACGGCCAATATGGTCAATCAATGTGGTGAGAGGCTGGGCTTGGTTGAAGGTCACCAAGCGGCCTGCGCCAGCATCCTCGAAGCCTTCGGGGATAGAAGCCGGAGGCGAGGGATGGATTGTGGAACGGGTGTGGGGTATTTGCTGAGAGGGGCTTGCCGATGCGGCATTCGGGACGAGCTCAGGTTGGGGGTAAGTAGGTGCCGAGTACAAAGTGGATGCGCACTCTGTGACTGGAGACTGCGGCTTAGACTCGGACTTAAATGTGCCTGTCACTACGTCACAGAGCCAGTCGGCCATACCACCGGGGACGGTGTCGACGGCAGTGTGAGGGGAGTAGACACTGATGCCATGCTGGGCAAGTCGCAATAGAGATCTTTGTTGGGTGTCTTCGAGAGTAAGGGATTTCAGGCCACGGAAAATGATTGGGTCTACACAATATTTAGCAAAGTTTGTTATTTGAGATTGACATGTCACATCCCTCGAGAGAGAGTAGTCCAGCTAAGGGATGTCAAGGGGGGTGGATAGAAAGACATACGGTAGGCGACAATTGCTGAGTCCTGGCGCCGAATTGCCTCGTCTGCAACCGCTGTGGTCAGATCAATGGCCAGCAGCACGGAGTTCTTCTGGCGCCGTGATGGCTCAAATGGAGCTTCCAGAAGCACTAAAGGATACCTGTTAGTCTATTCCAAACAAGGCACTATCAAAGCTGGGCCATTAAACCTACATCCAGTGTTGTCGAAGCTCTTATCGGCCAATGCTTCGGGATACCTGTGTATAGCGGGTCAACGAAGCTCAAATTGCGGGGAGCTATGATCGAACGAACAGCTTCCTCATAGAGCTGACCACGGCCCGGGTAAAGGGCGAACAAGAAGGAGTGGTAGACATAGTGGAATAGCTTCGTAGAGCAAAACGTAAAGAATTCATGGAACCAAAAACAATTCTGCAAAGGACAATCACAGATCTAAGAAGAAAGTGGAAACAGTGACGCTATCGAAACCTATCAGCACGTGAACTGCAAGTATATCGGATAATCTATCCACCCGCCTATCGACACCAGCCACAGCGGCTGAATTTGTAATACAAATGAACCTCATCAATTCACTTTCCATCCGGAGGCTCGACGAACTCCTCATTCCTCGCTCTGATCGTACTTGATGTTCTCCCGCACTTCCTATTCTAGTGTCTTGAGAGGCTGCAGCTATCTCCTCCGTCCAGTTCCCCAGCGCGCCGCTTTTTCCCTATCCGCGCGTTCCTTCTCCGCCGTCAACGCTGCCATGGCCGACACCTCGGGTATCACTACGGAGTCGCTGAGACTTAAGCTGCTTGATCAGCTGCAGGCGCAACATGTTGAGATTGAAGACCTATCGGGTAGGAATTGGATGCCGAGATCCTTGTCTGTTGAGCTATAATGCTGATCATATTTGCTTTTTGTATAGGCGGCTGTGGTCAGGCTTTCCAGGCAGTGATCGTCTCCCCGCAGTTCGAGAGCAAGAACATGCTTGCGCGTCACCGCCTCGTTAACTCCGTTCTGAAGGCTGAGATCGCAGCCATCCACGCTTGGACTCCTAAGTGCTACACTCCCGAGCAGTGGCAGGCACTCCAGCAGTAAAATTAAAAACCTTCTAGACCACAGTCATAATTGATATGGGGAAAGGAGACGGTACGACCTGGGAATTTGATATGTGATGGGATTCGCATTGTCGCCTGTTCAACCTTGAAAGCCCCGTTTTTGCGAAATTTTGATGATACCTTGGGATAGTAGGCATGGTCACGGTGCCTACTGTCGGGATTTGTGTATGATAGAGCTTAATGTCCATTAATGTTTTTACAAAAGTATAAAGAACATTTCTTGGATTTTGGTGCGATATAGGACTATACTTGAAAGTAGTGCTGAAGAGAACGAAGATCTCCCGAGATGTCTAAGATATAGCCGCCCTCCATACTTCTGAGGCCAGTCGTGATTAGGAAAGTTTTACGGAACAGCTCAGACTGACTGCGATTTGGCATTCATTTTGTTTCAATGTATTTTGTTTTCGTAACGCTCAATCATGCTAGTCTCGGGAGACATTTGTGATATCCTTACAGCTTTCTCGTAAGTTTTCTTCGAATTTATGCTGTTCTTCCAATGTAGAGCCAATTATGCCCTCAATCTCCCCTGCAATGGTACCAGCAAGGACACCCACACCTATAATACCACCATCGCTGGCCTCGCGAAGGAAAATGCTCTTGCCCTCGCTTTGTGGCCCAGCACTGATAATAAGTCGATCAATGTACCGCTGAATGGTCTGCTTATAGTGCGGATAGTGCTGTATAACACCACCAGACACCGCTACGACCAACTCCTCGGGCCCGTTCTGCCAACCCGATTTCGAGGACCCAAATTCAGGAACCAGATTTTCTTGATTGGCAACCTGCAATTGATCCGTGCTTGGTGTTGGGGAATCTGGAGACTCCATATCTTGCAGCCGAATCTCGCGTGTGCAAGCAAGAAGTCCAACTGTGGCGGCCGCAATCAATGCCGCCGATCGATCTTGTACTGCGGCTGCAATGGAGCGAATATGTCCTGCATACTCAGGCGTCCATTGCCAGTCGCTTGATTCTGGGGCAGGAAGTTGCTGTGACAGTTCTTTTGCGAGCTGTTCATCGGAATAGCTCGATGCAACCACCAGCGATAGGAACTCTGTAGTCAGGGTATACCCTTCAACTAGCTTCACAGGTAATGAAGATCGAGGAACTGCCCTCATTTTGTGGAACCAGTCATAGCATATGATGCGCACTAACTCGCCGATATACCGACCGCCCACCATATATTCCAGGGGTTGGAATCCCGGGCGGTTGGAGTGCGCCTCGAGCTCGGCATCCCATTGATTCACGATCTTGAACTCTTCCAGTGGTCCGCTTGCGCCTCGAAGTGTCCATTCAGTGGAAACAATCGTTTCTTCAGCATCGGGATCTTTTTCGCGAATGTATTGAATTTTTGCTTCTTGAAGATCGGTGAATTTCATAGGCACAGCTGAATTACAGCCTGCGCCTACGATAAGGCCCATGACAACCCGGGTATTGGGAAGAGCGCGGACCGAATATGCTAGCGAAGCAAAAGTGGCAATCGTATCATTAGTCATTACGGTGATTTTGAGTTTGGGGAGACAGTATTTCTTCTGTCGTTTTGCGGGCATCTCGGCGGGATCCTCATCAGAGCGCCTGGTATGGCACTCGTAACCATCAAGAAGTGCTTGTCGGAGATTCAGAGAGGATTTCAGCGTAAACCCTTTGCCTGTAGGCATGAGAATGGCCTCATTGAGAAGCTTTTGCCTGTGACTGGCGTTAGTCCCCTGCATGGAAAATGGTAGCTAGGAACATTACTTGATTGGGAAACAGAACGAAATGCCCATTGTGATTTCGGAGGGCGTATCTTCTTTGGAATTGGCCAAGTCATCATGTATAACCTCTGCAATACAGTCCCCAATCCAGGAAAATAAAGAGTCAGCCTGGTCTTGGCGCAGGCGATTCTCGATCGGCCATGCTTTCTCTAGCGTGCGCCGAACATGGGAGTGTTTCTCTACTTGCTCCTCGCCCAGCAGGTCGATGAAGGCCACTCGAAGATAGAATAAACCGAGATACACGGCCAAATAGCGTCCCTTTTCGTGCCCAGTAGGCAAACGTGTAGTGGCAGTGGGGAAGAACTGCTCTGAGGAGTCCGCTGCCAATGCACGATACGTGACAGACAGACGGTATGACAAGCGATAGAGCCTATCGAGCTCGATATTTAATGGTTGCAGAAAGTTTTGTAATGCAGGGTCTGATCTGGCCATGGTGCTATGCAATTGGTGGCCTGTTGCCTGAAGGCATACTGATGTTGCATGTTGGTCTCACTTCAGTTTCTCCGTGCATTTCCCCGGATGGCGGGAGCGGGTGTTGGACCAATCATGTCGGAGATCCAGTCTATACAGTTGAGCAGCCATAATTATTACCAACAGGCTAATCCTTCTCTGAAATTGTTTGAAGGTTGAAATGTTTTAATATCTCAACCTCAAACAGTGATTAGGCAGAGAGTTATAAAGCTGGTGCCCTTATTCTTCTATTGTATACCTACTTCCCCCCTTTACTTTTTTACACTTCCCTAATACACCTTTCTCAAACGCGTCTCAAAAACAAGGCACCATCACTGCGTTCAACGCAGGTGTCATCTGCAAGATTCACTAAAGACCACTGGTGTTTGAATTGATTCACGATTATTGAAGAGGCAGATGAGCTACTTCAATTGACTGAAGAAGAATCTCAAGAAGATCATGCTCGGTGTAGATACGCTGTCTTGGGAGATACAGGTTTCCTTCTACATCTTCAACCTGTTCATAACCATAGGACTGGCTGGCATGGCCGGCTTGGCTGTCGGGCAATACTGACTTCTCTGCCCTCGTCACTGCGCGAGCTTTCTCTCCTGGACGAGTTCATGGACTTTCGAGACCTTGTTTGAAATCCATTCTTCCATGAGAGGCTGAAGTGGTCAGTTTTGATGTTCTAATACTTCAGATGTCCGTAACGAATTTTTGGCTGGTAGCTCTACGGCACAAAAATAGATGACTGTCTATCAAGAAACACCTGGAGTCAAGATGGGGCAGCAATGTCGAGCTACCAGTGCCTCAGTGAATTAAGAGAGAAATCACCCCCAAAGCGTCTTGAGTGGATTGATGAGAAGCCATGATTGATAAAGGAGTCCAGCCATATGAATATCACGCCAGCATTGCCAAAAGCTGCAAACACCATCATATAACGCTCATTGGCTGAAATATAGTGTTTGCTCAAAATGCAAATTGACCAAACAGAAGATTAGCCAATCACACATCAAAACACGGAATTAGTGCCGCTGTTTGCACTATTCTACAATGACTTATATACACCAATCTAAATCAAAATATATTAACACGATTTTCTATCTTCGCATACCATAAATCTCATTCACCATGGAAAACGAGATCCCATTATCTTCAAAATTGGAAGAAGCACTCCGCTACCTTCTAAAATCTCAACCAACAAAACAATCCGTCTGTGAATGCGGCGCCCATCATCAAGGTCCAGAATGGATCTTTGAAACAGATACATGGTCGCAACTACAAGCTCTCCGGAAAACACTCTGCCAGCGACCTGCAGTTCCCAATCTTCCGACAGACATACTCGCGCACATCGAAGCTGTAATCAAATACAACAACCAACACAAGTTACTCACATCAACAACCGCAATCAGTCCCGAAGTGACAATCCGGTCTCAAGCTCCAAATAGCAGTCCTCTCCGCATTTCCTACTGGAAAGGAGATATCACTTCTCTAACAGATGTCACGGTGATCGTCAACGCAGCCAATGCCCAGCTCGAGGGCTGCTTCCGACCCGAACACCAATGTATCGATAATGTCATCCATTCGGCTGCTGGACCACGTCTACGGGATGCGTGCCATACCCTCATGAAAGCGCAAGGACATTTAGAGCCAGTCGGCTCGGCAAAGGTCACACCGGGATTTCTTCTTCCTGCAGATTGGGTTTTACATACAGTTGGACCGCAGCTGGGTTGTTCAGAAAACCCAACAGCAAAGCACAAAGCTCAACTAGCTTCGTGCTATCGAGCCTGCCTAGATGCTGCAGACTCTTTACCTCCTCTCGTGGACGGACGTAAAGTCATCGCATTCTGCTGTATCTCCACAGGTCTTTTTGCGTTCCCTTCTGCTCTTGCAGCGAACATCGCCGTGGAAACTGTCGTGTCCTGGTACCAGGAACATAGCACTACATCCATAACAGACATTGTTTTCGACACGTTTCTCGAGAAAGACGAAATTCTTTACCGGGATATACTTTTGGGATTGAAGGAGAGCAGATCTCATCTCATCTACTCGCCATCCAGCTCACTCTCCCAACCTCATTTCGTCCTGAGCCCATCCATTCAGAAAGCCCGGGCATGGCTTGAAGACGCCTCATCGCTCATCATAACCGCCGGCGCAGGTCTCTCAGCCACAACAGGCCTGGACTATAACTCAACGACCCTCTTCGATACCCATTTTCCTGCCTTCAAAGCAAAAGGTCTACGCAGGTTATACGACGTATTCGGGTACAGTGGCTGGGACAGTCCAGCCCAGAAATGGGGTTATTTCTTCACGCATATGGATATCGTCCGTCGATGGCCTGTTTCACCCTTTTATGGACTCCTCCGTGATCTAGCGGCCCGGTTCGATGATGGGAGGTATCATATTCGTACGACGAATGCCGATGGGTTCTTTATCAAGAATGGGTTTCCGGCTCAACGAATCTCGACGCCGCAGGGCCAGTATAAGTACTTGCAGTGTTATGGGAAGTGTAGGGTTGATGCAGTCTTTCTTTCTGGGCCTTTTATTGATGCGGCTTTGCCATTTATTGATCCTGTTTCGCAGGTTCTTACTGATGAGGCGTTGCTGCCGAGGTGTAGGTTTTGTGGTGAGGAGTTGACGCTTTGTGTGCGTGGAGGTAATTATTTTAATTCTGGGCCTTTCAGGGGGCAGGAGAGGGTTTACCAGAGGTTCGTGGAGGAGCTGGATAACGGGGATGGTGGGCAGGATGGAGGGACTGTTATTTTGGAGTTGGGGGTTGGTTTGAACACGCCTGGTGTGTTGCGGTGGCCGAATGAGGATTTGGTATCTAAATCGTCGAATCGACAGTTTCGATTGATTCGTGTTGGGATGGAGGCTTCTGGGTGTGTGCCTTGGGATTTCGAAGAAGAAGATTTGGCCGTTGGGATAACAGCAGACATTGGGGTTGCTTTGGAGTTATTGTCGTAGGCCCTAGAGCCTTGAGCAGGTGGAAGACAATCTTGGAAATTGGTTTTGATTTTGTAAAGATGAATCCGAGATATACATTTGGTCTAAACTCAAAGAAAATCCGAAAAAGAAAGTAGAACATGCGTAAATCATTGAAATTTGTCTTTGTCCCCGAAATCGCTGGAATTGCAGAACCTTCTGACATGCTCTATTTCTTCTCCATGCTGAGATACTTTTCCTCGGCACCACGAATACACGCAATGTTGGCACCGAGCTTGTTAATTGTCTCAATGTACTCGTCGTACGGGTCAGAGTCGAAGACAATACCACCACCAGCCTGCAGGTACGCAACACCATCCTTGACCATCATAGTGCGAAGCGCAATACAGGTGTCCATGGCACCGGGGTCCTCGCTGGATCCGTCGCTGTTGGCGATGTTGTATCCAAAGTATCCAACGGCACCGGCGTAGACGCCACGCTTCTCCTTCTCGAGCTCGGCGATCAGCTGCATGGCACGCACCTTGGGTGCGCCGGAGACAGTACCAGCGGGGAAGATGGAGCGGAAAGCGTCGAAACGGGTTTTACCGGGACGCAGAACGCCGGATACTTGTGAGACGAGATGCTGGACGTGCGAGAACTTCTCGACGACCATCATGCGGTCTACTTGAGTGGTCATTGGGTCGCATACACGGTTTACGTCGTTACGGGCCAGATCCACAAGCATGACGTGCTCGGCTCGGTCCTTCAAACTGCTGCGCAGCTCATCGGCCAGTGCGGTGTCCTCCTCTAGAGTCTTGCCGCGCTTCACGGTACCCGCGATAGGGTGGGTGATGATTCGGCCGCGCTCTTCCTTCACAAGAAGCTCGGGGCTGGCTCCCACAAGCTGGAAGTCTTGGCAGTCGATGTAGAACAGGTAAGGAGAGGGGTTGACAGTGCGGAGGTGGCGGAAAAGGTTGTAAGGGTGGAGAGATGTTGGCCGAGACAGCCGTTGTGAGGGGACAGTCTGGAAGATATCGCCCTTGCCAATGTGCTCCTTCAAAACCTTGACGTGGTTCTCGTATCCTTCCTGGCCGATATTGGAGGTGTACTCCTGGTTCTGGATGATAGGGCCCTGCGGGGGCATTGGTGTGCGGTCCTGCAACAAAGTCTCAATGGTTTTCTGGATGATCTGCTCGCCCTTGCGGTATTCGGCCTCGATATCCGCATCGGATTCGGGGATCGGGACATAGGTGATGACCTTGACAACCTGGAAGAAATGATCAAATGCAACAATAGTGTCGTACAGCATGAAGAACGATTCCGGAACACCCAGCACATCCTTCATGGGCCGGGCAGTCTTCGGCTCGAAGTATCTGACACAGTCGTAGCCCACATATCCAATCGCTCCGGCGGTCAGAGGGGGAAGAACCAAGCCTGGAACAGTGGCAACGCGGAACTGGGACAGCTCCTTCTCCAGGTAGGGCAGAGGATCAGCCTCGGGGCCATGGCCTGGACCGGTCTTGATAACTTTTCGGGGGTCTAGCAATACCGAGTCAGGAAACTGTGAACATATAGATATATCCAACAGATCACCCACCTGCGCCAACAAAACTGTATCGTCCGATAGTCTCTGTAGTCGCGGCGCTCTCGTACAAGAATGACAACTGAGAACTATATAGATCGCATAATTAGCCTGGCTGTCTTAAATTCCCCCGCCCTGCGGGGCACCGCCGCCACACTGCAAGAATCGCACTTACTTCTCGGCAAGCTTAAGGTAGGCCAATGTAGGGGTCAAGAGATCGGCGGGGATCGAGGCAGTAACCGGCAGCAAGTTCGGGGCGAATTTGGAGTTTCTCGACTGCGAGATCACTTCTCGCGCCGTCTCGAACGACGGGACTGCAGTAATCTGAGTCAGATCGCAAACCTTGTTAGCAGTCTGTCGCTGACCGAGATAGTACCCCAAGAGTCGCACGGGAGTTTCGCACTTACCGAAGGTGCCATTGTCTGCGGGAATGGTTTCTATGACTGGACAAAGACCGAACTTCCGATGACACAGAGAGATTTGGCGGTGGGTGGGAAAATGAGTCGATGTGGGGCTTCGACTCGGGCCCTGTTAAGGTAGGTACTATCCGCTCCAACCGCTATACTCTGTACAATCTGAATGGATTGAGTACCAAAGACTTGTCAATGAAGAACCAAATGGCAGGTAATGACTAGCTGCAGTTTCCAGCTCTTCAGCTCTACCACAACATTGCCCTGTGTAACATTCCCCAAAAAGGTTAAGCGTGGGGTGTTGGTTATCGATAAGCGACGAGGATTCCGATGTGATGTGTAGAAGCTGCAGATCCCCAGCCACATCCAACTGGTGCGATAGATCATGGTTTCTTTCATGCACTCACCATGAAAAACCCAAACATAGTTAGCCACATGGAATCGCCGGAACACATTGGACTCACAGTTACCAAAGCCATACTTGAACCGATTCAAACCGCAAATAATCACACCCCAGATGCGCGTCCGGCCACACGACAACCATGGCAAGACCGTCTCGCAGAACTGGCGCTTCTCGCATCAGCATCCCTCGGCGCAGACAACAGGGACAGCAACGCTGGCCCATTGATCCACCAACACCTCGATGCGATTGAATCTATCCTCCGTGATCCGCAGCCGGAGCTCGCGCAAGAGGAAGCGCATAGCGTTCGGCGTCGGAGCTTTCGCACAAAGTCTTTGCTAGGAGATCCCGATGCCGCCGATTTGAAGGAGCCGGCTTGGCTAGCGAAGAGTCGTATTGATGAGCGCAAGCGGGAAGAGCTCTCGTGCCAGCTCACAACGCTTTTAGAAGAGGTCACTTCTTTGAATCAGGAGCTAGAGCAGCGACATATAGAGTCTGTTGAAATTCGTGAGGTCTATGAGGATCGTTGTCGGGGGTTGACAAGAACGGTAGCTGAACTTGAGGATGAAGTATCAGAGCTGTAGGTACACACGTGCTTCATTGCTTAGTTGGGCTTTGCTGATATGATTTGATTCTAGTCGCTCGGACCTGGTGGAAGATGCAATTGAGTTGGAAGGAATTCAGGGAACGATTCATGAATTACAACATTGGATTGAAGGAATGCAGGAAGAACAGAAAAGAGCCCGGGCTGCGAAAGATCTCATACGCCGAAAAAACAAACGAGGCTGGGGTGGTCGCAAACACTATGATGAAATTGGTGAAACAGAGGGAGAGATTGTACTTGATGGTCTGAGCGCCTGGATGCGCGGATGGAAAGATGTTCAAGATGGATTTCAGGTCCGAGCGCGAGGGCGAAGAACAAGGCGAGAACAGAGACAACGTCAGCTGTTAAAGACATGATCATGGTATAAGTTTAGTGTATAATAAGTTCTACGATTACGATACTATGAAAATTACGAGATTACGAGAGAAGACGCAAATTCAAGGCAAACGTCACAATGTAGAAAGATTAGAGTACACTTCAAGGTCAATGCATTTTTGCTTCGAGATACAAATCAGCGAGATTCAAACCACCCCCAAGTAATAAGAACAGAATAATCAAAACCATCTCTCGCCATCCGTTTCGTTCGCCGTGCCCAAGTCCTATTCCAAGCAATGCATGCCGTAATGCATCTTCTAAATCAACAATATATGTCCGGGAAAATAATAATATGTAGAACAAAATGGGTGAGGACCGGAAGAGTTGCGCCATCTTCCACGAGGTATGCTTGGTCAACTGGATTGACATTGGATCGTGCTTGGGAACATTAGGCGTTAAGTGATCTCCGTAGGTCGAGCACCTTTTTGGGGCCTTGGGCCTAAGAAGTAAAGCGGGTGAAGCAGAGGCAGTGTCAAAACCCGCCTCCGATCAAGGTATCAATTAGACCAGTTTCATGGTCCCGTACTCCGAATGGAAAAAGCGACTCAACACCGACCGTGAACCATGAGGGAAAAGAAAAAAAAAATAATGTGTTATTATCGACACATGCAGCTGGATGTCTTGTCATTTGTCTGTTATTAGACTTAGGTAGAGCGGTCACCGCTGGAGATTAACGATAGCCATCTGAGAACAACTGTTAACCAACTATCTTGGCCGTAGCATTGGTGAGAAAGGACTTACCTTATTTCCAAACCCATATGCAAGCTTTTTCCCATCGGTATCCCATGATAGAGTGCAGTCGGTTCGCGTAGTATGACCATTCTGACCGTTTGTTGGGGCATCGGCTTCTTCCTTGACCTCTTTTGAACCTGGAGCAGTCCAGGTAGCCATGGGATCCCCGCCGCGCTCGGCATTCCAGATAAAGAGTCGATCTTTGCTGACTGCCGCAAGAGCGTACCCATCGGGTGAGAAACCACCCGCAAAAGTGGGAATGTTGGAATCCAGGTGGAATCGGTCAAGTGGCTGAAACTCCTTCTGTTCCAGATCTACATCCCATCCGTTGGTGGTGCCATCTTCTGAATATGTAACAATAGCGATTGAGTATTTCCCTGTGATCGAAGAGTTTCGTCGCTGTGCAGGTGACTGAGGCCGGATGTCAATAGCCGTGATCGCCTGCTTGTGTGCATTATCAATGACAATATCGTGGGTTGGGATCCAGATGACGGCAGCTTCAGAGTCTGCCGCGCTTTCGTATCCTGCCACAACTACAACAGAGCCCTGGCTTGTTTCAATAGAACGAATGAAAGTCCATGCGGTCTGGCTGTCGGACGAATACTCCTTGATTAAGTGAATGTTCCGGTCCACACTACATTGGTAGACCGTCCCATCACCACACGCAAAGATTTCATTTCGGCCAGTCCATACCATGTCATAGATTCGGTTCTTGATGACCATAGTTTGGTACTGATCGGGTCGTTGGGTGTCGTCCCAGAGTGCCAGTTCGCAGTCTTTTTCGTTCGATGCAACAATCACCAGCTGGGGGCTATTCTGCGCCCAGTACAATCCACTGATAATTCGAGGAAGATCTGGAAGCATATCTACCACGTTGCCCTCGGCGTTATACATGGTAACCGCTCCCTTCATGTCCCGAATCGAGGCCACGGCCAATTTGGTGCCGATGCCATCCCATGCAACAGCGGATACATACGATTCGCTGGCCTTGAGGTCAACAAACTTATTCTGTACAGGCGCTGATGATGATGACAATTTCCACAGGCTGCAAAAGGCCTCTCCTCTGGTCACAAACACTGTCGGGTCGCCAGGTCGCCAAACGGTATCGATCACGTGATCTTCTAGATCCAGACAGGCGGTGTCGGGTGTCAAATCGGCAGCCTTGGCGGGGGAGATCTGGACGCTGGCGTTGTCGCCCGTGCTGAGTGTGGGTTCCTGAGGCACCTCATCGGCCCCCATACTCACATCCCCGTCCCCATCCACATCCGGCATAGGAGAACCCGACTTGCTTTCGATCTCGGCGTCCACTTCCATGGAGTCGCCATTCGTTTCGCCTTTGCGCTTCATGCCGGGAGCCTCCGGTGCATGTCCATTAGTTACGCGGTCGCGCGAGTCTGGCGCGGGGTGGTCTGTGCCAGCTTCATCCCGGCTTTTCAAAGCGGCCAGCTCAAAGGGCTCCGGGCCGAAAAAAAGTCGGTAGGTGTAAAATTGATACGATTTCCCTCCTGTAGATGGTGGTTAGAATATGCATGAACCGGCATCAAAGGTTTCTTGTGTTGTCGCGCAGGCCTACCTTGTCAATTGATGACTCCAATTCATGATATTGCAGGCCCTTTTGGACCAACGACACCAGCGCGTGAGTCTGGATGTGGCGCGCAAATGGTAGATTCTGTGGTTCCGGATACCACGCACGCTGCAGTGATACAGCAGCTTCGCCATGACCTGTAGCACAAGGTTAGGATAGAGTCCCAGTAGCTAGAGCATGCCTACGCATCGGCGCATAGGTCTCGAAATGATTGGGGGAACATCGAATGAATAGAGCAAAGAGGCGCAAGATACGAACCTGACTCCTGGAGGTACCTGTGGAAAAGAAGTTAGTGGTCTGCAGATGCAAGCAGATCGCGGGGCCAGGGGGCATCGTACCTCCATATTAGGTAGTTGACGTGATGCGATGTAAGGTCAGGTTGTGCCATGATTACATGTGCGACCACCTAGGGGCGGAACATGCCAGATGGGGGAGTGGATGGCGCTTCCGCAAGGGAAGTTGGAAAATCAAAAGTGGAGGTTTCTGGATGTGGAGACAGGAAGGGCCGGAAAAAAAAGACCAAGGAAAAAGGGGGCCGATCCGGAATCAATGGAGAGTGGGTGCGGTGCGTATTCGGGGCTGAATATTCGGGTGATGGGGTCAAGGGTGTACGTTGATTAAGTGCGGACTGCGAGGTTGGGGAAGGGAAAAGAGAGTTTGGGGGAGAAGAAAGGTGGGAAAAGGGAAGAGATAGAGCCGTGGGGAGAACACGCAGATCAGACTTGGAGCAGAGAAACACTTCAAGGGGGAACAGTGGCGGCTCTTTTGGCAACCAAATGACTGGAAGGGAGAAGAGGAACAATTGAAGATTGGAGACCATCAAAGTGACGGTTGAGCTTAAGCGCACTAGCCACTGGGAAGTGGGTGCTCCATCTTGAATGCAAGAGCCAATCCTGTGTGGCGTTCCTCCACTCGGTCGCGGCCCTGTTCTCGTGCGACTCGCTTACTTCCAAGGGACTTTCTCCACTTTATTCTCCATTACTCTAATAATTCACTATGGCTGTTAAATCCAGAATATTGTCCATTTGTCATTTCCCCCCCATTGTGCCCGGATCTTACGGGATCTTTGGTGTTCCCTAGCGTACAACACCCTGCACGCACCCGAACCCGGCAACACTGCAGGGCGGCAAAAGGTGGATCGTAGCGTGGATCCAGATCCCATGTACTCTGTGCACAGATATCAGATGAGCTAGGATCCCTAGTATAGATTCCACTAAATATAGCTCCTGCTAGACTTTGCAAGACTAGAAGATCAAGTCAACCTTGGACACCCAGGCCTATGAATGCAACATCAGAGCCCTATTTGTCTACCTAGGGGCAGATATATACGGTCGGACATGTTTCCGACCATCGCATTCTGACACCGATCAGTGATCCACCTAGGTACTCTATATGTATAACGACAAGAAGTAAGCATATCATCTTGTCTTATATGATTGTATAATCCAAATCATATGATGACTCACCTTGACAACTTACATAATTACCTGGTATTGAAGCCCGATGTGTAAGGCCAGCATCTATTCTAGGTTACCCAAATATAGGCGTAGTTAGGTCGTGCCAAAATATATACCTGGATACCGTCGAACGGGACACGGGAAGGATAGAGTAGAAAAATCCAGCCTTGTACCTTTGAATTTTCCAAAACTTAATATATCCCATAAGATGAAAGCAAAGTCTATCTTGATGGTCTTCGAAATATATCTCAGTCCCCGCTCTTGATATGATTGCTCAATAAACAGCTGGAGCATGGATACATTTTCGCTAGACCTCGGGAGAAAACTAACTAGATACATAAAACAAAAAGAGTTAAACTTCATAAATCGAGCTTCAATTATACTGGGTTTCAAAACCAAGACTTTATTTGCAAGTATGTGACAGATCCCTCCGTTGTTCGGGCTAGTGGACCCGTGCATGTCAACTTCCGTTGATTTGTGTGGCTTCCTCCGTCTACAAACTCCGGGTTCAGCTTAACAACACGCCTGCGGTCTCGCACGCCGCGAGTGCCCTTCAAAAATGCCCGTCCGAGTCAACATTCCCCCTGCTACTCGCTTCTTCCTCGTCAGCCTCCTCGCCCTTTCTTTACTCTACAACATTGCCAGATGGCGTGAACTGGACTACACCCCCAATGGCAACCAAACCAACCCAATCATTCCCTACCTGACTCTCGTTCCTTCGCAATTTTTCTACTATCCCTGGACACTCGTCACAGCCACCCTAGTCGAGCAGAACATCTTTACCGTGCTTCTGAACGCTGCCACCATATTCTATGGAGGCAAGTACCTCGAGCGCGCGTGGGGGTCCCGCGAGTTCAGCAAGTTTATTGTGGCCATCACGGTGATCCCCAATGTCGCAATCATTCCAATCTACCTCCTCTGGGGCGCAGTACCGGGCGATCATAATCGGAGGTGAGCATACTTTCCCTAAATCCCCTATTGCTGTCCGATCTGACCCTCTCTTCTCCATGTACAGCCTAACCCAGATCTGCGGCGGTGTCGCCATCCAGGCCTCCTTCCTCGTCGCATTCAAACAACTGGTCCCCGAACACACCGTGGCGATCTTCAAAGGGCTAATCAAGATGCGCGTCAAGCATTTTCCTGCCCTATTCCTGCTTCTCAACACCCTCAGTGGCATCCTGATCGGAACGGACACTGCTGCAATCTTGTCGTGGCTGGGTCTCCTGACTAGCTGGACGTACCTAAGATTCTTTAAGCAACAACCCGACCTGACTGGTACATCAACCAACGGTCTTGGCATCAAGGGTGATGCTAGTGAGACCTTCGCTTTTGCTTGCCTGTTCCCCGATGTGATGCAGCCTCCGATCGCCTTTGTCGCGGACCAGATCTATACATTGCTGGTAACAGTCAAGATCTTGAAACCATTCTCGGAGGATGATATTGCATCTGGTAATCAGCAAGTACTGGCTAGAGGGGAGGCGGGCTTGCCAACTCTTCTCAGCAGCCGTGGTGGTGGTGGAGGAGGAGGAGGATCCCGGGGTAAGCGCGAGGAGGCGGAGCGCCGTCGTGCCCTGGCACTCAAAGCGCTAGACCAAAGACTGCAGACTGCTGCCGCGGGTCGCGTACATGCTGGCCCATCTACACTGGTGGAACCAAGCGCAAATGCGACATCGCCGACCCCGTCCGGCCCTACTGGACAGGCCATGCTCGGGGGAACCACTTACAATCCAGATCACGCATAAAACTGGGGAAAGGAGTTTGTTGATATTTCGGGATTTCTTGGGTTGATTGGTTGGACATATACCATTCAGCGCAGGACTCGTTTTTTAAAGAGTACTATACCTGCGACTGTTACGCCTTCATCTTTCTTCTCACGATGTACATTGCCTTTTCATACCCTGGCCTGAATTTCGTTCCTCAATTGGTTTCATTTCTCCGACGTGTGACATGATGACCTTGTTTTCTTCTGTTCGTTTGCTTCCCTGTGTTCTTTACTAGGCGAGCGTGTATTCTTTACTTTTCAAGTTTGACCAGCTCTATACCAGTCGCAAGTGACTAGATCCTGCAATGAGAATTAAAAACAATTCAATGCACCTTTCTGATGCTTTAGAATATTCAAAAATACATAGTTATAAGGAAAGAGACGAACAAAAAGATGCTATGCTACAAGTGGGTTGCTCTTCCCAATCTCAAGAGAAGAGAATCCAGACCGAACCGATCATCAACCCGGGATATCTTAGCCCTGCTTCAGCTTCTCAACCTCACCCCTCGCCTCAGCAAGCATACGCTCCTGATCCTTCTTCGCCTGTCGCATCGCCGATATACGCTTCCGATCCCCGACAGCCTTCTCCGTAATAGCCGCCAACCTCTTCGCCTCAGTCAAATCCTCCTCAGAAGGAGGAACATCCGCCGCACCTGTCGAAGCCTGGACCCGAGTCCAGATCTCCTTGGGATCCAGGTTCTTCAAATCCACAACAACAGACTTCTCACTAGCCTCCGGCTTCGGCGCATGCTTGTCGACCAACTGCTTGCTCGCAAGTCCAGCCGCGGTGCTGCTCAATTGCTCGTTGAAATAGATTGTCAATGCGGCCGGTCCTTCTTGGTCTTCGGTTTGTTGAACCGTCATGGAGACGCCCGGGTTGTGGTATTTCAGTCGCGGAAGACATTGGCGCCAGAAAAGTCTTGCGCCATGGTGGCCGCCGTAGATCTTCTTAGCATATGTGAGGTGGAGGCGGGTGACCGCTGGGAATTCTTTTGTGGCAGTTACTTGGCTGGGGAAGAGGGCGGCGCCGAGTCCGACTCGAACATCGAGCATCTGTACAGTATTGTGGTTAGCATTGCTGTTTTTGCTGGGTCGGCGTGATTTGTCTTGGTGTGTCCGAGTGTGTTTTCGGGGTCGATTGGAATCTTCGGGATGTCGAGGGTTGAAATTGATGGCGCGGAGAATCAATGGGGCATGTAGGGAGGTCTTACTCTCTGCGGAAAGGGAAGAGAAATTAGTTAGCCAATCTTCTTTTTGATTTGTTGATGGTCCATAGAATTGGGCTAGCCTTGAGCTCCATGACAACTTACTGTCTTCAGCTTCCGCATCCGCTTGAGGAAGTTGACCATGATGGCAGGTTGAGCCGCGCAGCGGCTGGCCTTAAAGTCACGAAGGTGTTTTTGAGACCGATTGTAAGGATATAGTAGTCCAATTGGCGAAAATCCTGCCCGGTGGTCTCACAAACAGTTCGGGGCGTGTTGTCGTTGATCCGGGGAATTTTGCGGAAACTGTTGCGCATCAAAAGTTGCTCCGACATAAAGGTCACGTGACAACCATGTAACAGCGGTACACAACCTAGTTGATACTGATGAATTGGTATGAAGTAAAGCGCTTGAATGAGTAAATGATCTTGGATTAAACATGTTTCAGCCTCCTATCTATCTAACATTACTTGTCGCTTCATTTAAAATGAGTCATGACTGGCTGCTGTTCTAAGGAATTGCATTAGCCGTAAATTACCATAAAACATACTGCAGATAAAGGCATTGATACAGCGGTATTACCATACTGAGTCACCCACTCATTATCGATTATCGATTGTCGATTTTATATATTCCCCCGCGATCTTCATTCTCTGCCCCTCGGAATCTTGCACAGGACAATATCCTGCTGAGAGAAACCATGGCACCCCCCGCCGTCTCCGCCGAGCTCGACCCGAGCAATGGCTCCAAGAACACCCTCAAGCTCGAAAATGTTAACTTGCCCCTCCCCCTCTATTGACACCGATTTTTAGCCGTTACTGACCGAACTCAAACCTTCACAGACCGAGAAGCGTGACACCCTGATCGCAATTGAGAAGAAATACCAAGCGCAATGGAAGGAGAACAAGGTTTTCGAGGTCGATGCCCCGTCCTTCGAGGAGATCCCCGAGGGCTCCATGACCGCCGACCAGATGCGTGAGAAGCACCCCAAGTTCTACGGTACCATGGCCTTCCCTTACATGAACGGTACCCTGCACGCCGGACACAGTTTCACTGCCTCCAAGGTCGAGTTCATGGCCGGTTACGCCCGCATGGAGGGCAAGCGTGCTCTGTTCCCGCTTGGTTTCCACTGCACTGGTATGCCTATCAAGGCTTGTGCCGATAAGCTTCGCGATGAGGTGAAGATGTTCGGCCAGAACTTCGAGGGCTACCAGGAGGATGAGGAGGCTTCCGCACCTGCTGCTCCTACCCAGGAGTCTAAGCCCGAGGTCAAGGAGCAGGCCGAGAAGTTCTCTGGAAAAAAGAGCAAGGCCGCGGCCAAGACCGTTAAGATGAAGTACCAGTTCCAGATCATGCTGGCCATTGGTGTCCCAATTGAGGATATTCACAAGTTCGCTGATGCCAACTACTGGCTCGACCACTTCCCCCCGCTCGCTGTCCGCGACCTGAACAGCATGGGTGCCCGCATCGACTGGCGCCGTGAGTTCGTCACCACCGACGCCAACCCTTACTTCGATGCTTTCGTCCGCTGGCAGATGAACCGCCTCCACGAGCTGGGTAAGATTCAGTACGGTAGCCGTTACACTGTATACTCGCCCAAGGATGGCCAGCCCTGCATGGACCACGACCGCACTGAGGGCGAGGGAGTTGGTCCCCAGGAGTACACTGCTATCAAGCTCCAGGTTAAGGAGTGGTCCCCTAAGCTTGCTGAGCTTGTCAAGGGCAAGGTTGAGGAGGATGCCAAGGTTTACTTTGTCCCCGCCACCCTGCGCCCCGAGACTATGTACGGCCAGACCAACTGCTTCGTTGGCCCCAAGATCAACTACGGTCTTTTCAAGCTGAAGGAGAAGGAATACATTGTTGTCACCAAGCGTGCTGCCTGGAACATGGCTTTCCAGGGCCACTTCTTCGATAACGACAACTTCCCCAAGACTCAGGACCAGCTCCCGCTTGTCGTTGAGGCTCCTGGTTCTGACTTCGTCGGTACTTTGGTCAACGCTCCCCTGTCCTTCCACTCTGAGGGTGTCTACATTCTGCCTATGGATGGCGTCTCAGCTGCCAAGGGTACCGGTGTTGTCACTTCCGTTCCCTCCGACAGCCCTGATGATTACGCCACTCTGATGGACCTGATCAAGAAGGCTGAATTCTACGGTATTAAGAAGGAGTGGGCCGAGAAGGAGATCTACCCCGTTATTGAGACCCCTACCTACGGTAACTTGACTGCTCCCGCCCTGGTTAAGCAGCTGAAGATCAACTCCCCCAAGGATGTTACCCAGCTTGCTCAGGCCAAGGAGCTAGCCTACATGGAGGGATTCTACAAGGGTACCATGCTCGTTGGCGAGTACAAGGGCGAGGCTGTCAGCTCTGTCAAGGACAAGATCCGCAAGGCGCTCATTGACAGCGGTGACGCCTTCCCCTTCGCCGACCCCATGGGCAAGGTTGTCAGCCGTAGTGGCGATGACTGTGTCGTTGCCTACCTGGGTCAGTGGTTCCTGAACTACGGTGAGAACGATGGCCCGTGGCAGAAGACCACCCTTGACCACGTTGTCAACACCCTCAACACCTACGCTCCCGAGACCAAGAACGGCTTCGAGAAGAACCTGTCCTGGCTCAACCGCTGGGCTTGCGCCAGAACCTACGGTCTTGGATCTAAGCTTCCCTGGGACAAGCAGTTCCTGGTTGAGTCTCTGAGTGACAGCACTATCTACATGGCCTACTACACTATTTCTCACCTTCTGCACGGTGATCGTTACGGTAAGACTGTTGGTCTGCTGAACCTGAAGCCCGAGCAGATGATCGATGAGGTCTGGGACTACATCTTTACCCGCCGGGAAATCGGTGACGACCTGATCACCAACAGTGGAATTAGCAAGGAGGCTCTCCAGAAGATGCGCCGCGAGTTTGAGTACTGGTACCCTCTCGATGTCCGCGTCTCTGGTAAGGATCTTATCCAGAACCACCTGACCTTCTTCCTGTACATTCACGTTGCTCTCTTCCCCGAGCACCTCTGGCCCCGTGGTGTTCGTGCCAACGGTCACCTGATGCTGAACGGTGAGAAGATGAGTAAGAGTACCGGTAACTTCCTCACCCTGAAGGATGCGGTTGATAAGTTCGGTGCCGATGCTACTCGTATTGCTTTTGCCGACGCTGGTGACAGCATCGAGGATGCCAACTTCGAGGAGGCCGTTGCCAACAGCAACATTCTGCGTCTCCACACTCTGAAGGACTGGATTGAGGAGGTTGTCAAGGACGAGACCCTGCGCACTGGCCCTGCCGATTCCTTCGCTGACAAGCTGTTCGACAACGAGATCAACACTCTTGTTCGTGAGGCCCAGAAGCACTACCAGGAGTAAGTTCGAATCGAAGTCTTTCTATGTAAAACCTTACTAACTTCATACCAGCACCAATTTCAAGCTTGCCCTGAAGGCCGGTCTCTTCGACTTCACCAGCGCTCGTGATGCCTACCGTGAGGCCGCTGCTGCCTCCGGCGTTGGCATGCACCGTGATGCTCTGATGCGCTACATCGAGCTCCAGGCTCTCATGCTTGCTCCCATTGCTCCTCACTGGGCCGAGCACGTTTGGCTCGAGGTCCTGAAGAAGGTCAGTCTTCATTTAATACAAATATACAGTCCACTTTGTTTCTAACTCGAAAGCAGTCCGAATCCATCCACTTCGCCAAGTTCCCCACCGTCCCGGAGCCCTCCCCCGCTCTCTCCGCCGCCCAGGCCTACGTCCGTGGCACTTCCTCGGCCATTCTCTCCGCCGAGGCCAACTTCGCTAAGCGTCTGTCTAAGGGCAAGAACATCGCCTTTGACCCCCGCAAGCCCAAGAAGGTTACCATTTACGCTGCCAAGAAGTACCCCGTCTGGCAAGAGAAGTACATCGACCTTGTCCGCGATGCCTTCGATTCTCTCAACATCTCCATCAACGACAAGGAGCTTAACGGCAAGATCGGCAAGCTTGGTGAGATGAAGAAGGCTATGCCCTTCGTCCAGGGTCTTAAGCGTCGTCTGATTCAGGGCCGCGAGTCCCCTGACACCGTCTTCGACCGCAAGCTTCCCTTCGACGAGTTTTATGTTCTGTCTCAGCTTGTTGGTGGCCTGAAGCGCTCTGCTGGCTACAAGGAGATTGAGATCATCGCCGTTGAGGAGGGTGGCAAGACTGGTGAGGTTGTTGGTACTGGTGAGAAGAAGGAGGGTCTTTCTGCTGAGAACTCCATTCCTGGACAGCCTACCTTCTCTTTCTCCAACATTGAGTAGAGTGACTGTTCATGGATATATAAAGATGTTATTCCCGGTGTCAACTAAAGAGTCATGCTTTATGAGCTTATGCTTAGAAAAAGAAGTGCATTTCATTTTGTTTTTGATAATACTTATCTTATTTCACTCTGGATCGTAGACAGATGAATACGTTCGTAAGTCTGTGATATCAATGTCCACGGGTCAAGTGTGTGCTTTGAACAGGAGCTGCTGGTAAGTGTCTCGCGGCACGCCCGTGGCTGTCGGGCCGACCCGGATGGGGCCAGACCCCTTTAAAACGCGGTTATACGAGGCTGTACGCGACTAAGATTGGGGGCAACGGAAGTTAGCCTCTTGATTGATCCATTTGTTTCATGATATATCCTCTTTTGTAAGATTAGTAAGATTACGTTAGAATATGAGATGTGAAACAGCAAGGACCAATACATCAAAGTGTTGAAGGAATATTGACGCCCCTTATACTACTACGCCTTCTAGATCTATTGTTACACACAGCCATTATGCCATTATGGTAATGCAAAGCTCGGATTAAGTGTGAAAGTACTCCATATAGGAATCAGGGACCTTATTATGGCCTTGGCATTACCTTGGCATAGCCTAGTGTGGGAGTATAGCCCCATTGCTTACTGAGACATAACCTCCATCTGGAAAGGACAAGGAATTTCTGAAATTAAATAAGATCCTTCAATGATAATGATGACAATCTACTCACTGATAAACCATGGCCAAGGCATGATTGACCTAAAAAGGCATCGTTTGATGCTGAGGAGTTACTCCGGGGTATAGAGGTTATGCGTACGAGATAGAGGCACCGGAAATAGCCATCTACAGTGGCTTGGCTCATGTTTAAATAGCGAGGGAACTCCTAGACAAATTGAACATCATCAACTCAATCAATCAATCATTCCAATCCACTCAATTCAATTCGCTTTCCTCAACCAATCGATCTCCCGATCAACCAATTCAACATCAAAATGCAGTTCATCACCGTTATCATTGCTACCCTGGCCGCCGTCGCCACTGCTACTCCTTCTCCCGATGCCTTTGAGAAGCGCACCTGTGTCGGCCGTGAGTTATTTCTACAGAAAAGATTGGAAATATGGTTATCTGACTCTCTTCTAGACTACAAGGTTGCCTGCGAGAGCAATGGTCCTTCTTGCTGCGATGGCTGGCAGTGCGTTGGGGCCACTGAGTGGAACGCTGGTGTTTGCATTCCTCGCTATTAAGGGCGTTGAAGAGCTTAAATAGATTTGGTATTTGTGCGGGCATAAATAGAAATCGTGATACGTTATTTTCCTTTTGGGTCTTCCCTTGTGTTTAATAGCATTGAGAGAGATGTTCAGAAAATTTAACGCATATCTTTGAAATTTGGACATAGTGAGGTTGTGAGCTGCGTCTTTTAGTCTTGATGATGTGGTATTTATCAGTCATATTCCTGTGCCACGCGCTATGCCTGGTTTCAAGCGTGACGATGATATTTAAAAATCTACCAGGCCAGTCCCCAGATTACAAGCCTTGAAAGAATTGACATGGGAGGAAATGCTGACGCAGAAGCAGAGCACTGCCTGATAGGGTGGAGAAGAATAAACGTTTAATAGAGACCTGGTTTTATCACTGCAACTCCAGAAAATACTTAGCTCCTTTGTCGATGAAAAGTCTCTTTATCGCCTCATGACCATTTATTGAGGCCAATTGAAGTATTGAGTATCCAACTTTGGTTCTTATGTTAACTTGAGCTCCCTTGTCGATGAGAAGCTCCGCTATCTCTTTGCTACCAACCATCACTGCCTGGAGTAGGGGTGTCCGTCCACAATTATCGCTGGCATTAATGTCGACTTCTTTGTCGATGAGGAGCTTCACTATCTCCTCCTTGCCATTTATCACTGTTAGATGCAACGGGGACCTTCCATCTTTAGCCCTGATGTTGATATCGACTCCTTGTTCTATGAGAAACCTTGCCATTGCCCTAGTTTGATCCCTCAAAGCCCAAAATAGTGGTGTCCATCCAGCTTCATCCGTGATATTGAAATTAGCTCCCTTTTCGATGGGCAGGCTCGCTATTGCTATTGATGTGATGGGATGGTTTACGGCCCATAGGAATGGTGTGTTCCCATCTTTGTCGGTGATGTTGTCGGCTCCCTTGTGAATGCATGAAGAATTCAAAAGAACGAAAGTGGTCTCCTGGTTGTATTTTTCCAAAGCGGCAAACAGTGGGTACTTGAATTTTCCTCGAGGGACGTGGATCTGTGTATCAGCTTTAAACCTTGTGCGAACAAGGTCGGGGCAGCCTTTATCTGCTAGGATATAAAATAGACTTGTACATGTGCTGTAGCTATCTGGGTCAAGACAATTGCTTGCGCAAATCCAATGAGAAACAGGGAAGGAAGACAAAAACTCGTCTTGGAGAATCACTTTCGCTGCCGCGTTGGCATGGTGCAGAATATGCACCTATATAGACAGGAAAATGTCTGCCGGGTGGGTCTTTCCTAACTGGGCTGCCGCCGCTTTTATAAGGGCGCTCAGGCTCGGGCTCATTAAGTAAAGCTGAGCACGGGTTAGACTTGGTGATCACGCTTAAGTTAATCACGTGATATATGACTAATATCTAGCACGCGCAATAACTAAGTGCTCAGTGATTACTCCAGGACCACTTAGTGAGTACCCCGGGACTAGGCTTCGGCATAATGGGCCAAAAATTATAGGGTTCCTATACTAACTTTTAGAGGATTAACATTCTTCTATACTAAATATATATTATATCCTAGTAAGACGTACCTACTTAGCTACACTGTATATATATCGATCTGTATTTTTTAGTTCCACAGACACCTTGTAGCAAATCTCTACACTCTTTGGAAAAGTTTAAAGAGATTATTTGACTCTGCTTTGATGTTGGCAGAATCAAACTAATTAAGGAGTTGAAATGACCAAGGCTTAGGTAAAAGAACCCGCATTTCGTAAGCCACCAAATTCACATTGAGCACACTGTTATCTCAGTTACTATCCGCCAGCTAAACTACCGCAGAGTTCTCTTTCTCAGAAGCCACGCCGAAGGCATTTTCTCCATCGAAAATCATCGAAACTTCTTCCAAACTGTGACCCTTGGTTTCAGGGAAGCCGAAGTAAACAAGCACGATTTCGAATGCAATCACACAGCAGTAGACGATGTAGTATTTCCAGCTGATTGCATCCATCGCCACGGGGTTTGCATACCCATTGAAGAGAATGGCGCAAGTAGCCGCGATCTGCATGATATTCGTACCCTTGGCACGGAGGTGGGTAGGCAGGATTTCGGTGACATAGACCCATGGTGGCCCATTGAGACCAGCGTTGTAGAATAACTGATACATGAAGATCATAAAAATGACACCCGTACCGAGAGATGTATCATGGAAATCCCTCTGCTCGTTGATTGCAGATAGGATCGTCCAGATCACGTAGCATGTCAACATGCCTACTGTCGAGAAAAGGAATAGACGTCGCCGACCGACAATTTCCATGAATGAAGCCAAGATGATTGAGACTCCCAAGTTGAAGACAGTGAGCCCGCCATTAATGCGGAGCTGCTGTGGGTCTGACGTGAGGCCGATCGAGTTTAGAATAAGGTGGAGGTAGTAGGCGATCAGCCCATTGCCGGAGAGCTGCATCATACAAGGGACTGTGATGATGATAAACAAGCGGTGCAAGTTGCCTTTGGTGCTAAGGAACTCGCGATAGCCGGTTCTCGAGGCACTCTTAGAGGCTTGTATATGTAAGATGATTTCTTTCATCTCGAAATCGACGAGCTCAGAGTTTTCATCTCCACCGGCGTGGTACTTGGTAAGCACTTTTCGGGCTTCATCGTACCGATCCTTCTGTACAAGGTACCGCGGGGATTCGGGAAGCAGGTAGATGAAAATAACTTGCACCAAAGGGAAGAATCCTTGCAGCAGCGAGGGAATGCGCCAGGCCCATGAGGCGTCGGGTCCCATAAAGTAGGTTCCATATGTGACCCATGCGGCGAGCAAAGCCCCTAGGTACCACAGGTTGTTGTAATAACCAACCAAAACAGACCGGTGAGTTGGGTATGCTAGTTCGCTGACTAGCAACGGCGATGCTTCAACGGCAATCAGGCCTCCGAATCCGATGATCATGCGGGAGGCCAAGAACATCCCATAGTTTTGGGCAGCACACTGAAGAATTGCACCAATGACTAGGAGGGCCGATCCGATGAAAATTGGGAATCGTCGACCGGTGTGATCACATAGCCAAGGAGCAATAGGAAAAGCGAGAATCTGCCCAAAGATGACACCGTTGGAAAGGGAGCCCAAACGTGTCCCGGTCGGCGAGCCGAAGAAGTTCTGCCACTGGCTCATTGACTGCAGACCGTTAAGCATAGAACCATCATAACCGTTGGTAGTCGATGATAGATAGGGAATGATCATCCCGAGGTTGAGAAGCAGAAGATGACGCCGCTTGTACCAAGGAATGTCGGTGTTGGGCAGAACACTTTTGAGGCTCCATTCGCCGGGTGTAGTGTTGTGGATGTCATGGATCTCGGCGATTGCCTTTTCGCCTTTGTCACTCATACTGGCGGGATTTGCTGATGCCTATCTTGTTGCTATTTTGAATGTTGGCTGCGTAAGACAGAAAGCTGACTAGAATGCTAATGGGCACTAAAATTGACGCGGTATGGTTCCTAATATATCCATGTTTCATCAGAGAAAGCCGTGATTCCGCATTGATGAATTTATTGACATGGGGCAAGTGACCCAATTCTAGATGAGCAGGGTGCTTTTTCTCTCACAATTCACCAGGGGGAAGACTGGCAAGATCGTATACGGGATTCCAAAATTCCGCGGAGTCTAGCGCAGTGTGGCAGCGCAATAGCACTGGCCGGCTTTGTTATGAACCAACCGTTTAGGGTCGCCAGGCGAGAGACTATGTCAAGGTTTGTCCTAATCTCTAAGCGAGTCGACGGTACTTTCCTTGCAGCGGTACCCCCGGGTTTCTCTGACAGTCCGGGGAAGGGACAGTGCGAATTGGCGGGGCGAATGGAACTAATTTCCCCATGTCGACCGTTGCCCTCATGACCCATTCTAACTAAATTAGGACGAGGTTTCAGAAAGTCAAAAGAGCGCTAAAGCCAGAGAAGGCTAATTAGGAAAACCCCTATGTTCTTTTCCGAAATTCCGCTGAATATTTAGCTCACTTGATGGCCGGCCTTTTCTCTGCGAATGCTGCAAAAACCTGCCAGTCATGAGACTGGGTTTCAACCCTAATGGAGACAGTCTATCAGCCCAGGATCCAATCGGAGACCTCGGCTGCCGAGAGGGAATCCCCAAGTCCTCCCGTTGACAAGGCAAGTCCTCAGAAAAGAAGGCATTCCCGTGCTGCCGGGACATACCCGCGAAAGCGAGCTACCCAGGCATGCCATACATGTCGCCTTCGACGGACTAAGTGCGACAATACCCGGCCCTCCTGCGCATCGTGTGTCCGCCTCGGAGCGGAATGCACCTATCAGCAGATAGACCCTTCGACGTAAGCGCTTCGCCCAGACTGGTATTAGGTCGCCAGGGAAGATTCGGATCAAAGCAGCTGATTGAGATGACAGATTCGATCCCGCGAGTCTAATGATATTAAAACGGATGGATGATCTAGAATCTCTGATCCAAAGCCGGACCAATGACCCACTGCCGGTGAGTTTGTCTAACAACGTACCTTCAACGTCGCCGTCTATTCCTTTCGGGGAAGTATCTGTAATCGACGAGCAGACTCAGTGGAAGCCATCCTTCGCCAACATAGATGAAGTCCTGAAATGGCCTGTGTTTGATGATCAAAACTTTGACCAGCAGTTCCGGTTACTATCTCTGCCCGAAAAGGATATATGTCAACCGGAACTGCCGATGTCTGTTGATCTCGATTTCCATGCGGCAGATCACCTTCTTCGAAGCTTCTTTGATGATGTACACATCTTCAACCCAACTTTGAAAGAGGAAGATGTGAGAGAATACGTAAAGCTTGTTCAATTCAATGGTATCGGCTGGGATGCCACATCCTGCCTACTGGTGAATTCCACTTCTTCGTCCCAACCAGTTGGCCAAACACTTATCGCACCGAATAATAGCTTCTCATATGTGCTCATGGCTCTATCGCAACACCATTTGTCAACCATGGCCCTGGTGTATCGTCTTCTTCCTTTCGCCAGTCAAAGGGCTTCCTTCGGGCCGAGTCGTACTTTTTTGCCGCGCAAAAACGAATGGGCATGCTTCTTTGCCGAAACGGCGCGATAGAAGCGCAATGCTTTTTCTTGGCTGGTGTATATCTCATGGCAACATTGCGACCAATCGGAGCTTGGAGAATGTTTGTACAAGCATTAGCTTGCTGCCAGGGTTTTTCTATCCACCGTACAAAAGACAATGCTTACGAAGATGAATGGAACACCAAACAGAGGATATACTGGACATGTTTTAAGTCTGAGTTGTAAGCGATACCAACTCTATCTGATACGCGATCCTATCTTATGACTCTTCTTTGCCAACAGAGAACTCCAGCTGGAGCTGAACCTTTCACAAAAGAATGTGTTAGATTTGAGTTACCCAACTTTTTTCCCATCACCACCTGATGGGCTCAAAACGAAGGACGAAGCAGCATGGTACTTTTATTTGGCTGAGATTGCCTTGCGCAGACTGGGAAATCGCATCCTAGGATATCTTTATCAGCCAGATGCGCTTATCCCAGTATCGAAGATGGAATATGCCATCCTCGATTTCGAGGAGCAGGCAGATGCATGGTATAGATTATCACTTTTCAACCGAAACCAAAAACTTGATCGCCCTAACATTCTTGTTCTTTCAGGTTGCGATCGCTCCCTGAAGCCTTGGCTCTAGATATCGATACCCCCGACAAGGACCAATACGAGCCTTTCCGATTCATACTTAGTGGTCACTTCCTCGACTGTCAAGAAAAAATGTATTGGCAGTTTTTAGTGGAGGCCATTCATGGTCGAGTCCATGGTACCAGCGATCTATTTCTTCGGAAGGGGCTCAAGGTATGCGTGGATAGAATCCAGCAGAACCACAAGGGCTTCTACCATCGTCACCATGGGACATGGCTTATGCTCCGGTCTTGTACAAGAAGCGCACTGGTCTTGCTTGCCGCTGAGCGGAGTGTAGATCTTGTGCATCTGTTGCCTTTAGGCTGGGAGGAAGCGGTAATCGGCGTGACTAAAATGCTGAAGTTTTGGAAGGACGAGTCTAGAGATGTATTCGAGATGCTCGAGATTTTGCAGGCACTTCCGAGTGCCGGAGTGTCTAGCTACATGGGACTAGCCTGTTAATGTGCGTACTTTTACACTCGTGTTTGAACTTGCCCATAACTCAGAATGCACATAGTGAACCCGCAGGATGTGAACCCGCAGGATGTGCAGGCACGACCAAAGCTAATCAACTTAGCCAAAAACCCACAATTAGTAAAAAAATGCTAAGAATGTTTCACATTCGCTCTGTATATCTCCTGAGTGGGAAGATGTTATCGGATGTATGCAATCTGATCCGCGATGGAGTTGCCTTCTGACCACAAGCACCCAAACCCGATACTCCGCGATGCACGGTCTTTTCCCGCTTATCTTTCCCCCGAACTTTCCCCACCGCAACATATCTTCTGAGCGCAATTTTACTTGAGGATAATAGATAAAAGGACTTTCAAGAAGAAGATATGCCCGCTAGAATGTTCATTTTCATTTTAACTATTTTCCCAGATTTGAGGCTACCAAGATGTCAAAGATCGACATTGAACATGCACTCGAGGAACTCTCATTGAACGAGAAAGTCGCCCTGCTTTCAGGTTTGTGGCTATCGTTTCTCAAAAACGACACCGCTAACTGCATAAATAGGAGTCGATGGCTGGCACACGGCAGCAATCCCGCGACTGGGGATCCCCCAAATTCGCATGTCAGATGGACCAAACGGTGTTCGAGGCACACGCTTTTTTAATGGAGTGCCTGCGGCCTGTCTTCCATGTGCCACAGCGCTTGGTGCCTCCTTCGATACTGAGCTTATCTTTTCCCTCGGAAAGCTTCTCGGCCTAGAGTGCAAGGCCAAGGGTGCACATGTCCTTCTGGGCCCGACTATAAATATTCAAAGGGGACCACTGGGGGGCCGAGGCTTTGAGTCCTTCTCGGAGGATCCTGTTCTTTCGGGCTCTTTGGCTGCGAGTTATTGCTTGGGTGTACAGACTGAGAATGTGATCCCGACACCAAAGCACCTCGTCTGCAATGACCAGGAGCATGAACGAGTCGCTGTTAGTGCACTTGTCACTGAGCGTGCACTCAGAGAGATATATCTACTTCCTTTCCAACTAGCCATCACAGGGGCCAATCCTGGTGCTCTTATGACCTCGTACAATAAGGTCAATGGATCTCATGTCAGTGAGAGCCCCGAGTTGCTCCAAAGTGTTGTTCGGAAAGAGTGGAACTACAAGGGACTCATCATGAGTGATTGGTCAGTTAGTCATGTATCGTCTATTTCCCTTGGCTGACCAAAACAGGTTTGGAACCTATAGTGTGTCTGAGGCTGTCAATGCCGGTCTGGATCTTGAGATGCCTGGCCCATCTCGATTCCGAGGGCCTGGCTTAGTGCATGCCATTGTATCAAACAAGGTGTCAGAAAGAACCATTGACGAGCGCGTCCGTACTGTGTTAGAGATGGTTAATCAAACGGCCAACTCGAAAATTCCCGAAAACGCCCCCGAAATTCAACGAAATTTCCCTGAGGACCAAGCACTACTTCGCAGAGCTGCATCTGAGTCCGTTGTCCTTCTAAAGAATGATGATCAGATACTTCCCCTCAATCCAACGAGAAAGACTCTTGTGATAGGACCTAACGCCGATATCGCGGCATATTGTGGTGGAGGCTCTGCGGCCTTACCAGGGTACTATGCCGTTACTCCTTTAGAGGGAATCACAAACAGATGTACCGGCGGCGTTACTTTTACACAAGGAATCTACGGTCACAAAGAGTTGCCTCTTCTTGGGACTCAGTTAAAGACCGAAGATGGTCGGACCGGGTACATGTTCAGCGTGTTCACTGAACCGTCAACGAAAAAAGACAGAAAGCCGGTCGACGTATTGCACATGACCAGTAGCTCTGCATTCTTGATGGACTATACGAATCCAAAAGTTCACTCAGATCTGTACTACATCACCATGGAGGGAGTCTTTACACCTACTGAAAGTGGGGTGTACGACTTCGGCCTAACAGTTGCCGGTACCGGAGAGCTTTTTATCGATGGAGAACTAGTGGTCGACAACAAGACCACTCAACGGCAAGGAACCTCTTTCTTCGGTATCGGTACTCCAGAAGAACGTGGCTCCAAATATCTGGAGGCAAATCGAAAGTACAAGATATTCGTGGACTACGGTACGGCTCCAACTTCCAATCTTAAATTACATGGAGTCGTCTCATTTGGGCCTGGAGGAGTGCGAGTTGGAGGATGTCGGCGGATCGACGAAAAGCATGCCATTCAAGAGGCTGTTGATCTGGCAAAGACAGCTGAACAAGTCGTGTTGTGTGTTGGATTAAGTGGTGAGTGGGAAAGCGAAGGTTTCGATCGTCCACACATGGGCCTTCCGCCTATGTCAGATGAATTGGTTGAAAGAGTACTTGCTGTTCAGCCAAATGCGGTGGTTGTTGTGCAAAGTGGAACACCTGTGAAGATGCCATGGGTTCAAGATACTAAAGCACTGCTTCATGCCTGGTATGGTGGAAATGAAACAGGAAATGGCATTGCGGATGTCATCTTTGGAGATGTTAATCCGGTAAGTACTGGGAACTCTCAGCATTGACATCTGCTAATATCATATTTCAGTCCGGAAAGTTACCTCTCAGCTTCCCGGAAGATATCGAACAAAATCCAGCATACCTGACTTATCGCTCAGAAAGAGGCCGAGTACTGTACGGCGAGGATATCTACGTGGGCTACCGCTACTATGAGAAGACCAAAGTAAAGCCACTGTTCTCTTTCGGCCATGGCCTCTCATACACTTCGTTCCGTCTTTCGGATCTTTCCGTATCGCAGCCTTTGAAAAGCTTGAACAAAATCAAGGAAGAAGTATTGGAAGTTTTGGTGTCAGTTGAGAACATCGGGTCCTGCAGTGGCGCAGAAACTGCACAGGTCTTCATCTCACCGCCGTCCAGCTCCAGCGTTGCACGTCCTGTCAGAGAGCTTAAGGGCTTCAAGAAAATAAAGCTGGAACAGGGCAAAAACCAAGAGATCCTAATTACCATCCCACTAGCTCTAGCGACCAGTTTCTGGGACGAGGCTCGCTCGGCATGGCTTAGTGAAGCGGGTGAGTATACCGTCAGTGTCGTTGGCACTGGAGAGGGGAACTGGCTTTCGAAGACCTTTACCATTGCCCGCACTAGGGAGTGGAATGGCTTATTTGGGCCTGCTATACATGCTCCTACTGTGCATGTCAATGGCAATGGAAAGTAGAATCGCAATTATACAAGAAGCAGCTCGGGATTTGGTATTGTTTAACAAGTCATATTACGATAAGGGAATCTATAAATCATTAGAAAAATAAGATCTTACGTGGGTTATATTATTTGCCGCAGAAGTTTATCTACATTGGAAAAAACGTTCACACTGCGTTCGAGTACGGCTTTTGCATCGCGGCCTCTCCTGCAACTTCTATCTATAGTCCAGGGCTTTTATGCAAATCGACCTCATTCAATGCTTGAAAAGCTTAGCGCGAAGATTATTCCAGCGCAGTTGAAAGCAAGTATCAGGACGCTCACCGCTGAACAAGGCGATTATATATCTAGGGGGTGAACAAATAGTGAAGCGCTGTGCCGCATGGAACAAGCAAAAGGGGGACGAGAGTTGAGCCATCAAATTAAAGTGAAGCCGTCGTTCTCACCATAGAGGTACACTGGTGCTTATGCAACTTCTAAGGTTGCCTCATCACTCCGTGACGTCGTCTTTTGCTTGAGAAAAGAAATCTGCTTGGGGATTACGTAGGGATTTTGAGTGGGCGGAGGTGTATAAAACGACGATCATCACCCACCCGGGTTGTGGGCCCTTCGTACCCTTCTGTTGTTAATTAAGCTTTATCCGAAATCTCACATCGACTTTATTTTAAGTTCAATCTGAGTAGCGAGCGAAATTCTCAAGGACTTGCCCCAAAAAGTATCTTGAGAGTGGAGAATGAAGCACAGCATTTGAGATTCGGTCCCCTGTCCCGTAAGCACTTTATGCTACCTCAACCCATGTCTATTGCCACAGTAGCAGGAGTGAAACCGGTATCTCAAATTTTGCTTGGATTCAGATTCTCTTTGATGTGAAACTGATCACAGGGAGCTTGGAAGTGCTACAAGCCGTCGTGGCGCAGCGTATTCTTACAATCATTTCTGAAATTTCCTTGATCAATGTATACTTGACAATTGTTTCCTAGCCCTGTCGCCAAGATGGAGATATTTCAGTGAAGGAATGTGGATAATATTCGGGACCAGATAAAGCAACATCGCGACCAAGAACTTGCAATCGGGATGGAAGGCCCCTGCCTGGATTTCATGTACTTGCTTAGTTACCACCAGATCGACCCACTTCATGCGACTGATGTCAATCATCAAGTCGTTGCATACGCCACCCCAATATCCGACAGCCCATTGCCTGCGCTATTCACAAGATAATCGGGAAACACTCCAAAGTAGGCATATCGCTCTACATAACTTTGTTCATCCAACCATGGCAGTACCTGCTGTAAAAAGGCTACCTGCTGCGCATCTGACCCATAGCACTCAAATTCCGTGATCCAGATTGGCAGATTCAGCGTCTGATATGCCTCTGTAACGTTGCCTTGGAACCACTCGGGACCACTCTGTCCATCGCCTGGGTCGCAGTCTTGGTACCAGTGAATAGCAGCAAAGTCGAAGTGGCATCCAGTGCAATTTCCTAAGAAATACTGCGTCCATTGGGCCGTGTCATAGTTGCCTCCGGAAGAAGAGCCGACATTATTCCATAGAACATTCGGCATGCTAATATTGACTTTCCCAGCAAACGGCTCCATGTATGTCTTATACCCCGCAGCAGCATTAGCAGGCAAAATATTAGCAGAGCCTGAGTAAGTTAGGTCTGGCTCGTTGAAGCCGAGAATGTTCAAGGTGCCTGCAGTGTCGACCGCGGCAGTCCAGTCTGGGTCGGAGCCGCTGGGGAGGCCCCAAAGCATGGGAACACTGCGTCACATTGTCAGCACCCGCCTTGTCTTAAAGATAGCTGCTTGCGACTATACAATTCAAAGTTTGATCCTAGGCCCCAGGATGGATATCCCCAGTCATAACCCCACGAGACCTTAGGGTATCCCGCAAAGAGGTTGGCGTAAGCGGCATTGTTGTTGGGGTTGTTGTTGTTGTATGCTAATCCACGCTTCGCGACGTTGGTGGCAGCGGACCGCTTTGCACTGTCGGAGTGGCTTGAGTGGCCTTTAAAGTTCACCCATTTGGAATAGTTATGGAGCACTTTATCGACGATAGCCTCCACCGCAGGGATCTCAAACTGCTCGCCAATCACGAGTAGCGGCAAAACAGAGAGCACTAGTGCACGCGGGAGAATCATTGCTCGAGGCAGTCAAAAACTGACGATTGAATTTTTGGACAGTGAGAACAATCAGATCCAGAAGGAGGAAGCAGGTAGTCTTATACATATATGACCATCCCCCTGCTCAATTCTTGCTTTACTCTAAAAGGGATACCCCAGGTTCACTTTCAACCTAGTATTAGACTTTCATTCTTACTAGCTGCTTTGAATCTGTTTTCGAAATCTGATCAGGGATAGCTAGTAGCGGAATACTCGCGGAGTGTCGGGGCAAGTCTCCTTTGGCCAAATCTGGCCAATGGAGTCACCCAATAAATCCGAAATGCTGCAGAACATTCGATTTAGGCAAATGGCTTACTCTGCAAAGTCCGAGGCTAAGTAGCTTGAAGCAGACAGCTCGCGGAGTGTCGGGGCAACCCACCTTTAACCACATCAGGCTAATGGAGTCAATCAATAAAATTCAAAATTCCGCAGAGTATTGAATCTGAGGAAATGACACCCTCAAACCCGGTCAATGAGGGGTTTCGCAGAGTTATTAGTGTAGGGTCGGGGCGTTGAAGTCAATTTTAGACTAAAGGGCGTTTGAAAGAACAATCAATGTAACACAATATATTTTGAAGGTTGGGAATAATTGGCGAGGGTAAGAAATAGCGGAAGTCAAATAAACATCATATGCGGGGATTGGCTGTGACCTAGTCATGCAGGGGCATGCACGTATATTGCCCTGGCAAAATGCTGAACATTGCCGGCAATTACCCGCATACGATTGCATGAAACGCGGGGGAAAATCACAAGCCTCCTTTACTCCCCACTCTAGATCCTCATATCTGCCTTACCCTCGCTTTTTGAGTTGGGAAAGGTGCCATTTGCCCCACTGCAGAAATTGCCGATGATACCCAACAACGGCATAAGTCCCGCCTGAAGGATTACTGAAGAAACGCTCAGACTCGCTTTGGAACAATTTTGGCCTAACTTGGTTAGATCTTAAACTGGCTTCGAACTGAATCTGTACCGTGCGCAGAATTGTCTTACTCGCGTATCATTTGTACTCGGGGTTATTGAATTAATGGCATCAACACGACCTTCCGAGATTCCGCATGAGCATACTTTCCACATTATGTGCTGTGATGAAATTGTCATAGCTTGTTTACATTCTGGTTCTCTACTGCTGCCGGTCAGTGAGTCCTAATGGCTTAGCTTTCCCCACACATCCCCGCGCTAGAGAGGTCGGAGGGACTCATCTCTGATGAAATGAGGAGATGATTGGCGGATAGCCTCAGTGTTCTTGGACCATCGTCACGAATCTGGGGCAGAATATCATCTTCTGGCCGTCTGGTGCTCTATTTCTCACCCAATCACTGGAATTACTGGGATTGGTTGCTGAGAATACGGGTCGAATGCTATGTATCGTACACCTGCGATATATAAGAACAGTGATGTTTCCCTGAAATCATTCACATGGTTCTAAGCAAGCTTCTGGGCACCAACAAGTCTCAGTCTTCCATCATGTTACCCTACAAAGCTGTCCTGTTTGCCCTCTTCGGGGTGGCCTTGGCGGGTCCCATGGAGAAAAGAAGCTCTAGCTGGTCTTTCTTGGGCTGCTATACAGATAACGTCTCGGGAAGATCCCTGGCGGAGGGTATTCCTGCTCCTGGAGGGGCGACCAATATGACCGTACAGAATTGCCAGGCCGGCTGTCAGGCTTTGGGGTTCACTCTGGCTGGGCTAGAGTACGCTGATGAATGCTGTAAGTCCTATGATCCTCTTATATCCGCATCAACTAATTTGATCATAAGATTGTGGCAATACCGTGCAGAATGGTGGTGGTCCGGCCTCAGATGGAAATACCGGCTGCAACATGGCGTGTTCTGGGAATTCCGCCGAGACTTGTGGAGGGCCCAATCGCCTGGATATGTACCAATATGGTACTGCTGTATCCACCACTACATCTACTACCACGGCCGCGTCAACCACTCATACAACTGAGGCTGCCACATCTACAGGTTCATCCAACTACTGGTACGAGAATATTGAACACCAGGGAATATCCGCCTTTGGGCCCTCTGGATATAAGGTCTATCGAAATGTAAAGGACTATGGCGCCACGGGTATATCTCACCATCTCAATTACATTTGAATCGAGGCTAAACTTTTTTTCACTAGGAAACGGTGTGACTGATGATACGGTTGCCATCAACGCTGCTATCAGCGATGGCGGTAGCTGTGGTGAGGGCTGTTCATCCAGCACCACCACTCCGGCAGTGGTATATTTCCCAGCGGGAACCTATTTGATCTCCTCATCCATTATAGACCAGTACAACACGATCTTGTTGGGGAATCCAAACAGCCTACCGACGCTAAAAGCTAGCTCTGGCTTTTCTGGCTTTGGCTTGATTGATGGAGACAAATACTATACTGCGTCACTCAATTGGGGCTCAACAAATGTTTTTTACCGCCAAGTGCGTAACTTTATCCTAGACATGACGAGTATCCCTGCTACCTCCTCGGCTACTGGAATTCATTGGCCCACGGCCCAGGCAACGAGTCTGCAGAATCTGGTATTCAGGATGAGCTCGGCATCGGGAACGCAGCACGTTGGTGTTTTTTGTGAATCGGGTGCGTTGAACATCTACGCTTTTGGGGCAATTCCATTAATAAAACTTACAGGTTCCGGTGGTTTTGTCACCGATCTAACTTTTAACGGCGGCTTATATGGCATCCAGGTCGGCAACCAGCAATTCACTATGCGCAACTTGGTTTTCAACAACTGCGTCACCGCTATCAATCAGCTGTGGGACTGGGGCTGGGTGTATCAAGGAATCACCATAAATAACTGCCAGACTGGCATTGACATGTCCACGGGTGGGTCATCCGACCAGGGGGTGGGCTCAGTGATTATTGTGGACAGCACCATCACCAATACACCGGTGGGAGTGCTCACAGCATTTACTGAAAACGTGGCCAATAATGTGGCCAACGGCAGTCTCATTATTGACAACAGTATCTTCAGCAATGTCCCAAATATTGTCAAGTCTACCTCCGCAGGCACCGTTTTGGCAGGTAACAGCGGCACTGTGACGGTAGCTGGATGGGGTGAGGGCAACAGCTACACAACTTCCGGCCATACACGTTTCCAAGGCTCTTTCACCCCCATAACTCGACCTTCAGCACTCCTAAGTGGTTCCAACTATTACGTTCGGTCCAAACCCCAGTATGAATCCCTCGCAGTCTCATCTTTCCAGAGCGTGCGCAGTGCTGGTGCCGCTGGTAATGGGGTCACGGATGATACGAGTGCGTTACAAAGCGTTATCAACAGTGCCACGGCGGCTGGGCAAGTGGTGTTTTTTGATGCTGGTACATACAAAGTCACCAGCACCTTGCTAATCCCTCCGGGGGCAAGATTGGTCGGCGAGGCATATTCAGTGATCATGTCCAGCGGCAGCTACTTCAACAATATCAACTCCCCCCAGCCTGTCATTCGCGTGGGTACCGCTGGACAAGCTGGTCAGGTTGAATGGTCCGACATGATTGTTAGCACACAAGGTGCCCAGGCTGGGGCCATTCTGGTCGAGTGGAACTTGGCTGCCTCCGGGACCCCCTCGGGGATCTGGGATGTCCACGCCCGCATCGGAGGTTTCGCCGGCTCCGACTTACAGGTGGCTCAATGTGAAAAGACTCCCTCTAGCACGTCTATTAACTCCGCATGCATCGCCGCCTTTATGACTCTGCATGTGACCGCATCAGCCTCAAACCTGTACCTGGAGAATGTGTGGCTGTGGACCGCAGACCACGACATCGACGACGCGTCAAATACCCAAATTACCGTTTACAATGGGCGCGGTCTATATATTGAAAGTTCCGCCGGGACATTCTGGCTGTACGATTTACCTTCACTTGTTTGTTTATCGGCGCAGTGAGCTAATGATGCTTAGAGTCGGAACGTCGGTGGAGCACCACACCCTGTACCAGTACCAGTTGGCCAACACTAAGGATGTTTTCATGGGATTCATTCAGACCGAGACACCGTATGCTTCCTTTCCATCATTTCAGTCTCAACGCCGCAGTGTGGAATTGACTAACACCCCGAACGTAGCTATTATCAACCCAACCCGCCAGCTCCGGCACCATTTACTGTGGAGTCTTCACTGAATGACCCCGAATTTTCTACTTCATGTTCTGGCCAGTCAGCAAACTGCAACGACGCATGGGGTCTCCGAATTGTGAACTCCAACAACATCCTTGTATACGGAGCAGGGCTTTACTCCTTCTTTAACAACTATGACGGCAGTAAGCTTCATTCCTTTACATGTCAGCGGACTTGGGCTCAAAATACTAACCTTCGACTAGCCTGCAATGCCCAAAATGGTCCCGAAAATTGCCAGCCAAATATTTTTGACTTGGAGGGAACTGTCAAATCAATCGATGTCTTTGGTTTAAGCACTGTCGGCGTGCAAAACATGATCAGCCAAAACGGCAACTCGCTGGCACTTTATAGTAACAACGTTGATGTCTTTACTGACACCATCTCGTTGTTCCAAATTCCGGCCTAGGATCAGTTTGAGGTTTAATTTTTGAAGGATTTTCAGTTTTCTGGTGTCTTCTTCTACTTTATGAGATATGGATTAAATTGAAGAAAAGTTTAAAGGATTAACCTTTCTTGTACCCCAGGCAACTTGAATTCTATCCTGATAACGGAAAGAGAACAAATCAATATGGTCGCATGAATTTCTTATTATGAGACTGAAGACGTCAGGTGATAAGGATCATTATCGGGAAGAAAAAGACCCGCTCTACATGACAGTAGCACAGGTTTTAGACAGGCAAACACATTTTGACCTTAACCAGAAGGAAATCAAATCCCACCATATAGAAGCCCCATGGAAAAAAAAAAAGAAAGCAACAATCAAAGAAGAGAGTGATTCTAATTACTTAGGCGCCAATACATAGCACATACACATGTAGTGCTTAAAACTAGGCTTATACTTGGGAAACAAAGCTTGCTTACCAGGATCGGATATAAATCTTGTCACCTTTTGTCTTTTGGTTCGACAAGGCATCTCCTTCAGTAGTTCCCTCGCATATGCCGCTGCCGTAGCGGCATCATATCTTTGCCATTCTTTGTTTTTGTGCGAATCAGAGTAGTCAGACAAGGGAGGATGTTCATTAAACCAGCAGCCTCCATCTCAAAGCATATTGCATCTAATTCTCGAGCAATGTTATCCCGAGTCCTCCCGTGTTTCATGACCTGGTTCCCTGAAGCGATCGCGCCGTAATGTAATATCACATCGTCTCGTTTGGTTCGTGGTACCAACTTCGAAAGGTCACAGTTATCACATCTGTCCATCGAAATGGAGAAATGTTCGTATGATGCTTGAAGCAGGCGATCTGGTAAGCCCAGGCGAGCGTAGTCGGGGTGTGTTTTCATTTTTTTCCTGCAGGACAAGAAGAATTTGACTAGGTTCCAGTTCGTGCCTAGCTCGAAGAGCCGACACAGCTGTTCCAAGCAAATGGCCAGGGTTCCTGTAGATTGCCGTTCGCTGAAACTTGCCGTCTTCGACGATTTTCCCAAGATCATACTGCATCACTCTTGTTCCTACCACGACATCGCCCAGACGAATATCGTGCTTGATTGGCACTCCCCCACCAATTCCAACCATTAGACCGACACGAAGTGATGGGAAGGTTCGTTTCATGTTCGTCATGACTTTCGCTGCGTTGTTTGTACCATACCCCTCTATCGGTAAACAGGCAATAACGATGTTGTGTTGCTTGATGCTCCCCAGTATATAGGTGTTGTCGTCTTCGTAAACGGGCAGGTTTTTGTGGATCTTGTCAAGCATCGGCTGCCATCTCTATATGCAGAACGCAGAGCCAGGCGATGGTATACTGACCGTGTCCCCGGCTAAGGAACCTGTCATAATGGGGCTTGTTGTTTGCATAACGATGAGAAGTTGACGCCATGACAAGCGTAGCATGCTGTCTGTGGTTTGTGTAGGAATACATTTTCTGACTTCCATTTGAGCAGCTGAACGAGGGGCTGCTTGCTCATCAGGTGACTTCACATCGCTTAATCAGTCAATTAGAGCATGCGAGAACCGTTCTGCGTTTTATAGACAGATCCGAGTGGCTGTTTGAATGAAAATATTTTTACTTCAAGTCTTCTTATAAATGTGACCATGATTCTACGAATGTGACTGGCCGATCAAGGATGAGAGTTGTGTGACAAGAGGGCTTAGGATGGATATCGATACACAACTATTTCTACTGCATAACCAATAACATCATATGTTTATGATGTTGGGGCCTACTATAGCAGATATTTGGCAGCTCCCCGAAAAATCACTGATTGGTCCGTGTCTGCAGAGCACTCAACATTCCATTCCGCGAACTTCAAATTAGCTTTCGGCGTGAAACCAGTACATGTATTGGATTGCATGTGCTTACCTTCTAAGGCCTTCTCTTAAAGTGCCCTCATCATGCGAGAATACCAAACGAAACCATCCAGGAGTCTTCCCATGTTCCTCTCCAGGATGAAGGAAAACACCGGCATCGACGAACCTTTGCGCCAAAGCACATTCTTGTTCCTGAGTGGGGGAACCATCATTTGAGAGGAAAGGAGAGAGATTAATGTATACAAAAAAGCCCGCATTTCTAGACAAACTCATTAATAAATCATAGCCTCAAGCTATCTCAGGAAACGAAATGTCTAGACTTACCCTCCCTTCGCATAATCGATGCCTTCTTTCTCTAGGGTGGAGGTAGCCAGTCGATAGCCTGCTGCTAGACTTTCCCGTGATTTAGCTGTAAAGCTTGAGACAAAGTTTTGGTCTTCGAGGATGGTAGTCCCAATGGTAATAGCAGCCTGGGAAGGACTGTGGAGTCGCAAGACCATTTTACATGCTTGACGAAGTTGCTCGTTTTGTGTGATCAGGAACCCAAGATGTAAACCGCCAGATGCAAAATCCTAATATCATTTAGTCCTGCATTTTTCCTGATCATGAAAATGCAATTACCTTGCTGAATCCATATAAAACATGGACAAGATTGGGGTCAATTATGTTTTTGAGGTCTAATGCAAGAATCGAAGTGAATGGTACGGCATCAGGATCACCAGAGTCAAATACACACGAAGCGTAGACTTCGTCGCTGATGAGATGGATGCTGTGTTTATCACAAAATAGTGCGATTGCCTTGAACGTATCAGTCGGATAGCATCGTCCTATTCATGCACATTAGTATTCCCTCTTTCGCTTCAATAGACCAAAAGACTTACCAACAGGGTTGTGTGGATTAACAAGAAGCACCGCGCGGATATTCACCCCTCGCTCATTAGCCTCCTGCAACGCTTGCTCATATTTCTCAACCACCGTTGGAGCGAAGGCCTCGTCGATTGTTGTATTAGCATAGACAACCTCAACACCTGCTTCAACTCCGTAGTCCAGTTCGAATCGACCATATACTGGTCTATTGACAAGAATAGCGTCCCCGCGCTCGGCCAGATTGTAACCAAGCATGCTACCCAAAGAAGTAGGGCAATCTGCAACAAAGATATGATCGGGGTTGATAGGTGTGTGAGTTCCTAGGACTCTGTTTAGATGGGCAGCGGCGACGGTAGGTAGTTTCGCATTTATAGTTGCGCTGGAGCGGTAACTGATTGAGTCCGTGGTGAAAACAACTCTTTCATTGATATACTTTACGATGTCTCCTCTCATTGGGCTCTGGCTCAACGTTAGACAATCGTTCAATTTCAAGAGAGCTTGGACTCACGTTCTCCGCCAAGCCAAAGGAGATTAATCCAGTAGGATTCGTATCCGCATCGTAAGTCGGCGTTGGGGCGAATCGCCATGGACGTCCTAGCTCAGTGACATTCTTTAGAGCCCGAGAAGAAAGCATTTTGTGAGGAAAGAGCCTTTCAGAGCTGTGGAAAATGCTTAAATTTATCCCCATACGTAAGTGAAGGCGAAGATGCAAAGAAGCGGTGTCTATCGTGACGTTTAAACTGCTCAAAATTTCTCATTCGGGCACCCGGACAATTAATATGACCCAAAATCGAGCCAATGCGCCAATGTGCCTCAATTTGCGCCAAGGGTATAGATTCAAGCTTGAGGCCGACTATCTTCAAGGAACTTTGAGTGTTGGTGGTGCAAGCGGCTAGCCACAGGTGTGCCTGGGTGTTGAGGAAAGTTCCCCGCATTAGTGGGGCCGCTGGGGTTGTTCAGGAAGAGTGGATGAGGTATCTAATGCTGACATCAAGGGAGAAGAATTTGGAGATGGGTATGTATTCGAACAAAGGGTTTCTCTAAATAGCAACGCCAACCGCTATGCTTGGATTTTTATAGTACATGTACACTACCCAGAAGGGTAGAATTTGGGTGGGCCTCAGCGCCAGCTCAACTATACCGATGCCTTGTGCGAGGCCTCTTGCGCTTGTCAACTTTCAGCTTCTCTGCCATGAAGTTCCAACACTCAATCGGTCTTCGGCCTCCAATGTATTCGCCTTTAGGTGAGAATACCTCGACCTGAGGATATATTGGGGGCTCATCTTCGGAGCCGCGCCTGTTGCGGACTTGGATGCTCACTTCAATCCAGCCACAGCCCTCGATGAGGATGTCAGCGGCCATCACGCGGTACGGCAGATAGGGTACCGGAATGCCCTTGTCTTTGACAGCCTTGGCAACCGAGGTAGGAAGATTTGAAGCGGTGATGTCCCACTGCAAGTCGAACTTGCCGGCAGAAGCGATAGTGCTGCCTGTGCCTTCAACCATTAGAACCTTGCCTCGATAAGGCTGTTGCTCGGCTTGTATCTCGATCGCCTTTGCTGTGTTCGTAATGTGAGGTTCGATCGGCACGAAAGTGGCGGCCATCACGGTATCCTCGGGATTCACAGCAGAGATACGTACTAAGCCACCGCCAAGAAGAAGGGATTGGCCGGGCTTGAGAGTACACCGCTCAGGCTTTACGCGCTTTGTCATGATCAAATCGCGTTTGTGCTCGTCAACAACGTGGTCTTCTAGCTCGCTGCGTTCCATACCCGGCAGGTCGATCATTTCACCCCGTCCACGTCCGAATGGAATGCGAATAGGCGACACTGTAGTCCCTGGCAAAGAAGACACAACTGGAAGCACTGGGTATAAATCCTCACGAGGAGCAGGCGGAAGGAGACTGTCAGGGTTGATAGGGGCTACCTGTCGCTGGGTTGACATTTCCTTTTCTCGTTTTTCCATCCACTCGGCCATATTCTCTAGCCTTCGAGAATCCTTGGGGAAACACGCCTCAATGAAGCTGCTCTTGCCCACATTGGCCTTACCGACGACCCAGATACCTCCACCGTGCTCCCGAATCTCTTCCTTGACTTGCTTGGTCCACCAACCTCGGTGTGCGCTAATCATGTGCACGTTGCCTAGTCGGACATCCTTTCCTGCTCTTCCCAAGGCATTGCGCAGGATTGAACGGACATATTCCATTTTAGAATCCACCTGCTCTTTAGTCGCTGCCAACAAATCCGATCGTGTAATGATGAAACTGATCGTAGGCATTTTCTGACCATGATGATACTTTTCAGTGGATGACCGTCGGTTTCGCGAGCGTTGCTCCTGAGCAAAGAGCGCCCAATGGATGCGGGGAACAAGAGACATGGGGAAATCAGCTGCATCCAGGATGTGGTATACTCGGTTATGCTTATGAGGTGACTCGTTGATATATTCTCGGATGGAAAGGATGGTCGGCTTAGGTGACGAGACAGCCTTGTTATGGTGTATCAGATCATGACAGCGATCGCAGACCTGGGTGTTTCGATCCGGTGACTCTAGAGCCTGAACTGAAGGGGAGACAGAAACATCATCAGAGACAGAGATATCGTCAGAGCCAGGTATATCTTCAGAAATAGGGATGTTCTCGAAGGTAGAGATATTGCTCTCTAGCAAGGCACCTTATTGATTTCCAATTAGCCAAAATGCAGACATGCGAGTTGAGATAACATACCTTGAGTTGGCAAAGGCGCTGTTGGCTCTTCAGTAGCACCAGTCTGTTCCGGCAATGGGTCACTGGCAGCCTCCTCTTCTATGACAGAATTCTCTGCCACTTCTACCGACTCCCTAGCTTCTGGCGCGACATTTTCTTTATCGGTCGTCCCTTTGTGAGAGGCGATCAACTTCCGGGTCTGTTTGCGATTTCCCCCGTAGTACCCTGGCTCTTCCGGCTCGACCGTTTGTGTAAAAGCACCACATCCAGGACAGCATACAGGAAGCACCTCGGCCAGTTCTTCAGCGGTCACTTCTTTGCGGTGCAAAGGTATGGTTGAGAAGGATCGGGGAGAAATCCGTATTTGCGTCGCGATGCTGCCGCAGCTGATTTGCGACGGTATAGTTCGTAGGAGGGGAGTGACTGTTGTTCTCAGAAGGGAAGTGCATGGCTTTGGATGCCATTGCAATGATCCAAGTCGCAGAGCTCGCGATATAGCCCCTCTGGAGCAAGGTGACATGGTGGATGTACAGGTTTGCGGAGTTCGCGCGGAGCTTTTTTTTATCGGGGCCACTTATCAGTGGCGCGCCGTGCTCCCGCCTGCCGTACAACGAATTAGATGCAAGCTTAGCATATCCAGAATTTTCTACTCTCCAGGGGACCAATTTTATTTGAATAAGTTACTGAATTGTGTTCAATTAAAGCCTCCAAGTGGCATTTGTAAAAATGACGTATCAACATCGAAAGAGCTGCGCTGAAAACCGCTAGAAACCAAGAAAACGCCATCATAATCCATGAAACAATTTTTGATATTTAAGCGCGTGCTTTGCCTTTACCCTTGGGCTCTGGTTCCTCCTCTTCTTCAGAATCGCTCATGAATTCATCATCATCGTCGAATCCAATGAAGCGACGGGGAGCAGACTTCTGGGTGGGCGCAGAAGGACCGGCAGCGCTCGAGGAAACGGCGTTTTCGTCTTCTTCCTCATCCTCATCAGAGGTAGACGAATCCATGTGATCACTTCCCTCGCTGGCACTGGTGCTCGAGCCACCCAAAATTGCATCGCGAAGGCTGTCGGTCCATGAACCATCCTTCATGGCCAATAGAACAGCCTCGCGCGCCTTCTCATTCATTTCCTCCTTATCGTCCATCCACTGACCATCGATCTTCTCCCTTCCGCCGCCACTCTTGAGCTCATCCTGGCGCTTCTCGGCCATCTCCACCACGGCTTGCCATCGTTGGCGACGTTCTTCCTTCTCCTTCTTATCCATCTCGGGCTTAACAGCAAGGTATTCGGCGAGTGACTTGGCCTCGGCCACGGTACGGAGACGGCGCCCATCCAGATTACGACTGGAGCTGTTGTTGTCGCCTTGATTGCGCTTGCGTTTGCTGGACATGCGACCACCGGCGGCACGAAGCTGAGATCCGAAACCACCCTTACCACCGCACATGGGGACGGAGAGGCGGACAGGTAGGAGGTTTGAGGCCACGGATGCGCCATCGCGAACGATCAAAGATTGCAAAGAGTCTGCTGATGGAGTAATTTGCTTGTTGTTGGTTGTTGTAAGGATGAGGGACTGTAGAGAAAGCGTCGATGGGAGGTATGAGGCAACTTTCTCCGTTAGGTCCGAGATGCTGGAGGTTGATGGCAGCGAGAATGAGACGGTGGACGGCAGCGACAGGCCGGGGAAGGATGAAAGCAAGATGTTCACGTTTGACGACGCCATTTTGAATGAAGTGCTGCGAGTGTAACTTCAAAATATGAGGTATATGACAGTTGACGGCAGGATTATAATGCCGCAGCGATAAGGTGGATGAGGCTGGACTTTGACATCAACAGTCATGTGATGTTGAATAGATGACTCAGCATGGACAGTCACGCATGAGCATGGATGTCATGTGACTAGGGCGGTAGCCCTAGCGAGGACCCCGAAAGAGCAATATCGCACTTTTCTTCGTAGCGGAGCTCCACTCTCTAACCTTTTAAATCACCCATCTGTTCTTTGTCAAAGCGATTCCACGAATTGCGCCAGGAACTCGCGACAATGTAAGATTGCGCCCCAATGCTCTGGTTCATTGACAGCGACTGACATTCTCCCAGGCTTATCCCTAAGGACGACCGCAAGAAGATCCACGAGTACCTCTTCCGCGGTATGTGACAACACCCACGCCGGCGCTCTGACCTTGAACCGACGGTTTTGCGAAAGAGCGACCACGATTTTCGAACAATTGACTGACTTTACATTTACAGAGGGTGTGCTCGTGGCCAAGAAGGACTACAACCTTCCCAAGCACGGTGACATTGACACCAAGAACCTTTTCGTACGACTTCCCATATGCACCCTACCGTTGGGATCTTTACTAATACCCCTCGCTCTACAGGTCATCAAGGCTCTTCAGTCTCTGGACTCCCGCGGTTTCGTCAAGACCCGCTTCTCGTGGCAGTACTACTACTACACCCTCACCCCCGAGGGTCTCGACTACCTGCGCGAGTGGCTCCACCTCCCCGCTGAGGTTGTCCCTGCTACCCACATCAAGCAGCAGCGTTCCCACGCTCCTCCCCGCGGTATGATGGGTGGTGAGGACCGTGAGCGCCGTCCCCGTGCTCCCCGTGAGGGTGGCCGCGAGGGTGGTTACCGCCGCCGCGAGGAGGGTGGTAAGGAGGGTGGTGCCCCCGGCGAGTTCGCTCCTTCCTTCCGTGGCGGTTTCGGCCGTGGCCGTGGTGCTCCCCAGTAAGGGATAGGCCCTGGTGTCCTGTCATCCACTGCTCGGTCATCCTAGGAACAGATGTGGCCGGTTCCCGGTTTGGAGTAGGACCTCCAGAGATGGAGTGTTCCTGAAACGAACTGATGCTAGGCGCATCTTTTTACGACCTCTCGTTTCTGAGGCTTATGGATACAGGAAAATAAAAAAAAGCGGAAACGATGTCACTGGCTTTATGATTAGCTAGATTATTCAATGGCAAATCATGATTCGGTGCCAACTCTGTGTCTCAGTAGATTCGTAGTATTCATTGTAGACATTCTATATAGGCTAGTATGCTGCTCCATGCGCCACTAACTTTTAGTGAACCTCTTTCGATCATATCGTACCACAGCTTGCAGGATAACCGACGCTCCAGTTGCGCAATCATCCGCAGAGCAGAATTCCTCCGGGTGGTGGCTCAGGCCATCCTTACATGGAACGAAGATCATACTAGTCGGCACTCGCTTGGAGGTGAAGACACTGTCATGACCAGCGCCACTCATGATGGTCCTCACTAAGGATTTAGTGTCTGCCACAGGCTCATCCGCCACAACAGCGTGGGCAGACTCCTGAACGCAATCAATGCAGTCCTCGTGGAACTTTATAGCAGGCGAGTCAAAGTCAAGCGTCCACTCAACACGGCAAGGCTTGCCAATACCAGCGCCTTCTGCAGCAGCAATAGCATCAAAATCGCTACGAAGCTGGTTCTCAACCTCAACGACTAAAGCACTTTCAGGTCCACGAATATCCAAGCTGAAGCTGACTGTTCCAGGAACAGTGTTCACACTTCCAGGCTTCGCCTCGATAATGCCAACGCTAGCAAGACAGCTTTTGGATGCAGCGACCTCTCGTGCGCGAACCATCATTTGAGCAAATGCATACAATGCATCGGCACGGTGCTCAAATGCCGTCGTGCCTGTGTGCGTGTCTCGTCCGATCACATTCAACCGGAACCAGCGGTAGGCCTGCACTGCAGTAACGACTCCAACTCGTTGGCCAGCGGAAACCAGATGGGGTCCTTGTTCAATGTGCACTTCAAAATGAGCTGCCATTGGTGTGGTTTTATATGAGCAGGGCACGCTGCCAAGATAGCCGATCTTCTCCAAGGCACTCTTCATAGTTTCGGGAGCCGAGCTAGCTGTTGGCAGCGAAGCTACTGTGGGTACTTCCTTGAGCTCATGGGCCTGTGATAGTGGAATGAACTCGGCCCATACGCCAGACGCGATCATGCTGATAGGGAATCGGGCTCCTTCTTCACTATTAAGAGTCAGCGAATCTACCATACAAGATTCTAATCCATTATCATACTTAGTCCAGTTAACGACGCCTACACCTCCTTCGGTTTCCAGACCCAGTTCGTCCATTCTCTTTATCGCTTCCACGCCAGATAAAACTCCCAGAATTCCATCATAACGTCCTCCTGTTGGTTGTGTATCCAGATGACTGCCGATGAAAGTAGCTGGCACGTCTGTCCTTCGGCCAGGACGGACTGCGAATATGTTGCCCATCTCGTCGATGGTAATCTGACACTTAAGGTCTTTCATAGTTTGAATGAACCAGTCCCGGACGCTCTTGTCCTCTTCAGATAAGGCGAGACGCTGCATTCCGGTATCGGTTGACCCCCTGTAGAGCCACACGAGCCATAGTCAGCAAGGCATACACTAACTCGCGTTGATGAATACTTGAGGTTGCAAAGCTTGCGGAAGTCAAGCTATAAGAACACTTACTCCCCCCAGCGAATGCCAAACCCCCATTTACATGACTCATGTAGGTCAATTGCAAGTCTCTCCTTGTTGGCTCTCAAGGCTGACACATCAGCCTCCGACATTTCTGTTGTCAACATGGCGCGGTATACTGTTGTGGAAAAGGGTTTGTAGAGATGTGGAGGAAATGATTTCTTGATTGGTGACGCGCGTCGGATATTTCTCAGGATCGTACGTAAACCTCGCACAGCAGCCATAGTGAAAGAGTAATGATATTTATAACTCCAAATCGCAATGCTGTGGTCCTTGATAAGGAAGCGGGGAACATAGCGGACAAAGTCCGCCCTTGATAGCATCTGCCGACATGCCGATATACATGCCCCACATTGGGGTACTTGAGTGGAGTCATCCCGATTGCTTGTATGGCACAAACAACTAAAGACCGCGAAAATTCACATTCAAGCCTAGCATGATCTAGACGGACGTTGCCATCTTTGAAATTATAAATCCTTGACGTTCTGTCTTCCCCTCAATCAATCCTACATGCTTTTGCTGTGTCTAGTATCGCTATAAAAATAATATTTATCATCCCTCCACAGGCCCCGGGCTAGCCATGCCTACTATCTCCAATACCCACGGGCATGATCACCATGACGCAAAATGCCTGTTGCCCAAATGAAATTCGGGAATTATACATAAATATATTTACGAGTGATGAAACTATTCTATGGACATTTTCAGGAATCTTACGTCATCGCATCGCTTCCAGGGCTGAAGCATATCAAAGGGTGCTGGTCCTTTTGATGTATCTCTCTTCGAGCGACAAAGGAGCCAATAAATCATTCGTCCTTGCTTCCCATCATGAAGTCCATTTGCCATTCTCAAATCGAGTAACGTCCACTTGCATGAACTTTGCACAATTCGATCATGTCAACATCAAATATCAACTTCGGGAGGTCGAGAGCGGTGGTGACTTTCCACATTGCGACGGCGGATATTCCCAGCGGGGCTCTTGTGTTGGCCTTACAAAATCACTGCCGAGTACTGTATTTCGACAGTTCGTCAGGCTATCCAGGCTATCTCTTTCTTGGGGAAGGGCGAATACCATTGACTTGAGTACCATTGAATTGACGTCTTGGAAGTCCAAAGGGCCATCACCTGCATTACGACATGCTGGGAACTGTCTCACATTTTTGTCAAGTCATCGCATTCATGTCAATGGTAAGCACGTCTTTTCCTACAAAGAGATTTAATTTGACCAATCTCTTCCTTTCTGCTCTCCAACCACCCTGGAAAGTCTCTCACGAGCCGAGGATTTGGGCTGGGAAAAGACAAATGAACTGTTAAGATAGCAATATCAATAACATCTTCTTTGGTTATCATGATACTCAGAACGGTGAGACATACATCAGTGAGAAACTGTTGCCTATATCAGGAGGAGATATAGACAGCAGTATATAACTACTGAGTGGGCGCATGTGTCTAAAGTTTCTAAAACAAAGCTGCATATCTGTCTGATTTGTTACGTGTTATGAAGACGACTAAGAATTGAAACAATCTTGTAGTTTCTCAATTCGCCTAATCCAATCTGGAAGGCTGCAAAATAATCTCTGACACTCGATTGAAACGGAAAAATATGAAAAACTCAAATATGGAAGGATCTTGGCAGTTATTCCCCCATTCTTCCCCATGTCAGTATCGGTTTGGTATGGGGCAACTACTCAAGTCGCAGCATTAGACAGAGCAACGCTAGCATGTTTTTATGTTCAGGTTATACACACCTCAGACACCTGCACTGTGGGACTTAAAACGAGCTGACCGTCTACCATCTTTGCCTCTCTCTCTTGTATGCTACCAACCCAGTTCGGAATAGGAGCTACTACGACCACGGTTTCGAGGATCCCCGATGAAGACTCCTTGCTCGGAGTGGAGATCTGATAGCGGCCCGAGTACGCCACCGAATGACGCATCGCATCGGCCAACTCGGGATCTGTGCCGCTATGAGGTCCGGATTCTTCGAAGAGGCGGGCTCCAGGCTCCATGATATGGGCCGACATGAAGCCATCAGGCGTGAATATCAGCATGCCTGTGGCATTTGGTCCAAGGGGAAACTTTGGAGGTTTGGCGGATGTCCTGTAATCCAGGAGAGTCCAGGTCCCAATCATTTCCTGCTGAATTGACGAAGCTGACGACGCCATTATGGTAATATGTAATCCGGAGCAGAAATAAAAATTTTATAGCAAAGTGACTGATGCATGTGCTCTTTGAATAGTGATGTTTTTCGATATCTTTCGAGTCCCAGGTGACAAGTCGTTAGTTGTATAGATCAAAAGTGAATCGGCATTAATGAAGGTGGGGTTATAGTGGGGCGGCAATGCACCTCGAGCCCTAGTGGTCTAAGGAAGCGCAGATAACCTGCAGAATCGGGGGCACCAAACAGACCCCCCGCGGGTGGCGCCGAAATTATACCAGGCATTGGAGTAATTGAACTCTTTATGAGGTTCACAGTCTATCAACTTGCATCTAAAGTAGATCACGTCTGTTTTTGCATCTTTGCATGGCGAACACTGAAACAATAAGATCAACAGTCCTCCTTCAATTGATAAGACTCGTGTCGCTACTCAGCTACGTAGCTTACAGATGGCTCCTCATCATGCAGAGAAAAAGTCAACAAGTGGCCTGATGTCAATTCCCCGACTTGGTGACATATTTTAGCATGCCCAGGTGGAAAGGGCTGCTATTGTTCTTGGCACAACAATATGAGTTTCTGCACCGTTAAATGTTTATGATACGGATTGAGCAACATATAATTCCTTTTACCAGGAGACTTGGCGCTAATACTTCTTGGGGAAGCAGTAAAGGGGAAATCCTCCGAAGCCATAGAGGAATATACGGTGCATCCTGACCCTTGCGGCCAATCAAATGACTTCTAAGCGTATTCGAGAAATTTCTGGGAAGAAAAGGCCCGATGGTTACTCAAGTGCCAGGCACTATCCAGCGCATTTGAATGTAGGAAGCCCGGTTAGGCAATGAATCAGGCATCTTTTAGCATACAACTCGAAAAAGACGAGTATCCTCTCAATCGATTCTCAGTGCCTATTTCTTGTCCGTTTGATAAGATTCAACTCACAATTCTAGTCTTCGTATCTTGATTGCATACTGACTGCTTTATTCAGCCGATTTATGAAAATGTATAGCGAGATGGTGACGTTTGCTGTTGAGTCCAATACCTGTACGACTTCCAAGGATTCGCTTCTATTCAGCCTAGCTCATTTAAGTGGTCTAGTTTCCCGAGGTCTATGAATACCCCAGAAAGCTAGCATAGTTTCCAAAGCAGCCTTCAGCATTGGAAACTAAATTCGATTCATAAATTTTCCACTTGTTCATTCGCATTGGAATGGCTTGCCTTCCCATGTTCCGGGTTAATAACACTGCAGCTGAATTTGGCCTAATACCGAAAGCTCCCTCGACTCAAAACAAAACAGGCGCCAGCTAATTTAAGCGCTTCACCGATGAGGGAAAGACTAACATAATTCACTGACTCGAAAATGATGTCCATTTTCTGGTTTAATTAACAACTTACACCCCTTTTCACCCCAGATTCTCGCCAGAACTAAAATAGCATGACTACAACCCGCATTTCTATACAGTCAATTCTCGCTATGACGCAAAATAATCTTTCCGTACACTGATTTCTTATTTACTTCCATCTCGCCCAATCATGTTGATAAATGGTCGTAGCACGTGACGGAGACGGACGAACGATTGCGGACGAACAAGTCGGAGCAGTCGGAGCAGTTTGAGCAGTCTGAGAACTCAACATCAAAAAACCAGGCAACTTCGAAATGGTGTCCCTCGAAACTGTGCAGAAAAATAACTCCAGCTTGAAGGACTTCGGTCCGAATCTTGTGGCAGTGTTTGGTAAACCTAAATCCACTCCTATCCGATCTTGGTCCCTACAAACCCCTGGGGAACAGCTTAATAGACAAAGCTGACATGAATGCTTATAGTGGGAGGAACCAGCGGAATAGGTGAATCAACAGCTCGTGCATTTGTACGAGAGACTGAATCATCCCGGGTCTATCTCGTCGGGCGTAACGAGACCCAGGCTTCCAAAATTATCGAGGAGCTCCGCCAGATCAACCCAGATGGTCAGATTAGCTTCGTGAAATGCGAAGCTGCGCGGCTGCACAGTGTTGATGAAGCATGCAAGTCAATCCAGGAAAAGGAAGAGAAGGTGAATTTGCTATTCATGACAGCTGGTATGATGACGACAAAGGGGCGAGATGGTATTTGCAACGCATCCTATACCAAACACTGCATTTACTAATCTTTCTAGAAACCGATGAGGGGCTGGATAAGAAGTTAAGTCTCCATTATTACTCTCGGGCGCGTTTCGCTATGAATTTACTTCCCCAACTGAGCAAGGCTGCGACTGTCAACGAGTCAGGTAAACAAGGCCTGGGCAGCAACTTGTCCCGTGTTGTTTCCGTTCTATCGGCTGGTGATGAGATTTCTCTTCATCTAGATGATCTGGATCTGAAGACCCACTATTCACTACGGAACTGCGCTGGCCATGCCATCACCATGAACAGCCTGCTTATGCAAGAACTCGCTGCAGCCCATCCTGAGATCAGTTTCATCCACGCTTATCCTGGTGGCGTGAAGACTGGCCTTATGCGGGAGTTCCACCCCATTACTCAGTTAGTGATCAACGCTTTGACAATATTTGCCAAACCGTGGATGGTGCCTCTGAATGAGAGCGGCGAGCGACATCTGTATGCCTCGACTAGTCCGCAATACCCGCCCCAAGCGTCAGGCGATGGCGGCGTGGCAATCGGGGCCGATGGCAAGACTGGGAGCGGGGCGTATCTGTTAAGCTGGGATGGTTCGATCACAGGCAATAAGAAAGTACTTGAGGCGGCACGCCAGAATGAAACGGGCAAATTGGTGTGGAAGCACACTATGGAGATCTTTACGTCGATCTGTGGCAAGTGAACCACGTCATTTTTTGCCCACCAACTCCACTCAAGCACTGAATATTTCAGTTTACAGATGTGTTCGTATTATAATATAGTATGGATTCATCTTTCAAATGGTCTACTTAGTATAAAATTCAGGCAGTCCCAGTCGATGTGGTTGATCAAATACCCAGATCACGTGTATTCGCCTCTGGAACGGTAATCTTGGGAAAGCACGGATGAATCCATGGATGAAAAGCGTGTATTTCTGAAATCCCTTACCATTTTCTGCATGTGCGTATTACAGTATCGGATAATCTGTGCATCCGGGGTTCAACAACCCTCAGCGTTTAATGGATCGAGGTAGATTTTTCAGAGGCAAATCGGATTTTTCCACTCCGAAAAGATAAAACTATCGCTTTATGCTCCCTGCCGTGATCTGTACAGCCAGACCGAAGAGTCTTGCTGCGGATTCGAGCGCAGGACAACTCGATTGAACCTCGTTTACGAAGAGACCACCCCTTGACTCACACACATATTCGCCACCATGTTTGAAGACTTCTCCTTTTCCTCGCCGTCGTCGCGACCGACCCGGTTAGCGCTGAATACAGAAGACCGGCTCATGATCGATGGAGACAGCAACTTGATCTCACCATTATCGTCTCGCTGCCCGTCGCCGACATCGCACCGCTTCCGCACACTCTCACGATCCCGGTCTTCATACTTTCGTTCCCAGCAACAACCACCAACTTCCGTGCCTTTTCCTTACGAATCAAAGCGTCTTTCCATCGCAACATTGACACAGAAACTTCACGAACATACCCTCCAAACCCCGAATGGCGAATCTTTCCCTGACCGGACCCGGTTCGGTCATGATGGACGGCGCTCCGGTCAGTACACTGGTTACGTCCTCACACCACCAGACACAGACCACGATGACGACGGTCTCCTCTCCTCGCCATCCCTCTGCTCAAACCCAAGTCCTACCTCTATTCCCCCGGACTTCCCCCCGCTAGACGGCCCAGACTGCCCGAACCCACAGCCAGACCTCCTCAGCATCCGCAGCCAACGACAGCAGATCTCCCAGTTACAATGTAACAAAGGAGATATCGATGCTGTCCGCCGCGCAACAGATGATTCATTTGGCTCTATTCCCTGTGAAGACGATTGCCACCCAAGTTCTCTACCGCCACGTCCCTCGCCACGACGGCGAGCATTGACGCAGCACCGCAGTAGATTTGGGCCTGCGGAGTCGTTGGAGGCGCGGGGGAGGCGGAAGAGTAGCTCGAGTGCTCTACATTCGCATCGGATTGAAAAGAGCCATCATCCTTCATTTGCGGGGAGGGATGCGTCTAAACGCAATGAGCAGGGGCTTAGGCGAAAGAGTATGGTTACTGCAGCGCTGGCGTCTGTAGTTGAGAGGCCTTAACCTTATCTTGGCTAAGCCTATTTGACTTCGTTGTATATACTTCAAAATTGATACCCGTTTATAGACTGATTGTTTCCTGTGATTGATTTGGCTCTACTGGACCAACTTCTATGATATGCTTTGCGGAACATAAATTTGCAAATCCTTGATGTCTTGATTTGAGGAAGGTCAAGAATTCCATACGTTTTCGCAAGTGCTTAGAAGGATCAGGGTGGCTGGGACTACTAGGCGTAAGCGGCGACTTCTAGATGTAGAGCCCCTTACCTGCTCACCAGCATTCCCAAGCCCACGAGCACACCCTTGGTCTAAGGTTTCTCCCGAGTCAAAGTTAGAAAATGTCAAGGGATGCGAAAACCCCCTTGTGTATCCGAAACATCCAGCCACAACCCAAATCCTGAAACTTTCATCAGAACTACGGATACAAACGACATGCTGCAAGATCCCGTAACCTACCAGCCGATCTACCCAGTATCTCGATCCATTCTAAATCGTTCTATGTGGCGCATCACAACGTGGGGATATATTCTCGCTTTGACTAGCTCATGTACTATCCCGATGCCGGTAGTGGGTCAGATCAATTCAACACTAGTGATCGGGAGTTCGTGAAGATTCGGCAACTAGATGTAGACTGAGACCCGGCTTTCTGGTCCCTGGGATAAAACCTAGTTCAGCAGACGGATACGTTCATAGTTTAAGGGGGTGGTTACAGTTGGACAAGACTATTGAAATAGGTAATGAAGATGATTTGATTGTCCTGTATCAGGACCAGTGATATGGAAAAAGTTCCAGACTCAATCAAAGCGAAATAAAAGAGGTAATGGAAAGGTAAAATAAGAATACAGGTCAGAAGAAGAAAGAAAAGAAGAAAGAAAGAGGAATAATGGACGCCGCCATATATCATGATATCATATCCATTGTAAGCATTCAGTTTCCAGACCGCCAGCTGAAGAACTTTCGTAGCTTTTTTCGCTGGGATTGCTTATCGCCTTTGCTCTTCCCATCTCCAAGGGAAACAGAGCTCTGGAACCTCCGCTGCAAGTCGTCCAGCGCACGAGCAGGATGCCCGCGGAGGCCCATATTCTCGGCGTTGGCCGCGGCCAGCACGGATTGAACATGGGGGTCGTAGTAGATTGGGTCGTAGGTGTCGTGATCGTGATTTGAGTAAGCGGGGGACATAGTGTTGGCAATGTATGTGTCGTAAGGAGAAGGAGGGGTAGTGTCGTGTTCATGTTCGAAGTCGGTTTCACTTTCATCGTGAATAGATGGGAGTTCAAGGAAGATGCCTCGATCTCGGCCGTCGACCTGCGACCATTCGCCGTTGGCGTAGACAGGGGAGCCCGGCTCGCCGATTTCGCTTTCGCCCGAGTAGTAGGTTGCTGGGGAAGATGAGAGTGGTCGTGGGGACTCGGGGTCGGAGGGTAGATCCTCTCTTTCTTCTAAACGCTCTGAGATCGATGCCATGCGTGGTCGTGGGGACTCTTCTCCGACCATGTCATTGTGTAATTGTTTTGACTCGTACCCTGAGGCCCAAGAGGTGTGGTTGGAGGAGTAGTCGGAGAATGAGCTGGATGGGATGTCGGCTGTTTGCCTCTTGGGTGTAGAATAGCTTGATGAGAAAGGGGTGTATAAAGATTGCGAAGAATAATGAGATGGCAATGAGGCATCTGTGAACTGGGAGAGGGAGGACCGAGGATCCAGTCCCTGGTCTATAGAGAACGTGGAGACTTTGGAATCCCGGATTTGGTCCGAGAAGATGGAACAGCTATCGACATCTTCAATGAAGGAGACGATACGGGCGAAGTCGAGCGACTTTCGCGGGTTCAGGATCTCAAAGGAGGCCCCGCCATGCGAGATGGTGGCGGCTGTGGTGGCCAACATCGGATCTGATTTCTGGGGGCGAGACAAAGGCGAGTTTTGAGCCTGTCCCCGCGCCTCAAGCTTCTCACGAAATGTGTTCTAGAAAAATGGTCAGAAAGGGCGGATAGGGACTATTTATTCGGGTTTCAGTTTACTCACCAATCGTTTCCTGTTGGGTCTGGGACGGGTCAGATGCTCCGAGACAAGGCTAACTCGTGGCCCCTGGGTAGGATGCGCACCTGCAGCTTAATTAGAATTTGTGTTTAATTTGATGCATTATGTCTGCAGGTGGGACTTACCGGCCTGTGGCTGACCAGATTCTGAAACCTCTTCTTGCTCGCTTCGCGCAGAGAGAATACTATGCGAACACGATGGCGAGAGCGGTGGTGGAGTTGAAGCTACCGACGACGCCGTTGATGCTGCGTAGGGAACGGTAGCGATATCTGAAGGACGGTTTAAATTGCTTGTTCCTGTTTTGCGTCGGAGCGTCTTTTCGGAACGATCTACGGGATCGTCGATGCACTCTGCAGCCTGTGCAAGTTGCTTGCGATAATCGTGGAGAGATAATGTACCAGTGAGGCCAATTGAGCGAGTAGAAAAAGCTGCGTCTGTAGAAAGGGGTTCGTGGTAGGTTGCATCGGCGTCCACGATAGATAATGAGCCAACCGGCAGCTCATTTGCGTACCAAACCCCGAAGGAGTCGGTGGACAGCACCTCGTGCTCTGTATTCATGCTGCTATTTTACAATTGGCTTGAAACCTGGTTTGCGATGAGGGGTTCGTCTTCAATTGCCTTAGCGTTGTGACATATCTTCTGTGGGTGAAGATCCAAACGCCCACACTCTATACATCCAATTAGTTGCCGTGCGGGGGTTAAAGCAAGGGATGTATCGAACCTCACCGTCAATGCAAGGTACAACCGAGATTAGAACAAAACAAAAAACCAGCAACGCCGTACCAGGAGCGATTATAAGAATATTTTTCCATTCGGTCATCCGGCCCGAAGTCGTGCCTGGTTCTTGTCTTCCTCAGTTTTTTTTTTGCGCTGAAGCTCCACTTTTCTCGAATCCACCCAATCTCCACATCAGTCTCGATCCCGTCTGGACTCAGGAACGCTGGGTCGAACCAGTGGTTCAGCACTCATAATGGCCTTATGTATGGCGAAGGGATTGCAAATGGAAGACGTCACACCCCCGTGGCATCCGGGGGAACGAGGGCGAAAAGTCGGTGTCGTGTGCATAAAGTCTGTGCCCTGTTTGATGCCTAATCTTGTGGGTGCCCCAAATCTCACAATGCTAACCTAGAGACTTTTGTGGAGCCAGAGAATAGAAATGACATGCATGAAAAGGAGATTGTCACAGTCATCTACACGTAGTTCGCTCATCGTCTGATCTTAGCGGCATCTTAGTTTCACTCTAGCCTGTCCCACCCCCGGCCAATCACCCGCCTAAACGGTCATTTTAACCACACCCGGGCCCACCCCGCGAATCCAAGTCCACCACTCGGCGGGCAGAACGAAAGATTTTGTCATCAGGGCTGAGGACGATGACTTGGGCAGAGAAAACCTTGGATGACTTGGTTGGCTTGTATTGATCCAGGTGGACATGTGGCGTACCAGAGAAAATCCTGCGCGTCGTCAAATGGTGATGCAGAGTGGATCCACCACACCCTCAGGGACTCGTCGGGCTGGCCCTGCAGGGTGATTACTTGTTGGGGGCAGAATTTTGTTTGAGATCCATGGATCCATACAGCAACGAAAACTCACGAGCTCGTACCTGAGAAGTGCATGATTCATGATACATCGAAGAGGTAAAAATGGGCGAGGGATCGGCACCGGGCGTACAGGTCTCACTGCGCCCTGCAGTGGCGTACATTGGATGAACGTCGCAAAGATATAAATATGTACAGTGATATCAATTTGTGGGTACTAGTACCTTAATACTAGTTTAAGCGACCGTGAGCTAAGTATTGATCTATTCAATTAACAAAGGGGGTAACCTCTGCCTCGGGTATTCAGGAACAGGGGAAACGTGGGATTCGCCACCGTGAAAAGTCGGGACAGTAGATCCGATAAACCGAATAAACGATTTTCCCTCCACTTCCAAGATTTATGTTGAATTTATACCTTTGCTTTCCAAGGTTCCTGAGATAACTTTGCGCGTAGACTTTGAGGTGCCTGGGGAAATATGACCCTTTAGAGTCTAGACTGGAATATTGCACTATCCCAGTGGATACATATTCGGACAAGTCCGACCTCAAATACATCACCACCGTGCCCAGTGACAAATGAGTCCATCGATAGAGAAGCTTAAAATACTTAAACATTCACGTGCATCAATCGATTGGACAGATAGAAATCAACACTGACATACATAGAATATGTAGTACGTACTAGTAAGATCTCAGATTCTGGTAGTTTGGTCAGCAATATGCATGTGACTTTGTAAAGTGCAAAATAGCCCTATGAAAGATACCTGAGGCAGCCAGCACTATACTTAAAAATCAGTCAGAGAATCGCTGATCCCTAAAAACCCGGCAAATGACCGAGCCTTGTCTACATTACCAGGCATCATGGAAGAGCCAACCGCAAAAGAGTGCCTATTTTGTTTCGCAAGGCTTCACAGCCAAAGAAGATACCGAGCAATGTTAGAGGTCGACTTTGAAAGAGCTTTCAAACTAGGAGATATTCGACGGTCATATTTGCTCATTGTCAAAAGTCTTATGCTTCCGTGGGTCGTCTATGTAATTGAGTCTTAGACCATGTGCCTTTGTGAATGAATATTAACATTAGTGTGCAACATTAACTCATATAACATATGTATCTCAGGCATCACGTTAAGAGTATAAGTGAATAAGAGTCGAATTGCGAAGATGGTATGAGACACTAGTAATCGGTATGCCTTAAATAGTTGACATGATTAATGGGCCAGGCAATTTGGTTAAATGGGACGAAAAGCATGTCGCAGGAGTCAATGAGGTAGTAGTGCCTTCACATGGTTCCATTTGATTTCTCCTTCACTCTTTATTTTCTAACCCTTCCCTGAACCATACCAAGCACCACCTTGGCTGTTGCCTGGCATATCTACCTTCCATCATCATTATAACGACATCTGCTCATCCGCCATCCGATGGCAGATTTAGCTCTCGCACCTCAAGCCTCTATCACTAAGACCTCACTTCTGATTATTTCGCGACCAACACGGTATCGACACCAGCTGAACAAGAAGTGAACGATTACCGATACTTTCCCGGTGCTTCTCACAGGCAAGAGTCTATACTTTGAGTGAGATATGCATTAGCTACCCAGGGATCCACTCAGATGCAGCTTTGCCAAGGGTTCTCCAAGCGCCCAGTCAATAACCGCCGTGACTATGATTGGTGCCCCCTGCCCTGCCATTACTTTCCTTCCCCCCTACCAGCCCTCCCCTACCAGTGAGTGGGTCAAGAAATCCAGGTCGTGAATTACGCCAAAGAAGGAGGCCAGTCGAGCTATTGACAAGATCCTCACTTTACATGGCGAGCTGGAAGATTTCATGCCGATGGAAAAGAACATCCTCAAAACTCGGTTCAGGGATTATCTATCGTCTGAAATGAATTATTACAATGGCGTACGCACATGCCAACGCCGCCATGATTGCATCCACCATCCCTCGCACCTTCGCCTTTTCTCTCCGACACCACCGCCACCGACACATTCATCAAGTAAGGAGGCCTTTGAGACTTGACTTTGTTGTGGTCAGTGCCCCCCTGAGCAGCACAAATCAGCCTCGTCTTGATGATGAAGAGGAAGAATTAAAGGAGGAGGAAATCAAATGAAACAAGGAGACCCCATGAGTAATAGACCACAATCCCCGTTGAAGCTCTTTCAGGAGGTATTGTAGAGGGTCTTCTGCAGGGTGTTTATGCACATTGGCTTAAATCTTGTGGCACAGTGCCGATAACTTGTGGTTACTGATTGAGGGAAATAACGGTCAATGAAAAGTGTACATTCAAGGCTACAGGAACACTTCCAATTTCACGACACCGGTGGAGGACCATATTGAACGAGTGTCTTCAGGTTAGATTGTCGACTAGGTGCTGACCATGCAAAAGGTGGAACACAGTGGCACCCCCACTATTCTCAAAAATACAGAGAACGCTGACGCAGAGCAAATCGCTTGAAAGGCTTCTGGAAGACAGTCGACTTAGATATATGAGATCCCACCTAGTGGTGAGGATGCAAATAGACTGATCCTTATGTTTACAACAATCAGTCATTCTACCAAATATTTCTCCTTGTATTGATACAGGAGCAATATGAAAGAAGACGCGAGACACGAAAGAGGAAACCGCGGGACACGAAGGAGGACACAGAAACCTGCAATAGCAAACAAGGCGGCATCGACATAGACGACGGAAGTCGCGCCGTAAGTGATCACACTATATAGGCGGCGACTCATTAGACTTGAGTAGTGCCTTCGCCGCAAGTCAGGGCACCTACAATATCTATAAAGTCACTCCAAAAGCCTAGCTTCATTATAGGTGCCCGCTCGCTCTCCTACTTTAGCAAATCAAATATTACTGGCTACCTCGCCAGTTCAGCAACATCGTTTAGTGTCTTGGTTATCTACCCGCGCTCTCTCAGCTAGCCTGATATGGAAACTGCTAAGTTAGGCTACGGCTGGGGAAACGCCAAGCCTTTAGCTCAGTGATTCAGAATCTATCGCCAAGGTTCTAGACTTCACTTTCTCGTAGTTGATACCATGGATGTAGACACTGTAGTAACTTGACCTCCTTCCACCTTAGGCCCAAGGAAACACGCTTTAACTTGAAAGAGGGGAAATGCTAGAGCCCCTAAAATATTTGATGGACCCCTAATTTTGCATCAAATGGGGCCAATCTGGATATAATGGCCAATGATGTCTGATACACGTCGTTTGTACCCACCCGGGGAAAAGTATAAATTAAGGTTTGGGCCAAATGGACCCAGGGCTGGGCCTTAGCCAGTTCTAGGAGCATCAAAGAATTATTTCAGTCTGCTTTCGATAGCCTATTCATCTCATCAATCAACTGACATTGTTACGCTAGATCTCCAATCGCTCTGATTGCATACTAAGTAGCTCATACGCTTTTGGCCAGTTCTGACTATTGATATTCACGCTTAGAGGAATTTCCTGACCATGATATTAAACCGAGTATTCTTATCCCTGACCATATCTGGCGTCAGCTGTTTCAAATGTTTCCGAGCCACCTGATTCCACGCGTGATAAGCCAGCTGATCGCGGTGTAATCCACCACCATGTACATTCAGCTGATCCTCCACTTTTTTCGCCTCTTCTGCGGTAATGGACTCATGCATGAAGTCGATGTGATTGATCGTCCATGTTGGCCAGAAGAAGACCGATGGAGCTAATGGGCAGATCTGGTCTGGAAAGTCTAACGCCATTTGCTTCGGAAGGATGACAGAGTGGTAGTTCCATTCCTTGGGAGAGAAGTCGCGATAGCTCTCTATCCATTTGTGTAGAAATGATGCATCTTGACGTGCGACGATTACGGCGTTACAGAAGCCGTGGCGATCCCCGCCCTCGTGGCCAAGGATAACACCCCTCTCATTATGCCGAAGAGACTCGAAGGACTGGAGAGCAATGACATCCGTATCAAAGTAAATCCCGCCTTCTTGTCGGAGAATGTCTAGGCGGAGCACATCAGCAAGATGGCTGATTTGCCATTTTTCTTGTGTCTGTTTCGGGTATTCGAGAGCCATATCGTGATGGACGAGTGTGATGTTGTCCCACAGCTTCTGGAGCCAAATATTGTCCATGTTGAGATCTTCGTAGTGAATATTTAGCTTGTCAGGCTGGAGGGAGATCAGCGCTGACCGGATTGCGAGGTAGTTGATGAAGTTCATCTCGGGATTCTGGATTCCCCATATGAAGTGAACCACATTGGGGATTGGATTAGACAAGTAATTTCCATCGTTAAAACATACTGCCTCCTCCACGGTCTCTTGGAAGTCATATCTCTCAACTTTTGTTTCTGATGAGAATAAGCCTCGAATAGCTCTTATTGGGTGAAAGTAAAGTTGGCTAATAAGAACCAAAATTATCGCAATCGCCAGTATAGCGGTCGACTTCAAAGGATAGCGAGGCATGTTCCACAGAAGCCTGAGTACCGGCACGGAAAAGTGCGAAGGCAGCCTGATGATGAATTTTAGTATCTCTCCCAGCCTTGCCAAGCTAAAAAGTTGCAATGACTTAGAACGCCTTGGTTGTGTTATTATTACAGACCCTGGTAATAACACGTTCAAAACTGGGCGTCGGGTACCCAAAGAAACAGTCTGGGCGGACGAGGGGACGAATGGAAGTCAAGATCCCGTAAATATGTGTTTGCGTAATTCAAAATACGATACTTACAGGGTCTGTCTTGTATCAGGGTCTGCCGTGTGGGGGCCATTTTGCTGTTAGCGTCGGGCTAGCATGGGTAGTAGGGCTAGTGCAGACCCAAGGCGATGATCTCCCAAATAGCGCATGGTGCGTGGCCAATGACATTGGATAGCTACCCACGTTCTGTAATATTCAATAGGCAGAAGTTAAAGCCCTGCGTCAGCACCAGAAAGACTTGCTGCGACGATTTTCTAAGGTAGCCGACAACATACATTAAGAACACATATTTGTATGCGGGCATACTAGCGCCACCTAGGAAATTGACACCCGGAACAGTTGGATATGCCTCAGGAATATTTAGATCTTAATTTTGAGTGACTACTGAGAATGACTATTGAATTCTGAAGCAGTATAGACAGAATTAGCTGTTGATAACTGAAATATCAGGTTTCAGGATCTTATCTTGTCTAACCTGGGTTGAGTAACAGTGCCATTCCTGTCACACATGATTTCTGTCATTTCCTCCCGAATACAGAGATATAGGGTATCTGATACACAGGGACATTGGGAATTATCACTCTCCTCTCCTCTTCTCTCGTTGTTCAGCGACCTCTGATCTACGCGTCTGGACATTGGGTATATGTCATATCATTAATCTTCCTGAGAGTGTCTAAAGAATCTATGCAGAAATTTGGCGCTAACCTAGCAACATGCGTTATGCGAAATTATATGAACAGTTTTCTTTCTTTTCTTTTTTTTTCGAATGGGTTTAGGAAGTATACTGTGGACCAACGTACCCATCGGCCATTGTATGCTACGACAATCGAGGTCGATCAGAGCGACGCGTAACATGGCTAGAGGCGAATCGACGTCTAAAATAACAGCCGCTTGACGTGCTCGAGACGACCTTCACCTGCAGCTTCATCCAGCTCTTGAACACTGAACTTTTCATTTATAGTCGCTTGTTGTCATTTCAGCAACAATCAGTTGGGCACCTCACTAGCAATGTCAAGAAAGGCGCAGTACACGAAATCCAACGCAGTAATTCATCGACTGCATACCGAGGCACATACTTGATCGCTCTCTGTAGACTACCAGGGTAGCCAGGTCTCCACTCCCTGATGATTCATGCCCCAACTCTTACTATGTTAATTTCCTACAGAAAGAGGAAAGAAAATAGATAGGTCTAGCCATTTGCTCGCGTGACACTTGGTCTCGTAGATCGAAGCCAGAAAATCAAATGCAGGAGCTGCGTCGGGCTTGAAGAGCCGTGATTGGCTCTCCTCGCAGATGAATGTCATGTTGACCCAGTCGAAGCCTTTTCATGAGACCAAGTTCGCATGGAAATTTCCTGACTGTGCGACTGCGACTGCGACTGCGCTATCTGACGTGTCCTAAATGCGGTATAGCCTGTGATGCTATCTGCACATAATCCTCCTTCCAAGTTTCTGCATGCATGTACATATTTATCCATGATGATTCCATGCGTCAAGATCCACTTTATGTACACCGCAACTTTCATCTCGACATCTGTTTGCTTGATTGCCGTTTATAGGAAGGACCGCCAACTCTGGAATCAGATTCGTTCTTAAACTTTTCACAATCTTGAGATCGAACCCAGCTTTCGCACCTCTCTGCACCAGCAAACCAAACCCAGCAATAATCACTTAGGATGTCGGCTCAAGTCAGATTCTGCAAGGGACTCCCTCTCTGCATAAAGCAGGCAGAGAACATCAAACAGATGTCAGCAGCTTTGTCCGAGGATAATGCAGACTCAACGGCACAGGTTAGAGAATTGAACTCTCAGAATATCTTGAATGAAAGCTGAATCTCATCAGGAGTTGATGGTTGCGCTCAAAGCGTTCAATCTTCTTGCTGGGTCTTCCGCGCCGATGATGGCCCGGGACCCACGAATGAACCCTGATGGTGTTTTTAGATGAGGGGTCTATTGCCGCCGCTGCTTTCACGCAGGTGAGTCATATATTGAATAGATTATCACGTTTATGATACGGCTGACTAGGAGCGGAGATTAGTTCACCACTGTCCATCAACATTTGCTCAACGTGGTAATTGGCAAGAGCGCTCTCAACAGTCCTCTTAGTGGAGGGGGAATGACCGGAGTCCTGGACTTGTTAGCTTTTCAGCCTGAGTTGGATCCTGTCCAATCCACTGAAGATGCTGCCAAGGCTGAAGCAGATTATGCCACGGTACGCGATATGCAAGAGGACTCTTTCAACATATCGCTAACGTCACCGGGCTTAGTTGGTGGGATTGGTGAATACATTTGCCAGTAATCTTCATACCAAGATGAAGGAGCCTTGGATGGCAAAATGGACACAAGGTTTCCAGTCGACCCTCAAGGAGACAGCGGCTATCATTGATGTATGTCTTGATCTTTGACAGGAAACTACGTACAAGCTAATGCGACCTTTACCAGAATCTCGGATCGTATCTTCAAAGCGCCACTCCTGATGGCATTGCCGGAGCTACCACTACTCAGCAGCGAGAGGGGATGTTCACCATCGTAAACGGGCCACTTGAACTTAACTAAGGAGGGAAAATGTGGTCTTCAGTAAGAGCTGAAAACGAAGAGGATGATAAACGAGACGTCTAAAGGCTGGTTCCCGAATTTTCATCTCGATGCAGACAGTCCGATGATCCTTTGAGACAAACCAAAAAAGTTTCGAAACTCTTAAGGTTCATAGACGCCTGAGGCCAGATCTTGGGCAAAAAATAGTAAATAGAGATGTAAAGTGGAAGACAAAGAATCCTCCGGAAAACCCCCTTTCTCCAGTCTGTGAACGACAGCACCCCTGAATATTCGCATGAAATGTAAGACTCTCTTGAAACAGTTGCCACCTAGTGTGTAACCTCTTATGCCCAGCAATCTGGCTCTCTCGCGATTCAAGGCATGCCTGATTGGAATCCAGCACTCGCAGAGTCCACACCTTTGCAGCGGGTATGACCTGTCCCCTACACAAGTGTGGAGTAGTGACGAAGCTTACACTAAATCTAGGCCTTTTTATCTGACTGTGTTTTTTAATCACGCAGACGTATATTTAAACCTGTATTTAGCACACCGCTAAGTATCATCAAGGCGCCGTTGAACTAAGCGGCAGCCCACACATCATCGTATAAGGACCCGCATTTCCGTCCTCAATGTTGATATCGTCGCACCGAGGAAACAGATCATGGATACAGAAAAATTCTAGAATCACCGGAGATCATCTCGTAGATCCTAGCAGTTACCGTAGGGCCTGAGCACCAAAGTGGAACGGGAAGGCTAACAATTGGCAGACAATTCTCCGATAAGAACTATATACGGAGGGGTCAAAAGCCTTCCCAGTTGTACGCAATTTGCGAATCCACATATTTAGGAGCCTTTTGAGAAGCCCTTGAGGATCTTTCATATCTCCAAAAAATATCACAAGAAAATATTACGAACAAACCTTTCTATTCACAATTGCGCAATCTGAGGGCATCTCAGAGTTTCAATACGTTTTTGAAATATGAAATAAAATTTATGTGTGGACATATGAGGGGTCATCCAGGGCTTCTAAAAAGGCGCTTGACTACAGTGCATTCACAAAGCGTGTACACACAAAATTATGGAATCTGACGTAGCCCAGATCTGCCGTAGACATAATATAATTAGGTCAATTCTGGGAGCTATTATAAGATAAGTGAGTCCCCAAAAGAGAAAGTGCTTTTTATTGATCAAGCCAAAGTCCGCCGTTTACTGACTTGAAGCGAAGCTGGGTTGGAAAGGTACCTCAAAGGAAGCCTTGTACTTCTCACAGACACTCATGTGTGGCGAGCTCCTCAGCACAATCATCATTCCCACAATGCCCCAAGTAACATGTTCGACACCAATCTTCCACAACGGTATCCATCCCGCAAACGCAACACCACAGCGGTGATGTACCCTGCTTTTCCGCTTCAGTGGAGAGCGTCTCCCGAAGAGCCCTCGCAGAGGAACCAACCAAGTACCTCTCAATGGTATCATGATCAAGAACGGCAGTGCTGTTAAGTTTTGGGATCCAGCGTGCCCAGGAGCTCTTCCGTCGAAATGCCGCCATCACGCGGAACTGTTTGGAAAATTCACGATCCACGGTTATGAAGGCGCCTAAGCCCTGTATGGCCACCTTTGCTTGACCGTGAAGTTTAGCGTGGCGACGGATGAACACTCGAAATGCAATTCCAATCTCCTCACTTCTTGCCGGCCAGTTTTCCGCTTCGGCCACGTTCAAAATGCCCAAGGCTTCGATTAAGACAGGTGTACCAATGGGCCGGGTGACCATGGCACGCCAGAATCTGAGCGTTTGAAGGATTTGGTCCTCTTTCCGGTAGGCGAGGTGTCGCATCATCAGGCCGTTGAAGTTGACCGCAATGCCGCTGACGCCCATACCTTTGCCAAAAGAGATCAAGTCGGGCTGGCAGTTTCCTTTTTCGTAATACTCATCTCTTTGGCAAGCCCATGGTGCTCCGCATCGGATGGCGGTCATGGCTTCATCCACGAGCAAGCAGATGCGTACTTTGTCGCAACAGGATTTCAGGAGATGGAAGGATTCGGGAGCAAGAATGGATCCATCAGACGCATTTACCAGGTCGCAAACTACGGCGATACAGCCTTCTTGTTTTGCGGTATGGAGCTTGTTCAATAATTTATCCCTTGACGAAAAGTCACTGCGGGCTATGGAGAACGATGGAGGACCCGATCCGATGATCTTGTACTCCCATTCCTCCGACGAGTGTGCCTATTTTACTTGTTAATTTCTCTGGTGTCTTATGAGGCATTCAGAGGACTTACCAGGGGCCCGTAGGCGCTGCCATAAATCCCATCGACAATGGCCAATCTTGGTGTCATGATGTGTAAATCTGTCCAGCCCAAGAGCTCTCGAACAAATTGATGAACTTTCTCGGGTTCAGGATCATCCTTGAGCAATGGCGATAACTTCGGATCTTCAAGAACCAATGGACATGTCGATGCCGTGTTAAGGATGAGACTTGCTATAGTTGTCGGATTAAGGACATCGCTGACATGTGCATGGAAGGTAATAGGCCAGTATCCCTGGAAAAAGGACTGAAAACGCTGTGTATACTCTTTCAGCAGAATATGGTACTGCTTTTCGACCCTGGCAGGGTTCACGGTATAGTCCTCCCATAAACGGCGGGCACGATCGTCATTCATGAAGCCGCTGTTTGAGTATACCGTGCCCCAGCCATTGTGGAAATCGTGATCTAGCGGGGGCTCAGCTGAGCTGTGGCCATTGGCAGTCACCGTCATGATGCTGAATAGAGGTGAGTAACGGGTTTCTATCCAGGAAAGAGAGCAAGAGAAACGAAGAGACGTAAACGTACCATACTTGTGCAGATTGGTGCAAGTCGCTTTCCCTACTCGAGTACCTTGAATCCAGGGGGGTGATTCTTTACCGCAAACGGACCGCTACAGTGCATTTTAGCTGAAAAGACTCACAATCCGAAGAGTGGATCTTAACAATCAGCTAAACAATGCACTTTGTAAGACGGTTTCATCAAAATCACTGCCTGGCCTTTGACTGACTTAGTGGCCATAGCAAACCGTCTTCATAGTAGGCGGGATCGTCCTCAATGAAGTTAGATAACATATAGGCAGGTCGAACCCCAGCCGCTATAAACATAATCGTTATCCAAGGAATGCAGTGTATCGAGGTCACCATCGTAAATTTTAGATCTATTATCGTTGATTACAATACCCACGTGTGGCTTTTATAAATTCAGGGCGCAGAATACGTACAGGAACCACACACTTTGGAAGAAATCGCCGATCAAGTTTCAGCGGCATATTAGGATCCACCCAACTTACATGACTCGCCACACACTCAGCCATAGAACTGAGACATCCATGATGACGATCAGAGGAGAAACCAACTCAAAGTGAGGCGTGCTAATGTGGAGCTGATTTGAAATATTACTGACTATACATCCCGTCCCTAGCCAAAGCCAAGACAATTCTAGTCGAGATTGTAATTTGCGACCAGATTTCACAGCTTACAATGTAGAGTGGATGGTATCCATACACACTAACACATCGGATTCTAGTACCGTATTCTCATTACCATATTTACAGCGCGTGAAAAGTATTTCCGTTTACATTTGGCCTGCGGGTCTGTAAAATATGGAGCGGGCCGCCGAGCAAGGAGTTCGCGCATTGGGCTGGAAGCGTCTTGGTATGTCCGTGTGGAATGCACGCTCTTGACCTGATGGTTGTGGTTGGTGGGTTATCGATCCAGAGGGTTACATAATGGAGTTTCCGGGGTTGCCGTGCAGAAACCTGCATGTGTAATACTTCCATCGGTAACACTAGTCTGGTATATACGAAGACGAAAAAAACCACTACTGAAACACTCCAAGGTAGATCAGTCACATTTGGATCGACGTCGGACGAGGCCGCAGCTTGTTGAAATTCATGTTCCTCCCAAGCTTCAGCGGATGTACCCTGAAAAGGCCTTGAATTCGACCTCCACCATGTCTCGAGATCACCAACAGAAGCGTGATGCGCCATGGGCTCATGGCTGGCGATCGTCTGATACTTTCATCATTAGTACGATGAGTCTTGCGTTGTTTACTGGTAAGTGACGAGCCTTGCTGCATGCCTGATTGCCGCCTAACATTGCGATTTCAGATGAACTACTTTTCGCCTTCATGCTCCCTTTGCTGCCTACTGTGCTAGAGCAGCGAATCGGCTTAGACCCTTCTCTTACTCAGAGATACACGTCTATCTTTCTTACTGAAGGAGCCATCGTGTCTGTGGTGGCGAGTCCATTTATCGGGTCAATCGCCGACGCGGTCTCTAGCAAAAAGACTCTGTTACTGACCGTCCTTGTACTGGCTTTGATCAGTCTCGCCTGCTTGTCTTTAACAACACACCGTACGTAGATTCGATATCTCACTCAATAGTGGTAGATTGCCCCGTGTAACGTTAGACTGACTGAAAAATAGTGATATGGCTATTCGTTGGCCGCTTCTTTCAATGCATCGTCAGCCAGGCCTTGTGGATTGTGGGAATGGCAACCATGGCCGAGAATCTTGGGTCAGAGCATATGGCCAAAATTGCCGGTCTGAGCTCCATACTCACAGCGGCGGGCACCACCGCCGGCCCTCTTCTCTCAGGACTACTATTCGGAGCAGGTGGGTACTGGTGTGCCTGGGCGGGCGCAGGTGCCTTTCTCTTGGTGGACATTGTCATGCGTCTCCTCATGCTAGAAAAGCCGGCCAAATCTTCCGGAGTCCAGGATGGGGAACGAGAGCCCCTTGTGAAAAACAATCAGCCTGGTGCCAACGGTGAACAGCCCGATCATCCACCTTGTGTAGAGGTGCGAGGATGGAGGTTCCACGTTTGCCTTTTCCAGGATGCGCGGTTCTCTGCGGGGATTTATTGCTCTTTTGCTTACGCTTTATTGATTGGCTGTTTGGAAAGTACCATGGCCGTCCACGTGCGAAGCGCGTTTGGATGGAGTGCTGTTCAAGTTGGTCTATTATTAGGACTGATCCAAGGGCCCGGAATCTTGCTGGCAGCCCCGGTAGGTTGGATGAAGGACCGAGTGGGATCACGGATTCCGACAACCGTGGGATTTCTCGTGTCAGTACCTTTCATCATACTCTTGGGAGCTCCTGGCGACGATCGATTTTCATTTGCGGCGGAAGCTCGGGGGAAGACCATCTTTGTAGGATGCATGGCAGCGATCGGATGCCTGTTATGTCTTCTGAACGGGATCGGTTCTATTGAGGCTACTGGTAAGTGGGATGAGTTTGCAGAACTGATTAGAAGCTAAGACAACCCCATGCAGAAACAATCGACGAGCTTGAAGCGCGTGAGCCTGGTAAATTTGGTTCTAACGGAGGCTATTCTCGTGCTCTAGCCTTGACTAGTATGACATGGATGGCTGGGCTAATGTGTGGTCCCCTTTTGGCGGGATTTGTGATGGAAACATTCGGATACTTCGAGTTGCAATGTTGTCTCGGTGAGTTTAGTCCATAGATTCGGAGATCCTGGTTACTGACGTTACTAGGGGTTGTATCTTTTACAGCAGGCCTCGTTGCTCTGCTTTTCTTGAACTCTCGCTCGCATGCCGTAAAGCAGCAGCAAGATGAGTGACGTCAACACGAAACGACATCGGAACAAATGTAGAATTAAAAGTGACCAGAGTTGGTGACCAATTAAGTCGTTATGAGACATTGCAGACTTGACTACATGCGTGTGCGCAAAACACGCGAAATGATCATTGCAATAACACTGGAGAAGCCCATTACAATCTGGAAATGCCATTAGCATCCACAAAGACACTCTCACAATAGCTTCTCAGAGTCAGTAAAAGAAAAGACTCATCTATGACATAATGACGTTCCTTGCTTTCGAACGGGGTTCGGTGTGTATAAATACGCATTATGACCAGGGGCTGTATCACTATTACAATTACAGCTCTGCAAGGGGAAATGACACAGAATACCATACCGTACCGCACATTGACCCACTTCGTGCGAATCCACTTCCCCGATGTGTAATCCTGCCGTTCAGCTGTTTTCAGCTCGCCACATAGTTATGCCCTTTCTTTGCTTTTGTTCGACGTCACAATACGGACAATTGCTCGAACACTTGGATTTCGACAGCAAAAGGGAGGATCAACCGTCGTCCCCGTTAGCGAAAGCGCTAGTGGCGTTGGGGAGCTGCAGGTTAAGCTCGTCACCCCTTGGACTGATGAACGTAGCGACTAATCGAGGTGCATAGAGAGCTGACAAAATTAGGAATGTGCTGAGCGAACGAATCCGAGCTCGTGCTCGGTTGCACGCTGGGCAAATTTACTAAACCGGCTTTTTTACAGGCTTACCATTTGAGGATGCAATGGATCTCCACAGTATGTACTTCTCAACTGCCACAATCGAATACCTCCGTACGTCAAATAAACCTCCGACTTCCTCCCCATATCCGTGGTGGCTTCACCCGAGTTTATCAGAGATGGCACCCAGTCTGGTCGAGCTAGATTTGCCATCTGCGGAATACATCACAGGCCATAATGTTCAAACAGTCACCAAGTCTATTTACTCGTCCGAAGATGTCAGTGAAATTGACTTGGGCCAGTCATGGTCCAGTGCGCACGAAGCTATAAAGCCGCAAGCCATCAAGGCATCGACTTATCTGAAAGCTGCATGGATCCTTACCCTTCGTTGCTTCCAGCCCGAGGAAGTATTACACATGAGCTATGATGAAGAATTGGTTCCGAGATCTGGGACTCCGCTAGTATTGACGGTCCGAGTGAACCCAGATTGGAATGTACGGTCGCTTCTCGAAACTCTCGAGGTTGAAAAGTCCCCAGCAGAGCCATGTTCTTCCACATCATATGGGGCTTTGCTTTCAGAGCTACCTCCCTCTCGCCATATCCGCACTTCAGCACTCAGATACTTGACAGTTCCAGAACAAACTATGATCCCGTCTAGTCCAGCCAATGACAGCCTAGAGGTAAGTTAATCATTGGAATTTTGCTTGATGTACTGGTATTCAATCTGACGTCTTACCCTCTCGTCCAGCTTCTCGTCGTCAACAACGCACATCGAACATATGCTAGCATTAGGAATCCAGACAAAGACGCAAAGAACTCGAACCACAGCATGTTGCGAACCTTTCAACATGTCCTACGTCAGATCACAACTCATCCTGGGAGTTTAATGCTCGAACAAATTGATTACTGCCCGGATTGGGACCGCAAGAAAATCCAGAGCCTGACCCGTACCCAGCCAGGCCTAAGCTCGAACTGCCTCCACGATTTAATTGTGAAAAGATGCCAACAACATCCAACCAAGCTTGCGGTTCGCTCATTCGATGGAGACTTGACCTACCAGGAATTGGACAATCTGTCTCTCCGACTGGCACATCACCTCACTCAATTGGGTGTGCAGCCTGAAACATTTGTTCTGAGTAGCTTTCAGAAGTCGACGTGGGCGATCGTAGCTCGATTAGCCATTTTACGCGCTGGAGGTGCTTACATTTCGATCCACTCTAGCAACCCACCAGCCTATCTCAGCTCGGTGATACAGCGCACCAATGCTAAAATTATGTTGAGCGATCCTGCTTTTGCAGATCAATTCCGGAATAGCATTGACACGGTCATCATAATTACCCCCGAATGGCTCCAGAAACTTCCATTGACAAGCCTGTCGATACCATGTCCATTGGTCCAGCCATCTAATGCATGTACGGTTCTGTTCACCTCTGGGAGTACGGGCAGACCCAAGGCCATCGTACAAGAGCACCGATCTTACGCCTCCGCCATCAGAGACTACGCACGGAATCTTGGATTGAATGAGGAAACCAGGTTCCTGCATTTTGATGATTATGCCTTCGATATCAGTAACTTGGAATTCTTGGTTCCTCTTATTGTGGGAGGCTGCTGCTGTGTGCCGGGGCCGATGAAGACAGTCCAGGATCTGGCGGACAACATTCAAATGCTCAACGCCAACATTGCATTCTTGACACCTACCGTGGCCATTAAAGCAAATCCAGAATCTATGAGCAATCTTAAGATCCTATGCGTTGGTGGAGAGCCTCTCCCGAAAGACCTTCTGAATAATTGGGATGGAAGCTCGACAACGTTGATCAACCAATTTGGCATGGGCGAAGCAGCGGTTTGCTGTGCATACAACGACGATGTATATGATCCAAATAGCTCACCTGCTACCATTGGGAAGCCGTCAAGTGGTGCAATCTGGATTGTCGACCCAACCTCCCCAATGAAGCTGATGCCTATTGGCGTCGTAGGTGAAATCTTGATTGAGGGACCTCACCTTTCGCGTGGTTATCTTGACCAGAACCACCAAGCATCTGACCGTACGAAACCAGCTGGATTTCTCGAGCAGATTCCACCTTGGTTGGAGGAGCTTCATCCTGATCGACGATCTGCCCGCGTGTATCAATCAGGAGACTTGGCACGATGGACTCATGATGGAAAGGTTGAGTACATTGGACGCAAAGACACGATTGTAAAGCTCGACGGGTGTCGAGTAGATGTTATTGAGGTCGAGCACCTTGCAAGGAAATCTCTTACGCCCAAAGATGCCATTGTGGTAGACCTCCTCGGCATCATTGATGGCAAAGAAAATCCTTGTCTGGCTGCTTTCTTGTACCTCAGCGACCATCCAGGCAACTCCGAAATGGCAGAGCCTTCATTAAAAGACGCAAGTGAAGATCCCGTGGCTTTTGAAAAAGTGGCACAGATCAAGGCAATTCTTGCCGCATATCTCCCGCTTTACATGATTCCGACGTTGTTCTTGCTGGGTACCCGGGTGCCGCGTACACCTTCAAAGAAGACTGATCGCAGGATAATCCGACTTCTGTCGCAAAAATTTTACGCCCAAATATGTGAGAGTCGGCGCAGTTCCTCATCCAGTTCTGAAGATGCACAACTTCTTCCTCCTTAAATTTCTATACTGGCTTGATGTTGCCCCTGCTATTCAAACCACACCCTTATCTCTGTTGCGCTCCTGCATTAATACAATATGCTACGAGCTTAATTTGCTTTAAAGTAGTGTATAGACAATGATATCATGACATCGTTAGCTTTGTTACTATTACCCTCAATATCATTCTACCTCCAGAAAGCTATCTTAGTAAAATAGATAGTATGTCCTGAAGGCCTGCCATTTCAAGATAAAGATGAGGCTCGATAGCCTCAATTTCCATCAATACAAACGCACGATCATCAGTCACCAAACCATCGATACGCACGTATCCCATCATCCCCGTTGACCCATTCCCGAACCATGTCCAGAGGGTATCAAAAATAGAATTCACCATGGATAACGTCCGCTCCTCAATCTCCGCAATTTCTATACGACTATGCCGACCACCGAACTCATGCTGGCAACGAAACTCGCCGCTTTTAGGCGCTTTCAATACAACAAGGGAAAGCTTCTCCCCAATGAAAACAAATGAATATTCACCGGTAGCGATAGCCGGCTCGAATTGTTGCACAATCAACGAACTTCGCAAATCTCCTTTGATACATGATTCTAGAAAGGCGACATCATCCACCGAGAGTGCTGATACATCCGTAACAAGCCGAGTATTATTGGAAGACGCAGACACGGATGGCTTGAGCACAATGGGACCAGATGATTGGAAGGTCTGAAGTCGTTGGTACAGCGCAGACACAGAAGGATACTGCTCTGCATCCAAGATCTCAGTCTTGGGTATGTCGAAGCCGGCATTCTGCATGTCAAGGAGATACTTCTTGTCCATGTTCCACTGGACCAGCTCGATATGGTTCATTATGCAAGGGGTATTTGCACCTGTTGCTTGGATGGCTGCTTTGCACCTTCTCAGGAATTCCTCGAAGTCCTCGGGGTGTTGGATGTAGTTCTCGGCCCAGAGGAAAGTCACCAGGTCGTTTCTCATGATGGTGGGGATGATGTCCTCGTCTGTCCAGCATTTGATTGTTACTGAGGCACCCCTTTCTGAGAGAAGCCTCGGTAACATATCATTTGACCAATCCAAGATGGCAACTTTTTCCTCAATTACACTTGGTGGAAGAGTAGTCAAAAAAAGGATTCGTTTCATTGTCCTAGATGGTCTTAGTGTTCGTAAACATTGGAATCGAGGAAACGTGATCTGGGGAAGTCTTGCTGTTATGTACTGATGGTATTTACCAAATTACTTACAGCCTGTACAGTATCCAGATCTTTGGTACATCATGTAAACAAATGTACTGTACGAAGTTGCATTTTCATCCCTTGCCCAATCCCATTATCCTCGTATCAAGATCGGGTCTAGTCGATCAAGTGGCGGTTGTGGAGTGCGTATACTTTCCTCCCGATTTTTCGAAATTGCGGTGAGGACTTTGATGCCTTGATCTAGAAACAGGGATGCTGGAATCCCTCTCTTGCATACACAGAGACAAACAGATTGAGAATTGACTCTTAATGCTCAGGTGGACACTTGATCGATTTGCTAGATCCTCTATTGAACAGCTAAGGCCTTCAACCATGGCCCTAGCTCTCTTATTACATATGATATTGTCATTAGGAATCTTGGAAAAAGAACAGCTAAAATGTTAAACAATTTCGGCTTCCAATTGTATGACTGTGGTTATGAATGTTGTAGATCTTACAAAGACAAAGCCATAGCAAAATAATTTCAGCATTTCAACTCCTAGATCATGCATTTATGGCAGCAATTTTACATGCATTGTCATATCAGTTCAACAGTGGTATCATCGCAGCAAAGAATGGAGTATATCTACGGATCACAAATAATAACAAATAAGCAAATACAGTAGTGAAGAAGCAATTCGTGTCAAGGGAATGGTTACACTCAGATCATAGATCTCAGTGACGTTTATATTTCTAAAATGAAGATTAGCACCGTCCATAAATGATTCGATGACATAACTTACATCTTCCATTTTGCGTCTGTTGCTTGGATCCAAAGAATTGCCCGCGCCAAGAAGTGTCTGCCCCACTGCTTTGGAGACACCGATTGCAGGCCGAAGGATCACGGTCGGTGCACGTTTCCAGACGGCTCTGGCGGCTGCTTTGGCGCTGCCACTCTCTACTACTTCCCCAGGTACGGCGACGATGGCGTCACGGGCCAGGAGAAGATCGCGTTCAAGGCCACGGAAAGCGCCTCGTAGACCCTGGACTACGCCGATTGGTTGGTCGGCGTAAAGGGAGATCTTCTTTGCCTCCTCTTCGTCTTCTCTTTCTTCCTCGGCTGAGGGGGCAGTAGGGGATGTTAAGAGATCTTCTGCGCCTTGCAGGACGGTCTGGGTGCCGATGGCAAGCTTGGCACCCAGTTTCACTAGCTCATTCGACGTGGTTTTCGCGAACGCCAATGCTCCTTTCTGAATACTGCGGACAATGCGCCCGTCCTTTCGATATTCGCGCATCGGAACGACGACGAGGTCCTTTACACCTCCGCCCACATTGACCAAAGAGCGAATGGGAGCGAGACCTGCAAGGACGCCGGGTAGCTGGTTGCGCTTGACATCCGGCATCCAAATGTCGTTCAGGGTGATACCCAGGCGGTCAAAGCCAGACACACCGTAGATAATAACATGTCGTAGCACCATGTCGGCTCCATCGAGTACAAAGAAGTTCATGAATTCAGTCGTGCGACCGGATCTGAGTCCAGCGTAGTCAACTCTCTTTGGCTTGAAATCCAGCTTGACTTGAACGGCATTGACCTCCGCTCGTTGTAAAAATGGTATGTCTCCTGGAGTGGTAGAAGGCTCAACAGATTCGTCTCTGAACTCGAAGAATCGACTCATGAACTCCAAAGCATCCTGGTCAACATGCAAACGAATCGGCAGAATTGTAGCCTGCGAAAGTGTTAAAAAAAAAGAACTCAGTTGGTTCGAACTGAAGCTTACCTTAAGAACGATCTCAGACGCGGCAAGTTCTGGGACGGGCTTCACAGTGAGTATTTCCAAATGAACCATACTGGTCCCGCTTTCCCTCTCTCCCGCCTCATGCATGTAAGTCGCGAATTTCTTCCACGTAGAGGTCGGCACATGATCAAAAATCTCCAGATCTCGTACCCGCACATCTAAAGAGCTTTGTGTCTCATCGGAGCCCGGTGGGAATACCACCAAATCAGCACAAACACCCTTTAGCTCGAACGTCATCTTGTGCTGTTTGCTCCGATTCAGTCGTAATTTCTTCTCTCTCTCTGACGTGGGCCGAGTGGCTCCAGTAATCGTTGTGGTTGTTGCATAGCTTCCGGTCTCACTGGCAAGATCGTTGATGTCACGATTGATCTCACGGTGAAGTTCTCGCGGGTCTTTATTGGCAGGGATACCAATATAGATGGAGTTGAAAAGGAAGTCACCAATGACCGATTCCTCTTCGTCCTCGGCATCTGGTGACATCCGAGAAGCTCGTGCTCGTCGCTCGGTGGCCTTGGTTTCTACTTCCTTTACTGCTTTGGAGATGGTGTCTCGCGTCCGTTGCCAGTCATAGCCGTCAAACAGATTCCAGATGACATGCATATCTCGTACTCTCACACGAAGAGGGCTACGCTGCAGCTTCTGGTCATTTGAGAGACCATATGTGTTGTGGGTTGAGTCCCAACGATGAGCTGTGCCACCAACAGCAGACTGCTTGGCAAAGTGGTCCTCTTGGAAATCTAATTCCGTTATGCTGGATGAGATTTGATACTGAGAATGGAAACTGTCCAGGAGGTCATTTGCATCAAACGCCTCAAGGCTTTCAGTTCCCTTCTGTTTGCCAGGACAGAAATCACTGACGTATTCAAGTTCATCGCTTAGTTGGCCCTCCAAGTCAGTTTCATCGACGGCAATTTCCGTCTCGTTATGCATCTCAGTTGGCAAGCTATCGTCCGCTGAAAACGCATCCCCTGTGAATGAGGCGAGCATATCCTGGAGCGGCATGACCTCGGTTCTATACTTGGCAGCGACGATCGGTGGAGTAGGCGGCTGAAGCCCGTTTAGAATGGCGATGAGAGTTTGCGTGGAATCAGCACATGTGTCAAGTATCAGAAGATCGTCCCGCAGTTCAACATCCAGCGACTTTGTTCCGTCAGCGGCAAGCTGCATCACTTTCACAACAGCTTTTGCGGAGGAAACAGTCGTCACAGGAACATAGCCCTCGTCGATGTATGCCTGGACCTGATTGCTCTGGATGACTGCCGATCGACGTTGGTGAAGATTGTCCGTCTGGCCCGCATTCGACACATCGTCAATAATCATAAGAGACGCTTTCCTGATCTCGAGCAAGGCTTCGCTCGATTCTTGGCTGTGCATTGTGCCACTGAATTTCGAGTTCGAAAGGACGACTAGTCCTTTGGCCGGAGAATTGCGTGGATTCAGCCCTAACACACAGTCTCTGAACTCAACTGCGAGTTTCGTTGCCTTGATCGATGCTTTAGATGTGCTTGATCGTGGCGGAGAAAGACTCTGAATCTTTGGTGATCGAGTGGACTGCTCAGCAAAATTGGCGATTGAGTTCGCCATCTCGCTGGCCAAGTCTCCACCTGTGCTGTCGCGACCAAGCCCGAGGAATGCCATGATTGAGGGGACCGTATACTCGACACGCAGGTGATGTAACTTGATTTTGAAGGTAGGGTCCATTTCATCGGGGATAAATCGAGCCATGAGAACAGGAAGCTGTGGCTGAATCGAGGTCTGATTCTTGCTGGGCAGTAATGCGTCGCCCACAAGCTCTTCGTCACCGTTCCTAATGAGTCTCATTGCACCAACCTGTACAGCGGTCAGAGACGGCATGCTGATCCAGGCAGCTTCAATGTTGGCAAGGTGAGCATCAATGTACCCAACATCTCCGCCCACATGAACTTGACAGTCAAATTCGCGAACCAGAGACAGGGTCAGAAGCCCCGGCCGATCATCCTCAGGTAGATATCTTGTGACTGTGGATAGCCGACCAAGCTCTGACCCGAGAGATGACAGAGGGGCCAACCCATCAATGCTAGAAATATTCGTCTTCATCCCACCTATCGTTGTACGAAGGACAGACCCTTGTCGTCTTTGCCGCAGAAGCGTATCCAACATGATATCATCCTCATCATCATACTTATCTTGAGATGGAGTGATGAGAGTCAGAAGGCGGTCGAGGTCAACTTCCTTAGGTGCAAAAAGGAACTCGACCCGAATATTGTTTAGGGTCACCTTGGCTGGCGCATCAGAGAGGTCATCGAGCGGAAGTGGCCCAGTCAATTGCGCTTTGTCAATTTGGGCGCCGATTCCTTCAAATCTGCTGACAATCTTGACCGCAGTTGTGCTGAGATTTAAATAATGCGTCTCACCAGTGATATTTACTACAACTCCCCCGAGTCGCGCATTGATCTTCATTGGGGCAGATGATTGCTGTTCTTTGTCAGGCACATGGCTTGGCGTCTCAAAGTGAACACCGCGTGGGCGTTTCTTCGGAGGCTTGTGGGTCCCTTTCATCGTGGATGCTGACGATATAGAGCTTCCTAATTCAAGGATGGTGCTCAATCCACCCATCCAGCCTAGAACTTCTTCTAGGCGTTGGACATTGAGATTGAGGTATACGGGAAGTGTAGATACGTCAATTTTGACTGAATCTGCCGTTTTCATCACGGAGATGGAGATGTCGCCTTGAGAGGGTGTTGCGAGATCTCTGGTAGATTCACGCATTCTTAAAGACTCGTTGAATGATATCAGATCATCAGAGGCAAAGCCAAAGCTAAATTTGGAGATACCCAGATGGAAATTAGTTCGCTTATTATCCGCTGACAGACTTGCTCTCAACCCAGATGCGGTGGTTTGAAGAACAAGCTCCTCCATATTGGTATATGGCAGCGGCAGAGCAGAGAGATCATTATCTTGTGAAAAAGGCTGCCCTGGTACATGCTCAACAAACTTGACGGAAATATTATGAATTGTCAAATTTAAGGGCACCTGCGGGGAGGGTTGATCAGATTTAGGCGATTCTGGAGGCTGGGCTTTCTCTGCTGCATCAACTGCTTGCGATATCCTCTGGCCCGCTTTGATCAAAAGCCAACCAGTGGCTATGTCAAATTGAGTGGTGATTGAAAATACTTCAACTTCCAGCTTATGAAGTTGCTCATCGGCGTTTGTGTGCGCTTGTTCCGAGCGGTCTTTCTCAGTAGATGGGTGAGATTCGAAAGAGGCCCTTTGAAACCTAGTCGAAGCATAAGTTTTAGAAGCAAACATGCTCTCTTCCACGCCATAAGCAAGGTCTCTCGAATCGCTGTCTGCGCTTTCGAAAGACGCCCGGGTTGGTGTGTGATCACTTGCTTCTTCTTCGCCTGCAGCAGCTGGCAACCAGACACACAGCTTGTCAATGCCAAGAATGGGCTTTTTCATCTCGCTAATCCTATGTAAGACAGGCGAAGATGTAATGGAATCTCTGTCAGGCAGTCTGGATTGTGATCGTGTCTGGTCGTCAACGGACCGCTGTTCACCAAAGTAAGAATCCGACAGAACATTCAATCTGGGTGTGGATGCCATGGTCTCATCCTGTACGTCTTGGCTAGCATCAACGCTATCATTTTGCTTGGAGTCCGAATGCTGCATAGAATTGAGCTTAGACTGCTCTCCAGTATCAAAGGAGTCCCACGCGCCTGGCATATTAGGCATGAAACTCTGTGTCGGACCTTGGCTCATAGCACTCATATATAAACTTTGTGCTTCATCATGAGAGAAGTACTTGGATTCGAGAAGTTCTGCACTGGGAGTTGCTGACTCTGATACTACATCTCCAGATTCAGAGGATGATGCAAATACTTGAGAGACATGCTGTGATGTATCTGCTTCCTTGTCGGCTCCTTCCTCCAGGTGAGGAGACCACTGCGCTGACCGAGCCATGTCATCTCCCAAAGATTCATGTTGGCTCGCCTGTGGTGAGCTGGATACCTGGGATCCTTGTGGGTTTTCCGGGTGCATGTAGGGCTGTTCAGGTTCGACATGCCCATTCTCATGCTCAATCGTCCCTTCGCCGGCATTGAAGGAATGGCTGTGAAGAAGAGAGCTACCAGGAGAGTTGTCTACTTGGCGATCGGAATGTCTCGTTTCGGGTGACTCCACATCAAAGTCGTCAAACTGAGCGTCAATTACCGAATCCAAATACCCGGGATTATCTTGAAATGGATCATGGTTTCCAAAAACCTGGGAGTCATCGGCGTAGTGGTCAAACCGATGATCTCCCTCGGAATCTGCGTCTGAGAAACGTCCGTCGTGAGAGAATACTGCTGAAGCCTCCATTTCATTTTCATTAATGCTGGCCTGACTGAATGCGGGTGGTGGTTCGAATATTGTGGATCGTGTCATGGCAAGCGCTGACTCTGAGCCGGGAGAATCTAACAGAGGGGGCGAGGGTGCTCTGCTTGATGTCTGGCTCTCCTTCGACTGCATTGTGGTTGCCGGAGATGCAGGTGAGGTGAATCGCGAATAGTTTGCAAACACCACCGGATCCGATACAAGACCAAGGCTAATATTGGCAAATGATATCAGCCGCTTCCCTTCCCGAAGGGGTACGGGGTCATCTGGGCTTGCGGTGAAGCCGGAAACTCCATGGACGTCAATCTCTCCAACGCTCAGGAGACCCGCGACAAGGTCCGGCTTGTCCTCGGGCTGTCTCTTAGAAGGCGCATCCTGCTTCAGTTCCATATCCAGACGTACCGAGACATCTTTGATTTTCAGCTGCAGCCGATCTGCCACGCCTTTCAAGAAGCCCGCAACAAAGCTCGGTAATGAAAGTGTATCGCTCCCGAGTCCGAGCTCCTCATCCTCTTCCTCGTTGAAGGAGGAGCTTCGCTGGAAGACATGAGATTGTGATGAAAGAGCAGCTTGTAGCTCTTCCTTTTCTTCCTTGGGCTCGGCTTCCAGGAATGACTCGGCAAGATGCGACGGTGTCGGTAGACTCTGATTATCACCAGATCCATGTGACTCTAGGCCACACGATGACTGGGTTCTTGATTTTCCATGCTTCCCTGCTAATGGTTCATCCGGCAAGCAGCGTAGATGCACATTAATGCCGTTGACCTCGCATATTATCCCACTGCTGTAAATATCCGCTGGGACGGTTATCCTGAGAAACTGTATCCGAGCACTGAGGAGTTCGCATGTCGAAGGAAGGTTGAGCAGAGTCGCTAGTTTCTATTGACAGGTCCGGTATGTGAGCAATCGATGATCTGGTAATATGACAGGGGTGATCGACCGCCCCGCATCCCTCAGGTAGTGTTTTCTACTCACCTCCAACTTCAAGCCTATATCTCGCAGCTCCACGGTACTTCGCTGGCCCCATCGAATCCCCAGATTATCAAGGTCCAAGGCCTCGGTATCAACGAGCCCCAGGCGGGACAAGGCGTATTTGAGCAGTCGCTTTTGAAAGAACGAGGGTAAAAAGTACGCCATTTTCGAGAGCGCAGGATCGCTCAGTCATGCATGAATAGGGATCATTGAGTAGGAAACATTATGAGCGATAGAACAAAGGATGAGGCCCCCGGAGGGAGTTGAAGAGTAGAGAGTTAAATGACGTGCGGAGTGGGAGCGGGCAGCTGATAAAGGCGATAAGTGATCGGCCCAGTCAGGCGGCTCCACAACTCAATAGTACGTGTAAACAAGATAATGGCTCCAACTCTCTCGTTGCATTTGCCCCGCTCACTTGGGCACTATCTCTTAGTGCAGAAACCCCATCGGTAAACTTCGGGATCGGCGCTCTTTCAATAAGAAGCGTGCCTAGGCGCCTTGGTGCCTGGCCAGTGACATGATGACTAACCTTGTGCCTTAAGGCACCAAGGTACCCCAGATTCCATGGTTATTTCGGTCATTCAACGGCCATCCTGAGATGACCAATAGACGTGTCGAATGTCCGTTGTCAATGTCCTGTGTTTTCTGTACCTTTTTTCAGTTTGTGACAATTCTCCATCTAGCTCTCTCAAAAGCAAGGACGAGTACAAAACACATCTTTACATTCATCCTGTGACTGATATTCTTCCATAACTGTTGGAGTTCTGCAAATATTATATCCTTCCTTCCTTTTGACTTTCAATATCACAGTCAAGCCAGGAGGTTATATATGAACTCGGGAGTCCAGTCCCATGTACAGAACCTCCAGGCTGTTGAATGATTATGACGAAAAGAACAAGGTAAATAATCTATTCTCAATCGTCCTCGTCAAACTCCGCAAACTCCATCACCACCCATTCACAGAACTTCTCAAAGTCCGAGTACCATTCCCGCAAACGGGCAGCCTTGATTCCCTCTCCCAGGATTCCCTCTCCGACCTCAGCCTTCCACTCCGCAGTTGACTGATCCTCGTAGCAGCTCCACCGGATGGAATTCTGTACCATCATTGCAAGCCCCGCAAGATCGACGTTTTCAAGACCTTGCATGACCTGCCAAAAGTCATGCGTAAGTCCATTCTTTCCATGGCCGAGAATAGCCGGGTCGTCGTTGCAAAGTGAGACGGGGACGCCCCGGGATAGCATGGCCGGCAACGGATGAGACTTGATGGAGCTCGTAAGTCGGAGAATCTCATTGGAGATGGGGCAACACTCGACCATGATGTTCCTCTCCTTGACTAGGTCAATGAGCAGCGGGTGTTTATATAGGGAGAATCCATGGCCGATTCTTCTTGTGCCCAACAGGATCGCATCAAAGAGGTTTTTGTCCGTTGCATCGCCGTCTCCCAAGGTTTCACCGGCATGGAAAAAGAACGGGATGTCTTCTCCCTCCTCGGCACATTGTTTCTTGAACCAGAATAGTATTGGCACCAAATCCACAAGGGGCCTGCCAGTATCTTCTTGGCCGACTAGATCAAATCCACAAATCACATCCGGGAAGGATTGCTTCATGGCAATACAGTTCTTCATATCCTCAACAAGATCAGCGTTAGGAAGAATTCGCAAACAGCACCAGATAATTCGGGCTTCGTAGAAATTCTTTCCCGCTTCGGATTCCTTGAACTGATTCATCTCCTCCTCAAACACCCTGAAGAACTCTGTATGATCTGTCTCGGGCTCATCACTACCTTCTTTCCGAAACGGAATACGCAATACGATGCGAAACTCGACATATCGAATTCCGTCTGCCGCAAGTTGCCCCAACATGCGACGCAGGCATGCCCGGAAAATCGGTTCGTACATCAGGATAGAGTTGATCACCCCAAAGCATCCCTTGAAGATTTTCCAAATCGCATCAACTCCATGGTGGTGCTTGTACGAGTGCTCTGGCATAATCATGCATCGACTCTTGACCCATTCCCGGAATCCCGCCTCTCCGCCATTTGGAAATGAAGACGCGGCAGTCTGGATAGGGATAAGGGTTGAAGCTTCATACTGCTCAGACCAAATGGCGGGCTTATCAGTAGCCGTCTCTGGTTTGGATACGAACTCAAATCCGAAAAGCGCGGACTCAAAGTCTTGTTGAGTAATCAATGGGGCTGGTGCGGAGATATGCATGCCCGGCGTTGAGAACGCTTGATCAACCAAGAAGTCAATGTCGAACATCGCATCCATGTGAGCGTGCAGAAGCGATCCTTTAGGCATTTTGTCCACAATTTTCCACAGGTTCGTCTTTTCCATACGACCTTTGGCATGGTGGAACATCACTCCTGGGTAAAGAATCTCGTCGGACTCGTGGGCTGTCGCGTCGTCTAGTCCTTGTGTCCATACCTCGTTCTGCTCACGTGCTCGGATCTGAGAGACAATTTTGCATGCCCGTGCAGCAATTGGAGACAAAGTTCTCCGAAATGTCGCGTCTGGGAGCTTGTTAGAATGTCTTCTCCCAGCGGTACCAGTCTCATCATACCGTGGCGTCTTTTCTGCTCCTCTGCAATAAGCGCATTGCGTCCCTTCAAGTATTGTTGAATGAAAGGGTCCTCCACCTGAGGAATCCCTTCCTCTAGCTCCCAGTCCTTGTTATCACTCGCCATGGTTCTCTCAATTATGGGCAAGTACTTGAGTTAGTGTTTAGTACTGCAGCAAGGAAAGGTGGTTGAAGAGGGGTGGCTGACCCCACATACCGCTTCCGGCCGATGATAAGCTCCCGAAGAGTTGCTCTGCTGCCTTATCCATGATATGATCTGTAATACTTCTATATACTTTAGTTGAAATTAAGATATTTGTGCGTCACTGTTGACATTTAATGAATCTATTAATTTTCGTAAATGCGATTGTGCTGGTTTGCAGGCGGCTCTGTAGATCACTCAAACGAAGCTCTAGACCTGTTTCACAGTGCTTGTACCCCACGAATACCAATTTATATCTTGGAATGCAACGGCTCTTTAAAGGACATGTGATTGGAATAGGGTATTAAATATTTGCATGCTTAATTGCACATATCATGAACGGTTCGGAATGTGTCCGATCGATTTTACTAGTGGGCCCAGATCTGTGCCAAAAAAGGGACTTCCTCCGAGTTTAACCATCGGTAACCTCCGAGCTCTGCCAAGACTATCCTCTCTTCTTGTTCTGTCTGCTAAATTTTCATCTGCGAAAAATGATAGGATCATTGTACTTTGATATCATACCTACAAGAACAATATGTTCAGTAAATTGTTGTGGGTATGCATATAGCTACCAAGGAGGTCTCCTATGGAGTACAAACTACGCTCCTAAAAGAAAGCCAAGCCTTGACCGTTTCGCTTTCTGTTGACAGATGAATCGATCCACCAATGTCAGAACCTTGATTGTCGCTAAACTTGGAACTGTAGAAAATCCTTGCGCGTACCAATCAAACCCATGCATACTTTTGTACATGACTATGCTTCTAGAAAAATAGAAGCAAAAAAATTCGGAGCACACGACTTTCTGGCAAACTTTGATGTGCTCCACTTGCCGTTCCTCGGTGCGGAGATTCTAAACCCTCATTAGGGTATAAGAGTCGCCAATCACTCAACTGTGCAGGACCAAAGTGGCAAGAAAACGGGTCCCTGGACCGAGAAAGCGCGCTTGAGCTGTTATCATTCGTCAGTAGCTCCAATATGGTTACATGGGACCCTCTCAAGGGTGGCCTAGCCCGAAAAGTATTGGTAGTCATAAGGATTCGCCCCGATGCTAGTAATCGACCAAGGGAGAGGATTTAAAATTTCATTATGAAATAACTTCTGTCGGTTCTTTTTATCAGTTCCCCGCACAAATAGTCTGACAAAATTAAAAATCGACTACCCCCAATGGGGAATTCTTGAAGATTGTCACTGAGCTTGCTTTCTGACCCAGCTTTATATCTTCTCTCTCTCCCCACACATCCATCCAGGAAACTTCTCGGTGCTGGGAACGCAGATCTTGCCAATCAGGGATTTCAAGGTCAATTGTGCTGACCATTGTTGTTTGTTCGATCAGCAGACAGGAAAGTGGAATGAGTTTCTGATAGACCTTCGCGGATCAAGCCCCAACCTACGAAGAGAGGAAAATTTCCGAGCATCCAATTTTCCTCTGCACACCATGGCCAACGGGTCTGAGGCCAAGATTCCAGAGATGGTGAACCAAGTCTCTCACAGTCTTGACCCTGCGCTGCAGCCAGAGCATCAACACCAGCACGCACACCATCATCACACGATATTCGCCGAGCAGGGACACCAAGATGACGTGGTTTACTCCAACGACGCGTCAATGGAAAAAGGAATTGTTCCCGAGCCCTCTGCCTTGGACCACACCGTCAAAAGTCTGAGTCGAAGCGAGGACGAAGAAGCAGGAGACTCGCAGCCTACAACGCGATCGTGGCATCGGCGCATCACCAAGCACTGGCGCCCAATCACGCATGCCATCATCTGGTTGCTGTTTACCGGGTGAGTGGATACTTATACCATTGACTACAAATACCCTTCAGATACTTATGCCCGTGATAGCTGGTGGATCGCCAGCTTGGTTCTACATCGCCATGATAAGAACTGGATCATTCCTTTCCTGCTCTACCTCGCCATCACGCTGCGCATAATTTTCTTCTATGTCCCCATTTCAATCGTTACAAGACCCATGTACTTCATCTGGGCTCGTACTGCACGACCCGTTGTCGCCATCATCCCCGAGAAGCTGAGATTACCAGCCGGTGCCCTTGTGACTATCGCAACAATCTTGATCGGCTCATTCGCATCCCCCACCAGTGCCACGAACAACCGTGCGGATCGTGCTGTCAGTCTGTTCGGTCTAGCCGTCTTCCTGGGCATCCTATATGCCACTTCGCGAAACCGCAAGAAAATTGTATGGCACACCGTTATCGTGGGCATGCTCGTTCAGTTCCTCGTTGCGCTCTTCGTGCTGCGCAGTGGAGCAGGCTACGATATCTTCAACTTCGTTGCTACTCTCGCCCGTGATCTGCTGGGCTTCGCCTCAGATGGAGTAGTCTTCCTCACTGCCACGGACTTCTATGACATGACCTCCCCAATTGAGCCGAGCACCTGGTTCCTTGTCAGTACCATCCCGGCAATTATCTTCTTCGTCTCCGTCGTTCAGCTCTTCTACTATATTGGTGTTCTGCAATGGTTTGTCGTGAAGTTCGCCAAGTTCTTCTTCTGGACTATGCGTGTCTCTGGTGCCGAAGCTGTCGTCGCTGCTGCATCGCCCTTCATCGGCCAGGGTGAATCGGCTATGCTGATCCGTCCTTTCGTCCCACATCTCACAATGGCGGAGTTGCACCAGGTCATGACTTCTGGTTTCGCAACTATCGCGGGTAGTGTTCTCATCGCCTACATTGCTATGGGTGTTAGCTCCCAGGCTCTTGTCTCCTCCTGTGTCATGAGTATCCCTGCCTCGCTTGCTTGCTCGAAGCTGCGCTGGCCTGAAGAGGAAGAGAGCTTGACAACCGGACAGGTCGTTGTGCCCGATACCGAGGAGCACAAGGCCTCGAACGCGCTTCACGCTTTCTCCACTGGTGCCTGGCTCGGTCTTAAGATTGCCGCTATGATGGGTGCCACTTTGCTCTGTATTATCTCCCTCATCGGTCTGGCTAACGGCCTTTTGACCTGGTGGGGCCGATACTTGAACATCGACAACCCACCCTTGACCCTTCAGTTGATCCTCGGTTATATCTGCTACCCGATTGCGTTCTTGCTGGGTGTCTCGCGCGACAATGATGACTTGCTGAAGGTCGGTCAGCTAATTGGCCTTAAGATCATCTCTGTATGTTTAATCCCCATCTTCATTATTGAAACCGATATTCTAACTGGCTTTTAGAACGAGTTCGTCGCTTATCAAGATCTCCAAAGCGATGCTTATAGCACCCTCTCTGAGCGCTCTCGTCTTATCGTTACCTATGCTCTTTGTGGATTCGCCAATATCGGTTCGCTGGGTAACCAGATCGGTGTGCTGTCGCAGATCTCCCCTGGACGCAGTGGAGATATCTCGCGTGTTGCTTTCAGTGCGATGGTCACTGGTGCTCTGAGTACTTTTACCAGTGCAGCTATCGCAGGTATGCTTATCACCAATGAGAAGATGTATACCTAGCTCTTGATGTGATGGCCGTTGTTATGCGTTAGGATATTATCAAGGCTGTTGATCTTTGACTGTCTGTTGTATTAGTTTATTAGTATAGTGGATATGATATTATTATTATCAATGATGATTGCTTCAAGCTGCTTGTCGTAAATTGGTGGCCGGTCCATTGAAGTATGAAGTGTTCATACCGATCTGATCGCTCGGCATCCACGGGTCCCCATATAGAGGGGATAGACATAACTTGACATTCCAAGGTTGGTGAACCCTAGCCTTGGAATATGTCGTGGTGTTTACGGATCACTTTGCTGTCCATGGGTGGTTATTACGTGATTATTGACAGCTCATGATTAGACTAGACCGTCGTCAAGTCATTCTGTGAAGCAACAGTTATGAAAAGGTGGCAAAGCACCCATCAGATGAAGATTAGGAAAGAAAAGCTTGCGACAAGCCTAGGGTCATACGCCCGGCTTGAATGCGTGGAATAATGATAGAAACTCAGAAAAATCAAAGCCACAATATGACCAAAAACTCCGTTCCCAATGAACCAGGCCAGTATGCATTCGGACCACATCTCCAGAATCCATCCTCCTAAGCGGGGAAGGGATGCCCGATGGGCCGACCGACGCCAACACGCAACTCGAAAGTATGAGGGGCAGAAATCTATTCGTCATCGAGGTCTCGGTGTCGGGCGAGGACGTGACGCTTGAACTCCTCTTGGTCGGAGTCCCAGAGCTCGGCGGCTTGGGCGTTCAGTGGGCTCGCACTATTTATATTGTTAGTACCGCAACTTGTGGTGTTTATTTGGCCTTGCTCACTTGTTAGGCTCGCCCAGAAGACTCTGCAGACTCAACAGCACACTCTGCACATTGTAGACTGCACTCCACTTGTCCTTCAGAATATCCAAACAGATGCGGCCGGAGAAGTCGAAGTTAGGGTGGTAGATGGGTGTCTTGAAGAGAACGGTCGGAGGCGAGTAAGGGTAGTTATTGGGGAAAGCAAAGGAAAGTTTCAAAGTCAAGCCTTCATAGGGAGTCTCGGTCGGGCCGGTGATGGTCGCAGTCCATGAGAGGAGGTTGCCATCGGCATCGGGGAAGGCGGAGATACCGGGCGACGGCGACATCATGAGCTGCATCAACTCAGCCTGCAGGCTATATTAAAGATGGAAGTCAGCCACGATACATGATTGGCTAGACGTGGTTGCTCAGGTGTTTGGGGGCTGCAGGGGAAACAAACCGTTTGGTCACGCTTTGCGTGTCACCTCGCTGGGCGGAGGCATTCAGCTTGGAAGCTTCCAGCGCGTCAGGCGCCGAGTTCTGAGTATCTTCCATGTTGTAGTCCATTATGGAGTGAAATCAAAGGGATCTTTAAAACAAAGTGGTAAAAGAAAAAGTCCGCAGATTCCGGGCCGTGTGGAATGTGAGTAACAGTAGCACGAGGGTTCCAAGGTTGCTATCTGGAATGACGCCGAAAACAGAGAGGACCCACACAACAAGGTAGTAGAGGGTGTAGACGAAAATGAAGAGTTGGAAGATCGAGGTGGTGAACAAGAGGAAAGGATGAGGGATGAAGAGAAAGTTCGGACTAGTAATCTGTGGACATTTGTTTACGGTCTCTGGCCCTGGCAACCGTGTGTCCCCGCTTAGTGGCTTAATGGCACCACTACGGAGCAGGATATGACTTGCCATGTCTATAATTTGGATCATATAGATATCTAGTCGATGATGAATTATGCATTTCATTCAGCCTTTCTATAGACGAATTTGAATTTTGAAAAGAAAATAGACATAGCAACCGATCGGAGAGAAGCTAGTGCGATCGAGAGGGGAACAACTGCGGGTCACGCAGATGCAATAGGTCAATCAGATATAGTAGGCGCTGTCACAGAGTAAATAGTCTCATAATTATCTTGAATTTGACTACTCTTCATACTTCAGTATGACCATTCGAACATAATTGTCCTTGTATATGTCCTATCTCTTCAGTACTTCATGATCATACCAAGGTACAGCTCTAGGCAGAATCAACAAACTTCCCAAACAGGTCTAAGTGGCGCCCCGCGCTCGCGTCCCGCTTTGCGCGTTTCACGGCCCTTGCTTCAGTCCCAAACCCGTCTGAGCGCTATGCAATAGTCAGTCCCTTTGGTCTGAATTACAACCACTCGGTTCGATATTCAGGGCCCAGGATGCAGCATTCACAGTTGGCCCCGTTGCCAAACGACGTGCCCTTCCGCATTGTCTCGAAGACAATCGGACAGGGTGCCTATGCCTGGTGAGTCGAGCTTATCATCTATGTTTTTGTAATACCAAACTAACCCGATCCCCTCCGTGTAGCATTAAAAAAGCCTGCCCCCTGGACTCGGACAACCCTGTCTTCGCAGTCAAATACATCCACAAGGAATACGCAGCGAAGCACGGCAAGATCAGCGCGCGACAACTAGCGCTGGAGGTGTCTGTGCACAAGCATGTGACGGGGCATCCCAGCATCATCAGTTTCTACCAGACAGGAGAAGATGCTATCTGGCGATGGATTGCCATGGAACTGGCGGAAGGGGGTGACCTCTTCGACAAGATCGAGGCTGATGAGGGTGTGGGCGAAGATGTCGCACACGTCTACTTCTCGCAGCTTGTGAGCGCGGTAGGCTTCATGCATTCAAAAGGCGTTGGCCATCGCGATATTAAACCCGAAAATATGCTACTCACCTCCGATGGCAACCTCAAGATCGCTGATTTTGGCCTGGCCGCACTGTTCGAATACAAGGGATCCCGGAAATTATCTACCACATTTTGCGGTAGCCCGCCGTACATCGCACCGGAGGTAATCAGCTGCAGCACACGAGGCCAGATCAAGGGGTCAGGATACCACCCAGATATCGTGGACATTTGGTCTTGCGGTATTGTCCTATTTGTCCTTCTGGCGGGAAACACTCCGTGGGACAGCCCCACGGACGATAGTTACGAATTTCACGAATACCTGGCTACAAAGGCACGCACAACCGATGAGCTATGGCAAAAATTACCCCCTGCAACTCTTTCTTTGCTGAGGGGTATGTTGACTGTGGACCCCAAGAATCGATTTTCGCTGGAGGATGTACGAAGGCATCCTTGGTATACTCGGTCCAACAAGTTCCTGTCACCGGATGGGAAGCTGAGGGACCCAATCAACTTGGCAACTTCAATGTTTGAGTCTCTACACATTGATTTCAGTCAGGATCCTCTTTCTCAGAAGCGCAAGAAGGCCAGTCGAAGCTTGGATGCCATGGATATGGACATGGATGTGGATATGGGTGGGGGCGGCGATGCTGGATTCTCTTCTACGCAGCCTGAAATGCCAGGCGGTGGCATAGTCATGGACTGGGATGCTCCCCATTTGGCTTCGGGGGTTTTCTCATCTACCCAGCCAGCTGGAAAGCCTTTCAATTCCCAAGAGGCAGCCTTGGCCAATCATCTCGAAGATGAGCCGTCGATGTCTCAGTTCTCCCAGCAACCCTCTGTGCCACTAAGCCGCACTCAAAATGCTCAGAAATTCCAAGACATCATCCCGTCCCGCTCAATGAACCGTTTCTATTCGGCCTGGGAGCTCAAGCTTCTGGTCCCCTTGATCTGTGAGGCTCTTCATAGACTCGGAGTTCCAGTTCCGACTGTGCCTGCTGTAAGTACTGGAGACACCGGCTCGATGATCCGTGTCATCACAAAGGATGGCCGACTGTGTCAGCTTCAGGGCAAGGTTCTCATAGAATGTGTGTCTGAGGGCATCTTCGAAGTCGAATTTGTCAAGGTCAAGGGTGATCCGCTGGAATGGCGCCGATTCTTCAAGAAAGTGACCATTCTTTGCAAGGATGCGGTTTTCAAGCCGGATGAATAATCACACCTCTGTGACCCTGGTTTTATGTTACCTGCTATTTTTATCGCTTACGATCACTCACGAATTTAGTGGGGAGGGGCATCTAGGGCTTTGGTAGGCGTTTTCGGTAGGATATCTGCCCCCTCCTTACAACCCTGGGTTTTATTACAAGTACCTAAGGATGCCTTATGTTTTATGTATTGTCTAATGTATATATTTACGATTCGCTGCATTGCTTTCATAGAGAAAAATGCCCTATTTATTGACCCGGGAAGTACTTCTAGGAACCGCTTTCTACAGGGCTAAATGATCCCCCTCAAATCCCACGTTCATGTGGCTTTGTCCTACATGCCCAGCCAATCCTTTACCGTAAATTCGACTTAATCTATCTCACCCTATCTCCGCATTCTACCTGTTCTTACCCATTTCATCGTCTTGTCCTGTCCATCAGTACCACGTGACAGCTTCTGCAGATCGCGGGGAAGAGCGATTGGAACTTTTCAGAAACATAATAGGCCAGCGCCACTCGAGCTTCCTCCTTTCATTCATTTGCCCCCGATGCTGCAACCTCCCAGGCCTCCCTCATGGACAAGCTGCCGGTAGAGATCCTAACCAAAGTCATCGACCGTAAGCGCCGCCGAACTCCCCCCGAGATCTTCCCCGCACCCACTATGCAGAAAAAAGAAAAAGAAAAGGAACGCCGCTGATAAATTCCACAATCAGTTCTCACCCCGCATGAGAAGGTGCAGCTGCAATCTGTTTCCAAAAAGTATTTCGACCTTGCCCGCGATAATAATTTGTGGAAACTGCACTGCTATGAGCAGTCATGGGCTGCTTTGCAATCTTCCCGGCCGGCGGGTCGGATGTCGGAGAGCCTCCTCACCCACTCAACGGTACCTTTAAGTACACTGGGACAGAGCTCGCTGCGCGAACTTATTCAACCACCTCCCCCACAGTTGGAGGAGGCTGCTCCGAATGATACCCGAGGGCTGTCCATAAGTGACAGAGCAAGGGCGGCATCGGACTGGGAGTCTTCAATTGAAGGAGAACATGTGGATTGGTACTCGGAATATATTGCCCGCCATGGCCCGATGTCGTTGTCTTGGGTTCAACAGCCGATGATCCAGAATGGAGAAGGCCTAAAACGTACACCGCATGAGGTCAAGGGTATGGGTTTGCTGAAGGACTGGAGTTCTGCGAGGCAGAATAAGATTGTTGCACCCCTGGAGGACGGAAGTGTATGCATCTGGGATCTTAATCATTCTCATTCCGGTGATTCGCAATCGAGCAAAGGCAATATCCTCGGCATGAGTGAGCCAGGTCTCCTCATGAAGAACCTGTCTCGACGGAGAGATCATTCCCCATCTAAGTCTTCTCTCGAGTTCATCAACATGGGCGAAGGAGTGAGTGTAGACTCCTTCCGGCACCGAGCCTACCTTGCTGCTGGGAATGTTCTCAATGAGGTCGATCTGGAGACTTTAAAATTGATTTCGCAGCAGCGCTATCCATGGTCGATCTTTGCGCTCTCTCAGGAGACTGATTATTCTGTTCCACTAACACTAGCCACCACGCTCAGCCTTCAAATACACGACGCAAGGCTACCTGCCACTGAGGAAGAGGAAGCGATCAATTTGCGGTGCGAAGAGAATTCCGCTCCCTTGGTGCCTGAACTGGACATATTCTCTCATTCCGACTCGCCACGGCTGCAACTTCAGCCTAACGGGCTCCCTCCCCATCGAATCCGGAGCCCGGCTCCTTCAGACGATACTAATTACGCACCGCTCTTCCAACCTGGTCCTCTGTCCATTCTTCATCCGCCTGCCCCGCATGTAAACAGTATTCTCCTTGCAGGCCGGTTCCCCAGCATCCTCTGCTATGACCGTCGCTTCTTCCCACGTCTGCAGAGCACTGTTCACTCTGGAGGCCGTATTTGTGGCCTGACATCTGCACCTGAACCTCGATTCCCCGTTTTCAAAGACTCGGACTACCCCGCATCTCACAGTGTTGTGGCATGTGGCGATTACAACGGGAGAGGCTCACTAGAGCTATACAATCTCAGCTCTTCGTCTCAGGATCCCCTAAGCCGTCCATCGGACAGATCATCCACCCTAACGCCGCAATACAACAATCGACAAAGCGCTGCAAGCTCCAGGCTTCTGTCTGTAGCATCTCATGGAAATCGCATCGTCTATTCCGATGCCGAGGGAAACATCAAATGGGTCGAACGAAATGGCCGCGCAGAAGTCCGTCGCTGGAACATCAATACCTCTCATCCTCAAATTCCATTCTTCCGGAACAGTCAAGCATCTACTCCCGGTGAATCCGGGGCCGAAGACTCACAGCCCCGAGGTCTATGGCCGAATTCCCAGCCTGAAAACCAAAGCAGTGAAGTCGCACGGAAAATTCTTCCCACGGGAGGAAATCTCACTGGTGATGAGCTGCTGGTATGGACTGGAGAACGTATTGGGCGTATTAAGTTTTCCATCCCGGCGGACTCGGGCTTAGAAGATGATGAGGACGAGTGGTTCATGCATGCTGAGGTTGATGAAGAGACTCGGGAAGCCATGCGACACAAGCTAAGGGATGAATGGGAAAAAGAGCGGAAATACGAAGACACCATGCGGCGGGCATTGGAGAGACAGGCGGATGAGGTACGATGGATGGGGACGGACGGCATGAGTTGATTGATCTTTTTCCTCTTCTCTTGTTTTTGTAGCGTTTTCTTCATATTAGAATTTTCGGTATTTTGCACTGCATTTCCTACGCTTGCCAGCATATAGATCTGAGACTGATGGTTTCAGCGAGCTACTAGGTAGGTGCCAACCCCCAGGAAGAACAAGAAGCTCCAAGCTAGGGGCGATAATGAAACTCAAATATAGTCACTGCATACGCAGATCATCTCAACATGAAACCATTCGTATTGATATCTTAGAATGAAGATAGAGATGGCTAGGTGGTTCTAGAGCCATAGATGCTTTGTACCATTGTTGTCAATCAGCCTACATGCAGCTCTCGTAGGAATTGGGCTGAAGACCTCGGGAGGGAAGACACAGGAATATATTCATGAACGAATCCGTCAGTGCCTCGGGACGAATGATATTCACTTTGGCACGAGTGGGAACATCGCAAATCTCGAGAATATCTGACTCTATTTACTTCCTAACATTCAATTCACTCAATGACTGCCACACTATACATCAAGCTATAAGTTAAAGTCCGGCATATAATTCATCTCCAGCCGCGGTTGCACCGGCATGGCGCTTTCACCGCCGGTGCCGGCTCCCCGCACCCGGACCCGAATTCGATCACGAGCATTTCTAATACAGTTGTAAGCTATTACGGAGGCGAGATTTCCAAGGGTTCTCGAACAATCCTTTTTCTTTTTTATTACGAGATCCTGCGCGCTCTTCATTTTGACTCATATTAGTTCTTCTGAGCTCTTTGACTACCTTATTCCTTCCAAACACCGAATTGCGAGGTGAGGGGCAAAATTATTGCGCCGATAAGCCATACCCACCATTCAAGATGCCCTCCATGACAGACATTGCACACCAGTTCGACTCCATTGAGGATACAATTGCAGCTTTCAGTGAGTGCCTTCTTTCGGATTGCCACAATTGCTCTATTCCAGATCTATTATTCCAAAATTCATCAATTGAGTCAGGCCGACTAATGTGACTCAGAGAATGGCGAATTCATCATTGTCCTCGACGACCTCGACCGCGAGAATGAAGGAGATCTCATAATTGCCGCGGAATCCATCACAGCCGCCCAGATGGCCTTCCTTGTGCGCCATACAAGGTGAGCACATGCCCATGCGACCATACCCCACCACCCGCGCGCGCACGGCTCGGTGAAATCCGGCCGCCTGCGTCGCTCGGCTTTATGAACGTGCTCTATTCCGAGCACACGTCGATATTATTAAATTGGACTTATGAGAGCAAAAGCTAATTCGTTGCAGCGGTTTAATATGCGCACCCATTACCCCGGAACTAGCCACCCGCCTCGCACTCCCGCAAATGGTTACCGAGAACGCCGACCCCAAAGGAACGGCCTACACCATCACAATTGACTCAAGCGATGACTCCGTGACAACTGGTATCTCTGCTCAAGATCGCGCACTTACTTGCCGTACTCTTGCCTCCCCAGATGCCACTATTGACTCTTTCCGTCGGCCTGGCCATATCATTCCCCTCCAGGCGCGTGCGGGTGGTGTGCGCGAGCGCAAGGGACACACTGAGGCTGCGGTGGAGTTCTGTCGTCTTGCAGGAAAGGCACCGGCTGGTGTTATCGCGGAGCTTGTGGAGAATGGGGAGGTTGTTGAGGGTGTGCCTGAAATTGTGGGTGATAATGGTATGATGCGCAGAGATGCTTGTCTTGCTTTCGGTAAGAAGTGGGGGATTAAGGTTTGTACTATTGAGGGTATGGTGGCTTATTTGGAGAAGACTGAGGGTGCTAAGAATGGATCTCATTGATCTCTCGTTCTTTGAATTTTTTTCTTCGATATATGTTCCAATGTTGTGTATACTTGGATTGAAGGCTCTTGATTGTACCTACATTTCGGCGGTTCTTCTGGATACCACTTTAGATGAATTATAAAAGCCTTAGAGATTGTTCTGTTCTTATGCTAGTAGATTGGTGGGAGTACAGATCAAGTACAGATGAAGTACAGATGAACAACGGTAGTAGAAAGCGGTAGGCCAATAACAAAATTTTGAATCTGTCTGTTTGATAGTTTATTTGGGTATCTTTTGGGTTTGGTCACATAATACAGATTGATGCGCAGAAAACGCAAGTTCATAACGCCGATGCAATGCAAATAGAATGGCGTTTTAGCCTCGACGCGAGAGGATCAAGGCAAATCTTCCGGTCCATCACCGCTTCAGGTGGGAGTAGTCTCTCAGGATACTCTGCATATGGGTATTGGTAGTCTTTCCACTGCGGCGAGGCTTCTTGACCTTCTTCGATTCCATCTTAGGTCGAGGTTTGGTCACCTTGTTTTTGTTCGTAGGAGTGATACCGGCCTTGTCCAACTCCTCCTTGACGGCCTGCGCATCCGGAATCTTGATTTTTTCCCAGATCACCTTGAACTCGTCATCGAAGCGCTCGATGAGCGATGGGTCATTCGCCCAGATCATCTTCGCATGGTCGTCCTTCTTGTTTCGAGTTACAAGTAATTTTCCTTCCTTCTCTAGCTGGTTGATAGCATCCTCGACATTTGGCCACCCCTCGCGGAGCTCTCGCACATTCATTCCAGCCGCAGTAGTTTGCGCTTGGAGCTGTTGGAGAAGTTGCTCCGAGTTGCGGATGTTATGCGGAGGGCGAAAACTGTATGTGCCTTCGCCGTTGGCGCCGTTCGGGTCATATTCAACCTTCTCGTGTGATTTCAGAATCCTCGCAAGAGCGAGAACGTAGGCTTGTTCATTCGGCCGGTTTTGAAGGGAGAGATAGGATATGATATCGGAGAGCCGGAGTGGCACGCTTTTGGTCTTCATGTGCTCGATCGCAAAAAGGACCTGAGTCATGATATCCTTTCCTGTGCCCGTGTTTGCTGGTTGGGAGTAGACGATGTCGGCATCGTGCCTCTTTTTCTTCAAGTCACCAGACGAGGACGGAGTCGGTGCGGAGGATGGAACCTGGGAGCTGGTGGCAGAGGCAGACTGAGTAGGCTGGTTATTCACCACGCGCCTTTGCTGAGGCATGCGGTTCGCCGACTCCATCACCTGGGTGTTGAAGCTTTTGAGCTGGTTCTGTAGGTACGACATGGCTGCGGTGGGGATTCGGAAGGCTCCAGATGATACGTGGGATGAGAAGGATTGCTAGGGTTGGGGTGAAAGCTGGAATGATGCGAGCTGGATCAAGCTCGGATTAAACAACCAAGATCATAGGAAGAAGAGGCGATACTGTAAAGCACGATGCAGTCGAGTTCCGGGGAACAGAATCAGGCGAAAGCAGCCAGGGCTAGGCGATGGCCGTGGTTGGGTCAGAGGAGACCGAACAAAGAAATGAAGAGGGTAATAATTAGAACGAAAGAAAGTGGTTGAGTAATGTACTTGGAGGCTCTAGTGAAATCGGAGACCAGTCACGTGAATGGGGCTGCCTTTGACGAAAGCAATGCTGTCGCGGCTGGAACTCGCCCTTCACTTCACCTTGACCTCCATCAACACTTTCTGCTCCCTCCCCCCACATTTACTGGCGCGTGCAGCCCAATTGCGATACTTCACTCTTTCTGTGCTCGCCATGACATAGGCCTCCCCTGGCAGCGCTGTGTGTTCATCTCTTAGAGCTGTGCGCAGCAGCGCGTTTCGGAACCCTCGAAGCCGCTATTGCTTTACGAGACAACCTCACGTTTCCCTCGGTTTTGCAGCCATAGCTGCTCACACCTTCGCTCATCATGGCGGACGCCGCTATTGACATTCCTTATTTATCTTCTCATTTCTCTTTGCCCGAAACCACGCTTTCATCACTCACTGAGGCCCCGACGATTGACCTTGTCAACCAGCTTCTTCAATCCATCACCGCCAAGGCACACGGATATGATGAGCTCAAGTCGGACAAACTCAGATTGGAGGTCGAGCTCGAAAATGCAGTGCGCAGCAACGAGTCGAAAATCAAGGTGCTGAAAGGCACGGTGGAAAAGGGCCATAATGAAATCGAAGAGCTGCGAAAGAAGCTTCACGAATCTGGTAAATATCTGACAACAATATCCTTAACCTCGGACTTTACTCTGATACCAGGCAGAATCCACGCGTGGAGCATTGGAGACTGAGATCTCGACTCTCAAATCTTCCTCAACCTCCAATGAAGGCGAAGTCAGCTCCCTGAAGTCGCGCATAACATCTCTCGAAGAATCGAATCGAGACACTCTTCGCTTGCTAGAGTCCAAATCCGCTGCCCACGACAAGCTTGCGGAGGAATTGTCCGCCCAACACAAGAAAACGATTGAACTACGCCGCGAACTGTCGACCATCGAGCAAAACCTCCAGAACGCCAACTCCGCATCCGCCAGCGCACGATTCCGTGAACAAAGCATCCAGCAAGAATTAGACCTCACCAAGAAGAACAACGAATGGTTCGAGACCGAATTGAAAACCAAGAATGCCGAACACATAAAGTTCCGCAAGGAAAAGAATGCTCGCATCGCTGAGCTTCAGCGCGAAAACGAAGAGGCGAACTCTTCCATTGATGCTTTGAGGCGCACCGAGAACTCCCTGAAAAGTCGGTTGGACGAGACCGAGCACCGGTACGAAGAGGCTCTATCTACCATCCAACAGCTGAAGGAAGAGGCTATCCAAGCTGCGGAGTCTTTCCGTAACGAGCTAGATAGCGCCAACCGACTCGCCGAGCTCCAAGGGTCTGCTGCACAGAATGCCAAGCAACGGGCTCAGGAGTGCCAGCTGTCCCTGGAGAAGGCTACTGCTGATGCGGCAGAAGAGATATCTCGCCTGCGTGTAGAGGCCGAAGCCGAACACAATGACAAGGAGGCTGCTGAGCGCCGCGTGGCCGAGCTAGAAGTTTCCATCTCCAACCTTGAGTCCGAGGGAGCACGAAACCGCTCCATGAGCCCTGCCCGATCTATTAACGGCATGGCCCCTACGACACCTGTCCGACCTGGCACACCCGGAAGCACCTTCACTCCGAGAACCGGTCGAACCAAAAATGGTCTTTCGGTTACTCAGATGTACACGGAGTATGACAAGATGAGAACACTCCTTGCAACAGAGCAACGGACCACCCAGGAGTTGCGCTCAACTCTTGACGAGATGGTACAAGAACTTGAGTCGAGCAAGCCAGAGATCGACGAATTACGCGCAGATCACAGCCGTCTCGAAAATGCTGTGATTGAAATGTCTAACCTCTTGGAGTCGTCAGGTAAAGAACGTGACGAGGCAACGAAAGAAGCAAGAAAATGGCAGGGCCAAGTCGAAGGTCTGGTTCGCGAAGGCGACATCTTGCGCCAACAACTTCGGGATCTTAGTGCGCAAGTCAAGGTTCTTGCCCTCGAGGTGGCGATGGTCAAGCAGGGCGAAGACTACGACCGTGAGGAGCTCGAAAAGATTGCTCGCCAGGAAATTGAAGATTCTTCGGCTGAGCTGAATTCAACTGGCCGCTTTATCAGCCAAAACCTCACCACCTTCAAGGATCTGCACGATCTGCAAGAACAGAATGTGACTCTACGCCGTATGCTCCGAGAGCTTGGCGACAAAATGGAGGGTGAAGAAGCCCAGGCCAAGAATGCAACGAGACAACAGGAAGCTGAGGAGCTAAAGGAGTTACGGGTCCGCGTTCAGACGTACCGAGATGAGGTGGCGAACCTTCTCGCTCAGTCCAAGAGCTACGTCAAGGAGCGTGATACATTCCGCAGCATGCTGATGCACCGAAAACAGACGATTGGTGATACATCTGTCTTCTCGCAGTCTATGCCGCTCGGTGCCGTTCCCCCGGGTGTCACTGACGGCCAGTCGAAGGATTCCACAGATTACGCCGAACTGCTTCGCAAGGTTCAAGCCCACTTCGACACCTTCCGTGACGAAACTGCAACAGACCACAAAGCTCTACGTCAACAGGTCAACGAGCTTTCGCGCAAAAACAGCGAGCTCTTGAGTGAAATTAGTCGATCTAGCAGTCAACTTGCCGCTGCTTCTCAGCGGGCTGAGCTCCTTCAAAGCAACTTCACTATGCTCAAGAGCGAGAACAGTGACCTCCACAAGCGGTATTCAACTCTATTTGAGAATGCCAATCGCCAGGACCTTCGCACACAGCAAGCAGCTGAGGACTTGGTCGAGGCTAAGGGCCTTGTGGAGAGCCTTCAGAGAGAGAACGCCAATCTTAAGGCGGAGAAGGATCTTTGGAAGAATATTGAGAAGCGATTGATTGAGGATGCAGAGAGCATGCGGAACGAGCGCAGTCGGCTTGATTCTATGAATGCTAGCTTGCAAACAATGATGAACGAGCGAGAGCATGCAGACAGCGAGACTCGCCGGAGACTTCAATCTAGTGTGGAAACTCTGGAATCGGAACTACAAATCACCAAAAGGAAGTTGAATGACGAGATGGAAGAGTCCAAGAAGGCTGCCATGCGCCGTGAATACGAACATGAGCAAAGCCAGAAACGTATTGATGACCTCGTGACTAGTCTTGGCTCTGTTAGAGAGGAGCAGGTCGCCATCAAGACTACCCGTGATCACTTGCAATCCCGTGTTGATGAGCTCACCGTTGAGCTCAAGAGCGCTGAGGAACGCATTCAGGTTATCCAGTCACGCCCGAGTGTTTCTGCCGCACCTAATGATGTTCCTGCTGCCACCCAAGAAGGAGGAGAGGGTGCTAGTGGTTTGACCCGAGAACAGGAGCTTGCTATCGAGGTTTCTGAACTCAAACGTGACCTCGACCTTGCCAAGGCAGAACTGGCTCATGCCAAGGAACAAGTTGAAGAATACAAGAACATCAGTCAATCAACCGAAGAACGCATGGAAGCTGAAGCAGAGACCAATGCGATGTACCGCGAAGAGACTGATCGTCTTATCGAAGAGAAGGATAAGAAGATTCAAGATCTGGAGACTCGGATCGAAGAGATTTCTTCTGAACTCTCTACTACCAACACCGAGATTTCCAAGCTACGTGATGAGCAAGGCGATGCCACACGTCATCTTGAAGAACAGAAAGCTACGCTCGAATTAGAAATTACTCGCCTGAAGGACGACAACGAACGACAGGTCGCTGCTGCCCAATTCCACCAGGAGGATCTGAAGGCCCAAGCCGAAATCGCTCAACACGCTCAGCAAAACTATGAGACCGAATTAGTCAAACACGCTGAAGCAGCGAAGAACGTTCAGAATATCCGTGCCGAGGCGAACCAACTGAAACTTGAACTTGTTGAATTACGAACCCAGTCTGAAACCTACAAGAAAGACTTGAGCCAGAAGGAGGAGAGCTGGTCTGAGCAAAGAGCTCGTTACGAGAACGAGCTAAGTGAGTTGCACAAACGTCGCGAGGAAGTTCTTCACCAGAACTCTGTTTTGCATACCCAGCTGGAGAACATCAGTGCCCAGATCGGCGCTCTCCAACGTGACCGTGCAAATGTCCCCGAGGATGCTGAGAATGAAGAAGGTCAGTCAGCTCCCAACCTGGAGGGTCTTCAAGAAGTCATCAAATTCCTGCGCCGGGAGAAGGAGATTGTGGAAGTGCAGTACCATCTTTCGACACAGGAAGGAAAGAGACTGCGCCAACAACTCGACTACACCCAGTCTCAGCTTGATGAAACCCGACTCAAGCTGGAGCAGCAGCGACGCGCTGCGGCTGACTCTGAGCACAATACTCTCAACCACAACAAGCTGATGGAGACTCTCAATGAGCTTAATCTTTTCCGTGAAAGCAGTGTCACTCTTCGCAACCAGGTGAAGCAGACCGAGACTGCTCTCTCGGAGAAGACTTCTCAGCTTGACGAGCTTCGCCAGAAGATTGAACCCTTGGAGACTAAAATCAACGAACTGGAAGGAAATCTGGAAGCGAAGGATGGTGAGATGCAGCTACTACAGAAAGACCGTGATCATTACCAGCAACGCATCCAGAATATTCTCCAGAAGTACGATCGAGTCGATCCAGCCGAAATGGAGGCCCTCAAAGAGAAACTTAATACTCTGGAGAGAGAACGCGATGAGGCAGTCTCGGCGCGAGACGAGTTGCAAGCACAAAAGGCAACCCTCGACGAGCAGCTTCAGACTGCCGAGGCCGACGTGGCGAGCCGTTTACAAGACCAGCGTAACAAGCTTGGCGAGCAGTTCAAGGCCCGGTCAAGGGAGCTCTCGGGACGTCTCCAGGCTAAGCAAACGGAAGTGAATGCAGCTATTCAAGAGAAGGAGGTTCTCCAGGAGGAACTGAGCAAGACCAAGGCTGAACTAGAGAGTGTGAAGGCCAGCCTAGCCAATGCTCCTGCTGCGGCCGCTCCTGTACCAGCCACCACAACCGAAGCTGTGCCGGAAACTACAACAGTTAACCCAACCCCTGCCTCGCAGTTCCCCACGCAAACAACGGCCGTTGCCGTGCCTGGAGATGAACAAAAGGTTAAGGACCTGGAAGCGAAGATCCAACGTTTGGAAGCTGCCTTGGCTGAAAAGGATGCCCTTCTTGCAACCAAGGAAGCTGAGCACAATGCAAACATCAAGGAACGCGTCGAGAAAATGAAAGAGAACTACCTGGCCAAGGTTGCGGAACTCCGTGCTGCTCATGCACAAGAGCTCCAAAAGCTGTCCTCGACTGGAGAGCAACCGACTCCTGCTACACCTGGAGTTGCTACAGAGATGCCTTCGACACCTTCCAAGACTTCTATTGATGTCTCGGCGCTCACAGATGGCCAAGTTCGGGAATTGGTTGCGAAGCATCCAACAATTCGTACTATTGTTAAGAACAATATTATGACCCAGGTCGCCAAGGAAAGAGAAAACTTGAAGGCCCAAGCCCAGGATCAGGCAGCGCCTGTAGTGGACAAAGAAGCGCTGATTGCTGAGGTGGAAACCAAATTTAACGAGGAAAGAGAAACGTTGAAGAAGAGTCATGAGGCGGATCTGGGGGAGAAGGTGAAGTCTGCTGTGGAACTGAACGACAAGAAGTATGCCGCCCGCCTTAGTATGAACGAAACCCGGTTCAAGTCGGCTCAGGCCAAGATCGAGGTCGTTCAAAAAGCGGCTCAGGAGACCCCGCAAAAACCTGTTGTCGAAGTTTGGGAGTTGGCTAAAACTGCGAAGCCTGCTCCAGTCGCAAAGCTCGCGGCAGTCGCATCTCCCGCTCCGCCTGCTTCTCCTGCGCCCGCCGCTTCTCCTGCACCAGCTGCGGCTCAGGTGGCGCCGCCTACTCCATCGCCAGTGCCAACTCCGGTGCCTAGCGTAGCGCAACCTGTGGTGGCCAACAACCAAGCAGTCACTGCTGAACAACCCGCTGCCCAACTACAACAACAACAACAACAACAACAAGAGGTCAAGGAGGAAGGTGAAACCCAAACCACTGCACCCGCCAATCCTTTCGGTCAAACGCAGTCAAACGATCAATCGAAACAACCTACTTCTCTCCCTACCAAGCCGCCGGCTAACACCCCACCTGGAATGCTCCGGGCGCTGCAGTCAGGCTTGCCCGTTGTGCGAGGTGCTCGCGGAGGCGGCCGTGGTGGCCAGCAAAATAACTTCGGTCATGGCCAGCAGCAAGGTGACCAGCAGCAAACACAGGGACAAGGTCAGAACCAGGCCCAGCGTGGCACTGGCCTCCCACGAGGTCGCGGTGGTCGTGGTGGACAAGGCCGTGGTGGACACAATGCTGCCCAAGGACAGAATCAAAACCAAGCACAGTCAGGTCCTGCAACTCGCGGTGGCTTGAACATCCAGGCCCGCCAATTCATTCCTCAAGGAAATAAACGGAACCGGGACGACGCTGCGGATTCTCCCACTGATGCCAGTGGTGGCAAGCGCATGCGAGGTGGTGGTCAGTCTCGTGGAGCCTCATCCTAGTCGTTATATTCTTTTCTTTCTTTGTATCTATCTAGTCCATGTATGATGGCGTTTTTGAGATTCCAATCTTATGTGCAGTCATCTTTATGATGCTTAATTGTGCTCCTCCCACTTTCACCTACACTATACGATCTCAACGCCGAACAAAATTGTGACACATAGAACAAAATTCATCCTAGCCAAGATGCTTAATGCTATCAAAGATTGCTGTAGCCTTGACCTCAAGCCAAGACTGGGTATAAACTAACAAATAGACTATCAACAACGCTCAAGGCCAGAGCATATCTCGCCCACATACTCTCACTCAATACCTCCTAAGAAAACAGCAAAACACCCAATATTTTGACATCAAATGACCCCATAAATACCTCCCTCAAACAAATCACCTCTTCTTGCCAGCCCCAGCCGGAACAATCATCCTTCCCAAAACCTCCCTCTCCTTCTGCAGCACCATCAATCTCGCATCCTCGATAACCTTCCCTTCAGGCGCAAGCCCCGGAACAGGAGTCTGCGTAACCCTAGCCGCAACAACAACAGCCGGACCAGGCCCTTTCGCCTCCCTAGCCCTTCTCCTCCTCTGCCCAATCCCATTCCCCCAAACAACCGTCCACTCCGGCACGAAACTAGCCTCGGGGACCTCAACCCCAGAACAAATCTTCGTGTGCGAACCTATCTCCGCATAGCGGTGTATTGTGGCTAGCGCTTCGATGCAGGCGGAGCTGTGGATGTGGGCTCCAGGTCGGACTGTGGATTGGGGTCCTACTGTTACGAAGTAGGAGAGACGGGTTGTGAGGTCTTTGTTTTGTGGGGTTTGTGTTTCCGTTGTTGATGGTTCTGGGGTAGGTGATGGAGATGCAGGTCGTGAGGATGAGCGTGATGAGGTTGGTTGCGCGCCGATAACGGCTTTTTCGCTAATAATGCAGCCATCGCCGACTATTATAGGCCCTTCGTAGCTGTAGAATCGGGCGCGTGGGTGGATTACTGTGTTCGCGCCGATTGTTATGGGGTATTTTCCTTGGAAGACGGCTGTGTCGGCGATTGTGGTTGTAGGATCGGCTTTGACGGGGGCTTTGGGGGGGCCTGTTGGTGCGGAGCGGTGCTGCGCTGGGGGTGGTTTGAGGGTGGCCATTGTTGGTGTTGGATGTTGTGAAGTTGAAGTGTTAATGTGGAGATGTGTTGACTGGATTCGGGGATTGCGGAGTTTGGACCTGCAACACATGCAACTAGATCTGGGATTTACTTGGACAAAACATTTAGTATGAACCAAGTTCTATGATAGCTTAATATAATAGTTGATCATAAATGGGTTCATACAGCTCTCGGGTATCTATTCTATTCTAATCTAAATCATGCCAACGCCCATAAATCATCCTAACCCTCACTCCTCATCAACCTTCTGCTTAATCCCATTCCTCTTCCTCCACAACCAGACTCCCCGATCAACCTCCTCCCTCGTCATCCCATCCCTAACCAAACAGAACGTAACCCCCAACTCCGTCTCAACGTTACGATTCCGCGCCTCATCATCAAAGAACAACATCTCCTCATACTCAAAACCACTCGCCTGCTGGATACGCGAAAAATGCTGCGTTTTATTCGCTGGGAAAATCTGGATGAAATCAAAGTATTCCAATGCGCGCGTCGTGCGCGTGTTTGCTCCAGGGTTGTCGGAGAAGTTTGGGATAACGTGCAGTGCTTTGAGGAGATCGCGGGCTAGATCGGGGGTGTGGGTTCGTGAGGCTAGGGCCATGGGAATTGAGCGGCTTTTACAGGCGTAGATAATTGAAGATACTGCTGGGTAGAATGCGAAGGATTCACCCCATCTGAAAGTGTTAGTTGGCACTGGATGGGCAGGTGACTGGGAGAGCATAATGGCGGAGGTGCCTACCGGTCAACGATACGGGAATTGTTGTCGCGCGCTTTGACGGGTGCGCTGACGTGCGTGTCGACCCAGAATGGCCATAGTGTGTAGTCCAGGTCGAATGCGATCAGTTTAGGGAGAGGGAGCCCGTCTGTGAATGTTGCGGGAGCCACGGAGGTCTCCTCCAGGGGTTGAGTGTTTTGGCGCTTTCCCGCTCGTACCATGATGAGTATGTAAATGAATACGAATATAGACAAGGACAGAATGGAGTCAACGAGGGTGTATGTCTGTATGGAAATGTATAATTGTCAATCTGAAAATCGCGGGGGATGCGGGCCTGGCACGTGCCGTCTTGATAATCAACAACGACGTCATCGAATCTGAGGTGGGCAATGAGACCTGAAAATGAGTATTGTTGTAGTGAAGGAATTTTTGGGAATTTAAATATATTAATATTCGCTCAAGTAATCTCAGTAAGTATGGTTCACAAGAAAAACACTTGAAAGGGGGGTTGAACATAGTAGCAATCTAGGACTAGAAAATAAGCAGTACTGGTATAATCATTAGTTCTCAGCATTCAAGTTCAGCAAATCAATCAGTCATAAGACCTATATCAAACCATCACCCAGGCTTAAAAGTTAATATATCATCATCAATAAAAATTGATAACATCCTTGAACTCTTCAAGTAACAGTCGGTCCACATTTTCCCATCCAGGAGAGCCCTCGGACTCGGTTTGTTGTTGTTGTTCGTCAAGCTCCACTGCGGGAGATTCATTGATTGAGCACCACTCAGTTCTCTTCCTGCTCCGCTCGTTTTTTGTTTCTTCGAAACAACTCGCCTTTCGTTTAGGGGGAATGTTTCCGGAAAGCTCGGTCAGCGGCATGGTTGTGGCTGAGCTTTTGATATTCTCCGGGCTGGTGAAGGGGTTGTTCGTAGGAGATGAAGCAGGGTCTTCCCATACAGCCACAGTGCGATCGGTCTCTGGCAATAATGTTGGTAAGATCCCTCCGGTCAGATTCTCGGTACTTTCTGCCGTGTCCGCAGAAGGATCGCCGCTTGGCGTTGTGAGGTCGACGAAAGATTTTGTCTTTTGTTCAATCTCCGAGACGTCGATTGAGGGAGGTTGTTTGAACTCGGATTTTGTATCTTTGAGAAGTTCTGATGGGGATGGGAAGTCGCTGATTTCATCATCGCCGTAGTCGCTGGAAGGCATTTCCGAGGGAGTATGGAAGACTTTATGTTTGCTTGACGAAGGGGTCGCATATTTGCTTCCTCCAGTTGCTGTGCTGGGTCTCTGCTTCACGTTCTCCTGTCCCCTCAACGGACTCGAATGATGCCTTTCGGATGAATGCTCCTTTGCCGTGGCTTTCCGCTTTTCTTTTCGCGCGTTCTTCTCCTTGTCCTTTTTGATGACATTAGCCGTCAAGGTTAACTGACTCAAACCATCACTTTTTTGAGTTGCAGGAGCTCGTTTCTTGCCAGCTTTGGGAGGTTTCTCAAGGCCCGTTCTGCAGCAGAGATGTTTACAGCTAGACTTGTCAACGCAGTAGTACAGGTCCATTGAAGAATCACATACCTTGTCTTGTCCTTGCATTTGTGGTTACAAGCCCAGTTACCGTTGGCAAGTCGGACAGGTTCGTCTTCCTGCTCTTGTGGTCCAATATCGGCGATCGATTTGCCGCCTGTTTTATTCGAGGCTGCTGGTTGTCGTTTAGGACTTGGGGTACTGTCAATGGATAGCCAGTCAATTTCCTCGTCTTGGACCATTTTCATGGACGCGGGTTTCTTTGGCCTCTCCTGGTGCAGATCTTTGAGGAAGAAGTCATCCAGACCTAGATCATCACTGTCAAAAGCGTCTGCTCTGAACTTTCCTTTAGGTGCTCCCTGGGGTTGTTGACATAAAAGTTTGTCAGGCTTTCCATCTTGGGTCTTGCTTTCGTCGGTTGTCATGGTTTGCTTTGGGAGGTGAGCTAAGAGATTGGGCTTCAACTCAGCTTTCCTTGCGGTCCCAGCTGTATAAGGTAAGAATCAAGAACTAATTAGATTTCCAGAGTAGCTTTACCAATATCATCACACATGGCATGGCACACGACAAATTGGCTTTGGCTCGTCAGGTTGACAGCGAGAGTGATTTCCAAGCTGTTCTGCAACTTGGTTGCACTAGATCAATGTAAGCAACTGACCGACCTGTTCCGAACTAATTTGTGTCATTACCTTATCCTGCGGAAATCAATCAACCGACCGTCAGATGTTTCTGTCAAGCAGCAAATATAGACTGGTCGACGCTGAAAGTATGTCGGAGTCTTCTCATTCATGAACGCCACTTCAAACTTGAAACGGATGGTTACAAATACATTCTTCACTTCCTAAACAATTATCAGCAAAAATCGACTTGCAGTAAGCTTTAACAAACCTTGCCAATCATCTTCACATCAATGCGCAACTTTGGAAACTCCTTCAATCGAGAAAGCAACTTTGACCCGAATGGTGGATTTCTGCTGAGTGTCATCTCAATTTCGTGAACTTCCATATACTCAAGTTCTTCAATGCCTGTAATTCCAGCAGCAGCCAATTTTCGAACAGCTACTACACCAATCTGCTCAATCTGTTTCATTTGAAGTGGCGACTGATCCCAGACTTTTGCACCAAAGCTTCGGGCTAAATCCAGTGCATTCAGGATGGAAACAGAGTCCTCGCGTGCGATCATACAATCGATCACACATCGGACTAATCTGTTCACGTGTGCGAAAACTAGATTTTTGTCTTGCTGAAGAGAGAACTTGAGTTTCTGGAATTGGTTTCCACTTGGGAACTCAATGGCACCTAGTTCAGACTGGAGAAGAAGGGAGATTTTGTGAGCTGGGAGAGCTATATCGACTTGAACTGGGTATCGGATTCCATGGTCGCGGTTTATCTCCTTGTATAATGACTTTTCGCCTGCCTTGAAGCGGATTTCACGGAATTCTTCTGCTTGGACGATCACATCGAGCTACAATCGTCAAATTTGAGCAGTCATTTGGAATGGTGTTACTTACAATTTGCGACACTGTTGCCTTTCCTTGCAAGCTGAGCAAGATCTTCATAGTTTCAAACCGAATGTAGTATCGAGCCATGGCATCACCATATTGGGTCGAGCGCAAACTATCAGTCTCGACCAGACCACATTCCTGGAGAAGACCGATGTCCTTTTCACAGATCTGCCGGAGCAACTCGTTTTCGTCGTCCTGAGTGGCTCCTTCTTTGAGCTTATAGTGAGTCGGATTCCGACGAAGTCTCACAAAGAGGAAGGTTCCAGCAAGCCATTTTGTAGCCGTTTCAACGTCAGTGACATTCCCAAGGCCAATCTCAGCATTGAGATGATCTATCAGGTTTAGATGTAAGCAACTTTCGATACTTTCGGTTCCTGAAACTAGTTTTTCGTAGTGTGGTACTCGCTCTTTTCGGGTGAGTATAACTGCCACGGCGCTGTCATCAAATTGCGGTCGACCTGCACGTCCGAGCATTTGCATCATCTCGAGATCTGAATATTCTTTGCAACCGCCTTCCTGCCAACCGACGGTATTTTTGATGATCACAAGGTGACAAGGGAGATTCACGCCGACGGCAAGGGTTGAAGTGCAGCATATCACGTTTATGTGTCCATCGAGGAAACCCTGTTCGACGGCATGTCTGTCGTTCGGACCAAGGCCTGCATGATGGAATGCGACTCCGGCGGCGATGGTTGCTATTTTTTGTTAGAAATAAATCGGACACGTTCCTTGACAAAGCCATACTGTTTAGATCTTCATTATTGACCTGGATCTGTCTGCCCGGGCCTTTCCAGAGCCTAGAAAGTGGGTTGGTCATATTCCAGAGACGAGCAAGTTCCTTCGCCGTCGCAGCGCACGAATTGCGAGTACAGCTAAATATCATGATCGGCTTTTGACACGAATGCATTTCAATGATATCAGGCAGTCTGCGAGAGTTAGCATCCGGTATTCAATGAACTGATTAAAACATACTTGGAGGCACAAATCTTATCAAAGGCAAAATCGTTCACCGTCGATTGATATCCATAGACAACTTTCTGCAACTTGACTGGCCGGAAATCTTCACCAAAGTGCTCTCGATGAGCAGGCAAATGCTGATTAGTAGCATCCTTACCCAGCCAAGTAGCAATATCCTCTGAATTCGGAATCGTCGCACTAAGCGCAACAAAGCGAACATTCGAACCGATGCTCTTCATCCGTGAGACAACTGCCTCAAGCGTAGCACCTCGGGACTCCTTAAGAAAGTGCACCTCGTCCAGTAGGAAAAGCTTCACTAACTGAAGCAGCTTCATATGATCCTGCCACTTCCGAGTCATGGAGTCCCATTTCTCCGGGGTAGTGATAATGATTTCACTATTCTGCACGCTCCTTAGCTGCGTGTAATCGGTATCTCCAGTCAGCTCCGCACACTTGAGATTCAAAGCCGCGAATTTGGTGTTCCAGTCACGGAACCGTTCTGTGCATAGAGATTTCGTCGGCGCTTGATAGACGACTTTGAATCGCTCATCCTTGAGCACGTTAAGAAGTCTGCAGATAGCCAGCTCCATAATCACGGTCTTGCCACTTCCTGTGGGTGAAGAAAGGACCAGATTTGAATCAGAATTGTACGCTGGGTCAAAACATCTGCTCTGGACGGCATTGAACAATGGAAATGGGAATAATTCTCGGTATCTGTCGGGTAAGGTATCCTTGGCCACCAGCACAATGCCTCGAACAGATATAGGGATGTTGTCGAAGTGTGGGATTCCCCTTCGATCTACTGGGGATTGTGGAATTTCTCTTCGGGCTACCGGGGATGACGCTTCGACCGCACTGGATTGCAGCAACTCGAGATCTACATGGTTCAGCCGTGATCATTTCAACCCGGTCTGTGTTACTGACCAAATGCATCCAATTGATCCCGATCATCTCGCACAGACGAAACAGGCTCCTGAGCCATCGGGAAATAGGCAGAGGATGAACTCGTTTCTCGTGGTCGCTGGGAGCCATCGATGAGTTTCTGATCTATGATGCCAGTCATTTTATGTGAACCAGCGGATCTGTTATCGATACGTCGCCGCTCTGGCGAAGCTTGGAAAGGACTTGAGGAGAATGCATTTCGCCGCATGATGAATATATCTTAATTGAGAGTGGAAGATGATGGGGAAAAATGATTCAGAGTGAAAGTTGCGTGTATGTGTGGGATATTGCACGTGGGCGTCCCGTGCCTTGACAGACCACCGATCCATAACTCTAGGTCATCAGCATGGACCTGGAGAGATGGATTCACTGAGCATACTGTATGGATGTGTTCAGTCCGATATAGCTCTATAAGTCAATTTATTCGTGTAGGTAATCTGGAGGAGCTGATTCGGGTATATCAAATTTCTCATTTCTTCGTATATATGCAAATTTGACCGGAACATTCTCGAGTAGCGAAAGCGCTCACGCTCGCAAGTAGACCGCCTCAATCACGAGGGCGGGATGTTACAAAAGGCCGTGCAATTCAAGTCACAGACCGAATCGCATCTATCAGGTATCCAAGATCATCATATCCATGAGGTATCAGAATCAGAGTAAAGCCAGAGGTTGAAATATTGCCTAGCAACTACTCTTTCTCAAAGTAGTTGCTTGCACTGACATTCCGACTGGAGCTTACCCGAGCGTGTCCCGGGTTTGGGGAGGTGGGTCGTGACGAGGACATGCCATCGGACAAGAAGGGGGTAGTAGGTAGCTTGATGGAGAAGTCGTTGGGAGAGTTAGAGACGGGAGAGCCATCGTCGAAACTGCCACCCTTTTCGTAGTTATCTACGCGGATTGGAGGTGGGCGAGCAACGCCCATCTTAGTGGCAGCAGGGTTGAAGCTGGGGTTGCCATAGTAATGAGTGGCGACCAGGACTAGAGCGGAGCCAAGAAGAAACTAAATGAAAATGTTAGTGTCTTGAAATCGTATAGGATGAAACGAACATCAGTATTCAAGGAAACGTACAGTGGGTGTGAGATCGAATTCGAAGAGCCAGACGCTTCCAATGATGCTCAAGATGGTGGTTGTGGTAGTCGCCACGCAGCTGGGATCTCTCTGCGTATGACGGAGCGAGAAGGTGGTTAAAATGCCGCCCAGGGCCTGAAGAGCGATAGTTGACCACACTGCCCAATTATAGCCCTGAAAGAAACCATCATTGGAAACACTCTCGCCGTCTCGGAAACCGACACCAATGAAGATAGCGGGGAAGACAGAGTAGATGGCCAACTGCACATTGCGCACCCACATCGAAGTGTTGTTGGAGCTATCGCGAAGGACTTTTTCGAAAAAGACACCGCTGAAGCCTGAGGCCACAGCAGCACCAATGATCGCGAGCAGGCCAATCGTCGCATCGAAATGGGGATCGGCGGTCTGAATATCCTCTTCAATACCTTCGTATGTAGCGGAGCGCTTGTGCATCTTTCCTGCGGTGCCTTTGGCGGACTTCCACTCCTCCAGGGACCGGGGAAAGTGAAGCGAAGCAGCCTCGTCGTGAATGGACATCTGCTCTGAATTGGCATCAGGCATTTGAACCAAAGCCACACCCACCACTAACAGAAGCAGCAGACCCAGCTTGCGAGCGGGAATATTCCGTCGAAGAACGACTAGTCCAAAGATCGCGGTTGTCAAGAACTGCACCTGGAATGTGACCTGGAACGTCGCTGCCCGCATGTTGGAAAGCGCAATGTATTGGAGAGTGTTGGAGAGGACACCGAGAGCGGCGGGGATGGCCAGCTTCCAGCTGTCACCGGAGAAAACGGTGCTGGTAAGGGAGAAGAAGAGGGAGGTGGCAGGCATGGAGGGAGGTGCGGTCTTGGATACGTCATAGAGGGCCATTGTGAGGGAAATCGCCAGTTTGACCACTTCATTCAAGAAGACGGCAGTAGAGGTGAGGTAACGCTTCCCACCGGCTGGGGTCATGACTCGAGAATAATGGGATAGCTATTGGTGGGAAGGGCATTTTGTTAGATCGTTTACAATTGTATGGATTATACGAGCGCGCGTCAGACTCACCAACACAAATGCTGTGGATTGTGCCGCTAACTGATAAAAACAAACAGAGCAAGTCAGCAAACAATCTTAGAACCTGCAGTCCATACTATACACGGCGGAAAATGCCATACCAAAAGCCACGGCACATTGTGCGCGGTTTGCCGCAGCCACGACGGCTGGCGTTGTGTGCGGTCACTCATGTTTAAGATGTGGGATGGGAACCGCTCGCCCCTGAGAATGATTTCTCCGCAAGTAAACACAGGAGCAAAACAACCGTGTCGGGAGCGAGAAAGAGCGAGGCGACAATGGGAAGGTGGGTGATGTGGGAGCGACGAAATGATCGAAGTTCAAAGTCTCGAATTTTCCCAGAATCGCTCGGGGGGCTAAGGCAGGGGAGGCCTGGCGATCTTCGTCACTGGGGGGCCAGCGGCAGGGCTTCGGCTGACGATCACGGCGGAGCTCCGTGCGAGGTGGCTGGGGCTAAAGGGATTGTGCTTGGTTCTCTGTGCTCCGTACTATGAGACCCAAAGTACAAGAGTAGAAGGATACATAAAAATGGGAGCTTTGTATTCTTTGTTTGCCAAACAGAATCCGGGGAAGTTTCGTGTTTAAAGTGAACCGGTCAATCGGCGGTGTCAGGTGGATCACGGGGGACAAGTCATGGGTCCAGACTCATTGGGCATCGAGAGAACCACCAGTTCCAAGGTTATAAAGCTTTCTTCGTTCTCCAGCAAATCAGCTAATCGCGAATAATTGATCCGTGGTTAGAAAGCTATTAGGCTCAGAATCTTAACTATGGGGTTTAATCTATCGCCTGACGTCAAGGTCTACCTTCGAACACACGGGAGCCTCCCATTCGGCCATGTCCTTCGCCCCATCTCCAACTTCTCCACAGATTGTTGTATGATGAGGCAATAGTGTTTTCACTCTGAGCTGATCGATCGATGGCGTGTTTGATCCAGTTGGCACAGTCCACCCAGCCACGCTGGATTTGGGCTTGGCTTCTGACGCACGTCAGCCACGCCGATTAAGCTACGTAAATAGTGGGAACCGATCTGCATGCAAAATGTTGGAATAGATTAAGATAACTTGTTTATGGAGGTCAAGTAATGGAAAAAAAATAAAAATCTATTTTAAAGGGTAAATAGACACGATGGTCTCCAGATTGCAAATATGAACATAGGAAGGGGTATATGGGGCCCACGGAAGGGGAGTCAATAGTCAAAGAGATAGATCAAATGAAGGTTTCGTAACACAAAATGCCTCACAGGAGGTCAAAGCAAAATGAACTCCAAAATGCAAGATGTCGGATAAAAGAATGGAAGTGATCCAAGTCGGACCAATGAAAGAATCGATGGTGGTGGTACACGGAAGGGAGGGTATAGAAGATATGATGGATCGAATCGGAAAGACTTATTAATGCACCGCAGCGACGCTATTGCGGTCGTGATTCCAATCAAAATCGAATGACCAAAGCGGAAGATCGTGTTTTGACTGCGGCTCGCCGCCATTCAGCATTATAGCCTCGCTGCTATCGGTACGACGCCGAGTATGCTGCTTTTGATCCTCGGGGATGGCCGGCGGGGGCCCTCGGGGATGAGGCTTAGGAGATGGAAGTGGCGAGAAGCGGTGAATCGGGAGTGTCGGTGTGAGCGGTGAAGCACCAGCGGTGGAAGGGGATGGCAGAGACTCCGAGTATCCCGTGCTGGCGATCGAATTACCAGTCTTCTGTTCATTATCAGAACTCGAACTCTGTGTGTCCTTGTCCATGTGAGAGGCACCTTGATGTGTGGGAAACGGCGGGAAAGCAGCGCTGAGGCGCAGGAACGAGGTGTCGGATCCACAGAAGGAATCCCTTGAAGGAACTGACAACACTGAATTACGATCGGGTTCGGCAGACTGGTAGTTGAAAATGCTGGGAGTAACCTTGCCCTTGCGCAGGCGCATCGCCTCCAGCAAGTCCTGCTCTTGTCGCGTCACGGCAATCACTCGGCTTCGGCGGTTCATCTCCTTCAATTCCCGAGGTGTGCGCATTGGTGGTTGCGGCAGCTGGTCCAGAATATCCGGTTCAGCGATGGTTGGAATACCACTTGACCGCCGGGACTGGGTGGTTCGTCGGGTGTTGGTAGATGACTTGCCAGTAGATGCCTTCCCTGTGGAGGACATTGAAGGCTGGTGGGCGTGTTTGCGCGTTGACTGGCTCCGTTGGTTTGGATGGGAGCCACGGCTGCTAGTGGATGGTGCACGATCGACCTTCCTCAACATCTGACCAGTAGCCGCTTGGGCAGCCTGGGCTGTGTAGATTTCCGGCTCATACTCCCCATAGGTGCCCACACTGTCACGTAATGTTTTATGCGTGCGACCCTCCGTTGGAGTCTCAAGCTCCTCCTCGGTCTCATCTTCGGATGAGGAGAGGCAGAGAACGCTGGTATTCTGCAAGTCTTTATGCTTCAAAGTGCTCTTGCTGCTCTTCTTGGTGACAGCGCTCTTCGCACCCTGCGAACTGCTTCGGTCCTTCTGTTGCCTGGTCTGAGCTGGAGGACTGATGATCTGAGAAGGAGCCGGCTTGGATTTAGGAGACAGATATTCCGACCTGTCCCTTTGCTGGTTCCTAGGTGGGCTCTGAGCGCGATGTGTGCTGGTACTGGTTTCCGAAGGCCGGCGCTGATCCGTCTGTAACTGCTCCCGGCTTGCAGTATACACACTAGAGCGACTAAACAGTGATCGCCTGCCTGCATATCGGTCCAAAGCCAGATCAATCTCGCTTGTCCCAACGGTGCGCTCCAACGGCTGATCGAACCACTCGCTTTTCGATGATTCCGGAATTGACAGCAAATCCGAGCGGTCCACGTGCTGCTTGGGTACCTCGTGGTGAGCTACAGAAGCACGAGAGGGCAGTGGGTCTCCAAATCGTCGAGAGGCGGAATGGCTGCTCTTGACGGGCTCTCGTTCAATTCGGTTGGATGGATAATCGGAGACCACCGTCGAGACCGGCGATGGAGAGCTGGTCATACGCTGAGGAGACAAAAGGGGCGGGGCAGGGTTCCTTGGTTTCGGAAATAAAATGGACAAATCAATGCGGGGTGGGCGTAGCTTTCGCTTGGAGTCCTTTGGAGAACTCCGAGTTTGCTTATATGTCACATGGGGATCCAAGCCCAGCTCATTTTGAATTCGGGGCTGCAAGCCTTTGGGGCTCTCTGGCCTGGATTTCGACTCTTGGGATCTGAAGTAGGAGAACAATGTAGACGAAGAGCCCGATTGGTGAACTCTCTTCGAAGGCTTGGGGAGGGGCGGGACAGGGTCCTGAGAAAGGTATTCATGGCCGAGCAGGGGCGATGAAGCTCGCACCCGGAGATTTTGGGGTGGAATCAAAATGTCGCCTGATTTAGATGTCGGGAAAGGGACGAATGCGTTGTTCTGTTGCTGTTGCTGTTGTCTTGAGGAGCTATCGGGCGTTCGGAGACTTGCCCGGCGGGATTTCTGTTGCTTCTGTGGTTTGTCCCACTGGTTCTGGTTGTTATGGATGGGCAGGTCGGTTCCTAGGATTCGTTGCGCTTTGGAGGTTCTCCGGTCCGAGTACTTGGCTTTTTCCTGGCTCTCCATGGCGTCGGATCGTAAGAGGTTATTCCGGCTGGAGGTTCGAAGCGGTACATGTACCGGGGGATGTTCTCGGGGGGCCATAGTAGGTGCAGGAATTCTATTCCTCATAAAAGTGGTGCAGACGCGATAAAGAAACGATTGAAAGTTGAGATCGTGCAATGTACAGGGGTTGTAGAGTATAAGTACTTTTTTCTCTTAAAATGCAGCTACTCCACCTTGTCAGCAAATGCTCGGGTATTGACCAGGTACCAGTACCAGCTCTGGTTGAAACCCGTGGCTCACGGGACTCCACCACGTACCGGATGTATACGCAATCAAATTATATTGCTAGAAAGTCGGGTATAGTTCAAAGGAGTGACTGGAGGTAGGAAGATTTAGATAAGGAAAAAAAAAAAAAAGAAACGAAAGTGTGTGGGGGAAGTGTTTAGTTTAAGAAAGGAGGGAATAAATGTGGTAAACCTAGAAATCGAATTATTGTACGGAGAACGGAGTTCAAGGAAGTTATTGTCTAGATCGATTGGCTCAGCTATCGGCAGACCTAAAGGGGGCGGATCCACCTGTCTTTTTTTTCTGGAGCTTTTTTGCTGGCCCGCATCGATCCATGTTCGCCCTAAAAGGGGTGGACTTGGTGGAAACAGTCCCCTCACTGTCGTCACTACTGGTTCACAGCAAAGTGGATCGGGCAATCGGGGCTGTGCCAATTGGAGCTCGAGCTCGTCGATTTTAGTGATTTATGGTAATTAATTTGATTTAGCTTGTATGGTTTTTAGAGACAAGTGCTCATGGTTCTGATTCCCAGGTTTGGGTTAGGGGGGGAATCACAGGTACGATAGGCTTGAGAAGGCTCATTCAACCCGAAGCAGTAAGTATCGACAGGCACTAGCGAGACATTCATCCTCGGTTCCATTCACACCACAACTGCGGTTCCTCGAGTCCCGTGGAAGTACGGGGTACGATGTACCTAGGAGTGCCCAGGTTGGTTAGTCCATTACATTGTCCTCCGGAAATTGCAGTGATTGATCCTGCTTCATGCACGCTATCCCTGGTCAATTTCCTGGGAAATTTCCTGTAATGAATGCTGATTGAGTCAAATAGCAAGTTTAATTAAACAGCACGATCTAGATATGCACCTAGATCACTCGTGTTCGGCCCCTTACATGGCTGGAACAACCTTAAACGCTAGACACGTGTACTATAGATAGACTAGGTGCCTGCATGCTACACGTCTACTTTGTACGTGGGTAATATCCACACTATTGGTGGTAATCCCCCGTGGCAAAGGGCTGCGGCAGATGTGGCATACACCATGCAGCGCCTCGTGCGATCTATTCTGTCTTTGACGGGACCTCATCACTCCACTTGCGCGCCCCGTGCTCTACAGTTGAGTGTCGTATTTAGAAACCGGTCCAATCTTGGGTGGATTCCTTCAACTCTGGGACCGATGGAGAATATCGGCCGCTATGGCCTTGAGCGACAGACGATTCGCGTCACATTTCGATCGGTGATGGACCCAGTTTTCAGCCCGCCGGGGCCTTCGATCGCGTCAGTCATCGTAGCCGCCCGAGGCTAAGTGGTACCGTGACAAATAATCGCCTAGGAACTGGCAATGATCGACCTCTTTTTCACTATCACGCCGTGTTTCCATGGATGCCGTCAATGATGGAACTCAAATACAGCGGCACAGAGCCCACTTCATTGAGGGTTGAACCGCTTCATGCGGGATAAAACGTCCCAAGGTTGCCAAAGTTGCGTAGTTTGACAGGTTGTCATGCCCCTTAAGTCTCCAACTTTATTTAATTGAGGCCCTGAAGTATTGCAAGTCCCGAAGACTCTAATCTGTGCTTGTTCATGGTGCCGAGCATTTGGTTGTCGTGTATGCTGGGAATGAGGTGTCAGGCACAGTCTGCCCATGATGGAGTCGACAAAAACCCTTTGCCCTTCGCGCTCTAGCTCGTGCCACTCTGGATAGATCTAGGCATATCACATTTCCCGATCGTGATGAAGATCATCAATCTTGTCCGGACAGCTCCGTTCGCGCTCCAAGAGCGCGTGCCGTGTCTTCAGACCCACCGACCCAAAAGCTCCAGTGGCAAGCCAGTGTGAATTGTTTTTCTTTTCTTCTTTTTGATTATTTTAGTACATCCCTCCTAGTTCCTCAACTTGTCATTGGCCCATCATAGGCATCTGGGCTATTTGCATCTGCATAATGGCAGCCATTCCAAATTTATTGCATCGGGTTTTGCTCGGCTAAAAGTTGAAGAGATAGGGGTAAAATCGAATAGGAATCAACGACTCAATACTTCCAAGACTATGACATACTGTAGCATGAATGAAAGTTCAGATCAATTCTGTTATAACCGAATGGTAATGTGTACCCCGAGTTCTCCGTAGCATTTTGCCGACCGCTGAGCACTATCGAACCCAAATGAATGGTTTGACAGGTGTGGCAACGCCCCCCTTTGTCCACCATGCCCCAATGATCGAACTAGCGCCCAATGGTCTCTCAATAGTGAACCCAGCAGCTGATGAACAATGCACGCAATAGTCTGTTCCACTTTCCATGGTTCTGACTTGACTCCCCAGTCTGCTAACGATTCCTGGTGGGTTTCGTCGATCATGCGCAAATCATCCGTTGATTGAGGGGTGCAAGCTTTTCTTGTGAAATTTTTGCCAATATTATTGCGTTCGTTCCAAGGTTGTCTGTTCGGATGGAGAGCGGGTTTCCGACGCCATTGAGTTCCGCCGTTGAGGAGACCCGGTGTTGGCTGGAAAGGTTCGGTGGAAATTTCAGTGAAAACTGAAACGAGAAATCCAAGGGTTTGTTAAGGCTATGCTGGCTAAATATCAAGAAAATGATGTGTTTCAGATGCCTATAGACAAATTTGATGTGTGGGTTTGCATCCACATTTGTAGATCATCCGCTTTACACGAGCTCAAAATTGAGGCATCTCGGAGGATTAGCTTGACCACCTCTCTGGGTCAGGGATAAGAAACCAAGAACAAGGGTCTGAAGCTAGCAAATCTTTCTAATAATAAGTACTGGGCCCAGCATCGTGTGGCTCATAACTTTTATGCTAGCCCCAGCTGTCAGTATCCTAGTCGATTCGGAGGTTTGCCGTCAGTTTTGAAATAGACATTGCAAGGATAACCTGAGTATGAACACGATCATACGACACAGCACAGGCCAGTTGGACCCCTTTGCTTCATAAAGGAATGAATTCGCTGCAGGTGGGCTGCAGTCAGAAAGATCAAAAATGGAGAAAAAGTTGGAAACATTCGTCCGATCTACAACGCTGCCAGTGTTCGTGTTTTTGAGACGTCGAATACTTCAAGAGAAATTTCAGTCGGCAATCACTTGATACCAACAATTTGGAATACGAGCTATCAGAAGCCGGTCGGGGTGAACATGTGCAAGGATTGATGGTTTCTTTGTTGGCCTCCGGGGAAACAGGTTCTGAGCCCCGAGGACTTGACAATGTGGAGAGAAACCTACACTGCAGCAAGTCCTGATTGTACGCGAGGACACATGCATGTGGCCGGTTTGCACATGAGAGCTTGAGTGGGGCATGTATCTCCAGCCTACAATGAATGGTGGCTCACATGCATATGTACTCGAAAGTACCTTAGAATTGGTAGGGGTTCATTTTATCTCGAAGTCCTGTCGCTTTCTTACCCAGGTGGATTCTGCTCTGTGTTTCCTACACCACGGGTTGACCCTTCTTTATCTTATTCTACTTCAAATTTAGTATGATGTGTTTTATATCCACTACGCCCATTTTTGTTATTTCCGTGCAGACATCGTATCAATTGATTACCGAGGTCACGGTTGTCTTCCAACATCAGTAATAAGCACTTCGATTTAAAGCTTGACCGCCAATTTCAATCAAGGAGATCCTGAGATCCATGAATGCATAGCTGCATAGGTGTTTGAACTTTGGAATGTGTTGCTGTAGGGATTTTCAAATATTCAATATTGGTATAAACATTTTAACTGGAACCTGAAAACATAGAAGCTCACTAGCCCACCTGCAGAATTAGCAAGGCCGTCATGCTAGAGTATACCCACCTGTAATTGTACACCTTGAACTTGATTGAGGAAATGGCGGAAATGAGAAAAAGTTCCACTACCGATAACATCACTTAATTGTGCTGGCGTACGCGTTCTCCGCGTTATCATTTTCCCGGCCATGTCCGGTAGTTAATAGAATCCCTTCAGAGGGTCAACTTCTGGAGTGATTGTCAAAGGGTTTAAATTTTGTGGTGCGGTATGACTAAGGTTGAAAATTCATAGATTGAAGCTGTGAGAAATACTTCGGGAGAGTTGGGTTGGGAGTTGACTGAAGTTCAACCCTTCGAAGTATATATTTCTAGCTCCACCCGTAGACGGGTGTCGTGGCCAGGGCCCGAGGGTACCTGCAGGTACCGTACTGGATACAGACACATTATGTACCCAATTGCTGCACGATGCTAGGAAGGGATGCAGTAAGTATCCACCCCTTTGACCTCCATGTTTGGTTTGTTTTTCTCCCCGTGCAGGTACATAATGATCAGGCCATCCCTGTTTCCAGGTGGATACTTAATGAACGAACTTGGAAGAGATCTCGATACCAGATTCCGGGGCCCCACCTAGGGGTCCAGGGATGGCCTTATATTTACAAGGCAGTAAGGTCTGTTTGCAGGACATTAACCTGGTAGATGCGAGGTCCACGGGTGACGATGCATTGCGTTCATCAGTGGCAGGAACTGACTACACGTGACCTGTGGCGATAAGTTTGGCTGGAACATTGGGAATCTTGATTAGATATGCACTTATGTAATCTCATCCCCGGCCTCTCCACATCCCTAAACAGGTTTAAGATCAGTCTATGGATTTGTTGGGCGATAGACTAGTAATTTGATCAAATTAGATATGTAAAATTCCAGTAATATTCCAGGCATGCAAAGCAATATCTTGACCGAGCTCTGTAGTGGGAGATCAGGAATCTAGTTAAGAGTATGGCGACCCGCGCCACATAGATAAAGGGTTCCCGAGCCACACAAGAAAGTGGGCAGTGGCAGGTTTCAAGGTTTTCACGCTGCAGATAAAAACCGGGGGGCAACCACGAGGACTCTTATCCCAGAACGATACAAAGAAAATTTAGATATATAGCCAGGATAAATTCCTATCATGATAGATCTTTCTTAAACTCAATTTCTATGAATTTTTTCTGCCTAAGATAGAGGTTGAATCAAGCACAGCAAACCGCACGTTGTGGTCCATGACATCGTCCAATCCGGCACTCGGATTAATTGTTGTTCTCCGCCCCAAACTCCCTTGTCAGCCGCCACTGTTTCTCTTCTCCCCTTCCTTTGACTTTCCTTGCGTCCCTTTCATCCAACTTTCAAACCCGCATAAACATGACCACTTGCGAGACCCTTTCCTTTGTGTAGATGGTCTTGCTGGCTTATTGTGTTGGGGCATTTCGCTAGCAACTCTGACCTCGAGTTGCTCGCCTTCATACGCTTCCCCCACCTTCGCCTGTGATGTCTTCCGACTTTCCTAACTCCCATACCTCCCATAACACGTCCGATCAACCCGATTTTCTGGTGCCGCAATCTTATGTCGCACGTAATCCCGAATCTCGACTAGTTCCCGCTCGACGACGCGATATGGACGATCACGAAGTTGACGAATTTGGGCAAGGTCCCTCCAACGCCCTTGGGCAGTTTTCTTTCGCGCCAACGACACGTACAACTGTCGTGACAACAACAACCACTACAACCACTTCGTTCCCGCCCCTGGCGATCAAGCCTCCACGAGCAGTGAGGGACTTGGATGCCCGACAGTACCCACTAGCCGCGACGCCAACACCAGCCGCCTTAAAGAATCTCAAGTTCAAGATTGGCGACAAGTCGATCGTTTTTAATGAACCAGACGACTCTGCATCGGTAGCCACCGAGGTTAGTGCCTCCATAACTGCCGTGGCGTTGTCTAAAAATACTAACTCCGTTTAGCTGAAGGAAAAGAACGATGCCTTGAAAGCTTCCAACGGGTCGATCCGTTCGGTAAACTCGTTCACATCCGAGGACGATACTATTTCTCGCCGACTAGGTCCCCCGCGTTCCATGACCCGGATGAACCATCCTCACTCACAGAATCGCCCCGTCTCCCCGGTCTCCAACTCTGATCCCCGCCCCTTTGTCCTTCCGCGAACACGTGCAAGTCGAGTTCCTTCCGAGCCTGTCGCACGTCGTACTCGCCATAGCTCAAATATCCATCTTTCTCCCGCTGGTCTGGCCACTCCAGAGACAGAATTGAACATTGGCAGCCTTGGAGATGCGGCAGCAGCTACGAGACCAAGAATACACAGTGCAAATTTCCCGCGTCGAGAGACGCCGTTGCGATCGCCTCTGTCGACCGAAGCTGGAGCACTGAGTACTTTGCATAAGTCAAGTTCAACCGAAAATCGGGAGCTGCAAGGTCCTTCGACCGACGGGAATCACCCCCCTGTATCCGATCCGGCACCCACAAGTCAAAATGTCTCATTTGCTACGGAAACAACTTCGCAGCAACGCCCGGACTTGTCAGCTCAGCTCTCAGCAATCGACAATGCTATGGCCCAAGACATGTGTTTGCCAAGCCCCAGCCTGTCACCAGTTACCGCCATGAATGCACTGCACGCCGAGTCCTCTTTCGAATCAGAAGGACCTGATGTCGACACGGATTCAAGTTTAGACCATAATGTTCCACGGCACTCCAAGGCAATGCGTCTTCATGATGCAGATTCGCGAGGAATGAATCTGTCTATGGCACCAACATCACGATCCCAGCCATCTTTGATGGATATGCCCAAAGTTTTGGATTTCTTCGACTCTGTTCCTGATGAACTAAAGACATACCTCATGTACCAATTCTTGCGACGTTGCCCGAAACCAACCTTGCATTTCGTGGCTGATGTGGTCAACCCCACCTTGAAGTGTGACTTCTTGACATTGCTCCCCTTGGAGCTCAGCCTGAATATTGTGAAATATTTTGATGTTCAGACCATGTGTCGCGCCGCACAAGTCTCGAAGAAGTGGCGTCACATCGTCAATTCGGATGAGAAAACCTGGAAAGAGCTTCTTGACCAAGATGGGTATGTTCTTTCCGAGGGAGAGCTGGAGCGAGCCATTAGAGAGGGTTGGGGCTGGCAGTGCAGTAGCCCTGATGATTGGGAGAGAGATCTGAGCACCACAGTGGTCAGAAAAGAGCATGAACTCTCTCCTGTCCCCTCATCATCTGCCACCAGTGACAGGGCTCCACTCACCGCTCTGCCGCTCAACAGACGCCCCAAGCGGAAGGCGAACACACGTGCTTCAAGCCGGAAGCTTGCGAAACGCAAGATTTCATCAAGCGGAACAGATTACTTTGAGCCAGACTGGAAGAAAGATATTGCTGCGTCAGAGGCCCCGTACGCTGCGGCCAACACTGCCGCTGCCGCTGTCCCCTACCCAGAAGTCGGTCTTCCCTCCCTGCGTGGTCTTTACCTCTATAAGGCTCTTTATCGCAGACTTCATGCCATTCGACAAGGATGGATGAAACCAGAGGTCAAGCCACAACATATCGCTTTCCGGGCTCACGACCGTCACGTCGTAACATGTTTGCAGTTCGATTCGGATAAGATCTTGACTGGCAGTGACGACACTAATATAAACGTATATGATACCAAGACTGGTGCCCTCAAGGCCACCCTGGAGGGGCACGATGGCGGTGTCTGGGCTCTTGAGTACCACGGTAACACCCTGGTGTCCGGGTCCACTGATCGCTCCGTTCGCGTTTGGGACATTGAGCGAGCCCGGTGCACTCAAGTGTTCCATGGCCACACGTCCACTGTCCGTTGCTTGCAGATCGTCCTGCCGACCGAGGTCAGCCGTGACGCGAATGGACGTGCCGTGATGATGCCGAAGGTGCCCTTGATTATCACCGGATCTCGTGATTCTAACTTGCGGGTGTGGAAGCTTCCGAAGCCCAGTGACCCGGTGTATCTTCCTCACGGCCCCGCCGCGGACGATTATGACTGCCCGTATTTTGTCCGTGTCCTAACTGGCCACACCCATTCGGTTCGTGCGATTGCGGCGCATGGTGACACCTTGGTTAGCGGTAGCTATGATTGCACCGTGCGAGTGTGGAAAATATCCACCGGACACGTCCAGTTTACTCTAACAGGTCACACACTGAAGGTGTATAGTGTTGTAATGGACCACAAGCGCAATCGCTGCATCAGTGGTGCAATGGACCACATGGTAAAGATTTGGTCGCTCGATGATGGAGCTTTGCTTTATAATCTCGACGGCCACTCTTCTCTTGTTGGTCTTCTGGCTCTGCAAGGTGATCACCTTGTTTCGGCTGCAGCAGACTCCACGCTGCGAATTTGGGATCCACAGCGTGGTCACTGTAGGAACACACTCAGTGCTCATACTGGTGCCATCACTTGTTTCCAGCACGATGTCCAAAAAGTTATTTCTGGATCGGACCGGACCTTGAAAATGTGGGACGTTAGCAACGGCAATTGCATTCGAGACCTCCTGACCGATCTCAGCGGTGTATGGCAGGTCAAATTCAACGATCGTCGGTGTGTTGCTGCAGTGCAGCGGGATAGTCTGACGTATATCGAGGTGAGTGTCCTTTTGTCTTCCCTTTCTGGGTGGCTTTGGATCCAAATTAACAACATCTCTGTAGGTCCTTGACTTCGGTGCCGCACGAGACGGTGTTCCCGAAAACAGACTCGGACAGCGTGTCGTAGTGAATCGTCGTGGCCACGAGATTGCGGCAGGCACTGATTCCGACTCCGACTCCGACTAAACCCACGCCATTTCTCATGAAGTTTCGAAGAATCAACCTTTGATCAACTTCCTTCTCATTTCCTTTCGTATCACATTTACCCATCCCTCTATTTCTTGTTTCCATCTTTCCAGCCCCTTTACTCCATTCACGATACCCCATCTTTATGGCACTCATATCTCATCTTCTCTTGAAAAACCCTTTGCATAGCGTGGTCGGCATTCTTTGATCATCCAGCATTACGATGGGGACAGGCGTTGTGTGACGTTTCCTGATTCTTACAGGAGGACTATACTTTACTTCTTCATCTTTGGTCATATTCCTCCTTCATCCTGTCATGTCAATTTCACCTCTTCCATTTTTCCTTTTGCCACTGTACTGCCGTCTAGGTATGGCCTTTAACATTCCCTTGTATTTGATTAGTCGGTGATGCTGGATTCGGTGTTTAATGCTGGTGTCAGGTCCGATAACTTATTCCTTTTGATTGTCCTGATCCAGTCCTTATAAGCTCAATTCAGTATATTTGATCTTTATGACTGGGCGTTTTCGAAACAGTAAGGCCAACTTCGCCTGTACATCCTTGGGCATATTCAGAATATCAATGAAATTGCAAGCTCTAGCAATCAGCCTACTTCCCCGACGTCGTACTGTAGTCTAGGTAACCACAGATCAAGAGCCTCATCTACCATCCGTGTCACAATTTAGCCTTCGAATTTCGAACACGCACGCATACTTAGTCAGATTCCTAACTTTTGTCTAGGGCTGGTTTCAAGAGCGAAGGGTCCTGAAATAAAGCTTATAAGACTGTCGTGCCCGCAGTATTTCACCTGGATCCATCCAAGCCCTTCACACATCATCATGCTCGCCTTTGAAGTTATTGCCAACGCCGCGATCTTCTGTTGCGCTATGCTTGCTATTCCGTCTTTAGCGCAAAGCTGTGCAAATGGCGAACAATGTCCCATTGGATGGGTTTGCAATAAAACCCCAAACACTCCTCAATATTTGTGGTGCACGCATTGATGGGTTATTGGAACGATATGAAGGTACAGTATGGTGTGCCTGATGCTTTATGGTGTGTATGTTTTCAGAGCGGAATGAATCGTTGACTGATGATCATGACTTTGAAAGTTTTAGGACATCGCGATGACTTGCTCTACTCTAGAACCCAGGACCCTTGATCTCGAGATTTGGGAACTATTGACTGCCCAAGGGTGGGATACTTGTTTTTCTCGGGAACGGAGGTAAATGAATGGAGAAAAGGGCTCTATAGCGCCAATGTTTCGAAGGTTGGAGTAGTTGAGTATATTACATGAGTTTCTATGTACAAGATGCTTTGAGCCACGTCCTTCCTCTTCAATAGTGAAGTATAGACCTAGCTAGCATAAGTAAAATTCGGCCTGTGGGGTCTGGTAAGGGGACCCGGCGCAATGAGATATCGCGAGATAGAGTAACATGCATTTGCGCCCGAGTCAAGGATCAAGGGACTCGGTATTGGAGATTCTGGAATATCAGATGAGCCGGCAGCGGTTCCTTTGAGAAGGAAATAGTGACTTGTTGGGCTAGTTTGTATATGTTTCGGGTGCCAGACTCCACAGACTGCGGTGCCATGGCCATGTATTTCATATGCATCGCTCAAAGGAATATGAAACACTTGCGACGGGATAAAGGAATTGTCACGTCTGCGGGCATAATTGGATATCAAGGCGTTTCAGGTGTTGCCACAGGGGGTTTAGGAACCGGCTGCCCGCCTTGTAAGCTCCCATCAATACCCGCTGCGGACAGGATTGCCCAACGCACAGCGTTAACACCTAGAAACTGGCCACCGCCAATAGAAATGTCTGCACTGCAGGTGACCAGCTCGCCCAAAGCACCAGGCCCTTCTGAAACGCGCACGTCAGGTTGGACCTGTGGCCGCATTTCTTCCAGCATTTTCTGAAGCCGCTGTACGCTCACAGCCGAAGCGCCAGACTTGACCTGCTTCTTTGTTTTGGCAAGGACTTTATCGACTTTCGAAAGGATTATTTGATGTGGGATAGCGTAGTGTCGGAAGAGCTGGAGGATCTCGGCGTCGTTCTTTTTGATTCCGTGTTCGCTGTCGATGAGGATGAAGGCACGCCGGAGTCTGGGGTATGTCATTAGCTACAATTCTCTGACATTTGGACCAATATGAAGCTACTCACTGCTTACGTCCTTGGAGATATTTCATAATCTCCATTCCCCATTCTGCTCGACTAGCTTTTCCATATCCGGGCATATCCAAAAGCACCACTTTGTGTTCACCACCTTTCGTGCCTCCAATACCAAATGCGTTCATCTCTCTTGTCCGGCCAGGTTTTGAGGATGTCCAACAGATCTCCTGACCCATGATAGCGTTCAGTAACGAGCTCTTGCCGACATTGGAACGGCCGAGAAATGCGACTTCTGGCTCGATTGAAGTTATCGGAGTTGTGCGAAACTTGGCCGCGGACCATAGTTTCAAAGGGGAGTGACGCGAGGGTACGAATAAGTTGTCTGCAAAGGCAAGCTGCTCTGAAGTAGGTGGTTTGGTATCCCAGTAATAACAGAGATCTGAAATCGTCAGGTCTTGTAGGCCGCGCTTGTTTGGGTTCGGCGGATGGATGGAGGTGGGGGTTGTTGTAGATTTAAGGGTCGAATATAAGCGCCCTGAAGGTGCAAGGACCCTGCTTATACACCTCTTCATGTTCAAAGTACTCTGCTGCAATTTGAGACCGGGAAAAGAAGCGCGTCAAGTTCTCCAGAAAATCAGACGCACGGACCATCCTTATCGATAAGAACGCCGCGGGACTGAGGACGACTCATTACTCGACCTCGGTCTCTTCCACATTCAAGATTGAGCTCTACGTTCTACCATCGTGCTGTCAGCTTCATTATGATTAACGCAGTGCTTGTATTCAACAATAATGGCCAGCCACGGCTGACCAAGTTCTACACACAACTGGTGCGTATCTCCAATCCATGGTCATCCAACCCAGCATACAATTAACACTCTCCAGGACACTCAAACACAGCAGTCTCTCATCGCGCAAATCTACCAGCTTGTTGCACAGAGACCGGCAAGCGCATGCAACTTCCTCCCTCTGCCCCCGCTCCTCTCGCAGGGCGCCAGCTCTGGGGCCTCCGGACCCTCCGACGCGCCTACGCAGATTACCTACCGCACCTACGCTACCTTATCATTCATTATGATCTCTACATCTATGGAGTCACCGCTTGCCCTAATCGATCTGATCCAGGTGTTTGTGGAGTCATTGGACCGCATGTTTGAGAACGTCTGCGAACTCGATCTCATCTTCGGCTACGAGACGATGCACGCTGTCCTCAGCGAGATGATTGTTGGAGGCGTTGTGGTTGAAACAAACACCGAGAGGATTGTCGCAGGTGTGCGCAATCAAGAGGGCTCCGCAGGAAAGAGGAAGGCTGTTCAAGCGGCCAGTTCTGGTCTGGGACGAGGTGCACTCCCGAGTCTGGGGGGTTGGAGGTGATGCAGTGTTTGCAGCTTGGTCTATATTCCTTCATTGATTTAGCGGCATTGTTTCTGCATGATCTGATTTTAATTGACTGCCCAGGGGGCGTTATGATATGAGTGTTGATGTACATAGAAGATATCTTGCGAGGCAACGCACGCGTTTGCTAGCTGCTTGGCCTTTGAAAGTTCCAGTTGCTCAAATGATACCACGATGAATAAGCATTACCAAACATACCTGTACTACTCCTAAATCAAACACACCTGCCAAGCAACGTTCTTTAATTACATGGATCTGGAGCTTTGATATTCTTAGTCAGACAGAGAAGCCTGAAGGTCACGTGGAGTGGATACCCTACTTTGGTAGCGCAGCCCTAACCCTGTCACATGACTCCACTAGCGCGATCCGGCCCACGAAGACTGGAATAAGATCCCGCGATCTCGAACTTTCTCCTTTTTCACTTCGACAATCGCCAAATTAGCGCAACGATCCCAAGTCGACAACATGGTGGTAAGCATTTGATTATATCTTGCTCACGTTTCGCTTGCTGCAGCGATGTCGTGAAGACTGTTTAGTCTAGCTTTCGATCCTCGTGATCAAAGCAATTCCGTCAATTGTTCCAACAGCCTCGAAAGAGATGTTGGGCATTGGCGATGAACTGGCTTGAGACATGAGTCCAGCACCTGAAAACGGTGTTGGCCTCATGTTCTCTCTAGAGTTTAAAGAAGATGCAGCCCATGATGGACTAGATCGCTGATCTTCTTTTCTCAATGATAGCCTCCCAAGTCCGGAAAGAAGACCGCCGCCATGCCCTACCCCCAGGGCAAGGCTGGTTCCTCCAAGAAGCAGGCCAAGGTTAGTTTCTTCTTTCCCCCGGGAGTCTGAGAAAATGGAGTCGAGATACTAATCAATGAAAAATTTTCACAGAACCCTCTCATTGAGAAGCGTTCCCGCAACTTCGGTATCGGCCAGGACATCCAGCCCAAGCGCAACCTCGCCCGCTTCGTCAAGTGGCCCGAGTATGTCCGCCTCCAGCGCCAGAAGAAGATTCTGAACATGCGCCTGAAGGTTCCTCCTTCCATTGCTCAGTTCCAGTCCACCCTGGACCGCAACACCGCTGCTCAGACCTTCAAGCTCCTTTCCAAGTACCGCCCTGAGACCAAGGCCGAGAAGAAGGAGCGTCTCGTCCAGGAGGCTACCGCTGTCGCCGAGGGCAAGAAGAAGGAGGATGTCTCCAAGAAGCCCTACAACGTCAAGTACGGTCTCAACCACGTCGTTGGCCTTGTTGAGAACAAGAAGGCTTCCCTCGTCCTGATCGCTCACGACGTTGACCCCATTGAGCTGGTTGTCTTCCTCCCCGCTCTCTGCCGCAAGATGGGTGTCCCCTACGCCATTGTGAAGGGCAAGGCCCGTCTCGGTACGGTCGTCCACAAGAAGACCTCCGCCGTCCTGGCCCTCACTGAGGTCCGCTCCGAGGACAAGGCTGAGTTCTCCAAGCTCCTGTCCACCATCAAGGAGGGTTACACCGACAAGTACGAGGAGTCCCGCCGCCACTGGGGTGGTGGTATCATGGGCGCCAAGGCCAACGCCCGCACTGAGAAGAAGCGCAAGGCTGCTGAGAACGCCATCAAGGTCTAAGTTTACTTTCCGTGACTTGGACTTTGTTTGACGGGATCGCCTCCACAAAAGCGCTAAAAAAAGTTTTAATGGGAAATGAAAGGTGTTCGAGGCTCTGGATAACTTGTTAACGGCCAATTCTTTTAGCTCTAGATGGGTGTGAAAGAGCTTTTGGCCCTTTGCCCGTTCTAACAAAAGACAATATTTTTTCACGAACTTCTCAATATGTACCACTTCCGCAGATACCCATGAATGCATTTCTCTACCTGTTCAATATGCCAATGGCTTAATATCTGGAGATCAGCATTCATGCACTCTGTACCCGTAATATTGTAACATAACACTCATTGTGAGGACTAGCGAAGTTTGTAACTTTCCATTTACGGATCCAACGGTTGGTTTGCCTCATCGGATCCAGCGTGCCAGCACATAATGTCCAAGATCATTACGAAGGTTGGTAAGGGCTCCTGTCAGCCATGTCTGCCGCCCTAAATACCACACTGAGTACGATGAATCATACCCTTGTGTCTCAACCGGGTTCAGTTCACTATTTGTAGATATGAACCTACATAGTTTCAGGTAAGCATTCCAAATAGTCCACGGGAACCTTGAAACTGAAGTGCATAGAAGTCGGAGTCCAGGAAGATGATTTTTCATGAGTAGAAAACAACACCCCGAGATATTGACAAACGACTACCCAACAAGGCTTGGAATGTTAGGAGAAATACTCAAATGTGTAATGACCGGGTTGTTGTAGAGACATAAAGTTGTAACTAATCGCATCTACAATGTGTTTTCAGAGGGGGGGGGGAAGGCGCATTGGATTACTTGTTCGGCTAGGTCACCGAATACTTACTGTACCAATGGTTTCGCCGCGCGTGAGTTTGATGGTAGTGATCTGTCGTGGTATTTGGGTACTATCGAGCATGAGCGAGCACACCTCCCAGATGAAGACTTCGATGACTTGATGGTTCAATGATCTGCCAAATAGACGCAATCGATATGTTTCTAGATGTCACCTTCATAGTCTTTAAGGCTATCCATGGATGTGGGTTGCGCACGTGCGCAGGCGTTACGTTAACTATTCGTGCTGGACATTAATGTAGTTACATTTTGCATTTCCAGTAGGATAATCGTCGAGAATTACAAGTTTGTGATCCTTCTGAAGAGTGATATGGACTGGTATTTTGTGATATGTTATGGTTCGTGAGTCATAATTGAAGTAGTCCACAGCCTGAATAGTGCTGCTTCTCCTTCTTCTCCCATGCCAAAGGCCACAGCTTGTTGTAACAGCTGAAGCGAAGTACTTGTAATTTGGAGGGGATAATTATATGCTTGGGCGACAGTCACCACTTCTTTCTGCTCCTTTGATCAGTCATATCCTATGCGTAAGCAGTTAGCCACTTACCAGTTTATGTCGTAGATGCTCGACCGTATCTCTAGGTGCAGAAGTTCCACCCAAAGCCTCAGTGACCCTTATGAAGGGCTTGCTAGTATCCGCCGCATTTCCAATGATTTGAACCAGGTTACTGATTGAAAGGCTTAGGGCCTGTCCAAGCGCCAAAGCCTCGATCGCAGCGAGTGTGTGGACGATTTCGAGTAATTGGCATATGAGGTCACACGCCCATGCATTTTCAGGTACATATCTCTGGTTCTGCACCGCCGCCGAGACTAGAGATGGACTTTGAGCGAGAAAGATTCGAACAAGGCCTGAGTCGTCTTCTTCACCATAACCAATCCGTGATGCAAACTGATAGAGTCGCTCGGTCGCAGTTGCCATATATAGAGGAAAGTTTTGAAGAAGACCTTCCGATGTAACAATTCGCTGAATCATATCCAATCAGCGGTTATTTCAATATTCGACAAGTAGTGAAATCGGGAACTTACCATATCTTTGACGAAGATTTTAAGTGCAGAATGCGGTGTCCAATCATCAACAAGCATATGGAGTACTCGATCCTCAAACATCCAACTGTGTGCCGGACTTTTTAATACGATTTCATAGACCTCTTTCGAATTCAATCCTAAAGTTGCCGCCAGCCCCATAGCCTCTGCAGACGCAGCAATATGGATACCGGCAAGATGCTGGTTGATAAGCTTGACCTTATTTGCAGCCCCCAGTCCTCCTTCAATCTCGAACAGATTTGCACTCATGGACTCCAGTATTGGTTGCGCAATCAACAAAGCATCTGCTGGTCCAGATGACAACACAGTGAGGCTGCCCTCAGCGGCGCGCTTTGTTCCACCAGACACTGGACAATCTATGAGTTGGACATCGCGCCTGTGAAACATCTGATGAAGACAATTCAGAATACTTTGCGGAAAACCCGGAGCCACCGTCGAACAAAGGATGATCGTCGCATTTTGTCTCAAAGCATAGACTGCGCCTGTACTCTCAGCAAAGAATACGTCCCTGTCTGAACAGAGTTCGCAACCATGCATATGACGAAATGCGCATCTTGCACACATTCTCGCGGGCTTGATGAAGTATTTCCGCCCATTGCAAGTAGCGTCTCTAAAGCCATGAGATTGACATCAAACCCTGTTACATGAAAGTCGTCTGCAAGGAGATGTATGGCCATTCCCATTCCCATGGCACCTAGGCCGATGAAGGCGATTCTTGGTTTTGTGCCCATTGTATTTCGAGCTCCAAGTGTGAAGTGCGCTGGGAGTCAGGTGGCAAGTGACAGTAATAGCGTATGGTTTTGTGTGTTTCTGTGACGGCACGAAATGAGGATTCATTCGCCTCGCGGATCTGTGCTAGGGAGCCAGGGTATGTAGTCTAAGGATTCTATTCTCCCAAAGATGCCTATGTAATTAACTTAAGTTACGCATGGCCCAGAGATTTGCGAGGAGGATACCGGTGGACAATCTCGAGATATCAAGGGAAATGGGAGCTCCACCCCCGCCACTCCACCACTCCACTATTCCACTACTCCACCTATCCATTCCTACGGCACTAGTTCAGAAATGCCGCGGGCTGCCATGCCACTATTATTTACCATAAGTATATGCGTTTGTTACTTTATTCGGTTCAACGTTATTGCTTGTCGTAGATATCAAGCTCTAATCTCAAAGCCATTAGGGCCTGTATGTAATATGAGTAAAGTCAAGTCAGGTCAGGATAACACATAGAGATACCAAATAAAGCAGGGAGACTGAGCAGCTACAAATATGTCACTTAAGCGACTCAACAAAGTAGACAAGCTGGGCACATGCGAAGGGCAAATAAACAAATAAGGCGATGTCTCTGGTTGATCATAGGGGATCGTACAGCGAAGTGGGTGAAAAAGATAAACACAACACATAGGTCACAGATCAAGAATAAACTGGTATTATGAAGTTAAGCAGAACATGCTGAAGAGTCCGAAATTTTGATGTTCAAAGGAGACTTGAATTTTAAGATGTCTAAATGCGGGTGAGGATTCTTCCTTTAGCTTAAACGGCAAAGTTTGTCCAACGCACAGAACAATACAAAGACAGGCCAGTGGATCACGAGATTCAAAAGTAGGGTAGGGTCATCGGTCACTAGTAGAAATCATCAGTAAATGATCAAGTCTAGAGTATAACAGTACCCACATTGATACTAGGGACCAAACCCGCTTTGATAAGGCACTCAATGAGCATATCATTTTTCTGCTTGCAAAATTCTAAAGTCTCCACCCGATTTTCGTCCTAGAAGCCATCAGTCAATGATCAAGTCCAGAGTAAAACCGTACATACATCGACATCCGGGGCATAGATAGCATAGATGATCAGCCCATTAAGCATTTTGCCTATCTGCGTGCAGACATCCAGCCTTCGCTTCTGAGCTTCTTCCTTCCGCCGGGCTTTCTCAGCACGGACAACTTGCCGGTGGCAGTAGGGACTGTGAGTCCCTATATTTGACAGAACGTATGATAAGCTTATGTATGCGCCAGGTTTAGGAAACTGGAGTAAACGTACCGTCATCACGTAGCGTGCAGCCCCAACAGTAGAGATGAGAATCCGTGGTAGCGGTAGGATAGGCGCCAGCAGGAGGCTGCCCAGGATTGGTAAAGGTAGACATTCCTGTTAAAATACAACGCTTGGCAAGGATGTGAGAGAAATAGGAAGGAAATGCATAGGAGAAGGTTGAAGAAAGAAAGAATCAGAAGTGAAAAAGTTGCAGCTATTTATACCCTTTCTTGGAAGAAGTCACTACTTAGATCATTGATTCACTTCCAGTGGTCTAGCCATTTGAGTAGGCTCTTCACTTTCGTTTTTCATTCACTTCATTCAACGGTCACCTTGGAAAGGGCAGAAATCTCTGAATGCTTGGACCTAAGCTCACTGGCTAAGCGACTTCATCATGTTATCACATATGAGAATATTTGCTGTCTTTGTTGTATGACCTCGTTTCCATACTAGATCTTAGTACATCACCAATGTAACGCCTTCGTAGAGAAGAGAATAATTAGGAATTTACCATTAAAGTTTCTGGAAAGCGCTCTCAATAACTAACCAACAACATGTGTACATCCAGGGACGTTCCTGGAGTACAGCCTTGCCAACGCCGACAAAGACCCAAGAAGTCCGGATATCGTACACCCAGGTACACCCTTAAAAGGAATAATACAGGACGTGGATTAGCAACTACATATAGCACCCATACTATACAATCTGCCTTGAAACAAGCCAAGCCAGATGAAAAGTAACATCCAGATTGATAGAAGGTTTATTAATCAGACAAGACCTCCAGGAAAGTACCCCATAAAAAACCCCGTAACATGAAATAAGGGTGGAATCTTGCAAACAGACAAAACGGTGGTATGAAAACATACAGGGAAATAGAAGACCAAGCGTAAGGAACACCCAAAGATAGAGTACAGAAGCCACAATCCCAATCCAGTGCACCCAGAAGACTGAAGATGCTCACAACGAGATGGGGCGTGACAGAATAGAAGAAGCCGAGTTTAAAAGCATCGAAAGGGAAAAAGGGACATAAGCATGATGGCGGTCGTTTTTGTCATTAACGTTGAGCGGGAGGTCGTGAGAGTCCTTGTCGGGCCTGTTTTTATGTTAGCAATTTTATTCATGGGCAGCAGGTACCGAGATGTCTTACCTTCATTTGTTCGATTCGGGCTTTGAGCTGACTGGTCACTTCAGCAGCTCGCTTCCAGTTCTCTGCGGGCTCTGATGATCGGGGCTGTTGGTCTTCGTCTGCGTGGCTGGTGGAGTTGCGAGTCGATGAGCGGGTTGGACTTCCGATGTTGGAGTAGCCGTAGGTCGGGCTGAGCTTGCGTCGGCCAAGTCCACCATCTCGGCTACCAAGACTTGGTGATTCGTGGCCGTTGTTCTCTTTCTCTTCACTAGGACTGGCGGAGGCATAGCTTCGAGGCCGGGAGCTCTCGAACCGGGGTCCCATATGGAGGCCGGATCGTGCTGCTGAGGGGGTTCCACTGGAGGCTTCGTGGTACATAGATGCAGGTTCCGAAAAGCCCATGTTGCCACTTTCCGATGGCGCATGGGGTGGGCTCATTGCTGTAGCTCGGAGGGCCCGCGCCAATTCGCGCTTCAAGCGTTCAATCTCCCGTTGCTGCTTTTGAACATTGGCCTCGGCAGCCTCAGCGTCACTTCGTGCACGAACCAGTTGGGTCTCCTTTGCCTTGATGCTCAAGACATCTCTGGTGTGATCTTCAATTAGCTGAGCATTCTGATTCTGCAGCTCGGTAAGCTGGTTGTTGAACTTGGAACGCTCAGACTTCATGTCCTCAATGGACCGAGCAAACCTCTCCTTTTCATCGCGAAGTTGTTCAAGTTCAGCGCGTTCTGCCGCTGAGATACCACTCATGGCAGGGGCGGGAGCTGGAGCGGATTCAGCAACTGCTGAGGGCTTGGCAATAGGGCGACCAGCCAGACCACGACCAAGACCGAATTTTGGTGCAGCTGGAGGGGCTGCCTCTTCTTCCGCTGGGGGAGGAGCAGCTCGTCTGACTGGCGAGGCTAAACCTCCTGGACCACCAAGCTTGCTTCTGAGCTTCGAACCGGGAGGAGCGAGACCGCCAGCCTTTGGAATACCACCTAGCTTCGAGGGAATACCCTTGGGAGCAACCTTGGCTGGGGGATCTTCTAACGGAGCCGCGGAAGCAGCAGAAGCCGGTTTCTTCATGCCCAACGCTGGCTTCTTTCCAGGGGCCATAGTCTTTCTAGCTGCTGGAGCAGCGGGCTTGGGGGTGCGACTATTGGCTTGGGTCGATCCTTGGCCTTCACTTCTGCCGTCTCGAAGAATTCCTTGACCTTCGCTTTCCGAATGTCATCCAATCCATCAAGGTAAGGGTTCATGGCTCGTTCGCCCAGAATCTTCATGAGAGTACCCAGGGTCTCTGCACCACCGGCTCGAATTCCTTCCGTAGACTCGGTCAGGAGTTTTGTGCCTGCATCAGCGATGGACTTGATCTCGGGCTTGGATGGAACGATTCGAGTGGTACGAAGACAGCGAATCAAAAACTTGACTGTCTCTTGCTTCACTTGCGGGTTCTTGTGCTTGAGATATTCCAAGATATCATCCAGACAGTCTGAAAGATCTGTTGATAAGAACACAGCATCGAGTGCTCCACCCAAAGCATCGGCCACAGACTGTTTCTTCTCCTTGAGACGCTCCAATATCGGCACCATAATGGTGGATCGGTATTTCATAAAAGAGTTGCGCAAACCCCTGGCCAGCAAATCGATACAGTTCGCAGCCACCGTCACCACCGCGACGTTGGCGTCTTTCATACATTTGGCCAACGCTCTCACGATTTCATCATAAGGGCCGTCCTTGATTCGAGGAACATTGATCACATTGTACAATGCATCCAAGGCTTCCTTGCGATCTTTCCATTTTGATGAGCCTAATTGGTCATGTAGGTCCTTAGGTACCTTTGGCATAATATCAACGGGCTCTGCAAGGTCGAGAACCTCAGCCTCGTCTTCATCTTCGGCGTATTCTTCTCCCTCCTCTTCAGCATCACCACCCGACGGAGCTGCACTAGCCGCAGCCATCGCATCTTGCTGAGCCCGAGTGAATCGTTCTTGCTTCGGTGCTGCCTCCTGCTTCACCCCGTCAAACAGCTTCTCGAGATCCTGCTGCTGGACCGGCTTCAAGTCTGCCCAGAACAGTGGTTTCATGGCCTCGCGAAGCCATCGATACATCTCCACAGTAAGATTTTGTGCTTCGGCACGCACATTTTTATCCGCATGGCCAAATACCTTAGTCAAAGCCTTGAGTGTCGGCTTCGGGTCCACAATCTTGCATCCAAAGTTGTGGTAGATTAGCGTTAAAGCAGCCAAAGCACCAGCGACCACCTTGGGTACTTTGTGCGATAGTGTAGGCAAAAGGTCTTCGAGAACGGGATCGGCTTTATCTAATTCAACGCATAATAACAGAGCCTCCTGGGCGCTGGCTTTACCGGCTGGTCTGGCACAGGGGAGACCCTTTTCCGAGATCGGGCCGATAGTGAGATGCCGAGTCCTGGAAGAGTCAACCATTAGGTCCACAAAATATAAGCTGAACAACTCTAATATAGAGAAACATACCTTGCGCATGCTTGTGGGCCTCCGAATTTCAAAAATGAACAGTATGCGCCCATGCCCTCTACCTGCGCGGCAACGTTGGAGTCTGCGACGGCCCCTTTCCACAAACTGGGGTCGTTTAAGAATGGTGTAAATACAGGGGCTGATTCATCGGGTGTCTTTTCGAATTGTGCCTTGGCATCTTCATATCCTTCCTTGCGGACTTTCCAGTTCTATCGAATGTCGTCATGGTCAGTTCGGTTCGTCGTCTGGCAAGCCACCTCGAAGCGCTACAAAGGGAGGACACACCTTATGGGCGAACCGGTCGGGCAACGGCAAGGAAGAGAAATCTGGTTCAGCGTCCGCCATGGTGACTGGCTAGATGACGTTAAAGGACGGTGTAACTGATTCGGCACCTAGCAACGCAATGTGGTCAGCTCGTTTGCAAGTATTCACACAGACAGACCGCCAATGCGCAGTATAAACAAAGAAGTGAATAAAAGGATTCTGCCCGTTAAGGCTGGGCTGCGATCTCCTTACCGAGAGGGTTTGGTGCCCAAAGAGGTGGACGGCACGAAATTCGGGATCGGCTTCAGTCCGCGCGATCAGGGATACGGATCACTTAAAAGGGGTAGTAGGGTTGGAATCGAGGAAAGTCGAGCTTGTAAGGAGAAATATAATTCTCGTAAATTCATGAAAACCCCACAAGTTTGTCGAGTGGTCTGGGGGAAGTTGATTACAAGATCCGGAGGGGAAAAGGAAATAAACACAGATCGGGAAGTAAACAAGTGGGCTTGGCGGTGTCGTTGTTTTGTTGCTTCAAACCCCGCGGTGGATCTTCATCTTTAACATCTTGAACTTCCTGCGGAAAAAAACCTACACTCAGTAGAGAATAAGGACTTCAAGTCTTTCTTGCTGGCCTCAATTTGTCTTTGAGATCTTCTACTATTTGTTTGAACCATTGCCTCTCTGGTTCTGCGCAAGCGACGGTCTCCGGTGTATGCGGAGGTGATTTGAGGACTGCCTGGGAAACACACAAAGCCGCCGGCACCATGAGCCAGCTACTCACGGCGCGGCAGGCGGAGGAGCTGTATGCGCCCTGATATGGAGTCGATCGCGATCGTGACTATGTACTAACATGATCATTTTTTACTGCAGACACAAGTCAATCATTGCATACCTGGCTTCGGCGAACCTACCCCAAAGCTCCGCGGCGCTGCGAGAAGAACTCGGTGACTCGATCACGGTCGATGACTCTACACTCAAGAAATATGAGGGTCTTTTAGAGAAAAAGTGGACTAGTGTAGTCCGATTACAGAAGAAGGTGAGAGCATCGTTCACATGTCGGTGTGGAGGATATAGATGTTCAGGGATATTGATCTGTTGTATTTTTTAGATTATGGATTTGGAATCGCGATGTGCCTCGCTCCAGGCTGAGCTGGACACCGCGACTCCCACATCGCTGTCGCGAAGAAATCAGGACCCCGCCTCCTGGCTGCCCCGAGCACCGGCTCGACACGACCTCGAGTCGCACCGGCAACCAATCACCTGTGTTGCTTTTCACCCGATTTTCTCATCTCTTGCGTCCGGCTCAGAAGATACGACAATTAAGATCTGGGACTGGGAGCTGGGTGAGCTCGAACGCACGATCAAGGGTCACACGAGGGCTGTCTTGGATGTGGATTATGGAGGTCCGCGAGGGGGTACCCTCCTTGCATCCTGTTCCTCTGATCTCACCATCAAGCTGTGGGACCCCGCCGATGAATATAAAAATATCAGGACTCTACCAGGTCACGATCACAGCGTATCTGCAGTTCGCTTCATCCCGTCAGGAGCGGCGGGATCCCCAATGTCAGGAAACCTTTTGGTGTCTGCGTCTCGGGATATGACCTTGCGGATATGGGATGTAACGACAGGGTATTGCGTTAAAACACTGCAAGGGCATGCTGCGTGGGTGCGTGATGTTGTTCCCTCCCCAGATGGCCGATTCCTCTTTTCTGCGGGTGATGACCAAGTACCTCGGCTCTGGGATATTTCATCGGGAGAAACAAAGGCCACCTTCTTAGGGCACGAACATTACATTGAGTGCGTTGCTTTCGCTCCAGCTACCAGCTACCCGCATCTTGCGCCTTTGGCTGGCCTGAAGAAGCCACCGCCAGCCTCTTCATCAGCAGAGTTTGTTGCGTCCGCAGGTCGTGACAAGACCATTCGTCTTTGGGATGCACGAGGTAATTTGATCAAGACCCTCATAGGCCATGACAACTGGGTGCGTGCGCTGGTCTTCCACCCTGGTGGGAAATATCTGCTTTCAGTAGCAGACGACAAGACATTACGATGCTGGGATCTCACCCAGGAATGCAAATGTGTGCGTAAGATTGATGACCATGATCACTTTGTCAGCTCAATTCGGTGGGCACCTCCTTTGATCAAGGATACTGGTGCGAATGGCGAGGGAACCAACGGCGCTGCAGAATCCGGTGCAAAAAGTGCGAAGGATGCCGCAAATAAGATGTCGATCAGATGTGTCGTTGCCACTGCCAGTGTGGATCTCAAGGTCAAGGTTTACGCATCATGAACGCTGCTAGCTGCTGAAACCTACTGAAGCAAAGCTTCTCATCAAATCTGGATACCAGTCTGCGCCGATTTGGCAGCCGGAAACCCCTTGCCAGATCAAGTCTTTCTACGAAATAATGGTACACTGGAACCACCAAGCTGGCGCACTGCAAAGTTTCATTAAAAGAACTGTTTGTCGTTTCAGGGCAAAGGAGTTGGTTTCTCTTCTGTGATACCAGTGACTTTTTCCATTTACAAGTGATTTAGGAATGAATGGGTGGACCACATCCACAGGAGGGAGATGGTCACGCTTTTCCGTGTATACAGTTTTGACTTTGTATCAGGGCTGGGGCTCTTTCTCGCACATACTTCTTTAATGCCGCTACGTTATCATTGACTTTCTGGACAACTTGTTTATAGAGAATCGTAAACAGCAAGCCTAGAAGGCTTCGGAAAGCTGGGCTTCAATCTACTAGAGAATATGAGATCACATCTCAGATGCAAAGTTAAATGTATATCAATGAAACGAGGCTGTATAATATAGTACATATGATCCAACATGCAACACCACCATGGATATCAAGTCCACAAGGCCAAAGTAAATAATCGCACAAGCTCCCTATTACTCCTCCTTGAGAGTCGCAACCGGAGGTTCAGCCGTCCGCTCAAGAACCAATTTCTTCAACTTGCCCACGCGCTCCTGACCAGCATGAATCCGGTGAATCAACTGCGCCTTCGAAAGAGACTTCGCCTCCTCCTCACCAACAATACCAGCTGCTGTCGCAACCAAATCGACCTCCTCACCCTGCCGACGCGACTCCCGACGCACATACTTGTTCGCCCAGCGACGCTCCCGCTCCTGCTCCCGCTGCTCACGCGACATAACAGCCGGTCGCTCCTCAATAGGCACAGCAAAGGGGGTAATGATCCGCTCAACAACATGGTGAACGTGACGGCTCTTAGGTGCACCAGACGAGAACTCGATAACGTCGCCCTCGCGCAGCGAGTTAAGCGGGTCGGAGACCAGGTACCGCGTTTCCTTAGGGTAGAATTTTCCAATGTGCTTGTCCCAAATGTTGTGGCGCTGGGTGACGCGGACGGTGCGCTCCATGCGGCCGACTGACTCGACGGTGCCGGTCTTCAGGGTGTAGGCGTAGTTGCGGAGCAGGGCGGGTGGCTTGAGGTTCTGTGCGGAGTCTGGTGAGGGGATTGTAGACTTTTGTGTAGGGGTGGAGGTTGTAGAGGCTGATCGGAGGCTCTGGGAGATTGAGACGGAGGGGAGAATTGTTGATCGGATGGCCATTGAGGATGCGATTGACCGGATGGGCATTGTAGCCCGGAGGATGTGGTTGGGGGCCATTGTGATTGAGATTCCTCTGTGATCCCTTTTAGAGGTAGAGTGGGATCGGGTACAGATATCCGGGTAGAAGACCGGTGAGCGGAGACAATGGAGAAAGTGCTGATGAGGTCGATGTTGCGGGTTTGCGGAGTTGAAGTTGAGAAATTCTCGGAGTTGTGTTTGCACTGTTTGCACACATGTATGCGCATCGGCGTCACTCGAGTCTTAGATTCTTAGAACATTGAACAAGTGCAAGCTTGAAAATGTTTATTTGAGCCTTGAACATGCATATAAATAAAATCAAAGATTTCAAATGCTTTTTTGAGAGTTTTCTCAAGTGCTATCTAAGTCAAATTAGGCAACAATGCTTGATACGGATCTAAAATGAGCCTCATCCATGAACTACATAAAGCTTGACACAACTTCGGCACCCATATTTTCCTAAATCGATATTTTCTACTTCCCCTCCTTCTGCATTCTTCTTCAGCTAATATCACAATCTTGGAACCGAAAAGTGAACCATTTCAGGAAAAGATATTAGAGTCCAACACATCTCCTCAAGCTATCAACAATGACCATGATGGCGTCGATGTTCCGAGAGCCTCCAAAGAGAGCGCAACGCCAGGACCTGGCAGCAGATACCCTTTTACACACTCCAGATATCTTTATGAACACCGAGGCTTCTCAGTCATCAATTGTCTACCCTGACCTCCTCCCTCGAGTGGACCCTCCAAACCCCAGCGCGGGGAAACCGAAAGTCACAGTTCGCAACCAAGACAGCTTCACAGCTGCGAAGGAAATCCTGGACCGAGAGCCATCGGCCAGTGTCGGTGTTCTCAACATGGCCAGTAATACAGAGCCTGGGGGTGGATGGTTGAAGGGCTCTCTAGCTCAAGAGGAGGCTCTATGTCTCCGCAGCACTCTGGCCGCAACCCTCCAGGACAGATTCTATCCTCTTGCAGATTTTGCAGCAATTTGGTCCTCCAAAGTGGCTGTTTTCAGAGACGAAGTCAAAAACTGGTGCCTTGTCTACGAGCCCAGCAGGATATTTGTTGTGGGCGTGGTCAGTGTGGCGGGTTTGCGATGTCCTCCACTGGCGGAAGACAACGAACATTTCGGTATGCATGTAAGAAGATACAATATAGTAAGATGAGCTACTAACACTAAACAGAGTACCCTGGGGACATTCGGGTCGTCAAGGACAAAATGCGACAGGTCCTTCGCGTTTTTGCGAAGAACAATATTACTCATGGTGTTCTCGGTGCTATGGGTTGCGGCGCATATCGTAATCCTCCACGAGAGGTCGCGCGAATCTACAATGAGGTAATGAATGAGCCGGAGTGGAGTGGTGTCTTTGAAGAACTTGTTTTCGCTATTCTTGACTCGAGGGCGGACGGAAACTATTCGATTTTCAAGGACGCGCTGCAAAATGATGCCTGAGAGCTGGTTGGATCAATCTTTACTTTTTGTTTACTTTAAGGATACCCGCTCTCTATCTAGGCTTTACACACTACGCGCAATCCTGTTTTCAATGATTGTCGTAATTCTGCTTCAATCAGGACTGTAGATTGTCACCGTATCTAAAAACTGAACAAGGAGTATGTACTATATCATAACAATGTGACAAAAGAGTATCCTAGGCTAGTTGTAACCGGTCACGAGAATGGGAAAACATTCGATAACCCAAGCCAAACTATGCCAGAATTTCTTCTTGAGTAATTTAGTAGACAGGCAAGGGAAAAGCGTCAAAATCGTATATCCAAGTATCATACGAGGCCTTGTCAAAGACACAGTGCATGATAGTTCCGTTGTTCTTCCAAAGAGGACGTAGAGGCCAAGCACACAGCTGCTGCTGGTCACCTTTGTGATCGCCAGACAAGATAGTAGAGTTAAGAGTGACAGGCATCTCCCTCTTGTCAACCCAGTCGATCAGTGAACCAAGGCTGGTCTGCGGGAAAGGAGCGTTGGGCTGTAGGGACTTGGTGTCACAGTGAGAAGCACCAGGGACCAAGAAAAGGCGGTACCAGTCATTGATGCTGCCGGTGCCCTCCGCGAATGACTCATTCCCATACATAGTGGAGCGAACAGACTCGTGGAAGCGGACGGAAGAGGCAGGGGGGATGCTGTTGTCGGATTCACCGTGGTAAGAGATGATCTTGCCGCCAGCAGCTTCGAAGGGGCTCAGGTCAGACCAGGTGGTTTGCAAGACATCTTCGTAGCGTTGCCAGCCTTCCAGCATCCAATCACGGAGAGTATCGTAGGTGACGCCGTCCAGGGTGGAGAGGTTGTCCTCTGCGAGCAGCTCCAAGCCACGAGTAACCCACTCACCACCGAGTTCAGAAATATCTATACCCCATTTTCCAGTAGTATAATCATACACAGTTTCGGCATCGGTCATCTCACAGCCATACTGGTACCAAAAGTAAGCTCGGCGGCCATCGCTGTCCATAAAGCCATTATAGATTATGGCAGCTAGGTCTGCACCCTCCTTAGTCACGATACCGTTTTGAGCAGGATTAGCGGCGGAGGGCATTTGTCTCTTGCGCAGAGTTGCAGAGGTGGCAGCACAGTCGTAGCTAGCGCCGATAGTCGAGTTGAAGTCGAAGTGAAGCTTGCAGAGATCGGTGCGTCCAACAAGACCATCCACCTTACCATCAAGAGCGTCACACGCAGAGATGGTGAGGTTCACAATCTTCTCCAGTTCGCAGTACGGTGGAATGTATCCAGCAGTTTGCTGAGCAACCTGGGGGAATAGGTGATTCACCTGCTGCTGACCGTAGCGAACTGCAGGGGCACCAATAACGGCACCATCCCACTCTTCGGGGAAGCGCTGGACTTGACTGAATCCTTCACGACCACCCTCAGAGCACCCTTGATAGTATGCGTAAAGCTTCTTGTCCGAGATGTCGTAGAAGTTCTTCGTGAGTGCCTTACCAATGGAAGACATCTCATGGTGAGCCTGGTAACCGAACATGTACAGAGCATCCAGGTTGGAAGTTCCGTTAACCAAAGGAAAGACATCATCGAAGCTGGTAGCAAAACCACCGAAGCCACCATCCGTTCAGCCGGTAGCAGCGCCGTATATCACACTACCAGGGAGAGTCTCTTCGACGTTGATAGCAAAACCGAAACCACCAGTAGAAACCCAACGATTCTGGAACTGCTCTGGGTAGGAAGCCAGAAGTTCAATAAGACCTTGTCGTCCTTGCCGCGGTGGGAGTAGGTCATGGTGACATTGCAGTAGTCGAAAGTGGCGTCGGGGTAGTACACCTCATCTGTGACGGTCACGTTGTAGACAGGGTTGCGGTGACCATAGAGCCAGAGGTAACAGTTCCTGGAAGCAGGCCATGCTTGGGGATTGCGGCTGCAGCCAGCACACCGAAGTAGGAGAGGTTTGGCATTGTGGAAAGGATACTATAAAAAAGATTGAAGGGTTCAAAGATTAACAGGTAGATAAGAAAGAAAGACCAGATGCTGATTCTCGAGCGACAAGCGCCCTCGGTTTTATAGATACAGGTAATTAGCTCCATGGTCCCCATCAAGGTTGCTTGGTTTCACTGTTGCCATGGAGGTACGTAAGTAGATCCATCGTCCAAGCACACGCGGAGCGAGAGCCCACCTTGACCTAGTATCAGCTGAATAAGACGCACGCGGGCTAAGCTTGATACAAGATTAAGAGACCGAGAGGTCAAAGAGGGGTCGAATAGGAATCAAATGGGAAACAGACTAGCTTTCCTGGTAGCTATGAAAGTGAACAAGCAGGTGCGCCTAGCTCTTTAACCACTGAACGAGCAATTCTCCCGGGACTTCAAGAGACCAGAAAACCAGTCTGCTAAGTCGAGGAAACTTATTATGGTGAGAATTGAGGCCAGGGGAACGCCTAAGTCGCGTTCCTGCAACTGACTCCACTTTTCAGGAACAATCTGCTGAATATGCTTATCCCTGGTTTTATGAAACCATCGGACCAGACTACTAAAGAAGCCTATGGCAATGTTGATCATTTAAGAACTCTCGGCGTAGAGTGGAAGAGATCCTGAACCCATCAAGGAAGTAGTAAAGCTTTGCTTTCTTGGTCCAACCCTCGAATCGGTCAATCGCTAACTCACTGGAGAACAAGGATCAGACATTCTACCACCAGACACCTATACTCCGGACTCCATATATTGTTTATGGCGTTGTCAATAGGCAGCTAACATCTTGGTTTCATCTTCTGTCTCATACAATCAACCTTGGGCCCAAAACTATCATGGATCGAGACCGCAAGGCTTGACTGTCATATTATTTTTACGGAGAGTCCGCCAGCACCGAGTAAGTGGATCCAGATAGGTACAGATACTTTCAGTGATCCACGAATGGTCCATTTCTTGCCCAACATAGTTTAGTCTCCGCAAGGACGAAGCGCCACCTTTTGGCATGTGTATAGTTAAACCGTCCCTCTGCTGACTAAGATAAGGCGAGCGCCGTATTGGTCAGTGGGCGACGTTTAACTAATGTTCGCGATGTTAAACATTGACCTCAAATGCTTATCAGGATTGAAATTGTGATCATCTGTAGCGATTAACATGGAACGCCCTGCTTCAGTCCTGATCTTACTGGCTCTAGTGATTTAAATATGGATATCATACAGTGTGACGTCTAAACCGTCGATAGACTGCAAGTACCGGTATGAGGCGTCACCTGCTCAAGGTATATCTTCTTGCTGGGCGGAAAATGCATCGTGGGTTTTCAGACACTAGGTCTGACTCGGTCTCATCTCCGTTCCCAATTCTGTTGTGAGCCTGAAGGGACTAGGGCCATCAGAGTGCCCCAGGGCTTCGTGATCTGCAAGGAGTTGCATGGCATGCCCCTTCCAGAAACCCTTCATGCAGCACCAGAAAAAAGATCACACAGTATTTTCTAAACGCAAATGGTAGGATGCCAGTTATTTCTATTGTAACTGTAACAATATGCAAATATTCCCGTCTAAGACAGTAAAGTTCTGGCTGTTTTTAGACTTCATTCTCAGTGCTACCACAAGGTCCGCAAGAGACTCCCGGCTGGTGAAAACAAAGTATTTGTGGCGTGAAAGCCAACAAATATGAATCGGCGGTGCCATCCACCAATTGGTGAATTGTCTCCAAGCCACCAAATGTCACTTAAACAAAACAATGAAGGAAACGGCCGGCCACAAGGGATGGCGGCTACTTCGGGTTCAAATTCTCCCGGCAAACAGGGTAAGTTATGCTGGGGAATACCTTTACTACCGTCCATACATTTCCCCACGATATACTGAGGGCAGCCTTTACCGATGGCAGGAATGTTACGGAATCCTATAAAGTCCGAGGTAGCTCACCAACCAAGACGATTTTCACCACCATCAACTTGACAATCCTCCAGCCTCACTCTCTACAATAATCCTTAATTATTCAGATAATTCAAGTGTGTCTTAAGCTCCTTAGCTCAACTCATCTGACACTGGCTAATCAATCAATAGCCGCTACAATGCAGTTCTCCTACCAAGTGATCACCACCTTCATGGCCTTCGTGCTCTTCAACTCGGTTGGCGCCGCTCCCGTCGTCGACGGAACCGATGCTGCCGCTGGTGCCGCTGCCTGGGCCGATCCCACTGACTGCCACCGATTCTACGAGTGCCCTCCCGGTGGAAAGCCCGTCCTGAAGACCTGTGGCCCTGGAACCGCCTTCCAGTCTCAGACCAGTGTCTGTGACTACGAGCACCTCGTGGCTAGCTGCTGGCACCACTAGAGGCTGCGATAGTACGGCCTTGGAGTATGTTAATTTGGTGATTGGATGATATGGCGTGCTAGGGAGGGCTCGACCGATCAACAGTTACACTCTTTTGTATAAGCCTTATTAATATCCCGATGTATTTCAATGATCCCACTAGTTGCCAAAATAATATGGAAATTGTTGACGGTCCTCGCGACTCGTTTTCAAAACCGCTTGTAAGTCCTTGCTACTGTAGACATGTTCAATTACGGACCGGGCCGGCCCACAAGATCATAACTGCCAGGCGTTTGCCTAGATATTCTATATCATTGCTGTTCTCATAGATTCAATGCTTCCAATACGGGAAGAAAGATATTCGATGTCAAATAAGCCGCGCTTGACTAGGATCAGCCACCTTCCCTATTCCAGAGTTCAGTCTGTCCCGATCCGGGGGGCAAGGACGCGCCTGTTTTAGGGCGAAGGTAGCCATCAATACCGGATATTGATACCGACCTATCACGGTTCGTTGTAGCTGACTGCGATTGTTGTTTAGATACTATCACTACAAAGTCTTGCTTTACATAATCTCCCTCTCTCATGATCAAGCGGTATATGTCGGCCGCCACTAAAGACAAGCGTTGAAACGATAAAAGAACTTCCAACGTACGACAAAAACACAAACTGTGATCAGACTGTAGAACCCAAGTGCAAGACACCTGATGATACGGAAGCTGGAAACTGGATTTTGCAAATGCACCTGGGCACCTGTGTTGCTGGAGTGCATTGTTGTCAATAGCAACCACATGGGTTTATGCAGGTAAAGAAAGATCTGTGATATCTGAGCCTCTACTCAATTGACAACTGCTTCCGAGGTCTGCAAATACATTTTGAACATGATCAAGAACAGCCGAGAGGATATCTCATTTTTTTTTTATCTAGATGAGTAGGGGATTATTCTTCGAACCGAACGTAAAAAAAGAAAGAAAACGAGACCCATACAGCCCAAAAAGCACAAAATCACAAGACTATTTCGCCACATCCATGTCGTGAGAGCATCTAAGTTTCATTCAACGTGTTTATCCCAGAGCGGAGTTTCTACAGTTTGACTATTCAACTCCTCTGGGCTCGGGAACATCGCTATCACTGGCGGCGTTGTCGGCAACGACGAGTTTTTTCGCCTGGAATTTATCAGCAGAGTGGGCTGAAATCCGAGTGAGCTCGGTGACGAAGGACTGGCCCCAGAATGCACTAGAAGATATTGTTAGCTCTAGTCAAAATGGCTTAAATGAGTTGACGTACCTGGTGTACTTGGACACATATTTGTCCAGCTTATGGAAATTGAGAGCACGCTGCTCATCACTCATGGTGACAGCTTCTTGGTAGGCACCGGCCAACTCCTCCGTGTTCCATGGGTTGACAATGATACTGCCGTTCAAACTCTGGGCAGCGCCAGCAAACTCGGAGAGGACCAGGACACCGTGGCGCTTCTGCTGAGTAGCAATGTACTCGTAGGCGACGAGGTTCATGCCATCACGGGTAGAAGACACAATACAAGCATCCGAGACGGCATAGAGAGCGATGAGCTCATCAAAGTTGACAGACTTGTGGAGGAAATGAATCGGCTGGAACTCAACCGTGCCTGTGAAACGAACCAATTAGCAATTGTCATACGATCGCAGAACGTTACTACATACCAAATTTGCCGTTGATTCGGCCCACTAATTCGTTCACCACAGCCCGCAGGTTCTGGTATTCCTCGACATCTTGACGACTGGGAACGGCGACCTGTACCAAGACTACCTTTCCGACCCACTCTGGGTGGTCACTGAGAAAGACCTCCAGGGCATGCAGCTTCTGCGGTACACCCTTGATGTAGTCCAGGCGATCGACACCGACCATGAGCTTGACGCCTTGGAACTTTTGCTCCAGCATGGCGATACGCTTCTGGACCTTCTCCTTCTTCAACCCCTCCTTAAACTTCTCAGGGTCGATTCCAATGGGGAAAGCTCCGCAGGTGATAATCTTGCCCTGGAACTCGATACCATTCGGTGTAGTCGTAAGGCCCCTGTATTCGTTGGTCAGTTGACGTAATCCACCCCAAGAAACGATGGTACATACAGCAAGCGCGAGCAACTGCTCAGGAAATGCCGAGTGTAGTCATATGTATGGAAACCAATTAGATCACAATGCAAGACACCCAAAAGCAGCTCGTTTCGGACGGGCAAAATTCGGTAGATCTCGCTACTGGGGAACGGGGTATGCAGGAAGAATCCGATCTTCACGTTCTTCTTGCTATCGCCAATCTCCTCGCGAAGCATCTCCGGTAGCAACATGAGATGGTAGTCATGCACCCAAATTAAGTCGCCATCCTTGACTTCCTTGGAGATCGCCTTGGCGAACAGGCGGTTCGCTTCCTTGTAGGCTTCCCAGGCGGACTCATCGAAGGTGATCTCGCCGGGGTGGTAGTGGAACAGTGGCCAGAGGATGGAGTCTATTGGGGAATGCCATGATGTCAGCGTCTGCTCCACAATATCCGATCGGGTTCAAACTGACTTGAAAAACCATTGTAGTGTCGGTCGGCGAGTTCATCGTCAATGAAAACAGGCACCGCGCCGTACTCCGCCTTCAGGCGCTCCTTCATCTCCGGAATCTCAGCCTCGGGCACCTCTAATCCGGGCCATCCGTACCACTGAAAGGTCGTGGATTTGGAGAGACCACTTAATCCGCTGACCAGACCTCCCGACGACATGGAAAAATCATACTTTCCATCTTCTGATCGTTTGATGGTGATGGGCAAGCGGTTCGAGACTAGCAGCAGTCGGGCTTCATTCTTGGGCTCTTCAAGGGACGGCATGGTGGCGGTAGGCTCGGTGGCTCAGTGCTTTGCGCCTTGAGTAGTGATTGTCGGATCAAAAGCCTGATGCTTGCTATTGGTTTGGCGAAGGGATGAGAGGGGCAATAACTGCAGTTGAAGCAACAATGTGGTCAGACCTATGCTTGCAATTCTGTAGCGCGGGGAATAGGGAACCAACCGGGATGATCGACTGATCAAGATGCGGTGAAGCCAAAATAAAAACAATTTAAACGTGAGATTCTCCACAAATATCAGCTTCTCTTCCTTCTAGCACGCGTCCCCTGAGTATGCAGGTCCAATGTGGTGGGGGTGTCGAAGAAAAAAAATAAAGGGAAAGAAGTAGGTGGCAGGTGGGGGGAAGACAGGTGAGGTCAGCGCCCCGAAACTTGGAACTTTAGCTACGGTGGAGCTCTTCAATAACACTCACATCAGATCATGATATAAAAAAAGGGATCAAGAAAGGGGGGAGGGGGACTATGAGGAGATTTGGGCTTTTTAATATTTCGCGCTATTATTGTATTGACTTTATGATGATCCGTTCAATCAAGTTGGACAAAAATTACAGGATTCGCCGCGTTCTGGCCCGATTCACGCTCCATGATTGGACTCATTAATACCAGAGTACCAGCCACTTAGCATATGATTACAGGCACTATCTTAATGGGAGTACATGTTCATAATGCCTTGGATAGCTGCCCGACATCTTCGATGACAATGCGCTGACGTCGATCCTACCCGTAACATACGTAGTTCTGGAATTCCGTAGATCATTCTCTGTCGGTGTAGATCCATATGATATCTATGTCTACTTACCTAAACCTCGTATCTAGCTACCTTCAGGGCTAGTCATATGTACCTCAAACACTGGAAAAATTGTGAACCAGGCAGGATTTACCCGGAATCCCAGTATTTCAGCATGGGCTATAATCCGAATCTAGAGGGTTCCGGTTACCAAGTAGATGCAAGACGCTTATTCCGGAACTACATAACCTTGGAACCCGCTCTCCCCCGACAAAAATGCCCTGAATACAACCTTGAAATGCCATATCATAAAGATATATACATAAATATTTCCCGGATTACTTATCCAGGAACCCTGTAACCTAAGTACCTCCTTGGGGTCCCCGAACCCCCGCCTTACAATGCCGACTTCTCTCCGCTTAACCTCCACTCCCCCGACTCCGGATCATGTACCGTCTGCCCCTCATCCTCCAATTTTAACAATACTTGCAGAATCCCATTTGACGCGGGCAAATGGAGGCTTTCAGGTACATCCCGGTAAATCTTTTTCACCAGCTCTAACGGTGTCCACGCCTTGCGCTCGGGTGACGGATCTCCTGCCGCCTCTAGCTGCCCATATCGTAGTACCCGAAGCACCTCGTCTTCCCGTTGCTGGCGATGCTGGATATACTCGCTGACGCGAGCACTCACTTTCTCAAGCACAGCCCCATGGCCCGGGTATCCGCGGCCTGTAACCCGATCTCGCATCCGGTGAAGGCTGTCCAGGTAGACTTTCAGGTCTTCGAATACAGCTGTACCGTGTCCTAAGATATCTGTTTCATATCAACATGGGTGATTGGCGGAAAGTAGAGATTTGATTGCAACTTACTATCCCCTGTAAACATCGCATCTTCTTCCTCCAATACAAATGCCATGTGGTCCACTGTATGGCCGGGTGTATGAGCGGCTACTAGCGTTGCCCCTTCTACGCGAAATACCTGTCCATCTTGGATATCGGTCTGTCCTTCATCCGGCTGATGCTTGAAAACTTGAGCTTGCGGGCAGATCCTCAGTAGATCTGGTAAGCCATTCACATGGTCGTGGTGCCAATGTGTAAGAAGAGCCTGCTGCACCGTGGCTTTCTCTTCGGACAGGACGGATTCAAGACGGGCAGCCCACGTGGGCTTGCCCTCGCCCGTGTCAATGAGGATGCGCTGATGTCCACGGCCGATTAGGTATGTGTTGGTTCCTGGTTCCGGTGAGTGAGGGGTCGCTCGAGCCCAGCCCAAACCAGGGGAGGGGAGGGGCGCCGAGTTACCATGTCTGGTCACTTACCTTGCAATGTAAACTAGAGAATGTCAGCCACCATTGTTGCCCAACTGCTCTATTTCTCTTCTGTTTGTTTTTTCGCCACTTACCTTTCCTGGATTCCCGCCTAGAATCCTGATCACGGATGCACTGAGGCGTTCCACCTCTGGAAGAGGAACAAGCTGTGCCATGATGTATAATAGTGAATGATGAGTTCGTATGGACCAAGTGTTGAGGTCCTATTATTAATCGCCGAAAACCGGGAATGTGGAGGATCTGTTGGTATAGGATCTCCGGGGTAAATGTAGTCCTAAGGGTCCACTGCCCCTCTCTGCTTTATGTGCTTAATTGCGGAATTGTCAAAGCCGATGACGCTTAGTGGGAAAATGGGTTCGTTTGCGGGGCAGATGCAACGGGCCTCGGCAGCTTATCTCAGCTTCATTTGGTGTTTACTGGTCACCGAGGTGAAGTTCAAATGTATGTACGGAGTAGATGGTAGAAAATGTGAAGTAAGACGTTTACGATGGACAGATTTGAACATAAAGGAAATAGTGTATGCATGCTATCCTGGCACGTACTGAGATATAGGGAAATCGAACAACTATATCCATTGAACCCACCCAAACTATCGGGAATCCAACGCGAGACCAATAGGCCTAAAACAAAAGATCATGAAATTTTTCCCAGAGCGCAACTCCTCATATCCAGCTCAAAAAAGGAACACATACGCAAAAGGAGTGACGACCCCCACTCGTTCCCCTGGGAGGTCTGTAGATGTCACTCCGTTCTCTTTCTGGGGCGCTGAAACACACGAGAGAACGTAGTTTACACGGGGTTTCTCAGAGAGATCCCTGGAACAAATAGAAACCAAATGTTGATATCAAAGATTAAACATTTAGTTGGAAGCGGCCTTGCGAGCCATGGTGTTCAGGGCAGAACCGTCAACGAACCACTCAATCTGGGACTCGTTGAAGGTGTGGCTGAGCTGAACATCGAAGGCATCACCACCAGCGGCGGGGTGGACACGGAGGGTCATGGGCTTGCCAACCTCGATCTGAGTACACAGAAGGTCGACCTTGTCGGCGGGCTTGATCTTCTCGTAATCGGCGGGGTCGGAGAAGGTCAGGGGCAGCATACCCTGCTTCTTCAGGTTGGTCTCGTGAATACGAGCGAAGGAGCGGGTGATGATGGCAAGACCACCGAGGTGACGGGGCTCAAGAGCGGCGTGCTCACGGGAAGAACCCTCACCGTAGTTCCAGTCACCAATGACAACCCACTTGATACCGCGGGCCTTGTAGTCACGGGCAGTGGCGGGAACGGCATCGTACTTGCCAGTGAAGGCGTTCTTGACCTTGTTGGCCTCACCGTTCTCCTCGTTGATGGCACCGATCAACATGTTGTTGGAGATGTTGTCCAAGTGGCCACGGTACTTCAACCAGGGACCAGCCATGGAGATGTGGTCAGTGGTGGTCTTACCCTGGCACTTGATCAGGATGGGGATGTCAGTGGCATCCTTCTTGTCCCAGGCGGCGAAGCCAGCGAGGAGCTGCAGACGGTCACTGGTAGGAGAGACAGCGACGTTGATGGAGGCACGGTCGGCAGGGGGAGCCTGGTAGGTGTCCATACCGGGGTCGTATCCACGCTCGGGGAGACCGTCACCAGTGGGAGCCTTGAGCATGAAGTCATTGCCCTCGCTGTCCTTCAGGGAGTCAGTGAGAGGGTTGAAGTTGAGGGTACCGGCAACGGTCATGGCGACGACCAGGTCGGGAGAGGCAACAAAGGCGTGAGTGGCGGGGTTAGCGTCGTTACGGCCAGTGAAGTTACGGTTGTAGGAGGAAATGATGGAGTTGGCCTCGCCCTTCTTCACATCCTTGCGGTCCCACTGACCAATGCAAGGACCGCAAGCGTTGGCCAAGATGACACCACCGTACTCCTCGAGGGTGGCGAGCTGACCGTCACGCTCGATGGTAGCGCGAATCTGCTCGGAACCGGGGGTGATGGTGAACAGAGACTTGGACTTGAGACCGTGGTCGAGAGCATCACGGGCAATGGAGGCGGCACGGGACATATCCTCGTAGGAGGAGTTGGTGCAAGAACCGATCAGACCGACCTTGAGCTCCTCGGGCCACTTGTTGGTCTTGACAGCCTCCTTGAACTTGGAGAGAGGGGTGGCAAGATCGGGGGTGAAGGGACCGTTGATGTGAGGCTCGAGCTCATCGAGGTTGATCTCGACGAGCTGGTCGTACTCGGCACCCTCATCCTCACGGAGCTGGGCAGCGTACTCACGGGAGAAGTCACCAATGTTCTGACGCTTGGTGGCCTTCAGGTAGTCGTACATGCGGTCGTTGAAGGGGAACATGGAGGTGGTGGCACCAATCTCGGCACCCATGTTACAGATGGTACCCATACCAGTGCAGGACAGGGAGTCAACACCGGGACCGTGGTACTCAATGATGGCACCAGTACCACCCTTAACGGTCAGGAGACCAGCGACCTTCAGGATAATATCCTTGGGGGTGGTCCAGCCGGACATCTTACCAGTAAGACGGACACCAATGACCTTGGGGGCCTTCAGCTCCCAGGGGAGACCAGCCATAACATCGACAGCGTCAGCACCACCGACACCGATGGCGGCCATAGCGAGACCACCAGCGTTGGGGGTGTGGGAGTCAGTACCGATCATCAGACCACCGGGGAAAGCGTAGTTCTCAAGGACGATCTGGTGAATGATACCGGAACCGGGCTTCCAGAAACCGATGTTGTACTTGGCAGTGGAGGAGGCAAGGAAGTCGTAAACCTCCTTGTTGATATCGTTGGCACGAGCCAAATCCTTCTCACCACCAACCTGGGCCTCAATCAAGTGGTCACAGTGGACAGTGGTGGGGGTCTGGACGGAAGGCATGCCAGCGGACATGAACTGCAGAATAGCCATCTGGGCAGTGGCGTCCTGGCAAGCAACACGGTCGGGGCGGAGCTTCAGGTAGGAGGTACCACGCTCGATCTCCTGGCCGTGGGGGTCGTCAAGGTGAGAGTAAAGGACCTTCTCGGCGTAGGTAAGAGGGCGCTGCAGGCGAGAACGGACAATGTTGAGGTTCTCGTTCATCTTCCTGTAAGCAAGATCATGTTAGTCAACTTCACCATACTATGCAATTTGCATTTTATTTCTTATTGTTTTCAGACTGGTGAGATCGTACTTGTAGTTGATGTAGTTGCCCTAATGTGATTCATCTTGATTAGCCGCTGTTCGCTGTTTTCGGACTAGTCGATGTTTGAATCGTAGCCGGCTATCGTGGGAAGAGGCTTTAAGCCACTCACCTTCTCCTGAATGGTCATCTCGACCTTCTTGTCAAGGGGGTCAACGGTAGCGTAGGCCCGGGTCCCGAAAAGCTGGAAGAACCATTGGTTAGTATGCTGCGAATCTCATGTACCCCATATCTGGAGTGACGCAAGACCACATATTTATGTGGCACCTGCATTGGACTTGTGTTGCTTACAAGACGGGACTTGGGGGCCTGTCGTAGAGAAGAAATGTTAGCATCATTGTACTTTGTCCGGAGTCATGATCCACATTGGAGAATCTGGGAGGATGCCATGAGCGCATCGCCCATCTCTTCCGATGAGGTAGGGTGTGACGACGTACCAGCGCACCGGCGCGCGCAAGGCGGGTGGAGATCATGATGTCCAAAAGCTAATTACCACCTTCACCTGTGGTAAGCTTAAAGCAGAGTGGAGAGTGGAAAGGAAGAAGAGAAAGAGAAGAGAAAAAGGGAAGCTTGGAGGTTTTGAGTGGGAAGAGAGAATTGTGCTCAGCCGAACAGCCGTAACTCGCTGTTACCCCAGCGATACGGTACGCGTATTGTGGTTTGGGGGTTCCCGCATGCGCTCGACCACCCAGACTGGGGATTCCGCTCCACGAAAGTTTTCACACCTGTCTCTGCAGGCAGGAAGGTGGGAAAAATCGGCATCTCTAAGTCACGGGCTTCCGAAGCTTCCGGCTATCTTTTCATATACAATATCACATTCATTGACTCTCTAAATGCATGGGGAAGCTCATCAACCCAAATTGATGCTGGTGTAATGGCAATACACGGCATGTGACGGGCCCAAAGCGGGCCACCAATCAGGGAATTTGCAATTACAACGTTCATAGTAATCTCGAGTTGTATCAGGTTAAACAATATTTTTGGGACTCGGGCCAAGGGACTTTACTCGGGTATGACTATTCGGTATCTTCCCCATTTACCCGCAAGGTATCAAGTTCCCCATTGCATGTGGGCTGGAGATCATCCCGAATCAAGGGGAGTGGCTTTGGACTTACCACTTATTGATGAGCCGCACTTCGACGGTCATTTTTGTAGGCATATAATAGCTAATATTGTTCGTTTTTGCACATTCTCATGATTCATATCTGGCCTCTTCCGTGTTGTTGTCTCGGAACAGGAACATCGTCCGCAACAGGGCCGGAGCAACATGCCGCGAATGCAAACGTCATAGGGATAAAGCATATCCAAAATACATTTCATACGATACGCTAGCAGAATAAATTACACTGAAAACCGGTTACACTGCTGAGCCGAGGCGTGCCGACGGGACTCCCGCGTCCATGGCCAAGCACTGAAACTGCCAATCAAGTCCGATGCGTTTCAATCGCTCGCTTGCTCCACTCAGTCAGCGGAAAAATCCCTCCACGACTTCGCCCTTTGTTCTTCCTGGCGCTTGTCCCGTTCCCCACTCCGCCCCATTATCACTCCGGAAATCGGTGATAACTTTTTTTGCGTTGAAACTCTCGATCTTCAATTTTTTGTGTCGGCAAGCAAGCCGAAGTCTAGCAAAAATGGGTGCTTTGCGCAAAGTCAAGAATAAGCGTCGCACAAGGTACGTTACCTAACGACTGAATTTTTTCGACCCCTCCATGTGTGCAGACGCTAACGTACGACGTTTTACTCTGCAGAGACTACGACCAGGTCATCGCCGATATCCAATCACCCCGTCACCTGGAACTTTACAAGGAGTCTAAGGATGTAGAGGATCTACCAGGACTTGGACGGCATTTCTGCACAGAATGCTCCAAGTGGTTCGAAAGTGACTACAACTTGAAGGCGCACACCAAGGGCAAGAACCACAAGCGCAGGTGAGTTGTGAGCTCTTCATCTTTGTGCGACCAATCGCTAACGGTCATATTCAATAGGGTCAAGATCTTGAAAGAAGAGCCTCACTCCCAAAAGATCGCTGAGGCCGTTGTCGGCCTGGGTGTCGACAACTTCAAGCGCCCTGAAAAAGACACCGAGATGCAGCTCTAAACACGGTGCCTCGAATCGCCACATAAAAAGGGAAAAGCCACCCAAGAGGCAAGAAACCTCTCGTCGCCACTCAGCTCGGTCTGGTCGACATGGTCAAAATACGAACGTCCACGCATGATTCCCATGCCCACTTGACTACTGCACCTTGCATAGGTGGAGTCCTCACGTGAGGTGAATTTTTTTTATATGCCGAAGACCGCCGGATCTGTGTTCTGCCGGTTTACGGGGCCGCGAAACCGCCGGTTCTCGGATGAAACAACGGCGTCCTCGAAATTTATCCCCTTTCCTGGCAAATACCCCGGAGTAATAATTCCAATAGAAATCCCTCAATACCAAATAAAAGAATCTAACCTGAATCGGGTTTCGGTATACATGCTCATTGTTTGGGACCCCCACACACTATCCATGCGATTTAGTTGTAGACATCTAGGTACGTTGGGTCATCGGCTCGAGGCTCAATGGCTGGCGTGGCTGAGTAAAGCTTTTCATCAACCACTCATATGCCGCCCACTGATTGCATATTAGAATCAGCCAATCAGAAGTAGTATTTTGAAATAACTCACCTGGACAGCATTCACAATAAAAGCTCGTATGCTGCAGACGCCCAGTCCTCGGTAAAAGGGCCTCAGGCCCTCAGCTCGATAAGCCTCTTTGGCAATTTGAACTGTGGTTAGTGTCTGGCGCGGGCGTACAAGAGGTTGGCGTTCTGCAGAACCCGGAAGTGTATGCACATCATGCGCATCATGCATCGTCTGGGCTTGGAGTCGAGTCTTGATCATATCCAAGGGGAAGACTGATCCCCAGGTTACAATTCCGGCAATGCCACCGCAAAGGAGGACCTTCATGGCCGATTGGTTGGAAGTCTCATTTTCAGATGTCATAAGGCGCTTACAGAGCTCATAGGACCAGAAACTATAGCGTGTCAATTGCCGGTTAACATTGAACGCAACTTTGGAAGCTCAAGATAAAAGCGATCTAAAAGCAATTTGGGGAAAGGGGCGGTTTCTTACTAGAATCCATAGCCAATTGCATCTCTAGCACTTGTGACACCTCCTGCGTAGTAAAGTCCTCGCCAGCCACGGTGCCGATATATATCCTTGGCAACGGACCACGAGGAAACCTCCGGACGAGAATCCATCTGCGCCCGACATTTGATAAATTCAGTTGGAGCAGAGATAGTCCAGCTAGCCAGTCCGCCAGCGGCACCAGCAACCCATATTTTATACAAAGGCACCCCCGAAGGATTGGTAGGGTCTACAACGGAGTGATCCATAGTCATCAGCAACCGATTATATGCCATGAAGAGAACTGCATTGAGGGCTCCATATCCAAAAATCGGTGCAGCCGCACCTGAATAAATAGTTAGAGCATGAAGCAATACAGGTCATAAAGGGACCTATGGTGTGGTGAAAACGAACCTCGAACGAGCGAGCCCGCCTTCTCTATTCCGGATAGGTGGGATGGCGGGACATGAGCCGCATTGCCCGCCTGGAGCCGAACCTTGATCACATCTAACGGGTTTCCAATGATAATTCCAAGGGCACCACTAAGGTAGCCCGCCCAGAAACCCGAATCCATGCAGGTTTTGTAGTGATGTGGAAGAGTTCTATTTCCCCACTCTCTCATTTCCCCAGTTCCCGTCTAAGGTTGTACCTCGGCGGGGTGATTACTAGATCACGTGACGGCGTGGCACTTTGGTGTTGTAGGCAGGCGCGAGTCTTGGCTGAGTCAACGCGTCGATCACCTTCCATCTTTTACCAAGAACGCCTGGAGAGTGTTTTGTACAAATGACTGTAAATTGTCTGATATTCACACACTGTAATCATGTATGTCTCTACGTCCCCCTTTTTTGATCCATGCTGACAAACTGAAGGTATCGTGCTAAGCCAGCCGCGCCCGGGACCGATGGTGTCAAAACACCGCTGCAGCCCAAGTCAATAAACTCATTGGACCGACTCTCGAAACCATTTAAGTGCCCAGGATCGGCGACCTACACACGAGTATCAGAGAAACCGGCACGAAAGCGAAGAAAGGTCAATTACGCAGATGCTGATGGCAGCACGGAAGATGGAGCGGAGAAGCCGTACACAAACGATGATCGATTGGCGTTGGCAACACGAGAGGTGAACAAGTTCCCGGTATTTAAGCCTAAGGACAAGGATGCGGCCTTCCGACAAAGGTTCTCCATTCCTTTCATTAATAAGAACACCGATCAATACAACCCTGGTCGTGCAGCGCCCACCTTGGGCATGCGGCAGGGCGCAACATTCGTTGTTAAACCACTCCATGATCCCAGTGGAGAGCTTGCGATTGTTCTCTATGACCCGACTGTTGACGATATCGAAGAGCCTATGCCCAAGGACCCGGAAGCACCAAAGGAAGACGACGGCCCGAAAATAGAGGAACCGCTGGTACATAAGAGTTTGGCAGATATTCTTGGCCTGAAGAAAAAAGTGGAAGAGCGGCCGAAGGTGCCAGTGGTGATCGATCCCCGACTGGCGAAGGTTCTCCGACCACATCAAGTGGAGGGTGTGAAGGTACCATACTCTGCCCCCATAACTCCTGAACCGTGAGTTGCAGACTAACACCACCGGATCTGTCTAGTTCATGTACCGATGTACAACAGGAATGGTTGATAAGAATGCCAATGGTTGTATTATGGCAGATGGTATGGGGTTGGGTAAAACGGTATGACACATGGACGTACAGACATTTTTTTCTTCAGCTGACGATTTTCAGCTCCAATGTATCGCCTTGATGTGGACATTGATCAAGCAAGCCCCGGAAGCCGGCAAAACGACTATTCAAAAGTGCGTGATCGCCTGTCCGTCCAGTTTAGTCGGCAACTGGGCAAATGAATTAGGTAGGCGTTGATAATATGTGGCTACTGATCTCTCACCTGACATTCTCGACAGGAAAATGGCTTGGAAAGGATGCAACAACTCCCTTTGCAATCGATGGGAAAGCCTCCAAGGCCGAGCTCACCCTTCAGATCAAGCAGTGGGCAATTGCATCAGGTCGCGGGATTGTCCGACCCATCCTCATTGTATCTTATGAAACTCTCCGCATGTATGTGGACTCATTGAAAGATACACCGATTGGGCTATTGCTATGCGACGAGGGTCATCGACTCAAGAATAAGGATAGCTTGACATGGACAGCTCTGAACAGCCTTAACGTGAACCGTCGGGTCATCCTTTCCGGCACACCCATTCAGAATGACCTATCGGAGTACTTTGCTCTGCTTCACTTTGCTAACCCTAATCTACTGGGATCTCAAGCCGAATTCCGCAAGAGATTCGAAATACCCATTCTGCGCGGCCGAGATGCTGCCGGTACTGAAGAAGCTCGAAAGCTAGGTGATGAGCGTCTCACAGAACTATCCGGGATTGTGAACAAGTTCATTATTCGCCGAAGCAACGAACTCTTATCAAAGTACCTGCCTCTGAAATATGAGCACGTGGTGTTCTGCAATATGGCTCCGTTCCAGTTGGACCTGTACAACCACTTCATCCAGAGTCCGGAGATTCGAAGTCTGCTTCGAGGCAAAGGCAGTCAGCCATTGAAAGCCATTGGTATATTGAAGAAGCTTTGTAACCATCCGGATCTCTTGGACCTTGCAAAGGACCTTCCTGGGTGTGAGCACGCATACCCCGAGGACTTCACGGCACCAGAGTATCGAGGACGCGACAGAGATGTGAGGAGCTGGTACTCCGGAAAAATGATGGTACTAGATCGCATGCTTGCTCGGATCCGTCAAGATACCAACGACAAGATTGTTCTTATCAGCAATTACACCCAGACTCTGGATTTGTTTGAGCGACTTTGCCGGTCGCGTAATTATGGGAATCTGCGGCTGGATGGCACAATGAACATCAAGAAGCGACAAAAACTGGTCGACAAATTCAACGACCCCGATGGCTCTGAATTTGTGTTCCTCCTTAGTAGTAAAGCTGGTGGATGCGGTCTGAACTTGATTGGTGCAAACCGACTTGTGTTGTTCGATCCTGACTGGAATCCTGCTGCAGACCAGCAAGCTTTAGCCCGTGTATGGCGTGACGGACAAAAGAAGGACTGTTTTGTTTATCGCTTTATTGCGACTGGATCCATCGAGGAGAAGATTTTCCAGCGTCAGTCTCACAAGCAATCTCTTTCGTCTTGCGTGGTGGACTCGGCGGAGGATGTTGAACGCCATTTCTCATTGGAATCGCTGCGAGAACTTTTCCAGTTCAAACCTGAGACTCGTAGTGACACGCACGATACTTTCAAGTGCAAGCGATGCCGGCCGGATGGAACGCAAATCGTCAAAGCTCCAGCCATGCTTTATGGCGATACAAGCTCATGGAACCATTTGGTCAATACTGGGGAGCAAGGACCACTGGGCAAAATTCAAGACTTGCTCATGCGGCAGGAGGCTGGTGAACGGGATGTGTCCGCTATATTCCAGTATATCAGCCATTAATAGGCCCAAGTTGGCCAAGATATTATCTTGGATCACTAGGACACACAGCGGGCGTTCTATTGGCATATTTGACCGTTTTAAGCCGGCGTTTGTACGGTCAGTAGATAGACTCATGTCTTATTGGTTACGTTACTATGATGAAGCAATCGATTTTTCCTTAGGTGACTTATGTGTTGCGGTGGCATATACTACTTATCACAGCTCGCTTGAAAAGCATGCCTCGAGATTATTGAACCTGAACTGCCCTATATAAGCTCGCTACAAGTTCTGTTAACCCATTGGCTATATGAATGACTTGCGTTGATGGATGCAGGGAGCCTACTGATCACGTTTCCTCTCGGCATTATCAGTAAGCGTCTGGCTAGATTCCCTAGTCGCAGCTTCGTCGGTCTCACCCACACCATTGCTGGTTCCGCCATGCTCCGGACCATCTTGACCATTTTTGCCCTTTTTAATACTCTTCCACTCCATACCAACAGAGCTGATCAGAGCAACCAATGTCAACCCCAGAGCGGTAAAGAATATTCTCCTACAGGCATCATTATATGCCCGTTGAACCATTACAACATCTTCCGACGGCACGACAGAAACCAAATCAGTCGCGCCTTCATTCACGACCAAACTTGTGTCCAGGCCCGGAACCCCACTCAGATGCGAAACGAGTATATTACTCAGAATTGTTTGTCCAACCGTGGCGAAAATACTCCCACCAAGTTGCTGGAGGAAGAACATCAGCGCAATGCCGATTGGTATATCTGGTGGCGGAAGGATTCTTTGCACAACCAGTCCACTAAGTTGCATCCCAAGACCGAGGCCGAAACCCGATATAAATTGATACCCAATCCAATGAGATGAACTGGTATTGAGATCGAAGGTGGTCATTAGGCCTAAACCTATCGACATGATGCTTGGACTGAGATACATGACTGGAACGTAGTATCCGATTCTCTGCGTGGCTAGACCGCCGATAAAGCTCGCGACGACGAGACTGAGAACTAGTGGCAGAGTATATATTCCGGATTTGACAGGATTGACTAGTTTGACGGTTTGGACTGGGCGAAGTTAATATGTGATGCTGCAGATGACAATTGGGGCATTACTCACACCAGATTGGAACGTAGTAAATCAGCATCATCATCGCGCTAGATGTGAAAAATATAAATACCGCTGCGCTGAGAATACTACGACGAGTAATAACTCTTGCAGGGATTGTGGCTGTTTCAGGTTTCCAGACCTGAATTGCGGCGAAGATGAGGATCAAGACCCCAAATACGACAAACAACGCGATGATGCGAGCGCTGTTCCAGGCATATTTTGACCCACCCCATTGGAAAGCCAGAAGAAGACAGACCATTGACGGTATAAAGAAGAGCATTCCCAATGGGTCCAGGCGTTTGATATGCACCAGAACTGGAACAGGTTCATGCTGAACTTTCTGTGGATGCCAGATGCAGGTCATAGCCAGCAAACTAACCGCCCCAATCGGCAAATTGATATAGAAACACCATCTGTGACCGAGTCAGTGACAAACTACAAAATTTCGTGCTTCATGACAACCCACCTCCAAGTGACACTACTGGTGAAACCTCCACCAACCAAAGGACCCATGACCGAAGCAATTCCAAACACAGCCCCAAACAAGCCTTGATACATCGGTCGCTTGTGGAGAGGTACCAACGGAATGATGATCAACATGCATCCAGAGAAGATTCCCGCAGAAGCAAATCCCGCAATAGCACGTCCTGCAATGAAAGCGTTGGAAGTAGGGGCAGCACCACAAACTGCTGATCCAATTTCGAAGACAACAATTGAAGACAAGAATACCCATTTCATATCGTAAAATTTGTAAATTCGTCCAAAAAGTAGCTGTGATGATGCGCTGGCTAGCATATAGGCTGACCCATACCAGCCAATATCGCCCAAGCTGTGGAATTCATCGGTGATGCGAGGGATGGCCGTGGCGATGATTGTTCGGTCTAGTGCTACCAGTAACAGCGACAGAAAGTTGCATAGCATTATTAGCCAGAAATGGAGTGTTTCTGGCTGGTATTGGCTTCCCGCAGGCCCACCAGGTGGTCCTGGTGGTGATGACGATGGTTGGGGACTTGTTGTAATTGTTTGTCGTCCAGAATCATCTTGTTTTTCAATCTCAGAATCCGTCCCATCTTGATAGTGTGCGGGCCGTGTCATTGTGCCCAGTTTATAAATGCAGCCAAAGTCAGAAAGTGAGAAGAAATGTTGAGGAATATAGTTGATCTTGGAGTTATGATGCTAGCATTCCTTTGTCGCTGGGCTCCAATCAAGGGGATTTCGGCCTATTCACGGCATTGGCCCGTTCCTTGGAGGAACATAGCATTCCGATCTTCAGAACAAGTTTTTAACGGTAATCCTGAAGCTAAATAAATCTCGATCTCAACGTTTGATGATGAGACTCATACTACCCCTTTTGGGTTAGTGGTCACGGGGAAGATGGCAGTCGGCCCCGAGCGTCATGTTTCGGGACCGACATCACCCTTTCTCGCCGAATCATATATGGGCTCAACGCTTACCTGTTGTCATCGATTCAAACTAAACGGCTGATTCAATGAGCGGGACCTAATCAATCCCAACTATGAGTCTGCCACGAGGCAATTCTTGCATTCTGTGTCAGCAGCGGAAGGTCCGATGTGATCAACAGAAACCCTGCTCGGGTTGTGTTCGAGCACAGGTCGAGTGCAAGGTTGCGCCCATACAGCCACCGCGAAGAAAAAAGCGGAAGACCCAGGAAGATGATTTGATCGATCGGCTCAGGAAATATGAGGCGCTTATGACTCGAAATGGCGTCAACTTTACTTCAATTCTGGATAATGACCGTGAGAGAACCGCGTCGGAGATGGCCAGTGATATACAGAATCCCTCCCCGGGCTCTATTTCACCGAAGACTGCGGATTCTCGGGGAGCAGTTCGTAAAAAGTCCGTATAACTTCGGTCTCTAACGGTTCCGAGCACTAATGTGATACAGAAGTTCTAAATGGGCTGCATACTATGACGAGGTTAGTTGGCTCGCTCATTCTTTATCCCGCTCTTCTAGGCGAACCTGACCGTATTTAGTATCAAACTCACAATGACCTGCTACATGGCTCCGATGATGATGATGAGCACGAGCAGCCAAAAATTCACCACGCTTTCGACAAGATGTTCGAGAATACTAATGACGGATTTCCGTTCATGGTCGGGGGCTCGAAAAGTCAAATCACCCACCTTCATCCACCAGCAATCCAAATCTTTCAACTGTGGCAGATCTATCTCAACAATGTCAATCCTCTTTTGAAGATAAATCATGCTCCCACCCTGCAGAACCAGATCGTCAAAGCTAGCGCCGACCTTTTCAACGTTGCTGAGCCTCTCGAGGCATTGATGTTTGCCATGTATTTCCTATCAGTGACTTCCATGCCGAATGAAGAAGTTGAGGCAGCTTTTGGAGTTTCGAAAAAAGAGTTGTTGGCTCGGTACCATGCAGCCTCACAACAAGCTCTTATCAATGCTCAATTCATGAGCTCAAGCGAGCTGACGACACTACAGGCTTTCCTTTTATACCTTGTAAGTCTAAATCTGCGCTTTATCTCAAGTACCTGCCATGCATGAGTTCGCATGTGATCCCCGTCCGGACAGAAAGTAGCTTTTTAATCCTGATTCATATTGGACTATAGCTCAGTATATGCCGTTCTGTTGATCCGCGATCTCTTTTCTGCTTGATCGGCGTCGCGGTGCGTGTAGCTACCCGTCTTGGTATACATCGAGATGGCGATCAATTTGGACTTCCGCCATTTGAGGCAGAGCAACGCCGAAGACTGTGGTGGCAACTGGCTATGCTTGATAAGCGCATAGCTGAGCTGACAGGATCTGCTATAACGGCCTTGTCATCATCTCGGACTGACTGTCGACTTCCTCTCAACATTAACGATTCAGATCTACACAAGAATACCAAGACCCTTCCAGTACCATTCACGGGGTCGACCGAGATGCTCTTCTGCCTTACTCGTGTAGAACTTTTGGTCTCGACTACCCCGAGCGGCCTGCGACCCGATCCATCGATAGTGAGGAATCGACAAAATAACGAACCCCTTGTGCCACCGTCTAGTTTCAGCCCTCCCGAAGTGAGCACCTCGCCTTTTCGCGGTCTCAATGAATACTCTGCCTATATCGAATCAACATACCTGGAATACTGCGATCCCAAGATCCCTATACAAAACTTCACATTGCTTACGGCACGTATATCGCTTTGCAAACTTCGAGTCGTGGATTTTATGTGCCGTGGTATCCCGACAACAAAGCTCTCTGATGAAGAGCGTGATGAACTCTTCATGACTTCTGTGCAAATGATTGAGTACGACGATGAGATCTATTCCACCGAAGAGCTTCGTGGTTTTCTCTGGTACACTCATTTCCAAGCTCCCATGCCAGGATTTTTCTTCCTCATGAGCGAACTTCGACACCGTACAACTGGGCCTCTTTGTGAGCGCGCATGGAAGGCTATTTTAAATGACCATGAGCATCGAAACATGGTTCGCAACTTGAAAAGTCCTATGCATACTGCCTTTGGGCAGGCAATTCTCAAAGCCTGGGATGCCCATGAGCAGGCCGAAGTCCAACAGGGGAAGAGCGTTGAATCACCGGAGTTGATCACTGTATTGCGTCGAGCCTATAAATCAGAAATGAAAACTTCACAAGTGCAATATGGCCTGGCTCAAGATTCAAACGCCGCCCCTACGTCTCAGTCTGGTCAAGTCGGTTCTACGACAGGAATACCAGCCTTTGGCAATATTGATACTGAGCACAGCATGGGGCTTCGGCCACCAGGGACAGATTTCGACGCCAGAATGATGTTTCCCACCTTGGACAGCGGGAGCCAGATATATGGACTGGGTATGATGGGCTACGAAGAGCCAAATTGGTCATATCTGACGCAATTAGGGTCTTTGGGGGACTACTAACCTACAGGAGGGAAATCAAGGTGGATGATGTATGGTGAGTAATCACGCTACGGCCGCGATAATTCTCTGTTGACGATCTTAAGACACTTTCAAGACTTATATACACATGGTCATCAAAGCTTGCTGTTCATTGTTGCAACCTTGGGGATCCCCCATTTCGAAATATCCTCATCGGTCCGACCATCGACCGCCAACTCTGCCAAGACACGCCCAAAGGCAGGCGCAAACTTGAAAGCATGAGCCGCACCAAGACCAATAATGATATCAGGAGCACTGTCGAGCGGACTGATGATGAACTGCCGGTCGGGAGTAATCGTATACTGGCAAGTGATCGTGCGAAGCGGAGTGCGCTCCTTATCTGGCATGAAACCATCCATGAAAGATGTGAGCTGCTCAAGCAACTGTGGCGAGTGAACGAACGTACGCTCCTCAGGACTCATGAAGTTGTTGGAATAATCGCGACCCGCTTTAATGGTTGGCTCGCCATAGCTGGGGAATCCATAGAAACAATGAGTTCCCTGCCAGATCCACACGGGAAGTTTGTCTGTCTCATAGGCAGATGGATTGGTGGGCTTATAATAAGTTACTTGCTCTTGCATAACAGAGACTGGGATATGCACTGAAAGAGGCGCAAGAAGCTTGTTGATCCACGCATCTGTAGCGAGAATCACCTTCTTCGCCTGGAATCGTCCCTTGGGTGTCTCAATCACAACACCACCAGATTTCTGAGGCGTGACACGCTGAACAGGCGTATTGTCTTTCAAAACGGCACCATGCGATCGTGCCAGCGATTGTAAAGTGCTAACAGTCTTATTGGCATGAGCGATCCCTGAGTCGGGCGTATACACTGTTATGACATTATCGGGGATGTCGAACTGAGGCCAACGCTTCTTCACCTCTTGCGCATCAAGTGTTTCGTAAGGCACATTCTGGGCAGCGAGGCTCTTTGTGAAGTCACTCGCTGGGACAGGTGATTCTGGTGCAAAGAAAACCACGCCGCCGGTCGTCGTTAACATGTTGTACCCGCTCACATTTTCGAGTTCGGCCCAGTCTTTGTAGGCTGATTTGGCGAGAGCGACGTATTCAGGTGCAAAATTTGATGTCCGAACAATGCGTGACGTGTCATGGGAAGCTCCGCGAACGTGACCGAGCTCGAATTGCTCGAATCCAATCACTTTCGCGCCCTTCTGGGCGGCGTAGTAGGCTGCACCACTTCCGAGGACGCCGAGTCCAACGACGGCGACGTCGTATTGTTCCATGTCTTGAGTCATTGCTTGATATGTGTTTAAAGAAAGATATCTATGTTTAGTTACAGCGAATTGACTTTGATTTTATGCTTTATCCTGGCCTATTGAGCACGGTGCTCATGATACCTTACCGTCCACGTGATGGCTCTCCCGCGGGAGTTTATGCTTGTTTCGATACTCCGCATAGTCTCATGACTTGATACCCGATATCTGGCGTTGCAATCAGACCTTAAAATGAGGGGTTTGCATTGACATGTCATAGATACGCGTAGACCGGGGAATCTCCGGTCACTTGATCGGCCGTCGGGCCGCCCACGATACGGGACCATCCGGCCTCATATTTCCTAAGTTTGAAGACTCGGACCCCAGGAGCTGCCATTTGGGCTGTAATACCTAGATGTAGTAAGAATTGTTATAAAATTGAATACTCATGAATTTTGCACCTTTCTGCACATACCAGAATTGCTTATTGCTTATTTTTACCCTCAGTATACATCATGGGCTCAATCGGAGATACCAACTTTGTTTTGACGGCAGAGGCCCTCAATAAGGCCCTGCCCGACATGCACCCTTCAACAAGAGGTATTCACGCCGACGACTTCTTCACACCTCACCGAGCCATCGCTCCTGGCATGCACACAGCGGTGAATTTCCGCTACGCACGAGACGCAGAAGACCTAGTCCCAGAAGAAAACAACGATGTAAGCCAAAGCATCGCTTCAAAATGCCATTTTACCCATTACTAACTCGTGCCATCATAGCCAAACAACCCAAATGACTCCCACGTATATTCCCGCTATACCGCTCCCAACTCTAAGCGACTAGAAGTCGTGCTACGCAGCCTCATGAGCGGCGAAGTGATCACATACTCGACCGGACTCTCAGCATTTCACGCAATGGTCATCCTCCTCAACCCCAAGAAGATCTTCATCGGAGACGGGTATCATGGATGCCATGGCGTCTTGGATATCATCCAACGATTATCAGGAATTCAAAAACTAGAGTTAACGGATGTTGATCAAGCTGGTCCGGGCGATATTATCCACGTCGAAACACCACTTAATCCAACCGGCGAGGCTAGAAACCTGGCTTATTACCGAGAGAAAGCGACTGCAAAGGGTGCATACTTAACAGTTGACGCAACATTTGCTCCTCCCCCGCTTCAAAATCCCCTCGATCTTGGAGCCGATATAGTGATGCATAGTGGAACAAAGTATGTCGGTGGCCACTCGGATATGTTATGCGGAATGCTGGTCCTTGCTCCTGAGCGAGTGAAGGAAGGATGGTTGAAAACATTACATACAGACCGCCAGTACATCGGTAGTGTGATGGGGAGCTTTGAGGGATGGTTGGGTATTCGCTCTGCGCGCACAATGCAGCTTCGGGTAATGAAGCAGGCAGAGACGGCTACGAAGCTTGCTGCTTGGTTACAGGACCAGGTGAATGATGCGAAGTCTCCGGTCTCGAAGGTTGTTAGTCATGTTCAGCATGCTTCGCTTCAGAAGGAGGATTTGGAGGATGGTTGGCTGAAGAAGCAAATGCCTGGTGGCTTTGGACCGGTGTTCTCAATTTGGACTCATAATCCGGAGCATGCGCGTCGGTTGCCGACAAGAATGTATGTTTTTCAGCATGCGACTAGTTTGGGAGGTGTGGAGAGTTTGATGGAGTGGCGGACTATGAGTGATAAAGGATGTGATAGGCGGCTGCTGCGGGTTAGCTGCGGTATTGAGGAGTTGGAGGATTTGAAGGCGGACATTCTGCAGGGACTGGAGTCGCTGCTGCGTGATTTTCCTAACTAAAGATTAATTAGAATTTTAGAGGGAGCTTTATAATTGAACACCACAGAATTAGTTGAGCACTCTCACTAACCGCATTCAAAGTAGCGCAGTAATCAATATTCAGAGAGGAATGTTATTGAGTACATACCCAAGTACCTACTTGCTCACGTTACTCTGTAGACTACGCTGGAATGTGAAGGTGATCATAGAGTGACACCCACTGAACCCATTGAGTTACCTTTTCCTACCTATATCATGGCTCTAACGAAGCGTTGTCTCGTATATTGATGTGCATTAAGCGAGGTGATGCAATGTACTTTTATACTTGAGATAGCGGTTTTTCTGTTACAGTTACTGCACCATACCGGATATAGGAATAGAGTGGTGTTCATCCAATTGTGGTGTTCAATTAGTGAGCTCCTTTTAGAGAGCTACATTGATACTCAACTTAGGTCTAGGAATAATTTTCCACTCGAGTTCTTCAGTCAAAATATAAGCATTATTCACTGCTAGCCCTCATCAGAATTCAGGGCTATAGGTTGTCAAATTCGCCGCGAGAAACCCTTTCTCCGATCCGTACAAGTCTGGGTCCATATAAGACAACTTTCCCTTTCCTTTCCAATCTTGTTTTTCGTTTGACTTAACCCTTAGAACGATACTCTCCAGCCCTTTACCGATATCGTTTTGGCATCTTAGGTCTTCGTGGCCCATAGATTCGATTGCATCTTTTTCACAAGCATCCAGTTCAGCCCGCTTTTTATGTATTTCCTCGAGTTGCGTGCGCAGATTCCCTTCTAAGAGGTCCTTGTTGCGCCTGAGCTCTTCAACTGCGCTTTTCAGCTCCCTTCGAAGCACAGATACCTTTTCTGAGCGAAACACATCCTCTAATGTTTCAAGGAAAAGTTGAGCATTTTCGGCAAGTCGTTCGATACCAGTCGCAGTCTTTCGAAGCCGGTGGACCGCAGAGTGTCTTAAGTCACGCAGGAGACCAAATACCTCGTCCATTGGTTTCTTTGTGGCTCCCGCTGGATGCAAAGAATGCTGAGGGAGTAACTTGGTCCATTCGGTCAGTTCTACCAACTCAGGGCAATCCCAGTTATTTAGTTCCAAAACGTGAGGAAAATGCTGCTGAGCAAACTCAAAACAACTTTCCTCGACTAATTCTTGTATAGTGGTTGTGATGAGATGTTGACATCGATACTGCACATAAACGGGGTAAAGCGACGGAATGGCCTTATTGATATTTCGGTTCCGCTCCAAATGTGATTCTATTGAAGTAAATAGATTGTCAAATTTTCTCTGGACGTTGATATTTGCTCAGGTATACCTACTATCTGGTTCTCTGTTTGCCTCATCCTTTGGCTTTGGTTGAGGAACAATCACGACATGCTTTACTTCCCTTTCGGGAATCTCCTTTACCGCACTCGCTTCGCCTTGCGCAGCCTCTGCTTCTGAAATCTGCCTTTTAGCGCTTTGGGTCGGTGAGACGTGAAACAAATCTGGGAATCGCATTTTGGCGTTTGAATTATTCCCAAATATTTCTTCCTCAAGCAGCTTTTTGGCGACGGTGCTGATCTTCTTGATATTATATTGCCGTAGAATATCCGCGAGGGAAGGCTTCCCATCCTCTCTGATCAATCCCTTAATAACCTTCAATTTTCGGACGTTTGAAGCATCGCCACGGAAGATATGCTGGCAGGCCAGATACACCAGTCTCTCATCAGGATTCCCTTGCCCCATATCTTCGTTATGATGACTATACTTGAAAGGCTAGAGAGTGGGCTATCAGCGTTGAACGTAAGCGTCCACGGCTATTTTAGGTAGAATGTCTGATACATCATCAACTCTAGCAGGAGCTGGGAAATCGCCTGTATTTTACACAACATATGCACCTCCACTCTAGGGCATCGTATTGATGACATCACCATATTCATACCTTTCGACGCGCTCACGAGGTAAACCTTGGTACCAAGATGAACTTCATTCGTTCAAGATCTCCTAACGCCAAACTTTAAATAGAAAAGACGGCCTGGAAGAATATCTAGATGATCCTCTAACTCCGTCTTGACAGCCTCCAGAAATTTAACTAGGAGCCTTTCAGCCTTCCACCACCGAATCTACTTCCCAAATGTCCACGGCAGATTTGAAGCACTCGGAATTTTCTTAGGGCGATGCTAATGAAAGTGACAACCAATGTTGTTGTCTTTCGAACAAGCGGCACTCTAGATGGCGTCCAGAAAGACAAGTCTCCAGTACTGTGTTCTGAAACTTTGGGCCGATGTTATTGGCCTTAGTTCGGTATCATAGGTTGCGGCGCTAGAACTTGTCCATTTTGACATGACTTTCATAGATCTTTGTATTCTAGGGACAAAGCACGTAGTTGGTATGGTTTTGTGTGTGAAATCGGCCCACCATGAACCGAAAGCCAACGTTAGTCTTGATCGTTCTGCAACTCGATTTCCGCGACCCCATTAGCGGGGCTGCCTTCTTGCCGCGACCGGTCAACACCCAGCACGGCGCCCTCATTTTCACTCCGGAGCTTACGGGCCCGCACAAATAGATTGAGAATGGTGGCAAGTCCAGCAAAGGCAACATACTAATAACAACCAGGACATTCCATTAGCATAGATGTTTCGACATAATGAAAAGACGGCAATACAACACGGTGCAATGTTGAGGTGACCTACCATGATCCACACTATCCTCAACGCCTCAAAGTACGTCTTCCTCACCAAGACTTGTTGGCCTGCATTCAATCCAATGGTGTTGATCTCCTCCACACTAGAAGCAGCAAGGTCGCCATTGAATATATTGGCTAAAGATGAGTTCGAGCCAAGCTGGCTTGCTAACTTCTCGTTCCTGGTATTCATCTCATTCTGAAAGATCACGCCACCAACAACAACCGAAATAGCGGTCGAAAGTGACCGAACAAACCCCATCGTCGCTGTCACGGCAGCTGTATCACGAATACTTGTAGCAGCTTGAGCTGCCAGTATAGGGGCTTCGATATTCATGCCCACGCCGATGCCAACCAGTATCTGGAAGATGACCAGCTTGGCTATGTTGGATTCAAATTCGAGGCTTATGAGCAGGCCAGAACCAAGAACCAAAAATCCCTGCGCAATATACATCACGGGTAGATACTTCCCAGTTTGCTGCATGAAAATACCCGCTGCGGCTGCGGCCAAGGCACATGAGACGATTAGTGGGAGGAGGTATAGTCCCGATGTCAACGCTGTTGCGGCCAGGACGGACTGCGCATATAGGGGTAGGTAATATGCCTGTCCGATGAAGACATATGAATTACACGCGAAGACAACATATGGTGCTACCTTGGTCGGCGAGGTAAACAGCCAAACAGGGATGATGGGATTCTTGGCAATCTTCCACTCATTGACCACAAACAGCGCCATCACTGTTATCCCGAAGACTAACAGACAGATCACCGTTGCGGAGGACCAAGAGTAGACGACATCGCCAAAGTCGAGGGCCAGGAGGACCATCAGAGAGCCCCCTACAATTAAAAGGCTTCCTGTCCAGTCGATGACTTTCAGGCCGGCGCCAATTGGGGTTCGAGGGCTTGGGACTCTCATGAAGAATAGTAAGACGAGAAAAGAGACGGCTCCGACCGGTACTATTGGTTAAGTCAGCTTTAAAATCATCACATAGAAAGGAACGCCTCACGATTGATCCAAAAACACCATCTCCAGCTAAATAACTGTTAGCCTTGTCATTACTATACTCCAGATGCACTTGCCTCAGCCTTGTCGTAAAAACACCGCCCAACACCGGCCCAATGGCACTTCCGATCGCCCAAACCAGTGAGGTGATGGCGAGATACAATCCTCGATCCCGCAACGAAAACATATCGCTGACAACAATATTGACCATTATCCCCATACCTGAGCCCCCCAGTCCCTGAATTGCACGACCCAGGATCAAAATATCCATTTGCGGTGCAAGGGCGCAGACGAGACTTCCGACCAAAAAAACGGCTACCGCGATCAACATGATCGGTTTTCGGCCCCATATATCGGAGACAGAGCCCCATACTGGAGTGATCGCTGCGTAGGCTAAAGTATACGCGCTCCCTACCCAAATGTAACCGCCAGCGGATTTGAACGTGCCGACTATGGCGGGAATTGCAGGAGTAACGATCGTTAAATCAAGGGCAGAAAGGAGGACGGACAGACAGAGTGACATCATGGTCCAGGCTATGTTAGTGGTGCTCAGACGAGGAGGCTGTGCGGCCTGCTCGCCGAACAAAGAGGGAGCGCGCGCGGGAGCGGCATTGTCGACGGTGTCGGTGTTAGGAATATCAGCGCGGGCCAACGAGGTACGATTGTTCGGAATAATATTTTTTGACTTAATTGATGAAGCTCTAACAAGCCCAAGAGCCCTGGACATGGTCGAAACAAATGTGCGAGCGAAATATTTCAGATGAGGGAATGAAGGAGTGAGGGGGAAGCCGGAGGGAGACAGCCTTTAAGGAACGGCCCCGGTCGTACCCCGGTCGTATCACCTAACCAGGCTTTTTTTACACAGCTTGGCCCTAATTCACAGAGAGAGAGTATATAACGCTTACATTTCAGCTAAACACGTTTAAGGTCTACCAGATTTGCTAAAATAACAGGGCCACGTTGTGGGAAAATTTAAGATACCTCCTCGCCGTTTAGTCCCACCCGCCGACTTATTCTTACGTTCATATCAAAATGCGCCGTCAGTCCATGATTGGCCCACCCAAATGGCACAACCGGATCGACCATGGCAAAGTCGAAACGTCGAAAGAGCTACAAGGTCATCAACAATTAAAGCGAAGTCGCGGTGAAAAGGAGACGGTGCCTACCTCGTATATCGTCTTTCCCATCTCTATATACGCCAGCCGCTTCCCTAAGCACTCCCACCTTGTTCCAGTCGCAAATACTAAGCCGTAAGAGGCATCCATCTCTTTCCTCTTTTCCACTGGTGCGTCGATCCACCGCTGTGGCTCATAAACATCTGCATCTTCTCCAAAGATGTTTCGATTTCTCATAATTGCTAAAGCTGACCAACCGACCTGGGTGTTTGCAGGGACTTTGACGCCACAGATTGTATCATCGCGCGGGCACACCTTCCCCATAAGACCCATAGTAGGTGGGAACATCCTGAGTCCTTCCTTGATGCACGCCTGGAGGAATGGTAGGGCTTTTGCCTCGGCATCTCTAATCACAGGCCTTGTGACTGTTTTTACAACATCATCAATTTCGGATTGAAGTGCCCGGTATGCTTGAGGAGTGGCCGACAGATAGAATATAATATTTCGAAGGGCAGTCGAAGTGGTGTCCGTCCCGCCGAATACAGTCACAAATGCTTCCGACTCGACTTGGGGCCTGCTCAAACCGGAACTGATGAAAGACTGAAGAATATCGGCATGGCCAGCTTTCAGGTCGGCATATCGTTCATCGACAAGGTCTTTGATGTATCCAAGGAACTTGCCAATCCCGTGCCCGTCATGGGGTCTAGGGTGGAAGGGTTTCAGCAGACGGCTTTCTAGGACTTTTCTGAGAGTTGGGAGCAGGGTGACCATGTGGACAGGTCTATGAAGAGCCTCAGACGTCTCCAGGATCCCATAAATATCACTATTCGCCTCTAAGTAGCCCGCCGGTTTTCCAAACCCGATAGCCGTGATGATATCCTGCGTCAGGTACTGCATCGTTCGAGCTAGATCTAATGGTCGCAAGGCTGCCCGGGTTGAGATATATCGCTGCTCAATCAGTATTATGAGTTTGTGGATCTGCTGGTCAACATGCTGTTCCTCATTTGCGATCCCCCTGCCGCCGTACCCCGGCTTGAGATGGGCTCGGAGCTGATGATGCTGCTTATTCTCAATCACCGACAAAACATTGTCCACTTCGCTGTTTAAACGAACAGCCTTGTACCAATCCGATCGTTGATAGCCAGACTTTATTCCCCATATTCGACGGATCTCAGCAGGATCACCGCACAACACCCAATTTGGCCCAATGCGTACGAGAGGGCCTGAGAGAAAACGTCAATCACCGTGTGATATACCAAGGGGACGGCATCCTTACCATATTCTCTACAAGCATTGTAGAGTCTATCACAGAGCCTGCCGGACCAGGCCTGCTTGAGTAACCATAACTTCGTCCACCCGGTCCCTGGGGGACCTGCAATATGCCGCAGACGATTCCAATGATAGACTCGTCTTGCAATGACATGGACCAGATACCCGATAATCCCGGCCAGGCAAACATAGGAGACGAGCATGATTCAGGGTTGTTGTTTCTCTGTTCAATGGAATCTCGCAATTTTTGTGCGCGAGTAGCAATTCGAAAACGGGAAAGAGGATAGCGGAAGCTCAGCGCACCAGTGAGCACGAGTTACTAGTAGTCACCAGAGCGGAGCTACATTATACTCGCATGGCGTCTTTGCATCTTGGGTTCCATTAAATTCGAAGGATTCAGTACTTCTCACATGAAACATAAAGCTCCAAAAACATGTAATGATTGTCGAATACTTACTGCGGCATGCATATCAGCCTGCACAGATCATGCAACGCCCTGCTGTCAGCAATCAGTCTCACTCAGCTCCAAGCCGAGGAGACAAAAACTCATCCGACTGGCTGGGATTTGTGGCCGACAAGACCGAGACACGACAATGGTGATATTCCCGATTGCTTGTCTAGGTAAGTGCACACGTGTGCCAAGATGGACATACATGTGGCTTGAAAGGATCGGCATCCTGATGAATTCGGCCCCATGTGCAGGACCCTCAGGGGTCGGAAGCCTCCCGACACAATACAAGGCTATTGATACCAAGAGCTAGTAATTTTCAGAAATCGGGTGACTGGCAGCTTCAAGTACATGAACATGATATTAGAATTGGGAGTACTTATAGAGGGATTGTCTAAAGTATCAGCACGGTACCATCACAAAACTCTATAAACAATCATACCTGTCGGCGATGGCTTTCTTCAGGCGAACAAAGATGCTACTCCTACTCTCTAACATTGGCATTGTATTGGGTGTTGGGGTGTTCATGGCCGGCTATTTCAGTCCTCCTCCAAAGCTGGAATTCGATAATATCCTCGAACATGCAAGATTGGAGAAAGCCAGAGTCGAGAAATATTATCCACAGCCATCTCCACCCTTTGACAATATCATCTTTATGGTTATTGATGCGCTACGCAGGTGCAATAATTCTCTCAGATTTTCGATCTGGATAAATGGACTAAACCGGCTAATATCTACTAGTGACTTTGTTTATGGAGAGGACTCGGGCTTCAGCTTTACACAGAGGTAATCAGCGTCTTCATCTCCGATATCACTCCCCACCATTTCCTGTTCTTACGCTTTCAAAGTCTCATAAAATCCGGGTCCGCAATCCCGTTCACTGCTCTTGCTGCCCCGCCTACTCTAACACTGTCGAGGATCAAAGCCATGACGCAGGGGAGTGGACAATCTTTCCTCGACGCGTGGCTTAACGTCATGCATTCCGCTGATGCAAGACGCCTTGTGGGAGAGGATACCTGGTTGTCTCGCCTCAAGTCTGAACGTGCGCCGGAAAAGAAGATGGTGTACCACGGCATCGATATGTGGTGCATGCTGTACCCGGAGATATGGGACCGCTATGAGACGGTTAACTCGTTTTATCTACCTGTGAGTCGATTTTCGCCAATAACATGTCAATTCATCAAACTCAAAATTCTCATGATATCCAGAACTTCAGGGAGGTCGACAGCAATGTTACGCGGGGATTAACATCAGAACTCGACAGAGATGACTACAAGGGCTTGATTCTGCACTACCTCGGTCTCGATAATGCAGCTCACTTTGGAGGTGCTAAAAGGTACCATAGTCCCCACCACTAAATCTTGCTCTCTGCGGTGGTTTGCTGATTGCTCCATTTACAGCTCAATCGTGAGAGCAAAGCAAGTCGAAATGGACAACGTAGTCCGCCAGATATACTTTGCCTTAGAGCGGCTGCCCATTCACGAAAATACTCTATTCGTGCTAACCGGCGACCACGGGATGACGGAAAATGGCAACCACGGCGGTGATACAGCCGCAGAAATTGCTTCTGCGCTGGTCTTCATTTCGCCGAAATTCAGATCACTGGAAAAGGCACTGCCGGTTCCTCCTCCGTACATTTCGAAGTATACTTATTATTCTGTTGTTGACCAGGTTGACATTGTACCGACGCTCGCGGGACTCCTAGGATTCTCAATTCCCGCGGGAAGTGTGGGTATTTATATCGATGAGCTACTGGCAATTTTCCCCAAGGGGGACCAGCAAATGAGTATCTTAATACGAAATGCTCAGCAAATGATCAGCCTTTTGAGTCTGAAATACAACCTGAAAACACCGGTGGATCTGGTTCTGTGTGACTCTGTCTGCCTTTGCGGTCCGGACAGAGTGCGCCGTGTTCTGTGTCTATGGGAGAAGTTCAATTCCAGAGACCCTGTGCCAGCACGGAGTAGGGATCCCGATATGCATGATGATATGCTGTTGATAAAAGAAGTAAGTCTACCTGGCGTTTGATGGATATGTGCATGATAGACTGATCTGGATCAGATCTGCGCTGAGGCCCAGCAAATTCTTGGTGTGCCGCATAATAATCTCGACTTATCCCACATGACCACAGGTATAGCACTGCTATCTGTTGTGGTCATGCTTCTGCTATCAAAAGTGTTTTCTGACCAACATAAGCCCGATGACTCAGGTGGACTAATTGCAGGAGTCTTCGCCCTTCTTCACGGTACAACAATGTTCTCTAGCCGCTTAGTGGCTGAAGAACACCACTTCTGGTATTGGATGTCACTTGCATGGCTTGTTCACTTAGCATTCCAACGGTATGACTATTAAGATATAATGTCTTGCCATCATCATTGACAAACTCTATCTAACTGTTAAGTAGATCAGCTTCAGGAAAATTCAAAATGAGCGGCTTGTTTATTGCTGTCCTACAAATTGCTGGACAGAGCTTGAACCCGGCCGGGGAAACGCCCTGGGGAACTGGGAAGATTTTGCATGACATCCTCGATAACAACCCAGCGTGGCTGTGGGCTCTAGCAGCAGGCGCACATGTGGTGGCCGCAAGAAAGCTTTCCGAAAGTATCAGCGTGGCCCTTGGTATAGACAAGTTTGCATCAACACTCAGTGCGTGCTTCGTGTGCGCCTTAACGGTGCTTTTCAAAATGAGCTCAACACATAATTCCAACCCGGAGCTCCTGGAATTTCTACCTCCGTGGCTCCAGTCAACCTTCACCAATGACGTTGGATACCTAGCCCTCTGGACGTTGTGGAGCGGGCTATTGGCTCTATGGATCTTCTTACTTGCCCAGCGCGTGAATAACCATTCTAAACCAGGTTTGTCTATCTGATATATATGTTGTAGCTACAGCTAATACCAGCCCACGTTCCCAGCCATACTTGCCGCCATGGTCGAAGTCGCCAATGTTTATCTCCGCACCCAAGCCCGACCAAAAACTCTCATCCTCTTCCTGATCTTCGACCTGCAAATGCACTGGCTCGGTATGGTCAATTTTCAATTTCCCACCCCTGAAGCCTACTGACCATGCATATTAAGTGCCCAACTTCTCAACTGACCACGCAAACCCCTCCAAAATATCCCTCACCGTCCTCCTCCTCGCGCAAAGCGCCTTCTTCTCCGGCGGACGCAACAACTCCTTTGCCTCATTGGATATGATGAACGGATACAACGGCATCTCAAACGCAGAGAGTACGTTAAATATCACACTCGTCACACTGCAAACAATCCTCAGCAACTGGATCGGACCTGTCTGGTGGTCCCTTGCTGGGTTGCGGCTTCTGAGTGCGACAACGGATTCGAAAATTCGAGTCTCTAGCTTTCTAAGTTATGCCACTTACCAAACATTGTTTTCTGTGATTAGTGCTCTTGCCATTATGGCATCGTGTATTTGGTGGCGCGATGATGCCATGCTGTGGACGGTTCTCGCGCCTAAATATGTCAATGTTGCGCTCTGGGTGGTGTTTCATCAGACACTTGTTAATGGGGTTCTGTGTTCGGGATTATGGTTTGGGGTTGCAATGTAGGGTGCTCTTTGGAGGTTCATTCGTGGTCGGTGAAGAAACAAGGAGGTCAAAGCTGTCAACTTCGCGCTTGAGAGCTTAGAGGGGCTATGAAACTTTCTCAGGGAGCGATACTAGTCTAACCATTGCCATACCAAGCCGGGAGGACGAGAGTTCGGTATAGAACTGTGTAGCACGTATAGTCGTTGAAAACTCAATTTTTTGGGCTGGTGCGGAGAATATTTTTCTACCTTAAATTTACATTACAGCCACTCGAATGACCTTTCAACAGGTTATCTAGCGTAGACGAGGTGTTGACTTGTTGAGACTATGTGAGGCACGGATTGCCGGTCTACATTGATAGACCATGTCTTGGTACGCTTGTACACCTGTACATCGATACACCACATCTTATAGCTAGAGATAATACTGAATACCATACAAGAAAAAAATCATTCTAAAAGTGTCCCATCCGACCAAGAACCTGACATTCTAGACCGGAGCTTTTTAATTGAACACTACAAGATTAGTTTAGCACCCTCACTAACCGCATTCAAAGTAGCGCGGTAGTCAAGATTCAGAGAGTAATATTATTGAGTACATACCCAAGTACCTACTTGCTCATGTTACTCTGTAGACCATGCTGGAATGTGAAGGTTTAAAGAGTGATACCCATTAACTTATCTTTTATTACATATCATATGACTCTAAAGCGTCATCTCGTATATTGACGTGTATCAAGCGAGGTGATGCAACGTACTTTAATACTTGAGATAGCGGTTTTTCTGAATTACAGTTACTGCATCATATCGGATATAGAAATAGAGTGATGTTCAACTAATCTTGTGGTGTTCAATTATTGCGCTCCTTCTAGACCCTAGCCTATATAGATGACCCTAGTAATCTATATCGCTTATCTGCCTTCCCCTAACATCTTCCGCGCAAACTCTGTCTGTACGCGATTAACAACGTCCTGATGCACCCCCTCTAGAATATCCATATGCACCGCCCCATCCTGGACATACAGCTCCTTGTCCACAGTCAACTCCACAAAGTACTTCCTCTGTGTCTCTGTCCCAACCACCGCATCCCGCTCCGCCAGAACAAAAAGCACCGAGCGCTTAAGATGTTTCCACATATGGCTCGGCTCCCAAAGGAGCATATGCCTATACGTGCCCACGGTTGTGCGGTTGACGTGGTTAGGCGCGAGCTCGGCACGCAACGGATCATTCTCATCTTGGGCACTTAGTAGTCTCATCGCGACCTCGCGCTCAAAGCCTAGATTAAACCCAGCTGGGTTCTCGCCAGTCTTTGTAAGCATGGGGACGTAGAAGGGCTCGTTGCCTTTTAGGCGAGACTCGCGATCCTGCGCGGCCTTGGCGAGGACGGATGATAGTTTGGGCAGGTCTTGCGTTGCACCTACGACGGGGCATACGGCGACTGTATAGCGGGCGCGTGGGTCGATGGCGCTTGTCACAAGGGCGATGCTGGCGCCTAGTGACATGCCCCAGAGGCCGACGCCTTGCGTCCGGTCAATGTTCGGGTGGGAGAGAAGGTAGGTCAGGGCGTCGGAGAGGTCGTCTACGGATTGGAAAGGGTTTATGTCGTTGCGTGGAGTACCGTCGCTGAGGCCCACACCGCGGGGGTCGTAGATTAGGGCTGTGATGCCGGCGCGTTGGAAGGATGCTGCGGTTGTTGGGAGGCCGAGCATCTCTTTTGTTGCGTTGAACTGGGACATCTTGTTAGTGGAGCAGGATATCAGGGTGTCTGATCGTACGTACGCCCGGTGTCATGATTATTCCTGGTCCTCGTTGCTCTGCTAAGAAGAGAAGGCCGCGAAGAACCGTGTTGTCGAGGGTGCGAAACTCGACGATCTCGTGGGCGGGCATGATTGAATGTGTGAGATGAGGAAATATAGATTGGAGAGGAGGAAGGGACAAGTTTTGCCCTATAGCCTAGCAATAGGCGAGCTTTTCACTCTAGGCTCTGATTTTTGTTGTACGTATTTGCAAATCTAACTTTTCAACTGGAAGTTTTGTATTGTAAGTTTCAATTCTCAATCGATGGTGGTACCATTCCTTCAGGTATAGCCATCTTGAGATAGCCATTATAAATGTGGACTGGTCACACGAACAAGTACCGTGAAAGGTCTAGTTTAGCTTTCTTTGACAAATGCATCTACGAGATAACACCGAGCCCCCCTTTCATGCCTCAAAACAAGGGCATGATAGGCGGGATCGGAAGATTTGAGGTAAGCTTACTCCATCCAGCTTCGCAGGTGGATGATGTCATGCAAAACTGATGCAACTACGAGATCCTTCTCATAAAGTACGCGTGGCTCAAGCGATCCTGCATGCAAGCAGCACGGTACGGGACGGCGCCGGGAGGCCTAGTTTCGGGAGGCGGGGGCCATGTGTGGAGTGCTCGGACACATGCCGAACCTTCTCATTTCTTGGCAATATAGATGGGACTAATGTAGCGTGACCATACCTGACAGCCTCACTGATGAGTCCCTGGTATACTCCGGACATAGGTCGATACGCTTTGCATTCCATAATTGTGGATTGCTCTACATGAGGTGAACACTCCTGAATCCTGTCTGGCCCCTGGAGTGCCAGGCATGCGAGACAAAATGATCTGACCAATATTCGGGCATACTACTATCATCGGGAATACACAAGGCTCCGAGGAGCAGAGGTGGCGTGATGCATCGTAATAGGGATATGTTCTTCCTTCAACCTAGTATGCTGGGTTGTTGGACGATGTGCCATCTGATTGGACACTCTTAAGTAGAGAAATGTAATGGTGGCTACATGCATTTTGATGACGGCCAAAGGGAGCATCGATATGGGCTGGCCGTGCTTTGCTATATATAACGTGAATATCGCAGGCATTATGGTTCCAGCCTACGCCTACTGACCTTCTAAAAAAGATTAGCAAGATGTCTGGATTCACAAACGGCAGCACGGATGGACATGTCGGAGTCAATGGAGCCGGTCACGCAAGCCATACCCCAGGCGAGGACGTTCATGGTTCATTGCACAACAGCAGCAGTCACTACATCCAAGAGCCTGTAGCTGTGGTAAGCATGGCCTGCAGGCTCCCCGACTCATGCCACACCCCACGAGCCTTCTGGCGGTTCCTCGAGGAGGGGCGAATTGCTATCAACACGCCTCCAGGAACTCGTTACTCACTAAGCACTCATTATGATGGCTCACTAAAGCCGCAAACCATGGCCTCCCCGGGAGGGATGTATCTTCAAGACGTCGACCCCCGCGATCTCGATGCCCAGTTTTTTCGGCTTTCGGGAATTGAGGCCACATCCATGGATCCACAGCAGCGCCAGTTGCTAGAAGTTGTCTATGAAGGTCTCGAAAATGCGGGCGTGACTTTGGAGCAACTCGACGGCGCGTCTGTAGGTTGTTTCGTCAGCTCGTTTGCCAGTGACTATGGCGACATGCAGGCGCGCGACCCGGAGAATCGTGCCCCGGCGACAGTTGTTGGAGTTGGTAGAGCTATGCTCAGCAATCGTCTTAGCCACTTCCTTAATATCAAAGGGCCAAGGTGAGTTGTGCTCATGGGTATGTCAATGGAGCAGTTGCTAATAAGTCTTCGCTAGTATGACAATCGACACTGCCTGCTCCGGGGCACTTATTGGGATAGACCTCGCCATGAGATACCTCCAATCCAGGGAGATATCCTCTGCAATTGTAGCAGGAGCCAATCTATACTGCAGCCCGGAGCATGTGATGGATCATTACATGGGTGCGAATGGTGCCGCGTCGCTGTCCGGGCGTTGCCACACGTTTGACTCCAAGGCAGACGGATATATCAAGGCTGAGGCAGTCAACATGGTGTATCTTAAGCGACTGAGCGATGCTATCAAGGACAAAGACCCTATTCGCGCGATCATTCGCGGAACTGCCACCAATAGTGACGGCTGGACGGCTGGTATCGCGAGTCCCAACCCCGAATCACAATCGGCTGCTATTCGCCAGGCTTATCAAAATGCTGGAATAAAGGACCTCTCACTGACGAGCTACGTTGAGTTCCATGGTACCGGGACAAGAGCGGGTGATTCTCTGGAGGCGAACGGTGTTGCAACTGTCTTTACACCGTTCCAAAAGCCTGACCGTCCCTTGCGGATTGGCTCAGTGAAAAGCAATATCGGCCACTCGGAGCCAGCTGCTGGCTTATCCGGACTACTGAAGACTGTGCTCAGCTTGGAGAAGGGGGTCATCCCTGGGAATCCTACATTCTTAGACCCTAGTCCGAAGATCGATTTTGAAGCACTCCGGTTATATACTTCAAGAACCGCCACTCTCTGGCCAAAGGTTGACTTGCGGCGAGCTAGCATCAATTCATTTGGATATGGAGGCTCAAATGCTCATATTATCGTCGACGAGGCTAGGGCCCTGGGTCATCATCACGTCTCTTCTTATATAAACGAAGAGATAGATGATATATTTGCCGAGGAATTAGCCACGCGGCCCCATATTTTGGTCTTTTCAGCAAACGACGAAAAGGCATTGGAGGCCCAGGCCACTGCATTAGATCGTCACCTATCGGATCCGGCCGTGAAGATCTCCCTTCGCGATCTTGCGTATACGTTGAGCGAACGAAGATCCCACCACTATCATCGCTCATTTGCGATCACAAGCAGCCCGTCTTTGGACCTACCCGCCTTGAGTCAAGGGCATATAACCGGCCAGAAACCCAGAGTTGGGTTCGTCCTAACTGGGCAAGGCGCCCAATGGCCCACGATGGGAAAGGAGCTTATTCAAACATTTCCCCTCGCAGCTCGCACTATCCAGCACTTGGATAGAGTACTACAAGAAGCTCATGATCCACCTTCATGGGCTCTCTATGCGCAATTGACTGCCGATGATGCCCAAATTCAGCGTCCGGAACTATCTCAGCCGCTTGTCACGGCACTTCAATTGGCTCTTCTGGCTGTATTCAAGGCTTCCGGTGTAGTGCCCCAAGCGGTAGTTGGGCATTCCTCTGGAGAAATTGCCGCAGCTGTCGCTGCAGGCTACCTCTCCCCTGAACAGGCCATTCTGATAGCTTACTATCGGGGCAAGGCGACTTCTGAAGCTGTCTACGAAGTCCCCGTCGGAATGATGGCTGTCGGTTTAGGGCCTGACCAGGTCCTTCCGTACTTGGAAGACACAACTGTAGAGGTTGCTTGCGTCAATAGCCCACAGAGTGTCACCCTCTCTGGAACGAAATCGGAGCTTGTCGCCATCGAAGAACGAGTCAAGGATGCTGGGTACTTTGCAAGACTTCTTCGCGTGGATGCGGCATATCATTCTCGCCACATGAAAACCGTCGCTGGGTGTTATGAGGAACTGCTGAAGCAGCACATCGAGTGGCCAGATCACAATAGGGATGAGAAAACAATCATGGTGTCATCAACCACAGGTGCAACCCTTACAAAGCCACCGGGGCCTGCTTACTGGGTAGCCAACATGGTATCACCTGTGCTGTTCAGCCAAGCCGCACAGGAGCTAGTAGCAGGGGCAGAGGCCATGGATTACCTTCTCGAAATTGGGCCAAGTGACGCACTATCAGGGCCAATCAACCAGATCAAGAAGGCCGCCTCTTCCTCAGTCGAGTATGGCTCGGCCTGGAAGCGCGGGGCTATCGCTGTCTCGACCCTGCTCCATGCAGCCGGAACTCTGTTCACCATGGGCTACCCCATTTCTCTGATGGCTTTCAATGACGACGCTGCCGATACCACCCCTGTGTTTGTATCAGATCTCCCCAACTACCAGTGGAACCACACAGTCAAGTACTGGCATGAGAGTGAATCTAGTCTCGACTGGCGCTACCGCAAATTCCCTTATCATGATCTGCTTGGTAGCAAAATCCTCGGTAGCCCATGGACCCATCCAGTATGGAAGAACGTGCTGCGGCTCAGTGACACCACCTGGTTACGAGACCATACCCTTGGGGACAGCGTTATCTTCCCCGCGGCAGGCTACATTGCAATGGCGATCGAAGCGATCTACCAGAAAAAGTATGCGACAGGACAGGTCCCAGAGGGTACTCTTATCTCAGAACTTCCCTTCAAGTTGCGAAATGTGACATTTCCAAGAATGCTCACACTAGACACTAACGGCGGAACCAAGATCCTGTTGTCTCTGCAGCCGTGCTCCAGCACAAAGGAGTCATGGCACGAGTTCATTATCTCCACAATCGCAAAAGATGGCTCAATTGAAGAACACTGCAGGGGTGTTGTGAGCGTTGGTGACCAGAGCATTCCCCCGCCACCCGTCAGTGCCTCCGACATTTCACCTCTGCAACACCCCGTCCCAGGCGCAGTATGGTACAAGGCCATGCGTCATGTCGGCTACCACTTCGGTCCTGCATTTCAGCCCTGCCAGCAAGTCGAAGCCAAGGCAGACTCGCGTCACTGCCGCGCTATGGTGCGACTTCAAGCCCCCGAGTCTCGGTATCCGCAGAGCCATTATGCAATGCACCCCGCTGCTATTGATGGCTGCTTACAGATTGCCACTGTCGCCCTGAACCGTGGTCACCATTCTGCAATCAACACCCTCATGCCCCCTGCCATCATTGATAACCTGGTCATTTTCCCGCACAATGTTGCTTCCAGCGGTGAGGCTATCGTAGCTTCCGAGGCCGTATGGAGCGGCGTTGGTCGCCCAGACGACAACAAACGCTACGTCAGTGATATCCGCTCAATTTCCCAGGAAAGCAATGAGCTCGTACTCCACCTTGAGGGTTTAAGATACCACGCTATCAATGCAAGCGCCGAACGACCCCATGCTTTCACGCAGGTTGTCTGGAACCCAGACATTGACTTCATCACATCCGCTCAGACGGCGCATATCTTACAGACGGCTGTCTCCTCAGGCAACGGCAATGGCGAGGTTTCCGCAGCCTTGACACAGATGGCCAAGCTACTGGCACTCATCGCGCACAAACGCCCGTCGTCAAAGGTTATTGAGGTGGCGCTACGCGACGGCCCCATGGCTGGCGAGTCTTTGTATCTCGACCACATTCGCGCCAGAGCAGGTCCTATTGCCCTAGGATGTAGCTATCGCTTCTTGGCGCCGTCCCAGCAGGCCGGACTTGTAGCGCATGAGAAATACGCTGTTGAACCAGGTGTTGCCGTGCAGGTGGTGGATGCGGAACACAGGCCTTTTGATGACATTGAAGAAAAGTACGATTTCATTGTTCTGAAGGTCTATGAAGGGGAGCGGGAGCTTGAAGAAACCATTCGGCTCACACGAGATGCCCTGACAGTGAACGGATATTTGGTTGTGGTGAGGGCAGCTGGGCTCCCCTTCATGAATGGTATGTACTATCCTCTCAAGGCTTCCCAAGCTATCTCGTTGACGAAGAGATCTAACCATTGTCAGGTGACACTTCCAGCTCGACCGGTCTAGACACCGTTCATGATATCCATATATCCCGGGACGGGATCCTCAATCTGCTCTACGTTGGAGCTCTGAGGGAGGAAAAGGCGAGCACCCCCCTTACAGAAGCAAAGAAAGTACACTTATTGCAATTTGACACTTCACTCCCCTCTGCCGAAGTGATTCAGGATGAGCTGGCCCAGAAGGGATGGGATACGTCGCAGCACAGTCTACCATTTGACGAGGTTCCACCGAACAGCACGGTTTTGATCATAGATGAGGTGTATCAACCAATCCTCTCTGCCTTAGCAGACGAACAATTTACCGCCTTGCGAGGTCTTCTAGAGCAGCAATGTCGCGTACTATGGGTCACTAGGGGGTGAGTTGCCATAGACACGGTGGGGGGGGGTTTCAAACTTGCTAACAATAGACAGGTCTCAAATGAGGGTTACCCATCCAGAGCAAGGTCTCATGTTCGGAGTTGCGCGATCGCTTCGAGCAGAGTACCCATCCAACCTTATCATGTGTCTAGACATAGAGTCTACGACCAGTGCCGGCAGCTTGGAAGCGATTGACACAGCTCTTCGTCATATCACATCTGCAACGAGCTTCCAGGAAACTGACAGTGAGTTTGTGGAGCGGGATGGGATGTACCATGTGAGTCGGGTTGTTGCAGATGACGTGTTGAATCAGGCACAAAAGGAAAGCGAGGAAGGAGAAGGAGGAGCATCTATTCGCGAGGGCATAATCCATGACCACAAGTCCCTCATTCGGTTAATCAGCGAGAGGCCTGGTACATTGGATACATTGGTGTACAGGGAAATTTGTCAACAGCTGAATCTTGCAGACGATGAGGTTGAGATCGAGGTTCATGCGGCAGGAATGAACTTCAAGGATTTGGCCAACGCGATGGGATTCGTACCGGCCAATGAGCATCTATTCGGCTTAGAGTGCACAGGAGTCGTCACTCAGATCGGCGATGCTGTAAGAACAGTCAAACCGGGAGATCGGGTGCTTATGGTCCGGCGAGATGGGGGCTGTTTCGCCAATCGCGTGAGAAACCGCTGGCATGCTGTCCACCTTTTGCCCGACTGGGTCTCATTCGAAGCTGGTACAACCCTTGGAATTGCGATTCACACAGCCGTCTATGGCCTTGTGACACTGGCCAACCTTCAAAAGGGACAGTCCGTCCTAATTCATTCTGCGTCTGGCGGTGTCGGCCTAGCGGCTATTGAGCTGTGCCACTATCTTGGTGCAGAAGTCTACGTGACCGTGGGCACGGATGCAAAGCGAGATTTCCTGGCCGGGCAGTATGGGGTGTCGCGAGACCGCATGTTCTCTTCACGCAGCACAGCCTTTGCCAAAGAACTTATGCAGGTTACCAATGGACGCGGCGTCGACATCTGTCTCAATTCCCTGACTGGAGACATGCTGCATGAGAGTTGGAGATGTATTGCCGAGAACGGCACTCTCGTCGAGATTGGGAAGAAGGACATGCTCGACCGGAATAGTCTGTCCATGGAGCCTTTTGACCGTAACTGCTCCTACCGCGCGCTTGATCTTTCGCGAAAGAGCATCAGCGATGAGACCACCTACCAAACCGGAGTCTACATCATGGATCTAGTGAGGCAGCGGCATATCAAACCATTGCACATCGGTGCGACTTTCTCATTTACAGAGACTGTGGACGCGTTTAGGTACATGCAGCGCGGGAAGCACATCGGCAAGGTGGTTCTCTCCTTCGAGGACAGCAAGACCGTGCCTCTACCCTTCCGACCAGCGGGGCCTGTTTTCCGCCTACGTGATGACGGTTCTTACCTTATAGCGGGTGGTCTGAAAGGTCTCTGCGGAAGCATTGCTGTCTACCTTGCTCGGAATGGGGCTAAGAATATTGTTGTCATCTGTCGCAGTGGGTACGAGGACGCGCGATCCCAAAAAATCATATATGACTGCCAGTGCCTGGGATGCCATGTCGACCAGGTAACGGGTGACATCACATCCCTTGACGACGTCCGCCACGCCTTTACCACTGCCTCCATGCCCGTCATCGGTGTAATCCAAGGCGCAATGGTCCTGCGCGACCGCATGTTCTCAACCATGACACCCGACGAGTTCCGGCAGCCCATTGCACCCAAAGTCGCCGGCACTTGGAACTTGCATCAGGCGTCACTCGAGCAGCCAACATGCCTAGATTTCTTCACCTTGCTCTCAAGTGTCAGTGGTCTTGTAGGACAGCTTGGACAGGCCAACTATGCTGCGGGTAACACCTTCCTTGACTCCTTTGCTGCATACCGGCTCCAGCAGGGCCTTCCAGCCTGCTCAATCAACCTCGGTCCAATCGAAGAAGTTGGATATCTAGCCAACGACGACCAGGGCGCGATGCTCAATCGCGTCTTCGAAACCCGCGGCTGGACACCCATACATGAGGCCCTGCTACATCAAATCCTGCGCATCAGTATCCTCCAGCAAACGCATGATCTGAATCCATCGCATACCGGCCAACTAGTCACAGCAATTATGCCTGGGAATACCCCTTTCGAGCCCGTCCATCGGTTCAGCGCTCTAGCCGGTAACAATACAACTAAGACGGGCGGTGACATCAATGCCGAATCCAAATCTAAGCTGTTGCTCCTTAAGAAGGGCTCGAGCGATACGGACCATGCTATTTTGCTTGCTGCCGCCGTGGAGTTGGTGAATCCGGTTTTGATGCGCAGTTTGGGAATTGGGGAGCCTTTAGACCCTACGCGTCCACTGAGCAATTACGGAGTCGACTCTTTGGTTGCAGTTGAGCTGAAAAATTGGATTCGTCAGCAATTGGAGATTGAAGTTAGTGCGTTGGAGATTGTAGGTGCTAGGACTTTGACTGCGTTGTGTGAGACACTTTTGGATAAATTGGTTCGGTAGTTGCGCTTTGATATAGGCTAAAGGGCAATGTCATGAGGTCACTTCTACACGTGGACCTGATATCCTTCATTCACTGAATCACTGTTTTCCTAGCTATGCAGCCTTAGGTGCTCATGAATACAATTAAGAGGCTCCTTTAATATTATTTAGACAACATCTTCATCTAAGAATGGTGGATTAGGCTAACGTTTAGAATTAAAGATCCATTCATCTTTCTATACTGCCTAAGCATTATCCCATGATTCCCATCAAAGAAAGGTATCTACATTTATCCTAAACCTTGGAAATTTGAAGTTCCATCTATAATAATCATAGGATTATCATGCTAATCTCAAAATAATAGCTTCCTTCTCCTACATACTCTCACTTTGGTCGGTTTTATTCAAGAAACATTGTACGCCAGTCCCTGGTAGAGCCACTATGCAAGTATATCAAAACGAAATGCACGTGAGCGGGGAATACCGTGCTCTGTACATTGCTACACGTGACCGGCTTCCCACCCGAAAGCCGTGATCAACGGACCGCTCCGTGGTTACAACAATACAATACCGTCGGCCCCACACCGTGAACAACTGTATCTCGTCCAACCTTTACAGTAAATGATCGCATGATCAAGCAATGGAGATAAGGTACATTAGATCGAGAGGTCTATCTGTAGGACATATAATTGTCATAACCGAGAGCACCCAGATTGCCGAACACTGATTTGAATACATACTCCATCATGGCTGCTGCAGTTGCTTCCCTATTCGGATACAAATCCTCCCCAGAAATCAAGAAACCTCAAAACACTTCCAATGGTACATTTAAAGCTCTTCCAGCTTCTTGGTACAGCTCACCAGAGCTGTACGAGCTGGAACGAAGGGCAATCTTCTCCAAGAAATGGATCCTGACCACCCACAAATTACGCTTCACCAAAGCCGGCGACTTCCTGAAGATCGAAGAAGCAGGATTTTCCTTCGTATTGACCCTCGACCGAGAAGGCAAACTGAACGGCTTCCACAACATTTGCCGACACCGAGCATTTCCCCTCATCTCAGAAAGTGAGGGCAATGCAAGAATTCTCTCTTGCAAATACCACGGCTGGTCCTACGGTCTGAACGGAAAGCTTGCCAAAGCACCGAAATTCGATGAGGTCCCAGATTTCGATAAGCAGAGTCAGAGCCTATTCCCAGTGCATGTGCATGAGGACAAATTGGGCTTTATCTGGGTCAATCTGGACGCATCTCCAAATCCAATTCCTTGGGAAGAAGACTTCAAAGGAGTGGATGAGCAAGAACGTTTCCAGAAATATGATTTCAGTCAGTACAAGTTTGATCATACTTGGCAGATGAATGGCAACTATAACTGGAAAACGTTGGCTGATAATTACAATGAATGTTATCATTGTACTGTTGCCCATCCTGACGTGGCCAATCTGGCTGATCTTTCATACTATTATACCATCTCAACACCGGGACATATTCAGCATTTCTCCCGACCGCAAGAAGGCAAAGTGTCAGAAGATATCCAGAATGCCAGCACTTATTATTTTCCCAATGCGTGCATGACTGTCTCGTGAGTTTTTCTAACCCGTTGTTCGATGATACCCATTTACTAACAATCTCAGGCCACACTTCTTTTATATGATGCGATGCGTCCCCACATCTGCTGGAACCTGCTCGATGGAATATGAAGTTTATCGACACAAGGAAGCCTCGGATGAGGACTTTGAGCACATCGATTCATTCTTTAAGCGTGTTCTGGACGAGGATAAGCATCTTTGCAATGCGGCCCAAAAGAACTTGAATGCTGGAGTGTTTGTCAATGGTCAGCTGCATCCTCGTCTTGAGAGTGCACCTCTATATTTCCAGAACACGGTCAGAGCTCTTCTCACTTCTCACAGAGATGAGGAGAGGAGTGAGAAGCGGGAGATTTGGCCAGCACGACAGCATTCAGCGGGACAGGCTACCGCGGAGGACATTGCCTTTTGTGCCGGGTTATCATGCTCTGGTGAAGGGAATGGACAATTAGAATGGTAGGCTTAAGTGATTGTGGATTTTAGTTTATTAGCGATATATTGTGAATTTTGGATTGGTTGTTCTCCAAGAATATGAATATTAGAAGGATATGTTTCTGTGATACAGTAAATACGGTGTCATAGTTAAAGTTGAACCGAATTAGGCAGTGTTTCCCCGTCCACGGGTGTTATCGCGGCCCACGGGTCATGATCCGATAACCCCGCCGCTCATTAAAGAACACCCTGGACATGACATACTTCCTTCTCTGTTTATCAGTTCATTGTTCCCATACCCCCCAATGAATCGAGTCCACAAACGATCTCATCAGGCTTGTGAAAACTGTAGGTGAGTTCGTTCTACTCCGGTGATTAAAGAATCCCTTACTGACTATCGGAAGGCGCAAAAAGACGCGATGTCCAGGGGAGCGGCCCGCTTGCTCCACCTGTACACGTTTGCAGCAGACATGTCAATATAGCAGACATTATGAATTGCCGGAGAGATCTGGCGATCGGGTTTTGGTGGGTCCTGCCCACCGACATGGAGACCGAACTGGCTAATTCCAGAATAGGAAGAGAGGCTACTACAGCTTGAAGAGAAAATGGAACTGATGCTGGAAGGTCCAATGTGCGATTCGTTGACATTTCTAAGCCGCGAATAGGAGTGCTGATGACGATAGCTCAACCCGCCAAGTTGGAATTCCCCGCTCGAGTCCAGATGAGCTTCCTAGTCGCGAAAATACTTCAGAGTCAAATGAAGTACATGAGACAATAACACAGCGACGCATCTCCAGTGAAATAGCTCCTCAAATTGCGAACCCGTTGCCCTTTTCGATGCCTCCCAAGGGTATTGTGGCGGAGGGCATCTCTCTTTACTTCAAATACTGTCACAAACAACCTTTGTGGCTTTTTGATCCTGATGAGCTGTCAATTCCGGAAGCCTGCCGCAGTGAGGTGATATTCGGCACCCTCAGTCTCGCTTTGCGATACTCAAATAATCCTTTTCTGGAGGGGCGAACTGATCAAATGTGTCGACATTACGCTGAAGCTGCGCGCAGCTATGTCATGTTTCGAATTGCTCAGGGCACTGTGGATTTATCAACTATCAAGAGTTTGTGCCTTATCACTCTGGCCGAATATATTGGTAAGATCCTCTTCCAGGTATACGATGCCATATCTAATGTACTCTAGCAAATGATACTCATCTCGTTTGGCTTCATATCGGTCTTGCTGCAAACCTCGCTCAGTGCGCCGGTATTGACATCGAAATGCATGAGGGCGAGCTAGATCCTATACTAGAAGCACAGAGAAGGGTATTTTGGAGCATCCATCTTCTCAAGCAGCACTACGCTCCGCACAGTATGCAACTGAATATGCTGCGAGATATTCATAGCCCAAAATACATGGCTGTCAACATTGACTCACCCCGAGAAATGGGTATGAAGCCACCACAAACACCCCAGGAAAATGGCGCCTTCACATCTCGAGGAGATATTTGGGTTTATATGGTGCAGCTGGCTACTCTTTGGAGTGAAGTTCAACAATACGTTTCGCATTGTGCTAGTGGATACTCCACACCTCCGTGGTCGGTAGAGTCTGGCTATTCCATCATTGGGGCCCATCTGATGGATATGGAGACCAAATTACCCACTTGCCATCGATATGACTCGGTGAGATTTCAAGATAAATCGCGAGAAGAATTACATCGTGACCGAGGGTTCTGGAGCCCCTGGCTTTATCTCCAGTTCACCTATCACGCCGTGCACAGTGTGCTCAATCACCCATTCCTGTACTCATGGCGTCCGCAGCAATCTTCTCAACTGGCTGTGCCGAACACATTTTGGAAGACGTCCTCTGAATTGGCTTTGATACACACGACATGGACCGTTCGGTTAATCACTATGATCATCGAAAAGGACTACGAAGTTTCCGATCCTTTTCTTTGCCACGCAGTGGCTATTGCAGCTACAATTCATCTCTATTATTGCTGTGCGGCAGATCCAGCCATGAGAGATTCCGCCCAACGAAAGCTAGAGACCTGCACACAGTTTCTAAGTGATCTGGCTTCAAAATGGCCCAGATGCCAGGCATTAGTAAGTCACCAAACACGGAAATCCATCATCTACTAACTGCATCTAGCATCAAAAAGTTCAAGATCTCGTTCAATCAGCCTTCGCTGTCAGCCCCCGTTCAAGCAACCACCCCCAAACTCGGCGAACGTTATCTATAGATACAGCCTTAATGTGGGACATCCTCTGTCACAGCTCCAGCAAAGCAGCATTCGCTCCTCCAGGAGATGGTCTCTTCGATGCCTCATTTACACCCCCTCCATCCAAAAATCCAGACAAGGTGACAGTCGAAACTGAAATCTTCCATCACTCTGCCAGGGCAGTGGATACATCTAATGGAGGTCAAGCGTTGCCACCATACTCAAGCACAATGCGCGATCGAGCAGCTTCCGAGAACTCTGATACTGAGACTTGGACTCGGAGTAACATGATTACCGTTGATAACGGCACAAATCACCCACTTCGAGAGCCAATGGGATGGTCCGGACCAGGGATCCCGGCTGATATGTCTTTTATGGACATTTCACATGATCCTTTCTTTCAGTTTCAAGACAGCGAGAATCCTTATCAGGGTGTTTGGGAAGTGGGAAATTTGTAGGATTACTGGTTTGATATGGCTAGATTATTTGATTGGCTCTTTGATATACATCAAGTTGAGGTGTAATGGTGTGCGAATTATTGTATCACGCGAGCTCTTTCCCCTCTTGCATACGGAGACGGAGACCGTCGGTACCGCCCGTGGTTACCGGGACGGTCCGACACCGATAAATAGCAGCAACGTCAGAGAAGTTGAGCTGCTTGTTTACCAATTGTATTCACTACCTGTAAGCCCCCTATGTAACAAGATAAACACATCACCAATACAAATCTAGATTGTCTTCTTTCCACGTGTCTCAAAGGGAAATATGATGGCAATAATACCACCCATCCCCAGCATAGCAGCACAAACATAGATCGGGACAGAGGAGGCCGTTGAAGTAAATGCACCAATGAGCGCAGAGACCGTACCCATCAACCGGTTAAGAGAAACCGCAATACCGTTTCCAGTACCACGATGCGCAGAGGGCAGGACCTCAACAGTATACGCGTACAGAGTCGCATAATAGATATTGATTGAAACGGAGATGGCACATGAAAAGCCCAAGTTCTGTGCCCCTGTTTTCACCGCTGTATATCCAAAGAAGAAGATCACTAGAGCCTGTCAGCCAGAACATTGCCTAAACAGCGTCATATCACTTACTAGTAAGGAAGGCCCCAATAACCATAGTTCTCTTTCGTCCAAAGATAGGCATTTCACACATATAACCTGCAATGATAGGACCCGGTATAGCGCACAGATTGGTAATAGCATAATTTCGCCACGTAATGTAAGTCGAGTCAGATCCAGTGGATGCACCCCGAGATGCGAGATATTCTGGTAGGTAGACGTAGTACAATGCATAGCCCAGTCCGATTAGAGCCCAGGAAACCCAAACCAGACTTGTCGAGAAAGCTAGGGTTTTTGTGACGAACAGACCTTTCACATGAACGGCTAGCTCAGAGAACGACGCCCTATTCTTGGCGTGTGAGCTGTGGATTTGGCCGTGGGCTTGCAGCTGTTCTAGTGTAAGGTGACAAGCTCGATTGTGTTTCTGAGCGAGATCCTGAAGTGTTTTCACGACATCTTCATCTCGGCCTTGGCATAGGAGGAATTTCGGCGTCTCGTGGAAACGGATGACGAGGACTCGGGCGATACTCATGATGAAAACAAGTGCTCCGCTGGTGTAGAAAACGTATCTCCAGCCCATGTTATTTGCGTTGGTGCATGGGACAGATCCGTCAGTGGGACAGCTATAATTGGCTTTTTTGTGTTAGCAACCCCCTTGAAATATCAGTCACACCGTTGGACGAGAGTAATTACCCATGAAGCCCCAGCCAATAAGACCAGCCACCGTTTGACCAACTCCCCACCACCCAGCCAGCAAGGTAAGAAGCCACTGCTTGTTCGATGGGAGATACTCCAAGAAAACTGTTGTATCGAGCACCAGATTTCCGCCTGAGCCAAAGGCCGAAAGTGCGACCATGATTGCCCATGCTGGGTAGTTGGGAGCAGCACCGGCAGTGATAGCAAAGATAGCACTGAATAGCAGGGAAAAATTGAAAGCCCACTTTCGGCCAATGATATCTGCGGTACTACCCCAAAATAGAGCTCCTGCTAGTAAGGCCAGATAGAAGCCTACTTGTGCTCCTCTTGTGAAACTCGGAGGGTACTGTGCTACGACTTGGTCCGCGGATATGCTCATGAGGAAGAGAAGTAAGGAGTCGACAGCGTAGCTATAGGTTTTGAATGATTAGTGGCGGGAATTGGAATTGGTGTTGGGTGATGTTACGTACCCGAATCCATTGAGGAAAAACAACTTAGTGTGGTATGTGGTGAATCCGATTGTATCGATTGCCTGCACAGGTAAGAATCATGTCAATTGACCTGGGGCCATGGAAGAATCGAGACACACATCGTTCACAAGATTCATCTTTGAATTCAAGGCTTGGTCAACTCCATCGAGGGCCATGAGGTCTCCAAGGCCAATTTGGGTAGACCCCGAGTCCATGATCGATTTACTCGGCTCGGCGTCATATTGTTGTACATCTCCAACAACTTCATCAGCTTTGTTGGCCATAGCGTTCCAATTGACTTTCAAATGTGGCTGTTCTGTTTAGGGCCTTCAATCGCAAGAAATAAAGGATTATCAATGTGGTCATGAGGTCAGTTTAGAAGCCCGGCAAAGGCAGGCTTTTATACCTTCTGTCTGGGCTATGACGCCCCCAACTCTGGACTAGCGAATCCCATACTGTGTTTGTTTTGTAATCGCCCGGCTTGCAATGGCTATCTCCTCTCCAATGCCCCAGGAGAGGCAAGATACCGAGCAATCTCTCCACATAGCAATTGCAATTGGCTAGTTAGCAATGCTATCTGAGACCGTTCCAAGTGAGGAGAAGTCAAGTATGCGGGCACGAATCAGAAGGAGGCTCCTGTGGAGAATGTTATCAGGCTTGATAGAATATCTCGATTGTCAGGGGAAACCTGGAAAGTGAACTATATCTGATCTGGCTCGTATTGATTCACCGCTCACATGAGCGGGGATTCGGTCCGCGTATGAACCCCAGATTCCCCGGACTTGAACCAATCAACAGGGCAGTATTTGAGTCCCCACTTTCGGGGCTAAGAATAAAAATCTATGTCAGAGATGGTTGAACACTAGTCCCTTTTCTTTGGATTATGCAATCTATCATTAGCTAATCACCTTCACATCAGATAACTTAACTAGTACTAGGTATAGCCACCATATGCATAATCAGTGTGGGTGAGTACATGTATGAAGCTAGAACAGTCTACTTCCGCTTGCATGCACGCCTTACCCTACTTGGTTGGGGCAGTAAGACTTCTCTGCGAGCTAACCTAAAGTCCGTTCTCATCATCACCATCCTCTCTTCACGATTCCCACTTAGAGACTTCCCCTTTTGCTTAGGCATTCTTATTACTTTTCACTTAAACAGCTCAAATTCTTGACATCATGCCTAAGTAAAGAGGTAACGTAGCTTCTGGAAGAAGCTCCGGAAGAGGTCAACCAAAGCAGCTACGTCGGGCCTGAATTAATTTGGCCGAAAACGCCAGAGAGTCGAGAGAGTGGGGGAGCATGGAGGAGAAACAGAACGGAGGGTGGGTGGGCTTCAACCCATCAACGCTATTTAAGAGGACTTGCCTAAGATTCTAGACTTAGACAGACTTGAAGGATAACAGTGAGAGATTATCCTTGTAATACAGATATTTTGATAATACAATGACACACAAAGTGCTAATCATACAGGCAGCGAAGCACACGAGAAGGCAGTCACACAAACAGCGAAGCACTCAAAAAGCTGGATAATCGAGGCTATGTCATTCAGTTCTTTACTCATCGCATTGGTAAGAGAAATCGTTCGAAGAGAGTGCGCTTGCAAGCCTCTCTGCCTCCTCAATCTCTCCATTTTCCACCAACTCCACGACACGGTCGAATGTTGTCTCCAGCTTTTCCTCCCTGGGGGCGACTTTACCTGACAGGTGGGCGTAGCCAATAGTGTTTAACACACGGAGAATAGATGGGTGTGCAGCAGACCCTAGATTATGAGTCATTTTAGCTATAGTTCCCTTTGGTTTAGTAGATATAACTCACGGAATTCTTGGAGCTTCTCAGCACTTAGGCCATAGATTCGTTGAAAGAGGCGTCGCTCTTCTGGACAGTCATCTCGTCGTGACAGGAACATAGAAGCATCTAGCAGAGCGTCATCACCATGAAAATCTGATGAATTCAAGATGCAGATGCGTTTTCTGTGTGTTCTGTTGAACCCGGCAACATGATCACGTAAAAACGTGCTGATATTCATCACTGACTCTCGGACTTCACTAAGCTCTATCTTAACGTCGTGAAGCTCTCTCTTTACATCGTGAAGCTCTATCTTGACGTCGTGAAGCTCTCTCTTTACATCGTGAAGCTCTTGGCGAAGGTCCCTGATTTCTTCTTTCATCTGTTCCAGCGACTCGAAAAGAGATGCGCCATGTTCGTTGGCCATGATTCGATGATTGCGAACGGTGCGATGTGTGGCTTGATTTGCTTCAGCGGCGATATTGGCTCTCTGATCATAAATCGTGTTCTCGTTGGACATGATTCCCGAGACAAAAGGTCTTGCGGGTGCTGCTGCTATGCGAGGGCCGGTTAAGTCATACGTAAACATGATGCGTACTGACCTGAGAAACTTGCCAGCGCAACTCCGTGATCTCCGACCTATAAATTGTCTTCGGTTTAATGATTTGCCATTTTTTCTACCGCTCAATTTCTCACTCTTTGTCGCTTCGGTTCTTCAACTCTTGACTTCATATCGACACATGCACCAATGCATAACCTTCACATTAGAAAACTAGTATTGAGCACACCCACCGCATGCATAATCAGCAAGGGTCAGTACTTGGATCATTCCAGATTGCAAATAATGTACTATATGATTTTACATCTCTCGATTTAATCTACCTAATTTGATAAAGATCAGACGTTATGTCTGTCATGTTGACACTAAGAGTCACAATAACGCTGAAAATGTTAAACATCAAAGGAAATCACATCATCGTGCTTAGTTCCCGTCAATATACAAGATAACGCTTCATAAGAGCCATTATATAGGTAGGAAAAGGTGGCTTAGTGTGTATCACTCTTTGATCACCTTTACATTCCAGCGTATCCTATACAGTAGCGTATATTAGTCGGTACCTGGGTATGTACTCAATAATATCACTCTCTGAATACTGAACACTGTGCTAATTTGCATGCGTGTAGTGAGGTTTCAACTAATTTTGTGGTGTTCAATTGGAAAGCTCCTAAATGACAACGTCACTTTCCAGTCGGGTGATTAAATGGATCCACCATACCAATCTTGACTAGAGACAATTTACTATCACCTTGGAGCTGTGCCATAAATATAATGACCACCTATCAGCGCGATATTTTAGATTCTCTTATAAAATGTCGTACTACTAAAAGGCTCGCACCAGTTGACCTCAGAATCATAGTCGCTGGGCACGAGCCATGAAAGCCGTCTTAGAAAATGTCTTCTCATCCTTGACGAATACCAACGGTTGGGCGAGGACCTTATACTCGACACCACCAAGCCCAGCTCCCTGGAATAGCTCCCGCATGCTCTCCTGAGAAAATCCGTGGGACTTGACCGTGTGAGCAGCGTTACCAAACTCACGCTGACGTTCGCCATGGTCATGATTATGGCTATGGCTATGACCATGACCAGAATCTGCAACTAGATCGATAATAAAGCACACCCCACCTTTCTTCAACCGCGCGCCCAATTGCTTCAAAGCACGGTCCGGCTGCTCAAAGTGGTGCAGTGCCATGCTGACCGTCAACATATCCAAGTCCATGTATGGCGCTACAGCAAACTCGACCGGGACATCGTCAGCCAGAAGATCAGCTGTGCGGCCGATTGCTTTGTCTGCAAGTCCGAGAAGATTGGCATTGCGGTTGAATTCTGCCACCATGTTATCGGAGACGTCGATGCCGATGACTTGGGTTAAGAAGGGAGCCAAGGTCTGTTGACAGTCAGTTCTTTTGGTCAAGGGTCATAGTTGGTTTTAGCTTACATACCATTGAAATGTTCCCAGGGCCACAAGCGTACTCGAGCATCCTGATCTCTTGGTTTTGGGCGACGGTATCGGTCCATAGATCACTGATCCAAAGTCTGTTCGCCAAAGTTTGCTCGGAAAGCATTTTCATCGAATCCGCAAATTTATCTTGGTAGGTTGTTGCCAACTGACTGTGCGACTTTCAGTGTTCTGTCAACTTTATTTTAGATGCTGGTTGTCTTACTCAAAGTAATTCCGATTTGCCTCTGTAAATTCGGTCATGGTGGAGATGGTGATCTCGCTCCAGGAAATAAGTGCAAAATAAAGAGAAAATGCGAATATTTGTAGGGAAAGAGTAGAAATAATTTTGGCAACTTTGGAGTCTGGAATTGAGATGATATTCTAGGATGTAGCTGTTCTGGTTCACGGTTTGAACCGCACTATATATATGCGTTAGTATGGACACTCGGAGACTTTTCGGACACTTCCAAGGTTCTTGCGCCAGAAGAGTCATCCCCCACCACTCGTTCACCTATGCAAGCTCGGAGATATATTTGGATAAACTTTCAGGGAATGTTTCCGAGTTCTTAGTGGATATTATCATCCAGACCAGTGTACCTGTGAGCTTCCAATGTTCTTGCAAGGTTCCAGAAGCTTTGCCATGGTGATCACGAGACAATTCATCGTTGAAGATTTGGAGGCTGAAAATAATTAAAAGGCCGCAGTAGTGATAATGTCTAATTAGAGATTATATTGGCAACTATATTTGATCTTAATATGAAAATAGGTTCATCCATCTTATCAACGCAGCTCTACACGTAGTCAAGCTCCTCACCGCCCGAAGCTGCGGCCAAAAAGACATCATCAACAGCTTCCGCTGTCCGCCCCATCCATCCAACATCCCTCCACCAACTTCACGACCTCCTCCTACCCTACTGTGGTGTTATCCTCTCATCACAGCCTACGAATCTACACCATCGAACCCTCCCACATCTCCTGCCATGGAGTCCAAGATCCCCGACTTCCTTGCCGAACAGCAAGCAAATGGCACCCCCGAGACGCAAACCTACTTTCTGACCTTCGAAGAGTACTGGGAGCGAAAGCTATGGCATCAACTCACAGATTCTCTGGTGGAGTTTTTCCGCCTCCCAGAGAGCGCGCCCCAGCGCTTAGCCATCTTCAAGACCTTTGTGCTCAGCTTCGCCGACCGCATCAACCAACTCAAGTTCGTCGCGCTGGGTTTGATGGCATCGACAGAATGTGCTGGTAAGTGTTCTGAAAGCAAGCTATCATGTCTGGTGCTTTCTGTTTGCTGTTGGACGAATTGCTTACTCTGGGACGATAGATGACAAGGAACGACTGTCTTTCCTCACATCCCTCGCGGACAAGGTTGACAAGCCCGAATCACAAGACGCTTATGTCTATGCGCTCGCCGATGTCGCCAATGCCAAGCTACGACTACCAGACCTTGATGGGGCCCAGAAGGATTTGGCATCTTGCCAAAAGGTGCTGGATTCGTTTGATTCAGTTGAGACTGTTGTGCATGCGTCATTCTACAAAGTTAACGCCGACTATTATCACGTACGTCTCTTTCTGGACACTTTAGATCCAAAGTCGAAGAAAGCATAAGAATCTCATACTAACATCATTCTTCCACAGCACAAGGAGGAATTCGCCTCTTTCTACAAGAACGCCCTCCTCTACCTTGCCTGCATTGACTTGGAAGAACTTCCCGAAACCGAGCGTGTCTCCCGCGCCTACAACCTCAGCGTCGCAGCTCTCGTCTCAGACTCAATCTACAACTTCGGCGAGCTCCTCTTGCACCCCATCCTGGATTCTCTGACCAACACACCACACAACTGGCTACGTGATCTTCTCTTCGCCTTCAACCGCGGAGATTTGACTGCCTACGACGTGCTGGCGGGTAACATTAGCAAGAACAAGCTTCTCGAGTCACACAAGGTTTTCCTGTACCAGAAGATTTCTCTCGCAGCACTGACTGAGATGGTATTCCGACGTCCCCCGCACGACCGCTCCCTTGCTTTCTCGGCTATTGCGTCGGAGACCAAGGTACAGCCTGATGAGATTGAGCATCTGGTCATGAAGGCTTTGTCGCTGGGTTTGCTGAAGGGATCGATTGATCAGGTTGCGCAAGTTGCGAATATCCATTGGGTGCAGCCTAAGGTTCTGGATATGAAGCAGATCGATGGAATGAGAAATCGGTTGAAGGATTGGGATGCTGGTGTTAATCAACTGGGACACTGGATCGAGGGTGTGGGTAAGGATGTTTGGGCTGCATAGACAGTTTACTGGTTGAACGGCTTTTATCTATAATAAATGAATAGGCTGTGGTTTACTCCCAGTGATGGACACGTTATATTTATTGCTTGTATTACAACCAGATGGTGTAGACCCCACGAATGTATTGTTTTGTGGCTAAAATTATATAGCGTAGAAGAATGCGACATTAGAACATAGATGATCCCAACAAGACACACCCAATCAACCAAGCTGGCCACCAGACACACCACACCACTACTTGGGTCCACATGCCCCAGACATCCCAGCCAAACGCAGCCTGTGTCAAGACCGTCTCGACAGATACACCGGTGTACCAACAAACACCGATGAGAACGGTTGGTGGGGAGAGGAGGTTAAGCAACACCAATCCTAAGCCTGAGAAGGCGTACCGTTTGACTCCTGTGCATTCCAGGCGGTTGATGAAGCTGAGTGGTGCACAGAGAAGACCGATCATGAAGGAAAGGGAGAAGTTGAGGGTTGCCAGTGTCGAAAGGGATAGTCCCAAGAGTAGCAGGGCAAATGACTTGATCAAAAGGTACTGCTGTGGAACGAGGGGCGTGAATAGACCTAAGCCGTTACGGAGGAGGGCGGCCAGAAGTAGAGGGAATACAATGTCCACGGCGACAACGACGTAGGTAACGGTTGTGAAAAGCTAAAAGCAGATGTCAGTAGAAATCATGATAATACGTATACAAATTACTGACCTGATGGGGAAGAGTGTTGAACATCCAGAGCGGAACGAGACCAAGCAAGTGTAGACCAGTAACCAAGGTGAGTGGTAGGGCTAGTAAACGCTCCGCAATCGTGTGCCCACTGATCTCCGGTGCTGACGCATCCTTGGAAATCGGGGTAACGGTCTTCTCTGTAGGCTTGGGGTTGGTAGGCTTCTCGGCCTTATTATCCGGGTGAAAGCCAGTTCGCATCCACAGGGCAATCGCCATGATAGTGAAGTTTCCAGCAATAAGCATAGCACTAGGGAGATAAGTTCCAATGCTAACAAAACGATTGGACTGCATCAATAGGTAGAAGAAAAAGCTCTGGTGCAGATGCTCCAAGAGATTGTTCAAGCTACGGCACAGGCTCTCAATGGTCCGTCCCAATGCCATCTCATCTTCCCAGCCTTCGCCTTTGGGTTGCAAAGTGATGGCATCAATGTGGTACGGCATGAAGCTGCTGTGAGCTCCAGTGGCATACCCAAGACCCTGTTTGGTCATACCACGCAACATAGTCTGCAGACGCGCTTCATAGCTGTCATCATGCTCCCACATCTCTTGCAGATTGGCACCAATTCCCATTTGGCCTCCTGCAATAGCCACTGCCGTATTGAACAGATCCAAGTTCGGCAACTGCCCATTGACGCCATCATAAACGATGTGTAAATTCCTGAAACGGTGCTCGAATGGATACTCAATGACAAGCGCTCCTTGTAAGGCGCCGCTCTTCAATGGAAGTGGGTGAACCGATGCCGGGTGGAGATCGTGGTAGGCGTCGATCCATGCCTGGGTTCCAGATTTGCTGTCAGGGGTAAAGAGGAAGATGATATCCTTGGACCATAGTGACCACCCTATCAAACGAAGTTCATGTCAGCAGACTGTAAAGTGTGAACAGTGTTCGTATAACCCGCTGACGACTCACGCTTAAAGTATCTGGCCAATGTCAAAGCCAATGTGACACCATTCAAGTTCAACTCATCATCAGCTGTTTTCCATGCAGCAACCAACACAATCGCTTCTGTCGCATCGCCCCGGGGCGCATGGATAATGCCGTAGGTGTTCTCGCCCTGGTGAGTAATACCCGCGGAGGTGTACTCATACTTCTGTGTCGCAACCTTCAAACCCGCAACCTGGAGAATCGACTGGATTTTGGCAGATATGCTTTCCTAAACATTAGTTTCATTCATATCCTCATGCGCTCGGTGTTATTCAACGTACGCTGGAGTAAACTCCGCCTCATCTTGCCCGTTCTCGCTCTGGCCGCCCTCATTCAGTAATACTTTCAGCTCTTGCTTGTAGCCGCGGAAAATGTTCTGCTCGCTTCCGGTGAAGTATGCATGAACTTGGCCGGGTAAGAGCGCATTCTCGGAGATGTAGGTGTGGCGGGAGTATTCATTCAAGGGAAGGAGAAGGAGCCAGGCCACGCCAACGAGTATGCAAATGAGCGACAACAGGGGAGGCAAGCGGACGAAGAGGAGTTGAGGATTGTTCCGCAAATTGCGGATCGCAGCTGGCATAGAGTATTAGTTTCATGATCGGTCTGTGGTATAACGGGGGTCTTTTGATGTCGGAGAGCACAAGAGCAATTAGGACTAGGGTTAGGTTTGCTCACTCACATTTCAGCGCCATTGAGTCCAGATCATTGAGAAAATCCCAATATCCTTCCCATTCCGTAGAAAGCGGATTCAGATTTAGGAGAGAAGGTGGAGACTATCATGGTTGAAGCTCCAGCTGTTGTTTACGGGGAATTTACGCCCGGCGATAGTGACCACCAACGCAACAATCAATATATGGCATCAACCATATCATTGTGTACAACAACACACTTCTCTACGTACAGAACATGTTTTTATGTAAATAATCCAACATGAAATTCGCTATGCTTTATTGGCGATGCTGAGATGATCCACAGATGCGTTTCCCTTCCTCATGAATGCCCATCCATTTACACCCCCAGAATTAAGATAAAAGAGAACGTAAAGAGCCATGGCAAAAAAATATACACACAGAGGAAGAACATTAATTAGTTCCAGAGCTTTCGTATGAGCCCAGGCGCTGGTTGGATCCCAAGTAGCTCAAGGGAGTTGCGTTTCCATTGCCAGCAACATTGGCTGTTGGCAGAACGCCATATCGGCCATATGTCTTCTGGTCCACCGATACATAGTGAGGCAGGCGACCCAAGAGGTTAAGCTTGCCCTCGATCCATCGCAGGACCTTCTCTGGAGGCACAAAGACCTTGAGATACCCAAGGCCGACTATTTGGGTCAGCAAATGCTTCAAAGAAATTATTTGGGAGAAAACTTACAAAGATAGCCCACAAGGATTGCACAAAGATGACCCAAAAAGCTCACATTGGACACAAGGATGGACAAGACAATACAGGCAGCGAGAGGCGATGTCCAGGTAGGAATCTTGTACGGACCGAGACTACCAAGATTCTGTCAGTTATAATCGTTAATGGGCTAAAGAAGGGATCCACCAACCTGAAGTACGGGTGGGACTTGAATGTCCTAATGGCCTCGGAGCCCAAAAGCAAAAATACCCAGACACTAGATTATGCGGTTAGATCTGCTGTCCAATATATTGCTTTTTTGAAGTGCCATTCTCACCTTGAGCCCACAATGGGGGTGTTCCAATGCAAAATCGCCTTCTCAACCAAAAGGTACAGGCCCGCGGGGAGAGTCGACAACGCTATCAATCATACATATCCGTCAGTCAACTTGCAAATCTTCTCGGAATGTCTCTCAGGGCTACCTACGTCCAAGGAATAGGGCGACCGCTGTAAGGGTGCCATGTTCCGCTTCGAATCGCTCCAAGAGCGGTGTAAGAGCCACGGTATTCAGTGCTGCGTGAAAGAATCCGGTGTGGATCAGAGGATAAGTGTTCAATCGGTACACTGTATATCAAAAACACATCAGCCGAATGCCCTGAATGGCCGGGTTGAACCACGTCGTCATGGATCAGGCGAAGACCTACTTGTGCCCAAATTACACTCATCGGGAATCAGCGAGCCCCATTGTACAACACTCCAAACACTTTGGAACTCCAACAGCCAGAAGACAAGAATCACCAACAGCACCAGTCGCGTGAACAGCGGCAACCGCACTAGGTATGATCGCACGCGCGACGGGTTAAAGGGGAGCGGCGGCAAAGCGGTTGGGGTCGCCATCATTGAATCAATTCCCACTGCAGGGTCACAAAAGCTGATTGATCGCTGATCGCGGAAGATTTTATTCAGTCGGCTCGGCGGATCCGAATGGCGCGGGTTCGAGCACTGGAATCGTCGGGCGGAGCGGAGGATCGAGGGGGGCCGAAAGTTGTCTTTAGTCGCGGGATTTGCGACCACGTTTCAACAGGAATGTATAGTTGACAAATTAGAGCCACGATACAACAACACGGCTCAATAACTAGGAACTCTGGGGGAAATGGTTAATTCAACCCTCTTCGGGAAGCATTGGGCATACCCAGGGATAAACTCACGAGGCGCACGCGATCCCGGCTATGTGCAAGAGCGCGACTTTCCGGAGGATCAGAGCCTGGTACCACGCGGACCACAAAAGCGGTTCAACGTAAATGACTGCAAGCTGAGAAAACCTCCTTGGATATGGAGGTTGTTACAGCGAGCAAGTTGGGATAAGGATACGAAAGACTCAGTAAAGAAAATCGGGAAAAGCGTAAGCCGATCCCCGCTAATCCCCGTTGGGAAGGAATTCACCTGGTTAGTCACGGCGAACTATAACTAGTTCACAACTATGGAACTATAATTGCTCCGGAGTTTAATGCCATGTGTAGTAACTTAGGCTTGAAAGGGGTATTTTCTTATGACCTCAGCTCTTATCCTCAGATAACGATCTACTCCGAAGCCTCCGTGGTCCACAGACACTAGGGTGTTTCCCACCTGCGGGTCTACATTTTCACAGCAAATGAACCATAAAGTGGAGCTTATATTGGATTTGGTATCTCATTTATAAATCATCTAATGGCCTCCCATGATCTAATGTGGGTACGTAGATATTGGGCTACCTCCACGTTTAGCACGAGAATATGTGAAGAGATGCGACTACTTCAGCCATACTGGTGCAATCAGGTTCCTACCTGTCAAATTTACAGGTGACGGTCGAACCATTGCACAGCCTGGCAGAAAGCCTGCTCCTTGGCCCACTTCTGCTTGGAGTCGCTCAGATCAGCGCGGACAGCGAAGCCGTGCTTGACACCGCTGAACAGGTTGATCTGCCACTCCTGGCCAGTCTTGGTCAGAGTCTCCTCGGACTCGTGACGGAGCTGGGTAGTGAAGGCAGGGTCGATCTCTAATACGTGGATTTGGGTTAGCTGGATGACATTCCTTCTCCCCTCAGTCTCAGTATTCAGGTGATCAAACATACCAGCAGCAGCGATGGAAAGAGGTCCCTCGATGCCGGCGAGCTCCTCGTGGGTAGTGCCGGTGGGGTGGGCGTGGTAGCCAACGTCGATCTGGCCAGCCTTCATGAAGCGAGTGACGTACTACAGCAAACGCGGGATTGTCAGCATTGGTGAGTCGCATGTTATACAGGTACACCTTTGATGTGAACTGGTAGAGAAGAAGTTGGAACATACACGGGCACCGAAGCAGTAGCCAACAGCGGCGATTCTCTTTACGCCGAGGGTCTCGCGCATGTACTTAATGGTCTTGGCCACAACGGGGTCGATGACGTCGGGCTGGTGGGCTCCGAGCCACTCCATAATGTTGACGTTGCCGTTGTTCAGGTCATCGGGACCGATCTGAGTACCGTTGAACAGATCAGGGAAGATGGTCAGGTAGCCATTGTTGGCGAACTCATCGACGAGAAGCTCGTTGTTGGGGAAGAAGCCGAAGACGTCGGACAGGTAGAGAATGGCTGTGTCGGACTTCTTGCGGTTCTTGGGGGTACCAATGTAGGTCTTGACTGTAAGATTTGGGACTTTTGTTAGCTCTTTTATCCTCATGCATTGGGTATTCTACCTAAGACCTACCACCGTCAATGACCTTGAATTCGCCGGCGGAGGTGCCTTCGTGCTTGAAGCCAGTCACGCAGCAGGAAGAGGGAGGGTTGGAGGCCATGATGTTGGTGTTTGAATTATGAAGTGAGTATGAAGTTTCGGGTATCACAGAGCAAGAAGAAAATCCAAGTTGAAATTCGACAAGCCTTTTCCAACTTGTTCTACCCCTCTGTCATCATGGAGCCCCACTCGACCCGTTTTGCCCCTCATAACATTATTGGCCTGAATCATGCATTTTGTGGCAACTCAAGCTTATTATTTAGGGTTATCGTTTGATTATGCATCTAATCGGTATCTTCTCTGATCCCTGTCGATATGCCCTGAAAAACAGGCAACAATATATATTTATTTTTCTTTGTTCCTTATTCCTTCGGTGAAGGTCATAGACCTGCCGTTCGGTACTCGGCACGCCGTCGGCGTTAGAGTTCGCTATCTCCGCATCGGCTAAACGCTAATTGCACGAGAAAAGGAAGCGATTAAATTATTGGTAATCAATTCATTTCATTCAAGTTGTATAAGATCTGCATTTCATTATTTTATTATGAGATATGTCATATCATCCGAAAGTACCTGGAAAGGTCAATCGTCATTCACCGTAATTAGCACATTAGTCAATGATTCATCATCCCGGCAAAAAAAAAGAAAAAAGCAACGTAAAACAAGCATCAGGGGCCCGAAGTTTCGCACCCGAATGCATCTCCACTAGGAGTGGATCATGTCCAGAAAACCCTTTATAACATGGGATGAAACACAACCGCAGAAATTTGACAGGGTATCAAGAACAGAAAGCAAAAAGTGTAGGGAATTCGGGTCTTCATGGGAACTGGTAAGTGACCTGCGAGGGCTGCTCCCGCTTGATAGCCCATGCCTTAAGCGTAATGAACAGAACCTCGAGGGCCATTATAAAAGCCGTGAATCCCATGCCCACTGTGAAGGTAAACATGGCGTCCATATTGTAGTATTCCATGGATTCGATCACGTTCCGAGTCTATGCAGTTCGTTAGTGACTTGTTTTAAAATATTCCGGGTGGTGTCTTGGACGTACGCTGAGCATGAAAATAAGACCTCCCGCCATCAAGCAGAATGAGGCAACGATCTCGGTCGGAGGGCGAGCGGGGAGATAGGAAGTGGGCGGACGCAGGAACAGAAGCACATAGGTCATGCCGCGGGCCAAGGCGAAGCCAACAAGCATGTTGCCCCATTGCTTATGCACCATAGTCGAAGTCATGCTAGTCTGGTGGTGCGATCCCATCATCATACCTAGCAGCAGAATAATAAGTGCAGGCATTGGGTTAAGAGACACGCCCTGAGATCTCGGAAGCTGCCAACCCTCATCACGAGTACCGTGAGACGGGGACCGAAGAATGGTCATGTTGAGCGCTTCGCGAATGCGCTTGGACTCGAAGAGCATGCCCAGCTAAAAGAATAGATCATCTTTAGTCAATGAAATCACCAAAGGTATAAGGTAGAAGGTAAATCTTACCAGGCCACCTCCCAAGAACATAATCGAGATCGAGACATGTTCCAGATCCGCCGCGCCCCAGGCGCCACCCCAATTGGAAAGATGCTCCAGGAAAACATTGGACACACCATAAACAAAGATAACAAGAGACTCCACAAACTCTGCGGATGGAACCTTGGACTTCCATCTGCTAACAATGGGCGTTAAGGGTTTCTTATTCCATGCCCAGCCCAGGTCGGCCCAGCAACCCACAAAACGCCCGAGGGTGAGAATTCCATACCAGAAGAAGATTCCACCCTTAATGAAATGGGCCAAGCCATTGAAGATTTCCTTATTTCTCATGATGCCACCGTATGCCACCGCACCCGTCGCAATGGCCATGAATCCGAACGGAAGAATGATCCGATCGACCACGTTATATACCGTATTGCAGACCCGGAGCACTCGGTTGGAAACCATTCCCGGCAGACGACTCGACAAGAACCGACCCACGAAGCTGCGTTGGAACCAGCCCCGTGCGGGCAATTCCTCGGGCAAGGGTTCCTCAGGTTTCTCAAATCCGTCATAATCTTCAGGCGAGTCGCACGGAGATCCCGGGCTGTGAATGGACGAGCCGGGCTCCGTCCCCTGGCCACTATCTCCAGACCAGCGGTATTCATGCAGCGGGCCAGATGGGTATGAATGCTCCCGATGCGACGGGATGGGCAGGAAAGTCGCACGCTCGTATGAGTCCGAGGAGGACTTGGATTCACCACGTCCGGCGTAGGCAAAGATGAGAGCTAGGACGACCTGGGCACTGAACACCCAAGTACCAATCCAGCCAATTTTGTGATGCGCGTTATTCTCATAAAGATCGGGAGTCTGGCTGTTGTAGACGATGCCGAGAAGGACTCCGAAGGCATTGAAAACCAAGAACAAGAATTGCGACGGAAGGGCAAATCGTGAACGGGCAATGCTGAGCATGACAGCTGTCGTAGAGGAATCAGTGTGAGTAAGCTCTTCATTTGAAGCTCCCTGGAATTCTGTGCTTACCTGCAGGAAGAACAAAGCACCAACCCAGAACCATCAGAGCAATATGAGCTATGATGGAGCTAGAGTGTTTTCCGTAGGCAAAGTAGCTCATGGGATCATTCGCATGTCCCGATGCCGACGGAGTCGGAGAGGCCGTCGCTGTACTGGCGCTGGAATGCATGTTCATTTCCATGTCCATATTCATATCCATCGACTCATCGTCACCATGCGCAAGCGCAGTCGCAAGCGACGCGAGGAAAACCGCCACGAAGGCGACTCGAGTAGCGGTCCGCATTCGGGCGAAATGAAGTCGCACAGCTCGTTTTCAACTACTGTGAGGATGCGCTATTGTTACAAGTGGAAAATTATGCTAGAGCTTCAACTGGCGCAAAGTAGTGAAGCTCTCGCAAATCGTGACGTAACGATACGGCCAATCCAGAGAACGCACGCTTCCGGCTGAATATGGTGGGGCTTTCTTTCTTTTTTTCTTCCTTCTCAAGTGTAACAGCTGGAGATGACAAAGGAGCTCTGGCTGTTCAACAGGTTAAGCTTAATTGTGTAGGGGGGTTGGTGGTTGAAGCTGCGGTAGGGCTGAGTGCGAAGTATACCGAGTAAGCGTGGGTGGGTTGGCCATATATAAAAGAGAGCTCTCTCTTTGAGCGGGGCAGGGTGCAGGGATTCAATCGGGTCACAAGAACGAACCTGCCGGAAGCACGGATTATGACTACAGAAATTGCTCAGCTGGGAAATTCTTTTTTTTTTTTTTTCTAGGCTCGCCGGCGCTGATTTCCAACGCTTTTCGGGGTTAAAGCACCGGCGCCGAGTGGTGCGTGGAAACAAGACGCTACATACTTCCTATATCCGGGTACCCTACGATTCCACTCCCCGAGTTGCCGCCCCTAGCTTGTCTCTGTCATGGTTCCTCTCTTTCCTCTTGTTTAAATCATAACAAGCTTGGAATCGGGATCTTGGAAGTTTCCTTTCATTCTATATATCTGTGGCCTCACAAGATTCCCTGGGGCAACTTGCCCCTCATTCTGAGCTTAATGCAGCTTTACTTTGCCAGCAAGGATCTGCATATGCATTGTAGGGTCTTGTGTGCAAAGGGCGGATTTAAAGAAAAATGGCTTGGCATTCGCGAACTATACAACAATTACCAATCACAAAAAAATCCATTCGGATGACTCGGGTAGCTCGAAGGTCGTGGAAACAACCGTGACCTCATCTCCCACGGATCAGAGATCTAGAGCGCCGAGAAAACAACGAAAAGTGGAGTGTTTGCTCCCTACAAGGTGGTCTAATTTTTATTTCCCTTTTTCTTTTTTTTTCTTTTGGTCTTCAGGCAGTGAAGTATGCACGGTAAGCGCCCCAATGACGTAGTCGATCGCTGCCCATTTGGGACTCTTCATCCCGCCTTACACCGCTAGCACAGAGTTCATGACAACTGCTGCCTTGCTATGACATTCTCCCCAAAATTGGGCTCCAAGATCTAGGATCCCATATCCTGTTCAAAAATATTAACATTTTATGATGCCATAGGTTTAGTATCCATAAACCCTTGTTTTCCCGTGGAAGAATTCATTCGGCATGAGATTTCGGTCCCATCGGATGATCCCCTGAAAATGTCTCCACCCAATCAGCGATCCACAAACCGCGCATAGGCCGCTGTATAGAGTAGATCCTAGTGAGCCAACGGATTTTGCCAGCTTCTACATACATCCCTGTCTCGGTCTTTCGCTCACCTAGCTTCCCGAGCCGCAGGTGGGGGTTGGACCTTTTGCACCCCGAATCACTCCGACTTGAATGGCATGACCATGCATTGTAGACTTTCATAAGGCCAAAGTATGTGAGGAATCCAATACGAGTTTGATGCGATGCTTTGAGTCACCGCCCGTCATGCTCACTTGCATACTTTGAAGTCAGCCCTGCCCAGTGTATCACATGCGTTAAATAAACAGGATGCTATCCACAGGAAGTATATATGTATAAGAAAAAAACGATAAATATTTGATTAGCCGAGTGCTAACCAATCTTGGGACACGATGTCCCACGTTCATAATAAGCCTGTACATAGAACCTTGCTGCCTTGTCGCTGCGACCATATAAAGGGGACAATTATTACTAGCATTTCATGGATGCGGTGCGTTTTGAAGTCTTTATCGTCAGACTGACGAATCTACATCAGCCACGAACCTCTGTGACTCAGCGCTTCAGAGCCTCATCCCACATCTCCAGGGCTGAAATTGGTGTTGCCTAAAGTCAGCCAGTCCAAGGTATCGGGTTAGCCAGAGGGTTGTTATGGATTCTGAGAGCGGAGACAAAGAAGCTAGAACTATACCCGTGGACCCGGTCCCAGCCACCTGAGAAGATATTTCCGGGGCCCACTCATCTCTATTGAACTCATATCCCATTAGATTGGAACTCTATTCCAATAGTCCAAGGATCGGAAAAAACCGAACAACGGTCTTCGGATGACTGACTATGACGAAGCTCAGCTCCCGGTTATATGAAAACTATAGCGTAAATCAGTGGATCCAGGACGGCAGTTGGTACTATATGATGGGTTGATTTTTCCTGTTATATGATCAAGCAGGAACGAAAGTACGCCAAGAACGAGTCCGCTCATCTGACAACCTGGTGATCATCACTTGGCAATCATTGGTTATAATCGAATCGTACATCCGCCGCCTTCCGGCTTGCGGGATCCGTAACGCACACGCACTTTGACGACACGCACCGGGAATTCGGCTGAGTAATGAATTCTCTTTCTCGATTTTGCTCACGGATATGAAATCCGGAGTCTTGTTTCCCTCAATAGTTAGTACCCATCAGATGACATCCTTGGGTTGGTTGAAGAACCTGTCTCGGTCCTCTCGCAGGATGCTAGACTTGTCTCACGAGCTTTTCGTGTACCCCGGAATCTCGAACATACGGTGACGCATCGGTCATTAAGCAGTCTGAACTATAGAGCTGATTATTACTAAATTACCTTAATTTAAAGAATAACTTGAAATGATACAGGGCGTTCATTCAGTTTCACGTACTACTCCGTAGACCTTGTCCCACAAATGGTCATCTGTGCTCCCCGAGGCACAGACAGGATGACCAACGGATCGGCATCGTACTATATATCATACATGCGGACTCGAGTGGTGTTACTTAGTCAAGCAATATAGCCCTTTAAAAATCGGATGTTCGGCACCAGGTCTTCCGCAAGCCGTCTTGGCTCTGGGCGTTCCTCAGGTACCGTTAGCGCCCAATGAGCATCATGGGTTGGCTTCCCGTGCGATCAGCGTGAGTACCGGATTGGGGCACGGACACCTCCATATAATAATGTGCATAATTTATACCTTGAACTTGATCAAATGACCAGCTGATCCTTAATGCTGTCTACCCCAGCCACGCTAATTTCCCTCACAACTAATTGCCGCCTAGCATCTGGATAGATGACCTACTTCTCAGCCACGAAAGGGTAAACACGGGTTTCATGGTACTTTCATGTGCGAGCAGCATCCTGATGTTTACCTCTCAAGTGATCGTTGTCGCTCTCACTTGCATCGAAGAAATAAAGGCGAGAAATTCGAAACTGGGGTTGATTGTTTGACGGAAGAATCGCAATGTTCATCGTTATGTAGACTTGTCATCGAATCCACCAGACATCGACGAAATGAAGTCTTCTGCACACTTCCGTGATGTTTCACGCTTGACCATCACAAGAAAATTAGCCAGTGTGTTCGGGACACCGGGCTACAGCCCCGAGCGCGTCAGGGAGTCGAGTAGGTAACTCCTGTTATTGCTGACACAATGCTGAGGTGTTAGCTCTCCAATGTTTAAGGTACTCCATACATCACTCGGCATATCGATCCGAGCATAATATATTTTACAAAGCCACATGATCACGTGGGTGCGCATGGAGATGGCAAGAGTGATGCAGTCATTTCAAAGATGCAAGAGTGCTTATTCAAAGCTTCAAGACCTTGACAAGACAGAATGGTCCTACTGACTTATGCACATCCATGGATGACTCTGGCTTGCAAGGGTTTGGGGGACTAGTTTCCTGGTAAGTAGAGCGATGCCAGGTAGAACGCCCAGCAAATGAACGAACAAATGATAATGAAAGTATACTGCCAAATCTTCACATCCTGTCTGTCTCTTTCAAGGACCATGGAATTTCCGAGGGAACTTTATACATCATTCGCAATAAATAAATAACTAACTTAACAGACCCAGGCACAGATCGGATGACATAAGCAAGGCTTAAGGTGGATCACATGATCTAACCCTGAAACAGGCTAGCGTGCGAATCAAGCGAGCTGGCCCGTGCACTTCCCCATCGGGGCGGCACACAACGATTTTCTACCCCGAACCTTCGACTTTCCTTCAACAGCGCCAACGACCCTCGTCAACAACCCCCCGTCAACTCCCCCCACGACAACTCAAGATGACTCACGAGTCCGTTTGGTTCAGCCGCCCCCGCAAGTAAGTCGACCAGAACGAACCTCTCGTCTTTTAAGCGACACCAACTAATTGAACTTTTAGGTACGGCAAGGGCTCCCGCGAGTGGTGTGTACTCCCTTCAAACTCCTCCCACCGATAAGAAACGAAAGCACAAAGAAAAGAGCGAAAGGAAACGCTGCAAGAGACTCGGAATCACGAACTACGACGAAATTGGAGGAACAACTTGGCTAATTATGCTCGATCGATACAGCCGTGTCTGCGCTCACCGCGCTGGTCTGATCCGCAAGTACGGCGTATGTGGAAACATCCCTGATACCGGCGCACGAAGTGCTGCTCGAGTATGAAATTGAACTATTGGCTAATACGGTTCTTTAGATGAACATCTGCCGTCAGTGCTTCCGTGAGAAGTCCACCGACATCGGTTTCGTCAAGGTTCGTTAACCTCTCGCTCCCACAATACACCAAAGCAAGAAATTGCACTCAAGCCCAACCGCCGTCACCCGAATTTTTTTTTCCCCAAGTCAACTCGATACTAACTTAGGTTTTTCCGTCAACAGTACCGCTAAACAACCAAACCATGTCCGCCTTTAAACACTTTTCTCGATTCCATTCGCGTCCATGATCCGTTTACGTGCCCTGGCGCTCGGTCACCAATGTGGCCCGGGAAGGGGAATGTTTCGAAGCGTCGGGAAATGTTAATGCGCCCACGTTCCGTTCTTTCGCATGACGGCTCCCCAAAAAAAGTGGTTGTTGATTCATTATGGAGGAGGCATTGTTCGTGTCTTGCTTATGGCACGGATGGACGAGTTAGGGACTGGGGTTGTTGTTTGTAGGAGTTTCTGAAAACGAGGATGTCATGTTATCCCTCATCCTTTTTCTTTATCCAATATCAAAGACGGGTTTTCTTCAATGACTTCTCTGGTGCATTTGGATTTGCGTACGATTCGGCCAGGAACGAATGAGGGGGTTTTCTGGGGCAGGCATTTCCATCTGATGCACTGTTTTCACTCGGTGCTCTCTTGGTTTGATTCCAGCGAATGGGAGGGTTCTAACGTAAATTTGGCTACGTAGATTGTAGTCCTTCACCATAAGGACGGTTCTTCCGTTTGCTCTGAGATGTGACTAATATACCAATACGATTTCTGATACTCCTACAGGAGTGACGGTATGAAGAACGCTGTTCGTATTTCCAGGCCATGTCCGCTATGTACAATATTATTCAAATCCACCCCGCAGGGTCCCCATCCAAAGCGCCGAGTTCACGTCACATCTGCTTTTAATAGGCTAGGCCTTCTCAGATCCAATTGACCGGATCCCGTAGAACAGAAGATAAGCATCCTGTTTCAAGACATCCGCCACACTTGCAACGGTAACTTTGTTATCGTCCATCAAGACCCACTAGAGCAAAATGATTAGCGAATTTGCCCTTTTAGAGGTTCCAAATCATGCATGACATACCTTGTCGCCAGCTACGCGGGTGAACGCATAGTAGTGGCCTGAATCCATGCTGCCCTTGTGAACGACAACCGTTGACAAGTCATAGATGTACTTGGAGGTGTCGACACGCTCTTTGTCCTTTTTCACTGTGTAGGGTAGCATGTTGAGTGTGATGGGAAAGTCAATGTGGCCGTGCATCTTCTCCGAAGACGAGGAGTTGTGCTCATATCGCTAGATAATCGAGATTGTTAGAGATGAAACGGCAAGTAGTAGGAATCAAAAAACGTACCTTGAGATGCATGCAAAGAATGGAAGGCAGCTTGCGAATCTGCAGCCGCTTGGATGCTCGCTGAGGGGTGTTGCCGCACTTCTCGCAGTGGTAAGAGGCATCGGGAGACAGGTCTTCGATCGCTGTGAAATTGTCCAGGCAGCCAGTCAAAGTGGCAGGGGTGGAGCTAGATCGGGGCGCCAGCTTGCGTTTCTTGTTCTGGAGCTGTACGTCGAGACTCAGGTCGGCCATGGGGTCAAAAGTGTGAGTAGTTTTGCCGCATTTGTGACACATGACGCTGCTTTGAAGCTCGCCATAGAAGGTGCGGTGGAAAAAGCACTGGCATTTGGTGCCGTAACTCTCCGAGTGTCCTGGTGTAGCTGCATGGAGTGCATTCACGAGAAATTGGAAGTACTCATGGGCATCCTGTTGGCGGTATCCAGCCATGTCCTATGGGGAACACATTAGCAAGACTGTCTCGAATTTTGGATGAAAAAGGGCCTTTTAATCCTACATACCCGGGACGCATCCCAACCATGATAAAGCAGGGTGGCTGCTGATACGGCGTCGGTCTTTTCGCCGCTATTAAACTCCATAAACACTTCAGTTGCGGCGCAAGCCATGCAAAAGCTCCGTTCGCATGTGTGGATGTCATGACCCCCTGCTAGGAAGTAGGCATTGAGGGTTGGGTCATGCAGCAAAGCCTGAAGGATTACTGATTGGTAACATGTTTGTCCCATATTCCAAACCCCTCGAGCACCACGGCGCGAGCAAGGGTTCTTGTAAGCGTTATTCTTGACATAAGCCTCGGAGGCTGCGTCGGTGACCCATGCACCTTTAGCGTCTATGTGAAGGTCAGTGGCCCAACTCTTTCCACGAATAAAAGCAGCTAGTGGGGTTCATGCTGACATTCAAACTTAGCCTGAGGCCCGCAGAGTCTTTCCAGACCATGATCATACACAAGGTCCGCACAACTCTCACAAAAGAGGAAACGATTCCGGGATTCCATGTCTGGAGGAATGTTAGTGACCGAACTTTGATCAGAATCCCCAAAATTGCACTCACAGAAGCCATGTCCAGTCTTCTTGGTGTGAGCTTTTCTTTCTGTATTCAAACAGATCTCGGGACAGGAGACACAGTGATACTTGGGTTTCAGTGACGATACAGTGCGCAGGCCGGTAGTCTGAACCGCCACCGGCTCTGGCTTGGTGTATGGAGCCAACGAATCATACAGCTTCCGAAAGCTAACTTTGAACTGGCCTGCAGTCTGGCCATTCTTCAAGACGGTGGCCAGATGCTCTGATAATGGGGTCAGTCCGGAGTCCAATCTAGATCCTGCAGCCATCAAGAATGCCAATACATACCACAGCCAAATGCTGCCTCAGAGAGGAGATGGATCGAGTCAAGGTTTGCCATTTTAGGACCGTGAGCTCGAAACAGAGATTAAAAGGGAGAATGACAAGGGTTGGTGGAACCTTCAAAGGTATGCAGAGATAAAACAAGTGGAAGGTGCCGGCCTTCTATGAAACAGAAGAAAAAAAAATAGGCAAAGAAGTAGGAATAAGAAGAGCAGGATAATGAAGTTTGTCAATCAGTCCAATTATCACCAGGTGGTGAATGGTGGGATGGCAAGGGATCTAATTCAGTCTCAAGGACTTCCCCTGAACAAGGCCAACATTTCACTATGGAAAGGGTCAGCTTGTTTGTATTCAATGTAGACAGTGAATACAGAGCCTCCTACTCACAAATAAAAAATAGTGGGGATAGAGCGTGGAGGTTGTGGTGAATGGGTATAGCAATAGCGGCTCCGTTGCGCGTGCACTCAAGGGTTGCCGTGCCAGCTCGCTTCACTGAACGTCCGCAATCATGCCCCGCAATTTAATGATCTCCAAGACCAATCAGCCCAAGTGGCACAGCTGCAGTTCTTGTTTCTTGGATTGAAGCCAAATCAACCCTATACACAAAGAAATGCAGGGAGGCAAGATAGGAAGGGAAGAGTGTTCATTTGTCATCGGAAACGGACTTCTAATTTTTTCGGCGCCTTAAAGCCTGAAAACCCGATCGGAGCAAACATCCGCATCTCCGCATTGTATATACTTTATTAAATGTTCATGAATTTCATTGCTCATAATAAATACAGGGATATCATAGGGGACTTCCATATGCCGATTTTGTCTCACTTTCTATCTCTCGAGTCTAGTCCCCGCTTACCAACTCCACAAGAGGCATCCGAAGACGTCATTGGGGTGGAATATAGCAGATCACTGCTCGAGTTCCATGTCCAAATTTGGCAGCTGTGTTCATTGTGACTGCATATGGTAAGAGACAACAGACCTGTCAAAGTAGTTCACCGAATTCCGCGGCCTCGGGGAAGAGCGCTCGGTCGCGCACTGCTAGAGCCTCGTGTTGTATATCGGCTAGTTGCCGCGCCACGCGTCGTACCTCGAGTGGTACCTCGAGTGGTACCTCGAGTGGTACCTCGAGTGGTACCGCGTGTTGTTCCGCGTGTTGTACCCCGTGTTGAGTATTTGGATGTCGGTTTGGAGGAGATCGTGCTAGGTGGGTGCTCGACAAAGGATGTGTCCGTCGTTCTAGTATAAGGTTAATGGGGTGTCCCCGCATGGAAGTAGCAATGCTAATACTCACAAGAAAGTCATTTCACCGTCTTCCGCTGGTCGCGCAGCCTCATTCTCAATCTCAGCCTCTGTTTCATTGTTAGATTATACCTTATAGAGTAATGGGACTTGATCTCATACCCTTCTGTGCTTCAGCCTGCTTCGCTCTCCGGAACGAATCCGCAATTGGGGCCTATCCAAACAATTAGTTGACCTGGAAGGCAACGAGAACACTCCTTTCGTTACTTCATACCTCGGGGAAATCCACACAGAATGCATTCATGTTTAGGCCATACAGAAAACTGGCGAAGCTGTCACTGAAGCGCGTCAGGCTCTCGTGCATCAGCTGGAGGTGCATGAAGTTTGCCTCTAGATCTGCCATAGAGTCTGCAAGCTCAGCAAACTGCGGCTCTAGGGCATTGATGGCGGGCTGGGTGTATCCGGCATTGCTGATGCTATTCCCGTAGCCGTGGGCTTCTCGCAAGGAGGAGCGGGAGCTCGGTCGTAGAGGAGTAGTCGGTCGAGAAGAGGGCCTTGGCCGCGATGATGATCGAGGGGCGAAACCGTCCATGATTTGCTGAATGGGGAATGGAGGGGAACTGAAGTTATTTTGTTTTGATTTTGGATTACGAAGGCGGTGGGCACGATAACAAGGTCAACAAATGCATACAATCACAGAGAAACAATCCAATGAAATTGAGCAATTGAGTGGTTTTGACTATGGATGGGTTTCACGATTTCAGAGTGCGATCGTCAGTTAGATGAAATAGTTCAGATGCGTACAGCGTGAGGGTGGCAGTACTAGTAATTGAGTTAACTAAGTGGGATGGGATGACTTCATCGACGACTATCATGGTGATCCAAGTACATGACACCTTGGAACATTCTATCATACGCATATACCCAAGGAGGTTATATTCATCGGGTTGTCGGTCGATTATTAGGTGAACATTGTTTTCATATAGATTCCCTCGCGGTCATCATTCCCCCGCATGCGATCGAATTCCTGATTTTCTCGAAATCCACTTGAACTCCGCCCCAATTGGTCTCGTGTCTCACCAGGGTCTTATCTTCCTCATACTCCAATTGCCCTGCGCAATTTTCGATTTCCTTCCTTCCGCCATATGCGGGCCTGTTCGATTCTACGCCGTCGCATCCATCCCTCGGCCTTCATTTCCCAGCGCGCACAGATCGTCTCCGACGGATCGCGATTCCAGTCCCATTCATTCGCGAGACTCTACTCCACATATCGACCCCAGCAACCGAGGGAGACCTCATCTTTTTGGATCGCATCCACCCTCCTTACTATCGGAGGAGGCGCCTGGATCTATCAGTATCTCTATCCTTCCGAGCTCCCACACCAGCCGCGACCCCGGCTGCCTCCGAACGGCCAAGACCCTTTCCTCAGCGTCATTGATACCCTCAAAACCATGCCTGTCGAACCGGCCCCAGGCACCGTCGGGACTTTGACCCCGGAGCAGGAAGCCAAGCTACGCGAGTTCTGGATTCTGGCCCTCAAGGTTTTCGGTGTCCCAATCGACGGCTTGGAAGCCGATCTCAATGCCTCAAGTGAAGCCGCTCCGTCTAGCCCAGAGAAGAAGTCCAAGCGTCGCGGGTGGGGTTTGTTCAGCCGGAGTGGTGACGAAGATGCCGACGACTCCAAAAGTGTGTCTTCTGCCAGTGGCGTTAACTCAAGCATAGCGGCCATTAGCATCGCTGACGGCGATGACAAGTACGGCCAGTCCAAGGAATTCCAGCAGGCGCTGCAAGATATGAAGCCCGAGGAGATTCGCACAGCTTTCTGGAACATGGTGAAGCATGATCATCCAGATGCGCTGCTTCTGCGGTTCCTACGCGCTCGCAAATGGGATGTCAAAAAGGCTTTGGTCATGCTGGTCTCCACTATGCGCTGGCGCTTGCAGGATATGCATGTTGACGACGACATCATGGCCAACGGCGAGGCAGCGGCTTTGAAGCAGTCTCAAAGCTCTGACCCTGTTGAGAAGAAAAAGGGCGAAGACTTCCTGTTTCAGTTGCGTATGGGTAAGAGCTTCCTCCACGGTGTAGACAAATCTGGTCGTCCCATCTGCGTGGTTCGTGTCCGTCTGCACAAAGCAAATGACCAGGATGTTGAAAGTTTGGAGCGGTTCACTGTCTACACTATTGAGACGGCCCGGTTGCTCTTGGCTTCTCCGGTTGAGACTGCGGTAAGTACCCTCGGTGGTCTTATGTTTTCCGGAACTGACAGAAAGTAGACTATCATTTTCGATATGACCGATTTCGGCATGTCCAACATGGTGAGTTTGATATTATGATGGACTCGACGATGAATACTAAGCCTATCTCCCATCAGGATTACGCACCCGTTAAGTTCATGATCAAGTGCTTTGAAGCCAATTATCCCGAGTCCCTGGGATCTGTCCTTATCCACAAGGCGCCATGGCTCTTCTCCAGTTTGTGCCCCGAGTTCATTTCGAGCTAACACCCCGCTGACAAAGATCATAGGTATTTGGAGCGTTATCAAAGGCTGGTTGGATCCCGTCGTTGCCGCTAAGATTCATTTCACCAAGACCCGCCAGGACTTGGAAGCCATTATCCCCCCTGGTCAGATCATGAAAGAACTGGAAGGTGACGAAAACTGGGAATATAAGTATCCCGAAGTCGAGGAGGGAGAGAACAAGCTGATGGAGGATACTGAAACTCGCGACAAGTTGCTCGCAGAGCGTCAGGAGCTCGCCAAGGAGATCCAGAGCACCACCATTGAATGGATTGGCGCCGCCGCCAAGAAGGATTCCGGAGCTCTATCTGCCGTCGAGGAGAAGCGCGCGGGTCTGGTCGAGAAACTGCGGAAGCAGTACTGGGAACTTGACCCGTATATCCGGAGTCGCTCCCTGTATGATCGCCTCAACATTATCCAGGGCCAAGGAAAGATCGAGTTCTATCCGGCTTCTGTGAAGGCGGACATGGAGAAGGTTCGCTCTGGCACGGCCGAATAAATCGGTGCAGAGGCTATATACACTGCATGATTGACTCGGATTTGTGTAGCATACTGTTATTGGCATTCGAGCCTAGACTGTTGGTTTTATTAGAAATAGGGCGGGTGTGCATGGATCTGTATACACTTTGGACTCGATTTGACGCATCACCTTGGGATTACATATGGAAATCAATAATTCATTGTGGAAAGTCGATACATGATCACCCAGTAATATTCTATTTCGACTATCTACTACCTGGGACTAAGACCGATCAAGATTGCAAAGACCAGCATTTACATCTTAGACTTGATCTCCTCGTGCAGAGCCTTCAACTTGTCCATGTTGGTCTCCTGAGTAGGCCAGCCAATGCTCATACCTTCCTCCTCATTTGGCTTGGGGATCTATGCAATGTGTTAGTATGTAGGAGCAGCTCATGGAGAAATCGCGAGCCAATTTGGAAGAACCCTACCATGTGGAAGTGAACCTATTCCATGAGAATGATTAGTAGCGGTCACCTTCTAGCGAGGGACTGGTATAAACTTACGTGGTCAACAACCTGGTGCGCAATACGACCATTGTTCTGCAAAATATTGAAGTCCGTCGCGCCACTGGCCTTGGCAATCTTCTTTGCCACGGGCTATGTAAACAAAGGAGCAGGGTTAGCGAGATCATTGAAGGACCTTGGGGGTTGGACCCGAGAAAGGCCCGTGGACGTCTAATTCTGCATCTTAAACTTTCTCTCTCCACGGGCTCACGTTCTCGATACCTTCCTCCCTAGCCGATAAATATTCCTGAAGGTGGTTTGCTTACCAGAATCTCCAGCAGGTCCTCGTCAGGAATATCGGTGAGCTTCGCACCGTGGAACTTGGGGATCACGAGCTGTCGTCATCACAAGTCAGTCATGTGCTATATCAGACTATATTGTGACTTGATGCTATTGGAGCATCATTGAGCTAGTCGACAAATATCCTAACAGCTGTACAGGTCGAGATCATAGCCGCGGTCGCGTTTGGTGCGGGGGGATACAAATAGCAAAACAGCACTTACCGCATGGCCACGGCTCAGCGGCTGAATGTCCAAGAAGGCGAAGACCTTGTCGCTCTCAAAGAGCTTGAAAGAAGGGATATCACCTGGGATACGGGTTAGAGCTGTGGACGCGGAGCTGGTCGGGAGAGGGGGGAATTGTCGAGCTATAGCTTCATAAATACAGAAGGAACATACTGACCCTTGATAATCTTGCAAAAAATGCAGGCAGCGGAGGAAGACATGTTGATTGGTCTGAAATTATAGACACGTTATTAAATTTGCGCGTACAATGGAAGGTGAAGTCCAAATTTTGACGTTCTGATGATCAAGCTGAAGTCATCGAATGCGGGGTGGAGCTTCGAAGGAAATAAAAGAAAGTGGTCGCGGGTGGATTCGAACGCGGGATGTTTCGACAGTTGGGCTCCTTTATATTTTATAATTGATCACGAAATGTGAGGAGTGGGACAGACTAGTGCAGAACCCATTTCTTGCCTTTTACCAGAGATGGCCGTGGTTTGCCCACAAAACTCCTCTATACAATCTTTGGATCAACACTGCGACACAGCTGTCGTTAAATTGTTTTATTTTTTGTTACTGTTATATTCAATCAATCATTCTGATCATGTTCTATGTTTCTGAATTTATTTTACTCTCGAATTGAGGATTTTGGAAATTCTGGGGCTGTGTCTTTAGACTTGGTGGGCCGTCTACTTACCATGTCTTATTGCAGGGCGACTGTATTAGTGTACACCCACTGCCCATATATCCCTAACCTTAGATTTCTCAGCACACGCACCTGGGCCCCTAAGCAAATTCATGGGTTTCGTACTTTACCTTGTATAACAAATATCTTGCTCACGTTTCATGTTCTATTACCACCATAATATTCCCGAGGTCCCGGAGCCCAGAAAGAATTACCAGCATATTAATTCCGATATACCACAGATACGACCGCTATTAGGAGGTTTAATATGTTTGGGACAATGTCCCAACTTATACATATTCGCCGATTTATCTATACAAACCATATCAGCAAACTCGGAAGCTTGACTGGCTATCAATTGATGTTGATAGTGGAGGCTCAACGAGCGACGGAGAGTGCGGGTGCATATCCAATCACAGGGAGCGAATTGTCAGACCCGTTGGAGGGGAGAAAGGTGCAAGGTGCAAAGAGAGACATTCAACCTTGGAAACATGTAAAAATGATTAAACAAATTGCAAGACCGAGACTATCTAGATCTATTCAACAGTCAATATAATAGAAACACCTCGAGAACCAGTAGATTCTTGGAGAAATGATGCTCGAGGCTTCCAAATCAGGACTAGCGTCCTAGTCCCGTGCCGAACCTGCGAAATGCAAGTCCATCAACTCCAAGGACCTCCAATCCCTCCCATCCCCCACTCCACTCCATTCTCCTCCCCGCTGGTCTCCTCTGATCTGCTCTATCAGAGACCATGCAGAAATCCCGGGCATTTAACTCTACCCTGGGTTCCCGGGCCTTTGCCCCGGCCCCGCGGGTCTCCGTCCACTTCCAGCGCCGCAACCTCCAGGATGTCGCTATTACCCGCACTGGAAAGCCTATCTTGAAGGTCCAAGGTGGCCGGTAAGTGCTCAATTGCACCCGCAATGGTGGATTATTGCTAATGTTGGTCGCTTTCAGCTCGTCCCTCGGAGGTATCTTACTCGCGCTACGACCCCGGCCTCCATCGAATATACTCACCTCTCCCGATAGGTTACACTGCCACCGTCTTTGGCGCCACCGGTTTCTTGGGTCGCTACATTGTCAACCGTCTCGGTAGGTTCAGGGATTGGCTTGTATGAAGGGCAATGGTCACTAACATCCTGTAGCTAAGCAGGGATGCAACGTCGTGATCCCCTACCGTGAGGAGATGACCAAGCGCCACTTGAAGGTCACTGGTGATCTGGGCCGCGTCAGCTTCATTGTATGGCGCTCTTTCAGTAACTGGCAGTCGGCGAGTTGGAGCTAATCAGTCCCAGGAATACGACCTGCGCAACACCCAGTCCATCGAGGAGAGCGTCCGTCACTCCGATGTCGTTTACAACCTTGTTGGTCGCCAATATCCCACCAAGTGAGTGCAAGAAGGGTCATACGGGGTTGAGAATCGGTCAATTGACCAAAGTCCAGGAACTTCTCCTACACCGATGTCCACGTCGACGGTGTCGAGCGCATTGTCGAGGCCGCCGCCAAGTACGACGTCGACCGCTTCATCCACGTTTCCTCCTACAACGCCAACCGCGCCTCCGAGTCTGAGTACTTCGCTACCAAGGTGGGTTTCTACCTGTTCGATGGGTCCAATTGCAGAGATACTAAGACATTACTAGGGCTGGGGTGAGGAAATCGTTCGTTCCATTTACCCCGAGACCACCATCGTGCGACCTGCCCCGATGTTCGGTTTCGAGGACAACCTTCTTCACAAGCTTGCCGGTGTCACCAATTTGTTCACTGCCAACCACATGCAGGAGCGCTTTTGGCCTGTTCACGTATGTCCCGTGATCCCCTCCGAATATTACTTAAATTAACTTATCTTGCAGGCCATCGATGTTGGCAAGGCTCTCGAGATCATGCTGCACGACGACAGCTCCGTTGGTCAGACCTACGAGCTTTACGGTCCCAAGAACTACTCCACTGCCGAGATTGCTGAGCTGGTCGACCGCGAAATTGTCAAGAAGCGCCGCCACTTGAACATTCCCAAGGCCATTCTCAAGCCCTTGGCCTACAACCTCAACAAGTACATCTGGTGGCACACTATGTCCGCCGATGAGGTTGAGCGTGAGTTCCACGACCAGGTCATCGACCCAACAGCCAAGACCTTCAAGGATCTCGGCATCCCCCAGACTGAGCTGGCTGATCTGGCCGATCTGACCTTCCACTACTTGGTATGTCTTTTTCCTAAGAATCTCGTTGTCAGTACTAACATATCTGCAGCAAATGTACCGTAGCGCCTCCTACTACGATCTTCCCCCTGCCACCGAGCGTGAGAAGCGCGAGGAGAAGAAGTACGTTCACGTGCTGGACGACCAGTAGTTTGTGTTTTTTAATGTGTATATAAGCCCTTCCTAGACCCAATTTCAATTTCCTTGTGTTGTCTGGACTCTTCGAATCTAGAGTCTACCCGTAGTGTAGCTGTACTAATAACTGGTGGATAACTGGTCTACCCCAACTCCGCCCCGCAATCGCGATAACATAGAAAATCGATCCCACTTGACAACTTCCCTCCAACCACAAAATGCCTTCACAAACCCCCATATTCCTCCTCAAAACGAGATCATCGCCCCACGATGGCTACGACTATTTCCTCAACGCACAGGGCTACAATCCCTCCTTCATCCCCGTCCTAGAACACCGCTTCAATTCCAAGAACCTAGCTCAAGTGCGGGACCTGTTCGCATCCGGCGCATTCGAGCTGAATGATGCCAATGCCAATGCCAATACCAATATCAACAATGATTCCAAAGCTCAATCCAAGAAATACGGCGGCATGATCTTCACCAGCCAGCGCGCAGTGGAGGGATTCGCGGAGATGATTGAGCAAGATGGCCGTAAGTTGCATTCTGACCCAATCCATACAACCACAGCCACAACACGGCTTCATAGAAGATACTAACTACGTACTTTGCGCATGCAGTCCCCCTCCCATCCACGCCCTTGGTTCTTTACACAGTCGGCCCAGCCACAGCCCGAACCCTGACAACCCTCCGAGACAAGCATATCCCATCCGCAAAGATCTACGGCGCAGATGCAGGAACGGGCGAGAAGCTTGCACACCTGATGCTGGAACACTATAACGCCCTGCATCCATCAACACCCGAATCCCTATCCCCCAATGAAGCCAAGCCCGGCCTCCTATTCCTAGTCGGCGAACAACGCCGCGATATCATTCCCAAAACACTTATGTCGGACTTATTACCAGTCCAAGACCGTATCCCCGTGCACGAAATTGTGGTTTACGAGACAGGGGAGATGGAGTCTTTTGAGAAGGATTTTGAGAGTGCTGTGGCTATTGCACAGAAAGATAAGCAGATCGAGCCTTGGGTTGTGGTTTTTTCGCCGTCCGGGTGTGAGGCTATGTTGAGGGTCTTGGGATTGGGTCCATTCAAGCGTGATGGGAATGAGGGTAGGGGTGTTTTTGTGGCTACTATTGGGCCTACGACGAGGGACTATTTGCATAATACTTTTGGGTTTGAGGCGGATGTTTGTGCAGAGAAACCTAGTCCTGAGGGGGGTTGTTGAGGGGATTAGGAGGTTTATGGAGTTGCGCAAGAGTGCATGATCTGGATCTTGCTACGGCGATTTCAGTCTCGTGGTTTGGTGTATAGTATATATAGTTGTATACGGGACCTAGAAGTGCAATTGGACAAACCACATAGATTTTTGCGTATTTTCAAGTGCTGTGCTTCTAATCACAAGAATTCCCATTCCAGGGTTGAATGACGTTGCATGCTCGATAAACAAATGTAGACCTTTCTCAATTTACCGCATAATCTCCTCGTAGATCAGAACTGCACAAGTTAGTCAACATATCAGAGGAAATGCATGTGGGGACTACGTACTCTTCAGCTGTTCTTTGCTCAGTGTGTCCTTGTTCTTGTCGAAATCAAAGAATCCTTCGGGAATTGGAGGTGCGGTCGGCTCGTCATCAGGGTCGTGGTATGGCTCGAGGTATGGGTGGCGCAGGGCGTCCTCGACCGAAATACGCTTAGCCGGGTTGAAGGCCAATAGTTTCTCGAGCAGATCCAAGGCCATGTCGTTGCTCTTAGGGAAGAGAGCACGGAAGGGAATCTTCTTCTTAAATGGGAGGGAGCGGATGTACTCGCGGGCTCGTCGTGACTTAATACCGTAGTAGTCTTCCATGGTGGGCGTACCCAGGACATCCAAGATAAGGGTCAACTGGTGGTGATCTAGGCACAATTGTTAGTATGATAGTTTGCGACAACACGCGGTTGTAACGTACAATCCTTTCCAGGGAAGAGAGGCTTCCCGCTCAGCATCTCGGCCAAGATACAGCCCACACTCCAGACGTCAATGGCCTTGGTGTATTCCTTGAATGTCAACATGATCTCCGGTGCACGGTACCAACGAGTGGCGACATATTCCGTCATGAAACCCGAGTTGTCGTCGGTGGATGCGGCCGATCGCGCCAGACCAAAGTCGCACACTTTCAAATCGCAATTGGCATTCAACAGAAGGTTGGAGGGTTTCAAGTCACGGTGGAGAACATTGGCGGAGTGCATGGCCTTGAGCGCACGCAGGGTCTGGTAAATGAAGTATTGGCAATGATCGTCCGATAGCTCTTGTGTACGAATGACTCGGTGCATGTCGGTTTCCATCAGCTCCTGCGAGGGGTTAGTTGATCAGGTACTGGTTTCTCAAGATCCAGATCCACTTCGCATACCTGAATCAGGTACACTTCGCTAAAGGCCTCGTAATTACGAGGCCTTTGAATATCCAGAATGGAGATGATATTCTCGTGGTTAAAGTACCGCAACAGCTTCATCTCACGCAATGTGCGCAGACAAAACATGGAATGGTCGAACGGAGTAATCTTTTTGATGGCAACCTTCTGGCTGGACGGTTTGTGGATGGCGGAGCTACACATTATAAGCTTAATTGGCCTCAACTGGACCCGGCACCACTCACCAGACCACACCGTAAGCACCCTCTCCGATGACATCCTGAATCTCATATTGGTCGGACACATTGAAAGAGATCTTCCGCGACCCGCCGGATGGGGGGTTCTGCTGACCCATGTCGGAACTGATCCTCGTTAGCTCGGAATGCAGATGCGGGGAAGCCAGAGTGAATCGCGGAGCTGCTGATCCATGCTTGGAGAGACCGAGCTCGGAGAGACGAAGTCTAAGCAAGCGCCAATTCCGAAAATTGGAGGACTGGTCCAAACCCGAGTATTGAGGAGTTTATCCACTCGGGAACAGCTAGCGCGGGTTTGTTGACAAATAGTCACCAAAAGGTGATAAACGCCACATCTCATAGAACACCCAAAAAAAATCAAATCGGGAAACAAGCTTACTCTTTCTGTTTGTGCTGGGGGTGTGACTGCGAGTCCTAGCCCTTGCGCTGCCGGGTGTTTGGTCTGGAGTTTCGCACAATCTCTCCTGGACGCTGGTTGAGATGGGTCCGTACGTAGCTGAGAACTTCGGCGAGACGTGTACGGATATGTCGACAGTAGATAAATGCGAATAAGGGGTAGAAGGTATCGGGAGCTGGTGAATCACCAAATGAATGTTTCGGGAGGTTTCTGAGTAGGTGTTAGTTACGCTTGCGACAACGCAGTGCAGCCGTGCAGCCGTGCCGAGGCGGGGTTCTTGAAGTTACCCGATCACACCACCCGACTCGGGAAAGATTCAGGAAGATTCATAGATTACTTACAGAGCTGCCAGGATTGATGAGGGAGGGAAGAAGGGAGTTTCATGGAAGGTGGGGAGAGGAGGAACAGAGGAATCAGCGGGACTCACGGGCCGTCAATGATGGTGGGGCAAGCTCAATAGGAGAAGAAATACACACTATTTATATATGAGTTTTAAGGGGCCGAATTAAAAACTATAAATCTTTCAGATCATCTTAGTGGTTTGATCTATCATGTTTAATTCCAGAGGTTTGGTTTTAGTTGAAGGGAATGTTATTATACAGTAGAACTAGAACCCTTTGGAACCTTGGCTCCGTTTCCCATTAATCTCCTCTTCTCTCCACTATCAACTATCAAAACACCAACCTCCCACATACGACATACCTGTAGCTAGGATCAAACGACTGAGACTAAACCACATGTGCAGCCACCAGCGCCAAATCCTCCTCCTTCACTTGCACACACGCTACTGTCGGAACCTGATCACAATCACAGCTCCACTCGGCGTTTCTGATTGGGGCGCCGCGTATTCCGCCCAGGTTTCACCCCCAAACACGCTATTCCATTGGCCTGTAGATCGGTGGGCGACTAATTTTCATGGTGAACACGAAACAAATACAGGAAATAAACCTTAGCATTTTCTGAAACGATAACTGGGTCTCTCTCGGTGTCACAAAAAGAAAAGAAATTTGGCAAAGGACTCCAGTTGTCCTATACGCGTAGTCTACTAAGATTCCAAACATAAATGTGCCCGCCATTGAACAGAGATTCCGAGCCCCTAATGGTACAGGCAAACCGAGCATCACAGATCGTAGTGTAAAAAAAAGAAAAAAGTGGGAAGGGGATAAGGAAACGTGGGATTCATGAGAAATAAGAAGAAACTCTACATGGGACTGGCATTTACTGCACAACCTATACGAGACATATAGAATCAGTATATGAAGTCAAGGAGAATCGCAGAATGATCAACTCAGAGAACCTCATACCTTCTCCCGGAGAGTGGTCATCCACTGATCCAAGCTCACACTCTGGTCAGCCCGATCCTCCACCAACATCGTCTGGGCCCAGAGACGGAGACCGGGCTCTCCATCCTCGCGCACCACGTACAGGTGAGGCACAATAATGCTGCCAGCACCCTTGGACCGGTGGTCCCGACTCTTCTCCACTACAGCGCGCATACGCTGGCTGAACTCGTTTTCAATCTCGGGCAGAATCTGCTTGCCCACGCGCAACTGAGTGCGGTCGGCCACACCAAACACATCCTCGATGAGTTGGGGCACCGCATCGCGGCCGACCCACAGGAACTGTGTCTGTCCGTCGTCAATCAGGTACAGACCGTACGAGGCGAGACGCTGGGAGGACAGGTTGATCGTAGGAGGAAGAATGATCTCTCCGGTCTGAGGGTCCGGCAGACCCGCGGCGTCGGGCATGTCATGGAGCGAGTACATCTTCGGATAGATGTATTGGATAAGAAGCGGCAGGGGCAGAGTCGACAAGAGACACAATGCGGCAGAACGCATATCCGTCGGGATCTGGGCAGACTTGCGAAGACCAAGCTACATCGGGGCACAATTAGTATCATAGACATAGATAGGGGTGTTATTAATACTCACATTCTTGATCATAGCGAGGAACAAGACGGGCAGACCGCGCAGATTGGCAGGGAACTGGAGACCACCGCCGCTCACGCTACCACCAGCAAGCTCTTTGCGGTAGGTGGTCAAGAGCTCAATAACCTTGGCCTGTAGAGCTTCACGAGCCGGCTCGAGGCCACTGCTCAAAGTACGCTCCACAGCTTTGTGGCTGAAGAAGGTTGCCACAGCTTGCTGATCAGCAGAAGCGTAGATGTCGGCCAGGTTCTGAGTGGTCGGGAGTGCCAGCGTGAGGACACGAATCCGACGCTCGCCATTGCAGGTGGTGTGGAGAACGGCAGCTTGCAGGCAAACCACCGGCTTTGTCACAGTCTCATCGATAGCCACCTCAACAACGTAGGCCTGGTCACGGGGGAAGGCCGGGAAAGCACAGAGGTCGGAACTGCGGTTGAAGAAGTTTCCGTAGAAGGTACTCATGCGCAGGCCGGTAGTGGCACGAACACGGAGAACAGCCTCCAAACCGATCTCGGATGACAAGTGGTCAGAAAACTCACGAGCAAACTTAATAGCATCCTCTTTGCGTGCAGCGTTCCACCCGGGGTAGAAGTATGTCTGACCGCCAGTGTAACGAGGCAAGTTGCTCAAAGAGGCCACATCCTGGTACTGGGATGAGAAGAGGAACATGTCCACAGACACTTGAGCCTTGGAGCATTCGACAGCGAAGCTCTTGTAGAAAGAGTTGCCGGTCTGCAGAAGACTCGATTCCTTGCTGGTACCGAGTACCTTCTTGTCCTCACGCATGGTGAGAGCACCGTGACCAATGTTGGGCAGCGATGCGCTCAAGACGGTGACCTTACCACCCACGGGGGAGATCAGCTGGTAACCAGCCCGCAGAGCCGATCCCATAGCGCAGCTGTTGTTCTGGGTGTTCTGGAACATCTCCTGCAGCTTGTCGAGGAAAGACTCCACATTCTCCCGGCATTCGCTCAGCGTCACCAAAAGATCAGTAGGAATGGGCAGGAAGGGCTCATCGAGGTCACTGACAACCAGCATACGGGCTTCAGAGCTCTCGGTGCCATCTCGGGGGATACTGAAATAGTGCAGACTGGAGTCGACCGCGATGAAACCAAGGCGGGTTCTTCGGTCTGCGTTGGGAATACGATCAAGACTCTCCTTGATACAGCGTGCACTAGTAGCCAGGAGACCACTGGCCACAGAAGAGTAGCTGACATCGAGCAAGAACAGGTAAACGAGCGGCTGAGGGGGGCGGACCATGTATTCTTGGGGAGCAACGAATTCGACCATGCTGTGGTTCAGGTCGGCACGCAACGAACGGTCAGCGGGCTTCTGCAGGGTCGAGTCCCAATCAAATGCTTGCGGTACATCATTGGTCAGGTTGCACATGTTACAACGCCAGCGGTGGCCATGGTCGAGGAAAGTGACGAAGGGGTTAATATAAGAGCGGCAGCGTCTGCATCGTGAGATGACCTGGTCGGGGATCACAGGAATGGGGTCCTCGGCGTCGTGAAGTGCGCCATAGGGCTGAATAACCAAAGCGAATGGTAGCTTGGACTTCTTAAGGAGGGAATTATTTGTCGGAACGGCATTCAAGGTCGACCGCATATATTTTGTGGGGCAGTTGGCCGTGGGGGATGGGTAAACACTGGTCTGTGTATTATTAGTATCTCCAGGATCAAGTAGGAGGGATGAAGACGTACCCCGGGGGGCAGAATAATAGGAGGCGGGGGGTAGTCTAATTCTGCGACATTGAAAGGTTGCGAGATGAGGTCCGTGGGGTAGAGCTGGTTCAGTTGAACGTTGCGCTGAGGCTGAACCGCGGGCTGCTGAGGCGGGGGCATGTGGTGCGGCTCGGCCATGCCCATTCCACCGAATTGGCTGGTCATTTGCGCAACATCTGGGGCAGGTGCTACGGGTTGTTGCATCTGGGTTGGGTCGGCGCCGTATGTCGGTTGCTGGTATCCCATGGTTTGGGGTTGCTGGGGATAGGCATCGTAGGCGCCTCCGGCGACAGGCTGTCCTCCGAGTGCAGCATTGGCACCCGCGCCAAACTCAAAAGCCTGGCCAGCGTATGCTCGCTTCTTCTTTCCGCCAGCGGCTTGTGGTGCTTGCTGGGGGACTGGCGACTCCTGCTGCTGCGTAGGATCCGGGGAGCCATAGCCCGGCTGGGCGTACCCTTCCTGGGGAGGGTAACCCCCTTGTGGAGCTGCCATTAAGGTCGGCGGAGATCGTTTGTATCGGAATTAAATTCCTTGATGTGAATGGAGAGCAGGGAAGAGGAATAGGGAATGAGGTCCGGGTCTTGGTTCAGTTGATACGGGGGAGGGGATGCGGGTGACAGCTTCGCTACCTAGAACCCCACAGTTAGATTTTGAGCATGGATCACTATGCAGAGCAGAAGAATTATCCGCGAACCAAAACAGCTTCAATTATCCACCGGAAGGGAGAGGCTTACCGAGACGAAGACACGAGGGGAATCGAACACGGAGAAGCGGTGATGGAGTTGGTGGTGTACGGTGGCCTTTACGTTGCGGCTGTTCAGCCAATCACGAGACGGCGGAGCTTACAGTAGGAGACTTATACTTGGGTTTCTACACCTGCCTACACTTAGAACTAACGTAATGTCATGAGGCGTCTATTTATGGAAAGTTATATATTCAAGTACATGCTCTGGGTCTTGCTTTTCCAACTTGTAGATATAAGTACAGTAGTAAAATGACTGGTGTGCAAGTGTCACAGGTTATATATATTCCCGTATTGACTCGGGAACCGACTACTTGACTGCCCAGCGGCCTGTGCACTTTCATGATCCTCAAAATTAAAAAGACTTTTTCAAGGTCATCCGAGGTCATCATCCATTGTATATTTTAGGAGAGGCCAATTTGCTTCTCTCGGTGGTCATCACCCTAGAAGACAAGAATGTGTGTGATCAAATAATAGTGTCGAACACGTTGCCCGGCCAACACTAAACAAACGCGGTGTCTCTTCACCTCACGAACTCCACACTGTTCAATCTTCTCAGTCTTTGCGTCCCCTCACGGTAGGTAGGTATTTAGGTAGTTTTCTCTTTCTTTTCCTTTTCGTTTTATTTTCTGTGGAGGATTGAATTATATATTTACGTTGCATTTGTTTTTGTTCGCTCCACGCATCGGAAGCCAGCCTGCAGCATTTCGTCCCGATACCCGCAACTTCGAGCAACGTGCATGCGTTGATCCAGCAACATGAGCGTTCGAGTCGTCGCCCGAGTCCGACCCCTTCTGAAGGCCGAACGGGAATTGGATATTATTCTTCGCACTGGAGCATCATCCGCGCCCGTGGACCTCAAGCAGTCAGCCAACGGCGACCGCAAATTGGCTGCATTGAGGGACCGGGATAACGTGGTACGGATCCCAAACCCCAAGAATGAGGGTGAAGAATACACCTTCCAGTTTAATGCGGTGTATGATGCCGATGTGGCTCAGCAGGAACTATTCGATGCCGAGGGTAAGTGGCTTAAGGGGGGATTGAAGGTCACCGCCATTTGAGGAAATCGTCCGTACTGATGGCAGGATGATAGTTGCGCCCACGATCAAGCACCTTTTCAATGGATTCGATGTGACGCTCTTCGCATACGGCGTGACTGGAACTGGAAAGACGCACACGATGCGTGGCGGTAAAAGCCTTGCAGACCGTGGTGTCATCCCCCGACTCCTTAGCGGCATCTACCGACGAAACCGGAAAATCGAGAAGGATAGCAATGGTGAGACCACAGTTCAGGTTGCACTTAGCTACTATGAAATCTACAACGACAAGGTCTATGATTTGTTTGAGCCACCCGAGAAGCGTACATTGGCAGGCCTTCCTCTTCGCGACAACGGGGGCAAGACAGTGGTGTGCGGCCTTACCGAGAAGACGTGCACCAGTTTAAAGGAATTTGAAGTGCTATATGATCAGGCGAACAACAACCGCTCCACTTCGGCGACCAAGGTACGCATGATCTCGATAAACAGGCGGATTTAGACTGACAAAGGATCCAGTTGAACGCGCATTCGTCTCGTTCCCACGCAATCCTTGGCGTGAAGGTGACAATTTGCTCCGCCGACCAGACTCGAGTCAGCACAATATCTGCGATTGACCTTGCGGGTTCGGAAGACAATCGACGTACTGAAAATGACAAGGAACGCATGGTCGAGTCAGCCAGTATCAACAAGAGCCTATTTGTTCTCGCGCAATGTGTCGAGGCTATCACCAAGAAGCAGCATCGCATCCCATACCGCGAATCCAAAATGACGCGAATTCTATCCCTAGGCCAAAACAACGGACTGACCGTGATGATTCTAAACCTGGCACCAATCCGGTCGTATCACTTGGACACCATTAGCTCCTTGAATGTAGCCAACCGCACAAGGAAGATCGAGGTACGGGAAATCGAAAATGACCCGATATTCAAAGGGCCTGCCAGACCGGCTCCACGACCATCAATGGCGAGCTCCCGGCAGCCCCTGCGGCCGCTCGTTGCTTCCGTCAACGTGAACATGCCCGCTCCTGCTGCAAAGGACCCGGCTGCGAAGGACGAGGGCAAGCCTATTAAGGCTTTCAGTGTCTTTTCTGATCGGCCTAAGCCTGTGACTCAGATTCGGAAATCAGAAATCCCCAAAAGACCCTCTCTGGCATCTGAGACACCTGCCATGCGCTCTCTGAAACCACCTCGCCAGCCTGTTGCAGCGAACAACCCTATCTCCAGCTATGCGGACCTCTCTGCTGCTAGAATTGAGGAAATGGTTGAAAAGAAGGTCGAGGAGCTTCTTGCTGTTCGGGCCGAGGGCGAATTGTCAAGGCAGATTCAAGTCCGTGAACTGAATGACCAGCTTCAGCGTCGTCTGGAGCTTCTTGAGCAGCGGATTGAAGGTACCGAGGATGATCGAGCAGAGGGCCTCTCTTACTTGCTTATGGCCAAGCAACACCAGGCGCGTGGGGAAGACAGCTCTGCTTTGAGGATGTACCAGCTAGCGCTTCCACACTTCCCACATAACAATAAGCTGGTCGCCAAGATTGCTGCTTTGAAGAAGCGCATGCAAGATAAGCCCTCAAGACAGACTTCCATTCCCGCTTCTCCTCCCAAGGAAAAGTTTGGAAGTATGCTGTCGTTGAAGAGCGAGTCCACCCTTACTATTCTTGGAAAGCGGCAGACCGAGGCAGTTGATGATGACTATTTGAACGAGGTGGAGAATGATGGGTTCTCAAGCGACGAAGAAAACATCCCTCGGCACAAGAAGCGTGCTACATCCAAGAGCGTTCGCCAGAGTGAAAATGAAATTCATGACCTTGACGAATATGAGGATGGCTCTCTGTCCCCTCGCACTATGCACCTTTTGTCGATTATCAATTCGCGGGATGTGAGCCAGATCAAACTTCTGAAGGGGGTCGGTGCGAAAAAGGCAGAGGCTCTTGTCGACTGCCTCTGTGAGATGGACCAGGTCTCAAATGATGATATGGTATCAGACCAACCCATGTTTCAGGTGGAGAGCTTAGCCCAGCTGAGCACTCTGAAAGGTGTTGGCGTTCGAACCGTTGAGAACATGCGAAACGGAGTCCTGGTTTAATGATTGCATTATTGCGGCTTTGGGCATATACTCGGAGCTTTCTACTATTTTTTCTTCTTCTTATATGCATCTTCCTTCAGCGACGGCGCTGGGGCGTTTTGGTCGCTACTTTCAAAGTTACGGCAGCTTTGCAGTCATGTTCTTTTTTTTTTTTTTTTTTTGGCTCAGCTGAGCCTGTTTCAATACATTCTGTTTCAGACGTTATGATAAGCCAATGCAGTGTCATTTGTATCTATATGCGTAATCCATTATTCAATATCGTATACTTCGGGCCCTCTTCTATTATATCCATTATCCTTGCTGTATTTTACCACGTCAACTGCCCTCATTACACCTTATTCAGCTTGGTCCCGCCAACGATGATCCTGGCAACCACAAACAACGTTGCGCCAGCTAACATGACTACACCAGCGAATATTTGCAGCTTCGTGTAGGAGCCGGTCAGTACATCCGGAACCAATGCACCGCCGATAGGTGTACCGGTAAGAGCCGCGAACGAAATGATCGAGAAGCAAGTACCGTTGCGTACTCCGACCTCTCGCAAATCCGAGATCTGGGCAATGAGTGCTGGGGCAAGTGACACAAATGCACCGGAGCTGAAGCCATACAGGGCGCTGAAAACAATTGCAGGTGCATTCCCGCGAGACGGAAGCCATAAGGCCAAGACCAGAATACCAGATAGGTAACTGAAGACGATCATCACGTTGAATCGGCCCAGGCGATCTGCCAGATATCCTGGAACGGTACGACCGAAGATACTATACAAATTCATCAGCTAATGAATCACCCCGTCAGAGAATCAAACTTACCTGAACGCATTCAAGATCGGAATAAGGTACTGCGACATGTTGGATGACATTCCATACCGCTCAGCTTGAGTGATGACAAAAGTGAACGGCAAGAACATGCCCCAGAAGAAACAGAAGCTACCAGCAACGGTCATGACAAATTTGATATCCTTGAGCGGGTGCACAAAGACCATAAGATTGACCGGTTTTCTGTGATGCGGCAATCTTGATTTCAACGTCAAGTTGGCAATACCCAACATGAACAGAATGAGGAATGCACAGATTCTCATGGCCCAGGGGAAATCGACCTCGGGAATCAGATGCGTCACCATAATAGGGAAGATCACTCCGCCCAAACTCGATCCTGAAGCCATGACTCCCAGCGCAAATGCGCGCCGTTTCCCGAACCATGTGCTGACGGAGTTCACGCAAGCGTTGAAAATAGCACTTGCGCCTAGTGGGCTGCAGATACCCTGTGCGAGGATAAACTGGTAGTATTCGGTTGAAAGCGAGGTCATCATGAGGCCGAAGACGTGGAGAAAGGTGCCGCCGAGCAAGATCCATCTTGGACCAAAGTTATCGAAGAGTAGACCGAAAATCGGGCCCTGTCAGGGTTAATTCATGTGTTCTGTTGCTTTGGATCTGAGGATTACAAACAGCAAAGAACATTACGAATGTCTCCAGGGAGGTGATCCAGGCTACTGTGCTGGGTGACATGCCGCTAAGCTGGTTGCTTTCATAGTATGTTTGGAAAACACCGATGCCTATCACGTTGTCAACAGATGTATAACCCGGATATACAGCGAAACTCACAGTTGATCCATCCAAAACTAACGAATAGGCCACAGAACCCTCCCAACACTGTCATCCAAGCTTGTAGTCCTCCATCGGGAGGTGGACCTGGACCAGGAGGTCCTGCAGGAGGCGCATCGGATTTCTCTGGGATGCCTTTTGCGCTCACGTCCTGTGCCACCTCATTCTTATCCTCTACTTTGCCCTTTTCAATGTCGTGAATATGATCGCTTATGGAGACATCGGACGGCGGGGTATTGATTATAGTGCTGTGGGTGGAAGGCACATCGTGCTCTTGATCGACCGCCATCTTGTCGCTGTCGCAAATAGGAAATATACCGACTCTTAACTCCGAGAGTCTGAAGTCTGTACAATTTAGCGAGTTAGCGAGCATGCTTATATACGATCAATCCCAAAAGCACAGTATAGAAAGATCGCCAAGAACCTCAGAACAACCGCATCCACTAGGGGATGGCTGCTGAATCGACTTACCTGGATTGATTTCAAAGCCGCAAATCGGAGATTAAACTCTAAAAGAAGCAGCACCGCCAATCCCTTACATGCGTGAAAAGAAGCTTTAAAGGGAAAGAAGCTTGTCTTGTCCTACAAGAAAGCCCGAAAGCGAAAGCAGTGACAGATGTAAGAAGAACAAAGGTAAGAAAAAAAAATAGGACCGTCGGTTAATGCACGCTCGGCATCGCGTCCAGCGAATGTCCGCGATCTGCTAGTTTGGAGTAATAAGCTCCGCTTAACCCCGAATAGACGCTTGGCAATTAGGCCATCCATGTATACACGGGGGTAGGGCTTGAGCTTGGGTCTCCTGCCGAACAATTTCGGCTCCACCGCCCCTTTTCCTTTTAGGCTTTTAGGGGTCTGTACCTCGTAACCCACTTTCTCGACGGGATGAGCCGAAATCGCACCTGTTTATCTGATGAAGGGAATCAGAAATAATAGCCGGGTGTGATGCGGAGTTTGGTGGATAACAGGGATTGGCTGTTCCATGGTGTTGCATGGATGTTGATCATTAATCACTGATTACCGATCACAGTACCGATGCCGTGTAGAAGTAGTCCTAAGTGTCAAATCAGTCTCTAGTACCATGACCCACTGCTTATGCACTTATACATGAATGAAATGAATGAAATGAATCAATAGAGTTAGAGTGACTTGCTGAATAGTACCGAGGGCTAACAAGGTACCTGCGTAAGTAGCACGGTGATACTTAGCTGACCTGTATGGTTGGAAAGGATTGCTAATGTCTTATGAACTCAGTTCAAGCTGAGTCTAAATGAATCTCAACACTGATCGACATGGAACTAAGCCAAAAGACTGGCCTAGACCCTGGAATATTTGGACGGCAGATAGCCATGATTTGAGATTCCTGCGATACTGTACAATATGCCATTGCAAAACCACTCTAAGCCCATAAAACAAATGCGAGACCAACCAATTTCATAGCTTTTCCACTTTCTTCGTGCTAATGACTTCCTCCACTTCAACCTTGCCATCGGAGCGAATCTGTGCGATGCTTTGGCTGATTACCTTGATATCCTGGTCCAGGGTCTCAACGGAGCGGGTAAGATGAGGCACGGTCACCTTCTCAGCTTCCAACTGCTGAGGAGTATAGGTGAGTCCTCGAGGGGTGCCTGCAATCTCGTTTACTTCCTGAGCGGACAGAACATCGTTCAGGCGGGGACCGCGCGATTGCACGAGGACAGTCGCAGGGCCGTCAAATTGCATAAAGAGCTGATGAAGAATTGAAATTAGCGAGGACTCCAAGCTCAGGATCAAGGATTCATCATCTTACCCTATCACCCCAGATGGTCATGCGAGACCAGGTTCGTAGCTTATGGAAGAAGCGCATAGTAGACTTCCAGGCCTTGGCATTGGTCACATTCTTGATGAATTCATTGTTTTGCAATAATCTGGGCAATGTCTTCAAGCCAGGGACCTGGAAGCTGAGCGTGGTAGACTTGAAGCGATATGGCCGAGGCGGGTTCGAAGACATGGTGTAAGCCAACACGTTACTGTGAAAGAAAAAATGAGCAACCATAATGTACACGAAAGTAGAATAACATACCTAGGGTGAGCGATATACTGCTCGCCGTCCTTCAATTCGACGGAGTATACCTGACCGTTGCCAACCAAGGCAATCAAACCTCTTCCAGTCACCTCGGAGCTACCCCAGTGAGTCAAGCCCTATGCAAGTTAGCCAGAATCTGTAACAGGCCCGGATCACTACAAACCAAGTTGGTATTGATGGTCGGCTTAATGGACAGAGACCGGCCCGTCCATGCCAGCAAAGCGTTCCGCTGAGCCACCATCCAATCCACAGAGCCATTGAGATTCACAACACTGAAGGAAGTCGTCGGAGAGCGAGTGGAAATGAGCGCAGTAACCGGGCTTGCTGAAGAAACCTGCCAAAAGGTCAGTCAGCCACTTTCAAGGGATGATCCCCGATCAGAAAGTATGCGCCGCACCTTTTGATAGAGGAAGGGCACTCCGATAGCCGCCCTGCGGAAGGGTTCCAGAACGCTCAAAGTTGAAACCACCTGCGAACGAAAGAAACGTCAACAATCCATCCTCACACCATTAAGCCTGGATATTCAAATCATACATTGTCTGCCTTGCCGCTTAATCCCACCAAAGTTCCCCGACGCGTGTATAGGTTCTGCGAGGCCGAGAGCGACACCGAAAGGAGCGAGTATGGGGCGCCAACAACATCGAATCGCGCATCTATGAAACTGATCATTAGTTCACGTTCTCGCGCCCTTCAATAAGGCTACATACCGCGTGATTCCGCTGAATTGGGAGTGCTGGCGAGGGGTAGATGATCCCCGTTTACCGTTGGCTCCGCCGAAGGCGTGGCGCGAATTTGAACATATCTTGTTTGTCGGTGGACTCGAGGAACGACTCGAGTCCAGGACAGAGTCCGGACACCTCTTGGGAGGGCGCGACTCATTGTACCAAAAGAGTGGACTGGGTTGGCACTGAGAGAACTTTACGTCAGTTTTCGGAGCTTCAAGATCAGTGAAACACGGGAAATCATGGTCCCGAGCGAACGAACACAGTTTGGTAACAATGAACTACATACATTGACTCTTTTACTACGTTTCATCCGATAACTTTATTTTATTATACTTCATATCTGGTCTCCTTTCCATTTGTGTTTGTTTCCCATACTATACCCTCCAAAGGTCCTTATTCCCAATTCCGACGCTTTTCTCCGAAGCCGGCGACTCCCAAGGTTTCCCCACGAGCTGTCGCAAGCGCGGAGCTGCTGCACGCCATTCTTCCCCTCCGAGCTTCATTATGCTCCCCTGAACACCTCTAAACTGGTGAAGCATACCACATTTTCTGGCTAGGTCTTTGTTAGCAGCCATGCTGCCTAGGGCAGTCCGATCGAAGTGCTGGCGCCCAGCGCTGTACGCACATCCGCGCACCGCCGGTCGTTTTTCCAGCACGAGACCAATTCCCACACAACTACGCACGTTTAGCTTAAAGCCTATCCTCCGGAACCAATCTACAAACAATAAAGACAGCATATCCAAGAACGATGCTGCCGCAACTACCCCGCCTTCGCAACCGGAAATCGCAAATGCCTCTGTGGTTCCGCAGCTGGAGGCCGAGGCCAAGGTCCAGGTCCCTAAGAAGGATCTCGCCAAGCAGGAATTGCTTAATGAAGGAGCAATTGCAAACAAGGACCAGCGAAAAGCGGACTGGGCCATTATGCGGGAAATGGCTAAATACCTCTGGCCTAAGGTAATGCTCTCGGGAGACGTACAAGTAGGAAGTACTGACCATACTTGTAGGATGATTTGGGCACAAAGCTTCGGGTTGGAACAGCTTTGTCTTTGTTGGTGGGATCAAAGGTGGGTTTAGCTGACTTGAAGGGTTATGTTTGAAATGCTGGATCAGCAGTACTAACGAACCTTAGATCCTTAATGTCGAGGTCCCTTTTTACTTCAAAAGTATTGTTGATTCCATGAATGTGGACTTTGCTACTCTCGGAGGAACCGCCTATACAGTTGCAGGGTCGATGATTATAGCATGTAAGGGATCTGACATATGTCGGGTGAAAGCTTGTCTAACCTAACTTCTTTCGCAGACGGAGTAACTCGAATCGGAGCAACACTCTTCCAAGAACTTCGAAACGCAGTATTTGCGAGTGTCGCACAGAAGGCCATTCGCAAAGTTGCACGCAATGTATTCGATCATCTTCTGCGGCTCGATCTCAACTTTCACCTATCGCGTCAGACTGGTGGACTAACCCGGGCTATCGATCGCGGTACAAAGGGTATCAGCTTCTTGTTGACTTCTATGGTCTTCCACGTGGTGCCCACTGCGCTAGAAATTTCTTTGGTGTGCGGAATCTTGGTAAGGACTTTGAAAACTGAATTATAGATCCAGTGCTGATCCGCTTCCAGACTTATCAATATGGCTGGAAATTTGCGGCGATCACTACCACCACTATGGTCGCTTACACGGCATTCACCATCACCACTACCGCATGGCGTACCAAGTTCCGTCGTCAGGCCAATGCGGCTGACAACCGCGGAGCTACGGTGGCAGTCGACTCGCTTATCAACTATGAGGCCGTGAAGTACTTCAACAATGAGAAGTTCGAGGTGGCCCGATACGATAAGGCTCTGAAGCACTACGAGGATTCATCCATTAAAGTGACCACCTCTTTGGCCCTCCTGAACTCCGGCCAAAACATGATCTTCTCGACAGCCCTGGCAGCTATGATGTACCTGGCAGCCGATGGGGTTGCCACAGGTGCCCTGTCAGTCGGTGATCTCGTCATGGTGAACCAATTGGTCTTCCAACTCTCCGTGCCCCTGAACTTCCTCGGATCCGTCTACCGCGAACTGCGCCAGTCTCTGCTGGATATGGAGACGCTGTTCAACCTACAAAAGGTCAACGTGACGATCCAAGAGCGGCCGAATGCCAAACCGCTAGAGCTGAAGCGCGGCGGAGAGATTCGTTTCGAGAACGTCACATTCGGCTACCACCCCGACCGCCCGATCCTGAAGAATGCCAGCTTCACCATCCCGGCCGGATCGAAGTTTGCCATCGTCGGCCCCAGCGGCTGCGGCAAGTCAACGATCCTCCGCCTCCTGTTCCGCTTCTACGATACCCAATCGGGCCGGATCCTGATCGACGGGCAGGATGTGCGGGATGTGACACTCGAGAGCCTCCGGAAGGCGATCGGTGTCGTACCACAGGACACGCCACTCTTTAACGATACGATCGCGCACAACATTCGCTACGGCCGGATCGATGCAACGGATGAAGAGGTGAAGGCGGCCGCTGAGCGTGCCCGAATTCACCAGCTGATCGAGGGATTGCCCGAAGGCTACCAGACTGCGGTCGGAGAGCGTGGAATGATGATCTCGGGCGGCGAGAAGCAGCGACTGGCGATTTCTCGATTAATTCTAAAGGACCCGCAACTTCTGTTCTTTGATGAGGCTGTGAGTGGATCGATTGTTTTGTTTTCTTGTTTTCGTTGTTTTGTTTCTCCCTTTCTTTCCCCACAGACATGGCTGCGTCATCTCGCAGCGGGTCGGGTCTAGACTAATCTTTTTATAGACTTCTGCCCTTGACACCTACACGGAACAGGCCTTGCTTCAGAACATCAATAGTATTTTGAAGGATAAGAGTCGCACGAGTGTGTTTGTGGCGCACCGTCTGCGTACCATCTGTGATAGCGACCAGATTTTGGTGCTGAAGGATGGCGAGGTCGCGGAGACGGGATCACACCGGGAGCTCCTGGAGCTGGACGGGGTTTATGCGGAATTATGGAATGGTCAGTATTAAAATCGCACCAATGGGTTAAATAAATTATTGCATGCTAACGAATGTAACAGTGCAAGAGCGCACACTGCAGGATGAAACCGAGGAGCCAATTACGCCACAGCAACCATAGATATCGTGATAAATATAGAGGAATCTAGTACAAAGTACAGTAAAAGCCGTTATTATCTATGGATTATCTATGGAGATTTATCCTCTCGGAATCAAGATGAAACACGACCATAATCTCGGGAAATTAGCGCAGAACAATCCAATTGAAGCAAAACCCACTAAACCCACGTTGTCATCCCCACTATAAACTATGTTCTAGTCCCGACTTAGTGCCTCTTAGCGCGTCTTCTTCCCCTTCTCCTGTTCCTCTTTCTTTCTTTTGTTTATCCACTCATTTCAACTCGCTTGGGCAAGCCATTCATTCATTATCAATTACCCGGGGTATTTGTCCCCAATCCAGTCGTTTCCGCCGGACAATTCCCTCGAATTCCAGCAATCCAATCCTTATCTCCTTAACGCCCAGCCCCTCAGCGTTTTGTGGCACCCACTAGTTCCTGGCGCTTGTATTCGTGCCGCCCCCTCTGCTTTTTCTTCCCCTCCCCTGATACTGCAAACTGCAAACCACCAGCTCCAGGTATGTAGAGGAAGTCCCATCACTCGATAGTCGGAAAAAACCCGAAAACAATACACCCAACCATACACCCATGGTTGCGAGCTAGACCCTGAGACTGACCCGTGGATCCAATCACCAGTGACGTTTCAAGCATCGCATCCCGTGCCGACTCGTGCTCCTATTCTTTCTAGAACACTCGCATGTTCCCAATCGAATCAGTCACACCTTCACATTCAAATATTCAAAATGGGTCTCATCGATAAGCTACAAGCCAGTACGTGCCCATGGTCCAAGCTCCACCCAACACCCTTGCATACATGCATACCATACCCCCATACTCCGAATGACAAAACTAACATCTATCTTCAGAGCTCGAGCTTTACCGTCTAGAGCAGCGTTACGCCCGCCGCAAGCACCGCAGCACCTTCTCCACAGGCGCACAATACGTCGACGGGGAATACGTCTACAACACCAACACCGGTGCCAATTCACCAACCAGCACAATCTCGAAACAATCGACTGGAAGCTGGCGTCCATCCGGGAGAAATGGGCCTTCGGAATCGCGATGGCGGTCCTGATTTCATGAATGATATCTGATCGCGTGACGGCCTTCGCTTTTCCACTCGTTCTTTTTCCCCCTTCCCTTTCTCCTGGGTGTATTGGCGCTTTTTTTTTGATTGTTTCTCTAGCATTGTGCTTAGCGTTTTCCGCTCTGCTCTGCTCTGCTCTTCGCGTCATGTCCCTGCGAAGATCTTGACGACCTTGTGTGCATAGTCGCCATGTCTGTTCCGTTGGAATGTTTGTATTTGGTATTTTGGGTTGGTTTTGTTTTCTACTCATGAATCAGCGATCGAAACCAAAAGCTGGGATCCTGTCTTTTCGGATATCTGAGGTCTTTACTTCATGCCTGTGAACCACACTTCTTTTTCTTTTTTCTCTTGGTTCATGTGGTCTTTGGTGTCCATATTCAGCTTTGCATGTCATTTAGCCCCATAGCATTGAACTGTGGCTTGGTCTGGATCTACATTTGAATTGTGTGCAGTCTTCGTAAATGTGATACGTAACTTGTACCACTACATGGAAAAAGATAGGGAAAGTAGAATTGATAGGAGCAATAATTGAATTGCTAAAACTACCTGGTAAAGTATAGCTACTAAGTTTTCTTGGATTTGCGCGATCCAATACCCAACCGACTTCCCAGGTTAGGAAGACTCGATCTTTGTTTGTGCCCCAGGATAGACGAGGACGAGCCAGCCTTGGGACTTGGCTCTGGTGCACCACGATTAGCACCCATACCAGGTCCTACACCGATTCCAAGACCACCAGCCCCGGGACTCATCATTCCAGGGCCACCCCGCGGGGTATCGGGGAGACCAGACCTATCACGGCCACCAGTGGCAGCAGAGAGGGCAGCAGAAAGGGAGGGGTGAAGAGAGTCAGTAGCGTCGACGGAGTGACGTTGTTGAGCCTGTGAGCGACGAGCGCGTTCCTGGACAGCCTTAAATTTATCCAGCAGTTCGACCCAGCGGATGCTGTTTTCTTCGCGGCCTTTGAGACGGGTTCCAGTGGGACGCTCGTAGGAAGGGGCGGTTTGGGTGGTACTGAAAAGAGCATTTAGCATCGACTTTTCCTGCTGGGGTTTCTGTTCATGTCCATACCTGCGGGGTGCATTGTGAAGGAATCCAATGTTGCTGACGCTATTCAAGCGGTTCTTGAGGGCAGCAAAGGCGGAGCTCTGGGGGAGGAGCATGAGAACACCGTAGAGGCATTTGTATAGGTATGGGTATTTTTCGGGCTCGAGGAGTTGGAGGCGGAGATCTAGATATATTAGATTGAACAGGATTGAACTGTAGGAGGTAAAACAAACAAGTGAATACGGGGGACTCGAGAAGCTGAACAAGCTTGTCGATCTGGATGAGCATGTTGACAGTCATCTCAAGTTCGGCACTAGGCTTATATTAGTATATGGCACAATTACATGAATATCAGAGGCTTACAAGATCTGGAGGAGATTGTACGCTTGCTCGTAGGCTTGAGCGAGCAGGCACAGAGAGAAGGTGGAAACGGCATTATGGCACCAAGACCGGAAAAGAGCAACAAAAAACATTTGGCCCTCCTAGGCAAACTGTTAGTTCCCTTCAAAAAAAGAGAATGGCACTGAAACAAACTCGAGAGTCCTGATTCCTCAATCGTTTCCTCATATCTGCCAGTTCGGGTGCGGTGATAAGGTTGTTGTTAAGGTTCTGCACCATAATGCTGGCGAATTCAATGTCCTAACATACGTAAGCAATCAAATCTGCTACATCTAGATTGGATAACACACCTCTTCCTTCTCTAGACAGTCCGCCAATGTCCGATAGATACGCTCTGGGCTCAAATTCAGACACAGCTGTCGGATAATAAGATTTCCGCGCACCTCAAGCAGATGTCTATCGGTGGAGAAGAGCTGTAACAAGTTCACCATGAAAGAAGCAAAGTAACTATCTTCACTGTTTCTGGAGATCTGTGATAGTAGTTGCAGATCTTTTGTCACAACTGCTTCTGCCGGATCCGATAGGGTTTTCAATAGAGCTGGGAAGGTACCGTCGTTGAACGCAACCACTTTGCGGGGTGTCTTGCGGTGTAACATGATGAGCCAAGAAAGTGCAGCTACCCGAGTGGTTTCATTCTCGTTCAGGAACTGAAGAGTGAGAGAATTGACCGCCGCAGCATAATCAAGGTCGGCTGGTTGAAATGGGGTTGAAACGAGACTGCTACGGGGAGTTGCTCCAGAAGACTCTTGAACTGATTTTCTAGCCTCATTGTTCGTCTCCGAAGATTTCCTTTCAGTGCTCTCTTTACTGAGTGCGACGGAAGGAGCCTTCGATTGCGCCTGTGTTGCTTCGTCGGTGTCATCCGAAAGTGTATAAATGTATTCAAGAAGAGACTTGTTGACTCGGTTGGCTTCTTGTCGGACTGATACCACGTCACTAGACAAGGCCGGGAGCACCTGTGTGAGAAGCGTTGGAACAAACGGAAGAATATCTTCCGGATTGAACTCGAAGAAGGAGTCAATCCAACGCAAAGCCTCGACCTGCATTGCTTCCTCTATAGACATACTGTTAGTCTTGGGTATGAAATGGCGGAAGAATGAAGTTACCATATGAGGGGTCAATAAAGCTGACAAGAATCTCCAAGATCTTGGGGAAGTCAATTTGCACATCCTGCCCCGGAATCCAGTCTCCCTCAGTCTGGGTGAGATCATCGTCGAGAAGTGATTCGGAGACCGCGTCATCCACGGCAATATCATATTGATTTCCTTCTCCCGCGCCGGTGTCCACCGTTTGCTCGGTTTTGGCGCTCACACTGAGAGAGTCGCTTCCGACGGAACGTCTGCGACTTTGAGTCTTACGGCTTTCTTCAATACCCTTCTTCAGTCTGGTGATCCTCCTGATCTCCTGAAGAAATCGCTCTAGAAGGCCCTGGGTTGCAACGTTGACATCTTGGTCGGGTCCACCCAGGAACTTGATCAGGCCCTCTAAGAACTCCGGTAAATAACTAATCAGCTCTAGATCAGGAATAGTATCCAAGAGAGTCAACCAGGAGACTAGAAAGTTGCGAGTAAACGGAACAATCACATGGATCCGCTCTTTCAGCAAGGGAATAAACCTTTCAAGTGAGAACGCTGTAGGCAGCTCGACCTCCTCGAAAGGGTCAGCGTCTGCTGACTTCTCTGCCAACTGCAGCACGGAGACATATGAAGCAGCGGACTCCGCAACGATATCCTTGACCAACCGATCGAGAAGCTCGGCACCATTTTTCACGGAAAGTTCGATGTCCGAGGCAAGCTATGATACAGAGAAACGTTAGTTGTAATAAGTAGGCATGCATGTAGTTTCCTCACCTTAGCTAGCGCGTCGAAGATATCATTGAAGAAAAGTAGAATCTCCCCCTTGGCTACTTTGGCGATGTTGTACATACTCTCGCATGCATAGTATCGGACCCTCGCATCTGGATCAGTGAAGCACGCCAGGACGGGCGGCACGATCTCTTTCAAGTAAGGTGCTACTCCTTCCTAGAGCCAGGTATCAGTACCCTATTTTGAAATTCCACTATGTTGAGAGACTCACGTATCCCAGGGCAATCGAAGCGGCCGCCAGGCCAATCAAACCACCGTTTCGGGCGTGAGGTTGGTGTACGGCGTATGCATAGTCATGGCAAAGCTGCTCGACAATCTTCGCTACTTTTTCATGATCACCTTTGAAAACCGCCTCGCGAACGATTAGCTCGAGTCTGCGGGAATGTCGCGTGTTAGCTCCACCGCATTTAAGCCATTTAGAGATTCCATGCGACGTACTCTAAGGCTCCTTGCTTCCTTTTATCATATAGTTTATCGTGGAGCAACCTCTGAATTGAGTAATCCATTGCTCAAACGGAGAGTGCTGTCACGAGCTCCGATTAAGCAATGTTCATGTTGGAGGGGGTGTGTCAAGGTTCACGGTCGGGTCGCGGTCGGGTCGCGTGCGGATTGAAGTAGCTTAAATGTGTGGTGAAGGGGATGCACCAGATGTTGTGCGAGCTTTGTGGGTCACTTAGCTTCTGGAAGAAGCGAGGTGGTGAACGTGCTGAAAGGATGCGTTGTCAACGCGGAGATGGGAAGTCCAAGCGTGGTGTGACGTATGTCAGCAGCTCGGGCCTGGATTCGGGCCGAAGCTATAGATCAACAACTGACTTGAGTTACATTAGGAGGAAATATGTGTGAAGTTGGGGTATTCTAGGGGAATTGAATCGAGGGAAGTAGGAATCTTATGGTATTTTATCAGCAGTGTTGATAGTAATATCCTTTGACCGGTTTCATTTTGCTGTGGAACAAAGACCGAGTAAATCGATAAACAATTCCTCGAATAAATCGCATTCACAAGTTCAATCATGATTACGCACATTCAATAAAAAAACCAAGACACGTTTACTTCACAAGGAGGTAGTATGGATTTTAACATGAGAAGAGATGTTTATTGTTTCATGCCTAAGCTTGGAAGTACACTGGACACAGGGAGAGACTCGAGGCGGGGAACTAGGTACTTGACACCGATGCTCATTCCCAATTCCCTTTAAGTACAATCTCTTCACCCACCTCCATAGACTTCAGCAGTTCATCAATAGTCCACGGTTGATATACATAGCCAGCGGGAATATTGGTGTTATCAAATGGGCTCCCAATGTCTAGGTTAGCGAGGGCCTTGCTATAGTTTGCAATCGCGTATTGCTCCGGATCATGCTGCCAGATCCAAGTACCAAGTAATCCAACCGGCTTCGCCTGCGACGTTTTGGCATCTGAAGAGCGTTGGCGCATCTCATGGTTTAGCACACCCAAAAGTTGCAGACAGGCGACACGTTCAAACCTGCATGATAATATGTTAAGAGTCGCTCGGTATCTTCTTAAGAACGTAGTCGTTAACGAACCTAAGCTTGTTATGAACACGGGTTGCCCAGGATAGATTCTCCTTTCCTGCAATCTGCAAGCACGTTGCCAGCGAAATGGCATCTTCCATCCCCTGCGTAGCACCATTTCCAGAAGACGGGAGAAAAGTGTGAGCCGCATCGCCGATCTGAATGATTCGCCCGGTAGACGAAGCCCAGCAGGGCTGAGGTTCACGCCACATGAGTTTGAAGTCGTGGATCCTGTCTCTGGGTGTTGCCCGTATCAACTGGTTTGCGTATTCGGGCCATCCTTCGATTGTGGCTGTGTTTTGGAGGACGGCGTCTGGATCTACCAACTTTGACCATGACTCTGTGCTGTCTTCTCGGTTCTGGAATTTGGGATTAGTAAATTGAGTCAAGAAGTCGCAGGCACTTTGTGTTGTGATGTACCGGATAGGTGAGATACCATGAGATCTCATCCTGGGTTCTTCCGAAGAGCGCGTGGACGTTGTCACTAGGATGTCATTAGTCTTGTACCCTAGAAGGGTGAGTTGGAGATTGCAACGAACCCCATCCATAGTTGTGCAGAGGGTCTGTCGTTATCTAAGATAGGGAATCTTTCCTCAAAGACAGGATTTGTGAGGGCTGGATCAATGGGACAGGACGCTCGGTAGATTGAAAACCCGGTAGGACGGGCGCGAACCTCATGGCCCAGCGTGATACGAGAAGACGTGCTTCCTATCCCATCAGCGGCGATTACAACGTCGGCTTCAAGCCGCTCGCCACTTTCGAGAAAAACCCCGGCCGTGGAAGGACCCATGTTCTCGTAGTATTCAACAACTTGCTTGCTGTATTCCAGCGTGATACCGGCTCGCTCAATCTGATCCGACAACATCTTGTGCATTCTTGGACGACTGTGTCTGTATATCTTGGGTGGCTGGCTATTCTGGTCTCCAGCAGTATCCTCGGAGGTATTCAATTCGAGCGGTTTTGGGCCTGAGATCATCTCCCCAGTAATTTTATGCCATGAGATCCATGGCTCGAATGAGATACGCTCGTTTTCCTCAGCCATATCTGGCCACTTTTGCAGTGCGCGGATGGCGCTGGTGCCTATCGTGAAGCCATCACCTACAAACTCTGGATTAGACGAGATGGTGATTCATAACTGTACAGAAAAAGGGGATTTATTCACCTGATAATAGTCGCGAGGGACTTTTTTCGAGAATTCGCACGTCATGCCCTTTGCGCCAGCACTCGAGACCAGCCAGTAAGCCAGCGACACCTCCACCCACAATCAGAACAGAGATACCCGACGATGGCGACCTCGCAGGTAGTCTGCTGGTAGTGCAATTTGCGTGCGGTAGATACGTGGCACACTCTGCGTTCGGCTTGGTGCACATAATTCCGTGATAGACTCTAAGAAAGAGAAAGATGTGGTGAGCTTCGAGTGGTAAAAACCCTTCTCTTCGAATAGATCCCAATACAACAGCTGGAGGTAGTGCCCACGAACCCAGGTGTGTACATACCCCACTATTTATACATTCGATGTAGAGTTGATCCGGAGGAACGGAGTCCTGGTCCGATGGGGGCCAATGTTCACCTTAGCGCTGTCAGAAATACCTCGGAGCAAGATTCGGAGCAAGGCTCGGATCAAGACTCGGAGGAAGACTCGGAGGGTCAAAGGCGCCCGGAATTTCGCCGTAGTGACCATATGGAAACAACACATCCACTGGCATGTTGAGCATAAAGCTAAAGTCTAGTGTTTCCAGAGGTGCTTGTATATTGGCTTTCTCCTGAGCCTCTGCCCTCATGCGGTGCACCGCATTGAATACCTGCAACCTTGGAATCAGTCTCTCAAAAATCTCAGGTGGCTCTGAAGCACCCTGTTTATGAAGGTTTTTCTCTAAATGAAGAGTCAGGGCATCTTTCATCTTCTTAGTCAGCATGTCGGCTATTTGCTCAATGTCAATAGTGCTTCGAACATAATTTCGATCCCAGCCGATCTTTTCACCCTGGAAAAGAGTCAACCGGGATAGCGTGACCATTGTGAGGCCAAACTGACACCAAATCGTGAAAGGAAAGAAGGGAAACAAGTCAACTGGGAGGGAATGGATGTCATAGACAAATGACTTCACTGCCTCTAAGCAGCGGAAAAGAAGATCCAACCGCGTTGTCGAGTAGTCTCCGTACTGGGTATCGGAGACATCCTCACTCAGGCAGATTCGATATATGATGATTTCTACCGTCTGGTAATGTAGAGATAAGATGCCTTTGCGATGGGTGAGCATAGGAAATCAGCATAGAAAAAAAGGCAATGGGGCGAGATCCATGCACTGACCTGATTGGGGTGATTCGCAAGAGAAAGATGTTTTGAGTTGCTGGAGCTCTGCCTGGTGACCTCGGACTATCAAACCGAGTGGAGTGGAGACAACTGCAGAAGGGCCTAGCTCCTTAATGGGCGTTGTACGATGAACTTTATCACCGAGATGCACGACTCGTATCAATTGGACAAGATATGCATCGGTAGGAAACTCCATCGCTTTCGTCAATTCTTCACAGCACTCATCGGTGTATTTCGTGAAACGAACAGGCTCCATTTCCCTCACACAAATGGACAACCTGAGTAACCGGTCAGTATGTATATCATATGTCGGCGACAAAAGTTAAATGGTATGAATACACGTACAACACACTGATATAGTAACATCCTAGATAGATCCGGCGCTCCTCCAATGTTCGTGCGGGAATCAGATGAGGGTGGAAGTCGAAAGCTCTGAGGTAGGAAAGAGGCCGATCAAGGCTCCTTAAAGACGCTATCCCTTGATTCAAATTCAAACTGATGACTTGCGCTATTGCTAATTGCATATACACGTCGAGTTGTGCGCTGATCTGCGGTTGAATGTGGGGACCAACGGGGCCATTTTCCGGATTGGCAGATTGTTCGTATTGCCAGCGCGGGAGAGGAGCAATAGTTATAAACCAAGACAGATAAAGGAGGAGTCCCTGCAGGAGGTCTAGGCTGTGTTCACCCTTTAAGACAATGTGTTCCGCAGCATACTGCTTGACCATTTCCGCGATCTCTCGCTGACGTGGTGCATGTTGACAAGTGACCATAGTGATGTTCAGATGGAGAAATGGCTTTTCTCGACGTAGCTGATCTGCAGTAAGATGAGCCGGAATGGCAATGAATGGAAACAAAGGCATGATTGATTTTCTCAAAACATCCATATAAGCCTCATCATCTTGCCCGTCTGGCGACGCACTATCCTCGTCTGGGTAAGTTGAAGAATGCTCTGGCGAATGACTGGTATTAGATTGAGCATCCCTGGATTTTTCTGACGCGGCAAGCAACTCGACCATTCGGTCAAGTTTTGCCTCTAATGCTGAAACCTCGCTGTCCACGCTAATTAGCGAGCTGCCATGAATGAAACTCCAAATACATACAGATTCTCTTTGGCCGCTTTCGTGCGACGATGTGATCCAGGGGTCTGGCCATTACACTCTTTTTTTAGGCGCTTACAGCTGCGAATTTCTTAGTTCACATCGAGCTTGAGTAAACGACTATTCACTTACCGCTTACAGACTCCGTTTGGCTCTGGTTCACATCGTACTTTGGCTTTGGCACACGTCCTACAAGCCTTCGGCATACGAGATCCGGGTATGTCATCCATCCTGGAGCGGGCTGTCGGGCCAGGTCCCACTGCAGTGCGGGGAAAATAGGAATACCGGGGCTATTCTGTGTTGATGATCAAGCAGTGGGTGACCAAAGGGTAAAGAACTGGACGCGGAAACGGAGTTTGTGACTTCTCATTCCTCGTTGGTCCCGCCGCCCCACTTATCCCGCTTCATCATCACTTGAGTGAGCACAGCTGTCAGATAACATCTGAACATAGAGTATATGACAGCGATGAAGGGTGATACATAAATGGATTCGTTCTCTGTAGAAAGATGGAGAAGGAGGATGGAAAAGGAACATGGAAAAGGAGGGAGATCTCTATACACATGCCTGTAATGATAGAAAGACACCTGAGGCGTCCATGACATGTGAGGATTTTCGACCAAACAGATCACAAAAAGAAGAGGGTGAGTTGCTCTAAAAGAACCAAAGAGTATGCTTCCCAGCATTGATTTTGTCAAATTCCAGGGTACGGTTTCCATACACTAAGTTTGTGTCCCGCCCCCTCCTTTGCATATGAAGCGGGGCCCGCAGTGTGTGGGAATGTGGGACCTTGGGAACATTGAATGAATCCAAAGGAGTTATATTGGAACACTCTCTCCCTTTCAAGACTTTATTGAAATTTTGCAGATCGTCTGAAATCATGTCTGCCTCTGACTATGACACAGACGTGGTGATATGTGGTTGCGGCCCCACAGGAGCAATGCTTTCTGCATACCTGGGCCGGATGAACATTTCAAATATTGTTCTAGAAAAGGGATTGGCAATCACGACAGATCCACGTGGAATTGCTTTGGATGAAGATGGGATTCGATTGCTTCAGGGACTGGGATTGTATTCATCCATCTACACGAAGATTGGCACCTGTAAGCATAGTACAGTGCAGTTCAGACAAAGAATGATAGAGATGACTAACCGCTGAGTTAAAGGTATGAACACATTCAAATTCATTGGAGGTCCAGACCCCATCTTAGACCAAAAAGGGTTTGTTGAGATGGACTACGGAACAGTAGGGTTTTTCTTCTCCTTCCCAATGACCAGAAGCTTACTACGGGGCAATTCTCACATAGACAGAAGGCGGGACGGGACATGTAGGTTTTATCTGCCACAAACAGCCGGCATTAGAGCAATGTCTACGCGATGCTATGGACACTTCAAGTCACTGTGATCATCGCTCCGGATGTGAAGTGATTGAGCTCGCTGAAGAGGATGAAGGTGTCTCATGCAGATACCGGGATTCTAGCGGAGACGAACGTCAAATCAAGGCCCGCTTTTTTGTCGGAGCCGATGGAAAGACAGGTTTCACGAGGAAACGGTATTTGGAGCCCCGAGGTATAGTTATGGAGCAAGCGCACCAGTACGATATGATTTCCCATTGAAAAAGTATACTACAAACTAACGGTACGACAGAGCCTTCTATGAAGAGGTATGGGTTGCATTGAATTGGAAAATCAGTCTTCCAACCGAGAAGACCCACCCAGAATTTCCACTGTGGAGCTTGGGCTATACACCTGAGCAAGTCTATGATTTGTTCTTCCCTAGCAATTTCCGGTTTCTTTGCAACCCGAATAGGCCATCTGTCTGCGGGAGATTTGGGCTTCCCTCAGATAGACTATGGAGATTTGAGTTTGTAGTGCTCAAAGATGAGGATGGAGAGGAAATGTCAACGCCTGAAATGATTAAGAAGGTCGTGTTTCCGTATATCACACACTCTGGGGCGCGATATGGGTAAGTTTGTGTCTAGCTAACATCATTGACACGAATGCCTTACTGAGACATCCCAGATTATCAAAGGACATTGCTTTTCCGGAGGATTGCATTCAGGTTCTGCGGTGTCGTCCGTTCAATTTTTCTGCGCGAAGCTGCAACAGATGGTCTAATGGACGGGTGATTCTGTGTGGTGATGCTGCCCACGTCTTCCCACCCTGTATGTATACCTTGGCTCCCACTGTACCGGATCCTTTGGAACTGACTCAATCTGATTGTAGTCGGAGGGCAAGGAATAGCATCCGGTTTTCGAGATGCTATCTCCCTTGCCTGGCGCCTCGCACTTCTCTGTCGAACCCAGCCCCAGAAATCTAGGTGGCACGAAGATGTATTGTCAGCATGGTACATGGAGCGCAAACAGCAACTGGAGAGATCGCTCGCCGCCACTATTGCGAATGGAAAGTTCGTATCAGAGAGCGACCCGTTGAAGATATTGTGGCGTACTGTGTATTTCTGGTTCGTACACATGGTTCCATCGTGGCGTGATGATCTCCGACGCGGCCAGCGCAAGCATGGTATGGTTCGATACGAGCACACTTCGGATAAACTTCCATTTTTACCGGAGTACAATGGGGGTGTCTGCCTTCCTCAGGTATACTGCAAGGCCGTTGGGAATCCACATGGGGATGTTTTCTTCACGGATGATGTTATATTCGGCCCACAAAAGCGGGGACTGTTCCAGCTGATGGTTTACTTGAAGGACGTCAATGAGCTCCCCACAGCACAAAAAGAGATTATGGACATTGATGACCATTCAAATGGCGAGATTCGGGCCACCGACGCGACATTCCTCATCGAGGACCCTTCTAGCCAATTGAGCGACACTGCCCACAACGTCTTTCGACTAGCCACCGGAGATGAATTTGAAGAATCTCCGTTATGTGAAAGAAGACCTGCTCCACGATTCTACGATCCAGGATATCTTGCAAAAGAGCTTAGGGGAGGGAAGTTCGTGATTTTGCGCCCTGATAGATTCGTTTTCGCTGCATGTTCTTCCAAGGAGGAGCTGTGGGATGCGACCAGAAGCGCGACGATGTATTTGAGTGGTGTAAACTAGTTTCCAGAACCAGACTGTGGACCCCAATTGAAGAATTTCATAGAAGCGTTCCAAATTCCCCGAGCTCCCGTTGCAATTGCGTGCCTTCCATCATAAAGCGGGTAGATCACAACCGCACCAAATGCGCCAAACTGCCAGATGATAGCAACTGTTGTCCACCCAGAGAAGAACGACTTCGTGAAAATGTAGTCCCGGTACAGTGGAAGTGGCCAAACGACGACGGTGACCAGGAAGAGCACCACGAACGAAACGCATGCAACTTTGAGCCATTTATGGAGCTCTTTCAGCGTTGCGTCATCAAAGGGATGTTGGATATCATCGAGGCTGAGTTGGAGTGTAAATATGGATGGGGATGTCGTAGGGCTTGATTTTTCTGCAAGGGCATGAATGCGCTCTGGGCTCAGGTCATGTTTGGGTTCTGACTGGATAGTGGCAGGCATAGAGTTCACCAAGCTCTTGGGATGTTTCAGAGCACTCGATGGATCTTCTTCATTGGATTCAACACCCTCGTTGAGTGTGCTGGTATCTGATGCAGCGTGAAGCTGTGCCTCATCAGTCAGTTCGATGCGGAGGAACTCACGCCAGTCAAATTGATAAGGATTATAGAGAGACAACAAGACTGAATAAAGGGCCGGCGAGAAGAAGGATGCAATAGCTGCATAGAGAGCGGGATACTCGTTGGACGTTGTATCGATGTTAACAGCCCCATACATTGATTTTGCTGTTGCTAACCAAACAGCAAGTCCTGTAAAGAACCCTAAGATGGGAGCCACAATGGCAGCGAGACGGGTTTGACGCGACCAGAAGAGTGTCAGAATAAGCGGAATGATACCAGGGCATGAGATGACCGGTCGCAGGTAGTTAATCCAGGTCATGTTCGCTCCGCCGTAGTTCATCGCGATAGAGATACCCGTTATGAAGATACCGTGAATGACCACTGTCAAATGGCTGACGCGTACCAGTTTCTTGTCGGTCACTTTGGGGTTTAGGTAGGTCTTGTAGATGTCGTAAGAGAGGATGCTGCTCACGGCAATCATAGATGACGAAACGGTGCTGGTGAGAGCCATAAATAGAAGGAAAAAGAACCCGATTATCCCTTTGTCGCCAAGCAGAGCTTTCAGTGTATAAGGCATGACCATGCCCATGCTCACCTCGGTCGAAGTGAGGTCACCGGGGTAAGTTGGAAAGATAGGCGTATTGTGGATTGCGCGGGCTGCAAGCCCGATGACCGTTCCTAGACCCCACGGAATACCAAACACCGCGATCGCAGCAATACTGTATCCAGGGACTGTGGCGCGAACCTCTGTTGCGAAGGACTTTTGCCAGAATGCGGTGTCCTGTTTATCCCAACATTAGCTTATGACTTTGTCCCAATTTTCGCATAGGGGGAGTCACGCCTTACCATGACAACCAAAGCCAAGTTTCCAAATTTCAAGATCAAGCCCCAGATGATGGCTCCCTTTGACTTGAAGGTGAGCAATGAGCCGTCATAGTTACCGGAGATGTAGTTTTCTCCCGCAGTAGCAACCACCTTGTCGTAGAGTCCACTCAATCCACCCACCGCAGAATTAGTGAGTACAGCCAGGGTGAAGTAGATGATAAGAATCAAGGCGATGGTAGTGTGAAGATAATCGGTGAGGAATGTGGCTTTGAGACCACCAACAGCTGTATAGAGGACCACTTTGTAATACTCAGTAGATGGTCAACATGGGTTGGATAGAGAACAACATACCTCCGAGTGGAATCAGAATAGTCGCTGCCACAAAGTTCATACCGGAGACTCCGTAGATGAGCTGAGACCCAGTCATGATCATAGAGGCGCAACCGAAAACATTGTTTACCAAATTGAGGACAACAAACACAAGATGTCCGACTTTCCCATATCTCATGCGCACAATCTCCAAGGAAGTGTGTGCATATGGAACCCGAATCTTTGCCATGACACCGAGGGCTGCCATCAATGCGATCTGGAAGCAGAGACCAGAGCCCCACCACTAAATCTTTGTGAGCTTGCGACCAAAGCTTTAGGTAAGAGTTCATGGGCATACCAGTGGAAGTGCCAATCCGTATCTGTAGCACATCGCCGCTGCTAAGACCGTCTCGTTGATCCACATCCATGAAGAAAACACTGCTGAAGCTGTGAGACCCGTACCAACAGATCGATTGGCGACCATGAACATTTCGGATTTCCCTGAATCCTCAGAGAGATAGGCTCTTTGAACCTTGACAGCTAACAGGATGACACCACAGAAGAGCACTCCAAGGCCGATAAGCAGACCATAGGCTGCACCTTGAGGGATCAAGGCCAGCTTGGCCGTATCTATTGTGTTCGACATGGTTAATGTCCAAAGACGATGAAAAGATGTCGATGACAACCAGTCCGGATTGCTGGATACTATGATATACTTATTTAGTCCAGGGTCCAGATAGCTTTAGCGTCTAGTCTGTTCTATAATACGCGTCCAATCACGAATTTCGAAAAACGCGTAATAATATAGAAAAAAGGTCCGAAGTGTCGTAGGTTCTTGCGTACTTCGTGTCCGCTATTGCGTTATGCAGGAAGGCTAGCTTTGACATCCCTTGGCTAGATTTGTGATTCAATCTCTAAACATTATCTGTCAAGGTTGAATAAATTGATGCGCAGCTACCTATTGTTTGGCAATGTAGCTCTAAGCAGATGCAAAATAATGTCGAAACTTTGAACTGCAAGCTATGAGCATGTCAGGCAGCTTCAGCAAAAACATCGCAGCTGGAGATACGTGAAGTACCTTAATAGCTAGCATCTCAAGTCCGACCAATAGAGTTTGATTGTCAAGATAAAGTCTTGGAAGAGAAAGAAATGATTGATGACATCGGGTCTTGCTACCAATGAGATTTGTTGATTACCCCTCGGATTGCGTGCAATAATCACTCGATGACGATGGAATCGCTCGCTATCACGAACCAACAAGAATGCCACAAAATCCCCCCGCACCACATATTTAAGCTAGGATGATATTTTGTCGGCCGATAGAATCGATTTTGACATTACTGTTAAGAATAATGAGACGAGGAGTAAAAAGTGATCATGGATCATGTCAGCTTCTCAAATCAGCAGAATCCTCTACCTGGGAATCAAAATAGCTGACTCTCAGCCACACAGGCATCATAAATGCCAGATCAAAATATGGTAAAAACAATAGAGCGAGTTCGGAGCCCATGGAGCAGTCAAAAGGATATAATGATCGCTGTTACCGTGTATCTAATCTATAGATACACGATACTCCTGGTCGCAATCTTGCAACGGTGAGCCTAATTGAAGTTTGCGTGGAATAGAGTGCCACCACATACAACATGGAACTGCGACACAGAATCAAGGCCTCTTGAAACGTTTGCCAAACGTTACCGGATTTGGAACGAGCTTCACAACGCTCTTCGGAAAGCTTATTTGCACCTTCACCGTCAGAGTAAGTCGCTTGAGCATCTCAAACAGAGCCTAATTTGTGGAACACACTCGTTGCTAACGAGTGGTGTAGGTGAGCTCCAGGCTAAGGTTCATGAAAGCTCTGCGAGCGTTGTGGGTGACCTGATAAAATAGTAAGATGAAGCTGGAATGAGCGGATTAACCTTGCCAAGATTCAAAAACTTGGAGCTTTCGGTCATAGTACCAGCGTCCATATGTGCGGTGGATTTGTTTTTCGAACTCTGTTGGAGGCTCTCGTGCGGCAAAGCTGACAAGAAGCCGCCACTGCCCGCAGACCATCCGGAAGTACACCCAAATGACATGCAAGACAGGGAAGGCTGACATACCGGCTGAAGAGAGATGAAAGCGCCACCAGTCAAATGGATAACCATCAGGTTATGCATGGGATTGAGTGTGTCCATGATGGAGAAAACTATGTGGAGCGAGATGTGGTTGGAGTGAGTGTTTTCACTCTCTTTCTTAAAAGGCCCGGCATGACACATCGCACGTTCTCTTTACACTTACAACGGAGCCTACATTGCCCTTCAAAGTCTCATGGGGCTAATTTGACTAGCATAGCCAAGCTATTCAAGGATCAACTTTCATTGCAGATGAGCAATTCTGTCTGAGCATAATTGCCTTGAACTCGAATATTTGGGAACCAATTTGAACTCCGGCTTGCAAAGGAGGATTTATGAATTCTTTCATTCATTTGTCTAGCATATGATACTTGGTCTCGAACCTTTCAGGATCTATCATGTATCATTTGGTTGTCCTAGCGCCATCCTGAACCTTGGAACGCCCCACTTTGACCGTACTTCCAGAATTCCGCGAAAGAATTTTGAATACTGAACTGCTTATGAGGAACACTAGCCCTCTACACCGTTACAATTTTTGGCTTATCTCCTAGAGTAAGTACCGTCTAGTGACATTCTGTTTTCTCCTCTATCACTCACCCAACCGTGGCGAATGGAACTTGGTAAAGGCGAGATAATAATGATTTTGCCGACAAGATCCTGAAGCTAAGAAATAGCCGAGTTGGTAGTGGGGCTTTTGGCGTTCTGACTCCAACTGAATACCCCAAGGAAGGGGAACGGTGATCCTTATTGGCCCACACCTTCCATGAGGCATCCCGAACTATGGCGTGCTTTTGCGACAGGCATTAGTTGGGAGACTAAAAGCAGAATCTGAGCTCGCTTGTACGAAGAGAATCTGGTAGGGAGGATGGCGAAAGTAGATAAATATAAGCCCGCTCTTGTTTTGGGCGAAAGGTGGTAAACTTTACTCTACCAAGCTTTTTGGCGTCAGCCAAGCATTCTTATCCAGCCATGGCGCTCGCCGATACCATTGAACACGCGGGTGTCATACCAGTGAAGCGCATTTGGTACCGAACAACACTATTCAATGCCTGCGTAATTGGGTTTGTCGGCTTCCTTGCGCCTGGGTTATGGAATGCCATGAACTCATTAGGAGCCGGAGGAGAAGAGAAGCCATTCCTGGTGAACGCAGCGAATGCTCTGGTATTTGGTCTGATGGGAATTTTTTGCTTGTTTGGAGCACCGATCGCAAACCGTATTGGTCTCAAATGGGCGCTTGTTCTCGGCGCAACGGGGTATCCCCTGTACTCTGCAGGCCTGTACACCAACGACCGCTTTGGTAATGTCTGGTTCGTCCTGGTGGGCTCTGCGGCTTGTGGTATTTCTGCAGGGCTGTACTGGGCCACAGAAGGTGCTATTGCTATTGGGTATCCGGAGCCTGCTAAGCGTGCGCGATACATCAACCTTTGGGTTGTATGGTCGATGATGGGGCCTATCGTTGGAAACTCGATCGTTTTGGGCTTGAATATCAATACCGATGGAGAGGGCAGTGTCGGCTATACAACCTATATTGTCTTTATTGCGTTGCAGTGTCTAGCTGTTCCAGTCGCCCTTCTTCTATCACCACCGGAAAAGGTGCAACGTGATGACGGAACGGCTATCGTGGTTCGGCCGGAGGCGTCTTGGAAAGAGGAGTTCCAGGCTTTGTGGCGCACTTGCAAATTGCGCAGCGTTATTCTACTGTTACCCGTCTTCTGGGCGATCTACTTCAATGAGTACTCCAGCAACTATGAGACGTACTATTTCAGTGTCCGTGCTCGTGCCCTTATTGCCTTCTTAACCGACTGGGTCGCCATCATTGCATCACAAAGTTTGGCACTATGGTTAGACTGGAAGAAGTTCGATCGCAAAACTCGAATTACATACTCATGGTACTGGGTTATCCTCGTCCACCTTGTCACCTGGATCTACGCATGGGTTGTGCAGTCAGAGTACACAGCTAACCCGCCCTTCTTTGACATCTATACCCCGGGATTCGTCAAAGGTGCCTTCACTCTTTTCCTTTGGCAGTTCGCCCAGCAGACGGGTGAGAATTGGCTTTACTATTTGGTTGGTGAAATGACCGACAACATTGCCGAGCTTACTCGGCTTACTGGTATCCTGCGTGGCCAAATGAGCTTTGGCGAGGCTGTTTCATATGGCCTCAATACTCATGAGTGGTATGGTGGTCGCGCTCCGATGGCGGTAAATACAATACTTTTAGGTGAGTTCTAGGAAAGATATCAGGTAGTGTTCACGTCAAGTGCTGATTCATACCTTAGGTCTCTGTGTCATCCCCACATGGATTGTCGTACGCAAATTTGTCCCAGATGAAGAGCCCATGAGCTTGTCTACCGAGTCTGATCAGCAGATTGAGACGGAAGTGATTGTTAATGATAAGGAGAAAATATTCCGTGATGTCGGTCAGATCCCTTTTTGCGAGGACCAGTGACCACCTTACATGAGATGAAGTATATCGCAGGATAGGATGGGAGGCGTTCAATATACAGATCATTATGTGGTACTTGCCATGATGTGAAACCTGCAATGCCCGGGCTTGTTACATTATGCCTTGTCTTTATTTTCCTCGGTAGATTCTGTATACGCATCGTGAATTCAAAGTGACTCCTGTGTGTTGGTGAGTCCAGTCGATCATGCTTGGCCTATATAAGCTCCACATGCATGGAACATGTACCGCTCGAAAGGAGAAGCGAGGAGACCTATGATATTTTTGAATATCTGATACACGTTCCAAGATTGGAGTGATGGAATAAGCCTTCGAGCTAGATGAAAATTTTGAGTATGAAGATCTGGCGACGCGACTGACTCCGGAAACCATTCATCACAATGCTGCCAAGATTTCTCATTCAACGTAATATTCTTGGTCCGGCCCAGAGACGGAATATGTTCCATTCTCGGAAACGCTAAAACATGCAATTAATCTATACTGAAGGCATCTAGTACTTCCATAAGGCCGTGATGCATCCCTGATGGAACATTGGAAGGTCTGCGAGGTACGCGATATTCGAAGGGATCGCACCTTTAACTGATGTGATTGGAGGGAAATTGCGTATTCAACCCTAGACCACAGCAGTATCAAGCTTTCTCATGTTCGCGCTAAATACTAACTTGCTACTCGTGAAGAAGTGCCACATCCGGGCGTCAAGTCCGCACTCCGTCTCCACCAGCGCCAGGCACCCGGTACCTAACTCGAAGTGTGTCAAACTTCGATTTTCAAACACTGCCACGCGTTCAAATCAGACTGAGGAGATAAAAAACCTCTCGTGACCTAAATACGACAGTGGTTAAATTCTATCATATGTTCACATGCTCATATGGCGGTCAAAATGTTTCTAGTCGCATGATGCACGTCCTCAAGATACAAGATAAGCACCCCCGCATCTAATCGGATCAAGGCTTAGCCTTATCCAACACAGAAGCGAGTTAGAGACTATAACGGGCCTCCGTCGGAAATAATGAAGAGGGGAATAGTTGTCATTGCGCTAAATCAGTTTGTTAAATTACTTTCGCAATCGCGACAAGGTTACTGGTGCGGATGCAGAGGATCATACTCACCACCCAATAGCTCATCTCAAATGCTACCAATAACATCACCATTAACCATGGCGCTAAGCCAAATTGAAACAACGTTCCTGAAGATACCCTATGGCGCCGGCACGGAGGTCCTGACGAAGTGAAATTACCTCTATACGTAAACCCCGCTCATATATGGACTCAAGTATTTAAGAATCGCCAACATGCCGTCTAGGGCTTTATTTCCTCATTCGTATCAACAACCCCCAGCTTGCCTACTCTTTCACTATCAGAATGTTTCGCGTTGCTGGCCTGGCGGCGCTGACCCTTGCGGCCTTGGCGGCCCCGGTGGATGCTGCTCCCCTGGAGCGCGCCACCGTTAACCATGTCGCTAAACGCACGCTGCAAAACCGTAATGTTGATCTCGATGTCAGGACTTGGAAGCCCACCGCTCAGCTTGGCTCTCGCGCTTCGGCCAAGTCCTCGCAAACCATGAGCTTGAAGAAGCTCAAGACATCACGGGCCAATCCCCGTAGCGCGGCGTACCTGAAAGGCCTGACAGGTCGAGCTTCCAGCTCCACTACCTCTGGAAGCAGCGAGCTTATCTCTTTGTTTGAGGGAGAAGAATTTGCGACCTCCATCACCCTTGGCACCCAATCCTTCGATGTGATCGTTGATACTGGATCCAGTGACACTTGGGTCGTCAAGTCAGGCTTCGAGTGCATTGATCTCGATACTGGAAAGAAGACATCGACGTCAACCTGTGAATTCGGCACCACGTACACTGTTGACAGCACCCTCAAGACAATCTCTGGCGAGGAGTTTGAAATTGAGTACGGTGATGGTGAGTACCTGTATGGCTACATGGCCACCGAGACAGTCACCCTGGCCGACATTACTGTTGACCAGGAGATCGCTGTTGTCACCGAGGCTGCTTGGGAGGGAGATGGAACTACCTCCGGTCTGACTGGTCTCGCTTATCCTGCTCTGTAAGAGAAACTCCCCTAGGCTGCTATGGCCACATGCTAATAAGAGGATGTGACAGGACAAGTGCTTACTCCGAGCGCACGGAGGAGCAGGAGGAGTACAACCCAATTTTCACGACCATGTACGAAGATGGCTTGATTGATTCCTACTTCAGTCTCGCTATTCTCCGTGATGTGTCCGGTGACGCGGGCTACCTGACACTTGGTGGCTTGCCTCCAGTGAACTTCACCGAGACCTGGACTACCACTGACATCCTGATCACTTCGATCTCGGGATACAGCAAGGCTTACGACTTTTACACCATCAACATTGACTCCGTCTCAATCAACGGCGAGACGGTTTCTAGCTCAGGAGGGTCTGATATTCAGTACATTGTAAGGCACTCCTGGTTAACCACACTGTATAGAATTCATTTGAACGAATATGCTGACGCAATACGCTAGGTTGACTCTGGCACCACTCTGAACTACTACCCCACTTCTGTTGCCGACGCTGTGAATGCTGCCTTCTCTCCCGCTGCCGTATATAGCGATGATGAGGGCGCTTACGTCGTTGACTGCGATGCCACACCCCCAACCCACACAATCACCATTGGTGGCACCGCCTTCACCATCAACCCGCTTGATATGATTCTGTATGCCGGCACTGATGACGATGGAAACGACGTCTGCATCTCCGGTATTGATGATGGTGGTGATGATTCGTCTGAGGATGTTTACATCCTTGGTGATACTTTCCAGAAGAATGTAGTCACTGTCTTCGATGTTGGCGCCGTTGAGATGAAATTCGCGCCTCATGTGGATTACACCTCCAACGACACCTACTAAGCTGGACATGGAAACATCATCGGTTTCAAGTTGAGAGGCTGGGCTGATTTCAATGGGGTTTCCAACACCAGTTTAGATCGGCCGTCTCCAAGGTACCTATGGTCACTTTGGGGATTTATCTAATGCGAGAATGTGTGCTCGAGTTCGTTTAATGTTCGCCAAGTTATGTTTCAAAGATTCGCCTATTCGTATATACAATCAAGGCAAATATTTCCTTAGTGACTACTTTCTGATAGAAATCTATTCACATTCCATAATTCCAGTTTTTCGCCAAGATTTGCACAGTCTCAGAGATCCTCAAAGATCGCTAGAGTCCTCACTAGTGTGTTACGATAGCCACTGGGAATCGTATACATGGAATACATTTTGTTTCATTACGCGCTGGACTGTCCACGGGCCGTTGGATTAATGCGGAGACTGCTCAAAAAGGTTGCCCCACGGCCCCCACCACGACCCTCTCAGCCGCACCAGGAACGAGGGATGAACGCCGTGTGATTGAGCTATCTTGCACAGACAAATTAAAGCACCGACGTACTGATGGCTGACAAGGATGCATTTTTGGCATGCAGTGTTCTCTCTCACCCCGATAATTGTTCCCAAAAGTGGAAAAGGGCATCATCTACTAATGCACAATCGGGTCTAGCCGTCTAACCCCGCGCCCCGAGCTTGCAGCTATGATTCCAGACCACCTTACCATCCGCTTATATCCTGATCAGTACTTATCCTGCAGTCGTCCCTAATTCTATTCATATACAGATATCTTAGAGATATCCACCATGGCCCCAACCGTCCTTTTCGTCCCAGGCTTATGGGAAGGACCAACGGTTTTTGAGAAGGTGATTGCTCTGCTCAAATCGAGCGAAGTGTCAGCTGAAGTAGCCACATTGCAAAGCACTGGCACCACATCACCCGGAAACCCAGGGATGAAGGACGACGTCGCAGCTATTCGCGTCCACATCAACACAATTCTCGCTCGCGGAGAGGACGTGCTACTAGTCCTACACTCAGCAGGCGGGTTCCTTGGTAGTGAGGCAATGCAAGGGCTCGACAAGAAAACACGCGGAGAGGAAGCCGGTGTAATAGGGATCGTATTCTTGGCAGCAGCCGTCTTCCCAGAGGGATACCAGCACCAACCATTACCTTTCGCTGTGGTGGAAGTTCGTGCATTCCGCATCCAAAAATTGACAAAAGACCATGCTAACGTGACCGTGATAATCGTAGGGCGGATCATCTTACTGTGCGCAACCGGAGACCTTGCTACTTGGCGATTTGCCCGATAATGAAAAGGCCGCATGGCTTGCCACCTTTCAAGCACAGCCCGCGGAAGGATGGGACGATACTGTTAGTTATGCGGGGTGGAAGGACGTGCCTAGTGTATATTATATCTGCGAGGGAGACAATGTGCTGCCGGTTTCGCTTCAAGAGCAGCTGGCTGCTTTGGCGGGTAGCGAGATTGCGCGATGCAGTGCTGGTCATTTGCTTATGCTGAGCCAGCCAGATGTTGTGGTTGAGGCTGTTAAGACAGCATTGGGCTGGGCGGATTAAGTTTGGGGTGAAATCTATCGAGGTAGCGGTCGATGGCCCGGGGGCCGTCGTATTTTGATCTTAGGTCCCGAGGACAACAATCACAGACTGGAGAGCAGTTCAGCATCTCTATTTACCGTAGGAATCAGAGACAGTCACTGTGGATTGGATATTGTTCTACAAAACAGCCGGTCGGTGCTTGTATTTGTAAGGGCTCTGGGGCTTCGTGGACCGCGTAATATCGACGAAGACGTTCTATCGCAGTCCTAAAATAGGATTCCCTTCTCCTCTGCTGGATGGTCCCTATGCAGAATTCAAGCCTCTTATGTTTGGAGTGAGATAACCAGGGGATACAGTGGTAGAAGGACAACGGGCCAACTGTGATTATCTGAGCAGCAGACAGTGTTACAAATGCGTGATCGATCAGGGCCGGCACCTATGCAAACTCGCTATGCACATTGTTCGCTGACTTTGAGAGGATTCGAAGACCGCAATTGGATCTGCTAGACTGTTGCAAGTGGGGTTTTTTTGTATATCATTCAATACAGAAAACCTAATAAAATAATTCATACTGTACAATGAAGCCCACCGCCATCATTATTGAACTTCAACTCGAGCAAAGACAGATCCAACTTTTGTACGCCTCAAATAAACCCAAAAACAGTCCGTACATCTCCAAAGATCGCGTATCAACGTGTAAGATGCACTGTTAAGCCTTTACTACATATCCATAGATGTTACTCGAAGCGTTGATGTCTCCAACACCCATGACAGTTCGGTAAACTTGGGAGCACTTCCCTTGCTGGGTGAAGAATTGGAGTGTTCGGGCACCATTAGATCCAGTCCAGCTGATACTGGCACCCCGGGGGATGTTAATGGCTGTACAACCCTGGGTGTGGGTTCCATGAATGTCTATTCCAGTGTTTGTTCTAAGCTTCCATGCTGAAGTCGTGCTCAATGACAGAGCGAAGAGGTAAGTCAAGAGGAAAGAGAGCTTCATGGTTGTTTCTATCATCGATTAGTTCTGATGTTATCGACTGCTCAAAAATGTAGTCTTGCATACTGATTTGATGAAATAATTAGATGTTAATATTTGACTTAGTGCACACTGCTTGATGTCAAGAGGAAAATAGTATCAAATAGTGCGTGCTAAATACTCTTTTTGAAATCATGATGTCACTGTTCATGCTTGACGTCCATGCAAGTGTTGAGTAATCGCAGTGAAAATACGGGGTAGGCCCATGAACTGTCTCGTATTGCAATTAGAACCATGCCTATGCCATGGTAGATAGCTAAGTCCTTCCAGTAACGTGGTCAAGAACGGTGGGTATATGGTCCATCCAGCGGTCGAACCGATATAGGCTAGCTCTAGCCCTGGACAGGTCCGTGACTTGCCGGGGTGTTGTCCCACATGCTAGTGCCTATAATTTTGAAACTAGTATTTTGATAAATTTTCGACCATTCAAAAGGCTGCGGTCGGCGCCACTGGGCGTCCCGGTGTGTTGATGGATGAACAAAAAAGAACCAAAAAAGAAATGCATCATCCGTGAATCGAACACGGGCCTCGTCGATGGCAACGACGAATTCTACCACTAGACCAATGATGCTGAGTCATGAATGAAGCTCTCAAATAATGTATTAGATATAAGTATATTTAAAATGTAAAAAAAGACTCGTAACAAACTATGCGACTAGAGTCCAATACTCAAAGTTATGAAGCAGAAGGATCCGTCTAATACGTCATCGATATATGCCCTTCATCCATTCGACCCAATTGTACAAATGGAGTTTGTAGACTAGCCGTAGTGAAATAGTGTGCCTACAAGGCGGCAGCCATACTACGGAAACACACCTGTTCTACATCGAGGGCTTTTGTCATCATACGAAGAGGCCGACGCGAGCACATACATGGGGAGAGCCGAGCATCGGTGGTGATCGGACGATGTTGAGTATCTATGGACCCATAGACAAGTAACTTGAATGAACTATTTGGAGCATGTGCATTGGGCTCCATATGCTACAGAACAGAGCGACGTTCACTTATGTAGCTGCTTTTGAATCCACTCGTCCATTTCAAGCTCCTTTGCAGAACTTCGCTTTCCTGGCTCCCATTACAGCATTTTTCCTACTAAGCGAAGGAATTGCTCCTTATTCTCTCCCTCGAGACTAATCTCCCGTTGTTCAAGAGGGGTGTGCACTCCCACCGAGACACCAGCATGGAGGTCACATAATGTCAGATAGTCGGTCATGGACACCCAACCTTCGGAAATTGCTTTTCAAGCCAGTCTCGGCCAAGTAGACTTGCAAGGCAATTGAATTCTCCCCCAAGCTATTGCTAGAACTATAAAAATGCCGTTGCACACTGTTCCAGAGCAATTTGAGCTTGGAAGGCGCCTGGTAGTAATGATGAAAATGACGAAATTGGACAGAAATCGGCGAGTAACCTAGCCTTTGTTTAAAATGCTATCACAATCTCTGTGATTGACAAGATGGACATTCGAATGGCCCAAGCCTTGTTAGTCGGGCGCATTAATATGCTAGGGCTGAGTAGTGGCTAAGAGTAGAAATTTTTTTTGATGTCAAACGTGTAAATTCACAGATCAAAATGGCTATCTACAAAGGGTATCTTGAAAACTATTTAACAAAAGTATGTATCAGTGCGAATGGTGGTGATCAGCGAAAACACCCTGTTCCGCGCATGCCTTTTGACATTCCTGCAAGATTCTCGCCTGCTTAGCGATATCACCCAACCGACTGATAACTTCCTTGTTACCGTCGTAGAAAGTAAACACAGCATAAGGGATCTTCACATCCTCACAAAATTCCTTAACGAACTGCTGTGTTTTGCGCAGATTGTGACGAGGGATGCGAGGGTACAAGTGGTGAATGGCCTGGAATTGAAGTCCGCCGTGGAAAAAGTCCAACCAAGCTGGGCAGTCCACATCCATAGTTGTGCGCAGCATCCGTTGAGGGAAAGATTCCTGGGGACCAAGATCCGCTGTGGACATAGCGTAGTGTGAAAGAGTGATTTGTACATGGAGTGGCGCAGTAACCATGTGAGAGATCAGGACGAAGGCGACACGACTCCACCAGGATGGAATACTGAGCCAGACAACGCCATAGCCAAACCAGATCCAGAAGAAAATTTGGCCGGCCAATTCAAACCACCTGTGCCACCAACCGGCGCCGTGTCGAGGACCAAGACCGAGGTAAATGTGCTCCCAGCTCAAGAAGTAGAGGTTAAAGCGACCGAAGAGGAGAATCGGGTAATACATGTAATGTTGGTATTTCACAGTGAATTTTGCCACGGCATCGTAAGCCATGACGCGATTGTGGTATGTGCTGAAAAGACTGCCGAAGAAGCGGTGGGAAAGGGCGAAGAAAGGCATAAGTTCGATGTCGGGGTCGTGCTCTGGAGCATTGGTGACAATGTGGTGAACGTTGTGGCTTCGCTTCCACCATCCAAGACTCAGACCACCGAGGTAATCGGCAATGATCATTCCAATCACAGTATCGGTCTGGAAATCGTGAGTGATACCCATATGGCCAGCATCGTGGGCAGAAAAAACGAGTTGATGCCAAAAACAGCCTAGGAAAAAGGCAGACAAGCAGAACCAAGAGTTCTTCAAGAAAAACAGGAAGAGACCAAAGAAGAGAGAGTATCGACTAATTTCAATGGCATATGCGCTGTAGTTGCAATTGTAAAGCCCAGCCGCACGAATGCGCTCGTTGAGTTGACGGTATTTCTGAACGATATTTGCCTGATCTTCCACTTCGAGTGAAGGATACTTGGATTCGTCCAGCTCAATCTCCTCTTGTGTTCGAGCATCTACCACAAATGTTCGTCCTTTGAGGTCCATCGGAGGAATAGAGCTGACAGCGGATGAGATAGTCGATGTTGAAAGTCTGCGCTTCAAGCCGAATGTGTCTAGTTTGGTGTCGAAAATGGGAGAAGGTGGTGCTGATGATTCCGAGCTGGATATGGGAGTGGAGGGACGCTCATCTTCTTGCTCGATGTATGGACGGAACTCTCCATATTGGATAGGAGGAATGAAGTTCTTCCATCGTCCCTCAATGCGACCGATCTGGAATTTGTTCATGCGCTGGCGTGCCTCTGATGAATGGAGCCTTTTGATTGTCAACATAGCACAGGTAGTAAAGTGGATGTAGTACTCACGCGTTCACTTCATCTGTGGCATCTTTGCCTATCATGTGTCGGATGGCTAAATCACCTCCAGGGTGGAATTTGACCCAGGCATCAAGTTTCAGCACTTTATCATCGACGATAATAATGAGATGGTTCTCCGCAATCATGCCTTCGATTTGGCGTCTGGACAGGACCTTGTCCCTCGCCTTCGCGAGGGTAGACATCTTGCTCATTGCCAAGGTTGTTCTGTAGAAAAGGGCAGGGAGATGGGAGGGAAGGGAAAGAATGACAAGGCAACTAGGTGGAAAGAAAAGAACAATTGAGAGAGAGAGACAGAGCGAGAGAGAAAGACCGTTAGGAATCTATATGTGGCACTGAAAGAATGGACGTCCTCTCATCAGACACCTAACCGTGACTGAAACTTCAAACAAGCACGAAAAAGAGTGGCAGATATGATATCAAAATAATTTCAAATGATTGGAGTTTGGAGCAAAGCCAAGGTGCTTTCCCTTTAAAGTAATTAGGGAGTACTGGGACACATTGCAATTGTATATCTATTCTGCTACCTAGAACTAGTGCCATAGCGCCAGATACCCCTCTCATCTGGATCAGTGGGACAAAAGGAGGGCTGTGCAAACGAGTGGCTCAAATGGATAAACGTGGGAGATACCCGTTGTGGAAATGAGGAAGGATAGTGCGAATACGGGGACGAGGACGAGTAATAGGCAACGAGGATCCATTTAGCGACGCTAGCGGGCTATACGCGCGGCCGATCTCCGATTCCACGTGACCTTAACCACGTTTAACTGTGGCTCCAAAGGACACCTATTACTGTAACTGTGGCCTAGTCCACCCGCCACTCTATTTTAAAGTTTATCTAGGGGCAAATCCGCAGTTAAAGTGAAGGACTCCGCAGAAAAGGCTAGTTTTAGCGTTCGGCTCTACCGTGGCTCAGGGCACGTGCAATCACCCTTTCCCTTATTTCTCTTTATCTCCTTTCGCCTCCTCAGGGCCTTTTGACGTGCCGTGCCCGTCTACGTTTTAGGGTTCCACCCCCACTAGCCCCATAACTCGCCTATACTTTGTCTCACATGTTAGGTCGACGGTCTGTTAGTTGACCTGCCGTACGCTACTTCCCAAACTAGTATTAGAGGGGTTAGATGTCGGCAAGTTAGTCGCATCTTGGAGTCCCCATCTTAGTGCGTGTCTCACTCTTAGTTTATCTATTCTGAGCGCAACAGTAATAAGGGGTCAAAACCCCACTATTCATGCCCCCTACCACCGCGTATTCGTTTACGTGGTTTTCTTAGAGGGCGTTCCCCGAGTAGACAGTCCACGCGGCTCCACATTGCAATCAGAGTTTTCCATTTGCTTCGGAGGCTAAAGTGAGCCAAGACTCCAGAAAATAGGGGACAGTGGGGAGGGTGGGGATTACCTTAACCATACTGAGCTTCAATAACGTCAAATCATTGTGGAAACTGATCTAAAATGCTAGGCTGAAATTTTGAAGCAGAGATCAGTGATGGCAAGAAAAAAGGGGCTTCGTGGCACCTCATTCAAGTAAACTGTGTCTTTCCGTCTGGCAATTTAGAAGGCGGGCGAAAAGAAGCGAGAAAGGGACCAAGAGACAGCTGCTTGGCACTGTTGCAGCTGTGTGGAAACCCCTGTACCCCAGGCACACACTTTAATCCCCAATCAATGAACTCTCTTTGGACCGTCGATCAACCCCTTCTGTCCGTGGTAGGCTTTGCCTTCGCTGCGTAGTGTAGTTACTTTTTCTCCACCGTCGCCACCACCGCCACCATATCCATCTTGGTCTTGGCTCCTCGTATATCCATACGCGTAGCACGCGTGAGCTATTAGCCGAAGCTCAATGCGAACTTTACCTGCTAGCCACATCCATTTTCTACCTAGTAGGTGCTATGTTCGCTTTTTTCTGGGTTTGAATAGCTTCACTTTGACCCCACCAGGGCGAGAATTCCAACACACACACACACATCTTACAAGCGTCTTTGCTGTTATCTCGTCTTTCAAGTATCAAATTTGTTAACTTCACGTTCTCCACTAACATCCTGCCAGGAGACTTAGCCTTCCATTTAACCCCAGTCACTTACCCCCCAGCCAGCTTTGCTTCAAGAGCGCTTCTCAATCTGTTACCAAGAAGCTGATTTCGATATCTCTACGTTCCACCATGTCTGACATTTTCTGTCTATCTTCGTTCACGCTCATTTCGAGGGCTTCTCCTTCACTAGCAGCTCTTTCTCCCTCACACCAAGCTCTAACCTATATAGGCCGCCCTACAGAGATTTTCTCTGAATAACCCGTCTGTCCACTACCAAACCTACCTACACCCTCGAGGCCCTCAGACTCCTCACTCAGCATTCTATAAGCCTCGATTTGATAAAATAGCTAGAAGAGAAGAGTGACGGATTCATTACCCGCAAACTATCTAGGCACCGCCGTTACGCTATCAGGGAGGGAAGACCGTCCTGTGGACCGAGACTCCTGCAGCTCTGCATGCTCTCGCCGTCGAGGACTAGCTCGCACCTTTGGCTGGTCTTACAAAAATCGATCACATCTTCACAATCTGAAAGGGGCTATGTGCCGTAGGACAGAAAGAAAGCCTTGCTTACTGTTGTCAAATATTGTGCAAGCACAGGGAACGATGCGTTGCTTATCGTGTTCGGATCCTTTCGGGTCCAGGGCCCTCCTTGGTGACCTCAGATCCTTCAGAAATCAGCCAAGCCAATATCCCTATATGATATATTGTGAATCATGGTTGGCGATGGCTTATCGTGAACTGGGAATGCTTGTAGAATAATACAGCATTTCGGGTTCCGACTAAATAGACCCTTGCCGGGTGAATGCGTACCTAGATCTCACCGGCAACGATCCCCGACATTCAATGAATAACACGGATCTTACCTTCGCTACTTTCTCTAGCATTGGGGTCTGTCAGTGTCAGAGGTTGCCAAGCGGAAAAAATATGGCTTGAGTTCCTAGCATATTCTTTATGGAAATCTCACCCTTTGAAATAACTGGGATGAGTCTCCATAGAACCAAACAAACGCATCATTATACTGTTTCCACGATGAATTTGATGCCATTTGGTTCATTTGTGTGCTTCGTAAATCTGAGCCGTGAACCGCAAGCCTTTGCAAGAATCATGTCACGTATCACAACGGAGGCAAGCCATATGGGTGAAATAATGCACGTCACGAAAATGATGACAGCACGATCTTGGCAGCGACCGAAGGAAAAAGTGAAAATAGAGCGGGAGATAAAGCCGCCATTGTCTATGTCGAAGAAGGGTCCTTGGATTCCTAGCCCTGGCTTTAATGAATTCCGCATTCACTGTTATTACTCGACGGCACTTTTTTTGGGTACGGTCCCTGGAGTCGGAAACTGGAGGTAACGATCACACTCTAACACACAAGAAAACAACGGCTATACCGCGAATCACGGATGACTTCCACCGCCTCAACGATGTCGGCTGGTACGGCGCTGGCTACCCTGTCACCTAGATGTCGCTCATCCGCACATGCGGTCGTGTCTACACATTTTACGACATCCGGTGGTCGTACATCGCACTGCTACTCATTTCTGAGCTGGGATCAGTGATCTGCGCAGTGCCCCAGAGCTCGAAAATGCTTATAGTGGGACGTGCCGTTCCAGGAGTGCGAGCTGCTGGCTTGATAAGCGGCGGGGCCACGATTGTCTCATATTGCGTGACTCTGAGAAAGCGCCCGATTGTATTGTGGGTTCTTTTCATGATGTATGGCGTTGTGTCTGTGACGGGACCGTTAATTGGCGGTGTTAAACCGGACAACGCGAGACTTACTTAGCGATTTGCTTTTGGGTGAATCTTCGTTAGTATATTCGAAAGCCCAGTGCGACAGACGCTGATATGCGCAGCATTCGGAGCAGTTGCATTGCCTTCAAGTATGGTTCGCACCGAGGAACCCTCCACCGGCAGCTAAGGCAGGACTGCATCCTAAGGAAAAGTTACGCCAGCTGGATATCCCAGGCGCCAAAGTTTTGGTTGGATCAATAACTTGTTGGATGTATGCTCTATAATGGGGAGGGACAGTTTATTCAAGGTCGTGCAGACTTATGCAGAAGTACTACATACAAGCGAAAAAAGAAGTTGGGGGCGAGGCATTCGCCAAATTGGCTGAATTCATATACTGATAGCTTATAATAACTAGAGTGTTAATCCTTTGGTGACAATTCAGTGGACAACAAGGACCGCTTCGGTTTAGAGACTGCCATTCTTCTCACATGGGCCCATCTGTGTTGCCTTCGCATCTCCATGAACTACATGGTCTCCAATTTTCGCCCCCAAATACAGGCTTCTCTGTGGGGCTACAATGTATTGAACTAGTACAGCACTTCGTCCCGACCCTCGCGACACAAAGAGAAATGGGTGTCAAGGCTTTCTGGGCAGTTTCGTTGTGGTGGTCTTTGCCGGGAGGTAAATAGACCATAGCACATAATGAGCCTTAAGCGCCAGCTAGCTAGCAATATTGAAAAGTCATCGCTGAATGAGGCAACTGCCATGAAATACGACGTATCGTATGCAGTCAGCCGAACGAACTCATGCAGATCCAGGGCTGAACAAGTTACGATCGGCCTCGATGATACAAAGAGTTCCTGCGATTAATTCCCACATGCACGACCTTAGGCCGGAGGATATAGGAAATTTTATCTCCTTTATTGACGCGTTAGGCAACGCATGGTATTTGAATGTCAAATGCTCAGTCGAATCAGTTACGCACTTCCATTGGTCTAGCATATTCATCCTTCCAACCAGCCATTGGGCCTACACAGAAATATGGCCCACTATGGATTATAATCATGAGTACTTTTTTGGGAGGAAATATTAGATGTGGAGCACATTTGCATGGGGCTATTTAATGCCTGTCTTTCTTAGTGCACTAATCTCTGGCTAAGCCAGAATCTGTTCAATAACTTTCGCGAGTTCCTCCGGTTGGGTAATGTTAGGACAGTGACCCGTCTCCAGCGTGAATTTCTGTACTTCACGGCCCGCCGCCTCCATTCCCCCCACCATATGATTTTGGTATCTCATAGGAAACGTCATATCATCGGTCGTAAAGATATACGTGATGGGGATCTCGCGCCAGGAACAGTGCGTCAAGGGCTGGTACATAGCTTTACCGTTGAAACGCTCCCAACATCCCAGGTAATCTTCCATGTCTTCATCTGAAAGACCCGGACCCACCAGCAAAGTTTTTGGGTCGCGAGAGACACAGCTTTTGTCTTCTGGGATATCGAATGCGAGGGGCACCAAGTTCATGTCACCAAGCTCCTCAATGAGATCCATCATGGATTGGCCCTCCTTGTTAGCCGCACCAGACATGTAGATAAGTCGTGCCACACCACCAGGTAAGCCCTGCTGCTTGCGGGCTTCGAGTCCCAGGCCGACGAGCCCATTGGTACCGACTTGGCCCCCATACGAGTGCATGAGAACAACAACAGATCGGCCGGCATCGGCCAGTTCGGTCACAACCTTGTCGACGATCTCAACGTCTGTGTATAGATCCGCGATCGGGGGCCTTGCGTTGTTTACGGTCAGCAGGCGAGGGACATGGACGGTGAGACCTTGGGATTCGAGAAGCTTGCGAAGCTTGTCGTAGGCCGCTGGAAGATGCCAGGCACCGCTGACAATGACAATGTCGGGCTTGGAAGCAGACATGGTGGGTGTTTTGATCGAACGGTAGAGACTTAAATGTAAAATGCCTCGAGGATTGGGGATAAGAACCCTTGGGAGATGTTTCCAAGGATGGAGATAGGAGAAGTTTCGAAGATTCAATTTTGGTAGAATGGTACCTCCTTATATATTTTGTTTGAAAAATGGGTACTCGGAATTTTCTTTTCCCCCTCTTTGTTTTCTTTGAGATAGTTGGGGGCGGTTTCTGGGCAGTTGAGGGGTTGTAGATACCAAATTACATTACATTGTTACCCCTCCGGTAATCAACTTCAAAGATCTGCATATGTGCGGTTGAATATGATTTCTTTTCTGCTTTTGACCTGAAAAGGACATATTTAATTATAATTCATCGTCCGATGTTACTCGCATATCTGTCTGCAAACGCACCGAATTCACGTGACGCATTGTGTGGTGTGAAATATAGTATGCCTTGTCGAAAAATTGCCCTAACTCAGTCGTGTTTGTTTGAGTATGCTGTGCTAGCGTCGGGACAACCGGCATCGCCGTTTGGTGCCTTTTGAGAAGAACCTATATCTGCTCCCTGACATATGCGCAAATGGCGTAGCAGACTAGGGAACGTCGCAAGGCACGAGCATATGATGCTCATGTTCAGTTCAATCATTGCCCAGATGCCGGGATTTATTAAAGAATCTTCCAAAAGTCAGTAGGGGTAAGAAAAGCGCAACCTCTGGAGGAAGAGGCCCAAGAGACATACACGTCACATCGCTCATCTCCATAGTTGCCAGAGATGCAATACGCACGATACTTGCAATACACACACGAAGTTTTTTATCAGCACCGGATCACTGCGTGAATTCAAATTTCGAACTCACAATCCTCCAACGCAAAATACACCGGACAGAAGAACCTTCCGCTCTGGGCTTAAGTGAAGTCTCCACAACAGCGGCTATGGAAGGCAAAGAATGACTAAATCCAAGATGGCGTTGATAACTCCAGCAGCAACCCATAGGTCCTTAGCATGGATGGTTGTGTGGGGTAGCCATGTTTTCCATTGTGCTTCAACTGGGCTAGTTATAGAAATTAAGCAAAATACGGCTGATATGAAGGAGCCGAACACAAAGAATCCAGTGACCCAGGATAGAATTCGGGATGTGTCGTAAACATTCCAAGGTTAAAGATGCGGCGGTAAAAGAGTAGAATTGAGACTTTAGACAAAGTGATGCTCATATTGTATATAACCTCGTTGGCCAGGGTGAACTATAGCGGATGACAATTTATCAATTAGTACTATCAATCAGCTTGAGATATATTGATTGCCTAAGGACTAATAGCACCTTGGGTAAACATCAACTGAGACGAATTCATACCTGAAAGAATTTTTCCAATGTCTGATTGCTATACTCTTCTATATGATAACCGGCCCGTCCGACCGTTGAGTCAAGAGATATACTCATCAAAAATTCATATGCGAAAACCAGTGCCCCGAGGCAAGCTCAGTCATCCCACTTTACCGAGAGAGTAAGTCTTCGGGATGTAAAACGCAAAATGACTGAAACAGTGGAAAGCAAAGTCATCATTGCTGTGGTACCCAGAAATATCACACAGTAGTGACTAGTTCCATTCGGCATAATATCATGCGTTGTCATGGTCAAATAATGCTCGTCTCCTGGCGCAGGCACAATGAGATCGAAGAGAGAAAAAAGACTCCTGGTCAGTGGGAATTCAAGAGTCAACTAAAGTATGAGGCCCGAGATGGAACAAAGAAACGCGCATTGACCCTGAACCCCCTACTTACCATAGCTGAGGGCTGAGGATGAGAATTGATCCATCACCTCAGGGCACCTTGGAATCTTTGCTAAAAGAAAATCAATCTGTCATCACTCATCGCCCTGTAAAAACCGGCAGCTTTGAAGAAGGCGGTTTTTGCTTACTTGCCAGCGACGGATGCCTCGGATCCCATGATGACACGAAGGACAGCCAAAGAGCAGAACTTGGTTCCTTCACAACATCCAAAAACTGGAAGTACACAGGCTCACCAATAAATAATGCAGTGCGAGCAATGTTTGACTCGTCGCCAATCGCCTCTATCGTCTCGTCAATGACAATCTTGGAGTTCGGAATTCAATGTCCTCGTCTTGAGGCCTTCTGTGGCCAATCGTGGTACACTTCGCCGCGAAGCTTAGTGCACTGAGTGCAGCTCCCATAGGCTACTCAGGAATATCCGTAACAATTGAAAATAGTGGAACTAAAGATCTGGTGGTTGTCTTGCATTGCGCAGCCTCTCCAGAGAGCTTTATCTTACTCGCCTAATGATTTTCATTAACGAAAGCATGAATAGTAATCTTACTATCAGGTCCCGCAGGCTGGCAGAGAACCGCAAATCTAGTTCGATAATGCTGAGAGACCCAATGTGCGTATTGACTCTGTAGTCCTGACTCCGCCATGGCATCAAGGGGACGAAATTGTGGCGTCCATCGGCCGTCATACCGCCTTGGGAAGACCGAAGCCAATGGCTCGGACCTCTCATTTATCTCCCCATCTCGTCCAATCCGCATAATCCGCCCTGTATCCAATCGCGTTACCGAAAAGTTGACCAAACGTCAGAGAAAAAGTGGCGTTTTGTTAAACGTGGTCAAATCAAATCTTGGTTTCAGCCGACCGTCGAAATGACGCACTCTGGCATAGCTGTGATTCGCCCTTGGACCACTAGCTATGAATTAATGCCGACTCATTATCACCTATGTGGGAGGCTAAGCCGATCGGGCAGGTTATCATGTTTCTGGGCTGCTGATTGAGAAAATTAAGTTGGGAGCGAAATACTCATACGTACACGGCTTTTCAGGTGTGACGCAATAACACAATAACACACATCAAGAACTCATGAAATCCTCGCGGACGTGCAGAAACGAATATCACATTTCAGTGTCTTGTCCGACATTCCTGGAGATGGCAATTTGGATATGCTGTATCTCTACACCGCAATGCTGGCAATGGGATTGTGTGGGGAATTACTGGGATTCATGGACGCGCGCTAGTCTTCGCCCGACAGGCTTAATTTGTTTATACTTTAGCCTGACGTCACATCCTGACGAGGAAAGGCAAGGGCTATGTTGATCTTTCTGTTTTTGAATCAACGCCTTGACGTCAGTTCTCCTCTGGAGGAATGGGGAACTGTACATTTTGTTTAAAATGGAGTCGATGGTTAGCCCTGGGGAAAGTTCTAAGCATTATAAGTTCATACTCCACATCCTGACCCACAAAGTTGTCAACCTCGGATCCTTTATACTTTCCATCTTTCTACTTCTTTCCAACAACATTAACAAAATTCGCACTATAAAAATCACAGCTATCCACTATGGCTATATTCAGTCGCGATCACTCCACCAGTGCTTCTTCATCCAGTCCTCGTTCATCGGGCATGTCGACTCGCTCCTCTACCGGGCATAGGAAATATGCCGACGATTCTTCCCGCACGTCCTTTTCCTCTAGATCTTCAACAGGTAGCACCCGCCGACACGGCTTTCTCCACCGTACACCTGAAGATCCTTCGATCCAAGCGGCTCGAGAGCAGGTTTCTCGTGCGGAGACTGCAGAGCAACAGGCAGATAGCGCGCTGATCGCGTCCCGGCGGGCGGTTAAAGAGGCCCGGGATCATGTTAAACACCTTGAGCGTGAAGCTGCTGAAGAGTAAGTGAGGAATACTCCTACTGAGATTCGCATTTTACTGACGGCGATGTTCTTATTAGTGCTCGACTTGCGAGAATTAAGCACGACCAAGCGAAGTCTATCTCTAAGCGCGCAAAGCCTTTGGGCCGTAAGTCTTTCCTACCCCTACGAGATAAACTAAGACTAATACAGAGTAAAGGCCATTTGTAAGCTACGGCTTTCAGAGAATGCAATGCTGGAAAGGAATAAATACCTCCCTGATGATTCTGGTCTCCCTTCTGTACCATCATGCGCTACGATCCTCATGTACAATTAGCCAAGCGTTATGTTTTTGCTTTCATGGCCCTGTTCACGTTACACATTGAACTTTATCATCGGTCACAATACACGGAGATCTTTGAAGCTACTCCAAATTGAAAGTCCGATCAATGTTGAATCTCTTGAGTAGTGTGTTTGATCACCTTCTAGACCTATATGTGCATGATTGGGTTACATTCGGGATGTTACCCCATACTCGGGTGACGAGATGTTGTTTTCAGTCCCAGATTCTTACTCGTTACTAACACCCGAAACACGTGTAAATCCTCCGTTTCAACCTAAATCTATGCTTACTTTTTGAGGGGTACGAAGTACCAGCATATGAATATTCCTTTCACCCCGAGAATGAGATGCAATGGCAAAATGTGGCGAGTAATGACCTTCTCAGCGTCGTAGAAATTCAACAGTTTGTGTAACACGCCACAACTTTGTGCTCCGTGGGTACCAAGACTTTCCCTGCAGACAGATACTTCCCAGTAAAAGCAAGTCTCCAAGGTTGTGCTTCGGTTCCCTGGTCATTATCAGGAGCATGGTTACCGTGTGCTCGCTGTTTCAAATCCAAGTCAAGATAAGGACTGCCAGTATATCTCTGTAGGCCAGAACATATATAAGTGTCCGTTTCAATTGACCCCCGTGGTTATATCTCCGGGGCCATAAATGTCATTCCCATTCTCATATTACGCAACTTGCATATGAGATGCTTTGTAAATCCAAAAAACTGGAGCCAGAGTTACATTTTTTTCACATCAGCTGCCATATGCGAAGATCATCCTCCGAGGCGGTTGCGGCATCCACCAATTAATGTCAGCATCGGAGGTCCGACTGATCGATGGAGATGAGGTAGGAATATAAATATTGTAGCTGAGCTCACAGCGGCAATATGGACTAGTATCAAGACTCCTCAACCAAGGGCTACAAAGCAATATGGCTCTATCAACTCTTCTAGTCATCTTTATATCACTCATAGGAATATGGGCAAAGTCAATTCCTGTAAGAGGCAGTTTTGATGATGTTGAGGTTTCTGATCAAGCTGGCAATCGTCTGGTCTTTGCACATTTCATGGTACAATATCAAGTCTTTCTCAAATGATCATGCAGTTCGTTAACAGTGTTGGGATATCAAAATAGATTGGGATTACCAGCGACAGAACCAGTGCCTCTGCCTACGACGACGATATGCAACGAGCAAAGTCACTCGGCATCGACGCCTTTGCCTTGAACATCGGCGTTGACCCATACACCGACCAACAGTTGGAACTTGCATATGAGTCCGCAGCAACCAACGGAATGAAAGTATTCCTTTCATTCGATTTCAATTGGTGGAATACCGGACAAGCATCTGCGGTCGGCCAGAAGATTTCCCAGTACTCCAACAAACCAGCCCAGTTGATGGTTGACAACAAGGTTTTCGTATCCTCTTTCGCTGGAGATGGACTGGACGTGGGAGCTTTACGGGCAGCTGCCGGAAAACCAATTTTCTTTGCACCTAACTTCCATCCTTCTCAAGGGACTGACATCTCGCCTGTTGATGGGCTACTCAATTGGATGGCTTGGCCGAACAACGGGAACAATAAAGCACCTTCTGCTGGAGCTAATGTATCCGTTGCGGATGGGGATAAGGTCTACGTCAATGCCTTAGCAGGGAAGGCCTATATTGCACGTAAGTTTCCTTTCCAAAAGTTGATCTATCAGCACCTTTTGAGTGTTGTAATTAATTTCCGTCTGATATAGCCGTTTCACCCTGGTTCTCTACCCATTTTGGACCAGAGGTTTCCTACAGCAAGAACTGGGTATTTCCCTCGGATCTGCTTTGGTATAATCGGTGGAACGAAGTATTGGCCCTCGGCCCGAGATTCATCGAGATTGTGACTTGGAATGATTATGGCGAATCGCATTATATCGGGCCTTTGAAGTCACCTCATACTGATGACGGTGCTTCCAGATGGGTCAATGATATGTGAGAAAAACCTCCCCCTACGCGAATATAGAAATTTTACTGAGTGTTTTATTTTTCTAGGCCCCATGATGGATGGCTAGAAATCTCGAAGCCATTCATTGCAGCCTTCAAAGATGGTGCAAAATCGCCAGACAAATACATTACTGATGAGAAATTGGTTTACTGGTACCGACCAGCGCCACGAGACGTTAACTGTGACGCAACAGATACCTGCATGGTCCCTGCTAATAACGGTAGCGGAAACTATTTCCTAGGCCGTCCAAATGGTTGGCAATCCATGCAAGATTCTGTTTTTGTTGTGACCTTGCTTCAGTCACCTGCGACTGTCCAGGCAAATTCCGGCGGCAGCGTTTACCAATATGACGCACCGGCTGGGGCATATGCACAAGCTGTCCCTATGAACGTTGGTGTGCAGGCTTTCTCGATTAGTCGTGATGGGAAAGCGGTGCTTTCTGGTGTCAGTCTCAAGCCCATTATTAATGGGTGTGTTTGTGGTCTTTATAATTTCAACGCTTATGGTAAGGATCTCTCACAACTGATGTTCTCACTCTGAAAAGAAAGCATATGTAAGCTGACAACTTGACCTCGCAATAGTGGGAAGTCTTCCAGCGGGCTTTAGCGATCCGCTTCAACCAGATGGCCTAGCAGCCTTCCTTCAGGGATTGCATGTGACAACCTGTCGCCCGACCCCTTCGTTAGGTACTGCTACCCCAACCGCATCCACCACCTCCTCGACTTCATTGCCGCCAACGGGGCCACCGACTACCACATCATCCACGACATGTTCAACTTCTCCTTGCCCAACGGGGCCACCGACTACCACATCACCCACGACATGTTCAACTTCTCCTTGCCCAACTGGATCATCGACTACAACGCCAGCCGTGACTGCCACTGTCACCCAGACTATCACCCAGACAGTAACTGTCACTTCCTGTTCAGGAGATAGTGGAGGCGGCGGCGGCGGTGGCGGTGCTGGAGGTGGCGGTGGGTCAGGAGGTGGAGGAAAAGTCTGCACAGGAGGCACAGGGCCTGGAAATTATGTGGGACTCTGCAACTTCAGTTGTGGATATGGTTACTGCCCACCTGGTCCTTGCACCTGTACTCGATATGGAGCACCTGTCCCGGCACCCCCCTCAACGGAGACAAACGGTATCCCCTTGCCTGGTGAAGATGACTCGTACGCTGGTCTTTGTAGGTTTGCCTGTGGTCTTGGATATTGTCCCCCCACCGCCTGTACAACGCGATGAGGTATGAGCGCGTCTGATTTGATTAGTACTGATTTTATGAACATATTCTCGCTTTTCCCCGGTGGCCCTTATTAGATTGGCTTTCTTGGGTCACTGGATTTTTGTGAATAGTCAATATATTGAATGCCTGTGTGAAAATCAATCTCATTACGGTACTTTCAGATGGTCCGACTTAGGATCCCAGGGGGATAAAAAATATTATGTAACGTACAAAATGCCACTATGTGTATGTATCCTAATGTACCAAAATATACACGATTTCCAAACCGATGCTTACAGGGCAGCGGCAACCAGCGCCATGGCAGCGCCTCCGAGAGCAATGCCGGGGTTGCCAGTCACCCGGGAAAGACCTCCAGTGCTAGTCGCAGAGGTCTGGCTGGTAGATGCAGCTCCCGAGGTACTAGAGCCGGATCCAGTAGTTCCAGCAGCTTCAGTCGTTCCAGTCTTATCAGCGGTAGAGGTGTGTTTCGCGTCGGTCGTGGTAGACGCAGAAGTGGCAGTGGGACCAGCGGTAACAGTCACAGCCAGCATGGTAATATCGGTCTTGGCGAAGGTCCCTGTCTCGGTTCCAGGGAAGTTGGCTCCAGTGCCGCTCGCGATCTCAGTGCAAGCGGCAGTGGTAGTACCACCGAGGGAGCAAATAATGCTATCGTAGCTACTCACGGAATTAGAGCCTCTTCAAATTTGCCTACTTTATTGGGGGCAATTTCTTACAAATCTTCAGCTGGCTCACTCATGCTGTATCGCATTGTCGTTGGGCCCGCTGTCATGTATAGCCCTGGGCCCATGCCGCAGTCCGAGCTATCGGTGCCCGCAGGGCAATTAATGCTGTATGTGGTGGTACCGGCGCTCTATATGGAGTGGGTTGGTTAGCTGGGGTTTGCCGATCATTGTCGATCAGTACGGACCTCTCCCATGACTGAGGCTACCAGTGATTGCGGGTCGGCAAAGGGAATAAACAGAGAAACGACACTGGACTGTGCGGCTGCAAGGCCGACGGTCGCCAGGAGGAGACTGCAAGTTTTCAATGACATGGTATCGGTGGTGGTGGTTTAGGAAACAAGAGTGGATGTGAATAAAGAAAAGGGTTGCGGCTTGTTATTTTTTCTCCTGAAAAACCCGGAAAGTCGGCGCTTCAGGGTCCAGGCTAGTCCAGGGTCCATTCAGGGTCTAGTGCCCGATTTACGGAGTGGAGTTCCCCAAAGTGGAATAGTGCGAACTCCAAATCTATTAATGAACCATTGGTGCGGAATTGACTTCGTCTTTAGAGATGAGTGCTAATTTGACATAACTCGGACTACTTATCTGCCTCAAAAATGACCTTCTGGCATCGCATGTTGTTAAAATCATCGAAACTGCGAAATCATCAGCATTTTTTTCTTCATTTCAAATATTAGAAGCGATGACTTACGCCTGCACAGCCTGAGAAAGAGGTCGGATATCATCAGACATGAAACTGTGGCTTGTTAGTCGTGTTACGAAGCTGAGGTGATTGATGACTTACTTGAGCACATCCTGCTTCTTTGCCAAGAGGTTCATGGCCTCACCAAAGATACCTACCAAGGTCAGTCACCACAACAATCATAAGTTCGGGATTTCAACATACTCCGCACGGGACACCGTCCCATCTGGATACGCAAGTTCTTCCCATACGCCTCGTTACCAGTCCACGGGATCTCGCCATTGTGCACGCCCACACTAGAGAGGATTCCCCATGGGCGCAACATCTCAAATCCCATCCGCAATGCACTGCTATGCCCCACAACCTCAATCACGACATCTGCTCCACGACCATCCGTCAAAGCCTTAACTCTCTCCCGTAAACCCTGCTCATCTTCCTGGTAGTTCCAGGCCTCCGCACCTAAGCTTTCAGCGAGCTTAAGACGAGATGGCACACTGTCGATCGCAATCAGGTGCTTAGGGCGATGATCCAAGGCGCTGACTAGAGCACAAATTCCCACTGGTCCACATCCAAAGAGGAGAACGGTGCTCTTTTCGATCGCTGCCTTGTCTAGGGAGCGAAAGGCGTTTGAGGCGGCAAAATACCCTGTGGGGAAGATGTCCGCCATCAGGACTAGCTTTTTCTCGTCAATAGTCGAGGGCGCATGGACCAAAGTGGCATCTGCTAAAGGCACACGGACGTACTCCGCCTGTCCGCCATCCAACACTGCGGATCCATAGAGTTGACCCCGAGCGCAGCGTGATGAAAAACCGCCGTCACAGTAGAAACAGTCCCCGCAACTGACTGTGAAGGGCGATACGACACGATCTCCTGTTTTGAAAGTCTTGACTTTATCTCCGACTTCAAAAACCTCCCCGGTGAATTCGTGGCCCATGATGAATCCAGTTCCCGAGGGTTGGTGACCACGGAAGACGTGTAGCTCACTGCAGTCTTGTCAGTCAAGTCTTGGCTGGCCCTTTGCCTCTGAATTTTCCTCAACTTACCTGCCACATAGTGCCGTGTACCGTACTTTCACGATCACGTCTGTAGAGTCTTTGATCTGAGGCCGCGGACGCTCCTCGAGAGCGACCTGCAAAGGACCTTTGAAAACCACCGATTGCATACTGAAGGACTTCAAGGTTATAAAGCTTCGTTCTGTGGGAACATTGGTTGCATGATGACAGGAATTGATGCGGGGTTGGTGTTTGTCGTGTACAGCTTGAGGGGTTGCTTTTGCCTCGGTTGTCCTCGGGTCTTTTCCCACGCTTCTGGGGGATTCTGTATTCAGGCACAACCCTTTGGGATCCTAGAGACCCAGTCAGGACTTAAGGCCTTCGAAATCTTTAAAGCTAAAATTGCAATGTTTCTGAGGAAATGAAGTCATTCCAAGGTTGATCTAATTAGCCTAAAGCTGTCTTAGCGATGACTTATGTCGGATGGCAATGAGACAGGTCGGCTGTAGCTCAGACTAGCCATTGTGGCATATTGAAGGTCTGGAGTACCTTTAAATCACGTCACGGTCGGAATGACTCGGTCGGTATAATGAAAATGGCTTGGTGGTTGGGAGAGCCAGTGCTTAGCCTAGTAAAGATAACACCAGTGTCGGGGTATCATGTGTCCAATCAGTGATCATTTTTATCCCCTCTACCCATGGATATAATTTTCAGTGCTCACTGGAGAAACTCCTTAGGCTGTAGAGAGTCCGTGTTGAGGTTATAAAACTGCGGTGTCATAATTCCTCACGTGGTATATATCCCGCGAGTACCGTGGGAGCACGTCCCGAAGGAACAATACCCAGCTTTTCTAATTGCGAACAATGCGCCAATCAAAATTCAAGTTTATAGCATCTATAGCAATGGCTGATACATCCATTAGGGCTCCAAATCCGTACCTATGGCCAATATTACCAATGGAAAACCCCAGCTAGTTGACTGCTAGACAATCCACCCTACTGCAACCTGCTATTCACCTGTACCATAATTCTCAAGCACATAGTCAACATCTTTGTCGCCACGCCCAGAAAGATTAATCAGTATCCGCTCGGACGAAGGGCGCTGCGCCGCCAATCGGATAGCGAACGCTACCGCATGCGCACTTTCCAACGCAGGGATGATGCCCTCAGATTTTGCCATACGAAAAAATGTACTGATGACTTCTTCATCTGAAATTGTTGCGACAGAGAGTCGACCGGCTTCATGCAGCATCGCAATCTCCGGGCCAATGCCAGGGTAGACGAGCCCAGATGCCACAGATGAGACACTCGCAGGCGTACCGTCGTCCTGCTGCAGCACAATCGATCGGGCACCATGCAAAGTTCCTGGTCTTCCATACGATAAGGTCGCCGCGTGCTGACCCAGTTCACCGGATTTGCCCAACGGCTCCACAGCGTGCAGAATGACTTCCGGATCATCAAGGAAGCCCGAAAACATCCCCATCGCATTCGAGCCACCCGCGACGCACGCAACAACATGCTCGGGTAAGCTCCCATCCATGATAGAAAGGAACTGCTCACGGGCCTCTTGGCCAACCACACTCTGGAAGTCTCGAACAAGCATAGGGAAGGGATGTGGCCCGATAGCGGATCCGATCGCATACAGCGCGTGCGCATGCTGCTCAACATAGGCGTTGAATGCAGAGTCGCTAGCCTCCTTCAAGGCAGATTGGCCAGCCGTTGCTGACACTACGCGTGCACCGAGCAGCTCCATGCGACCAACATTTGAACTTTGTTTACTGATATCGATCTCACCCATGTGAATTTCACATTCGAGTCCAAAATAAGCGGCTGCAGTTGCGAGTGCGACGCCATGCTGACCGGCCCCGGTCTCGGCAATCAGCTTCGTCTTACCCAGTTTCTTGGCAAGAAGTGCGAAGCCAACACAGTGATTGATTTTGTGTGCGCCTGTGTGGTTCAAATCCTCTCGCTTGACGAAGATCTGAGCACCTCCGACTTGCTTCGAGATATTTTCCAAGTGATGTACTGGTGTTGGTCGCCCTTGGAGTCCGATTCGCACTTTCTTGAGTTCGCGCTGGAACTCTGGCGATTGACGTAGCTCCTGGTAAGCATTGGCTAATTCTTCTAGTGCTGGTTGAACCTCCGGTGGGTAGTAATTCCCGCCAAACTGGCCGTAATACCCTTTGGCATCGGGGTAGCTTTGGATATATGGATTTTCAGAATTCGGCATAGTGACCGTTGCTGAAGGTGAAAAGCAACCTCCGATTTGTAGAAGGCACCTAAACAAAGGCTATGTATGGACGATAGGGAGACAGAATGATGAGCGATCTGGCGAGATCTCAACGACTTCTTATTTGTTTTTTTAATATGGCAAGCTTGAATTCCTGCGAGATAACAATGACTCATATATTGCTATCAAGATTCAGCCACCATAATAAACGCAGGCGGGGGTCATTAAAGTGGAATCTAAATTTAGATTCAGATGAGGTGGTGCTGAATTCTGCAGCGGGTGATGCTTTTCCTGATAATCGTGGCTTCAAGAAGAACGAGGGGTGGGTCTTGTTCTACGATGGTCCTTTCCCATGGTCAGGTTGCCAAGTCCGCAATGCGGGGAAGGCCTCATACACCTGGTCATATCAGCCAAGCTGATTCACAGATAAGCTACTTGTCTTGGCTTGTTGATTCATATAGTATAGGGACCTGGCCCAACTTACGACTTTCCAGCACAGGCCACAGACCACATCTAGACTGATATTGAACAGACAAGAAAACGGGTGCTCAGATAGAAAAAAAGGGCATCAATTCATATCAAAATGGAAGACAAAATGATACAAAATACAGATTGACATTCCGAATATTCTGACACTTGATAATATATACAAAAACACCCTTTCCACCAAGACCACAGGAAGTGTGCAATTCAAGGTCTCAGGGCGTAGACACCGCCGATCGTGATGGAAGTGGACCACCTGAATCGGTCGGTGTACCGTTCTAGCTACTAGCTCGGCGCCATTCTTGTTAAGCTCTTACCTTAGTTGATCGAATGAACTGTACAGGAATTTTAGAACATCAGGCAATCATCTGCTCCTCCGGTTTGTCATATGATGAGAATTCATTCCCGGCAGCATCGAGACCATCAATCTTACTGACTCCGCGTTCCACCAAGACATCACCGTGCAAAGCGAACGCCTGCTCCATCTTCCAGTAGAAGGGACTTGAGGTGGAGAAGAGTGCTTCAATTGATTCCAGGGAGCGGCCGCGGGTTTCGGGGTAAACTATAACTCTTGTCAGCTCTGGCCTTTCGATGGTCCATGTCGTAGTAAGAACATACAGAGGTAAACGATGGGAATCCACATCAAATTAAGGCCAGCGTAGAGGAAGTACGTGCGGCTCTGGGAAACAGTGGTCAGCTTCAGCTACAATAGGATGGTGATGTGCTCTTACCTTCATGGAGTCGAACATGATCGGATTAACCAAAGTGGTCATGCCCACACCGATAGCCCACCCAGTGATGCCAAAGCCATTACCTTGGGCTCGCAAGTCAGAGGGAAATATCTCCGTGGGCACCAAGAATGCGACGGTGCCCCAGGTAGCAGCATAGCTGTTAGAAGGCATCAGTATACTGTAAGAGGATAGTTGGGAAGTGAAAGAGGTCGACTCACGCAATATTGAACAAGAACAACATGGTAATAGCTGCGGGAGCAAACTGAGAAGCCTTGCTAGGATTCTGCAATGAGCCCTCATAGACACCTCCAGCCTGGCATCCAATTAGAGATAGGCATAGCAATTTTCGTGGGAGTAAAGACATACAATAACATTGACAGCAAATAGCGCTGCTGCACCACCCATGAGACAGATACGGCGACCTAGGCGATCGACGATCTGGGCACTTATAATGGTACCGACGATACCAACCGTGTTGAGTCCTCCAGCAAGGCCGTTCTGCGTGATGGTGCTGTACCCAGCCTGTTGCAAGAGGACAGGAGCATATGCTGTGACAGCCTGTAATCGTCTAAATTAGAGGTAGTCATAAATTGATGCTGACCGGGATGCACCTACCGTAATACCTGTCCAGGAGCCCATGATCTGAAGCCATATACACAGCCAAGCTCGCCTACCCAAATTTGGATGCCGGCTTCCACCCATCCCGAACAAGATCTTCACAAATTGGATAGGTGAGCTGAGCTGGCTTTCCTCTGCCAAGGTAACAATCTCCAAGTATTCCCGATCAATCTCCTCTGGAGTGGCCTTGTGCTTGCGGATACACCTCAATAGCTCATGCGTCTCTTCATTTCGACCAACTGAAGCGAGATACCGGGGACTGTCCGGCAGCATCTTGATGAAGCAGACAAGAATTAGGGCGGGTACACACTGGAAGGCAAGTAAGAACCGCCATCGTACGTCCGAGTATCCGTTATCGACGAAGGCGAGGCCGAAGGATATCCAGTATGCGACTGAAATTCCGAGGTCTGGTAGGGATTAGCAACGAATTCCTGGACGAAACGGTATGAGGATCTGCTTACAGTTGGCAATAAAGACGTATCCCAGAAATCCGCCGCGGTGATCTGCAGAAGAGGTTTCCGACACCAAGACAGGGGTGATGCCAGTTAACGCTGCATCATCACAAGTTAGAACAACTTAAAAAAGTCGGCCACCGTTCAAAAGCCCACCTCCAGTACCAACACCAGTCACTACTCGAGCGCAAATCATAAAATTTGAACTCTGAGCGGCAGCCTGCAACGCGCCACCCACCAAAGCAAACAACGCTCCTGCCAGCAGGCCATTGATTCGACCAACACGGTCAGCCAACCATCCTCCGGCAAAGCAGCCGAAGATGGCACCCAAGTAGTAGACACTGACAATTCCACCCTGGTGCGTGGTGTCTGTCACCGTGCCATCCGGCTTCCCAATGCCGACCTCGGTCACGTACTTGGGCGCGGCATTGACGCCGCCCATAACACCTTGGTCATAGCCTTCGAAGAAAATAGATATGAGCGAGAACACTTGGATGGTGACATTTAGCTGCCGCGGCGAGAGCCGCTTCCAGAGTGTAGTATAGCCCATTTTGGATATTACTATCCCCAGCTTCTACATCGAAAACATCGGGGGCTCGAGAACTCATTTATAAAGTGGAGCATTCGGCCCCGGAGAATCGGAATGGAGGTAATCCTGGAGAAGCGTGGGGCAAACAACATCCGGTAGTCATTCAGCCGCGTAGCCGTGTCATAGAACAAATTAAAGTTTAACCCTGTCTTCTCGGCTTCGGGGTTCACTCGGCCTCCTACTTACCACGGCGCGGAGAAATAAGCGTGTTGCCGGTTCTGGGCGCTTTGCCGTTTTCCCGTCTAGCCGACCGTTTATCCGACAATTTAGCAGTTCTGGCGTGAGGGTTGAATGGAGATTGGCTTAGTAGAATGCTGGAGGCTGTTCCCCACCATTCGGTCATTGATGGGGCTCTGGCTCCGGTTAAATAAGACGCAATTCTCGCTCACAACTTTCTGCCTACACTCTTGACATCGTCATTAGACCCGTTGTTGTAATCAAATCATGGCTTCGGATATGGCTAACGGCACTGGTGGCCACTCCTTGGATCTGACCGTCCTTGGTCTAAACAGCGGGACATCGATGGTGAGTCCCCTAGCCTACTTACTATAGTAGAAGAAGTTGAAGCTTACGATGAATGAAGGATGGCATCGATTGTGCCCTCTGCCGCTTCCGTCAAGAGACTCCGGAATCGCCCATGCACTTTGAGCTGTTGAAGGTAAATATTTCTTATCCTTCTTTCGGAGCACGACCAACAATAACTGCAGTATGGAGAGATCCCGTTGGAGCCCGTGATCAAGAAGCGGGTGATGAACATGATCTTGCACAACCAAACCTCGCCATCAGAGTTGTCAGAAGTAAACGTCATCCTGGGCGAGACTTTCGCGTCGGCAGTGCACCTGTTCTGCAAGGACTACAATGTCGACATCAAGTCGATCGACGTGCTAGGGTCCCACGGCCAGACGATCTGGCTGCTCTCCATGCCTGAAGCAGGCGAGACCCGAAGCGCACTGACCATGGCCGAGGGCTCATTCCTGGCCTCGCGCACCGGTATCACCTCCGTGACGGACTTCCGCGTTAGCGACCAAGCTGCCGGACGCCAGGGCGCTCCGCTTATTGCCTTTTTCGACGCGCTAGTGCTACACCACCCGACAAAGTTACGTGCGTGCCAGAACATCGGCGGTATCGCCAACGTGTGCTTCATCCCTCCAGATAGCCACGGCGGCGTTGACGAATGCTACGACTTTGATACCGGCCCAGGCAATGTCTTCATTGACGCCGTGGTCCGGCACTATACTAATGGCGAACGCGAGTATGACCGAGATGGCGAGATGGGTGCGCGCGGTACAGTCGACCAGGAGCTCGTCGATGACTTCCTGCGCCACCCGTACTTTGCCCTAGACCCGCCTAAAACTACCGGTCGTGAGGTTTTCCGTGACACGATCGCCCATGATTTCATCACTAAGGCTGAGGCTAAGGGTCTTGGCCCGGACGATGTGGTCGCCACAATCACCCGTGTTACGGCTCAGGCTATTGTGGACCACTACCGTCGTTATGCTCCTAAAGACCTAGAGATCGCCGAGATCTTCATGTGCGGCGGTGGTGCATACAACCCTAATATCACAGCTTTCCTCCAGAAGGAATACCCCAACACCCGTATTATGATGCTGGATGAAGCCGGCATTCCCGCTGGGGCTAAGGAGGCTATCACCTTCGCCTGGCAGGGTATGGAGGCCGTGGTGGGCCGCTCCATTCCTGTCCCTACACGTGTCGAGACTCGTCAAGAATACGTTCTTGGAAAGGTCTCTCCCGGAAAGAATTACCGCAAGGTCATGCGCCAGGGTGTGCTCTTTGGTGCTGGTCGCGATCATCTCTCCCCGGTGAAGGAGCTGGTCAACTATGTCGATGGCAAGGTTTTCGACAACAAGTGGAAATAGAAAAATTAAAATTTGGGAGGAACTCACCAAAAATGACTGCAGTTCATTGCCTGGGATTATTTAGATGTATTATATTTGGGGGTTTCATGTTTATATTTAACGTCAATGAGGACACGCAGCCGGCAAATGCTTTAATAAGGATTTGCATCATGTTACAGGAGATCTCTCAAAATTGAATTCAGAAAATTTCTTCCGCATAAGTAAGAATATTGCATGAAACGCTGCGTATATTCCCCTCGATCAATTCGTCACGACAAGAGTGACAGGCCCATAGGCAGAATTTGGCCAAAGACCAAAACGCGTTAGACAAGGTCGAACCTACGGTCGGGGTATGAGAGCTCTTCCGGTTTGTTGCCCCCTCGAAGATGTCACAGATCACCCCATGAACTGCCTGTCTTCTCTGATATATTTTGCTTGCTTCTTTTCAACGAGTCAAGTACAACCATCACCGCGCTGAACAACCTCAGAAAGCGATCCGCTGGTTCGTGATAGAATCCCTGACGGATATTCAATTATACCGGAATGTAACCCATTAAGGTGTGAATCTGGTAGATATATTGAAGGGGGTTGATCAGAAATGGTAAATGATCTGGGAAACGGTATTCATGGGTACAATGACACGTATTGCAATAAGGATTGCATGCTAAATTATAAAGTACAGACGCATTCATGTTGCGACTATGTACAGTAGTTGTTGTATTAGCCAATCACAGACCTTCGTCAGCCAATAACTGGAATCATTCGAATGCCAGGGGCAGTAGTCCCTCGGCATTGTGAGAATCCAACGGCCATGGCCAATCTGAGAGAAGTTCCTGTGGCAGCTGAAACAGGGACATTTGGTCAAGACCAGCAGTAGGCAAGGCTTCGACGGCGGGGGTCCCTTGTGCATACGCGGATGGGACAGCAAGTTCGGAGTCTGCTTCGATTACTTGCGTTGCGTTATTTGGTGACGTTAGATTCAGAAGAAGTGAGTCCCGCATATAGCCGTCTATTCGAGCAACCTGGGACCGCAATCGTTCGCCTGCACCCGAGGCACGGTGTAGGCCCATTTCGAGACGCTGTAAGAGATCTGCCATTTCAAGCCTGTAGGTAGATATGTTAGCTAGGCCTCAAGTGGCTGCCACTGAATGAGGATAACGTACAGTAATGTGCGAGCTCGTGTGTAGGATTCCTCAGATAGACTCCCTTCCATGACAGAGCCAAGAATGTAGCCAATTCCGCCTAGGTGATGGAGCTGGGATTATCAGTACACATTCCAGAGAAGCAGGGGGACTGCACATACCAAGGGGGAGCTGATGGCTCTCAAGTACTCGATGGGTACATTCGAAAAAACGCTCAGCAGTTCGCCCGCTACATCACATTTTCGCTCCACCCCGATTTCCTCGGTGGACAAGAGCTCCATCCGAAGAAGTTGTAGCGTCGCCTGAATATTGGCTGACTGGAACCCGAATAGATCCTTAGACATGTCTCCCGTAGTGGGCGGGGTTTCCCGAAACTGTGATGGAAGAGCTGAGTACATAGTAAGGACTTTATCCATTACCGCTGGCTCTGACATTGATAAAGGACTAAATAGTGACCAAACTTGTGTCGTCCCGTTAGCCGAAGAGAAGCGGCGTCTGTTGCCATCGACTACATGCTCAAGGATGCGGTAAAGGTCTGTAGTGAAGTTCCAACCACGCAACCAGGGCGTAGGCTGGCGGGAGACCACAGTCACGTTAGCTGTTGGAAGCGAATTCAAGCCCTGGGGTTGAGAGGGCACGCCATAGCCGCGCTCTGTGATGAATTCGTCGTCTAACTCGCTAGGATAGCGCACTAAGGAATGTGCTTCACGATATCGAATAACGCCACCCCATACAATGGTCGAATAGATATCGAATGTGTAGATAGACCAGAACTATCAATGTGTCAGCAAAATAGTAACAATTGAAGGGTATATTTCATACAAGTCGGCGTCGCTCCTCGGTCTGAATTGCAGTCAAGTCGTTGGGCCAGAGCTTCTCGTCATAGAGGCCATCCATCGAAGTCAAGGCATGGTATAAGCCGGAATACTTCTGCATATTTTTGATCTGGGAGTTTTGAATGCTGGCGATAGCTAGTATGGCACACGCCCGCATATAATTGATACCTTTGGCTGCGATAAGGTCTCGGGGAATTGAGTCCCTTGCAGCTGCAAAGAAAGTCTCGGACGGTGGATCTATAAGCTCGTCTCGATCCCACCGATTAGAGTACAACGCACCGTCACGTGCGCGACCGGCGACCAAAGCGCAGACAGCCATTGTGGAGGCAAAGAGACCTTTATTGTGAAGATGCTTTTTGTTGTTGACCTGCTCTATGAATGACGGCATGTGAAACAATGGAAATCTAGTGATATGCTTAGTCAACGCAGTAAGCGAGGAGGATTAGGGACTCATCATACATTGGATACACGATCTCGAAATAAACCTGGACTGAGTTTCGTATTTGTCGGTCACAGGCAATGGCAAATGCTTTCCAAGAATCGTGCAGCACCCCGTCATCTTCATCCCCTTCGGCTGCTGACCAGCCATGGTTGAAGGTAGGCCCGGGATCACCGGGGATCGATGTGCGGTACGGACTGCGAGAATTCGAGGAACGGAGGGTTCTTCCGCTACTTGCAGTCTCTGCCGCTGTAGGAATAGCATTATTGACTGATGCTCTCACAAATCGAGGATCGCGGCCTCTCGCCCGAGAGCCAGACTTGACGCCCCGGCGTTTTGCCGGGCGATCGAAGGTGCACCGCAAATCGAAGTCCACACAATTTTGACAACGACCTAGGGGATCCTCGCTATGGCTGCATTTTATGCTGCGTCTGTGGCAAAAGTCGCCTGCATTAGATTGCGTACTTAGTAAATGCAGGCCTCATGTCCGGAGTTTAAGCCGCTAAGCTAAAGAGTGGAGACTCCAGCACCAAGAAATCGAACGCTGGGGAACCTACAGGCCATAGAGATGCGCTGAAGCTTTCGCGGTTTTTCCGACATCCAGCCATTAGATAACTTTTCGTTGCGTAGAGCGTGGTGTTCAAGACAAAGCGTAGAAGTTCGGCGATTACGGAGCTTGACGTAAGCAAAGCTGGGGAAAAGGCGGTGGGGTGTGACAAAGCTTTTAAGCGATCTCGTGCCATTCAATACCCAACAACTAAATATCTCGACCTAGTGTAAATGAGAAGCTGTTAGCCCGACTGTTTGTCGAACCACACAGAGACCTGATTCAGCGAGATAAAATTGGCGTATCTCACAAGCGAATCACAGGAACTGTTCATCACCTGTTTAAGTCCATACAACATACCTTATTCTTTAAATCCCTCGAAGACTTTTTCTGACAAACATAAATAAAATAAAATAAATAAATAAAATAAATAAAATAAATAAATAAAATAAACAGAAACAGATAGGATTTAAGGACTATCAGTCACAGATGAGAATCTGTCTTCAGCAAAAAGTGAAGCGAATGGAGTGAAATATGTGTATCGGGACCGACGACTGATGTTGAAGCGCATTCTTCTTGAAAGAGTTGCATTTGAAATAGGAACGCAGCATACTCGAAAAGTCTTGGATGGGCTTTGTCAGAGATGCAGTCGTCTAAACCAAATTATGGACAAGCAGTTTATAAGATAGACGAAGGTCAGCTTCCGGTGAATGACATTAATGCTGCACCTGTGATTCTCAATCCCCAACAAAATGGGATTCCTTCTATGAGTCGCATGTATCTATTTGAAGGGCACATTGTGTCCCCGTAAGGGCATGTCTTACGAGGCAATTTGTTTCATTCCAGAGGCCGCTGGCTTCCCATAGATCTCATATGGCGCTATTAAATTGACATTAAAAAAATCTAAACTCCCATAGTCCCCATTGTGTGCAAAATTTATCGCTGCGACTTACCTATGACCAGCTCAGTGAGCCTGAGCCCAGACTGAAATTTAGGTGAACCTGACTCTGACCGCCGTCATCCAAGCGGCGGCACTCACTGTAGAATAGCGAAGGAAATCCGGTACGTCAAGCTACAATTGTACGCACGGGCCATGACTGTAAGGCCCGAGCGTTGCCATGTGCCGACCTTCTCATCCATCAGTGCCATCACCCACATCTCAAGCTCTCAGCCTCTTACATCTGTCCTTCAAAGTGAATTTCGGCCCTGAGCGAATGACTGGTGACCGGTTCGCTAAACGAGAGTGTAGGTCTACATGCAGGAGACGCATCGTGTGACACGGACCCCACGTCGCAAGGGCCCCCACAAGGTCAAGCTCAGATGGGGAGTGGGGTTCTCCGCAAAAATGTTTCTGGAGATTTCCTTGAAAGGCATCACATCGCGGCCGTGGCCGTCACAGGATTTGAGACAATGTGGATGTATTTACAGGTAAGTCCGACAAATTCCCGCCATTTAATACACTTTTCATGCCCCCGAACGTCACGTCGCGTCCGTGAAATTCGGGCTCGGGCGCCTTATCACCGAGCTGTAACCTACCAAGCCCGATGGGTTAATGTCGATCACTATCCCTTACAGGCGACACCCGAGCCGCCACGATCCACGAAGACTGGACGGTGCCGAGGCCGCTAGACCGGGGGTGCATCCTTCCAGCGCCCTTCCCTCGAAACTTTGAAGGGTGCCAAGAGAAGGTTGAAACCACGAACAACTTGGGCACTTATTATTGGCGGAATGACTCTACGCTAAGGAGCACGGGGTCATCCAATCTCTATTTGTATGAAGCGACGCCGAGAAGCGACGCCACAGCCCGTAGCCAAGCTTTGCCATGCTCTGCCGGAACGCCATTGCGGAAACTTAGGAAGAACGGCATTCGTATAGATCGACGTCATCTATGAAGTAGTTGAGATCAAGTATGTTAGGTCGACTTCTTTGACCTTGCGGTTTCGAGATGAGAATTGGATGTGCGGGGAAAGAACAGCAGCAACGAATAAGAAATTTTGAAATAAACCAGAATATTATTGCAACGTGGGTCAAATTCAACCCCATGGGGAGACTCCGTCGCGAGTTGCGTAAGACTGCACAGCTATCGACCAATCGCTGCTCCCCAGTAGGTCGTATTGCTGGTCCCGGGATGAATTCCATGCGACATCGCGTCGAGCTAAACTCGCTAAAGAGCAAAGTCATTGTTTATACGCGTCTCTAGGACCCCTTTTGAATCCTGGTACCTCGCTCAAGACCCGCATGGCCCGACATGTACTCCCTATATAAGTACCCTCCGAAGCCCACTTTTTGACGCAGGGACTTCTCTTATTTCAAGCTGGGTTTTCCTTCCGAAATCCACCATGGTGATTGGGAACATCTATGTGATTGCCTCCGTCGCCGTCGTTGGCGGCGGCCTCTTCGGCTTCGACATCTCGTCGATGTCCGCTCAGTTGTCGGAAAATGCCTACAAGTGTTACTTCAACCAGGGTCCAAACGGTCCGCCATTTAATGACGATGCTGATTGCAGTGGTCTTAGCTCCTTAAGTCAAGGTGGTGTCACGGCCTCCATGGCTGCTGGCTCTTGGTTAGGTGCTTTGATCTCTGGAATTGTATCAGATCGTGTTGGTCGCAAATATTCCATTATGCTGGGCTGTCTCATTTGGTAAGATTGAGAATGTTACTCTCCGTTTTCTCGTGCTGACTGTATGTGTCTAGGATCGTCGGGTCAGTCTTGATCTGCGCCTCGCAAAATATCGCCATGCTGTGTGTCGGTCGTGTCATCAACGGTTTGGCTGTTGGTATTGAATCGGCACAAGTCCCTGTCTACATCTCGGAGTTATCGCCCCCTTCAAAGCGTGGTCGCTTCGTTGGCTTGCAGCAGTGGGCTATTACTTGGGGTATCCTAATCATGTACTAGTATGTTTTTTCCTCGGTTATCACCTTGATTGGGTTACAAGATGGCGATGAACTGACTCAAGAAGTATCTCCTATGGCTGCTCGTTCATTGGAGGCAAAGACTCGTCCAACTATAGCGCTGCAGCCTGGCGCGTCCCCTGGGGCTTGCAGATGATCCCCGCCGTTGTTCTATTTTTCGCGATGATGCTATTGCCCGAATCCCCTCGCTGGTTGGCCCGTATGGACCGATGGGAGGAAGCCCATGAAGTTCTTGCCCTGGTCCATGGTAAGGGTGACCGAGATCACCCCTTCGTTGCCATTGAGCTGCAGGACATTCGGGATATGTGTGAATTGGAGCGACAGTTCGGTCATGTTAGTTATCTGAGTCTTTTTACTCCGCGAATGATCAACCGCACGGTCATCGCCTTGTTCACGCAGATCTGGTCCCAGCTTACTGGAATGAACGTCATGAGTGAGTTGGATAATCTTTGCTTCCTCTTCTACGTCGCCTTTGCATCATATCGGGAATTGGCTAACTTCGTTTCACTACCTCCAGTGTACTATATCAGCTACGTGTTTACCATGGCCGGGTACAGCGGTAACTCGGCCCTCCTCTCATCATCGGTGGAATATATCATCAACGTGTTCATGACCCTCCCTGCGCTGCTCTGGCAGGATCGCTGGGGACGTCGCCCAACCATGCTGGTGGGTGCATTCTTGATGACCGTTTTCATGTTCGCGAACGCAGGTATTCTGGCCGCACAGGGTACCATTATCCCCATGGCTGAGCGAAGCAGTCCGGAGGTGTCAATGAGCGTAAGCGGCGCCGCCTCGAAAGGACTGGTCGCGTGTACCTACTTGTTCGTTGCTTCATATGCACCTACCTGGGGTCCGGCCTCATGGACTTACCCGCCCGAGCTGTTTCCCTTGCGTCTGCGCGGTAAGGGTGTCGCACTAGCCACTTCGGGTAACTGGGCCTTCAACACGGCGCTAGGCCTTTTCACTCCGTCGGCCTTCACGAACATCGCTTGGAAGACTTATATTTTGTTCGGGGTGTTCAACACTGTTATGTTCATCCATGTCTTCTTTGCATTCCCTGAGACGGCTGGTAAGACACTGGAAGAGACTGAAGCCATGTTCGAGGATCCCAATGGCATCAAATACTTGGGGACCCCAGCGTGGAAGACTCGTGTGAGCACTCGCACCACGGTTGCTCTTGAGCACGGTGACTTGGAGGCTGCAAAGGCACAGGAGGCTCGGTCGGAAGCGCTAGGCGGGCAGCAAGCCACAATCACTCAATAAGGAACAGCCTCACAGTTCTTCGGAGATGGGGCTGAGCCGGCGACTACGACAATTTGGTGGCGTTTTGGCTAACGTTGAATGGATGGAGCTTTGAAGCTGTGGGCCTATCAATGGATACAGCATACTGTAGATGTCTGGGTAAGTTTTACCCCCGGGGTCGTTGGGTGTATATATTCTTGGAAAATTATGCACGAGGATTTTGGCGATGGTCTCTAATGTAAGGAGTATATACATGTCATCAATGCCAAGATCGTCCCGCCGGGAATAAAACTCTGTTTTCAATTCAGGAACTGAAGTTATTTGGGGGGACGTTCCATGGCTGCGGATCAGCGACCGTAGGACTTTCCATCAACTCCCAAAAAATATTTACTATGCGTGCCTTGATATCAGAAAATGATATCTATGATGAACGAACAAGTTTTTTGTTATGCCAAGTTTCATCGAAGGCTAAACAGCTCAGCCAAGACAACGGAACCCGCTATAAGTGGCGAATTAAGCCCCACGAGACCGCGCGTCCCAGCAAATTCTCCCCTTTAGGTCTCTCCGACTTCCCCATCCTCTACACCGTACGTCATGTGCCCTCCCACCCCCAGATATACGGAAAATTCGTGATACTTGTCGACTGTAGCGAATTCCCATCCCGCTTCTGTCGACCCCTATTCCTGCCATGGCTTGCGCATAATCGAGATCGTTGTTTGGCAATGCTCTCCGATTCCCCGCACCATTCGGCCTTCCCGGGCCCAAGTCCAGCATGCATGTTGATGGAGGCAAGGCGCCCCGGGGGTTTTGGGCACAATGTGCTGGTGAGTGAACTCCTTTGTTATGATACTTCCTGGTATCATTCAGCTGTTGGCAACAAATTCGCGGGATGCTGACATCCACATCTCTCCAGCGTTCATCGCACCATTCCGAACTCCTCTCACAGCTTGCTCCGATCGAGGCTGGCGCCCGATAGCTTTGCGTCCGCCGTACCTCGCTGGTTTGGCATGCTGCATCCTTAGCATGTTTCTGACCCTAGAAGGAATCCGGCAGTATAGCAATCGGGAGGGTGGCCTCGTCTTCTTCTCCGACACTGATGATGTCTCTTCCGCTCAGTCCTTCCTGTATAACTATCTACCCATCATCATATCCCTATTGCTGCTTATGGTGTGGACTATAACCGACTTCGATGTGCTTCGACTGGAACCGTATTTCCAATTATCGCAACCCGAAGGCGCCCCGGCGTCCGTCTTGTTTATCAACTATAACTTCGGTCAGACAGTCCTTACCCCCATAAACGCCGCACGCCGCCATCATTGGGTTGTATTGTGGGTTTCATTGCTCACACTTTCGATTCGAATGGTTCTCCCGGCCTTGACAAGTACGATGTTTGAGCTTCGTGAGGTGGACGTGATTCAGCATGCGAATATGAAAAGCTGGCCCTACCTAGTCGATCTGGAGAGCCAGGCGAGTTGGATGTCGACGCAGGCAAATCACTCGATGGATTCGGTGCTCTCGTCCGATAAGAAAGTACACCGCACACGATCAGCGAATTATGCGATTGCGCCTGTGGAAATACCTGCCGAAGACGGTGAGGGAGACACGATGTGGACCATGGATCAAACCTTGTACTGGTCTGATCTGACCTGTATTGATGTCCCCGTGGATGAATCGCTCTCGTCAGTCACCATCAACGAAACCGTTTCCAGCTCCGGCTTTCCCACAATCTCATGGAACGCGACAGGTACCGACGCGCAGGATGACTATAACACCTCATCGACGTGCACGTTGGATTTTAACTACTCGAGTATCTTCTTCTCAGGAACAAACTATCTCCAGGTCCGTTATTGGGAACCCGTCATCACTCAATCGGCAGCAGCGGAGTATCCCAATCGCACGCACGCTTTCACCACTACTGGCTGCGACCCACACGATCTATATGGCATGCTGATCTCTGTGAATGCCACTGGCAATGCTTCATCTGATCCCGATTACGCTGCCTCTGGTGTTGCGTTCGCGTGCGATATCTCTTACCATAGAGCCGAAGCAAGGATCCAGATGCACTCGAACAGTTCTATCACTTCCATCCATATTCACCCAGCCACGACCCGTACGGTTACATCAGAAGAGTTCAATATCGCCCAATTCCAGGCTCTGCTTTCGGAGCACGCTCCTTACACCAGTGATATGTTGTTTATCAGTGATAACACAAGTACTGGGGCTCAGACGGTAACGGAATTGCCTGTGATTAGTGTGGAAACGGGCGATCTTGAATCACTTCTCATGTTGGACACTGCCGCCATCATGACTCAAGCTGAATTCAAGGCTCGCATTCGTCGTGACGTTAAGCAAACATTCGTCCTCACCCTTGGCCGTCTCTTCGACCCGGATCGCGAACCAACCACCGTCTCTGCAACCAGCTCGACAAATAAAGTTGCCATCGCCATCGTGAATTTTGCCGCCCTGTGGTCTGAGCTCATCCTCGCATTGGCGGCTTTGACCTCGATATACCTTCTATTCTTATACCGGTCGCGCGAAACGTTCCTTCGAAGTGATCCCGGCTCAATTGCCGCCATGTGCAGCATCGCCGCCGATGTTCTCCACCCTTCCAACATCCTGGCCGACCCCAACACCGACTTTCACCAATTTTCTACTCGACAACTGAACGTCATCTTTCAAAAAGCCCGTTGCTATTGGCGCCCCACTCCATCTGGAAATCGACTTGAAATCCTTGCTGAAGATGGGTCGCCAGTGCAGCTCGGAGACGATACACGAGTCCGTGTCGATCGGATGCCTCATTTTCTTGTGGTCCCGTTCTTCATCATTGAATTTTGCCTCTTGGCTGCTGTCATCATACTGATGTGCCTTGTGGTCGCTTCGTTAGCTCGAGATGGCAAATTTCGTCACTTGACACAGTCCGACTCGAGCTCTCTACAAGTTGTTCTGTCTATTCTCCCCTCCGTTGTGGCTTCCTCCGTTGGCTCCTTGTGCACGTCCATTCACCGCAACATAAGTGTCCTGGAGCCGTGGGTTCACCTTCAGCGAGGAATGGCCACTGCTCGGGCTTCGCTAGCAACCAACTATGCAGCCCAGACTCCCTCCGCGATATTCTTCAAATCCGTCCGTAACAAACATATTTTGTTGAGCCTGGTATCTTTCGCATGCATAGTCAATATGGTGCTGACTGTCGTCGCGGGTGGTCTGTTCACCCAAGAGTTGACGACTTCCAACCTCACAACCACTGACTTGGCCATGAACTATAGCCAGTCAACGATGTGGAAAAGCGATTTCTCGGCTGAATTTACAGAGTATGATTTGATCCAGACTAGCATAATGAGTGGTGTCCCTATGCTATCCTGGACTAGCACTAATGAGTCCTTCATCCCCGTTCACATAAAAAACCGTGACCCTGACGTAATGTACGGCGCGGAGACCCTTGGCATCGGGGCAGCAATGGAATGCAAAGCTTTGTCCCCTGAAGATGGCCTATTTCACAACGAAACAACAGGCCACTACTATTGGCAGTACTCGATGTTCCACAACTCCTCTGTTGAATGCACTGCACCCATGCCATCCCAGAATAAGAACGAGGGTATCGCCCTCTCTATTCATTTCCTCTCGCCAAATGATGTGAATGGCAGCAGTGTCTGCCAGACGTCAACTGTTCTGGTTGTAGGACGTTGGGACTATTTGGCCGATAGCGAAATTACCGATGATAATACCATCGCTGTGCATTGCGAGCCTCGAGTGCGGATGCAAAACTATTCCGTTGAATTTGATGAACATGGACAGATCAAGAGTCACACGATCGTTGCAAACACGTCTACAACAGAAGGTGACATGTACGAAAACGCCACTGTCAGCCTCGGACAATTCAACAAGGTCTTCGCCGCCATTCCTGACAGTTACGTTGGTAATACCACAGCCATCAACGGGACATACAATATTTCTTCCTACGACTGGGCTGGATTCCTAGTCGCGCGTCTTTATCAACGTGAAGACCCTGATTTCGATTCCCTGGAACCCGGTCGCCTCATAGACTTGACTCGGCACGTTTACCAATGGGTTTACAGCACATATTTCTCTATCTGGCGTGACATCTATTTGGAACCACTGCAGCACCCAGTCACCGCCACCAACCCCATCGTCATTCGAAGCACCTGGGCTATGATAGTGTCCATTCCGTCGCTAGTAATTGCCTTTATTATCATTGGCTTCGATACGTTGGTGGTGCTCCTGGTATTTGGAACCCGGCGTGGACGATTTCGAGGCCCACGAATGCCACGCTCCATCGGTGCCGTTGTTCCTTGGCTTGCACACAGTCGAATGCTGAGTGACTTCAGGACCACTCATGCCTGGACTAACTCCAAAAGACGGGAGCATCTTGCTGCTTTGGATAGACGTTATGGGTTCCGTATGTTCTTGAGCCCGGATGGTCGCTGGCGATTTGCCGTGGACGAAGAACCTCCCCAAAAACTGCCCGATGATTCACAAGATACCCAAAATACTATTTCCGACTCTGATCCGGATGTGGATGTCGCTGCCGATGCCGATGGTGCGAATAAGTCTACCTCTATCCAGTTGCAAGAGCTTACCGATCAGCAACCACGGGCTCGGGAATCACCATCTTAACATTTTCCTGCTACGCATTTGACGACATTTTAATTTTGTTTTTGATATGAACATCATGACTCACTGTATATATTTGACGGACTTGGGTGTTTTTAGAGTATAAATACACAGATAAAGCAGGCTGGATCTGTTTTGGCGTTAAACTTCGGCGCTTGGCCGGATGGCGAAGCGGAATCGCCGTTGGTGTAAATACGATGAAGGACTGGTATTTGATATTGCGACTTACCTTGAAACATTTTGCATTTTTAGCCATGAGAACCTTGGAAGATTAGTCTTCATTTGGCTTTTAATAGGTACATCAAACTTTGAACAAAATCTGGAAGATGTTACAATATGAGTTGATCTGATTATATGATAGTACATAATCTGTGCTGTTCCTATTTTAACCTACTTTACTGCAAATGCCCGAGGTCCACAGTTGCCTTCCACGTACTTATATTCAAAACCCATATTCAAATTTTAGGTATGGCCTTGGAGCTCCTGGTTTGGGGGAAGGTCAAAACTTTCAGATGTCGCCTTGTTAGTCATAGTCTCCGTAAATGGAATCGCAGTTCGTGCCACAGTAATCATCGTCGGAACCGCTAGCGTCAAGTCAATTTCAGATACCAAAGCGCATATGGAAGTAAATATCCCCGGAGTGATACGCGATCGAATGTCTTACATCAATCATAAGGATCAAGCAACCGAGAATGATCATAATCGGCTTCCGTCCCCGCCGCCTCCATCTCTAGATACCCTGGTGCATACATTTCGATGTCCTCCGTCCACACATCCCTCGCCCCATCAAAATGGTGAAGGAATTCGCGACGCTCTTTCGCCCCTTCCATGATATCAATCACAGGAAGAGTCATATCCAAGCTGTTATGACATTAGCCATTTCGTTAACTCAAAAAAGCATGGAGCTCACATACTCTGAATTCTGTAATTGCGAACCCCCAACCCGATCCTGAATAACATACGCCAGTTCTCTGCGAGCGGATATGTGCTCTAAGTAAACAGGCCACATATTATAAGCCCGTCGACGGAAAAATTGATCAATCTCGCCATTAGGCTTGAATTCTACAGTCGTAATATGACCGGTATCGAGATCATCTTGCGTGACCACGAACCAATTCCTCAGGCAAGGATATCGCATATAAAGAACGGTTCCATGACGGGTCATGGTCATATTACGGAAGTAGGCCATCTCGAGATACGCTCTTGGTAGAAGGTCGGACATCTGCACATTGGACATGTCGGCAACGGTTGCCGGGTTAGGATCAAGTCCACCATGATCCTCACCGAATTCTTGTAAACAGTGTCCTATTTCTCCGTCTAAGCGGCAAGAGAGAATGTAAAGTTTGATCCATTTGGATCGGTTAGATGGGTTTGATGGGCCTAGTGGTGCGAGGCACACAAATCTGGGCGTGTTGTAGTAGTGGAGACTATCGCGTAAAACGATCTCTGGGTACTCCATTGCACCTCTTGCCGGGGCTCGTTGGTGGTATGACTGGCCTCCTGTTAGCTAAGAGGCCTTTGATTTTTATGCCCCTTCTCTACTTCCTTCTTACTCAAAAGCTTTCTTCAAGCAGTAAGTACGCAAAATAGGAGGTTTGACATACATCACGGTATTCTTGGCTGGCCTTTGCCCAAGCTTCCACCAAGGTCCGACGTTGGCGTACTTCGTAATCTCCATCCTCGTCAGGTATATTATTAGCATTCGCACGGGGGACCCAATTCTCCTAAAATCAATTTAGTATGGGATCATGACGTGACACATCTGAGTGGACTATGCAGGTGCGCGGTAAATATTTAGCATACCTCTACAAAAAGCAACCAGCCTTTAGCCTCTTCGTTGGCCTGTTCAAGTGTGATGTCACCATTGGGATCGGCTTTGACTTCGGGCGGAATACCGCCGGGCCAATGATAGGGAGGTGAAGGGCGATCGATCATGATGTGAAGTGTTAGTGCCCAAGTCGGGATAAATGGTAATTCCTAATCTCGGGCCGAAGTTCGTGGTTGGCAAAAAGGGGGTAAAACAGACCAAGTGAACAGAGCCGCGAACTCGATATTAGTACCAAGCAAGTTTTCAAGCTAACCTAGCGCCGACCTAGTGTAGCCGACTAAGTGGGGCCCAGGGATCGTATCCATGGATTTTTTCCATGTAGGGAATTGTTTGATACGTAATTTGTTGCCAGGACGAGGAATCTGTTTCACGGAGCCCTTCGCTCGAAACGAATATCAGGTCTTTTAGGGCTTTGACACCCGTTTTTCAGTACGCTGGTATGTTGGGCATGGGTAGTATATCTAGCAGCTCGAAGGTTATATTGAATAGCACAGTTCTACACCTCTCTTGCTCTGCACGTACAAGCGCTGACCACGGATATCTTTTATAACTTGCGGTTGTTTGTGTTGTTGTGTTGTGTTGTGTAGCTTCATCGACCCGCATATCCTCGAGTGTGCTGCCTTCGAGCATTCCCCTCTTCAATAGGTTCTAAGATCAGTTCTGCGGGGCACGCTCCTGTGACATATAGGGACAGTCCCCGACGCATTGTGCAGCCAATTCCTCTTATTCCAGGGGTCAAGTGTCGATAGGGAAACAGACAATGTCACCTATCCATGAAGCCATCACGCGACCTCAACATGGTCTACCCGGTCATCGTCTTTCTTCTGATTGACCTGGTTGGTCAAAGTCACATCATGACCTTGGCGGATCAGCTTCCAAAGTTCATCTGCTTTTTTCACCGGGGAAGTGTTTGGATCCATGAATGTCAGATCCACCGCCTCCAGACTGAAGCCTGCAGTCTCCGGATACAAGAAATATATCATTGGGACAAACGCGAGATTAAAAGATGCGAAGATGATGTATGTTCGCCACCCAATGTTGTCAATTGCCACGGGAACCACTTCGATTACCACAAATGTTGACAGCCAAAGAAATGCGTTGGCCAGACCGACCCCCTTCGACCGATGGGCGAGAGGTAAAATCTCCGGGCCGTAACACTAGAGTACCCAAGTTAGTGGAAGAGTCTTCGAGCGCATGTATTCTTCTGTTTGAACCACGTACCCAAATACCACCCATAAAACCCCAGGTAAAGAAAGATTGGTAGGCAAACAGCATGACTGCGGCAACAATCCCGGAAACTTGTGTATCGATTGCCAACATAGCCGCCATGATCGCCATGACAGCGGCCATACCGATGGCAGAGATGATGAAGGACCGTCGGCGTCCGAATTTTTCAATGCTATACCAAGTGCCAAACGAAGCGATAAGAAACCAGATTTGGAGAAACCCAGACATCAACAAAGCAAAATGTTGACCAAAACCCACGGAGTCCTCAAAGCTACGCAAAAGTTGTTAGCATTTTCTGAACAGATAGTTGATGGTGAGGGTCCATACATGACGGTAGTGTAATAACTAATCGGTGTACTTCCGCTCCAGGCCTGACAGGCATTCAAGAGACAGGCCAAAGCAACTCGCCGACGGGAGCGGATATGGTCATCTCGGAGAAGATCCATCCAGCCTTTTTGTTCGCTTTCGAGTGCCAGAGCATCTTGAATCTCTGCCACGGTAGTGGCCAAAGCCACTTCATCCACTTGACCATTTGAAGATCGCAGGCGACGAAGAACTTCAATTCCTTCCTGGTGCCGGTCATGCTGAAAGAGCCATCGAGGAGCTATAAGAAGCACGAAGGTTAGCTTATTCCAAATACCAGACTCTGACTGCATTAGGGACGCACACTCAGGCATAAAGAATAGCATGACATTAAGCAGAATCCCAAGAAATGCCTGGAAAGCCATTGGAAACCTCCAAGATACCGTCGTGATATACTGCGACATGGCATAATCAATCCAATACGCCAATACCTGTCCCAAGATGAGAAAGCTCAGAGAAATGGCGACCAGTGTACCTCTGATCTCTCTTGATGAAGTTTCAGACTGCCACACAGCTATATTACTGGTGATTAAACCAAGTCCCAGCCCAGCGACCATTCGACCAACTATCAGCTGAGCTACTGTGTAGCTAGATGCTTGAATGATAGCGCCGATGCTGAGGACAGCAGATCCGACCTGGGCTATCTGTAATCGACCCCAGCGTCCGCCACTGAAACTTGTGCATAGACATCCAACTAGGCAGCCGATCACGAAAAGTGCTGTCACTGTGCCTTCCATCGAGGAACTGAGATTGAAAGTTTCTTTGAATGCGGTCGCTGTGAGTAAGCCACCAATTACTCCGTCATCATATCCTATGACTAGGTAAGGATTGTGTACATGATTGTGAGCTTAGGCTTGTCTTACCGAAGATGATGAAGCCCATTCCTGAGGAGCAGGTAATGGCTACCAACAGGCCTTTACCTGAGAGGCCTAGATAAACCATGACTAATATCCAGGTCTATGTCTTAGGGGGGTATCCGAGTAATTTGCACAAACCGGGGATGAAAAGATGAATATATGGTCTCTCTATGTTGCTGGCGTAAGCCCAAGGTCCAATATACCTGATTGAACTTCCAAGGTTGGATCATCCTGCGCTTTCCTTCTTAAGTTGGTGTGGGGGCATCAGATACAGACTACTCCATGATCCTGAGCGGGGAACATAACCCAGCCTGCGGGGAGATTCCGAGCCTTCTTCCTAAGATAAGTTCCAAGGTTGGCCGAGGAGGCCATTGACTGGCTCAGCCAGGCCATCTGTGGGGTGATGTACATGGTGCGTGCTGTGCGTGGGGTTACCTCGGGCTTATCGCTCTATGTAGTACGACTTTCGTCGATCAGCAAAGGTCTTCTTTATTATTGGCGAACTGATTATTGGGCTGCAAAACATTATTCGTGGAAATTTTGCTTCACATTGCTTCTTTGTCGCTTACTAGCTCTAAGCTTTTCCAGATCCACTTCACAATGCCGCGCGGATTCGACCATCAACCGCACACAAGAGCAAGTAAAGAGATTCAAGGTAAGGGGCTGGGATACCCAGTTCCTTAGACTTGCGGACAGGAAAGCCAAGAATAACATCAATCTCCATCGGACGCCCATTCTTGCAGTCAGTCTGCATACTACTACCAATCCCAGGCATGGCGTTGATCTTGTCCATCAGTTTTTGAATCAGGTCATCGGCAAGGTTCACACCACACCCACGAGCAATATTGATAACTTCCTGCATCAATCGCCGGGTAAATGGCTCCGCATCCTTAGAGGAGTGCAGCCAGGTTTGAGTGTCCACCATAGTCAAGGCGGTGATGGAGTTCCAGGCGGCGTTCCATACAACCTTTTCCCATCGCTGTACCTGCATGTCGTCCAGCACCTTGAATCGAGTCTTTCCATGCTCAAGTAAATTGGCAAATGTCTTAAGTCGCTGCTTCTCGGTCGCATCACCAATCTGTGTATTGGGATACAGACCGATCTGCATATCCTCAGATTTAGTGTGATTGACTATCCCAGGGCTGATCTGGATGGCTCCGACCCAGGTCTATGATGGTTAGCTTGGTGATGAGAAAATCTGAGAGCCACACGTACGACACAGGTCAGGATGGAACATCCGGGAAATTGATTCCTGAATGCGACTTCGTTTCCGACGCCATTCTGGATGATGACGAATGTGGTGCGACCCTCTTCGACGACTGGCTTCAATTGCGCTGCCACTTCCTCTTGGTCGATGGCCTTGTGGGCGCATACGACATAGTCTACTGGTGATGCTTCGGCAGGTGATTTAACGACTGCGTGCGTGAGTGGAAAGGTCCATTAAGTGCATTGGAAGCGTGCGCTTACCTCGGTAAGGGTGGAAGGTATGCTGGCCGTGGTTCTCGCTATTGATCGTGATTCCCTAATGAGAGTCAATATCCTGGCTGATTGTTTTGAGGTCGCATTGTGCGTACTTTGGCGGAAACGGCGTCATAGTTAGATCGTGCGACCACTGTCAATCGCACATTTTCGGAACGACTTAGGACAAATGCGTAGAAGGAGCCAATGCTGGACACTGTTAGTGGTTGGGCGCTGTATCAGGCTGCCAGTACTTACGCTCCTAGGCCGTACAGAAGGACATCAATTTGGCCAGACATGGTGCTTGACAACTGAGGGCTTGTAGGAAACGAGTATATGAATTGTATCCCATTTTCCGTCATTGAACGGAACCTGGAGTTCTCCCCGCACAGTGGGGTCAGCAGTGGGGTCAGTGGGGGTCGGGCATTGCCCGCGTGGGGGTTACAAGCGTCATATGTGACACTTTTGGATGCCAGTCTGGGTGCTTATTGCTTTCGGTAGAATTGTCACACAATTGGCGATATGATAGGAACGACTTGGTTCAAGAAAATTTGATGAGATAAGTGAGTGATCGGATTGCCATATATTTACAACTTAACGGTACCAACCAAATCCCGTTCCAACCGACCAGCATTCACCATCTCTGGGCGTAGCTCATCAAGACTTGTCGCGCCAAGAAATACCATGTTAGACTCAATCTCATGTCGCAATATCTCCAGCATACGCCGCACCCCTTTCTCCCCATAACCCGCCGATAGACTAAACAGAAACGGTCGACCCAAGCCAACTGCAGTAGCCCCAAGCGCAATGGCTTTGAGGACATCAGTTCCTCGACGGATTCCGCCATCGAGGAAAATTTCCATCTTGCTCTCAATGAGGTGGGGTGCAAATTTTCGAATTTCCAAGAGAGTCAATAATGGTGATTGAGCCCTGAGAAGGAGTAAGTATGGGAAGATTCAATCGACGAGTCTATTTCATGTAAGACTCACGTATCTTGAGAGCGGCCACCGTGGTTTGAAAGAACGATCCCCTGCACCCCATGCTCACAAGCGAGCACAGCATCCTCAACGCATTGAATTCCCTTGATCACCACCGGAAGGTCCGTAAGTTCGCGCAGCCACGTAAGAATACTCCAGTCAATGAAGGGAGATATCGAGCTCGCCATGATCTTGGCAACCCCTTGCCCTTGAGCGTCGCTATCTTCTGCCTACATAGATTTGTTAGAGCTGTCGATACTAGAGATTCTATAGTCTTACCATAACGCTCAAATTCAACCTCTCATCCATCTCTCGTTTCCCAACCACCGGAGAGTCAACGGTAATCCAGATAGACTGAGCCCCCGCCTTCACTGCTCGTCGAACCGTTTCCACCGACTTGCTGATATCACGGTTGACATACAACTGGGCAAACAAAGGCTGGTCCGCTGAAGTTCGGGCTTCCATCACCCGCTCAATGGGCATGCTGGCGCCATTAGCAAGGACTTGAGCTATTCCCTCTTTCCCGGCAGCTGCAGCTAAGGCGCATTCACCGTCGGGATGCGCAAGCTTGGCAATTCCAACTGGTGATATATATACTGGAAGGGATACGGAGTGGCCCAGAACGGATGTTGTGGTGTCCACGCTGAGGATTTTGCGTAAGATCCGAGGTCGCAGAGAGACCTTTTGGTATGCTTTGGCATTGTTTCGCTTGCTGATCTCATCGTCGGCTCCGGATGAGTAATAAGCCCAGGCGTTTGCGGGGAGATATTCTTGGGCTACTCGTTCAAAATCGTGCAAATTGATGAGAGTCTTTAGTGGTGGAGGTCCATTACTCTCTTTTTTGGTTCCTGTCTCGCTGGAAGAGCCTTGTGTTTTGTTTGAGGGCTTCAATTCGGTGGGGTCGATCTGACCCTTCAAGGCACTACCTGGCAGAGCTTCGGTTAGAATCTCTGGTGAATGGACTGAGTCAAAGTCATCGGTGGCATCTTTGCCGGCACAACGTAAGATGACCTTTGCACCACCCGGGTGAGAATCTAAAAAATCTGGAAGAAGTTATCAGCTACTTCCTAGGAATTGTAACGGCATGATATGAATTAGGAAAAGTTTTACTCACCTGTCACATCATAGACGGCACCGTGGATCGCAACCCAACAAGACTTCCGGCTATTATGCTTTTCAATATCTGCTCGTGTGATTGTCATGATTTTAGATTCACTTGAAGCAAAAGCATTGCTGTGCCTTGCTCGAGGACATGTTGAAAGAGGAGAATGGTTTGCTACATCCCCAGGTCCCCGCCCGCGGGGTTAGCCCGAGAAAGCGTGGGGGTTACAATTTCCCCGTCTTTCAAAGTTTGTGAGACATGATCGGCATCATCGGCTCATTTTCTTGGCAATACTGGGGAATCCGGGGTGACATGGACCCCTTGTGCTTCGGATGATGTTTCCCGGGTAGGGGTATAACACATCATCTGCGACCCTCGTTTTCTTCGAGTCGGCAGTGAACTTGGATGATACATACGCAACACATCATGGCCGAATCTCCTCGGTTGAATGTCCCAGTCAAGCCCGCAGCAACGCACGTCGAGGGGTCCGGCATTCCCACCGACACGGGAAAAATTCACGATGGCGACGCAGCGTTGGCTTTGTTTGACAATCTGGAGGACATGCATGAAACCTTCGAGCCAGGGGAGGAAAAGAAATTGGTTCGCAAGATAGACCTCATGATCCTACCATTTCTATCTGTTTGCTATGCATTCTATTATGTACGGTTGGCTTTATTTCAAATGTTGGCGATGGTAGGCTGATCAAACAGATCGACAAAACGACGTTGTCCTACGCTGCAATTTTCGGAATTAAAGACGATCTAAAAATCTCTGGCACTGAGTACTCATGGCTGTCAAGTGTCTTCTACTTTGGCTTCTTATTTTGGTCCCTACCAACCAATTTACTGATGCAACGCTTTCCGATTGGCAAATATCTTGGAGTCAATATTTTTCTTTGGGGATTTTTCCTAATGTTGCAGGGTACGTATAGTCACCCAATCGATGATACGTTCAGCGCTGACCTTGCACATCGTAGCTGCTGCGAAGAATTTTACACAGCTTGCAGTACTACGTGTCATATCAGGGGCGGCTGAGGCCTGCAGGTTTGTTCCTATCATTACCCTTGCGGAGTCATTCACTGACTCAAACAGTGACCCGGCTTTCATGTTGATCACGAGCATGTGGTATACTCGACGACAGCAACCAATCCGCATCGGGTTGTGGTACACTGCCAATGGCTTTGGCATCGCAGTAGGCGGTCTTCTGGGCTACGGCATCGGCCAGATCAATGGTGCCCTCTCATCATGGAAATATGAATTCCTCATCATCGGCGCCCTGTGTGCCTGCTGGGGTATCGTGATGATTATTTTCCTTCCCAGCTCTCCAGTCACTGCACCTCAACTATCCGACCGCGAAAAGCGACTAGCTGTTGAGCGACTGCGCGACAACCAAACTGGTATCGAAAACAAGAATCTCAAGCCGAAACAGATTCTCGAAGCCGTTACAGATTGGAAAGTGTGGGTATTTTTCCTACTGGGATTTTCGGGCAACATTCCCAATGGTGGTATTTCCAACTTTGGTACATTGATTATCAAGGGATTTGGATTCACAACCTGTAAGTGGTTAGCCAACAATAAGGGGACTCAGACCTAACAGAGAGATAGTGGTCACTACATTGATGCAGATCCCCTACGGTGCATTCATATCCATCATGATTCTCCTGGCGGTATTCGTGAATGACCGCCTACCTCGGAACAATCGATGCATTGTTGCTATTGTCTTCTTGCTTCCCAATTTGGCTGGATCATTTGGTCTGCACTACGTACCGGAATCAAACCAAGTCGGACGCTTGATCTGCTACTATTTGACGGGCTCATACAACGCCTCTTTTGTGATTATTCTGTCTATTCTGACAGGTAATATCGCCGGTCACACAAAAAAGGTAATCACTAATGCAATGATCTTCCTGGGAGTATGCGCGGGCAATATTGCCGGTCCTTTCTTCTACAAGTCAGAACAAGCCCCCGTTTATTCGCTGGGCATCTGGTCAATGATTGTGGCCAATTTTGTTGAGATCGCTCTGATCATAGTTCTTGGACTTTCACTCGCTTGGGAGAATCGACGTCGTGACCGGGCGCAGGGTGTTGCTCCAGGCGACGATGCAGACTACATGCGGCAGCTTGAGCTGGATCGATCTGCATTCAGTGACCTGACGGACAAGGAGAACATCAATTTCCGATATCTATACTAAGGTATCAAATATTGTATATCACCCAGTGGCACTACTACATCTTACATGAACATCTTACATGAACATATCGAGTTAGGTTTCTGTCGTATTTGCACGAAAGTATAGAGCCTTTGAATGACTGGCACTACGTGAGATGCATTGAGCTGCATTTGTAATCTTCAGCCATGCCGTCTTCGAGCTTTCCCCTCTCCCCTCTCTACCGATATTCGAACGAAAAGTTTGAAGTTCGCAGATGTATATCGTCATAATGTCATGTTTTACAATGTTATAGTAATGACGACAGCTCGGTACTATTTAGGACCCCCGCTCAAGTAAGGCGAGCACAAGAGCTCTTCTTGCTCCTCGGGCATTTTACTTCCCCACCAATAGCATAGAGTAATTCCACCAATCACCAACATCAAGACGTTGGCGTGGGGGATGCGTCAGTAACTCAATCTGCTCTCACCCCGGACTTCCCCCGACTCTGTTCCCCGCGTGGGGGACGTGGGATGCAAATGGGGGTTTGACGCGCATCGCGACCGAATAAATGATACCCCGCTCCCCTTCGGTCGTGTTTACGATCCTAAATTCTAAGTTTTCAATTAATCTTTACATCATGGCCAAGATCAAGTCGATTGAGTATTTTCGTGTGAAGCCCCGTTGGTTGTTCGTCAAGGTCACTGATGACGAGGGACAAATTGGTTGGGGCGAGGGAACCCTCGAGGGTCACTCTCTAGCTGTTGAGGGAGCTTTGGATGAGATTATTATTCGCATTGTTGGTTATGAGGCAGAGTATGTTGGGCTGTCCCAATTAGTATTTTCTTCGCTAACTTTCCTCTAGTGACATTGAGCACATCTGGCAAACAATATGGCGACTAGGATTCTACCGTGGAGGACCCGTTTTCATGTCGGCTATGTCCGGTATTGACATTGCACTGTGGGATCTTAAAGGCCGACGATTGGGTGTTCCTGTCTACCAACTGCTGGGCGGGAAGGTGCGCAACAAGGTGCAGGTGTATGCCTGGATCGGAGGAGACCGACCGAGCGAGGTGGAAGTTGCAGCGTAAGTCCAGTCCCAAGTTTTCTATCCATCATCAAAGGCGATGACACTAACGGGGACACAGCAAGGCACGAATTGCTCAGGGTCTCAAATGTATCAAGATGAACGCTACTGAAGACGTCAACTGGCTCGACTCACCCGCGATCCTAAACTCCTGCGTCGAGCGTCTTAAGCAGGTCAAGGCGCTTGGCCTTGATGCTGGCTTGGATTTCCACGGTCGTCTCCATAAACCAATGGCCAAGCAGCTGGCAAAGGCGCTAGAGCCATACCAGCCCCTCTTCATCGAGGAGCCTTTGCTATGTGAGCACCCCGAAGCTCTCAAGCAGCTTTCCAACTCCACCACAATCCCCATTGCATTTGGAGAGCGTCTATACACCCGGTGGGATGTGAAGAGATTCCTCGAGGACTCCTCCGTCGATGTTCTGCAACCCGATATTGCTCATGCTGGCGGTATCTCGGAGACAAGGCGTATTGCGAGCTTAGCCGAGACCTACGACGTGGCTATTGCCCCCCATTGCCCTCTGGGGCCTATCGCATTTGCGGCATCGTTGCAAATTGCCGTTTCCACGCCCAACTTTGTCATTCAGGAGATGTCTTTGGGTATGCACTACAACGTTGAGGCTGGTGACATTGATTTGAATAGTTATGTGGTCGACAAGACCGTTTTCGATATCACGGAGGGATATGTCGCGGCACCGTCGAAGCCCGGTATTGGAATTGACATTGACGAAGAGATGGTTCGGCGAATCAGCAAGGAGACTGAGCCCTGGCAGCCCAAGGAGTTCCACGGACCCGATGGATCGATCCGCGAGTGGTAGTCCTTTAGACAGATAGACTTAATTCATGATGCATCAGACAATGCTTTTGTTTACGATGTTTTGACTTCCACCTGAGTTGAAACTCTGCCCAGGTACATTTTCTAGCTAGCAACTATCGTGTTAGACTAAGCAAAGTTTTCTAAATCCACGATTAAACCCCCACTCAATGTAAATATGACTTGAGTGATTTTCAGGGCATACATAGCCTGACCCCGTCCGCCATAGTGCGGGGAACGTGGGGGGTACCAGACGCGCTGGGTATATAGTTCGGTTTTCTCCCCGCATGTCACAATTGGCAGCCACACTACACCATGGATCTTTTTTCACTTTCGGGTCGAACAGCCCTCGTGACTGGAGGCACTCGAGGCATTGGCCAGGCCATGGCCATTGCGCTAGCAGAAGCTGGTGCCGATATTGTCTTGATTCAGGTACAGTCAGATTGAAGATGGAATACAGCGACATCCGGCAACTGACCCATTCCAGAGAGACACCAGTAACCCCGCCACAAGGGAACAAATTGAGAAATTGGGCCGGAAAGCAACAATTTACACAGCAGATCTCGCATCACAAGTTTCCGTTTCAAATATAGTCGCGACTGTAGTCCGAGACGGCCATGATATCGACATTCTACTTAATTGTGCCGGTATCCAACGACGACACCCAAGTCATCTGTTCCCCCAGGAAGATTGGGATGAGGTAGATATCGTCATGCCAATAAAATTTATAATCATTGACTCACCAAATGTTTCTAGGTCCTCCAAGTGAACTTGACCACCGTATTCACCCTCTGTCGAGACGTTGGTGCTTACATGCTCGGTCGCACACCTAACCGCTCCGGCCAACGTGGGAGTATTATCAATGTCGCCTCACTTGTGTCTTTCCAGGGTGGTCTTACGGTACCTGCCTATGCGGCAGCCAAGGGTGGCGTGGCACAACTCACCAAGGCATTGTCGAACGAGTGGTCCTCGAAGGGAATCAATGTCAACGCTATTGCCCCGGGATATGTCGCGACAGATATGAATACTGCACTTATTCAAGATAAAGAGCGTGCTGCGAGTATCCTAGCGCGTATTCCTGCTGGTCGATGGGGGGATCCAGACGACTTCAAGGGATCTGTTGTTTACTTGGCTAGTCGGGCGAGCGCTTACGTGACTGGGGAAGTGTTGACGGTGGATGGAGGTTGGATGGGTCGATAGACGTACCAATAGCAATACTCGTGTTCTACTCCTAATGTTGTCCCATCTTTACTTTTCCTTAGACGCTGAGTGAAACGTGTGCATTGAAATTGAGACAAGTTTAAATTGTTGAAGGATTGTCTCTTAGACCTCAAGAGCAGTGCATGTCGATCTCTTGGGTTCCATTTTACATTCCGGTCATTTCCTACAATGTACTCCGCACTGCATATCACATAACAACTTTTAAATTAAAAATTCGCCACTGCAACATCGCAGCTACAAGGTACAAAGTACAAAGTGCAGGCAAACACGAGTCTTTGACCCTGAAAACCCTGATTTTGATTCGTCATGATCTCATTCTGCAGGGCTGTTTGTAGACTCGGCGGTGATTGGTCAATTCGGAACTGGCTGGGTAGGGTCCACTGCGGCTTGCAAGCTCCACCAAACTATTGACGCGAGCTGAAAATAATCACGCGGTCAACCTAGGAGACCTTCATCTTTACTGTATAATGCACTTCTTTCAATTTCCCGTGGTGTCGCATAACTACTTGCACATCGTTATTCCCCTGACATAAATACCGAACACCTAGTTACTCCTGCATCTTGCAATACTTATATCCGAACTTCGCTATGGAGCAGGCGACGATCGATCTCGATGCGCCAAGACCACTAAAGCCAATCATGCAAAAAGCTGCATGACAACCAGATCCCCAGTTCTTTTCGCTCGGCCGATCCGAATCTTCCAGCCGCCCCGTGGCTGGCGCAGGGTCAAATTGAACAACCCGATTCCTGTTCAGTGATAGCTATCCACGGCAGACTATTTTAACTACCGCAATATTGTCTTCCACTTTAAGTTTGGTTCTAACAATGAGCACATACTACGGTGTATACATAACTTACCAGGGATTGTCCATGTCCCACAATTGCCAAGCTTCCGAACAACCCGTGGAACGCTACCATGCCAAAGAGCTCCAGCTCAAGGCCCGGCCCATCTTTGAGTGACTGCAAGGGATGTCGATCTTGAAGATCTCTTAACCTATTCAGCTCGGGGCAAATGGATTCCGATTTCCCCTCAGAGTCCTCATGACTGCTATTACCCAGTCGGAATATTGATTGACGACCCCGGTGGAATTTCTGACAAACTAGTGATGGCTGATCAACAGTGGGCCTGTCTGCCTATAAAATGTAGAAGATTTCCCACAGCTGTCTCGTTCACACCAGTATCGGACAGTCACAATAGTCAATCACCATGACTTGGAAAATTGCTACTCTCCTGTCCGCAGTCCTGTCGCTAGGCTCTTTCGCCGCGGCAGAGTCCATTCCCAACACTGACTACGATGTCATCGTCGTTGGTGGTGGACCCTCGGGTCTCAGCGCCTTGAGTGGTGTCTCTCGCGTGCGGAGAACTGCTTTGCTGTTTGATAACCAGGAGTACCGCAATGCTCCTACCCGGGCTATGCACGATGTGATTGGCAATGATGGTAATATTGACCAATGGCTTCAAATACGATCTTTACTAACCTGAAGACTTTAGGTACACCACCTGCCACTTTCCGTGGCTTGGCCCGCGAGCAGATCTCCCGCTATCCCACAGCTCATTTCAAGAACTCCACTGTGCTGTCGATCGTACCCTACGGCAATAGCAGCGTGTCCGCCTTTAACGTGACCGACGACACGGGCAAATCCTACACTTCGCGTAAGCTTGTGCTTGGCACTGGTGTCAGCGACGTGCTTCCCGCTACTCCCGGTGTGGACGAAGCCTGGGGCAAGGGACTCTTCTGGTGCCCATGGTGTGACGGTTATGGTACGACTCTAGCAATTCTCTTGAAGATTGATGACTAACAAGATTTAGAGCACCGTGACCAGCCTTTCGGCATTCTCGGAAACATTGCCGACGTTCTTGGCAGTGTTCTTGAGACTAACACTCTGTACTCCGACATCATTGCCTTTGTTAACGGAACTGACACACCAGCGGGTGAGGTCGCCGCTACTGGCCAACACGATGGTTGGAAAGAGCAGCTTGATGCGTGGAACGTCAAAATTGACAACCGCACTATCACCCGTATTGAGCGCACCCAGGATGGTGAGACCCATCAAAATAAGACCACCGACCAGCAGTTCGACAAATTCCTCATTCACTTCACCGAGGGTGAACCCGTTGAGCGTGGTGCCTTCATCATCAACGCGCCTACCGTTCAGCACTCCACCCTTCCTGCCCAGATGGGCTTGAACATCACGAACGAGAAGATCGATGTCGTTACGAGCAGCATGCGCACTAGCATGGCTGGTGTCTGGGGCGTCGGTGATGCCAACAGCGATGCTTCGACTAATGTTCCCCATGCTATGTTCAGTGGAAAGAAGGCTGCCGTCTACCTGCACGTTGAGATGTCCAAGGAGGATTCTCAGTCTAAGGTCTCGAAGCGTAGTGGATTGTCTCAGCGCGAGCTGATGAAGGAAGCGATTCGCGCTATTGGAAGCAACCTTGAGCCCCAGTGGGAGCAGGTTGAGAAGCGTGAGGTGGTCTAAAAGATGATTTCATGATTAAGATGCTAGCGTTTGTCATTTTGTGGCTTTGGGCCCACTATCGTTGACATACGGTTTCATGAGTCGGCTGAACATAGCAGTGGATGAGAATGATTAATCTAATAATTGAAATTGAATAATGGACATTTCAAAAGTGATCATACATCTGGAGCTTTCCGGTGCTTCCGAGCATCTGGACTATGTAGAGAACCATGCTATACCGTAATGCGGAATTCGCACTTCAGGAATGTTTTCTCCTTGACCCATCCGTGCGAGTGGTCGATCACTCTAGCCGAACACAATTGCATCACCAGTCTTTGCCTGCAGTACTGTCTTCGGCATTGATGCTATCCGACCCGAGTCTACCGAGGCTGTTTACGCGATACTATCAATATATCGGCTCACTGTTTGCCACATCCCAAAGACCATGAGTATCGAGCAGTGAAATCCTATTGGACAAGATAAGGCAATTCTTCTAGTCTGTGGACTTAGGGACCTGATCATGATCCTTGGTAGCCTCAGTGGGTCAGGCCTAGCCAAAAATATTAAGTCGCTCAAAATTAGGAGTTCCCAATATCGCATGACATGCTATTAGCACTATTATTACATTGTAGACTTGATGAAGCCGATAATTTATTGTAGCTCATGATAGACATTGGAATCATGTAAACAAACATTGAATAGCCGATTTTGCCAGCTTGAACAATTGTAGTAGCTATACTTAGTAATCATTCAGTTATGGATTGTTCATAAGCGAGGTTCACTGATGCGTGGATATCCTCCACGATCTACCTGGATTGCTTGATTTCCCCATGGCACCGGCGGTCTCATTATCCACCACAATGCCGTTAACCGACCTTCGGCCGACTAGCATCGTGTCATTCGTGGAGAAAGTCTGTCCAAATGCAGGGAAGTCGACCTTTCACCCGGGACACCTACAAAGTGATCTTCATTGTGGGTGCCGCCACCGTTAACTGTCTATGATCCGTGGATGCACCTGAAACGTGCCTTGCATAACGTGCCTAGCATGACGTCCCAGACCATGTGCACCATGAATATTATTGTCTCAACTCGGCATCGCCTAGTGTTTCAAAATGCCGACGTCGATAACGTGCGACCGAGACTGCCAATCATGGTTTTCATGTGGAGATGTGCCGAGTTCGACCACGGTCGGCAGTGGGGAATGTCGAAGATACGTATGGTGATGGGGCCCAACCAAGAGGTTGGAACTCGGCTCTATCGCCAACTCCGGCGACTCCAACGGGGATCTGCAAGGGATCATCGATCGGTACCAGGTCTCTTAAGGTCCCGAGTCCCTGAGCCAGTAAACTCAATCAAGCCGGTCTTCCAATCATTGTTCTTCTTTCTCTCTTCCCCAACTTCTTTCATTCTCCAAGCTTCGGGGTATATTCTTAATCCGGTGTTTCAGTCCCCCTCAAGGGTTCGTCGTGCTCGACATCGTTCTCCACTTTGTGGCCAATGGCCAATATTTCTAGTATATTGTTATCGGCTAGTGTGGAGATCGATTAGGCGACGAACTTTAAATGCTAATTGTGGAGACCAGCAGTCGACAACGTGCATGTTTCGAATGTTTTAGCTCAAGGAACCATGCCCAGTCAGGGACTGGATCTACATCAGACCCATCAATTGGATGTTAATTCCCTGATATCACATCCCAGAGACACAGAAACTCGCCGTCGAGACCTGGGGATCACCTCCAAATGAGCCATTTCCACGCTTTAGTCAAGGACCTTGGAGACGCGATCTCCACTGCCACCAAGATAAGCAACAACCATGTGGGGAAACCGTCGACTGCGCTACAGAACGGCGAAGATGATCCTTTGGATCGACGAAGAGACCGATTGTTTTCTCTGACGACTAAACTCCCCAGAAAAGATATATAAACCCCCTCGAGTCCAACCTTCTTCTCTCCATCATCAAACACTCTCTTCACAGCAAAATCACTCATTTGACAACTCTTTTGACAAGATTTGTCTTTCATTCTCTTCACTATCCATCATGAAGACCTCCTTCGCTACCCTCGCTATTGCCCTTTCGGGCTCTGCCATGGCTGCTCCTTTCAGCTCCAACGGCACTTCGAACGGAACTTATGCCCTCCCTACCACTCCTAGCTTCAGTCCTAAGCCATCTGCAACTTCCGCCTCGGTCCCTCTTATTCCCACCAACGCGAAGCGTGGAGATGCTCTTCCCACTGGTCTGACTGATCTGGTCTCTGATGCCGAGTCTGCTCTCAGCGGTCTTGCCTCAGGCATTGTCAAGCGTGGAGATGCTCTCCCCACCGGTCTGTCCGATTTGGTCTCTGATGCCGAGTCTGCTCTTAGCGGTCTTGCATCGGGTGTGGTGAAGCGCGGAGATGCTCTTCCCACCGGTCTGACTGATCTGGTCTCTGACGCCGAGTCTGCTCTTAGCGGTCTTGCATCGGGCGTGGTGAAGCGCGGAGATGCTCTACCCACTGGTCTGTCTGACTTGGTATCTGATGCTGAGTCTGCCCTTGGCGGTCTCGCCTCGGGCGTGGTGAAGCGTGGAGATGTTCTTCCCACCGGTCTGACTGATCTGGTCTCTGACGCCGAGTCTGCTCTTAGTGGTCTCGCCTCGGGCGTGGTTAAGCGTGGAGATGCTCTTCCCACCGGTCTATCTGAGCTGGTCTCTGATGCCGAATCTGCTCTTGGTGGCCTCGCTTCGGGTGCGGCGAAGCGTGGTTTCTCCGAGGCTATGCCCACTCCCTCTGGCACTCCCATTGGTCCTCCCTCCGGCATGCCTTTCGGTGGTCCCACCGGAACTCCAAGTGGCTCTCTCTTCGGTGCTAAGAAGCGTGGTTTCACCTCTAAGGCTATTCCCACTCCTTCTGGCACTCCCAGTGGTACTCCCCCGGCTGGCTCGGCTACTCCCACTGGTAGCGGCAGCTCCTTCCTCGGTTTTCCTCTGGCCTAAATATATACGGCTTGTGTGGAAACCGGTCTACTGTCGGCCAATTTGGACAGCTCTTCATGATGGATACAATTTTGACTGCGATTTGATTGGATCACTGGCTGATCCACATGCCTCTCTTTAATGTCTTTTCACTCTTTAATGTTTTTTTATACACTCGTTTTGTTGGATTACAATGTACTTCTAGAATACGATCGGCGCTAGGAATTTATCTTGATTTATGATATTTTACACTTTATCTTTCTAATCTCGTTGATTTGTGGTTCTATATCTTGCTTCTTGTTTCTGGTATTATGATCTGAAGGAATATTCAAAGCTAAAGTGTCATTAAAGGTTATCAAGCAACACTTTCACAGCGTATCCTAGTGCTCCCACGTGATATCATGACGGTGCCACAACACGGTAATTTGTCTGTTCACTGGTATTCATACCTCATATACTTAGCTTTAGTCTGTACGAATGTCCTAATATGTCTATCACTAAGAAGAGGTTTGAATGATCGAACCTTTAATAGAACGAAGCGGATTCATTCAGGTCGCAAAGAAATGCTACACGTAGGCTCAGTTCCATTTTAATAGTAAAGACATTGATTCACTAGTAACACAATCCACCCAAGTGAATTAACCGATTCTATTACATTGGAGTGGTGAGAGCACCGTCGAGGTAGCAACGTTGATTCATTCTGCCTGCTGCTAATCTCTGTTGCAAAAAAGTACCTGACTGTTCATTTCTGTCTCATTACTGTATTGATTGCCAGTTCTCAAAAAGAAGTTCGGCAATGAGGTTGGGGCGTACATTGAGTGATTATTCTATGGTAAATACAAAGATTCATGAGTCCCGGAATCGCTTCATCGGTCCATAGCTGGACGTAAAAGCCCGCAAAGATCGACCCCAAAAGTATAATGGGATCGCAAAAAGCACGCTCAGGACTTGAATGGCCGTCATCTCCCCAAACACAGCTGCTGTTCCTTGTTTCTCAATCCAATCCGCTGCATATAGGGACAACAGCATGCCAATGGTGTTGCGAATGACGAAAATGATGACAAGAGCCTCACCCGTTACCTAATTCAATACTTGGGTCAGCTATGCAATTCGAGAGATTTGTTGAAGTCCCACTTACGGGTTTGTATGAATCCAGTGCGTAGGTCACGGCGACATTCGAGATAGCAGCTACACCAAAGGCTTGCATAGCATATCCCACAGCAGGTCCAATCCAGTGTGTTTTGTGTGCGACACAGAGTCCAAAAATCAAGATTCCTGCTGGTCCAATAGTTCCGGGAATCACGATCGCTGGGAGTCGATACTCTGGCATGCGGACTCCGCCATGTTTCTTTGTGCTCCGGTTGGAGATAATATCAATCAGTCGGCCACCGGCGTAGAATGCGAATACGCTACCAATAAATCCAGCTAGGGACAGGAGGCCCAGATCACCAAGTTGCCAGTTGTAAGGTGGCTTGAGAAATGTGCGGGAGGATGTCAATTGGACCACGATATTCCTTGTTGAGAGTTAGTGATAATTTGTTTAGATGGGTGGGAGTTACGAACCACCCGACCGCAATTCCAATCGTCAACGAGCACCAGATCAGCGGCGGGTAGGCAGCGTTAGCTAGAATATCCAAGACGGCTTGCAGAAATGAAGCATCCCGGTTGTAACCGAGGGTCAAGGACATCCACTGCAATTGTGATCGCTTTTCCCGGCTTTCCGAGCGCTTCTTCAGGTACGTCGTTTCCCGGACGGTAAAGGTAGCGATCACCAGGAGCACACCGACTGCGATCGCTAGGAAATAACACATCCAGCGCCAATTTTGCTGCTGTACCAAGTATGCATTGATCAGGGGGCCTACGAAGAGACCAGCGGTCATCGCAAGATGGAAAAACATCATGTAGTGACCTCGGTCCTTGGCGGCAACCATGTCGGCCACGACAGCGGGCACTGTAGCATCAGCAGCCGCCGCCGCGAACCCTGACAAAATGCGCGATGCCAGTAACTCGCCGTAGCTGGTGCATTGGCTGGACCATACATTCATCATGCAAAGAAACAGCATCGCTACCAAGTAGACGGGGCGTTTTCCAATGACACGCATGAGTGGAACCCAGAAAATATTGCCCACACCGAAGAGAAAGACATTAAAGCATACCAGCTGCCCCGCCTGGGTCTGATTGACATTGAACTCCTTGATTATAGCTGAGGTGGCGACCGTAAAATTACTGGAGTTCACATTGGCCAAGAAAGTGAACGAGCAGATTGTCAGATAGGTGGTTAATTTGGCCGATAGGGGCCAATTCTGTGGGCATTGATTAGCAACCCTGCTCTGCTTGGATCGTTCTAGACATTCTCTCACCTGTGGATTATTCACGTCTTCATCGTCGATGACTGGTTTCAAATCGCCAACGGAGGGCCCGCGCTCATCGGCGGGCATGTTCTCCAGATGGCTGGACGCACTCAATCGGTTAGGGTCGTCTTTCGAGTCTGTCATGACGTGATTTTTTGGTGTGTTCGGTTTTCTGGGGAAAGGAAGAAGTCGATCAATCCGGAGAGGCGCGGCAGGGATTTATTCAAATAGTCCCCCGCCGATTACCCCAGCGATTGCTTCCCCACAATCTAGAATGGGGGACTTTTGCGCTAATCTAACAGGAGTGGTCCTATTGGGCGCAGGGGTAGGAATGGTAGAGTGACGCGCCAGGTGGCTAAGGAGGTCTTTCGGTAATTCCGACTTCAAGTGGGGATCGGCGTCCCGAGCCAGGACCCAGGCTGAAGCCGAAGCCGCATGGAGCAAGTCCTGCGATTGAAGAGTGGAAGTCATATATGTTCAGATCCGTTCAATCTTTGTAAGAGTGGATATGTGCATCCCGATGTTATGGTCGGAGATCCCTATTGATAATATAGTTGGTAAGGTGAGACAGTGTCGTCGCGCTAATACACACTATTCGGGATTCCCGGCCCTGGCGTCATTTAGAGGCACTGGGGGTTATCCGTACTGGCTTGGCATCCACAAAGGCTTGGACTTTCATGGGTAGGTTCACGGGAACACGGGAACACGGGTATCCAAGATTGTTTTGTCATTGGTTGTTGAAGCGATCTCGTGAGATGACACTAGTTACAAGAGAGGTAAACGTTTGAATGACGCTGTAGACGGTTACATGTTTCCGCTGTGTTGGCAAGCCACACGTTTATTTATATGTTACAAGCTTGTGAACGCATTCCGGAAGTTTATCAGTAAGTGCTGTATCTATCTCAATGTATATGATAGTCGGATAGAAATTTTAATATTTGATTCTAGCATCATTAATGAGCTGTATGAGAAAGATCAATATTGAAAATGCAGGGTAGGCCAAGCCCTCGTGACGGGGAAATGTCAGTTGCCGCTTCCAGTGTTCTCCGCACTCACCGAACGTGGAACTCCAACTCTCACTCAACTCACTTCTCCCCAAGCTTCCACCTCCCATCCAGCCACAATGGGTCTGATCAAACGCGCTTTGAAGATCTCCGCCGCGGGCACTGTCGCCTCCATTGGTGTCTTCTGGGGAGCCACGCGCAATGACGTCTTCGAGCCCATGCAAACTTCCGATCCGATCTTCCAATCACCCTTCTTCAAGAAGTTCAATCCCGAACAGAACCCAACCCTGCACGACCTATGTGTCCGTCGCATCCCGCTCGACAAGATCAAGCCTGAGCTGTTGGAAAACAAGGCCAAGCTGACCGAAGCTTTCTGTGCCGGTGTCTGGGGTGGCATGGGTAAGCTCAATTAACTGCGATCGGCATAACTCCGTCTAACAGATTTCCCCTCTTTTTAGGCTACATCGTCCAGCGCGCCTACCTCTCCAACAAGTACCAGGGTCCCGAAACCGCCTCTCAGCTGTGGAGCCGTAAGGAGCTTCTCGAAAACAACTACGAGGTCGGCACCCTCATCACCGATCACTTCGAGGTCGTCGAGAAGACCGAGGAGAAGATTACCGTCCGCTGTGGTGATACCCCCCGCCACCAAGATGTTCGCCCCTCCGATGGTCTCTTTGAGATGGGCGCCGTGATCAAGCAGGAGGAGGGCGTGGCTGAATTCACTTTGAAGTGCTGCTTCTACCAGGGTCTCGGTAAGGCGGAGGCTGCTCCCATGGGTTCGTTCATGGTTTGGTTGCACCAACAATACACCAAGTTATTAATGGAGACCGCGGTTCTGAAGAACTGTGTGAAATAAAGGGAGTTTGCATGTGCGACAATCCATGTAAATAATTTAATGGTCTACGAACCAAGGACAGTGTTGCAACGGATATTAATTTAGGCTACTATGCCTGATGTTTGCCACGATTCATGGTGTATACGTATGCGACCACGGTTAGTCGCAACATCGCCTTGCATGATATTTATTATTCCCTCAGCACAGTCTTGGGCTTCTCGAAATCCGGCGAATCCGGCGAATATGGGCCATCCGCAGCCTTCATCTTTTCGATCTCAGGATCGCTAGTCAGGGTAACCGCCAGAACGGAGGGAATGGCGATGACGAGAGACCCCATGCACAGACCCCAATCCATAGCGAATTGGGTCATAGCAGGCTTTCCCAATGCGTTGATTCGCCATGCCATAGCTCCGCCCGCACTTTGGAAGGTCTTGTACGCGCCGACCAGGATCGCAGTGACAGCCGGCGAATTGGACCGAGCGCCCACGAGCCAGTAGCAAAAAGACTGCCAGAAAGCGTCATAAGCACCATAGAAGATGTAAAGTAACATCGGACCCACGGAGACAGAACCATCCTTGTAGTCGATATCCTGCTTGATGCCCATGGCCAAGCGACGCGAAGACCATTTCTGGAACGCATAACCACCACCCCAGATAGCCATGCCAGTTACAAAAAGGAAAACCCAAGCCACCCTCGCGCGAATTTGTCGGTTAAGACCGGGAAAGTCAAGAATAAGACCAATGATCAGACCGCCCAGCATCTGCGCGATCCAGTAAAATGCACCATTAAGCGAGCGCGTGCGGATATCGAAGGTCATGCCATTGACCACATTCTGCTGATAGGAGTAAAAGACATTCGCCGAGAAGAACAGTGGCAGCAAGCACAGCACACGCCAATCAGCAATCGTACGTATGGATAGTCGCGCCGTCTGTTTCCAGTTCTTTTCATCTTCTGGGATTGCCTTCAGTTGGGAGACTCGAACTGATGCAGGAGGACAGATGAACACGCCCATCAACCATCCAATTCCCATGAGAATTAGGAGAGCAATGTATGTTGCATCTGAGACTGTGCCGCTGGTGGAATTGTAGTTCAGCCCGAAGCTGGCTAGAGATCCTACTCCACCGCCGAGGTTAAAGATGATCCAGAATACAGCAATTGCACGTCCCTTTTGTGACTCGGGCACATAAGTTGTCATGATAGCTCCTTGCGCGACCCACAAAAACGATGCGCCCACACCAAGAAGCGCACCGGCGGCGACAACAAAGGCACCATTGTTGGTTGCTATTACAAGCAACAAATAACCAAAGTTAGCAATTGGATGGATAAGAATATCTTGCAAACATACAGTTAAAGCATAGCAGACTTCCCGAGTATAAGGGATATGCCCATCCACCAAGAAGAAGACAAACACGGGGACCGACGCGGTTGAAAATCGGTCCAACAACAAACAACGCTGTTGCCGCGGTTGCTGCAAGTAAAGCCACAGTCGCATTCGCAGCAACTGTCTGGTTCACTTGTCCAGATCCTCCTAGTCCTGTGAGGGCATTGTACATCTATGTCCCCGCAATTAGTGGAAGTTTTGTTGGTGACAACGCGACACGTACCCCAGGACAGCAGAAACAGATAAAACTGATCAGCAGAATCTGGACCCAACTGTGTGTATAGGTCCGATACCAAACCGAATCCTTGCGTCCATCAATCACGGGTCCAACTCTAGTTCCGTCCTCCATATTGTGATGATAGTGCAGATGCGACCAACAAACATCAACAGAGTCAAACTCGAAACCAAAATATGTGAGTAATACAATGCAGCACCAATCGCGAGATCTGGCGTGAAATATGGGGTTCTATCCCTGGATTCCAAACACGAGCGGTGGTATTTAGTGGAGAAGGCTTCAAGAAACATGAAATTACCCGATGACAGGCCCAAGCACTGATCTACGAGAACTTGCATCTATTAGGAAAAGATGCATGGATTCGCGGGATAAAGCGCTTGTCATACTCCACATATGGTAGTTTCTGGGGAAGAGAAACAACCCCACTTGTCGCATGTTGGATCAACCCCTGGTTCATTGCCGAGTACCACACTGGGGTAATGGTGCTACTCTGGCTCGTAACGTGGGCGGTTTCTTCATCGGCAAAGCTCCGTGATTAAGGATCTCGCTCGGGCTGCACTTCCGGTTAGCGGATGTCGGTCGTTTCCGACTGGCGTTTTTTAGGGGAGCATGGCGTCAATCATAAAAAAAAACATTCGTCTCGCTCGCGCGAAATACATCAGTTTTTCTGCATATCGCTCTGAAAATTATACACTGTTGATCAGGCAGTGAGCGGAACCGTTGGCGATAATGGATCTCAACGGCTTAGCCAAACTCCAGACCGAAGGGGTAAATCCCCGGACGGTCAATATCGATCGCATATCGACATTGGAGATGTGTTCTGTGATAAATAATGATGATCATCTGGTCGCAGAGAGCGTTGCGCCGTGTCTACCAGTGATCGCGGACGCAATCGATGCCCTGGCTTTGCGCGTTGGTCAAGGCGGCAGGGTGGTCTATGTTGGAGCAGGAACAAGTGGAAGGTTAGCGAACTAACAACATGCCCAATAAGAATGAATGATTAACATCGGAAATCCCTAGACTCGGGATCTTGGATGCGTCGGAAATCCCGCCTACCTTTGCTGCCCCCCGGTCTCAATTTGTCGGTTTGATCGCCGGCGGAGACGTTGCTATTCGTCAGGCTCAAGAGGGCGCCGAAGATGACGGGGAAGCTGGTGAAGAGGATTTAAGGCGTTTGAAACTCGATCATAAGCTAGATAGTGTGATCGGCATTGCCAGTTCAGGCCGCACACCATATGTCCTCGGATGTCTTGCCTTTGCCAAACGGCTAGGCTGTGTCACAATTGGCGTCGTTTGCGCCTCCCCATCGGCTTTGAGTCACTCTGGCAATGTGGACTACCTGATTGCTCCGTTACCTGGCCCAGAAGTGGTCACCGGGAGCACTAGACTCAAAGCTGGAACGGCCACAAAAATGGTCCTGAACATGCTGAGCACGGGAACTATGATTCGGACCGGGAAAACTTATGGAAATATGGTAAGACGATGTGGATGGTTGCCTCGAATAATTTTGACTGACATTTTCGAAGATGGTTGATATGGTGGCGTCAAATCTCAAACTTGAGCAACGCGCTCGGAACATTCTGCGCAGACTCAGTGTGAAATGCAATAATTTATCGGATGCCGACTTGGACTCACTTCTTGCGAAGTGCAATGGGAGTGTCAAGCTTGCAATTCTCGTTGCTGAAACATGTGGATCCGTTGAGAGCTGCCGAGAAACTTTGACATCGGCTGGGGGTGTTCTCGCTAAGGCTTTGACCGAAGCATCTCAGCCTGCAGACAAGTGCTTACCAGAGAACCGGCAATTTGTGTTGTGCATCGATGGCGGTGGAACTAAGTGTGCTGCTGTCGTGGGAGATAAAGATGGCGTTGTGAGCCATGGGTTTGCCGGGCCATGCAATATGTATGGGTTTTATCGATCTTCAACGGTACGATCGTTAACTAACTATCGCGCAGTACGGATAACGTCAGCGATGTGGAAGTCGTCATGAAAACACTGGTTACAGCGACCAAAGCCGCACTGAAAGAACATATACCCCCAAATGAGCTAACAGATTCGGACTGGAAGGCACAACTCAAAAGATCTTTTCGATCAGTCTGGATCGGTCTAGCGGGAATGGATAGGAGCGGCCTATACAACGTATTAGCCCCCAAGCTTGGTGAATTATTCGGGCTAGATCACACCACACCCGCCCTTAAGTTAACCAACGACGTATCCTTGTTGACTGCGGCAGCTTCATCGAACCAAAGCCGTTCCGTGATTGTCGTGATTGCAGGCACCGGGAGCGTGGTAATGCGGTACAACTGGATCAAGGACCAGGGCTATACCTGCGTTGCTCGAGCTGGCGGATGGGGCCACCTGTTGGGTGACGAGGGTGGAGGCTATTCCATCGGCCTTGAAGCTATCAAACACACACTGGAAGTGTTAGAGGAGAGAAGTCTGGGTCTTGAACCAAAAGAATCGGGCGAATTTGAACGAGCTGTGATTGGACGACTGGGCGGCTGCACCGAGAAAAATGATAATATTGACCTTTTAAGCGAGATTCTCTCGCAGCCTCGTGCGCAGAGTGTCAAGTCTCGCATTGCTGGCGTCGCGGAGACAGTACTGAAGCTGGAAGGGAACCGCACGGCAAAGGTTATAATGGAAGATAAGGTGGCTTCTATCATTCAAAAGCCCCTTCGTCGTCTCGTTGATTCCAGATCCAGTGGTTTTGTCGCACCTGAGGGGACAGAGTTAGTATTGGCTGGTGGGTTGATGAAGGATGAGGGATACCAAAATGCTATGAGACAGCAAATTGCTCAGCAAGGGCTCCACTTCCGGGGAATCAGTGTGATTGATGATGTTGCGGTGATGGCAGTTAGATATTTGATGTCTCAATGAGCGGTGCTGTGCATTCCCGGTTCTTCTTCCATCTTGAGACTTGTGACTTTGAGGAGGCGCACAGAAAAGGAAATACTTTTCCATTAATCTACCACAACATTCTAAATTATCACAAAAATATTATCCGTCACTCATTGGCTGGTACTAAGACGTGGAACGTTCTACCTTTGGATTGTGATATATGCATACTTTGTGGCTGGATGCTATACATAAAATGCAATTTAACGAATCTATCGATCTTTTCACGGATCTCACTGTCACATCAACTCCAACATCTAGTAAATAAGACATAGTGCCACAAGTTTGGCTTAACTCCCTTGCATCGCCCATTATACCTATTCCACAGTATACCTTTGTTTGCCCTTTCCTCTAACACAACCCGACTTCTCAATTCACTGGCTTTCTTTCCGTCTCCATCAACATGGGAACAGCCTCAATCACTGACTCCATGCCAGGACTTTGGCTCCAGATTCCCGTAATATTCAAGCCAGCCTTCTGAAGCAAATCCCTCCACTGAGTCTCCGATCGCTCAACACCGGCACCAATACTCATCATCTGAATATCGAGTGACGCCTGCATAAGGGGCGTGTCGGTATCCGGTAGCACAAAGTCCACAATCAGGATTCGGGAGTAATCAGGCGCCATAGCAGAGATTGTGTTTTGCAGGATCTGAAGACAAATTTGATCGGACCAGTCATGGAATATGGAGCGGAAGTAATAGATTGCCGCCCCCTTAACAGGTTGAGGATCTATGAAGCTGTATGGCATGACCTCGATACCGGATTCGTCACCAGAAACACCGTTCAGAACCTGTGGAAGATCTTGCAAGATAACTCTGCCGGGCAGGTGTTTGAACTTCTGGCGGAATTGGCTTAGGTCATGACCTTGGTTACCCCCGATGTCGACGAGGAACACTGTGTCAATGCATGGAACGGAATGGCCCATCAGTCTCTCCACAGGGTAGAAATCGAACCACATTGGTCGGCCTTGTCTGCGACTCGCCATATACGAGTTGAACAGTGTTTGTTGATCTTTGTGGCTGTCTAGCCACTCAAATTGACTTTGACCAACTGCCCACTGCATAGGGGAATTTTCATAGTCTTGAGGATTCGCATAATGATGCGCCCTCAGATACTCCGGCAGTTTGCTGAGGGTTGGAACTGCGAGGTCATATCTGACGGAGGAAGACTTGGTTAGCTTAAGTTGGATCAAGCAGTGCAACCGGAACGACTGTCTTACATGCAAGGAACTCCATCTCGGCCAGCAGGCTGGGTCAAAGCCGCTGTCTTCTCATTTGCTTTGTATACCTGAAATTCTGGGGTTGTGCAGAGACCCAGAGATGCCATGACCCGCATCAATCGGACTATGTGTGACTGTTAGTCGCGCAAAGGGTGAAACAATACGAGAGGTCGTGATACCGATCAATTCCTGCTCTGCGCCAGTAAACTCCGATAACTGTGCGGCCGAGATCCCTGTATACTGGTACTGCTTCTGCATGAGCAGAGGAAAGATCCCCAGATCTACTACGGCTCTGAGTGCGGAGTTTTGTGGCGGCTATGGCGGGTCAGATAAAGTGCCCAAATATCGATACGTACATTTGCATCCATACCTGGTAAATCAGACGCTGAACAGTCTCAGCGGGACTTTCTACCTCCAGCTTCAGCTGCTCAATCATTCTTAGCAGCTCGAAATGAGTTTGCGCAGAAGGAGCAGCGGTATCTTGCTGCACCAGCTGGCCCAGGCGATTGACCATCGAGTAAAGGGGTGTGGTGACCGTCATTTCGGCGTTGAAAAATGATAAAATGAAATGTCGTCACCAAGTGTGGCTACATGTAGTACGAACCGGGGTATTGAATTTCAACAACTGGCTCTTTACTCCCATTTATACATTTATGACAAGTGGGCATTACCTAGATCGTCGGATACGATGAGTTCAGAGGGTTCGAGACCAAGTCCGAGTCCCAGGCCCCGGCCCAGCTTCATTCACACCAAATCCCCACCGTGGAACTCAGCTGCCCGGAACCAGCGCAACTTTTACATAAAGCCAGGATGATGTACTGACACGCAATTGAAAGCAAAAAGGAGCGGCTAAAGCGGGTTGTCCCATTGGGCCGTATTCCAATTTTAGTCTGCGTTAGCTTGGCCCACTCTCCACATCACCTCAGCTCGTTTTGATCGGCAGAATGCACCGAAGATATCACACGCCCCATGTACGTTTGCTATCGTAAAGGATGATCTAAATGAGCTAATATGTCTAGTCAGTCTGTTATTCCAAATAAACTTGGTTTGTTTCAGAGATCTGCGGATTTCTTTCATTGGGGGAGGCTCGGACAAAAGGTGTGGAGACATGGAATTGGAGTGCATGCGCTGCATGTAACACGGACTTTGATCATGCAGCTTATATTAATGGTGTAATGGATGTACGGGGACTTCCTGATGGAGTAAATTGTGCGGAGAATAATCAAGTTGCTCGAGCTTAACTCGAAATGAGCCGATTATTCTGATCTGAATCGTACGTCAGATTTGAGGATTGATAATAAATTCCTATTCTGATAGTGCCAAGCGCTTAGTCTAGAAATCTTTTTCGATGAAAGGAACCTATCCCTTCTGTTCTCAGCGGCTGAGCGCTTTGTACATTGCGTGGTACAAATGGCTACTTGAACGGTTATCTTCCAACGTTATCCTAGATGTACAGTATGTGCTTTTGGTGATAGGCGCAGGATTATCCAGCCACAACCAGTAAAAGTGCAGGAATACCTCGTATCCCTGATTGTAGTCATGGATATATCCGTATGCTCACAGCATCGAGCACCCCTTCAAAACGCCTTCCGAGGCAGCTTGCCATCCAAATGATCTACCAAATACAACCCCGGGAAAAATCCATAAACTCTGTCTCAATATTAGAGGAATGCCAGGATTGGCTGATTGATGTTTTTGGAAAAGTGACCTGTCTCCAGTGATATTCCAGCTGCAGACCAACGGAACTATATCTACACCGGGAGGACCCTGTGGCGTTCCAGACATCAAAGAATGTCGATCTCACGTTCTGAGTCACATATCAAAGCTGAAATTGCCAGCATGTAAGGTTCCGATCGGACGGTTAGCATTCTTGCCGGCAAACAGCGGGGCGCGAATGGGGCGATCTATCTAAGATGCGCCAACGAGTCCGTTTCCAGCACCGTTGGACTCACATAAAATCTGAGATCTGTCTCACAGGAAACATTCCGGGGAGATTTGGTAGACCCGGCTCCACGGCCCGTGCTTCCCGTTCCGCTCAAGGATCTGCTGCGGACCGTGGGATACGGGACGATGCAGAAGGTTCCATATCGGTGGGTGGGTGCTCTGCCAGAGCTCAAGGTCGAATACCGGATCCTTGGATTCGTTCATTTGGACCTTGTCTGGGGTCGTAATTCAGGAATCGGGATAATGCTTCCGCAGATCTTGTCCGTTGTTGGTCTTTGTCTCGGATTGAGGATGAATCGATTGCGTCGATTTTACGGGTGTTTGGCTTTGCATGGCTGCTAATGTCGATCCTTGAGAACGAGCATTTTGAGTATATTGCGGAGTGGCAACTGTAACTCGGAAGGTTGGAGACTAGTGCTTACGAAGGCGTCATAGTCAGATTAAACAATTCATTGTTCTCAGGTCAGCTCGTGGTTGGTGGAGGAAAGTGAGATGGATGTGAGATCATTATCTGAAGTTTATTCTCATCAGCTGCGCATGTGGCTATCTGCACAAACGGTAAACCGACGGGATTACGAGGTAGTGCATCAAAAATATGATATCGGTTTCCATGTGCAAATCGATTCGGCCCTGTATACTTAGTACAGGTTAACGTCTCCACTACAAATCGGTGGGGTGCGAACAACCAATACCTATCCTGCTTCGCCCTAATTTTCCAAGTTTTCCATTCCCCACTATCATGACTGCATTATCATCAGCCCTAGAGTGGGACCCGGGAAGAGCTCTCGATTTGGATGCAAATGCGCTAATCTATCCTTGAGTCGATCTTCCTTGAGAAAGATATGTACAAACAATCGGTGGCTGTGGAGAATCAAAGATATCCAAGGTAGACTGATCGGGATTTGAATTGCAACTAGGTGGTTTGGGCTCCTTTGCATTGTAACTTCGTCGCTGGTTGCGATCACAATCCACTACTGCAAGATGGTAACCCCTGTCGAGCGGAGGCGTTTGTCGGCCATGCCACATCACTTAGGACTATCCAGCCAGTAAAATTACCCGAATGGCCGTTAATTTTCCTACGGTCGATCTCTATTCGCTTAAAATCGACCGGTTGGCGAGTCATGCGTGCACTTTTGGGATGCCGATTTGACACCTGCATTGGAATGCACAGTGTCTCTTCTTTCAGTTTGTTTGTAGTCACAGTCGCGTACCCGATCACTAGTATCATGCATAGTTCCCACAAATTTGAGTATCAACGTAGTTACTTCCGCCGAGTAGATGGATCAATGTCGTTACCATGTAGTGGGCATGACCGTCATTGCTCGCTCCAGGCCCATTCAGCTCCGCCTTCACCCTGGTCATCCCGAATGCGGTCAGCGGAGGTGCGCAAGTTATGTACCGGCATAATTTTTGTCTTTTTAGGGCGATGCACCCCAGCTGTAATAAATATGAACATTGTTTTCTTTTGCCTATCTCTTCCCACTACCATTGTGAGGTTTATTTCTGACACGCACTATCGAAATGGGTATTCAGCGTGGATCATCAGGTCAGCCAGCGACCTCTTCACATGCTGCTGATCCCTTGACAGAAAAGTTTGGCCAGCTTCATGTGTTGGATGACTTGGTCCGTCTTCGTGCTGCGGATAGTATGCAATGCCCAATCCTCGCATACCCAAGCTCGGACACCGAGGCCGCATTGTACAATTATTATACCGGCGAACAGCTGGATGAGATGATAGACCAAGCTGTCTCAACACTGATGGAAGAAGGTTTTAGACCGGTTCGTGCCCTAAAGACCTCTCGGTATGCATGGACACTGCTAATATCAGAAACCATGCACTAGCCCAAGAAAGACGGATGCATAGTAGCACTGCTCACCCTATCAGACCTAAGTATGGTTATCACTCTATTCGCACTCAGTCGGCTGGGATACACAGTGATGATCTTATCGCCACGTCTATCGGGTGACGCATGTGTATCGTTACTCAACACCGTCGGGTGTGAGAATATCATATATGGTAAAACCGGCACCATTCGCAGAACCATGGGTGAAATTTTGCAACGGAAACTTATCACCTGTCGGCCAATCCCAGCGCTTTCTGATTCTAACACCGAAACCTCGTTATTGGTTTTGCACAGAAAGCGGAATTCCGAGGCCCAGAGGGACAAGGTTGCTTTGATCCTTCACTCTTCTGGGTCCACCGGAGACCCGAAGCCCCTTTTTCTCACCCACCGCGCATTAATGACCCATCCGTTGAAAGGGCCGGGGCTGACATCTTTTAACTCGCTTCCTTGGTATCATCTGCATGGAATTTCGACCGCGTTGCAGGCGATGTGGATGAGGAAAACTGCTTTTATGTGGAACGCAGCCTTGCCACTGACCGCAGACTCGGTTGTTTCTGCTCTCCAAGAAGCGAAACCTGAATATGTCGCTGCAGTCCCGTATATGCTGCAGATATTGATTGATAACCCCCTTGGTGTCGAGGCACTTCGGAACTGCAAACTCGTTGGTTATGGTGGAGCGCCATGTCCTGATGAGCTTGGTGACCGTCTCGTGCGAGAGGGAGTCCCCTTTGGTGGGTCATTTGGACTGTAAGCTATTCTCAAAATCCCGGTGAATGCAAATCTCACTCATATCTGTAGCACAGAAGCGGGTCTCGTCGCTGAGTCTTTCTCCCGACCGAAAGGCGATCCTTACTGGAATTATTTGAAGTTTTTTGAAAGCATTCTACCTTATGTTTGGATGAAGCCCTTGGGAGGCTCACTTTACGAATGCGTCTATTTGGCTGGGCATCCCGCATTGACAACATCAAACTCCAATGAGCCGCCCGGTTCATATCACTCCAAAGATATTTTCACCCCTCACCCCACTCTTCCCAACAGATGGAAGTACGCTTCTCGACTAGATGATCGTCTGACTCTAATCAATGGTGAGAAGGTGCTACCACTGCCGATTGAAGGATGTATCAAACAACATCCTCTCATCCATGAAGCAGTCGTGTTCGGTGTGGGCAAGACAGCTCCGGGTCTTTTGATCTTCCGCTCGCAGGAAGCGGATGAAGCATGTCTCTCGGATGAAGAATACTTTGAAGATGTTTGGCCTAGTATTGAAATGGCCAATTCTCGCGCTGAGCGGTTCTCTCACATCGCTAAAGATATGGTCGCCGTATTGCCGTTTGCCTCGACTTTCCCTCGGACAGATAAAGGGTCTATGATCCGCGCACAGGTCTATCTGCATTACGCTGAGCTTATAGAGAGTGTCTATGCTGGAGCAGAGAGTCAAGAAGGAGGAATTCGACTGGGCTTTGATGACACCTTGTCGTTATTGACAGATTTGTGTCAGAATGAGCTGGGTATCAGTCTCTCTAGTGCAGAGGCCAACTTCTTCTCGGAAGGAGTTGACAGTCTCAAAGCAATTCACCTGCGTCGCCTTATCCTTCAGAACTTCGATATGCCCAAGGACAGTCTTCCTCAGAATGTAGTGTACGATACGGGGAGTATTGCACTTCTGTCAGAGTATATCTGTGCGGTCCAGAGCGGAGAGGATATTTGCATGGTGGACAATGACACCGAGGTCATGTCCAAGTTGATTCAGAAATACTCCTCATTTCAAAGACACATACCCAGTGACCTCCCCTTAACCACCAACAGTGTTGTAAGTATCATTTCCCTCATTATTGAAGAAGTCACGCTGACTATTCAAGATCCTCACCGGAGCTACCGGGTCAATCGGTGCCCACACACTGTACGAGCTTCTGAACGATGACTCGGTCTCCAATGTCTTCTGTCTGACAAGACGTAAATCCCCATTTCAGGCTGTACTCAACAGCCTCATTGAGAAGGAACTACACATCACGTCAGAGCAGGCATCCAAAATCATCGCCCTGACCAGTGCACTCGATCAGCCGGATCTCGGCCTGGATGAAGAAATCATGGCTCGCATGCGCAGATCCGTTACACAAATTCTGCATGTAGCCTGGCCCGTGAATTTCAATATCCCTTTAGCTCAATTTGAGCCCCACATTCGCGGACTGCACAACCTCCTCCAATTCTCACTCTCTGTTGAACAGCCACAGCCTGCAGTGGTTATGTTTTGCTCCTCAGTCTCCACCGCACTCGGCTCAAAATCTACTGAGATTCCAGAAGCGCCAATTGATTTGGGCACGGCCTACATGGGCTATGGTCAATCTAAGCTGACCGGAGAGCACATCGTCAGCGCAGCACACAAATCAGGAGCAAGAGCTTACTCACTCCGAATCGGGCAGGTTTCAGGCCATTCCAAGAAAGGTCTCTGGAATGATACCGAAGCGCTCCCGCTCATGATTCGGTCAGCCTTAAGCCTTAAAGCCTTACCCAATCTGAATGAAAGCTGTTCCTGGCTGCCGGTTGATAACCTCGCAGCCACTATTTTGGAGCTGGCTCGATCGCGTTCAGCCTCGAGTACAGAGTTCAAGAAATGCGTATCTGTTGAGCAGACTGGTGATAATTCGATCTACAATGTGTGCAACTCTCGGGAGTTCTCCTGGGATGCACTCCTGGGGTCTTTGGGACGTAGTTTCCAGTTCGATGTCGTGCCATTTGAGAGCTGGTTACAGTTGCTCAGGGAGAGTGAGGCGAGAGGTGAGGAGCATATCAATCCGGCTGTAAAGCTTATTGATCATTATGAGGCTATGCATGGTGCGGACCCTTCAGGGAGCGCCCTTGGTCCGAAGACTTTCGTGACGGATAAAGCAGAGCGGGACAGTGTTACTTTGCAGAATGGTCGCTTGAGGATTATTGAGGACGGGATATTGGACTGTTATATTCGTGATTGGATTTCGCGATGGATGATTTCGTGATAGAGGCTGCTAGTAGTTTGGATGTTTGCATTAGAGCTGGGGAGCTATCATGTCTAGTATTGCATTGTTGATTTTATTACTGACTGCATTGAATTTTATCGAAAGTTGATTTTAAAGAGTTCTAGTTGAACACCGCCACTAACCGCATCTAAGATAGCGCAGTAATTGCACTTCAGAAAAAAATATTATATCAAGTACTAAAGGACATCGCATCACCTCGCTTGATTCTCGTCAATATACGGGATAACGCGTTATTGGGCCATGATATAGGTAAGGAAGGTGGCTCAGTGGTATCACTCTTTAATCACTTTCACATTCCTGCGTATCCAATAGAGTAGCGTGAACAAGTAGGTACCTAAGTAGGTACTCAATCATGTTACTCCCTGAATCTCGAATATTGCGCTACGTCAATTGCGGTTCGTGAGAGTGTTCAATTAAAAAGCTCGTTTATTTTTTCTTCATGGGCCATGAAATTCTAAAAATACAGTAATTAATACGCTATACAGTCTTCAATCACCTAAGCCCATCGGGGAGGGTAGCAATTTGAGATTCAACAAGTGCCTAGATCCGCCTCGATCTTGTCCTGCGCCAGGATGTTGCTAGTATGGAGATCCTATCACGCAAATTCTTGTTCTCGTTCGTCGTCTATACCTAAACCAGCTCTTGCAATTGGTCCTGGATTTCGTCTGCCGGGAGTATCAGCGCTGACACGTCGAGAGTGACCGTGCGCAGTATCTACAGCGCTTTGGCGAACACGATGCGTAACATTCTCAGCAAGATCGCAGGTGAGGTGGTGTTCAATTGAAAATCTTTATATAATTGATGATTTGCCTCAAAAAGTCATCATCATGATCTACGCAGGATAATAAGAAGGTCCTCATACTTCTTGATTACGCACGGGCAACCAGAAAGAGTCATTGAACATTCAATAATGCTTGCCTCTTCTCCTGGGTTCAAGGTATTGGCTGCCTGAGGTGAACCATAGGAAGTACGATGTAGAACCGTACATCTTCAAAGCTTTGCCTTCTCTAGCCAATAAGATTTTGTGCAGCCGGAGACACCTTATACCCACACTGCAAGAGAGTGGCCGCGTCTTTTGTTTGTAGTGATGAAAAATTTTTCTCTAGATCTTCTTCCATGACTAGCAACTCCTGTTTATTGATACTGCCATAAATTCATGGAAGAGGGCTTCTTCAAGTAATTTTGCCACTTCCTATCTAGGTGAAGAACGTAGGTTTGACGTCTTTCGGCAATTGGCCCCGTGGACCTGAGACCCCTATTGCAGCTTTTTTCAGCTTTCAATCAAGCATTTAGGCTTTAACTCCCCGACGGGCTTTTTTTGCGTTTTTCCCGCCTAGCGGTCAACGTGATGAACTCCACATTGGGATGGGGCTGCTCCACATCTGACAGTGAGCTCCATAGCTAAGAAGATGGAGTTGACCTCAGGTGAAGAATGGAATTAGTCACTAGAAGATTTAGGTGTATACATAAATTCACAAATTTGAGGTCATTATATAACATATTTCATAAAGTCTGATGAAGTTGAAAAATGGCTCAATGTGGTGCAGTGCCACGTGCTAGGCCAAGGAGACCCACCGATAGATAATATGACTATTGATGTAAAGTCAAATAAATTGGCGTTATCTGAGATCACTATTTACTCCTATTTACTCCTATTTTATCCCTATTCCATGGGACCATCAGGGCTTTCAGGCCACTTGCGGAACAGATCCTGCAAATAATCGAGTGGCGCCGTGATAAGTCCGACGGCTGTCTGATAAGGAGGTCGATCGGGCGCGCTAGGATGCGCACGTGTTGGAACGAAGTGTTTTGTACGGTCAAAAGACGCCGCTAAACGCTTACTCTCATCAGCGGTAATACTGGTTTCAAGATTACTCAACTCCACTCCTTCGTGATTCACGTGTGCTGCCAGATCCCCCATGAGAACTGCCAGGGTGGGGATGAAGCGGGGATCGGTGGATGGGAGGTTTTGAAACACGGCTAATTCTTCTTTGATCTATGCGGTTTCTTAGCTTGCATCTTTGGTAGGGTTCGTTTCCGTATTCGTACTGTTTGATGTTGCCGCCGATCTTCGGTTGCTTCTTCGTTCAAGTGCTTCTTTAGCGCCGGGTAGAGCACTAGCTCCTCGCCTACCACATGTCGGGCTAGTTCCCAGGTGAACATGTTTTGCCAGCGGGTTTGCTCATCTGGATCCTCCGCCTGGACGATCCTGTCATAATAGGATTTGAGTTCCCGGTGATCGGCGCAGATGGCGTCGGAGATGCGGTCCATTTTGAAATCTTAGGTAGACGGACAGCCCTTGGGGTATGTGAAATTTGATCGCGTGAATGAATTTATTTCTATTTCCTTGATTATATTACTGCGTGTGACGTGCTCCACTGCTTCTAATCTCCGGAAAACAGCCCCGTGGACAGAAATTATGCTGTGGCGCTCTAAGTTTTGGTGGGGCCAGAATGATCGAGACAATTGGAGTCACGAAGCATGAACACCTCGTTTTTTGGTGCCCATTTTTCCGACTTTTGTACGAGCATTAAGGAGGTCTGAGTCCCTTATTTGAATTTCATTTCCCTATTTCTTTCTTTTTTCTTTCACATCCCTTATGAAGAAAAGAAAGACCGTATAGAGATCTCATTATGGCTGCGGTTTCAAGGTTCGTTCAGCTAAACGTTAACCCCGGAATTCAACCCCGCGCAAATACTCACACTTAACTTGTTTCAGAAATCAAAATCTTTCAGACACCAGACACTCCCAATCCAACTCCAACACACTTCCTCCAGCCATCCCACAAATCTATAATCGAATTTCCCAGTGGATGTTGGCTGGTTGGTGGAATTCGTGTGAGCCAAAGACCGGCTCTTCATCCCGCCAACCATACCAAAGCGACCCAACTGCCTGCAAAGGTTGTCGCGAGTGGGGGGTCCCTTGCGATCATACAAAACCACAATGCGAACATTGCTTTGAACAACAGATCCTGTGTTTCTATGTCAATCCCAACCCGAGGCGCAAGACTTACCGTCCTCCTTTAACGACCGTACCCCGAATTCGCGTACCTACTCCCCGACGACGATTATGAAACCGCACATGCAGACATGAACCTTGCATTATATTATCCAGCGTGGACGTTGATTTCGATATGAGTGCATTTTGTTGAATCATAGCATGGCGTTGTGAATCCTCACCCCCAGCAAAATTTCAGTCCACCTGCTGCCAGTGCAGCGCGATGAGACAGATCATGGCCATGGCGTTAATGTTCTATTGTTGTCTAGTCATTAATTGATGTTATACTTTTGATCAGTGTCTGGTCTGTCGTCCTTCTGGGCGAAACCCCTCTAAACAAAAAGGGGGGGGGGGAGTTTAAGAATGGAGAATGTGGGATGTGGGGGGAATGTATGACATCCACTATTCTACTATTCGGTGCAATGGACCAACAACGGCGACCAAAGAACTTTAAATTACACCGCTTGGTACCTAGCTCGCGACACTAGATATCTCTTGCATAATTCTGATTCAGCAACGTCGGATCAAAGCCGACCGGACTGAGCTTGAATCGGAGCACTGTGACCCGCTGCGGACACTGTGATCCGCGCCTCCACATACATATCAAGGGCTTCATATCTTTCTTAGACTGATCGCAGTGGTTCATTCCATTTTTATATTCCAAGGTTGGGTTGTTTCCATGAAGCGTTGATCAGCATCATTCGTGGAGCTATTTACTATATCCTCTGAAAACTATCCGCCACAGATTTGTATTATCTTACAAGACGAACTCTAAGTGTAAGCTCCATTTCTCCCTTTCATATTCTGATCTTAATTAACCATGCTGCAGATGGAATACGAGTACCGCCGTCTGGCAGACGTCATTCGTCAAGAAGCCAAAAACCACCCAGCACCACGCTTCGTCGTCGCCATCGCAGGAGTCCCGGGTTCAGGAAAAACGACCACCGCGCAAGCAGTCGTGCAACAACTTAATAAAGACCCGTCATGTCGCGCAGCCCTTCTCTCAATGGACGGGTTCCACCTATCACGCGCAGCACTCGACGAATTGCCAAATGCTACAGAAGCGCATATCCGCCGCGGTGCGCCGTGGACATTCGACGTGGACCGATTCATCAAATTTATCGGGCAACTTCGTACCTGGGCTGAGAAGACACCACTAGCACCGGTTTCAGGGTCATGGCCTAGCTATGATGTCATTCATGCGCCGACCTTCGATCACGAAGCTAAGGATCCTGTAGAAGATGGATTGGCTATTACACCGGATACCTCGATCATTATTGTTGAGGGGAACTATCTTCTACTTGATGAGCCTAGGTGGCGAGATTTGGCGGCGTTGGTTGATTACCGGATTTTCGTCGATACGGATTTACAAGAGGCGCGTGAGAGGACTGCTAAGCGACATGTGCAGTCTGGTATTGAGAAGACTCTTGCGGATGGGTATCGGAGGGTTGATAGTAATGATTATTTGAATGGGGTTTCCATTCGTGAAAAGCTATTGGCGCCGGATATTGTGGTTAAGAGTGTGACGGTGCATACTACCTAGCCGTGTGTTTAGGTAGAGCAACATGAATGACGATTTCAATTTATGATACAAACACATAAAGCAAAAGATATCTCGAGTGCGGGGTTTTAATTACCACTTAGGGTATACTTCGTGGTCATTACTGCTTGACCTCTTGTTTGTGCGCCACATCTGGTCACGTTAGAACATCACCTGAGATTTTGTAGAATGGCCATGACTTACCGGGTATCTCTGGCATCCAACTCGCTCGATCCTTACAGAAAAACTCGACTTTGGGCGGTAGGGCCTCTGGATCATCTAGAGATCCTACACATACATAGCGGAAATGGTCCTTGGCAGCCTCCTGTGATCAATTTAGCGAAAATTCCGATCATATGTAGAAATATCCACCATGGATATTCTTTCCATGGCTTACTTACGCCATATTCAAGGATGAAACTTCCGCAGTTATCACAGAACTCGCGGTAGATCATAGTCCCAGATCCATTATCGGCAGCATGCTCTTTGGGCTTCCCGGCTTGGAGATGAAACGCGTCCTTGGCTACTTTGGCTGTGAGACCATAGTTTGCTCCGAATACTTTCTATGACTTTCCTCAGTATTATTTCAAGCTTTTGGTCAATTGCATGACTTGCGGAGCATGTGTACGCACTTTGCAATTTCGACAGTGGCAAAGTGACGTGCGCGCATCCTCGGGAGAAGCGAGTCGTAGCTCATACTGGATGTTTCGACACAAGCAAGACCCAGTATATGTCGGCATTTTGAATTGCTCTTTGCAAAGTTATTGTATTGTCAGAAATTAGTGATGTCCATTTCAATTAGAGTGAATAGAGTGAATGATGAGATGGCAAAATTATTCGAATGACGTCATGGATATGGTACCTGAGACGAGCCTTGGAAGTAGCAGCACCCAAAATAAGGTGCTTAGAACGTAATATGTACTTCATATTTTCTAATATTAGAACTCGAAACATTCTGGAATGGTCAGATAGTTAGGCGATGGTTACGCCTAGTATTCGATGACTTGCAAGATTGTCGGGAAGCTTTGGGCCTCACTATGAAAGAATATATAATGTCCGAAAATAATCACGCATAATTTGACATACAATTAACTTCACTTGAAACATTCATTCTGAATAGATAATTATGAACTAGTTACCTGAAGATACGTATTTGTACACAGCGGTGAACATAAGCTTAATCAATGTACTTTATGCATGCAGGTCATGCAATCTTCCCCGCGCTGATGTTATTATGACATGCCTCTGAAACCCCCCCTTGAATTTGAATCAACATTACCCATAATATCGAAAGATTATCGTGTTGACTCCAACTTTTTCATTAGAAACTCGAAAAAATGATAAATCAACAAAGTCAACTAGAACTCAAACCCAGATCCGTGGTTTCATGCTTCATTTTCTCGGTTGAAAAAGCCAACTCACAGGTCGCTCTGTTTCGACGCAGTGCGAAAGTGAGAACTTACCAGTGGGTGTTCTGCCCGATTCACCTCGCTCAATCTACCACAAAAGAAGATTTCAGCTTCGGCAAGCTGACTTGACAAAGACACCATCTAGCCCCCATTTCGGGAAGTATAGATGCACATGAATCACCACTGGCAGCTGCATGGCGCGAGATTAAAGAAGAAACATCATTGACTCCGCAACAACTTGAATTTTGGCGTCATGGAAAGCCATATTCTTTCAGCGATGTTAATGTGGGACGGAAATGGACGGTTCACCCCTTCGCGTTCCGGCTAAGGAACACCGAGGAAGATGATTTGCATGACGAATTGATTAAAATCAACTGGGAGCATGACTCTTGGGAATGGCACGATTCAGGAAAAGTGGTAGATGATGATAGTTTCGGTGCAGTTCCTTATCTAGCCAAAAGCCTTGGACGAGTCTGCTTCGAGAAGGATATGAATCGAGGTGCAAGCGAAGCATTGATATCTTGTCTAGAAGAACTGCACGTTAACCGCCAAAGCGGAGACCATGAGTTGACCTGCATCGCACTGAAAGGATTCCGCGATGTGTTGGTGCATCTACAAGGCGATCCGAAGTGGTGGGAAACTACACGAATGACAGCATGGCACATCTGGAAGAACAGCCGGGAGAGGATGAACATCGGTACACTGAACGCGCTACTAGGGACTCTGGGTGACATAGAAGATGTAATGGAGTGCAACCTTGAGGACGAGACTCGATGGGATCTTACCCTCGCCGTGCTTGACCATCACCTGGAAGCGCACCGGATGCTGCCATCGCGTATCCAAGACTCTTTTATCGAATACCTCCAAACGCAGTTCATTTCGGCTGAAAATGCGCAATCACGTCAGAAACTCACGATCCTCACCCTATCAGCTAATGCGACGATTCGGGATAGCTTGCTGGACGCTATTGCGTCAACACCGATTTCACATCTGGATATACACATCCTCGAGTCTCGTCCACTTTTCGAAGGAGCCAGCATGGCTTCGTCTTTACTCGCCGAGTCCCAGGCAAAGCTCATATCATCACCAGATCAAATCGTGAAAGTGACTGTGCACACAGACGCTTCTGCGGCTCTCGCTTCGACCAATGTGGACTTGGTTCTTCTAGGAGCGGATCTGATCTCGAGCTCGGGATGTGTGAGCAGCAAAACTGGGTCCTTGCCGGCGGTGCTCAGCGCGAAATATATAAGCCCGAATGCTAAGGTTTTGATCCTTAGTGGACTGGAGAAAGTTTCGGATCGGGACAGGAGGGAAGACTGCCACAAGCTGCAGGAATGTGACCCTGCTGAAGTCATGAGCAGCTGGCTCCATAGTGGTATCAAAGGGGTCAATATTCTTCACGGATTGCGAGACTTCCATCCCGGAAGTTCAAAATGCACAACTCATGTGGAGAATGTTGATGTCGAGTGGGTCCCGGCAAATCTCATCGATGGCTTTGTCTGTGAAGATGGGACTTTCGATACCGCGACAATTCAGTACAAGGCACAGGAAGTGAAGGAGATGGCAGACAGATACTTCGGGAACCTGTAATATCATGGATGATGGATGCCCATTGATATATTTCATGCGAACTGAATGACAAGGGAACATACTCAATTATTTTGATACACTTTAAATGAGTGTCGAGGGGCGGCCCGACTGTAGATAGACATTACGCTACGATAGAGCAAGGAAGTAATAAAGTGGAAAAAGCCTATGACTGTCCATTGATCAAACCAGCTGCATAAAATCCATACAACAAATCAAGCGCCATGGTTAGACCGGTATGTTCAAAGACTCGGTTGCTAAGACAAAAGAAAATCATTAATCCATCCCGAACACCGGAGGTAGAGGACAGGATCGTAAAAGACCTCTGACCTCCCAACAAAAGAAAGCCGAACTATATGCAAAATGGGAGAGGTATCATCATGTTCAAGAATCGCGGACACGCGCTTGGCGCTTCGCGGTGCCGATGTGGGTGTTGTGTACTTTGGTGGCAAACTTCAAGCTGGTCAAGGTCTCTGACAAATGAGCCTTCAAGGGGCTGGCCATGACAAACATAAGTGTCTTAGAGTTCCCACCCAATGAGAATTGAAGAAGATAAGTAAGCTGATCAGAGAGTCAGTATTTGGGACGAAAAGAGAGTAGTGTGAGGGGACAAACCTTGCTGTTGCGGTAGGGGATGTGACCACCATCCTTGCCTTGGCCAAGAGCAGCAATCACATCACCAAGGGAGCTGAGACTGCGGTTGATGTTTTGAGTCTCCTTTAGGCGTTCGCCAGTGGCCCCGCTATGGCTCAAGCGTTCGCTTCCAGCCAGATCGACTAGATTGAGAGTGCCTTCACTGCGCTCTCCAGTGATATGATTCTCGCCAGTCAGCTTGAGAATGAAAACCGAGTGCGATCGTGATGACCGCTCGTTGGCTTTGGTGGCAGCCACTGAGCGGTTGGCATCTGCACTTCGGAGGATAGACTCGACCATTTCAGGCGAGTCCAGCTTAACGGTAGTGATATCGGTAATGATAGTCTTGCCACGTTGCATATCGTGGCGGATTTCATGCTTCTTCTTATCCAACTCATCCGGGTTTCCGAGTAGATCGTTAAGATTCTCGTTGTAAACCTCGACAAAGTTGCCTTCCATTCTGTACCGCCAGCCCTTCTCCTCCAGCCCCTGCGCAGTTTCATAGATTTGATGAACAGCGCGAGGAATCATGCCGTCCTGTGAAGACATGGTGTGGGTTTTACCACTGCCAGTCTGACCGTAACAAAAGATACAAACGTTGTAACCATCTAGGGCACTCTGCACCAGCTGGCTGATTTCATCGAATACTTCGGCGTTCTGGGTAGACGGGCCGAACACGCGATCGAAGGAGAAAGTGTTACTCTTGCGTGTAATGGTACCAAGGCTGCTCTTCTCCTCAGGTCCCATGACACTGATCTCCTTTGCATCCTCAAATTCATCAGGGTACTGCATTGGTGCAATCATGGTGGCAGGTTCGCTGTTGAGAGAAGGGCGAACACGACAGAAAACACGAATATTGCCCTTGAGTTCCTGCACCTGGTTATGAAGCTTACGACGTAGTGTTTCTTCCCTACGCAGCTTCTCTTTGATCGCGTCAGTTTCAGCCAGCGCATCCATCATGTCCTGGTTGCAGCGCTCAAAAGCTTGAGACTGCTCTTCGCGTCCACCTTCAAGGAACTCAATGCGGGCCTTAAGGGCTCTTATTGTTGATTCCAATGTTACACCATTGCTGCTGGCAGTGTCAAGGTTCTGTCGAAGGTCGTGGACCGTCTTTCGTTCACGATCGATATCGGCCTTCATGGCGTCAAGCTCGCTTCGCAAAGTAGCGATTTCACGCTCTTTATTATTGAGTTCAATCTGAGACCTTTGAACGTCCATTGCAGATTGGGTTGTTAGGTTGCCGAGGTCTCGGACGCGCTTGGCTTTCTCGTCCTCGATCTCGCCCTCGAATTTGCGCTTCAAGTCTCGGATTTCGTCCTGATGTCTCGCTACCAGCGTGTTTTGGTGTTTCTTATTTTCCTGGCTCAGTGATTCGATTTCGATGCGGTGCCGACCTTCCAGGTCATCCATCGCAATATCTTGATCTCGGCGCGCATCGTTCAAGGCCTTCTCCGCAAGCACTAGCTGGTTCTTTAGTGATTCCATCTCAACCCGCAAATTAACGTTAACATCTGTCAGTCCATCGCGAGAACGTTCAAGTTCGCCAACTAGATTAGATGGTCAGAAATATGGCTCGTCAAGCTCAGTCAAATCACTCACTTCGCGACTTGTAAATTTCAACGGTATCTTTTAGACCAGAAGCTTCATGGCCCTGTTGATTGAGACGCAACATGACCTGCGCCATCATATCGTCCATCTTCTTCTCGCGGGAATCCTGGTCCCAATCTGTATCTGGAAGATGGTCAAAACTTGTTACAAAAGAGTTTTTACTGAGAAACAAAGGTGGTCGTGGCTTTTTCGGTGATCTCCCAGGGCTAAATGGCGATGTTTCGCAGGGCTTGGACGGAGTAAGAACGGGAACCCTGGAGGGTCGAGCCTGTTCTGCCGAGCTGGTTGCAGGGCAACTCCTTGAATATATGCCTCGTACAGCGGTGATAATTGAACGAGAAACGGGTTGCTCCAGCGGGGCCCCGAAAATGGGTGTAAAATCAGGTGCCTGAATATGTTGGGGCACACCATAGTATGAAGGAGTTCCATCAAGCTCGCCGGGAGATCCATGGGGGCCAGAAGGAGAACGCGAAGGGGAAGAAGAAAAAACAGGTGGCATACCCTTTCGTTTTCCAAGAACACTTCCGGCACTATCATCGACGTGGCTATCAAGGGAGGTCGCCGGGCGCTGAATAGAGTTGTTGAGCCTTCGGCCGCCGAAGGAGGTCGCAGGGCGAGGCATGGCAGATGCGCCGCGCGCGCCATAGCCAACTGTGGCCGAAAAGTTGGGGGTCGTTCCGCGAGTGGCTGTGGAGCCCGATCGAGATATGGTGGACGATGCGAACGAGTTTCCCCGCGCATGCGCCTTGGACGTGGTAGAAGGTGGGCGGACACTTGAAGGCTGTTTCCTGGGTTCTGGGGAGGGAGACGTGATGGCCCTAGATCGAGTGGCTATGATAAGCCTGTCAGTATATCTGACCGTTTATCTGTTCGTAGTCCTGCATACGTGAAAGGGCCTTATTAACGAGTGTTCCAGGTGGCATGATTCCCGAACGAGAGTTGGCTGTGGCAGGATTCATCTCACGCAAACCACCGACTTGCGGAATGCGCGACCGAGTCGATGCTCGCGGTTGAGTCTGCCGGATTTCAAGTCAGTGTTTGCGCAATCGCGACGGAATGCAGGTGTTCTGTTTACAATGTTCTCTCCATCCATGGTGGGATTGGTAGTGCGCCAGGTCACCGGGGAGTAGATAATCCGCGCAAGTAAAAGAAACTCTCGTCCAGCCACCGTCTCAATGGCCGAATGGGCGACTATGGAAAGATGTAAAGAGGGGGCGATGCGATGCGATTCGGAGTGTATGGAAGCTTGTTTGGTTTCTGGAGGGACAGAGCGGGTAAACAACAGATGACTCAGCAAAGCCATCATCTCCCAGATTGGGATTAGTCGTATTAATTGAGATCACGTTTATCGTCACACGCGTATAAACTCCCACAGTGTGATCGTTTACGTATTACCACATCTTTAGAACTACAATACGGCACGTGAGCTTGGTGGGATGAACACAATCGATGAAGATTAGGAGTATGCCGGGGGTAATTAGTTCAATTTGGAAGCTGATATATTGAGCAGTCTCCTTTTCTATCATATGCACTATCCACTCGGAAATTGCAGTTCAATTGCGTGTATCATCTATTGAAGCCGTTGACAATCCAAAAAAAGCCGGCGCGGACTCCACCCGGCCCGCTGAAACACCCCAAAAGGCCCCAGTTGCCGCATTCCCTGGATGCTCGAGGGCAGCTGCTGGGTTCTTCTCCTTCAATCTTCTCCTGCAAGCTTGTACTTTACTCTTTCCCCTTCAATTTCTTCACGGCTCGGTACCGACCATGTCCGGGCGGTTTGTGCGTTCATCCAAGTATCGTAAGTCTTTGTGATCGCCTCTGATAAGATGCCGCTGACCGTTGGGAAGGCCACGTCTTCGGGCGTTCGACACGAAAGGTAAAGGATGCCTGTACCTCCGAGCTGGTTGACCCCAAGTACATTCTGACGTCAGTTACAGGAACAATGCTACGATAATCTTCGAATCTCACGAAATGCCTGGGATACCAATCTGGTCAAGGTACGAATCGTCCTTTGCGCCACCGCCCCTGACCTTCGCCGAATCTCCCCCGTCTAACGCGACAAATAGGTCAACCCTAAGCACCTGGCAGTCAATTGGGAAGCTGGTGGTGGTGGAGCTTTCGCTGTCATTCCCCTTGAGGAACGAGGCAAGCTACCGGAGCGCATTCCTCTATTCCGGGGGCACACCGCTGTTGTTCTCGACACCGACTGGTAAGCGTGAATCGACCGAGCTACCAGTCGCATTTGATAGTTGACATGCTGTAGGAATCCCTTCAACGATGATCTGATTTCTTCGGGTTCCGACGACGGAAAGGTAAATGATCTAGCCAAGGAAGGCTCTATCGTACTTGGCTAAATGCGCTTCAGGTCTTCCTCTGGCGGGTTCCAGACAACTTCACCGTTCGCCCCGACCTCGACGCCGATGATATTCAGGATATTGCGCCTGTTGGAAAGCTAAGCGGTCACTCCAAGTACAACACACCCAATGTCAATTAGGCTAGGGCGGAATACTAATGCCCTTGCAGGAAGGTCGGCCACGTGCTCTTCAACCCCGCGGCGGAAAACGTGCTGGCAACGGCCTCGGGCGATTATACTGTGAAAATTTGGGATATTGAGGCGGGTGCACCGAAACTGACCCTGAATGTTGGCGACATTGTGCAGTCGCAGTCGTGGAGCGCCAACGGTTCCTTGCTGGTTACCACCTCGCGCGACAAGAAGCTCCGTATTTGGGATGTTCGTCAGGAGCGCCCAGCACATGAAACTGCCGGGCACTCTGGAGCCAAGAACAGCCGTGCTGTCTGGCTCGGTGAGCGCGACCGGATCGCGACCACTGGTTTCTCTAAGATGAGTGATCGTCAGCTGGCTCTGTGGGATATCCGTGCGGTCCGGGAGCCCATCAACGGCTTCAAGACCCTGGACTCCATCTCCGGTGTCTGCATGCCATTCTGGGATGATAGCAACAGCATGCTGTACCTGGCTGGACGCGGGTAAGTCACGTTTTTCATACCTCCATATATCTTTCTGTCTAACGTCTCTGCAGTGACGGAAACATCCGCTACTTCGAAATCGAAAACGATAAGTTCGAGTTCCTCTCGGAGTACAAGTCCGCCGATCCTCAGCGTGGTGTCGCATTCATGCCCAAGCGTGGTATTAACATGCACGATAACGAAATCGCTCGCGCCTTCAAGACTGTCAACGATGGCTACATTGAGCCCGTCTCCTTCATCGTCCCCCGCCGGTCCGAGACCTTCCAAGAAGATATCTACCCACCCACAGTTGGCTTGACCCCTGCAATGGGACCTTCTGAATGGTTCGGTGGAAAGGAGGCGATCCCTCCTAAGATCTCTATGGAAAGCCTGTTTGACGGAAACGGTCTCGAGGAAGTTGAGGGTGTGCAAGAGAAGCCTACTGGAACTATCGATGCCCCGGCTCCCAAGCCCGCCGAGCCAGAGGTCAAGAAGCCTGAACCTGTTGCCCCGAAAGCCGCCCCTGCTCCTGAGCCTACCCCAGAACCCACACGTGTGTCCCGCCCCGCCCCATCCATGAAGGAGCAGGGTGGAGCCATGTCGGCAATGGTGAACAAGTTTGCCGATGACGAGGAGGCTACTCCTGCCGATGATGAAGACTCCAGCTTTGACGAGGTTCCCAAGCCTGTTGAACGTGCCACACGCTCTCCCGTCACTGTCGAGCCGTCGTCCCCAAGGGTTAGCAGCCCCTTGCGTCCCAAGGAGGTGGAGACCAAGCCGCAGCCTGCTGCTGCCCCCGCTCCCGTATGTTGATCCCGTCAAATTGCAAGCTTCTGATGCTAATTTTTGTAGATCCAGACCCCGGTTCCCACATCTCCTGCTAGCGAGACAAGTGTGCCCACCGCTACTGTCTCCAAGGAAATCGAGGAGATTAAGAACCTGATTGCCGAGCAGACCAAGATCATTGCCACACAAGCTGAGCAGATGCAAACTTTGACTGCTGAGATTGAGGCGCTCAAGACCAAGCTGAACTAAGTTATTAATTTTCATTGTTCTGGACGTGTTGCAGCTGCTACTGTAGCGAGTATTCTGGAGAGCGCCCTTGCTCGACCTATAACTTGGGAACGATGTTCGGTGTATCGACGTACATTAAGATGCACCGTTGAATGTGGATATGTGGTCTTATCTTTTGTTTTCTTACTAGCGGATTTGTCAATACATTGGCCTTTCAGAGCTGTGTAGAGGCTGTGTAGATGGTTGTTAATCTAAGGGTGTAAAGAATATGTGCAAATAGTTTCGGCCCTGATGTGGTTATATACACGTACGTCCTCCAGGGCTCCTCATTTGGATTGATAAATGATGAGTGTAGGATGCTCGCTGAGCTGATAATCATGTTGCCCATGCTGCTTGTTGCGCCCACAATCGTGCTGATGGTGGCATAGCTCTTATTCGCGGAGGAGTCGAAGGAAAGTTGCACTTGAACTGTGAGTTCATTCATCTTGCATACAGGCCGGCAAGTTCTCTCAGGGCTCACAACTATGGGAGGGGAGGGAAAGTTGGACGACAGTATGTTTCAATGATGTAGCTATACCGGGGCTAAACATTGGTACAACGATGAATGATACTGACCAAACTGGCTTTGTGACTAACAAATGATGGTCCCCGGGGGCATCTGACGTATTGTGATTGAATGTAAGAGCCATGGATTACATTAGAATGACAAATATAAAAAGATCAAGACAATTGCCCATACTCAAGTTCTGGCTCCACAGGAAGTATAGGAGATCAATGCCAATAATTATTGACAACACCCTTCGTCACAGCCCATGCTGACTCGAGAGCCTCGACGATATCCTGAGGAAGGGGGTCCTTTTCTAGAAGAGTAAGATTCTGCTCCAGTTGCTGTAAGCTACTTGCCCCAATAATGACTGAGTCTCCTCGCTCGGGATCTAATTGAGAATGATGCATAAGCCATCTGAATGCACATTCCATCTCAGTCAACTGGTGCTTCTCCGTCGCTTCTCGAATGATGTCAAGGGCATCAAAGATTTTCTCATTCCAGAAGCGGCGCCTGTATTTCCGTCCCTGGAAAGTATTTGGATCAAACCTAGACATTGAATCAATATTTGCATCCTGCGTATCGCGTTTGTAACGACCAGTAAGCTGGCTGCCGGCGAGGGGACTGAATGCGTAGAATGTGATGCCGTAGTGCCGAAGACAAGGGAACAATTCCATTTCAACGGTTCGGTGGATGGCGTTGTACACCCCTTGGTATACTGTTGGACGGATCCACCCATTGTGCATACACATGTCGCTAATGTAAGCCACCTCCCAAGCCATGTAGTTGCTCAGGCCGAGGCGGCTGAACTTTCCTTCCTTGTGGAGTTCGTTGCAAGCTCTAAATGTCTCTTCGTAGGGGGTTTTCCGATTTGGTCCATGAAGGTACCAGAGGTCAATTTTGTCTGTCTTTAAGGCTTTGAGAGACTCTTCGAGATAAGTGCGAAGGTCGCTGGTGCAGTGAGTCATCTTGCCAGTTCCGTCGACAATGTTGGGGTAAAGCTTTGTGTCGACGACAAGGCCTCGGGCTTGCCAATCTAGCTCTCACAGATATTCCTCTGAGGATCCTTCGGCGTACACACGGGCTGTGTCGACCACTTTGCCACCATGGCGTTGGAATGTGTCCAGCATAGCACTAGCATCATTGAGGTCATGAATACGCGCTTGTTCAACGCCTGGTGGTGTGTTAGCGGAGTCCTGAACTTTAAGCTTGAGACCAGCAACAAACCTTCTCTTCCAAAGGTCATCGCACCGAAAATGATCGGGATCCTGGTTTTCCGTTCAGCAGCCATTTTGAATAGTTAACGATGCTTTGGAGTAATTCAATTGCCAGTATTTATTGTGGTTCTAGGGGCGAGAATCAATAAATGGTGAGGGATCTGGAGAAAGAAAAATCCTTAGGAAAGGCGCGGGGTGTATAAGCATAAACGTCGGGACGAACGCCGCCCTGGCCTAGGCCTCATTTACAAGCCCTTACTTATCTCTCCAATCCATTTCGCCGGCAGCAGCAGATAGCTCAAATCCTCTTTGATTCCGATTGAATTAGTCTTACAGTGAATTCAAGAGGTATTTCACATATATCTCAGAACTTCCATCCGCATGATTAAACAAAGTTAAATCGCGCATATTCTGGATATTCAACAAGAGTTCACGTAAACAATAGATAAATTTCTGATGGCCAACCGTGTGCGTTCAGAAAGGGACTGCATAAAATTCCATTGACTTCCATATACTCTAGCCATCTGAGAGTTATTTCAAACAAAGCTAGAGATAAACGAGTCTCTCAAATCATGGCAATGCTCCGAACGACGAGGCAACTCCTTCCTAACCGACTGGTTGACGACGACAACGACAAGCGTGCTCTCCTTAGCCCACTCAAATGCTTGAATCAAACCCTCCGCACTATCCACGAAGAATCTTTGCTTATAAGGCAAGCTCCCGGCCAATGACAGAAAATTCTCAGTGTTGATGGGAATAGGCTGGTATCCAGTGGAGCAATGTATACGATTGTGAATCACAACATGGACTAGGTTCGAGGGAGTATGGCCAGCAAGAACAGCAACATTGCCAATGTGCATCAAGAACGAACCGTCACCTTCGATGCAAATCACCCTTCCCGAGGAATGACCAATCTGGACCCCATACGCAAGTGGGTATGTATGGCCCATGGCGCCGATAGACAAGAAGTTACGGGATAGATCCTCGCCAGTCTCCTTTTGGATCATGTATATCTCACGACTGTTACCACCAACAGATGACACGGTGACATCAGTTGGGTAGAACTGTTTGAGCACATAACGAATGGTATTTTCGCGGGACAAGGGAAGTTCCCCTTCAGCAGATCGCCAGTCTTCCATCCGGGAAAGGCGCTTATAAATCTTCGTGCTGGCTCCGTTCATAATCTCGCTAGTTTTCCCATTTTGGGCCGTCTCGTCCTGTCGGAATGGGGCAAACCTGTGGTTCGGCACCAAAAGGGCAACAGGGGTACAGCCTTCTTTGGCGATTTTGACGAGACGTCCGATCATTGAAATGACTTCTGGAAGTGAATCAGGCATCACTTCGTAAGGGAAGCCATTGGACGTCAGAATGTCCGGCGTACATGGCCCAGCCAAGGCATGTTCTGGCTCGTCGTGCTCGCCAGGTCTGCCTCGCCAACCTATCACCAGCAACATTGGGATACCAAATACTTCTTTAGCGGCCATTGATTGCAAGGGATTAAGGGAGTTGGCGAGGCCTGAATTCTGCATATATGCGACCGCAAGCTTTTGGGTTGACAGGTAGTAACCCATAGCGAGACTGACAGCAGCACCTTCACTTGCCGTGACGATATGTTCCGGTACATCTTTCGTTGCGTATAAAAAGCTCAGGAGACCTTTGAGACAAGAATCTGGGACTCCAAACGCATGGGTGATACCATTGTCAACAAGAGCCTTTTCATAGAACAAGCGTGGATCAATGTTGGCCATTGGGGTATGATAACGTTGAAAGGATTTGGATATTAAGGCGTATACCTAGCAATATAACTAACGCGGAAACATCAAAATTTTAATGAATGCAAGTAAGACAGCTGGCAATCTATATGAGGATTGCGAAAATCAAACTTTCATTTGTAATGGAAGGTCTTTATCTCCCTGGCGTCGGGAATACGCAATATACTAACTGTCTTGAGCATATCGTACAACGGTCACAAGGAGTATGTAATACCTTTCTGAAGGGAGCGCGATAATTGAACACCACTTCTATTCCTACATTCGGTATGGTACAGTAATCGTAATTCGGAAAAACCGCTATCTCAAGTATTCAAGTACATTGCATCACCTCGCTTAATTTACGTCAATATACGAGATAACGCTTTATAAGAGTCATAATATAAATAATAAAAGGTAGCTTAACGAGTATCACTCTTTAATCACCTTCACAGTCCAGCGTAGTCTACAGAGTAACGTGAGCAGATATGTACTTAGGTATGTACTCAATAATGTTACTCTCTGGATCTTAATACTGCGCTACTTTGAGTGCGGTTAGTGAGGGCGTTCAACTAATTTTGTGGTGTTCAATTTAAAAACCTCCTTCTGAAGCCAAGGTTTTCGTTGATTTAGTATAGTAACTGTGGCCCCGCAAGTGGGTCTCAGACCCGCAGAAGAAAGACCACCGGCACGAAGGCCGTACGGCGCCACGGCCGAGTCCGACAGCGATGACGCTCTTGGATCACAATCTCCCTTATCTCATTTCACATTTCCCGGCTCTGCTTCTTCTGGTATCAATCCAGCCAAAATGACAGAACCCGAACAGCTTTCCCTCGAGGAGTTGCCAGCACCGGCTAGTCATGCACAAGATAGTTCTGACATCGAGCGAAGGGTTATAGATACAGAGCCGACTGATTCAAGCCAGGTTGAATCGAACAAAACCAAGATCACTGTACTTATTGGCTCTGGAATTCTCCAGCTACCGATCTGGGGTATGTTGCTCAAATTTTGGATTAACCACCCATACTTACTCGTGCAGGCTTTGCTATGAGCTATGGTGTTATTCAAGAATACTACTTCGACAACTGGACGTTTGAGGGGGATCGCAGCATTACCGGCGTAATAGGCACGACCGCAAATGGTGTCATGTATCTATCCATGCCCTTCCTCTTCGCTCTTTTCACTCGACGATGGGCCCATCGACGACAGCTTGCCGCTCTTTGTGGTATCGTGATTGCATGTGCAAGTTTCTTCGCGTCTGCTTACTGCACCACGGTTTGGCAGCTGCTTGCGACTCAGGGAGTGACCTCTGCACTGGGTTGCGCCCTCATTTACAGTCCAACCACGCTCTCTCTCGGCGAGTGGTACACTTCCAGCAACCGTGCTGTAGCATACGGGATTGTTCTGTCTTGCAAAAACATTGTTGGCACTAGCTGTCCATTCATGCTTCGAGCGATGATCGATACCTATGGCTTTCGGACAACTCTGAAAGCATGGACTGCGATAGTGGGTGGATTGAGTATTATTGGCATCTTCATGATCCCAACACACCCATCGAAAGTCGAGGTCCACAAAACTCGCGCTCGCAGAATTCCCTGGCATTTTCTCCGACACCGTTCAATTTACTTCTACAGTATCGCCATCATTTTCCAGAGCTCTGGATACGGTATCCCACAGACGTATCTAAGCACCTACGCTCGAGATGTTGCTATGTTGTCTCAGACCTCGGGAACCCTGATGCTGGCCGTTTTCAACGCGCCTGGTATCATTGCGTCCTCCTTCTTTGGGTGGCTGAGCGATAACAAGCGTATCTCTTTTTCTGTCCAGGTCGTTTGCGCCATACCACCACTTTTCTCGGCTCTCGCTGCATTTCTCTTATGGGGCTTGACGACACAGGGTGCTATAGGTCTCCTTATAGTGTTCTCGATGACGTTTGGATTCTTTTCCAGTGGTTACAGCGCTACTTGGGGCGGGATCCTCAAGCAGATGGAACGCGAGGCTGCCGAGATGAACGAGGCGGTCGATCCTGGAATGCTCTATGGTCTACTAAACGGCGTCAGAGGAATCGGCTATGTGAGTGGCGGAATTGCAGGTGTTGGATTACTTGATGCCGGAACTATAGCGGCGAGTCAGCGCTTCGCCTATGGAAGTTCCTATGGACCACTGATCATCTTTACGGGACTTTCGTCACTTCTTGGGGGCTGGGTTGTTCTCTGGAGGTGGAGTCCGAAGAGATTATTGCCATTATTGAAGAGGGCACAGGGTGTACGAATGCCTCAACGAGTCTAGTTTGGACTGTTATGTATTACTACGAATACGACATATATCATTATGTACTATATCATTCAATACCAAGATAGATAGACTTCTCAAGTTTTAATTATTCCGTTCAGTTGATTGCAAATAGGTTCTTATGAAATTTTCACTGAGAAAACGGAAGGCTATATATTGGGGCAACATCCTCTATCGGGCACACTGCAAGTTCCGACATTATCTTCGGATATAGTAAATGCTCTGTTTCCTGGAAAGATCATATGGACTCTGCGTTGTAAACAGATTTTCATTTTTCTTTATTATTCATCCGCCTGACCATGCAATGCAAACGCCCACACTCTGGGGTAAGGATCTTCGCTGATTGAGTCACATCCCAGCCCCCAATCCCACATCCCTGTTCATCCCTAAAGCCACTTTCTTTGAAAACGTCAACCCCTCTTTTCGCCATTCTAAAACGGTCTCCATTGGCTAGGATAAGCCGACGTTCTGGTGCCTTGAGTATAAAATGCACCAATCGCATGACAGGGCCAATTCAAGCTTGGATTTCCGGTCTTCGCACCGACGCCACCAAATCCTGCCCCGTCGTGTCGTGTGAGCTGACTGAAGACTCAACGGGTAGCCTAGCTCGGTCTTTTGGGAGGCTGAATATTGAGTAAGATTCAGGGATTCTCGTCAAAGATAGTCTCTTGACTTTGTCCTGAACTTCGAGATAAAGAATGACAGAAGAGGTGGACCCCGTTCACTTCTTCGACCTCTTCTCCGATCAAAAAGGTCAGCAAGTAGCCCCGCATTGAAGCTTCTCCCCAGCAGAAACACACTCATTAACACAATAAGCACCAGGTGCCTCAAAATCATGGTCTCATAACACTTTAAAGACCCGAGCAGTGCTCAACTTCAAAAAGGTCCCCTACACGCAAAGCTGGCACTCCTACCCAGACATCGCAGCCCTCATGACCAGTCTAGATGTGCCACCCCATAAGGAAGGCAGATCATACACATTACCAGCAATAACGCACAGGTCATTAATAGCCACAAGCCCCAGTGGAGCAATGATGGACTCACTCCCGATCGCCCTGCACCTCGACAAACTATATCCGTCTCCACCACTTTTCCCATCCGGCGACACGAGCTACGCATTATTCCTCGCTGTATTGAATATCATGGCACTCCTGGAGCCTGGATTCAGACCCTTCATTATCCCGCGTGTGCCAAATCATCTGGATCCACGAGGGCAGAAGTATTTCCATGAGACAAGGTCCAAGGCTCTGGGGAAGCCGTTGCCAGAGGTGAGGCCTACAGATGAGGAAACCATTCATAAACTGTGGAAGTTGGTTGAGACTGAGTCTGCGGTTATTGTGAAGATGTTGAAGGGGAGAGAAGGGAAGAAGGGTCCTTTTTTTGAGGGTGAGAATGCTGGGTATGCGGATTTGGTGTATGCTTGTCAACTTGCGTTTATACAGCGGTTTGATAAGGATCTTTTTGAGAGATTTATGGGGTTAGGGGATGGTGTAATGAAGGCATTATATGAGGCTTGTTTACCCTGGTTGGAAGGTCAGGGTAAGGATAAGGAGTGGCCTGTTTCATCGACTGCCGAGTCTCAAGTATAATTTGGACGGAGTCATAGTATATCCTTATGATTGAATGATTGGCATGAAAATAAAATGGGTAGATTATAGATTATTCTATGTGGCATAAGACCAGATCTCAATTAAGTATATAGGATCCAATCATGATGACTGTTTGTGCAGGTTCCGTAAAGTGCAGGCAAGAATCAATCCGAGGGCTGAGATACAAAGATAGAACAGCCAGACATACGAGAGGCCCTTGTTGATAACGTCAAAAATGACTTGGCGCTCATCGACAGGTACTTCCTTCGTGATGCTAGATGTGGCAGTAGATGCAGCAACGATTTCAGTCCCAATGTTGTATCCCAAGGCCGCCACCAGCTTGGCCTTCCGCACAGCGACTTCATGGTTATAGATCACCGTGCCAACAACCACAGATACGGAGGCTGCCAGTTGTCGGACAAGAGAGAAGGCAGCGGTTGCCTGGCTCATCTCCGACGTCTTCACATTAGCCTGTAGAGCGATCAGGGTTGCTTGGAAGTTCGGGCCCAATCCAACACCAATTATCATCTGGTATAGCACAATACGCGCCCAGGATGCATAGGGTTTCAGATCCATGTATAGACCGTATCCAAGTGTTGTGAAGAACATGCCAAAGATGATAACCTCCCTGAAACGTCCAGTCGCGCGCAGATACCAACCTCCTAGGCCAGATGAGATAGCCAGGGCGCCGACCAAAGGCAGGAGAAGAACACCACTCATGATGGAGCTTTCCATCAGGACGTTCTGGAAGTATACGGGGAGGTAGAAACATCCTCCAATGAAGACCGCCCCGTGACAGAAATTCACCAGAAGAAGAGCGATATTTTGCCAGCTGTTAAAGACGGCCAAGGGAATGATGGGTGCAGAGGGGAATTGCTCATAGATGCCGAAGAGGATCAAGGCGACCACTCCAAAGATAATGAGACAAATCACTGTGGCTGATGACCAGGCGAATTGGTCCCCTCCGAATTCCAATCCGAGGAGAAGCATGATCGTTCCGGCGATGACGAGGCCTACACCGATCCAATCAATCGAGGCGAGGCCGTCCACGAGCGTCTTCTTTGTAGTATCGATCTTCAGGAAGAACAAAAGAAAGAAGAAAGCGACACCACCAACGGGCACTTACTGACTGTTAGCGACGGATCATGATCGCAGTAGTTGAGGCACTCACAATTGATGTAGAAGCACCATCTCCAGGTGACATACGACGTAAAGGCACCACCGATGATAGGTCCAACGGCGCCAGCAATAGCCCACGTCGCACCGAAAATCCCAAGGTACGCAGAGCGCCTTTGGACGTCAAACAAGTCGGAGACACAAATATTGGCCATCACGGTGATACCACCACTGCCAACGCCTTGCAGGGCACGGCCGGCGATCAGCATATTGACATTGATCGCCAGTGCACAGATTAAACTTCCGCCTAGGAAGAGAATGATAGAAATGCTAAGAATAGACTTTCGGCCCCAGATATCGCTCAGCCTTCCCCATAGACCCACGGATGAGGCATTTGCCAACAAATAGGACGATGCGATCCATGAGTAGGCAGAGTCGGAGGCCTTGAAGTGAGCGACAATTTTCGGTAAAGCAGTGGAGACGATGGTCTTTGTATTGTTAGCCTGTTACTCTGAAGAGGGGTTCGACTGATATGTACTTACGATATCAAGCGCAGCAAGGAAGACCGATAACTTTATATCAAATGATCAGCGGTAGACGTTTAAATGTCGATCTCCAACTTACCCCTAATCCAAGTAGGATAATCACAACCCGCTGCTTGCTAGGGCTATCTTGGTAGGTCACGTTTTCCTCAGGAACATCATCCTCGGACACTTTTTCCTTGGTGCCGTATTCCTCGTCTGCCACTTGGGCCGCAGCGATCTCGTGTTCTTCGCCAGACATTATAGAGAGAGAGCGATCGGCAAAAGGTCGGATAATAATTAGTAACTCAAGAAAACATGATAAAAGAATGTGAATGAAAGGCAAGTTAGCCAGAAAAAGGAAAGATGAACATTTAATCAGACAGCTGAAGCCAAGAAAACTTCTTCAAAACGTCGCATTTTAGTGGGGAGATAGCTTATCCCTAAGCTCGAATCGAGCTTGCGGATCTAGGTACAAATCGATGTGATGTCATTCCGCTATTATTTACTCCACATACACCAATCAGAGAGACTCGGTTCGCTTCTTTGGGTCTAGCGAGACTGTCATTCACCACTCAGATCGAGAGCTTACGCATTTTAACCCCTTTCATTCGGCACTTCGTTGCAGGCTTTAACACGTGGGGATCGAAGAAACTTTCGCTATGAAGTATAAGAAGGTTTGTTTGATAATTTCATTGATTTACAAGAACAAGCATACATGGTTCATGTCTTCTTTCTTCTTAGCCATTCATATATCTGAAAGTCCACGGTAGAACGACTATCCGCCCATCGAAACTAGTGGTAGGCATCAATATTCTAAAATCGGAAGGCTCCGTGTTCTACTGGTATCTAGAACACTTTATTTCCGCTTCTCAGTTAATCTTTGTTTGACCTCGGCATAGCCACATCTCTAACAGAGTCATGAGCGTATAAGTGGAATATCATTCAAAAGAAGTCGCTACTCTAAACAATCACAATATCAAAATCCAAACATTGTCAATATTTCCTCCCATTGAACAGAAGTCTCATCAATGTTGGAACCGTACTCATTTCTCGCTTTGCCCAGACACAAGCCCCTTCATGCTCGCCAATCCCCCCGAAGTAAGGTCCTTGGCTGACTGTGCGCCATATGATACTCCAGATCCAATACCCTTCATACCCTTTGCTCCGGCATCCGTGAACGTAGTCGTAGCTGAGTTAGAAGCATACGACCCATCTTCCTCCTTGCCATTCCTTTCAGCACGATTTATTCCCTCTTTTGATGCAAATTGCCCCACAGGCTTGAATAATCCCTTGTCGCCAACTTGGTTCCCAACAAGGTTATTCACATCGTCTTGGAGTTGATCTACTTGATCGACACCGGTGATCTTCGTTTTGGAGAGCGAGTCTATCAGAATATATACTTCATTAGTCTCATTTCATCTTAGGGCCCGCCCTTCTTCGAGAACACAACATACCCTTAGTGGCATAAGACGCTTTATTGTCGCCCTTTCCGAACCATTTCAGATACTGGTCCTCGATCCAGGGCATCCATCTCTCATATCCGTTATTGTATGCCTCCTTGAGCCATTCACCATAGCTCTGTTTTTCTTGGGGTGTCATGTCGTCTTCGGAAGGCGGTTGCTTCGTGATGTTTGGAATACTCATGATGTCTGATTTATAGAACTTGGAATCCGTATAGATGGGTGCTTGAGAGGATGAAATGCGATACTTGCGTAGTATTTATATCTCGAAACCGGAAATCGTGCTGTTGTCACATTTAACTTTATATAGATTAACTCGACATCGGATGACGTCAATGGCCACCAGATCTCAAGTACATATCGGGTTTTTATGGAGTCTGACTCGTCACATCTGCTGAGTTTGGTACGTGTATGGATAACCTATCATCTCACTCGATTGCTTTGAAGTACGTCCATCCGTACGTAGGTGGGAATGTCTTGTCAGTTGACTTTAGATGATTGGTTACATGGGTTCCAGTTAACATCGGAAAATATATTCTCTATGGTTGTCTCCCGAAACCCTAAAAGCCTGGGCCAACCTAACCTGCCCAGGTGGAACTGAAAATACTGTACAACTGATCGTAGGCCTGAGGACTTCAAATACGTAGACTTCAAGCAAGGTACATGGTCATGAGGTTTTGACCCACATTTGAGGACAGAGGTCTATATTTTAATAAATGATGCCCGCACTGGACGCAGTGCTGACCTGAAACTATGGGATTTTGTCATGCGGTGCGGCTAATCATTGGAATCCCCGTTCATCTACATGACGACTTGGGTCAATGTCCACAGTGTAGGCTAGCGTAAAAGTGTTGGCTACCCAGATGTAGATCTCCGACCCTGAAGCTACATAGACAGTATGGGCTGCGTACAAAGGAACCCCGGGGCCCAGGCATTTCTATTGAATCTACATTACTATCTGGTGAGGCTCAAAGACCGACAAACTTCCTTGTAAGGTTGGAAAATTGAAGTATTTGAAATTCTTGAATAAACCATGATTTTTTTTATTTGAATATGGCTTAAGTGTATTTACCTGAGGCAACGCGCCTCAGCCAGTTCTTGTCGACCGACCTGAAACCTTGGAAGAAACCGAACCCCACAACCAGGGGGTTAAATGCGATGCAATATGGGAAAAAGAAAAGCAGCAAAGCAATGCCGGATGCCATTCCCAAGCCATGTAAATTTTGACGTGCAATAGATGTGTACTGTTATTCCTCACCCTCTAAAGCTCATCTTCATATTTGTAATTGATGCGGCGGCCGGCCCCCGCACGTTCTTGCCGACTGTCGCGGCGGTTGCCAGATTTGGCTTGTTCGCGACGTTGTTGCTCGCGTTGGAGGCGTTCACGGTTTCGCGCTTCGCGCTCCAGGGTATGAGGATCTTTCTCCTTCTCTGGCTCCGGTGCAGTGGACGGAGCATCGCGATCGTTGCGATCGTCCGTTTCGCGTCTCACACGCCGGGCTCGGGGGTGGGAAGAGTGATCGCTGGCGTTTGCGGACTCTGATCGATCACGACGGGAACGCTTACGGTCCCTTTCGCGGTCTCTGCCACCGCGTTCTCGGTCACGTTCTCTATCGCGGTCGCGGTCTCGACGACGATCACGGTCACGGTCACGGTCTCGTTCTGAGTCCCGGTCTGTGCGCTCTGCTCGGTCTCCTCGGTCTCGATCACGACGGTCGCGTGCCCTATCTTTATCATGGTCGCCACGGCGGCTGTCTCGAGGGCGATCTCGCTCTCGATCCTGTTCACGACGGCTGGGCCGATCCCTGCTGGTTCGATGGGAGTTCCCGATTCGGCTTGCGAGGTCACGGGGATTGATTTTTCCAGAGGATGATCTGGAGTGGCCGTTTGGCTCATCCTGGGAAATCGCTGTAAGACGGTCAGGCTGACGGCTATCGCTGCGTCGGTTGGCACTGCGACTGCGACTACGACTGTGATGGCGACGTGATCGATGCGATCGATGGCCACTGCGTCGTTCTCGGTCACTGTCGTTGTGACGAGGGCGTGAAGAGCGTCTTGATGACGCCGCAGATGGTGAGTGAGTCCGCCGCTCTGCAAGGCGCTTCACATCGCGATCGCGACGGCTCTCTCGGTCATCTTCAGCTGCAGGAGCTGAAGGCGACTGAGCTCGAGAAGCTTGGTGTTGAGAAGGAGAACGAGAGCGAGATCCAGCACGCGGGGGTTGAGAGGGGGCGCCAGACGACGCGCGGGTCAGAGTAGGGGTGTCAGGATTGCTGTGGAAAACATCAGAACATGATCTCTACAAGTGTCTTGCAAAAGGCTTACCTTTTTGTTGGCCCTCCCATACTATTGCTTATCGAGGGCCGCCCTTGGTGGAAACCTCGCTGGCGCAGGACGCTAGTATTGGGCAGCCCCTGTCGCATTGCCCGCGGGGCTGCTGGAGCTCCCTCCACACCGGGATTTCTTGGTTCTATATGAGATTGAGACATATGTCCGCCCCAATAGCCTCCGCGGCCATTGGCCATGGAACCCCGCATGTGACTGTAGCCACCTCGTCCGTAGCCGGGGCCCATGGGACCCTGATAGCCACCTGGCCCATTTGAAAGGGCCTGGTCTAAACTATCAATGGTAGGAATGCCCTGTGGTTGTTGGTCATCGGCTGATGCTGGGTCTGCAGACACGGCATCATTGCCATCTGTTGCGATTGCGTCTGTAGCACCATTATTCTCACTGTTTTGAGGGGCCTCAGAATCCATAGCCACATTAGGGCCCACCGAAGCACTGGAGATTGGGCGATTAGGAAGTCCGTGGTTAGCATGACCGTAGTGCCCTTGACCATGGCCACCATATCCACCTCGACCGGGGCCGTAGAAATTGCCTCGACCCCGACCCCGGAACCCACCGCGGCCATATCCTGGCCCGTTGTAACCAGACTGAAAGTCGTTAGGGTAAGACATATTAGGTCCGCCAAATGCTCCTCCATACGGAGGGCCAGAGCCATTCGCGAAAGCATTTGGATTGAATTTATCTTGGCCGCCTTGCCACATGTTTTGCTGAGAGTCCCAACCTAAGGATCCATACATGCCCTGCCCTTCAAAATTCATTCCGTTGTTCATGCCCATGCCAGTCATGTTCATCCCGTAGTCTCCGAACATCCCCTGATTAGCCATCGGGTCCATTCCCATGGTCATACCTGGAGAAATTGGTCAGTAAAGAAGATCAAAAAATCTGCGGGTAAATAACATACTCATCTGATTCGGGAAGTTGAACATAGGATTGCCCATGAATGGGTTCATGCCGTTGAAATTGCCATTGCCGTTCCAGCCCATCCCGGAGAACCCACCGTTCATGTTCATCGCGGTAGGTTCGGCTTGAGGCATCTCCTGAGTCACTTCATCGGAGATGGGTATATCGCCATCGGTTGGCAGAGCGTCCGCATCCACAGGGTTTGACTGGTCTACGACCTGCTCACCAGTGGCCTCGTTAGGCTGCTTGAGGAATTAATTCACCGTGAACGAAATGATGGACGTTCAAACATACCTCATCTGTCGAATTTTGTGGGTCAAGAGTAGTGTCTTCCACTGCACTCTCCGTCGTCTCCGCAGCCTCGGCCCCCCGCATAGGTTCTTCAAACGCGGTTCCCTGCGCCGTGGTCACCTCAGGTGTCTCTGCTGGCGTTGGTTCGGTGGCGACCTGATCAACCGGGGCGTCTGTAGTAGGGGTTTCGCACTCCGCAGGGGTGGGAATTGTAGGGGTCGAAGCCGCTGCGGCCTGGCGGTCCTTTTCCCGTTTCTTCTCTTCGGTCCGCAGATAGGCCTTCAAAGTTGTGCGCAGAGCTTTATTTGGTTTGCAGAGATCCGGAGAAACAGGAGAATGTGCGCAGACCGGACAGGTATCGACGAGAGATGACTGGCCTGGTAGAAAGGTATTCGTTCAGTGATTGTCTAAATTTTATTTTCTTGCCGAGGGGGTGCTGGTGGAGTGAAACTCACAGGACTCGCAGATTGACTGGTCGCAACAAGGCAGGCGAAAGGCGTTTACCGCCAGCATGTTGCAAATCGCGCATCGAAGCTTCATGGGGATGTCATCTTGGGACAGCGTGCTGAATTCGGTAAGTCTCAAATTGGCCATTCGCGAATCGGTGGAAGCATACCTGGCGATGTCCATCAGACCAGCTGGCGGGTCCACCGCAGCCATGGCTGGAAGAGAAGAAGCGCACAATTAAAGACGTCGCGATAAGACCGTCTGGAATTGTGGCAGAGAGTAAGGTCAGCAGAAGGAAAGAAGTTGGTGTAGAAGCGCGCATATGGAATTTGGTCGGAGTCGGATAAATAGTCCGCCGATGTAGATTGCTTGCCATGGATTTACGCGGGATTAAGGGATATCAGCGATTCTACTAAGACCACATAATGCATAGCTAGCTAAACGATATGTCGATTTCTATCTATGATAATATGACATCAATCCTCATCATCAAGTCTCAGATTAGATCAAGTAATTTTAGGTCCATCATCAGTGCCTGCGATACAATATGGTTTCATCAGGGCCTCCCTCCGGACTCAAGTATCATCATAGACAAGAGAATGTGATAGTCTAGAAGGTGAAATGAAAAGAAATTGGAAGATGGATATAATAAAAGGTGTTATTCATTCATGAAAGAGAAGGGAATGAAAGAGGAAAAGAAGGAGAAGAAAAAAGGCTAATAAATCACATAGCTGTAAGATCCACTTGCGAATTTAAAAAGGGCGCGACCGCCCTCGAGTCCCGTTCCCGATTTTTTTTCTTTTTTACTTGACAGAGCTCAAGCTAGAAGGAATGACTTAATTACCTTTTTTCCAAGCTATATACAGCTACAGCATGACAGAGGACAACTATCGACCAAGATCTCCCGACTTTTCTTCTCCCCCCGAAAACCCCCCACCTCACGCGCCATTAAGCCCGCTAGCTCACCGCGCCTCCTACGACGCATCCCCGTTCTTCAACCCCAACCAGCGCCCCAGCTCGAGTCGCATCCCCCAGCAGTACGTTCCACCTGTCCAACCCGGTTTCAGCTTCGCAGACGAAATGGCCCGTCGCTCATCACGCCTACAGCCCGAGGACGCGCCCGTTCCCGAGCCCGCAATGACCGCAACAATGCCTGTCGCGCCGATGCTAGATGAGACCCCACAGACGCGCCCCGGTGCGGGCATTGAAGTCAAGACCAAGTTCCCTGTCGCGCGAATCAAGCGCATTATGCAGGCAGATGAAGATGTTGGCAAGGTTGCCCAGGTCACTCCGATCGCAGTGTGTAAGTTTTGCAGTTGTCTTCCCTTCAAGTATAGACCGGTGTTCGGATGGAAGCTAACTCTTTGTTATAGCCAAGGCATTGGAACTCTTCATGATCTCGCTGGTCACCAAGGCCGCCCAGGAAGCCAAGGACCGCAACTCGAAACGCGTCACCGCTAGCCACCTCAAGCACGCCGTCGCCAAGGATGAGGTGCTAGATTTCCTGGCTGATATCATTGCCAAAGTTCCCGACCAACCGGCCGGCCGGAAACACGACGATGACGGAAGTGATCAGAACGATGGCCGTCGGAAGCGCGGCGGTCGTAAACCGAAGGAGGAGAGCGACTGATGCACCGCTGCAGAAAAGAAAACGACTCATGATATCCTAGAATGGGATAGGGCAACTGGCGCATTTTAATGATCGGTTTGATTTTTGTCTTTATTTCTTTTGTATTGGTTTAACCACCGGGAACTGATTTCTGGGGGCGTTGGGTGGTTTAGGGTTGATTTAGTAGCGCATTTCCTGTGAATAGTTCAATTTCGTGCGGGCACAGTCCCGCGTGGTCAGCAGTCTTATCCTAGACTGATCTGACCTGCTTTAATCTACCTCCCGGCGGTACTAGTAGTCGTAGGTTGGTTTCGTTTGGATTGGTATACAGATGGCATGAGTGGCGCATTTGTCACCAGAGCGCGTAGCGGATGAGGACTTTAAGTAGAGTACTGACGAAGGTTTGGGCTTGCATATCACACTGCCTTTATGACTCAAATGCTTGCCTAATCTTGATAACCTTTGTATCATCCTTTGATGATGCCTGAACCCCCTCCTTGATTCCAGGGCTGAGCATCCTCTAGTTATGTTATCCGAGTATCCATACTCTAGGTAGCATCTCCGGGCTCTATGAAATGAACACTATTGCTATAACTACACAAGTATCGATACAGACGCATGGAGTTTCCTGGCCAACGTTTTCCTCTGGGCTCGGGACTACTAATATCATCCAGACATAGAATGTGGGGTTTGTATGCTAACTTTTTTTTAGTAACCTGCGGTAAGATATCGAGATCAAAACAAACCACTTAATTCTTCTGGCTATCATTTCTGCTTTGAAGTTGTATAGACACACTTGAACCCCGTAAAATAATGACCAGACAAAGCAAAAAGTACAAAATCAAGGCGAGTGCGAGTTGATGTAATTGGGAACTAGCAAAAGCACGGAGCTGATCGTCGTGATACACGACTTCCCGCGGCTCCACTTCGACCTTCGACCCCGTAAACTTCACTCTCCCCTCCACTACGTGGGATGATGCTGCTACAGAATGGACTTTGTAAGTGATTCGGTGTGTACTATCCATTATCCTTGTCGCTAATTCCTCATAGTGGTCTCGTCTTATCGGCGGTTCACGCGCGCTATCCAAGACCTCCCGGGCGACCTCCCCAACTGAACGCCTAACGGCATTCAAACGCGCTTGCAATGCTCTCCAGGTACATTTCATCCCCGCAATTCATCCTTCATGAAACTGACAATTGGTGCGCTAAGCAAATATGGCGCTCAAACAACACACCCTCCGGCGAACAACCAATCTCGCACGCGCGTGCCTACATCGAACGACTCAACTCGATCTTGAGCGATGAATCCCGAGGACCGGCTCCTCATCCTTGCGTGGCCTATGCCGCCTCTTCCCAGATATTCGTGACAGTCACAAAACTAGCCCTATCGTACTACGATGATCAACTGCTGCGCTCGGCGACCACATTCTTCAATACCCTTATCGATGCGGAGGTGGATGGCGTGGTGGACAATCGGCTCTTCGCTCGCGCAATGGTGGATTTGGTTCGGCGAGCAGATAAAGGCTCAGTCGAGACCGAAGGAAGACTGGTGGAATTGCTGTTTGGCATCTCCAACAACATTCGTTTGCAACCGGCTATTCTTCCCGCGTGGTTTGTCCCCCGAGCGACCCCCATCGGCCAGGATGGCGAGTCATCAGGCCCGAGTGGGACGGAGTTTGCGGGTACCATGCGCAAGGATGAATTCCCTTTGTTCTATCTACTTGTTGATTATGTCCACAATGAGGGGCGAGCGGGTGACTTCGCGCGTACTGGACTTCTGTACTTGATTGAGACCGCGTCGCGCTCGAAGAATCTGGAAAAGTGGTTGATTGAGAGTGACCTGGCAACGCTGATGGCAACTGGGTTAGGTGCATTGTACAGCCAATTGGGCAGGTGAGTATTGAAACGCCGTGTCATCCGAAAAAGAAACTGACGGAACACAGCTTATGCTTCCCATCGCCTGATGACGAGGCTCCCCGTATAATCGCGCTTTCAGACCATGCGAATGAAGTAACTGCTCTTCAGCCCGCTCTGGGTGAAGCTATGGACGCGTTCATGTCATACCTGCTCTTTTGGCAGGACACCATTGATCACTGCAAGTCCACAGAAGTCAATGACACCCTCCTGGATCATTTCCAGGTCCTTTTCCTTGAGCAACTCTTGTAAGAACGTCCAGCTCATTGGGCCTGTCTTGATGCTAACCTTCGAAGATATCCTTCTCTATTAGAATCATCCGACGTGGCTGGCGGTTCAACAGCAGCTGTGTTGACCTATATGTGTCGTATCCTGGACTCAATCGAACAAGGTGAATTGGTTCACCGTATCTTGCATTTCTTATTAGCCTCATCACCTCCACCTGAGGAGCAAATGGACATGTCGGCAAGCCGACGCAAATCGCTCAATGTGTTGGCTGCTTTGGCTTCAGAGGCAGCCCAGCCCTCGCCTTCTCTATTCAATCTGCGTGACCTCGCGCTCATGGGGCTTCAATCCACAAACCGACAAACGGTCCTGGCAACATTACGTCTATTGAACGTTGTCCTCCAGCGGCACCATCCGTTTGCCCGAGCCCTTATCCACACGATACCCAGTCAAACGTCCCAGCAGCGGTCTGTCGGTGCGTTCAATACAGAGCTTGAACAGCTCCTTGGTCTTGGGACATCTCTCATTGATGAACCGACCTTGAATGAATCCTACGACAACTACGTCTCGGATGCGACATGGGTACTCGAGTCACGCCTTTGCCTTCCTGTGTCAGTTGAGGGGGCCGAGAAAGATATTCCGTTGCCCCAACAGCTTCAACAGGATGACCCCATTGTACAGGGTCTGCTGAGTTGTGTTGATTCGTTTTTCACCAACAGTGTCATCGTCAACTTGGCGCTCACCGGTGTTCTTATGAGCCTCGCATCATCCCATCTGTTTTCACTAGATGGTTGGGTGTTAGTTGACCCAGCCCAATTTGACCCTCCGACTGAGGCTCCTTCAGATGCCCTTGACCACGTTCGCCAGGCTTACCGAGCACCGACATGGCCAGCAACTGCTGCCCCAACTCTGACTTCTGCGCTTCGACGGCTGGTAGACCAAGTCCGTCAATGGCAGCAAGATCTACCCGACTTTGATGTCTTGATCGCTGCTCGTCGTGAACTACTTCACAAAGAGCAGGATCCTCCGATGTCGGATTCCTTGGAGCCAGTCGAGACAGGCCCAACATCTACAGAGCGCTCGCGCCTCTCACACCCCGGATCGCCCGAACCCTCGCAGCATTCGCGGGGTCGATCACCGGGAATGTCTAGCGAAATGCGGGATGAGTCGTCCGTGCGCCCGATTGACTCTCGCGGGTCGGACTCCACGGCCGAGGCTTTGCGCCAGCGGTTAGCCATGCCATTTCCCCCGGTTCCCGTACAACCCGAGGAAGTGGATCCCACACCAGATGCAGATCATGAGCAATCGTCGGTTACACTTGGCCATGTTCTTACTAATATCGTGATTCTCTATGAGTTTTTGCTAGAATTGTCTGCAGTGGTGCAGGCACGAGGAAGTCTTTTTGAAGAAGCAGGGTATCCTTAGAGATATAAATAGTAAATAGTTTCAATTGCACATATTGATCCACAATAAACTCGAACTAATGTCAGATTATGTATTCCAAAGTGGGGCCAATCTGACGCGCGCCCGCGTGACGGAGCCGCTTGCAACGATTGGACGACTTTCGGCCAACTTGCACTTTTGGCCCGCATAAGTAACATAGTAATCTGAACACCATGTGCTTCTTTCCTTCTTTCTAATTCTCCGCATTTATATATTACTCGGCATGACCGGCCATCATGGTCTCGCATGAATTTGAACGCGAGGATCGTGAAGATGCTCCGTTCCTCGCCCCGGAACTGCAATCCCCGACCCCTGGCCGCCCTCACGAAACGAAACCCGCTCACCCGCTCGGAAACGATGTGTCAGCTCAGAAGATCGGTTTCAGATTGAAGGTAACTCTGTTCGCCATGATTTTGGCGGTGGATATCGGCTTCTCCTTCATTGAGGGCCCCCAGGTCCGAATCTTTGAGTCGATTGCGTGTCGCCAGTTCTTCTCCGTGACCGACCCGAGTCAGATTGGGGCCAATGGCCAGGTACCGGAGGCAATGTGCAAGGGAGCGGAGGTACAGGCCGAGCTGGCTGCGGTGAAGGGATATAACATGTTCTTTGATGGGTTGCTATGTATGTTGCGCTGATCAAATGTCACAGCCATGTTCTGACCATACTCTAGGTGCGCTCTTGGCCATTCCATATGGTCTGCTGGCAGACCGGAAAGGCCGCAAGTCTACGCTTCTCTTGGGCTTGCCTGGCTTTGCTCTCAACTCTGTAATCGTGCTTGCGGTTATGTGGTTTTCCGATATATTCCCATTACGAGCAATCTGGTTTTCTTCGCTGGCATGGTTGCTTGGCGGGGGACCGGTTGTTGCGTTTGCGATTATTTGGACTATGATGGCTGATGTGACGACGGAAGAGGAAAGGTAGTTGTTTTCTTGGTTGGATATATGGATACCAGAACTAATCAAACTTCGTGCAGAGCAACGCTATTCTTTCAGTTCGGTATCGTCTCCATGGGGGCCGATTTCCTTTCTAGCGCTTTCACGTCTTACCTTATGTCCTTGAATCCATGGATTCCGCTATTCATCGGACATGCCATTATTTTCTTAGGGCTATTGTTGATGTTTGGTCTCCCCGAGACCATGCACGTGCGGCCATCGAGCCCACCCGAGCCATCTCATGTTGAGCTTTCTGACTTGACTGAGGATGAGCCCAAGAACCACTCTCCTAAACCCGAGGGCGTATTATACAATGATGAAGACGTGGGAATTGGTTCACATAACGAGGCACACATGTCTTGGAGCTATCCCGCCCAACAGAACCCCACAATTTGGACTAGGATCTGCTCAAACTACCGTTTCTACGTGAAACCATACCTTTTCATCCTGAACCGCAAGCCTGTGTTGCTTCTTTTGACCGCTTTCTTGGTCTACCGCCTCAGTCGCGGTTCTTCATGGTTCCTCACACAGTATATCTCGACACGATATGAGTGGACCCTCGCACAGGCCAATTTGCTCGTCTCCTTCCGACCTACAGTGTCCATTCCGGTCTTCCTGTTTGTTCTACCCTGGCTGAAGAAGAACTACCTTAACCCCAAGCGCTCGTCCACAGAGAAGGACCTTTACCTTGCTCGCGCGAGCATCATCTGTCTTACCCTTGGAACCTTGGGAATTGGTCTTTCGCCTACGATCGGGACTCTGATCCCTAGTATGATCGTACAAACATCTGGGTCCGGGTTTGTCTTCCTCACACGATCGATTATTACCACGCTGGTCGAACGGGATGAGACTGCCCGCTTATATACAGTGATTGAGGTTTTACAGTCCATGGGTAATGTTGTGGCCAGTGTGTCAATCACGACAGTTTTCCAGCTCGGTCTTCGTCTAGGGGGCGTCTGGGTTGGATTGGCCTGGATGATGACTAGCACGTTATTTTGCATGGTAGCTGCCGCAATTTGGGCTTTCCGGCTACCAAAAACCCCACGCGATCCGGAATTCGTGGTTGGAGAATTTGAAGATGCCGATCATAACTGCATATAGATCTCGGATAAATTTTCCGTGGTGTTTCGGCGTGGGTTTTTTATTATACTGGATTCGGCCCCTCATCTAGCTATACTTTCTTTCTATCCTTCTCAACATGTATATATACGTACTATTTCTCGAATATGTTTCTTTATTTCGGGTTTAAACAGTGACCACTGGAATCTGTAGATCTGATTAACAATCTTCGTGACCGCGGCATGTCACGTGGTTCCTCACATGTAAAGCTTTCCCCAAATCCAATTTGGCAGGTGCAACACATCTTTTTCACGCAGATGCAATGGAGAAATTCTCTCAGTTCCGGGATCGAGGTATGTCCCTATCTATCCTATGCTATGCAGATCGCCGTCGTATTGACTTTTGACTCCACCCAGGCTCGGGCATTGCGCCCTTCCTCCCCATTCCATCCGAGTCATTAGGCTTACAAGCCCCTCTCCGTGTCTTCCTCTTCTGCTTCCGCCTGCCTTTCTTCATCTTCGTAACATTCGCCTACTTTGCGATTCTTCAATGGCTTCCCATTGGGTCCCTGGGCAAAAAGGCCGCACTATGGTGCATCTTAGGTGTCCCCAGCATCTGGTGGATTGACCTACAGGTAGATGGAGTCAAGAAAGGGTATGTGTCAGCTGGAATCACATCCAACACAGATCAAACGCTTATCATTTCATCTCCAGCTCTCTCTCAAAGCAACAACAAGCTCGACTCCCGCAACCAGGCTCCGTCATCGCCTCATCTTTCACCTCTCCCATCGACGCTATTTACCTAGCCGCAATCTTTGACCCGGTCTTCACAGCCGCATACCCAAACACCCGCCAAGTTGAACGTATCTCTCTTCTGCAAGCCGTGATCCGTGCCTTCGCACAGCCATCATCGCAGCCGGAACCAGGTACCCAACTTGTGGACGTGGCCTCGCTCGTCGCGAAATACCCTAACAGACCAATCGTAATCTTCCCGGAGTGCACTACGACCAACGGCCGCGGTATCCTTCCGTTGAGCCATGCTCTCCTCGGTGTACCCCCCAAGACCAAAGTCTTCCCGGTCAGTCTGCGATACACACCCGCGGACGTGGTAACCCCACTCCCAGGTAGCTATATCACTTTCTTCTGGACGCTGCTCAGCAAGCCGACGCATTGTATCCGTGTTCGGATTGCCGAGTATGTTACGAATTCGCGTAGTGCGACTGATGCTCCCCCTGCGCGATCGACAAGGCAGTCGACTTATAACTCTAATTATTTGGATACGCTGGAGGATGAGGCTGAAGGTGGGGTTACGACTGGCGAGAAAGCGTTCCTTGACCTTGTTGGTGAATCGCTGGCAAGACTAGGACGTGTTAAGAGGGTTGGATTGGGGGTTAAGGAGAAGCAGGAGTTTATGGTGAAGTGGAGTAAGACCAGGAAGACTTGGTGATTGGTTTACTTGCACATTTGTGTCATTTAGATTGTTAGATCGATGAAAATTCTATGAGACCAAGGGTATATGTTGACGATATAATTCTCTGCTTGTGCATTCATGTATAAGTACACGGGTATATTTCAGGGCAGGATCCTATACAGGTTCTGGACAGGCCTCCAGGCTTTGATGACTGATTAATTCTTTCCACAGGATAGGAAGCTAGCTCTTGTTATAGCGGACCTAGCCTTTATTTCAAGTAATGGCGGAAAATTTGTACAGTATCAGGAGCTCCAGAAGTGGAGAAACTTGCGTTCCGGCTTGACTCTTGCAGAATCTCGGGCCAATATGTCAATGCGGCGAGCATATAAATCCATAAAATGCGTGAGTGGGTCACCGAAGACCACATCACGGAGTGCGGCATCAGTTATCCCGTAGGCTTCAACGTCTTCTCGAGGTGGAAGGGGTGGAGCACCGTCAATCCGGGGGCGATATGTCTCTGGGCGATTACTCGGCTGCGTCTTATCTCGAAGTAATACCAGTCTACCTGCCGTGGAAAGGGTAGACGGAGGAACTGCCCAGTAGGCAGTAGACCCAGGGCGCGGTTTCGAGTTTAAAGACGACAAGATTGATCCTGGTGGTGGTTTGGCAAAGAGATCCAACAATGAAAGAAAGTACCCCTTCTCAGCACGGCAAACTGGATCACCCTCATTGACAAAGGAAAAGAAGATGGACCTGGAATATTCCGGATTTGCAGGTAGAAGGAGAGGCCGAAATGATATTGGTGGTGCACCAAACGTAACACAATGAATATGCTTAAAGCAACCCCGTAGATGAGTAAGCTCAGAGGCAACTTCAGGAGATTTGGATAATATATGCAGGTATAGCAAGCTAGCAACTGCACCACCCGCGGAATGACCGGTGATTAGAAGCGAGTATGACATGCGACTAGGGTCTTCTTCGATCAGAGCGCGTAATCTGGCGGCAACAGGTGCAACCATCTTTCGAGCCACTGAGAGAAAACCAGCGTGGCAGCAGTTGGTAGGATCATCTAGGAAGCCCTTTGGGGATACGGGTTCCATTTGCATGTTGACGGCCCAGTCCATGAAGCTTTGAGTGCCACGGATTGAGAAAACGAATGTGTTCATGTTGTCCACGGGCAAGGATTTGATCACCATTGCTTTGGTACCATGGCGCCAATCGGAACTCACATATGAATTTCGCTCTCTCCCAGTAGGCTTTTCATAAACTCGACGTGAATACTGGGCTGCAAGCTGAAGAAGTGGATACGTTGCAGGGTAGCTAGTAACGTATCAGAAGACTACCCAAATGGCAGAAAATGACGTGAACTTACAATTTAAGAGGAGGCAAGTTTGGAGGCATCCGAGAATTTGCATAAAGATAAACCTTCGAGAAATAGTCGACAGAACCTGACGGCTTCTCCTTTCCAGCTCGAGTCTCTCGACGATTCTTTTTCTTCGGATCTGATCGAAGTGGGAGGGAACATGCAGTAACTGCCAATTTTCAGAGTCAGTGATCAAAAAACGCAAGGCTTCTATGGCCAGGACATACGAAGATCATTTTCCCTTCCACAGAAAATGCCAACGTCGATTGAAGTGAGCACCTGGTCCAAAAGCTGTGATGCAGGTTCCTGAGTATTCGGTGCCCCGCCCACACACTGTAGAACCAGTCTTTCTAGGTCCACAATCGTAGCATGGGCTTTTCCTGTCGCATGCGACATGAGATTGGAAACCGACTGATTCATTTTTGAGTATGAAGTCCATTTTGCACAGTCTGTCTGTGGTGGAGGAGCTGGGACCCGTGCGGGAAGATGGGTCATGGAGGCAACGCCATATTCATTATGGTATGGACCTGGAGGTCCTGGATGCACAGCTTGAATACCCTGAACGGAATATGTACTTGTTGGCAAATTATATACCGGATGGTTATTATTCACTGCCCCGCCAGGATGTTGCCCTATCCACTGATGGAAGCGACGGCGCTTTGAGGGTTGAGCAGCCACTGAGTCCATTGCGAGCAAAGATTAAGACGGTCGAAACCCCATAAAGACTAAAAATTAATTTAATATAAATCTCTCGGATGTGTGATGTTATCATCGGAGCTGAAGGATAGGAAAGGGACCCACCTCCAAGAGTTCAAGCAGAACTCATAGCACGCAGAGTGATGCAGGTCCCCGCTGCGATCGGTCTCATATGAAAGTCTGCGCCACAATCAGGCAAGGAAGTGGAAGCGATTGGTGATGATGGGTCAAAGCATCGGGCGCACAGCCCCAGTGTCGACCCTCCAGCACAGCAAATCAGATCGACGGGAGACAAGGCCCTGCAGCACGATCTGCAACCCCCGAATCTTAGCAGCCGAACAGAACAAAGTAACTGGAAGAAGAGAACGAGAATAAATATTTGAAGTAAATGGAACATGTCGTATTGAAATGATATTATATAGCACAGACGCCCAAACAAATACATCGCATTTTTATATTCGGGGTACCACCCGAAGGAAACAAGGTATCATTTACTCTACAGCGTCAGTGATGCAGCCGTGGCTGGCATCCTTAACGGTCCGGGCGTACTTGCCCAGGGTACCGCGCATGGTCAGACCGGTCTCAGGCAGAGTGCCAGCGGCCTTGCGGGCCTCCCAACCCTTGCGGCGGTCGACGAGAATCTCATCGGACACATCGAGGTCGAGACGGAGGTTATCGGCATCAATAGTGATCACATCACCATCCTCAACGAGACCAATGGGGCCACCGACGGCAGCCTCAGGGACGATGTGGCCGATCAGGAAACCGTGAGAACCGCCGGAGAAACGGCCGTCAGTGATCAGGGCACATGAATTGCCAAGACCGTAGCCCATCAGAGCAGAAGAGGGCTTGAGCATTTCTGGAGAATTTGTTAGTCACCATCGACATAAACTAGGAATTAGACACAAACCAGGCATTCCAGGGCCACCCTTGGGGCCGCAGTAGCGGATGACAACAACGGTCTTCTCGTCCTTCTTGATCTCACTGCGTTCCAGCGCAGCAATGAAGTCGTCCTCGCTGTCGAAAACGCGAGCCTTACCAGTGAAGCAAGTACCCTCCTTTCCAGTAATCTTACCAACACTGCCCTCAGGAGCCAAAGAGCCACGCAGGATCTGAATGTGACCGGTAGGCTTGATGGGGTTGGAGAAGGGACGGATGATCTTCTGGTCGGCATCAAAGTCGGGGACCTTCTCCAGGTTCTTGGCAAGAGTCTCACCGGTGACGGTCATTCCGGAGCCGTCAATCAGACCCTCCTTGAGCAGCATCTTCAGCAGAGCAGGGGTACCACCGATCTCGTGGATATCAGCCATGACGTACTTGCCAGAGGGCTTCAGGTCAGCCAAGAAGGGAATGCGGTCGGAGACCGCCTGGAAATCGTCGATGGTCAGCTTGACGCCGACAGAGTCAGCGATGGCGATCAGGTGCAGCACGGCGTTGGTGGATCCACCGGTGATGTTGACAACAACCATGGCGTTCTCGAAAGCCTGGCGGGTCATGATATCACGTGGGCGAATGTCGTCCCTCAACAGTCTCTTGATGGCACCACCGGCAGCCAGGCACTCGAGATACTTGGCCTGGGAGTTGGCCGGGTTGGATGAGGAACCGGGCAGAGTCATACCCATGGTCTCAATAGCCGTGGCCATGGTGTTGGCAGTGTACATACCACCGCACGCACCCTCACCGGGGCAAGCGTGGCGGATGACGTCGAAACGCTGGGGCTCAGTGATCTCCTTGGCAATGAACTGACCGTAGGCCTGGAAGGCAGAGACGATATCAATGTCTTCACCACCCTGGGTAACAGCACAACCGGGCTTAATGCTACCACCGTAGACCATCAGACTGGGGCGGTTGAGACGGCCCATAGCCATCACGACACCAGGCATGTTCTTGTCACAACCGGGAATACTGATGTTGGCGTCGTACCACTGTCCACCCATCACGGTCTCAACAGAATCGGCAATCAAGTCACGGCTCTGCAGGGAGTAGCGCATACCGGTGGTACCCATACTGATGGCGTCACTGACACCGACAGTATTGAACTGCATACCGATCATGTTCTGATCCTGCACACCTTCCTTCACCTTGTTGTTGAGGTCGAGCAGGTGCATGTTGCAGGGGTTACCACTGAACCAGACGGACGAAATTCCGACCTGTGCCTTATTCATGTCCTCCTCCTTGAGGCCCACAGCGTACAGCATAGCCTGGGAAGCTCCCTGAGACTTGGGCTGAGTGATGTGGCTAGACACCTTGTTAAGGCCGACATCTTCGTTCTGGAAGCGGGGGAGGGTGGTCGAAAGAGCACGACTGTCAAGCAGGAAACGAACGTTTAGCAAACAAAAACATCAATTGATCTGGGGTAGTGCACTTACACGGGCGCAGTCGGTCGCAGGCTACGGAGAGCCGCAGGCACACGTGCCCTGAGTTGAGGCAGCATGATGTAGATATCAGAAAGCACCGAGGAACCACAGTGGACAATCTGAAAAAGGAAAGGGAAGATGATGGCGGGGGGAGGCCGGGGTTGCAAGAAATAAGAAAAGGCGGAAGCTTAGGAAGTCGGAGTTGGTGCTTCGCTCCCCGGTTCCACCTCCGCATTGACCAATCTGCGAGCCGCAAATGTCATCGTTGTCCACGCGCCGCAAATCTACGAGTCAGAAACATTATTATTGACTGAGTCAATTGCCTATGACTCTATGCATAAATGAAGTCTCTGTCTCCACCTCGCACTTTTCTCCGAGGTCAAGTTACCATCGACACCGAGTTACCTATTCGGGATGTCTTCATGCCTTGGTGCCTGAAATGATGCTTGGGGATGCAGAACGCATAACATCAATACGTAAATTCACAAGTACGTACGATACCTAAGCACTGGAGGCATTGACGTATCTTGTACGTGATATGTACTTTCCAAGGTTCGGGCCTAGTAGATAGTTGAGGCCCATGCCTGATCAGGCTTAGTTCAGGTACTCTAAATCGTTATCCTTTGGCCTCGGATCATGCCTAGCCCAGTTAAAGGCACCTGCGTGGGATCCTCTTCGACCCACCCTTTCGCGTCCAGCAATCTCGCAAAGAGCACTATATTTTCGTACACTTCTTCAAATGGCCTCTCTGACTACCCCCAAGCGGCTTGGAAAATTTACTGAACACCTCCAGGATCTACAAAATCCCACTCTTGACAACATAGATGAGATAAACGATCCTCGACAATCGTTTCAGATTTGTCTTTATTGCCAACGGACTCTGGCGGGCGCAACAGCCAAAGAGAGATTATGGCTACGGTTTCGATCCTGGTTTTATGGAATTGAATATCATAGGCACTGAAATGAGCAAGGATGTGATGGATGACAGAAATAAGAATACTGACCAACTTCCCAACACGTTGTGCCACTAATACTTTTGACGGGATGTACGCAAGAGCTACAACACACGAGAGTCAACAGATCATTCTGGCCATTGGCCATAGGTGTCCCATACTCCAATAGTTGGACAACTTTCCACTTGACCCGCAGAAATCTCCCCAGACTCATAATCTCAGAGGAGTCACACCCTCGCCGACCAACACCAGCTCCACTCCCGTGGCGTGGACTACTGGATTTGCAAGTTTCTCCTTTCAGCCTCAGTAAGGTACAGGTGACTTGATTTGCTTGGATTTTCTTCTTCTTAAGGCTGGTTGGGCAGGGATTTTGACCCGATACACAAGCCCGAGCGTTGAACATGATTTTATAATAAGTCTTCACAAAACGTGCTCAAATCTTCCAGTGCTCGTTTAGCGAGAGCGCTGTGGTCTTTAATGTGTTCAAAAAATGCAAGACATGTTTGAATCCTATCCATATATTCCTTCGAAGCATGCTTATTTAGACCTTTTGCTTCCGCTGCAAGGGTCAGAGCCGCCGAAAACAAGGCCGAGGTTGTTGCCCTACATTTACGAAAGATTCATTAATCAGTTCAAATGTCCCGAGTCGAGCAAAAAGACCATAGACGCGAAGATGGGATGGGTAGTCACGAATCATTCCACGACCTACCACGGACGATGGCGTGCAGGAGCAACCTTGTGTTGCTTCACCAATGATACAATTGCGTTTGCTGAATCTAAGCATATTGCCTTCGACCTAGCAAGCAGTACATCCGACGAAGAAGCCCACCGATGTTGCAGGACTCGGTTGATTTTCATTCGATAATTTAAGAAAGACAGCGATAAAGTTGTTTGCTGCCATAAGACCCAGGGTGGATATTGTTTGCTTGCTGTTGTCTGATCATCATAATCCTCGAGAAGATGAGATGGTAACTGGGAGATGATATTGGCCAAAGCTTCATCTGTAGTCAGGACAAGATCTTCCATTAGGTTATCACCTTGAAGGTTCTTAATGGCAACCATCTGGACCCAAAAGCGATAATTCGAGTAAGCCAATGAGATCAGAGCACTGTGGTAATTGATTGGTCTTGGAACATCGATTGCCATGCTTGGTTCGTCAATTAAACACGTATTTAACTCTTCATCCAATAGAGTCAAGGGAAGCCTGACGTTGAAGTCTGCCTCATGTATGCAAGGTGGGCGTGTCGGTATGGAAAGCCATTCACATATTATCAAAGTCCACCATGTCCGTCGGCTAATTTCTCGGATGATAGGATCTTTCGATATCCTGGGAGGCTCGCAGTCCATTCCCAGGATCTGTCCAATGCGTATCCCTGCCGCTTGAATAACAGGCTCGAGATCAAAATCCCCGACGTTCTTTGCCAATCCAAGAAGAATGGCAATGGCTTGTACAGTCTTGAAGTTGGGGTTTCGTGTGAAATCAGCTTCGTTGAGAAAGAAGAGAGCTGCATCATACCAGTTGCGGACTAGCTCAGACGTGTTATCTACTTTTAATTAGTACTCGATGACATAAAATGACCTTCATGGGGTCTGACTTAGCGGAATTCCCGCTCTCATGGCTTCATCCTCATCCATAAACATCAGACTCATCTATACATAGCTCAGGTATTAGCCCAGTCCTTCCTATCATAATCAGATTGGTCTCTGATAATTACCGCAATGAAACCAAAATATATGGCCAGCCAAAGCGTGTCCCCGTGAAGAAAAGGTCCACTTAACCAAGCAGATTCGTGCTGGAGTTCAAATTTTTGTATATGAACGGCAAAATGAATCCAAGAGGTCCATGTAAACCCATGCTGTAGTAATGTGACGCTGCAGCTTTTTGTGGGCAGGCAAATATCTGATCTCGTCCACACTCTGCGGCGATAATTACTCCTGCCGTGCTGGAGGTTAGTTTGGTGTTCTAATCTCTCAAGAGAAGATTCTCGCGTCGGACGTGGAGAAGACGAGCATTTGGATGGCCTGGTCACTTTTGACTGGAGCAATTCCACTTTGAGCCGCGCATTCTCTTCTTGCAACTCCAAATAAGATGGTGCAACTGCTCTTTGACTTGCATTGTGTTCATTCAGAGTAAATCCACATGCATGTTGTCTTATCAGACATACCTGGTAAGTCTACCCCGAACATTCACTATTTCTCTTGCACAAGTCTTCTCGAGACCCCGTTCAACACAGGTACCGCACGGAACCTTCTTGTCACACCTGACGCGGCGTTTAGAGCAACTGAAACAAGCCTTTGGTGCTCTCTGGCTCTTTCTTGCACCCGCCATTAAAGTCAGAGCTGTCGTTCTCCTCTTTACCTTTGTTTATCCGCACATTGAGAGGAGATTCAATAAAGTGCGGGGAATTGGAGGAAAGAGCTGTATAAATGTCTTTTATTTAAAATTGGATATCTGTGATTGGCTTCGACTACTTGGTCTGATTGGCCAGAACCTAAAACTCCCCTTATCAGCCCAATTGCTTTGGAAGATAACACTCAATCGTGAAGCATTTCACGATACTATTACAAACACTGTTTAATGTTGCAAGGTTGATGAGAACCACCGAAGATGACTCTGCTTATTGAAGTTTGTTCTACTACGTGCTTTGTGGATGGCAGAATCCAGTTTTGTTGAACGGGTCTAGTAAGGCGCCTTTCCAGCCAGCTTCAAGATCAAATCCGTCTCTAGAGGTTCTTCAAACAGGCGCTTCGTCGCCTCTTCATTATCCTCTCCAGGACGCTTCGCATAGCTAGTTTCCGTAAATAAATTGTCATGGGGCCAATGTGTCTGTAAATCCCTTCGATCAGTCGGTGTTCATGGCCAAGGGATACAAGAGAGGTACCGTTCCAATTCTTTGATCGAATAATTTGCCTTTTTGCTGCAAAGTCTCTGGTTTCGCAAACGAAGCTGGCGTATAGCATGCATCTATTAAGGATGCGGGTTAGATCAAGCAGGTAAACCTGGGAAGGGTACTCACAAATAACGGCACGTATGTTCTGAGATGACGGAACGCAGTTATAATGCATAGTGCGAGAATCCCAGAGAATAAGATCACCAGCATCGGCATTCACTTTCTGGACCTCACATCCTCTCTCCTCGAACCATTTTACTTCATTCTCTTCAAACCCAAACCAGTCGCTAGGTCCCCATGTTGGTCTGTTCATGGTCTTTGGATGAGTTTTGAAAAATTCGGGCATCAGCTTCGTTGATCCCTTCATGGCAAGAAGTCCACCATCATCGGGGCCATTGGGGGCAAAGTTCAAGATGCCCTGGACGCACTGCATTCCCTCTCTCAGTGGACTTTGGTCAATATGCGGCCACGGCTGAGTCTGGGGCAAAGGCTTTCCAGAGGGAAGAACAAAGTTCATGCCATCAAATGATACGAGAAGCTTGTCTGTTCCCCAGAGTTTCTCAAAGGCATCAATGACCCCTGCCTCTCTACAAAAAGGTTGTTAGAGCCAAGGGCTAAGTTTTATCGTTTGATGACTCACGATCGCGCCTCCCACATAAATCTCTCATGCTGAACACGGTATCCGTGATACATTCCTCCCTTGATATGCTCAGGTAGGTGGCAGTCGGTCCATGTTGAGCGGTCATACCTGTCAAATCCCAATGGAAAGCTCTCCAGCCATTGGAACATCTTCTCAATGTAATGATTGCATCTTTCCTTTGGGATCGCGTTCTTGATCACAACATACCCATTTTGGAACAACTCATCTCGCCAGTCTCCGTAGAACTTGGAGTCATCCAGTGTGGTTTGGTTTGTTGGATGAAGCATAGTGGCAGAAAAGCTATGCGGTACTGAGCTAGTGATTATCTTGCAAGAAACTAACAATTGACCCTTTGAAAGAGGCCCAGTTACTTTAAATAACTTTCCAGGTACATACTGCAGTCCGACCTGGGGGCGGAATCGGCCGCAGAATCTCCGCAGATAAGCAACCTCGCGCGAGTTTCGGGCGAGTTGCTTTGAACCACTTATCGGCATCGATAAAATTTTGGAGCTTTCTATGATTGCCAATAACAGTCAGGATAGACAGATGGACTTCTTGCACATGCGCACCAAAATGAGATATAAATTTGTCAATCCCCTCACAAACTTTACATGATCTTGGTAGTGTCTTCCTTAACTGTGCCTGGTTGACATTAATTTCTTTTGCATTATGGCTGCCCCTACGCAACAAATCAAAGATTGTCGGTTTGAGAAATGGTGGAAGGATACTGGCTTATGCAAGTTGCTAGCATGGCAGGTTACTATCCTTGTATCGCAAATGACCACTGGCTATGACGAAAGTGTGGTCGGAAGTTTTCAGTCCATGAAGCCTTGGGTCAAAGGTCTGTGGTTTTTTACAGCATCTTTGATCAAAGAAACTGACATGCATCTAACTGTTAGACATGGGCTACCCTAATGTCTCACAAATTGGGCTCATTACTGCCATTGTATTCGTCGGTGGGTTTGTGGGTGCTTTCATAGCCTCGCCTACTGCAGACTATCTCGGACGAAGAGTAGGCATGCTGGTTGGCGCAAGCCTGACATTTACCGGCACAGCCATTCAGACTGCGGCACAAAACTCAAATATGTTTATCGGTGGTCGATTCTTGATTGGTCTTGGAATCAGTTTCACCTGCGTTGCTGGTCCGTCGTTGTTGTTCGAACTAGCTCGTCCGTCCATGCGCGGCACAATATCCTCTTTGGTACTAAATCTTTGTCCGGGGCTTTTGACTTTCCACTATCAACTGAATTCTAATGTGGTTCTTATAGTTCAACGTACTTTGGTATGTCGGGTCTATCATCGCCGCGTGGACAACCTTTGGAACTGGTTATATGCCTACCAGCTGGTCATGGCGGATTCCGTCCCTCATTCAGGGAATCCCAGCCCTCCTAGTGATAATTTCCGTTCTTGCTGGGCTGCCCGAGTCTCCTCGCTGGCTTTGCGCAAATGGCAGAGTGGAAGAGGCCAAGACACTGCTTGCAAAATATCACAGCAACGGTGATTTGCACTCCGTACTCATCATTCGAGAAATCAAAGAGATAGAAATAACACTAGAGACTCAGAAGAGTATCACCTCCAGTGGTCACAACACTTGGTCGAGTCTCTACCGCTCGCCAGCGAATAGGAAGCGCATTGCTTTGGTTGCTACAGTGGCCTTATTGACGCTTTGGAATGGCCAGGGTGTGATCTCATACTATTTCAGTCCTATCTTGACCAGTATCGGTATCACCTCTACACCACAGCAGACTGGTATTAATGGTGGTCTACAGATATGGAACTTGTTTTCTTCACTGGCAGGCGCTTTGCTGGCAGATAGAATAGGCCGACGAACTCTCTGGCTTACCTCATTCATCGCCATGATTTTCGCCAACGTGCCGCTCACTATATCTTCAGCCATGTACACCAAGAGAGGATCCAAAGGGGCCTCGTATGCTGTTGTCGTCTTTCTGTTTTTCTACGATGCTGCCTTCAACTTGGCAAACAATCCGCTTCTGTATTGTTACCCGACAGAAATTCTGCCATTTTCGATTCGTGCCAAAGGACTGAGTATTCAGGTAGCTGTATCGCAGGCAGCCTTAACCATCAATCAATACGTGAATCCGATCGCAATGGAACGGATTGGATTTTACTATTACGTCTTTTATCTTGGCATGCTTATTGCCGGGGTGAGTGCAGTTCCACCAGTTGAAGACTCGAGCTATGAAGACTGATGCATGATACATATAGACTCTCGTTATATATTTTACATTTCCCGAGACCAAAGGCAAGACTGAAATTGAATTAGCTGCTTTATTTGAGGATCCTGGATACGATCGTGGAAACGCTATAACTCTTGATGGTCTGGAGGCTGGATCCGGCCCTCATACGTTGGTCTGCGAGAAAGGCTCAGTGGTCACCAAACCTGAACATTAACCGATGACATGAACCAATTCTTATACACGTACATCATGAGACCACATTCGAAATAGCCACAGCGAGCTTATTAGCCCTTCCAAGGTTGATAAGATACCTACTTAGATATATACTTCGGATTTCTATCCATAGATATATCTGTTTAGCGTACATATCCAAATGGCTACAATGGCTATATATCCAGACAAAGAACCCCAATGGTATGGTATAATTTCGCATTGAACTATTATCGCGTGAAAGTCGGTTAGCCTCGACCAATCCCTGGCTAGAATCTCAGATACCTACGCATCTTTAGATAGGTTGGAGGTAAATATACAGGTACACGTGAATTGGAGGCACTAGCCAGGTGACCAAATCCATCACTCACCTGGGCAAGCTGTGCATATGCCGCCCAATTAATAATTGGCTGGCGGTCTGTCCCGTCCGCTGTGAAAGACTATTACATGTAAATTTCAAATCTCGAACAAAAAGTTGTTTATCGACTCTTGATATTGTGGTACTTTTGTCGGGGAAATTGCCATGTCGGAACACGAAGTCAGCCTCGTTCTCAGCCCCACCCGTCAGCATAAATTTGGGAGCCCGTTCGCACTCAGTCGTTACAGAAAATTGATATCAAATTTCCGATTGAAAGGAAGCACATATATCATAACAAATCCGCTTCAAACATCTATAACCAAGCCCAAAGATGTCCGAAGAGCGAGGTACGGAGAGGAACTCGAGCAAAGAAGCACCAAGTACCCCGCATTGGGAGAAATCTACCGAAGAGGGAGATAGTCAAGAGCACAAGCAGAAGGAAGACACCGCAAGCTCTAAGGTATGGGCACACTTGGAATTATCTATGATAGAAAAAGCTAAGCCCGACTAAAGGATCAACGGCCGATATGGATAAGAGTACCGAAATCCTCCCTCAGCAGCAACTGCCAATGAACTCGATCTGACTACCTACAAGATACATCGCAGTTATGTGCTGCCAGATACCTTAAATGCCTACCAGCTGCCATGGGAATGGGATGAGGTTAGTTCATTGTCTGATTGTACTATTGAAAACAACAAAGGGGGTCTCAAGCGTACGCTAAGTGGCTTTCACTATTTAGACAGATTCCGAATACCTTATCATCAAAAGATGGGTGTCCGAAGACTTCCAGAATGACCTTTTTCGTCATACCCGAAGTATTCGAGGAGAGAGACATATTCCTCCAACAGCGACTTTTCGAACCGTGGTAGATACACCCGGATCCGAAGACGACTGGATTGAGGAATCAGAAACCAGCAGACGGCGTCGATCGCGGAGTCCGCAATACTATCGCGAGGAAGAGGAAGACGAGGAAGAAGAAGAAGAAGAAGAAGAGGAAGAGGAAATGTTTGGAAGACAGATGATTGCTTTACCAGATCCACTAAGCTTTGATGTGAATCTCAGGAACCCCAGCGTCAATCGGCCTGTTGACGAATTTAGAGCTGATCCAACTCACCGAAAGTATGCGACTCAGAGGATAGACGTTGCAAGTTCTCAGATGCCGGGGTATGGAAAAGTAGTTCTATATCGATCAGAGCCGACAGTTGATGTTGTTTCTCAGTTCTCATGGATGTAGGTGCAATCCCAAGATGTGTTTGTGAAGACCAACTAAGCAGAGCGCTCTAGTCATATGAATTCTGAGATGAGAAGTTTCGATGATTTCATGGTACGTTTGACAGCATCACTTACTCGTATGATCACAGTTAATCTCAGACACAGCGATTTGCATCTAATGTGCCAAATTTGGCAGCGGAAGATAGGGCGCTGGTAGTGTCTCTCATGAAAAAATCATATCCAAAAGCGGTGGGATTGAATCATCCTAATGATGTGATGCGCTGCATTGGTCTAGATTCAACAATCATGGACGGAGTCACTACCGAGAAATGTGCTATTCTCCTCCGCTTCCCTTACTTTTCCATCCAGAAAATGGAGACAGCAAGTCAGTCTCGTCGCAGTGCAAAGGACAAAGTTCGCACTCTTTTGCAGTACTACTACAACTTTGAGTCGACCAGAAAACGAGACCAGGAACAAGTGATTCGGAAAGTCGGACTGTTTCCAGAAGACCATGTCGTCCATGTGCCTCAGGTGTGGGCTGTGATTGTAAATTTTCGTAAGTCCATGTTCTTCATAATAGCTGAACCTTACGAATATGGGAAAAGACTGATTAAAACAGGCTTTATAATTACCAGTGCCCCGATACATCTTCAAGATCAAGGGAGCTCTTCTTTAAAGATAATGGACTCTCCAGCACAGAGTTCGTCTACCCCTTCAGTGATCTGTGTTGTTGATCCACTTCAACGCGTATTCTTCTTCCCTATCGAGCTATGCAAAACCTTCTTGGTGAGCCATTTTCCTGCCATTTATCAATTCATCTTGGAGTAACAGCTTGTACAAGGCAATGAGGCACAATATCATGGAACATTGCCTAAGTACGAAAAACAAAGAGTCTCAACACGGACTTCGATATGGGCCTCGATATGAATCTCGCTATGAGACTAGATATGCGGATCGATCTGAACGTCGACGCGAGCGTCGATATGAATCCCGATATGAAACTCAATACGATCATTACCCACCCGAAAAACTCAAAGAACCTTACGAACCGCGACAAGATTTCGAAATACTAACTACAGACATGAAAGTCATACAAGCCGAAGACTGGCCTAAAGTCACAACTTCTCGCGCATCAGCTATCATACGGATTCACGTAAAGACAATATCGCCTAATCCACCGAAGCGGCAGATGAAAGCGGATTACTCTGAAGGCTATGATGAGACTTCACCTTTATACACTGAACATAGGGGAAAACGGCGATCCAAATCACAGAAGCACCCACTCTCCTCCGGCGTCGTCGTTAACCGCGAGAACACAGCACAGAAGCCAAACGACATCACATCAGTTGCTCCAGATTTTTACATCCCATCGCCTCAAGTAGAACCTACTTCGCCCTCAAAGGAGCCGAGCAGCCACCAACATAGCAATCAGGAGACACAAGATTCAGGAGACAAACATCGTCCGATCAAAAGAAGTGTGACATTTGACTCCCTGCATGGAGAATCACTGAAATCCATCGACAAGTCGGCAGTTGAGAGAAAACCAACCATCAACACAGGATTTCCGCCAGTTTTTACCTGGCCAGTGACAAGAAGGTCATCTGAGCCGAGCGATAGTCTAGGCCACCAGGTCAAAGGTTCAAATATAGAGAGCCCTGATCCAGACTCTGCCAAGAACATGCAAACACTACCCGAGGAAACCGAAGCCCAACATACCCACGAGGAAGTTATCAAACATGTTTCTACCCATATTGATGGTGAACTGCGAGAGTCAGTCAGGGAGGGTAACAAGCTGGTTTACAGAGAAACAACCGAAATGTCATTTTTCCAGGTGGACAAGGCCATCATAGAACGTGTGGGGATCCCAATATCTTTCTTGATGATGAATGATGTAGGAAAGCCCAAAGGAGTGTCTGATGCACCACCGTGGAAACAAGACTTGAAGGAGATAGTGAGCAGTCTTTGCCGGCTATTCAACTTCTTCGTCCCGTTAGCATACCCATGTGTTATAGGGGATAAGTTTTGGGGAGCGATACATGATCTGATCACGGTATGGAGGAAAATCAGTCTCCTGAATTGCGAATGCTCATTATTCGAAACTTAGATAATCCCACAAATATGCGACAAGTCACAGATGCTCAAACTGACTAAAGGAAGCCGTCACTCCCGGGTGACGACAGCTTTCTACATAGCCAACGTCAGAGATGAACAATACGCCGACCTTCGGGATAAGGCAGATTTAGATCTACTTATCAAAGATGTCACGCACTGTGATGATTGTGACAGGTGCCGAGAATACTCTAAGCAATCTGATGCGTGGGATCATCTCTTCAAGCATCATTTCAGGGTTTCCTCTGAAGAGAAAGCAGCTATCAGCGCCAGATCACAATGGGTCATGGATCGTGAGCAATACCTTACCTTCATCTGCCGACGAGACGGACAGAAAATACTCGATGAGCTCAAGGATGATATCTCAAGCTTGGAGAAAATGGCATCCCAGATACAGCATGGGGTTTCAGAAAATGGAGAGCTGGACCGCGACACGTATAGAATCCCGTCAAGTCTGGTTGATGCCTTTCAAAGCTTTGTGATGATGGTTGTAACAGGTGCGCATGCTGTGAAGTCCTCATATCAGATTCGGAAAAAGTATGCAGAATCTGACCCTCACCCGCCTTCAACCTTCCTCGAGCCTCATGTCTCATTTTCGGTTGCAATTTTTGCGAACGAGGCCGAAATTGCGTTGGAAACCGCCATCAAAGATATCATTCTTATGACCTTCACCAATGAGAAATCAGATGTCGTGAGCTATGAAGCTATGAGCCCCAGCTTGGTGATTGCTCTCATCATGGGGGACATCCGATCCAGAGATTCTCATGGAAATCCGGTCAACCTGGTTGAGACATTTGAGCAATACATTCAAGTTCTGGTTAGTGTTCAAGTTCGAATATAGTTTACTCCAATGAGTCCACCATACTAATAATACCTGGAAACATTAGCAATTCAAAGCCGGCCAGCGTCCCAACAGGCGTTTGATGCAGGAGATATACATCGTCCGAGAGGAGCTTCTGATGGTCGAGAAGATCACTAAGGAGCAACACCAGATTCTCACGGACTACTGTGACGTCTTGAGACCAGATACATTCCGAATCACCACTGAGTCGCGAATCTCTTCGTTCGAAATCGAGAGTAGATGGCTTCAAAAGCTCATCGACGGAACCAACGATGACCTTGATTTGATAGAGGCTCTCCTGGACAGGCTTGAATCAATAGCTACTCAGACACGCAATGGGGTAGAGGTTCGTCAAGAAGATCAAGGCAAGGCCATTCTGGTCTTTACCATCATGACGGTAGTGTTCATGCCGCTGTCATTCGTGACAGGCTACTTTGGTATGAACACGGAAGACATCCGTAACATGGGAAGTTCTCAGGCGCTGTTTTGGACCGTCTCTATCCCATTTACAGTCGTCATCATTTCTGCCGTTTTGCTTGTCGCGTTCCAGGCGGATCGACTTCGTGAAGCTTTTGATACATTGTTGTCGCATGATGATGTACCGTTGGTGAGGCCGGTCGACAGTTTTCCGGCTGAGAAACAGGCGCCAGAGGGAGAGAAAAAGGGCCTTGAATCACCAAATAGCGTTGAACTACCTGGGAAACGCTGGTTTGCAAGAAGGAGAGTTGCGAATTGGAAGGCCGCGTCGCAAGATTCATCTTTCGCGTGATTTACAGCGGAGGCCTGTTTCATATTTCGCCCAAATATTAGTGAGTTCACATGTAAAAATGCTATTCGTACACGCCCTAAAGCCGAGTACAGTCCATAATGTGTTCTCGAACACATACCCGACAATTGAGCCGGCATCCGATCTAAATTTGCCATCCCAAACATAGGACTCGCCACTTCTTTAGGGGTTCCTTTGCGTTATTCTACCATAGCTGAACGTGAGGAATTTGTATCAAATGATTCTTGTTAAGGGCGCCTATTGGAGATATCTTCCAATGACAATGTATAAATGGGTATAGCAGCTCATCTAGCCAAGAAGTGAGGAATAAAAACAAAAGTAAAGGAGATCCCGAATCTGAAAAGCAGCGAAGGTAATCAGTATCACGACAATAAGAAGTTAGTAGTGGAAAATGATGATGAATATGTATGTGTGTGACGAAAGAAGAAGGTGAGGAAGAAAGTGAAGAAGAAGGTGAAGAAGAGGAGGAAAAAAAGAACACGAGAAAACAAGTATTAGGCGGAAAGAATGCATGCGAGGCCGGCTCTACGGCACTTCTCTGTCGCCTCGTTTCAATCCGTCAGGAACATCGATGGCATCCCGGACCCATGGCATGGCGGCGATTTCATCAAGTGTCTTGCGACGGGTATTGCGTTTCAGAAGACCCTCCACGCAATCCCGAGCGCCTTCCAGGTCACGACCCTTTTCGGGGTCCCATTCCTCGTCCGCGTCGGCATACCGATACCAACTCCACTCACAGCGAGCGATACGGTGAGGCGTACGAGCGCGGAGTTTGGCAGGATCACCGCGAGTACCAGGAAGGACGTCAAAAGGCAGGCGGTTCTCCATGATGGCATACAATAACACCCCGAGAGCCCAGGCGTCAGTGGCACGACCATCGTACGACTGACCCATGAGAATTTCAGGGGCCGCATAGTCCTCGCTACCACAACGAGTCTGGAGAAGCGGGCTTTCGGGAGGTTCTGGAATACGTCGTGACAGTCCTAGATCACTGAGAGTCACGACTGCGCGATCGTAGGTACGCCAGTCTTTGACGTCCTCCATAGCATGAATTGGCATGGTTAACAGGACATCTGCCAGGTAGTGTTAGCGAGAGATAATCGATAACAGGCCAGCAAAATACACATACTTTCTAATTTAATATCCCGGTGCACAATGTAATTGGAATGTAAATAGCGGACCGCGCTGACCAGTTCTGCAAAGATGCGCCGGATGAGGCTTGGTGATGAGGACCGAGCCCCGGAGGTCGCATATTCGAAGAGGTCACCACCGGGGCAATAGTCAAGAACCAAAAGTGCGCGTTTGTCGTCACTGCCAAATGCTTTCAGTTGAACCAACGACGGATGATTCACGGACTTCAAAATCTCCACCTCTCGCTTGAGGGAGACTTCCAACCGTTCCTGGTCTGCTCCTCCAGCGGGTCCCTGCTCAATAACCTTGACGGCCACCAACTTCTGAGTAGATACAGGCGGACCCATATCGGCTGTTCCATCAGCAGACGGCGATAAGGGTGTCTGTATTGGTTGTTCAACGCGCGCTGCCAGGCTCACTTGACTGAATGTACCCTGGCCAAGGACGCGTAATTTCCGGTAAATGCGCGCTTGCTGGGTACGGATCGACCGAACAGAGTAGATTTCATCTGAAGACGAAAGAGGGGGCGGGTGTGGTATGACATGTTCCGTGTCACTGTCACCGTAGCCGCTCCCACTGCTGCGGGGTGGACTCGGGGGACGGACAGAGGGCAATGCTATGCCCCGATGAACCGCCAAGTATTGTTCGCGATGTAGGCCCGTCGACTTTGAGTCGGTGCTGGATGACGGTGCGAAATTAGGACCAGTCCCCGAGACGGCGATTGGGCGAGGGAGAGAGGTGCGGCCGGGAGGCGCATAGTCACTGAGACTGCGATTGCGAGCGTGCTTGGAAGGCGTTTCATAACGAATTCGATTGGCAATTGGAGATTCTTCGCCTAGGTCGTTGAGTCCAGTATATGACTTCCCGTGCGAACGTGAGGGCGGGAGAGCCAATGTTTGCGACGAGTCACTTAATCGAAGGCTAGATCCACTCCGCGACGCTGTGGAGGACGTGCGCGACAGCGAGTGTTCGCCTCGGCGCCAAGGTGACGCCCCGCCGATAGGAGAAGGTAGTGGGGTAATATCACCCATCGCGTTAAGCTGCGGTGAAGAAATGAATGACGCGGGAGACAAGGACCCTGCGCTAGAGATGGGCGGGGCTATGAGGGCGCGCAAGCTTGGAGTACGCTGCGGGAAGCTGCCAGAAGAGACGCTCAGTGAGGCAAAAGTATCACAGTCACGATGCGAGCTGAGAGGACGTGAACTGGGTAAATCGGTGCGAATCTGCAGAGAAGGTAGGGGCGACGGCGGCATCAATACGGAAGCTGCAGGATCTACTCGCCAGGAATCATGGTCGCCCTCCACACTTGGTTGACTTTGTGGGCGCCCGCCATCGTTGATTGCGGCAAGAACATGGCTATCCTGGAATTTCAGAGCCAACCCTGACCTCTCGGTCGGACCGGAGTCGGAGATCACCATTGATTCCTTCAGTATGGAAAGTCGCAAACGGCCGCAATGGGGATTTCCAATCGCGGCAAGATAAAAAGTTCGTGCAAGTACGCGTGTCTCAGCCTCCACACCCGAAAAGGCCTTAGCGTGTGGGTAGAAGACCCGTCGAGTTAACGGTCTAACGTCCCCGTAAAGGGATGCTCGACGTGCACTGGGACCGAGAGATGAAGAGATGTTCGGGAAAGAAAACAATCTTGGAAAGAAAACAAAGGCCAAAGCCGAGATGAATCGATGACGATCACGAAAAAAATCGGGGGGCGAGTCAGCTGACGATAATGATGAGTGACCCCCGCATTCGGAAGCACTAGATTGGTGCAGTAAACCCTCAGCCTATATTTAGCTTGATCTAGCTATCTACAGACTGTTGGGCTTGGTTGAATGCCAAGATTCATATCAATCTTGTCCAGTAGAAGTGTGTGTGCGCATTTTTATCGCTATGTTACTCCCTAGTAAGCTAGGGTAACCCTAGTAAACAAAGATACTTTCCAAGGCGGGATCATTTGATGTAGTCTTAATGACTCAAATACCCATCAAAAGTCAGTTTCTGAGGATCAAAAGTGTATTACCTTGGCAACCTCGTGTCTTGATGCTCGGAATCCCTGATAGAGTAACCGCGAGGTTCATCTTTCTGCAAGCTGCTAGGAAAAGAGGCTGGGAAGCAAACAAGGAATCGTGGCTTCCGCATCGGCTCCACTACTGACGCAGGGGCCAAGCGCCCTGTGCGGGAACGGTGGGCTTAAACCCAGTTAAATAGGACAATTATCATCATCTCTGAAACGCACCTGGTATATTGTAAAGGGGAACGAACTAGATATATGGTGGTCGCGTGGTGGCGCGAATTCAATACATAAGAGGCGCAAAACAAGCCTAGCATCGCAAACAAGAATGTTCGGAGTAAATACCCGAATGAGGTGCAGTTGATATCATTTTTCATGCACCATGCATGCACGTCAGCGATCTAGAATCGATTCTCCGGACTGATCAATCGGCCTGCAACCTCCCAATATGCCCCCTCCACCTCACTAATGTTGGTTCCTTGCACCCAATAACCCTTGCCATTCGGGCTCTCCGCCGCAGCCGCAGCCACAATCGCCCACGCAACATCGTCCGGAGAGCTCTTCAGGGTATTAGGTTGTTTTGTTGCCTCGAGACCCTCCACCATGGAGGTCAAAGTCAACCAGGGCGCGATCCAAGAAATCGAAATTCCGGCTTTCACCACCTCCTCGATCTGCGCTGTGCTGCGGACCAGTCCCAGTACCGCGTGCTTACTAGCCGCGTAGAGCGGCTGCGAAGGGATGGGCACATACGAGCCGGCTGATCCGACCACCACAATGCGACCTCCTCCATTCTGTTTCATATAATGAATGCCGAGTTTCAACCCGAAAATAACAGAATTCATGTTGATGTCAAAGAGCTGGGTCGATGGGCGTTGGAGTGCGGAGTCGTCATTCTTCCTCGATTCGTCGGCCAGGTAGTTATACCTGACCTGGCCATTCATTTCCGCATGCTGCACTGGGTTGGAGTTCTGCAAAAGCGCGATTTCGGGGTTGATGGCGGCGTTGCAGACAAGGAGGTCAATTGGCCCGATAGTAGATTTGACTTGTTCAAAGAGGGCGGCTTGCTGATCCCAGTCACCCACGTCGCATACACGGTAGGTTGATTGGAGACCGATTCTTGCACACGCCTGCTTCAAGTCATCTTCGCGCAAGTCAACTAGGACTACACGGGCTCCGTTCTGAGCAAGGAGAGACGCAGTGGCATACCCAATGCCTCGTGCTGCGCCAGTAACAATGGCAACGCGACTGTCAACAGCATCCTTGACAGCCTTCGTTTCGGGTCGTGGAACAGAGGTCATCGTGGAAGATTGCAAGCGACAAAAAGGGGGAATGAACAAAGGCAACTGACTTCTCTTGGCGTTCAAAACTGCTCAGGGTGGGAAATCCCACTCTTTATAGACGTTGCAGGCCCACACGGACGCGGCATCTCCGCTTCCCGTTCCTAATGGTCTACTGTTCTAGCCGAATCCGAGGCACATGATCATCAGTTCCTGTTCCTATAGGCTACTTCAAACTAGCAAGCAAGTTACGCGTCGGCACGCTTCGCCTAAACCAAGAAACTCTTAGAAATCATTTCTCCCTTCAAAGGATATCTGCTACAATTAAAAACTAGCCATAGCTCCCTCTCGGTTGGCAATTGCTTTCTTCGTGAGGCTTATCGATGGAGCCATCGCCTCGAATCCATGAGGAACACCAGGATACAGATGACATTCCGTGGGAATATTGGCCGCCACGAAACGTTGTACATAATCCAATCCTTCGTGCACAAAAATATCTAGTTGGCCACAGTCCAAATACAGCGGCGGAAGACCCTCCACACTCTCCACACGAGATGGTGCAGCATAGAAAGAAATATCTTCTGTTCCTTCGTCAGGTCCAAGATACGCACTCCACCCGGTCTTATTATCGACCTCGTTCCAAAATGCTAACTGGCCAGCATGGTTGCTGTTGGTCCGATCGTCGATCATGGGATAAATGAGGATTTGCTTTGCGATAGGTGGGGACAGCGCTTCATCTCGGGCTAACAGTGTTAACGCAGCAGCCAATCCACCTCCAGCACTTTCTCCCATGACGGCGATGCGGGCAGGATTAATTGATAGTTGACTTGCGTTCGCATGCAGCCATTTGAGCACTGCCCAGCAATCCTTGAGTGGTGTTGGATATGGATGCTCAGGAGCCAGCCGATAGTCGACTGTCAGGATCTGCACTCCAGTGCTCGACACAGATCTGATATGTGGCACAGAGCACTGCTCTGCACTCAGAGAGATGTAGCCACCTCCATGAGTGTGTAGAATAGCGGGGTCGCCACCGGCTTGAGATTGGCATCGATGGCGGAATTGATAGACAGTGACTTTGTATCCATCTTCTGAAGGGATGTGATAAACAATTCGTTCCATATCGTTGGGAATTGGGGGTAGAGCGCTGGTCATGGACGCGGTCATTGCGCGTCTGGTTGCGACATCATGAAGGGCAGGCTTCTTGAACTGAGCCAGCTGTTGCAGCATGGGGCCTGCTTCTTGAAGGAACTCGGAGTCATACTGTAAAGACATCCTGACAGAGCGAATTTCAGGAATCAACAGCGTGTCATTCAAGTCATTCAACAATATTTACCTCACATCATTTTCCCTCCACAATACAGTCGTTTTAAACACCCATTTATTTTTCCGAATTCCCGACCCGCCCCATTGCATTTTACTTTACAATACTTCGTTAGAACATTTCATCCGTCATCCGTCTGATTTCCCCTCTCAACGGACCAAGCAGTGTTCCGTTGCCGAAGATGCAGCGGAACCAGGGCTCCACAACAGAAGTGGAGACATTTTCTTCAGGAAGCTGACAGCGAGATCCCAGGGATCCACATACTCAAAATGTGCTAGTTCCGGATACTAACCACCTTACCCGATCGAATCAAACTATTATCGATGTGCCTCGGTATATCGCGAAACAATAAGAACATACGTGATTATTAAAGGGCTTGCGTAGACGATTGGCTACTGTGAAACACTCGTACGCCAGAAAAGAGACTATACACGATGCCTCTCCAGTTGCCTGATTTCGATGATCTACCGCCTGTTCATGGGATGCCCCAGGGTTGTGCGTGGGGAATTTTCGACAAGGATGGCAAAAAAGATGTTTTTGGGACGTTGAATCTCTTGACGCTGGATGTGGTTAAAGCTGCAGCTGCAGAGGTGCGCCACGGGATTTCGGTTTCCTTAAAGTAAGTTATTGTTTGCGAAAGTGGATGCTGTGATACTTTGCTAACCTTCTTAGTTGGCCTATTGGAAGTATCAGAGTTCCTGGCTTTTTTCGAAAAAGTCTTGAGCACAGGGTCTTCAAGCTTGAAGATAAGGAGGCCAATTTGCATTATGGATTTGATGACGAGGTATGTATCGCCATTCCACTTTTTGTCAATGCCATGTACTAATGCGCGTTAGGTTGAGTTTAACACGCAGGGAAGCAGTCAATGGGATAGCCTTTGTACAGCTGACTGACCTAGCAAAAAAACAAACATCTGACTCATCAACAGGTCACTTCTTACACCTCCCAACTGGCACAGCATACAATGGTGCCAAACCAATGGTCGAAGACATGCAAAATCCATCCCCCTCAAGGCTAAAGCTTCCGACGTTGAACCGTGAGTCTTACTTGCTATGAATGGCAATACCCATATGTCCCTGACCATAACAGACTGGCATGACCGTGGCTGCATTGCCGGACGCGGCGTCTTGATCGATTTCAAATCCTACGCCGAGGCTCACGGCGTTGAATACTGCCCCTTCTCCGCATTCCGTATTGGAGTCTCCGATATTAATGCCATCGCATCATACCAAGGAGTTACATTCAGATCCGGCGACATTCTTATCATCCGCTTCGGCGTGACAGAAGCATTAGAAAACATGACTGGCGACGAGCAAGCAGCTGCAATGTCTAGTTACCAGGCATGTGGACTAGATGGGAGCGAGGAAATGGCTCGGTGGCTTTGGAATGAACATTTTGCAGCTGTGGCCAGTGATAATATTGCCGTTGAGGCTATGCCGCCTATGATCGATGGTTTGGAACAGCCCTTGACACACCTCATCCTGCATCAGTGGTGTCTGAGTTTGTTTGGTCTTCCGCTTGGGGAACTGTGGTATCTCAAACCGCTTGCTGAGCAGTGCAAGGCACTTGGAAAACACACCTTTCTTCTTACATCAGCGCCACTGAATGTGCCAGGAGCTGTTGGAAGTCCACCTAATGCTTTGGCTCTTCTGTGAATTAAGGGCTTGTTGATCTATCTTCTTTGATATACTCGCATACCAAAGCTTCGTGTCCCCTTGAGGAGTTGACGTGTATTGTTCACTGAATTCTGCATGGAATTCTCTGAGCTGAATGAGTAGATGTAGCATGTGACTACCTGCCCATGTAGACCTGATGATTTACCACCCTTGACTGTTTGCTAGTCACTATTTAGCCAGTGTTAGTCACCAAGTACTATATAAAACGGCTACTCCCCTCCTTCCTTCTTCTCTATTACATCCATTTGCTATCATAGTTATCTTTCATATTTGCCACTAGAGAGTTCAATGCTTCTTACATTCCAAGCTTATATCTCTTATCTGCTATATATATACGACTACTATCAACTTTGGCCTGCAGATCTTGGTGTTTTACACCACGATAATCAGAAATTGCTCTGCCCAGGTGTGTCATCATTGAGGAGTTTAACAATCTTCACTGCCAGCCTACGATGCCTACAGTAGCATATTCTCGCCAGGCCGTATGGCAAGACTAGGCCTTTCTATGCAAGTTGCCAGCACAAGAATGTCTATCAGTGATTCCTTTAGCCTTACGCTATCTATCAACCCAGTCAGCAATAAGCCAAATGCCAGTCTCCAGTCCAGCCAGTCTCCAGTCCACAACAAAGATTCAACGACGGGTGACGTTAGTCTCATCACTACGGCCATCCTTGACTGCAGTCCGGATTGTCGACTCTACGGATCACACGTCAAGACGGCAACATAAGACATGGGCTGTGTGAAGGGCCACTATGATGACAAGTCAATCTCTACGACTACTCCAGGAATATACAGAGTTAGACTCAAGCACTAGCTACTTCAACTCCAGTACTGTGCCCGAATTGTCATGAAGGTCTACTGGTGTACCTGACCATATTACTCCGTACATCCGATGTACCCTGGCTGGTACGTCTTGCGATGCCCGAATCATCGTGGTCGCACCGTGATCCTCTCGTACTTTAACGCCCGCATCGTGCGACTATTCATTGCCTCGCAACGCTTCTCGCATCCAAATAGCATTGCTCTTAGGCTCGCATATTATCGCGATCCGCGAAAATATTTGACCGGTATCGCGCGCTCCCGAGATTAATCTCGATCTTAACGAGGGAATGGGTTTCATCATACTGACTTTAAGCTCACGGGCTCGGGCTGGGGCTCGCTCCCGCCTTGAACGAGATCATCGGCATCGTCTCAAGCACTCCGCCCTCGAGAGCTCGTTCAATCGCGGTTACAGCATGTCTCGCTCCAAGAAGGCTAAGGGCAAGCAGATCTACCGTCTACACCAGATACTTATCGAGTCTCGAAGTCATCTCCGCGCTCTCTGAGCGAAAGCCTCTACCCTTAAGGGGTCAGATACTGCTGCACTGCGAATCGTCGAAGCCTTACTGCAATGCCTATACTTAGATGGAGTCAACTTTGGTATAGAGCTATCTGCAGACAAAAATCCCAGCTGGGATTGACCTCGCGTGGTCTGCAGTAGAGTTCGATCTGGAGGATCTGGCACTCTACATTTCAAAACACATCAAAAGATCATTATCGACAATTCCTATCCTGACTACTATTCAGAGTATGAAGTCAACAGTCATCTCCTCTTACCTGAGATATCGCCTCGGCAAGCACGCTGCCTGAACGGTCCGCGGTGCGCTCTGACTTAGCCGAATGATTATTTGGCACCTACCACCAACAAGATAGCGATGAAATAGTTGAAAGGGATTGATGAACATCCAGCTATCGCGATTGAAATCCTCGAGCTGGTAAGGGAGGCGGCCTTACGCGGAATCATCAGGATCTCTGACGAGTGGTGATGCGATGATCTAAGGTCGTCCAGAATGTGGTTTATTGATGCGAAATGTGGAAAGTGCTTTTTATGTATAATTTAAAGATTTAAATGGTAGTTATTGATACCGAGCTACCGTTTTCAGGAATAAATACTCCGTACTCCGGACCACGATGAAACTTTTGTGGGCCTACTTTAGCCCCCAAATGTTCGCTAGGGCTTGTCGATCCTTGCTACTATCACAGATTTACCGCCCCCAATCTCGCCCGGCAGAACATCCACGGAATTTTGATCAATTGATATCAAGAAATGTATCACTGCCTCTAAGATGTATTGTGGCAAAAACGACAGAGCTATTCATACCTCTATTTGAGAATGTTCAGTAAAGATCTCCTCCCTAGAATGAACCAGCTTCGCGCTATCCCCAAGCGACGATGTTTCTGACTCCCTCCTTACCCCGTTACGCATCTTTCCATAAGAGGTCCTCACATTCGCGATTCGCTTATGTATTTGGAGCAAAGGCCCATAAGTCGGTAGACATGCACAAACAATAGCACACGCCAGCTCAACGGTGGTCCAGTCTAATGATGCCGGAATATCACCTAACAGAAACGTATTAGCACTCTCGTATACACGGCCCCAACAAAAATAGCCACTTACGGTCATAGCCTGTGGATGGAAGCCAACTGAACCAGACCCGCACGGCACAGGTGACACAAACACTGTTATAGATCAGCGATCCGTCACTATCACGCTCCTCGTCGGGGTAACTCACAAACCACCCAACAGAAATACACCCATCAAACTCGCTCGTTTTAGTACAGGCATTTGTAGGTTACGTACCATGAATATTGGATGCGCCAAGATCATAATGTCAATGGGTATCTCGGCGATACCAAATCCAGCGATCATAGTGCCCTCCGGAATGCAAATATCCTTATCGCGTAGTGTTTCGTAATTCCACATTGCTCGAACAGGATGGCACTCGAAGATAATAACAAAAAATGCAATAATGCACCAACAGGCGCAAACGCCCATGAGGATCCAATTGATCCGCATAAACGAAGGAACGGAGAAAATATGGCGATAAAAGATTAGAATCGAGAACTTCGTTGCTGTAATACCGAGAAGGAACAGAATCTCTTCGACAAAAAGATACTAGTTTGCCCGTTAGTGAGGATGTTGCCATCTCGATACGACGTTTCAAGCTTACCTTCAGAAATCTATTCATCTGGTGTTTCGTCATTAAGGTGAAATCCGACCCACCAGAGGATCCATTTCCTAATATGGCTAGATGGAATAGGAAGTTTAGCCATGATGACGATTGGGGCCAAATTATTGTAGGCGCTTACCGTATAGGAATGTTCCCTGGTTAGCGTAGAACATTGCAGCGGCGAGCAGAATAAGCATATCCTCCAGTAGAATGCCTTTGTGGACCTTGCTTCGAGCCCATCCTCGTAGACATAGCGCAATAAATACCAATACTATCATCGAGGCCGAGACTCGTAATGACATTGAGCCTGTCGGGCCAAGCTGAACCTCAGTCATGGTGAGGTGGAGGTGTCTTCAGGATAGCCCAGATGATGAGAAAGTTGCTGAAGGCATCTACTTCGGCTTCAAGTGTGTGTTGGAGAAGGAATAGAAATATGATTTCAATGTCAGGCGGCTGGGGTCTAGATGAATAAGATATCAAGTCCTGCAAAGTTATGTCGACAAGTGTTATCAAGAATAGACCCCAACATTTCTTATTGTAACACAATTTTGCCACAACGTATACCTATTGAGGAGATAATCTGAGTATTACGATAATGATGGGTGAAAAGGAGGGCCTAAGTGGCAATTCTTTTGTTGATGAACGCCTATTCTTCACAGCCATGTGGGTCTGAGCTATGTGAAACCCACGTGGAATTGATTAAATTACGCTACTAAATTTGGCTTCCTGGGCTGTGATTGCTCAATGTATGATTACTGGGAGATGAAAGGATTCAAGCTAACAGAGTAAACGTTTTCGTCACAAAATGACTTTTCGCTTCAAACATCCACGTCGAAGTCTTCCCAAGTCTCTAAAGCACTTGCGCAACTCTTCCACCAACTTTGCATACCACCAAGATAAATAAGTGGTTCTCGCCGCTTCCCTGGAATGTTGGCCCCCATGTACCAAGAGTCCGTCTTCGGATACAACGTATGATTGCTGACAGCAACAACTTGCTCTCGCCACGCCTCGGCAGCCTTTTGAGTTGGCTCAATGGACCCAACATTCCTCTCCTGCATCTTTGATATGGTTTTGCAGATCCAGTCAACCTCCATCTCGATAAAAGGCGGCCCGTTGGCCAAGGATGTTGGAGCCTGGGGGCCATACACCATGAAAAAATTAGGCGCGTCAGGGATCATCAGTCCCAGGTGGGTCAAAACACCATTCTTCCATTTCTCAGACAAAGGAACCTGGTTCTTGTCCGTGATCGCGAGGTCCAGCAAACTACCTGTGACGGCATCGTAGCCCGTAGCAAAGATCAATATATCTAGATCGTGGTGCTGGGTTTCTTCGCTGTTGCCTGTGACCATGCCAGTGTGATCGAAGTCGACGATCGGCGAGTGTTTCAAATTATGCAAGGTCACATTGGGTCGGTCAATCATCTCGTAGTAGTCCTGCTCTAGACTTGGTCGCTTGGTTCCAACTAGCATTTGCTGCTTCAAGGGTGCGACAAGATCCATTTTCGTAAGATCTGTCATGCGGGCACGGGTCCTTTGCACCCAGTAGTCGTAAAAGATAGCATTGGCCTTCTCATCGAGAAGGAAATCATAGTAATTTGATACCAGAAAGCTGTAGCCGCCACGCTCCCAAAGTTCATCAAAGAGCTCCTTTCTCTCTTCTGGTGTTGCTTGATGCGCAGACTGGAATCGGGTGTTATGTGGGAAGCCAGCGGCAGAGCTGTAGCATCGATCGAAGAGACAGTCGTAATAACCTTTCATCATTTCGGCATCCTCGGTTTGAATAGATCGCTGTTTCATGGGAATGGCAAAACAAGGCGTGCGAATGAAAGCTGTGAGCTCACAATCCGCTTTGGCAAGGGTCTGGATGATTTGGAGACCCGAAGCGCCATTTCCAACAACTCCAACACGCTTTCCCTTCACATTGAGATTCTCGGGATAGTCGGCGGCATGAACCAGTTGACCGCCATACTTTTCCAATCCATTGAAACGAGGGAAGTGCTTCTTGTAGGAAGACCCGGTCGCGGCGATGACATACTTGCAAGAGGCCGTGAGGCCTGTGTTTGTAGAAATGTTCCAACGACAACTTGCGTTGTCATACTTTACACTAGTGACGATGGTATTGAAAAAAGTATCTTGGCTCAAGCCCAAGACTGAGTCAACGTGCTTGAAGTAGCGTCGCAGTTCTTCATCGCCTGGAAAGCGCTCCGACCAGTTCCAACCTTTGTACACTGCAGGAATATTGAACTGATAAGATGGCATTTCCGTGTCGACACGGGCACCAGGGTAGCGGTTCCAGTGCCATACGCCACCAAAGGCACCGCCGGCTTCGATCAATTTCACGGACAGGCCAAGATTGCGGAGCTTGTAGAGCGAATTGCAGCCGCCAAAGCCACCACCGATAACGATGGCGTCAGTCTCGATATCACCATCTGTTCGTGTCATAGTTTTTGGTCGCTGAGCAATTGAGATTGCAACGAAGGATCCAAATTTCAGGTCTTAAGGATTAAATAGGAGCCCCTGGTTGCAGTCTTGGACTGGGAACTAGAGACATCGTGAAAAAGATCGACATTCTCGGCTGTCGGAAGGTTATTCGAATTGGCCCGGCTTCCTAATATCCGAGCCTGCTAAGTATGAAGATGATAATACCGAGATGGATATTGTGCAGATATAGATCTGGCTGAAAAGGAAGCCCACAGCGAGAAGGTTTCGTGTTGCGCCCCACATCGGCACCACGGCTTCTCCGCAGTGTAGCGCCATAATAATTCCCCTAATGTGGGAGGTCCTTCCAATAAGCCTTGAGCACTGGTTCGGGTCGGAATGGCGTGTCTCCGTATCCAGAGACTGGGGTAAGTAGCCAGCAGCGGATCAAGTATTCATCCAAGCACGGCTGTAATGATATCGTCAGACGGACATTAAAAGCTTCCACTGCAGCGTTGTGATTCTAGTTAATCGAACCTATTTTTATTGAATCGCAAGTATGGCGCCCATGGTCAAAGGAACGGCTTTCATCACTGGTGGAGCATCCGGTATGCATTCTAACTTGGCATTGAAGGAATGAATATTGATCTAAGATAGGTATCGGCAAGAGCACTGCAATCGCCTTCGCGCAGAATGGCATCAGCGCATTGGCTCTGGTCGACTTGGATGCATCACTTCTGGAAGCGACCCGTGATGAAATTCGGGCTCAATTCCCCCTTGTCGCTGTTGAGATTTTTGCAGTCAATGTCGCAGGTGAAGCATCTGTCGAAGCAGTAATCACCAAAGTAGTGGATCAATTTGGTGGTATAGAAATTGGTATCAACTGCGCTGGTATTAGTGGCACACCCACCCCAACCCATCTGATGTCCCTGGTTGAGTGGCAGAAGGTGATCGATGTCAACCAAACCGGAGTGTGGCTTTGTCAAAGGGCTCTTATCCGGCAGATGTTGAAGCAAGAGTAAGTTTTCATCATATGAGCGAAGATCACAAGTGGCTGACATCTTGTAGACCGCGTGGTGTCCGCGAAGGTCGTGGGGTTATTGTCAACGTTTCGTCGATGTTTGGGGTTGGCGGTCCTCCGGGTCCTTTTAGCATTCCGCACTATACGGCAGCCAAACATGGTACGTCTTGATGCACCCAGTACTCAAATTATGCTGACAAGAATAGCGGTGGTCGGTGTCACAAAAATGGTATGTTTATTTGCCTCTACCGTCGTAGGCCTTGCTAATGATTTTGTAGGATGCCAAGGCGTATGCCCGAGAAGGAGTTCGCATCAATGCCATTTGCCCGGGATTCGTTGACACCCCTATTATCGGTGAACAGATCAAATCCGGTGCAATGAATCCTCAATTCGAATTGACGCCCATTGGACGTCCGGCACATGTGGAGGAGATATCCGATGCGCTACTTTTCCTATCATCCACAATGAGCAGTTACATGTGCGGTGCAGCACTGGTGGTTGATGGGGGTTATACTGTTTAGACACTACGCACATGTATAAAAAGCTTTTTCAAATAGTTATACATTGTTCGTTCTTCTTCAGATTAATTTCCTTGTCATACATTATACAAGCATGATATCAAAATCAGCCTCTTTGGCAATCTCCTGCCAATGAATATCTCTATATGGCCCAGCCTGCTCTCGCCGATACCATAGAGTCTTCACAATTTCACTGAGGATGTTGATACTCTGAATTCCATGCCGACTCTTGCGATCAAAGGAAGCCATCATCCTGGCTTTTAAATCCGGTCTCTCGCATTCTGCTGCCACCACAAAACTGGCCCAGTTGTAGGCACAACCGCCTTTCCTGTCCAGAGTCAAAGTTTCAATTGCCTCCAACTCTTGTACTGCCTTTTCAACGATGTCCTGGACTTCAACCAAACCCGCATGCCGTAGTGTTCGTCGAAAATATATGATGGAGGCATAATAAAATGAGTTCAGGGCATGTTGAATGATAATGGATCCTGGGAGATCTGGCCTTGAAGGGCAAGGGAAGTTGAGGTAGAGCTGTAACTCTAAGCGATCCAATTCATCTGCAGTGATCAACGTATTGGAATCGACGATTGCCGTAATTCGCGCCAGTAATTGCACCAAGAGTGGTGTGACACCATGCGACCGCTCAAGATAGTGACGCAGCTCGGATGGCCCATCAAGAAGCGACATCAACTGTGTGGACATAGGCAAGCTGCAAAGCGATGAAAGGGACAAGTAACTCTGAAGCAAACGAGATGCCGTTGGGCTTCGTATCCAGCCGTCGTGTATCTCATTTTCAAGAAGGCCAAGGCCACCAGCCACATGTGCCCTCCATCGGCTTCGTCGTCCAGACATTGCTTCGGCAGTTATGCAAGTCAGGATGGCAGCCAGTATCGATTCATCAAGGCGTTTTGCTCGTTGGAGGTTTTCCCTCAGATGCCGCAACGCAAGTTGGTCATGATGCATTGCAAGGGACTGATATCGAGGGTCGCGTCGCAAATGGAACAAGCTAAAGGCCGATGAGGCACAGATAGCGTGGTAGATAGAAAGGTGAATACTAGATTCTGTTGGGGAACCTTCAAGCGCTTTCAATGCCAATGGCATGAACAGTGTCCGGCAGGGATTATCAGGGGTATCAATGAGGAGCATGTTCCCGCTCAGAAAGACGACCCAATGGTGGATCAGTTCAGTTTCCGGTCTTGGAAGCTGTGAGGGATTAATTGACGTGATAGGAGGAAGTGTACATGACATGGAAGAGGCCTTGGATCTGCTGGTGTCACAGCCAAGATCTATAATAGTGTTGCGAGTTCCAGAAGGAACAAGAGCTGTGTCATAAAAAGCTCGGTCGACATTCTCGACCGGCACCGGCAAAGCTGATGTTTCAGGTTGGGGCGACTTGACAGTAATGTGCGAGACCTCGATGCCCGATACGGAGACAGGTTGATTCACTTCTCCGGGGCTAGCCGTTGATGTATTTGAATCAAGCGGATCTGCAGGAAATTGGTCGAATGCTGGCTCACCCCTACTCTCGGTTACCGGCGAAGATGGAATTCTTGAATCGAGTGTACCCAACTGCTTGGTGTCGGGTTCAGGGCTAGAGGCGGAGAACACCGAAAAAGGCCCCCGTTGCTGGGCACTCCCGTCGCCGGAGCATTCATCCAGCTCCGCCAAAAGAGCTGTCACAGCGGCAGAAGACAAGTCTACCGTGGATTCTAGTGTCGATGGGCATACTTGACGACGATGGGATCGACTGCCTGCAGTTTGAGACCATCCTAGACGCATGCCATACCCCTGACACTGCCAGCCGCTACGGCGACAGCGACGGCAATGCGGCTTCTCGTCGTCGCATTTGACTTTGCGGGCCCGACAGGTCCAACATCCTGTAAAAGTTTTAGTGCGGGATTTTGGGGTCCTCACGGTTGGTGATCCCTCGGTCATTCCCACGAAGTTCGCCGAGGGAGAATATCGGGGTGTTGAAGCGGGATGATCCAAATTGTTCGTATTTGCCCCCCGCGTCGGCAATTACTTTATGGGATTGATTTTTAAGATTTTGGTACCTGGACACGAAATCAAAAGGCATTATTTTTCCTACTTCTGTATGAGGCATTTTATTTGGGTTTGCAAGTTCCTCCATGATGTTTGCGTCCTCCACAGTTGCAGTCAAATTTTACGCCTTTGATGGCACGTCTGGCGATTGCCACCCAGAACGAGAAATTGTATCCTGTATACCCTCTGTCATGCTAAAATCATACATTCTACAGACTTATGGATAATGCCTCTTATTTTTCGGACTATCAAAATCAGGCAATGATAGATGCCTCGTATATTGTGTCGCACCCCAAGGACAGTCTTGGTAGACGGCGCTAGCTAATAGTAAGTCAGTCGCTACCATGCCAGTGAACTAGCGAACTGAAGGCATCGGGACGCTTTAGCAGACAAAAACATCCTGAGCGAGGCAGCAGGTCTATTTGTTTCACTCTGTGATCCTGGCGTTCCACCATTCGTATACATATTTTGTGCAACGTCTATATATTGTTGTGAAATATATCGGGCCTAATGTCACATGGACTTCCACAAGCACCTGAAAAGCGTGCTCTTTTCACTTAGAACCTTTTTTCTTCCATCATAACTCCCTTATTTACCCCTTCCTTAATATATTCTTTCTTGCTCTCCTCTTCTGTTCAGATTTGGGTCCATATAGGACAGCCCACTCGAGATTCTTGATCCGAATCACTCGGTGGATATGACGGTCCTTAAAATCCCTTTCTCAACAATCGAGTAAATCCCGGTATTCTCATCGGCTGCGGCCTGGGTAAGGAACGGCAGATATGAATCGAGATGATGGGCTGAGTGTACCGCTGTGATGATGGCGAGCCCAGGCGGCGGTAAGATCTCTTGGTTTCTATTACAAGAAAGAGCACGATAATTGAACATCACAAAATTAGTCGAACACCCTCTCCAACTGCACTTGAAGTAGCGCAGGAATTGTTATTCAGAAGACAATGTTATGTCAAGTATTAAAGAATATCGCATCACCTCGCTTAATTCACGTCAATATACGAGATTAGTTATGATAAAGTAAGAAAAGGTAGCTTAGTGGGGATCATCTTTAAATGACCTTCACATTCCAGCGTAGTCTACCTAGTAATGTGAGCAAGTACGTACTTGGGTATGCACTACTCTCTGAATCGTGAATACTGCGCTACTATTTTACAGTTCCGACAACTTTATCTACATGCCAGGCCTAGAAAATAATCATTTACGATATCCAAAGTGAAAAGTTCAGGGTCAAACTCAAACGTCAGTGATAAATTGGCGATCATGGAGTTTGTACCTAATTAAATCATTTTTGGGCATGTCAGACCAGGCTGTGGCCTGGTATACATTACTCCGGCAGGGTCCACATCAAAAAAAGCCCTCGACAAAATCTGCTCGCCTGCATCGGAACTGAACCCATTAATCTCTCTGAGGAGGCTGTAAATATATATTGCATTTCGAAATGGCAAATTGAAAGGACTTTAGCATAATCAGAAAGGTGGTTATTCTTCCAAGGTTCACCAAGCTCCCAATGTCCCATCCAACAGAGCCGGAGCCGGCAAGCCGATTCTTAAATTAGGTACTCCGATAAGAAGGGTGATCGCCCCAAGTCATAAGCCACGATCCACTTATATGCTTCTCGCTAGCTCTGTGCCCTGCTAGGGGGCCGGATAAAGATAATTCGGAATGACCCGACGGAATTTGGTGCAGTGTCAAGCTACAAGCTGTAACTGTTTGCGAGAGAAGAATTTGTAGTATAAGCTCCTGAGCTGGGTTGCTTAGAGACAGGAAAGAAATCTAATTCCCTGCTGTGCCTTGGAAATTAATACAACGAGGGCAGCATGAGCCCAGCCTTCCTTTCCAAAGTAACTACTTGGATGACAGTCCTATTTCAATATAGCAATCGATGGTTGTTCCAAGCATATCGTGCTCGCATATGGCCCCACGTCACTGTTATAGATTTACCCACACCATCACTGTTTAAGCAACTTTTCTATTTGCAAAGCAGTAGCTAGCCCACCGGAGCATTCAGTTGGCAATATCTCTAGGGTCCTACTTCAAAATAGGGGTTTGTCGAAGTGACATTACAGTATGAAGACGCGTAATGAAATTTGTATGAAGCCAGTAAGTGGGTAAGCCAAGATCCCGGATGTCACAATGGAAATATCGAATGAAAAAGCAGGGAACAATTATTCATCAAGCCAGAAGGAAGATCCACATCGGTTAGCATTCTAAGTGCCCTGAGCTTAAGACAGAGTCGTCAGCATCGGCACTTTACCAGTCCCCAATGGACCAGGCAATCGGCCTTTAGTGGGCCTATATGCAACTAGGGACCAAATAGAAGACCCAGCTTCCGGTTCACAGACCCCCAGCCCCGATATAGCTGGTGGTAGAGGAGTAATAAGTGGAATGAGTGGAAACTGCCAAGCAATGAATAATCGGCGGTTTCTGTCCAAAAATAAGCCAGCAGGGCACGGGAATGATATATAAGACGCTGGCTCTGTGAGTCTCACAGCCAGCAACCTCGTTCAGCTGAAACCAATTTAGAAAGTGTACCTACACTTCATCCACTCGTTCATCTTGATAAAATTCTCCCTGAAGTTTCTCAGACAACAAACATGTCAACCACCACGACCGCGACCACCACCTCGGCCTCGGCCACCTCCAGCTGCTATGCCAAGCTGTACGATATCCCGGTGCATGATGCCGCATGCGCAATGCCGATGAAGAGCAACTTCTCGTCGGTCATGAGCAGCTGCTGTGGCGAGGCATCTGTCGTCGAGTACGATGACTGCGACTACTACTGCTTGGCGCAGGGACAAACTGTTGGCACTCTTGCCGAGTGCCTGGAAAAGGGTTCGGAGGCGGGCGATTTCTGGTGCAACACCAATGCCAATGCTACAGCCACTGCCACAGCTACCGCTACCGGCACTGGAGTCGTGACCCTCGGTGCCACCACGACTGGCGCAGACTCGACAGCCTCTGGCACCTCGACTGGTGCTACTTCGACTTCGACTTCGACTTCGACCTCTGCTGGAATTGTTGCCTCTCGTCCCCTCTCGAAGTCTGCCATTGGCGTTGTTGGTATTTTGCTGGCTGGATCCGCTGCTGGTCTTTTTCTCTGAGCCGACAACTGAGCATGATAGTGATCAAGGAAGTGGCCATGGTGCATCCTCCAAGGGTAGTCGTATAGTGTTGCTAGATGTGGGGCTTTTTGAGTGATAGTTGGGGTGCTGTGATTCTTCTCTTCTCTTCTTTGGTGCGGTATTGAATCCAAGTTCCTTACCCACACTTTGTTAATTCTTTCACCAATGTTATTCGTTTGGAGAGACCGTTCTAAATGCGTAATAGTTTCTCTATTGAAAGTCGCTCGCGTATTAAGGATACCTGACAAGACATCGAGAGATTGTCTGAGTCGATAAGTCCCAAATTATGGAGGAGACTCGTCTATGTACACGGACAGAAGCAGTAAAAGTACAAACCCATTTGCACACCCCGTTTCCCAACCCACGCAGAAATGCGAAATATGGATGCTTTGAGCGCCGGAGTGAAGAGAGATCCGTAATGGAATAATAAAATAAAGAAACAAAAGCCGTTGTAATACATCGCAGGTGGAGAGACGGGAGGTGTGGGGTTATAAACCACCGCCAGTGTCGTTGGGGACCGTAAAGGGTATGAGAGGTCGGTTCACCAGAGGATCATGGGAGGAAAAGACAATTTGCCCGGGAATTTTAGATTTAGAATAAGGCCTTGCGTGCCACCTGTCGGGAGTTAGCGGAATTCATCTTGAGATCGGGAGACGGGGAAAACGTACGGTCCAAGTGCCAGCAATGGAAGCGACAATACCGCCAGAGATCATCATAGGCTTCAAACCGCGAGTACTCTTAAACAGCATTCCACTCAATGCACCCGCGACGACACTGTTCGACGCATCGTGCTTACCACGCGCGTAACCGATTGCCGAGTTGAAACCGTTGTAAACCATCGCGACAACGCCGGCGGAGTTACCGAGGAACGGACCACGGCGGGTAATCGAGTTAAGGACACCGTTCAGACGAATCTTCGGAGGGGCGGTAGATGGTGTCTTGTTCAATCCCTCAGCCAAACCCCATGCACCTCCGATGGTCAGCGCAGCCAGGTATGTGGTGCCAGCACCGTAGCAGAGGTCGTCGGACCAGCCGCGAGAGGGCAAAACTGAGCGGGAACCGGGAGTTTCATCAAGGGCGGTGTCTTCGAGGGAGAGGTAATCGAGGGTGTCCTGGTTCAGGCCAGCCAGGGGATGAAGTCCTGAGGGATCGGGAATGGCGATCTCGGAAAGGAAGGCAGTCGCATCTTGCGCGGTCGATGGGTCGAAAGTGGGAGTCTGATCCTGCTTGCGACCACTGATGGAGTCCCAGATAGCCATGATGAAGGGGGGAGGTCGGTCGATAAGATTACTAAAATACAAGATGAAGAAAGAGATGTCGACGTTCCCTTGAATCACGCAGCTCCACTGTTCTCGCGCCAGCAAAAACTTCGGTCCCGTGATCGGCGGCTCTCGGGGCTCGGATATATAGTGGCGCCGACACTAGCCCTAATATGGCAGCACACGATAAAACTGATAAAAATTAGTGCCTGAGGCCACCGCGGGGATCTTCACGATCTTTTGGAATTTGTGATCCATTCAAATTAATTCAAACGGCTTCAGAACGTGTTGAATTGATTCTCTTGATGGCCATGGACAGCCACTCATCCCAAGGGGTGCAGGTCCCTTCCACTGCAAGCATGGAGGCCATCGCACAAAATATAGAAATTTTATCTGAAAAGACACTAAGAGATATCGCCAAGGGCCCATTGATCAAGTTTACCCTGACGTGTGATGATCAGGAGTGAGTTGCTGTTTCAATTTTACTGCTATGGTTTTCTATGAATACTGACTTCAGCAAGGCAAGTAAATCGAGTATGGCAGTCGCTGAGCAAGACACTATCATCGCCGTCTCTTGATCACCTGCATACAACCGCTGCATGCAATGCGGCATCTGCCTTCCTGGATGCAGCTGCCAAATCTCCAATTAAAGAGACCAAGCAACTTGCTTTGTCGCCAGAAGTATGGCTCGCTGTCTTTAACGTTTTCATGACTAGATATGAGGACGTGAGGCCCAAGCCATTAAAGCAGCTATTGGCCTCTCTCACAACCATCTTGGTCAAGCACTACAAGGGAGAAACCAGAATCATGGTACAAAATGCCGTTCTGCAGTCAATTCTGCCATGCATCATTCTGGGTGAACCACGCTCTCGGTTAAAGGGTTCTCTCGTTTGCCTGGAGATGTTTATCCGAAAGGGTGCCATCTCTCCTTCTGAGTTGATTCCCTTGGTTAGAAGCTGGCTTGTGAAATCTCGGGATCAATGGGTCCCATTCTTTAAGAAGGACCAAGATGCGATCTATCCCGGCGTGTCCGATCCCACAATTATGTCAAGCGAGCCATCGGAGGAAGTGGCAGGAAGAATACTTGTGCTCGGTCTCTTGACCCAAACTAACAACCGTGGCATGGCTGGAACATCAGGTAATATCCTGGCTGCTTTCCTGCAAAAGCTAAAGGCAGAAAGTCCCGAGAAGCAAATGTCGGGAATTTGGATTCATCCTGCGAGACATATGCTGCTGCAAAACCTAGACTCCGTGGAAGTCCTCTCGATCCAAATTATGGAACCCATTTTCAACAGTGACCCAGCTGGCTTCCTGCCTTTCGTTGAAACTCTCCCTTTGCGCAGTCTGATTGCTGGTGATATGACTGAGGGATCACAGTCAGAATATATGCTTCTATTTGTCTCTCTGCAGGTGGGAAAGAAGGTTAATTTGGTGCATGACGACTGTAAGTTTAATTTGAACTCTTTTTAGAATTTCAAAGCATCTAACCATTCTAGATGACTCCTCAAAAAAGGCCAGCTCTAACAATTTGGTCTTGAAGAGTGAGGTTATCGGAAATTTCTTGCTTCACCGAGATCCGACTATCCGAGTGGCAGCCTTGTCACTACTCATTACAGCATTTTCAACATCGAAGCCATTCACGAAGGCTGCCACCAGTGCCATTCTAAGAGGCCTCCCATCTATGCATGCGGACTCTGACGCCTTTAGTCGAGGAGAGATCATGAGTCTTACCCGAAAGTTTATTATACGTTTGAAAAGTGGCATCTTGCTGGAAGAGGGAGCTTCGGCAACACCAAAGACGAAAGTTGGCAATGGCCCTACTACTTCGCCAGAGAGTGATTCTGAGACGAAGAAGTTTTTAGGCGACTATGTTGACTTTATTCAGAGTGATCTTTGTGTCACCGCATCCTACCCTCGTCATATCACCGCATTGAAGGCCCTAAAGCTACTGCTAGAGTCTGGCCTTGACGGACGAACAACCCCCAATCTTATTAAATCCGAAGTCCAGACCCGGTGGAATATCCACTTGGAAGTATTTGACTCTCGTCTTCTCCGATTGCTGGTAGATCTTCTTTTGGATCCGTTCGAGGAAGTTCGACAAACATCTCTCTTGATCATCAATCTGTTTCCTTCCGATATTCTCATCGGGGGTCTTTCGGATGGTGCGAGTCCAGTGGGCATGCGCCTGACGGATGCTCTTACTAGAGCGGAATCCCTTGCAAGCAAGACAAGCCGCGCAGACCATGCGGACACAGTTGCCCGTCTGTACCATATCTTTTTCTCCGCGGCTCCGTCGCAGGCTGCATCTGAGACTACCAATGATTGGTGGGCAACCAAATACTCAGTTGTCGACACTATCCTGAGTCGACTTGAAGAACGCCTTTCTTCTCCCAAGGGATTGTTCAACTCCGCTATGCAACAGGCTCCCCTTCACGGATACATGTCTGGGCTTCGTTACATCATTCTCGTTCCCGACTTTTACTCTCACATTTCGGTGGAGTCCAACCCTTCTACCTGGAAGTCTATTCATGACAGAATTGTTTCGATCTGCGATAGTGTCTGGCAAGAGGTGAAGCCTGTACTCTGCATTGATTCCCCAGAAGGCCATTCCGATCAGCCCCTGGAAGACTTTGAAGTCGGACCAAAAGATATTCTCTCCTACTCCTGGAGATCCTTGCGAGAATCGAGTCTCTTGTTACATGCCACTATGACCAACATAACGTATGGGCCGGCGGGCGATCAGGGTCTTCAGCGAGCCGACTTTGAGAATGTAGGCCGGGTCAGCTTCACTCAGCTGGCTGAACTTCGCCACAGGGGTGCTTTCTCTACCGTGTCCACGACATTCGCCACTTGCTGTCAGCGATGCACTGACTCCAAGGATGCATCCATTCAGGAGCTCCCAGTTCTTTGGTATCAAGAAGCCAAATCCACCATTTTTGAGTCCGCTGCAAAGCTCACTCGACGATCCGCTGGCTTGCCTGCCTTGGTAACTGGCGTTCTTTGCTCCAGCCCTGGAACACCATCCTTCAAGCAGGCATTTAATGAGCTCTACGAGATTTCGCGTCTTCCGGTGGATTATGATAAGGATCAACAGTATTTGAGACTGCCGCAAGTTCACGCAATGAACTGCTTGAAGGACATCTTCGTCAACAACAAGCTTGGGCCCCATACCGAGGCATTCATCATGCCAGCACTCACTCTTTCTGCTGAGAGAATTGGCTCCCCAATGTAAGTGCCTTTCTTGAAACAATGGTCATTTATGTCAGCTAACAGATTTCAGTTGGAATCTTCGCAACTCCGGACTGATGCTGTTCCGCGCTTTGTTGGTTCGGATGTGTCGCTTTGTGCTCGGCACAGGAGCTGGTTTTGGTGGTATATCTGGTTCTGAGCCTGGTTCTAAAATCTCTTTCCCCAAATACCCGGGATTGCTTGAACTGTTGTCCAGTCTTCTTGCACCAATCGCAGGAACCACCGTTGAGGGAACCGACATTGTGACTGAGCGCATTTTCCCTGCCCTGGAATTAATTGGAGAGAAAGTTCCAACATTTGATGATGACGATACCATGCTGCGTGGGCTGGTTCTTGAGCATTTCAAGAGTCCCGTTTGGGCTATCAGAGAGCATGCAGCTCGTGTCTACGCATCATTGCTAACTCGCACCAACATTCTCAAGGATTCATGCGATCTGGTTGATCTTCTGAAGGGCGAGATTACAGAGAACTATCTTCATGGAACAGTGCTCTGTATTCAGTATTCACTTCGCCGCTTTGCAGCCAGTACCGACGTGTTTTGGACCTCCCAGCTGGATGAACTGCTGGCCACTATTCGCCATGTTTTGGCTACAGTCTTCCCATTGGCCAAGTCTCCGTTCGTTGCCACAGCACTGGTCGAGATTTTGAATGACACTTTGGAGCGTGGTGTCAAGACAGATGTTGAAGAGCACATCGTGTCCTTTATCACCAGTGTGTTCGAAGAACATGATCTTAATGGAATACTAAGTGACGTCTTCGACGCCTCGCAAAGAGGTTGGAATTTGCATAGTGGCACTCGAGCTTCATCTCTTTTTAGGAGAGCTCTTACCTGGTGCAAGATATTGAACTCTTTTGCTTCTCATGATTGGAGTTCAATTTCATCTTTCTTCAATGGGGTCGCGGCCTTCGATGCCGATGCTGCCAATTGGATCATTGAAAGACTTCAAGAAACACTTGGGGAGAAAGAAATATACCACAAGCCTTTGGCTGATCTTTATGCCTCAGTCATTTTTGGTGACTACACATCCGACGTGAAAACAGTCGCTGCCTCAAGCTTGGCCTCTATCCTCGAACACTTGTTGAGCTCTCAAGTGAAGTCTATCCCAGATCTAGCACTCCCTTGTGATAACCTGATGCAAAGTTTCAGACCTGATCTGGCCATTGAAGAATGGAACCGTCAGGCTACCGATGCGGAACTTCGCTTACAAGGCTGCCTCCTCGCCATCGAAGTCATTTCAAGTGGAGATCAAAACATGTCTGCATTCAAGTCCACCCTCCATAGCTGGGCTATCAAATTGCGCTCAGCTCTCAGCGAAGAAACCGTAAGTCACGCTCAATCATTCGAAGATAAAATGGTCTAACATGGTAACCTAGGAATTCACAACCCGGTATGCCGCTGTGATGTCTATCCAAAGCTTTTCGCTTGGCCTCCGTCCGACTGGTAGCTCACCTCGGGTTGACGGTCCTCTACTGGACATCTACTTGATTCTGTATGACATGCTGAACGATGACGACGAAGAACTTCGAGATATCGCTGCATCAACTGCATCATGGGTGCTGTCGTATTCTTCCGTTTCGCCCCGTACTGCAGTGGCTCTTGGACCGTTGAATGCCAGCTCGCTTCTTGCCACATTCATTACTGATCACTACTCCGATTCCCCACAGTTGGCCAGACGAGTCATCCGATACCTCACGGGTCAAAATCAGCGTATCAGCGGCTCTGATGAGCAAGCCCAGCTGGTGTCAGTGGCAGATCTTGTTGCTGAGTATTGCCAAGAGAGCACTGTCTTGTTTGTGGAGGAGAAACAGAATCTTTTTATTGACGATGTGAGAGAGATTGACGTATGGTCCAAAGCACTTCTTCATCTTCACAAGGGCGCCTATCCTGAGACTCTGGTTCGCCAATTTTCGAACTGGGTATCTGAAGGTCTGGAGTACCTCTCAAAGCGTGTCAGTCAAGAAGCTGGTCAGGACGGACTTCTTGGTTGGGTTTCGAAGCCCGAATCATTTACTCTGGGCGTCCGCATTATTAGTATTTCCGCTGCACTCGCATCTGATGGGTTCACAGCTCCACAATATCTGGATGTCAATCCTAGTACATTGAAGCAGCAGCTCCAAAAGCTGCTTGATGCTGGCCGAGGTGCCTCGGTGCATGATGACTGGCTTTCAAGGATCACGTCTGGGGTGAAGTCCAACGTTTAAATATCAGATTCGGTATAGACAAAAGCACTTTTATTATTTCGAACCGTTTAATTTTTGCCCATATTTCTAGATCAATATCTCTGCGACCCTTTTGTCTTTCAATGTTGCATCAGTTCATATCCTCACGGTTAAAAATACTTTCCCACGAATTTCATCACCAACCTTGTGACTTTCTCATCCTCTTGATCCGCATTTCCATTTTCTTTCTCCTAAAACCTTTTCGCCCTCCAGAAACTTCAAGTCAAGTGTTCATCATTGAAATCAACCCCACACCCTGGTTTGTACCCTCTTGCGTGATTCGACGGTAACTTCACAACTGTGCTTCATTCCATTGTCTACAATGAAGGGAAACATCCTCGTCACAGTTTTGATCTGTGTTTTTTTCGTCGTGATATTCCTTGGATTCCTGAGCTACTGCTGGTACGCGCGCCATGTTAAAGTTGGTGTCCTGTTTAGCAAAGCGATGGCACCAGGGCAAAGGAGAGTCGGCCGGGATCTTCGGCGTCAAAGATACCGTGGTCAACGGGATATTGAACAACAAGCGCCCCTCCAAGTTCCTCGATACACCAGCAGAGGGTGGTCACGAGCACGAACTCGAAGTCGACCTCGTGAGGGACCCCGTAACCCAGATTACCTGATTGTCGAAGAGGCACGGCCAGGCGAACGTCCGAGAGTCACTCGCTACTCTCCAGGGCGGGTAGCCATGTCCTTCGATTACAACGGCGAGGGAAGGAATCAATATCGAAGCAACCGCCGCTTGCAAAGTGAACTAGAATACCGGAACAGGAACGATATTCTCAGACCCCCAGAAGGCGTTATAACCAAGGAATCCATCCATAAATGGGCCTCCAAAACTCATCCAAATGGATCCGGGTGGGAAGCTGTATCCCATGGTCAGAAAGGAGAGCACCATGCCAGTCGTCATGACGAAAAAGCAGAAAGTCACAAAAAGGAATCAAACTGGGGTCACGGCAACGAAGGTGATCATAAAGAAAAGGCCGGAAGTCACAAAAAGGCTTCCAGCTGGGGTAATGGCAACAATGACAATCAGCCCAAGGGCTCAATCCACAGCCCGAAAAAAGCCGCCTCAAAAGGCAGCAAGGCAGTTTCCACGAAATGGACCCAAGTAAGCAAGAAAGTGAGTCACCAACAAAGAGGAAATGAGGATCACACAATTAATAGAAAATCCAAGAACAGTGACTGGGGCAACTCCAAGAAGAGTGATCACAACAACGAAAACACCAAGAAGGATAACCAGGGAAATGACCCAGACACCTGGGTAAGCGAAGATCATTCAAAAGTGCGAATTGGGATAAAGGAATTGACAATCGCAGGGTTAATATGGAACCTGAGAGCAAAGATCACTGCTCACACAATGACATTGGTGCAACGTGGAATGCTCAACTTGCTAGCAAAGAGGAAACTTCGAAGACAAGACCAAGGCCTTCAATAGGAAAACATAGGAAAGCACATGGTGGCCTCAGAAATTGGTTTGTTAGCAAAAGTTTTATCGATAACTATCGCTGAACGACAATTTACCGGTTCCCGGGGTCTGAAGAAGAGGTGGACACTATTGTCAATAGAGTGATAGAGTGGAGACATGTTTACTCCTAGCCAGTTCTGTTGCATTAACATAATCCGCATGGTTATTTGCTTCAAAGTCTCGTATGCTTTGACTAATCATATAATCATAATGGTAACAAGGCCTACCTAGAGCTCCTCATATTAGCGAATTTGCAAATTCGCCAGCAATTTATTTTTAAATATCACTTTCTCTTCGAATATCGGTTTTAGCAACTCTTACCCACAGCTCAGTAGTCCCGTCTTTGAAGGCTTCTCAGTACTCTTCTCGACAAGCTAAATAGGCCAGTAGGCCTACCACTAATGTCTGAAGTAACTAGAAATAGTATGAACTTGAATAATTTAGGCTGAGAGAGGCTCTTCGTGTGCCCAATCGTCATTGATTGCCCAATAAAAATCGATAGTACCAGCATATCTTGGCAATGGCTCCTCGCACAAGATCCATTGTCTCCTAGATTCGACTCTGTAGGGCGCGAAGGTCATCGGAACGCGATATCAAGTAGGTCATTCTGAAAATTCCACAGTAAGAAGACTGAGGTAGATTGTTGCAATTTCTTATCAACTTTAGAGCACTCTGGTGCTTACAAAGCTTGATCTTCCTTTCCCCTTCGTACGGTAAGCTGTTGTCGGTAAAAATCAAATGGGTATAGTGGAAGATAATAAAGTTTCTGCGATTAAGAGAAACTGATATTGAAAGGTGATAGGGCATTCTTCCGCATGGACTATCAAAATTTACATCTGTGCCAATTTGGAATGTGCCTTAGCATGCCGTCACTGTCCAATTCTGCCTTTTTCAGGTGAGAGGCAATTTTGTGCAGCTTCTTTTACGAAAGTTGTAGACAGGAACAAAGTACAATAATGCCCAGCCATAGACATTGAAGACGATGGCTAAAGCGTATTCTATTGATGACCTCCGGGTCAATTTCATCCCGTGGATGGAGCTTTAGGCATGCCTGACAGTACATCCAACGGCGAGAACTGAAGGATGACCATGATCCTTCTGGAGATTGGAGCATGCTGAGAAAATGACTTCGGGTCTCGACAAATATCAAACGATCAATATCCCCATTGGATTTTGGATGTTGAAACATGCGCTCTTTGAAGATATCCCTGAACCGCTGGTAGAATCTCTTGCAGCTGAGGGCTAAACAGTCCTGCCAGATTTGGGGAAGGGGCGAGAAAAATGATATCCAACAGCTCTCCTGGTAGATACACAATCTGCAGTCTTCTTTTCCTGAACAAAGAGAACTTCAGCAATGCTCGCCTTTGTACCTTCCCTATCATGTTTAAAAGGCGAACGTTCTGAGTTGAGGGTGCTTTCGCAAGTGACCTGATTGCTTGCACAAAGATGGGTTGTGAAAAGTGGTTAGAATCGATTACATTATAGTTTTGAAACGTCCACGCCATACTGGCCGCTGTAGTATCAAGTCCGAGACAAGATACGGATCAAGATTGAGTTTATCTCCGATCTAGCTTGGTACCCACCTTCCAAAAGAAGGCACCTAGGCAAACTACGTGAGCCCAACAAATCTAATATACAGCATATAGCCTTAGGTCAGATAATTGCTTTAGTTACCCAGTTCGTTTTGTTTTGGTACTCCAAAGTTGAAATCTGGGTCTGGTTATCTGATTAGGTGGACTTGAAAGCAAGTTTAGTGACAGTGCGCATTCCAACTCAAAAACGGAATTTTCAAATTCATGGATATTCCAATGCAATGATCAAGCGCTTCATGGCGAGACCAAATTCAAATTCCATCTGATATACAGAGATACATGCAGCATGAACAGGTCTGTACATATGCTTGTTCCTCTCTGGTCGCTATGATTAGCCGTAGTCGGTGACGTTGTGCCCCCGCAGATCCCCAGGCACACAGCTTCCCAACCTCCACCACTCCGCAGAGGCTCGTTTTGCTTGATCTCTCTAGATTCAGAATGTGGGACGATGAGGACAATAACCCCTATGGGGCATTTGACCAGCATGAGGCTCATCTTTCAGACTCGTTGCATTCCGCTGCGCTCTCCCCTCGTAAGTCCCACCTCTCCCCCGGTTCACAGCATGTCTCTGACCCTCGGTAGCCATTTACGAGCATGATTCGACTCCGCCCTCCAGCCGAGATTCCAACCTGGATCCCCCAGACTATATCACTCATCCTGAGGATCTCAGCGATCCCGAGGAAGCCGCCTATGGCGCAGCAAGCGAACAATACCCACGGAAGAATGTTTACGACAGCCGGATTGAGCAGATTCTCTACGAAAACCCCGAAATGCCCATCCTAATCACCGATGCCGGCAAGAATCACGAAGGTGGAGGCAGCTTTATTGTTTATACTATCCGAACCGCGGTAGGTTTTGAAGCTTTGCTAGCTGGATATGCGGCTGAAGGCTGACACCGTCTATTTAGGACCTGGAAGTGCGCCGACGATACTCTGAGTTTGCGTCGCTACGACAGACCCTCGTGAATCTCCATCCCACTCTTATTGTGCCACCCATCCCCGAAAAGCATAGCATGGCCGACTATGCCGCCAAGCCTACCAAAGCGAAAGAAGACACCGCCATTATTGAGCTGCGGAAACGTATGCTAGGCGTCTTTCTAAACCGATGTCGCCGCATGAAGGAGGTTCGGGAGGATGGAGTCTGGTGGCGTTTTCTAGACCCGAACGTCAGCTGGGTAAGTATCAGATATCTACTTGGGCGGACAGTGCTGATTTGAGATAGAGCGAGGTTTTACAATCGCACCCCGCCTCATCAGTCCCGAAGAATAACCTCAAGGCGCCTCCTCTTGATCCAGCACACCCAAGCCAAGCGCACAGCTATCTCCCAGTCCCGTCGTCTTCTGCGAAACTTAAGTCCGGTGGAGTGTCGGGAGCTTCAGGGTCCCCTACATCTCCAAGAGACAGCACAGAAGGCCCCCCTCCGCCGATCCCGGGTCCGGAAATTCTTGGACGCTTCCCACCAGAGACAAGAAAACTAAGTGAACAGGAGTTGGATCCATACTTTGTGAACTTCGAAGCTTCCACCCGTGAACTGGAACTACTCCTGCAAGGAAACATTGAGAGGGTGAACCGCCGAACCCTGTCCCACCTATCAACGTTATCCGCCGACCTGATGGAACTTGGCGCTCGTTATAATGGATTTTCCCTTTCTGAGCAGTCTCCAACCGTAGCCGCCGCAATCGAGCGCATTGGCCAAGCGGCAGACACATCTTACATTGCAACTGAGGAATTGTCTACTGCACTCAGTGCAAGCTTTGCTGAGCCCATGCGGGAAAGCGCACAATTTGCCAGCGTGGTGCGGAGTGTATTACGATACCGGGTTTTGAAGCGAGTACAAGAAGATATGACCCGCGACGAGCTGGCGAAGAAGAAGACTCTGTTGGATTCCCTTGAGCGTAGCGAGCTGGAGGCAAAGCGGATTGAACAGTATCTTAGCCGCACAGACTCTCAATCCCGCACTAAGCAACGTTCCTTGTCTACTTCCTCTACTGTGAGCAGTGAGGGCGACAATGTTGCGAATGCGTCTCCTGATTCTGAGTTTCCTCCTACTCACGGGGAATCGCTCGGATCACCTTCCGCATCCCAGACCGGAAGCAGGAAGCCAGAGCCATCGCCTTCTTCTCCCCCAGCACACCGCAAGACCTCCAGTGGGTCATTTGTCACAAACAAAATCTTTGGTCGCATCAGTCACGCTATTCACGGCTTTGCAGACGTAGATCCCGAGCGAACTCGACGGGATCAGATCGGAAAGACCAAGGAGAGTCTCATTCAGGTATGTGGGCCGAGAGTGGCGAAGTTAATGTACTCAATAGAGTTCTAACAATATCCACAGCTGGAGCAAGCGTTGGAGGTATCAGAGAAGGATGTGAAAGACGCTAGTGCAGGGGTAATGCAGGATCTGCGACGTTTCCAGAAGGATAAAGAAGGTGATCTTCGGCGTTACATGGTATGCACCTCTCTTCTCCACTCCCTGCAGACAGCTAACCGTTCCGTTTAGGTCGCATATGCGCGCTGTCACTTGGATTGGGCTCGCAAGAACCTCGAGACCTGGACAGAAGCTAACGATGAAGTCAACAAGATCGTTGCGCGTTAGACTTCTACCCTCGAGTTCTACTCCCAATCCTTCCGGCGTCGATGGTGTTCGGTTCTATCATGTTTGGCGGAAAGCATTTGATATAATCCTCCTTTTCCAGACTAGCGATCATGTTTTTGCCCGATTAAATTCACCAACCGTGGCTTACATATGCTCTATCTTGTCCTTCTCTTGTAGTCCTGGCCTCCTTTTCCTCGGGGTTTCCTAACGCGACCGTAAACGACAACGCCTTTGTCTTACCCGGGTTCATTTGTTACAACCCTGTAACCCCATATTGACCACGAACACAAATATTGCAACGATGTCTTAGGACCCATCGAAGGGCTTCCCTATTTCCAAGTCAAAATTCAATGTGTTCGTCGTCTATCACGGCAGTCCCTGGCTAAGAACCATGGGTCCTTGGGACGGGAATGGGCAAGGGCGTTTCCTGACATTCTTTAAGTGGAGCCACCAAGGTCCACTCCCGTTGGTCAGTTATCTCCTAAGTGGATGATAGACAGGGCATCGATCAGCGCAGACCTCAGACAAAGACTGATGCCTTCCAATCCCTTGCAGCGTGTCAACCGGTTTATACCCAGCCATGAGACAACCTGAATGTCAGACAGAATTCAATTTCTACGCAATCAACCCGCACAAAGACATCATGCATAATTAATTCAGCGATCGCTGTAGCCTATCCCGCGCTAACAAATCAATTGAGCGACATATCCTTCCGTGTTCATCGGCCTAAGTAGCAAATTGCTTCAAACTTAGCTCCTGCGGAGCTTCCAGGTTTCTCCGCATTCCGTGCCTTGCAGTGCATACCCACAGGTGGAACCTGATATTGGGTGGACCGGGTTGCATCCCTCACGGCGAGCCCCTCGGACAGGTCCCCGCATCGCGAAATCCACCCTACCGAGGTGGCACGCCGTGCGTCGCGACTGAAAACGATGAGTGCCTAGATCCATGGCGGGCAAGATGATCGTCAGGAGTGGCCACTTATCACGGCCGGCAAAGCCGCCTGGAGAGGTCGAGAATTTCCAACAGGGGTGGTCTTTGCGGTCTCTTTGGCATCTATCAATTCCTCGACGTTGGATCAAGATGTTGATTTTGGTAGGTTTGGTTTGTTTCTTCTCGCTTGCACTTGGTCTGGGCTTGAACCAGAATCAGGTTCGCGATCTTGGGCAGGATAGTGGCTTTCAGGATGATGATGTTTCCCATTTCCCTCCGCCCAGACAGACGGGTCAGAAAACTCATGATCCGACTATTCTGAAGGTTGGGGATGAGTTCTATCTGTACAATGTTGGTGAACATATCTATATCCATACCGCGCCTTCCATGGCCGGTCCATGGAAGCATGTTGGCAGTGTGCTGGATGCCAACAGTGTCATCCCCAAGGGTGATCGTGCTGTTCCTTGGGCGCCGACGGTTATCGAATTTGAAGGTGTATACTATTGTTATTACAGCGTGAGCAAAGCTGGCTGCCGTGACAGTGCTGTCGGGGTGGCAACATCCAATTCCCCTGGACCTGGCAAATGGCATGACCATGGCGCTGTTGTTCAGACTGGAACGGGCAATGGATCTGATGTGTCGCCATACACTATCTCAAACGCCATCGATCCTAGTGCACTGGTCCTGCCCAATGGTGAAGCTTACCTTACGTTTGGAAGCTACTGGACTGGTATCTACCAAGTTCCTCTTGGCAAAGACATGCTCTCACCTAAGAGTACGACTCAGCCCGATGCTCGTCATCTCGCCTACGAGCCCAACACCCTAAGCAGCCCCAACCGCAATGCCAACTCACTATGCGGTGACCCAACTGGGCCCCACGCCATTGAAGGAGCATTCATTTCCTACCGCGATGGGTATTATTATCTCTGGTTCAGCCATGGAAACTGCTGCAATTTGCATGCGAACAATCTTCCTGCCGCCGGCAAAGAGTAGGTCTTTCCACACCACTCTAGCTCATTCTATACTAATCCTCTCATAGATATAGCATTCGCGTCGGACGGTCCCAGAATCCCCGTGGACCTTTCGTCGACAAGAGCGGCAAGGACCTGGTTGACGGTGGCGGCACCGTCATCTACGGCTCTAATGGCGAAACCTATGCTCCGGGCGGCCAAGGGGTCCTACAAAACGGCGGGACCGACTTTCTCTACTACCATTACCGTGAGTACAATGGCCTTATTCACACGCACATTGCCATTCTAACACCGACACAGAAAATAAAACAATTGGCGTGGCATTTGCAGTAAGTCATCCCGGCACGCTTGTGGATCTCGATTAGTACCCGCCAATGTCGATCCTCCTTCATTCCCCTTCCCTTCCCTTTCCACGCCCAATCCCATCCACTCCACTATTGCAAATCTGACATAGCTCCAGGATGCCCTCCTTGGCTTCAGCCCACTAGAATACGTCAACGGATGGCCCGTTGCACAGCCATAATCAAACGTCACTCATTTTACCTGATTCTTCAACTCCACCCGCCACATAATCGATTCATAATCCGATGAGGTCAATCTCGCCTCTCTTTCCTTCTTCGCCGTCGAATCATTTGGAATGCCAATCCCGCCGCTCTTTATCTCATATAGACTTTCGGCTTGTCTCTCATTACATGCGCTTGCGCACTGATCGTCCGATCCGAGATCGACTGATATACATACTGGGGAGATTACATGTTTCGCTCTCAGCAAATACTGTTTGTTTAAGGGTATATAATTTTCTACCTTTTAGACCTGGGGCGTTTTGATGTTTTTCGTTGTATATATTCTAAGGTTGGACTTGCATATAGAGGGTTGAGGGACTTGGTCTAGAATCGAAAATTCATACACGAAAGTCTTATTGAAGAGTTATGCATATTTATATTGGTACTCTATACGCATTGAGCATTGATTGGGTTTGAACCTTGTTGTCTATACAGTAGGTAGCCTGGCAGGAAGATAGATGCCAGGCTTGTTATGACAACCTTGGAAGCCCTGGAGGATATCTGAAAATCAGACTAGTAGAACTGAATTACTTCAGTTAAAGGATGTCAACTGTTGTGATTTATACTCAACTTCCAAGACATACATACATATGCGTATTTTCTTTGTTTCCTTGTCCAGGCCTTTCATAGATATATATAAACAGAATTCGCCAAGAAGCACGAGGAAGCCCACTAGGCCTGTGAACTAACATATTTAGTATGTGAGAAGGTGTTTGGTCATTAAGCGATAGGTAATAAGTTCTCATGTGTGGCCGTGACCTCCAAAACTATCTCTTAGCAATACTTTGCCAGAATGGTGGTGGTCTGATAATCCGCTCGCGACACTTATTAGTTGGATACTAGCTCAACGCCCATATCGAATTTTTTTGTTGTAGATCTACGGCGTTGAAGTCACTCGGGGTCACTCTCATAGTTCATAGAAGCAGGAAAGTAGGTACGGCCATGGAGGTTGTAGTTCAAGGTAGCGCTAGCGAAAGACTGTTCACACTGTGCGTCCCTTGAATGGCGCAAAGGGGTTCGGAATTGAATAGGAGGGTTCAATTGAACACCACAAAGCTGAATGAGCACTCTCCCTAATTAAATTCAAAGTGTCACAGTATTCAAGATTTGGAGAGTAATTGTATTGAGTACATACCCAAGTACCTACTTGCTCATGTTACTCTGTAGACTACGCTGGAATGTGAAGGTCATTTGAAGAGTGATACCCACTAAGCTACCTTTTCTTCTTTAAATCATGACTAATGAATCGCTATCTCGTATATTGACGGGCATTAAGCGTGACGCGATGTCCTTTAATACTTGAGATGGCATTTTGTCTGTATGCCAATGACTGCGCTACTTTGAACGCGGTTAGTGAGGGTACTCAACTAATCTGGCGATGTTCAATTAAAGGGCACCATAGACTACTAGAATAGCGTTACCAGTCTTAACATCAGTCAGATTACGAAATCTTGGGTCGACGGGAATACGAGTTCAAAAAGCTCGGCCAAGTTAGTGCGTATAAATTTTAAGTTCCAGTATCCACATCGCATGTACGGTAGCTATATGGGGCAAGGTCAACCTTATCTTGTCGTCTTAGATGTCCTAAAAAGGTTCCCTACTCCGTACACACGCAAAAACCCCGAGGTTTCCGAACCATGAGAATTCGAATCCATTTGTGACCTTATTCACGAAATCTCACCTAGCAAGTTGATATAATTGACCCTTTCACCTTCAAAGATGAATTTCCGGACCGAGAAAAATTGTCCGCCTCCTTACACGTCTCGTCGGCTAGAACGCCAAAATACTCCAATGGACGCTGGCCAAGCCGTTTATGCATTTAACAACGCTATCGATACATAACCATGTCTACGGTGCTCGGTCATGCTATTCTTAGCTTCGCAAAACATTGCCATGAATTACAAATTGAATGACGAATTAGGGAGTCTGACCGAGACTGGGCTTCCACGTTGTCGGCCCCCAATTGACCCACTCCGCGTGGGCCTAGAGGCGTCCACTGCAGGACTTGAGACAAGTTTACGTAATGGCGCGGAAATGTGAGTTGATTCTCCGCGGGCAAGCAAATACACGATGGCCTTGGAAATGAAGCATTGCAGGCCGGACATTAGATTGAAGAGATGGAAGGAGGAGTTAATCGGTGGAAAAGCCGAACCTTGGAAGCGGATCAATTATGAAGCGGCTCAATTACAAAGCGGTTCAATTATAAAGCGGTTCAATTTCGGATCAATTTGAAGGAGCTCAATCACGAAGCGGCTCAATCAGGGGTCGTGATATCAAAAATTTGGCAGCGAAGTTGCAGTCTCTAGATACCACTTGTTTTCCCGTTAAACTCATCTTACGAAGACTTTGTCCCGAGACCAATCCTCCGGTGAGAATGATGTCAAGCTTGACAATAAAGATCTTGTTGGTATTGCTAGATATGCAAGAGCTCTGACTGTCCAATCTATGAAAAATTTGGCATCACAAGGCGGGAGAATTAGCACGCCATGTATCACTAGCATCGCTGGGTGCAAACGCAATTTTTTATTCAGTCTCTCACGGACCAACTTCATTTGGCGGATCATAGGCACTTGATACAAACCCTTCTTGGAACAGGGAAACCAGGGATCCGTGCAACAAGTATCTCCAATCAAGTGGAGCAACAACGTGGGAGAATCCATGCATTTAATTTATCCCAGCTGCCAGCCGTAACTGCCGGCATATGCAGAGTGGACCTTCTCGTGTCTCAGAAACAAGAACATCCCTGCGACAGGCACCAGCCGCGATGCTTTGCTATCAATCTGATTTCAATTCATGGAAATCTGACCCAATACATTGAGCGACAAAAGCATTTTCCATGGGGATCTAATGAAGGAAGTGGAGGAATGGGAATCTGACAATATCAAACAGTATCTGAGATAAATTATTTATATGTACATGCAGGGGTATCTAGACTTTTATGAATGTGCTTTACTGTCTCCAACCACACTTCTTGGGAAATGACGTGGCCCATCTTGTGAGCGACTATCATGCGAACGGTCATTCAAAGATCCCTCATCCCCATCTGACCTTTGATCCATCTGCGTGAGTGGATACTCGATATCCACGTCGTGTATCCGGTCGAACGTGTTATTCTTGCTCAAGATGGGCTTTGGACCCGATGCTGGCTGCGTAGAGTATCCAGCTTTGGCACTGGCAAACAAAGTCGGAAACACAGCCTTGACGATAGGTCGAAGCATAGGTGCACACGAGTTTCCAATAGCGAGAGCCGGCTCGGTAACACTCCAGAATGCAGCCCAGATCATAGAGTAGGGAAGGTCATTGAAGTCGACGGTCGTGAGGACACGGATGCGGATGATTGTGATAGATGAGATACTGTGACCCATCATATTAGTGCGTGGGAGTTGAAAGGGGGGATGGTCAGACTTACAATGCACCCAGACCAAAGATTCCATACAAGGCCATCTTTGTTCCAATCGACATTTGCAACTTCCAGATAAAACGGATGGGCAATGCCATGATCATCACGTCCGTGAGAAGATTGAACGCGCCGATGGTTGAGAAAGCCACATTTTGACTGGCACAGTGACCTGGCACGTCGCTCCAATTCTTCTTGAAAGGCGTGCAAATCAGGAAAATTTGGAGCACACTACCAAGCCAGTATGCCGCTGCACATCCCATACACACCCAGGTAAGGATACGAAACTCCCTCGTAACGAAGATGCGAAGGTAGAAGAACAGGTAGCTGAACTTCGCCAAGACCATCGCGTTATAATAAACGATTTGATAGATCATCAGCATCTTAGCGATCAGGGTGATATTCGCTAGTGGAAGAACCCCAACATGATGCCGCATCCCGATGCGAGCGTAGTGGAATTGCATTGCAAGCATACCATATGTGTGTAGCATGGCCGCAACACAGAATACATCATCCCACCAGATCTTGCTTCGTCTCAAACGTCGGGAGTAAAACCGCAAAACCACAAATAAGGTGGCACCGGCGACCAAGACAGTGTTGGCAATAAGCTGGTCCCGGACGATGGGGTGGGTGAACACATTGTAATACTGCATTGTGCCAGCCCTGTACTAGGAAGTGACCCTCCAAAAGTACCCACCGAGGAGATAGAAGTAAAAGCCGGGGATGTGCAATAACTTAAATTAAAGCTGTCATATCGGCAGGAGAAAATCTTTTAATCTTGCCGAAGCTAAAATTTGACAGGGGCATGTCAGAAACAATGGCAGGAAAAGCAGCGATCGGCAGGAGGCAATAGGCTTGGTTGGTTGGCGGGCCGTTACACAGCGGGCCGAAGGATTCGCCCGATGGATTTGAGGGCTGAATCCTATGTTTCTTATTGGTGCGGGCTATAGGCTCACTTCCACCTTGCCTTAGTTCCCACACTAACAACCCACTACTGGAGGAACTAGTCTTGTTGAGGGTACAACGGACGCGAATCGCCGAAACGTCTTCGGGGGGTATCCGGGCTTTTCATCCTTGTGCCGTGCCCCTCATAAGCGGTGTCATTTTTCCCTCCCCCCTGAATCTCGCCCCCAGATCAAAAATGGATGAAGAATACGACTACATCATCATTGGTGCAGGCATTGGTGGTCTGGTCCTGGCGAATCGGCTGAGTGAAGATGCTGATGTCAAGGTCCTGGTCATTGAAGCCGGCCCAAATCATATCGGCGATCCGTTTATTGACACACCTGGACTTTTGTCCACGCTATATGGAAACCCCGATTATGACTGGGACTACATGAGTGTCCCGCAGGTAGGGCCAATGGCCTCCACACCTCGTATCAATGCTGACAATGCAAGGTTCATGCGAATAACCGCCAAATTGGACAACCCCGCGGCCGCGTCGTTGGCGGCTCCTCCGCTTTGAACTTCTCTGTGGTCATGTACCCCACCGCATCGAATTTCCAGGCCTGGGAGGCATTGGGAAATGCTGGTTGGGGTGCAGAGAACATGGCTCCCTACCTTCGGAAATTCCACACCTACTCCTCGCCAAGCGAGGCCACCGCAGAGCTCCTGGGTACATCTCGGTATATGAGTGTGGAGAAGCAAGGAACCAGCGGACCGATCCCTATCTCTCTGCCTGACGTATTTGGCCCGTTCAACAAGGCTTGGGACGAGACATTTGCTGAGCTGGGCTGGCAAACGGATGCCGACCCCATTGAGGGTCGGAAGCTGGGTGCTTTCACATCCCCTCTGACGGTGGATGCTGAGAAGGGAAAACGAGGTTACGCGGCGGCATACTATTCCCCCGAAGTGGCCGCACGACCAAACCTGACACTCATGGCGGAGACCATGGTGCAGAAGATCGCCCTCGCCGAAGAAGATGGGGAGGTAGTCGCAAAGGGTGTGCATGTCGAGACTTGGAAGGGTAAATTCCAGATCAAGGCTAAGAAAGAAGTCATCGTCTGCGGAGGCAGTTTGAATAGTCCTCAGGTTCTCGAGCTGTCTGGTATCGGCAACGCAGAACTTCTTCGCAAGCACAACATCCCTGTCGTGATTGATAACCCTGCCGTTGGAGAGAACCTTCAAGACCACGCCCTTACGACTATTAACTTCGAGATTGCCGATGGCCAGATCTCGGGAGATATAATGCGTGATCCCGCTGTGGTCGAGTCATTGATCAAGCTCTATGAGCAGACACACGCAGGTCCGCTGGCTGGTATGCCTATCAGCATGGCTTATCTTCCCCTCGTGGATGGCAAAGGTGTCGTCCCCAGAGAGGAAGCCGAGAAGCTCCTCTCTAAGTACCTTGATCAGGACGATATTCCTGCCAACCTGCGCGCGCAGTATGCTCACCTCCGCAAAATTATTCTTGACCCCCAGGACGCATCACAACATTTCCTTTTCCTTCCTTCACAGCTTCACATGAACCCGGGCAAGACTACTCTCTCTGATGTGCTGGAGAAGAAATTACCCGAGAACTATGTCTCCATCATGCTGCTGCACAACCACCCCTTCTCGCGTGGATCGGTCCATATCGCGTCCGCAAGCAGTGATGATAAGCCAGTCTATGATCCGAACCTTCTTTCCCACCCACTAGATATCGAGCTTATGGCTCGGCAGATGCAGTATGTGGACCAAATCTCCACAACAGGACCTTTTGCTGCCCTTCTTAAGCCTGGCATGCGCGAACCAGAAAACACAAAGAATTTGAGTGATCTGGAGCACGTGAAGGAGGTCGTGAAGGAGCGTCTATACACTTGTTTCCATCCCGCAGGTTCTTGTGCCATGTTGCCGAAGGAGCTTGGCGGTGTTGTTGACTCTAATCTGAAGGTATACGGCACAAAGAATTTGAGAGTTGTCGATGCCAGTATCTTCCCTCTTGAAACAAGCGGAAATATTCAAGCGACTGTTTACGCTGTTGCGGAGAGGGCAGCTGATTTGATCAAGGGTCAGTGTTAGTGTTCTACTTGGATAATTCGAGTCGAGAGGACCATGGGCTATATTCCCGTTGAAGTAAATAAGTAGTATATATATGTTATATCTCTAAATAGCTGTATGAATCGATTTTTAACGAACCTTTCCAGAGGTGACAGAACAAAGAGAAAACACGGTTCATAACGCTAAGAGATATTGATAACCATCATAGCAAGTCTTCAAATCACGTCCTTTTCAATTCCGAGGTTAGACCCATAATTCACTGCTTCTCCCCAGACTACACATACCCTTTACATGTTCCTTCTTCCCCTGCTTCTTTTGAAATAAATCTGTTATTCATCACAGTGAATCACAATCATTTTTTGCCAATACAGCGGGGTATCATCCATGCTATTGGGGTATCACAAGTTTTTCCAGGGTCCCTGACGTAATATTTTGAAGGCACAATGAAATCCTGATCAATGATCCTGACTGGATAATATCGTATAGTCACGTCTCCACTTCAATGTCTAATAATGTATAATCTAATCCCCGGGTGCCAAAAAACACCAAAAATACAAAGAAGAAAGCAGAAACAGGAAAACAAGAGACTAAAGGTACACATCAACACAAGCCAATAAGAAAGCAATATACGTATACTTCATCCATGGACCTCAAACCTCTGTTTCATCCTCGTCCATTGGCTCGGTTGTCTCAAGTTCACCATGGCCATCAGAACCAGAACCTTCATCGGTCTCCACGCCAGGAAACAACTCGAGGGACTGTTCCCATCCCGCCAACATCGCATTCTGCCGAGTCACGATATCCACATCCCCCTGCCTGGCAAACGTGTTGAAATACATAAAGCGTTGGCGCCTGGGCATCGATGGATCGGCATCTGGCTCTGATTCGTCTACATCCTGCGTGAGGAAGAAGTTGCCTGGTTCATGTCCACCATAGCCATATCCATAATCCACGGGGGAAACGTCCATTATATTTGTACTAGCAGTTGGGATTGTAACATAGCGTGAGGCGGGACCTGAACCTCGGGCAGGGCCTCCGCGTGCAGCAGGGCCTGGGATCAAAGCAGGGCCGTGGTGTGAAGGTAGGCCAGGACGCAAGGCTAAAACAGGACGGCATGGTGGACTTGGAAGGGACGGATGGACTGGAGAGTGCGGCGACACTCGGCGAGAACGTCCACGTAACAGTCTTCTTCCTCTTGGTGGATCAGGTAACAGGTCTGCAGCCGGAGCAACGGGGTGATGCTCATCGTGTCTTCGGAGCCGATTCGACAACGAATGCGGATGTCCTGTCATCGACATTTCCTCATCCGACGTCACAGCTACCGACTCATCCAGCTCTTCAGCCCTCGAAGGACGTAAGACCGCAGCAGCTTGTGCTATCGGAACGGCTTTGTTCTGACGTCGAGTGCGGGATGCCAATGGGTACTCATTGTGGATGGACATGTCATCGGAGGTGATGGCGATAGACTCTAGGTCATCTGTATACGATGGGCGCAAGCCGGACGCGGCTTCTGCGATGCAAATATCAGTGTTCTGGCGGCGGAGACGGGTGGACAAAGGATTCTCGTTGGTGAAAGACATGTCATCTGAGGTGATGGCGACGTCTTTTGAGTGCACATCATCATCCGGTTTGAATGGTCGGTTTATAAGGGGGAGGTTTGAGGAACCGGGCTCCTGGGACATGGTGAGAGCAAATAAATATCAAGACAGAAATACTTCTAAGATGTTTGGAATGGACAGTGTGAAGGATTTGTATTACGGAACACGATTCTAAGTCGTAACGTCCGAGAAACCAGGCGCACCTTCCTTTCCTGCTTCTTTCCTTCTCTCTTCTTCACTGCGCTGCGCAATCTTTCCCCTGCAGCTGCGATCCACACCTTTTTTGTATTTCCGTGATAAACGCCTATTCACCCGGTAAATGACACAACATACATGAATGGGTCGGGGAACGTGTAATGTGTGCATAAGGGACATGAGAACATTGAAACATTGGGACATGATATCAGATACGAATCGACAGATTCGATTAGGGTAACGAAACATTTTACTTCTCGTCCTCACCAACACGAAGCTCAACGACAGGCAGCTCGTCGTCAGAGCCATCGCCAAGGAGGGTGGGGACATCCTCGAAAGTGGAACCTTCGTTGTCGAGCTCCTGAAGACGATCTTCGGGCTCGGAGTCGCCATCTTCGACGGCGACATTGCTATCATTGTCTTCTCCGAACAAGTCTTGGTCGTTATCAGCAGAGTCGTCAGGTCGGTTAAATGACCATGAAGGCTGGCTGAAGACGCTGCTCATCGGGTTGGTCTCGGCTTCCTCCACCGACTCCGGCTCGGACTCCTGCTGTTGTGGCTCCTCCATCTCGACCTCGACGGCGGGTTTCGCGGTACCATTGCGGTAGGCGTTCACGATATTCTGGAGCTCAGGGCTACCCAGGGGACCAGCAGACTTGCGACGGTAGAACAAGAGGTAGGCTGCAGGACAGACGACAGTGTCTTCGGGGTTAGAGATGACAGTAGCCGAAGTATCTAAGTTACCTTCATTAGTACATGAGATGAAAGGGTGTGGGTATAAACAAACCATTAAAGGAACACCAGTCACCAGTGACCCAATTCTTGGCATAAGCGAAGTAATGTCCACCAGACATGGTGCCAGAGTGGCAGTCAACGCCGAAAAGATCATACTCAAATGTCTTGCCATCAGTGGGCCCGGTCACATGCTTCGACAAGTCCAAGTTCTCAATAGGGAAATGGACCAAGGTGCTGAGCTTCGATCGAGAGGTCCGGTTGGCAGACCCGAGTTGCATAAAGCGCTTAAGGTGAATGACAAGAATGTCGGGAGCATACCACAGCTCGAACTTCTTGCTGGCCTGTCGGTGCTCCTTGCAGCGAGGACAGTACCAGGCATCATTCTGAGAAAGAACCTCTTCCTTGCTGAACTCGTTCAGGCACTCCTCCAGCTGAATTCCCTCCTGGCGCTTGGCCTCACGCTTGGCACGGCGCTGGGCAATTTGGGGATCGTGGATAAATTCGGGCTCGTTGAAGGTGGGCTTTCCTTGCTTAGAGTTCCGCTTGTTGTTGCTACCGCCAAATAGAGCGTGGCGAGCTGAATCAGTCCAGTCAAGGATGATAGCCTCGCCAGAACGAATAAGCGGCTCATCCTGCAGTCCAGTGGCCGAGTTTTCGGATTTGTCGGACACGCTGCGGTTGTCGCTGTTGTCGTCATCAAAGCCATTGAAGCTACTCTCGGAGTTTTGCTCAGATATTTCGGATGTGACGCGAGAAGTGATCAATGGGTAGTCTTTGTAAGAGTCCATCGAACGGCCCCGAGGAATGGGCTCATCAGTCGTCATGTATTTGACATCGAAAAGACCCAAAAGACGCTCCGAAAGGGAAGATGCTTGAGAGTGAACAGGGGTATCATCGGTGAATTCTGTGTTCTCGGTGGAGGCACTTGATGCGGGCGAGGCATCCTGCATCGAAACGTCAACAATGCTGTCATCTCCTTCGACGGATGATGTCTTGATTTTCGAATCCACAGACTCAGCATCATCTTCATTCATCACCACAGTATCCGAATCTTCGGCGCCCTGTTCATCCTGAGCTGGTTGTGACTGCTGGCCGGTCGGGCTCTGCTCGTTCAAGATATCCCGAGTGGTCATGGTGGATACATGGCGCATGATCTTGCGGTAGATTGTGGCTAAGTCTCGAGCCTCCTCTCGGGAAAATGAGAGAATGGTAGGGCATGCAAACTGCTCATGGCGGAGCCGGTTCTTGTTGCCCTTGATTGGCTGGTTCTTGCGGTGGAACACGGGTACAAGGATGCGATCCTCTGAAACAGGAGTGTCCAACTCCATAAAGGTCACTGCATCATCGGCCTTCAGACGAAGCTCGTGATAAGACAAAAGCTCTTTGTTAAAAACTTGCCAGAAGCCGCCATTGTTCAATTCAGCTCCGATCAGTCTCTCAGCGGGAATGCCAGTTCTCTTGGCGACCGCGTCATTGAAGTTCTTGACGGTACCAGTGTTGTCGACTTCAACGGTGAACCGAACTGGAGCAGAATTGATAGGCAGGAAGATCACATCGCGGCAAATGATGTTTCGCTGGTCAGGGATGGGCAGAGTGAAACTGCTGAACGGATCGAACATGATGCTGACTTTATCACATTCGGGGCAAACCAGAGTGGATTTGTACATGCCAGCAAACAAATCCGTGATCACGGAGTCATTCCGAGCCTTGTAGTTGTCCCACGATTCCTTCGCGAATTTCTCTAAAGCCTTGCGATTGTGCACCATCTCATCCGTGGAATCGGGCTTTTCGATGTAAGGCTTCTTCAGAACTCGGTTGAGATCCTCAGAAAGCCCATCCAGGGCAAACATAAGGAATTCTTGGCTGTCATGCTGTTCCCATCCAGCCATCATAGGATTGTTGCGACCAACCTGGTTGCGAAAGCGAGTGGGGGAAAAATTGCTGGACGCAGGCTCACGGTACATCTGAGTGATCAGGTGTGCATATGCCCTAGCGAGGTCACCGTGGTATCCCAGAGGGTTGGTGACATTCAGATCAGGTAGGTGCCCGCTTTTCAAAAAGTAAATACTCAACTCCTCCACTGCGCGCATACATTGTGTGGCGGCATTCAGGTAGCAGGTGTTGCCCAAATTGGTGAGACCAGTGCGACCCAATTGGTGACCCTTCGGCTTTTTGCCATGTGGCAAGTCTTGGACTGGAGTCGATCGACCACTGGGCGCGGGGCTTTTGATGGACAAAACGGCAGCGGCAGGTGAAGCCACTTCTCTCTTCGGCTGTTCAGTGGGGATTCCGAGGCGCTTCAGAGTCTTTGCAGAGACTTCTGACACCCACTCATCCTTGCCAACCCCCTCCTCAAGTACAACAGTGTCAGTTGTACCAAGGCCGGCAACGGTGACTGTCATGGTGCGGCCGTTGTAGTTGGGGTTGTTCGTTTGATCCTTGATTTCCACTAGCTCCCGTTTCGAGTCAGGGAGGGATAGGAATGTGTTGAGGTCGACAACAAGGTTCTTGTGTGTGGCTGTGATAAGGCCTGCCGGGGGTGCGGGCGACGCAGTGCGAGAGGGTGCTGGGGTGTTGGCAGTCGAGGCATTGGCGCTGGGGATGCCACCAGCAATTTTCCACACACGGACTTTGGTCGCGATGTCAATCCCGGCCAGCTCCTTCGCCTGCTTCAACCACTTCATGAACTTCGTCTGGCGGCCTGTCAGCACTTTTGCTGGAGGGAGATTCTTCTCCTTCAAGACCCTTGGGGTCATGCCCGCAGCCGGGTTGGAGACTTTGAAAACGGTGAGGATGGGCGGATTGAGTTCATAGATAATATTTGACGGGCCATCGGGATTCGTTTCGTGAGCAAAGCGAGTGATGACAGGCGATCCATCAGCGATGCCGTACCACTTCATGATAAGATCCCAAGCTTCCTGCGGGGCAATCTCGTAATCTTCGCCGAATTGTAAACCCGGTCGCATCGGAACATAAACCTCTCCTTCTTCATCCCTCAAGTCATCTTTGGGGCCGATATCAAGGACGATGTCGGTGTTGTCGAGCGGGCCCAGCTCGCTGTCCAGGGCTTCCTTGCTCGCCTTGTCGGCATGAGTGGAACTCCGAGCAAAGACCTTTTGCAACCAAGAATAAGAGATCACGAACCCCTTCTGACCGTCCTTCAGCGGCTTCGCTATCAGCTCAGAAACCTGCGCCACCTGGTCATCGATCGGGTTCGAGGCGCCCTTGCCGACTGTGCTCACGCCGCCTTCGAGGTCGGAGTCTTCAATCTCCGAGGCAGGGCGTTTCTCGCCAGGAGAGGGCTCACGGCCATCGCCATTTGCGGTGATGGTGTCACGGGGCTCGGATTGCATATCGGAGTGGTCGGAGGAGAGGGTAAGGTCGGCGGTGGCGGTCGCGGGGGTCGGCGAACGGCCACCAGACTGAGATCGAGGACTGCGGGTTTGTTGAAGATGGGCAGGAACGTAGCGTCGAGGGGACAAGGATGAGCTTTGGCTCCGTGAGTTGGAGCGAGAACTCTGTGGCAAGTTGGATGTAGACGGTTGGGATCTGCCGTGACGTCGTGCCTCTCCTGGGTTACTGAGAGGCTCCGGGGAAACTTTGCGACGCTTTGTGGAAGACGTCGTGGCGGAGAGCTGCGCAGGCTGCGGCAGCTCGAGGCAATGGACAAAAGGAAAAAGAGAGGCAAATGCTGGAGAGACGATGTACACGAGGGTTCGAACCCCAGATCCTTCTTCTTTTCGTACCAGAGTGGGGACGAAAAAACGAAGTACTGGAAAATTCGAAGGTCGCGATGGCAGAAAATTAGCTCGCGAGTCGGGTTTTTTTTCCGGGCCGAGACCTTACAGTAACAACAGCAACAGCAGTAACGAATTTGAAGATTTGGAATCAAACAAGAAATAACAAAATGGGGTTCGGAAATGGAGAGTGGTATGAAGAGAGAAAATGAAATGGGTGGAAGTTGACGTCTTTCTAATATTCCAGAGTGAGCTGTGAATGTGATCGTGGGAGACAGTGAATGACACCCTTACCATAACGGTCAACAACCCTTAGGGTTTCTTCCAAGCTGGGGTATTAGTTCACTTCATTGCTTGAATGGGCATAACTAATCACTAAAGTCACAGTCGTCCATTTCTGATCACCTGGGGTTCACTAAAGAAGCTTCTCACGCATGCATCAAGTCGCTGACTCCTTTCATGACCAAAAACCCTGTGACTTCCTTGCCCTTGTTATCATCATTGAATAATCCTATCCTGTCCTGTATAGCCTCTGAACCTCCAGGTACTTTCCCATCTTCTCAAGTTCTCACAAAACATCCCAGTCAGAAGAAGGCGGTGATCATGGTTGACTGGACTATGTCAGTACACAACATGAAGACCTTCAAATGCTAGCCTTGACTTACCGGTTTCAAAAGACTTGTCATAGCAAACGACTGTGTTCTTAGTGATCAGACTTGGGCGAGGATTCACGGGAGTCATTTGGCGGCGTGTAGTCCTTATCCGAGTCGTCGTTGTCAATCCAGGCAGGGTGTCTCTCGACACTTCTTTTCGCATCACGGGGGCGTAAGTTGTAGCGTGGTCCTTGAGCTTGTCTGATGAGCTCAGCAGAGGGGGCATCAGACTTGGACTTGGGGGGAAACAAATCTCTGGCTTGCTGGAGCCGTTCACTGGTGTATGCCATGGCAACAGGCATGATGAAGGGAGGTGATGGCATGAACACAGAAAGCAAGAGGTATTTGGCTGTGGTAGAAAGGGCGGAAGATCAGAATTTTGAACATGAAAAGCCTACGGTTTTGCATGCAGGACGAAAGGCCAAATGATGATGTTGATTGACGGCACTTTTGCCTTGAATAAAAGTCCAAGAATAATTTCAACGACTAGTAACTATAAGAATTATATGATTATCAACATAAAAGACTAACATACTGCCACAAGAACATATTATGGTAACAGGAATTAGACAAATGGTATCAGTATGAAATGAATACAATCCTAATCGAGATGCTGTCCTGGGACTTCAATCATCCCAAGCTTTCTGAGCTGCCAGACCAGCCATAACCTTTGTCGCGCGAGCATCAGGCACATATGGGTTCACCCCCTCTAGCAACAAACAAATAAGCAACTGAAATGGTATGGTACGAAGGCAAGGCTAAATCAGAAGTTTCAGGTCTCCAGGTGTTCAGTGGTCATGGGATGTTGTCACCCAATGAAGTAGGCCTGTCCGTTTTTGAGAGCAGAGATGATGATCATATTTGTTGACTATCTATGGGAAGTAAAGTAAGGTTGTATTCAAAGTATTGAGAGTGAAAGTAAGAAGGGCATGGTGAGAGAATGAAGGGAAAGAGGAAAGGAGAGCAAAGCAGCGACCTCGAGGATAATTATGCCCATTTTCCCATACTTTATTGCCTTACTCTTATTCCAATCTTGAAAAGCGATAGCACAACCAACTTTCTGGATACCCTAGTTAGTACTGATCTGATCTATAGTGTACTGCGGAGGATAGATAGCTGCTAAGTTGAGTTGAGTTCTTTTGTCTAGACAGGCGGCGGAGAAGTATGCAGTTGACTCTGCGTAACCTTATTCTTGTTGATATTTGGGAGTAACCAGGATTCTGCAAATTATACATTCGCGATATGTAGTGCTTGACATTAGAAGAAAGTATAAACGTACTAGTCCGTAAAGGAAATAGTCTTTTGGTGCCTGTTAACGCTCCAATATTCGACCATTTGAAGCAGAACAGAACCACCAAGGTTGAGTCATGATAATCTGAAGGCAAGCTACACTTACCATAAGTTCAGCATCAGCAGGTTAGCAATAAGTAGTACGAAAAAATGCTGTCATTGAACCTTATCGTTCAGAGAAGTATAGGTCTCCATGAAACAGCCCTGGGGCATGTTGCAGACAAAGATCTCAACGCCTTTTGCCCGCCTTTAACCTGGGCAGTCATTCGGAGATCAGATAGATTCAAATTTCTGATTGGAAGTCTGACGTGCATATTTATACGCCCCTGGGCCGTGCAACATATATTGAGTCCACAATCTACCAAGATCACGCTCCAACTGTCGAGTCAATTTTTTTTGGACACGCCAACACTGACAATATCTAATATTCTCACATAAGTCTGCTTTCCTCAGCGTTCATTTTTCTCGAACATCAATGGTCACGGAATTTATAAGATTGTCGTACCCGAACATTCGATTAAGGCTTGGATGAGGTCTGGGTACTTGTTCTTGGCCCCACTACCCGCAAAGAATATTTATGGACGCGACGTGGATTAAATTCAAAATGGCGTACCTGAAATACCCCAAGAATATAGTTCATTTGTTTGTAGGCGCCGATGGGACTAGTATGTTGCTTTTTACCACTTGAGCAGTAGAACCGGGACTGCACTACAAAGGTTGAGACTTGGCATCCTGCTTTATGATGCATACGGGCTTACGAATAAGAAGTGGAAAAGAAAGTGCCCAATAGAAAATTATTATGTCGACATAAGTCAAGATTATTCTGGAGTCATGACCAACTTAATATGTAAGATAAAGAAAACGAAAATCCTTTGCACGCCGGCAATGCAACCAACCATGCTATCAGTCGAAAATGACACCGATGCGCGGTGCCTAGTTTGTACAATAATAGTGTCGCGTATTAAGCGCACCTGGGTATCCGTTCATCCATAAAATGCGCTGTAGTGTGAAAAACAAAAGGAGATTGACTGCGCCTGGATGACGAAGGGCAGAGATATAAGTCTGGTGGAACCAGATGAGGCGAGAAGATTTAGGCGCGGAAGTCGTACATGCGTACTTGGTAATCGTCGCCTCCGGTAATGAAGCGACTGTCACTGAGTCCAATGCAGTTAACTGATGCAGAATGGCCTTCGAAAGTGTCTTGGCAAGTGGGGATTCGAGGGTCCCAGATTTTGACCATGCGGTCCAATCCACCGGAGGCAATGCGTAGAGTGTCCGCGGAAAGGGCCCAAATACCTTCCAGGTGCCCAAAGAATGTTCGAAGGCATCTGCCAGTATTGGTTTCCCATAACCGAATAGTTGCGTCAACACCACTGGTAATGATGTAACGCGGAGGTTCAAGGCGATCCTTATCCTGATCAAATGATGGTCCGAATGAGGAAGGTTGCGAGGACAAAGATTTGTGCTCCAGGATCGGAGAAAGAATATTTACTGGCGCATCACCGTTTTGGGAGGAAGTGCTGACATGATCATTCTCGCAGTCAGGGAGATGGTTCTCGAGTTCGATCTCACGTGGCAACGGGATGACCTGTTGAACTGCACCAATGTGGTTATGGAAGACTCGAATGCAGGTCTTGGTGTCGAGATCCCATAAGCGAGCCGCACCATCGTCACAGGCAGTCAACACGGTGCGCGAGGCAGTGTCGATCTTCACTCCATTGACGCCCTCCGGGTGGGGTAGGACGAACGTCGATTTATCCTTGAAATTCCAGATCTTCACGGTGTGATCCACGGCAGCGGAGGCCAAAAGAGTAGAATCGAAGTGGAGGGCGATGACGGCTCCGGAGTGGCCATTGTATTTGGAAATGCACTCTCCTGTACGCCAGTTCCACACCCTAATACTGCGGTCCAGACTGCCAGTGATCAATTTGGTGTCGTCAAACTGGAGGCAGCGAATCCCTGCGCTGTGTCCGCGCAAAGTACGCAACTCCTCGCCAGTTTCCATGTCCCAGATCTTGATAGTAGCATCATAAGACCCGGTCATCAAGATGTTATCTTCGAATTGAAGACACATAACACTGTCTGTGTGACCACGGAAGACCTTGACTGAACAACGTCGGTGCTTCCAGTTCATGCCAACCACAAATCGATCCCGATAGACATCCTTCCAAGGACGGTACCGGGTCTTGTAGTAGTCATCGTCGGGCTCCGGGCGGTAGGCTGGGGAAATACAGTGGCGTTTGATCATAGCACAACTGTGATCGTGATCTTCCGTATCAAGCTTGCGTTTACTGCCAGGGTTGGGCAGTTCGACAACAGAGCAAGTTCCATTGGGAGCACCCTGGACAAGGTCCGTAGACGCCTGGTTGCCCCAGTTGGATGCTCGCAGTTCAATTTCACGCTTCGATTCCCGCAGACGCTTTCGATCTAGGAGAGGCAGCCCCCATCCACATTTGTTACATTTACGACGAATGTGCTGTTCACACATCCGATGCCACACAACATCATCATCCGCCAACATCTTCCAGCGGTGGGAGACCTGGGCAGCGCGGCAAAGAGAGGCTGTATCGAGGTATCGAAGGATTTTGAAAGAAAGCTCAGGAGGAAGGGCGGAGAGAAAGTCGATTCGAATGAGTTCGCGGACACTGGCTGAGATGAAGGAAAGTTGTGGGAAACAGCACTGAGCCAGAATTCCTTGCAACATCAGCTTGCGCTGTTTTGCTGGAGCAGCAGAAAACATGGACCAGACATGGGCTATACCCTGCTGATCATCTTGGGGAAGAGTATTCAGTTCCTAGAGAGGCAGTCAGTACGAATGCAATATCAAGGGCAGTAACTGGCACGCACCTGCTGCAGCTGGCGCATCGAGTGCTCATCCGCCTGGCGCCTGCATTTGGAATCTGGTTGATGGCGGTAGCAGTAGCCAGCGTTGGCTGGTCGCGGTACTGAGGTACCATCTTCCGATCGGAGCGGTGCGTACTGGCGAGGATTATGTTTGTTGAGAAACGGGGCAACATTTAGCTTGGCCAGTTCTGCCAAAGACTCGGATGCCTCATTGTCGCGAAGCGGGGTGCGGTTGGCGTCGGTCATAGTCGCAAGATCCTTCGCTTTCGAATCAGAGGCCACACAATCTTGTGGATCTGACATCGCGAAAGGATTCTCCGCCGGTCAACCCTTTTATTCGGCCGGTGATCAGGTGTGGTCTCCTTGAGTGACGGTGCCAAAAGAGATAGTGATCACGTGGGCGACTGGTTCATGCGACTTGTCGCGCAGCTTGAAGGGTCGGGTGTGTGTAGGCAAGAGGTGGGAGAAAGCAGGCTGGTCGGAAATCAATTGTTCAGATCTCTCAAGGTCCCGAAATCATGAGGGTCCAGCGCCTATGGGGGATTGGTGGGTGACGAGTACCCTGGAAGATACTGCCGTGAGGTAGAGGTCGACAGGAGGTGGAAGGTGACGTCGAGTTCAAGTATGGGGGAAGGCCTCAGGTATATGTTGAGCACGAAGTCCTGTCGCAGCAAAGTGCACAGTCAAAGTCCTCGGCTCGAGCCGTAAGTATATATATCAGTCTGATGAGGGAGAAATGTCGACGATCACGCAAGAACGGAAGGCGACATTGGCGGGCGGTGAGAGATTGCATAATGAAATCTGATATACGCTAGCACTAATAAGGCTAGCGTACAAGATAGTGCAGGCAATGGCCCCACGTGATGGCGCGATCTCCGCTAACAATCACATCAGTCGCGAATGTTATTTTTGACTCTTTCGTTGATGTGATCGCCCCAGACCGCCATTTTTCTCCCCTTTTCTCGCCCGAACACCCGGGGAAGCTTGATTTGCCCCTGATCGCGTCATCTGCAGGGTGGACCCAACATTCATGAGTCAACACTACGCTGTGGACCTGTGAGCTATTGTACAAAGCAACCTTTTAACACTCGTCCACCTTGACCGGTCTGGACCAGGGCCTCATGGCATGAGGTAAGCAGATTATCTTGACAGGCTCCACCAAAGTGAAGAGCGGCAGCCAGTTAGGGCAACCTTGCACCCCACATCCGTTGAAGATCTACTACACATAATGTCTTCTTCACCCTCCTCCGTCGTCTCCATCATACTCCATGGCCATTAAAAGGACGACCACTGAGTTTTTCAAGGATCGCAGCTCCATGGTTATAGACCGTTGGTTCAACTTACAACGTAGCGCAGGACGACCAGAGCCTGCTCATCCGGGTATCTACATTATAAATCATCTCGGTAACCACAGCCATCAATCACGAATATGGCATCATCTCAGTCATCATCCGCATCGATCGCGGCCCGGGGACCAGAATCCGTTGAACCCAAAGCCATGCCCCAACTGGACACACTGATTTCCCACCTTCTAGCTGCTAAGCGGTCTCTTTCATCTATCAGCCATGTTTGGCGTGCCAATGAGATTGTCACTGCGGCTCGGTCCGCCCTGGAAGACAGCGTGGTCGTATCTTCCCGGACGGGCTTCCTACGGCGAGGTCTCGACAACCAAATACGGTTACTTTTCAATGTTCGATCGGAGATAGAGGAAATCTCATATCGTGGCCGAGAGGAATTCTCGGAGGCCCTGACAAGCCTGGATGCTGCTGATGCTCGGCTTCGGAGCACGCTGGACCTCCTCCGGGAGACTATTGTCCATGCCTCATTTCGCCCCACAGAGGAACAAACTAAATCACTCCACGATTTTGTAGACGAACGAGGCGTCGAGGAGTTGCATGCTGCTCTCAAGAGCTCCATCGACCGCACTAATACCGCGCGGGCTGATTTGGATACCTCAAATCGTGAGTTTGATGACGAGCTCCATGCCATCCGAAAAGCGCTTCGTCATTATCGATCTACCACAAAAATGGCCTCATCGCGTGCATCGGCGTCATCATCTTCTTCCTGCGCGTCGGAGCCGGATCTTCAAGCGCTATCCACCATGCCGAGCATGCTCCGGTCTTTGGAGATGCAAGCACAAGAAATGGCAGGCCTACTCTCATCTCTTGTAAGCCACTTTGATCTTTGTGTCACAGCAGTCAAGCAAACAGAGGGTGGCGGTGCCGCTGCACACTCTATCACTGGTGACATGCCTGCAGAAGTTGGCGGAACTAGTAGTGAAGGGTTACCAAATATTGGGGAAGAAATTAACGCGAACCTGAATGCTCCGTTGGACCCAATGACCGATCAAGAGTACGAAGAAATGGTGCAAGTCTTGCTGAATGATGCGCCCGAGGCAGAAGATGTGGTGATAGAAATCCATGACCGTATCAACGAAATGGAATCCATCTTTGAGCAAATGGGTGTGCAGCGCGATTCATTGCTCAGCATCTCAGATGCCACCCTCCAGGTCCACCGTCACCTTTCTACCCTTGCTTCCACTCGGTTGCCGCAGTATATCTCCCAGGCCCACAACTTCATTCAGGTGTGGAGCGAAGAAAATGATCGCTTCAACTCCGGCTTGACGGAGCTTTCAGACTTGCACTCCTTATACGATGGGTTCCTGAATGCATACGACAACCTAATTCTAGAGGTGGCTCGCCGAAATCATGTTCGTCACCGTGTGGAAAAGGTTCTCCGTGACACGAGGAACAAGCTCAATCATTTGTACGAGGAGGATGTCGCTGCTCGACAGATATTTCGCGTGGAGCAAGGTGATTTTCTACCGTCCGATATCTGGCCAGGGGTCGGGCAAGCGCCGATGCATGTTGAGTTTTTAAGACTGCCAGGCGGTAATCTGGAAGGAGCCCTTCCCGAGGCACAGGGAGAAGTACCGGCAGAAGCTGTAGCTGGCCCAGAGGCCAAAATTGCGCATGCCGGTAGCGAAGAGGAGGAAGTTGTGCCAGATCTTCCAAAGGAGGTGGTGGAGCACGCATATGCACGTTTAAAGGCTCGGACTAGGGAATTCGTCTAGGGGACAAAGAAACACACAACCAAGGGCCCAATTGCACCGCATCAATGCCTCGGCAATATTATCATGTTCGGTCGGAACATCCCCTTGCTAGATAGCCTTGTGTCCGAGTGCGGATTGACCACTACCCCTTGCTTTTATATGACCCCTGGGCGTTTTCCTTTTTGACGGACCAGCCTATATGATGAAAGCCCAATTGGTCTGATCTTCCGTTAGCATCCTCCCCATCTTGCACCCAGGGCCGGTAAGTGATGCATACTCCTAGTACCCCTGGGATGTAAGCACCCTTGGTGGTCACATGGACAGTGGGGAGAGAAGATGGACTGATGTGATTTCCAAAGAGAGCTCTGATGGCCACATGGGATTATCATCCTTTTCTTACAAGTCTAGCATATTGAAGTAATCATCTGGAAATTACAATGCCTTATATATATACAACATTAACAATAACTCACGATTGAAGCTATTGAATTAATTGCCCATTTTTCCAATGTTTGTTTTCCCTTTCGATCCCTAAGGAGCTCTAGCCCGCTCTTAACCTCCAGTTAACAGCCTTGGAAAACAAGAGCCCCAGCGCTGCCTTGGTCACGATTGCCAGCAATGGCTCAAAACAGCCCAGGTCCACCACTATACCAATCCGGCAAACATGAATGTTTGATTTGAGCATGGCATGTTCATTTTATTTTATCGGGCGAACCTCCCAGCCAATCATTTCGCATTGGAATGTACGAAGTCGGACCTGTTAGACCGACTGGAATGTGAACAAGGAGTCGCAGGTGGCTGGATGGCAAATCCACGAGAATGAGACGAAAGCAGCAATTTGTTTCTGATATCATATAACGCGTGAAGTAGCGCGCTGCTGCACAGAAGTTGTATCACCACAACCGTCAAAACTTTAGTTTCTGCGACTCTAGTGCAATGGCGCGCACAACATGGCTCGCTCCTATCGTGGCAGCGATGGACCTCATCGCCTCTGTTCAAGCCGCTCATGTCCATTACACCTTAGATCTGACCTGGAAAAGGGGGTCTCCCAATGGAGTTGAGCGGGAAATGATTTTCGTCAATGATCAGTTTCCCGGACCGTCGCTGATCATGGATGAAGGAGATGAAGTGTCTGTCAGTTTTCTACTCAAAATTCGGAAATATTTGTCTCAAAAACTAACGTGAGAAGATCGAAATAAATAACCATTTACCGTTCAACACATCTGTTCATTTCCATGGCATTGAGTATGGTTGGCTTCTCTCCAAGCACGCGCGATCAGGCTAACCTCTCCTTCGTCTTTAGGCAAAAGAATACACCATGGTCTGATGGAGTATCAGGTCTCTCTCAGTGGGGTGTTCTTCCTGGCGCAAGCTACACATACAACTGGAACGCTACACAATATGGAACATACTGGTATCATTCGCACGACAGGTCACGAATCATGGATGGCTTGTATGGCGCGATATATATCCGGTGGGTTTGATTCTGATGCAATGTACGAACTCTACTAAGACTAAGCAGGCCTTCTCCCGACCGGGACTCGCCATTTTCAATGATTTCGGACGACCCGGACGATATTGAGGCAATGGAAAACGCGAGAGATAAACCGTATCTCGTGACCCTCTCGGACTGGGACCATCTGACTTCAGATGCCTATATGCAAGCCGAAAGGGAATCCGGCTATGACATTTTGTAAGTGGAGAAAAATATCTGGCTCAACATAACTGTGCTAACTTCAGATCAGTTGCTCTGACAGTATCCTGGTCAACGGCAAGGGCTCAGTTATTTGCAAAGACCCAGAAGAACTGACCAATTTGCAACCACCACAGATTAGAGCAGTGGTTAATGCCACGCTCACTGATAAAGGGTGATTTCCCACCTTTCCACTATTAGTCCATGAATATTTCTAACGACTGTTAGATGCGATCCAAATCTTCTCGTCCTGCAAGGCGATTGGGCGCACCACCCCGAGAAATTGCCCGGGGGCCTCAACTCCGGATGTGTACCCAGCGAAGCCCCACCCTCCGTCTTTGAAGTCGACTCAGACGCACAATGGGCTAGCTTCAACTTTATCAGTGCTGCCGCCCTGAAAGCCCTTTGGGTATCGATCGACGAGCACCCGATGTGGGTGTATGAAGTGGATGGGGGGTACATTGAGCCGCAACTGGCTCATAGCATGCCACTATACAACGGACAACGATATTCCGTCATGGTCAAGCTTGACCAAGATCCCGCAAGTTACCAAATGCGCGTAGCTGGCAATGGAAACCAAGTCATCTCCGGCTTTGCAACAATCACCTACAAAGGGGGCGAGAACAGCCAGCACGAATCAGTGCCGTACATCGACTACGGTGGCATCAACACTACATCTTCGGTGATAGTGCTCAACGATACCAGTCTTCCTCCATACCCAGAGATTCAACCCGCTACCTATGCCGATGAATTCCACCTTCTGACTCTCGGACGCATTAATTCATCTTGGGAATGGACATTGGATGGAACTACATTCCTTCCTGCGAACCTTGCTTCCATGGAGCCAGCTCTTATCAATCCCAAATCCCCGGGCCTTGATTCCTCACTCAAAATTGAGACGAAGAATAACACATGGGTGGATATCGTTTTCCAGCTTGTGATTCCACCCCCGACTTTACTCCAACCTCCTCACCCGATTCATAAGCATTCGAACAAAGCATTCTTGATTGGATCGAGCCAAGGAAACTTCACTTGGAACTCTATCGACGATGCTGTCCGTGCTTCGCCTCAAAGCTTCTTCGATACTCCGGTGTACAGAGATACTTTTACCACTTCACCGGCTGGCGCTGCCTGGATTGCAATTCGTTATCATGTCGAAAACCCAGGTGCTTTCTTGTTGCATTGCCACATGGAAACTCATTTGGCTTCGGGCATGGGTGTGGTGTTGCTAGATGGAGTGGATGTCTGGCCAGACGTTCACTCGGTAAAGGGAGGTTCCCATTTGGGACAATAAATCGTTGGTATGGACCGTGGGGACGATTAATGTATAGTGAAACGGAGTTCGACTTTTGGCGTTATTTGGATTGGCATTAACCTTGGATCCGCAGAAATCTTGGAACAAGGACATGGAAGAACTGTATTCAACGTTTACTTTTTTTTTTTTTTAATACAATAAACTTGAAATTTGACCTGTGTACATGCCATAACGTTTCATCTCGCCGTGGGTCTTGTCAAGTGCTGTAACATGGCGTTGATACCTAGCACCTGGCCAGCACGTAAGATGTTGAAACACACCACCTGCGCAGCGTCCAATGATATTGAGACGCAACATAGTGGCCTGCCCAGGTGGGCATCGCTACCCCGGGGCCGACATAGAATGGATGCTTGTACAACAGATATATACACAAAATATAAGCATAATCTCGTCTTAGATGTAGTCTTTTTGTCCTGTATCCTATCGAGTCTATAAACAGGTATCATATGTCCAGATGCTCCATCCTTATATGCAGTCATATCATCAAATCATGGCAAGAAACATTTGTCAACAAAGAAGCGACCAAAGGAAACCGCATAAACCCATACCCATGCAAACAAAATGTGAGTAAGCATCATAACGTCTCGCTCATTTCTTCTTACGGGCAGAGGTAGAGACAAGTTTCTTCTTCAAATGCTTAGGCATCTTCTTAGAACGCTGGTCACGCTTCTCCTCCTTGACCTTGGCCTTGTGCTCACGCTTGGCATCCTTGTCTTCGAAGCGCTTACCACGAGGCGGCTTCGGAGCGAAGGGATCCTTTTCCTCCTCCTCGTCGTCCGATTCAGAGCCCGATACTGACACGCCACCGCTACCCTCGGACTCGGACTCGTCCTCTTCATCGGCTGGCTTCTTTCCGGTTGCCAGAAGGTCTTTGTAGACAAGGTCCGTACCAGTACCGGCATGAACCTTTTCGGCATCACGCTCAACGTCGTAAACCTGCTCCAAAGTTTGGGGAATATATTGTTGACGGAAGACTGCGGTGTCGACTTCTTCCGACTCTTCAGTGACGCCGGCTTCATCGCGAGCAGTGAACAGCTTCTCAATGGCCTCGGTCATTTCTTCATTGCCATAAGTGGGATCCTTAGGGCCCTCAGGCGCGAGAATAAACTCGAAGAGGGTTCGCTCAGACAAGGTGTGAACACCCTTGCGACGGAAGTAATCGCTAACGTTCTTAATATCCATTCGGAGGAACTCCAAGCTGCGCGGGTGGTCATGCTCAACACTTTGACTGACGTCAATGATGTACAGACGATCCTTGTGATAGAGAATATTATACTCACTCAGATCAGCGTGCACGAGCCTGCAGACCTGGTACATCACCCGCATGTAACCCAGCAACTCCATGTACAAAGCTCTCCAGCGAACATCAGGCTCAGGAATATCAAACTCAACATCCTTGAGTCGGGGTGCAGCGACTCCCTTGGAGTTACCAATGAAGCCCATGGCCAAGACATGCAGACGGAGGTAGATGGGCTCAGGGCAGGGAATGCCAGAAGAGTAGATTCTCCGCAGGTTTCGCATTTCCTTTTCGGCCCACAGCTTTACCATCGCCCGGTTATTGCTCTTGCTGTAGCCTTGGCGGAAACGGAATTCACCAGTGACATACTTATCACGATCCTTGAAGACCAGGATACTGGTCTTGTACACCTTGATAGCCCGATGTTGCGGGGGCGCGTTCTCTTCATCGGGAAGCGAAATCGCACCATACACATTTGCTTCCTTTCCGGTAGACAAACAACCGTGAATTTCTGAGACTAAACCACGGTTGATCATCTGCAACAGGAGCATGCGAGTGCGCGGATCTAACACTTGCTCCGAGGTCGCACGATCCGCTCTATCTCCTCCCTTGTCGCGGTTGGCAGAAAGGCCAGACTGTTGGTCATCAAGCTTGATCTTGGCTGCATGGCGGGTCAAAGACTTGACCTGGTCATCAATAGATGCGTGTGTGTTGACGGTGGGCTTCTGGGTATTCGTCTTCGGGTAAGTCCATCTCGGAGCGTTAGGATCGGCGACGAGAGTGTTCATTTTTCGTTGGCGGTTGTAGGCCTTGGTCAGGTCATTCGAGTTCGAGGACGGGAAGTCTCCTTGGTCCATTTCTTCATCAAAGATATCGTCGTAGTCTTCGTCATCCTCGTTGTACTCCTCCTCTTCGGTGGGCTCTTGCCCCGCCACGGCGGAGTCAGTGGTCTCGGGGTTCACATAGCCCTGATTGGGCACATACGTGTGAGTTGGGGCCAGGCCATCGGCAGGGCCAGATGCCTGGTCGGCATTCTCTACAGAACTCATTTTCTCAAGGCAACTGTTCTGTGGGCGAAAAAGAGAACCTTGGAAGAAAAAGTGTAGCCCACTACTTTTTTTCTGTGGATGCCCGCCCCACCGCCCGGCAGAACCCCCCGCGCCCAAAGACGCGCGATTTCGTTCCTCGCGTAGTCTCCTTGCCCATCGCGAATTATCAACCTCAAGCGCAAGGCCGATTTTTGACTACGAGACCTATTGGGTTGCTCCGTCTAGTGTCAATTATCTTATCTTATTTTATTTTCGCGCCCAGGCGCGTAATGCGCTGTGTCCAGTGATCATCGCGTCGCGCGTCTCCCAAGATGTATGTCAAACAGATTATCATCCAAGGCTTTAAGAGGTATGATTACAACAATGATCCATTTCAAGACCTTGAAGCGCCATCCACTGACTGCAATTTGGCTTTAGCTACAAGGATCAAACTGTCATCGAGCCTTTTTCTCCCAAGCATAATGTCATCGTTGGCCGCAATGGTTCCGGCAAAAGTAATTTCTTTGCAGCCATTCGCTTCGTTCTCAGTGATGCCTACACCCACCTCGGTCGAGAGGAGCGACAAGCTCTTCTTCACGTACGTTTTGCTCCATCACCAACCCATATGCATTGACTGACACCGTGCAGGAAGGATCTGGCTCAGCCGTGATGTCAGCCTACGTGGAGATTATCTTCGATAACTCGGACGATCGATTTCCTACCGGCAAGCCAGAGCTGGTACTCCGTCGTACGATCGGTATTAAGAAGGATGAATACACACTGGATCGGAAGAACGCTACCAAGAACGATGTGATGAACCTCCTCGAATCCGCCGGTTTCTCTCGGTCTAACCCATACTACATCGTCCCTCAAGGACGAGTGACCGCATTGACAAACATGAAAGACTCGGAACGCCTGGTGCTACTCAAAGAGGTGGCAGGTACCCAGGTCTATGAAGCCCGTCGCGCGGAGTCCCTTAAGATCATGCACGAGACCAACAGCAAGCGGGCCAAGATTGATGAGCTATTGGACTACATTAATGAGCGTCTGGCTGAACTTGAGGAGGAAAAGGATGAGCTCCGAAACTATCAAGACAAAGACAAAGAACGCCGTTGCCTCGAGTATACAATTTATTCTCGTGAACAGCATGAGATTGCGACTGTGCTTGAAAGCTTAGAGGAACAGCGACAGAATGGAGTTGAAGATGCCGATAACAATCGTGACCAGTTTATTGACGGTGAAAAGGCTATGGCGCAGATCGATGCTGAAATCGCCGAGTGCCGTCAGCAGATGGAGTTCTTGAAGGTTGACAAATCTCAGCTAGAGGATGAGCGTCGTCAAGCTTTCAAGGCATTGGCGCAGATTGAACTGCAAGCTAAGTCCCTTGCTGATAACCAAGCTGCTGCGCAGGCTCTCAAGTCACGTCATGACAATGATTTCAACGCCGTTCAAAAGGCCATTCAAGAGCGCGAGTCGGAGCTCCAGACACTTCTGCCCGATTTCAATGCCGCCAAGGACCAGGAGGATACTGTCAAGGCTCAACTGACCGAGGCAGAGACATCACGTCAACGACTGTACGCTAAGCAGGGCCGGAATTCGCGATTCAAGAATAAGTCAGAGCGAGACAAATGGCTTCAAATGGAGGTCCGGGAGGGTAATCGGTCGATCACTACTGTTGAAGGTGTTGTGGCACAGACAAAAGAAGACATCAACGATCTAGAAAAAGAGATCGCCTCGCTCGAGCCAGAAACCGAGCGGCTACGCCAGCAGATTGATGGACGTGGAGATACAATGCATTCTGTGGACGAGCAGGTTCAAACTGCCAAGGATGAGCGGGATCGATTGATGGACCAGCGAAAGGAGCTTTGGCGAGAAGAAGCAAAGTTGGACTCTATTTTGTCCAGTGCCTCCCAAGAAATGGACCGCGCCGAGCGCAGTCTTTCGCATATGATGGATCAGAATACCAGCCGTGGTCTTGCCGCCGTGCGGAGGATCAAGCGCCAGCAAAACCTTGATGGTGTGTATGGCACTTTGGCTGAGCTTTTTGAAGTGAACGATCGATACCGGACGGCCGTGGAAGTTACAGCTGGTCAAAGTTTGTTTCACTATGTCGTTGATACCGACGAGACCGCGACTAAGGTCTTGGAGGCTTTGCAGAAAGATAAAGCAGGCCGTGTAACCTTCATGCCCTTGAATCGGCTGCGCTCCAAACCCATGAATCTGCCTCGTGCTAGCGATACTATTCCTATGATCGAAAAAATCCAGTTCGATCCCGCTTACGAACGGGCCTTCCAGCATGTATTCGGAAAGACCATTATTTGCCCTAACCTGCAGGTTGCTTCGCAATATGCCCGCAGCCACGGCGTCAATGCTATCACTCCTGATGGTGATCGATCTGACAAGCGTGGTGCTCTGACTGGTGGTTTCCATGACTCCCGTCAATCGCGACTTGAAGCGGTGAAGAATGTTGGCAAGTGGCGCGATGAATACGAGGTCAAGCGAAACCGTGGAACAGAGATTCGCAAGGAGCTGGAGAAGCTGGATCAGTTGATCACCAGGGCCGTTGGTGAGCTACAAAAGCTTGAGCAGCAGCGACACCAGGTGCAGAACAGCAGTGGTCCCATGCGGCAAGAGCTGCGCAGCAAACGTGATCTATTGCAAAACAAGAATGACACATTGGACGCTAAGCGCCGTGCACTTCGTAATGTCGAAGCTAACCTTGCAGCTTTGAATGATCAAGTTGATGCTTTCCAAACTGAGCTGAACTCGCCCTTCCAAAAGTCCCTTACCGACGAGGAGGAAGCCCACTTGGAGAGCCTGAGTGGAACCGCTCAGGACCTGCGTCGGCATTACCAAGAGCTCTCCAGCAAGCGCAGTGAGCTTGAAGCCCGCAAGTCCGTCCTGGAAGTTGAGCTTCGAGAGAATCTTAATCCTCGTCTCGATCAGCTTATGAACCGGGACATGGACCTGGCAGATGACGAGGTGCAGGGCAATCTAAAGGAGACCCAACGCGAGCAGAAGCGCCTCACTAAAGCGCTCGAGAAACTAAACGTACGGCTTCAGCAAGTTGATACGTCTATTGAAGAGGCGAATACCCGAGTCGGTGAACTCGAACAACGCAACGTCGAGACCCGACGCGAGTTGGAGGACCTGGCTCGCTCTATCGAGAAATACCAGCGTCGTATGGAAAAGAGCATGCAAAAGAAGGCAGCTCTCACCAAGCAAGCTACTGAATCTGCTGCGAACATCCGTGATTTGGGTGTCCTTCCTGACGAAGCTTTCACCAAGTACAAGAATACCGACTCGAACGCTGTGGTTAAGAAGTTGCACAAGACAAACGAGGCTTTAAAGAAGTACTCGCACGTCAACAAGAAAGCGTTTGAGCAGTACAACAGCTTTACCAAGCAGCGAGAAACGCTCACAAATCGCCGGGAAGAGCTAGACGCGTCTCAGAAATCCATCGACGATTTGATTTCCGTTCTGGATCAGCGCAAAGACGAAGCGATCGAGCGAACCTTCAAGCAGGTCTCCCGCGAATTCGCCAACGTGTTTGAGAAGCTGGTCCCCGCCGGTCGTGGTCGTCTTATTATTCAGCGCAAGACCGACCGCAATGCACGACCCGAGGAGGATGTGGACTCAGACGACGAGGCAGCCCGGCAGAGCGTGGAGAACTACGTTGGTGTGGGTATCAGTGTGAGCTTCAATAGCAAGCACGATGATCAGCAGCGCATCCAGCAGCTGAGTGGTGGACAAAAGAGTAAGTTTTGCCCTATTTATTCTATTTGCATACACTAACGATTGGAAAGGTTTGTGCGCTCTGGCCCTAGTCTTTGCTATTCAGGCCTGTGATCCGGCACCATTCTACCTATTCGATGAGATCGACGCCAATCTGGATGCCCAATACCGGACGGCCGTGGCACAGATGCTGCAGTCGATCTCGGACTCTACAAATGGACAGTTCATCTGCACTACTTTCCGACCGGAGATGCTGCATGTGGCCGAGAAGTGCTATGGTGTTAGTTTCCGACAGAAGGCCAGTACCATTGACGTGGTGTCACGGGAAGAGGCCTTGAAGTTTGTAGAGGAGCAGAAGTCTTGATGAGGACCGGGATTCTATGGATATGTTGTAAATTTTATGTTTTGGTGGTTTGTGGCTGGCGTACGTGATACCGGAATGAGATGAATTTTTTAGTCTATTAAACGCAGATCTTGACATGTTGCCCAAACTTTAACCCCGGCTTCACATGAGAATATAGAATCGCCGTCACCAGTTGAGATGAGTGCCAGGTTCCTGCACATGTATAATCTATGATCTATCTCGACTCTCCTGACCACTCCTCTAGAATATCCTCTGGCACATCTCTTACCAGAATATGAACATGCTCCAATGCACGTACGCTCTGCAATCCAACCCAGTTCTTAAACCACAACACATGCGCCTCGGGAGTGCTAAACCGTCCGGCCTTATCTTCGGCCAAACGTTTAACAAACCTACGCTGCACAAAATCATTGATCAGGGCCCGCGATTCACTCGTCAAATGGCCTTCCTCCGACTCCACCGGAATAGGCGTGCGCAGCCACACAACCAGATGCGAAATGCCGGCATCCATGCCGTAAGGCCAGTCATTGCGCAAAATTCGGTAATCAGAGGGGTCGGCAAATGGCAGCGGGTTGTTAAAGGTAAGAACTCCACCAGAACCCGAAGAACCCGAGCCATTCACTGCAGCTGGATCATGTGTATCTTGCGCAGGCACAGTCCCCGATAAAGTAGATGGAAGCGGCCATTTCAATCGCTGTAAACAAATGTAGTTCATCATCGAGCCATACTCCGCCTTAGTTTCCGCGCTCCAGGCTAGGTATCGGCGCAAATCGGAAGGCCTCCGCTTCAAAGCTCCGAGATCGTTCCGTGCTGATATTCCATGAGGGGTGAATCCTTGGAGAATGAGGGGATGCACTCACCGATAATGTCTTGTAGATTGTTCCAGTCGTGAGGGACGAATTCTTCGTCGCTCATGGCTAGAAGCTGGTGATCCAGCGGCGTGAGATTAAACGCAGCGACAGGCATTCTGACTCAATTCCACGGTAATAGAAGTCAGCCCGAGGCTTTTACTCTTGTGCGGGTGTATAGTGCTCCAGGAAGTAAATTCGCGGGGAAATCATTGACAAAAAGGGAGTGAAATTCCGTTGGGCGGAACCAACAACTCTTTTTCCCTTTTTTTACCTACTTCTCCTCCTCCAACTTCTCATTCTCCATTGTCAAGATGAGGTACGTTACTGATTCTATTTGACGGATCTAATTGAAATCTTCAACTTCCCTGCTCCCTTGAGTATCGCAATTTCTAACTTTACACAGTGCCTTCCTGGTCCTCCTACCCTCGGCCCTGCTGGTCGCAGGTGTCTACGCGGTCAAGCCCGAGTACATTACCTACGCCGTCGCCATTGCCGGTGTTCTGTCCAGTGCCGCCTTCTTCCTGGGTGGTAGCAGCAGTATGATCCCCCAAACCCCTGATCGCACGATCAGCTACCGAAACAACCCGCTAATTTATCTTTTCTCCAACAGAGCCGCGCAAGGTCCTGAACCCCACCGAATTCCAAGACTTCGAGCTCAAGGAGATCAACAACATCTCCCACAATGTCGCCATCTACCGCTTTGCCCTCCCCCGTCCCACCGATATCCTGGGTTTGCCTATCGGCCAGCACATCTCCCTCGCCGCCACCATTGCCGGTCAGCCCAAGGAGGTCGTCCGTTCCTACACCCCCATCTCCTCCGACAACGAGGCCGGTTACTTCGATTTGCTCGTCAAGGCCTACCCCCAGGGTAACATCTCCAAGTACCTGACCGAGCTGAAGGTCGGCCAGACCATGAAGGTCCGCGGTCCCAAGGGCGCCATGGTCTACACCCCCAACATGTGTCGCCACATTGGTATGATCTCTGGTGGTACCGGTATCACTCCCATGCTCCAGGTTATTGAGGCTATTATCCGCAACCGTCCCCGTAACGGCGGTAACGATCGTACCAAGGTTGACCTGATCTTCGCCAACGTCAACGCCGAGGACATTCTGCTTAAGGAGAAGCTTGACAAGCTGAACGCCGAGGATCCAGACTTCAACGTCTACTACGTTCTGAACACCCCTCCTGCTAACTGGATGGGTGGTGTTGGCTTCGTTACCGCTGACATGATCAAGGAGCGTCTCCCTGCTCCCGCCAGCGATGTCAAGATTCTTCTCTGTGGTCCTCCTCCCATGGTCAGCGCCATGAAGAAGGCTACCGAGTCCCTGGGTTTCACCAAGGCTCGCCCTGTGAGCAAGCTCGAGGACCAGGTCTTCTGCTTCTAAGCGCTCGCATCCGAGAGTTTTATCAAAAGTACCCATTTGGGGTTTTTGCTCAATTTTTAAAGGGTTGAACTGGGTAATAGATTCTGGGATCAGTACGTGTCTCTTAGAATGTTGGTGGGGAAGAAGTGGGTCTGGTGTATATGTGAAAGCATCTGAATATAGACGTCGACAGACGTGATGAACTGACTAGTTATGACATGTTTTATTTCGGTTATTCCCGTTGCTTCTGAAATATTAATCCCTTGAACATGCACATTTTTCTAGAGCGAATCCTTAAAATGCAATTGTAAGTTTCTACCACGGTAAAAGACCTGTTTTTACCTGTTTGACTCAGCAGTGTATCCAATGCCAACAGACTGGAGCGGCCCAAGCGTAAGTTGAGAGAACCAGTGCCCCAGCACTCAAATGAAAAATCAAGAGCAAACTACTTAAATATATCAAGGTTAAGCCTTGGAACACGAAGGTATGGAATAAAGTACGCAATGATAGAATAAATATGTATATTGAAGAATGATAATGGTATAAAGCATGAGTCGTGACAAGGGGCGAGGCAATCAACCCCGCAAGAAAAAAAGTATAAGTGAAAGTATAATGAACCCTAAGGTTTCTTCAAATCAACTTCCTTCAACTCAACCCAAGGTTCCCCCTTTCCATCCGAAATCATATTATGCGGAACCCTCTCATCCGAGCCCCTCGAACTAGCAACAGTCGTAGCCTCCTCCTTCATAGAAGAAACCGAGATAGTAGTAGTAATCAACGGCGGAGGGAAATTCGGCGACATCGGACTGGCGACAGCTGTTGAGCCGTACAGCGGAACAGAGCCATAGGCTTGATTATCCTTATATGCGTATTGCGGGCCGCTCCGGGAGTTGTTCGTTTTGATGAATCTGGATGTGAAGGGCCGGAAGAGGGGCCAGACGGGTGGGATGGACATTGTGATAAGGACGATCCATTCTTCGACTTCGCCCCAGCGGAAGAGGATGCCGACGCCATCTGATCTGTTAGTCTATGCTGGAAAGATGAGATGGGAGGGATGGATTCTTACAGGATGAATCCGTGGTGAGAATGAAACTCGCAGCCCATGTTCGGACGATGGCGGCGACGCCTGCGAAGACACCACATCCCATGAGGAAACTTAGACCCCATTTTAGCTTTCGGTCGATGCGCAGTGGGATAAGCATGTTGATGGGAACGACGGCAAGGTAGAAGTCGGATAGAGCGGCGACTGCACCGACGAAGTAGGTGTAGTATACACTTTTTCTGTGGTCACAGTTTGCCTGTCTTAGAGGATCCCATAGCGAGTCGACTGGACTGCATTGGAACCAGACTAATAAAACTTGAGGAATGTTGAGAACAATGTTCAGGACGGCAACGGCGATGAGGCTGCGGCGGATTTTGGGATCTAGAGGAGATTAGTACTTATCTCCTTCTCTACGGAGATGAAACTTACTGCTAGGCCCATTCATTTCAATTAAGAAAGCCGAGACAGCCACCTTTCCGGTGGGAATGGCGAGATTGAAGAAGAAGACCGTGATCCATGTGAATAATAGGAAGTTGTGCAATTCGCCAACTTCATTAATGACTGTAATATGGTTTCCGAGACCATGAAGGACTGATATGATGCCGAAAACCTGGGTCAGGGCTGTGAAGAACTGATTATGTTAGTGAATGCATCTCGCAGTACTTGGATGATAGACATACCCAAGCAAGGAGTGAAAATGACAAGGCTGTTGTCCCGAATTTGTTGACTCTTAAGCGCACGTAAAGACGCATAACCATAAAAATTGTAGCAATGACACCCAAAGCAATACCCAGCCGCAGGTCGCTAGGCCCTCGGCCACCATAGGCGGGGAATCTGTCTTGGATAGACATTATAAAAAGAGTGTCGTGGAATGCATGTAAAAAGCAACACCGATTTTCCGGGGGAGGGCTCGAGCATGATCCGGTGGCTTGGGCCTGGCTTTATAAAGCATACCTAAAGTCTTCGGTAGATCGGGGTTGAATGGAGACCCGAGTCGCACGATCCCATTCCAAGTAAATCCAAATAACTCAAGTGGAGCCGTGAGGGACATTCCAGGAACCGAAGGCTTGGTTGGTAAAGCGGCGGCCGATCCTGTGGAGCAACTATCGAATTCACGCCCCGTTGTGTGCCGCGATTGGCTCCACCCAGTTCAACGACCCAATTTCGCAAGCCACAATCCAGAGCCATTGACAGATGTCAAATAGATAAAAATTTTGATGATGCTTCTGCCCAACTGAGGTCCACCCGCAGCTGTGGGCCAAATCCTTCTTGTGATTCATCACAATATTAGTTTCCACTCGGCGACGGGTTTTGTAAGCTGAATATGCAGGCTTTCCAGGCTTGCAGGGATTCAATCCACCTCCTTCTTCCGGTAGGTCGCTCTTCGTGCGATATTCCGTATTCGGAGATGGATTGGCCAACCTCGTCCCATGGACGTGTGGGGTCAATGCATCGGCGAATTTGTGTTCCCCTGAATTATGCATCGGAAGAATGGCTAGGGTTTCTCATAGATTTGCATTTATTTCCCCGTCCAAGGTATCCCTACTCGGTTGCGCGTTCTCATTCTTTTGTTTGCTTTTTGGTGTTGAAATTGACCGATTGGCTACAGGAACGTGTTTGCTTTTCCGAAGGTTTCATAGATGCTCAAATTTCATCAAAGGCTTCAATAGTTCACCGGGCAATAGCAATAAACCTGAAATACATGTTTATTTTCTATTATTCATACTGAAAGACTAAACCGCAACTATTGAATTCTCATCCAGGGACACAAGAATCAGATCAAAGTCAGTGCGAGTCACTTTCACACTGCCTCCACTTTCAGCGCTTAAAAGGCAGCGATCGCCCGCTAAATTGGCTGTCGGGATGCCCTTACCGCACAGTAACTGATCTTGCTGGAATCCACTTGAATTCAAAAATTCAACTACGAGATTTCATTGAAACGTGTAGAAATGGGCGAGGCTGTTTAAACGTGTGTATTGTTGCGCGGTTTGAGCCAAACTTGAATTTTAGCTTTGGGTGGTATCTATGGAGTACATTAGTATTGAAGTGGCAGACCGTGCCCGTACATGATACAATCAGCAACAATTAAATCGCACTAGTAAGAACGGTGACCTGAAGTGTTTCCGAGGTAATCCACCGATTCTTGAACAGGAATCTTCCGGATTTCCAGTCTTTGCCCCATTCGAGTTCGCCGATCTACAACGTCGATGTGGACCTCAACTTTGCTTGAACCCACCATAATCCCCAAGATGGACTCATAAACGGCTTTGAACACCCCATATGTCCTCCACAAAGATTAACCAACATGAAACAGGCCTTGTACCCAGAAGTCCACCCTGTAGTCTGAGTAGTAGATACCCTTGGACCGGTGGGCCAGCCTCCCTCCGCGGTCGATGGCCGAACAGTTCCAACATGTCCGAAGAGTCTGGTGCGGATCTCGATGCACATATGGACGCAGTGCAGCTCAGGACACCCAAAAGTTTGAACGCGTGCACACGCATTGAGAATCGGCACCGGGCTCCTTGTAACCTACTGGATCCATTCGACTACCGACCCGGGGTGACAAGTGTTCACCTTGTATATATGATGGTGCTTATGTGGCCTCTCTTGGCTTGAAGCATAGTATATGGATCCAGGTCATGTTGTTAAAGCTCATGTCAGTAATACTCAAAACCCATGTATTGCCGTCACGTTCGCCCAGATAGAGTACTGATCGCCGCTCACTTACAATATGACAAAATCGCTAGCCATGGAACTATAAACGAGGCTCTGTGATGTTGGTAGGAGAACCGAGACTCATCTTTGTAAATGACCTATTGGAATTCATGTATCAGTCACGTATACAACGTACAGGAGCAAAAAAGATATGAACCGTGGATACATATGATTATCAATAAAATTGAATACCCGCTATTCTTGCTCCTACGCACATGAATCAACCAGTGGCAAGTACCTCTTGAATTGAACCAGTGAGAAATGTGACCGGGATTGCTTCCGGATCAATCTGCCGATTCCTGCACCTACAGGTATCCTCTGGATTGCTCAAATTATTGCCAAAGTCATGCTCCATGCGATCCATTTGAACGTGGACATGGAACTTAACTCTGCTTGAACCAACAAAATTCCCTAGCAGAGACTCACAGACAAACTTTTATGCCACATATTTGACTCCTCATCACCACCCCGGAATACCAATGCATCCAGGCTTCTCGATTGGTTCAAAGGCCTTCCCTGAGTATTCACCGCTCTTGCCTTTTGAGTGGAGTTAGAGAGCGTCGTGGAGGGCAAAAGAAGATCAGTCGGAGGCGAACCTCTTTCAAAACAGGCATGTGTTCTTGCAAGTTTCGACGCTGTTGTATCGATACATCGAGGAATGGCAGCTCTGGCGCGATATGCAGTGGCATTGCTGGGCGGAATTGTTGATTTGCGAGTTGGAAAGTGAATCCGCCCTGAGGGTCTTGCTGGATTGCAATGCGATAGCAGAGGGAAAGATACTGAAGCGTGTCTCGGTTCAGAATGGATGGACTCCATTGAGGACACATCAAAATCGCCATTTCAACAGTGCTGCAAATCCGTAAGCTTGAGAATTCATCAGAGATCGGCTTTCGAAGTTGGTGTGCCCAAGTACCCAGTGCTCTCAGTTTAGACGAATTGGAGGCTAGGCTTTAGATATATATTTAAAAGCAAGGAATGAATCTTGAAAGAAATGCATGCAGGCCGCCATGCTCAAAGAATCTATTGCATTGAAAGGGTCAGACTGGTAGTTGCAGGAAAAGGAAAATCAAATTATGCAAAGACGTAGGTATATTGATGTGCAAGAATGGGGGCATAAGAGACGGAAACAACATCGGAATAACACTTGGAAGCACACGAGAATCACGAAAGCCAGGATGCCCTCGACTTCGGGTTCATGAGAGTTCTCAGGTTTTTACTAACGACGACTTGCGAGGACATATGTACGATTTTACAGTGAAGTAACATCAAGAGTTTCAACCAAAAACACACCTAACATCCCAGTAGAACATTCGCACGTGACGTATACGACCCTAATGCCGGTCGAGTCATACTTGGTTAGAACGACTTCAAAACGGAGACTTATTCCCTTTACTTGCGGAAAATCCGAATTAATGTAAATTGAAGCAATGATTCGTAGTTTCAAGAAACCCGTGGTGCTGATTTCCCGAGCTTGCACATTATGTAGTGGGCTGGCGGATCATAGCGATGTATACCGGTCTTTAAATTACGCTTAATTTTACGCTTATTTCAACAGCCTCATGAGCACAAATGTTCTCACGATTAAAGCCCGCTATGGAATAGCCCAATATCAAGGAACAATTACATTCAGTCCAAGGCGTCATTGAGATGAACAGAATCGATTCTGACATTCTTTCATGCCGGTTCTAGTGTGCTCATCCGCTTCACCTAAAATGTTCTCACATTGTATAACGCATATCTTCAAATTCATAGAGCGTCTTCTCTTAACTTCATCGCGAACCCGAAAAACACTCATTCCATTTGCGCAAGGTAAGCATCCCCTTTCCCCACCGAATCTCTCTAGATGAGGTTATTTTGCTCAGTCTACGTGTTCTAATCGCTTCCCTCATATGATCCCATCAATCAGAATCCTGCTCAATGGATTCCCCGAATGTGTTCAGTTTCACCTCAGCTGGGGCCGAGCCTCACTTCCTAACTGGGTACACCATCGTCGGGATGATGTTTCCCCCAAGACCAACAACCCCTGACAACATCGAGTCCATGGACTCGGCCATGACATCTCCTCCAGAGTCTGCTGGCAACATGGTGTCCTCTGATAATATGGTCTCATCTGACGACATTGAGTCTGTCTCGCCAACCGAGGTCCCAGACAACTCAGTCTTGGTCGCCGTCCCTATCAACGCTTGGGAGTTCAATGCTATGCGCCTCGCAAATGATCCCACTTTCCTTGCACGCCAGTGGTTTTCCGACATTGAAGTGGGCCCTTCGCAGCTTTTCTGGCGCGACATGTTCCAACTCGTTGCCCATCATCATCGCCACGGTCCCATGGTTGTTTGCGAGACTGCAAAGCAGTATGCCGCCTTCGAGCTGGGTAGATGCGAGGCCTCCATGTCTTTCACCTGGGAATTGCCCGTTGGTTACCAGTTTTCCTAGATGCAGCCTTCTGTGCCTATGTGTCAGTTTGTTCCCTGTCTTCTTTCTTTGCCTTTTCGTTATGTGGAAGAGACATGAAGCTTCGGGTTGACTGGGGCTCATGTTGATGGAGATGGATTGAGAAGGTGTGCCGGCCAAGATGTGAGATTGAATTGGGGAGTTTATGATTATCAGTGGGAGCCCCGCAGAGCCGCAGCCTTTCGAGTTAGTGAACAGACCAGATGATTCATATTATGATACAACTTGCATTTCAAATGTCTCATGTTTTGGAGAGCTCTATTGACGAACTACTACTGCGTATCGCAAAGCTGAGAAGCCAGAGACCTCCCGGGGTTCGGGAAATTAGTCCTCCGTTAGGGAGCTACGATTCATAGATCAAACTCCAGTTGAGTGAAGGTTCCAAGGCTCAGACCATTGCCAGCCCTCAACAATTCTCACATTAGACATTCTAGCTAATGTTGTCCGAATATCCCCAGAGAAATCCTAGGTATCAAATCCGCTCGTTGATTGACAGGGCGCTAGTGCTTTGGTAATTTCGCTTTGAGGTACGTCTCAATGCACTTCAATCATTTCTTCAATCATCTTGAGGAAATTCCGACGATACTCGCTTGCCGTCGTCGTGATAGACATAGGGCCTTGGCGGCCAACAACATTAAAAGTCTGTACCACCCCAGACATTGCCTGAGCCTGAAGTTTGTGCCGACCCCAGAAAAAGTCCAATAGAACCGCACGATATTTCCATTTGCCATCAGCGGACGGCATTCCGACTCTCCAGGGGCTCTGTCGTCCTAAAACAGCAGGACTTGAAGATGCAGGGACCCGCACAAGAAACAGAGAGTAGTCAACAGCGTTGGCGTCTTGTAAAAACTTCGTATCGGCTTTGACAGATTCCCAGAAAGTGACATAGTCTTTACGCCAGAGATGTACTTTATCATTGAATGTATCTGCAAGTCTGCTCAAGGTATCTTCGCTGACGAGTGACTCAGGCAGTAGATCACGCTCAGGGTAGAAATAGTCGATTGGCTTAAGGTCGTATGTCTCCCATTTCTGACCATTGGGGTCATCGGCTTGACCGCAAAGTATGTTTTCCATGACGATATGATGTGCAGGCGTGCAACCGCAAATAGTTCCTAGAGTCTTATATGGAGCGACTATGTAGTCGGTAATCCATACAATTGTCGAGTCGGGATTCTCCCCCATATATGTGTAATATGGCTCGAGCAGATCTGCTTCGAAAAAAGAGTATTCAAATCGTCGAGGGATGCTTTTTATGACGAAGCATCCGTCGAGAGTACTGAAAAATGACTGTCATAGGTTAGCTTTTGACCCTATTTTCAGGACTGGTAATTGCGCACTGAACCCGAGTATCCTAAATCGCCTATAGCTTTCAGGGCTTTCTGGCCGCTGGAGGTGCGAAAGCTTGCTTGGTACTCATCTTCGTTGAATGACCAGACTTCTCGTCGTAGCTTCCTGAACAGCTCGCTCTCGAATCGAACGAGCTTGATTCGGCGCACGGTAAAGAATGCTATGAATCGACCCCATGCTGTCTTTTTAAATCTATCTGGGTCGCGAAGCAAGCCCGCCTGAATGGATTTGGTCAAGGCTTTTTCTCGGCGGCTAGAACCCATGTTTGTGGATGTGAGGTTATTTGGACATGATAGATCATACCACAACAGAATAAAAACATGAATGCTTTCTAATCTTGCTTTTGGTCACATCTAAATTGGTCAAATTATTGGTGACGTCAGATGCTCTCTCATCGCGTGGTGATTGGTGGATCCAACACTATACATTTAACATTTAGTAACCAGATACAATGCGGGGAAATGATTATGACTTTCCTATATACGAAATGCTACCTCCAAGGAAGCCATCTTAATCATATATATTCTATAAATAGGCAATGGTTTCGATTATAGGATTATTCAGAGCAGGCCATGGCCTTAGTTGATTCAACTACGACCCACTCAAGATCTACTGGGAAGTATATGGCATGTGGCACGCCGAACAGAGATAAATAATGGCCAGACATTACTAACTACCAGTATGCTCAATGAACTATCTTATCAGATCAATGGACTAGACAAGTATTTTCACCTAGTTTTGCAGGCACCGGGTACCCCGCGATGCGATAGATCACACGTGACTCACCGCCCTGGCATCGAGACTGAGTCACAGCAAAAAAAATTAAGCAGAAAAGAATTGCTGTGTCGCTCCGAGAAATCCCCCTCTTTATGGGTCGCAGTTTGTTAAGCGGGGCTCGGCGAATCTCAGGTCTTTTTTCCCTCCCTCGTTCCTACCTTCAATCGCGGTTACCTCCCACCCTTACTTTGATATCCCCTTCCGCTCGCGCATTGCAATTCCCTGCGCGACTTACGTCCTCTTTCGCAACAATGGCGTCCGACCTCCCCGCCTCCGTTGAGGCTCTTACCCTCCAATCTACAACTACTACATCCGACTACCCGGGATGTTTCCCTTCTTTGAACCCTATGGATATCTACCGCGAGCACATTGCGACCGAGCTGAGCAAGGGCACTGGCATCGATGCCGAGCTGATCTATACCCGTCTTGCGTGGACCAACACTCTCGACAAGGGTGATTTGGCCCTGCCGGTACGTGAATTTATGGAATCTATATCGGAACAAGGATTACTGAGATCCATACTAAACTTTTTGCTCGAATAGGTTGCTGCTCTCCGTATCAAGAAGAAGCCCCAAGAGCTTGCCGAGGAGCTGGCCTCAAAATTCCCCGCATCTGATCTCGTCCACCCTCCCACCGCTTGTGGTCCTCACCTGCAGTTCTTCTGCAAGCCCCAGCCTTTGGCAAACACTGTTCTCGGTCGTGTCCTCAATGAGAAGGCCGCCTATGGTACAAACGGAAACGCTGGTCTGAAGGACCCCAAGGACCCCTCCAAGGGCCAGAAGAAGATCATTGTTGAATTCTCTTCGCCCAACATTGCAAAGCCTTTCCACGCTGGTCACCTGCGTAGTACCATCATTGGTGGTTTCCTTGCCAACCTTCACACTGTCCTGGGATGGGATGTGATCAAGATGAACTACCTTGGTGACTGGGGTAAGCAGTACGGTCTGCTGGCCAATGGATTCAAGTACTTCGGTAACGAGGAGGCATTGCAGAAGGACCCCATTAACCACCTGTTTGACGTCTACGTTAAGGTGAACGGCCTTGTCGCCGAGCATGACAAGCCTATCAAGGAGCTCAAGGAGGAGATCAAGGCCAAGAAGGAGAAGAACGAGGATGTCTCCGCTCAAGAGGCTGAGCTTGCCAAGCTGGTTGAGGTCAGTGAGGATGAGAAGGCTCGTCGCTACTTCAAGAGCATGGAGGATGGTGACCCTGAGGCATTGGCTCTCTGGCGCCGCTTCCGTGACTTGAGTATCGCCAAGTACAAGCAGACCTATGCCCGTCTCAACATTGACTTCGATGTCTACTCCGGTGAATCTCAGGTTAAGAGCGAGAGCATGACCAAGGCCTACAAGGCCATGGAGCAGGCTGGCGTGGCCGAGGAGTCTGAGGGTGCTATCATTGCCGACTTCACAAAGCACGGTGCCAAGAAGCTCGGAAAGGCCATTATTGTTCGCAAGGATGGTACTCCCCTTTACCTGACCCGTGACATCGGTGCCATCATTGAGCGTGACGAGGCCTACCACTTCGATAAGATGATCTATGTTGTCGCTGCCCAGCAGGATCTCCACCTTGCTCAGCTGTTCAAGGTTACCGAGCTGATGGGTCGTAAGGACCTTTCTGACCGTTGCGAGCACATCAACTTCGGTATGGTCCACGGTATGAGTACCCGCAAGGGTACCGTGAAGTTCTTGGATGACATCCTGCGGGATGTTGGTGATAAGATGCACGAGGTGATGAAGAAGAACGAGGTCAAGTATGCGCAGGTTGAGAACCCCGAGAAGGTCGCCGATACTCTTGGTATCACCGCCGTCATGGTCCAGGATATGACTGGCAAGCGGTAAGTAATTCATCGTCTTATTCCTTTGTTAAACTTACTGACAAAAACCTTTAGTATCAACGGCTACACCTTCAACTTGGAGGCCATGACCTCCTTCGAGGGTGACACCGGTCCTTACCTGCAGTACGCCCACGCTCGTCTCTGCTCCATGACCCGCAAGTCCGAGTTGAACGTGGATGAGTTGCCGTCGGCCAACTTCGATCTCCTAACTGAGCCCCATGCCATTGACCTTATCCGTCTGCTCGCATCTTGGCCCGATGTTCTTATCAACACCTCCAAGACCCTGGAGCCCATTACTGTTCTGGCTTACCTCTTCCGCATGACCCATATGCTGAGTTCCAGTTACGATGTTCTCAAGGTTATTGGTAGCGAGCCCGAGGTTAAGAAGGCCCGTATGGCTCTCTATGCCGCCGCTCGCCAGGTCCTGCATAACGGTATGCGGGTTCTCGGCCTCAACCCTGTTGAACGGTATGTTTGCCCCACTCATGTGACCAACTCGTCTTCCATGCTAACAAATTCCGCAGGATGTAAACTCTTACTTCTTCCAATCCTAGTCTTTCAAGATCATCTTAGCTCTATATTTCATATTTATTCGGATGCATTCGGCGCTCAGAGCTGGAAAATAAAATTCACGGCTGTTTTTCACATTCATTTCTTCCTAATGGCTGTTTGTATTTGTAGCGACTAACGGCATGTCTTGGCAAAGCCCGACGGGGAAACAAAGCGATTGTGCCAGCCCATCATAAAAAGCAAATAAGCTGATTATTCAAGCCCCCGAGGCCCAAGCGCAAGCTGTCAGGCGCGTATCCCATCAACCACGACTATATAATTTCCTTCTGACAAGCCCTTAATTCTCACGAAAGAGCCATTGACCTTTATACGAGATCTAGATCCCAAAATCAGTAAGCACGGCTTGAATAAGCCAATCTCCAAATCTAAACGGCGACCACGGGCTCCACATAGCTTACATCAGCCATGATAGTCCCATGTTGAAGCGGGCCGGCCCCCGACGCCACGCCCCATCTACACTACAACCGAACCCGATCGGCGACCATGAGGGGACCAGCTGAAAACAAGAAAAACTCAAACATTCCTTTCCCAATACTAGTACTCATGCTTTATTAAGCCCGGCCCTGGCAAGGACTGGTCCCCGCAGACTGCGGGCAAGGGCTCCACCAGATCATTCTAAAATCTATATAATCCCCGCCCGACCTGGGGGCTGTAAACTATGTGGAAGAATTCAGGTACTTTTATCCTGTTCTTGTTATTGTCTACCCTGGCGATCTGTGCAAATATCGGTCGCGACTGAACAAAAAGAGCCGCTGGACAGCAGACATGGATAGCGATGCTCCGGATTCCAATGCGGGCTCTCCGGACCTAGACCTGGAGCGCAATGAGGCCCGCGGCTTCTTGATGAATGGGTCTGTGTCGCAGTTCTCGTGGAGTGGACTCAATGTTACTGTAAAGGATCGCCAGACGAAGCAACCGCGTGATCTGATTCATGATATTAGTGGTGATGTGCGACAGGGTATGTGTATTGCTGTGCTTTGATTGGCAATGCTAATTTTCTGGGTTCGTGTACAGGAGAGCTGGTAGCTTTGATGGGTCCTTCGGGGTGTGGAAAGACAACATTGCTGAACGTGCTGGCTCGGAGGCCTGCTACTTCCGGTGCGAAAGTGACTGGGGAGACCTATGTCAATGGAGCCACGGTTGAGTCGAGTGCGTTTGGTCGCATGACTTCGTATGTTGAGCAGGAGGATGCGTTGATCGGGTCGATGACTGTGCGTGAGACGTTGAAGTTTGCGGCCGATTTGTCGTTGCCTAGGTATGGGTGCTTGGACTTCTGGGTTATTAGATTGTACTGACCTTTGGAAGCTCGGTGTCAAAGCGCCAACGGATGGAACGAATTCGGACTCTCCTCGAGGCGTTTGGCATCCAGAAGCAGGCAGACTCGCTGATTGGAACTCCGATTAGGAAGGGGATTAGTGGTGGTCAGAAGCGGCGTGTTAGCGTGGCGAGCCAGCTGATCACCTGTCCTAAAATTTTGTTTCTGGATGAACCGACCAGCGGCTTGGACTCGACTGCGAGTTACGAGGTTATTTCATATGTAAAGGAGCTGGCGAGGGAAAGCAATGTGAGTTAGCCTTCGTTACATTGTACTTTTTACTAACAATGTAGATCATCATCATCGCTAGTATCCACCAGCCTTCGACGACAACGTTCCAGCTATTCGATAAGCTACTTCTCCTTTCGGGCGGACGCACATGTTTCTTCGGTCCCGTTTTGAATATCGGCGATTACTTCCGAGACATTGGCCATCCTATCCCGGGCAATACCAACCCGGCGGAGTTCCTTCTTGACATCGTGAGCTCGGACTTCAGTGCTTTGACTGATGATGCGGATGTTCGAGTACAGCAGATTCAGTCTGCTTGGAAGGAGTCTTCTGAGATACAGGCTGTGACTCAGAAGATATCTGAGAGGTCTCATATGGAGGAGAAGGGCCTGGCAGTTGGCGGGGATGATCTGGCTCGGGCGGGAGTTTTCAAGATCATCATGACACTGCTCCATCGGTCATTCATCAAGAGTTACCGGGATGTGGTTGCCTATGGAATCCGTATTGTGATGTATCTTGGTGCGTATATCTGCTGCCTGATTAGAGACATTGACTAACTGGAGTAGGTCTTGCGATCATGATGGGAACGGTGTGGTTACGCTTACATCCATCTCAGGATTATATCCAGCCTTTCATCAATGCAATCGTAGGTTCCCTGGATGGTTTTCAGACAATCAAGTGAACAAAGTGCTGACAATTGTAGTTCTTCGGATCGGCTTTCATGTCTTTCATGGCTGTGGCATATGTCCCAGCCTTCCTCGAAGACCGAGCAAATTTCGCCAAAGAACGAGCCAACGGACTATATGGCGCAACGCCATTCATGATCTCGAACTTCCTCATCGGACTACCCTTCTTGTGTATGTGTTTCTGCCGATGAACCGTGATCCAGCTAACAAGATCCAGTCCTGATCGCAATCCTCTTCTCGATTATATCATACTGGCTCTCCAACTTCCAACCCACGGCCGTGGCCTTCTTCACCTGGGTGATGTGGCTGTTCCTCGATCTTCTCGCCGCCGAGTCCTTGGTTGTATTTGTCAGTGCGATCTTCCCAAATTTCGTCATTGCTCTCGCGCTAGTTGCTTTCGCAAATGGGCTCTGGATGAGTGTGGGCGGGTTCTTGGTAACACCGACGATCCTCAATCCTTTCTGGAAATATGTGTTCCACTACATCGACTATCAGGTGAGAGGCCGACCTATTGAAGGATATTATCGTTAGCGCTAACTTTATCAGGCTTATGTGTTTCAGGGAATGATGGTGAATGAGTTTTCCGAGAGGATTTACTCGTGCGGTGATGGGTGCCAGTGTCTGTATGATACGGACTTGGCGTCGCAGTGCCAGATTCGTGGGAGTGCTGTTTTGGAGACTTATGGGTATGCCACTGGCCGCACAGGAAAATGGGTTGGCATTCTTATTGGTATCATTGCTGTATATAGACTGTTTGGCTGGATTGCTTTGCAAGTGCGTAAGAATTAAGGCTGCCCATGGCAGGGGCAAGGAGGACCAGTACATAGGGCTACTTTCTTTTGATTGGATAAAGTTTGATTGTAACAAGACTATGTATTTCTACAGCTTTCGGAGTGCAAGAACAGCCCATCTTCAGTGTCAGCAGGACCGAGATACGAATTGACCAAACCTCGAAGCGAACACGCTGTACAACGCGAGGCACCACCAGCGTTCCCCTCGGACCAACGACTATCTCTGTACCACATGCACCGCCCAAATTCTCAACAAATCTCCAATTGCGCGAGCAGCATCTCCTCAAAGTCAATGCAGATTCTTAGTGTGAACCCCTCATAGATTAATCTATTCATCGGCATGCACGTTCCGAGCTGGACAGTCAAAGGAGCGGTGAAGGTGTCCGGATAACCCTGATGCCACCGTGCAGAAAGGAAGCAAGGGGGTGTGCCGTCCCAATCCTCCGAGAAGTCACGACCACTGTTTCTCTATAATTGAAACTGTAATTAGTAATATAGTTATAATTATAAATCCGTCAAATGACATGCGTATGAAGCTTATTACTTAACCTGCTACATGTTGCATAGTTTATGTGCGGCTATCATGATTACGATGTCAACCCCATGAGCGAGACCGAACAAAAGCGGAGAAAGATAAACAATACAAGGAACTCAGACCCTTGTCCGCTTCAAAGGCGCGATTCATAATCTACGATCTCGATGCGATCGTGGCCGACAATGATTGACTGGGAAAAGATTGCGGGTTGCAATGGAAGAGTTTCGCACGAGCCGCATGGATGTTCCTTGGTTCGGGGTGAGTTGTTTCCAATCCTGCCCCTGTCGATTTGACTGCCAATACAAATGAGACTACAAATCCATGCATGGACCTCTCTCTCCCTCGTATCACCAATTACAATCTTATCAATGGTATATCCACGTGCGGGGTTTGGGTTTGTTAGAAGATTAGAACCAGTTCCCAGATCTCCAGGACGCAAGGAGGTCAAGGATAAGACGAAGAAAGGTAATGATGGACGTGCTGCATGTCATAGCGATCTAGACAAGGAGAGGGGCTCGACTCGGGTTCAAGAATTTAGTTACCTAGGCATTGACCCAGGAAATAGGCAGACCACGTACAATGTAGATGGTACTTGTCGATGGGACTTCAAAATGACTCACATGAGAACCATAGATGGGCCGCCACATGGACAGACCCGGACTTATACAAGAATATGAGATGCAGTGTGTTAGGTGTTAGTGCCCGTTCGTGGGATCCACCATCAGTGGCGATTTCTCGGTTCCCATGGATTTTATCCTGCAGCATGTCATCCCCCACCGACTTTTCCCGTGTACCAGGTACATAATCATGGTGGGAGGGAGAAAGAGGGGTTTTACTTTGAATTTGGATCTGAATTCTTCGATTTCAATTTCCCGTGGGAAATGTATTGTGAATCATATTTTCATTCTGTATACTCCGTAGAGGGGCATTCCCTTTTAAAAAAGTGGAGGCGATCATTGGGCCGCAATGACATGGGCGTTAGGCAGAGGAAAAGCAGAAGAAGAAAAGAAGAAAAAAAATTGTTCCATGAGTACGGAGTGAAGAGTATTGTAAAGTATTAAGTAAACAAGTCAATAGAATGAACCAGGGATTCCCTTCCAGCGGGTCCCGAGCTTAAGTGATTGTTTATGACTGTTTCTCATCCCCCCCCCCACTTTAGTCTTTTTTTCTTTTCTTGTTGGGTACCCGAGAGCCTCTTCGTGCAACATTTGCCTTTTCCATATGTTTATTTTTCCCTTTTATTCTTTCTCTTTCCTTTCTAAATACTTGAATCCCTTCCTCTCCCCCCCTTGATTTCTTTGGTTTTGGTTCCTTGGTTCCTCTTATCTTAATCTACCCGTTCCTTTACCCAAATCTCGCTGCCCATCGGACTCCACCATCCCCCACATCCGGTCAGGCTACTTCAAGAGCCCAACTGCAAGTCTGCAGATTCTGTCCAACCATCTCGGGTCCTTTGTCGGCAGACCCATAATACACACCCAACGACTCTTTTTCGCCTGACTACCCGATTACCCCTTCGATGGAGACGCTGCGATCTGGAAAGTACCACATCGCTTTGTCTGCTCGCTGACACCACTCGTTCGACCAGTCAAGCCCTGCCATCGCCATCTGCGATCGGCAGGTCCGCCTTCTGGTTCGAGAGACGTGAAAAAAAAGTACGGCCTTATTGTGTGGGTTGGGCAAATAACGTTGCTACGAAAAAAAAAAAAGTACCCTACCGATACAGTGGGAATACCTGAGACGTCACTCGCGGGGGAAAAAAGCCACCAAAAAAAAGAAACACACACACATACACCCAAACAAATATCGAAATAGGGACTGGGTATACACGTAGGACTGAGTCATCTCGTCCTTTTTTTCATCCCGGTGCGGTGGCTTGCTGTAAGTCCCTACCCAAGAGATCCCTTCCGGCCCCATTCTTCCCCCTCCCCCCGCCTGTGTGCGCTGGTGGGTAGCAAACCCAAGTCCAGAACGGGACCAACCTGTTTCTTACCTAGGGACCGTCCCTTCCCGCCTTCCGAGTCTGCAGCAAGTCATGCCAGGCAACCCTAGAGCAGCCACTGTCGAGGATTGGGACGAGAGAACGCACGAAATCGTACCCGACTCTCAACAAGTGGCTAATACTGGTGCAAAAGTTTCTTCCAGGTTGGATCACAGATTCCCGGAGCCACTGATCGACGGCGCGAGTGACTCAGGTTATTCTAGTCGCACCGCCGCCACCGTCAACAGCACCCAATCTGGGCCGTCGGGCGGGAAGAGCCCCCCTCCCGTTCTTAAGCAAGGCGCGCCCAAAACCGATCTCACCAGAAAATCCTCCCGACGAGACCGCAAGGACAAGGAACGTGCTGCCCGGCCGGACGAGACGATGCAAATGGGTGCCTATCCGGGCCCCGGCTACATTCAGCCTCGTGCGCCCCGGTCGCCGTCCAAGCCCCGCCGACGAGACTCATATCTTCGACAGCCAGACGTCTTCTACGAAGGGAATCACACTCAGTACCACCCCTCCACCCCCGTCGATTCACGACCCATGGAGTTCCCACCCCACCAACCCTACTACGGGAGGCCTCCCATGCCGGACTACCACATCCCACAACAGCCCGTCGGATATCCCATGGAGGAATACCATACTAGCCGCTCAGGACGCCCACATTCCGCTTATGGCCCAGTGTATCACTCAGATCGAGCCGTGGGTTGGCAAGTAGCACCGTCTCGAGGATATGCACCACCGCCGCAGCCGCAGCAGCAATATCATCACTATGAGCATGGCCCTCCAGTATCGTCCGCTTGGCACCAGGGATCCTACTCGTCATCACCACACTATGGCCCTCAAGGCAACTTTCCACAGGAATACTATTCCCAGGACTACCCGTACCAGCGTGAGCGATCCGAGTCTCGTGAGCCATCCCGGCGTCGTAACTCAATGTATGGAGTTCCACCTCCGCCACCGACCGAACCTGAGGTCTTTCCGGATTTCGAGGAAGATGTAGAGCAATACTACGCTCGTCAGCCACGCGACAAACCACGTGGTCGTGGAACAATCCAACCAAGTGTGGATTATTTCGACGAGGATGCGGTGAAGATGCCACCGCCACCTCCACCTCCACCTGGCTCAAGAAGCAGAAACGCGCCACAAATTCACCAAGCCAAGCGGCCTGAAGCTCGGAAATCTCACACTGCTGCCGCTGCCGTTCCCTCTCAACGTCGTTCCTCCAAAGCACTGGACATGGGCGATGTGAGAGATGCTCTGCCTGAACTCGACTACCCCACCCGCCGGGTGTCGAGGGAGGTTGCTCTACCGGAACGCAGCCAGAGCCAAAGCCTGCGCAGCAGCAGACGATCCAATTCGTACCATGACAACCCCCGGGGTGCTCGCATAGCAGTGGCGAGCAGCGGGAGAAGACGTCCGGAGTCCGTGTACTACGACGTCGATGAACGCGCTGAGAGCCCCGCCATGGAAGATCGTGTTGGAGCAGCCGAAAGATACCAGGCTGTCACTGCCGGCCGTTCCACCGCACAATTGCCCCTGTCCCAGGAGACGCTTATGTCCAAGGTAGGAAACGGCCTCGGTAGTGACAACGGCAGCCAAAAGAGCCGATCAAACAGCAGTCGTGGCAGTGCCACCAAGACTGAAAAAGAAGCTCAGAACATGACCCTTAACATGAACGGAATGACTATCGCATTTGCTGAGGAAAGCCTCGCTGGCAAGTCCATCAGCATTCGCACGGGAGACCAAGGAGCCATGCAGTTTAATATTACTGATGGCACCACCCGTCGACCAAAGGCATACGTTCAGGGGTCCTCCTACTCTGATAATACGCATACGGGCGGCTCCACCCGCCGAGTTCTGGAAGATGGACGACGTGCTCGCGACCGAAACGACGATCGACGATCGGAGAGATCTGTTCACCAGTCTACTGGCCACCGGTCCAACCGGTCCTACTCTCGCCGATACCAGATCTAAGTCTCGTTGCATAGCATGTTGTCCACTAGTACAGCTCTCTTTTCCGTATTCATTTTATTCATGGTTGGATGGTTCTGATTCTTTCTTCTTCTTTTCTTGGTTGGCCTGCAGCGATAGCTGACAGGATTTTCTCTTCTGTCTGTCAAAAGTTTGGATATGGATATTTGGTTACATTTCTTCTGGGTGGATCTTGTTGGGATTTTCACAAAAAAATCATGGTGTTCTAGCAATGTGTTCAGGCTTACGGGCAGCTTATTCTTGCAAGCTTCAGGTTTTATTACCACCTCGGCCTCGAACTGGGAGGACTCTCTGGTTTTTTATTATGTTTGCAATTGCTATCTCTTGCGTTGTTGGAAGAGTGCGTCGGGCGAGGAAAGAAAAAGTTGTTCTTTTCTGATTGGGATACTTTCTGATTGGAAAAGTTTTGGTTTTCTTTTTTTGCTGACTGACTCCCCCGTTACGGTGTGATATGATTGTACGATTCTGATGACCTGCGATGACAAGTTCGATGTCTTTGCCCTTTCTGGTTTTGGTTTTGGTTTGATCATGATGAGCCCCTATTTCTCTTTCTAGCGTCTTATGTACATCTCATCATGTCATGTTCATGTGTTATGATTTCTTTTTGTGGGCCTTGTCTCTTTCTCCGGTTGGTTTTGAGCGTGAGCTTGTGTTGGAGAGAGATGATACCCCTACCTTGTTTACTTGTCATGTCTCAACATCAGGTCATCTTCTATTTCGTTTGGCCATTCTAGGATTTACTTCATTGGTTCAAGTAATTTTCGTATTATAGTGCATGAGGATAATGATGTCGGTTGCCGTATGTAGAGGTGCCGTTAGGACTTACGCTGCGGATATGGGCATGTTTCACGACTTGCCGTGCCTGCGTCTGTATGTTAATTTTAATCGTATTTGTGGCGGCCTTCGGAGATGGAGGCAGCTCCCCGGGCTGGCCTGGTCTAGAACTTGTCCATGCATAGTCTTGGTTTCTGTGAGGTGTCGCTTTGGGTCGAGGTTAGGTCGGAGCTGTTACCCCATATTTGCTAATACTGCATCTTCCACCGTAAGCCTAGAGTTACAACTATCATAGAGAAGCTTGAAAACCTTGTTGACTGATAAGGGTAAATGCAGCTTCCAAGGTTCTTTGCAATCTAGTACCGGGTCGATACGCATCCTTTTCGAAAGACTGCAAAGTATGCATATTTCCCAGTCAAAGAAGCTAGTGCAACATTAAGGGCAGTTATATCAAACATTGAATTTGACCCGCATCAAGCGGACGCAGCCATAACTCTGCGGGGTAACGGATGATGATGCTCCATATCTGATCCCGCCGGTCTAAAAGCCTCCGTCCCGAACGGCTCTTCGATCCCCGTACAAGTTCACAATTCCAGATCTGAGAATAGGAATATTTAAGATGGGGAGCTCCCAGAATCAACCTTATATATAATACAAGCAAAAATGCCGTTTACAAAAATCCAAGTCCTAAACCCCCTCGTCGAACTCGACGGCGACGAACTAACCCGCGTAATCTGGCAAGACATCAAAACCCGCTTCATCCACCCATACCTCACCCTCGACCTAAAATACTACGACCTAGGCCTCCCAAACCGCGACGCCACAGAAAACGCAGTCGTCCACGAAGCAGGCCAAGCAATAAAAAAGTACTCCGTCGGAGTGAAATGCGCAACAATAAGCGTAGATCCAACCCGCGTTCAAGAATACAACCTAAAAGCCGCCTGGCCATCTCCCAATATCGCACTGAGGGCCGTCATAGGCGGGACCATCTTCCGGGAACCAGTGATAATCCCGAGCATTCCACGCTACGTGCAAGGATGGAAGAAACCCATTATCATTGGTCGACATGCGTTTGGGGATCATACCCGTGCGAAAGAAAGGCTTATGCATGGACCCGGTAAACTTGAGATGGTTTTTACGCCGAAAGGTGGGATGCCTGAGACTGTTGAGGTGGCTGATTTCGATGATGATGGAGGTGTGGGACTTACGATGTATAACACGAGAACGTCGATTACGGATTTCGCGCATTCGTGTTTTCGGTATGCGTTGTCGAAAAGGTTGCCGCTATTTTTAAGCACGAAGAACACTGTGCTCAAGACGTATGATGGGTTGTTTGTGGAGATTTTTGAGGATTTGTATGAGGGGTATCGGGCGAGTTTTGAGGAGGCGGGGATCACTTATGAGCATCGACTTATTGATGATATGGTGGCTTATATGATTAAGAGTGAAGGGGGGATGGTCATGGCGCTGAAAAGTATGTTTTCATCCGGTCTAACACCTTCAAATCTAGTACAAAGTTACTAACGACGATTTCTAAGACTACGACGGTGATATCCAATCCGATATCGTAGCACAGGGCTTCGGTTCACTCGGTCTCATGACATCTATTCTCGTCTCGCCCGATGGGCGAACCTTTTTCACTGAAGCGGCGCATGGAACTGTGACACGCCATTATCGAGAGCATCTCAAAGGGAAGGAGACGTCAACAAACCCTGTTGCGTCGATTTTTGCCTGGACGAGAGCTTTGATGAAGCGTGGGGAGCTGGATGGGACGCCAGAGGTTATCGCATTTGCAGAGAAGTTGGAGAAGGCTTGTATTGATGCTATTGAGGTTGATGGGATTATGACTAAGGATTTGGCTTATGCTTGTGGACGAAAAGATGGGTGGGTTGTTACGAGGGTTTATATGGAGGCTGTTGAGAAAAGGTTGAAGGGTTTGTTGTAGTAGATATTCAGAGCCATTGTCGCTGTCAACATTGTTTCGCCATCTTAGGTGCAGGTGAAGCTGTTGATCGACTCTTATGTGTGTATAAATCGTGGCAAAGCCCCGCGGTGGTGGAGTCCCGTCCTTTAGCAGGCTGATGTGGAGACGACCGAGGCATTCTATTCAGATTTCAGATGAGGCTATGCAGACTGGAAAAGGAAGATCTCATTTCTTATTGAAATTCCAGAAAAAGCACACCCAGGTCTGGAATCAAATTATTGAGAAACATGCCTGGTTCTATGTTTTTAGGTTGAAGATGCATAGAAGAAACTTTGACATGGTTAAAGTGGAAGCCACACTCGATATGCATTTTTTAGTACGGCCCGTGTGGGTCACCATCGCTCCCAAGCCATCCCCACTCATTGAGATTTAGCGGCATGAACGCTGATCAAAGAGAAAATTACAGCAAAAAACCAAAGGAATCAAATTTTATGCTCAGATAAAATCTGGCTTTAAAATGTAATAATAATGTTTCTAGACATCGTAAAGTAGTCACATGTTACACTGTTTTGCCTGAGATGTGATGTCAGTGCGTTGTCGGGCCAACCAGACGGTAAACACAACCCCAGCCTCCTCCAACCTCCTCAATTCCAGACTCGCCACAAGAGCGCAGTTGGATATTTCTGCCTTGTATTTTCCCTTCTACCATTTCCCATCCTGCTGACGCCTATTAGGTTGACCGAATTCCACATTCTTTTGTCTACATTCCTTCAACTACGTTCTCTGGTTTTGATCTGGTTAAACGATTAAGGTGTGTTCAACTCTTACTCTCAAGAATGTGTCAGATCTAACATTCCATAGAGTCTTGTCTTGAGCGGAGTGCTCTCGACCACTCAACTTCGCCATGGCTCCAGTTCCAGTTGAAGATCCCGGCATGTCGATGGAGCTGCCGGACATTCCTGGAGTTTCACTAGAAGACCGCGATAACGAAGACACCAAGCTCTCCCTGGAGGCTCGCATGATCGAAGAGAACATTGCCGAAATATCACCCTCCATCAGCCTCAACAACCTCGTTTCTCGATCCGATTCTACTTCCACCTCCACTTCCACCGTCAAGTATGGCCAAGGCACGATCGACCCCCACAGCATCAAAATGCAGGGTCTCATGGCTCTATTCGCCATTATCGGCGCAGCATTTGTGCTAGGTGGCATTTGGTTCTTCTTCTGGGCCAAGAACGGTGGCTTCCACTGGCGCAAGACGGACTGGGATGACTACAAGTCTACCGTCCTGCGTCGTAAAGGCCCAGACGGCCGCACCCTCAGTAACGCGACCAAGAGTACAAAGCTCGGTGGCGGCAGTATTGTGGACAAAGACTACACCGACGATGGATACACCTACACCGACGAGACATACACGCAAACCGCCTCGACAATCATGACAACAGACGAGAAGCCGAGACGCAAACGCAACTTCAAGGAGAAGATACTCCGCCGTAACCGCGATGACCACTGGGAAGGCGCAGGAGACGCAGACGTCCGCGCATACCGTGAGGAGAAGCCAGCACAGATCGGCGGCATGAACCGCGAGGCAGATGGCACTTACCACGGTAGTGACTATGACTCTTCCGCACCGCCTACACACTACAACCGCAGCGAGATGAGCGAAGTCCGTGACTACGCTTATGAAAAGCCCCGTCGATCTAAGACTAAGCAGAAGAAGCGTAATCCTTCTGGTTTCTCGTTCACTGCTGGCAGTGAAGATGTGATTAGCCAAACTACCGAGGAACAACCATTGCGTGATCCGGCTAGTCGCCGGGACCGGGACCGAGATCATGAGCGTGAGGCCCGTCGGGAGAACCGTCGTCGCGAAAAACGCAGTGCAGCCGCTTCTTCCGTGCCTTCTGTTCCATCTGCTCCTTCGTCGCGTACTAGCAGCCCGCGTAAGAAGAAGGAGGCTCGCAATATGCCTGGTCACTTCACCGAGCCGCTGGATTTCTCGTCTTCTGGCACTCGCTCTGAGTACCAATATTCCAATGTTGATACTGAAGACTCGGGTACTAAGAGTTATCACCACCCGATTGCTGGCTTGAGCAAAGGATACCGACGTGATGATCGCCGTGAAGGTCGACGAAGCCGTCGCCGTGATAGTTTGAGCGACAGTGATGGTGATGAGACCCGTTACTCATGATTGACCAATGCTTTTCTTTTCTTTCGCGGGCACTACGAACTGTTATTTGATTTTTGATTTGAACGACGGTATGGAAATGGATTATCTTTAAGCGTCACAATTTGTTGGATAATGAACATGGGAGACTGGGACTGTACATAACGAACATACACGGACATGGGTTCGTCTTCAACTTACTGCCTTTTGAGGTGATATCTACAAACATTATTATGCACCCTGGTAGCATTAGGCTTCAGGCTCAATTACATTATTTGACTTGAAACACCTGACTAGCCGTCTCGACCTTTTTCAAGCCTATTAACGTAGTGCAAAGGATCAGGGCTCTTGGAACGACCTCGCCTTAGCGGCCAATAGAAGGCTTAGTTAGCGCGAAGCTCATGACTAGGAGCTCCGATTAGTCTCTACGTATTGAGGCCCACCCAGACTTAACCTTCTTCGGCGATGGGCCTTCAAAACAAGATCCACTGCTTTTACCTGATCTTTGCTAGTTACTTTCGGATTCTCAAATGAATTTATGGACTTCTGGGATCTAGGATCCAGCAACTAAAAGCCCCGATTCGCTCGTGAACATCCATGACGTCCCGCCTTCGTTAGCGTCATTTTTTCTTGCGTGGCCCATTTCACTTCCGTATTGGGATCACAGGTAGCTATAACGTCCGATTGCGTTTTACGCGATAACCCTGAGGTCCACCAATAGGGTTCTGCGACAGGATCATAGTGAGAGACCCACTGAAAGACAGCAGTATTACACTAGTGAAGATTGAATGTTGCCTGCTGGATTTGTGAATCTTTCCGGCGTAAAACTTCCAGCATATTCACCACTTCAACTCTGACTCCTTTGGCCTTCAGACTTCGCTGTGAAAATCAGCAATATACAAGTTTTGTATCTTCAACACGGATATTGCGCTTAACATGATGGATCAAACCAACCACCCCTATTTGTTCTGCCTGGTCATGGGTGCACCCGCAGTCTGGTCCGCGCGGAAATTCCGTTCGGGTTTCAGTCAAGGACAAGAGATTGTATACTTGACTGGCGTAGCGATGTATACTACATCGTTATGCGCTTTTTTACTGAAGTTCCTATGGCAAAGTACAGTTATTCCAGCCTCTATGAATTTAGCTACTGATTAGATGATAGCACGGACAAGCTCGATAAAGGAACTCCTAAGCATCATCTTCTCTGAGGTGCAAGGTTTTTATTGCAGCTTCGATGGAATAACCAAAGTCCTCGTTTGGCTTGCGACGGTCTGCTATGCCCTGGCGCTGTGCATGTACGTCGGGAACTCTCTATACAAAGGTATTTACTTCATCTTTCTTCTTCGGCCCTATACCAGCTAATGCTTCGGTCGCTGATACTATACTAGTTCAAAAGTACCTGAAGGGTAAGGCTAGCTAGTTAGTGCGAGAACGAGACATTCATAAATTAATCCTGACGGTAAAGATCATGATTGACGAAAAACGTCCCTGGTATATTTGTGTTTGAAGGAATGAAGAGGAGCGACGCAGCTCGCTTACAGATTCAAGTATAGGAGATAATCTAACAAATGATGACAATGACTTGGATGCATTCGATCAAAATCCATTCTCAATATTGAAAACACAACAACCCCGAAGATAGGAATGAAAGTATCGGCATAACAACATTTATAATATTAGTGACTTGGACAATCTGTCCGACTCAAAGCCTGTTTAAAACGACCAAAATGTTATTTCATGACCTTCTCTGAACACTCAGGGCTTCAGCATAATCACGCGCATCTTCACCTTGAACCACCGATCTCTCATATGAGTTGATGTCATCCGACATCATCCACTCAGCGAGAACCTCATGCTTCGATGAGCCAGGATACTTGAACCAGTACTCGTAGCCGCCACCCTTCTTCCCCCGGCGCTGGTAATCAAGTCCAGCCAACTGTATGGGCCGATACTTGGTCTTCTGAACCCGGTAGCCGACAACAGGATGAACCTCTTCAAAAGTCTCACCGAGCTTGGTCCCATTCTTATCGATGGCATAACGGCCCGGTGTTCGTGGCCGAGATCCATTGATATAGTACTTAAGGCCAAAGCTGTCTGGTAGATCACCCAAACCCCAGGTATAGGTGCGGTGCTTCAGGTAGGCTGGCCCATCTCCTGCCGAGAAAGGATGAAGGATCGAAGAAGCGATAGACTGGCCGCTTCGCAAAGCCCACTGCGTCCAGGACTCTCTTTTCTGTCTGTCAATTTTGGCCTCGTAAGCATCGAGAATGTCATTTATTTCAACAAGTCGCTTGTGGCGAGCCCTCTGATCCTCCTCCAAGGCTTGGGGGTTGAGAGAGACAAATTCTTTGATCTGATCTAGCATCCAGGAGAAGGCGACATCCGACATCTCTTCCATGTTGCCCTGGTTTTTCAGTGTCAGGTCGGATCCACCGCCGACGTTGATGTGGACGCCCGGGAACCAGACTTGCAGCAGCTTGGTGCGATCTTTCAAGCTATCCATCAGCTTCAGCAACTCCCGTTCGGCTTCATTCTTTTGCTTGATCGCGCTTTGGATCTCCTTAAGAGGAGGACGGTAGGTAGTCAAAACATTGCCCCACTTGGCCTTCGCAGTATCGGCCTTCTTTTCTTGTTCCCTAATTTGCCGCTCGGTCGCTTTCGTGACGGGCGGAATGTAGAAGAGAGTTGGTGTAAATGCGGCACGGTGCTCATCGAGAGCAAGTGCTTGAAATGCGTTTTTGATGTCTATGGTTTGTTAATTGCATGCTTCAGAGCCAAGAACAGAAGTCTTACTAGGAGAAAGTCCAACGTTATGCCACTCAGGCTTGTCAGTTCGGCTAAGCCACTGCGGCACCTCTTGCCCAAACAGCTCGGGGAATCCAAGCGCACCAACAGTCTCAAACACACCAACTACCTCAACCGATCTCGACTCATCAGGAGCCCACCGACCGCGCCCGGGATACTCCCAAGAAATACTGTCATTAGCTTCCATCCGCTCCAGCGGCTGAGGATCAGCTGGTTTCCCGTTATGATAATCGAAATAAGCATCACTGCCATAAAACCGATCGCCAGTAACAGCCGGATGGCTCAATTTGTAAAGCTTCCACACTTCGGGGAAATGCTGCAGGTCCGCGCGGGAGCAGATACCCAGATCAGAGATTAAGCCAGCAATTGCACGCGCAGTGTATGCACCTCGCGAGAAGCCAAAACACATGATCTGGTCGCCTGGGCTCCAGTTCAGCACACAGAAGTTGTAAGCCTCGATGACATTTCCTTCGAGGTCCTTTCCAGCTGGGACTTTGCCTGCTGAGTTCGTTCCAACACCGGAATCGTACCAGACGACTTGTTGCCAGGGGCGCTTGTCATTCTTGTCGATGCCCACTGGGTCGATCGCGCGGCAGAGTCGGGTTATATTGGATGGGATGCTTTCTTCGCCTGAGACGGCGGATTGTCCACTTCCATCGCAGCAGATGATGATCCGCTTGCGAGCTAGACCTGGTATCTTGGGAATGGCAGTATCCCCATCTTGCAAGAGGCTGTCATCCATTCTTTCAGGTATTATTAAAATTGTGTAGGAATTATGGTGGAGGTTCGGAAGGTTAAAGGGAAGTAAACACTGTTTGTTTTGGGGGAAACTGCGAGTTATTTATGGTACAAGATTAGCGACAGTTTGGCCTGGCTCAGCTGAACTTCATCGCACTCGGTTACTATTGTTCTAGTCGCGTCGCTAGAAATGACCGATTTCCCCGTCGGGAATCATAGCCACTTTCAGGGGCTGAGTTAGAGACACGCACTCCCTTTTAGTTTGGAACCATTGAGAAAGGTATCAGGGGTATTCGTCTTTAATCCATCAAAAAATCAATAATTCATCAGGTCACTCAAAATAAAGAATAGCGAAAATTATAGTAGAATGATGTGAAGAATGTAGGTGGGGCCTGGATGCCTCGGGCAAATCCGTGTGGCGCCGCGTGGGAAGACCACGGGATGGTATGTGTAGATACTAGTCTATCATTCGTCAGTGGGCATTATGATCGGGTCCTCGTAAGTACGTTCCTCTTAGCCACTATACAGCGGCTGAAGTACAGTGGCTGAAGAGTGAGCTGCACCCCTTCTAGTCAATCTTTTTTTTCGTTTGACTTCCCCTTAGCGTCTTGTCGACAGGGTAGAAGATCCGTTTTCCTGAAACTCTTCACTGCCTAGATCATCAAAATACCCGCTTTGAGTCGCTCCATATCCTCTAGCTACTATCATGGCCTCGAACTCAACCTGTGAGGCAGTCCTTTCTTGTGGTGATAGCGCTCTCTCAATAACAGGAAGCCTTATCGGGATACTAACATTCGCTTACGCCCTCATCATCACGGTACTATATCGGATGCGAGCTCTAGGAAATGCCGATCAGGATATTCAGCATTTCGGCAGACAAATGGAAAGAGAACTTCGGTCCTTCAAATCCTCAATCAAGTGGATGCAAAGTCTGTACGAAGCCGACGATAAGCCCCTAGGGGTGTGGGATGCTCCCAGTATCTTAATTCATGAAGCCGAGATAATATATGAAGAATCCGAGAAATTATTTCGGCCCACTATGGATGGAAATTATCCAAAGTGGAGACTTTTTCCTTGAAAAGGGTCGTTTTTTATCTCGAAAGACGGAGATCCAGAAATATCTGGATGACATTCTTCAGATCAGATCGAATCTGGAGGCAAAATCCCAAGAGTTAGTAAGCAGGTAGGTGATTCAACCTTGCATACTTGATATAATCCAAGCTCACAATTATACGATTGCAAGGATTATGCTGGGTAAAGTGCAAAGACAGTATGAGGCATTCGATACTCATCTTGCGATTATGGAGCACCAAAAGGCGATGCTTCGACGAGTCATGAATTCTCTGCACTTAGATGCTATGGAGGAGCCTCTAGAAGAAGGCTTGGTTCCAAATGGAATCTCTAACAGGCTGGAAATGGTTGATATGAATATGGAAATGCGCCCTCCAACACAATGGGATCCACCGGGCCCGCAAAACGGTGACCCAAGAAGTTGCTTTGGGGCTTCTTGGTTGAACTAGATTGTTTTCAAACATAGTAAAATTGTAATCAGCTGTTGATTCTGCCCCAATTTTTATAGTTGCGCCCACCTGGGCAATATATTGGCAACATATTTGGGGTTGGGCTCTCCGACAGACGTCTTCTATTGATACACTCTTACATTTTCTTACGTCTCTACCTTTCTACTTATCTTTGCGCCTATCTATGGATGTACCAACTTTCATACCTATATGATATATTAGGAGCATATTGGGAAGGTGCAATCATGGGTACAATTAACAACTCTCATTAGACATAGCTAGTCAAGATTACTGACTTGATATAGTGGCAAAAGACATATCGACTCTGCTCTGTTGATATGGATTTCGGAGGGTATTATCCAATGCATAATTTCACCAAAAGTCAGAAGAGAATCCATCCGATGGGATAGGCTCATCGCGCGGAATAACAGGAATAACAGGCGCAACCAGTAAAGAACGTTTCCAAAGCCCTCTCAAGGTCCCTAGGGAGACAACAATCCAGAGGACGATGACGATGACGGAAAATACCTAATAGATCGTAAATCAGTCGACATTCACTCTGTTGGCAATGTAGTTGCAACTTACCGTTCCCAAGACACGAAAGAACAATGAAGACATTCCAAGCCCAAGCTCAATTGTGCTTGCAGCAAAAACGCCCAACGGAAATGTAAATCCCCACCAGCCCATGTTGAACGGGAAGGGCCAGCTATGGTAAATGGAAGCAAGTGCAAAAGCAAACCACGTCAAACCGAAGCTCCAAATAATTAATCCGATTAGCATACAGAACATGAATGCAACTTCCCCGGCTATAGCTATAGCTGGTTCGGAATCAGCTAGTAAAGATCGCGCTACTTTGCCCATGTACATGATACTATAATGTTTCCGTTAGTGCTGAATCTAGTCAAGTGACAGCTTGAACGTACCTGTAAGAGCCAAAGCCTAGCGGACTGAGTGGTAGAAAACAGCTGACAATGACTTCACGAGATGGAAGTTTATGAACAGCCAGTCTCTGGTAATAGATGATGAGAATGATTCCAGATAATGGCATTGCCATCCCCCATAGCACAAAGCTTGCTACAAGTGTAGCCTGGGCTCTTCCATGTGATGGAAGTACTCCTGCAACTTCGGCTCCAACGCCAGAGGCGATGACAGTAGATGCTATGGGAAGCAGCTGTACGGCCGTGACCATCTTTAGTGAGTCCAAGTGGGACTTTGACATTCTGATCTGGTGATTAGTAAATACCATTGAAACGAGGCAACGAACAACGTACAGCTGAAATGAGAGCGAAGTTGTTATAATGACCGCAAAAATGGCATCGATTATCCAGCACACCCATGCAAGTGTACTCGCCCATTCACCCCAAAGAGGGACACATATGAATACCCAAAGTTCGATTAGTATGACAAAAGCGATGGGTATAGTACCCAAGAACGGGGCAATCGCAGGATCTGTCAAGGTAGCCCGCCAAAGCGTTGGCTCAAGGGCATAGCGCAAAATGGTGATAGAAGAGATGATGCAGAAAAGGATCGCGTCAAGTATAAAGAGGATTATAGATAGATAATGGAGCCATCTGGCTTTAAATGGGATGAAATAAAAGAGGACAGCAACGATGCCTGTCCCCATGCAGGCTGTAAACCACCTGTACAAGGGTCAGATTCATCAAGACCTGCCGAAGCTACATAGGAATGTTCGAACATACGAAGGACTGAAGCCAATGATAATCTCTCTCCATTTTGATCGCCGCTTATCGGGAATGGTCGATGCCACCTCATATGGGATTCCTGGGTTGTCGTATGCCGACACTGTTCGTTCGACGAAGCTTTCCTCCGCGTCCAGGCCGACCTCTGTCATTTGGCTTGACTTTCCCAAGGATGTAGTATTATGTCAAACGGATGGACGTCGAAAGCTAAAATTTTTATCTCTGACTCCACTGGCACGTTTTTCGCCATGATTCAGGAAATTCCACCCGATAAGGTGTGGATATTGAGATCTGGATTTTTTCGCTTGATTGGGGTAGATCCGAGTTTTGAATGGATCTCTATACAGACCCAAATTGAATGAAGAGCCAATCAGCAGGTCTGTATTGGGGCAAGCCATTATTTTCCATGGTTCGAGGCTCGGAGACTACCGGTTACGACGGTAAGCCCGGTTAAATGGGAATCCACACTTGGGCATCATGATCTATCTCTCTACTTTAAATGACAAGACAATATGCTTGAAAAATTCTCTAGATAGCTTAAACTTGTTTGGCTTGTCTTCAAGATCTACATATTGGCGAATCTGATTTTCATAGATGCGGGCGATAACAAACGCCCATTCTCCTCTATACCCAGATGTTATTTTTTTTTAGCTGTTACTTTCGATTTATATTTTGGTCTGTTGTGGCCTGTATTTTGAATCAAATAGAATGTTTAGGCATGCTCCAAGGTCCTGGCACGCTAATTTGGGGTTAGTAATGAAAATTCTCCGTTTTGACCGGGTTAGCCTTTATAACCGGGTGGAGTCACCGACCTTCGACCGATCTTTGACCGAATAGTAGGTGGGGTCTGCGTGAATCTCGCATAGAGAACTTTAATCCTCTTGTGATCTAATCCCGCTTTCATTGGACTTCCATTAGGCTTTCTTTTGTTGGTTTTTAGCATTTAGCCGAATGAGTGACTCAGTTGCAAATCCTAAGCTTGACGCTCCCGTGACGATCACATGACCTTCATGTACTTGACAAACATTTGAAGGTCACATGATCCTCGATGGCTTCCATTGCATGAGAGCGTCTCCCCTCCTCTCTTCTCCTCTCTACCTTAGATCACGGTCTCTCTCGCGTTTTCCATCAAGATGCCGAGATCTGGTAATATGTCATGTACTTCCGTCCTCTCTTTACCCAATTGCGCATGACGTCGCTGCCTTATTTGTTCATGGCCAGCCAAGACACTCACGACCGCTGACAATATCTCTCACTATGCTTGCAGCTTTGAACATAGCCTAGCCGGATGTCGATTCGCTGATGTGATTGAATCAATATATTGCTGATTAAAGTCATTTACACGTCGCGACCCAATCAACGTATATCACATCTCACATTAAAATGCAACATACCTACGCCTCTGATTGGCCCGAATCACGTCATTTGTTATCGTCGTGTGCAGTGGCATTTCCAATATGGTCAGCTCGTCACGCAAGGGTAAAAACACAACACCCAGTCAAAATGGCGTGCCAGACAAAACATCCGGTGATTTCCAAGCAGTGTTACGGCTTTGTTGACCACTTTTAAAAACCTACCATTCTCCCATAGAGTCCCACATTCTTCACAGATCTCGAGAATAATTAGCGCTGAAGACAAATGCCATACCAAAGCCGTGAGCCCGCGAACAAGCGACTTAACCATGTCCAATAGTGAAAGGCAGCCATTATTAGAACCCGGTCAACATGATCCACTCATCTCCCCGGTTATACCCGTTTTCCCAGACAGTCTTCCAGGTACGACCTATGATAAGAACATCAGCTGGACCAGTGCCTACATCTTGGTGGTTTCAAGGGTGATCGGGAGCGGCATCTTCGCCACTCCTGGATCGATCGTGAAATCCGCCGGTAGTGTAGGCTTGACACTCCTAGTGTGGCTGGTTGGAACTATCCTATCAGCATGTGGCTTGTCAGTGTCAATGGAATATGGATGTATGCTGCCCCGATCAGGAGGAGATAAAGTATACCTGGAGTATGCTTATCGCCGGCCGAAATTTCTCGCGTCGACTGTGGTCGCGGTACATGCAGTAGTCTTGGGCTTTACGGCGAGCAACTGCATTGTTTTCGCCAAGTATACGCTATTTGCCTTGAGTATCGAGCCGACTGATCTCCAATACAAGGCTTTAGCGATTGGACTTTTGACTGCCATTACAATAATTCATGGCTTCTTTTTCAAGACCGGGATTATCATCCAGAATGCGCTTGGGTGGGTTAAGATATTCTTGATTGGCGCCATGTCTTTAACAGGGGTTTGGGTGTTGCTCTTGCAATTTCTCGGTGGTGATATCAATACTTCGCCTGGGGCTAGGCGACTCAGTGGTGTCTCGTGGGACACGTTATGGGAGGGTTCAAATTGGAGCTGGAACTTACTATCGACGGCGCTGTTTAAGGTCATTTACTCTTATGCCGGACTAAGCAACATCAACAATGTGCTTAATGAGGTGCAAGACCCTGTTAGGACGCTCAAAACAGTGTGCCCTTCAGCTTTGCTTACGGCTGGTGGCCTCTATTTGCTGGCCAACCTGTCTTATCTTCTGGTCGTTCCGTTAGAGGAAATCAAGAACAGTGGAGAACTAGTCGGGGCACTCTTGTTTGAGCGGCTGTTCGGTAACATCGGAAGCACACTCTTCCCGCTTGCGATCGCAATCTCAGCCGCAGGAAATGTTATGGTAGTAACATTTGCTTTGGTAAGTGATACCCAGATCATAATCCGCACATTTCTTAACAGAAACACAGGCGCGAGTCAATCAAGAGATTGCCCGACAAGGTTTCTTACCGTGGCAGAAGCTGCTATCCTCTTCGCGCCCCTTTGGCACTCCACTCGGTGGCCTAATCGTGCACTATGTGCCATCTCTACTAGTCATTGCGCTACCACCACAACAAGACGTCTACAACTTCATCCTTGATGTGGAAGGGTATCCCGGTAATATCATGGCGCTCGCCGTTACCATTGGACTATTGATACTACGATACAAAGAGCCAAGTCTCCCACGACCATTCAAGGCATGGCTTCCGGCTGTTTGGGTACGAGTTGTAGTCTGTATTATACTATTAGTGGCACCTTTTATTCCACCTCCAGGCCATCAAGGAGACGTCCACTTCTTCTATGCGACATACGCTATTGTCGGCATCAGCATGTGAGCATCCCTACCCATATGCTATTTTCCATACTGATATCTACAGAATCATTTTTGCTGTTCTTTATTGGTATGTCTGGACGGTGATTTTGCCTCGGAGGGGAGGTTATACATTAGAAGAGACTGTGGAGACACTGGATGACGGGACAACGATTAATAGGCTAGTTCGCTCGTTTCCCTCGCTTTCAAGAAATTAAGGAAAAATTCGCATTTTGATGCAGGTATAGAAGCATAGAAAGCAATGCAGCCAAACGACTTCTCACGTACAATTTCTCCGCAAGTAAGATCCAGTTAGATAAAGAATATAGTTTCAACCGCTGTGGAACATACGCCAGCCACTCATCTGGCTCCCTATCCAGACAGGCTGCACAGGAGGCCCGTTCTCTGTCACCAACGGGTAACTACATAGTGAACCCTCGACCAATTAGATAGCGTTGAAGTCTAATTACCTTCCATGGAAACAGCTAATGCTGAACTTTTGTCAAATGCATCATTAGCGGCTTCTTCTCCCAGATGTTGAATGATTTCTGGACATTCCACCCTTTTGAACTCTCATCGAGTGTCATGTCAAAGCTCCAGAAAACCTTGGCCACAATGACCCGCATTTCGGCATAGGCGAGGCTATCCAGCATAGTTAGCAACACGCCATAGGTCTGATATTTATGTCACTTACTTTCTTCCAATGCAGTTACGGGGTCCGAGTGAGAATGCAGCAAGAGACGATCTGTTGTCCGACTCGAAGCGCTTCTCTCGATCATCCAGCCATCGCTCTGGGATGAAAGAATCTGGTTCAGCAAAGTTGGATTCGGCATGGTAGGTCGAGTAATGGGCTCCGGAGACAGACACCTAATTGGTTTAGTATACATGAGCTTTCAGATAGTCGGAATACTGACCCCCTGTGGAACGAACATCCCATCAATGACCGAGCCCCCCTTTGGCACGACACGCGGGATGACCGCCGGAACGGGTGGGTAGACCCGCAGGGCCTCCTCTAGGGCGGCATTCAAGTACGTCATCTGACTCACGCCCAAGAAGTTAATATCATCATAGGACTTGAAGGTACTCCGAATCTCCTCCACAAGTCTCTTATATGTCGCCGGGTTCTGGGCAAGATAGTAGCTTAATCCCGCGAGCAAGGTGGCAGTGGTCTCGCTTCCAGCAAGAATCAGCAGAGCCGCGTTTGCTTCCATCTCCTTTCCAGTCATTGCACGATCATCAGTGTGTCGCAGAATATAAGTCATGAAATCCGGCCTCTCTGTCTTAACCTCCAGTCGACGGTGGACTTTCTCCGCACTCATGGCGAAGTGTTCATTCCTCATTTTCATGACCCGCTTTGGAAGCAGCATTCTCACAATCGGTGCTATAATGGGATAGATTTGAAGGGGACGTAGTAGTGCTCCACCTTTCACACTTGAGAAAACCATCTTCACCCATGGGTGATACTTGCTCTCTTGCAGGCAATCAAATGGTTCCCCAAAAGCAAGGTCTCCGATTATGTCGAATGTGGTGTAGTTGTACCAACGACACATGTCGATCGCGCCGCGCGCGGCTACAACCTGTCCATTCAGCCGCTCCACTAAGAGATCAACGTAAGACTGAATGAGGGTCTCTTGGTCGCGGAGTGCCTTTTCGGAAAAGGCGTGCGATAGCAATCTTCTTTCTCTCGAGTGATCTGCATCGTCGGCGTTGAGGACGTTAGGTCCTGTTGGACCCCGCACGTAGAACTTAGGGTCTTTCAGGAATGACCCTGCCCCTGGCTTTCGGTGGCCATAAATATCTTTCCAGGCTTGAGGGCTGCGGTATACGAGAGCGTTGGGTCCGACTCGGACCACATCTCCGTATTTATCGTGGAGCTCCTTCATCTTCATGTGATTCTGTCCTGTTGACGTCCAATAGAGGCTTGGGATGTACGTGCATGCTGCCAGTTTTGGGCCTGAAAATTTTGAAAGTGGGCTGAGGAATAGGTTGTAGACCACGCTCCCTAGTGCATAGGCCAGTATCTGTGCGTGTTTATTGACTCATTTAGAGAGTATTCAGATGGGGAGCAAGGAATGTTGGACTTACCCCACCAGCAAAGATAATTATGGCTGGGGTTGTCTCCATAATTACAGCTTCACCCATTGATGACGCCACAATGAATATCGTTAGAGAAGCGGACTAAAAATTAAGGGCGGGACATGCAATTTATATTTAGTCCTGCGCGCGTCACACATGACGAAAGTCTAAACACCAGCTCGACATGGATTTCAGTTTGACCTCCGTAATGCTCAACTCTACTTGCACAATTGCTTAGCACAACTTGTGGTTAGTGACATGCCCTCAAGGGGACGAATGAACTTCGAGTAATTATTGTACTACAGCTTTGTTTCGCGAAATTTTGTGGGTTACCTTGCATTAGGGATCCATCCCCCGCTTTTCGATGTGACCATGGCCAAAAGGGTTTCAGGATCTGCAAGCCGGCTCGGACGGCACAGAGAATGAATACCGATACTATCTCGTGCTTTTGATCGAAGCGAATAGCTTTTGGCATACAATGCTGTGGCGTGGAGAAGGTCTGGAAGCCATTGTCCAGTTCACACTTGTGTCAAGCAAGTTTGAAACACCCCCTTGATTATACAACTTTCTGCCACATATTCTGCCATGAGACACCTCATGTTGTGTGCTGCACAGGGCTTGATACAGGAACGATGAGCGAAAAGCAGCGAGCGGTGTAAAGCACAGGCTATTTGGTGTTTCAAAATTCCTCGACGCCACCAACTCGCGAAGTGAGTAAAGATTTGGAGCAGCCAGATATCATTGATTTAGAGAGCCCATATGTCCTTGAATAGCTGAACAAGGGCCTTCCAAGGGTTATAATTTTCTCTTAGATTTGTCTTGAAGCATGCATCACACGATCATATATTCATATCTGAGGAGCATGGGATTCAGAATTCAGGAGGGCGGACACTCCACGTGTCTGCTGTGAAAATGAGTCTCCTCTCTTGTCGTAGCTTCTCAGGATCGAAGTATAGTTTCATCCCTATATTGCGACTCGTGACCTTGGAGACTCTGAAGATCATATAGACTCTGTCGTCTTCCGTGGGCCCAGCCCCCAGTCTTAATGCATATGATTGCATCTGCAGGGTTTGTCCTTATTAGCTTATGAAATCACTTGAACGAAGTTTACCTCTGACTTACCCGCACGTATTGACTATTGCTCATGAAAAACGGAGTTTCACATTCAGATGTGGTCGTCTTGACTTCTATGTAGTAGGTTGGTGTGATATTATTCCTTGGTGACCCGGGGAGATGCCCCTCATTGATCAGAATAGATGTCAGAACCGAATCCGAGTCGTAATATACTATATCGGCGGTCTCAGATCCGTTCCAGGGGGCGAGATTCTGGTAGTCTGGGTGAACAATAACATTCTTGCGGATGGTGCTTCTCCAATTTGATCGGCTGAAGCCTGGAAGATCGAGTTGTAAAAGACGCTCGAAGACCTATAGACTTGTTAGACCAGGTAAAGTAACAATATTGGGAAGTCTCAACCCACATATAATTCACCAGCAGCGCCAACCTTAATGTCACGGTCCAATCGATTGGGTGACTCAATGCTAAAGCCATATCCCGACACACTATTCCGATTATTCCGGTGGGTGCGTGCTGGAGTTTGTAGAGTTCCGCGGAAGTTTGCACCCCGTGCTTGGTTGATAACATTTGTTAGCGCTTCAACATACTGGGCCTGGCCAATTATGGTGCCGAGGTCGGGGTTAGTGCGACCTGGAGAAGATGAGATAACGTGACGATGAACGGCTCGCTGCAGCTGATGGGCCCTGTGTGTTGATCGAACATTCTGTGAAAATACATAAGAGTTTGTGCTCCCAGATGTCATGTTTCGAATTCCATGGTTGACTGGGCTTGAGTCTCTAATTCGTGAATTGAATGTTGGTCCTTCACCTGAATCCTCTCTAGACAAGACATGAGAGCTAATGGAGATGGCATCAGAGTCTGTCCCGTCTGAAGACTGTGACTCTGCTTCTCGGCTTTCTGGGTGAGAGAATGATATTATTCCGTCATCATTGAGAATACTTTCAAGGATTTTCTCGCTGGTCGTGAAGACGGTGCGAAAGGTTTGCAGGGCTTTTTCATCGCGGATCCCAAGGTGGCTTGACAATACTTTGGGAAGCTCAGTGCGATAACACCTTTCCTGGTCCAAGGGATCCCTAGGAATAATATTTTTTGAGAATCGCCTTCAGATTCAATATGAACCAGTCCATTACCACTCTGCGCAGTTGCTTCAATATCGCCGTACTTCAATTCTCGAGCGCGTGCGTCAAAGTCGTCGGCGCTGGCCAGTAACAGAGTCATGCGGGTCTTGACAGTCTCGGGGAGGTTTTCGCGTGCCACGTTGGATGGGGTAACCATGCCCAGGCCAGACTCTCCTTCTTTGTGCTCCAATGAACAACAAAAAGGACCCGATTGGATATGTACTTTATGCGCAACCTTGAAGACTAATTTAAAACCAATTCCTTTGTGACCGACGTAACCACCTGCTTGGCGTTTGGTGCTCTGGTGGATGCTGCAAATGGCTCGAATATCTTGTTCGCTGAAACCATCTTCATTCGATTCCACCATTATCCTGTCATGGTGCAATTTGAAATGAAGGAACCTCAGTTGACCTTGATGATCTGCTGCGCTGTACTTGTTGTCGTCTGCGTTCTGAATCAGTTCAAAGATAAATCGAGCATCGGCATCGTATAGATCCTTTGCCACATGAATGATGCCGTTTCCTGCTAGTAGTTGAAGGTTCATGTGAGATCTCTTTCCTTTCTCACTCATTCTCTGCCAGTCCTCCTCCGGTAATCCCCCATTCAGTACACGAATGTCATCCATAATAGCCCTTGCCGCATCCTGGGAGATCTCCTTCCCCGAACGTGCCTTGTTTTCCGCTTTAGGCATCTCGTATCTTGCGTTATTGTTGACGTGCTAATTGAAATGTAAAAACTGGGAGTGTTGGATACAATCAAGATATCCTTAGACTGTGTTTAGATCCCGATTCATTTCTCTTAAGCGCTCGAGTTTGGAGCTAGCGCCCTGGTTGTAGTTTCGTCTAAAATAAGAACTTTCGACACCACGGTCGTACTGTAAAATCGATACCAAAATGGTTTCGAGAAGCTGCTCTACCTTTACTATTCTGGCCTCCACTTCAGGAGACTGTAGTAAGATAAGGTCAGCACATACCTACAGTTTACATCAAAATAAAAATACCTCCAACCTTTTGTTTTGGAATATGTAGCCAATCAAAAATGAAAATCTAAGAAAGATCTATGACACTTCATGGAGCTCGTTTTTAACTCGGGACCATCTCTTAATTTGTATCTGCGAGAAGATTGACTTTGGATATTTGGGAGTCAAGCTCGCGGCTACGGTGTACAAGTATGACTTTGGGGGAAAGCTGGAGATGGATTCCGATGCCGGGGGCTTCCATGATTGGCTTAACAGATAAAATGGTGGACTGAATCAATATTCCCGCTTTTTCTGTAATTATATATCCATATCAGTTTCATAGAACACGCTAAAATAAACTGGAGTCGAAATAAATTGCCACAACCTCGGAACTTATCACGGTGGATTGATTCGTTTGCTTGGCGCGTAATTGGTCATCAAGGAATAATTCCGTCTCAACATCAATGTAATGTATCAATTCGGTAAATGGCCAATAATCTTCTCCTTTATTCTCAATCCCACATTGTATTCTTCTGATTGCTACATCTTTTATTCTTCAAGCCCGCCCTTCAGCAGTGCAACTGCTAATTTGATCAGATACCCCGCCATTATGGGGTCCCCACCAACATATACCGAGGCCCAGCTTGAAGCATACTTCAAGCGCATAGGGTACCCCAACACGAATGACACCGTGTTGAAAGAATTGCGCGAGAAAGTCAAAACAGATGGTCTCACAACATTATCCGATCTAATGAGGCGGCACCTCTGTGCCATTCCGTGGGGCAATTCTGGACTGCACTATTCGCAGCACCATACCATTTCTTTGCACCCGGAAGCCCTGTTTGAAAAGATTGTTGAGCGCAGGCTTGATGGGTACTGTATGGAGAATTCGGGGTTGTTCTTCATTGTCTTGCGATCTTTGGGGTTCCATGTATACGCTACTGGTGGGCGAGTGAGCCGTGCTGCTGCGACAGGGGTGGATGATGGGCGGTATATGTCATAGTATGAAACTCTTGCCTCTGTGTCGACATAATCTGCTAACGGCGGTGTTTAGTGGACATATGATTTTGATTGTGGTCATTGACGAAGAGAAATATATGGTGAGCAGCCTCGGAGCTTCGTTAGCATCCAATTACATGTGTCATCGGGGCTGATCTTTCTAGGTGGATGTTGGATTTGGTAATAACTGTGCAACTGCACCTCTACCTCTCCGCGAAGGAGCAACAGCTACACATATTGGGCCTTCAGAAATGCGACTCATCAAAGATAGCCTAGTCGAATTCATCGATAAAGAGCAGAAAGTTTGGATCTACCAGACTAGATACAACCCTACCAGTGTTTGGGTGCCCAACATCTGCTTTTCAGACGTGGAGTTTCTACCCCAAGATTTCGCAATGATCAATTTCTCCGTCAGTCAGAAACGTACTAGCTGGTTTGGTCAGATCTTCGTTTGCATGCGGATGATTATGGATCCAAGCGAGAAACAGATTATCGGGCAATACGTCATGTCTGGTAAGGAAGTGAAGAAACGAGTCCACGGGCAGACAGAGATCTTGCAGATCCTCCACAATGAAGAAGGCCGAGTCAAAGCGCTCGCCAAGTACTTTGGTATGTCTCTGCGCCAGAGCGAAATCCAAGGGATCCAGGGTTTGACTTCGGAGCTCAGATAGACCGCAGGTATTATCGAAGGTGAAAGAAATGGGCTTCAATTGTATGGTACAGCATCGTTTTCTAGAAAAACTGCGGTGGATATGTATGATCGAGAAACAAAAGCGCGGAGGCATAACAAGGAAAAGACGTTGCAATTTTAGGGAATCTAGTAAATCCGCTTCTCGATCTGTAGAGATGTGTCAGTATGCAATCGAAACCAATGTTTCAAAAAATCAGTTGTCCATACCTTCCACGGGTTGCTGAGCTCGAATCCCTTGGGCGCAATGTGATTGCTGGACTGTCCTCTCAATGTACCGGTAATGCGGAGGTCCCGCTCCATCACTGTTCGTAATGATTGGTTAGCATCGGCCAGTTCTCCAAGCATTGGCTGTAGCGGTCCGTTCGATTGTCTATGACTTACTTTGCTGTAAAAGAGTTAGCCGCCGCATTCTGTGAGTTCCGACCGCAGCCGACGCGCGCATTGAGGACTTGACTTACCCGATCCCAGAGGTCAGAGTTCCAGCGGGGCTTCTTGCCTTCATTCAGGAAGCGCTTAGAAACATACAGACCAGCACCGGTCACACCGAACATCTGTGGTGGTGGTCAATTCTAGCTCCGGGAGGGACTGACGAATGATACGCACGGTGATGACAATCCCGTAAGGGAGCAAAGCCTCGAAGGGAACACCCATGATTATGATGGTCGGATGACAAGTCAAGAAGACAAGAGTAGTATAATAAGCAGGCAATGGGCTGTCCGAGGGCCACAAAGGAAAATGGTGGAGTGAACGAGGGGAGTGTGGAGGGTGTGACTTTAGAATCGTGAATGGGAGGAGGTCTGCGCGGCCCGATGTGGTTTAGCGCCACCTGACTCAGCCCGCCTGCGACGACAACTCCAAAGGGCCAAGGGGCAGCGCATCGCATTTGATTGCAAGAGAGATCGTCTCCTAGCGCTTAGATTGCCTATCGACGCGTCTTGGATTCGTCTATCACAAGCATAGCAACTGAATCTACCCAGGAAGTGAGTCGCCTCCATTCCGCGACACGTGTTTGGGAAGTGGCACCTTACTAACACCTTTGACTTCTTCCAGCTACTTTGCGACCCCAACAAAGCAGCCTCGGCAGAGAAGCGCATTTTTGATACTACAGCTGCTGGCTTTGATTCCAGGCCTTTTACCGGACTTGTTTGGGTTCCCGATGCACCCCCGATTCGCCACCAACGTGAGCGGGGTGGGTCTGTAGCTTGAATCGGCTGGCCCTTGAACAAAGACAGTCGTGACACTTCGGCGCGCATTACCTGTGGTGACATACCCTTCGACCTGGCCGCTGCGGTAACACTCACCATGGCGGCGACGGTGCCGCCCGCGAACGAGGATCCCGGTCAACCTGACTTGCCCGCCGCTGACCAGGTTGACAGCGACCTCGACGCGGAGGGAGAAGAGGAGACCGACCTTTATGGGATGGATCAACAGCTTCAAGATGCCGTACACCGCGCATTTTCCAGAGAGGTGGATGGAGACAATGGAGACAGCGAGGCAGATGCCACGGCCGCCCGTGTAAGGAGTCAACAAAACGGTGGCGACGATGAGACAGAACCCGTTGGGGCAGTCAAGGTGCCAGAAGATGAATCATCTGGGGATGATGAAGATGCCGACGGAGAGTCCGAAAATGCCGAGGGCGAGGGTGACCCCGCATTTGAGGATGAGAATGACCGAGAGGCATCTGAATCTAGCGAGTCTGAATCAGAAGCAGAGGACTGGGAGGCCGAAAGCAATGGACACGAGGACGGAGATGCTGAAATTCGCAGCCGCACGGATTGCATGTGAGTAGGCACTTGTTGATCCAAGAATCTGGTTATGCTAATATTATATTTCCATTAGTTTCTGTGGCCAGGATGAAGAGCACGATCCAGGCGAAGATTTTGAAGAATGGCTGACTTGCGCTGTCTGTGGCGATCACTGTATGTTTATGCTATGGACAGAAGCCTTTTTGTTGGACCCATGCTGACTTGAACAGCTCATCGACAATGCGCGCGAGAACAAGAAGCATGTAATGATACAGAGGGTAAGTCGTTTTTCATATGCTTTGTGGACGTGAAAGTGACTAACTGTGGTGGTAGATCATTGGAAATGCCCCTCCTGCGTTCAAAACAAACTAGAACCTGATCCGGTGGAAAGTCCCTCTCAAGTGAAATCCGGGCAGTCACACCTGCCTAAAGAGCTTCTCCCGGCGCATGTGGGGAAAGAAGGATCTGATTTTCACTCAATATTTGACACCGGAATCAGTGAAGAGGTGTTGAACAGTTCCCGCGCACTACGAAAACGAAAAGCATCATCAGCAGAAGCCGAGGAACATACCCCTGTGCTTCGAAAGCGACGTCGCCAAACAGATCACTCAGATTCCAACGACCTCCCTGGGGACGCGGAGATGCTGGACGACTCTCAGCCACGTCCTTTGCGAGCGCGTCGGACACGTGGAGTTGAACGAGAACACGCACGTGTCGTGACCAAACAATATGGCAAACTCATCATAGCATTCCGATTGGATGAAGGGAGGGTGAACCGCATATTAAACACCCAAAGTCAACCACAACGCAAGAAGAAGAAAGCACCAAAACCTCCACCCGTACATCATGAACCTCAAGCCCATTTCGCCCCTATCCCTCCTGCCCCGTACAACCATTTCACACCTTTCCACGACCGTGACAGCGATGACTCCAAGTCCAAGCCGTACGGTGGTATCTTATCCGAAGTTGACGCAGATACATCGAAGACGCTCCCCTCACAGCTGGACCGTGACAAATTTGAATCGGCCCGACAGAAAGCCGAGGAAGAATGGCAGCGAAGAGTTCGAGAAGCAGAGCTCAATGGCGAAGTCACTACAACCTCAAAGGTGTCCGGTCCGCCCTCAAAGATCAAGTACATCAACTTTGGTGGTTATGAGATTGAAACCTGGTATGCCGCCCCATACCCAGAAGAGTACAGTCGCAACCGTGTGCTCTACATTTGCGAGTTTTGCCTCAAATATATGAACTCGGACTATGTAGCTTGGCGGCACAAGCTCAAATGCCCTGCCAAACACGCACCCGGTGACGAAATCTATCGTGATGGCTCGATTTCAATCTTCGAGGTAGATGGCCGGAAGAACCCAGTCTACTGCCAGAATTTGTGTCTTCTGGCCAAGCTCTTCCTCGGATCTAAGACCCTTTACTACGATGTTGAGCCATTCTTATTCTATGTCATGAGCGAGTACGATGATCTTGGATGCCATTTTGTGGGTTATTTCAGTAAGGAGAAGAGGCCAAGCTCCGCGAACAACGTCTCATGCATTCTCACCCTCCCTATTCACCAACGCAAAGGCTACGGCAATCTCCTGATCGATTTCTCATACCTTTTGACACGCATCGAGGGCAAAAATGGGTCGCCCGAGAAGCCCTTATCCGATATGGGTCTGGTCTCCTATCGCAATTACTGGCGTCTGATTTTATCATACCAACTCCGTGACTTGAAGACACCCGTTAGCATCGCAGATCTTTCCGACCGGACAGGAATGACAGCAGATGATATTGTGTCCGCCCTTGAGGGCCTTCGAGCTTTAGTTCGGGACCCTATTACAAAAACTTACGCTTTCCGCCTGGATAATAAGTACTTTGAAGAAGTCATCCAGAAGTGGGAAAGCAAGGGCTATGTCACACTAAATCCTGACGCATTGCTGTGGACTCCGTACGTCATGGGTCGCAATAATCAGTCCCAGTTTGATCGCGCCCCTATGCATGCTGTTGCGCCTCGGGAGGATCTTGATGATGAAGATGAAGATGCCGAGATGAAAGATGTGGATGATGGAGATGAGGTACCAGCCATGAATGGTCATGCTGATGGTCTTGGGGAACCGGCTGGGCCACCATCCACCGCTCTTCGGCAACCCAATGGAGTGCATCCTCCCCATGAACCGGCTACTCCAGCTCCTCCACCTGCCGCCGGCATTCCTCCTTCTCGGTTCGAGCTCTGGCCCCCGGTTCATATTCCTCCCGCCGGTCGTCGCAAACCCGGTCGCCCGATGGGCAGTAGGCTTGGAAACGGTCGGGCATCTATGACGCCAACAACGGTGCGCACGAGTGGTCGCAACACCCCACGGAGGCCATCTGGGCTCCCGGCAGTCACACCATCTGTCAGCCGTCGCGGGCGAAGTAAGCTGACTGGTTCTCCGGCTGTCGAGGACACCCCTTCCCAGCCAAATGGTATCGATGCAGATGCAGATGTGGACGCTGATGGGGAGCCGGATGACACGATTGAAGAGCCCGTTGAAGATGCAGTGGAAGAACCGATAGAAGAAGAGGCAGTCGTTGACGCAGTTATCGACGAGCTAGTCGACGAATCACCCGAGGTCGATGACAGTGCCGAGCAAGTCAACGGTGACGAATCTCCCGAAGAAGCCATCGAAACAAATGGCGTCGATCATGAGTCTGAAGCCGAGGCCAATTTTGGTCCCGAATCTAGACCCGAGTCAGGTCTTGCACTTGAGCCTGAGCCCAAGCCCGAGGCTCCGAAGACTCCAGAGAAGAAACCGAAGTCAAACTCACGATCACCGGAGACGGCAACTTCCCACCGCTCGAGGCGAAAGCATTCCGACAACCTCCATAATAAAACCCCGACTTCGGTCAGCCGCAAGGCCTTGGTCGAAAAAATCCAAGTTGTGGTTCCCGAGCCTAGTTCGGTTCGAAGCAGCGCCAAGAAAAGTGCTCCTGTCACGAACGGTTTGAGCCCTGACATCGATGCAGAAGGCGAGGATGACCCTGATGCGGACGGGGAATACGAGGTGGACGGCGACATGGTAATGGAGACATGAACAGTGCCAGGCATGGGACCTGGGTCGCAAAGAGCTATTGACGCATATAGTAATAGGCGTTTCTTTCTTTCTTCTTTTTCTTCCCTTTTTTCGTTGATTTTCCATTTCTAATAGTACCCTTTACCTACCGGACTATTTGTCTTTTTTTTTCTTGTGTCCAGCAGAGACTTATGTCGGGATATACGGGCACTTGATGTACCGCGCAGCATAGGGATTAGCTCACTTTGTACTTTTCTATCCAGCAAGGAGCGTGGGTTGCGGAGCTAGGAGTTGGGTATATGGTGTCTTCATTTATTAATTCATCTTCCCGATGTCTTTTGATTTTACAGTAGTTCAACACATGCGGGGAGCATGTAATGTAGCTATACCAACTCAAGTCATAGCTGATCTGATCAATGTCGATCTCAATTCTCACAGTAACCCAATTCAAACGTTTGTACGTTTGTGCGTGTTCGTACTAGGCTTACTGTCAAACATGCACTTTCGGCCAAAGTCCGAACCATTAGTTGATTAGAATATCTAGTAATAGCACCGTGCCCTGAGAGTTCTAGTAAGCAGAGTCCAAAATATGATATCGCTCGAGCCACCAGTAAACTCAATTCATCCATAAAGTTCTGGCGCTCAACCCCCGAATATCTTCCCAACTGGGCACGGTGCATACACAGCCCTGGGGATTTACGCACCAACCCTCAACGCGGGGCAAGCGGGGGCCAAGAAAGGGATATGAAGAATATGCTCCCCGATGTGATCTGTTCTATCAAGGGGAATTTCCGGGAGTAATCAACCTCTAAATGAAACTAGAATATGACGTGCGAGTTAAAGATGAGTACGTAGCCTGACGGGCTATCGTCGGAGGCCTGTGGGACCCGCGTTTCCGGCTCGATCATATCTTATTTTTATCTACTAAGAAGAAAACAGAATATAATCAGGATGCGAATCCTTTAAGATTATAAATCAGATTAAATTATCTTTAGGTAGGGAAGACTGAAGCAGGATCGACACGATCGGCACCAGGGGCGGGTGCTAGGCGGTGTTCCATGGATAACACCACGGAACAAGGCATTTAAGCATAATCGCGTAGCGTTCCAGAGTGCCATGGTTCTTGGGTCGCTGCCGCTGTCAGACTACTAACTTCCAAGGTTATACTTGACCCTAGATATAGCGTTTAATTATGGGTAATTAGTGAGGATCCCTAATAAAAAGGGACACCCTTCATAAGGCTACTGATCCTCATTGATCAGTCAAGTTAATCCGGCCCCATTAAATTTCCGGGCCACTTCATCGTGCAGGGTTGAGTTGTTCATTCCCCACGTAGTCTAGTCACTGTTTAGTTGACCTGCCTTTTCTTCATTTTGTGGGATTGACCTGCTTTTTTCTCTTTCTCTTGTGTGCGAATTTTTTCTTTTCTTTGTCCTTGATGCCTTACCTATCCCACATCCATCCGAGTCTCAAATTCGGTCTGTTTCCCGCGTTCCCTTTTTACCCCTCTTGATCGGGACATGGCATTCACGGGATGCAGCCGAGTCACGTCCTGGACAGGGACATGTGTCCATCGAGGAACGGGACTCGGATAGGCGCAGATGTGGAATCAAATCTCAGCTGAGGCTAGCCTCAGCCTCCTGCACATGCTCATCTTGCAGTGTTTTTTGCGTCTTCTTTTCTTCTCCTTTTTCCAAACTAGTTTTGTGCACCTAGTTTTGTGTGTGTTTTTTTTTTTTTTTTCGCAGGGTTTTTTTCACACGGTTTTCTTGCTCCTCTCCCTGAATGGCCGTCTCCACAGCTTGTCATCCCGTGGACCTCAAGCCCCGCTTAGCTGAAGAGAACGGGGATGCTCTGGTTTTTCTAAATCTGATCGTCCCCAAAGACTGATGACCCTCCTTGCATGAGATCATCGCTGTGCTACCGGCATATCTGCGGAGATAGATGCATTCGATTCTCACAAGTGGCCCGCTTGTCATATCCATATGCACATGCAGTTCAAGTCTGTGCGTTGGCCATGCCCCTCAACCCCAACAGCCACACCCGGGCCAAAAATGGTGTTGTTCTGCACCCCTCACGGGCGCACTGATGGGAAAAAAAGAAAAAGAAAAAAAGTCTGCATTCTCCCCAACGCGCTGCAGGAATCCATGCACCGTTGACGCAGGCTAAGCCTATGGGCCAGGTGCTAATCTCTCTCTTTCTATGCTCAGCCGCAGCGGATAAAGCAATGGCAGGTGTGGCGCAAAGACAGCATCTTGTAGTCCGAGTAAAGCCGGGTTGAAGAACGCACTGATCTGCAAACCATTAGGGCTCCACCTTCGCGGTAAGTGACGATGATTTGTCTTGAGGCAGCTGCAAGATGCCCGATCGCACCAATTCCCGGTCCAGGCGATGTTCGCGCACAATGTCAGGCTCTTGGCTTAATCAAGGGATCTCCGGCTACCCAACACCGAGGCATCAGCGCCCCCACTGGTTGGTACAAAGTCCCCATAGAGTAGGGTGCAGGTCACGAATCCTGCATGACCGGATGTGACGCATCGACTTCCCAACCGTCCAAAGCTGAGTTCATGTCTGCCCCTTTCATCTTTTTGTTTTTCTCTTTTCTATTTGCCTTTTTGTGCTTTCCTTTTTATTTTCACTTAAATTTCTCGACACGCATCGTTGGTCGTTGGTCGCGTCCATCGAGAGATTCACTCCTTATTTTCCCCCATCCCATCATGAACCAGTATGCGAGGGGATGCCTGATGTCGATCTAACGTGTTCGGCCTGCCACGTTCTTTGCGATACGCAATTGCTTGATTTTGCGCGAGCTTGACGACATTATTTCATCTTTCAGATCGCTGTACTCATCACGAATGGTCACTGAAGAACCAAAAACGATACCGAGTTGAATTGCATGCGTTGGGAAATCGTGGGAGGAGATCGGCAGCAAGCTTCCAAGGTATCACATTGGGCGCAAAATCTCATGACAGAGGAATCAGAGACCACAATCAGCTGCACGATATTAGCAGACAATAGGTACGAGAACTGTGAAGTGTGAATTGTTGTTTGTTGTGGATCTGGATCGCCCCTGGGGAGCTGGAAGCTCTCCGGGAAGGACCCAGAATCTGGATGACATAAGAAGTCAGGCGGCCAGAGTGCATGACCTGGGGGGGGGCAATATTTCTCTTTGAGCTATCGAAACTCTACTTTTGTTTAAACCTTCGCTAACGCCTCAAAAGGTTAACTAGTTCAGATTTGGGTGGAGACGAGAATCCCGATCTTTGCGTGATACGGAGATCAACGATTCCTGTTTTGACCAGACCAGGGCCATGCGGGCTTGGATGCATATCCGGGAACCCACCGTGACTGGAATGCTTAGACGCCGGACCAGGGACCGAGTCCACTTTGGCGTTTAGACTGAATTCCTGTGGTCCACGACGCAAGCCGGGTCCTGATCACCTGCATAGCCGGCGCCATCGAGCCGTTACGTTTTACAAGTGGGTTCTAGCTCGAAAAAAAAGGAACCACTTAGAAGCAAAAAGGATTTCCCCAGGACAAATCAGGCTCCAACCTTCGCCACCAGCAACGAAAGAAAGAAAAACGGCAACTAGATCTGTGGGTTTTTTTTCCCTCACGTTCTTTCTTTCCTCAACTCCCGAGCTACTGGATGTGCGCATCATTGTTCCTGTGTGATCGTCACCAGGCATCGTTTAGCCCCAACCGTGGTTACTCTCCAGCTGATCCCCAATTCGCTTTCCACTTTTTCCGTTGCTCTTAACCGTCTCGGGTTTAACTTGATTTTTACGGCGTAACGGTCAGTTGCAAAAAAGGGCGCAAAAAACCCAAACCTTGACTCCACACTTCAGCTATACAGTGCCGGCCGAAAAAAGAACCACTGAAAGAGGAAAAGCGAAAGAGCCCAAAAAAAAAGAATAATCGGAAAAATCGCATGGATTTGATTGGATCAAATTCCAACTGAATTTTTTTTCCGTCCGTGCGGAACCTCAGAAAGTGGCTTTTTGCAGCTTGATTGGCTGTTGGGACGCATTTCAATACCCAATTGAAATTTGCCTCTGAATCCGGTCGGAGAGAACAGAGAGACGCAACTGCAACTTTAGAGATACCACTTCTAAGGTAATCCAGAGCAACAAAAGAGCAGAAAAAACACTACCCTAAATCCCGGACCCTAAAACGTCATCATCACCGGTTTCAGTCCCGACAGGCCACTACTAAACTCGATCCATGGGAAATCGTCGCTCTTACCGTGAATCCCGCACCGTTCCAAGTCCTCACTCCCCCCACTACAGCTTGTTCTTCTCTCCCACACCCCAAATTCCAACGACATCGTGACTCGTTCTGTGGTTTCTAAAGGACCCATTCTTTTCTTTCTTCCACTTCCACTTCTTCCTGTCTTTACTGTGTGTGTTCCTCGGAAACGCAGTGTACACCTTACCCAAAAACCGCCCGTGCGTGGTTCACTGACCAAAACTCTTGACCCTCTGTGCGCTATACCCGGGTCCTGGTTCCACCCGTCGTCTTGATGAGTGCATCGACGTTCTCCGACGCCTCTCTTTCGCGCGAAGCCCAGAGGTTCGTAGACCTTTAAGCTCTTCTTTGTCACTTTGCAATTCATCCAATCTATTGTTCTATTACTCTTTTGCTCTCTCTCTGCGTGCTACACTTTCCTCCGGTCTAAGGCTTTTCCCACTGACTATGTTGACCAACACCAGTTCTGACTTTGACCTGACCATACGCCAGCAGCCCGACCGGGCGCGCGTGGCTGGGGGCAAGGAGAAGGAGCGCAAGCCTATCGATCCACCTCCGATCGTCCAGCTCCGGGTGCGTGAGGAGGGATCTTATCTAGCACAGTGAGTAAGCCCTCTTTTTTTTTTTGAGACCCCTCGGTTGAGGCGGAGAGAAAAGCGAGCCTGCTAACCCCACCCGCAACCAGACACTATCTGCAAAGTCCCTACTATTTTATGTGCTGCAGCTTGTACGATGCTTCAGATGATCGTCCAGTGCCGGTCGCTCCGTCGACGGCGTTAGCAGGAACTCTGGTCTCGTCTCTTCACCGGCTGAAGGACGTGGATAACAGTGGTAAGGGCCCGCCCGATTGTGGGGTAACGCATTGACCTTGGAGCTGACCAGCTTTGTAGATGGAGGATTCTTCGTCTTTGGAGATCTTTCGGTGAAGATTGAGGGCGAATTTCGATTGAAATTCACCCTGTTTGAGATGCGAAGGTGAGTCGCGTGCGCGATCGCGGGAACTCGGGCGGAGTACTAACGAGCTCGAAATCCAGAGATCAAGTCACCTACCTCAAGACCATTATTTCAGAACGTTTCACAGGTGAGTTTGATCCGAGAGTAGGAGCAATTGCTTTCGATTGTGCTAAATTGAGGTAGTTTCACCCCCCAAGAGCTTCCCAGGCATGATGGAGTCCACGTTTCTCTCTCGGTCTTTTGCCGATCAAGGAGTCAAGCTGCGCATTCGCAAGGAGCCACGGACTATGATGTGAGTGACCAATTCAAGAGGTTCAAGATCTCAATTTCTGACAACCAGCGAAGGAAACGTCCTCGACCGGATGAGTTTCCGCAAGCACTTCCTCCTCGGTCTCCGGATCGCCAGGCAGTTCAAATTCCTCCTGCGGCGGCGGGCTTTGGCGGGTATCCAGCGACCAGTCGGGAGTATGCCTACTATGGAGCACCGGTCAAACGGACGCGAACTTCTATCGACTACGGTCGACAGAGTCTCTACCCGGAGACGGATACCCGCATGGCTCGTCCAATGGAGACTTACGCTCAACCAGCGGCCATGTACGGACAGCCCAACGCCTACCAGAATCCTGCAATGCAGTACTCGACGGGCCAGGTGGTACCAGATTATGGGGTTCGTGTTTCCCCACAGAAACGATGGGCTGAATGGCAAAGCCTCTCTTAACTAACATTTGGTTTTGTACAGATGTCTTACGGTCTCCCACCGTCAGGTCCCATGTCCCAGATGCCAGACCCATCCGGCCAAGCTCGATCTAGCCAGCAAGCCGCCGTGGGACAGCTGATGGCGATGAACCAACCTGGTACTCCTGTACGGCACCCCTCTGCGAACCAGTGAGTTTGGATTTTGGGAGGACCCTGCTAAGGATTTTCTTTTGTTTTCGCACGCGACACAGACCCCGGATTCGACTGGAGCGATGATGGCCCAGGGATACCCTCGGGCTACATACTCGACCGGTTCTACTATTCTACCTCCGTTACAGCGCAATCGCAGTTATCCGGCAGGCACCAATGGGACTGGCACCCCTCGAAACTACTTCGACCCGCCTTCTCCATCGGCTACCCCAATTTTGCCATCTCAGATGGCTCCTGAAGGTGACCGATACGGCACTGCCTTTGACCCCTCCGGATCTCCGAATGGAACCCCTCAGTGATTGGGATTCCAGCTTTTCCCTTCTATTCGCTCGTTTGATAAACGTTGTGAGCCTGGTCGTTTCGACCTCGACGGTCCTCCTTGGCTCTTCTTATTGTTTCAATTAAAAATTTCCTGTCTGTCTGGATAGACTGGGGGTGTTAGATATCACGCTTATGGTTATGTCTCTGGGTGGCTTTGGGTCTTTTTGTTTACAGTTTACAGGCGCAATTGGTGGGTAGAAATGGGTGGAGGGAGGTCTTCTGTCTTGGATTGTTTTTTCTACTCCGTTTTCTTCTTCTTGTTTTCGAAAGGAAAAAGAAAAAGTCTGTTTCATTCTTATTTCTTCATGTACATATTGGACCCTGTTAGCAGTCCATTACTGTTTCTTTTTAATCCGTGGTTCATGCAACTTGCTTGCACTTTTACATCGCTCCTTCCTCTTCTTCACTTGTGACTTGTTTACCTCTTTTCTGAACTTTCTTTACTTCCCCCTCCTTACCAAACCCCGCCATCATGGATTCCTCCGAAAGTCCTTTTAGCGACCTGGATATCTTTGCAGACTGGTCCGGTGATCCTGCAGATCATGTGGAAGTCAAGCTTGTTGTGGAGGTGAGATCTCAGCCCTAACCGCAGCTACTGCTTAAGTACTGGGGAATGTACCACTAACTATAACATCAGATCCATTGCAGACCCTTCCTCGACAAGCCCGTCCTGAACACCCGTTTACCAAGAGAATTCGTCGTAGATTCCTCCCTCCAACTCGCCCCGCCGAAAGCAACCCTCGCTCAGCTCAATGACCGCGAATCGGTGGAACGAGACTCCCGGACACCCGAAAGCCCAATTGTGAGCACGGACGCAGAAAACTCTTCGATTCGTCCGGAGAACTCATCGGAGCAAGGTACTGTCCTACTTGACACTCCAAACGATGACTTTCACGGCGCCACTATCGTGAACAATGTCCACAAGGATCCCCAGGAAAATCACCCTCTCGGAAATATCCTTCATTCTCGGAAGAGAAGTGCCAAGACTGCCTCGCTACCTGACTCTATCTCTGATTCTGAACGGCCGATTGGTGGTATCAAGAATATCAGGAATAATGGTAGCCTGTCTTTTCATCTGTCTGGCACCTTGTCGAATGAGTCTAAAATGAATCGGCGCAGTCTTATACCGCGTCCTGTCGGTCTGTTCTCTCATTCCCATCAGGCGAGTGCGCCTGGGAGGGTTCCGGTGTTGAACTCGGGATCTGGATCTGAGTCTGGATCTGGGTATTTGTTGCGAGAGAAATTTGCGGCCATGAGGAAGTCTGATGAGAATGTGAATGTTAATTCAACCGCGAATACGAATATGAGTACACCGAAGATCTATGGAGATGATGGATTCATGCTGTCCAGTCCTTTGGCGGCCATAGTCGACAATGTGTTCGACAACGCAGTCAAAAATTCGATTGGGAAGGCAATCAACGAGGGTAATGACTCGAGTCTCCCTGCAGCTGCATATGTCTCTGGAGGCAAGGATGGAACTAAGTCTCGATCAGATACGCTTTCCAACGTGGTATCGTGCGGGACTCCGTGCGACATCCATAACATTCTAGATTCATACGGGGTAGTTGACGATTACCCGAATGGCCCTGTTGAGCCACTTTATTCTGTTCAAACTCCGCGCTCGCCCCTCTCGCCATATGGTTCATTTCTCGACTTGTCGGCCCCTCAACTTAACCATGAGAACGGTGTATTCCGCATCTTTTGTCCTCGCGATACCAAACCCGCCGTTTACAAAGCGACTATTTCATTTATCATGCCTATGGAGAAGGGAACACCCCGGGGATGGCTAAACTTTATTATTCCGGGATTACCTCGACTGCGGAATAATTGCACCGGCTACCTTTATTTCTGGACCCCTCCCAGTCAAGGAATAGAGTTCCGTACCACCCATTTGAAGCGACACAGCCTTGTCGAAAGCTGCATGATGGGCCAATTTCCAGTATTTGAAAAGCTAGTTGTTCCGGTGCGGCCTTGCGATGGACGATTTTATGGCTTCCTCAAGGACTTCAAAGTGACACAGAGTATTCGTGCTGACTTTCCCGACGAAGATGATCAAGATCCACAGACATGGGTTGTTGAATACCATGTGGTATGCACCATCCATCTTATTCAGCGTGACTTTTGGGCCGAAAAATGTGGCTTAACTCTCTATGTGTATGGCGGACCTGATACTGAATTCTCTGCTCATCTTCTTGAATCCCACGAGGGATTTCAGACAATCAACCTGAACTCATCGCCTGACGCTCGCATTGGTATCGCAGAAGTTCAAATTATCTGCTCGCCTTCCAATCTGAGCATGTTTGCCATTACTTGGAAAGTCCGACTGCCACGGAACAGTCCCATCTGGATGCCCCGTATTCGAGGCACTGTGGATACCGATGGGTTTGTTGAGGATCTGGAAGATCGTTACACGGTGGCAGAGGCAAACGGCACTTATGAAGTCGTAAACGTCTCGCCCGCTCCCAAGCCTGACGCATTTACAGCCCGTGCCCCTGACCCTGAACCCAAGTCCAACAGTACTAAAGGATCCTGGAGTGTGGCCTGTTTCATCCTTATAATCTGTATTGTGTGTTTTGTGAGTCGAACCACGTACCGTCTCTACGATGAGGGCTTTTTTGATGGGCCTTTAGATGGGCCTTTAGTTGTTGCAGCAGACTCGGTTGAGGTAATTCCCATCGGGGACAGTCCTGATACGGCCGTTGCCATGACCATCCCCGTGACTGGTGAAGCCCCTGTTCCAGCTCCTGTTGTTCCAAATGTTCCTGTCTCTCCCACCACTGTTCCTCTCCGAGATCAAGTCGATTATCTGCTCGGTTGGCGAGGACCTTACTGAGTATGCTGGCGTAACAAAAGTGTACCACTAGTTGTATTGTAATACAGACCAAGTTATCAAAATTGACGACGTTATCTCATAAATGAATCAATGCTTTAGCAAGTCACCTCTAGATCAATTACAACCCAGCATAGAATCCCAGAACCTCCTCAACAGCCCACTTCAAAACAACATCCATGCCTAAATTCCCCCGCCCCGGCGCAACCCTCACACCAGCATCAGCCCTAACATCCACCCCTTCCCCAACCCTCTCCACCAAACCACCCTCCACACCTTCATCAGCAATAAGCAACCACGCATGATCCTCCACATACCGCGGCCAAACAATATCATCCACGTACCCAGGCGGATCGACCCAGAAATTTTGAGGCGGACGATCATCTTCCGCTTCGAGGTCTATGGGTTCGCCCTTGGATCCTAGGCTCGATTTCGTTTCAGGCTCCGGTGCATCTGGCACAGGTCCAATAGTAACATACCCACTCCGAGCTTCACGACGAGTCTTCACATTCGTATACGAAGCTGGCAAGAAAAGCGGTAGGTGAATCTGGTCTTGGACGACGCGAAGTGGACTTTTGTCTTTGTTGGCATCGGGCGCGGAATATAGAAGGAATCCTTCCATGAAAGCAATGGTTTTTGGTTTTTGGGACTCGGTGCCGGTGCCAGACCCAAGTCGTTCACCGACAAGCCTTCTTAAGTCTTGTACTAATCCGTCCTCGACGCCGGAATCGGTCTTGTCGTTTTGGTCTTCTTTGCTCTGCAGCCTTGGTGGTAGTTTTCCGTGTTGACGGACATAGGCTAGTGCCTGGGCGAGGAAACTGGTGTCGATTGCATCGGCTGTATCCCAGTCTTGGATTCTTTCGCCGGATTTCGTGGTTGTGTAGGGGATTCTACGTGGATGAAGATTAGCTCGTTGGTCTGGACGTTTGGATGGTGGCTAGATAGGGGCCACATACTGGTCATCGGGGTAATAGAAGTCATCTTCATGAATAATGAATGTATTCAATTTATTTTCCGTGCTGCCTGTTCCTGAGCTCGGCTGCATATCCACCCCGCAGAAGATCCGCTGCAGGAGGCGGGCGAGGGTGGTTTTCCCGCTGGAGGAGGGGCCGGAAATCCCCACTACCAGTGTGTTGGTCTGTTCCCTTGCTTGCGAGTCTGCCATTTTGTCTGGATGGCTTGATTGGACTTGGGAAATTGAGTCGCTGACAAGAAGGAGGTTGATTTGGTGAGGGGCTTATCGGGGCTTATCAGTTGGGGTTCCTAGGGTTGCCGATTTAGGTTTAGGGCATGTGACAATCTAGATCTTGACGCTTGGACCATTACAGATTTCAATGTGGGACTTTGACGTAAATTTAGCTCAGGATGTCTTGGAAATCGCGTGGACAATCTTTCCATACAAAAATTTCGATGTCTTTGATCAAGTGCCAGACTACATGTAGGAACATATTCCATAAAGACCGAGGCGGGGTGTAAGTCACATGAACTTAGCTTTAAGAGCACAATGATATTTCTAGAGTTAGTGTCTGTTGAAGGTGGCATACATGGTAAGATAACCCAACATACTGCGCCAGACCAGACTGCTAATAGCTGAAACCATTGAAATATCTCAAAAGGCAATCTGCCTGCGGTTTCTGATCGCATCATTCACTGACACTTGCACCTGTTGTACACGCTCGAATCGCATAAACGCACAAGACTCACTTTCGAGGTGTGAGAACAGCCCAGCCAGCGAGATAAACTCCTTTGGACAGTTGCCATTAGGACAGTGGTAAGCCTTTTGCTTATGAACTGGCGAGTTGATATGCTGGTTCAAAGCTTTGGATGTATTGAACTCGCGATGGCAGATGTAGCATTCCCAATTGTAGCCGTTGTGAGCGCGGTCGGTCACGATGTACTCCATATGCTCTTCAACCTGCCAACCGATCTGCTTGTTGGTGATCAAGCCTTGGTGGTCAGAAGCCTGAACGATTTTGAGAAGAGACTCGCGGTTCAGATTGGGAGCGTTGGGGCAAGACCCAGTCTCAACGTGGTGGGAGGCGCCACTGGCTGTCACAAATGCAGTTTGGCAGAAGGGGCAATTGAATCCAGTGCCACGGTGAGTACGCGAATTCCGGTGCTTTTCATCCTTATTAGTGTTATTTTTCTCGAAAACAGCAATAGAAAGGAAAGTCACCATGCGTAGGTTGTTGCTGTTCTTGAACTCGCGACCGCAGGGAACACAATAGGTTGCCCAATGGTCCATGGAATTCATGTGATTGTTGACTGCGTTCCGACTGAAGAATTGGCCGGTGCAAGTTTCACATTCAAATTGTGGAGCATGATGGCCCAGTGCATTCATATGTTGGTGGCAGGATATCTGACTGCGAAAACGGCTGTTGCAACTGTCGCACTCGATCCAATGACCGTAGTCATCCATATGCTCATCGCAATCGTCCCCATAATAGAAGGTATCGGTACAGGTCGCACATTCGTACATGGTGAGCAAAATTGGCGAAGCGTTGGAAACGAGGGTCCTGAAAAGCTTTGGGGGGAAGTGGTGTTGAAGAGAAAAAAGGAGTCCTAGCTGAGGGTGATGGAAAGAGAGAGATGCAGATATAGCGGGCTGCAGCTGAGTTACGAACGAATCACATTCATGGTTCAATCCCTGTCAAATTTGGTAGCCGGGGTATATAGACAAAGAGATAGGTTGAAGGAGGAGGTTTCAAGACTACAGAGGCCCAGATAAGAGCTTAGATACAGTGGGGCAGAAGGCCCAGACACGTTCTCAAATCTTCGAATCAATATAGCTCGTATAGGTGACGGCATAGAAGCGTCCTTTGGTCTGGTCCTACACCGCCTTCTCCTCCCCACCTGATATCTGCTTATATCGAAACCAATACACAAATAATATATATACTCCTTTTGAATACAACTAGAAATTGGAGTGGAAATAGTCCTCTATATATCTCACATTGTTTTTTGGTAGTCAAAGGGCCCAGATGATTGAGGCCACATGATACGTCACATGACTAGGTCGGGTCGCTGTCCTATTCAAACGTCACCGTTTATAACTACATGTGAATCACAAACTTAATCAGCACAACATTTCTAGACTCCATTACACTACCTGATGCACGTTATACTCAGCGCTGTGTTGGACCATACCCACGTGGTCACCCATTAGATTGACAGATCGAATGACATGGAAAAGCGCCCCACTATGTAGTAATTTGGCCCACGATCCCAAAGTCTAACATGTAGAGGCATGATCACCTACCAATACATAAGGGGCAGGAAAATAACAAACCTGGTCTAGCGGTACTCGCGGGTAGGTTTACTAGTATGATATGGGCCTGCTTATTATGATCTCTCGCCCCCAATATCTCACGAATGTGGGCCATCATTGGGCATTCCCATATCTCCAACGTCTTTCAGTCTCTAGCGCCCGCTCACTTTAAATTCGAGTGTTCTCAGCTCCGAGTCAATAGTTTAGCTAGTCTTGGTAAGCCTGTCTTTGATACTTTCCCTGCGAAAGACCGATAAGTTGCAAATATAGCCGAGTATTTTGTCCATTGACACGCTTCCGACTCTGCTGTTCGTGATGTCCTTGTCATTCTAAGTTTGACAATCAGCTTATACGAATGATAAAATTTATATTGTAAAGTGAACTTCCTATCTAGCATAAGAAGGTAAATCATTCCGAAGATGACATGGACATGATTACGGTCAGATTTCTGGGAACTAATTTATCAACCAAGAATGAGCACTCCAAGCTGATGACCTATCAAGGTTAGGTCCATTCGATTTTATTGGCCAAGGTAAATATTCCACGGGGAATATTTCCCTCTGGGCAGGATCTCTGCTAATCTGCACATACCAGGCGCAATATGTGGAGAATGCGGGGATAAACCTCGAGTTCCATCTCGCTGAGGAAACTTACCCCGGAGATCAAGCTTGGCACTAGCCATCATGACCAATCACCCTTCTACAATCATGCACCCTACGTCTCGTATTCTGGAATGGCCTCAAAAGGCTACTTTTCCCCGGATTGATGATGTACTGGTTTTCGCTACCCCACGGGGAAAGCAGGTAAAGTGGGTATCTCATAAATTCAGCTTAAAAGGCGCCATGGAACTCCCCGAGTTGATGTATTAAATTCAATCATTCCAGACCAATCTCAGTTGAATATGGATACCGCTAAGAAACCGAATCATCCGGATGACCATTACAAGGGTGACGATGATGTTGAAGAGATTGAGAACATCAAAGTCGATAACATCAATATCCAGACAGAGCTCAGCAGTATTGAATCAACAGCCGCCTCTAAAGCAGCCTGGTTGTTCTCAATCGTCGTCTCCATTGGCGGATTCTTATTTGGTATGTCCTCTCCTTTCTTTACGAAGCTTCATGGGAGAACATACATTGATCTCGCCAGGTTACGACACGGGATACATTTCTTCTGTCCTGGTCACCATCGACACATCCCTCGGCCATGTATTGAGCACAAATGAACAAGAAATGGTGACCTCTTTGACTAGTGGTGGTGCCTTGGTAGGAGCGATAGGGGCAGGCCTAACCGCCGATCGATTCGGTCGTCGCTGGCCAATCTGGGGTGCTTGTCTGTTGTTTGTGATCGGCTCAGTGCTTCAGACATGTGCATTCTCTGTCGGCCAATTTGCCACAGGGAGATTCGTCGTCGGTCTTGGGGTAGGAGGTGCCGCCATGATTGTTCCTCTTTACAGTAAGTCTTCTTCCACTCATGGAACGCTCTCGCGAAGGCTCCTGCTAACGTACTTCATCGTCATAGTTGGAGAGCTGGCTCCTGCGCAATACCGTGGCCGCATGGTGGCATTTAACAACATGAGCGTGACGTTTGGTCAACTAGTCGCCAGTGCGATTGGTGCCGGTTTCGCTGGGGTAAATGGTGAGGGGTGGAGAGCTACTGTAGGAATTGGGGCAGTCCCAGCTATCCTACTCGCAGGGCTATTAGTTATCTGCCCAGAATCGCCTCGCCAGCTTGTCTCTCATGGCAAAGTTGATGAAGCACATGCAGTCCTCACACGCATCTACCCTACGTCTACTGAGGGACAACGTCAAGCAAAAATCACGTCCATTGAGCTTTCTCTTCAAGAGACCTCCAATGGAATGTCGGAAGATTCTCTTTGGACTACGCTGAAAAGGGTCTTCAACACTCCGGCAACTGCCCGCGCGGTCGTAACGGCTTGTGTTGTCATGGCGATCAGTCAGCTCGGCGGCTTCAACACCTTGATGTATTATGCCGCGTCCTTATTCTCGATGGTCGGATTTAGCAACTCTACTGCAGTCGGAATCACCGTTTCTGGTACAAATTTCGTCTTCTCATTCGTGAACCTTGTCCTTGTTGATCGATTTGGTCGCCGAATCATTCTAACGGTCACTGTGCTTGGAATGTCAATATGTATGATCGTAGCTGTTGTTGCGTTTATGTATATCCCCGTGAATCTCCAGACTTTGGAAGTAGAAACTTCACAGGTCGGTTGGCCGGGTGATCTTGTCCTCGTCGCCATTATATGCTACGTTGCATGTTTTTCATCGGGTGTCGCCACCATCGCCTGGATTGGTATGGAATTGATTCCACTGGAGGTTCGAGCCGTGGGTACCATGCTGGTATGTTTGCTCTTTTCCCATCAAAACGTCTTTCAATACTGACATACGATAGAACACTGTTACCTGCTGGGGCTGTAACATCATTATCTCTTCGACATACCTCTCTATGATGAAAAGCTGGACGCCGAGTGGTACATTTGGATTCTATGCCGCTATCTGCTTCTTTGGTTGGATATTTGTTGTTTTCTTCTACCCCGAGTGCAAAGGTATGCCACTGGAAGCTGTGCGGGAAGTCTTTAGTAAGGGCTTTGGAGTCCGGTATTCGAAGCAGTGGCAGAGAGACCATAAACACGACGCGAAAGTGGAGACAATTGTTATGGGTCACTAAATTTGAACAATATAACTTCCATGCCCTGAAATTAAGGGAGCCATCCTATTAATCGCCACAAACTAAGCCGAATGCCCTCACTAAACATCATCTAAAGTAGTCGTTACGCGATTACGTGGGCTGTATGGATCCTAGTCACAGTTGACCCACGAGCTTCAAATAATTCATCACCTCAATATCAGTCCCCCACGCACTCATGTCACAGTAACATTGAACAATTGTCTCCAACGCGTGCGGGGTTGGCATTCGGAGCATTCAGGAGCCAACCACGACACAGCGATCTACAAAGTACGCTTGAAACTCGGAGGATCTACATCTTTTGTTGCAATTGGGTGTTAGCGAATGGGTCCGAGCAAATTCAAGTCTCTGATTTAATCAAATATAAGAAAGTGGAATTCCATTTCCTCAGACGACGTCTTTTTCAATCCAATCAACAGACAAAAGCCAACATGATACTCAAACCCTTTCTCATAGCCCTGGGCCTCCTGTCTGTAGCCCAGGCCATCAAACCCTTCACATGGAATAAACAAACATTCCTCCTACATGGTAAACCATTCCAGATAATCGGCGGCCAAATGGACCCCCAACGCATCCCCCACGAGCTTTGGACCGACCGACTAGCCAAAGCACGCGCAATGGGCCTAAACACCATTTTCTCATACGTCTACTGGGACCAACTAGTGCCTGAAGAAGGCGCCTGGGAAACAAGCGGCAACAACGACATCGCACGCTATTTCAAGATCGCCCAAGAACAAGGACTGAACATCGTCTTGCGCTCTGGGCCCTATATCTGCGGCGAGCATGAATGGGGCGGGTTCCCTGCTTGGTTGAGTGAAGTACCCGGTATGGTCGTTCGAACAAGTAACAAAGAATACCTTGAAGCCGCGAAATTCTACATCGATCATCTGGGCGCAGAATTGAAGGATTTAATGGTCACAAATGGAGGTCCTATACTTATGGCCCAGGTTGAGAATGAGTATGGCTCTTACGGTGATGATCATGTTTATATCTCTTCTTTACGGGATATGATGAGGGAAGCCTACGGTATCCCGCTATATACCAATGATGGCGGGGAAGAGTCGATGCTTATGGGTGGCCAGATACCCGGTGCACTGGCCGAAACGGACGGGAGTCCGCAGACAGGATTCGCGGCGAGGAATGAATATGTGACTGATCCGAGTAGCTTGGGTCCTCAGCTTGATGGGGAGTACTATGTTACTTGGCTGGATCAGTGGGCGAGTAACTACACGCACGAGACGGATGTTGGAAACACCGCTGCTATTAAGCAGGTGACTTCCGACTTGGTTTGGATTTTGAAGAACGATAGTTCGTTCAGTATCTACATGTTTCATGGTGGCACGAACTGGGGATTCCAGAATGGTGCTGATTGGGGGGATGCGCTGGAGCCCATAACCACGAGTTATGACTATGGTGCACCGCTCGATGAGAGTGGACGGACGAATGAGATCTATCACGCAATCCGGGAGATGATCGGTGCATATGTTGGCAATGATAGCATTCCTGATCTGGTACCCGAAAGTCCATTGATCACTATCCCATCCATCAAACTCGAACCGGCCGTGAGCATGTTCGATGCACTCCCGGACCCGATTCGGAAGACGACGCCTGTCAATATGGAAGCCGTTGACCAGTCCACTGGGTTTATTTTATACCGACACACTGCTACCTCTGCTATAAGCGGGGTCGTGAAGACGGGCGACCAACCTCGAGACCGGGTCCTCGTTTACGTGAACGGGAAGCGTGTCGGTGTAATCGATAGCACGTACGAAGTACCGAATACCGTTTCTGTCGCGTTGAAGAAGCACGATGTTCTCGATCTGCTGATTGAGAATATGGGTCGCGTGAACTTTGGTTCCAAGATTGTGGATCAGCGGAAGGGAATTGTAGGAAATGTTACTGTTGATGGGATGGTTCTCTCAAACTGGGAGTTGTATCCTCTTCCTCTGACAACCCCTCCGGCTGCCGCAGCTACAGCGCCCCAGGTGACGACAACATCGGGTCCGATCTTCTATACGGGATCCTTTGACGTTGATACAATGGGTGATACATTCCTCGAGCTACCAGGGTGGACGAAAGGCGTTGTTTGGGTGAATGGTATGAACCTAGGTCGGTACTGGGTTATTGGGCCTCAACAGACACTGTATCTTCCTGGTGTTTATCTTCGTGAGACTGGAAACAGTATTACCGTGCTGGCGCTGGAGCCTACTGGGGATGAGGGTGAGGTTCGTGGGATCACGACGCGGAACTGGGGCAATAATCCTGATCCTGATATGTAATAGTTTGGCTTGGTTTTGTGCATATAACGCTGGAAAGATACAGGTAGCTTCCAAGGTTGGTAGATGTACAGTTAGCTGTCATTTTGAGTAAGGGCAACAGAAGCTAGGTTTTTATGTTTAGCCCAAAGGGCGATATTGTACATGTAAAAGAATCCACCAACACCAAGCTGAACGAAAGAAAAGTAAAGAGAAAAAGGAAGGTATAAGGTCTCAAGGCCCAAAGAGAGACACTCGCGCGTTCTCAAAATTGCCGTCATTGTCCGGAGGAGACGTATCAGGGAAAAGAGGGCGCGGAGATAGAGAGTCGCTGTCACCCTCAACATCATTTCCCAGCATTTGCACACTTTGCGCAAAACCAATACGCGATCTCTTAGGCTTGAGAGTCGGGAATGCTCTATTCTCCGGCCAAGTGGTCGCATCAGAATCAGCATCAGACTCTGTCGCGATGGCTGTGTGAGAACGCTTCCTGGAACCTCCTTCTTCTGCGACCTCATTATCTGGGATAGGCAAACGATGACGATCAAAGAAGCCCGTCGGACGATCTAAGTATGCCGCGCCGGAAGAATCTTCTCCAGGCATATCCAGGAAAGGTTCGTTCTGGATAATATCACTCATGGCAGTGTCATCCAACAAGCTCTTCTCGGCGTGTTGCATCTCTGCTTCAGACATCTCCTTCCTTCGTCTCAACATCCTGTCTTCGAGTGTGTCTTGTAGAACAAGCGTCTCAACGTACACGGTTCTATTTTGACCGATGCGGTGAGCACGTTTGATCGCTTGACTTTCGACGTTGGGTTGCCAGATGGGGTTGACTATGTACACGCGTGAAGCTTGGGCGATATGAAGACCGTGCGAGGCTTGGCGGAGATCCATGAGGAGCACTCGGACGTTATTTGATTCGCGGAACAGTGTCAAATATTCCGTGCGAAGCTTGGGGCTGAGGGTACTAGCGTAGATACGGAAATCTATACCAATGAGCTCGAGGCCTTCGGCGATCCAGAAGGCGGAGTTTATGTTGTCGTAGAAGATGATAATCTTCTCCGCCTCTTGATGCAGTAGAACTTGGTCAAGGAGATAGGTGAGTTTGGCGGATGCCGTGCCGACAAATGAGGTTTTATTGAGAGGTGAGTGCGCTGGGAGTGTGCAGAAAATGTTGCGATTGAAGGTCTTTTTGGGCGATTTGTTGGTCGAACTAGGACTAGGTCTGGCTTTGGAAGGGATTGCAGGCGTATGAGCGGACTCCGGGGCACCCTTTGTCGAGGTACGTTGATGGCTCCGCCGGAGATCTTGGCGCACAGTGATACCATGACCCGACAGACCCTGTGTGGGGTCAATCTGTCTGAGTTGCTTCGTAACATATTTCTGCGCAAAGCGAGCCTGGGTAATGCCCATAAGAAGCGGACCATCCTCTATTTGAGGGTCGAGTGCCCAATGGTCTCGATTATCTTCGGGGAACTCCGCCACAAAGACACCAAGCTCATGGAGGCTTTGAAGTTCACGCCACCTACTAGATTGTAGGGCCCCGCGAGCAATCTCCACACCCTTGTTCAGTTGGTTGATGTCTGCGACCGTCATGCTCTCCCGCTTTTTTTCAAGGTATTCAAGCGCAACTTCAACTGTTTTCGGCAAGTCTTTGTCAAAGCCCACCCACCAGAATCCAGCCTGACGCAAGTTGTTGATGGTTTGGTTCAGGCTCTTGCGGTTGCTCGGGTCGAACATGTAATCTGGACCTTGGCGCTCAGAAGTGATTGAATTGACAGCGAGGCTAAAGAGGAATAAATTGATGGACAAGCGGTCATAATATGTCGGCCGGAGATAAACGACCTTATTGTAAAGCTTCGGGAGAGTAATCTCTTGACTGACCACGTCCAGTCGATGTCGCAGCACTAGTCCTTGAAGCGTTGCACGTATCGCCGGTGTTTTCCGTCGCTTGCCATCTTCTCCAAGAGGCTTGATGTACTTGGTCCAATCAGCAGGGTCATCTGCCCGCGAGTTCGACCAAGGTTTCAAATCCAGGAATTCAATCACAATCCGTCTGATCCTGTCTAGGTCCTTCATCTCATTATCAATCGCATTTCCGGTCTTCTTTCGAGTCTTCAGTGCAGCAGCAGTAATCTTTTCGGATGACTCCGTGTCACTCGTCTTGGCCTCGAGCGAAGCGAGACTGACCTCAACTCCATAAAGTCCAGTAGATGGCGTACCGGAAATCACCCAGCGACGCTCAAAGTGGAGTTGGTTGATAAGATGAATCATGTTCGTTTTCGAGCCACTTCCTGCGACATTATGACCTTCATCAACAATCATTCGTAGCCAATGAAGCTCCGTAAGAGGCGACTCAATCTGGACATAGCTGTTGCGCCGATTGTGTGTAGCCTCCCCCGCTTCTCGCTCGAAACGAGTCTTAGAGAACAAAACAACGTCATATTTCATGAGTTGGTCAGCAGAAGGTGTTTTATCGGACCCCGATCTCAGGATCAAGATTTTAAGACATTCGGTGTGAGTCTTGATTTGATTCTCCCAATGATCCACCAGGTTGTTTGGGGCGACAATAATGGTACCGGAGCAAATGCGGATGCGCTTTGATGGTGGTCTTTGATAAGACATGCTATTCCGGCCTTGGTATCGAGTCTGATGTGGCGGAATTTCATAGAAACCACACTCACGTTCACACGCCTTTATACACTTGTAATGATACGCGCCTTGTCTTCGTTTTTCAATAAAAAAGTTTTTCCAAGGTTGAGAATGGCGGCCGACAGCAGCAGCAGCCATATCCATGAGAGATCCCACTTTTTCTCTGACTGGTCTGGGATCCGGCTTATCCGCTGGGGTTAGATACTGGATCGGAATCATAGGAACATGTCCACGGGTAGCACAGATAACAGCAAGACAGATAAGTGTTTTCCCACAACCCATAGTCTCTGCAAGAATGCCTATTCCGAGATTAATACCTTGACAGAATCAACAGTTGGGTGAGTAGCTTACCTCCACAAGCCTCGGAATACATCGATTTTTCACGAACAATAATTCCATCCTCCTTGTCATAGTAATACTCCACGCCCGTAGGAGTCTGACAAGGCTGCAACCGTGGATCAAGCATCTGTGCCGGTTGCGCCTCCCGCTGAACCATAGCAGCTGCAGACCGACGCTGATACGGATACAGCGGGGTTTTAAGGCCGTACGCCACAAAATCGTCTGCAGACAACAAGTCCTCCATAGCCCCTTGAGCCCAAGGATCTTTCATAATTTCCACGTTAGGATTTGGATTTTCAAGGGTATTGAAAATATACCAAAGGGATTCATCTTCGGCGCCATTCGAAATGTCGGCATCTGGTGTCTTAGCGTCGCGCTGCCCTGTCCATGCTTCAGGAGAACAGTCAATCTTGGCCATGATTTGTTTGACGGCATTTCGCAATTTCGAGATTGATCGTTGGGAGTGACGTCGGCTCGTCATATCCGTATTGATCCATATCTCGAGATTAGTAGAATCTTTGATGTCATTGTCTCGAAGCCAACCAGATTGACGCAACAATAGGAAACTTGGTCCCAAGATTTTGTCTTGAAGAACATCTTTACTTAATGCGCCCACGGGAAGCCAAATACTGGGATTTTCCTGGGAATGCCCATTTTGATGAGCCGTGTCTGCAGGCACTAGTTCAGCTGATGCAGCGGTGGTGGCGGAAATATCAGGAATATCCGGGGCCTTTGGGGCCTGCACAGTCTTTCGCGGTCTAGTCTGGGTTGCCTCTCTGTTCGGTTCCCATACTGACTGCAGCATCCATGCACCACCCAGGCCACTGGCCTCTGGGTCCCAGGGCAGCATGCTGACGAGTTGGCTGCAAAGGAGAGTTATTAGATCAAAGCTGATAGATCATACGGGCAGAACTTTCACCGCCTTTATGGGACCCACTCGGAACGGATCCTCATGAACTGTCACGCAATGTTTGATTGTCCCGCGCATTAGTCGGCCCACCTGGCACACTTGGAAATCGGGAATCTTGATTGGTGTCGCAATTTCCCAACATGTGGGACGTAATCTTGGGAAGAAGGCGAATGAAGGAGAGTACCGAGAGAAGGGATTGGATGCAATGCGGGCGCAATCAGGTTATCGTGTCATGCAGGGTATGTCAAGTTAGGAAGGACTACATTTGCGGAGTACAATAAGACTATTCCAGATTCAGATTAATATTTTCGTTATCAGTGTACTCAATACACAATCTATCGTATTCGCAGCCACCATCAAATCTAAAATGGATGGGATCACTGTGTCAAGAAATCCTCAATCTCAAACCCAACGCGCTTCAACGCCTTTTCTTCCAATTCCCGCGACGATCCAACAACCTTTCTCAGCACGATGGTCCGCGCATCCTGCAACCGTACTTCAACGGCATTGCCACCCGCGCGCTCCAGCTCCTCGCGACTACACTCCCGGATATAAACGGTGATGTCAGGACCAACACAGGCGCGCCAGAGCGACGCCATCCACTGCCAATGATCTAAGGGAGCGTATGAATCATGGATAGGGATAGAGCAGGCGAATGTATCCGCAGTCGTAATCTGATACCGCGGTACGAGCGCAATAGGAATATTACACGGACTACCGGGTACACTTGGGGAGACACTAGCATCGGAGCCATTCTCACTCGATTGTGCAGGTGAATGGATCTGCATGTTCGCAGTCTTTGGGATGAGAGATTTAGGCGACAGGTTCAACTTGTTGGTTTCCTCTTCTGGGCTGGAGCGGGAACCAACGGACATGGCTGTTGAGATGGACTTGACGAAGCTGACCACTTCATCGGAGATACGATGCCATGCTGAGATGGTGTCCAGGTAGTCGACGGTTGCGTCACCCATTGGACCGCCTTCTGAGTTGGGGTCGCGTTGTGGCTTGATGTCCGGTCCATCGAAAACACGGACGTGGTATTTCGGTTCCCTCCTTAGGATACGGTGGAGGTATTCCACGGCGACTTGGACCAGTTCGGGATCGTGGCCATCGACTGCGATGACGGGGCCTCGAATTTGGGGGCTGGATTCCCGGAATGAGGGGACCAAAGGCGGCGAGATTTTTGCGAGGACTTTGATCTTGTTGAGAAAAGGGATTGTCATCACGGTGGCCTCCACGCTGGGTTCTGTGGAGAAACTTGGCGTAATGGGAGTCATGACAGGTGTGCCGGTCTGCAGCGGTGGTAGCTTTAAACTCGGGTCTGGGTGTGACTGGCCCTGTACGCTGCTATATTGGCGTTGTGGATGAAGCATCGGAAGCATGTTGCGAGGTTGCATGTCGGGACGAGCACTATACGGAGCTGCCGAGTATGGAGACTCGGGACTCATGTCTCGACGGGCGATCATGCCCGGCTTGGGGGGGATTTGGGGAATATGGGAAACACGACGGCGTTTGTTGTCTGGTGACCTCCCACCGATCTCTTCTCCCTGGCGAGAACGAGAGCGGGAATCCAATGCGTCAATTTTGATCAGCTTGGGCTCGTCTCTATCCCGGCCGTGCGAGCTTCTAGCTGTCATGACGGTTTTGTGTGTGCCAGGTGCTGAGAGACCTGATGGTCGGTACTCTGCCGTAGCAGTCGTGGGGGTGAATGGGGTCATTGGTGATGGTGGATGCATAAAGCGACCACCACAGCGAGTGCAGTGCGTGCCACCCGTTGTATTGTTACTGATACCCGTGCCAGGGCCGCGACCACCGCCATCCCGACCACTTCGTCGGGGCTGGTAGCGATAGCCAGGGTATTGCTGGTTGTGACGGATTTTCTCTTCCTACTGAGAATCAGTTATGTTCAATACAGAGATGACCCAGTCAAACTTACCTCCGCCAAAGTCCTCCACTTTGACTTCTCTTCTTCTGAAAGATTCCTCCACTGCACTCCGATGATTTTGGAGATATCTGGATTTGCCATGCCCGGATTATGAGCTACCACGGTCGCCTGATAGTGCTGTCGATACAAAATAAAAGCTTTGAATCACGTATTAGCCATCCGATTCTCTCAACGCTGACTGCTGGTCTAGCTTTTGCTTCAACCTCTTAAATCAAAGTAAAAAGCACTTGCCATGCTCATTTAACTGTGCGGGTTGCATTAACTCACCATTACGGGGCCGGGGAACTTTGGGATCCGGCTGGCAGAGACAGAAAGTATCTCTTTCCTTAGCAGACCTCACCGGACTCGCACTGCCAGAAGAGGAAGACGAGCGGGAGATTTCCTTGGAGGTCATAGCACCAGATGGTCTCACCACGAGATTAACGTTAGAATGTCCATTCGATATAGGCGTCATCTGATCACCCTGAAGGGGAATATCCCCTTTGTTCAAGACTGCCATTTGCTGATGGGCTTGTTGTACATCGTTTGGCCGTTGGTCGGCATACTTGAACGAGTCCTGGCGGCACACCAAAGGTCCGTGGGACTTGGGAAGGTCACTCATAATCTTGTGGTCGAGAAGGTCGCTAGGTCTGACTTGGGGAATGTCATAGTGCAGACCAGCTGGAGCGGGGAGCACTCGGTCCCAAGACATTTATCTATAAGTTTGTCGAGAGGGGCAATAGCCGCCACAAACAACCAAAACAAGGAAATCGGCTTCGAAAGCCACAAAGAAATAAGATCAATGTTTGGGTGTGATTCAACGAAATGGCGGGATGAAAGCCCGCGGATCCCTAACAAGAGGAATAACCCCCCACGAAAGAGCAAGGGCTGTAAAGAGTAGAGAACAAAAGTGCAAGGGGAGGAGATGTGGTTCGTGGGAGAATAATTGAAAGAGAAGTTGAAAGAGAAGACCAAATGAAAAAGCGACAATCCGGGGGAATGATCTCAAGTGTATATCAGCAATCCAGATGGGAAAGACAAAGACTGTGGACCTATTTTTGCGGTTTCTTTGTTGTCTTAGGGCCATTCGGCTCGCGATCCCTGCCAAGTGGCTTGTCCTTTGACAATAGATCCCAGATGAATCTCGTTGACAATCAGGCCGCGCCAACCGAGCAAGAGCGAAATTCTAGACCAGAAAAAAGAAAGTATAGATCGGAAATCTGACAGGGGAACTGGACAAAAAAGTACGAAACGATGACCTTGGAACTACAATCTCATCCATGGTTGAGGATGCTAGGGATTTGCCTAGTTACAACAGGAACCTGAACCATTGAATCCCGAACCCAAGGAACATGAGTTTAATCCATTTAAGTTGGCAAAGTAACAGCAAACGAGATCATTGTTTTCTTTGTCTCCGGATGCGGCGACTCGCAGCGGATCCTGCATTGAAGCGCGCGTTGATTGGTCGCGGCTGGATCTTTGGTTCCCCGATAAATCGAACAAAGAGAAAAGCAGCAAACATCGTCTTCTTTTTTCCATTCGCGCAAACAAGAATTATTATTCTTCCAAATCATTTCCCCCCAAAGGAAACAGAAAAATATTATAGAATTTAAAAATTCAATAAGACATCGGGTAGATGCAGATCAGCATGTCACCGCTCCGATATGATCTCATTGCCGATCGCTCCCCACACTCCGTGCAACTGTCGAGGAACAATACTACCTTATACAAGAATTTTCTTTTCCCTTTCTGACGTCCTTATGTCAAATCATTTTAGTCAAGTGGGCCCAGGTTCACACGTATCGGCTACTACCGTGCCTCCCCGATTTGTTCGCCGCATCAGGCACGTTTGATAAGTATGACATCGGGTACCGACTCTTATGTTTCGGGAGATATGCTCATTCGTCATCTATATACTTTTGATAGTTTTTACACAATGTCTAAGCTGCAAAGCCCCGGGTGTGGCGGCGTTTCTTAGACTCTTGGTTCAAGAGAACTCCATCAATCCCTTGGTACACTTCCGTCGCCATTAGTCGGTGGGCAGATGGACCCAGACTCATTTCGTTCCTGTATCCCGGTCAGTGAAAAAGTCGTGAAAGGTGTCGATCTTTGCCGTCCTCGAAAAGAATGGAAATCCAAGGGCACTTACCAGAACAGATACTTGTCTGGGTGTTCACACTGTTTCCTATCCTTGCCCTTTGACATCATGACCTGGAACGAACCCGGTGATTCGACGCAGGCGTCGGCGACGTTTTCCCACCCGGGATCCTCGTTCGTGCCCAGTCCACTTTCCGCCTTGATGCCTGCCGCAAAGAGCTGCCAGTCGCGAATACAATCTAACAAGAAGGCATTCGTATCAAACAAGTAAATCGTACCCTTCTCCCAGGGCTTCGCCGCCTCTCGTAGTTTCTGGTTCCAGTGGCCCAGCATCTTAACGGCGTTCTTGTACTCGTCGCCCTGTGAGGTGAATGCGGACGGGAATGCCGGTAAGAAAGTCACGTCGATGGACTGAGTCAGAATCACCTTCAATTGATCGGAGCCCCAACGCTCGGAGAGAAGGTTCAGCTGATCCATCACGGTCTGGACGCGACGCTCGATGGAGGCGGTGGCGGTGTCATAGTCCTTGGCGACGAGGGACCAAATGTCCCAGATACCGAAGGAAACAACGAAAATGGTGCGGTCTTGGCGGGACTTGATCTCGTCCGCGGTCAGGCCTTGGATGCTTTTCTGTTCGGCGTCGAGCCAGTGCTGGAGCTGAGACTTGAAATCGCTGAGCCTTGTCTGAGACAGGCGGCCCAGTACGTCTAGTTCGGTGTTGTCGACTACGGAGCCGGCGTATTTGCCCCTAAGTACGGACTTGGCTGTCTCGGCGAGGTTCTCCTGGTGACACGAGAACTATTGTGAAATCATCGTCAGTGCACAAATTCAAGACATATTGAGGATGATAAAACACAAGGTGTCGGGTACAAGCTTCCCCGGACTCAGACCCGACTAAGCCCAAGACCAAGGCCAGAACCAGAACCAAAACCAAAACAAGACATTGACAACCCGCCTGTCGAGTGGATGCTAGGTAACTCACTTTCTCACAAAGCCAATCAGTCCAGACCTTCCCTTGTGGCTCCTCTGTCTCATTGTCGCTCCATGAGTCTCCAAACACGACCAATCGTCGATCAAAGTCCGCCGCGGTCTCAAACTTGCTCGTCGCGAGCGGAACAATATCACCAAAATTGCGAGAGGTTAGGAACCATGCCGAGTAGAGGATTGTGCAGACGGCGATGGCGCAAAGGGCGTAGAATCGGTTAAACAAGCGCATCATACTGATAAAGAGCGCACCAGGCGCACGAACGGATATATACCTCGATTAGAGGCGTAGAATGATATCGGAATAATGTACAACCCGTAGAGGCCAGAAATCTCCAATGACCCTGAACTCCTTAGTTCCTCCGGTCCCGGAAACCCGTTGCGATCGGAACGGGAGTCGCCACTATCGTGCTGTCTCTCCCTACTGTCAGTTGTGAAGACAGGTGAAGGTATGTAATTATCGCAGATTCGTCACTTCGCTCTCGAGAGCGTTGAGAAAAGAAGAAAAGGGGAGATAAGATTGTAATCGGAGGAAGTCTTCTCCACCGGGAGAACCGGCAAAAAGTAGCGGGGCCCTTGGAAATCCACGGATAGGAAACGAGTATTTTAAATTGAAAGGAAACCCTGAACGCCTCTTGATTTAATATAAGATTGCAAGGAATGAAATCTCAAGCTTATTGTTGCGACGATCTGACCAGGCCACGCGGCCAGGGCGGGGAGTCCAACGTGGAAACGTATCGCGTGCGGCGTCGTACTGCAGCCAAACCCAAAGCTTGTTTCGGCTCTCTCGATTTCCGCCGCCGCATACGAAGTGGAGATCGTATTCGATTTACCTTTATTTCAGTCGCATTATCTAATGATCTTATTCATTATTATACTTTTTTGACACACTGACCCTTTACTATGAAGCGCCGTCTTGAATAGACGGGATATTGCAGATGACGAATCCTTACGCGCCAACGGCTGCTTGGTGCAATGGCGCGGTCGGGGTTGAGCCCCCTTGAACCGGTATGCTGTACGAGACGTACGAATGCCAAGTCGTCCCATCAAGGCAGTGCACAACTCCTGTGGATATAAAAGACGTTATTTTAGTCTTTGATGAGCTATTTGGCTTCATGTTAAAGGATTCTGAGCGAATTAAAACGCAAAATATGCTGCCTCTTCTCTTTTAAGCTCCACGTACTCTGTATACTTGAATATGCGCATCATCCACCCACCGCTGATCGCCCCATATGTAATATAATCCTATAGACCAGCAAAGACAGCCTGGTGCAACGTAGGCTTTATGCCGCGAATTTGGGCGAACTGTCAAGACTGCAGAGATTAAGTGATTTGGGTCGTTTGAAGATTGAAAATAGTCGATAATACTAGGCAAACGCCAAAGGGAATACTCCTTGTAAAGATCTTGCCTGTAATAGATTTCGGATGAAAGAAATCCTAGACAATGCTGTCCATGGTCTATAGTTCGTAAAGAAGGTGCACAATCTGCCAATCCTGTGACCTTATAATTCAGGTGTCATATCCTGCCTCAGGCGTCAAGCATGACGAAGCGCTCTCACGTGACAGCCTTAGCGACGCTGACTGTTCCAAGACCTAAAGAGGCTAGCGTCGGCTGAGTCAGACACACACACACTCGCTACACCAAACCTTTGGAACTCGCAAAATCCACACGACCGAACCCTTCAACCTCACCTGTCGACAACTCCGCGCTACCGTCTTGACCGCGCAACCCCCGTCAAGATGAAGCTCAACATTTCCTACCCGGCCAATGGGTCGCAGAAGATCGTCGAGGTCGACGACGAGCGCAAGCTGCGCCCCTTCATGGAGAAGCGCATGGGCACCGAAGTCAGCAATCCCCGATCCTTAATCTTCAATCCACACAAATCCACACCACCACGACCCCGATACAAAAAAAAATAATATTACACACAACGCGAATAATAAGAACGATTGGGCTGATGGGTTTCTTTTCGATTAGGTTGTCGGTGACTCCCTCGGCGATGAGTTCAAGGGTTACCTGTTCAAGATCACCGGTGGTAACGACAAGCAAGGTACGACAACTCCTCTCACGACTCTGGGGATGCTATTGGGAATACGATTCAATACATGAATGGGACCATGATTGCTAACTTGAATGTACAGGTTTCCCCATGAAGCAGGGTGGTACGTCTACACTGACCCCTTCCTGAATATTCGACCAGGAAGACCGCACACAAAATTTCCAGCATACTTATCGATTCTCTACAGTTCTCCTCCCCACCCGTACCCGTCTGCTCCTCGCCGATGGCCACAGCTGCTACCGCCCCCGCCGCACTGGTGAGCGCAAGCGCAAGTCCGTCCGTGGTGGTACGTGAAGATTCTTTTCTTCCCCTCGACAAATTCGGAATCACCCATTAACATGATACTTAGCCATCACCGGTCTTGACCTCTCCGTCCTTGCCCTCTCCATCCTCAAGCAGGGTGAGCAGGAGCTCCCCGGCCTGACCGACACCGTCGTCCCCAAGCGCCTGGGTCCCAAGCGTGCCACCAAGATCCGCAGCTTCTTCGGTCTTGACAAGAAGGACGACGTCCGCAAGTTCGTCATCCGCCGCACCGTCACCAAGGAGGGCAAGCAGGACTACACCAAGGCCCCCAAGATTCAGCGTCTGGTTACTCCCCAGCGTCTGCAGCGCAAGCGTCACCGCATTGCCATCAAGCGCCGTGCTGCTGAGGCCGGCCGCGAGGCTGCGTAAGTTCCCTCATGGAGATAATCTCTCCCGGATATATTTGACTGAACATTTCACTAACCTCCTTCCAGCAACGACTACGCCAAGCTCCTTGCCAACCGTGTCCACGAGGAGAAGGCCAAGCGTGACGAGCTCCGCAAGCGGAGAGCTTCGTCTATGCGGAAGTAAATCTACACTACGGTGTAGTAATTCATTTCCGTGGGGATGTTTAATCGAGGGGAGCTTCACGTTACTGGGATGATTGAGGGATTCACAAAAAAAAAGAAGATCACTCCCAGCAACGCGGATATGTCTGATACGAAAAAGGGCTTAAAAAAGTATGGGGGATCAGGTTTTAGCGTATAAGGCGAATGGTTTGATCACCCTACCCCGGGATGCTACTGTGATTCGGGCCTCGGGGCGATGCATCTGTGCTGAACCTATCTTTTGACTACCCTTTTTTGAATGGAGTGCATGCCAATTTCAATGTTTTTGTTTCATCGTGATTGCGTGTAGTTGTAAGCCTCGTAATGTGCGACCTCCCCACGTTCCATCTAAGCCCTGTTTACAAATGCTGCAGAGTCCAGGTATTCAAAGCATTTTAAACGTACCAAGTGTCTCCAGGCTGGTAACTGAAGATCTTACAGGCAATATCCCAAGGCCCAGCTCGAGTCATCTGCCTGTTTGTTCAAAATAGCGAGTTGCCCCTCACCGCCGGTTACCCTAAGTGCAGCCCTAGATTGCAAAACCTCTCCCGCATACACATTTCAATCTGAACCAGAGGGTTTATCCAGTTATTCAAATCTGCTTACCTTGGAACTTGAGATTTTAGTAATAAATCATTGATTACGGTCCATGGATCATTAATACTATATCACCATGTCCAAAGAAGACGTAAAGTTCAGCCCTAACTATCCACTACCCCGCCATTCTGATTTATATATTGCTGCTCGGGAACGTCACCCCAGCCCAGTATCCATTGTACTCCAATGTTGCACAATAACACTTCAACAAATGATCCACGATGTAGGAACTTGTTAGGTTGTAATGCAGTAGAGAACAGGCTTACCGAGTGTCACTGATGAAAGGCACAGAAACAACCTTCCATGTTATAAGAAAACCAATTGGGTAGTTTAGACCTCTATCCACCACAAACGGGCAGATGCTGAGTCCAATTCTATTTTTCCAAGATAAATGTGCGAATGCTCAAGTATCTGGAAATATTTGTTTACCTATGTATATCCCTATACATATGCAGATCAGAATAGCTACAAATATTGGCACAACAACCTTTGAACAGGAAAAGTATCAAGTACAGTCTTCAATACATGAATCAAGGAATGTATCCCAGGCAGTTCAATACATATACAGGTTCAAGGAACAACATGGCATGGAAGAACCAAATGATTTCAAGCTTACATTGAATCTAGCAAGGTGCGGTGTGTCGATGGAGGCAGAAGGAAGAAAGCGCAGCTGTGAATTAGGATACAAGACGTGTTGTAATGCACAATCAGACCGAGTGTCACACCGAGGACTACAGACTACCTAAGTGTCAACTAGTGGTAGTGATCGAAACGTCATCATCTTGTGCGAACGGAACAGAGGAGCCAAGAGAATAGAGCCAACAGAAAAAGCCAACCCAATAGAACCAACAGAACAGAGAGACACAATCAGACTGAAGGACTGCCGAGGACCAATGACTAGGGGTCATTACTATTGACAGTGATTGAGATATCATCATGCTTGTGCCAACAGGACAAGAGCCAACAGGACAGGAGCCCACAGAATAGAAAAGCAGACGGAACAGAGGAGCCAACGGAACGAAGTCAACAGAGCAAAAGAAGAAGAAGAAGAAGAAGAAGAAGAAGAGGAAGAAGCAGCCAAGGACCAGAGGAAGGTTGTGAAGAAAGGAAAGTAGAGAAGGAGGAGAAGAAGAAAAAGTTACAGGGAAAGGTGAAGAGGAGAGGGAGAGGAAGAGGAAGAAGAAAAAGTTGGGAGTATTAATAGTCTGGGAGACGCAGTGAATGATGAGAGTAGCCTCATGGGGAAGAGAGACGTGAAAAGAGACGTGATCAGAGGACGTGTTTTGAAGGGAGCAAATACGTGACTACGTGATTTGTAGACAGGACATGTGGTGGATTGTTACAGTTGACTTGTTATGATGGCCTTGATTTTGTTGTCTTGAACTAAATCATAAAGACAACGACTCCCTGCATATTATACAAACATACTCCTGATCTTACAGTAGTGCTGTAAACCCGTACATAATCCATCAACACCTTGCAGAAAAAAAGGGAAAGGGTCCAGTATCAAAGGCCATATAGGCTTCTAATCATGATCTAAAGATACAAAGAATATTCGAGACATGCACAATGCAATTGGAAAAAAAAAAAAAGCCCCGGGTTCACCAGCGAAGAAAAGCTACTCGACTGTAGACTATCCTCAGATAAAAGGGGAAAAAAGTAAGAACGGCAAACGAAAAGCATCCTGGAAACTTGTATCCTCGGAATTGTCAAACAATGGTCATAAGAATCGTATTTTTGTTTTTCCCACCACACCCTCTGCATCGCATCGCATGGAAACCTTGCCAAAATACACACAGGTCCCCTGGGTAGTCAAGTCAAATTGGTTGACATTGGGATATTGGATTTGATTTTCGGGGGAAAAAAAGGCAATTATGCGACAGCGTGCGAGAAGAGGAAGCTAACGGACTCTCCGTTATGGGTACGACGGCAAGCCTCGGCCAGCGTGGGGCTGATATCAATCGTCTCGATCTTATCGCAAGCTTCCTTCTTCTCGGCATGGGGGACAGTGTTGGTCACAACCAGGCGGTTCAGACGGCTACCATTCAGGTTCTCGATGGCCTTGCCGGAGAGAATACCGTGGACGACAATGGCGTTGACTTCCTTGGCACCGTGCTGGAGGATAGTGTCGGCGGCCTTGACGAGGGTGCCACAGGTATCGGCCATGTCGTCGACGATGATGGCGACCTTGTCCTGGACGTTACCGACAAGAACCATGCGGGAGACCTCGTTGGGACGGGCACGCTCCTTGTGAATGAGGGCGAATTGCAGATCGAGGCGGTCAGCAATGGCAGTCGCACTAAGGAAAGGAAGTGATTAGACTTGACATCATAGTTTATGAAGGTTTTAGGTTGATTTCTTACCGCTTGGCACCACCGGCATCGGGGCTGACAATAACGCAGTTGCTCACATCAAGGTTCTCGCGAATCCACTTGAGCATGCTGGGCTCAGCATACAAGTTGTCGACGGGAACGTTGAAGAAACCCTGGATCTGGCTGGCATGCAGATCCATGGTGATAACATGGTTGCAGCCGGCAGTTTGCAGCATATTGGCCATGAGCTTGGCAGTAATAGGAGCACGGCTCTTATCCTTCTTGTCCTGGCGAGCATAAGGGAAGTTGGGAATGACAGCAGTGATGCGGCGGGCAGAAGCAGTCTTGCAAGCATTGATCATGATCAAGAGTTCCATGAGGCCGTCGTTGATATCGTTGGGCCGTGTTGACTGCAGAATGAAGACTGCGCGAGAACAAAACGAAGATCAGCAACGGACATCCATGGCTTCCTTCCCTTCATTCTATATTTCTTATCCGAGACACCGCGGCGGGGTCAGCGTACCATCTTCGTCCCGAACACTTTCACCGATTGTGACGCTGGTCTCCTGGTTAGAGTACTGCAGAACCATAATCTTGGTCAACTCGCTACCGAGGCTGTGGTCATCCTTGAATTAGTCTTCGCCGCTAAAAATTGCTTTTGCAGAACGCAAAGATCCTTACCGATCCGCCACGAGCTGGGCAAGCTCCGGGTGACTGTTGCCAGTCAGCAACTTGATGGAGTTGGTCGCCATGATGGTGAAAGAGAAGTGAAGTTCTTAGTCTCCCAAGAAGAAAGAAAAGAAAAAGAACCGTAAGCTTGTAAAGCTGCAAAAAATTGAATCCCGCACCTGCCATTTTAGGCCCCGCATTTTTTTCGTATCCCGTGACTACTCACCGCCTTTGCATCGTCATCCGTCATCCGTCATTCGGATCTATATCCAGCCTTACGTATAGAAAAAAGATAACTAAAAAAACACAATATGGATATTTCCCGTAAGAAAAGCAGCAATCTAAATACAAGTGTTGAAAAGGGCCTTTGGAATCAGCTGACCTGCACATCACCTGATACCCGAAGGTTCCCTGGAGTTTTTCCCCATCTTCCTCCACTTCCCCACGAACATTCCCGGGAAAACGCCATTGAATGCTTGGGCCGGAAAAAAAGCACACGAACAGGAAAGGATAATAGAAATAAGGCTATCTATGCGAATCCAAAGTACTCGCTACCAGCTGTCATCGCGGTATAAAGCCGTTGACGGAGGTCTTCATAACTTTCGTATTCAGGGAGATCCAGCTCTGGAGGTATTATTAGCAGATAGATCAATAGGGAGAGAGATGGAAAAGCTTACGGTTGAAACATGTGTGCGAGCTGGGCAAGCGAGTCTTGTTGCCATAATCACGGTGGATGTTGAACTTGCTCACTCCGTTCATACCTTCCAGTTCCTTGAAACCGTTGAGAGGTACCTTGGAGGTACCAGTGACGAATTGCAACAGCTTGGCACGCTCCTCCTTGTCAAATGAGCGAACGGCTCGCCAGAACCACTGGATCTGTGGTGACGAGGCAGAGTAGTTGTGGTATTCAGTGTTGTTCTTCCACTCATCGACCTCAATCTCGGGCAGACCGGAGATCAGCAGCTCCAATTCCTGCTCGTTGAAAATGGAAATGAGATCAGGAGGAATGATTTCATGGAAGCCTGTCGACAATATTAGTATCGTTAAGTAGGAAAAGAAAAAAGAAGCATATATGAAACTGTACCTTTGAGGAAATTGTCAAGCTGCTCTCGGACAGACTCCACCAGACGGTACTCAACCACGCGCTGGATGTACTCCTCCTTGTTCTCTTGGGTGACTGGGATGTTGCGACCATCGGGAATCAGGTCGATCGTCTCCTTCTCACCAAAGGCATCGGTTTCGATGGAAAAGCTCTCAGTGATGATGTCGGTGATATCATTCTCCAGCATCCAGAGCAAGGACTTGTAGTAGTCGAGGTCAAGTGTCTCCATATCTTTGATGGACACAGAACGCCCAAGGATATTCTTGTAAACAGCACGAGAGAAGTGACAGTCCAAAACACGACCCTCGTAGAGAGCCTTGCCAATGATCCGGCCAATGAACTTGAAGAACATCAAGTGTTCGGAGTTGACACCACTCAGACGGTTGGGGTGGAAAGTAGTCCGATCGGCGGCAACAGGAATGAACAGAGCGTAGTTGGGATTGAACATGCCACGGGCAAGGACTGAAAACCATTCTCGAGTGACACCGCCAGCATCGACACCCTCTTCACCATGGAAGCGGACGTTCAATTTGCCGTGCTTGAGCTCATCAGCACTCTTAAAGTAAAGAGACTTGAACGAGTCAAGGAAGACTTGGTCTCGGCGCACAGAGAGCTGGAGAGGAGGGTGAGTGTGGCGAGGCTCGGCGGCACCACGCGTGTGCATGCGACGAGTGAAGTAATTGCGCTTGTTATCAAACTCAAGCACCTTAGGGTTCTTCACCAGCAGGGAAAATGTGCCACTCATCAAGCGAGGATTCTGGCGAACGAGCTCGTTGAGAATCTTGCGGTGTTCCTCAGTAAACTTGAAGAAGAGGTTCTCCATGCTAAGACCAGCATCAGCCGAGGCACTGTTGACTGATAACTCGCGGCTACCCCGAGAAATTGGCTGGTCCTTGAGAGTGGTGTTCTTGCAGACAACCATCAAGGCCTCGATCAAAGGCAAAAGAATGGTAGCTACGTTCAGCATGTTCTCCTTCTGGCGAATGACAGTCAAGCAGTCACTGAGCTTCGTCCAGAGAGGACCGAAAGTGGCACTCTCATACAGTCTCTTGAGAACATCTTCTTTGGGTGCGGATTCGGGCTCGCTTCCCTTCGACTTGTCAACACGAGTTGGGTCAAAGAGATAGTCGAGTGCGGTGAGGATACGAAGCAACTTCGCCTGGTCAGAGCTGGGCGGGGAGAATTTAGCCAAGGCTAAGCCTTGCATGTCCGTGCCAGTCTCAGATTGATGGATGTAAGGAAGCAGCTCTTCAAGATCTGCAAGAATTGTATCGCTGAGGGCTTGTGCTTGGCCGACGAGCTCATTGCCAATCACATCCCGAGCACCGGGGATGGCAGAAAGGTTGTTGATAGTGGAGAGGGTATCACGGAATGTTTTTCCATTGCATTCACGAGCTGCAAGGATGTGAACGACTAGGCGGAAGTTGTGATCAGGAACGACAGGGGGCTCAATGCTCTTCCGCTTGCGCTTCTCTTCTTCGGCAGGCTTGTCAGTGCCTTCGGCCTTCTTAGTATCGTCTTTATCCTCTGCGGTGCCTTCAGTATCTTGTCCCTCAGCCGTCTCAACGGTAGGCAGTGGGGCGTCTGTCATGGTAGTGTCCGTGCCAGGTTCAGCGGCCTGGGTTGGTTGATCCGTCACCTGTCCAGCTGAAGCTTCTTCGGGCTTCTTTTCCTTCTCTTCTTCGGGCTTTTCCTTTTCACGGCGGAGGAGAACGGTGAGCGGTTGAGTGATGCTGCTGAGTAGAGCAGACAGCTGCTCCATGCAGTTAGGATTGTCCATGATCAACTTCCTGTCAAGAAGCGAAAGGAGAGAGTTCAGAGCGAATTTGTTAGCTCGGTTCTCTTTGCCCTTGCCCTTGCGGAATGCCTTCAGCTTAAGCTGGGAAGCCGAATCATGCTCAGTCAAGAAGAACCAAGGAACATGAGCATTAAACTGAGACAGGTAGGACAGTGTTGCCAGGCATTGTTGTACGACCATGAGCGGAGTCACATCACTGCTCATGCCAGAGGTCTGGAGGGAAAGTTGACGCTTGCCAGACTGAGGAGTCTTCTGCGAGCCAGGAGTCTTGGCGCGGAGCGATAGGTGAGAAAAGCTGCGCTCGATGGCGGAAGAATCAACACTACCGTCTTGCAAGACAGAAAGAATAAGACTGATAAGCTCCCCACGGTTCTGGCGGTTCTCGCAGACATTATGGACGATATCGTTGAACTGAATGCGTGTGTTGCCCTGAAGAGGCATGAACAGCAACCGCAAAATAGTGGCAACACCAGCTTTGTCGAGCATCTGGACAATTTGGCGTCTCTGGGGTTTCTTAGGTTCTTGTTCTTCAGCAGGCTCGTGTCTCGGGCGATGTTCCATTCCAACAAGGTCACCGAATTGGGCAATGCGGCGGCCGCCAAGGGCTCGTGCCTCCGTTAGGTACTCGGGGCCTAATGTAGCAAGTACATCCTCGGGTTGATCAGCGAGGACAGCTTGACGCAAAGAGGGGTCTAAAGTTGCAAGGAAACTAGCGGCGTCCATATCCTCAGCTCGAGGCGCAGTAGTACCAGCTGGGGGCTGTTGTCGACGAGCAGCTTCCCGCTCACGACGACGTCGATCAGCGGCTTCCTGTTGCAACAATTCGTCTCGAATCTCGGCAGGCAAAGCTTCCAGGAATTCCTGATTAATTTCGGTTGGCTCTTCGCCAGCGGCAGCGGCTTGAGATCGCTGGTCGGCAAGCTGTTGCATGATCACCTCTTCTCGAAGCTCTTCTGGCAGAGCCTCTAAGTATTCAGGATCGATTTCCAAGCCCGTTATATCAAGCTGACGACCCCGAATAATTGTGTGGACTCGTTGAGCAGGCTCGGGCTCAGGTTGAGCGGACGAGCTGGCAGTAGGTTCAGCTGTAGCATCAGTCTGCTGAACATCTTCCATAGGCTCATCAACACCAGCGGCCTGTCGCTCGGCTTCTTGTTGTTCTCTTTCGGCCTGTAGCCTTGCATTATGTTCTTCTTCGAGCTTGTTCACGCGCTCCTCCTCTTCTCTGATTTCTCGTTCCAACTTCTCTTTCTGAGCCAGTTTCTCACGAACAATCTTCTGCTTTTCCTCCTCGATCTTCTGGTTTTGCTTTCCTTCCTCGATAGCGGGAGGAACCAAAACCTTCATCAGAGAATTGATAACACGCTGCGTTTTCTCCACGTAGGTGCTGCTGAACAGGAGACGAGCTTCTTCCTGCCACCGGTTCCTTGTTGGCGACAAAGAAAACTTGACGGCATTGAGGGGGTCGTCACGGCTGCGCGCGGCGGGATTGTGATGACGTGTGAGGGAACCGAACATGTCTTGAATACGATTGGGCAAGATCGCCCGACGGTCGACATGAACATGAATACCGTCTGGGCGAGTGACGACACCAAAGCCAGGTGTAGCTTGTCCACCAATAGCCTGCATGATAGCGTTCATAAAGCTAACGGGGCTTTCCATGGCAAGCATTCGTCCACCACCTTCAAGTTGACTCCAGTCAGGAGGAAGCGGTTCTGCCGTAAATCCGAGACGCGGAGCAGAAGGATCGGTGGCACCACCGTCATTGCGCATCAGAAGAGGATTGGTACCATCATCGTTGCCGCGGGCCGTAGGCAGGGTCCGATGGACACGGGGATAAGGCTGGAGCGGCACAAGTCCACCATGACGTCCAGGCATGATTTCAGTAACAGTAGCCCAGGCGGGTGGTGCACCACCACGGAAGCGATGGTGATGCCCGTGCGGTCGGGGCGGTGGGGGTTCATCGCCTTCCCAACCCCAAGGCTCGAGTAGATCGTCATCTGGAAAAGGAGATGTCAGTAAAAATTCATCCAGTATTAGCAAGTCGTAGGGCATTTTTACCTTCCATATCTCCCTCGGAGCCCTGGTCCATCTCATAGTCATCGTAGTCATCCATCTCATCGTCAATTTCATCCATATCCTCATCTTCTTCTAGTCGTGAGATCAGTAAACTGACCAGGCGCAGCGAAAGGGGTTGAAGTTGCAACTGACCTCCATCATCCAGCTCATCAAGAATCTCATCGTGGATATCTCCTCCTAGGCCATCGCCGTGCATGTCTTCAACACCACCGGAAGCAGCGTCATTGAGAGCACGGAAGAGATCATTAATACGGTTAGTTGAGTGCGGTTGGTTGGTTTGACGGATGTCAGCCATTTCCTCTTCGAACTGGTTCATCATCTCGGCTTCTTCTTCGTCTTCTGTCATTTCTTCACTCTCCCATTCGTCTTCTTGGTCTTCTCCGAGACTCTCGTTGTCATGATCGCCAGTGATCTCGCCGGCAAACATGTCATCATCGTCCATGTCAGAATGGTCGTCGTCTTCATCGTCGTCCTCATCGTCATCGTCGTCTTCATCATCAATAATGACTTCGACGGCATCACCCGAGAGACCTTCAATGGGACCTCTACCTTCGACATCCTCGTCTTCATCGCTGACAACCTCACCATCATCCTCGATGATTTCCTCATCGTCGTACATATCATCATCGTACTCGTCGTCATACATTTCATCATCCTCGCCTTCTGATTCCTCGGTGCTAGATTCTTCCTCGTCATGGCGAGGCTCCAGCATACCAAGCGTAGAGTGGCGGAAAAGGTCGGGCGTCTCTTCCCGGTCATCCTCCATGTCAGAAACTGAAGTTGCAGACGAAATCTCGTCATCCTCGGCCTCACCCAGGTTAGAAATTTCATTACCCTCACTGAGGATCACCGCGGTTTGTGTCAATTTGTTCAACGGGCGCAGGATATACTTAATAACGCGTTTCGATGATGGGAAATTGAGGTCAATATCTGCGACAGAAGCAGTCAATGCAGGGATGAAGTGTTTCTCAAACATTGTCTTCGCGAGTTGTTTGTTAGAAGATGGGAAGCCCGCATCCTGGGAGTAGGAATAACCGGTGAGCATTTTGTCGAAAAGGTCGGCAAGGCACATAAGCTTCGAGTATTTGGCATCCAAGGGCTCAGTTGAGGCACTGGCATCCTTGTAGGATCGAAGTGCATGCTCGAGCACGAACCTGCGAACGAAAGCAAGGTCCGGCTCATCTTCCTCAATTGGCTTTGGTTCGTTACGGCGTCTAACAGGGCCACTATTTTCACCGGTCTTGGTGCATAGAGCAACCAGGACCTGCATAGTCCATGTCGAGGTCATGCTCCGTTTCTTGAACGCCAATGAATCATCATGCTCCATAGTTCCAAGGGGAACCAGTGCATTTAGCAAGTAGTTGAGAATGCCCGAGCGTGGCTTGGAAGGTGTGGAGGCAAGGGGATCAGCCTTGCGAGAGAAATTGATGAACTCGACTTTGGTGCGGTTGTAGGATGACAGAAGCTCGGTGAGACATTGAAGCAGGAAGCATCGGTAAATGTAAATTTGATGATCTTCAGCGTTGAATGGTTGCTTCTCACCCTTCTTCGCAGGTGTGCGACTAGGCTGCGCATCGGCACTGCTCGACACGGAGGGGGTAGGCTCATCCATGGACATGTCAACGTCTGTCGGCGGTTGGGCTTCAGGCTGGTCGGTAGATGTCCGCTCAGATGTTTCAGTTGGGATTATTTCCTTATCATCGACGTCCTTGTAGGATAGCAGCTCTGATAAGAGGTAGTGGATAACACCATCTGGGTTCTCGACCACAGGCGCTTTAAGCTCGGCGCCCTTGCCTTGGTTTTTGTCCTTCTCCTTGTCATCTGGAGCAGAGGTCTCAACCTTGCTATCCTCATTCTTGCTACTCTCCCCACCGCTCTGCTCTTGACGTAGACGAGCAGTGCGATCTTTGTCGGCCTTCAGGCCAAGAAGTTGGGGCCGCTGGGAAAACTCATATTTGGTCAGTCTCAGCTTCTCGTTTGTCACTTCCACGAAGATCTCAGGCGCCCTCAAAACGAGATGATACAACTGTCGCACGTAGCCAGTAGTGTCAATTTGGCGAGATGATTTGTTCTCGAAATTAGCGACAATCTCACTGCGCATGATTTGCCGAATCGTAGCTTCGTCCTCGACGATGTGACGCAAGATCAACAGAAACGAGCTTTGGAGCTTATCATTTGTGGCACTGGCTAGCTGCTTAACCATGACAAAGAGACGCTGCAAGTTGCGCTTCTCTCCAAATCGCGCAGCAATGCTGCGTTCCCGAGTGACAATGACCAGAATACGACAGATAGAGAGTGCTAGGGTGTCGTCCTTGCCCACCCGGGGCAGGATTTCAACCAAGGCCTCAAAAAGCTGAGTCTTCTCCTCAAGGGACACTAGGGGTTCCTGAAGGCGAGCAGGCTCGTCATCAGAGACAGGATTGTCGGGATTTGGTGGATTCCAGGTTATTTGAGGGGGCTGGCAATCGTCGGACAACAGCTTTTCTAGAATGAGCAATACATGGCCGATCCAAGGGAAAGTTTCGTTGGCAGGTTTCTCGGGAGTAGGCAGTTTGATAAAGCCAAGGAATGTAGAGAAACAATCCTTGAGCTCCTCGATAGTTGCATTGTACATGTCTCGATCCTGAAGAACCAGAGCAAGGATGTGGGCGTAGGCTGCAACTTTCTTTCCGGCCGTCTCAAAGTTCTCCATTTGCAAGGAAACGAGTGACTGGACGAGAGTTTCCCCAACATCTCGACGGAAGCTTTCGGGCTCGCTATGCTTCTTGATAGCAGAAGAGATCAGATCCGCAAGCTCGAATGATACATCATGGTGGACATTGAGAATATCAAGGCAGCGTTCAATCAGATTATATCGAACTTTCTCTCTTTCGGCATCTAGATCCTCGACAGTAAGCAGTTGGCGCCGACGGACTGGCTCTTGTGGTTGGCTAGCAGGCTCTGATTGCCCTTGAGCAGATGAGGCACGTTCTTGGTGGGATGAGTCGCCAGGCTCATCGCGGCTCACAACTTCACCATTCTGGAACACAGCACCAATCGCCCGAGCAAAGCTCTCGGGTATGCTTGTATCAATACCTTCTGTATCATCTGTGTTCGAGCGAGTATGGTCATCCACGGAGTGGCGCGAGGCCTGGGCCAGAAGCAATGCAAGGGCCGAGCTCTCCAAGAAAGCAGGGTCGAAGTTAGGGTCACCCGGAATGACATCTTCAGGGCCATCTCCGCCTGAGGCGACTTCAGAAGATCCAGTTTGAATGTCAGTGGCTCGAGGAGGCAGCCTAGGGGGAGCTCGAAGCCATTTTTGCGCTTTGCAGTATTCTTCAGCGGGACCCAAAACGTTGTTGCAGCGGTAAAGAGCCTCCTGGTTCAGCTCTTCATCCTCGAAGCCCTTCTCTTTCAGCGCTGCCGCACGGTCTTTGTTGACAACGAATGGCTTGCGTGGGACTTCAGTCAAGATAGGTGGCGGGTCGGCTTTCAAAGCAGCACCCGACTCATACTCTCCATCCAGTGATGAGCGAAGAATGTCGACTAAGAATTTGACGATCAGGCTTTGAGACTGGGTGGCAAATTCTGAGTTCCACATCTCTTGAGCCATGGGCAGGATTTCCATGCGGAGATCTACCTGGAATTGACCAGGTTGGAAGTAATCCGGACGACCACGCTCCCGATCATGGTTGGTCGTCAGCGCTTGTGTCTGGCTAGACTCAACGATACTCTTGCCGCTCGCGAGTTCTGTGAAAACCGCAAGGATGATTTTGATTCCCCCGTAAGCAGCGGTAAGTTGATCAGCAACTTCCTTCTCGGTCTCAGCACCGCGATCCAAGGGCTTGAGGACGTTAACCTCACGCATGAAGGTTTCGCACATCTCCTTCAGCACCTTGAGCCCGTTGTTCCGCTTGAAAGCGACAAGGACAAGAGTCAGGTAGTTAGGCGTTGGCCGATCACCACCAGCTTCGTACAAGAGGTGTGAGAACTGGGAGAGGATGACAATAAGATAGGGAAAGCGGTATTTAGAGCTTGCGCCTGAGTTAGGAGCATCGAGTTGGAGTGCACGTAGAACAGTGTCAGCGATGGCCTCGGCCACCATGTTGGCACTCTGCTTTGCTTTTTGAAAAGAGTCTCCACGCCTTTTGCTGACAAGACCAAGACCAAGATTGTGCATAAAGCCTGTAATTGTAATTGGCAGAGCACCCAAGAGATACCGAAGGATCTGAACATTCTTGAAAGCGGAGCTTTCTTCGTCAACTTTCTTGGCAACACCTTCAGGCTCCGGTGCAACCGAGGTGTTTGAGCCTTCGGAGGCACCGAGGCCTTCTCCCTGAGTCGCAGTAGCAGAGTCTGCCGATGAGTCCTGAGAAGCCCCTGGTCCGGGGACCGCGGGCTTTCCTGGGGGTTGCTGTTTGCCTTGTGTCCAAAGATCCGGGTTATTCTTCTCATTAACGATCGCCTCCCATACACATGCTGAGAAAAGATCACCAAGGGAAGAAATAAGGTTGCAGTAACGGTCAGCGAGATTGACTTGGGTGAAAGGAGACACCTGTTGAGCAGGTCGAGTCTGGTAAAGCGGCATTGCGAAAATCTCACGGAGCAGGTCGGTAAGAACGAGGACGGCATTCAGGTTCTTTACAAAGAAGGTTCCATGAGAGAGAGCTTCTGTTGCCTCGGGTGCAGGTGCCTTGGAGTCGAGCGGTCTGGTGAACGACGTGAAGAATCCCGACTCTTTGGGCGCGGCCCAAAAGGCCGACAGGGTGTTCACTGCTGACTGCGCCCGCTCAACAAGAGATGGAATAACAATGTGCGGTTTGGTTTCAGCAATCATGTGCACGAGTACCGTCAGTTCCTGGTTAGGGTCGGTGCCATGGAAGCCATATGGCAAGCTCTGAAGTGTTGCGTAATCCAGAACAAATTCCGCTCCACCAGCCTGGATGAAAGATGCGCAATTTGGCTGGTTTTCAAAGAATGCACCGAGGAACCGGATGGCAGGGAACAGGTAGTCTGCAACAGTAAGGCCATGCTCGTCTTGGTCCTTTGGCTCAAATTCACTGTGTGCAGATGGGAGTAGCTGGCTCACGTCACCAACAAGCAGCTTGCAGCCGTTGGGAAGGGTATGGGCATTCAGCTGAGGAACACCGATAGTCGCTGGGTCTTCCATGGAGGCATCAACAGCAACACCGATGTCACGGAACAAGTCAGCAACAGGTCCGGATAGGATGGCTTTGGCGTTGTCATCTGGATCTTCCGTCCATAGCTTGGCACCCAGTCCTGACTTCCATGCCTTGGATTTAGCAAGGAGGTTAACACGGGCCGCCATAACAATGACGGCAGACATAATGGAAGTCTTCAGAGCCGGGTGGTGTCGCACGAGTTCGTCAAATGCGGTACCTAGCGAGCGGACCAGGTTTGGATCATCTTTGAGGCACTTGACATGCTCCGGCTGCTCGAAAATCTCGAAGAAACTTTCTAGGGCATCAGAGGATTGAAAAAGGTCAAGACCAGAGGCGTTCAGGCAAATGGCTCCGAAGGCCGAAGGGATGCACGCAAGAGCATCAGCGGCAGCAATGATTCCCGAGGCAAGTTCCGTACCAGGCTGCCGGGCCATAAGGTATTCACGGTCTTCTTTCTTGCTTTCAGCAGTGGAGACAGATTCAGTAGTGGGTACTGGGGCCGAGGGCTCGGTCTCATTACTGACGTCCTCGGATTCGATGGCAGGGGGCTTTTCCTGGGCCTTGAGCTCACGCCCCATGACAGCAGCAAGAAGACTCTTACTAAGACCAGCTTCGGCGATGACAGCATAACTGGTAGGCTCGTTGTGAATAAAGCTACTCAGGATGTTGACACCATTGCTCCATACATGCGAACCAAAGATTCGTGCGTTTTCAAAGACAAGTCGCAATGAGGTAAGAAGCTGAGGGGAGTCAATCAAATTCCGCAGGACACGATCAAATCCTCCACCATTGTGTTGCATGATGTGATTGACAAAGCGAAACATCCACCGTAAAGTTTGCTGTTGGAAGTAGGGTATTTGGTAATCTATCGAAGGATTCTTGTATTGAGGGGGAAACCCGTCTCCACTGGAAACCTTCTCAAAAGCGGTTTTGGTCTCGTGGTCGATCAGAGCGGAAATCGCATCGAAACCCTTGGCCGTAGTCAATGTGCTTAGGGCATCACGGACAGCGTGAACGAAGGTATCAAGGAACTCCATGACTCGAGAGTAGACTCGGCGAGCCTTTTCAGTTCGAAGATTGAGGATATCAACGAACATTGGAATAAGACCAGCGGCAACGAGAGTCTCGGGTGTCCGTGCACTTGAACTGGGAAGTGTGCGCAAAAGTGCAAGTAATGCATCGCGCCATTCGTCATTATAGGTGTTGTCAGTATCGCCATCTTCAGTACTCAGCTCGTTGACTACCTTGCGGGTCAGGAACATCAGAACACCATGGTTGACATTGACACTCAAAGCGGAGCAAACGTCCACAGCACGAGACTTTTGCTTCGCCAATGCATCCAAGGCATGAATTGCCAGCGTTTGTAGATGCCTTGAGACCTCAAGATCGCCGCTCGCGCCGAGATGCACCAACTCGGCCAGCTGGAAGGTCAGCTGAAGGCGTTTTGACTGTTCCAAGTCATGTTGAAGAACCTTCTGCTGGAATGATGACTCCGGGTGAACATAGGCTAGGTTGGTCATGGCGAGAATCCGGATTGCAAGAATCTGCTCGCGGGTTTCACGAGACCCAGACAAAGCTTGGGCAACACGAACCTTGTGAAGCAGCTCATACTTCGATTCAAGAGGTAGATGTGGCAGATTATTGGCCAGAAGATCCTCCGTCTTACCAGATGAGATCTTCGAGTATGGAAGGTCCAATATCTTTCCAGCTCGGGATGCTTCTTCTGCCTTACCGCCTGTGCTTACGTTTAGCGCAGGAGAGTCTTCTCCGCTGATTGTACGGCTCAAACGTGGAGTAGGATGGGTGGCGCTCCGACGAAGCGGAGTAGGCGTGGTTGGGGCATGGGCACCAGGCTCACCCTGGCCAAACTCCGAAGTTGTTCTAGTTTGCTCAGTGGCACCTGACGGGTAGTAGAGGACCCTAACATGGCCCCATTCTTCCCAGCCGTCATTGTCACGCACGAGTGAGACCAGTTCGTTGGCGTTGAGCTTTGTCGCGCCCGCCTTTTCTTTGCCCTTGGCTGACACAGCCGGGGGTGCAGAGAACGGGGTTTTACCGGTAACAAACGGGCGGGGAAAAGGTGAGGAGATCTTGAGCAATTTGTCTAGATCGATATTGTAGTGAGCTGCCAGCATGGTCTGCTGGTGGGATCCACGCTGGCGCGAATGGTATCTTTGAGCCAAGCAGAGGGCCAGTCGTAGAGTAGATTGAAGGAGGGACAGAGAGGTGGTGTTCAAGAGATCTCCCAAACGCTCACTGCTGCTGTATAGACTGCGATTTCCACATTTCTCCAGCAGCATACGGGAGAAGTCCAGAATCGCTTCTACCAGCTCGCGGTCACCCTCGGGTCCATACCCTAAAGAATTCAACTTGGCATCGATGCCTTCTGCTGGTGACTTGCTCGCATCAGCTGCGTATGACTCTTCTAAAACGGTCCTCCGGAAGCTCTGTGTCTGTGGGCCGGTGTTCAGGAAGTATTTATCGATGACGGTGGCCAAGATTTCATCGAAGCGGTCTAAGACATTGATCCAGTGATAAAGGTCGCCTCGAGGGAACGGCCATAGCTTAGGAAATGTGCTTAGATGGGAAGGAAGCTCCGGGACGGGAAGGCTTGTGACATTGGCAATGAATTCAGCGAGAAAAGGCGACTAGAGTAGCAAAGAAAAAAAAATTAGCCAGAGGGAAAAAAAACCCTCATGGGTCCATGACCGATAGAGACTCACAATTGTAGCCTCGTGCTTTTGACTGGCAACCTTCTTGATTTTGCCCATGTTGGCGATTAGAGCAGGCAGCCAACCATGAGGGAATTGAAAGATCCCAGGAGAAGAGTCTCCTAGAGGGTGGAGTTGGCGGGGGGTTGGTCGTGAGACCGGGTCGCGGAGCAAGCGCGAGGGTGCCTTATGACGTTTTTGGTCCTCTTCTACCTGCTTCGCCTAATTTGAGTCTTTCTGTGTCGACAAGTCCGTACGGAATCGTATCACGGAATTATCAGTGACAAGGCGATATGAATGGAAATGGGTATTCCGTCCAAATGAAGCTTGTCTAGTCGATAAGGTCGAATAGAAAGAAAGTGGTGAGATATTGGCGCGCGGGTTCGGTGAAAGAAGTCTAATCAAGCAGGGAAAACGGTGCAGGACGTTTGACCCTGAAGGTATTGACGACAACGAAAGATCGAAATGAGGAAAGGAAGATTAAGAAGGATGGGTTGAAGGAAGAGGGGAAAGATGCAAGAGAAAATGGGGGGAGAAGGAAAAGAATCATGAAAGGTGAGCTGTGTCCTGCCGGCAGTTAAAGCTGGAACTTGGGCGGTTCCCCCGCTGAGGCGGTCAGGCTACAAGGCATCATTTGATTCCATGATTTCTACCTTCTTCTATTTACTACAAAGTTCTTTTGGTTTGCAATTACTTCATTGTTTAAAGCATTTTCGAATTTAAACTTGACAGAGATTACATCAGTATTGCAAGGTCAGACTCTCGACTACAAACCAGCGGATGCCTGCGCGGATTCTCAAAACAACTAAGTACGAACGAATGCGATGCTACCCGATGCCTAATTCCGAGATTCATTCAAGAGAAGTTATACATAAACATACAAAAGGGGATTTGGTAATATTTCACACTTTCCGAGCAGTGGGTAGCTCTCCATCCCACTGCACTTTCATCGTCGATGGGAAGGGCGAGTATGCACCCTGCTCCGCATCCATATACATCGTGATGCCGCCGATACCTGGGATTTTCTTCAACTGTCCCTGTGGACCAGGAGCACGTCGAAGGTTACTTAACTGCCCGACAACCCGAAGCATGGTAGGAAGAGCAGTCTGGCACACCCCAAGCCCAAGGCATTGATGTGGGCCGAAACCAAAGTGGATGTACTGGCTCAGGTCGCGATCCAAGCGGACTGTCTCGGGATCAGGGAATGCATCAGCATCGTGACTTGCGGCCACCTATGGTTCGCATTAGTTAAAATGGGTTCAGTCCTTGCTGATCCAATTGGGGCTTACCAGATTGCAGTAGATCTGCTGGCCTGTCTTCAATGTCAAGTTCTCACCATTGTCTTCGATGACGGTGGGCTTCACGACTTCCCGAGGCAAGGCGACGGTCGATCGGATTCGTGCGCTTTCCATAAAGCTATTCCAAGTTAACATGAGGTCTGAACAACAACCGAGCCCAATAATTGCGGTAAACTTACTATCGTAGAAGAAGCTCATCAGACTCCGGAGTGTTCTCCTTGGACAGCCGTTGGATCTCTGCGAGGTGGACAGCATTCTCTTTCTCGAGATAAAAGTCTAAGCACTGAATGAATAGCTGTGCCTGGTTGGCAACCATTGAGCTTGCCGATGGAATAATATGCGTCCACACAACATCTTTCGCGGGCAGCCCGCTATGGAGTAGATGCTGAATCATATGGATACCATAGTCACTGAGCACATCATGACGATGAATCCGACTCACAAGACTAGCGACGAATCCAGCCTTATCGACAACTTCAACATTAGCCATGATCAGCTCACCAAGCTGCTGTGCAACCGTGCGAGACGCCTGCTCAAGCTGGAAAGACTTGGCGACATCCACATCGTAAAATATGCATGTGAAGACCACAGTCAAAATCTGAAACAGCTCGGTCTCGGTGAATACGCCACGGGGGTTAGACTCCGTCTTGAGCGACAAAGAAAACACATTCGCAGAAAAATGGATATGCGCGAGATTGGACACATCGCGACTGATGTCCACTTGGTTTGCACTACCCACTTTGTACGAGTTCCGCTGCAGCAGCTGAATGGTGATCTCCTCGTAGAACTTCCGCACTTCAGATTCCCATTTGTCCCGGTATAGAGCACCGCCAACCATCTTGCGGGATGCTGCGTTTGCAGGGCTATCGCCCGACAACATGAAATCACGGCCATATGGGTGGCCATCGCGATGCAAGATGAACTCCAGCTTCTTACCATAGGTCACTTTGAAGTTTTCCTGGTCCTCGAGAACGGCCTTGCAAGCGGCGTGGGAATTGATCATTGTGGGGATTGGAGTGTAGCTAGGCGCACTGTAGCTGTACATATGACCCTTTCCAAGGCTTTTGAAGATCTTTTCGTTCTCGCTGGGAATTACCATTGGGAAATGGGCGTAAACTGAGTTTCCAAGGAAGTGATTAGGGAATGCCCGCAAGGCCAGTTTGTAGAAGACCTGGCCGTTGTCCACATTGGCATCATAATTGATCTCGTTGTAGGCCCAATTTGTCAGATGCTTAGGAGTGTAGTCAACGGTATAGAATCGATCACCACGAACCAGAGCAACGGCATCCGAAAGGATTGCCCTGGAAGTGGTGTAATTGGTGCACAGGCCACTACCTGGAACCATAGGTTCTTTCGCATCTTCCACGATGAGACCGGGGTAGAGTTCCACCAAATCAGGATGATCGTAGAAATGGCGGAGCTGATCAACAATTTCCGGGTCAGAGTTGATCTCCTCGAATGTCTTGTATGGAGCCAGGTTGAAGTAGTCTCGGAACTCATTCAATGTGGCCAAGTTCCATGCCCGTGACTGCTTCATGCCGAGGACCTCAATGGATTTGAAGATCGTTGGCACATTCGATGCTCCAAAAGCACCAGCGACATCCTCGACACCCTCTTGGAAAATCTTGACCAAGTCATCATCATCGTAGAGACCATCTGCCTTCCTGTGAAGGTTGGCAAAGGGACGGTCCTCGGGATTTTCGGGGAGCATTGCCTCCCAGCGATAAAGGCCTTGAATGAACTGCGGAAGGCTCAGAGCTTTCGCATCTTGGCCTTTAAAGATCTCCTTGTACATATCCTCTGACCACTTCTCATCACGAGCAGAAATGCAAGAGTGCCATCGGTAGACAAGATTGAACTCCGCCGAGACCTGGTTTCCAGTAGCCTGAGCTGGAGCGTCACCGAGTAGACCACTCTTGATCTCCGCTCGGGGATCCAAACTCCAAGAACTATCAGTCCGGTTCAAGTTAAGGATTGTTCGGACGTAGTCCTTTAGAACAATGTTGATATAGAGACCACAGGTGACCAAACGCGCAGTCTGGAATAGATCATTGTCCCATGTTGCGTAGGCTTGTTTGTTAGACTCATCTGGTTTTTTGAAGCGACCACCCTCGTTTATGATTGCCAGGTTATCTGCCACATGATTGTGGAATCGATTGAACATGATAAGCAAAACACCCACACCAGGAGGGAACCCAAGGATACGCTTGGCGGAAAATGTATCCGGCTTGAGCTTGCCATCCTTGAAGGTTCTCACGGCATCCTGCTCATCCTGGTTATTACCATAGAGAGGGCCCAGATCAAGATAAGACGATGTCAATGATGACGTGCCAGTTTTGGGGTCTGTTTGAAACAGGTCTAGTGACTGTTAGTCCTGTCCAGCTTTGGATTTGAAATCACAACGAGTGATTCAAGACATGCGTACCATGAATGATAATAGATGCAAAATAAAACAGTACACTCGAAATCTTATTCGGGTGCTCTTTGAAGTCCTTCCGGGCCAAGAGAGTATCAAAAAGGGTTTCTGGATCTGGTCGGTCAACTGGCTGCACAATTGTCGGTCGAACTGATCGCGCATAGGGAGTGCCCGCAGCGCCAATGTTCGGCCAGAATGGGTTCTAATTATTCGTTAGCGAATATACATCATTTGTTTGAGAGGGAGTAGTCATACGTTTCCTGATCCATCCGCTTTCCGATAAGAAGCGTCACGGCCAAGATACCTGTCATTATCAGTATGTGTTTTTCCCGAAGCATGGCGTCTCGACGCCGTAATAACAATATCACTTACGAGATTGGCGGGTGCTGCAAATCCTTCCATAGGGTACTCAAGAATACGTTGGTTAATTCCGTAGCGTTCTTAGAAGTCGAAGGCAAACCAGCTGCGAGCTATTGAAATGTCAGCATTTGGATTTTTGGAATATCAGGATGTACGTACCTGGACCACTCGCTCCATGATGTACTCCCGATCATTCCAAGGATCCCCAGTTACCGCATCTTTTGCAATCTCGATGACCGCCTTCACATCCTTCGAATTGAAATGGCCCAGATCCTTGGTCAACCCAGTTGTGGTAGGCGTTTTGACATAGGTCCCATCACCGGTTTCAGTGGGCAAGGGCCTTAAAGATGCGGCAATGACTTTCTCGACGTTGGAAATTTCATTTCCGATGCCGTTAGCAGAATTATTGGATCGATCGGCCATGGCGGGCTTGAATGTATGTATACACAGTAAACACGAAGACAGGGGAGAGCAAATCACAGGCTATACCCTGCTATTATGTCCAAATATTAGCATTGAGCATCAAAATTATGGTATTTCATGAAAGCAAATTCCAGCACGGAAATCCTTCTCAGCTCATTCGAAAAGAACGCCCATTTGTTCATGGAATGGGTCACCTGGAGTCATCAAATTTATAAATAAAGACATACCAATATGGTAGAAAGAGTAGCCTGAAGAACTTTATGGCTGTGTTGGCCAGCTATTGAGCAGTTTCGGCTATCAGATGACGAGTACTCAGTAGGTACCAAGTATAAGGCTTGTAAAAAGAAAAGGCAAAGCAAATGTCATGGGAACGTACCGGAGGGTAATGGGACGATTATAAAAGTTTCCAGCTGCGGAGTATTCCGTCTGTTAAACGACTCAAGTACAGCTAAGTAGCCTCCAGCCCGTTCTAGCTCCATTATCCACACAGCCTTTCCGGTGTTCGTGTTGGTCCGTCAGCCTATGCGCCACAACCCTAAGGCGCCAGCTGGGTGTGGGTACAATGCATGGGCAACGAGAGCCGAAGACGCCCCACCCCGGTGAAATAGACTAGATAGCTTTTCATTCGTCCATGAATCGGAATTTCATGTGAGAGGAAGGATTCACATTGCAGCAAATTCTATTTCGTTTTATCTGACATGTTGTGTTATGCTGGGTCAGAAAGATCATTTGTCTGGGGGCGTCAGCTATGAGATGCCGTTTATGCAGGGGGTCCTGGCTCACCCGGGTGTATGGTGAATTCGCCCAGTCATAATTGGCGCGTGGACTGTTCAGCTTACACCAGTGGCGATCTGCACTTGGTGGGGCCAAAATCCGTTGAAAAGGCTCGGCTTGTACAGTATTCTCTTATCATAGCATAACCCCTCATCCCTGCAAGGCAAACGACTGACACAGCCTATCAATGACTCCGCTAGTTCATAAGTTAGCGCTGTATTGGTGGCCTAGTCAGGGGTGGCCTAATAATTATGCCATTGTTGATTGGTGACGGGTTCGGCCGGGTTAACCGTTGTAGCAAGACTGCGCCCCCAAATAAGACACTAAAATCAGATGGCCTAGAATTGCAATCTTGGAACAGAAATCACCACGCCTCGGCAAGACTGAAAAGTCACGAAAAACGTGGCATAAAAGCGGTTTTGTGGGGTATCATCAGTAGAAAGTTAAACTTTTGCTGAAGGCTGTCATATCCATTTTGAACTTGGCCCACGTGGAAAGCAGGGAATGGCTTTAATCCGATCATGCCTTCATTTCAGAAAGGACACTGAAGACATCCCGACACCTCTAAGATTTGCAGATGGAATACCCTGGTGAACAGATATTCGTCCATAATGGACTCGATCTCATATTTGACGTCAATGGGGATACTAGCTGTTAAAATTCGAAGAAATCAGGGACAGCTTGCAAGGACGGTCCTTGGCACCATGTAAAATCTCAAAGTCCAAGCTGAGCCTGAATATCTATGGGATTGAATGTTTACTCGACGATCTTGACGATCTGTTGAGATAATCCTCGTGCTTGTGTATACTTTGCTGCACTTAGTTACCTCGGTATTGCCTTAAGGTGTCGATATCACGTGCGCCCCCATCCACTATTGATCGACGTGAATGCTCAACAATTTCCCCTGCAACCTCCAAACTGATTGAGCTTGCCATCAATCACAATGGCTCCTAAGATCACACTCACCGTTGAGCCGCGGGGTATGTTATCCATTCTATTCCGAAATTTCACTAATCTCAACATTGAATCTAATCAATTAACATTGCTATTCAGGTAAACCCATCCGCATGCTCCCTAAGGAGCTCACCATTTCCCTCGATGCCTCCGGTTATGACCTCCACGACATGATTGGGCAGGTTTGCGGTGTATCTGCACACCGTCTTCGTATCACTAAGGGCAGTGACCGCTCTGCCGTTGCCAACGCGAAAGACGTCTCCATTGACGACACTGGCCTGCGCAACTCTAGCGTGATCCATGTCAAGGATCTGGGTATGCGACCGCTCACAAACATAAAAAAAAGTTGAACTTAAGCTAAAATCTCACAATCAATAGGTCCCCAGATCGCATGGCGTACCGTCTTCATCATTGAATACCTCGGTCCCCTCCTCATCCCAGCTCTCTTCCTCTTCCCTCTCCGTCCCCTCCTGTACTTCAACTATGACACTATTCCGGCTCCTTCGTACGTGCAGCTCCTCGTCTGCGCCCTTCTCACCATCCACTTCCTGAAGCGCGAGTATGAGACTATCTTTGTGCACCGCTTCAGCAATGCTACCATGCCCGCCCGCAACATTTTCAAGAACAGTGCCCATTACTGGGCCCTTGCCGGCTTCAACATTGCCTACTGGGTTTTCCGTCCCGATGCCGCCGCCGCCAGCCCAGACTATAATCCGGCTCTTGTATACGCTGGCCTTGCCATCTTCGTGTTCGCTGAGTTGGCAAATCTGAATGCCCACTATGTGCTTCGGGACCTGCGTCGGCCCGGTACCACTGAGCGTGGTATTCCCTCTGGATTTGGGTTCAACCTCGTTACCTGCCCTAACTACATGTTTGAGATCATTGCCTGGTTGGGTGTTTTCCTGGTCAGCCAGCTGAACTTGAGTGTGCTCATCTTCACTCTTGTTGGTGGTGTGCAGATGTACAGCTGGGCGTGGAAGAAGGAGAAGCGCTACCGCAAGGATTTCGGAGACAAGTACAAGAAGAAGAAGACTGTTCTCCTTGCTTTTATCTGCTAAATGAAAGCAGCAGTCGAAGCTTTGGATTTCCACTTCTAGTGGGATTATTCTTTATTATATCTTAGGACGTACCTCGGTGCGATCTGACTCGGTTCGGGCTATCTCAACTCGACACGCCGGACCCTCACAACCACACGTTGAGTAAGTGACTTCCATTGATCGTCTTTGGCTTTATCTGGTTCGAATCACTCCGCTTTTTCATGATGAGAAAAATTGGTCCGTGTTTAGGAGGCGGCTTAAGACCCCGCTGCTTGACTACAACCCATTTGCGAGCAATCGCGTCTCTGATAAATTTGGCTCTCAATGGCATTACTTTACTCCATTACGGATGGATTTTCACGTCGAATGCTCAATACTGACTGCTCTCGATAGCCACACCCTAGCCAGGCCAAAGCTGTGAGCGAGCCTTGGCTCAATATTACGTCCTATTATTTAGGGTATTATTTATGAGGCATGTATTCTATTAGTGAACATAAAAGAAAATAATGATCATGTTTCCTTTCCTATGACCTTATGCATGCCATGACGATTGAAGCAAAAGTACCCCGCTGTATGTGCAACACTCATCTATTGCGCCAAAAAAAAAAAAAACACCGATTAGATCAGACAGAGAGACAGTATGATCATAAAGCAAATCCAAAAGCAAGGGGTGCAAAGAAAACACCCAAGAAGAATAGAGAAAGCAGATTGGTTGAGAAGTTAGCCACTCTTTATCTTCCTCTGCCACAGCATGTAATAGGATTCCATCTCAACACACTCCTTGGCCTGAACGTTATCACATCCCGGGAATCGAATAATAAAGTCACCGTCATTATAGGTGCCATCGGGACCAGCACCGTTCGAATCCTTGCTGTACGCATTCAAAACACGCTGGGGAACAATAGCCGTCCGAGCTAGCACAGTCGGATGCCATTGCATAATATGGTCCTAAAAAGACACGCAAGTCAGCCATAAGCTCAACATTTCAATTCGATCAAGCAGATCTTACCAATCCATGAACCTCCGCCTTCGCAAAGTTATAATTGCGAAACAGTGGATCAAACCACAAATCCAAGAAAAAGCGCGCAAAGTCCCCATTCTTAAGCACGAAGCTACTGGGACTCAAATCTTCGCCATCTTGCGTAGTGATGAAGTCAATATCTTTCTCCTTCAGATGCGAGAATGTCTTGATAATACTATCCGGCGGGACAATGGGAACATCCTTCAAGATTATCGATTCAAGCTTGCTTCGTTCCAGGAGATGTGATTTGAGGGATTTAGTCGGGTTCATAATAAGGGCGTTCTGGTTGAGGTGGAAAAAGTATGCGGCGCTGGGATAGGTAGCCATTGCGTGGCGGACGGCTGGAACAAGCGCCCAGCTTTTGGGTTGATCGCCGACTGCTTCCTCATAATCGGAGACGGATGTGAAGAAGTTTGTGTAGCCTGATTGAGAGCACAATGCCATGTTAGTAGAGCTCGTTTGTGCTAGAAGACTAAATCGCCAGCTAGCCAGCTAGTAGCTATACTTGGTATAGCAACCCAGTCCATAGAATAACATACCATGACGCTTCGCATAATCCTCGCGATTGGCAATAATCTTGTTGATGTAGCTCTCACTGAAATGTTCGCGATCCAACAATGTCACAATGACCACACCTGCTGTACCAGCCGGCGCCGCGGAAGACGAGCTCGAATAGAGGTGCGTAAGGAGATAGAAGATCGAGAACACAGCGAACGCGAAAACAGCGAATGTTTTTAGCTGTTTCCTGCGATATAACGGTAATCGAGAGGAACGGGCACCGGGGAGAGTGTGTTGGTTCTTTCGCGGAGGCAATGCGAATTGCATGGCGAGCGTGTTATCCCCCGCGCTGGGGAGCTGGATGAGGACGCAGCGATTCGGAGGAGTAGTTGCGGGAGATCAAACCATGGCATGGGAGATTCCAAGATCCGCGCGATGTTTCAAAACTGAAGAGAAGAAATTGGATCACTGAGGGAAATGAGTTGCAAGGGAGACGCAGGACCAAGATTGGGTGTTCCCTAGTTCCAATGACGAGTCCGAATGCGGCGGGTCTTCTTTGGTGCGCATACCAACGGCCTTGCAGCTTCACCAATCAACTTTGGCCGTTTTTAGTTAGTTCGTCGATTGCAGAGATAAACGAGATTTGGGTTTCAGGTTGATTGCTTTTCGTATTGGTTCATCTCGGATGTCGGAACTCGGATATTATTACAATACATCCTGCGGATCCCTTGCACTGAATCATGACCCTAGCTATTAGGTGCTTCATACCTATCTTTCAGGAATAATGAACTAAGGGATAATTATCAGACTCATGGACAGCATTAGGGACCATCGGGGTCTCTTTACGTAGAGTTTGCCTGGTTGTTTATTTGGGAATTGTTTCAGTTGTTGTATACTGAGCAGAACAACTGGATATATATCGAGTATGAACCCAGTCAGGATTGAACACTTACGCCTACCGAGTACCTGCTTCTCTATATCTGTGGATACCATGCTTTCCCAGGGCCTTCGAGGGATGTCTGGCTCAAAGTCACAACAAAATGCAAGACATACTTAGAGCATACGATAGCCAGACCGATCCAATGTAAAGAGACTAGAACGATGAAAACGGATGATATTGGAGTATAAATACACAGAAGTTCAAGTTTTAATATGCACGCCGAATCGCACTCATGCGAAGAGATCACCAAATTTCTCCAGGTAATATCGAAGACACAGGTGGTTGGTAAAAAGACAAAGGTAGTGGTGCTCGAGGGTCCAGTTCGTCGCGATAATGGTACAATGGAGGCGCCAGCCCCCAGCAAGAGGCATCAATTCTAACATCACAATCACCTCCAGTTATCCAGCTGAATCAGCTGACTTATTCCGTAGATTCAGCCTGGGAAAGCTGGGCAAGCCTCTGAGGGTCGGCCTTGCCCTTATTATGGGGCTTTGTGACCTGCTTGATGTTGAGTCGTTCCTCGATCTTGGCGTTGATCTCCTCCTCCTTGCTCTTCATCCACTCCTCGAATGACTTGGGCTCCGGGACACCAAGTCTCTTGCGCTCTTCCCGGAATCGCTCCTGGATAGCCGGGGTCTGCATAACCTTCCACCGCAATTCCCACCCGAACATGCCGAGCTCCTGGATACGGGCGGGTTTGTCGCTGAGGAGGTAGTTGTCGAGACCGCCCTCCTTAATAATTGTTCGAAGGGCACGGCGGGTGACCTTAATGAAGAGATCCTCGCCAAGTGCCTCACTGGGAATCTTCTTGCGGCGAACGTTGGGCTTCCAGTTTCGTCGTGTCTTGCCCTCGTTGCGACCCTTGGAGATTTTGTTACCGAAGCGGATCATGGCACCGCCATAGAGACCGGTATCGGCTTGCTTGTACCATTGTCGGGGTCCGAAGGGGTAGGGTGGGATGTGTTCGGGGAGAGTCTTAGTGGTTTGCGGTGCGAATGTCGTGGAGAACGAGCGCTTCGGGGCCGATAAAGAGAGGTTGCGGAAGGCCGATGCGAGGGAGAAGTGGCCGACCATGGTGGCTCTGGTCTGGACACCTGCCATTGGGGAGATTTGGACAAATTCTGAGAGATGAACCCGTTAATTTGTGGACTTCAATATCCCGTGGCAGGGAAAGCTGGAGTTGGGAAGAATTTGGGGGACACTGACCGCCTTCAGCGCGGCTCCGTGACTGGCGCAGATCCCTTGCTCGCGAATTTCGGGAAGAGCATTGGACCTGCGAAAAGGACGGCTCATCGCATCACTGCTTAGCTTCTTTGTTTGATTTTATATCTCTTGTTTTAAATCTCCATTTCCTCTTCCCTATCCCCCCTTTTCCTTCTCCACAGGCTCCAGAAGCCGCATTTGCCCAACATGGTCCAAATTAGTGAAGTCAAGGGCAACTCGCGCGAGAACAGGACTGCCACGCACACGCACATCAAGGGTCTAGGCCTGCGCGCCGATGGTACCTCAGAAACATCTGGTGATGGATTTGTCGGTCAAGCTGCTGCCCGAGAGGTTAGTTGGAACTCCATTGAGTTGATGAGATGAATTCGATATACAAAGCAGATCGTGACTGACAGTACATTGCTTTCCAATAGGCTTGCGGTGTGATCGTCGACCTCATCAAGGCCAAGAAGATGGCTGGCCGAGCTGTGTTGCTCGCTGGTGGACCCGGTACCGGAAAGACAGCGCTCGCTCTTGCTGTATCACAGGAGCTGGGAACTAAGGTCCCCTTTTGCCCGATCGTTGGTAGTGAAATCTACTCTGCAGAGGTCAAGAAGACAGAAGCTTTGATGGAGAACTTCCGACGAGCAATTGGTACGCGATACGGCTTGCAATGAAGACTTTCTAGCGCAACACTAATTCGAAAATAGGCCTGCGAGTTCGGGAAACCAAGGAGGTGTACGAGGGTGAAGTGACAGAATTGACTCCGGAGGAGACTGAGAACCCGCTGGGCGGCTATGGACGTACCATCAGCCATTTGATCATCGGACTTAAGTCTGCTAAGGGCAGCAAGAAGCTTCGTCTGGACCCTAGCATCTACGAAGCTATCCAAAAGGAGCGTGTCACCGTTGGAGACGTCATCTACATCGAGGCCAACACTGGTGCATGCAAACGTGTTGGACGGTCCGATGCCTACGCGACCGAGTTTGATCTCGAGGCGGAGGAGTACGTGCCTGTCCCAAAGGGTGAGGTTCACAAGAAGAAGGAAATTGTGCAAGACGTCACTCTGCATGATCTGGATATGGCCAACGCCCGGCCACAAGGTGGACAGGATGTGATGAGCATGATGGGCCAGCTGATGAAGCCCAAGAAGACTGAAATTACCGATAAGTTGCGCCAGGAGATCAACAAGGTTGTCAACCGCTATATCGACCAGGGAGTGGCCGAGCTTGTTCCTGGTGTTCTCTTCATTGACGAGGTTCACATGCTCGATATTGAGTGCTTCACATATCTGAACCGTGCCCTCGAATCCTCCATCTCTCCCATTGTCATCCTTGCTTCCAACCGCGGTCACACCGTCATCCGGGGCACCGACGACATTAGCGCCGCCCACGGCATCCCACCAGACCTGCTGGCCCGTCTCCTTATCATTCCCACTACCCCTTACAACCCCGACGAGATCAAGACGATTATCCGACTCCGCGCCAAGACCGAGGGTCTCAGCATCACCGAGCCCGCTTTGGACAAAGTCGCCGAGCACGGCAGCAAGGTCAGCTTGCGGTATGCTTTGCAGCTGCTGACCCCAGCAAGCATCCTGGCCCGCGTCAACGGACACCCTGCTGGTATTGAGGCGACAGACGTTGCCGAGTGCGAAGACCTCTTCTTGGATGCGAAGCGCAGTGCACAGATTGTCGCTCAGGATAGCAGCATGTTCCTGCAATAGAGGGAAAGTGATGGAGTTTCTATGTATACCATGGGGTATTATTTTGTTTATTGAAAAGGCGAAATGTGCTATTAAGGCCTGATATTCTTTATGTTAATGCTATTGATGCTACACTATTTGCTTACGGAGATTTATGCGTAGCAAGTCAGACAAAACGTCTCCAGTCTGTCAGGTACCAACGGTTAAGGTAGTTGATCGCCGAGAACGTGCACATGCAGGATGCGCAAATTTCTCCCTTGTATCTTCAAAATTGATAAGATAGTGGGCGTTTGATGGCTTCAAGAGCCCACCATTGTCATTTATATTTTATTAGAAGCTGCCTGTGAAAACGTCGACTATGATCAAGGATCCGTAGATGTAACCCCGGCCTCGGCGATAATCACGTGCAGCTTATCGCCATCTGTAGTCTCCAGCCTCCACCCATGTACCCCGTACGTTGTACTCACTGTCTATTCTCCCAGCTTGAAACGCCGTGAAATATTGAATTACCGAATTGTTTCTAGCGAGCATCAACATTGCAAGGTGATACCGACGCACAGTTCCCGGAAAGACTTGACCAAGCCACGACCAATATAACCATCATTGATAAAGGTGGACCCTGCGGCCTGATCATACGAAACGACCACCCCGGAGCCAGTCGCAGCAGGTATCTTTTTCTCTCTCACTTCTTCCTCCGATTCAACGCACTTCACAACACACAACGCTCACCATGTCGAACCCTCTGGACACGGACGCCGGCTCAGAGATGTTCGCCAGCTACGAGAACGAGCTCAAGCTGCTACAAGCCGATCTAAACCAGAAGCTGGACCAAATCTCCGAAGCCAGCGGTGAGCAACGCAAGTCCGCAATCCGCTCCGCAGAGCAAGTGCTAGACGAGGCAAAGGAATTGGTGAGCCACGCCCCAGAGCCGTCAAACCGGTCTCTTTCCTTGTCCTTTGATGCTCCCAAACAAGCCGATCCCGAATGCCTGGAGATCTACGATATACATGTGAACTAACCACCGGGTAATCATAGTTGGATCAAATGCGCATGGAAAAGCAAAATATCCCCTCCGAAGCTCGCTCAAAGGTCAACATCCGCTTCCGCAACTACTCATCAGACATCGACGAGGTCAAGCGCAAGCTCAAGTCCCTTTCAGATGATCGCAAAGCCCTCTTTGGTGACCGGTACACCGACGAGCCTCAAGATGAACACCTGGAGCAGCGACAGCAACTCCTCTCTGGTACGGAGCGACTGGAGCGCAGCTCCGCGCGGCTGCAGCAGAGCCAGCGGACGGCGTTGGAGACGGAGGATGTGGGACGTGATGTGCTGGCCAATCTCTATGAGCAGAGACAAACGATTCAGCATACCAGAGACAACCTGCACCAAAGTGAGGGATATGTTGATACCAGTATTAAGACTTTGAGGGGTATGGCTCGTAGGTACTGTCCTCCTGTTCCTGTGTTTTTCTCGGTCCCGGGTTGATACTGACTATCTGACAGGATGGCTACGAATCGGATGATCACAATTGCTATCATTACGCTGCTTGTTCTCTTGATTGTCGCTGTTATTTACGGGAAGTTCCATTAGCGTTGCGGAATTCGGGCGTTTTGCTCTTTCTCTTGTACCTTTTCTTTTTGGACATGTATGCTAGCATTGCCGGGCTTGACCAGCTCTAGAGCTTTGGTCTATAGAAACCTGCGGTCGTAATCGAGCACTGATTTCATGGAGATTATGTCACTTTCTAGTCAACTTGATATCATAACTGACTGTACAAATCTCGGATCTACTATTCGAAGATCCATCACATGCAGTTCGATCAGAGCAGAATAATCAAAACAGCATAAGGGTATCGCAAACAATCGCAAAACGCCTGAAAGCACAACAACAACCTAAAACGCAATTCCAAGGACAAGCTCCGAAATGCCTAATTCATAATCCTCATGGCCCCAAAAGCTGCATTAACAAGAACCCCGACGAAAACCGCAACCCCCTTTCTCCAAGACCAAACACCCTCCTCCCTTCGCAACCACATCGCACAGCCAATAGGCCAAAAGAAGCCCATAACCGCACCCCAAAGCATATCATCCATAGCACTCCTCGATCCAGAGCCCAACCCCCCATCATCGTCGCCAGTGCCCGCACCTTCACCCCCACCCATCATCCCCGCAGCAGTTGAGCCCTCGTCCATCCACCGATCTTCTAGATCACGAAGCTCTTCACCACTGGGCATAGTATCCGGCGTCCGAGAAACAGACTGCACAGCCAAAAACTGTGACCGAAGAGCCGTCACTTCCGCAGCGGTAAAGCCAGCCGCTAGGAGACGATCAAAACCGCGGGGTGCAGGTGTAGTGGTTGTTTCAGGCGCGGCCGAAGATTGAGACGGAAAGACCGAGGAGCCGCTACGATGCGGAATTGCAGATATAGTAGAGAGCAACGAAGAGACATTTTCATCTTCTTTCTGGCTTTGTAGCAGTGTCGTAGCTATTTCAGCCTCGGCAGCTAGGTCCGCATCCGAAAGCGCGATATCGCCTATGGAGCAGTGGATATATATTCTTGGGCGTTGATCGCGAACGGGTTGTTTGCCCTTATCTCTTGACTTAGAGTCTGAAGCATTGTGCGCTTTCTCTAGACTTGTTCCGTCGTCTTCATCTTCTGTGGCCGGCCGCGGAGTTCTAGATGGGGAAGGCGGGAGCTTGAGAGAGGTTGTTAGGGCGGCTGTATCTTCTAGACCTCGACCTGCGTAGATCAGACGTAATCGATGGGATGAGAGGGTGAGTGGGAGCTTTGCGCGAATTAGTTGTTTGAGTCCTGCGCCAGTTGTGGTCTCTGGTGCTGAGACGTCGAGTGGGAGATCGGGGATTGAAGCGGAGAAGCGGACGGTTATGAGGAGATCGGAGACGGAGTCACTGGTATACGGGGAGAGGAAAGCATTTGACCCCATTCTTTTCGGGTTTCGCTTTTTATTGGGGTCAAGAATTATGTTTAGCTTTGAGGAGTGGTGTATAGTTTAAGATGTTGGGGTAGTTGTGGTCTGTTGCATTGTTCCGCCCCATAATACCATCATGTGACATAACTATCGGCGTTAACATTGTTGTATTTAAGGTTATCAGCATCAAAAGATTAGATCTCTGCACATAATTATAGACATTGATTAAACTAATTGATTGAAATCAGTAGAAAACAACCTCGAGTCATTCTTGAAATCTAATAATTTACTGGTGGCAGATGTTGCTAGAGAATTGTCCATTAGACTAGTCTATACAGATAATGTAACATTTGGATTTGAAATTTTCCACAGATATGTTTGCATAGCAATGGAATGAAAAATCCAGCGAGCTCTATAGCCTTTGCAGTAAGCTATAATGGGCTCATGGTATCAGATCCACCCTTGGCCTTCTCCTGAACCCAGAGTGTAAGATACCGGTAAAAAGATTGAACATAGAGAAAACTGCATCGACTGGATATCAAGCGTATGTACTTGACCGAACAAAGCGGTCACAGTTCCCAAAGATCGTTACATGATAGAAAATAAAACACCGTCCGATGCACCGAAGGAAGACGCCGAAAACCCAAAGAAGACATGTCGAAAGAGCGCTTAAACCATGAAGGATTCACCGCATCCACATTGTTCCTCTGTTACCGGTTAGAACAAGATTCCAGGGCAACTCTTCATATATGCTTTTCAAGGGAAGACTTACTAATGTTGGGGTTGCGGAAGACAAATTTTCTGCTCAGCTTATCTTCTTGCCAGTCCATTTCGCTGCCAATAATGCTGAACAGGGCCTTGCTGTCGATCAAAACCTTCACGCCGTCCTGCTCCACCACTTCGTCGAACTTGGCCGGCTTCTCCACGTACTCAAGATGGTAAGCGAGACCCGAGCAGCCCCGGTTCTTCACTCCAACCCGGATAAACTTGGGCTCAGGCTGATCCATGAGCTTGCGTAGTTGCTCAGTGGCTAGAGTAGACAGCTTCATGGCTGCCTTTCTTGCCCGCAACGGCCGACGAGGCTTTCCGGTCTTAGTGGCAGTTGTGGACGAGGCAGGTTTGGGAGTTTGAGCATCGTTTTCCCGAGCAGTACTGGAGGATGTTGGTTTTGTTTGTGCTGGCGAGGTCTGTGGGTTCTCTGCAGGAAGAGGGAAATCGGCGGAGAGCAGGGAGTCTGAACCTCCGTTGCTCCGGGGAAGCGGAAAAGATGTAGGGAGAGAGTGTGGACGGTAGGCGGTTGCAGTTTGCATGTCACGCTTGGAGGATTGGTAGGCATTTCCGTATGATGAGAAGCACCGCACGGCGGGGGAGCATAGTGTAGCCGAGGGCTTTGCCCATCGGAGAAGTGTGGCGGATGATGTCACAGGGCGCTGCATGGTGATGGAAGTGATGGTCGAGGGGAAAATGTAAGGTTGAACGGAGCCTCGACGAAAATTGGCTATGAACACATAAGACTGTCGAATTCGGTGGTAGATGTGGTGCTGAATTCAAAAGTGACAAGGGGAGAAGAGTTGTTTAATCCAGTTCCCCGGTGACCTCTCGGGCGATTAAGTAAGTCTGGTTGCATGATCCGCCTTCAGCCAATCAGCATCGATGTGTTTCTACACACGGTGGCGCCACTCTTGATTGAAAAGCACAGACTAAGGTAGTAAACTAATGCAATCTGTCAGATGGATACCTTGGTAGTGAGGACCCAGGGAGATTCTATTACTCCTATTGGACTCTGCTTCAATCTGATTTCATTCACTTTTGATTTCATCATACCTTGGATTGATTAGATAATCAAGCGTTTATCGGCAGCTGAGTCATCTCTTATCCCGCGGTAAATGTAAGTTGTGGCCCGGTTTCCGGAGCAGCGCCGCCTCCATAGAGAGCGCGTCCAGCCCATATTGAGGGGGAAATAGTCAATAGATAGTAAATAAGCCCTTGATCAGTACTATAAGAGCCCTCCATACATATAGTCTTATTGAAATTGAAAACCCTATTTAAAAGCATCCAATACCCTTGTACCTGCAACATCCCAAATCAAAATGAAAGGACATGTGGCTGGATCCGCTGACAAAGTGGCTGGTGTCCTGGCCACTTGAGATGAACATTTGAAGCATCACTCCCCTCCATACATAATATTTAATACTTCGGTGGTCTGCAGATCATCTGAAACATTATGGAGGCCTCGCCCCTTACGCAGCAGACGAGACCGGAAATTTTCCAACCAAAGATCGTCCAGCTCTACGAGGCGCTCTTCAAAGTATGCCCCCACGTTGCCAGACCCTGGCTTCCCCAATTTGATAGAGCCGCATAGACTGACTATCCCCAGGCCACTGAGGATGCAGAACACTCTGAGGGATTCTGGCGAGAGTTCTTTCTGCTGCCACCAGATGGACGCCAGCTGCATGCTCTGCTTGACAAGTTGAGCCCCGACGAGACATTGGGCCTGCAGGTCAGCTTTTTGAGCCACCGTGCTATTCCACATGTTCGAAGAACTGATTTTGATTAGACGCAAACTCAACATCTCTTTGCCCGGGCGATTCGTGAGGCTGCAGCCGGGGTCGCGCCAACGGACTCTTATGCACTAGATGTGAGTGCCCCGCCATTGTGATTGATAGCTATCAATGACTGATAACATCCAGACCTTGGCCACCTTTTTGACCAGCATTTTGAGCAAAAAATACACCAATCCTAGCTCAGATGTGATCAATGTTCTCGCCGGTCTTGACGAGGTTGACCGTGTCATCTCGGAGTTTGTCTCTGTTTTGGACGGAATCATTCGTAATGGGTCCAGCTGTGAGTATTCGTGGCACTGTGTATTACGCATACTAATCTTGAATTACAGTGGAGTTGCGACGCAGGGCAATCCGAGTCGCCATTGCTATGACGAGCGGGGCATACAAGACCAGCATCGTCTCCTATTTCACACATCGGGATCTGTTCCCATCTCTGATGAAGGTATGGACGATCTATTATTCTAAACTTCATTTGGATCTAACGAGAATAGTATGTTCATGACTCTGATACCCCCATGCAAGTGTTCGATCCATTCCTCCTTCTGGGGCTCTTGGCGAACTACAACAAATTCGAATTCCAAAATCTCTATCAGCTTAGACTCGACGATTTTGTCAACGAGTCAAGCATCCAGCAAATCGTCAAAGGTGTTGGCCTCGCCTGTGGTGGCCTGCGCAACGGCTACATTGCCGTGCAGGACGATATACCTGAAGGCTGGTCCTTGACAAACACTTTGATCTTCTTCGGACTTCGGGCTCTTGCGCCTGGTGCGCGGGATAAGGCAAACCCACCCAGTGCGGAGGAGGCGAAGGCCATGTTTGCTGCTCTGTAAGGCCCTTGCTCGACTAACCCATTAGTTCAGATACTAATATTATGCCAGACCCGCCCAAGAAGCCGCCATCCTGATGGCCACATATGACTTTGCGAACTCGAACAAACTATTTGGTTACCATATGGTCCACCATATTCCCGAAAAGAACGAGGAATCTCCATTTTCTAGTCTCCTTTCTCTGTCATCATACCTTTTACAACACGCCTATCGATCCCCGCGGGTAGCACACTATGCTGAGCTGAGCATGTTCACCCTGCGTATACTCGTTGAAGACCCAACACTCTGCAAGCACATATGCAGCGAAGATGGGAAACGCAAAGTCCGGATCTGTCGTCAGAAACAGCCATATCTCCCTGTTGTTGGTGGAGACCGGGTGCTGGCCACTGTCATCTTCGATGTAATGATCGACACAATCACGCATAACCTTCGGCGGCGGTTGGACGTCAACATCTACAGGTGCGTACCTGATGTTCTATATATCAGACATATACTAATTGTCTCTAGCCACACCATTGCCATCACATTGCGCCTCCTCACATACCTCTCAATGAACAAAATCCGACTAAATTACCACTGGTCCGAGCTCTGGCGCACTCTTCTCTCCCTCATGCGCTTCCTAACCACATATGCCTCTGATCTAAACACCAACCCCAAGATTCACACTTTAATCAGCTCCCTCGTCGATCTCCTGGCCTTCTGCGTCTCTGGCGGCGATACCTTCCTTCCCGACCCAGCTTCTTACGACGACCTCTTTTACAAGCTTGTCGAAACCGGCCCCGTTATCTCCAAATTCAAGAACGTATACGCCCTTACCCGCTCAAGTACAACAGGAACCCCAGGATCATCCTCGGCTACCCCGCTGCCAGATGCAGCAACCCTGCAGAAGAACGATCTTCACGCCGCAGCCATGGATACTCTTCTAAGCGTTTCAACGCACTTCTACACGCTTCTCTTCCAATCCGATGGATCTGATCCGACGACACCTTCAGTTACAGCTGCCAGTCCCAACCCAGAAGGCGAGCCTACACCTGTAACTTTGCCTTCCATTAAGAAGAAGAATCTCAGCCCACGAGAAGTTCACCGAATCATCAAACAAGGTTATGAGACACTGAGTATCCAGCCGCCTGAGGGATTGAGTGCCTGGTCGAAGTGGAGAGAGACAGACTGGAAGACTGAATTGAAGAAAGCGGCAAGAGTTGCTGTTGATGATGCGAGGCAGCTGGTTGCATAGGCTGGGCTTGGACTTTCCTTTTCATCCTGTTTGGTAAAAAGCGGGCGATTGAGGGGTTGGCCTTGTAGGAATGTTATACAGTTGCATATGTGGATGTGGAAGAGTTTACCGGGAACGGACGGGATGGAGCACTATGTATAGCCTACTTTTACAGCCTGGTCTACTGGTTTTTGGCCCTTTTCTATTTTCTGAGATATCCAGTAGAAATCCATTGGCACATTCTAGCATTAATGGAGTTTTACATACATCAACTCTAGACTAGAGATATTGACTGCAACACCAGGCCGGGAAAACTTTTGATCACACTTCCTCGTCGGTCTCGGTGGCGGGAACATACTGGGTTAGAAAGTACTTCTCTGAATGTGAGCCAGACGGAGAATTTTAAAGTTTCCTCATGGCAACAGGGAAAGATAACAGAAACATAACCAGTCGGGATGCTACCTAGTAGATAATCTATTGTCATTCCAAGTTATCTAAACCTTTTTTTTCTCAATTTTATCCTACTCTTATAGTCATTCATTGATGTATGCTGACTAAAATCCGTGCTCGACGGGGGCATCGCTACTACCTAGTAAAAGATTACTTCGACGCCTTACGGTTGATCAAGAGTGATCATGATCGGAAACCTAGGTCTAGGGGTGTGCAAGTAGGAGAAAGGGTTTGTTGCAACGATTAATTGGTAACTTTGACAGATTGACGCCCCGGGTCATTCAGAAACACTAAAAGGTATGATGACAACAGATGAAAAGTAATAATGACACATGATGAAGTACTGCTGAATCAGTCCTCCTCATCGATTTCATTCGCAGGTACATACTTGGTGAGGAAGTATTTCTCCGAATTACGGCTGAGCCAGATAGAGAATTTTGAAAGCTCCTCATGTGAACGGCCCGTACTCTTGTATTCCATGTTTGTTTGCGCCAAGAGCTCCGGGAGAAGGCCTTAATGATGTTAGTGGGTGTTCTTAACAGGGAGGAGAGGAACATACTCATCAGTCGGATAAGGTGCTCAGCACCGTAGACATGCAGGGGAGTCTTGTCCTTGTTGTTGAAGTATTTCTTCTTCAGGACTCGGTACTGGTGGCGCTCGTAGCGGTAAAGGAGGAGTTTATCAATGACGACCTCGAAGTACTCGGACAGGCCGGCGATAACTTCATCCATGACGCTGACGTCGACGTGGTGGCGTTTGGGAAGCTCCTCGGCGCGCCAATCCTGAAGGATTTGGTAGACAGACTTGGCGTGAGGCAGCTGAACAACGGAACCGTTCTTGGTGACGCGCTCCCAGTCATCGACAATCAGTGATTTTATATTGTCGGGCATCACAATTCGGATGGAGGGGCGAGCCTGGAATGTCTCTTCCTGGTTCAGTGTCAGATTGTGGCTCCATCGGGGCATGATCATTCCATTGCGTTGAACTGGCTCCCAGAGATTTTCAGAGGTCTGTCCCAAGGCATCTTGGGCGGCGGCATCCTGAGTCTGATCTGGAAAAAAAGAGTTTCCTCGGATGGCATTCAGCAGCACCTTCAGATTTTCCTCCGTGGCAGTCTCATACGCAGAGTCTGGCAGGACCCCGGCGTAACCCAGGGAGTATCGAATCGTAGCAAGTAGCATAGTGAAGCCAATAGGCAACGGGGCTCTCGAACGCACGACAATGAAAGGATTGAACATGTTGTCGCGTTTCAGAATGTGACAGGAGGGTAGTGAAGAGAACAGACAGGGGAGAGGGAGAAGGTGGATTGGGAAGAGTGAAGTAAAGCGTATAATAACAACAGCCACGACGACTAAGCGGAGGTAAGAAATGGCGACTCACTCTTTCAATATCATTTTCTCGGACACGCTTGTTGCCACCCCGACCAGAGACAGAGACACCACGCTCCTCGCTGTCTCGCACAGAACTGCGCTCCGACATGGCCCGCTTCTTTGTCGTGCTCCCAGGCTTCACGTTCTTCGCCCGAAGGGAAGCTTCAGCCTCACGGCGTATGTTGGCAGCAAGCTCACGGTTCTCATCGCTCCACTTGCGCAGCCGGTCTTCAAGGACCCAATCGTCCCAGCTGCAGACTACTTGTTAATAACGAGGTTCCCAAACGGAAAATACTCAAGCATACCGCCTATTCTTCCTTTGTGTGGTTCAGTATTGGACCCCAGGCAGAGATTGCAGGCAGCGCAAGGGACACAGACTCTCCAACACATGGACAGGGCGACATGCTGATAAAAAAAGAAAGACAGATATTCATGAGGGACTTACGTGTTCTTCCAGCCCTTATAGTGCACCAGGTACTCGAACGGGCTCTTCTTATCCGAGGCATCCTTGTGCCGCACATCGAGGATCTTGGCCTCGTATAAAATGTCGTGATGGAAGCAAAGGACCTTCTCGTCCTTGGCATAATTGGTTGGAGCCATTCTGGCAAGAAAATGACGAAAAGGGAGAAGGGTTGGAATATATGGAGAGCCCAGGGAATTGTGGGATCGTGAAGGGAAGAGGAAGTGGAAGGGAGGGGAAGTCTTCCAAAGGTCGCCGTCGCTTAGTCGTCGTCGTCGCCGCGCCGACTAAGCTGAACCGCAGTTGACACTTCTCGATCTGAGGTATACAAGCGGCTGAGCTTCAGTGTCCCTCGACTCGACCACAAGACAGAATGTCTGCAGGCTCACGCCGTTCCAGTTTCACGGATTATCCAATTTCTTGATAATGAGCGACGACAGCCTGTCCACAAGGAATGTGAAGCCCAGACTTTGATTATATGTCGAAGGATTTGCTCCCCTTATGCTAGTATCTTCAAATTTCTGGTTCAAACACTGGAATCCGGGATTACTGGATGGGTTGTATTGTTGCGGGTAAGAATCGCGAGGTGTGAAAAGCGGAACTCGCCCCTTGGAGAAAGACACTGGGTCCACGCGGGAGTGGAATTCACCGTCCACAACCTACACCTGCTACTACTAAAAGATTGCCACGTTCATGCCTGGAGATCCAGAGCACTGGGATTAAACCACAAATTGCGGTTTCAAGACATTTCGCAATCTACTGGCCCAACTACTTTACGTGACAAAACCTGAAACCAGACATCAACACGCGACTTTTGGCGACACAACAAATTGCCAGTCTTAATACCGTGATTACTACGTGTTCTATTGTCATCCAAAGATATCTGAACGCGTTGGGGGCACCAACCTTAGATCTCCACCATGGCACCCTCCGAAGAGTCCATCCTGAGTAACTTTCTGCTTACTCCAGCTCCGCTGCCAACAGTACTGTCCCTGCAGAAATTCACAGAGCTGTTTCCTAAGCGTCTGAGAAATCACCCGCATATCCGGGCTTTGTACCGAGAGTTGCAGCAGATTCGGGAGCATGACATGGATCAGGTAAATGAAAATATCGACACTGAGATCCGCCAAGGCGACCGCCAAAAAGCAGAGCTCCACAAGGCCAGTCTCACAACGGGTGTGGAAGCAACCAATGAAGATGAGCAACGGGAAGTGAACATGGATCTTCATTTGTTTGGGCAAACTGCCCCCAATCCCCAAGATTACCATTCAGTGGAGAGCCTTCTCGCTGAAATGGAGAATGCCTGCACCCATATTGAGCGAGAGATCGTTGATATTGATGGCGAAGCTGCTGGCTTGGTAGCTGAACTCAAAACGACGGTGGGAGATATGAGTGATCTTCGTTATGGGAAATTTGCCGGTCCTGGATCTGCCCGTGACGTGGCGGAGCAAAGCATCAAAGGCCTGCAGAATCTGGAGGATACTTGTTATCAGAAGAGCATGCCGGGAGCTTGATGAGATCAAAGTCCTGGATTGGATACAAACATCCAAGCTATTCATGCCTTATGCCCAAGGTAAACAGCCTGGGTTTCAATCAGGAGTTTAGAGCTAACTCTGGAATGGAGCTTTATCTCTGGGATATACACCCAAGCCACACACGGAGTGCTTACTGGGAGCCACCACACGAGAGATCGTCTGATCCTGACAAGGCGCCGGCTTTTTGGTTGGTCTGTATGCCGGCCATGTGGTCGAGCCTACAGTAGCAGGCGCTTTACAGAAGCAGCCCAACTTACCTGGCATGAGTTTCCATCTGCATTTGCTCGGATCAAATTAAAAAGAGTCCCACGGGCCGTCAAAGAAACCAATTACCATTCAGGTGGACTACAACGACCTCAAACGAACAAATGTATGCATGCAACATTATGCCAATGATACCTCAGCCTAGCTTTATCTATTAGCCTTTCTTCCAATCAATTTGCAGAACCTGCACACTTTTTTCCAGAACACGAATGTATAATTTTAATTAAACATTGATATACTAGGTTCTTGATTTCGTGCCTTTTTACTACTACAGAATCTGCTTCCGTCTACGGTATGATTGAGGCCTGTGGGGTCAAACGCGACCCGCGTCGCGTCAACCTCACCAAACCAACCACCACACCACAAACCATCGTCATAACCCACCATGCCTTCAATACGCCTTCATTCTAAACCCTCATCGCCCCCAAAAACAGAAACCACTTCCTTTCCAATCACCAATCCCCTTCCTCAACTTCTACAAACCCCGTCAGGCCTCGCGCTGCTCGAGCTCCAAGCCACAATCAATCTCCCCTCAACAGATCAAGATGAATACGACACTACACCGACACCTCAATCGCCAAATGGTGCATCCTACGAAACCCCGATCGGCAAACTCATGTTCCCGGATTACTCTGCTCTGAATCCCGATGATACCAAGTGGATGAAGCGCGCATACCTGTATGTGGGCCGGTACCAGCGCATGACTGGGGAAGTGAAGAAACTGCTCAAGCCGATTGCATTAGTACAGAAGCGAGCTTCTTCTTCCACAGAGATTGAAGATTTGGAGGTTGTGGAGATAATTCGGTATAAGATCTTCTTCAAGAATCGACCGGAACCTGTGAATAATATTTGATCGGTTCCGCTAGTTGGAATACTCGTCAGGGTATTTCTGGAGGGTTATCTGCTCACAAGATGCCATCCACATCGGTCTGTTGCCCGACGGCGTCCACTTTCACCACATGTGTGGCTTCGGCTTTCTGGGTGGTTTCAGAGGAAGCTTGGGCACAGCGATCATGGTGAAGCTTCCCTCTGAGCTTCCTGGTCCATTTCCATATCCATAGACCAATACTACTTGTATTCGTCTGTTATAACCTGGCAATGACCTGGGATTGGACCGCGGCAACAAGGTCAACTGTCTCTTCGTGGGGGAGGGGCTATGGAAAATTGATTCTCAGCTATGGGATTGAACCCAATGTCAGCGAGTGAGGTCCATTCAAAAACCGTGAAAGGTGAATGATAAAATGACGAAATGAATTAAACACTGCTATATATTATTATTTTGGTTATAGTAAGAGCTGCATCTCCTAAGATCGGCCTAATGCAAGCCACTTCTGAGCTATATTTCTTTTGCTTCGCCACGATTAGATCCATAGGACCTATTCACTTCAGGTAATCCAATTGAATATTCTTGGGCTTACTTGTCCATGAATTGTACAATGTAATGTCTCTATATCCGTGAATTAATCCTGCAGTAACCGGGCGGAATTAGTCCACCCACCATGCTGGAAGTATTCCGCACTCCCCAACTCTGAACGAAACACGATCACAACTACAATTACCAATTGGCTTAAGGAAAACAACAATGATCGAGTAATCTCATAGCAAATAACAGAATACATTGGAAAACTCTTATAGACAAGCACCTGGAAAGCTACATTCAATCTAGTATACAATCGCCGAACGATCCCGACCCGTCGGAACGTCACCAAGAAACCCCGCAGGTACCGAACATCTGAACCCGAACGCCGTATTACATTTCATGCTAATATAAAGTGCCCCTCGATGCCCCGCCTAGCTCACAGATTACCATTACTACCACTTCAACCTTTACTCTGCAACATATCTACCAGTCCCAGCTTCTACCGAACATTTGCATCCTCATCCGCAATTATGGCACCCATCGAGCGCATCACCCTCTTCAAGATCCCCAACGAGGCTGACCAGGACCGTCTGCTGGAGCAGTACAAGATTCTTTCTAAGACCGCTACTAAGGTATGTGTCTTATTGCTTCACCGTGTTACCTTTCTCAATTGTGCAGCTGAACCTCTTCGGTTCAATTGACTGCCGGTTCTCCTACATCCCACTGTCCATTTGGACACACGTTCCCTTGGCATTGATCTTGAGGATACCTTATATTCAAGAACTACAAACTGACATTGAACTTCCAATATAGGACGGAAAGCCTTACATCGTCTCCGCCGCCGTTGGCAAGTCCCTTCCCGATCCTCGCAACCGCGGCTTCAACATCTCCGTCAAGACTACTTTCGCCTCAATGGATGATATGAAGTACTACGACACCGAGTGCGAGGCTCACAAGGCACTCAAGGCTCTTGTGGGGCCGATCAAGGAGGATGTGATGACTACTTTCTACGAGAACGTTCTTTAAACAGCTGAGCTGTATGGTGGGGGGAAAGATATGATGGGATTGTACATAGATTCTCTATTCCGAACAGGACTAAAAAAACATGATTCATTCCGGATGTACACTGCATACATCTAGTATGCTTCCTGAGTCAAAGTTTGCAGTCCAAAGAGCCGAAGAAAAGTAATAAAACAAAAGGAAATAGGAAAACGAAAACACCTATGCCTTCTACTGGCATGCTAGAACAACGGCTGGAAGAGTACAGAGTCGTAAAAGATTGGGAGAATCGTGGGGTTGAACGGCTAATGAAGAGGACAGCAGATATCCGGCCCATGAGCGTGTTGCGAAGTAATCACAGATTGACTCGCCATCAACGCTGGAGAAATATACAGGGTGAATGGAAGGTGGGTGGGTGTAGGATATTAGTCGAGGGCCCGGCGGAGGTCACTCCATTTCTGGCGGAGGGTCTCGTGGTTCTCGGACATCTGTAAGTGGGTGTGGTTAGCTCTGGACAATGGTGTTCAATAATAAGACTTCGCGCACCTCGGCCCACTTCATCTTCGTGGAAACTAGCTCCTTCTCCATCTCGGCCATGGAGTCCTCCATTGCCCGGTTCTCGTTCTGCACTTCGATGTTCCGTTTCATGATGCGCTCCATTTCCATGCGAAGTTTCTCCTCTACCTCGCCTGGCTGCTTGTCGACCACGATCTTCAGCTCGCTGACTTGCAGCTTCAGGGCATCCGTCAAGTCGCGCAGTTCCTCGTTCTCCACCTTGGCGTGAACCAGTTCGGATGCAAGCTGCACATGCTCCTTGTCGGAGGCCTCAGCACGCTCCTCAAGCAAGCGCACTCGGGCAGCCTGCGTGGCCACCGTGTGCCGCAAGTGCTCCAGCTCGGCCTCGCGCTCCTTCTCAGTTCGAGTCTTCTCCTCCCACTCCACAGTGTAAGACTTGATCATATCCTGGGTGAGGGGGACGTCACAGGCATCCTGGACTAGGATATCGGCGCGGTAGATTTCCTTGTCGGCGGCTCCAGAGCTTCCGAAAAACCCAGACTCCAGGATAGACGATGCCGATGGCTGCTTGTCGATATATGCGTCGAACAGACGCTCCTTCAAGAAAGTAGTGAGCGTGCTCATATCTTTCATGCCCAGAAGTGTCTCGGCATTACGTCTCATGATGGCAATAGCAAACTTGAGGATAGTGCGCTCCAGTCCCTCCTCAAAGATCAGGTCATAGATACGAAGGACCAGCTGCAGCGGGAATCGATAGGCAAACAATGTCAAGAACCACTGGGTAGCATATAATTGCGGGGGTACGCCACGACGTCGAAGGTGACAGTAAAGGGCCGGCTCCAGGTCTTCCAAGAGTCGCTCAAACTGGTAGAGACTGCGGTGCAGACCGGGCATGTCCGCAATGAACATTTCGCGAAGTCCATATTTATTCATGAGCTTCACGAGAAGCTCGAAAGCCTCGACCTCATCCATGTTAAACAGCAGAGGCATGACAATGAAGTTCATACCTTGAGCATAGCCCACAGCCTCATCATACAGGGCATAGGCTTTGCACAAGCCATAGAGACTCTCCTGGCTCCCCTGCGAGACAAAGTATTTCGAATAACTAGTGCGCGAACCCAGATCCCGGCGAATACACTTTTCTAGCTTCTGCAGCGCAATCGCCTCATCCTTGGCCCTCTTGGCACGAGCAGTTTCGCTAGCCAGCTGTTCCTTAGCCAACTTCTCAGTATCAATCTCCTGGGAGGGGCTGATACTGGTGGACTGTGTGGCGGATCCCGAGTGGTCAGACCGAATTGACGAGCGTGAGGATGTGTTCGATTCCTCGATAATCCCATTTATCTGGCCATTCGATGGCCGACGCTCCTTGTCTGTTCCACGCGCCACCAAGTCCCGGTAGATATCCTCCAAGTCACCAGCGTGGCAATCCGCCAAAATCTGCCAGATAACACCTCGAATAGTTTGTGGAATACCCCTCTTGATAGCGGAATTCAACTCTTCCGAGTTCACCAGCGCCTGAGGCCCATTGTTCACAAGTGATTGCCAAAGTTCCCAGTCCACAGGTGCCGACGCATCGTCTGCTGACTTCGCGAACCCGGAAACCGTACCAGGGGCAAGGCTGGAATTGATTGTTGATGGGCTTTCAGTTCCGGGAGAAGTTGCTGCAGAGGCAGTTGTAGGCGGGTACAAAATGCCAGTCTCGTTCTCTTCCGGGATGATTGGGGGGCTCATTCCAGGATGGCTGATGCTAGGGGGGCCCGATCGTGCACCGGCTTCCTCGTGCTCAGCCCAGGTAGTATCCTCCCGCATACGCAGTTGCTTAAATTGGTCCTTCAAGCTATTGCGTCGTGGCCTCTTCGAATTGACACTTGACGCATCTCCATCCGCCACTAGGTCCAAGTTGCTGGCGAGGGTTGATACCGAAGTGGAAGTGTTACGCCTAGATCCAGCTTGGGGCGGAGACTTGACCTCTTTGGCTCCGACCGAGCTCCGAGAGAACCATGCGAAGGGGCCACTGGATTTGCGAGGTAAAGGTGGGGGAGGGGGTGGGAGAGGATTCTTGTTGACGGGAGGAGGCGCCCATGGCACGGACGGTAGGCTTCCAGAGAGACCCTTCAGACCAGAGCTGGGCGGGGAGACATCGTCTTTGGGGGGCACGGGAGGTAGTGCCGACTTAATTTCGGGGATTGAAACATTGAAAGGCTCCTCATCTTTGCTGGTCGTGAGAGCAACCTCGTCAAGGGACGAGGCCGACGATAAACGGTGAGACGTGAGTAGGGGTGACTTTGGGGTGACGTTCCGACCAGGCGCCTCCTCTTCGGCTGTCCCATCCAAGCCAGTAATTTCTTCCATATCTTCGACCTCGATCTCCTGGTCTGGCTTGTCGTCTTTTTCCACATCGACGGTTTCAAGCTTCACATCGTCTCCAAGCTCCTGCTCCTGCAGCTCCTCGGCCTGCTCATCCGCGGTAGCCTCTCCTTCTTCTTGCTGTTTCCCCTTTTTCTTGTTTTTCTTCTTGTTTTTCTTTTTGGGTGTAGTCTGTTCACTTCCGTAGTCCTCCTCCTTCTGCTCGACCTGCGATTCAGAAGGAAAGAGTGGCTTCTCTGTAATTTCTGGTGACGCACCCACCCCCACGGGCGGGCTATCAGTCAACGACCGGGCTGACGAGGACTTCGGAATGGTCACATGGAGGTTGTCGATAGATTCGGGGGCATCGTCGAACGACTCCTGGGAGCAAATCAGCACATGGACACCGTGTATAGAATCTGAAACGAGGGGACATCACACAACTTACCCCTTCGTAGTCATGGCTGTTCCGGGGCGACATCTCGAGCTCGACTCACGAGAACATACAATCAAAATATAAGCGCAAGACCCAGGAAGCAGGAAGCCTCAGGGGTCATTAGGAGAAAAATGGGAGGAAAGAAGAATGAGCCAGCGTGGAAGGAATTTGGGGATGTCAGTTTCGTAGTGATGGTAATTCGAGGGACCAGGCACGGGCGGTGATTGGTCGAAGCGGGTCCAGAATACAGTATGGGGCGACCTGTCGATCGGAACGTTGGAATGGAGAGATTGTACCTGGTGCTTGCAGATATGCAGAATGCAGGATTCTTGACGGATTGACCGACTTTTCCGCTTACTATATCGGTATTCTGCTGTTCCACTCAGCTATGTTCGACCAGTTGTGGAGCATAGATCTGGAGTACGTGGACAGTGTCACGCGCTCAAAACAACACCAATCAACAAGAAAGCTTGTTTACAGATATCTGTCGTTTGTACTAGACTTGTACTTTCAAAGCCTTTATACGTTTAGCTAGGACTTCTAAGGCTCCATCAGTGACTCAGACAGTCCTTCCTATGTGCAACTCAGCTAGGTGAAAAAATCAATTTTTATACTTTCCTTCTGTATTTGAGAGCCTTTGTTCTGCGTGTGCGACGTGTCAAAGATTAGGCTGAAGGGAGAGCAGATGCGCCATGTATTGTGAAGCTATTCAGAAACTGACGTATCATTCTTCGCTTCGCCTAACGTATCCCAAGTACCAAATTACCGAATTCCAAGATTGCTTCATGTATATCAACAAGGTGATTCTTAACCTCATCTACAGCAAATACAATATGCTTTGGGATACAGGCTTGGTCCGTTTGCCTTCTTCTAAGTGGCATTGTTGAGGTTCAGATAGAAATATTCCATCGTAAATTCTTCTCAAGGTTATTTACAGGGTTTGCTCAAAATCCAGCCATCGGCGTTGTCGTAGTGGATCCAGCTGCTTCAATTCTGAGAGCCAGCTCAAAATTCGGTCTCGGTCCTCTGACGATAAGCTGCCTGCCACCTTGGATACCAGCACTGTACACTCAATCAGGGCCTGGTAGATATACTTGCAATCTTCAGCCCCATCAATAATCTCTTGGATGTTTTCAATCTCCTGGCGGAGGTAAGCAAGTCGTTCAGTCGAGGTCAGGTTTGGAGCCATGGTCCGGTCTGCAGTGTCCGGGTCAAATACAGACAGCAAGTTCTGGTGATAGAACCACACCGACTGGTCATAAGGATCAATCAAGGCTTGGTGGATGAGAGATAACTCTGTAGTAGTGTCAGGAACGAACGAAACATTTAGAGGGCAGCTCTGTGGTACTGACCTTCGTCCAGCATCGTCTTTCGTTCGTCATCAGTCGCGCGTTGTTCGTCCAACAATCGCTGGATCAGCTTGGTGCGGTAATGCCAAGCGGAAAAGTTTGAGAGATTGGCACCAATCATCTTCTTTGCATACTCGAACTCTTTTTGGGTCATACCCATTGCCTCCTCCGGGGTTCCGAGCCGTTTCAAGGTCTCCACGACCAAGCGACGGTATCCCCATCCATGAAAATTGCGACTGTCCAAAGTCAACATCTTTCCGACCAGAAAAAATTCCTCTTGCCAGAGTTGCCGAGCTTCGGGCAATGCGAGGAGCCGCCGAGCCTCGTCGAGAAGCCAAAGTCGATAGTTCCAAATCCAGTAGCATTTGGGAAAGCTGCGCAGAAGTGGGATGAGAAACATTAAGTCGTTCTTGATAAGCTGGAGAGCTGGCTGGGTCGTGGTCTCATCAGTGCTATCTCCAGCTTCTGAGAACTGATGCCTCATGACCTGCCGCCGGTGGTTCCAGATAGTGTAGTACTCTGGATTCCGGTTCAAAAGCTCGGAGATCTTCTTCAATGTGTCGGCGGTGTAATCTTGCGCGGCCATCTGGTCCGGATTAGAATGATACAACCTCATCTGAATGCTCTTCAACAGTGGCCCACCTTTTCCGAGACCTCTTGTTCTAGAGATTTGTAGTCATCTATCTTCTGCAGCTCCTGTTGTCGTTCTTCGGGAGTCTTCTCCACGGGCTTAAATCGCCGAACGCCATGCTGCCAAGACCGTCAGCCTCGAACCCTGAAGACGAATTTTCTAACTCACGCTTGCCATGTTGATGGAATAATAATTATTGATTTTTCTAAAATGGAGAAATGGGGAAGCGCGGAGAAGTGCCACTGCGGCTGTTGTCCGCGGTGATCACGTGGATCTCCTGCCTTGGAAGGTGGAATGGTAACTGGCACACTCAACTTTCTTCGTCAACATGCTACGTTGACAACCATGTTGCCCTGGATGAGGATTTGTGCTACACGCTCATTTCAATGGTAGCTGTTTACTTGCTACGTTAATCCCAGACAATGATAGATTCGCAATGTCACTCCTTCGAGGATGCCTCTTCCGCAGGCAGCTATAACATGCCAATCATATCCAGGTCTCATTCCGAGTCCTCTCAGGACACCGGCTCAGTCAGACGACCTCAACTTACAAATATCAATTTTCCATTTCTTAAATCACCCACCGGCTCTCAGGACTCATTGCTCATATCAAACACAAGGCCCATTCAAGCCACCCCAGGCTTTCAGGAAAACTTATCGGCAAATGCGGTATCCCCGGAGCGAGGCCCAGAGCGAGGCCGTAGTAGGTACAGGAGGCCATTGAATAGAGTAGCAGCACGAGCTGCATATCCTAGTCCGATATCTCCTGATCGGTTCATCCCCAAACGCGACTTCTACGAATCTCCATCTACGCCATATCGGGTGAACAAGCATCCCCAGCAATTGTCACCTCGAGAGCGCCTTTTAAGATGTCGTCTTCCCGGGGAGGATCCTTTTTTGCCGACCTCGCAAACTCGACGGTCACCAGCCCAAAGTCCAAGGCTAACCCGGTCTCGGCAAAGCCCACTTCACCGGCCTCGTTTAGTCTCCAACTTAACATTTATGAGTCCCAATCGCCCAAATGACTTCCTCAGACAAGTCAGCTTTGGGGGGATCTGGGGGTAGGTGGAACATCAGCGATGCTTGGTACCTCCGTCCCAGCAACCAATGGTGCACCAAGTCTCTTGGGCAGACGCACCACTGCTCCGAATTTTGTGGCGAAATTTCTGCCCAAAAGCACCAAGGCTGAAGAACAGAACAAACATGAATCAAGAATCGCACTTGCATTGGATATTGACCCCACTACCAGACTTGTTGGTACTTGTAGAACACACGTGGAAAGACCTCCCGGTCCTACATCGCCGGACTATGAGCGATTCGCGCCGTTTGTGTGGAATGACAGTACCTGGAAGAAGGGCAATAGGGAGCATTGTAAGTTCTTGTGTGTTTATAGCCACTCCCCTATCTTTCCAAGGGCCCGAGTCTGGGTTCGCTCCTGAGCAGCCGTTTTTTTTCTTTTCCTTTTCTTGAGTAAAAGGACCTCGGATCTATTGACATTTGAAGACTGATTGTAGGGCTATACCATGGTGCTTGCAGTTATTCTTGCGGCATCTACTGACTAGGCTTCAAATAGGGCCAATGGTTCCACCTCAAAGAGAGGCTGTTCCTCCCAAGCCTTTTCGAATCCTGGATGCTCCATATATGCGAGACGACTTCTACTGTTCCACATTGGCGTATTCTTTCACATCAGGTGTCTTGGCTGTGGGCCTGGCACAGTGTGTTTACCTCTGGTCTGAAGGTTACATTGTGGACCGCCCGCCATTTGGTGATCATCACCCGTCAAACTATGTGACATCACTGTCTTTCTCATCGGAGAATGGCGGGCGAAGTATTCTTGCAGTTGGTCGCCAATCAGGTCAGCTATCTCTTTGGAGCGTCTCAGAGGACAAGGTTCGCTTTGAAATCAGCCACCCGAAGGCCATATCGTGCGTTTCTTTCAAGCCACGGACTTCACGAAGACTATCCGAGGGGTTGCAAAACATGGAAGTAGATGCAGAATTTCTTGTTGTTGGTGACGAGATAGGCAACATTTGGTTATACTCAGTCGAATGGCCTGAGATCCACAGTCAATGGAGTTGGACTGGTTGTATGACGCTCCTGGCCAAAATTTCCGCCCATGGCCAGCAGGTATGCGGCTTGGCTTGGTCTCCTGATGATCAATTTTTTGCTTCTGGGGGCAATGACAACGTATGCATGCTGTTCGACTTACATGAGATTCTCCCACCCCCAAAAGTCGACAATTCAGCCTTTTCCACTGCATCTTCAGGTCCGCCAGGGAATTCAAGCATCCACGGGCTTCCACCTCTGACTTCTGTCACGAACCCAAGGCGTATGGCCAGCAAGCGACGAATTGTCAGCCATCTTCTACCATCAAGGGGCCAGTCTTCATTGAGATCGACCACAGCAGCTCCACTTTTGTGTTCATTAGGATGTCTCATTTCCGGTGGCACGAAAACCGTGCTAGTTCCACCCAACCGTCAGAAACACTGCCTCGTTCATGGCGCAGCAGTCAAGGCAATAGCATTCGCACCGTGGCAACCATCACTGCTTGCAACGGGAGGAGGTACCAATGATCGCGCTATTCACTTCTTCCACACCAGGACTGGGGTCTGTCTAGCAACGATAAATGTGTTTGCGCAAGTCACCAGTCTGATCTGGAGCCAAACCAGACGCGAAATTGCAGCGACATTTGGCTATTCGTCACCCGAGCATCCATTCCGGATTGCCGTCTTTGCCTGGCCCAGCTGTGCACAGGTCGCCGTTATTCCCTGGGGACCCCATGGAGCAAGCTGGGATGGCGATGATCAAGACGTGAACTACGATTGTGGACGAGCATTGTATGCTGTCAGCTATCCGGGCAGACCGCCTCGCCCTCTGCGTGCCCTTCTGGAAGACTCCGATCTTCTCTACGCAACTTCGCCCCCACCTCCCAGCATCGCCCAGCCTCTCGCGCAGTCGAATGAGGCACGCGAAAGCAGGCGAGGGCCACGCGCGATCCGCCCGAAAGAGAAAGAAGGTGGAATGTGGTGTATGCGAACAATGGAAGAAGGATGCATCATTGTGGCCTCAAGCGACCAGACCGTCAAATTTCATGAGGTATGGACTGGCCGACGCAAGAGTATCAGCTCCGCTTATGGAATACTGGGAGGAAGTGATATCCTCGAGGGTATGGAAGGCATCGAGAAGTCCGGCAGTGAGGTCATTCGCTAGGGCAGCTTGTCTGCTATTCTTATCATTATATTATTATGATCGTGAAGCAGTCACAATGTCAAGCTTTTGAGGGTTACTTTTTTTTTATCGTGCTGTTGCGTCACACCACAGTTTTTGGTGGCTCTTTGTACATCCGATTAATCCATTAGCGCGAATAGAATGTCGATCTTTGTTGATCACTCCTCACTAATTTTCAGCTACCCAGGCAATGTAGCCAACAGATCGGAGATCCACAAAAATTAGGAAACTCTTCATTACCTCAATCTCAAATTTCACTTTCTCTAGATCCATCTCTTGTACACCAACCACCTCTTGCTCAGAAAGCAGCAATATGCGTCTCGCAACCATCCTCCCCATCCTCACCTCCACGCTTGCCACTGCAAGCACATTAAATGTCACGGTCCTGGGCGCAAAAAACAATGCCTCGACACTCGAATGCTGGGCACTAGAGCCAGGCTTCACGACCTCTTCTGAGGCTGGTACATCTGGCTCTAAGAGTCTGAACCTAGGCCCCCTTGGTGGAAAGAATGCGGGTAATTCCACGTATACAATAATCCCCGCGAAATTCGACGGTGGGAGACATAATGCGCCATTAAAGCAGTAAGTATATCATTGTGTCGATTTTCAATTCATAGTTGTTGTTATTACTCATGTTTGTGGTTTGTGGTGTTTAGGGCGTTGGGGAAGAGTATACCCACCCAACAAAGCAAAACACCACTTCACTCATACAATTGAGCATGTCAACTTCAGTTTCCTAGGTACTTCCGAGCTAACTATGTCCCTTTAAAGATGGGTTATTTTCATGTCCGGTCTAGCAAATATCACCCTTCCCAACTCCACAAGCAGCGCCTTGGTCCAAGGTGGAAAGAACGGCGCGATCCTGGCGCTGGATACTGCTGATGTCAGTAGCCTTGGACATTTTACTAAGTATCCTTCCAATGAGTTGACTATTGTGTTGGAGATTCCGTTGGGCGAGGTGGGGATTCCTAGACATACTGTTTTGCATTCGGGGGCTTGTGGAGGGGCTGAACTTTTGGATTAATTTTGTGTATAGCATCATAGATACTTGTTTATGCTCCAAATTAGGTTGAGTGTGCTAGAATTGCTTGTTCCTACTGCCCCTGAGTGACCAATACATAGAAATGAAATCTTGCAATCCATGGATAATAACAATAAAATGCAGATAATGCATCCAATATAAAATTCTTTTAAGCCGGAAACAATAATGAACAAATAGAAACCAGAAAGCCATCTTATCTTTCCACCCAGATTCATACAGAACTACATCACATCCATCGTCTATCAACAGCCCATAATGCTAGATGTTAATTTATTTCTTCCCAAGTTTGACCTTCTTGCCGGCCTTGCTCTTCTTAGGCGCAGGTTGCTCCATATCAGACCCCTCATCCTCACTATCAGCGATGAAGTCTGCGATTGAGCCCTCGCTCACCTCGTCAGAATCCTCATCCTCATTCTCTTCCAAAGACTCCTCGGCATCGGAAGAGCCAGCTGACTCTTCGGCCTCAATGTCCAAAATATCCTCAGCCTCGTCCTCGTCGTCCTCCTCACTGTCGTCATCCTCCTCATCCTCATCCTCATCCAGGATGCCGTTAATCATAGACTCGTCCTCGTCGAAGGCCTGCTCGCGAATAGACTTTGTCCGCGGCTTGGTTTGGCCTTCGGCTTCGCTGTCTGAATCGTCCTCATGTCCCTCAACGTAGATAACGTTATCCTCATCTTCGCTGTCCATGCCGTCGCCACCGCTGTGGATGTCGCGGCGCAGATCAAGCTGTGCCTCGAGCATGTCGAGTTTGCCCTTAAGCAAAAGAAGGGATGAGAGGCTGGAAGAGCGCTGGTCCATGACCTTGTACAGGGTGGAGATGCGCTTCAGGAGGTCGGGGTGGCCGGCTAGGGCACCACCGTGAGCGACACAGACCCATTGGACCCATGCGAGAAGGTGACCGTAGCGACCGGGGCGGGATGAGAGGCGCTCGGCGAGCTTCTGAAGCAAAGTAGCAGCAAGGGAAGACTCCAGACGCTGGATTGTGGTGCGAATAATAGTGATATCGGAGGTGTGGAAGCAAGACTCAAGCATGGCGTTGTCGTTTGTCTTAAGGGACTGTGTAAGCACGGTGGCTAAGGAGACACCGGTGGGGATCTGTTGAACGGCAGCGGTAGGCTTGCCGGGGACAAGAGTTCCCAAGTTAAGGTCATCGTCAAGCTCGGCTTCGACGTCGACCTCGTGGCCTCCGTTGGCGCGCAGGAGCTCACCGAAAGAAGGCTCAACGCCTGCCTCCTCTTCCTCCTCATCTTCTGACTCTGCGTTATCCATCTCAACATCGTCATCGGCAGGGGCCTGCTTAGAGGACTTGGTCTTCTTCTCTGTGGGCTTGACGGTGTCTTCAACGTCAGAGTCCTCATCACCGGAGATGGAAGCAGCGTCTTCGATATCGTTCATGTCGACGTCGTCGTCGACGATCATGCCGGACTGTACGTTGGCGTTGGTCTCGTCCACCCGGGTCTCACCGGCATTCTTCACCCCATTTGTTGACACGGATGCGATTGTGGAGCTGGTCTTTGTCTTTGTAACTGCCTTGACTCCGGTGAATGCGAGCTCGTCAGTAGTCTCATCGATGAGCTTGACACGCTCGAATACAGGAATCACACCACCCTCGGCGTAAGCGACGATAATCTCGTGGCCGTGGAACAAGGTTGATACCACGGGGACACACGCATTTGAAGACTCGGATCGCACGATCTTGAGAGAGGCATTCGCCTTTTGCGTCATTTGTTTGCGGTTGGCCTTAGCAGTGCCAGATTGCGTGGTTTGCGCAAACGGCTTTGTGAACAGCTCAATTGTGCCATCCTCGGTAATAGCAGCAAGAATTTGCTTCTCAGGGGTGCCATCATGCAGAGACACCGAGGACACATCCTGCTCGGCGACAAGGTTTCGGACCAACTTCTGAGTTGAGGCGTCGAAAACATTAATGAAGCGGTCGCCGTCAGATGCGAGGAATGCGCCAGAGCCGGCCGACTCGGTGGACGAGGAAATAACGCTGTGAATCGGGTTGCGCATGGCGGGGAACTTGACAGGCTCCTCGTCGAAGTTCTCCACATCTATTAAGAAGGGAGTCTGGGAGGCACAAATGACAGGCACGTTGGAAGGAACGGGACGGGAGAGAGCAGAAAAGACAGACGATGCAGGCAGATGAATGGTTCTGTAAGGTAAAAAAAAAAAAGCCAATGTTAGCTTAAGCATGTCTCCACGGCTGGCAGTCTAGATTCAGACATTAACATACCGTACGCTCTTTCCAGTGCGCAAATCCCACTGTACAAGCTTGTTATCACCACCAATACTCCACGCCTCCTCAGCTGGCCGCCCAGCGGTAAATTTGAAGTCCTTGATACCCTTCTCGTGCGCGCCAGTCAAGGTTCCGACAACCTTATCCTCAGAAGGAGAAAACATGCGGATTTCGGAGTTGCTGGTTCCAAACGCAACGACAACATCACCCTGGTCGAGTCCATCAACGCCGTTCACATCAGATCCGCGCTTGCGCTTCTTCTTCGACTGGTCGCGGCTCTTGCCCTGGCCACCGTAGTATCCCCAGTCCAGCGACGTGATTGTCTCCTTCGGTCCCAGCGCATGCTCACATTGTAGTCGACCTGTGTTGGTGTCGTGGATGCGGAGATGCTGCGCATCGAGGCCTTGGATAACCGAGGCGAACAGGGCCAATTGGTACTCGGACGGCGAAAATGCAGCTCGTAGAATCGACGACTTGGCGGATTGGGAGAGACCAGTAGCTGGCGATGCGGCTGAGCCGACCTTGGTGGTCTGGCGAGATGTCTTCTTGCCCATTTTGTTGGAGGTTTTTTTTTCTTGGCCTTCGTTCGGCGATCTGGTTTTCCTATTTTCTGGAGGTTGATCGGCTCTGAGATATGAAATTCCCTAGAAGACAAGGAGATACCCGAGAAAACTTTTTTCACAAACCCTGGGGAACGAGGGCTGGGGGCTCTGGTACTCTGGTGTTCTCGTAGTCGATGCGGGAAGGAAAAAAATGTTCTGTAGACTCCCGGTAAAGGCGCTAGTCCTTATGGGGTTTAGTGTGGGTGAGGTCGTTATCTAATCAGCACGGGAGGTCTTTTTAAGTTGTGGTCGAGGTTCCAACTTTGAAGGTGACTGATTGGAGAGCACAATCGGCATTATGATATGCAGGTAAGTGGTTTATTGATCTGGTATGTAACTCCATCCAGAAGCGTGATTTGGTCAATTGATGTTTACTTTGGGGAGTAAGTAATTTGTCCTAGTTCTCGAGTCTTAAAGCACGCAGGAATCCATATATATCTAGTTGCAGGGGTCCATGAGAATTTTTCTTCAAAATTGTAAAACACATACTCGAAAGACGAGATCCTACTCCGTACAACTACTCAGACGGTCCAATACTCTATCGATCTAACCTGCTATCATTAGCCATGTATGAAACCAATTTGGCAACCTACATGGCTGTGTTTGAGATTTACCAGTATACAGGCATGGACTGACAAACGCAGTAAAATACGGGTTCCTTAAAGCTAATTACATCTGGAAGAACCCTGGAAAAGCATGAAAAAGCACTTGAGTGTAAAAGTTCATTTATTCAAATATTTGCTGAATAAGCTCTGTTTGTTGACAGCCCTGGTGATCAAGTGCCCCAAGGTTGCAGTTAGTACTCGCATGTCCTTGAAGTGAGTCATAAATATATCTCATTCCATTTTATCTGCCGATCTCCTTATACATTTCTACTGTTTACTTCTATACTTTGTCACCTGTATGGGCCACATGTGACCGACTCTGCCTAATCTGTAAGGGCCCAGGCGCAGCCTCGCCGATTGGCTGCACAGTCAGCCGCAGACCACTTTTTATTTAATTGATCTCAAAGTTCCTTTAGTGAATGGACCAAGGGGGTTTATGACAGCTAGGGGGTTTCCACTCTTCGAGTCAAAAATATACACAGTACATGTACATAAAGAACAACAGACAAAAGAACCTCGGAAGACACGGAGTATATATCCTGTATGATTTACGGTGTATGCTCCTGGTATTTAGTACTCAGCCACGCCAAGACAGGTCACGTGAATGACGTCTGGAAGTCACCTCGTCACTGCGCTAAACTGCTTTCAGGCATAACCCTAGGGTTGGCAACACCAGGCATGAAACCCTCTCTGGTATGAACAGGAGTATCCCTCGCATGGAAAAAGAATCATAATAGAACATCAGTCGCAGGGCAACCCTCTTAAACTGATGACAATAGGTTCACACTAGTATGAGTTTCTTTCTATTCTTATCTTTTTCAGGTCGTACCCATTCACGGAGTCGATGATGAAATGAAAAATTTTCAGTACCATACTCAAAATCACCCAATCAGCATAAAGCATCCAGGGGCCGCATCAAGCCAGCGCCAATGGAAAAGGGGTGGACCCAGTTGAATCCGGCCTAGCGTGGCTGGTGGAACTCACAGGAGGAGAGAGCAAGGCGGCCGTCTGTACTTAAGGATTCTGGCATCCCCATCCGCTCGATGTTCTGCTTCCGTCCTGGACTAACTCTGCTGTTGACCGCCCGTATCCTTGGTTACCTGGTCTCTCTAAACATTAAAAAAACGCGCTCCATATTCGCGTCGACGCGTGACCCTTTTTATTAAGGCTCCCCATCCCCACCACTTTTCTTCAATTTCCTCTTTCTTTTTGGGAATTAATCTTTTGCTTGATTATTATTTGATTTTCCTTTCTGTGATCCACTTTCCTCTTTCTCAATTCTTTACTCACGCAATCGTGGTTCATCGGGTTTCCACTTACTTCGGTGTTCCTACACCGCCCACGTGATTACCTCACCACTTTCTTGGCGGTATAAATTCCTCACCTCCGATCGCATTCTCCACTTCTCTTATCCCCCGACTCTCTCCTTATCACTCTGCGCTTTTCCCGTCGCGTGTTTACGCCCCCCGTCTCCGCGCCATCTCTCACAACCTGCGTGTGATTGTGCGCGGAAGTGTGTATCCAGTCTTTTCGAGAAATTCGCGAACGCGTCAATCCCCAAGAACCCTGTGTCTGTGACATCACCATAGAGCTTGTATCTCGCTCTTCTGGCACTAGTCTTCATGGCGACCCCGCCACCCGAGGCTCCTCCTGTTCTTAAGGAGGAGAAGCCCCAGCTTCCTCCATCTCCTACCGGAGTGACTGCGCCTGATGTTGCGCCTACCAGGTGAGTGCTGGCTATGCATGTCCTTGGTTGCCTACCGGGCAATGTGGGCTGACCTGATCGCGGTATCTCTAGTGCGACCACAGATGTCAAGATGGCCGGTACGGATACCCCGACTGCAAACAACACCCCCGTAGTCAATGGTAATGGTCACCCCCCGGCTGCATCTACAACAAACGGCACGGGAAGTGCTGCATCTCCCCCCAAATCTCCTGCGCCTGCTTCCGACGCCCCAGCTGCTCCTGCGTCTGCTCAACAGACTCCTACTGAGCCCACTATGGCCGACCAGAAGCCATCCGAGGCAGTGACCCCAGCCGTGAACTCCGAGGATAAGGCGACTCCCAAGGAACCTGCCCCTACCCCCGCTGGCGGACCCCTAGCAGCTTCATTCGACGGAGCCAATGATATTGAAATGCAGATTGATGGCCCGTCAGATGCACCTGCACCACAACCTTTGAAGACCGAATTACCCCATCATCCTACCACTGAGAGCGCGACACCGTCCCTGCCACCTATCCAAACCGATTATGAGATGAAGGATACATCCAGTGCGCCCATGTCCCCATTCAAAGCCTCTCGTGAACGCTCGGAAGATCCTGTAGAGGAACCTGCGGCCAAGCGTACCAAGGTGGCTGGCGAGAATGGAACACCTGCCGCCAAGCTCCCGGAAGGTCCCAAGCCTACTACTGAGACTTCTCGCTCTTCCCAGTCTGGCGTCACTAAGTTGCAACATAAGTTCCTCACAAAGTGCATCTCAAGCTTGAAGCGTATGCATGACTCGCGTTTCTACCGTGAACCCGTGGATCCAATCAAGCTGAATATTCCGAACTATCACCATGTTATCACCAAACCCATGGATCTGGGTACCATCGAGAGGAAGCTTAAGGCCAACGTGTACTCTTCCCCGAAGGCATTTGAGGATGACTTTGCTTTGATGGTCGATAACTCTTTGCGCTTCAATGGCCCCGACCACCTGGTCACTCAAGAGGGCCAGAAGCTCAAAATCACTTTGGATAAGCAGATGGTCAACCTTCCCAGACCCGATGAGGTGGAGGAAAAGAAGCCTAAGAAGAGCTCGGAGAAGACTTCAGCTGCGCGACGAGAGCCACGTACCTCCCTTCCCAGCCAGCCCGCCAAGGCAGCCTCACCCCAGAGCGCCACCACCACTTTCGCGCTGGGTCCCGAAGGCTTACCCACTATTCGTCGCGACTCGTTCAACCCTGATGGTCGACCCAAGCGGTCCATCCACCCTCCTAAGCGGGACCTGCCGTATTCTACCAAGCCCAAGAAGAAGAAGTACCAGTGGGAGTTGCGGTTCTGCCAGGAAGTTCTCGATGAGCTCCACAAGCCCAAGTATCAACTCATTGCGATTGCTTTCTACTACCCCGTGGACCCTGTTGCTCTCAACATTCCAACATACCATAACGTGATCAAGAAGCCGATGGACTTGATGACCATCCAGTCTAAGCTCAAGACTGGCCAATACGAAAACGCCAAGGAGTTCGAACAAGATATCCGCTTGATGTTCAAAAATTGTTGGCGGTTCAACCTCAAGGGCGATCCGACCTACGTGGCCGGTGAGAGCCTGTCGGAGGTTTTCGATAAGAAGTGGAAAGAATTGCCGGCGTACCTCGAGAAGCACGAGCCTCACCATGAGCAAGAAGCCGATTCCGAGGAGGAGGAAAGCGACGAAGACGTGGAGGAGAGCGACAACGAGGATAATGAGAAACTCAGCCTACTGCAGAAGCAGATCGCAGAGATGTCCCGTCAGGTGGAGATGATCACCCAGAAAAAGAAAAAGACTCCCCCTGCCAAGAAGCTTGGGAAGTCTAAGTCGGGCAAGAAGGAGATCAAGAAGAGCAGCAGTACTATCGGCAAGAAGGACAAGAAGATCAGCAGCAAGGGCTACAAGGATAAGACGCGCTTTGTGACCTATCACGAAAAGCAGATCATCTCCAACGGCATCAGTAGCCTTCCTGACAAGAAGATGCACGAGGCGCTCGGGATTATCCAGAGTAACGTCCCTGCTCTTAAGGTAAGTCACAAACTATTTCTTCCCTCTTAGATCACCCCGACACCCAGTCGCTAACATGTATTCATTCAGGGTACCCAAGAAGCCGAGATCGAGCTCGACATTGATGAGCTGCCAAACAACGTCCTTTTATTGCTTCTTGATTTCGTGAAGAAGAACGTACCCCACATCATGGATGACGAGGACATTGCCCCAGTTGCCGGTTACGCGGCCCCCAAGCCGAAGAAGAACAAGCCCATGAGCAGCAATGAGCAAGAGGCTCGGATCAATACCCTTCAGAGCAATCTCTCCCGGTTCGATGGAGGTGCTCCTGTTCCCTCGGTTGAGAACAACGAGTCCAGCGAAGATGAGTCGGACGAGGATTCGGAGGAGAGCGAGGAGGAGTAAAAACTCCGTGCACCCATCGTTGCTGTCTCTTAGGTGCAAGGGATATCTTGCTTTGACTTGCGTTCCGAGCGTTAATCTGTTTTTTTTTTCTTCCCCCTTCTGATTCCTGCCAAAATCTTTCTGGCCCGAAGCAATTTTCAGGGGTTTGCAGTTGCTACAATTTTTTCCATGCAGCTCCCTCGTTCCTCTGGTGTCCCCATTCCAGTGAGAAAACCCCATTGTACATACTTTTTCTTTTTCCTTTTTTCTATTTTTTCTTTATCTTTTCGAATATCCCTGGATCCGGCACCCACAGCCTCGACTCCGCTGGGCTTCAATCTTGAAACCTTCTTTGCCCCGGATCTATGGGATTGGGTTTGCTTGAACCGTTCTTCCTTTCACCTACCAATACCCGAGTGTACATTCTATCGAATCCCTTTGCACGATAGGGAGGATATTTGCTTCTCGACATGAGGATGGGAAAAAGCTGATCAAGCCGAAGCTAGTGAGAGCTTCTCTGTACGATAACGAAAGAAACGTGGAATGCCAAAATCGTTAATCAAAAATATCATTTTTAATGCATGAATTTTCATTGTAGAGCGATTGGGTCAAACTTACTGCAATGCATATTTAGTCAGATGCCATCGCAGTTGATAGTAGTACGTACTTTGTTGCGTTGTTGATATTCCATTTGGCGGTGAATCTTTCCTTTCTCCCATTCCACCATGATCCCCCCTTGCGACCCCTCCATTCTGGAACATAACCCCAAGTTCAAAAGACTATATGAGAATCTCATCAACAATTTTTTGAATCCAGATGGCTCAACTCGTGCTAGCACAGACCCCGCTCGAGAGGCTGTTGTGGAGGTTAGTTACGACTCGTGGAAACATGCACTTAACACCGCATAAGAGCCGAGACCTAATCATTCCTCTCAACAGGACCTGAAGCAATGTCAAATAAAACGTGCCAAGAAGAGAATCAAAGAGCGCACGCTCAGGCAGCTAGCGTTCGCGTCCGACAGCGATCTTCGTGATGAGGTGCGTAACCCCCGCCACTTGCCCATTGTGTTCACGTACGCATTCTACTTCTGATGGTATAACTAAACCCATACTTCGCTGGTACTAGTGCCATGATAACCTTGCCATAATATCCATATACCTCGATACCCCTCGCGCCGCAATTGAGCCCGATACTCCCGCCCAAGAGCCCCAAGATGTGAAGCAGGGACAGGGAAAAGACGACGCGCTCTCCCTCCTCTCCCACGACTTCGAGACCTTCTACTCACATATACCATCCTTTATCCTCCAATTCTCTCACATTCTGTCAAGCGCAATCAGCGATCTTCGCACAATAGCGGCAATTACCACCGATGATTCTGTAGTCGTTGAACCCGAGCTAGAACCCAAACCATCACGGACACGGACCATTCCCGCCCTATCCCGCTCCTCTTCGAACCACTATTCCCGAGCGCGCGCCCGAGATCGCCGTGTCAGAACCTCAATGGCTCCTGTTCCACCTCTGTCCACAGTCCTCCGGGAACGGGTCCGTGCACTCCGCAGCATCCAGCTCTCCGATCTGCCCTCAGCGCGGCGTCAGATGGCCGCGACGGCTGCAGAGGTTCTGTCCGTACAGGCACAAGTGATGGAGCGGACAGTCATTCTTCTAGAGCGGGTAAAGCATGGAGCCCTGGCGCGGGCGACGAAGGCTCGAGCAGAGCATCTGGCCGTTGTGGCGCAGGGGGTGGAAGGCAAATTAGAGTGAGTATAATATCCCCTGTGCTCTTCCAAGCACTTTTTTACGTGCAATAACGTGCTGCAATCGACATAATAAGATAATTGCTAATCTTTATACAAACAGGGTTACCAAGCTTGAAATAGCTGCTACACTATACACACCCGAGACATCATTTGCACTTGGTCGTTACCAGCAGCATCTTCGTGAGACGAGGGCACGGCTTGATGAGCGGAGAGAGATAGCTATCGAGGAATTGAGCCGTTATGGGAATGTTGAGGGAGCGGCTTCCGAGTCTGGTAGTATTGATCGGAGTAGCACCTTCACGGAAACTGCGCGAAGATATGGGGTGCTTGCTAAGGAGGTTGAGGGGGTGAAAATGGAGATTGCTAGGTTGGGAGAGTAGATGCTTCATGCAGTAGACCGGATCTTCTGATACCCTCAGCTAGTGTTTCTGATCCATGTATTATGAATTTGCAGATCGGTCATCTAATGCACAGATAATAATTAAAGTTTCTATCATTCCAGGCACAGTATAGACCTGCTAACAACCAATCAAAACCCTCATAGATTGATATGCCTCCATCACATGACCACCCCGCCAAAATTTTGTCCGCCACCGAGACCAATAATTAATTCCTCCAACATACCCAAACCAAAATCCAACCCTCAAATCCTTGAAAATGGCCGACGACTCACTCTCCATCTACGATGAGATCGAAATCGAAGATATGACCTTCGACCCCGCGATGCAGATCTACCACTATCCCTGTCCATGCGGCGACCGCTTCGAGATCGCCATCGACGATCTTCGCGACGGAGAGGATATCGGTGTGTGCCCGAGTTGCAGTTTGATGATCCGGGTTATCTTTGACCTGGTATGTATACGATCTTTACGCATATGCGACTCGTGAATTGTTCCCATTTGATCAGTTGTGCTAACAACGCTTATTTAGGCTGATCTACCTAAGCCGGATAACCAGCAGACTGATGGAGTTGCTGTGCAGGCGTGAGAACCTCTTGAATGAAAAGAGAAATTATATCTGCGCTATATTTTGCGCAAGGCGAAGCCGAAGCGTACTTGCTATTCCACCGGCAGGAGTTGGCCGCACTCGAGTTCTTACAGCAGTATGCCTGCTGGGTTGAGGCTCGACTTGTTATGCCATCGTGTGCCCGCGTCGTGCAAATCATAAAACGAGCCCGGCGAATCTTTGGAGGGCGCTGGGACAGAACATAATCTACCCCCGCCGCGCACTAGCGCTGACTTTTGGTTGTCGGGTACTCGAGCCATTTCCGAAGATGGTCCCATCTGCCGGCAAAGAACATGCCAATCAGCTCCCGCTTCGAGGGACCCCATGGGGATTCTCGCTCTACATCGAAACATCCTTAATGCCAGCTTGCTGATCAGATCATGCAATACATTAAATTGATGTCAATAGCCAATACCATGAACTAGAGCAGAGCATGATCTAATTCAAATCCCCATTTCAACCCATCTAATGCATGATCGAAAGTTCTGAATTCATTTAACACTTATAACACATAGAACTACAATATGTCCCAAGACCCCGATACTATAATATGACCTTCAGTGAGGTAAAACGCCACAGATCTAATCTTCAAGCAGCACACCATAAATATCCTTCGGCAAAGACAGCGACATCTCCCCGTTCAACAGCTCTGTCAGGTTACTACCATCACGCAGGTAGATCCACTGTCCATGCGCAAACTCGCGAGTATCCTGCTTCTCATGCATGCGGTCACCCTCAAGGACCCAGTCATACCGTTTAGGGCCGGAGATGGGTGAGCTGAGCCAAATCTGTCGGTTGGGGGGTTGTTTGTTGAGGACATAAGTTCCTATAGCAGGGATGGTGATGTTGAGGACGCCAGCCTGCAAGCAAATCATCAGTACCAGTACAAGTAGAACAAAAGAAAAAACTCTGGTCCAGCTAGGGGACTACAAGAACCATCGATGCAAGGCAAAAAATAACTGGAAAAGGACTCACACTATACTCGGCTTCAACATCCGACCCCTCCTCCTGCGACTTCTCCAACTCCGCAATCAACACATTGAAATAATGTTCCGAGTAATCATGATACTCCTCCGGGGTCAAAGGTGAAGGCTCATTAACGTGCAGTCCGGCACCAGCCACAGACGCAGACTGAGGGTTCGGAGCACGAGGGTTCTCGGAGTCGGGCTGGATACCCTTAGCTCTGGGAGCAGAGATGTGGAAAGGACGGGAGCTGCGGGCTAGAGCGAGAGCGGGTAGGGATTGCGGGGTTTTGAGGGGGGTTGGTGCGACTAGTTAGTCGGAGTAGACGGGGTGCGCTGCGGGAGAGCATATTGGGTGGCTTTGTGAGGGTTTATGCGGTGGTTTGTAGTTGATCAAGTTGGAGCTGTTTGCGGGTGGAGAGCAATACATCATCGGCTTTCCTTGGGGTTACCGCCTTCCACTTTAGGTTTGTTGGTGATCGTGGGATGAGTAATTGTTGATCTTTTATTTGAACATTTGATTGGCTTAATTTGTTTATTCTCTATTATCTCAGATTATTGGAGTATTGGAATTGTTGAAGTGAAATCAAATGGCTTTATGTTGTTAGATAGTTGAGGTCAAGATGCCAGGCTGCATAACTTGGTCACATACGGTGAGAAATGTTACCACTTTTGTTGATTACTGCAAATGTCCCTTTCTGTATTATAGACGTTATGTACCGCTTACGAGTACTTGAAGGTCTAGCATTGATTTTGTTTACAGCAAGTAGTGCGTTGCTTACAAACCAATGGTGATTGCAGGAAGGATGGGGACCCATAAATGGTAAGTATGCCGATGTTGGCAGGCGAATTGCGGGCCTGTTTAGTCCGATCCAAGTCTCTCCTGGATGGATTTAGGGAACACCACTTTCGGATCTATGACAACGTCTATGAACGAATCGATTTGTCAAAACATGATTTTCCCTGATCGACCCCGGTCACATTCGAAACAAGGGGTGCTCTACCATGGTGAAATGACAGCCTATGATAGCTAAGCGCTCAAGGTATCATGTTGTTCATACAGTATTTCTAGCCTGTTTAACTAAATATAACGAGTTACTAGCAGTATTGGCTCTGCAACATGCATAGTAAAGACCAACACCTGTTCATGACCATCACTTACCCGCTCAAGGTGCAGATGTTGCAGGAGCTGCATTGAAACGATCATGGGCGGCTATGCAATAGGCCATTATTAGTACAGAAGCCCCCAAAGATAGCATTCATTCGTCTATTTAATATGCAAAAAACCCCCCAGGTTTGAGTCCATATCACAAGCCCACTTAGCTCAAATTACTTGCTGTGTATCATTGCCTCTATTATATCAAATCGACATCGTCATGGCCCAGTCCAAAAAAAGAGGACACTCTCCGGAGGAAGAAAAAGAACGAAAACGTCGAATGCTTTTCGACAACCAGATTAATTTTGAGGGGCCAATCAACCCAACTAAATGGCCTCAATGTCATTCGGCTATATTTTCTGCTATCCGGAAGATTGAAGACGTCAGGTACAACAACTACGTGGAACAATTTCAATCAATTCATCCACGTAGCTTGCAAAAAGCGAGAACTATAGTCAAGGCCGATTGTCTTGTTTCTGCCGCAAAGCAGTGTCGAGTTGAAGAAACAAATGAAGAGACCTGGAGGGACAAGACAGAAAGACATCTTTTGACCACGTTTTCGAACGCAGTGGAGTGGTAAGCCGATGATCATCAAATCTCTGGGTTCTAGATCATGGCTGATTAGTACAGTCAAAAGTGCAAACTGCTACGATGGCCATTTGAGCCCCGTTTGGAAGTGCAAGAAACACAACCAAACTTCGCTCTTTGCAACTGCATTGGAGATAGTCTACATGGGGATAGGGTAGGATCACACAACCATCATTTGTTTAAGTGTAGGGACTAACCTGATGTTATTCTCTTCAATAGCAGCCTTTTGCGGATAAGCGGAATGCAGCATATACTGACCGATCAGTTCCTGGAATGGGAGTTCGACGTCCAGATCGTGTTATTGGGTTTCGAAAGTCTCCATCTCTGGAAGTTGCCCTTAAAAGACATCCAGGCCTTAATTCTAGCCCCGGAAAAGATGCTAGGAATATACTGTTTCCATTCCTCGTCCTGGAAGCTAAAGCTGAGAATAACTCATGCTTTAGTTCGGTTGAGAGCCAAACCGCCCTTCCCATCAAAATTCTTGTTGATGTTCAAAAGAGTCTTCGCCAAGCGGGTAAAGAAGCACCAGACACAGCATTAGTCTGGTTCTTATCATTCATTGGCGAAGAATGGAGAGTCTATGCTTGTGTGGCCGATGGAGGCAAAACAGTAAGAGGTTCAAAAACATGCAATATCAAATACTAACGTCAGAGCAGCAAATCATAGATCTCTGGCATGGATGCATTCTGAGAGATGACTGTGCGCTGCAGATATGCCTGATTGTTGACCTAATATGTGATTGGGCCTGGAATACTCTCCACAGAGACATCATTCGGCTACTTTCAGTCGAGCGAACTACTGTACCAAGCATTGTCTCTGCCCCAGAAAATGACCAAGATACTATCCCAGTCCCTCCAAGCATCAACACCGTCATACGAGACACCAACGAGATTTGTTTCAAATTTCGCCACCTGAAATTGCCAGAGTCGAACAGTGAGTTAACGGAACTCCTGAAATTACCTGGCTCAGGGGGTCAAGATGTCAGATTGAATGCCGCCAATCTACTCGACTCCTTCAGTCTAATGCGTCCACCCCTGCTCACACAAAGGTTTATCTCTCAATTGGAAATGTCGTGGACGGGCACAAGCAACAAATACCCGATGCTTCATGGTGACGACAGAATATTCGCGCACATCTCATTCCAATCATACTTTCCGCCAAGCGACTATCATATTGTGCGAGAGATTTCATGCGTTACTGCAACATTTGGTGTAATTGGGATTCTGGAGCGGTTAAGTGGAAAAGAATATCCTGATACTTCCTGTCGCCCAGATATCTCGAAAGTACATGAGAATGTATCATCTCTGGCAACAGGATCAGGACAAGACTTTCTCAGGGCAGCAGTCAACAATTCACGTCTCACTTTGCATGCATTTCAAAAGGATCTCGTTCTGACGACTGATTTTACATCCTATGAATGTGAATGGCGCCAGCACTCGCACATCGATGAATATGTGTCTAACCTCTGGAATAACCTGGAAGATTTGAAACCCGGACATCCTTTGTTTCTCGCACTGCAAAAATCCAGAAAGCTACGCAAAATGTCAATTGTCAATGGATGCTCGAACAAAAGCATACGAGCGTTGCGCGGGGGCAAAAGGAAGTTTTCACACGGTGGGATTATTCTCAAGACTCCCGCACGCTCACTTAAGGCATCGTACCCCCGATATTGCTTGGCTGTTTTTGACGGCTGCGATCTGGATAATAGGTTGGGTCTTGGTCAAAAGCTATCACGATTGATTACAGAAGGCAAATTGCTCGAGGGGAACACATCAAAAACGATGACTTACCAAGATCGTCAGACTCTTCACGATTGGGCTACTCGTTTACAAGGAAAGGATGGGGTATCGCTATGAATGGAAACGCTCGAGGACGGGAGATTTTATTTTATTTTATTTTTCCTTCAGACTCTTTATTTGACGATATTTTGTATCGGAATTCATTGTGCCATGCTGATCCACCCCGATTTCCTTGAAATACAAGGATGGAGTATCTTGAAAGTAGAGGTAATTGAGCGATTCTTTCCGAATAAAAGAACATGAAGGACAAAAGAACCATGCAACCGACATTGTGTTTCGGTGGGCACCGGGCGTTCATGATATAGTAGTTATTCCGACCCGGCCCCGCTAACCTGCGGTGAAAGCCACCACGAACATCCCTGCGAAGTCCCTCACCACCCGCCCTCGACCTACCAGATATGAAATCGGTAGAGTCAAATTTTGAAGGCCTTGCATGGAGTGAGAGACTTTTGGGCCTTGAGCCTCGATGGACTCTTGAACCCGACACTGGACCTATCAAACAGACAATACAGGCGCTCCGGCCATCAAGAGCGGTCGAAGTGACATTCCTTGCCCAGGGCGCCTTGAACAAGACCTATGACATCAAAATAGACGATGAGATGCTCATCATGCGGGTCTCATTACCAGTCGACCCATATCACAAAGCCATGAGTGAAGTGTCAACAATGGATTGGATATCTCGCACCACAAAGATCCCAGTTCCCAAAGTTATCAGTTATCAAACCTCCCGAGATAACCAGATAGGACTCGAATGGATACTTATGACTAAATTACCTGGGAAGCCCTTGGGTGATGTCTGGAAATCTCTTTCATTCCTAGCAAAAGAAAAGTTGGTTCGAGAGCTTGCAGTACAGTCCGCTTTCCTCTTTCGAAATCAGACACGAGGAATCGGAAATATCTATACACCATCATCCGACCTTGCCTTAAATGATGAAATCTTTGAAAAGGAAGGCTCATACGAAGCCCCGCCTTATATAGGCCGAATTGTGTCTATGCATTTTTTCTGGGGGTCCCATGTTCTTCAGGATATCAATCGAGGTTCATTTCGATCAAGCAATGACTGGATCATATCTCGCCTTTCACTCAATGAGAACGATTGTCATTTGACTTTAGATAAGCTACCAGCCAGCGATCGCGACAGCGAGGATGAAGACGAGGCCGAAGATGCAACAAGGACACTACAAATAATCGAGGATCTCAAATCTCTAATTCCTCTTATCTTTCCACCCGATTGCGATCCTTCGGAGCCTTCAATGATATTCCATGACGACCTCTCCCGGCATAACATCCTCGTTAGTGATAGCGGAGACGTAACCGGTATACTAGACTGGGAGTGCGTTTCAGCACTTCCTTTATGGAGGGCCTGTGATTACCCTGCATTCTTGGAAGGAACGCCCCGACGTTTAGAGCCCGATATCACGAGATACTGCGCTGAAGGAAACGGAGAACCTTCCGATCTCTATTGGGAGCACCTAGAGCAGTACGAGAATACTCTACTGCGCGATATCTTCATTGATGAGATGAGAATACTGGAGCCAAGGTGGGTGGACATTTTCGATAAGAATCAGTACCGGAGAGACTTTGAAACTGCAGTGCAGAATTGCGATAATCCATTCATTGCCCGTTATATACGCGCATGGATTGATGATATCAACGCTAAGGTGGAGAACCTTCGAAGCCTGCGTAATAGGATTTACGAGGATTGTTAAGAGTACTAATACAAGGTCAATGTTGGCAAGGCGAAAATCACACCGTGCGAGAAAAACAATCAATTGTCACCAGTAGGCTGTTCCATATGCACACTCCCAAGGCTAAGACTCGGGAGGTGCTTCACGACATAAAGCAACAGTATTTCACCAACACTGACATTGAGAGCAAGAAATAGAAAGAATAAAAAACATACAACAGCATATGTATGGTGGTAGTCGCCTAGCGCCCACGATTCGGGCGTGGGGCGGCTCGCCGCTCTATTCAGGCTTATTCAGGGCAACGCGGGGAGATACTCACCCACCCGAATATTCTTCACGAGGCCCCTTCATGTTAGCAATACTCGTTGTCATTGGCTATACTTCAGCCCGTATGCTGACTTAGGCACAAGGTTGGAGAATTCAGTGATCAGACACGCTAGTGTAATCACCACTACGAAAAGAAGATTTGTCCACAATCATTTTTCTCAAATGTGGATGATTTGGCTTAAGATAAGGACAGGATCATGCCTCTTCGATTTGCCTATCTAGTATAGGCTCGGCGAGCGCTGCCCGTGCATTGAAGTTATCAGCAAAGTACTGTGTCTCATGTACCACAAGCTCGTGAGCAAATTCCATGATGGAGACTGAGTGTGTTGGTATTCCGTCATAGGTGATGATAAACTCGCTCACCTATAGATGGCCATCGCCTGAGATCCGTAGCACCGTGACGAGGTGGTCCAACAAATGGCCGATCGGGCGGGCTGAAAATCCAATGTTGGAAACTGAGGAATTTCGCCCTCAATTCGCGACGCGACATATGCCATAGAGCTGAACACGAAGGCCTCGGGACAGGTAATATTGCCGAAACATCTGAAGAATTGCCGGAATATGCCCTTATCAGGGAGAATAAGATGCGGGTAAGCCCATGGAGAGATAAGAGATCAGCTATATATCGTGGCTCCGGCAGACTCTCGATAGCGGCAGCTTTTCACCGGCAAGTTTATGAGGTGTTTGATCATCTAGAACCAGATCATGCAAGCCGCAATGGAGCAGACCTCGGAGGTTCCAATCAGAAAATTCACTCGACACTCGAAAGCCTGCCGAGAATGTCGCCGACTCCGGACCAAGTGCGTGAGTGATGGCCGGGCACCCTGTCAGTCGTGTCGGCAGAGTGGGAAGGACTGTATGTTTCTTCAACGAGGCCAGCCGGACAAAGATCGCGATTTCCGCCGCCCGAGAGCTCGCACCTCTATTGGTCGTCAAAGAAGTGGCCCAGTCACAACCGTCCCTGCGTCGTCTGAGCTGGACGGGACTTTCCAGACAAGTGAATCCCCGGCACCGTTACCGGCACCGACAACGAGAGAAACGGGAGACTATTCAACTACTCTCATTCCAGACGCTAGAGAAATTCTACCGCCCTTCGAAGAACTGATTGAAGGAGTGTATATATTCACAACGTCCTTCTTCCAGCTCGGCTTTTTACCAAAAACGCTGTTATTCGAGCGGCTACGGAAAGACCCTGATTCGGTCAGCAGATTTCTACTGTTTAGCATTTTGACCATCTCAGCTCGATTCACTCCTTGTCTAGTCACCCGATATGGGGATGGCTTGAGTGCGACCGACTTGTTTCTCAGTCGGGCGGCTGCGCTAGTGCCCGAGCAGATGTATGTTCCAACACTAGACGCGACGCAAGGATTTTTTCTTTTGAGTATTGCAGAATGGGGTAAAGGCGACAAACATCGGAGCTCGATGCACATGGGCATTGCAGTGACTATGGCCGGAATCCTACGATTACACCGGGAAGAGACCTACCGTTTGCCCGATTATGCGACGGCTGAGCAATTTGTAAACGCGGAGGCTGGAAGGCGAACATTCTGGATGCTTGAGAGCTACAATAATCTACTCTCAGGTCTTAGTTCCCCTGTGTCAATCTCCTATAGTGATATATCCGCTCTTCTACCCTGTACAGAGCACGAGTTTGCATTTGGGAACTTAATCAACCCCCGAGTACCCCTGGCTGGAACACTGCCAGCTCTTGAAGATCCATCACTTGCTCATTCGGTGACGCGATCTTTGTTCGCGACTCTTTTACAGACACATAATATGTGGGGCCAGATAGCGAGAGTTGTTGGCACTGATACAGGGCAAGAACTTCCCACCGAAGAAGTGCAATTGAGCAGAGAGGAATATGCAAGGCTATCGACGGCGCTAGATGAATTCGAAAGAAACACCCCGGCACATCATTGTTGGTCAGTCTGGAATCTCCGAGGTTTCAAATCGAAAGGACTAGACCTGGCATATCTATCGGCTGTGATGGTGTTGAGATTGAGTAATATTGTTTTACGCCGAAGATATCTCCACGACGGATCAAATTCCGAGACAGGCGATCAATATTTGCAAAATGAACATGAACCCTGCAACCTGAGCTCTGTTAAAACAGAATTATTTGAGAACATGATAATCCTCCACGAACAAATTGACGCATTCTTTGACTTTCGGTCCTCTGACCAAGGCTTCCCAGCCCTGATCGTCTTTTGCGTCTACGTATGTGGCTCTTTGGCAAACCATCTAAATCAACAACCAGAAATCTGTCCAACTATTGCACCTAGGGCTGAAGATATTCTCCGGAAATCTTTGGCGGGGCTGGGGGAGTTGCAGCATGCCTGGCCCCTTGCTCGGCGTTGGAACAGAGCTCTCTGCAGAGCTAGTGCAAGGGGCCCCGACCGGGTCACTGGAACTAAAATAACTGATCTAGCTGGAGGCTCCCCACTTGATGGATTATTTACATCTGGGAGTGAGATACAGCAGTTCTCACCAAGAGTTTTGCCTCGGCTGAATGATCCGTTCCCGACGGACGAGATGCTAATTGAATTCGAAGCTTATCCTTGGAGCGACATATTTGTGGGCTCTATTAATCTCGACTTTGTAACTCTAGCATAATCAAGGAACCATAACATAGTTCTTCGCATAACCTTTGCAGCTTTTAAATGGATGCGAGTGCTTGACTCTACAGGCACAAGAGCCTCCAGACTAGGAAAGAGTAAAGAAATATGACCTCTGTGGTAGAAATTGCTTGGATGTAGTCAACATAATAGCTGAATATCATCGCAGCGCATACTATAAGCAATTACCAATTCTTTCGAAGATTTTCCATGGCCTCATTTTCTGATACGACGTCTGCGTATTTTGCATCGAGGTCGAATAAATTCGCATTTTGAATTTCGGCTGTACGATCTCCACAAGCAGAACCTACAACCTTATAAAATGTTAGGTCTCATATTTATTCGGGAAAAGAATCTCGTCGATAGATGATCTGCGTACCATAGGTCTGAAGCCGTGCTGCATTGCATCGAGCGTGGTTGCCCTCACGCAACCCGATGTACTCACTCCGCAGATAACAAGTGTATCAACATTGAGGGTCTGAGAAATAGTGAATCTCAAACATTCACGGTAATGATATCTGTTGATATTGGAACATACCTGAAGCTCAGTAGCCAAAGTTGTACCAAAAAACGCGCTCGCGTACTTTTTCACAATAACAGTGTCGTCTAAAGCCGGTTCAAGGCCATCCATATAATCAGCAAGCCCTCTGTTGTCGCCTTTCAACCAGACATCTAGAGGCTTGGCCTTCAGCCAGAACAACCCCGCATCGCTCATGTCTGCTCTTGAATATTTCACCTCACTCCAAATTACAGGAACGTCCCCTTCTCTCGCAGCTGATAGCAATTGTCTCATTGAGTCCGGCGCCAATTCTGCAGCTGGGTTCCCCAAAAGCGAAAGAGGCGACCCCTCAGTCCAATAGGCCTTGCAGACATCGATGATAAGCAATGCTGGTCTTTTACCCCATCCCATGCGGTTTGAGAAGCCGGAACGAGCGTATGAGGTTGACAACGCGTGTTGGAGATCAGACGACATGGCTTACATGTCTTGAAGTATGGAAATGAAAAAGAAGGGAATCAGACGTAAGGAGACAGTCCAGATGTATACTGGTTGACAGATATCCAGCTTAAAGCGGGGAAACCTTGGATCCTGGTTGATAAGGATTTTGCCTGCCGGAGTTGCCCATCAGATAGTTCCCAACACAAATTCTCGTTCTGAGATTTCAAATATTTGGTTTGCAGGAGGTTTTTTCAGATTTGATCAAGTTTCACATTTTCTTGCCGGAAACTACCATTACTCATGGCTTCAGAGCAATCAGCTACAGCTTACCAGCCAACTCACCCAACGGTTCGTCCATTGCTAGACCCGGAATATACCAACTTCCACGAGAGCTACTTTCAATATGTGATGCTTGATGATCGAAAATCATCAGATGGATCAGCTTGAAAAACAAAGCGGCCCTGGCCATCTACGGAGTCGGCACTCACAAAAACAGCAGGCACTCGGGAATTTCGCGGAACAATTGAAGAGGGCCTGGGAGACAACTGGCAGGAACAATCAAGTGGATGTTGAAGTTTATGAAGGGTCAACGCATTCTCTTCTATCCATGAATGGTCAGAGCCTTCATCGGGACTTCGTTCATTCCTGCTCATCAACTGACAACATCGCGTTCGTAGGTGTCTTGAGATAAGGCGCTAAACATCTTCAAGACTGCGCCAACAGGTTCGCGGTGGATTTGCTCTACCTATTGAAAATTGAGATTTCAGGCTTGAACAATCAAATTATTGAAAAGAAAAACTAGTATTACAAAAGACCGAAAGCATTATTTCGTGACCCATTTGATATGATGCATTAGGGAGAAATTAGCTTGTGACATTTTCCTCGAGTAAGCAAGCGCATAGCATGAAATTCTCTGGTATATTTAGCACGTAAACAGTAGCTCCTTGGCTCTTTCTGATCGCGGAGTAATGACACATGGAAAACTGTCGGGGACACCACTCAGTCCATTTGAGAACGTCACTCGCGGCTTGATCCTTTTACCACTTTCATCAATTGGGCAGGTTAGATCCATAGTTGCCAGCAAAGTCGCGACAACAATATACACCCCGGCGAGAGCCAGATGCTGCCCAGGGCAAACTCTTCTTCCAAATCCAAAGGGTCCTTCAGGGAGAGGTTCCTCATTTCCACCTTCCACATGAGCAAGATATCGGTCTGGGTTGAAATCATCCGGCGATGAGTAGAAGCGCTCGTCCCGCGACATAGCCCAGGCATTGGCAAATACCACTGATCCAGCTGGAATAAAGTAACCATGGTAAGTATCGTCGGCAAGCGAAGCATGGGGCACACCAAGTGGAGATAGAGGGGCCCAACGTGTTGCCTCTTGGATGACGTTTTCAAGGTATTTCAGCTGTTTTCGATCCTCAAAATTGGGTAATCGAACAATATCTCCATTCTTATCTAGCCCAACCACTCTGTCAATCTCATCTTGTACCTTTACTTGAATTTCCGGGTGTATCATAAGGTTAAGAACACACACGATCACGGTCGACCATGTCGTATTGCCACCGGCGATCGAAATAGCCCCAGCGGCACCTTTCAGATCGGCAATAGTGACGTCGTTAGTTTTGCCAAGTTTCTCATTTGAAAGATATTGACCAAAGTGGCTTCGCATAAAAGATGGTTGAGTCGCTACGCCAGACCGAATAGATGACTCCATTGCATCCCAAGGTATATCATGTAGCCGCTGAATAGTAGGCTTTGAGCGGCGGGCATGGACCAAGGGCTGGAAAACTGTAAAGAGCCTCTCGAAAATATTTGGTAGGTAGCGGAAGATAGGGAAGAAATCGACGATCGACGCGCCCGGGACACCACCTTTGCCAGTGGCTTCTTCGACATCAATTGCCATTTGGACGTAGGGATCATTTTCTTCCTGGATATCAATCCCGAATCCAATACGTAATACAACAGCAGTAGAAAACTGCCGCAGTAGCAATTCCCAGTTTTGTGGTTTGTGCAAAATGGCTTTGACAGCCCGACGGGCTTCCTCCTGCTGGATAGGTCGATATGGCTTGCATGCCGTTTGGGTGAATGACTGCTGAAGGAGCTTCCGATGGAGCTTGAACCGAGGCGACCACCGAAGAAAAGTGAGGGTGACACCCCATCCCATTACTTCGAAAAGAACGAAGCGAGGGCGATCGGCATAGTTCGCGCCTTTCTTATCCAGTAGATCATGGGCTGCATCAACACTGTTGATTACAACCATGGGGCGACCGAGAACATTGAAATATAGTATGTCGGAGTTGTATTGGTTTCCCCACTTCACAAATTGGTGTTCAGGGTGATCTTTGGGGATGACTTGTAGATGACCCCAAATTGAACTCCCCGGGGGCCCGGGGGGGAAAGGGAGACGCTTCCTTAATTTATTGACGTGTTTCCCGTACAGCACCCCCACCGTGACGACCAGGAGGGCAAGGCCAATAAACACTCGGGGTGGGAATATAGCATAGTCCATTTCGAATGTCTGGTAGAATGATACCAGGACAATCGGTGCATACGAATTTCAGGTGCCTTTTAAAGGTTGGGAATGCTCGGGATAATGGAGCTCTGATGATTGGAGCGTATCCAGCTAAGCCGTGCCTACTGCCTTCGTGGACCTTGGAGTCGGCAAGAGAGAGAGAGAATAAGACAGGTCGACCTTATCGACAAACGCAGTAAGAAAATCAGTCTGCCTGCCGGTCATCTGCCGGTCGCCTGCTGCGGACAGTAGGGTCGATGCTGAGATAAGAAGATCGGGGTCAAAGTTGCGGTTAAAAGTGGGGAGCCGGTCCTTTCTAAAAGGTTAAACTCCTCCCCCATGGACTTAGGGAAGTCACCTTCGCTTTCATTTCTCTGGTGTTCGTCACCCACGTATCAATACGTATCAATATGCCTGCTCGTGGCGCATCTGCGACTGCCTCGTTCTCATCCACGCCAACAAAGGAGGATCCCTATTTGTATCAAGTGGGCTTCGGAAACCGGTTCGCATCGGAAGCAATCCCTGGTACATTGCCAAGAGCTTGCAATACCCCCCAAAGATGCAAATACGATCTCGTATCAGAACAGCTCAATGGCACGCCCTTTGTATCCTTGCGAGCATCTCTGCTCCATGCGTGGTTCTATCGGATCCGACCGTCTGTGGTTCACAAAAAACTGAAATCACTACCGAGAAACCCGGATATCGAAGCCAACTTCTCACCCAGCAATGAGAAGGTCACTTTTACCCCGCAGGATATGGCATGGGATGCATTTAGTTTTCCCGAATCATCAAACTCCATCGACTTCATTCAAGGATGGAAAACTATTAGTGGCCACGGCGATCCTGCATCAAAGGAAGGTCTAGCCGTGCATATCTATACCGCCAATTCGTCAATGACCAACAAAGCATTTTGCAATAACGACGGTGATCTATTAATCGTCCCCCAAGAGGGACGGTTGGATATCCAAACAGAGTTCGGACGCATGATGGTACGCTCTGGTGAGCTAGTTGTGATCCAAGCCGGTATGCGATTCACAGTTACCCTACCGGACGGCACTGCCCGAGGATACATCCAGGAGATCTTTGGTAGCCACTATGAGCTTCCGGAGTTGGGACCGGTCGGATCTAATGGCATGGCCCTGCCTCGTGATTTCGAGACCCCTACAGCCAGTTTCGACATCAATCAGTCTAAATGGGAAATTGTTGTGAAGTTGATGGGAAACATGTTTGTCTACGAACAAGACCATACCCCTTTCGATGTGATCGCGTGGCATGGAAATTACGCTCCATATAAATACGCCATGGAAAACTTTATCAACATCGGTACCGTCGACCGGGACCAGAGCGATCCTTCCATCTACTGTGTGCTCACAGCTAAATCGAAGCGATCAGGAGTGCCCTTGTCCGAACTTTTAGTTTTCACTCCGAAATGGAGTGTCACGCGCAATACCTTCCGACCGCCATATTATCATCGAAATGTCGCGACAGAGATCATGGGCATGACTTATGGAACATGGCCGGGCTCTGCTACCTCCTTAAGCCCCGGGGGCCCTCACTTACGAACCAAGCTATATGCCACATGGTGAATCCTACGAGCGATGGAAGGAAGCGACCAGTATAGACTTGCTGCCTCAGCGGGTTGGCGAAGGGGCCATGGCATTCATGATGCATATCTCATCTCATGTCTCCTTGACAGATTACGCACTCGAGCGCAGCGGGAAACTGCAACACCAACCGGTCGAATTTTGGGATGATTTTAAGGGCGGATTCATGGATCATTTGGAAGAAATTAACGCACATCTAGAAGCTGCTGGTCGCCCTATTCTGGATGTGGAGCATCGCCAATAAGCTGGGGACTCGGGATTATTCCTGGCCACTTTTCTCATTTACTTAGTTATTGTAGGACAAGTAATCACAGACTTGAGGTTATTGGTAAAATAATACACACACATCCAAATACTGGTTCGAAAATTCGAAGAACTCATCTAATCATGAAAGCGGAGCCGGCGGCGCTTTCTCTTGCCAGAACATACAATCCACCTAAGTGCTCCCGATGAAGGCCCAAGTGGGAACTACATATATCACTGAAGGTAAACTTTGAAAGCGATGTTGACAGTTCGCCGGGGATGTTGGCAATCCTAGACCAGAGCAAAGGTTATCGCTCCCAGACCTTCCAATCTTTCCGGCAGGCAACCTTCCCGCCCAAGCAGCTCTTATCGCATCCCTATCAACGTCTATCTCAAGCTAGCCAGCCACTCGAGGCAAATGAAATACAGACTATTTCAAAATGGGATTCCCCACATATGCTGCATTTACCCCGTCTATCCATCCTTGGAAATAATTCTGGGGTTTGACATCTGCCATGGACAAATCTACGGAAAAGCCGCCAGCGACGGCAACCTACAGTGATGTTGGCACAGCCGAGCTGCAATCCGATCACTCCCCAAGGGCATGGCTATCCAAAATCGCATATTGGGGTGTTGAGCTACGAGGCATTGCTCAAGTGCCTCTGGAAGAGCGAGTTGACAAACGATACATTAATGTCTTCTTCGTGTGGTTCACTATGAGTACAAATCTCCTTCCGTGGGTCTATGCATTCTTTTACCAGATTCAATTTCACTCTCTAATATTGATAAGAATCGTGACGGGAATGGTGGGAACGCTCTCATATGGTCTCAGTCTTCGAGATTCATCCCTTGTCATACTATTCTTCAGTCTACTATGCACAATCCCACCCGCCTTTTTAGGCACATTCGGTGCCAAAACTGGACTTCGGCAAATGCTGCAGGCCCGATTCACTTTCGGGTAATTTTTTCCCCAGCTCAACTTGTCCTTAACGACTTTGGATCGACTGACAACCCCGGAATTGATACAGGTACTATCTTGTTTCTATAATTGTCGTGCTGAACCTCTGCACCATCGCCGGCTTTGGAATAATTGACTGTGTACTCGGGGGCCTGACTTTAGCTGCAGTCTCAGGTGGTAGCATCAATGCGACCGCAGGAATTGTAATTATAGCCCTGTGTGGAATGATAATATCTTTTGGCGGATACAGATTTTTGCATCAGTTCGAGCGGTATTCGTGGATCTTTGCCCTGCTCGCGATCGTGATTGCGACTGGAGTCGGCGGCCATCATCTTTCGACAGAAACCACGACGGAGCCGCCGGCAGTTGCGACGATCATCTCATTCGGGGGTGTTATTGCTGGGTTCCTCATTCCTTGGGCGGTTGGTGATCCTTGTCCTCTCTAAGGCCTTCCCCCCCGAAACTAACCTGGGATAGGCAATGGCATCTGATTTCGCAGTGTATTGTGACCCGAGTGTATCTTCATACCGAATCTTTGCATACATCTATGCCGGGCTTCTTGTTCCTTCAGTGCCGTTGATGGTTCTCGGTGCAGCAATCGGTGCAGTTGTGCCAAGTATTTCATCTTGGTCGGCCGGGAACGCGGACTACAGCGCCGGGGGGGTTTTAGAGGCAATGCTTCATCCCGCTGGGGGATTTGGCAAATTTGTATCTGTTCTACTCGCATTCTCCCTCTTAGGGAATCTAGCAGCCGCGATGTATTCCATCTCGTTGAACTTTCAGCTTGTCATTCCCATTATGGCACGCGTTCCGCGATTATTATTTACCATCGTCTATACGGCGGTCGCGATCCCGGTTTCTATCTATGCAGCCAACTCCTTCTTTGATAGCCTGGAGAATTTCCTCTATGTCATTGCATATTGGTCTGCGGCCTTTGTTGGCGTTGTCGCGACTGAGCATTTTGTCTTCCGCAACGCTGACTGCAACTTATACACGGCAGAGGACTGCGATAAATCAAGCAAGCTTCCGACTGGAGTAGCTGCAATAGCGGCTATTGCGCTTTCCTTTGGCTTGATTGTCCCGTGTATGAGCCAGATCTGGTATACAGGACCCCTCGCTGAGAAGACAGGGGATCTTGGGTTCGAAATTGCTCTTGTGTTGTCACCTCTGCTGTACTTGCCACTTCGATTTATTGAAGTGAGATTTAGAAATTAGTGGATATTACATAGTTCAAGTATGGCTTGTCTTGAGGAGTTTGAAAAGGCTATTGTAGCCGATCGGTATGACAGAATCCAGTCCAATTCAATTATATCATCAATATTTGAAAGCCAGCGCATGTACAACAGGTATCATGTTTCTCTCGATGTTTTATGATTTGCCAGCTTGAAAGGATAGCCGACCCCCGCAAAGCATTGTTGATGGGCCAAGTCTTACTGGGATGGCAAGATGTTAGGATCATGGAAACCAGACACCAATCAATTCCGCCTCCTTCCAAAGAACACCGAAACGACTTTCCCGCAGCCCAAGTAAAGATGTAGAGACTTACATCATACAATTCCCGTTATTTGTATTTCATTCTGGTACATCCTCTTCCTGGTGTTGTGAAGAATTGAGAAAATGGCCTCCAAATCTGACAAGACTTGCTGGTTGATGAACTTGCTCCTGGTGTGCTTTCAACTAGAACCTACCCTCCAGGTTTGAGAAAAACTGAAGTACATAGTGCTGAGGTGGCGATGGAAGTAAATAATGTAGAGCGCGGAGAAAAGCAGTCTCAAATAAGTAAATATGTATGCGAATAAGAAGATTCTGGTGGATCATAATGGTGGAGACAGGGCGGGTTCTCTTTATACGCGCTCGCGTGAGCAGCTGGTCAATTGCCAATGTCCCCTTGTCTAGTGAACATCCAATCGAGACCTACCATATATTCGGCCCCCATCAAAATGATGCGAGTACCGTCAGGCGAGGCTCAATCCTGCTGAAATGAAAAGCTTTATTTGGAAACGACCTGATTTCGGCCCCGCGAAAAGCTTTCTAGCCAGTGCCCTGCGCAGATCCTCTTTACATCATGGTATTCTACCCGCGTCCAGTTCCCGATGATCTGCCGGTCAGCGAGTTAATTCTGAACCAGAAATGCGGTGGAGAAACGAACACTGCCCTGTTCCTATGGCATCCCCGCCACCCAATCGATCCGGAATATTAGGCGGGAATTGGGCCTTGATGCTGCGATGATCTGCGGAAAACGAGGAGAGGCCTGCGACCATCATAATTTCCAAACACAGGTTTATGATCGCGAGCGTCTAAGCACGGGCAGCTTTCTTCTTTCCATGTCTTCTTTTCTTACCGCATGCAATATCCTGCGGTAGTTATTTGGACTCTTTAGATGAATCTAACGGGCAAACGAAAACCATGTCAACTCTCTAGGGATGAACCCCTAAGTGACTAATGGCTCGGACTCCGCCGGATGGGAAACTCGGAGTTCTCAGCCCGGGCGGCCCCCACCCAGCGTGACTGGTGCTCGGGCCCTATAGCCTGATCCGCAGGGGCGCCAAGTAATAGGGTGTCGATCTGACCAACACATATGCACCGAGCCAGTCGCTTTGTACTCCATGAGCCTGCCGGCGATTCGCTGGCGACCCACGACCTGGATGATATATGTAAGAAACAGGCTGCCGAATTGGTCATCCACGATCATGGCTGTTGCTCCGATGAGGACTGCATACGGCTATCTCAATGTTGACGATGGCTCTGCCATCACTGTAGAGTTGATAACGAGCGTGACGAGGTACTAATGCCATTCCTGGCACCGAAGACTGATCATTTTAGGCGTCGATTTCACCGGTCTCTATATTTTGGATATGATCTCGCGGCTACTTTTTCTTGCTAGTCTGCTTTCTGGGTATCTTACCAGCTATGTAAATTCTGACTTCTTTATCAGGTAGACTGAATTACCCCCTATGATATCTGCCTCGCGCTTTCTCTAAGTCGTGACCATATGAGACTTGCCTGAGGTCATAGACCGTGTGGGCTCCTAAAAGAATACGCCTTCCAAGAAAGGGCTTTTGTGATGCAAAATATTCTAAGGATATATCGGCAAGCTTTTGATATATCCCAGACTTCTGGGCAATGGATATTGCGATAGCCGAAGTATAAGATAAAGCTCCATATTGCAATTTCCAATATCATAATCATGGTGTCTTTCCACATAGCACCTGACAGAAAACAGGAAGCAAGAAGCAGAGAAAACCGAATTATCTGAAATGGTTGCATTGTATATCCGCATATATAAACAAAAGACAAGCAAAGTCCTCGAGGTATATAACAAATTAAGAAAGAAAGAAAAAAAGCGAGCAGAGATAGGAAAGCCGTGACGCCTTATTACTCAAAGCCAGAAGGCGGGCAAATCATGAATTCTTCCAAGATCTCAAAGAAGTGTACCAATCAGAAGAACGACCCCAGAGGCAATCATTGTCTGGAAACCGGGGACTACGGAGCTGGCTCCGTTCGTGCTGGAAGAAGTGGTAGAATCTGTGTAAATAAAAAATGAGACCCCGACTCTAAAGAGGGATTGGATAAAGGGAGGCAAAGGTTTGATGTGGCTCAAGCTTACCCTCGTTAGTGCATTGATTCATCAGTTCTGAGTATCGGGTTTCAAAGTCCTGAAGCTCGGTGCGGTTGTCATTCAGCTCAGCGGACGTGCAGCCAGTTTGAATACATGAGCTCAGCTGATTACCCTCATCTTGAATGTCAGAAGCAGAATCTTTGACACCGCAGAGACATTTCACGCTGGCTGTGTCGGCGCTTCCGCAGGCGGATTCGAGACCAGAGTCGGAATAGAACTCATTCAGACACGTCTGAATGCACTGAGGTACGTCGCCCACAACGTCACTCCAGCTGCTCAAGTCTGCGATAGCGACGGAGGCCAGGCCTAGCAGGGCAACAGGGAGGAAACGCATAATTAATTTGTGAAGAGGGGATATGTACGGATGGCAATATAGGTAGAAGCTTTGGGAATTGAACAGGAAAAAGAGCTGAAAAATTCGCATGAAAGAAGAGAAAGTCTCTCCTAGGGATACAAGTTGGTATTTATTAACGCGGCGCTTTTCGCCTACAATAGCCTCAGTCATTTTTTTCATTCTTGGCTGGAGCAAGACATATGCGGGGCCAAAATCTACACGAAGCAGTGGTGCCGGTGCACTCACAATCCATCTATAAGGGGAAGCGCCAAGTGTGACAATCACCTATCGGAGGCTGTGATCGACTTATACGAGCTCATGCAGGGTCTGCCAAGATGTCCATGCTTGCCAAGAGTCCTGTTGTCCAATACGAGGGCGCCCGATCACGTTGAGAGACGAAACTGTGAAGGGTAAAGAGGCTACTAAACCTTCCAAGCGACTTGGCCATGGTCCCTGGAAAGGAAAAGAGAGCCCCGACTGATGGTGGGCTCGCGTTGGTCCGTTGATCGCAAATTTTATTAGCCCTATTCAGGAACCCACCATATCCCGTGCAGAGCCTCAAAGGACTTTCGTATCACTGCTTCCATGAGAAATCTAGGGATCCCTTTTGTACGCAAATGAAATCCGTACTTAATCAGGTCGTAAAGCCACACTCCCAGGCACATTAGACAGCTTTATCATTTCCAGCATTTTGAAGCCGAATCCTTGGGCGAATGAATAGCCACTGAGACAGTGACCACGTCCAATGCATGTCAGAAATCACTGCGCCACAACATTGGCAGTTTGATGCCTTATTTCAGGTGCCAGGTATCAGAAGATCGCTCGGCGACAATTCGGCCGGACTTTGAGTGCCGAGGATAATAGTTTCGCCAGTGTTTTGATTAGCTAATTAATCATGCGCCAAGCGCACCTTTTCACGTGGACGCCGCAAGGCTCCGGAGCACGGCATTGTGCAAGCACTGCACGGACGGACCAATTTTACTCAGGATTCCGTCAGAGTCATATGATAGCATGGTCTCGGTCACTGGGATGACCCTGTTGCTCTTCTTCCTTACGCATATTCTAGATCAATGTGCACGCTCGTAAGCCCATACTGAAAAGGGGTGAAAAGGGGATGAAAATGTATTCTCCGAGAGGCTAGTCCCATTAGCGAGGAACGACCGACCAAGTCTCGCCGGTAAAACCAGTCCATCATCCTGCCTTAGCTGTTCTGGGTTGAGATAGACACTCATACCAAGATTCTCCCCACGAATAACAAATACGCGGTAAATCAAGTACACCTGAGAATAATCATCCCTTTCATGTATAATCCTCATGGAAACCCCCATATTATCATGAGGACTGCCCATTCAACTTTGTACTGGGGTCCAAACCTGTATGTCTCGATTACATGGCCTCGAAGCCTTCTCATCGAAATGCCTTCGATACAGTCATAGCATCGCCCTACCGTTGGAACGAGAAGAGCTGGGTGGATTTCTGCAGAAGAAGTCTGATGACTAAGTTAATACATGTCGGTAATACGTAAAGCCGATCTCCGATATATATATATTAGAGGAGCATGTAACTTAGTATTAGATATCTATCTAACAATAACAATACTTTCTACTCCTAATATATATATAAAGCTACCCTATCACTATTGCTTATATATTTCCTATCAGCATTTCCTATCAGTAGGTTATGAGCCCGGATTGCTTAGCCATAATAGAAGATAAGTTGATAAATCAAATCAATCTTCTATTCCTATCTACTAAGCTACTAATTCCAAATCACACTAAGAAATAGCGGTGTGACGAACAATCCTAGCAAACTAACTAGCAGCACTTCAACAAGCTTAACTAGCTAAGAAAAGTTTGCTTCAATAGCGCAGCTTTTGAAAAAAAAAAAAAAAAAAAAAACCACTAAGACTGTCTCTCTTAAAATTGAGGTTCACCAATAAAGGGGGATGTATTTCACCCCGAAAAACCAAAAGGGAGAGATAATAAGTCATTATCATGATTTAAACTCCTTAAACAGGAAGCATAATAGATCATCTACTAATCACCATGGATCTCATATCTTAAGGATAGATAGATCACATTGCTATTATTCTTAAATAGCGCAATAATATACTAAAGTGGCGCGTAAACATAACGAGTCTATCTTTAGAGCCGGACAGGCTGTTTTCCCTAGATCGAATAGGTCAAATAACATCCTAGTTAGGACTAGAACCGGTGAATTCGCTATCTAATCTAGTTAGCACGCATCCTATAGAACGATAGCTCTATTCTATAGTCTCCGCTCGCTCCCGATCTAGTATAGGAATAGTAACCTCTTTAGGAACGGATAGGGATTTATTCCTAGTATAATAAAAACTATCTATAGATTCTACCTATTCCCGCCTAAGATTAATAGTAACTCTATATTTATAATTAGACGGCACGGTCTCCTTAGCTTAGTAATTCCGATTCCTAGCCTCCTCTTAACCCCGGACTTCCTTAGATAGCCCCTACTCCTAGATAGGGAAGACGGGATCTAGCTTAAGGCAATCCCGAAGATACGGAAATCATTTAGGGGCTAGAACTAAAAACCAGGGGAATAAATCCCTTAAATCAGCCTATCATTTCCGGGATAACTTAATTTCTCCTTTAATAAAACGCTATAATCTACGTTCTAGACCACTAAGAAAGGCTACTATCTTCCGTTGGCTAGATAAAGATAAATATCCTTATCTTACCGCCTTATTCTATCGCGAAATCTCTATCTTATCTTACCCTTAATAATTTAATTCTAAAGACTAGTTAGAATAAGTTAATCCCTCTTTTATACTAGACACTCGCGCTCTAAGCGAAGACTCTATTAATTTATCTACTATCTCTATTCTAAGCCTACCTACTAGCCTTCCTTATGATCTATTTAACTAGGATCTTAAAGTAATTCCCTACCACGAGACCTAAGATATTTAAAGTAAAGAAGATTAAGGTAGAAGATATTCCTATCCTAACTAATAAGAACGACTAGTATAGATAGAATAAGGATATGATTATTACCCTAATAAAAGGCGGATATAGAGATCTTCTATTAGAAATATAAGATAATAGAATAGTTAGTTACCTAAGTATACTAATAGATAAGATAAAGAAGGAGATATAGGAAAAGATATAGAGGATTATATATACCGAAGTACGGGATAAAATATCTCCTACCTATAGGATATATCTTATAGCCTATAAGAAGGTTTAAGAGATACTCGATCTAGTAGAGAGGACTCTTAAACTAAGTCTACTAGCCGCACTCTATATTATCTAGCGAAGTCTAAGTTCTTTATAAGTTAGAGGAAGAATCGAATAACTCTAAAAACAAATCTAAGAAACTTAAGACGTGTATTAAAGACTAGGCCTCGTACTTAAAGATTAGATTACTATTCTAGCCTTCCTTACTATAGTAGGCCTAAAATTTACCTCTTTCTAACTCAACTACTTTATAAATAAGATAATCATCCCGTCTAAAGTTACTCCTATAATCTCTCTTACTAATATCGATAATATTATGATCGCTATAGAAGAATACTAAGCTATTCTTAATCCTTAATAAATAGCGGTACCTATAAACGCGTTTATCGTATAAACTATGCCACTAGCCTATACTCTAACTAACCCCTTACTAGGACTACCTAAAAGTATTCTAAAGGTAGTTTCGGTTAAAGGAGACGAAGCGGTAGTTAGAATCAAATAGTATAACTATTACGCTAAGCCCTACTATAACTCCGCTACTTATCACGTGAAAAACCTATCTCTAAAGCCAAAAAGAGACGGTAATAAGAAACGGAAAATAGCTAAAAGCGACTTATATATAGATATTATAGCTAGGATAGCTATCTTAAGCCCCTTTAACCTTAATACTACTAAATCTCTACTTCGCTAATAAGTCATTCTAGACTCTAGCTATAGATAATATATGACTTTAAGACGAGATCTATTTATAGACTTCACCCCTATTAAAGGCCCGCCTATTAATAGGATTAGCTAGACCCCTATTTAATTAAAAGGAATAGGAATAATTAAATTACTATATACCTATAAAGGTAAGTATATAAAGCTCTTATTATCTAATACTATCTACTCGCCCTATATTAATATAACCCTTATTTCTATATCGTAACTCTTAATAAAGGGGGGCAACGTTAAATTTATAAATACTAATAAAGGAAAGATTATATTTAAAGATATATTAATAATCATCACCGCGATAAAGAACCTTAGAGTATATATGCTTAATCTTTATATATAATAACTAATCTCCGCCTTCCCCGCCTTCATACTTAATAGCGATTAGTCTCTCCTCTAGTATTAACGAATAGGTTACTTAGGAGAAGCGAATCTCTAAGCTATATAGAAAATAGTCACTAGAATAGATAACCAAAACATAGACGCCTATTTTTATAAATCATGCGTTAAAGGCCGAATAAAAGTAAGGCTATATACTAGGCACTTAATACTAGGTAAATAGCTAATAGAATTCCTATATTTTAACGTCTCTAGTAGGATATTAGTTCCCTCTTTTAATAGAAGCGAATACGTAGGATTTATTATAGATAACCTTACTAAAAAAGCCTAGTGCTCGACCTTTATAACTAAGGTAGACTTTATAAAATTTATTAAATTTATTATCCGCACTTACTTAACTCCCGAAAGACCTTATAAGCGCTAGTGATGTGACTAAGCTAGGGAAAACCTAAGTAATAAAATACGAGCCTTCGTAAAGTATATAGGTATAACTTTCGAAATCACTAGAACGAATCAATATTAATAAAATAGTTATATAGAATCTCTAATTAGCTCTATACTAAATTAAGTTTAGTTAATAATCCGTGATATAGGAAAGGATACTAAGAAGTACTAGCTAAAACTCTACTATATAGTGATCTACCTATAGGATCGAAGACTATAGAAAAGCCTCTCTAGCACACCTTTTAAAGCTTAGCATAGATATAAACCTAATGTCTTATATATTAGAGCCCT